TGATTTCGAATCCAGTTGAACCTCCGTCAAGTTTCGTCACGCCTTTTCGTTACGTGCACTCTCAAATTCAACGGCCGTCCTAGCCGCATATTACGGAGTATGGCAGGTTGGAATGGGGCATTCCACGGTGATCATCGGAGGATTTCCGCGCGTTTCTTTCCAGATCAGGCAATACAGCAATAAAACCTAAGAAAATATGGGCCAGAAATACAGGCTAGCCAGCAAGAGAAAAGAGTGCATTGATAAAAAATAAAAGGTGGAAAAAAGAATCAAATCCCGACACCAATAATAAGGAGACTAAAATTGGGATCGGATCTTAGGTCTTACTTTCTTTAGTAAAGGCGTTGCCGGTCTTTTCTTTTGTGGTTAGGATTATCTGATCGTCCTGTGAGCGATCGCATAGGTTCCACCGGAATGAGTGGCTGGCAAAAGGGAAAATAAACTGGGTTAAGAAGTCGCTTTGTCAGGGTCAGTCATCCGGCGGAGACTTCAGGCGGGACCGTAAACGGTCCCTAACGGTCTCTCCATCGTCGATCATTTTGACATCCACTCGACTTTCGTGAAAATTACCCAAGGAAGAAAAAACAGTCCGTTGGATGAATTCTGAAGGTTAAAATATCGTATATTCCATTCTTCACATTTCTAGTTCCCGAGAGCTTCAACGGACTGTTAGGTTCGTGTTTAGCAGGAATGTTCCCATGTGGATCATAGCTTCGTGTTACTGGTAAATTTGATCCAATCTCCTGCACGGTGAACTCATATTCACACCTTCACACATATTTCAGGTTGCTCCACAGGGGGGTCAGGTACATGAAACTATTCAAGTGACCAGCAACATGGACTCCGTAAATCTTCTGATGGCTCCATGTAACAGGTTCCGCTTTGGATGTGTTGTCAGTGGGGGAATGCTACACTACGTACCAGCTCACTTTACTAGCGTGTCTAAGTGTAATCCTGCCAAAAAAAAAAAAAAGTACTGGAGAGTATTGGGCGAACCTGCACAAATTTCAGTTTGGATGCACGGTTGCCAGAAGGAGGCAACTGCCCACGATCTCAGTCTGAAAGAGCGGCTCTAATTTCGTTTTTCTGCTGATCTTTGCTGGATCCCCATGCGTCCAATCGCGGCAGCTCTAATCTGATCCCGTACAACTCTGCAGCGTGCGACCGGGACACCGGTCACGATTTCGACGGTTCAGATCGAAACGCCTTACTGAAAAGTCATTCTCGCGGGGAAATTCGGGACCTGAGAAGCCATGGCCACGTCTTTCCCGAACAAATATACAGGGCATCCATTAAACAACTGTCTTTTCATTGCTTTTCATTCTTCTTTGGCCCGTTGCTGGTCCCAAGTAAATCAATAGTTCCAGTCCCAGTTGCATCCAGTGCCTGGCAAGGCTCGGAACTCGGAGGAGCATCGAGTTTGCACCGGTGGGGACCACGACCCGAATGGTCTTTGGGTGCATCAAGGTTTGGTAATGTAGGCGAGGTGACCTACCGTGCATGACACTAAATCTCAAGGTGGATGGAACACATAGCATGGCTGAAATGGTGCGATCCGGGTGGTGTGGTCGGCTGCATGATGCAGCGACTACCGCGTAGATCGATTCTTCGCATCGATCTCGGACCCGTTAACAATCCTTTGTCTGCCGAGGGTGAAGTGTGACCCGGACGCACAGGTATGTATGCGTTGTGATCTTCGGAGCACCAGATCGGTGCCTTATCTGCACTCCCCGCAAGCTGCATGAGGTTGCATCTGGTTCTTCAGACGATTGCAGGATGCATTGACTCCCTATATTCTCAGTGGTCAGTGGGACTGCAAAGTTTCTGCACTAAGATGGATGTGAGCTAGGTCTAGTAAGGGGGCAAGAGCGAATAGCCAAGGCGCTTTCGCAATCCAGATCATCAGAATGCATATGAGGTTCCGAAGATCTCGCTACGATTGCCTTTCGTGCTGGGCCACTTTGGGGCCGCTCAGTGGACGTTTAGGCCCTGTGCCCCAGGCGCCGACCGTTGAGCCAAGCAACCCGCTATGGGTCCGCTGTCTGTGCGCAACGGAGGCATGAGAAGCCTACCGTACGAGGCTGGGAAGGTACCGTGGACTTGGAACCGAGGAGTCAAGGATTGGAGCTCATTCCCAGCTTGACTAGGGTCTTTTTTTATTGGATCGAGAGCTATGTTTGGTTCGGAGAAATGATGAACGGGTATGACATGACAACGGTCAGAGCGGGTCAGGGGCCAAAGCATCGTAAGGTTTCGACGGGGCGCCAAACACAGAAAACCCAGCAAATCCTGTAAATTGTGGGAAAGGTACCCAGGGCGAAGGTACCAGGTACACAGTATCTTTCCGGATTCACCCCCCTCTTAAACAATTCTCGATAAGCTTTGAACATACTTGCCACGGAATCGTAGGTTTCAATTCTTCCGTCTTTTACGCGCATGGTGCACGCGGCCGGGAAAGGCAACCGGCGTCACAGCAATTTGCGAAATCAACGCGTTCCACGCAGTGCGAACTCCTGCGTCACTCTGGGGAATTCCCACATCACTTGCCCACCTGGGCAGGTGAACTATTCGGTCCTTTGTTTTTAATGTAGGGTCTCGCGATGATGGAACGATCTCACCAATAACGTCCCGAGTGGTCCGATCTCGATCCCGAAGCTTAAGTACGGACAACGTGTGTGGGTGACCTAGCGGAGTCAGTGCTGAAGTGGGAAGAAACGCCGAGAATTTTAGATGATTCATATAAAGAAAGAGGGGGGACGGCAAAAGTAACCATGTGGCCAACCGGTTTTTCCATGAGAAAAAATAATATACATCCCCGGCATCTCATTGGACGCGAAATGTGATTTGGGAATAAAGTGACGTCGGAGTATGTAGAGATCCATTTAGATCCATATGGGGCGGCAGTGCCCGAGATCGAGCAAGGGAGCGTTTATGGAACGTTGCTTTTTCTTCTCTCAGATCAGATTATGAGGGTGTGACAGTGGCTTTCCCACCCCATTTCTCAGATCTGGGATACCGTTACCACCCTGATGCGTTGTTTCTCAAGTTTTGTTTTTCCCAGGTCGTAATGTATGGATCAACTCCATTTTTTTGATCATCGTGAAGAACTGACATCATACTCTTGATGATCTTCTCAAGGCCATTAATCAGCCCGAGGTCTGAACACCCACCCCCCCTATGATGCATCTCCTAGGCTGACGAGTCATCAAAAGTCATGGAGATCCATGTGAGACACGTTACCTGGTACAAAGGATAGGGGGAGACCAGGTATATAATATGTCGTGAGCTATAAAAACAAACTTTAGGCGTTGACCTAATATATTTCGCCCTCTCTGGGAATGGTCCGAGACAACTAGGCGCCATTGTTTTTTTTTGGAGTCCACCTTGATAGGTGGAAGTAGTTCACACAGAGGCAGATAGCATTATCGCAATTAAACCACCATGACACGCGCCGAGCCCAGGGTGACCTCGATTGAACTCGGGGGTGGTACCCGTACCCATGTGTTCCTGAGTCAAGTCGTACTGGGTTTGAGCAGCGGGAGTAGAGTTCTAACATTGGAAGGTTGGGAATATTCTTTCATGATTTAGGAGACCTCCCTGGCTTGGGAGGCCTTTGGGTAACTACGGGGTTCCAAACGGAGAGCCCTAGGTTGGCTATTTTTCTACCGTCGGTTTTGTATTTTTGTTTTTATTTTCAATTTTTGTTATTTTTGCTTTTCGATTATCCGTTCTTTTAATTAATCCTGGATAAGATCCTCTTCTGGAGTCAGAGGATTATAAAGCTAATAATTAGGTCTCCCCTCTTTTCCCCCTGGACTCCACTCCCGGGTGAATGCGACTAGCAGTGATAGGTATGATCCCCACATGCGAAGATCCGCAGTTCGTACGGTAAGCTATACCAGTCAGAACCGATCCGTAATTTATGGATTTATTTCGAATTTCGCATTTTAGGATTTTTATCGCATTTAAATTTAATCTGTAAAATCGCATATACCGATCCCCATCTCGATCCACTCTGATTCCTCCGATGAAAAAACGCCCTCCTTTTCCTGAATGGGTTTTTCTCCGTATTGGAAAAGAAATTCATTTTAAACTCATAGCCTCGATGGTAATTTTTGATACCCACTTCCTCACCCCTCTTAGTTCCTCTACTCTTTTAACTCTTAAACTCTTATATCGATCGCTGGATCGAAATCTTACTTTTATTTAACTTCTCTCCCATTCCACCTCGTGCCCATACTTGGATTAACATTCTCCCCTCCTTTTCTTTTTTTGCTTCCCACGCGACGCAATTCGACCCATCATCTATCCCTTGCATTAAAATACAACTCTCCCCCTCCACGATCGATCTTTCCGCATTTCTTTTTCTTTTTCTTTTTTTTTCTGTCCCTTTTTAAACCTGGCAGCCCGATTACGATTAAACGCGACTTCCCTTTGCTACCCTCGGGAACCAGATAAGACCCAGATACTGCCCATACTTCCCGATCGCATCGGACTTAACTCGCACCCTACGCCACTCGCCTCCATCTTGGTTCCATACTCCGATCTTGCCGGTTCCAAATCGCTTAGACGAACTGCTGGTTCCTGGACCCTGTGAACCGTCCGAGAAACTTCACCATTCGGCCGTAGCGCGCCGTATTTATTTACCCTTCGACCCTCGACTTTGTACAAAGCCGATTCGGTTGGAACACCCAAGTCAATCGTCTGCGCTTCAGTCCGCCATAAACCCCGTTGATGAGGTCAGGAATCCACGCGTGATCCTTTTCTACTTTCTCCCCTTCCACCCCACCACAGATCGTGATGGGGTCTTTAGAAGCCGCACCTAGGCACAGGTTGGTTTGGCTTCTCGTCTGATCGGATCGGTCTGAAACTCAATGCTGACGAGCCTTTGACGCGATACAGAGACCCTTTGCCTGCTATCGGTTTTCTAGGAAAGGACGATTCGGGCTATACACACCCAAGCGTCGCTTCTCCCACCCCCCCTCCTCAGTCCCAACAACATGTACGCCGGACAACAATTACCCTACTCCTACGCGCCACCGAATCCCAATGCGCCCCCGCAACCGGGCTACATCTCACCGCCAGAGTCGCGCCGAGTGATCGAAGACGAGAAGGACAAGGCCGCATCGCGGCAGTCGTTGCCTTCCATCCACGAAGCTCTGGGCAAGGACAATCATCTCCCATACCCGGCCCCAACCTCCGCGCCACCTCCACAACCTGGCCATGCCGCACCACCTTCACACCTTATCGGCCGTTCAGGTGCGGAGGGCCCGCCCGGTCCTCCTAACCCATTCTCCAATGGCCCAGCTTCCGGATCATTGATGCGGGAACCGGGCTACCCTCACCAGATTCAGCCAGAAGCGTCGAGGAATAGCCTCGGCTCCATCAACACACAAGAGTCCCGAAACGCGTCACTACATTCCCTCAGCACGGGCAAATCACCCACTCAGAGTGCCAAAACAGGTATCACCTCAGTTTCTGGATCTCAAAATTCCGCATACGACTATAGCGCGCCGCCATCCGCCGGTAGCGTGGCTTCTCCCAATGGCTACGGTCATTTCCCTCCCAGCTATCCTTTCCCGCAGAGTGCCCCGCCATACGCTCCTGTGTCCTACGACAATCGTGCGTACATGGGGGCGCCCCGTGTGGAAGAGGTCAAAGGTGGATTTGTGGGCCGACCAATGCCTCAACCCCATAGTGATTCGGTGAAGCGACATCTAGACGTATTCGACGTGGAAACGTCTCTGAATGAGGTATGGATATTCTGGTTCTCATTTTCCTGTTTCTATTTTTTCCCTCCTGGTGGGGTGGAAAGAGATTGTCAACCTGTCGATCCACCCGCGAGATTTGGTACCAGAGTTAAAAAGCTAACGAGTTGCCGTTTTCGATTAGATCGTCGAGATGAGCACACGAACATTGGAGTTTTCACGGCATTACGCAGCGCGAGCTCACCAAACACAGCGGTCTGGACCGGTCATGGGCTCGCTACCCTCATTGAACGAAGTGGAGGACATTCTCCACATGCAGCGTCGGAACCAAGATGCCTTGATCCGGATACGAACAGCCGTTGTGAACCAGGAACAGGCACTGGCGGAGATGGCCCAGCGCAAGGCGTATAAGCCCGAGGACGAACATATGACTGGGACCATGTACCAAGAAGACTTCAAGGGTGTGGGCGGGTTCGCTGGAGCGGACTCGAAGAAACGACGTGGAGTAAGTTCTGATTTTTCCCCCTGGTTCCTTGCACTTTACCCGTTTATCCCCTGTCAGAGCGGTCTCATTCGTGCTCTAATTCTCCACTTCTCACTTGTCATGGACTGGGTAGCTAATCATATTCTTCCTTTTGACAGAAAGCGGCCCCTCCTGGTCGTTGCCACAGTTGTAACCGAGCCGAAACACCAGAATGGCGTCGGGGTCCAGATGGTGCCCGAACGCTGTGTAACGCGTGCGGTCTGCACTACGCCAAGCTGACTCGCAAGATGGGCGCCAACAAGGCGGCAACCCTGGGATCGAACCTGAAGCCCAAGTCGGTCCTTGACTCCGCCTCGCCAACCAGTCATTAAGCTTCTTCTTTGTTCTGTGGCGTTGGAAAAGGCGGGAAATAGACATGGGGGGCAAAAAGGAGTTCCGGCCAGTTATTATTCCCTGGATTGAATTTTTACTACTTTTTTTTTACTTGTTTGATCATTCCCCGGTTCATTCCCTGGTTCATTTTTTTTTATCTTTCGGGGATCTTTGAAACTTGCTTTCCCCATTGACTCCCACACTGACCATTCCTTGGTGTGGACCTTCCTAATCGGTCTTATATAATACCCTTGCGCGTTGGAAAGCCCCTCAAAGCATAGATTACCCTCTTTGGATGCAAGATTGTTTTGATGTTTTGGTCTTTATACCCTGCATTTTCGTGTATGAGCTTGCTGAGTATCTGATGTGTGTACGATCTTTATTCTAGCATCTCCAGCCTTCTATTTTTTATGCGGCTTAGTACATGACTTGATTTCAGCGGATTTCTGTTGGTGGCAATTTGATCTACATGACATGACATCTCAATTTCAATTCTATGTACTTGTTTTTTTCTAAGAAAAAAAAACTTTCATTCTTTCTTTTGCTAGATAAAAATGTATTCGCCTTGACTTTGTTTATTCGCCACGTTGTAGAGCTTCGGCCGGCCCCGATGAAGTCAGCTGTCATAAGAGCGGCCGAGAGTGAGTCTTTGGTTGAACCACACATTCACCCTTCAGGGTCCAATCCCATCTACATTCGCGAAAAACAACTACGCCAAGACAATGATGGCATTATTTGCCCCTTGATTTTATTCTACGTCCAAAAGCCATCATGCACTGCCTTGTATATCCGTGGCTCGAGTTCAAGCGAGAACTATAGGGTGGTAACCGTTGTACTGGAATTAAGGATTCGGGCGATCACCGACCACCGAACCCCGAGACCAGACCAAGCCCTAAGTCATAAGTCTGGAAAAGAAAAAAAAAACAAACCATCGATAGATAAAACAACCGCGAAACCCGACCTCGCTAACCGATTGTATATCTGTGTACATCTCCGATTAATTGACATGATCAACAAGATTAACAGATCAGAGACGCGCGATTAGATCAGCCGACATAAGAGCGGGAGCGAGGAATCTGCGGGCTCCCGACTTCAACGCACATTGCAGATAGTGTAGCAGATCAAATGTCTCTTTGGAACCACACCGACACGAAACAAAAATTTGAATCTCAAATCTTAAACCTAAAACTAGGTATCTCAAATCTTGCTTCGCACGGGCGGAGATCCGCGACACAACCCCATCGGAAATAATAAGCCGTAGCCGCCACAAATCATTTGCTCTGCCATCTCCGCGGTGCGTCTCAAGATTTGTCACCGTTGGCGTTCTTAGGGTGACAGCTTAGTTCGTGTGGAGCCGGGTGGTACTGGAACAAGGGGGGACAGTAAGAAGATCCCGCGGGCGATCTGCGATGGGGAAAGGCCCGATCGGAGTTTGTGTGCATGCATATCTCCATTCACGCAGAATATGCGACAAGAACTATACCGATAACCGAGACATTCCCATATGATAAGATACAGAGGTTACGATTACAAAGAGAAATGATTTTCCCTAGATCGTTAAATGCAATTAGATTGACTCATGACTGAAAATTGAAAGAACGGTGTGGTCCCAGGTGTTCGGGCCCAAGGCGCGCTAGCAGGGATGCGTTGGCCACATCGATCGAGATGCCAGATCCATGAAGTATTTGAAATATCGGGATTTGCTGATCGTTAGCGTCTTCACAACATTTCTATTTTTACACTTTACGTACTGGTTTGTTTGTGACTAGTAGAAACACCCCCCACAATAATCAACATGGATAGCCGCGACTGGAATAGATAAACATAAAAACACTCGGCCGATTGATCGATCTTGAGCCAAATCAGTAGCTTAATGTTGAACCTTGGGACAATTGCATTAGGCGACAATGCTGGGTAATGTCCATCCCTGTGGAGATCTATCTTAATCGTAGTTCTAGTAACTTTGACTTTGACAAATACCATTCGGACGAAAGAACTTAAACCAGAGCCATGGATAAACGAACCTTATCCATCCGCAAATCCCGGTGAATTACATTGACCAGGAATTATTCACAAAGCAGTATGTAATTGAATCCTGCTATGTTCATCCATACAGTAGACCCAAGTTGGTGTGGACCCCTACGTATTACCATGCGATGTCGATTCGATTTCCGATTTCGATTCGATTCGATATCCGTTCGGTCCGTCCCCGTGTTTTCCGTCGATTGTTTGTTGGAAGGGGAAATATACTCCGTGGGGTAAGAAAAACTCTCGATGCCGTCCATTCCATTCCGATCCCGGCCGATGCACGGTTTCGATTACAGTTTAAAGGATAATATTCATAATGATTTGAAACAAAAGTATAAAAACAAAAACAAAAAGTCAAGCCAGAATTCAAGACCGGAATGGAGTCAAGTCAACCAAATCACTAGTTCTTCACGGCGACTCCGGCAGTACGTTTGAATGGGTGGGCCGCAGCGGAACGGGGCAAATCAGGAGAAACAAAACTCGTGTATTAGCACTTCTTTTGCCATGTACGCCGAATACTCCGTCCATCTCCACTATGTCGTTTATTTTAGTCTCGAGACTATACTACACAACGTTTTAAGAGGCTTAGTCGCGGCCGAGTGAAAACCGCATACGTAACTAACTAGTAACAAAGGGGCTCATTGGCGCATGCTTATGGAATTGAGGGTCAGACCACCCATGGGCCTGTGCCGTGCGCGCAGCAAGCCCAGATCGGTGCCCGAGACCCTCTCTGGAACTAGAGGGGAATCGGTGTTCATAGATCGTACGTCAGATGCTGGGATTACCCCTGTTTAGTGCCGTGTCCCGCGGGTATGTATTCTGTTGTAATACCGAGCACATTACCCGGATCCATCTCATTTCCTTTCTAATGTCCTCATTTCCACCATATGCTCTTATTTACCCTTCTAAGCTAGGGTTGAACTTTCTCTGCGCCTGTTGAGCTTAACACGGAAAAGAGATTACAAGGACTAGAAACGGTAGATCAACATTTGACCAAGCTCTCGGGCCTCACGCTAAGGACCATGAGGTTGGAAGGTGGATCTGAAAGTTTGGGTATTTGTGGTTCCAATGTTCTTCCTACCTTCTTTGCGTCACTGCAGGATTTCAGTTTCTTATTTCTAATCCCGGTTTCGATGATTCTTATAATTGGTTGGTTCGAGTGGGGACGACTATCGACTATTAGGCGCTGAGCTCGTGTTGAGATCGCCGGATCTACCCGCTTCCATTTTACTTGGAGAGCGCGGCTGTTGTCTGCGGTCCATTGCCGAGATTTCACCACTGATCTACCCCTACTTTATAGGTTGGGGGAAAGAATTCCGTAATGCCCCCTTGGGAGCTTTGTGTGTGGATATGCGTCTGTGTGTCTGCTCACTGAATAAATGGGGATGGGGGGCCTAGGAAGGCCTCCGGGGAACCATCCAGTCAGTTCGCTTAGATTGCAAGCTGATTCCCCGAGACACGATGGTTCCCGCGAGGAAGTGGGCTGACGGGCTGAAGGACCGTGGGAACCCAAACCGGGCCAAAGTCTATCTGGAGGCCTGGGACAAGTGGCGTCCGATGTGGAGATGAAATCGAAGGTCCCGGACTGGTGGGTCAGACTATTGATTTGAAATTTTTGGTCGTCAGGGACTGTGCTATACGCGCTAATGTGGGTTTTCTTTGCCTAGGTGCCTAGTTTTCTTTTTGTTGTTTTTCTTATGTTGCAGCAGGACTTTGATATGTTTCTGTTGTTACGTACAGGTATGCGTTTACGCCGTACACCGTAAGAAAAAGCAACCAAAGAAACAGGCGTGGATACCTTAGTAATTCCACATCTACCCGAAACCCCATATGCAAGATACGATTCATATGCGGTGTAAAGGACTCCGAAATCGAGCGCCTTTGAGTAACCATGGCATGCATGAAACTCATGCATCGTGACCGATCATCCTAATTCTACCCCAAACTGACCTCCAAAAGTTACATGTTTTTGCAAGGTTTTTTTTTTTCTTTTTTCTTTCATCCTCAGCCGCGTTTTATTGACACCGGGATCCGATCTTCACATTGCATGAATCTAGTTGATCTTTACTCCATCTAGGGCGCCGGTAGCTGACGTGGGATCTTAAGATCGATTTCGGCAGACCACGCGCAGGATGCTGCGGTGTGGGTTGCATTCAAGTGCATTTATTTTATTTTGCTTTATTCTATTGTAATTCATTTTTATTTATTTCATTTTGTTTATTTTTTGTTGATTTCTCCATCGTCCATGTGCAGTGTTGTGTAGGTGTGGCTTCAGGCCACGTCACTAGCGCCATCGTTGATCGGTTTCTGCGAGTCAGACTTGTTCGAATCTAGCAGTAGCTGCAGACGAGGTTCCATCCGGTTTGAAATTCCTTAAAAATTCGATCACTAGTACAGTTAGTTCCCTCGGTAGAAAATGCCGTACTTATCAGGAGCTAACTTTATCAAGAAATGGAAATACCTTTCCTTTAGTGTTGTATGCACCTGTTGTAACCACGATGGTCTCGGTCTCCACTCGATAAGCGCAGGATGTTAGATCCGACCACTAAACGAATCAATGGATACCCACATCTACACTTCATACGTACTAGCTTTCCGTCCGAATCGTCGGGACTTGCTAAATTTATGAAAAAAGAAAATTCAATGGTGGATGGAGTCACGGCTCACATTGAAAGCCCCGTCGCGTTCCGTGGAACAGGAAGGTTGTGTGCGAACCCCACGCGAGATCTCGATCGGCATCGGGTCTCCGATCTGCGGATTTTAGTTTCTGCATGCCCAAGTCGGTAAATAGTCTTGCTACTAAGCGACGCACTAACTATTGTAATCTGGTACACTAAAGGCACTAGTGTAGGAGGAGTCCTACCTAACTAGTGATAATTAAGGGCCACTACGGACGAGTTCGGTATTTTTGCCCCGTTGGAACTAGAATCGGCGATTAGGTGCTTTTGAGTTTAGCCCCCCCGGCTAGATACTTTTAATATCGCAATTAATATAACCAGAACATTTCTATGTTATCTAGACTGCTTCTAGCGCTTCATAGATTAAAATTTACGCCACGCGCATGGCGTTCTCTCGGTCCCGTCGGATCCGAGTTTGCTTACACAAGTTCCATGGATTTGTCTTAGATTTCCCACGTTGCGCGCTCGCGTGGCGGTGGAACCACCAGACAATTCATATGACTTCATCTATTCGTGACCGGCAGGCGCGGATGTGATCTAGATCCATACACCGATGCATTCAATTCCACTAACGTATGGGATAGTACGGGAAAAAGTCTCACAGACGGCACGGACTCCGCATCCCTTTGTCTATCGCCAGAAAGCCTCGGCCACCGAATTGAGATAATCAATAGGTTCCTTGCGCCATGTATCAGCCTCCATATGACTAGTCGTATTCGCGTCGAAGAAAAGGTCAACCGGGCTATCCGAATATGCATTCCAATGAACAGAGGCATTCACGTTTCCTGGATTCGGGTCCAGATCGTGGATGAACGAGGCCCACATACTCGTCATCACCAAACTAAGATCATAATACGACTGTGGAACCCCGGCAAACGGTTTCCCGTAATGATATCCTAGTCCGTCGACGTTGTTGAATACAAACGCCACTTCTTCGAAATGAGTCGCTCCGACAATGAGCGATGTGTCCGCGGCGTGTACGTTGAATCGGTAGCAGTATGCAGAGGTAGAGGTCTCCGCCCAGGCTTCGCATTGTCGGCGCCGGTTCGCGTGCATGGTGAAATCGCCTGCGAAGGCACTGGTTCGCCGCCATTCCCAGCCCATAGATGGGACTCGCTCGTTACCCAGGAACGCGGGGATTCCTAGCGACGGGACGTCAGGATAGAGGTTTAGGATTTCATTAGCAACGGATGGTGGCGTTTGGAAATCGAAGCCTCCATCTTAGTAGCGGACAGAATTCTGTTAGCCTGCGTTTACCACAAAACCAAGGAAAAGAATGGAATACCATACCGGTCAGATAATCATACCACTGCTGCGTAGTGTTTATGCCTGTAGGACCAAACGCAGTCCCCTCGTCTGTGTTACTACCCGCAAGAATCGGAACCTTGACAAATTCATGCTTATTCAAGTGCACACTACCCCAGTTCCGAATCAAATCACCATCCACCACCGGCCAGAAATTATACTCGGAGGACCCACCAGTCCCATTCAGAACAGCGTTGAGAGTAGCAAAAGGAACCTCGCGCAGGCACTGCAACGTGTCGACCGTACCCGTACAATTCACCTGAGATACGAGCTCGTCATAGGTGGATTGGAATCCAGTATAGTTTGACGGATTGGCTGCGATGGAACCACCAGATTCCATAATCCCAGCCCGAAAGAGCTTGTCGTCTCGTCCACCATACGCTGTGAGATGGTATCCGACGGACATGGCGCCCGCAGACTCACCCCAGATAGTTACTTTCGTAGGATCACCACCGAACGCAGCGATGTTCTCCTGGACCCATTGTAGGGCTAGTCTCTGGTCTCGCAATCCGAGGTTTGTGTTTCCGCTGCCCCAGACCTGGCTTGAACTTATCCAGCCCCAGGCTGAGAGTCTGTAGTTCAGCGTGACGGCGATAAAAGGTTTCCCTGTATGTTATGTTAGCTTGACTTGAAGAAAGGTATGATGGAGTGTATTACCGATGCTGTACGAGTTCTCCAGGATTCTCGACATGTTATACCGCTGGTCCGATCCAGATCCCATGTAGAACCCGCCGCCATGAATCCAGACCGCAACGGGAAGCTTAGAGTCATCCTTTACAGACGAGCTTCGGATTACATTGATGGTGAGACAAGCTTCGGACTGGGAATACCAGATCGAGTCCGTCTAGCATGCAGTGTGAGACAAAATCTCAATCGGACAAGAATAAAATACTAACCCCATATCCGACACAAATATCCGAGAATTCGGTTGCCTCGCGTGTTCCCTTCCAGCTCTCGTTCAATGGTTGCGGAATGGTGAAACGTAAATTACCCACCGGCTGTTGGGCATAGGGCATACCCAAGAAGTAATCTTGGTTGTAATGCGTGTTGTGTGTCCCCACATACGTTCCATTAAGAACCTTGACTGTAGGTGCCGATTTTGATGTAGGAACCGCACGAGCTATCGCCCCCACAGCGAGAAAGCTGATCGCAAGTGCCAACATGTTCGTCGATGATGGCAAGAATCTCGCAACTTTGAAAGTCTCCCCAAACCGAGCCTTCCCGGCCTCTACGATTTATACACCCATAGTTGGAGAATTCTGGGGATGTATATTTTGCGGGGAAGGGCTCAGGGTGCCAGGCCCCACACCCAAACGGTCTATGATCAGCGGTCATCAGTGAAGAATGATGTCGTTCGGCGAATTTTTCTTGGTTTTTTAAACGAAAATGCCGACTAGAGTTTCAGTTGAAGGATGTCCCGGAATCGCTAGGGTGCGGAATGCGGAGAGAAAGACGGGGTTAGAGGCGGGGTGGAATGTCTGTGTCCAATCGTGTTGGTCTGCCGTAGCCTGCTTTGCGGATGCCAATGCGGAGAAGTAATATCGACGGCCTTAAGGTTTCCGGGCCCTGCCATGTTTCGCACTAGGGTCTCGTAACCCGAGGTTTCCCCGGAGGGGCTTTCCTTTTGGCATTTGAGACATTCTGTAGGTAGATAGGAGTTGGTCGGAACTGGGACTCTTGGAGAATCATGGAGCGTGGGTTGGCAAGAACCATTGCCGATTTTATTCAACATCCGTTGTGGAGTACGCTTCTGAGTAGCATCTCGTGAGGAAGTCTGATTTGAGAGAAACTTCTGAGCGCCTGGGGCCAGGACCAATGACCCTGTCGCGAAAGCCAGGACAGGTACTGTGTTTGGCGTGTCGGATTGGTTTGAACACGCATCATTCATATTGGAATTGGCAGACGCGATCTGTTATCTTGTTTTAAGAAGAGACGATGTCTCCAAAACTTCTCTTCTTTTTGTTCGTTCCCCTCGTTCTCTCTCCCGTTCTTACAAGTCGCATCATCTTGGGTCCATCATATTCAGTAGAGAGAGATAGAACGGAGAACGTAGGAAACATGGAAAATAAAAATGCAAACGGCTCTCCGGCTACTAATTCAAAATAGAAATTGAGAAATGTAGGGCTTTTATCCTGATGAGCAAGACAAGCAATTGAATTGGTCTTGGTATTGGCGCACGCAAATGGACGATCGGCGGCAGGAAGAGAAGAATCAAGAGAACACTCGGAAAGTTCATGATTTGATTATGGGGTGAATTTGTTATATTATCAGACACATATTAAAGCTCCCGAGATCACTGACAGCAATACGCTCAGGATAAAGCTTATCGAGAAACCCATCTGCTTAGGGGCGTCTGTAGTGGCTTTGGCGGACCAGTCATTACCGAGACATCTTAAGAAGGGCTGGCTAGATCTCTCTCAATTCCGCTTTCGACAACGACGATGGACGTATCGGCTTGGCTTTCCAGGGTTCACCAGCAACAATTCGCAAGCATTCGATTTGGCATGCGCTTTTGAACAGCATGGTCGCACCACACACCTGACCATGTCGATATGTGTTTGAGTAACCTCTTGGATCCTTTCAAACTCCTTTCAAGGAGACCAATTTCTAGGGTGCAACATGAGACACTGTAGAAGACCTCTGCGCCTAAATATTCGCACAATGCGAATTCGAGGACTTGAATTCCAGTGTTGAATCACCCAGTGGGCAGCATGTAGCCTCCATAGGACTGCTGATTGTTGACGTGAACTCCAACAAGGCATATATGGTCAATCTTGTATCGGAATTGTGACCGCCAGGTTCAGCGCAGAGATTGGTGTTCGAGAATGCCGAGCTGTGCACCAGCCGGTCTTGGATATGCTGTTCACGAATGCCTTGCCACAGTAGAGAGTATATTAGTAGCTGACTGGATAGAGCCATTGGCGCAGTGGGTCGTGTAATCTGTGATATTCACGTCCTCCATCTTCTTCGGAGCAGCCAAATCATGGACCTCGAGTGTGACCAGGTCAGACGTGCCCTTGCTTTCGTCTTTGCTATCCACTCGGACCCACCACTGGGCAGTAACCCGTTCTTACTTCCTCTCCATAATGTCCAGACCTTGCTCCAGTATCTATGATTTTCGTCAGGTTGATCGGGAACCCGTAAACGTCGCACAAGTATGTAAGGTAGATCTCTTTGTTGTGGGTCCGGTACTTCTGCAGCCTGCGTCTTAGCGGTGCTGCGGCGCGGCTGGCCCACATCCGCGGAAGCACCCGAGCGGCCCTGTAAATCGACTATACATGTTGCAAAGATATATCATTGTGCTGATATAATGTTGTATCCATGGATAACATTGTATTTCATTGAACTGACGTCTATAACTGATGGGTCAATCAAAGGTATTTGGACAAATTGCTCAAAGAATAGGAAGCCAGTGACTATATTCAATTACGCTAACTATGGCATCGAACCTGGCCGGTGAAAACACCGTAAATACGCAGCAGTTAATGAAGTAGAAGAACAAATAATCATGATACAATGTACTTTGTAGGTACTAGAGGCAACTGCAAAAGCTGTCACTGAATGGTGATCCTTAGCAAAATCGTAAGCTCATGGTTGGTCGATGTGCGCGAAAGAGAGTGATCCTGGGGTACCCCAGGTCTCCCCGAAGAGTACAATACCCTCAAACTTTCAATTTTCTTCTCTTTCTTCCTTTCCCAACTTCCATCACTTCTACCTTCATTCCTCCTCTTCGGCCTTCGACCTTCGACCTTCGGACTTGATCCAACTTTAACTTCCACCATGCATCCTTGCATCCAACCCCCTTTTATATCAATCTATCATGTCAATCTTCCTTGATATATCGGTCACACACTCTGATCAACGAACCCTCCTAGCTTGCATAGTCGGCCTTCACGGTATTCCTAAAATTCTTATTCCAGATCTTCTCACTGACATTTTGCAATATTTTTAGATTGTGAGAGACTCCCTGTTCATAGCTCCAATAGTGGTATCAACCTTTTACTTTCCTTCGCCTTTGCTTGCCCCCGCGGTAAAGTGGCTCCCACAGATGCCTTCATCATAAATGTTGACACTACATGTTCTTTTTCCAAGATAATTCTAGTACATACGACCATAGGGTGTGGAGAACAGGGCTTCCCGTCCGCTCAGCCGTACTTAAGCCACATATTCCACACGGTCAATTCTCTATGCGCCCTTATTATCTATTGAAATTTAAAGCGGCGATGGGATTCACGTTAGGGTGAGTGTGGGTGATATGGGTGAGAAGTTTAGAGACTGGGTGAGAGAAGTGAGAACAGGGTGAGAGATGTCACCCTTGGGGGTGATCACTCTCTGACTTTTCTTGGCTGAACATATATATACCACTAGCTTAGGGCCATTTCATTGCTTCACTATAATTTCCTCACATTTTTCAAAAATGACAACAGAGGAAAAAATCCAGAAAGCCCTCGCGCTAAGTGTGGAACGTGCCAAGTCACGTGGATTCACACGTGAGTATCAAGATCAGAAGGAGTTCAAAGACAACATCATTAGCCTCCAAGAGCTCGCTCCAGCTACAGCTAAGAAATACGACGATGTGGTATTTATCTGGGGTTTGTGAGTTTTTACTCCTTATGAAGCTAGTTTTTTTTCGGTTCTAATGAAAAGTAGATGGAGGCTTTCTCGTAATGAGCCAGTACAGAAAAACTTCTCAAAAGATGAGCCTGATCCCACTCCACAACAACTCAAATTATTCGCCGAACACTATATCACAACGCGAAGAGAGCTTCCTTCCAAGAAAACTACATGCGGTAGTCTCATCAGTTTAATCTCACACTGGGAACGAACGACTTACAGATCCCTTGACCGTAAAGTCAAGACAGACGTCCTCAACGTAAGTAGCGATTTCATTACATTGGACAGTCATTAATTGAGCTTCAGTTTATTCGCAATGACCTCACAAAGCAATATGGACTACGGACAAAACCTAGAGAGCGGTTTCCAGTCACAGCGAAAGACATAGACTATCTTCTTCACTATCTCTTTAATCGTGATTATCATGACTTCAAGCATGAGAGAGCGCGCGTGCAAACTGCCAGCTCTCTATCCCTATTCGCAGGTTCGGGCTCTAGAGCAGGAGCTGTTGTTGAATCGAGCTCGTACCGCAACTCCAATGAATGCTTATACTACAGGGTTTGTGCCTCCATGATATATTAAGCGAACGAATATGCTAATGAAACATCTAAAGCATATGAAATTCCAGATTAAATGGGGTAATGATGGCGAGTTAATACGCTGGGTAACAATTGACTCCGAGTTCCTTAAAGGTCATCGATATAACGATGATATAGACATGTGAGTACCACAAGGCTGTTTTCTATTTATACAAGAAGCTCACAGGAAGTTTTCATAGGCCTAAAAATTGGTTTCGAGGGCACCCAGTCCTTGGGAAAAATTTTGTCTTTTGGGTTATTGTCCATGGAGTAGCCGACGGAGCCTTTAAAGGCCTCACTACAGTGGAGAAGGTCCTTAGCATAACGCCACCGCAAGGGAGAGAGTCGTGGACACTTGAATGGGATGCAGACGCAAAAGACCTCCCATTTTTTCGAGCAGTGACCCCCAACGGCCCGGAAGCTACTAAGGCATTATCCTTTTCCTCTTTACACCATAACAACAAGAGCCTCGCCAAACGTGACGGATTTAAAGATAACTTACGGGTTCATGGGATTAGAGGTGCGGTTGCAAACAAAATTGATCGTAAGCATATAAGTCCATCTACCTATCCAGATTACTAATCCTTCTTAGCCAAGGCATCAGAGGCCACTCGTGGTCAGGCTCTTGATCACCAAGATCATAATACCTACCTTAAATACCAGGCTCTACTAAAGGCCTTGGATATAGGGGCTTTATATAATGACTTAGAGCCTGACTACGAATGCCGCGATATGGAACAAAGCATGTCTCACCATAGGGATACCAATGCTCCACAGAAACTCAACGCAGCAACCTTCACCCAATTCCACGAACGGGAGGATATCATCGAGATAGAGAAGGCAGTATCTGACTTAACCCACCAAATTGACGGCAAGCCTCAAGATCATAAAGACCTTACTATTCAACGATCAAAGCTTTATGGCATTAAAGCCAAGAGGCTACAGAAGTGGAAGGATGAATGCGTTAAAAGGTGGTGGGATATCTCATATGATGAATATATCGCTGGGAACGACTTCTCCGAACGCGATAGCACACCCCTTTTCGACATTTATAAGAAGTACGTGCCGGAGCGCGCCCGTCTTAGCGAAAACCTCTTTCAAGAAGCAAGTCTTGATAGCAAGCTTGGAAAACAGTGTCTTAGTGATTTAGTCACTATTTGCACGTCCACAGAACGGGTTGCTTACTATCCTAACATGTCGCCTAAAGAGGGCCAGTGTCCGACTTGCGCTAAAGTCATATCTGAGTAAGTTTAGTGGATCTCTTTCAAGGAAAATATTCTAATATAACTAGAATCCCACTACAGGGTAGGGCCAAACATATTTTACAGTGTCAACGAAAATCCCTAAACGGCCCACCATATCAGCAGCGCTATAGCAATGAGAAGCGAGCTCATCGACGTGTGCCTCGGAGCTTTGTTCAATTCTGCTATCTCTGTGCCAAGTTTTTCTGTGACGAAGAGTCTTGGGTCTTGCATTGTCAATGTCATCTTGATAGCCTTTATCCTCGATGTGGAATGCTCACGTTTCGCTATACTCTTATTGCCCCTGGGTTTTGTCCATTTTGTTTAGGAGATGAGCACAAAAGGGCAGATGAGCGCTTCGACCAATGGCTGACCAAAGCAACCCTCTTGAATCATATCGATAAGCATTTTAACGGTATCGAGCCTTCTAGCATCGTCGCTTGTCCACATCCAAGTTGCTCGAAAAGGGAGTATGGCAATACTCTACTCTTACGCCACCATTTCCATGATGTTCATTCCATTGAGGAGCCTCGCTCGAATTGCGTCAACCGGAAACGAAAGTGGCCCTCTCAGTCGTCAGAGGCCACAATGAGCAATGAAAATGCCAATTCTTGCAGCCGTCGGCGCTTGAATTCTGATGTTCTTCATCATGAAGAAGCGACCTATGATGATATCAATATATGTTCTCTAGATGAGATGATGACTGAATTTGTGTGCTTTGATGGAATTGAGGAGCCAAGTGAAAGCAACTACTGTATATCCTGATCATCAATGTCTTATCGAGGGCTAGATGGTTACGCAGATTGTCTCGTGCTTTTTTCATTTCTACATTTATGCGTCTTTCCATAACCTGTAGTTCTGGGGGTAGCTAATGTCATTTTCTTCGTGTTGAGTGAAATATCGTAACAGAAATTTGAACTTACCCTAATCTTTGAGTTTGTGCCAAAGTATTTTAGATATCTGCTCAAGAACAGCCAAGATCTTCATTTCTTCTTCAATTCGAACTAAATCCTCGCCAATTTATTTCATGATAGAAGATATAGAATTTGTGCCATCAACAAAAAGGGCGGTTTTGAAGCGTTCTTATTCTAAACTTGATGTGCGGCCTATTATCAGATGAAAATATTTAACCAAGGAACGACTAATTCCTTTCCTAGGAGATAACATAATGATCAATGAATAGGCTTGTATTATCATTAAGGACATTTAAGCTATAATCGAACTGCAATTTCGACCATCCAGGCTTTCAGCCTGTTTTTGATATACAGTATCTCGTCCGTAATACTAAGTCTTTCAGGCTTGATGAGCTCATAAAGCGTGCGTTATTCATAACCTTCCATATATCTTAGAAGGATGAAAGCCGCGGTATAGTCCGACACACGCGAGTAATCCCAAATAAATTATTAAGAGAGTCAGAATAACCATAACTTGAGGCTATGAGATGCATTAATAGTCATTCATTCAGGACGTGGTGCTGGTAAATATTCCAAGGAGAGGAAAAGGAAGGAATAAGACGTATAGAAATATTCTCGTACTGTGGATTATTATGAAAGAGTAGTAGAAAGGGGGAGGTAGAGGCGGTGATCTATCAGGGGGACCTTTGTTTGAAATCAGTGCCTGTCAAACCGGGATAACCGATTACTTTTCGGCGCTTTTGAGATGACTATCTATACTTCTAAAATGTTTGCGAGAAACTGCTTGAGATAATGATTTCGGAGCTAGTGAAGTGGATAGCAGTTGAGGGTAACATTCTCACTGCTATCAAGCAATCAGGCCCCGATGCGGATTCTTTTTATGAAGTTTTGAATTCTCCCCCCTCGCCCTATAATGTAACTAGCCCCAGTCCCAGACAGGCGTTGAAATGAGTGAAAATTTTTTAACTATGTTCCAAGATGCTCTCAGTGGCTAGGCTAGAAAAACCAAAATGATAGAATCTGCCAACCAGAGAATGCTAGCAGCAATGCTGGGCCCATAAATAGCGCTACCATCGAGGCTGTGGTATTGATGGACGAAGATATTTTCATCATTCGGGTTGCCTCATTTGTGGCCTTTGGCATTTCGCCAGCTGCACTGGCCCCTGGTGACTTCCAGGTTGACATAATAGTAAGGGTGTCATCAAGGGTAGTAGTAACAGTTGGTAGTTTAGGAGGTAAAATTTTTGTGACCACAACCATCACTGCCTCCTCGGATTCACTGACACCCAGCGTCTCCGGAATGACTTGGGTAGCCCAAGCGTTAGGCAATTTTTTATGTTCTGTTCATGTCAGCTTAGCATTAGGCTTAGGGAGCCGATCATACCTATGCCCAGTTGCTGGTCCCCTGGCAATTGCGATGTCCTGGAAAGAAGACTAGAACCCGTTATAACAAAGGTGCATAGGAGGCTTAATAAACAGTAGAACATGATTAATATATTTGCGTGAAACAAGATCAATGTGAAGTATTAAAGGCTAGATACCGCGTTAAGCAAGCGATCGAATCGACAGAAAAAGCTGCCGCTTTTAGTGGACGTTTGTCTTTGTCTAAAATCCGAAAATTTTTAGAACTCTGATTTAACGAATATTCTAAAACAGTGTCGTATCTAAGTTCCTTTACTTTAGACTCACTCTCCACCTAGCTTATGGCTTATTGGTTACAATTCAGTAGATTATATTGCTCCGCCCCACAGGCCTATCCACTACTGCGACACTGCTTTAGGGTAGCAACATTACTACACTTATGATAGTCGCCATTTACTCGTAGGCTTCCCTAATTCTTCCGTTCGCAACACGCTACTGTACCTTTTGTAGAGTTGGGAATATTGATACTATAATCATAAAATACTGAGGAACTATTTACGACTTAGGGCGATTGTACTAAGCACGACCCTCTCATTCTGGTAATGAATTATTTTAGAAAGTTTTTGTCTCAAATATGGGATACGTAACTCGCTTAATTATGGTCTTCCTGCTTCATAATGACTATCCTATGCGTGGTTCCTATTGACCATCATGATTAATAGCCGGAATACCTTGTAAGAAAACCATCACCTGGCTCAGGGCATTAGAGTACTCGGTGCACTGTCTTTGATAAGTTTCAGAAATCCCCATCCAATAATGAATTTCCTGGTTTTGAAGGTGCATAGTTGTTTCTGCCTCGGCAATAACTGACTGTTGGTATTCAATATTAGACTGCGCCAAGGTTTTGGACTCTTCATATAAGCGTATCTTGTCCATGGCCTCTTTAAGTTGGCATGATAACCCATGTACACCCCCTAGAGGCAGAGATGAGGATATATCCTGGTTGTTCCTCTATATTCTTAGTAAGCGCTATACAAGAGATGTTGTTTTTAGGTAGTATTTGATCACCATATTAGGATGGACTGCACGGAACTTATGACCCAGATTCGTGTAAAGCTGTATGTAGCCTCCAACTGAATGTTTGCTGAGCTGCTTATGGAATAGGTGGTCGAGGGAATTATCGTCAATCTGCCATGCATATGGCGTTTCACCGTCTATCGGCTTCAAACGCACGTCGGATGGCTTTACATGAACACCGAGAGTATCCACTGGGCCTCGAATCAATATTTTTCCATGCGAAAAAAAGAGATAAAAAACATACATATGTGCTGAGCAAGACTTTCACGGCATTTGGATCTCCATTTTGCCCTCTTAGCATTTCCGAAAGGAGGGGCTTGGCAGTCCATGGTAAGATTGAGTTGATTGAAAGCTGAATATGAAGTACTACTTCAAAGAGTTATTGACATTCTTAAGTATCTATTCAACTTGCGGATCGTTTCACATAGGACCCACTAAATCTGCACCTAGCATTTCATAGCAACGAGTGAAAGGATAATGGAGGTTTAAGATGCAGGCTAGATTATTGTCATTTTATTATCTATGCATCCCGGGTGATCGTTATATCTAAATTATCGGATCTAGGAATGGAGTTTAAACTCTTCAACAATCCCTCAGAGCATTTACTGCAAGACCTGCGGCCCCATATATGCTCATGTGGTAGACAAATATTCCGCAAGTGTAACTTTTTCACGGGCCCGGCATTCTCCATTAATCTTGCGAGTTCAGAACCGATAATCCAACAGTTTGATAGCTCCAGCTGCCGAAGAGACGGTAAATGTATGCATGAGAGGAATTCCAAGAGCGCCGAGCTGTCAACGAGCCGAATATCTTTGATATAAGGCAGTGCGTCGCTTGTTATGTCCAAGAGGGGCTTATGATAGGCTTCGAGCTGTGCATAAAACCCTTCAATTTCGAGGATCTCCAAGTCTATCCCCGCTTTGCGTGCCGTTATCATGCCTTGGAAAATGGTCTCAAGATGAAGTGGGAAAGACTTTTCCCAGTCAACGAAGACCCGATTTGAGAACCAACTTAGTTGATGATATCTCAACCCATTGAATGAGACTTTAAAACACTTCAGACCAGTAAACTGAGATATTGTGTTACAGAGCTTTGTGATGTCGTCCCTTTCCTCTAGCAGCCCATATTGCTCCTCACTTATATCACTAAAATATGACTGGATGGCAGAATAAGAGGGCAGTTCCCCACCAAAATTCGTGTAAGTGTTTCTTTGATCCCGGATATACTCCGGGGGCGTATAAATGCACGTAGTAAAGTAGTCACGATACTGCACCACTAATTCAATCAGCTAGCCGCATTCACTGGTAAGTCGTGGACTTACGCGGATCAACTAGCTCAGCAGCCTCATAATGTAAAACTTTAACATATGGCCTGACTTTCGATCGTGCTACCTTTTCCAAACGCTCAAAGCCTTCGTTGGAAAATGTGAATTTGAATGTATGAAATACATACGGTAAGCTCACGCTCCGGCATCTTTTGCTGACCAAAGAGAATGATCTAAGGCAATGATTAGGAATGCAACATATGATCAAATTCATCACCTCAACGGGTAGGGTGGCAAGGCTAGACATTATTGTTTGATGACAAAGCTTTCCATCTTGGAAAACTTCTATTGATAGGAAAAGGAAATTTCATCTTGCATTTATTTTCGAATAATATCCTCTCGCAGTCAGGTTTTGAGTGTTGCGATACTGTAATTACGTGCTGTTTCTAGTGTCGCACTACGCGACGATAACGTAACCTAGCCGAGGTGGAACATCACAAATGAGCTCATCATCTATAGCGGAGAAGCTTTTAATTTCAAATTGTGGCGCACTTTAAGAAAAAGCATTCCTACTAGCATCGCAAGGAAATAAGAAAGAGCAATCGAAGCAATTTCTGCCGTTCCGCATCGTCTCAAACTCAAGTAGACCCTCAACAATTCTCGCACCTAGACGTCAACTAAAACCCCTCAGCATGAAAGGAATTATTACCTGGTCATGTGTTTTATGTTTGGAAAGTGAATTTTGTCAATCGAAGATTAAAATTCGCTCATACGACCCTGGGTCATGCTACGTCGCTTTCTGGTCATTCCTCCTCCCATCTAAAAGACGAGTCAACATCCACACACTTTGCAAACCCTGTAGGGATGAAAGCTTCTCGTTTTCACGGGATGAGCAGCTTTACCTGATATTCAAGAAGAGAGATCAAGTTGCTTTTAATAAGAAAGAGACTCCATGGATTTGCGTGCAGTGGGACTTTTGGGTATCATGCGATGAGTGTCAAAGTATCAACGAGTCTCTGGAAAGTAACGGGGGGGTTTGCGTTCATCTATTTGGAAATGTATCAATAAATTAGGCAGGTAGATGAGATAATCCAGGACATGCAATGAATCCCTGTCATTTCGACGGGTCTCGCATATTAGATATACCCTTCTGTATCCAGAATTTTGTGAAAGGATCATTAGGCATCTAACAAATTCAGCTACGATATGCACGCTTAAATGAGAATGGTATTTTGCTAACGATTTCGCTTTCGCTGCCTATCTTCTTTTGCATCTTCTTTCCTGATCTCTTGGCCATCTGGTCCTCCTTCTTTGGGTATCCGCTTTCTCTTTCCAGTATGTACATCATTTTCACTAAAGTATGTTTTTAGCGTCTCCACTGACATTCTCATTCCTGTCTCGTCTTTTCTTTGCTTCGGATTATCTATTTTACCGACCAGTAAAAGCCGCCATTTCAATACTTCTTCAAAAATATTGTTTATATCCGGTACCCCGAAGCCAAACTCACCACGATATATAAAAAAGTTATACTTGCTAGATAGTTGCTTCAAGGTACTTCGTAAATGGTAGTCTCCTTCCGGTTTGAATTTGTAGTACGTTCGATCTTCGAAAAGGAACAGCACAATCAGGTCATGATTCGTTGATGTAAACCATTTCCTCAAAATGCTGATAACCTGGTGTCGACACGGAACAGGTAACTTCACATTCAAAGGCCCCACTGGGTAGTCATCTTCAAACCCAGGCAGTAAAGGCAATTCGTGGTCTGGCGTTCCACGTGGATGTGGTTCAAGGTCTATTGGCTCACATGGTTCGCTCACAATTTCGTGGTCTGGTGTTCCACTGGGATGTGGTTCAAGATCAATTGGATCACTAGGCTCGGTTGGTTCGTCAAACGCAGTTTCTAGGCTTTTGTGGACCATCTCAGTGGTATCATCCAGCTGATTAGGCTCTGAATGAATGTCATCATCGTATTCAGACGCGCTATATTGATTGCCATCCAGGTCTTCATTCTCCAAGATCATTGCGTCGGCACCACTGTCGACTGAATGGTCGGTGTTGATGGGGCCAGCCATAGAGTTCTGGCCTTTACCATGGAAGGCCTCATGGTCTGCTAAATTACCAAAGAAGCAAACTAATGTATCTCTGATCACACCCAAGGCAGTCGGGTACAGTGCCTCGTCTTGCTGGCCAACGAACACGTTCTTGAGAAAGAGATGACATCGCTGTTCTTCATATTGGTGCTTCGTAGGAGTATTGAATCTGCGCTCTGCTTTTGCGGCTGAATCGTTTGTTGTAAAGTAGCAGACACCTTCTGGCGAATCATTGAATGTAGAAAACTTTTGTAGAACTGAATCGAAGTGACTAGACAGTGGTTGTACATCCTGGAGCTTGGGTTTGAAAAATTCCTCGGTGTATAAAGCGTCGACGAACCCTGTGGCGACAATCCGTGGTATATCTTGAGATCGAAGTGCGTTGATCTCCTCGGAGAAGAATCCTAGCCGATGTGCTAAATTTGCTAAACCTATAAGGTTTAAACTCTCCATTGACCAATCAAATTTTTTCCTGACCACTTTAGCATCCCTTTGACACTTAATGAAGTGACGTAAGGTATAAAGCCAAAGCTGAGTAAAGCAAACTGAGAAGGAGTTCTCAGAAAGAGGGATATTAGTAAAACGTCTTTCAGACAGCTGAAGCGAGATCGATTCATAACTGCCAATTAGAGACCACTGGCCCCGCATGCGCTTATTGAGACTGCCCTTGAATCTAGGTGGACAAAGAAATCCAAGTGCCCGAGCAGGACCTTCAATGAACAAGGTATCTTTGATCAGAGTGTTCAGAGAAAGTAGACGTCCCCGAATAGAGAGCAGTCGGGTCTGTAATTCATGCTTGTGCTCATCAGAGACAAGGGGAAATAACTCTCTGCCATGAATCAAATCCTTTATACGCTGACGGTCTGCTATTGCCACCTCTGGCATAAGTCCTTCCAGGAGGCCGACGGAGTTCGAGTCCAGAAGGCCAGCATCTGGCCCAAGTATTAACCCCCACTGCTGGGCAATCTTGTCCAAATATCGGCGTACACCCTACTTTGCGATGAGTATGGATCAAAGTAGAAGCTAGTTTAACAAACCTCGGGGTATTTCAAAGCCAGTATTCTTTCAATCTGTGAGCACTTCAGTGGCTTCCATAGCCCTCGCCAGGGAAGCAAATTATCAAAACCCTCTAGCAACAGCTTATTGCGCTGTAGCCGGCGGATATCTTTACGTCGACCTTCAGAATCAAGTCTAGCCCACCATTTCTTCTCTTCATCATACCACTGATTCCTGTGACATGCCCTTAGACAGCGGTATATTTCGCCATCGGAAAGAGAAAGGCTTTTTGGCTGTTCACGCAGTGCGCCGATTGCCTCTGGTGGAATTGCTGTTCATCAATAAGTTTTTGAAAATTCTTAAAAGCCGGCGCAAACATTACTATTTAAGTAAAGATCCACAAGCCATTTCTTCTCCCCGTGGACCCATGCGGCCTTTATGCGGTGTCTACCATAAATGCAACTTAATCGCGCGTTCTCATCAAGTAGTAACACAGGCGGTTTTCGAGGATCTAGTAGCGTTTCGCAAGATATATTGGTTCGTCTTAGGGCACTCGATAGAGACGGCGAATCGATAGTTGCGGCGATGCAGTACTCTGGTTCAAGGTTCCAGCAGCCCTCGATCTCGAATATCGCTTGAAGTCGACTGACGTTTTTTTGATCAAGATCCCTATCGCCTATTTTTTCGTTACCGAAAAATAGATGCTGGATGTTAATTATCGCTCTGCCTTGGTAAAATTGGCCTCTCTGGGCGGCTAGCTGGTTGGCAGAGTCTCTAAGTTGGTCTTCATATAAATCCATTTTGGACTTCAAGTAGAGAATAATTTATCTGCTTTGAATTTCAAGCCTTTTAAAAATCGAGTACGTAATTAATGTCGCGATACATACAAGTCTATTACCCGCTATGTGGGTCTATCCAGGGCCTATTAGGTCTCTCTTGCTATGCGATCTCTCCAGACTGCTAAGTCTCCCCAGACTATTAAGTCTCTCTAGACTGCTGAGTCTCCCCAGACTACTGAGTCTCTCTAGACTACTGAGTCTCTCTAGACTATTAAGTCTCTCCAGGCTACTGAGTCTCTCCAGACTGCCGAGTCTCTCTAGACTGCTGAGTCTCTCCAGACTATTGAGTCTCTCCAGACTGCTGAGCCTCTCCAGACTGCTGAGTCTCTCCAGACTGCTGAGCCTCTCCAGACTACTGAGTCTCTCTAGACTATTAAGTCTCTCCAGGCTACTGAGTCTCTCCAGACTGCTGAGTCTCTCCAGACTGCTGAGCCTCTCCAGACTACTGAGTCTCTCTAGACTATTAAGTCTCTCCAGACTGCCGAGTCTCTCTAGACTATTAAGTCTCTCCAGGCTACTGAGTCTCTCCAGACTGCTAAGTCTCTCTAGACTACTGAGTCTCTCTAGCCTGCTGAGTCTCTCCAGACTGCTGAGTCTCTCTAGACTATTAAGTCTCTCTAGACTGCTGAGTCTCTCCAGACTGCTGAGTCTCTCTAGACTATTAAGTCTCTCTAGACTGCTGAGTCTCTCCAGACTGCTGAGTCTCTCTAGACCCTCTAACTCCCTTGCACCGCCTAGCCTAGAATTATTTTGAGCATATAGAACGCTTGAATAGGATATCTGGATTAATATCAACAATACATAAAGACACACTTTGTCTATCTACACGCATGGTTTCCAATTCTAATACCCAGCGGAAGGGTCTCGAAATAGTGGCGCTTTAGGCTCCAGGCTCCACCCGGATTGGCTAACTCAATAAACTCATCCTGAATAAATGGTAAGCAATGTACCTGGGCTGTATAGATAACTTACTTTAAGTAATTCGTCTATAGATCTCGAGGCCTTTGCTTTTTCGAAAAATGCAATGGCAACTTCTGATATCTTTTCAGAGTTGATATTGATTATTTCACCTGGGTCGTAGAGAAGAAATTTTGGGTTGATGAGTGAGATTGCGACAAATCCAACAGCTTTTATGTCTGTTTCTGCGCTCACAGCCTCCTTTCTTAAGAGAGAATCTCCAATGTTTGCTTTTATCTGGTTAGCGAATATTCAATATATGTCAGAATTACCAACCAAGTTTCAACCCCCCATCATATGTTAGAAGGATATTACTACAGTCAAGCAAACCATAAGAAATCTTCAGATCCGAGTGAATGTATCTCAGACCTCGAAGAAGTTCCTTACATATTGTCGCTATGTCTGCCTCATTGAACTGCACAGTTCCAGCAGCACACCCCAACGAGATTGCTAAATGCTCATACTCGTACACAATATTGATTTTGGCATCGGACCGAAAGCTATCCACCAGACTCACCAAGTTCCTATGGGATGTAGTCTTCAATTTCCGCAGCTCCTCGTTTCGACCTTCACGCATCTTCAGAAGACAAATCGGAAAGTTTTCAATGTCTTTGATTGCTATGATGCCAAACCCAGCTTGATCAATATTATAGGTTTGATGATAGTTGACCTTCCGTCCTGTCGTGCGCGTGATAATATTTTGGCTGGGTATACTTGGCTTGATAGGAACGCCGAATCGCGTAGAATGATCTTCCGCACCATTGCCGCTGCGGGGGAACAGTCTGGCTTCCACACATTCCCCCTTGTCCTCCCAAAGCGATTGTGGTAACACTGTGTCTCGTTTAGAGCCGATGACCATGTTTGGCAAATAATTGACCTCGAATAATATTGGCACGATACGACAGTCAGTACTGAAATGAATGAATATTTTGAGCCTGCCTGGGGTGAAGGAGTGCCAGCATGTCTCCCATATGAGAGGCACATTCTCTGGCTAAGGTGGGGCATGTTCGTTACGTTTCAGTGTAGTGGGGTCCATGCCGACATGTTTCGTCTACGAAACCTTATTCTCACACGTCACTCAATCACTTTTCTGTATTCGTATTGCGAATGCTGTAACACTAATTCAAGGTTGATCTTCTTAGATGAAGTCACTACCTGCTCTCACTATATCCCGATGCTCGCTTTTCACATCGAGTAGTTTCTTATAATACATGCCAAGTGCTATGAGAGAAAGTAAGGCAGAAAGGCCAGAGGCCAAAGCTGCCAAAAGTGCCACTACTGACCAGCTCCCACTGTGACCAGTGTAAATGCTTATCAACGTTGTAAGAAGACCGGCCGATGCATTCAATAACGTGGGTCTGATACCAGTAAGAAATATTTCAAACATGAATTCCTTGCGAACTTACAAGAATAAACGGTTAATCAGCCAGATATAGTTCTCTCGGTTTATCCGATATAACAGCAGCGAGATGCCTGTTCCAATCACGAAGAAGATACACCCAATAACAAGAATGGGCGGATTTTGGACCGTCTTTAGCAGTGCCTCTCCAGCATCCGTAGTACCGAGTTCACTTTGTACTGTGCTAGACTTGGACAGAGATGTGAAAGTGCCAGGTATAACTAGATAACCAGCAAGTAGAATCCAGTGAGCAGCACTAGCGAGCACGTTGAGCTCCCAAGGAACTTGATCTGAAGCAACAACCATCCGCACATAACGTGTATTGAAGGGGTACTGAGATCCAGCTAATTCAATATTTCGTGCATTCATCATACAGGTTTGAATGGAGAGTTGAATATTATATGTAGGAATGAAGAAGACAAGATCCGGAAGTATAGTGCCGACCGGCTTTCGCCTTCTATGTCGAATACATAAAACCCCAGTCATGTGATCCGCTGATCCAGATATGGGTTAGCAAGTAATAATTCCGTTTTGTAGCTAAGCCTAAAATACAAGATGAAATGTACAGTCATTTACTTCCAAGCTAATAGGTTCCATGCAAGCCCTGCAAACAGCCCCTCTTTGTATCTTGCGGTTTCATTACTGTAGAGCACCTGGTGCTTTTCTGCGTCTCTGCTCGGGACTAGGTTGCTGTGTGAGGTTGGATTGACAGTAAGGCTTACTCGTAATACCCGCCACTGTCCATCATCATGCCATCTTTTCAGATCTTATTAGACGCCAGAGATGTTTGCTAATCGCTTCCGGTTCAATCTGCTCAGGCTTCTCTCCCCCACTTCAATGATGACCAATAGCATTTACAGCGACGATACTCATCAACCCAACCACGGACCGGGTGCACATGGGACGAAGATTCACAATGCGCCCCCAGTCCTGGTTACTTCGGTCTCACGATATTCGCATTCTCTTCTAGCCTATCCCCGGTTGGTGCCACCGATCTAGTCTAATTAAATCAGCTTAGCTTTCTTCCGCTTGCCGAATGGGACGAACATGTCGATTATAACGAATTATCTCCGGAATATATCCACTACACAATTGCGTGAAAGCTTACGCTCACTCAATCGTAAGAAGGTAATCAACGTGACTGAAAAAAAGGTTGGTTATAGCTCGTAGGGATTACTTGGCCAAGGCTTTGAAACCAGCCGTTTAAGAAAATTGGCTAGCGAGTTCGATCTGAAGGCGCGACTGTTTCTTTTAAAGCGGGTGACGGTGACCAGTCTCAGTAAGCGACAATGATTGGATTATATGCGAAACATTAGATACAAGAGCATTCACTCAATCTAAATGCACGTGGCGAACAACTGATTGCTGTCGAAGTATTAAAGTTATAATCTATCGCATTTACTATGTGTTTTGCGGAGGCCGACTCGCTTACCGAATACTTTCAATGCATTGGTTCTTCTATTCGTTCTGAGCCATACTGCTCAAGCCTAAAACGTGTCATTCCATACACACTTAACCATAAGCGGACTGGCGCATCATGTGATTAGGGTTTGAAAGGCCTTTCCCATGTTATTTGGCATGGAAGGCGATAGCGGTCGGTATTCACAAGTTAGACAAACAGCCTCTAGAGGCAAAATACATATATCAATTGTCTTAAATTCAAAACATTTAGTTAGGTTATAAAGCTACGCAGCATAGGAAATGAAAATGAAACTTCATAAACAAGCTTGAACGTGGACATCATTACATGGTGGTACCATAACGTTACATACATGAGTATTGCATTATATCAAACAACTAGATATAGATACCTGTCTTTGGCTAAACTCCCATCAAGGCTTGAGATATGATCGCAAGCTTCCTGTTTGACCCCATGGTTGAAACTCTGGCTCGAATAGAGTAGTATTTCCATCCATGCGCGTTCTCACGAGGTCTCTGATGTCACGTCGGACCTGGGGTTGAGCAGAGACTACATTATTATTAGCATAATCGATCACGACGAAGAATTTATTGGGATGATCACCAGCTACTAAGAGTCTTCCAATATGGCTCTGGGTCTCTATTTCAAATTGTTCTCCCCAATCAACCACTCCGCTATGAGCCTCAATGAGCTCATTTTCACCTATGCGTTTCATCTCGTCTTCCTCCCGGAACGGATCGTAAATCGAAACATGTAAGATCTAATCGAAGTAAGCTCCGGAAGAAATGATTCAGGTATACTGACTAAGGTATTCTACTCACGTAGCCATTGTCCTGTTTGACTAGAGCCTGTAACCAATCACGAACACTGTCCCAATCACCAATTGCATCAATCTGCCAAACCAAAGAGATTCGTTGCGTACAAACTTGCGCATTCTCATGGCCATGAAGTACCTCTTTAATATATGGTAGCTGTGCGGCAATACCAATGCCTGTAGCAACCATGAAGATGTGACCATAATCACCCGCCGAGGTACCGCCTTTCCAATCGATTGAGCTGGGTCCATATGGGCCATCAACCCACGCTCCACACTCTCGGTTTGGCTCGATCCTTTTGAGTAGTTTCTTTGTGAATCCAGAGCGGGGGCGAATAAGGAAAGATATAGACACTGCACGTCCCTTGTCATTCTCTTCCCACCAGCTTATTGCAAATGGATGTGCCTGAAACGAGTAAAATATACCAACGCGAGGGACTCCCAAATTTATGCGCTCGCCTGCTCGAACAGTCCAAGGGCGTGGAACTGAGAGGGTTATTCGCGCTATATTACCCTCGAAGTGACTCATGACTAGCCGGACGGGGATTGTCCCAATCGTAATATTGCGGTATATCATGCGAGAAAGCTGAATAGTCCGTGTGAGAGCGAATATGCATAGATACGCGAGTGGAAATTTTGAGAGACTTCCGTTGTCTGATCTCACGTGGCACCAAATTCCGTAAATGCTTGTTAGCGCACATCCTGTGTGCGTCAAGACAAAGATCTCGTAGACTCTTTTCCTAATGAGAGGCAAAATACTGAGAGCCAAAAACATGCACCCGGTCTCGTGTTGTTCAGAATAATATTATGGTTTCATTTCGTGAAGATGACTTACCAAAAGCCCATAGAACTCGACAGTATTAGACCATTCAATAGCCTTGATTTGGGCAGTGATTATAATATGGACCAAAGCTTCGATAAAAGCAACAAATCCAATAGTATGGTGGAAGAATCCATAAGTCTCTAAAGACACACCAAGGAGCCTGGCGCCAGTCTCATACCCGCCGCCTAGGAACATAGGTAGCAAGTTGATAAGTGATAGTCTAGCTGCCCTGGCTCCAGCCTCTTTAGCGGAGCTAACATCAACAACGTTACATATGCCGGTAAGAATCAAATAGAGACATCCTATGATTAAGTGAAGTCTTGATATGGACCAGTTTCCTAGAATTCGTCCCAAAGAGTGCGCATAAATAATATGCTTGAGAATGAAAGGTCGTATTGTAGAACTTAAGAGTGACGACTTGATGAAGATAGCGGCAAAATGAGTAAAGAAACGACAGACAACGAGCAATAAGAAGATAAGACATATTATGATGGCATAGAGCGATTCGGGAACCGAGACTAAGCCAATATTCGAAATTTGGTTTATGATCGTATAGAAATCCATCTTGTAGAAACAAAGAGTTAACTAAAAATCAAAAATCTTGATGGGCAAGCCTTTTTAAAAGAAAATTATAGATTGAGGATAGAATGGGTCACTGATTGGAATGGCTAGGGGGTGCTCCGTCACCCCGGGTCACAGAATCGATCGCTTGCTGGCCTGATATTTCCAAGGATGAAAGCTCTGTATGTCTTGTGGCAAAGTAATCGAGGAGCTGTTTCAGTTCTTGCATATCAGGGGGCTCGGGCTTTGGTTGCGGACCCATGTCGGCATTCGTCATTCGTCGTAGATCAGGGTAGTAATTGGCCTAGTCCCGAGAGCTCATTAGCAAATGGAAATCTTTCAAATGAGATATTGAAATTCATACTAGGAGTTCGTCTGAAGGAGGCCATGAGGACTCTTGGTCTGAGTTAAACACTGCAGTTTCTCGTGGATGGTGAACGAGAATGTATACACTAGCACCACAGATACTTGACAACTCGTGGCCTTTCGATAATAGTGTCTTTAATCTTCTTTGGAACATCACACGATCGTTTCGATTGGGATCTCGGCCACCCATGGCTAGAGTACTCGATAAATGAAATGATCTAGAATTGGAATGACTAGAGGGGCTATTTATGATAAAAATGAGGGCACCACTGCGCTAAGTCCCATTTCCGGTTATACATTGCCTTAGGCATACCCTTTTTGACCCCCCAACCCCACTGGAACCGGATCTCTGTCGGCGCCTCCTCTTATTTGATGGGCCTTGGTTGTCACATTCGTTACAGTAGGCTTTAGAAGGATACCCATGATCAATCCGTCCAAATGGCGATTCCAAGCTTTGCCTTATAGCGAATGAGTGAATGCTTCCCGGGAATCCGCTAATTCTCCATCGTTGCTTTGAAACTGATTGAAGAGAAATACTGATGACCTGATCAATATTGCGGACAAGGAACGTTATTGGCTGCCTACAGCATCCGCAAGATGAGCAAATATTTCCTAAATCTGCGATTGTATCACCTCTTCCACAATCAGAAACAAAGACTAGACCATCCGGGTGGAGCCGTTGAAGCGCCGCGATGACATCTTTGGCCGATCCTTTGCAATGTATAAAACCGCGACACCAGAATGGTATGGCGGTATTTTTTGGTAGGTCACCCAACACGAAATAGAATCTCGAGATAAGCAGCATCATGGCTGCTTCTCGTGCCATCCGGGCGCTTCCCGGTTGAAGTATCACCAAGTCGCGGTAATCTTCAATAGATTTGATCGCATCAATGCTCTCAGGCACATTTTTCAAGGGCACATTTAGCCGGTGATACTCTGCGGCCTGTGAGGACTTAAGACGTCTCTCCAGTCGCCTGGAATCACGTTCGCTTTCCATTGTAGACATCCATGCATTAAACCCCCGACGTAAAAAACCGTCTCGAAAAACGTGTCGAAAATGCGGGGTCGGTTGAGACGGAACCTCGCTACTTCCTGTGCCAAGAGATAGCATGCGCGTGGATCCACTTCTTTGAGGCCAGATTTGTCGACATATTTGCCATGCAATCTCGCCAGGGAAGTTATGTTTTAAGCCCCCATCCTGAAAGGAACCGATTCCATGTAGATATGCGGGGGTAAAGAAGCTTGATATCCAATCAACTACTGTATTGTACAACACTAATGCGGGGGGAAGCGCTAATGCGGGTGAACTCACAATGGCGCAGCGGCGGTTGCTCTAGCTCTGGATTTGCACATCTTAGCGTATCGACTGGGCAATGTCCGATCGACAGACTTACCCATTCCAAACCTTTGGCTCAAAAACCTTGTTTTCTGGGCGAATTATCTCGTAATCTTTCTTTGTTAGTTCAAAAAAGCGAATTAGGAGAGAATCATACCGGAATTGCTTTCTGAATCATGCGCGGCATTAAAATTTCCGATAACAAAAGCGCTCGTATCCCTGGAAATGCTCGTGGTGATCACACCAACTTTTGGGCCAGAGCGCAGAGGCCCCTGAGGATCGTCGCGACTATTTCCGAAAATGAGACGTTGATCACCGAACGCGGTTCTTAGTGCCGTATCAAAAACTTGCGCGTCGTAACAGCTATCATGGAGAAGCCAGTGGATCCATCGAGTAATTTCCCCTAACACTGAACCATCGCCTTGGCTTGCCCATGGCCATCTTGAGTGACGCTTCTCTCGAAAAATCTGACGCGCTAAGCGTTCAAATGTTTCTGAGCAGTCACGCATTGCCCAGCGCATAATAAATATGCCTAGAGCGATAAGACCACCTGTATTATATTAATAACAATAAAGGTTGGGTCAATGCGTATGATCACAAACCGGAACTTGTGCCGACTGCGAGATCAATCACGTCGTAAACTGTGCATGGAGCCAATTGCTCCTCTACTAAAAGAAGAAACTCTAACGGAATAACCCCCCTGACACCCCCGCCGTCAATTGCTAAAATTGAAGGTGTCATTGTTGGCGGTAAGACGTCGACGACCAAGGGTCTTTGATAGAGGCAATAAAGGCAACCCTTAATGACAAATTGATAATCCCATTCCCCCGGCATTCCGAAGACTTGCGCACAACGATCACATAGCGTGTGCCCACATGCTAAAACATGTTGTGCCGAGCGAAAAATGCAGTAGAGGCAAATGCGGGTACTTTGTATTCGCGCTAATCGGCCGCTCTGGGATTTCAGTTGATTCTCACGTATACTGGCTGATGAGCAATCGGTTTGGGAGAGGCATTCAAACATCGTCATGAGTTTGGACTCAACCAGATTGGTGCTCTGCTCTGGGCTAAGATCCGAGCGAAGCGAGTCGGCTCGACATCCTTGCAATACATCCGAGCGATACAGCGCTTGGAAGATCAAACGGGCATTTGACACTAGTAATTTATTGAAATTAATTCCAGGTTTTCCTTTGTTATTGAAAGGGGGTAAATTACTTATCATGCCAGGAACGTAGTGGTCCATTAGTACGGCTGATGCAATTGATGGGGCCATTTCATTCATATCAAGCCCCGCCTGACTACCCATTTCGAGAAAATGTCTCAGCTGGAATCCAGCCGTCGGGCTCATCGGAAGTGCTTTCCTAATCGCCATGAAATGGTTGAAGGGAGAGTCGACATCCATAACGGTATGGCGAAGCCCAGCTTGGAATAAAGCTGCTAAATGTTTTCCACTTGCTCGACCTAGGTACCGCCTGCGAATCGTGCTAATCCCATCTAATTGGTCCATCATCAGCCTTTTGACACGGTCATGCCGCGCGGTAGAAGATAGAAGATCACCGATCACATCGATCGATTGCACATCGGAGAAAATGGTGTTCAGGTTAGTAATTCCTGTTGACTGTAATTTTTCCCACAAAGTTCCTAATCCCAGAAATTCCTCCCCTTGCATGATACCACATCCGAAGGCTATAATTAGCCTGGGGCATGTAGCGATCCATGGAGCTGGGCTTTTTAGTTGTTCGCAGCGAGCTATAAAGTTTACGGCGATATCAAGATCTGATGGAGTGTCGATGAATATACAGACAACGTCCGCGAACAGAAACATCAATCGTGCCCATAGAACAAGCAGCATTTTTTCAGCCGATGGACAGTCCCAGACTGTTGGGTAGCCTGTTCCAGCCTGTAAGTTCACAGGAAGATGTGTTGCCTTCGGAATATCCCCGTCAGCAAATAAAATCGGCTGGGGAGTGTTCATAGACCCAATGTCATATCGAAGCTTGATATGTGCTGCTGAAGTGTGTCTCCGAATATTATTAAGTGGAAACATTTGCTGAAGGGAGCTTTCTCTAGAACTGCCACCAATAAACGCACAGAGCGACGGATATTGGCTGTCTTGATGTGGCAACTCGGCGACAGCCTGACTGAGGCGATCATGATCTCGTACAGCAAGCCGACCGTTTTCTTGCATACCCACATCTAGCCAACCAATATCGTATGAGTGCTGCATTGTTAGGAGGAAAAAAAATGTATAATCTAGATAATGAAAAAGAATGTCATGCTCTGGTCTAGAGACAGTTATAGCTATATATGGCCGTCCTCGTGTATTTCATAACTACGTTTCAGCATCTGAACTGGGCCCAGAGATATACCAGTCCATTGTTTCATCACCTTATTATCACCCTTGACCAGACCGGAGTTGACTTTCCACAATACATAACTTGAATCCAGAACATACAGGTTTTTGAAATTGCGCGTATTATTTAATAGGCCGATAGGTGTAGTTGTAAGTCCACTTTTCTCGCAACCAACAATATTACAGAGTAGATGTTGGTGATCGACAAAACGCCACTTTGCATCATCCCATTCTAGATCCCTGTCAGTCGCAAGGATAAAAAGCAACGGAAGGTCAACAGTAAACCTGGTTTTTCTATCATCCTTTCTGCCTTCTTCCAATATGACTACTATGGATCAAACAGAATACAACGAGCCGTGGTGGGCCAGCGATTCTCACTTCCTAAGTGAACTTCTGGCGTTTGATGAACACAAAACAAGTATCAATAGGTAAGTCTATCATATCAATTATGGAATGGCTCTAATAATTGACCAACTTTCTAGCGAACTTCACCTCCCGTCAGTATCATCACCAGGCCACTATTCGCAACCAAGTCATCCCGAAGTAGATAGGGCCACCGACCAAGTTGCAGCTGAGATTAATCGCTTCGGTGACACACTTGGTGGCCTTGGTATCCAGATTGAAGAATTGAAGATTCAAATGAATGCGGTACAGGCGGCAGTTGACCACACAACCAATCGAATCCACGCACTCAACAACTTATTAATCGAGGTGATTAAGCGTGAAACGACAGCCATGCAGAAGTTGGGAAATGTTGCCAGTCAATGTATAGGACATAATAGTCTCTAGAAACTGAGAATATGGAATTTTTTAGTTACTAGACTTATAATACCAAGTCAAATTGTCTATCCATCGATCCTCGAGCCTGCCCTGGGAAGTTCGCAGTTCTAGCTATATTCTAACCCCTTGGTCACTTCCAGAATCTCTTTCCCAAAGGCTCAGGTAGCGTCGCTCAGCCTCCTGAAGACGCAGTGTCGCCTCGGCCAAATAATCCTCCATTGACTCGAAGACGCGATGCATTTGTTCGTGGAAATTGAGCAGTATCTGTTTAGTTTCTTTATTCCATTGAAGCTCGGCTTTGAGATAGCTTGATTCAAATGCAACTTCTTCCAACTTCTTCTTCAGATCTGGAGAAGCGCGTTTCGATCGCTCCAACCGAGAAGGCAGCCGCTCCAGATTAGAGGATGTTCCACCGCGGCAGAGAATATAGTGGTCTGCGGGAGTTATCTCTTCGGAAATCGGCTCCAGACGTGAGTTTGAAAATGGGTTCATTATGAAGTAGGATTCAGTAGGAAGTCAAAAAAGTACTAGAGGATATTGTAGTGAACTCAAAGATAGACTGCGGGAAAGAGCGACATGGTGATCATATCAATCGCAAAAAAATATTACAGGATGACATTCGCACGTATGGCTTGTATAAGCTGATGTGACCTCATTGCGAGTAACAGGTACTCATTTTTCACTTCGGAAATTTTTAGTGCCGGAGGCTGTGCGGCGGCACTGTTCTCAGTGTCAAACTCGTCGATGTTACGATACCATGCGACACCATTTATAGTGTCGTGATCCTCGGCCTTGTTTTGGTGTTGCCTTTAGACGCCCCTAAAATAAAGACAGGGGTGTGGTATCCACCTACCCGCATATGGCATACGTCATGTGAGATGAATTAATTTCTGCGACATACCTAGTATCCCCAAACCACGCCATATCCCGACAATCATTGCCTATTAATGATTTTTAGCTGTCGTCGTTCAGGTATAAGTAATAAAGTGAAAGCGCCATACGAAAAGTTCGATGTCTATTGACAAGCAATCTATATGCCGATATGCCTTCCCAACCCCAATGCCGAACTCAAGCAGCATGGCACAGTCCGGCACCTCAGCTCAATTCGGTATGGTCATACACCACCTATTGAACATTTTGCTGATTTTGCAGTTATAGAATACAACTTTAGCTCCGTGTAATGAGCAGAATGTACTCATCCTGGTTGAGAAGCTGCTTTTGCAGGATCAGCAAGCCAAGTATTACCAAGGCCAACTTGAGTCTAGGATTTACAGTGATAATGCCGCATTCCAAAGACTGCGGGTTTATTGTGTCCAGCTCGAGAAAATGGCCTCAAGTTTAGAGAGTCAGAAGTCCCTACAGGAGACTTCATTTCGGTCAGCAGCAGAAACATGTCAGCTCATGGCCCGCGATCTCTCTTTAGAGAGAGCTAGAGTGCAGGAACTAGAGTCGCGCCTCAATGACTTATATCCTACCATTGAAACCTTCCTCAAAGGCTCGACTGTTGGACAATCTCGACATTGTGAGACGGAGGTGATGCGCGAACTGCAGCAGGAGAATTACTACCAGCGGGAATTAATCACTTGTCTTCAGTCTGCGCTTCAGGCGCGAGAGGAAACTGTTGAAGAGCTTAAGCTCTCTTTGAAGGAGACTCTTCAGGCCATTCAGGGTGGCAGCGGGGATAATACCCCACGTCAGCCAAAAGTAGATGAGACCTATTCTAGTGACGAAGATGGTTCTGTGGAAATCATCACCAACAGGCCACCCTCAGTCATTCACCATAGGGACATTTGATCCAATCTATCTCATATTCTTCAAGGCCAACATCTATGTATCTAAATCTTCTAGCTTTGAATGTCCTTCCAGTTCTCCTAAAATTTGCATGTTGAAACGTTATGCGAGTTCACTTCAGAGAATTTGAGTCATACTCGTAGTCTAAGAGCTATAACATGTTTCTACGGAATTTTTGTATCATTCTCTATTTCCGCCAGATATTCGAGAGAGAAAAAATGGCTTTTGGAGCATCATACCATTAAACGCTGAAACAGATTTTGAACCGATTCGTAGTATACGAGGAGCAAGACAAAGGTAGCATAAAGTATAAGCGAACGTGCGCAATAGTTCCATGCGGAGCGATGAGGAGGGACAGAGACACTAGTCCTGAATAGGAAGATATACGTAGATATAGACATTAAAAGCAAGTGGGGCATTATCATTATTTCAGCGGTGGATCTCACTTAAAACAGTGTTGGAGGGGGTCCAAACGATTAGACCTCGGCTTACGTACAATAATCCACTTTTATGTGTTCCTAGAGGCGGGTCCTGCATAGAAACAGTCTGAAACGATGCCATCACCCACAAATAAATACAATATCATTACGGTGAGCTAGTGCTGCGGTCTTCCAAACAATATCACCCTATATCCCCTATCCTGTTTTACGTGCTGCAAACTTGGAGCGGTTTGATTTAAGTATATAATATCGGCAGTCGTCAGCTTTTCAAATCATAGAATATCCCTCAGAATCATTCAATCACACTTGTCAACCCACGTTGCATCCGAAATCAAGAAATCATGGGAAAGTTTTCTCGTGTCATTATGCGTGAGAAAATCAGACTGATGCTTGTATTCTCGGGTTTATATTAATATACTCATTCTAGCTTGGAAGTCTGGGGCCGACGAAAAGCATCGTCACAAAGAGACATTCATTCTCCAAACCTCACCTGGTCTTCCACAGTCAGATCTCGATAAAACCATTTTCCATCCTAATTGGAGACTGAAGGCAGGATGGGAGTGGAGGGAGAGTAAGGTTCGCGATGGGCATTCGATGTTTATTTTCTACCATCGCGATCAGAAACCTCGTGGTATGTGCCATGGCTTTAGCGAAGATGATCTAGCCCGTGAAAGGTCCATGGAGTTCCGAAAGGAATATAAGCATGGTCAGGTGCACTATGTGCCAACGAAGAAATCTGCGGCCCGTAAGGACGACGGATTTTGTGGTAGTGGGAGATGGGGTTACCGGTAGATGTACTATTCATGAACCAGCTGGGCAATAACTAGCTTATAAGAGCAAGCTATATATATTTATTCATTTCTCAGGACTGACTGTAGGAGTTACTTCACATGTACAGTAGTTTTCGAAATCAGTTTGACCCCAAACTCTTTGGACTTGATTCCCGGAAAATAATTCCTTGGTTTGCGACTTCTGATTGGATGTTATTTTAGGCTCGTTGGCTCAGACCGCTTTCCACAATAATCAATGAATCTTACAATATGTATTCAGTACCGTTATTTTTGTAACTTACACGAAATTAGCTGAACACTGGTCCCCCCTTCCCCTCACTTCCCTGCATGACAACCAAGAACTTCACTTACGACTTTCTGCTTACCGTTATTAGTGCAGGCGGCATGGCTCCAAGACTCTCACCTTCAAAGCTTGCTCTCATTCATGATATGATCGAGAGCAAATCTTTTCGCACATCTGAAATGGCTGAGCAGGCTGAATGTAGCAAGCAGACCATCATCAGTATCCGCAACAACCTGCGACAATTTGGAACCTTATACGCACCGCAAACCCGAGTAGGTCGAAAACGAACTGTAACACCTCTGATGATCGAAGCCCTCTGTAATCATCTATATGAGAAACCTGGTCTCTACCTTGAGGAAATGGTTGTATTCCTATGGGATGAGTTCCAGGTCATGGTTACAACCTCCAGCATCAGAAGAGCCCTTATGACAAAAGGTTGGTCTAAAAAAACGGCACGAAGGCGTGCTAAAGAACAAAATGCCGATTTGCGGGATTCCTATCTGCATTATCTATCAGATTTCAAATCATACCACCTAGTCTACGTTGATGAATCTGGGTGTGATAAACGTGTTGGGTTTAGACGGACAGGCTGGGCACCACGTGGCACGTCTCCTTTGCAAGTAACGCAATTCCATCGAGATCAGAGATACCAGATATTACCCGCTTATGCACAGGATGGGATCGTTTTGTCGCGTGTCTTCCGTGGTTCTACGGATGCCATCGTATTTGAAAGCTTTATAGCTCAGCTGCTTCAACATTGCGGACGATGGCCTGAACCTAAATCTGTTCTAGTCATGGATAATGCCTCATTTCACCGGTCTGAAGGTCTTGAACAAATGTGCTCGGACGCAGGGGTGAAGCTGGTCTATTTGCCACCGTATTCGCCGGACCTGAACCCGATAGAAGAGTTTTTTGCTGAGCTCAAGGGGTTCATTAAGCGTAACTGGGATTACTACGAGAAAGATCCGGAGCGAGGGTTTAATGCATTTCTTGAATGGTGTATTAATGTGGTCGGTGCGAAAGAAGAGAGCGCCAGAGGTCATTTCCGACATGCGGGCTTGAACATAGAAGTTTTTGATGTTTGAACTCCTTCTGATCTTAGGCCTCGGCCCCGCACAGCGGCATAATTCATCGACGGGTTGCCAATTTCCTGAATTTATTCATGTTACAATCCGAGGTGAGCTATTGAATGTCTTCATTAGAACACTGCTGGCTATTGGTTAGCCGGTGACACTAGTGATGTGATTAAAGCAGTGCCGGTGTAAGACGTCACATATCATGACAAAAAGAAATTGTGTACTTCAACTGCATTGGAGTGGCTAGCTGAAATGTGGGTTTCATGGCGTGATTCCTACGATTACTTTCCAGAAGTTGTGTAACATCCGGATTCAGCTCAGTGGAGAACAATCTAATAGTTTTATTTAAAGTTTTCGACTATATCCAATTATTCGCCAATGCCGCTGATCACGACGCTGATAGTGTAATCGGATCTTCAGACGTCGCGTATACCAACTGGAAGATTTTGCGACGGTAAGCAGAGATGTTTTAAGGTATAAAATATCCATCATTTGTCTACCCCTGAAAGTATTCATTCAAATCCAACTCTGTCAAGACTTAACCAACTATAACACTCAGAATGAATCTAAATCACTTCTGCTTTCTCCTTTGCACTTTGGTGACATTCGTTTTCGCCTCTGGCTCAGTCATCTGTGACAAACTCACAAATGCCACGGATATCATCAACCATTCTTCTCTTCAATTACAAGATATCGATACCAAAATCCTCAAAGCAGCAAATGGCACCGAACCGTTACCTAAGGATCTCACCGCTCCGAATGCGAAAGACCACAGCGCAGTATTACAGAAGTTAGATCTATCTTTACAACAACTGCTGAAGGTTGCGAGGACATATCATGCTAAAGGACCAGGAGGTAATCTTGAATCTCTGGGGGCCTCTATATCACGATTAGAGACACAGTTGCAGACATTTAATGATAAACTTGTACACCGGTCTTCGCAGCGGAGAGCCAGTGAAAAAGCTTTATCTGATAGTTCGCAACCCTCTCCATCTCCTGCTATGGCCTTCGGCAAGGCTCTCGATGTTGTTAGAGCAACAAGCAAACTCACACATAGTGTGAGTAGGATACAGGTTATGATGACGGCTCAAAAGTGTTCACCAGGAGGCTTGGAGGCCAGGCAAGACCTGAGTTCTGTTTTTGATGCCATAACTAGTGCGCTGAGTTCTGTACTTGATGAAGTCAGTAACCTTCTACTTGCTATGGAGGAGTACTTAGTGGGGCTTTGGGGGGCTGGAAGTGAAATCCTCAATGCAATTATGGAGTTTGTCATTGAAGCTGGGATTAGTATACTTGACGCACTGTCTGTGCTGCTTCTGGGCGAATAAACTGGTACCAAACTCAGACATGAATATGGCAAATGTATCATAACTTTTTGCACTTAGACATGGAGTGTGCTCGGATATTGAGAAGCATATATTGAATCATCGTCCACGGAACTGAGTTCGAAAACTGGTTGGAAATGGAGATTGTCTGGATCATATCGTAGATAAGCATGCTTGGAAGGGCTAGATTTGGAGCCATCTTGGTTGGACCACTGGTGATTGATTGTTAAGAGTCCCTCGGAGGGAAAGCTCCTCAAGGCCTCAGTGCCAAGAATATATGGATTAATTCCAAATAGGGATTAGCGGATATTAATAGTGACACCAGTCTCGAGACACTGTATTCTTCCGTCTGATTTTCATCAATTATTGGCTCTGGAAGTCTCCAAGTCCGATAAAACTCATATATTTAATGCTATCCTGAATGCAAATTAATCCTGTTCGCCAAAAAACGCCGTGACATGAAACAACTCCGTCTAATCTAAAGGATTTCATATAGAGGAATCGCTTTCTTGACTTGTTCAGCCCACTTTCCAATGTCTTCGACGAAACGTCGAGCAATGCCTATTTTTATCCCTTTCTCGATGAAAAATTTTGGGTCTTGGTCCTTGTATACCTGCTCGAGGTCAAGACCATTGTCGAGCATCACATCACATACATGCCGAAATGCCGATTTGAGGGTGTCATTTTCAACATTCGACATCTGCCACTCACCATATTCCTTCACGGCTACGTCTCTAGGGCCGGGAATTTCCAATGGACTCAAGGCCATCTGTTCAACGGCGGCCTTGGGATCCGAGACATCTAACCCTTGGGCAATAGGTTGAGAGGGCAAGACATTGATGATATTGCAGGAAGGGTAAGGTACTTCGGTCCCAATAACTTGACCTCCTTTACGCTTATCTTTCCCCTGTCTCTCTTGTCTCTCTTGCTCTTCCCTGTACAATTCATCGCGTACCGCTTCTGGCACGTCCTTATGACCCTCTAGAACCCCGCCTTTTTCAACATGAGTTATAAGGCGTTTTATATGATGAGCTTTAAGTGGATAGTGCTTTTTCCCCATTGGGTCCACCCAACAATGAGGCCCGTGTGGACATGTCGATGAGTCGCATCGCACCAAATTATAAACGCTGCGCCAGATCGGCTTCTCTCCTGAAGTATGTTCCTCTGCATCAAGCCGTGCGTCTCGCTCAGCGATCATCCTCTGTGTGACGGATGATTTCCCTCTTTTCTCTCCTTTCCGGTTGGTGGACTGAGAAGAATGATGACTGTCTACATAGTTGAAACTGATCTTCAGCCTAAGTTCCTTACCTTTAGAAAAGAGATCGGACCATGTCAGAAGCTGTTTCTCTATAGCCGACCACGTAATATCAGTGTCGTCAAATCGCTTCGTCAGTTTGCATTTAGTGCGATCGCTTGTTGATGCGACGATGACAGTATCATCAGATATCACCCGGCGATGGCGGGCAGTTTTCCGTCGAAGCGCTTTCTCTAGCTTTTTCTCCAATGACAGCTGCCAGAAGGCACTGGGAGCCAAAACGACATCTTCCTCAGTGTCCATTGATACTTCCCGAGTATTGACTGTCACTCGCCACTCTATACGGTAGTGAATACAGGTTGGGGGGTCCTCATCATACGCTCTTCCCTCTTCCCACTCGTGCAAGGGAAGGAATCGGAGAGGATGTGGGCCACATTTACTCTTGGGTTCGACGCTATTTTCAAGTATACAGGGCCGAGATGGGCTCGAGGCAGACGGCGCGGTGTAGCGGCTGACACAGTACCCCGGGGTTGGCGCGTAATCCGAGTCGTGTTCCCACGTTTCATGTTGAATAGATTGAGATGCATGATCGACGTGATACGAGCTCATTCTAAAAGTAATCGGGATCCTTGGAACGTCCATGTTAGCTTACGGGGTGAGCCATATTAGATTCGAGAGTGGCAACGAGTGCACGAATGAGATGCGCCACAGAAGAAAAGATCCACGGAGAAAAGTAAATATCCTTCCCTACCAGGATTAGCTCTATACAGCGTAAGCACAGCCTTCTGTGTGATGACTGGCGGGCGTACAACGATACACGAAAGGCTGCGCTGCATGCGGGAAAAAAGAGGGGAAGTGGCAACTCAGGACTGGTGGGAAAGCGGGGAGCCAGCCGGCAGACGATCTTGCCAGATCGCCAGACCTACCTACCAAGCAGTTCTAGAGGATTCGATGTACCATTACAAACTTATTACAATACTCTGGCAACTTGGTATAGCCATTGCCACCTCTTTTCTGCCCAACAAATAGAGCGGTGATACTAAACAGGATTAGCGTATCTCGGAATTATTTTCCGGGAATCAAGTCAAAAGAGTTTGGGGTCAAACTGATTTCGAAAACTACTGTAAAATCACTTTCTTTGAATATTGATTATCTAACTTACCCGGGTCCATTAACTTATGACATCTCTAAAGCGCAACTCACACGTTTTACCATAACACCAAGACAACCATCTACCTAGATTTAATATATACTTCGAAACCTGCGGTTTATAGCCTAAAACTTTAGAAGTCGAGGAGCTAAGGGTATGAGACGATTTATTAGTATTACATCTTATCACTAGATACATAGGCAATTAATGGGCTTAATTCTAACTCAGCTTTTATAATTTAAACTGCTAGTTTCTACAAGATATGTGTTCTGCTTTATTTTAATCAGGTTAAGAGAACGAGGGGCGACGTCTCATGTCATCATGAAGATAAGCGGCGATAGTGTTAAGACCGTCTAAGCTTCTAGACCCAACGACTGAAACAATGTCGCACCCGTTTGCCTAACCTTTATAGATCCGTCAAACTCCTCAGTATCAATGAACACAACAGGATTCTTGTGCTTGTGTTTCCAAAAAAAAAAAAATGCTCTTGATATATATTTCAATGCTATGGGCTTCCTCTACGCTTTGCCATATAGTAAGTTTATGATATAATATTACATTGATTTAAACTAACTTCCCTTGAAGACTGGTAAGGTTCATATTTCTAACGACGAATTGAGCCTACTACCTGGTTATGCTAGAAACTTCAGTATGATATTGTTGAGCTGGCCCTAGTATCTCCAAACCGACTAATCCTTACATTGTCAGCTCCGGCGAACTCAGCTTGGCGAAGCCGACTGGTTCGAGACCAAGACAGACAGTCTGTCACTTTTTGCGATTTGTGCCAACAAGAGTCAACCCAGTACCCCAGTTGGCCTCGTCTGAGAGCTTTTCCAGGAGCAGAAGTTTTCCTTCCTTACAGCTCTTTCTACAAGAACTTTGAAGAAGAAGGGGAGATTGCTTTATACGGTGCAATGGCATTAGAAAGCCCAGACCTTCGAAAGATTTCCGATTTCTTTGATACCGGAAACGGTATCTATGGTATGCAGAGAAATATTTTTTTGCAGTCATTTACTAATGATTCCAGAGCTTCAAAGGTGTAGCTATAAAACAGCACTATCTGAAGGACGATCTAGCTTCAAAGTACCGGAAGAATTTAAGACAAGTGGACTTTATGCTTTATATTGGATGTGGAACACCACGATGCTAAGTGGAGGGAAATGGGTAGTGAGTCATATGCGCAAATTTGAAGCACATTACTAACGGTTCAAGATATACACATCTTGCTTTGATCTTGACATTATAGTATCTACGGAACAAGGACCTACTTCTTACTCTACTTATTCAACTACAAGCAAGAAAGGTTTCACTACACCGGCCGCTATGTCAAGATACACAGGACTTGAGAGCAGCCAGTCTACGGAAAATTCACCGATAAAGGAAAGAACTGTGTCTAAAAACGCACAGCTACTCATGTCTACAAGCAGCCTAGCGTCCAATACGGTTAATAGCGTCTTGGAAACAAGGACGTGTTCAGCCCACTTAGGTAGCGACAACCCCGAGGTGGCGCCTACATACACGTCGATGCCGCCTGCATCTAAAACATCTCCCAGGGCGGAATCTACAGGCATACCCTTGACTACAACCCCATCTATGATTACTTACACTAGTATAGTTGTGGTGACGGTATAGAGATAGTTATAGTAAGGTATATTTGAATAGCATAATCTTCATGAATTTCCATGCCCCAGGCTTCTATAAATTAGGAACTATAATACACCCTCATGTACCATCCGCTCACTCGTGTGTATAAGAGCTATACTAACGATGAAAAGAAAATCGATCATAAAAGAATCTGATACTTCTATGTTTGAAGCTTTCCACAAAATAAAAATCTATGCCTCGAAACATCGGTTGTCTACAACATCCTCTCCGGATCAACTATGAGTATGTACAGATGTAGCTGAAAGTAAAATCTTTGTAAATATCGTCGGCTATGAGTACCGCGTACGGACGAATTTTGCGGCAGGATATGTAAAGTTCGGCCAAACTTCTTCAGAGGTGCAGCATCGTTTCAGACCTAAAGCATCGTTTCGGACTCAAACCTACAGCATCGTTTTTAGTGCTGCAGTACCCGTGGATAAATGCTAGCCTAGAACACCATATCTGAATTCTCTGTGGCATGTGTATATAAAGACAGCCAAGAGGTCTGCTTAAATGCCATCACAGCTCCAATACTTTTGGCAAGCATATCCAGCAATCAAAACAATCAAACTCCAGCGCATTCAATCGCAGATACCAATCAAATATGTCTAAAAAGTCCAAACAGAAAAGGAAGGCGGAGAGAAATGCGCGCGAACTACAAACCCCTGCATCTATGGATGGTGGTTCGGGATCCGAAGCTGAATCCTTTCAACAAGCTCCGAAGCTCAAGGGCAAGACCATAGACCGTGATGAGAAATTGGAATATCCAAAAAATCGCTCGGAATCTCCCCAGGCTGAATCCTCAAGATCACAAAACTTGAGGAGAAAGGACAAGACAATAGATCAAAAGACGAGATTCGCTAGAAGCCCAACTCGCGCAGGAGACTTTGCTCCAAACGCGAGTGACCACGATTCAAATGAGGAATCAGATCTGGATATGCTAGGCGATGTCTCTGAAGAACCTGTTATAGAAGACAGGCCAGCCCCGCTAACTGGTTGGGTTAAAGATACCATCAAAAGCGAGACATCGAAGTGGTCAGAAAGAATGGTCGAAGAGTTCTTTACAGCCCAACCCCCTGGATACGAAGAATGTCAAAACTTCTTTCGGCGACTGAACCAGAAGATCCGGGGGCTAATCAGCAAAACAATGTTGTCAACTTGGATGCCGGTACTATCCCCGAAACGTCTTACAATGCTCTGTGCGAGGCCTGGCAGCAAACAGCGGCCAATACAACAAACGCAGAAGAATCTTGGGCCGCTTTTAATAAGACTCGGGATCTTCTCAATCAGTTTAATAAGAGACACTATCTTCCCCAGGCCTGGAACATTAGTGAAGCGTGGGCCGAGGGACAAATTGGAACCCCGAATCCTAGGACTGGAGAAGAAGATATCACATCCACTTCTGACGGTGCTAGCCAACCTGATCCGGCAAATAAAGTCTTATCCAGTGAAGAGTCCAGTGGGGAACCCGGTTCTGAGTCTGAATCTGAAGCCGATCGTAGCGAGCCTATAGGACTTGATGCTTTGGAGGAGAGAACCATAAAGAAGCAGCGTCGACTAACCACAGCCAGAGTCTTATACTGGTGGCCTAAAGGGACTGGCTCTCAGATCTTCGTGCGATATGGGGATAAGTCTGCCCCAATCTTTCGCATTCGATCTGGCTCACACGAAAGTTACAATCCGGGAAAGGTAGAGCGTGTTTTAACAAAAACTCGCGGTACCGCTAAATTTACTGTGATAAAGGATGGCCTTGTTGAGGAATTTTGGAAGTATACACGGAAGAACGTGAAAGATATAATTGCTATCGGCTGGAAAATTGAAGATGATGATGAAGAAGGCATAAACCCTCTCAACTTACTTCAGCCAACGAAAGGTGCAATCTTTCCACAAACGCGGGTTCTAGTGGAATGGAAGGACGGCCGTTGTACCCTAGAAGGGCGATCATTCATCCGTCGTATCACAACAGGCTCAGCCCTGGACGGTGATAGAGTAATTTATCAAAAGGCTGAAGAGCTCGAGATTCGTTACCGCGAAAAGCATGGGTTAGAAGTATTCGATGAAGATTACGATTACGATGATGAAGATGAAGAGAGCGATTACATTCGACCGCGACGGGCCGACAGAAGATATCGCAGTGAGCCTACTCGATACCCCCGTCGGGTCAAACCGTCTACCAGAAGCCGCTTCTTTTCTTCTGAAGATAGTGATGAAAGTGACACCTCTATTCAGTCATACAATACCCGCAGAAGACGACACCGCAGCGAGCCAACTCATTACTCGACAACGAGACGAAAAACACCTCCCGAGAAGGAGATAAGCTCCACGGTCAAGATAAATCAGCTTGAACGGGAGCTTCGGCGATTGAAAATGGAAAGCTCGAGATCGCCTCCTAAACGCCGTGATAGACGCGAACGCACAGCTTAGGAAGTATATTTAGGCAAACGATCATTTGACCTATTTTGAGCTGGTCTCAAACATCTCTACCTCTCGCTGATTCTCAAATGCAACAATGTCAACGCGAGAAAGTCCTTGGAAAGAACAATCATGGAATGACTGTTACAGTTCAAGTATATTGTCTGAAGCAGGCCTTAGACGAATCATTGATGCTATTTGCTACTGCTGTTTTTGTTGTTGGTGTTTGATTTTGTTGACTTTACCGAATATATTGGATTCTCTTGAAACCTCTACAAAACCATAGAGCATATTGCTATAGGTGTTATGTATATTAATGTAGCCTCTGATTAGCAATAACATTAAATATGCCATTCTCCCCCTTAAAGGCATCCAAAGCTGATAGATAAGAATTTTGAGCTCATCTACATGCCTAATATGTAAATATTCAAGGTTTTAAAAGCGACTTGAGAAGTAAAATCATTATTTCTAATGTTTATGTTGCCCGCCGGTTACAACCCCGAGTTTAAATATCATTCAAAGTTCCCCTCTTCGTAAAGTCACATGATCTCAATTTCTGGGGTTTATCCTTGGACTTCTAGCCCCCTAGATCCGTTCTAATAAAATGTCTAAAACGACATCGTACCTCTAAGTGGGAACTGTTCAGAGCTGCACAGGGCTGGGCCGGGAGCGGTGGGGAAACCTAGCGGCCAATCATACTACTATAAGAAAGTATAGTAAAACAAACATATTTGTAAAAGATGGGTCTGCGACATAGTAAACAGTGAGGCGGGTGGTAAAGGGTAATACATGATAGGAGTTTATTTAAATACTTGAAAGTCAGACAGGAGAATAATTATCATATCATTGATTATTATCTGACGCTTTCAGAAGCGAAGATACACAATTCCACTATGAACTCTTATGTTTCTTTCCCGCATCCCTCAGGAGAAGTCAATACGAAGCAGCATCAATTTGACGACACAAAGCCACATGAATCTCCAAGCTCTAAGCACCAAAAGCAATCTGCGGATATGGAGAACACCGAGCATGAAATAAGACTACTTAAAAAACGTCTACGCGAACTACAATCCAGTATTCACCGCCACAGGCGCAAGGAAAATGAGCTTCAAAAACTCTTGTCTATGCAGCAATACGATTTTTACTGCTTTAAGCAAAGCTTTACAGACCTACAGAAGGAAAACCTGGCCCTTGTTACGAAATGCGATCGCTACCGATCCGAGCGCGATAAAGCACGATATCCCACTCTCTTTGCTGATTGTGGCGCTGCGTAAAGCCCATATTGAATGTCATTTGAATGTCATGAATACTTGAAATGAGGAGATTTTGGCAACAGGAAATCTATGATTGTCCATAAGGTATACTCATGATTATTATTTGTTCAGTAGATAAACCTAGATTTATGAAGTGTGTCCTCTAAAGGTGTACAGTATTGAAATATTCCGACGCGGTATATGTTTAGTAAAACCCAAGAAGGTTAATTGCATAGCAGGTCCTTTATACTTAGGCCCTGCCGAGAGCTTCTTTTCACCTCCTGAAGTATCTCCTCTCTAGGTACGATTTGTGGATCGTCTTCAAGGGGCACTTCTTGCGGACGCTTGGGCAGAGACTCAGAGCTGATTGCGTGGCCACTAGGGGTTAGATCGGGCTCGAAAGATTGATTCTGTCCTATCAAATACATCCAGTGTTCATGAGACCCTTGGTCCGTATAATTTTGGCTGCCGTCTTGGTTGGCCATTAGCCTTTGGGCTGGATGGACGCTATCTTGATGGGTGTCGTATTCGCTTATAAAAATGAAGGACTCGCGGTTTATACTTGATTGATGACCTCTGCCATGGTTCAATAGATGGCGTCGTAGCGACCTCGGGGTTGCGAATCCTCGTCGTTTGCAGTTTTCGCGGTCGCATTTGAGTTTATCGTCTGGATGGAAGGTGTCTTGATGGACATTGCAAGTACTTTGAGTGCTGAATAATCTGTCACACTTGAAGCATTTATGGGTTTTGCGCGCCCTATATGCCTGATTCTGATGGCGATCGGGAAGCCCTGGGTTTGCGGATCCATCGCTTTCAGAGCCTTCATGGTGAGATTTTAGCCTTTTTTCTGAATAAACGCTCTTTTGATTGACATTGTCTTCTCCTTGTTTGCTGTGGTGTAATAGATGGCGTTGTAGCGACCCTGGGGTTGCGAATCCATATCGTCGTTTGCAGTTTTCGCGGTCGCACTTGAGTTCGTCGTCTGGATGGAAGGTGTCTTGATGGTAATTGCAAGTACTTTGAGTGCTGAATAATCTGTCACACTTGAAGCATTTATGGGTTTTGCGCGCCCTATATGCCTGACTCTGATGGCGATCTGGAGACCCTAGGTTTGCGGGTCCATCGCTTTCAGAGCCTTCGCGGTCGGAATTTAGCCTTTTTTTTGAATAAACGCTCTTTTGATTGATATTGTCTTCGCCTTGTTTGCTGTGGCGTAATAGATGGCGTTGTAGCGACCCTGGGGTTGCGTATCCATATCGCCGTTTGCAGTTTTCGCGGTCGCATTTGAGTTCGTCGTCTGGATGGAAGGTGTCTTGATGGTAATTGCAAGTTCTTTGAGTGCTGAATAATCTGTCACACTTGAAACATTTATGAGTTTTGCGCGCCCTATATGCCTGATTCTGATGGCGATCGGGAAGCCCTGGGTTTGCGGATCCATCGCTTTCAGAGCCTTCATGGTGAGATTTTAGCCTTTTTTCTGAATAAACGCTCTTTTGATTGACATTGTCTTCGCCTTGTTTGCTGTGGTGTAATAGATGGCGTTGTAGCGACCCTGGGGTTGCGAATCCATATCGTCGTTTGCAGTTTTCGCGGTCGCACTTGAGTTCGTCGTCTGGATGGAAGGTGTCTTGATGGACATTGCAAGTACTTTGAGTGCTGAATAATCTGTCACACTTGAAGCATTTATGGGTTTTGCGCGCCCTATATGCCTGATTCTGATGGCGATCGGGAAGCCCTGGGTTTGCGGGTCCATCGCTTTTAGAGCCTTCGCGATCGGAATTTAGCCTTTTTTCTGAATAAACGCTCTTTTGATTGACATTGTCTTCGCCTTGTTTGCTGTGGTGTAATAGATGGCGTTGTAGCGACCCTGGGGTTGCGAATCCATATCGTCGTTTGCAGTTTTCGCGGTCGCATTTGAGTTCGTCGTCTGGATGGAAGGTGTCTTGATGGTAATTGCAAGTACTTTGAGTGCTGAATAATCTGTCACACTTGAAGCATTTATGGGTTTTGCGCGCCCTATATACCTGACTCTGATGGCGATCTGGAGACCCCGGGTTTGCGGGTCCATCGCTTTCAGCAAGCATATCCTTCAGATACTTCGCTAGATGGCGATCTAGAGAGTCTTGGTCTGAAAATCCACAGATACGCTTGCAGCCTTTGTGGGGGCATTCTATATTTGTGTCTGGATGCACCGTATCTTGATGCCAATTGCGGGCGCGCATATTGGGGAACGATTTGTTGCAGTAAGAGCATCCAGCAGGCATATCCTTCGGATGCATCGCTAGATGGCGATCTAGAGAGTCTTGGTCTGAAAATCCACAGATACGCTTGCAGCCTTTGTGGGGGCATTCTATATTTGTGTCTGGATGCACCCTATCTTGATGCACATTGCGGGCGCGCATACTGGGGAACGATTTGTTGCAGTAAAAGCATCTAGAAGGCATATCCTTCCGATGCATCGCTAGATGGCGATCTAGAGACTGCTGGTGCGCGAATCCATAAGGTCGTTTGCACTTTTCGACATCGCATTTAAGTGTGTCGTCAGGATGGGCGGTGTCTTCATGAATGTTGCGATGTTGGACAGTAGCAAATGACTTCCCACAGGCGAGATCAAAGCAACTATGGGGTTCATCATTGCGATGAGTCACTAGATGATGGTGATGAAGACTGTGGTCGCCATAGTATTGGGGATTGTATTCGCGATGTTGAGGACCTTTTTCGCAAGAGAATGTCATCGCTAGCAAATCCAATGCGTCTCTTAACTCGTGAGTGAGAATGCGGTGAGGGAATAAGGGCGAGGTTTGTAGAAGCTCAAGGAGATGCTTATCGAATTCCCATTCAAGCAATAGATTTTGGGGTTCCCATTGTAGTGGTGGAATAAAACCTTTTTGCGAACACAGAGGTGACATGATCGACAAGCTGGCACAAAGGAGCATCATATCAACTCTGCTACCAAGGTCAGTCTGTGATGCTCGGTCTGTTGGTGTTTGCCTGAATTTTGCATATGGTCCTTGAGTAGAAACCCTTTCCACCTGATAGAGTAGACGGTAAAGGTACTCTCGTAGATGCTCCTCTGTAATTTTCAAATGAAAAGGGCTGTTTTCATTTATCCACTGATGGATAATCTCCCATGCTTTGTGTACATCCGTATTGGTCGCTTGCAAACTGCTATTTGCCGTCTGAGAAAATTGATCTGGACCAATATGAGGTTCCCAGTCCTCCTCTTTACGCTCAGCGATTTCTTGGAGCGGATGGTGGTCGACTGGCAGTGGCTGTACGCAAGAGTGAAGAAAAACGAAAGATAGAATGAGAAGTAGCTGTGAGAATGAAAACCGGCTACTCATCATGTTTGTAGGGTAGATTGATGTGGATTGGAAGGGTTGATTCATTTTGATAAAACACGATATGCTTCAGGTTGGTATAGTAAGATGTAGAGGAAAGGAGAAATCAAAATCAGATGTAGGCTGTGGGTGCTAATTTATGTTCCTAAAATGGTATAGTGCAAACCGCGTACCCTAACTTATTCGTGGTAGCCTATAGGTAGCATTTGTTAATCTCATTCTTATCCTCTTTTCCCTATGTATCCAGCTCTAAGGAAATGCGTTACACCTACTTTTTGAATAGTAAATGTAAAGGAAAGCTCAATTTACGACTTTCAAATGTCGCTTCATTTCATAGCTTCATAGCAGGGTATATAACCTGAAGAATTCCCGATAGATTTACTGTTCGAGGCCCAAGTCCCATGTTAAGATTCTTCCCCTATCGGCATGATTGAATTAAAAGAAAGCCAGGTTTCCCGAGATCGGTAATAGCTACATGACATATTTTAAGTCCAGAGACTCTTGCTAAGGTTCTCCTTCATCTGTTCCTCCCCTTGAATCTCTAAAATAGCATTTCCAGTTCACTCATATCAACGGAGCTTCGGATTAAACGCAGCCACTGCCTCCTTTCCCATGCTTGTCGACATCACTTCAGAATATTTCAAGATTCTCCCCGACGTTCCTTTCGCCCCTTTCTGTCTAACTTCAACGGATAAGGTATCAATGACTGGCTTTGATTTTCCCTCCGGGTAGATGTAATTGATGGCCCAAACTTTGACAATCTCCCGATGGCTACTATTAGTGTCGCCCTCTGGTATTCCGGAATGTATATCTGCCCGAACGTTCATAGGGGCAGAATATTCCATATTTCCCCCCAACTGCGGAGCAACAACAATATTTCCGTCCCTTTGACAGTGCCTCTCATCAGAAGGGCTTGTTAAGTGTTCGTCCCTTTCATAGAAGCATGATTCTATTGTGTCCAGAAAGGGAAGTTTGCTCTGGACCCCTTAGCATAAATACCAAGTGAAATCATTGTAGTGTTCGTACCTTGAGGACAGATAAATACTGAGTAAGTTGCATCGTTGTGGACGGCTGGTTCGACTGTTGAAAAAAGTGATAGTAGTGTTGGTTGATAATCCCGATGTGATCGAGTACCCGTGGACCACAGTCAGAGAAGAGGACTTGGGGCTTCTAATATTATAATCATTATCAGGGGAAATATGCTGATCTACAAGGCCAGGTGTCTAGGATTCAGGCTACGTCAAAACCTGACCTATACTAACCATTTATGGATGATTATGTGACACCCCTGCCCGTTCCCAGGTTCTACTTGTCCTCTGATTTCCGCCATTCATATTGAAAGTCTACGAACGTGCGAGATGTAACGTGCGTATCAGAATGATATGATTGTGTGGTATGGAGAAGAGAGAGTCTGAGTCTATCTAGAGAGAGAGGATATGGTTGTTGCGGTCACCTGACCTAACAGAAAGCCAAGGCCGCTTTCTCCGCAGAAATTCGCAGAATACCCGTCTATGCTTTACATCATCCTGTATGAATTTCTACAGGCGATATAAGCCCCTTAAGCACTTTTTCAGAAAATGGGCAGAGCCAATATAAACTCTACAGACAGCACTCAGCGGTTATGCACAAGCGATGATTTTTTGGAAATCAAACATCATGCAATCGCTTCAATCCGCGCGGGAACCATGCTGGCTCGAGGCGAGCTTTCGTTCGGCTAGAGGGGCTAGCCAATAGAGATTCGGACAATAAATGAGTGTAAGAGCTTTATGTGGCTAATTTACATAGGAAGTTACACGTAACTGTTCTCTACTATAATGATTAGAATCCAAAACATCCCAATTGAAGATCACAGACCTCGAATTCCCCGCTTGTATTGTAGTTTTACATCTCTAATAATTGGCATCTTCTTTCGAGCTCCCAACTCAGATATTGTCGGGATTTTGACTCGGCTCAATAAGCGACGGGTTTTCGACAAAGAGACCTGGTGGAAGCGCTTGAAGATTTAGGAGACTCCATCTGCTATAATATCTAATATGGCTTTGTAAAATTCATGGAATTACTTCCTGATGATCCGGCTTTCTATATTGAATCTGCCCCCTTTGGTTCTCGGGAAATATCAGGTCTGCTAGTGCTTTCAAAAGTCCATGTGCAGATCTAGACACAAACTCTCAAGTACTGACAGATAGTATTTATTCAAATTACCAGTATTGCACAGCAGAACATATTTGTGGGCGATTCAAAGTAGGCATCATATTAGTTATACGCCTAGTTGAGATGACTAAAACGGAGCGCCAGGTCTGAGTATGAATGACAGGTCATTTCGTAGAGCTCTCTTAGCCGAGACACGGTGGTTCCTTCATTGCTCATTTAGCGATGCTTTGGACAATTGGTATTTCGCTTCGTGGAGCTCGCTTGGCTGGTTGGCTTCAATGTCTGACATTGCTTGTTCGCTTTCTTTGCCTCGTCACACCAGTTCACGCCATCCTCGGTAGGATCAAATAAAATGCAATTCTTCTCCGATTTCTGAGTGCAGTTTGGAAATCTGGCTGGAGTTTTGCGAACTTCCCAACACATTTTTGTCCTTCGTCATGGATCAGTAAGAAAATTTCTAGGATTCATAAGAAGGAAAGCTTACCGAGATGAGGTAAAATCTTGTTTAAACAGAAGTTATAGTATTGTGATGACTATCTATCCTGCTGAAGGTGTTTAGGGACTAGTATTGAGAAATCGACATTCCTAGATCTACTTATGCAAAACATTGGCTCTAGAACATCGGGCCCGTAATTCGACGCCTAGTACGAGAATTTAGAAAGAGGGGGTGGTATATTATTCTATTGGTTGGCAAGAGCCTGGTGGGACGCTAATGCACTAACTTATTAAATCCTGCATAAAGATCTAAATTTAGTCAAATTTTCAGTGACATGTCACTGAAATTTCCGCCGATCGGCAAAAATAAAAAAATGGGTGATTATTGTGCGCTTATTCCATTGGATAACATCATCATGGTGGGAAACTAATGCACTAACTAATTGAATCCTGCATGATTACTTAAATTTAGTAAAATTTTCAGTGACATGTCACTGAAATTTCCACCGATCGGCAAAAAATAAAAAGAAATTGGTGATGCTTATGGGCTTATTCCGTGAGTGAGCTATAGCCTGTGGTGAGGCTATTTATGCAGTGATTAAACCACTATATGATGACGTCAATCAAGGGATGATTTCACTGACATGTCACTGAAATTTCCATTCAATTTTTGGCGAAGACGAAAGTTCACTTTAATCGTATACAAACCATTCTAGGAAGCCTTAGTAATAGGGCCAATGTTTATGTATAAACTAGACACTTTAGGAGAGACTACGAGAGACCTCGTTCTTCTTATGCATTCAAACGACTTTTCACCTCAAACATTCGAGTTGATAACTTAGCTATGTTATCTAAGCTACGCGCACTTTTTAGAAGGCTTCAAATAAAGCGGAATCCCAATCATTCCAACAAGCTCATCACCGTGATGAAAAGACCAGAGGTTCATTACGGTGAGTTTTACAAGCCTCATCTCCATATAATATTGCTGATAATTTCACATATACTTAGATCCTGGAGACTTCGAACGTAACAGCACAGAAATACCACCATTTCCGCCAAACCAATGGTGACTTTTGATGAGTTTATGGTGGCTATGATTGTGTTATATCTATTTGTGGTACTCATTTGTGCGCCCATAAAGGCCACATTTAGTACACAAATAGAATAGGTAAGGAACACTAATAGGGACAGGTGATGGTAAGATTTTGAAAATATGAGGCTAATGAATGCCTCCTAGCTTTCTTCTGAATCACAAAAACCAAAGGACATCAATCGAGTGCCTAAGCGTGTTATCATTTTAGGATTATCAGGGGAGCTGGGGAAGAGCAATTGGAATAAAGAGCCTCAATCATATCTTGATTGGATCTTGGATAACTCTACACTTCTAGCAGTTCAAATTAGAATGACTGAATAGTGGTGCAAGGGTCTGAGGCTACAATTAACCTTATTCCATCTACGGAGTTAGATTGGTTCAAGCCATTCCTACATCTCCAGCCTGCATTTTGGATGACCATGAATATATTATATCATTATCCGTTCGACTACAAGTCTACATCCAAAACCAAAACTACCTAAGAGACCTTTGTCGTTTTTTATATGTTTAAAACATCAATGTTCATTTTGCACGTGCCGTCGGGTTGTAAAAACGCGGCCCGAAATTCCTTGCCCCACCTAATCTAGTCACGAGATGACAAATATTGCCATTCTGCCCCGCCCTTTCCCTCCTGTTATGCCGACAAACGAGAAGCCCCTAACTACGCCATCTATCTTCTTTCTATTCCGGCAGAAGATCTATGCAATGTCCGAATCTCAACCCCGAGCTCTCGAATCCAATGTTGTGACGAATGGCGCTGCGCAGGCCTGGACAGAAGTCTCCAAATTCGTCGAGCATCTCCCGATCCCGAGTCGATTACCGTTTTCGCGTTTCTTCCCAACCGAGACCTGCGCGATACCTATCAAAGCATCCCTCTCAGAGTATATGGCAAGTCTTTTCCCGCTTGGCAACTAAATCGTTCCTAACCCCTGCCCTTACTAGGTTAATTCCTCGCGGAACGCGCAAATCGAAAATTGGAGGGAAGGCGGATTCGTTTTCTATCCAGTCCCTGGGGAAACAAAGACAAAGATCGCTCATTCATTTACTATTATGATCCCTCTCTATATAAATGGCGAAGCTGAAATCGGAGATTTAAAGTTGGATACAGAACACTATTACTATCTGCCAAAGGATACATCCATTCATGTACAAGGAGAAGGGGCCAAGGCTGTGTTATTGCTATTGTCTGATTTTACCTGAGATTCCTCAAGATAAAGCATAAAATCGTCTGTGGATACACATAGGCCTTGGCCGTCATTTAATATCATGGCTATTTGATCATTATTATTACGTTAGTAGGTACTTTTATTCTTCTAAGGTTTTCTCTTTTTAATTGGGACACTCGCTTGCTTTAGATTGCTTATGATAGGGGACACCCTATTTAAGTCCTAAATGAATATTATGAAGAGGTACTATTATGATTTCAATATTTAATAAACCCGCAGCCAGCCCTTATAAGTCTGTCGCTCCTACAACTACAACTCCTACAACTCCTACAACTCCTACAACTCCTACAACTCCTACAACTCCTACAACTCCTACAACTCCTACAACTCCTACAACTCCTACAACTCCTACAACTCCTACAACTCCTACAACTCCTACAACTCCTACAACTCCTACAACTCCTACAACTCCTACAACTCCTACAACTCCTACAACTCCTACAACTCCTACAACTCCTACAACTCCTACAACTCCTACAACTCTATCATGTCCATGCTATGCTCATCTCTTCGGGAAGCATATAGCAGAGGGTTGAATCTCGCAAATATAGTCAGCATCACAGAGGTTGATCAATCTATCTCTCAACTCCGCGAGCAGTTTTGCCTTGTCGATCTTTGGATGGCTGGCGTTTCAATTATGACCGAGCATGGGAATAGCATGTATTCTTATCATATACAACGGGACCATGTGAATGGCTCTGGAGGCGGTAACTGGGAAGGAGCACGTGGAGCATATGTCAAAGAGGATATTACTTTGCTTGGTACTGCTAAACGAGAGTTTGAAAAACTGGATCATACGCCGACATTGGCGGACAGCTGTGTTATCTACTTCGAATTTCACAGAACTGGAGAGTCTGTCACTATCCGAGGAATTGTCACATTTGTCGTGAATTATGACAGAATCCCAATGAGAGTATGGACCGAGAAAGGGCCTGAAGGGTCGTCTTCGATGAAACTGAGTGACGATCAGGTTGATGATTGTTGGATGACGAAAAGTCAAATTATTGACGCTGCTTTACATGAAAATTGTAAAGACCCAAGAAAGTTCAAGATGCTTGAAAGTGAGCAGACAATCCTGCTTGCTGCGTTCAGAGTTCTGGAAAGACGTGCCTAAAGTCAAAGGCATAAATGACGTTTACGCCTTCATTTCTTTCCCTTTACTTTACATATATCTATCTTGAAGAATGAAACCTCTCACTTTAAGCTGATTTGTCCTCATTCTCTTGAAATTTAACATATATCAAATTAGCGCAGGCTGAATTAAACGAGGTGAGAGTGGACTGTGACTAAGATATGATCTTAGATGGCACTTCAAGAAAAAATCACCCACAACGAGTTACATTAAATATTATTGTGTTGACACTCCTGTCTTGCGCCAAATCTCATCACTAAGAAAAAAAAAAGAAAATCAATCACGCTCAAGTAACAATACTGTGATTCTGCGATTGCAGGCCGGGGGAACAATATTGGCTGAAATGTGTAGGTGTATGATCTCTTGGCTGATGCTGTATGGGGCGGCTTTGAGAGTAAGACTGGTGTGTATCATGAATTGATAATGGAATTTGGCTTTCTGGCCACGGATCCACCAGAGTTGTTCGCGATAATGTGGAGCGTGCGCTCTGAAAAGAAAATGGGTCTGTCGAGTTGCGCTGTGAAAGTTGCTCGATTGGATTCTGCCGTTGTAGATAGGTAGATGGGCGTGGACTGTGCGGTGGATTCGTGTTCTGGTAATTTAATGGGCATGGCTTTTTTTGTTGGTAGCCAGAGGCTTCTAGGGGCCGGATTTGAAGTGGCCGGTCTGGTAGATTTTGCTGTTGATAGCTAGGGTTCTGTTGAAGGTGTGAATTTGTATACGGCTGATACGGCGGTGGATTTTGCTGTTGATAGCCAGAGGACTGTGGGAGGTGTGAATTCACACACGATACCCGGTGCGGTGGTAGATTTTGACCTTGATAGCCAGAGGGCTGTGCGAGGCTTGAATTCCCACACGATACCTGATGTGGACTTGGTTGGGGTTCAGAGGCCGGCGGGCAGTGTGGATTCGCATATGATACTTGATGCGGTGGTGAATTTTGCTCCTGATAGCCGGAAGCCTCTGGGAGTGGGGAATGTGGTGGATTCGGACACCGCAAACCATGTGATTGAGAATTTGCTTCGAGCATTGTATGAAGGAAATATTGATCCTCACTCTGTGAATAGAAAGGACGTACAGAGTCGTCCTGGTAAAACGGGAATGGCCCAAGAGGGTTTGCCTGCGAATAGGAAGTGTAGTCGACTATGTGCACTGGTTCTTCATTCAGCTCCTGCAATGATTGGGCCCATGTCTGCCCGAGACGTTCTCCAAACCCTTCCTCGGTCCTGCAACTTTCCGATGCCTCGGGCCATTCTTCGGGTGAATCCTGATGCTCACTATGACTTCGGGACCTCTGCGACCCCTCTTGCTGGGTGGAACTCCTATTATTACATAGTATTTCGGGCGAGTCTAGATCGCATGGTACATCACCTGTCACTCGTCAATTCAATAAAACCCCTAGTCCATAGTTAGAGACATACCAAAATCTGAATGTTGACCGTTATCATCGGATTTATCGAAGCTTTCAAGAAGAGACGAAACATGAAATTCAATGATCTCATTCGCGACCTTGTTGGCGCCTAATTTCGTCGCCTCTGTTTTGATACCGAGTGAGATGAGCCTTGCCACCAGTTTAGTTCTTCTTGCCGCTTTATTGGCTTGACCAAGGGCCCTGTTGAAGTAAGAAACTAGAAGTCATTGTTGATCCTGGGACACTAACCACGTCAGACTTAGGTCTATGAAGAAAAGCGACCCCCGGCCACCAAGCTCTCTTGCAAGGCGCGAAAACTGCTTTCCTGCCTTGATCCAATCCCTTAATTTGCTGTGCACAGTCTCTTTATCCAATTTCAAATTTCTAGGAAGTCCATCATATATCGTGTTGATAGTTTTTTGTTGGATGTAACCGCCTGGAGAGATTTCCTCGCTTATATCAAATAGAATCACAGTGTAGATGACTAGTTTGACTTTTTCGACATGACATAACTTTTCTGCTTTTAGGCAGTTAAGAAAGGTAGCCACAATCGGCTCTGGTTGGCGCTCTTGCCCTAGAAGAGACAAAGATTGGTTCCCGACGAGAGGATCTTCAATATTGGCGGGCAAGGAGAAGGTGGCGACGTTGGCTTTCCAACAGTCAAACTCCTCTTTTACCTCTGATGGGAGTCCAATAGCGCAGTCATTGTTGATCTGTATTCGTCGGGGCTTTCGTGTTTGTAGCTTTAAGGTATTGGTTTGCGATTTGATGATTTGGACGCATTCCTGGAGCCTAGGATTTAGTATTATAGCGAATCGTTTGAGGATAACGCACCTGAGATAGACTATGGAAATGGATGAATGCTTCACCCTTACTTTCCGCGATGTTGCATGCTTTCGTCAGTTCTGCAATCACTAATCTGGTTGCAATAATGCCCATTTTGACTCCTATTGTAGAGAAAAGCTGAAGAGGGAAAAGAGCGGGGCGGGGGAAGGTTGGGACTATTAGGTCTAGAACGTTGAATTGGGGCCAAACTGGTCACATGCAGGCTCATCACAAAATTAGTAATGACCCATTGATTCTGTATCTCATTCATGTATTTTTCAACCTATCAGGCTAGCGCCCCCGCTTTGACCATACCAGCACTGCCGCCGTAGCGAGTAGCCCAAACACCATAGTTGGTCCAGAATTTGAAAACGTACATAGGCGCGACAAGAAACCAACAGGTTGGTCTTCGAGCCGTGATTTGGGGGTTTTATGATAAAGCAAAGTTAGAGCTCGCACCAAAGCATCAGCGCTACGAATTTCTCCTTTCCAGCATGATTCAATGATAGGACCAATTCGTAGGCTCTCCGTGGATGGAAGAAACTGCCGTTTTGGCCAACAAGCACGGTCGTCTAAAGGGTCATCCTCCTTATATAGAACCACCTCGCACTTTTCTCCAGTCTCAACTTCATAAAAGACAGCAGCTAGAAGACGAATATCAAGCTCGACCGTGTAACCAAGGTCATCAACCGAACCCATATCGGTATCCATAGGGAAAAGAGTAGACTCTGTGAAATCGCAAAACTTGATAGAAAGATCCGAGTCCACAAGGAAGTTTCGACTCGCAATATCAGCGACAAGCACCCTTTGGCTATGTATATATGCAAGGCCAGAAGCCATAGCAAGATACCATGATAATTTCTGCGATCGGGATGGTTGATTCTTTGTCAGGAAGGAGCGCAAGTCGCCATGTTTCATCCAGGCAAGTTCTGTGCGGTTCGAATAAATATTGACACAGTGAACGATATGGCAGCAAGACCTCCCGCTATGTTGTAGACGGCGGTAAACTTCCTGCTCTTTCCGAATGACTGATAGGTGAGAGTTGAAGTCCGATTCAGAGGTCCATCGGTATCGCAGTGGCATCTTAACCGCCAATTCGTTTCGAATGATCACAAGAGCCGTGCCGCCATTCCCTAAGATTTGGTCTTCAGGGACTGGGAGACCATCAACATCCAAAAATGGTGAGGGCATTGTCAAAGGGTAGAATGCTAGGATGATTGATAAGTCCAGGGGCAGAACGGAGGGGAGTGTTCGTGACATTCAGGGAACACACTAGTCCCGTTTAAGGCTAGCGTGCAGGAGGACATCCTAGGAAGAACTGTTTATCCGGTTATCTATGATATATACGTAGCCCTTGGTCTATGTACATACAGTAAATTATTTCGTATGTTGCAATTAATCAAGGATATTTGCTCTGCTACTAAATAGCTTATCTGGAAAGCAGTGAGGTTGCATTCAAGCATTCAAGAATTCAATCCCCTTGATTGGCTTATATCCAAGCACTTTTAGCGCCGCTCCTCGTCCAAATATACTCTCAACGGAAACTTTGTTTCCTATCAGTTTGCAGTTGGAGTATCGCTTAGGTTAAGGCCACTGAATAATGGCTTTAATATATAATTTGTGATTGCGTTGTGATCTATTGCTTCAATGGGGACCGATGTACATAGGAGTTCATTGTGGTGGATCGTATACGGAAGTGGCTTGTAAATAAGCATCAGGTATTTCTCATTCGTGGATCAGAGAACCTATAGCGCCGCTGGACATTACCCTCTACGGACTGATATACGTAACGCAAAGTCAGTCACTGTCTCACTAGGAGGGGCACTATCCAATAATTATGCACCAGAGTTCAGCTAGGGGTCAATGCACGGGGTATCATCCAATAACTTTACGCGAGAGTCTAGCTAGAGGTCAATGCACCGATGGCGCAATTGATCCTCAGCCTCACCCGGTTCTCACCGAACTCTCACCCTATCTATTGCATACTCACCCTTCTCACCCCTGGTCGCGCGACACTAAAGCGGCTCTCACCTATTTCTCACCCCGGTGACACCCACCCGACTATTAGCCGCATTGAAGCCACACGCCGGTTAGTTAGTAGTATGGTGGGTGACCACATGCGAATCCTAACTGTTGTATGTTTTTTTATTTACATTTTTAATTCTGTTGAATAGCTTCTTTATGAAAGCTATTTTGCCCTCTCACCGTCAATTCCGTCAATTCCTTCAACCCCTCCACCTGAATGCTCTGAGCACCACTATTTCGCATCTCAGTATCCTGCAAGCCCCTGAACGCTGACATTTACTTGCTTCCCCACCTGTGCTGACTATTCCTCTCATATACGTTGTTTCGGTCACAACGCTATGGTCTAGTCTTGGCTACATGTTTCAATCTTCTTGATACCCCCAAAACTTGCTTTCTCGCAGTTTGCTTCCACCAATTGAGTCTGCTAAAATACTACTCTTCTCCTTCCAAGCTTCCGAACCCCACATCTCGGAACACAGATTTTGAACTTGTTACTGACGTCTTTCATTGTGGTGTGGAGGCACAAGCTACGGGTTTGTAATTACTTTAGGCATGACGGTGAAGAAGCAGCCACCTCTTAAGGTCTTGTTGCCTTATGTATGTGTTGATGCTAATTACTTGACTTAAATGAATTTGTGTTTGAGATTGGCATTTTGACTTGCAAGAGACTCGGGACTCAGGACAGAGCACTCATATATTTTTGTCTTACTTGATATATACACATTGGTTTTCAATATTACTGCCAAATCAACCCTTTAATGTCTTGTAATTTCATTTTCCTTGATACCATTCAATACTCTATACTCTCCGGGGCTCCTTGTATGTTTTTTGCTTAGCTGCTTCTTGATTCTATGGAAAGGTCCGACAACAGATCACCCAAATGTATCCAATCAAGGCAAAAGCACCAAAGCCAACTCAAATCCAATCGAATCCCCAAAAACATATCCTCTAAAGCCAAAGCCACATACAACTCCATCACTCCATCCCCATCTCCTCGTCAGTAGGCCTCATACAAGAATCTGCCAACCCAGTAACCTTCCACTCCCCATGAATCTTATGCAGAATAAAAAGCTCCACACCAACATGATCCACAACCCCGTTGATCTTCGCCCTGAAAGGAGCCCAAACAGCCGCAAGATTACCGCCTTCGTGCACCTTGATCTCCGGATCCCAGATCCGCTCATCAACATCATCCTGAACAGTCGCCATGTACTCGATGAACGAGCCGATTGTGCAGAAACGGAGGGATGTGGATGTGGGCGGCGGAGGGGAGAGGGACATGCCACCAGCCCGCACGCAGTGTCTTTCGAAGTCGAGTCGGGATTTGGTGTTCAATGCTGAGAGGAACCCGTTTGTGACTGCTATTATTGAGTCGATTTCTTTGGACGCGGAGGCTCCTGGGGTGAGTATTCCCCTGCACATGATCGAGATATGATGTGGATATGGAGTTGAGCTTGGAATGATGAGATTGAAGGAGCAATCGGTGTGTGGGACGAGATTGCAAATCGTACCGTGGAGAACATGGGGATTGTAAATGGCTTCTTTTGTCTTTTGCTACTGATATACGTTGCTCGAAAGGGCAATTGTTGATGCGTTTTGGTTATTGCAACGTTGCAATGTGGCTCGGTCAATTGCATGCTGTATGACCCTTGTCCCTAGGAGTCTAGGATCTGGGTTTGCGTCATACGGAAGATATCAATCTCGACTCTTGGTATTACCTTGGAAACTCTGGAGTCACCATTCTAGAGACAAGATAGTCGATGAGAAACGCGAAGAATGAAAGGGCTGAAACAGAGTGATATGTAATCGATTGGAACCAGAGGGCTGCCTTCGGCTGCTGATATGTGCAAATTCAAGTCATCGTCTAAAATGTAACTCGACCCCACACCCGGAAATCTATCTACAGGGGCGGATGTAAGGAAAGTTTTATCTAATTCTTTTTGCCCCGAAGGAGCTCCCAGCCGAGAGACCCGTTCCGGCCCTCCTTGGTAGTCACCTCCTCGACCGCCTTGATAAGATCGTAGGTGATTTCCTCGGACACGACACTGTCCTGCTTATAGCTTGGGTGCTTGGCTACAAACTCGCGGATCCAACGAGCTCCCGTCCATAGTGTACCGTCGGCGCGTTTGCGGATGAGATCGAGGTAGCTGGCAAGGAAGCAACGTGTCTCGACGTCCACATTGACGCTGTTTAAGTAGGACTCCACAAGCGGGATGAGACCGGGGAATGAACCATCCGTGCTGCCATTAATGATGTCGGAAATGGTCATTAACTCATACTCGACCTCGACTGGGCCAAGAGGAGGGGACGGTGGTGGCGTGTTGATAGCTGAAGACGTTGTAGAGGAAAATGTACTGCCGTCTGAAGACTGCTGGGTGGACACCTTGGGGGCTCGTGCCGAGAAGGGATCCTTGCGGAAGTAGAACTTATGATCGAGAACAGCATTACGAGCATGAGCAGTCTCCATGTTTTCAGTGGTACGCTGAATGGGTATGTAGAAATTGAGGTCAAAGCTCAAAATGGCACGAGTGACCAGGACGATGAAGATGCTGAATGCCGCATTCTCGAAATCGGTAATCTGGATCTCCATGGAGCGGAACTCGACCCGCCAGCCAATGTCGTCTTTCTCGGACGGTGGAGGCTTGAAGCGCATGTGTTGCCAGTTTGTGGATTGAAGATTCTCGAAATGGTCACCCTTGCTCAAGTCGAGTTCCTCAAGATCCTCAGAGAAGATCACCAAGGGATCACGAATGAAGAGATGGGCAAAATGTGTGGCAAGTAAATCATCCATGCCTCCATCCATCAGTCGCTTTTTAATGTCATGATCAATGACCAAATCCGGGTCAAAGTATTCCTTCCGCAGCCTAGAGTCTTCAGAGATATAAGTCGAGTTAGAGGCATATCGGGACTTGGGAATCCTCCACCGGTCATTTTTGAGAGGCTGTTCAAAAATAAATTAGTACAAAGATCCAAGCTTGACCAAGGTTTGGGAGAAAAGAACTTACAGCCTCTCCAAGTTCCTCGGGAGTCCTGTCATCCACTGCTCTGCTAATCTGGTTCCATCGCACATCTGTATCCACGAGGAATCCCTTGTAGATTGGCGTGGCTGCGGTAAGAGCCAAAAGAATCGGACCTAGGGGGCTCAGCTGATCATAAAGCCTTCTACCTTCAGTCATATTCTTTGCCTGAAAGGTGATCTGCAAGCAGCAGCTACCCATGCCGAACGCCATGGCGTCCATGTAGACATGATCATCCTTGACAGCACCATTACGCACATCATCATCCTCGGGCCAGAGGTGCAGATCATAGTTGACGGTGGGATCTTTAAAGGGCGAGGGAGTGTTCTGATCCTTGAAGATAGGCACGTTTAATTCAACCTTACGTCCTCGTCGGGAACGAATGTTGGCGGCCAATGTCGGGAATCGGATGTGTGGGTTGGCAATCTCATCGGGGACGAATTGGGAGCGAAGAGCTGGCCCTGACGGTGGGTAATAAGGCTGGATATAGTCATCCTTCGTGCCCAGCCGAGGGAATGTCGTAAGAGTTATGGGCGACTCATTAGGTGCCATGTGCGCCTTGGCAACCTCTCGTCTTGAGAAGATCAGTAGTTGCTCATAGCCAATGAACGAATTACGTACCGCCACTTCATATTGGATTCCACCTTCAACAAGTCTTTGAACCCAATGCCCCATGGACTCCCTGGAGTGGCCTCCAGCATGAAGCGTCCAAACTCAGGGTGGAAATGTGGGGGATCTTCGCCGGCACTAATTAATTGTCAGAATCTCTGCTCATGCTCTGCAAAGCACAGATCAACACTTACTGCTCCCCATCGGCGTCGTTCCTAGACGAACCAGATTGCCACAGAGCCTCATCCCGAGCGAGAGACTTCAGAATTTCGGCCTGTGCCAAAGATAACCGAGCCTTCTTGGCTGCATCATCGAGAGACACCACAAGATATTCGACCTAATATCCCCAAAGCGAAAGGTAAGCCTCCTCCACACCAGTATAATTTGCTTGTTGATCGTACTTCGTCGCCCCACAAGAGGACGTCCCGTTCCTTGCCTCGCGCTCGACGCCAATTCGCTAGGAGTTGCTGCATAGCTAGTTAGGTCATGCCCCAGAAATGAACAGCCCCGCTGGTCTGTCTCGACAGTTGCATGCTCATACCTCAATTCCCCACTCGCGCACCTGATGGGCCCTCTTCTTCGCCTCCGGCCATTCGAGAGGAGTTCCAAGAGCACTAGAGGCAGGTTAACGACCCTCCACGCGCTTCACTGAAACAATAATCACACACAGCAGTCCCATTGTTACTGGCCTTTCACGTTCGGTATTGCAATTCTCGAAATGCCGATCAAGCCCAAATGACGAATAGATAGGAAGGCACCCTCAACCCACCGCAGGTCCAAAGGTCGGGAGATGTTGAGACGGGAAGGAAGATATTAATGAAAGTTTCTGAAAGAACTTCAAGTCAAGCCGCGCATGGGCCCGTTCCGACCGGTTCTTTTGAATTCTTGCATTGAGGGGGAATTTTCGTCGTAACAGTTCCCGGCGGGGCAAGATCTCGGCGATAAGAATCGGATTTCTAAGCAATCAGGTGATGCCGATTACTGTCATTCTTTGGATTATTTGATCTGTGTAATGGCCATGGTCGAAAAACTTGTTCTACGAGCCATTTGACTCTTTTCAGTATTCTGGGTGGGCGGTCTTCTTGAGTATCTATACATTGATGAGCAATCCTCATCCTTGTCAAGAGGAATGCCGGCTGACTCGATCCCCGCGGAGTAAGAGCGCCACGCCGTTGCTGACCCCAGCCATCTCACAACACTGTTCCAGTCGCAAGCTTGGACAATTCCATCCCCTGCAGGGTGTGGTTAGATCTGCAAGCCATTACCAATGCAAACAAGCGGCATCAGAAATATGGCTGACAAATCCATGATTACCGCTGGTGCCGCTTGTGAATTGCGTCCCAGTGCAACTCACATGCTTTGGTGTATCTTCACCCTGTATATTCGCTCCGACATTCGGAGGCAAAGCTGAGCCCCCAATGGCACTGTCAAGTTTATGCAATAAGCAACCAAAAAATCAAACCAAGCTCATTTGGTAATCGGGAATTCTTGACCCCAGAAAAGCAAGGAAATTGAAAAGAGAAAAAGAACAGTCCTTAACGCCATAAAAGGCAGTCCATGAGCAGTCTCGAGATATCATATATGTACATAACCTGCTGCTTGTCCAACAGCTCACACGGAAACACACAACGCAAAGTCGGCAAGCTCAGTTGCTGCGGGCACCATCCTTGGCAGTGCGCAGCTCGTCCATCTTGGCCACCCGCTTCTTAAACTCGTCGTACTGGCACTTCTCGTAGGTATGACGCTCGTTCTGGTGACATAAAAAAATTAGCCTGGGTATACCGCGGGAATGCGCCTGACTGAGGGAACCATTCATAGCGCAGGGTGAAGGACCGTACCTCACACTTCCACGGAAGGTAGTACTCTGCTTGCCGGCACCGGTTCAAAGGGATCAAAAGGTGTGCGCATGAGTCGCGGTATTGCATGGGGAGACGGGCCTCGGACATCTCCTGGCGGGTGGCTGAATCGAGCATGATGTTAGCTAAATCTGGGTTTGAGAAGGCTCAATGGATTGGATTCGTACCGGAGGTCTCCGCAAGGCCCACAGCACTTTTGACCGACTCGGCAATAGTCATTATGACAAGAATTGGGGTGGTTGAGACGGTCGGGAGGAGGGGGGGACAGGCACAAGTGGTGGGGATGCAGGCTGGCCTTCGCTTTGAGGTATCTCGTTTGCTCGCGGATACAGAGTCATGTGATATATGTGCCACGTGATTGGCCGATATCCCTCAGTCACGTGACAGAAAACAATAATGAGTGACTCACGTGATAGTGAATGATCGAGTATTATATAATTCACTAATCAGGTTAGCGCACAAAATCCACTTAACGCGGTATCAACCCGCGTCGCTGCGCGTACTTTGATGGCATCCTGGACTCCACCCAGCAATTCTATTTCCAACGCTCTTTGTGCAATTACCACCTCGTGCATGAAATGCATCAATCCTGACTCATTTGTGAAATCAATTGTCTTTGTGAATATCCTCAACGTTTCTCGGGCGCCTAAGTGCGGGCCACATCGCCGCTCGGAAACGTGCTACACCACCGAGTCTCACAGCGATTCATATAGCAAACATGGATTCCATTTACTCGGCCACCTACAGTAATGTGAGTTTTTTATTAAGCAAAGTCGCTCGGCCGCTTGGCAAAGCAAACATTGTGCTTGTTTCTCTTTCCTGGATGCTAATTCCGATCCAGGTGCCGGTCTATGAATTCAAAATCGATGGCGACAGTATCATGCGACGGAGATCGGATGATTGGGTGAATGCAACTCATGTGCTTAAAGCTGCTGGTTTCGACAAGCCTGCGAGAACTCGGATCCTGGAACGGGAGGTTCAGAAAGGAAATCATGAGAAAGTGCAAGGTGGTTATGGAAAATACCAGGGTGCGTTGTGACAGCATAGGATCAAAGGAACGAAACCTAAATTGAATGAAATTGACTGACCCCGTGACCAACAGGTACATGGATTCCACTCCAGGAGGCTCGCCTGCTAGCGGAGCGCAACAATGTTCTCGCCAAGCTGGCACCTATCTTCGATTACGTTGCCGGTGACCGCAGCCCTCCACCTGCACCCAAACACACATCTGCGGCCTCAAAACCCCGTGCTCCGCGTAAATCTGCCAAGAATCCCGTGGCCGTCGCCACAGAGGCCTTCTCCGTGATCCAACCAACTCCAAATCGATCCATGGGCCCTCCAACCCTTACCCACGAACAATACGAGTTGAGCAACGGCTTCGATGACAACGAGTCCATCGAACAGGCAAATCTCGAATCCTCCTCAATGATGGCAGATGAAGATATGCTGCAAATGTCTCACGGAGGGCGAAAGCGCAAGCGCGGCATGAACGAAGGTCCCACTATGACCATTACTGAACAGGAGCACATCATGTATGGTGATCAGTTGCTCGATTATTTTATGACTGTTGGCGATGCACCACAAGCGACACGCATTCATCCTCCAGTCCCTCCCGCCCATTTCCAAATCGACCGTCAAATCGACGACTCAGGTAACACGGCACTGCACTGGGCTTGCGCTATGGGCGATTTGGAGATTGTCCAAGATCTACTTCATCGAGGGGCCAATGCCAAGTCACTGTCCGTTCACGAAGAGACCCCACTTGTTCGAGCAGTGTTGTTTACGAATAACTACGAAAAACGAACTTTCCCTACTCTTCTGGATGTGTTGCTGGACAGCATAACATTCCGGGACTGGTTTGGAGCTACCATCTTTCACCACGTCGCTGAGACCACCCGGAGCAAAGGAAAATGGAAGAGTTCTAAGTACTACTGCGACGTCCTTCTAGATAAGCTGTGCAAAAATTTCTCTCACGATGAGGTCGACTTGTTGCTGGCTTGCCAGGATGACAATGGCGACACAGCTGCCCTTGTCGCTGCTCGCAATGGGGCGTTCCGCCTGGTGAATATGCTGACGGCCCATTGCCCTCGATCTGCCGACCTTGTGAACAAAAAAGGAGAAACGGCTGCTCAGATCACCCAGCGATCCCAAAGTGAGAATGATATCCCGCCTGCACCATCGTCCATCACCATGGCAAACGACCACATGGAAGGTGAATTGGGTGGTCTGATGCCTTCAGACCGCATGTCCATTGCACCGCCACCAATCGATCCCTCTGCAAACTCGGACTTGCTTTCCAAGATCGGTGCAATCATGGCGGAGGCCAACAAGAAACTTGCGATGACATACAGTAATACCAAAATCTCTCCACAGGACTCCACCGACGTTGCAAACCCCGAGGCACTCTTTGAACAACTCGAATCAGATCGTGAGAAGATCCAGAAGCAAGTGATCGCTCTGGGTACCAAGGAGGCTGAGCACGAGCCTAGTGACACTCAGCTTCGCCGTTACGAGAAATTGCGTGGAACCTATGAGTCTCTTCTTGAGCGTGTGCAGTACGACCGTCTTGTGGAAAAATTATCCTCGGCGAAGGCAATCACGTCCCCGAACTCACACTCTCTCGGCCCGGAAGAGCTGATCGCTCAATACCAACTTGCACGCGAGCTCTGCGCTGCACAGAAGACGCGACGTAACGCGGTACGAGACCTTGCTCAGCAAACCGCGGACGCGGGTGTGAGCACCAAGTTCGATGTGCATCGTAAGCTGGTGGCTCTAGCCACTGGCTTGAAAGAAGAGGAGCTTGACCCGATGGCGGCTGAGCTGGCCGAAACCCTGGAGTTTGACCGCCTGAATGGCAAGGGCACATCTCCCGAGCCGGGCCATCACCGACTGCCATCTCAGGTAGAGTCCGCCCCGCTGCCTCCCGGCCCTGTTCCTGTCGATAACTAGATGCCCTCATGTGTACATTTTATGACTTTCATTTGTGCTTCTGTTTCATCCTCCTGGCTGGTTCCTCTCAACCTCACCAGCAGATACCCCATGCTTCCTTTCGTCCTGTGTCTTGCTCATACACTCCATCTTCATCTTCTTGTTCTTATTCTTTGCTCCATTATTGCTGTTGCTATCTATTGTTAGTACTGTCTGCTCCTCGACCCCTGTACATTTGAATGTACGTGAAATTTCGCAGACAAAACGCCCGATGAATGGTAGCTCGAACATGTTCCCTTCAGTCTCTAATAATCCTTCATGACCTCCCAACACAATCACTTTTAACTTGTCACATATGTAGTATTTCCTTGGTGCAACACCCACATGTAGTCAAAGCTCCATGTGCTCTGACAGGGAGCTTTGATTCCGGCTGACATCGATCGGCAGAATGGGCGTAGATCATAATCACGCTAAGGCCCCCTCAATCTCCTTCCCCAAGCGAAAACAATCCCCATTCACGAACTTCTCATAGAGCACACCACACAAAGGAAGCTATGACCCACAATTACCATTCAATGCATGAAATATTGGCCAAAATATTGCCACATCGTACCTCGGAAAGCCCCCGTAAGGCGGTTATGCTGCATCTATTGGCTGCAAGTTGAGGGCTTGGCACTAACGCCGGGCGGCTCCAGGGGCGATGTGAGACGAAGAGGCGGACGAGTCGGTGGGCACTAGCGGCCCTTGGCCAATGAAACCACAGAGGATGTGACGGGGGCTCTGGGCTATGATGGTCTCGTCACCTCCCAGGGCGTGTATTCGTTGGTGATTGGGTGTTGGACCCCAAATCGTCGATTTCTCCATAATGAGTGTCAGGGAGAAACCCAGATCTCAGCTGGATAAGTAGCAAGAATCATAATACTCTTCTCCGCTGTGATTAGTTCCTGGATATATAGGGCTGTCCAAGGCATTTCTCCAAACTTGAACCGAGAGTCGCGATACTGCGTGCCTGAGGCACGAATACATTGATTCCCCACATCCGCACCGTTCTTCTTCCACTTCTCTTCTTCTTTCTCCCCAACCATCCTTCTTTCTTTTTTCTTCGCATTCTTTTATTCTCTGCGGCTCGCGTCGTTGATTGGGAACCAATAAAAATCATAATACAAAAAAAAAGCCTCTTCTCAACTGCCATTACTTCGTCCGATTCGTTCCGCCCCTGAAGAAAAAGCGCGAGATCCGTGAGATTCGATTCGATTGTCAATATTATTTTGCCCGGAACCCCCCTTCCCCCCACGATATTCGCATCTCATATCTGCAACATTGTGCCTGGGGCCATTTTTGTTTCGTCCATTCTCGCCACCCTTCGAATCTCACCGTGGTGCCTTGCCAGCTGGTCGTGTTTCAGGATCTCTCCTCACCCCAAGTCCGCCGTTACCCGCGCCACCTCGCTCTATCTTCATTTCATCAGGGACTTGCAGAGCATATCCCATCCTTTTCTTCTGGTTCTCGCCGAGAGAGATCTCTTTTGACTTATTCGCCTAATCCACCTCCACCTTCTTGTCCGTTTCTGCGCTTCGAAACGATCCTCGGCTTCTGATCCCGAGTGTGAAAAAACAACAACACCCTTGTACAGTTTGATTATACTGGCATCGCGTTTTTGCTGTCTCCATTGAGTCTGAAATTCTTCTGCATACCTTCACTTGTGGTCCGTGACCTTGAATATCTGCTTGGCGAACATTCAGTCTGACGGATTCCTTGATTCAAGAAATCACGTCCTCCACCCACGATTCCTCAACTCGCATCCGAAGCTTTGATTGCTCTCAGTTTCGGCATACCATTCTTGACATTAGACTTCCTAATCATCTAATCACCTGGGAAAGCTTTGAGCTTAGTGGTTGATCCCAAGCTCTCGATACCCGTTACGGATACTTTGAACGCGACTCACCCATTGATCAGCCTTGCACATACCTTCCTCACCATCTCACTTCACGAACAATGAGTATGGACGCTGGCGGTCTTGCTCAAATGACCTACAACTCATCTTTCAATAATGGCAGTTCCCTCGGGGTCCCTGGCTCCGGCTTCGCGTCCCGAGGGAAGGGCTCTCACATCAAGCGCCTAAGCGTGCCTCCACAGGTCGCAACCATCGACGAGTCTCAGACCCCTTCCATCGCAACCCCTCGCACCAGCCGATCGCATCTCTTGGCTGGACTCCGAACTGCGCCAAAGTCTGCGACCATTCCTTCTCAGCAGCAGCGTTATGCTATGGAGGGAGGTCGGATGCCATCCAATCGAGGTGCCGATCGCGTCCCTCAAACCGCCACGGGAGCTGGATTCCCGCAGCACGCATTCACTTTGAATAATGGCATGAATTCCTATCATCACCAGCAGCAGAAGAACCGGGAACGGGAACGGGAACGGGAACGCCTGATGTACACAATGCCGGAGCAGGTGCTTGCACCACCAATGATTGATATTGGCGGCGGCGAGATGATGGACGAAAACCTCTACGCAGAGCTCATGTCCACCAATCTATTCCTTGCCGCGCAGCAACAGCGCCTTCAGCAGCAGTTGATTAGCGTTACCGCTGCTGCCCAGCAATTTCAGGGCCTCAACCTGGGGATGTCTCTTCAACAGCAGCAACAGCAGCAGATGCAATCGTTTGTGCCCGGCATTGGATTCTACCAGCAGCAGCTCCAGCAGGGTGTACAGCCGATCGTGCAGCCGGTCCCCGGCCAGCCTGGCTTGTTCTCTGTTTACAATCCTCTGACTGGCCAGCAAAGCTACATCATGGACAACAGCCCTTCTGAAGACAATTTGACATATGGAAATCAGTCGGACTCGCAGGTTCCTCAGTTCCGCGCAGAAATTTCCCCACCTGCCGACTCTGCTCCATCACAGATGTATTTCCCTCAGCCAGTGTCTCCTCCCAGTGGCACTCCGTCCCCGCCCATTGAGTCATCTGCTAGTGCTTTCCGTCGCAACCACCGGAAGTCTCCATCTTTCAATCCTACGCTGAAGACCAATATCGATACGAACAAGGCCAATGCTGCACCTGGACCTCGGTCAGCTGTTTTCCCTCCTACTCCGGCTACCGGAACCTTCGGGCCTGGCCAGGCCCGTGCTGGTGAGCACCCGATCCGCCAACCTCGTGGCCCTCCTTCACTTGAGGATCTCGTGGCAAAGCCAACCTCCAAGCATGAGGGAAGCAAGAACTTTGCTACCCGTCAGCGTCGCCGTGCCGTCCACAACCTGGTTCGTGCTGGGATTGAGCGCCGCGGTGATACCCGTAGCTACGGGTACAACAGCAGCGGAGGCACCAACACTCCAGCCAGCGAAAAGGAATTCACATTCTCGGATGGTGATGACGCGACTGTGCGTAGTGGCAGTCTTTCTAGCAAGCCCAGCTTGGGCAGCCTGCGTGCGGCTGCCAATGGTGCCATTGGATCTGAGCGCAAGGAGAAGACCAGTCGAAGGTCCCCTGAGAGTCCTTTCCACAGCGTTACCCCTACGAGCGAGGACGGATACTTCTCTGCCAAGTTTGCAGAGATTCGTGCGGAACAGGAGCATTCACCAACGAGCACTTCGGGCACTTCGTCTCCGTCCGTGGCAGCTGTCGTCGCGGGCCAAGGGCAAGCCGCTCAGGCACCAGAGCGCCGTAAGACGCCGATGCTTGTGTTGTCGAGCGCCGAAAAGCGCAAGACTCCTCTCATGTAATGCCAACCATCATGTGACAGCGACGTATGACCTTTGAATTCTTTGTTCGGTGGGCCGTTTTTGTTTTTTTTTTTTTTTATCTCTTAGTGCCCTTACCCTTTATGAGAGCCATGGCTCTTGCCATTCATTATCTGTCACTCTTTTATCACGGGCAAATTTGATCTTGCCATGATGCGCGTTTGATGAAAGACTTGGATCAGTCTACAACGACTTCTTTTCTACTTCTCTTCTCCCATTCCCTTTTACACTTTCATTTTGAAGTGTCTATTTCCAGATTCCCTTCCTGACGCTATTCTTCTCGGCTCCACTTGCGTCGTGCTGTTGATGGAACCTAATCTATCTTTAATCCCATGTCGAGCTTTTGAGCTTCGACATCTGGATGGAAGCGATGGCTAAGGTCGTCCTTCGTTCTTTTCTCTGGTTCCTTTTTTATTGGGGTTCCTTTGTACATCCGGTTATGTGCAGAAAGTTCTCCCTATGGGTCCTTTGTAGCATTAGGGCCTACTAGTCCAATACATAGCTCTACAGCTGATGATTCAATCTTCCCGGTAGCTCATATGCCATTGGCCAGTAAGGAGTTTTATCTCATTGCAATGAGTGGATGCTCGTAGATGTTTAGCGCAGTCAATCCTCGAGATCAGCTTTTGAAAAGTAGTACCTCGTATGATGAAACCAAAGCCATTAGAAATGTATATATCCCAGGCCTCAAGTCCTGTGTAAAGTACCCGCACAAACCCAAGTGGCCTAACGCGCCCCACAACCTTGGAACGCAACCCACGTGGAACGAACACCCAAAGCTCCCGCATCAGCATTGCAGCTTGCATCGCAAGTGCGTGTTCTTCCCGCGAACCCTATAGGGGTCTACGGGTACAGAGGAGATCTGTCGGTTGGACGGCAGATATGGGATTACTAGATGAGACGAGAGTCTCAGTTAGTAGCAACACGAGGCTGCAAACCTCGGCAGTCGTCGTTGTTTGTGTTCGTGTACGTACCTGGTACTTGCCACCTGAGATCTTAACCACTGTAGTATCGGATCCGGGAGTCCTGAAAGCTACGTACGTAACCTCAGAACCTTGACAATCCTACCTGGAAATGTGATATGTTTTAGCTTAGGAAGATGTATCAATTGCCTGGAATTTCCCTCCGAGGTTGATACCTAATTGATATCGAACTCGATCCTGAAATATATCAGTGCATCTGGAACAGAGATAGTCAATTTAAACGTACGGTCAAGATTTTACACGGACTCCTACCAAATGGACCCAAGCGTAAGAAAGCGAAGCCCAGGACCCTGTCATTGGGATTCCCAACCTAAACTTTCCTGGAATTCATGCTAGGGTAACTACACACCCCAAGCGTTAAAGTCAATTCCAGACTTGATGCAAGTCTCCTTCCAAATCGGGGATAGTTTTGCCCTCGAATCCCAAATAACACAATTCATGGTTACCCAACCGCTGCCTGTATCTATTATACGTAGGCCTGATTTGAAACCGAAAATTATGTTTCGAATTTCCCACCGGACTGACACCAAGCTGGAGATCTAGATCCGGGCCGAGATTCAAAGTAACAAGTATGCAGTGGATCTTATACTTTGACGAATGTGATTCCGAGATAAACTTAACTTTCCGCTCACATTCCTCGCGGACCATTGAAGATGGCAGGAAAAATAAATAGACGTTAGTAGTGCTCACTCTGGTCAATGTGAATGCGACCCAAAAAGCTGCCTTGAATGCCGATGTTGGTGTTGGGGAATATACCAGTCAGCTCGAACATTGCTCCCATTATGACCGTGATGTTTATTTTTGGTTCCAGATCGCGATGACAGAATTAGGGAACATCCATGAGCTGATCCATGGTTCGTGCGGAATAAAGTTCGCAGATCTATCGGAGGGAAAAACCTCTTGTCATTAATGAACCTTGGTACATGCGTTCCTAGAACCGAAATACTATAGATTGCCGATGTGTATAACAGTTACCATTTTTCCCCCCCCACCCCGGTTCATTGTACACAATGCCAAGCAGTCAACCCGGCGTAGGACATTGCTTGTCACGATGACGGACGTTAGCTCCCATAGTAACGGTTGGTCCCTGCGTCTTTGACTGTCGGACGGACAACCTCGGTAGGCCCAACGGAGGGGCTGTGTGACCTCCAAGGGGGAAAGGGTGACACCGAGTGGTGCGGTCGCATTGCTGCAGCGAGCACGGATGCGAAAAGGGGTGGAGTGGAGCTGCTTCTTTCGAGTGGATATATGTCTTGATGAGATATGATATGACTATTCTTAGAGCCAATCTAGCATAGAATCTCGTTGCCTTGCGTTCGGGATGCCGATTCAAGGAGCAATTCGGCCTCGGCCCATGATCGTCAAGATAACAGCTCACATATGATATGCGCAATCGTGGGTGGGGCCGTTGGAAGGGCCGGAGGGATCCAGGATTACGGAAGCTTAATCGTCAGAGCTTCACCTGCCATTCCTAGTGCGTCTTGGAATTGGTTCTTCCTGGGGCTGTGGGTGATACAATGACGCGCAAGAAGTCTCTGTCCATGAGACACCGGCTGACATCATTCTGGACACGTTCTTGTTTTTTTGCCCAGGCATGTGTATACGCACAAGCTATCTGTACTATGTGAAATCACTGATGTAGGTCATAGATCATACAGTACACTGAAGAGTGGCGGGATTAATCTAGTCCGAGTTCTAACTTGGAAAGTTATAAAGGCTCTACTGTATCGACTTTTGCTTTGTCCCTTTTTCCGGGCCTCTGCACCAATCAGACATGCGGATGCCCGCATGAATCGATGATCTGGGTACTTGCCGTAGGATATGAAAGGCCGAGATTCCTTCCGATGGTGTAATGAAAGCATTAGTACCTCGGATAACCTGCGGAGCATGGACTTCGATCAGGAACAGGCATAATACATTTCTTGTCCTAGATGCAAAGGGGTTGATCTAGACAAATTTCCAATCCCCCCTCTATGCATTCAGGGCATACGCGTCCCTGATATCTATAGATCTCCCGATATGTCGAATTGCGCATTCACTGTCCCTCGCGTCGACTCCACTGTATTGGTCAAGATACTCGGATCCCACAAACTTTCTCTTGACTACTGAAGATCAAGCTTAATTATATTCTTGAGACTCAAAAAATTTCTGTTTCTTGCGACTTTTATCTTCATGTCAATTGTTTGGGTCTTCGGGCGTTGTGGTACCTCATGGCCTTTGGTGGAACCGGGATTGTCAACTACTGTAGTTCCTTTAGCAATGAGCTGAGACACCTTGCTGATGACCCGCTTTCTAACTTGATCAATTACAACTCAGATCAGGGAAGCTTTCATAAGCTACAATCCAGACTGTCGATCTTACTCGTCTCGGAGCATACCCGGCAGAAGGAGGCGTTTGGGGGGAGCTGGATGAAGTAAGAGTCGTTTGATCGTGTTTCGTGACCCTCAAACCATTCTAAGACTCGAATCCCGGTGATTTATCATGGTGGCAAATAATAAATTTTTTAAAAAATAAATCATGGAAACCGGGAAGGGCATTCCCCCCTCCTGCTTCATGTGGTCCCTAGGGCAGCACCCTTTTTAGGCTGTCTCTAGCCGCATGGTCCAATCGCGGATATCCGGCTTTCGTCTTTTATACTCGGCCTATTCACTCTCTTCCCTTTTGTCTATTTTGATGTCATTGTCTTGATTCTGAAGTCGCCTCATCTTTGATGATGTTGCTTGTGACATAATATCATTCCTGGAAGCGGTCCTTCCATCCAACGGTCTCCCCTGCCAAACCTCAAACCTCGGAAAAAGGGCCCTTGTGGCCACCACTCATTTCGTCCTAGCCAGGAAAGCAAGGCTGAAAGAGCTCTTGACGTTGACCAGTGAACTATCAATAGAAGCTCATGTGGGTTCACTGGAGATCTTTCCCTCTCCTATCGGATTTCACATAGCTGACCGTTGCCAGGTTACAATATTCGACCTTGCACGATTACACCAGATTTCGAGACCCTGAGACCCGTTTTATCCAGGACTGGTTGGAGCTGAGGTGGATTGTTTCATATAGAAGGAAAAAAAGAACAAGACTATCTCACGAAAAGGCAATGGCGGGGGGCTACTTTGAGCTCCCGGTCTCCCGCCGCTCCAGTGTGTCTGATACCGGAGCAGGATCAAACAAAATATCTTCAGTGTCACGTCAAGCATCATTGCCCCTGCCGAATGATGGTTTCCAAGGCCAGCAGACGTATCAGGATGGGACATCGAATGATGTTAGCGCACGGGGCAGGAATCGGAATGCCAGCCTGCCCAAAACTACCAATCGTGTCAAGTTCACGGTGGATGAAGCAGAACGATTGCAACAATCCGGAGCTAGGGTTGAGTCCCGACTGGACCACAGGGGCACTGTGCTCCCTCAAAGACCCTTACCCACTGCCAACATTCCTTTCATCCAGGCAACGGGGCCCTTGGACCCTCCTGCCGTACCCTCACTGGTGGGAGAAAGCCCCAGCGCGCCAACCGATGTCACTGGCCTGACGATCAGCCACCAGACAAGCTCATCGGGTGCCGGAAAGATAGAGGAGCTTGGACTCTGTACAAATGACAAAGGGCGGGCAATATCTCATGCAAAGGAACGAGCTCAACGGCTAGCACCCCTTCTGAGCTCCCATAAATCTCCGAAGCCAAGCCCCCGCTCTAGCCTAGTGTCTTCAATTGCGTCTACTCCGACTGAGAGTGTGTTTCCAAACGAAGATGGGGATGAGATCCCTATGATCAGCTTTCCTGAGAAACATCAACTATTTGACGACTTAACAGACGAGGATGAATACACACCGCGCACAGCCAAAGCATTTTATCCTGCGCGACAAATGTCCCGTCGAGAGTATCCTTTCTTGCCTCGCATTCGCCCTCCTTCGCCGGGACCTCTCTCTGGCCAGGTCACTCCCAGTGACGGCAGAGACTCAGGGACCTATGTCGAACGGCCAACACACTACCGTGGAGGTGTTCTATCCTCCATCCTGAAGCTGTACGACAAGCAGACTGGAGGACCTCCAGACTACAGCCCCAACCGGAGCCGGTGGGGTCATTCTAGAAAGGGGAGTTCCGCGGAATTCAGTGAGCGTGGATTCTCCCCTGATCCTATCTGGAAACCACAGCCACCTAGAAAATGGTATGAGAAATCATCTAGTCGGTCAAGCAGTACTTATACTGGATCTGGCTCGTCAAAGAGCTCCTCCCCGATTGCTATGCTGAAGCGATCTCGCAGCAGCAATGCAATTGGGACTAAGGGGCATCGATGGGCCAGGGCAGACCACCTCGCAGATGAAATCCGGATCACAGTTCATATTGCGGAAACTCTCTCCCGCCAGCGATATCTCATCCGGCTTTGTCGTTCCCTGATGAAGTACGGTGCCCCGACCCATCGCTTAGAGGAATATATGCGGATGACTGCCCGCGTGCTGGAGATAGATGGCCAGTTTCTGTATTTCCCCGGTTGCATGATCATCTCCTTTGATGACGCTGCCACGCGCACGACGGAGGTTAAAGTCGTCCGGTCTAGCCAAGGAGTGGACCTTGGCCGGTTGGCAGATGTACACGAGATCTACAAGGAGGTAATCCACGACGTAATCGGAGTGGAAGAAGCTATCCAGCGATTGGACGAGACGAAAACAAGGCCCAACAAATACCATCTCATCCTCCAAATCTTGGCCCACGGCTGCGCAAGCGCCTGTGTCGGACCCTTTGCGTTCAACGCCCGACCAATCGACATGCCAATCGCTTTCTTACTGGGATGTCTCCTCGGTATCCTGCAACTGATTCTCTCACCGAGATCAAGCCTCTACTCCAACGTCTTCGAGGTCTCAGCGGCAGTGCTAACATCATTCTTGGCTCGCGCCTTCGGAAGTATCCGATACCAAGGCGATCCACTATTCTGTTTCTCAGCGCTGGCCCAATCATCCATTGCCCTAATCTTGCCGGGATACACGGTCCTTTGCGCAAGCCTAGAACTTCAATCCGGTAGTATCATCGCCGGATCCGTGCGCATGGTCTATGCAATTATCTATTCTCTATTCCTGGGATTTGGAATCACAATCGGCACAGCTGTATATGGTCTCCTAGACACCCAAGCTTCAACGGAATACACATGCCCCGCTAGCCCCATCAACAATGAGTACCTCCAACGCTTTCCATTCGTGTTACTCTTCACTATCTGCTTAGCCCTCGTGAACCACTCCAAGCTGAAACAGATCCCTATGATGCTCGTCATCTCCTTTGCTGGCTATGTGGTCAGCTACTTCAGCGGGAAGCGCTTTTACTCTAATACCCAAGTATCGAATGCCCTTGGTGCCTTCGTTATTGGTCTCCTTGGAAACTTCTACAGTCGCCTCCGTCATGGTCTTGCAGCAGCAGCAATGCTGCCAGCTATATGGGTGCTTGTGCCTTCCGGTCTGGCGGCTAGTGGATCCTTGATCTCGGGGATCACCTCGGCGGAAGAAATGACTCGCACCCGGTATGCTGTGGTGAGCAATGGAACGCAGGGCTTTGTTGATGCGGCGAAGAACCTATCTGCTTCTCAAGCCCGTGACCAGAGTTATGGCGTGGCTTTCGATATTGGCTATGGTATGGTTCAGGTTGCCATCGGGACGACTGTGGGTTTGTTCCTGGCTGCACTTGTGGTGTATCCGCTGGGTAAAAAGCGCAGTGGACTGTTTAGCTTTTGATACCAGCTCTACCTGTCCCATCATGCGACTCATCTCTCTCTTTTTCTCCCATGCGCCTCTTTATATTTCACCTTGCTTCTATCTTTTCTTTGTTCCTTCAGCATCTCTCGACAAAGTCGACTTCTCTTGGACATTTCGCATCCGTGAACTTCAACGATCAACACAATTGATCGAAGTCACAATATTGCCCTTTAACCTCGAACAGCAACCGAGGCGGGGGGCTTGCTTGCTGTTTTTATACTTGATTTTCCGTTCTGTAATTGACCTCCAACTCGAAGTCAAAGAGCACTCTCGATTACGTTGGAGTTTATACGTGCGGCAGCAGTTGGAAGCTCAATATACTTCACCCTTCACACATTGTTTCAGTTGCTATACGCTCTTAGCTCTATCCCTTTCTTTCTTTGTCTTCACTTTCGTCCCTCAACCGACAAAGTCTGTATCGACGCCTATCTGGACTTCCAGTTCGGACATACATAGAAGATACGATTCCATGAGTCATGACCAAAATCACCGAGGCCCCCCTTCTGCGTCTGATTTTTTTTGATATTTTGTTTTTTTCGTTTGTTTGGGTATTTAGGTGTCTGCTGCGCGGGAATTCTGGTTGGAGGACTTATTGCCATGTTACTATAATGAATGAATTATTTCCCAGGCTTTTGTGATGATAATTTGGATTTTTGTTATATTATTGTCGGAGTTTGTGCCGCGAGCCGCTCTCTTGCGGTTGTACTGCCCTAATGATGCTTAGCTTCTGACTTATGGACATTGAAATTTTAAGCATAACCATTGCACTTTTCAATGATCCATAGTCCGAATTTCTCCTTCAAACAATTGCTCAGTACATGATCATTAGCATATCTCAGTAGTTTATATGCACGTTCTTGAGATATAACGATTAGGCGTTTGCAAGTTTTATGAGACTTCCAACTCGTGATCTAAGACATCAAACTCGAAAAGAAGTCGAGTCTACGATACAGGGAGTTCAGGCTAAGACTGACTCCAGTCTGATTATTTACATGGCTATGAATCATCCTGCACAGTGGATGACTGAATCTCAGGGTTGTCGCTGGATGCTGGTCTTTTTCCTAGGAAGATTGCCACAAGAACGCCCATGACAAAAGAAAAGATCCCTGAAAAACTCTTAGCATTACTTCGACGCTATTAGGGGGAACATAAAGGGGAAAACAGCCTACCAACACTGTAACTCATGTAGGCATATCCCAAAGTTCTTGTCATGAAGCCAGTTACAACAGGCCCCAATAGCGTGCCCAGAGTGAAGCAGATTCTGCAGATGGAATATCCCGACGACAGTTTACTATTGGGACCAAATCGACCAGGACGCTGGTCCTCAAGTTCCTTCATAACATCTGAAGCAAATCAGCGCGAGAACTTATTTCTAGAGCTTGACTTACGTGTGATTTCAATGATACCACAGCCACCAGCCAAAGTCCATCCAATGCCAATCCCGGCAATGGCCACCGTGTAAATCGCATGCCCTGTTTGCCCGTTCCAATGATCGGAAGCTCCAGCCAGAGCGAGAAAAACAGCACTTGAGACAAACCCGAGAGCCGTAGGGATCCTGGTGCCTACTCTGTCCTTCAAGATACCAACAAGCGTACTAAAGACCAAAGAGGGTAGCTGGAGGATCAAGAACATAAGACTGACCTCTGCAGGGCCCCATCCAAACTCGGTAGTCACGTAAAGTGGTAGTGTAGTGTCGAGGGTGACTAGGACAAAAGCAACAGTGAAGTTACCAAGCAGGCTAGTCGCTGCGCGAGGGTTGGTCAAGATAACCTTATAAAAGTTCTCTTCAAGATCGGCACTCTTAGGGTAGTCATCCTGGGACGGAGAAATTAGAGTAGTTCGTTCATTCACGTTCTCCGCTGTCCTAGACTCGACATCCGAAGTTTCAGTGGGCTTTCCTTTGTCCGTCTTTCGGTCCTCGATCATGACTAGCCGCATGAGGATATCAATAACCAGTACCATAATAGCGGCCATCCACGTCACCCAGTACCCAAATAGCTGCAAAAGTGTACCAGAAAGCATGGGGCCAAGAAGTAACCCGGAATTAAAGAACGAGGACACCCCTCCGACGACTTTTCCTGTGTTGTCTTGTCCGACTGTGTTGGAGACGGTTGCGAGTCCAACAATCCATGCTCCATTACCGCCAATAGCTTGTATAGATCGTCCGAGGAGAAGTACAGGCACTGTGATGAATCAGTTCGTTGCTCAGTGATACTGGAAGCTGAAATTCTACATACCGTTGGTTGCAATCATGACCAGGATGGTTCCTATGGCTTCTGCAGTAAGAGCAGCCAAAAAGGAGGCCCGTCGACTTGGAATTTTGTCCGCAATATAACCGATCGGAAGACCAGTGATAAGTCCCACGAAGGCATGGACCGAGAGGACCAGGGATGTGGTATATTGTGCGTGGGAATCATCGATATGAAGACGGTCCCTAATCATGACCGGCAAAATCGGAACAATATAGCTGTATAGGAAGTTCGCTGCTCTCATAGTCAGCCAGAGTTCGTAATCGTACCCTGCAGGTGACTGTACTTGTGAATAGGGCGATGGTGATGCAAGTAATGATGAACCACGGTGCAGACCGCCATGAGTAGCCCATTGATTCCACTCCTCCATTACATGTCATTTTGGCAGTTTGATTATTGTTAGAGGGAAAAGAGATGTAAATGGGGAGCCTTAGATGATTTGAGTGGCAATTTTCAATTTGATGGCGGGGCGAAGGAGATGAAAACCTACCATCTGATCTCTTATGTCAGTAATCAGGGTTAGGATTGGCGGGATCTCCCCGGGGCTTGCAGACCAGCGCATGGAATAGTCTCAATGCTTCGCTAAGTTTGCAGATCAGAGCATGGACTATTTCAAATCCTGATGTGTCACTCCGTATTCGCCCTTCGGACATATGTACTCCGTACAAAGGACCTCACTGGCCGAGACTAGGCAAGAACCAGGGCAATCCCTCAAACTGCGCGGTATCACCACTACCCACTGGGTTACTTCCACTTTCAGTCAATTCTAATGGCCAATATTTCTCGACCACCCTGATAGGCCCTGACTTCAGTACAGACATCCCAATGTGGCGCCTTAAAGCTAGTCGGGTTGCTTGCTACTCCAAGGCCTGAGCGCTGAACCCTGCATACACACCGTCTCACAACATTCTTTCTCTCCACAAAGCTGATATGAGGGACACGAGCGGCATCCCGATCTAGTTGCAGTCTTAATTTGTTTTAATTTGGCCAACGACCTCCAATGATCCACCGAGCATGCCTAGAGTTGAGCCAGAAAAAAGAAAGTCAGTTCAACTAAGAACATCAGGATCCCCTGGATGGAACGTGCAGCCCGAGAATAGATAACACATCCTTATGCAAGCAATCATAGTCTAGCTCACTCGATAGCCAGATGTTCGCGACACAACTTCGGACTCTCCGCCCGAATATCATACCCACTAATCCACGCTCAACCGTGCTCTTAGAAGCAGGGTCCGCAATCGGCCTCACCCTGAAAACCCTCTCCCTAATCTTCTCCAACCAAAGCTCAGCTAACTGCGCCTGTGCGCGCTGCATATCAATAATCGCAGTCCACTTCACATCACGTGCAATCTGCTCCTCACCATCTGGTAAAATCCTGTCACTAGCATTGCCATGGCTCAATGCATGTACGCAGAAAGCCATTATTGACCTGCAATACTATAACCGCACAGGGGGTCTGCACAATATGAGATTGCTACTCCGTACATAGATCTTTCCCCACCATGAGAAGATAGATGGTGCAATCGGCGGTGTGGCTGAGCCACATTCGGTGGACTGAGATCTATGCAAACCACGCGATTCCCGTTTTGAGCCGAGCCTAAGTGGCTCGCTGAAAGGAAAGGGAAGGTCATTGATATACTTGAGATATTAACACACAAAATAAGTTGGAAACCTACTAGTCCCCATCTGGGGTAATGCGTAAAATGTCAGAGAAGGATCCGTTCGACTACACACCCCAGGTACCCACTTATTGATATTAGGCTAACAAGAAACTTGAAGTTGATTCAAAAGTGATGCGCACTGAGGCGAGGACCTTTCTGACCTATATCCTGGCTCAAATGAAGCGATATCTTGCATGTTGGCTTGGATAAAGTGATTTGGTCAGCTCTTTAATACCTGGAAACTCAGGTACAGGGACAACACTTACCACGCTAGTCTAGATGTGGGCTAGTGAAGGGTCTAACTGCTTTGGTGTTCATTCTTCAACCTCCGAAAGGAAATGAGCTAGGCAAGGAGCAGAATCGACATGGATCATGTATGCAGATCCCTCGATGGCGCCAGTTACAAGGTAATCGGGGCAGCCCGATAAGTACAACGCCATTGCAGATCGGGGACTCGGATTGTGACCTGTCGCGACATCAGCTCCCGTCACGAAAGATGCGTGGGCTGCATCTAGGCCCAAATTATTTCAAGCCAAAGTGGGGAAGGTGGGGGGACGCGAGAGAATTAGGAAGATGCACAGACCTTAAATCCAGGCAGATCTAGGCAGATGTTCGTGATGACTCAAATGAATATTAACTATTAAATATACGCACATAGCCGAGAGTATAAATAAATCACACTACGATTGCTCGTTCAAATTCCTCGGGATAAAATAGCCAAGGCTTAGATACTCACCTCCATCATCTGTTCCATCCTGCATTCTACAATCCCAGCATAATGCCTTCCCAAAACGACATCGCCAAACACTTCCGCACCCTCCACGACCCCCAAGACCCTATAATTCTCACAAACGCCTACGATGCCAGCACCGCCTCGGTCATCACCTCTCTCCCCAACACCCGCGCTCTCGCCACAGCCTCCTTCGCCATTGCAGCTTGCCTCGGCGTCGACGACAATGACCTCACAAAAGTCCAGAACCTAGCCGCCGCGCAGATCATCATATCAGCTGCCCACCGCATCAATCCTACCTTGCCCATAACAGTCGATCTCCAGGACGGCTACGGTGAGGACCTCCATAGCTTGGCGGCGACGATCAAGGACGTTATCGCCTTAGGTGCAGTGGGCTGTAACTTGGAGGATTTGAATAATGAGGCCGGTACGTTACGGCCGCTGAGCGAGGCAGTTGCGCGGGTGAGGACGGTGGTTGAGGCAGCGAAGGAGGCGGGCGTTCCTGATTTTGTGCTGAATGCGCGGACGGATGTATTGGCTCAGGAAGGGACGACGGTGGATGATGCCATTATGCGAGGGAAGGCCTATTTGGAGGCGGGAGCTTGTACGGTTTTCGTTTGGGGTGGGCCTAAGGGAAGGGGTGTCTCGAAGAAGGAGGTGGAGCGTCTGGTGAGGGAGTTGAAGGGGATGGTGAATGTGAAGATGGTTTTGAGAGAAGGGTTCTTGGGGATCCAAGAAATTCGCAAGTTGGGTGTTGCTAGGGTGAGTCTTGGGCCGGAACTGTGGAAGAGTGCGATGCAGACGGTTAAGGAGCAGGCTAAGTCGTTGTTGGCCTGAGATTACTATGGTTCTCTTTCGTGAGTAGAGGAGTGTAGTAGATAGCTCACGGAAGAGTATATTTACATTGATAGCTCTATCAATCAACGGGTCCAATCAACAGTGATGCTCGGCTTACCCCGCAACTTCCCCTCATCCGCAGTGTGCAGTCCAAGCTATTCTGGATTGGTCCCGGTATACTTCATACAACAGCTACCAGCAGATACCAACAATCAGGTATTCATTCGATTCAGGACGAAGCTGTTCTCGAAGCCTCTACGGAGTATGATCCAGCCGAAAGATACAGCTCTACGCCTCCGATGTTCACCTGCCCAGAGTGCTCGACAACATTTGGCAAAGCCCAACATCTGAAGCGGCATACTTTGACCCGTATGTGAAATTGCCACCGGTCATATAAGGCTACTAGCGAGAATCTCACCGTTCACCGATGATGTAGACTCCGGCGATAAACCGCACGCATGTCAATTTTGCGACACCAGGTATAAAAGAAGGTGCGACCAGATCCTTTATGCACAGCCTTCGTCTTTACTACTGACCAGGGACCAGTGATGCTCTGCGGAGACACTGGAAAACTTGCAAAGAGCGTGTCGCCTCGGGCAAGCATGTGCCGACGGCCAGCGCAGCCGGAAAGAGAAAGCAAGCCTGCGCTCAATGTTTTTCTCGGAAACGAGCTTGCTCCCTGGGACAGCCGTGCTCGGAGTGTTCAGTCAGGCTCACAGATTGCATCTATGAAGGGCCTCATGGTTCTGTTGCACCTGAGAAAGATAGCGCACTGGCAGAATCAGCTTTACTACCAACCGGAAGTGTCGATGAGAGACAGGATGATTTCCCTTCAGGCTCTGCGCCCAACAACATAATTGGAAGCGCACATTCCATACCACCACGGTTCGGTTTTCTGTTGAATTTTACCCGGGCCTCTGGAATTGACGAGGCATATAACTGGAGAATACCAACAGACTGTGAAGGCTTGACAGATGTGTCAATTGAGCCTTTCCCACTCGATAATCCTGCGTTTTTCACCTTGTTCGATGACGAAATGCATGGGACGGGGTTGAGTCCTTATGAAGGTCTTGAAACTTCGTACCTCAAAAATTTTTGTGAACATGACCGATCACTGATGACCGAGAAGACGGATAAATTATGGGAAAGCCTGGAGCCGCTACTGAGAGATGCGGACATCGTTGATGGCTGGATCTCTCCCCTTGAGGTAATGGGCTTCTTTTCGCCCCAGAACATGACACGGTATTTGAATCTGTTCTGGGCTCGTTTCTCACGACATTGTCCAATCATCCACAAAGCAACCTTTGATCTGGAAAGCTGCTCAGCTTCGCTTTTGGCGACTATTGCCCTTGCTGGTGCATGTGTGTCACCTCAAAGTGTGGATCGTCATGGCGCGAAACGGATGTTGGACTTGACTGAGGAGCTTTTATTTTCCAGTCCCCTTCTCTCCGACAATACAGCAGAATATCAGAAATTGAAAAGCGTCCAAAATGTCCAAACGTTACAGGCAGCTTGTTTTATGACTTTGTTGCAGAAATGGGAAGGGAATCACACGGCCAAGTTGCGATTGCAACGCTCTCGATTTACTACTTTCGTTGCGGTAAGATGGTTCCAATGCTCTACTTGTTGGAGATTCCTGACATTTTCATAGGCGACAAGGGCCATGGGGCTATCTCAAGGAATACATCGCCGGAGAAGCTTCAACTCACCTGTGAAGGTTGAAGAGTGGAGAGATTACATATTGCAAGAGGAATTGATTCGGTATGCTGTTTCCTGCCTACGAGGATCCAACGTGCACAAATTGACGGTCATAGCACATTCAACCATACATTTTTGCTGGACTCGGCATTTGTTATATTCCACAATTCCGTTCCAAGAATGGTATTGCAAGAAATGTCTATCGATCTCACCTGTCCAGAAGACGTCTTCCAGGCGTCGAACCCGGAGGATTTTCTTATTGCTATGGAATCACATCCCGGCCCACCCAAGCCATTATTATTAACCGACTGCGTTCGCAACTTATGTGCAGAGAATCCACATCCAGCCATAATAGAGCATCTCCACACAGAAAGTGCCATGAATCTCTTTACTATTGCTACTGGTAAACTCTTCCTCACCCGATGCCAATCTTTTGCTAACACCTGTAGCAATTCATGGTCTCATCTTCCATCAGCTTAGAGCATTCTCCCCCTTTCCTCTCGCGACGGGGCCTCTTGAGAACGCACTTGACCGCTGGGAAGATGCATGGGTAGACAGTAAGAATTCCACTGATCTGGATGATAAAAATCCGAAATGTGCTTTTTTCCATCGAGCCCGAGAATTTGCTTCCTTAGCACGAGTTCACGTCGAAAAATCACGCTTATCTACAGAAGATTGGAATAATTTGGTACAAAAATCACCCGCACAAGCACAGGATGGTGGCGGATTACTCTCAACATTTGATCAGACTAATATGGACCCGGTAGCAAGCCTTATGCTAGCCGTTGAGCATTTGAATATCAATTAATACAGTTTCAACGAATGCTCTGAACGACAATTCTCTCCAGTAATCAACACGACGCCGAAAGTTGCCCTTCACCACCACATCACTTCTGCATCTTCCGTGTCAATATCAATATTGCATTTGGCCTCAAGCCTATGACTGTAACCTTATCACCTAAGCACCACCACCAAAGCTCTATGTAATAAAGTACTCAATTGAGAATGTTAGTAATGATAATATCTTATAATTTGATTAATTTTTAGTCTGTATCTCGAGGAAGACATTATATCTAAAGATGAGACCTATGGGTATTATGTCATCCTCTCACTTAACTATTGTACCTCTCACTCATTGTACACAATTTTCCTTGGATGGTGGGGTGTACTATAAGCGGGAATTGACTATACTTGTATTATACTAAATAAACATAAGATTTTTATGATCTCATGGACCAGGGAAAGTACCTCTCATGGATGTGGATAAATCCCGCGGCAAGACCGCCGCTGTGGGGAAACCCCGATGCACGGAAATGCCGAATTTTGGGACCGTGATCGACAGAGACTAATTTATAAGAACAGCATCTAACATGGCAGCTAGATTTCTCTACCACGATGGATTTCTTACACCAGTCCTGTACTTCCAATATGGGCAATACTCACGAAATGATAACTATTATAATAAGCCTCTTAGCAGCCCTGATCCTGGTCTATATTCTATATATGAGGTTCCTACACCGATTAAGCAAATACCCCGGACCCCTACTCGCAACTCTAACAAACAGTTACAAGGCATACTATGTCTACAACCTGCAGTTACACGAGAAACTTCTCGAGCTCCACATGCAATATGGACCCGTTGTGCGCGTGGGACCTAATCACCTCCATCTATGGGAAGGAGAAGCAATTACACCAATCTACAAGGGGGGACGGAAAATGAGGAAATCGGATTTCTATAATGCTTTTACAGCCTTTAATCCGAACCTTTTCGGTGGTACGAATGAAGATGTGAGTAGACCTATAACCGTCACTTCATAGATCTAGACTGCGAATTTGATCTAACAACTTCCAGATCCACTCTATTCGCCGCAGACAACTCTCCCACGGATTCTCACAGGCATCAGTCCAGAAACTGGAACCCCTCATCGAAGGTCAGATGAAAGTCCTCACCGATAAGCTGCGAGGTTTCGCCAAGACAGGCGAAATCTTCGATTTTAAGAACGTCCTCTCCTTGTATGTCCTCGATATCCTCGGCGAAGTGGCTTTCAGTAAGCCATTCGGTGTACAGGGCAGGGGAGAGTCAGAAGAACTCCGAGCCATCAATGACCATCTCCTTTTAGCCGGAGTCATTGGTGAACTACCTTTCCAAGAACTATGGAAGACACTATCAAGGATGTCTCCGGTACCGTGGATGAGACAACTCGTCAAAAGCAGGAATAATCTGAAAGCTATATGCTCTCGCTGTGTCAAATTCAAAATTAACAATCTGTCTGAACGGCCAGATCTACTGAAAAGCCTTGTTGAAGCTGTTGATCCGGAAAGTGGTTCCAGGTTGACGGAGCAGGAGATTAATTCTGAGGCTTTTGCTGTTCTGTGAGCTATCCTATGTCCGATCCTCGTGGGAGCAGAGCTAACAGGTACAAGCGTGGCTGGATCCCATTCCACATCAGGAACCCTAACACTCCTTCTTTGGCATTTAACGCATAATCCCGACATCCTAGCAACCTTGACGCAAGAATTGGATCAAAAACTACCACCCCTCCGTGATAACCAGGTTTCTTATCCCATCCAAGGCCTAGAAACATCCCTCAGCTACACAATGGCTTGCGTGAGAGAGAATTTCCGCCTGAATCCCGTATTCACAATGCCCTTATGGCGTCAAGTGGGCTACCCTGGTGGTGTCGAAATCGCAGGACACTATATCCCCGAGGGAGTAAGTCCCCTGACATCCCGAAAGTATGCCATCTAACAATTCTCAATTTACCTAGACAAGTGTGTGCATCTCCAACTACGTCCTACACCATAATCCAGGTATATGGGGTGCAGACCACGAAGAGTTTAAACCCGATCGATGGCTTGATGAGAATTATAATAAGGAAAAGGGCAGGTACTTGATTCCCTTCAGTATCGGGCATCGGATGTGTATTGGGAGGAATCTGGCTATGACAAATATCCTCAAGACTATTACTACGTTACTTGTAAGGTTTGAATTTGAGCCTGTGGATGTGAAGAGAAGGGTTAGGGTACGTAGTCCTGGAATTGGGGAGATGGAGGGAGAGTTTTTGTGTCGAATTTCTGTCAAGGAGTAGTCTGGATTGATCGATGCTATGTGACATCTGGAGTTACGTCTTTAGACTGTTTTTGTTTCAGCAAATACCAACAGGAGCATCAGTGCCTGATTCATTCGTAGTATACATTTCGGAACGTCAATAGGACATAATAACTTGCGAGAGCAATGCAAGATGGTATAGGGAGCAAACAAGACCTATGCATGAGCTGTTTAAGGAAGTCTTCGGCATACTCCTCGTACTGCCGCATGAAATCTACCATCCTGAATTGGCCCAGGCCTTTGGCGGCCAAAATGATATTCCCCGCCTGTACATAACCTTTTTTGAACTGTGCATATAGTGCCGGGGTTCTGGACAGATGAGGGATGAACATCTGATTATCTCCCAAGATCATGGCCGCCTTGAATGCTTGATACACCACCTCTTGTTCTTCAGAGAGGTCTACCGCCTCACATTGGCCAAAGTCGAGGAGAAAAATGTTGGTCACTCTGTGCTGCAAGTCGACATAATAATGGGTAGGTCTGCCATCGGTCCGTCCTCGTCGGGTGTGATGAAATTTGCGAAAACTGTATCATCGACCGCTGCGGCATGCGCCTGGTGTCTCCGCCTGCATTGCCGATGTCCCGAGCACGTACTCCACATCATCCCCTGTCACCGCTGCTCCCCAGTGCATCATCGCGTATGCCTTGCCCATGGCACTTGCGATTTCGTTCACGTCCATATGAAGATCTTCCATTGACTTCAGGTAGAGGGGAAAGTTCCTCAAAGACAACTTCCCTTGGTTGATTGGTCCATTAGCTCTTCCCAAGTAGAGGCGTGCAAGGCAGTGCTTGTTTTCGGGCTGGGCGAGAAGACCATTGTTCGCTATGGATGAAAGTGGCTGTTCGTTATCGGAGAAGCGAGAATCCAGGGCTCTGCGAACGACTTTTGGCAGAGGAAGAATTCTTTCCATCTTTACGGTGTCACCGCGTGCCCGATAGGCCGCCGGCAGTTTAGGCAGGATGATGTCCCACACGTGTCGTCCTCGGACTTGGAAATAAACTCCAGTGGCTGGGGAACGTGGATGTTGTCGTTGGCCAACTGGCTGTAGAGTTGAAATGCCGTCGACACGGCGCAGTGCATCTCATACTCATGTCGAAGGTTCGAGGACTTGACATCTTTTCCTGGTCTTCCTTTTTTCAGAACAGGTGACTGTCCAACTTGTTCAAAGATCACACCTTGTAAGCCTTCTCCAATTTGATTAAATTTCTGCAACTCGGGACGATTGCGAGCATGTTGAGATGTGCGAGCAAAGGAGGAAGATGTTGAGACTGCGGTATGGAAAGAGAGCGCCCGATTCAAAATTTCATATTCAGACATTTGTTCAAGGTCTGCGGCCAATAACTGGCGAGTAACGGACTCATCTGATCAGGTCTTCTCTCGGCGTTGAGACATGGCTTGAATCAGATGAAGAGGAGTAAAAAGAAGTGGGCAGATGAGTGAGAAATAAAGACGTGAGGGTAAAGCGAGGGTAAAGCGAGGCTAAATTGAGAAACGGAAAGGTTGAACATTGTGCCTGCCTATTGTCTGGTTCTTAGATTAGGCCCGTATTCAATGTGGCTTAGTTCTGCACATCCGATACTTCTTTAGGTTACAGAGTCTTTTCCTTTGACAGGAATAGACAACGTAGTAAAGTTCAGTGTTTGAGCGAGTGAATACACGGGGCCCTGAGCCTTTTGAAACCTTGTTGTCGTTCCAGCAGAAGCTACTAGTTGTCATAGTATGTGAATACTAGCCACCTATGTGTAGGCAATATTGTTATTTGCCACATCAAGTTGTAGGTGTTGTGGTTGCTTCCTCAATGCTATACTTCATAGATCTAGACAGCGGATTGATCTAACAACTTGTAGATCCACTCTCTTCGCCGCAGACAACTCTGCCATGGATTCTCACAGGCATCAGTCCAGAAACTGGAACCACTCATCGAAGGCCAGATGAAAAGCCTTGTTGACGCTGTTGATCCGGAAAGTGGTCCCAGGTTGACGGAGCAGGAGATTAATTCTGAGGCTTTTGCTGTTCTGTGAGCCACCCTATGTCCGATCCTCGTGGGAGCAGAGCTAACAGGTACAAGCGTGGCTGGATCCCATTTCACATCAGGAACCCTGACACTCCTTCTTTGGGATTCAACGCATAATCCCGACATCTTGGCAACCGTGACGCAAGGACTGGATAAAAAACTAACCTACACCGAGGAAACTAGCCCTGCCAAAAGGAGCCGCGGCGCATCATCTCCGCAGCCTGAGACGAATCCGATGATGCCATCGCTTATCATTCCGCCGCTGATCCTGTCTAACATCGACACTACCTTAGATTATTTACCTACTCCCTCCCTGACTAGTGACTCCTCGAACACTCCGATTCTAAGCCCGGAATAAGCAGGTTTCCCTTCTCTACTAATAGAGCTAGTACGGCCACCCGACCAATTACAAGCCAGTATGGGTGGAAACACCCTAGATAGCCTAGAGCAGGCCGGATACCGTCAAGTCTGGCACTGGGAGTTGGGTTTCCCCGGGGAACTGCCTGATGATATCGCGGACTGGATATACCCCCCGGCGTCGGGAAATCTTTGGCAATGATTGGACCATTATCCAGTATTTTTTGGTTAGCAGGTAGACCTGAGCTCTGTGAGCTTATTGATGACCGTGCCTACGTACTCACTGACGAGATCTGTGGAACTCCCCACGGCGCATCGTATGACTGGTTATTTAGGATGTTGTACGACGAAGGCAAGATCCCAGACCGCATTTTTCATGAGATGTATGCAGGGCCAGCTATGTGACATCTGAAGTTGCGTTCTTGGAACTATTTCTCGGGATTTGGTTTATGATGTATGAAATATTGTCTCGACCACGATGGAAGAATACTACAACAGGGAATTTACTGGTTCATGTTTAAATCACGGATACTTTCAATGTCCGGCGTTCATTCACTGATTCACGCCCAGTCCCCTGGGTTCATAAGGATATAGATACAACAACCGTTGTAAAACAAGCAAAAAAGAGAGATCAAGATTTAACCCTTCGCGGAATATTAGACAACACCCGGAACTCCGTGCTGGAACGAATTGCAATGCAAACCCAACCAACCGCAATGTGCACCCTCCTACCACGGTCAAAAAAGAGGTAGGGTCATCAAGATCATGACTATCACTCCGTTGGGCTCGAATAGAAAACAAGACCAGGAAAAAACGCTGGAAAGATTCAAATAAAATAAGTTGCTAGCCTATTATCGTCTCTCAACTCGACTGAGTGCTCCGAGGATAAGGCCTAAGTCTTCCCGCGGACGTTCTCGTAGTTTTTGTGGACTTTCCCCTTCGCCATCGCCTTCTATAGCGATGCGTCTCCGGGTATTCAGTGCATCGCGATCTTCTAGCCGCTCGGCACAGATGCGAAGTATTCGTGATGAGAGGGCATCGGCGCTGGAACTGTATAGCTCGATATCGTGGATTCCGGCGGCGAAGGCATCTAATGTTGGGGCGAGGCCTGTTGTGATTTGGGAAAGGCGGTTTGAGACGGTAGATGGGGACATGGGTGTTTGTAATATTGGAGGAGAGGTATCGTCTTTCGCTTGTGATTCGGCTGGGACGGAGGCATAGAGGGATGTGAGGATGGCTTGTTGAGAGGGATCGAGAAGAGAGGAGTCGATTTGAGGTTGGGATTTCTTCGGGTAACGTTTGGAGGCTTGGGGAGAGTCGGGTGTAGGTGCATTGACAGGTGGAATCGGGGCTTGTTTAAGAAGTGCGTTCAGAGCATGTCTCTCTTTTTGAAGCCTGTTCAGTCATATTAGCTTGAGTCTTTTGCTTGGTGGGGCTGCCTGCCATACCTTTGTATGTGCTCCTCCAATTCCTTAATCTTTTCTGTATTCTGTATGTTCCTTGGATTCGGCTTTTTCACTACCACGGTGGGCGGATTCACGTCCTCGCGGCTAAACCAGTTCGAAAGCTCCGAGTTGGTAGAAAAGTCTTTCAGCAGCTCATCTTGGATCGCACGGGCTAGATCATATCAGCTTTAATCCTCTTATCACCGAGAGGGAGGAATTACCTGCTAGACGTGAACTCTGATCCACCGAGCGCGAGCCCGAAGGCTTGTCTCCTAGCGCTCGTGTCGCACACCAAATTAGAAGCTGCCTCATTCGGCGCGGCTCCGGGAGACCTTCATCTGCAATATGTTTATAAAAGTCTGCAGTGCCAACTTCTCGATGCGGCAATGCTAGACCAAAAAAAAAGACAAGTTAGCTCATTTCCACCAGAACACCACTGCTGCATAGTCCCTACCATTGGACGCTCCCGAGTCAATCAAAGAGCTGGCTCTTCGCCCCCGCATCCCCAAACTGCTTCGCCGTTGCCCCTTGCCAGATTTCGTACCCCGTAATTCCTTATTCCGCTGAATTACCGGAGTGTCCGCTAACGGCAAAGCCACCTTGGTACCTGCTGGAGGTTCTGGTGATTTAAATCCGTTGGTGTCGCTCGTTCTCGGACGTCCTGGCCGCCCCCTCTTCCCTTTTGTCTCAGCTGGCGCATTTGAAGGCGACTCGTGATTTCGTAGTGAGCGTGTCGAGTTCACTGGTGGTTCCGGCTCAGAATTTCCCGTCTTAGCAACCTTCCTCGTCCCCCGTCTTGTCGGAAGTTCGGTAGTCTTCCCATTCGTCGGTACTGCACTAGCACTCTCATCCTCGGCCGGCCGTTTCTTAGGCGGTCGACCCCTGCGTGGCGTAGATTTTGGAGGCGCATTTTCCACATCTGACTGGGGCTTGTCCGGAACAGGTTCAATGGACGGTCTATTCCTCTTCGTCGGTTTTCTTGAAAAACGAAATCCTTCTGAATCTTCCTCGTAGTCTGCAAAATAGGGTGGTTAGAGTCTTCACATTACTCGTTCTTCTCGTCTCGCGCCCAATGCAGCCGAGTGCCCACCCTTTCTAGGAGTCAAGGAAAAACTCACTCGCTTTCCGTTTTGCCTCGGCGTGATTCGCAATTTCTTCCAGTCCTTCTTGGGAAGCGCTCAGCCGTTTTGGTGGCCGGCCTCGGCCAGGACGCGACTGCGCCTGAGTCGCGGCCATTGCAATCGTCCCCAGTTCGCGGCGCTTTACTTTCGTGATAGGAGCCGCCAAGACCGCGATGGTCATGTCAAGAAGCTGTCACGCGGGATCGTCGGTTGGGGTTAAGAGGGTCGTGACCCCTCAGCAGGTGAATAAGAATCACCGGGTTTCGCTATTTTGCGTTTGAAACTTTTCAAGGCCGTTAAGTGTTTCTTGAGTATCGACGACTCGGATTTCCTTGGTGAAGTGTGGTCGCGACCAGGTCTTGTTAAGTTGTTCGCGTGGGTCTTTGGATTAAGGCTGGTTTCTTGTCGGTCGCGGTCCCCTCAATTGGGGTTGATTGCCGCGCGAAGTTCGAGTCGTGAATATTTCCAGTTGGATTCAAATGCGCAAGGTGTTGGGAGAGTCTTTATCATGCCCGCAATGAAGTGGCTGCGGGCGGCAAGGGAAGCGCAGAAGGTGGGTTGGAGGGATTCGGGCACGCGGTTGTTTTGGTCGGGGCGCGTGGGGCGCTAGTCCCCTTTGGGAATCCCCTCAGAAAACGGTTCCTACACTTGAAAATGAGAATGCGCAAAGCACGGACACGCACACAGAAATCACGGTTATAGCATAGCTTGTTACTATGATCACGCAATGTCATTTTAAGAAGCTGCCAGATTCTCCAATTCCCACAGGAACTTCACTGTGCAGATGCCACTAGATGAAATACGCTATGTAGACTTAAAACCTCTCCAACGCCAAGATTGCACATATAAAAACACGTAATATGTTCAATGAGAAACAAAGGAACCCCGGATTATTCAGCGAACAGGAGTTGAGCCCGTGCTTTGTTATATAGTTGAAACAACAATCCCAGGATCATTGCAGTGCATCGTCCGCTTGAGACAGGTCGCCGGGGGTGGAGGTGCAAGGCTACCTTCGATGCGACGCTTAGCTTCTTGCATCTCCTCAGCAGTGATGTTCTCTGCTTTCTTGGGCATGTCCGGTTCATGCTGGGGGATATCAGGGCTGTGACCAACTGACATACCAACTCGGATCTGTTCAAGGGAAATTAGTATCAATTATAGACAAAAGTGCAGGCGCGGACGAATTCTTACCAGTGTCTCCAATGGTCCCTTGGAGTTGTCCGCTAGGTCACGATCAAAATTGATGACTCCCTCCTCAAATAATACCAACAGCGTACTACCGCCGAATTTGAAGTATCCAAGCTCCTCTGCTCGGGAAACCTTTTCACCGGCCTTGCGGGTGATGACTGTACTACCCACCATCATGGCGCCGACACAGACGACCATGACACGACCATGGGCGACAGAGTCAATAGGGACCAGCACTCGCACATTCTCTCCATAAACATCCAAGGCCGAGCGGATAGCCATCGGATTTACCGTATAGTACTCGCCCTCAATGGTTTTGGGTTCACCCATGATTCCATCTACGGGCACGTGGAAACGATGGTAGTCCTGTGGGGCTAATCGGAAAACACCAAGGGCACCATTGCGATACCGCGCGGCATCTTCAGGATAAGCATTACCCATTAACCTCTCCACGGAAAACTCTCGTCCCTTGACCCAGATGCTGGTGGCTTCGTCCATACGATCAAACACTACTGAGCGACAGTCGGCTGGGGACACAACAACCCTCGGATCATCGGGGGCCGAGCATGGTCGGGCCTCAGGCTTCAAGGCGCGATAGAAGAACTCGTTGAAATTGTTGAATTTCTCAAGAGGCAGAAGCACTTCCGTCATGTCCAGCTGGTGGAAATTGATGAAATCCCGAATCTGGCTGACAGATGCCGGGTCATCATATTTTCGGCCTTGCTTAATACTGAGGGATTTCAAAACACGACGAACTATAAACCTCTTTGTTAGAATACGATATTTGGTACGAATTAGTAAAAAGACTCACTTCTCTTCTTCTCCATGTCCTTGCTCTTGAGACCCTTGTAAAGCAGTCGAATGCCAAGGCGGACATAGACACTCATACGCTCCTCATTAATCTGGCCAGTAATGCGGTCCTGGACGAGAATATTTGCCGAATTGGCTCCAAGCCGGTAGCCACCGTAGGAGATCTTGGTGATAACCTTGGAGTACCATTTGCGCTGCGCCTGGCTCGAGGTCACGAATCCGCCCATGACAAGGTTGTCGACTTGCCGCCAGTCACGGCTGGCACAGGTAGCAATATGCGTAATAATGTCCGCATCAGATCGCTTGCCAAGGCGAGGCTGGTGGCAGAGCGGGCATTCGCGGATTTCCACCACGTGTTCTTCGCCCCGTTCGTCCCCAAGATCATCGGGTCGGAGATATTCGTCGTTCGAGCTGGGCTGATCCGCCTCGTCGCTAGAGAGTGTCGGCACCGCTGTTGAATCCGGCTTAGCATTGTGTGGCATGGTGGTGCTGGATTCTACAACGAGCTCATCGCCGCTAGATGGCTCCTCACTATCCTGGCTGCCGAAAGATGACGGTGCAAGTGCTGGATTCCGCGAACTGGGTGTGGCATTCTTCTTTTGCAAGGCTTGCAGTGTATCCTCAAGACACATTACAGCCTGGTCAAAGCTTAAGTCGGCTGTCGCACTAGCTGCGTTCTCGTCACTGAAACGCTCGAAGAAGGCGTCGATCGTCGATTCTTTCAGTGTGGATCCAAGAGTGTCGAGCATGGTCGTCATCTCAATCTTGTCAATGCGGCCGCTGTCGTCCGCATCGTACTGTTTCAACATGAGTCTCCAAAATTGCTGTCGTAGAGCAGTATATGGCAGGTATTTGGCTTTCACAAATAACTCCGGCGTATGTTTATCTTCCCATCGTTCCCGGTTCTTAAGTGTCAAAGGAATAGTGTAAAAACGCAAACCTTCCTCATCAGCTGGTGGGATATCCTCAGGCTCCGACACGATGGCTGAAGACGAGATGGTTGGCACCTGGAGATTAGAGCTGCTATCCAATGAACTGGATAATTCTGGCACTGATGTTGGAAGGACTCTGTTGGCAGCCTCGAGGACAGAGTTGCTTGAAATGGAAGTAGCGGAGTTATGCGACCTCAGTGTGGGCCGAGCCATCTTGGAGAGGCTTGATGACGATGGAGAAGAACTAATTGGGAGCCGAGAGCTAGACTTGGCCGGTGGAACAACTTCGTCCTCTTCAGACTCGACAAAGTGATATAGACCCGTCTCTGGGTCTGCCTCCGGGGCAGCATGAATCAGGGTTGGAAGAGGAAAGCCTGCAGAGGCAACAAAATCATTGCCTGAGAACTTGTCTCGGTCCATTACCGTGAAACCAATTGTGTAGTTCCTCTCATGTCGCATTACCTGAAAGACCATTTTCTCGTGGTATACCGGGTTCAAGTTATGACGTACAACAGGAGTCCGGAGCGTTTTCCTCCCAAGAGAAGTCACGACGAATGGATCCATGTCAAATGATGTCCGCGTCACTAAAATATAGCATATTAACCATCTGAAAAGTGAGAATAGGACAGTGAGTCGTACCATTCTTCTCCGGAGGGAGATCTGTCACCTTGACGATCTCCATGAATACAATTCCTTGTACACCGCTTCCTGTACCCGAAAATTGGTACGCGCGAGCAGCAAGAGATTTCTTTCTTAGCCGAGCCAGACGAAGCCTTCGACGGCGTTTCTCAACAACCTCTGGCTTCGAAAGATCATCGGTTTCGTCAGATGTCTCCTCATCACGGTCTAAATCATCAAGGTCTGCCGCCGGGATTTCAATTGGGTCATCATCATCACCGGCACATACGACCTTCTTAAATTTCTTGTATGTTTCTGACGGCGACGCATTTGGGCTTGCCGAGTCCGAAAGTGAGAATTGCAGCAAGATCTCGCCAGATACATTACTGTTTTTCTTGTTCTTCTTCTTCCGGTTCGATACCCGTTTCGACTTCAGGGTGTACCATGTTGGCTACGCATATGAGGGTCAACCACTTGATCCTCAAATCAAAATTGCATGTGTGAGCCGTGCGGTGTTTCGTACCTCATTCTTGATTTGCCCATCGGCGAAAATATCTTCCAATGCAATATCAAACTCGCCCAGGTAGTCCTTGCCAAACCGGTCATGATCCCAACAGATGCATTCCAATAATGGAACACCCACGAGGGGCATTTCGAATGACACGTTCCATTCTGGGTTTAGAGATTTGAATATTGTCGGCGTCGACTGCCTTCCTTCTCCCAATGTCACCACCAAGTACTGTATATCTCACCAGTTAGCGAGCCAAGCCGATGAATCTCAGGGACCAAGATATTGTGACAACGCCACTTACAGGATCGCTCGTGCCACCCCGATCTTTCGCTGCAAGATTTCGTCCCTATTTCAACGCGACAACGCATAAATTAGCCATATGTTTTTCTTTGTGGGGCACAGGCTTGTATTGGCGGCTGCCTAGCAGGGGGTTGAGATTGATTCAGCCTTACCCGAATGACAGTGACTTTGAGTAGCAAAGGTTTGGCGTCGGCCGTTATGCGCATAGGACTGGTACTCCTGCTCTGTCCGGGTGTTGAGCTGGTGCTTCTCGTGGATAGATGCGAGCTCAGTCGCTGCGGAAGCGGTAAGCGGACCATGGCGGAATGGCCTGCAGGCCGAAGTGGCGGTGGAGGAAGGAAGAAAGGTTGGAGGGGGAAAGAAACTTGAAATTCAAAATCGAGGTTGGCCCTAAGCCCCTAGTCGAAATTCCCGTCCTGGTAAGCGTGGCTTAATTAAAGCATCCCCCAGAGTCCGATCCGCGTACGATCTGCTCGGGTCGATCCCAGCACAACAGCCAAGAACCGGTACCACCCACAATTCCAAACAAATCAAGGTCACTCCGGCAATTGGGATACGTGGCCTCGTGGGTAGATGATAAGTTAGATTAGAGGAAATTGGTGGGAAGTTAAAAGGGCAAGGCCCGGGAGCGAAAGGAGAGACAATCGTGGGGCTTTGTTGGGGGAAGAGACAGAGGTTCTTGGTCTCGACGTCAGTTTCCCATTCTCCACTTTGTCTCCACCAACAACAAAAAACTGGATGCCTTGTCTACGGGGCTAAGACACGTTTACTCCAATGATCCTAGTGCATGAGTCCTGCCTTCATTCGGTATGTGCTTGACAAGATCACAGACCTACAGGGCTGTCTTGAAAGTCATACAATGCAAGACTATCCACCCCACCACCTCGGAATGCAGTACCCCGCACCCATTAACTACGTGAGTCTAGAATTCAGGTCGGATCCGGTGTCCAGTTGCTTTGATTGGACCATACCTTTGAAAATACTCCCTGAACACTCTGGAACATTGCAACCTGAAGGGTGTTACTACGTATTTTGACTTATATTCCGCCAGATCCGCCCCATGCCGAGGTATGTATTGGGTTGCCTCCAAGACTGAGATCCTATACGTGGCCTACTTTCTCCAATGCTTGTCAACAATCTAGGTGCAGTTATGCATCTCTATGGCCTTTTACATGAGGTAACAGATAGGTAACCTAAGAAGCTTTTTTAAACCTTGAAATGTACATTCGCTAAAGCCAGAAACCAAACATCGCGTAGCTGAGGCCTGAGGCCACGTTTATACAGAAAATCATAAAAAATGTAAAAAGGGGCAAAGACCCACCACAATTAATAATGCCAGCGATGATTCCAAACCGACGGACCCCGAAATTTTTCTAAAAAATCTTGCATTCATAGCGGATGGTCATGAAAGGTGGTATGATAAGTACTGTATGACTACACAACTCATCAAGATTGAGATCATTCAATTCAACTTACCTATCCAATCAGGTTACAGAAGTTTAAATGTACTTGCAGCAAATCTTGGAACAGTAGCATTGCGTAAATCAGGGGTTCCATTCAAACCGATAAGCAATATCCAACTGCATGAATCTGACTCAGCGCTCTCTAGCTAATTAGTAAATTAAGTTAGTTCACCTCCCCTTGTATTCTTCGAAACCCACTTTCTTCAGTACACAGCTTTCCTCCGTACCCCCATTATTCACATAGAAACCAACAAGCCCACACATTGCAACAATGATCCTGATCGTGTTCTCTTCACAAAAGACGGCACCCACATAACCCATCTGGCCCGACCTAACACGAGTCATGGCAATCATCACGTCTCCTTAAGCATCAAGATGGAAATTTTGCGACCACGGTACATCAGAAGTATACCACATGTCACACATGGGACTTCTTTGATAGACACACCTTTCATATAATGGGGACTTGTAGAGCCGGTCTCAAGGAATCTCCAACAGCCCTCGTATTCAGTGTTAACGCCCTTTCGCAGGCCATACCTGATGCCAAAGAATGGCCGAACAGTCCTTCCTTGGGCCCAAGCGGGGAACTGCCCCAAGACCATTTTTATTCCAACACGGCATATGAAAGTTGAAACCGCACCCTTGGCTGAGTGGCGCGAGCTGAAAACTAAGCCCTCGTCTGCGGTGAGGACGGCTGCTGGTCGTGGCGAATAGTCCAGATACAGTAGATCGACAATTCATTTGGGTCATCGACAAGTACGACTGTCACCATGTTTCACAATGCAGTCATGAAACTGTCTCGTTATTGTTAGAAATCTTATTTGAGGGGGAATGGTAGATGATGATGACCAATGGTCGGTGGGGTTCTGTCTCCGGAGGTTCATGTTTGTTTTGGTAGACAGAGACTCCAAAGGTCCTGGCTGGAAGAATGGAGAGATAAAGATTTTTAGTTTCAAAAAATAAGTGAGTTCAGACTTAGTAGAGATGGATGGGAATCTTTTGTCAGCAGGATTTAGGGTGAGAAATCATGGATATGGAAAATATGGAATACAACAACATTCAAATGGACAAGGAACGGTTGCAACCCTGGAAGATTCCATCTGAATTGAATGAGTGAATGAGCACAGCATTTACCTCTGGACAAAACGTGATACACCTGTTTAGAAATAAGGTCGTGTGTTGAATCACTAAACGGGACGTACTCATCCCAACTACAGTATGACTTTATATAGTTATCTAGGGCTGATTACAGTTCCAATGTCGAGACCGCAACTCCCACTTTCTAGAGCTAGCGAATTTTCATGTGTATTTTAAGTATGCATGTGCATGAACTTATTTCGAGACTCCACCAACTCCGAACATCTTAAATAATATTTAGATCAACCTAAAGTGTATCACTGAGACAGATGCACGTGAGATCGCGATGGAATTTGTATGCTGATCTAATCTCCGCGCTGGTCCACCGACTCCCGCTGGTTCGACGACCTCCGCATTTCCCCCCAACCACAGCAAAGACTCGCGCATTAAACCGGAATCGCCTCCAATCCAGATCCTGCGCAATCGGACTCTCCGCATACCCTCGAATCGAATCATACCACCCCACGCTGACTAAGACCGCCTCCTTGACATCGCCAAACCGGTATCCGAAGTCGCAGTTTCCATATGGACAAGCGCCATATGGGGAAGTGACGATCCAATGAGCCTGACAAACCCACCTTCCTCCGGTTCACTTTCCACCCGAACAAAAACAGTCGGTCCGAGCTTGAAAAGGAATCTGCAGGCCACAGTCGATGGTAATTATATCTTGGATCTTTGCCTTGCCGCATGACCGCCTTCTGTGTCCACTTTCTCTTCTGTAACGTGATCTTGATCCTGAACTGTCTCGGATTTCCTTCTGTTGCATCATGTTTGGAAAAGGATTCCCATTTTCAAATTTAAATTCTGTTGGGGCATTCTATCCTCGGGGTAATCTCTTTCCCCTTCAATACCAGGTTTTTGTCTCGTTTCGGTGAACTGTCCTGGAGAAAGAGAGGGAATGGCATACATCTCTGGTTTGCGATCTTCACTACACCGGCTGGTTTCCTAAAGACGCGTGCATCCGTTGATCTGTCCCCTGTTTCTTTCTCTGCAAGACCGTGGCGATCTGTGCATACGCTAACCACTCGCTCGTGCAGAAGCTCTCGATTCTCGGAAAAACACCGGTTATACCAGCAAAGTCCGCGTTCGGGATCGCTATCATGTCGTAGGATTCATTAGCAGTGGAACCTATGGAAGGGTGTACAAGGCTGTAGGCAAAAATGGCAAGAAGGGAGAATTTGCGATCAAAAAGTATGCTTCCTGCGAGTGCTTATGGGGCGATATCTGACAGCATGGAAATAGGTTCAAACCGGACAAGGAAGGCGAATCCATCCAATACACTGGCTTGTCACAGTCCGCCATTCGAGAGATGTCTCTCTGCACTGAATTATCTCATGCAAATGTCGTCCAATTGGAGGAGATCATCCTAGAGGACAAATGCATCTTTATGGTGTTTGAATATACGGAGCATGACTTGCTGCAGATTATTCACCACCACACCCAACCACAACGACACGCTATTCAAGCCCACATGGTTCGGTCTATATTATTCCAGCTCCTCAACGGCTTATTATACCTTCATACCAACTGGGTTCTGCACCGAGATCTCAAACCAGCCAATATCCTCGTCACCTCCAGCGGCGCCATCCGTATTGGCGATCTTGGCCTAGCCCGACTATTTTATAAACCTCTCAACTCCCTTTTCTCCGGCGATAAAGTCGTTGTCACAATATGGTACCGAGCTCCCGAGCTTCTACTTGGAAGTCGACACTATACCCCCGCCGTCGACATGTGGGCTTTGGGTTGCATTTTCGCCGAGCTCCTTTCCCTGCGCCCGATATTCAAAGGCGAAGAAGCCAAAATGGACAGTAAAAAGACTGTTCCGTTCCAGCGGAACCAAATGATGAAAATTGTCGAGATCCTCGGCCTCCCCCGCAAAGAAACATGGCCTGGCCTTGTCTCCATGCCGGAATACACACAGCTGCAAACTCTTGTGATGCACAGACAGCCTAACCATTACCACCGGGGCCCTAATCTCGAAGGCTGGTACCAGAGCTGCCTGAAGAATGGCGGGTATTCTGCCACATCAAGCGTTGGCACACCTGGTGCAGACGGATTTGATTTACTGTCGAGGATGTTAGAGTATGATCCCACGAAGCGTATAACTGCTCAAGAGGCATTGGAACATCCGTATTTTGCGAATGGCGGTCCCATTAGCGCAAATTGCTTCGAGGGCATTGAGAGCAAGTATCCCCATCGCCGGGTTACTCAGGAAGATAATGATATTCGTACTGGAAGTCTTTCTGGTACGAAGCGCAGTGGCTTGCCAGATGATTCACTGATGAGAGCTTCGAAACGTCTCAAGGAATGATTCACTCTTGGATGCATCATTGGCCATTTTGTTTTGCATGGATCCATCCGGCTTTGGTGTTTTGTGTTTTTCATGGACTTGGCGTTGGCCGACAGGCCCTTTCGGTTTTCTACAGATACACTTTTTTCTCAACTGCATATATTTCAATAGAATTCAGAAGATCACGATACGCCTTACTTAGGACCTTGTCCACAATTCCCAATCCCATCCTCACCCGTATCGTTATATTACATAAATTAAATAGGATATCAAGCAAAAATAACCCCCAAATGCGAGATCTCTTAAGACTATCAAATGAGACATCAATAACCTAAACAATGTCAGCAATCCACCAATTCCCGGAAAGATGAGCATGAAAAACTCACCATTTTGCTCACGCCGACTATCGTCCTCATCCTGACCACCAGTCTCAGCCCGACTAGCCGCATCCCTAATCCCATCCTCATCACCCCGCAACCGTTCAAAGTACCCTTTAACATCCTCAGCACTAACAGCTGTCCCACTCTCCGCAAAAGGTCGCAAAAATGCCTTAACCTTATCACGGAGATGGTTGTAAACCATCGCGCCCTCGATAGCGCGTACGCGGTCCACGGTGCTCAGTGCTGCTTCGCCGCGTTCAAGAATACTACCTGTACCTGTGCTTGCGGCGCCGTTGGCTTCATCACCGTCTTCTGAGAGGGGTGGTTCGTAGGTTTCTTCTTCTTCGCGGAGTTGGGGGTAAGGTGCTAGATATGGGTAGCATTCTGCGCAGCGGCAGAGGTTTGAGTGGAAGTCTTCTTGGAGGAAGAGGGAGAAGCGTTCTGTTGGTGTTGAATCTGGGAGGAGGGTGTGTTTTGGGTTTGGTGGGTTAGATGTTGTTTCAAGTTGCGCTTTGGGTTCATCATGAGTTTCGGGTTCTGGCTTGGGCTCTTCTTTGGGGGCTCTTTGCTCTTCAGTGATGGTAGCGAGGGTAGAGGTTTCAGTGGGCTCTTGTTTTAGAGATTCTTCTTTGGTTCGCTTGGATGTCGGCTCTTCTGTGAACGGTTCACCATCTTCTGCTTTGCGCTTCTTGGGGTTCTCCGATTGTTGTTCCGATTCATTCGGTGCCGAGGTCTTCAAGCCGCCATCTTGATAAACGGGTGGTAGGAAGCCCTTCGATCCGGCATAGCGCTTGAGCCAAGGGTTTGAATCGATACATTTGTAGCAAATGAACTGGTCAAAATCATCTTCAGCAGGGAATCCTGGAGGCAGAGGGGTTTCGTCCTCATTGTCAGCGGCGTCACTGCCAAAACTCTCCTGTTTTTTGACTTTGTACCAGTCTCGTGGCAGGCCGATGAGGCACTCTGGGTGCCACCAGTCCTCACCACAGCCACCAGTTTCGATGGATCCAAGACCCAGGCATTGGAACATTGTACCTTTCTCCTGGTGGGGATCGTATTTTTCCGCACAGCCGCAGAACCGATTGCGAAAGTTGTGGTTGTACTTGTTGTCCTTGGCCGCCTCCTGAGAGTGCACACCTTTGCGGCCTGTCTTGGGGTCTTCGCGCAATGTACAAGGTGCTGTGGTGGGCATGCGAGTGGTTCCACAGTCACAGACAAAGTTGCGCTTGTTAAAAAGCTCCACTAGAGTATGTTCGCCGTGGCATGCGATGGAGCAGGAGTAACAGACTGCTGCAGAGGTGGAAGCATCGTCGGTTTTGTCGGAAACAGGATTACAGGTCAAGCAGGCGAAGAGACTCTGTCTTAATGGACCCAGAGCATAAGTGCAAGAGTCAAAGGACTAGGTGTGGTCAGTAGGGGATCCATACTAGGTTCTTGATTCACTAACGTAAGGAAGAATCTCGCGCGCATCGGCTTCAAGTCGGATCTGATCGTCGATGAATCTGTCGCATGCATTAAAATTTTGCGTTGATGGGGCTTGGTTGGGGCTGTGACTTACTCTCGGGCTGTCTGAGAGTTGTGGGATCCAAAGCTCTCGCGCCGGCCGCTTTCGGACTTAGGCTGAGCAGCCAAGGATTGTTCCATGTCGAAGTTTAGTGTCTCGAATACTTCAGAGTCGATGGTTGCTCAAGTGAACGATGCCAGGTAAGTTTCCCGGATGGAAAGTTTCGAAACTGATGGTAGGAGCAAGAAGATTTCTTGCAAGTCGCAACTGCTTGATCCGCAATCGAGTATGCTAACAGTCAACAGGCTCTAGAATGTAAACAAGCCTCAAACAATTTCTCGGACAAATTAGACCTCGAAAATGCGCTTATCTCTGATGTCCGCTGCGACTTTGCGATATAAATTTGGATTATATCGCGTCGGAGATTGTGGCGGTGATGTGAGCTCGGATGTATCCTGCAGTATGAAGCAGGAAGATGACAAGAGCTGCTGCGGCAATGCTTGTGCTCGAACTCGGGTCGAACAATGATATTCTGATCGAGGATGGCGAGTGACGATGCTGAGCTGATGATGCGGCAAACGGAACGCGAAACGTGATGTTTGCTCGGTTTGCACTGGAGTATAGCTCCAATCAATTTTCATCGAAACTCGATCAATTAAAGAATCTAGATGAGGCCGGATATGTGAGCCTCAGTATCACATCAACCAAAAACGAACAAGAAAGGTCTTTGTCAATCATTCGGAAATGGCTTCTTTAGGCATTGGCATGGGGATTCACTGTGATCACGTGCAATCCAAATTGGGTAAAATTGAAAACGCGTTGCTACGCGACGCGTTGGATCCAAATCCGAACCAATCTTCAGCTTGCGCACTCTATCCTCCCTTTCCTCCCTTTCTATCAACCACGCTTCGGGGTGTTCGAGAAAATCCACTACCCCATTCTAACTTTTTTTTGTGTGATCTTATTTCTTTCTACCTTGTTCCATTACAATAAAATTGCTCATTGAGCACCACACAACATGGAGTGAGTTTGCGCCCGGATTTTTTCCATTTTTGCAGAACCCGCGAAGCTAACATGCCCACAGTCCCCTCCAGCCTAGTGACTCGGCCGCAAACCGAGGTCCGCGTTCAAACACTCGCAAGCGCTCAAGAGAGCCAGATGACATGTCTTCTCCCGCTGCATTGCCCCCATCCAGTCGTATGTGAACCCCCTGAAAGAAAATTGCGGGGCTGGCCAACTGACAATCCAAATAGCCGCCGCCCTCGGTTCATCTCCTCCCCCAATGCCATTCGACGAGGACGATGACGATGATGAGGAAGCTGAGATGATCCCCGACATTGACGATATGGATGAGCTGGCGGAAGATGAGGAGGGCATTGACCTGTTTGGCGACGATTTTCAGCGCGATTACGAGGGTGGCCCGGATGAGTACGTCAATGAGGCGTATATTGATGATGATGGAGAGCACCGGGAGCTCACCGCTGCTGAGCGTCGCCAGCTGGATTCTCGGTTGGACCAAAGAGATATGGCTCGCCGCCGCATGCCGGCTGCGTTCCTGCAGGATGACGACGACCAGGAAATGGACCTGGCGCGCCAACCCCGCCGTCGGCGACACCACTACGACGAGGACCGCGAAGACATTGATATGGGAGAGGATGGCATGCAAGAACTGACATTAGAAGAGTTGGCTGATGTGAAGGCCGCCAATATTACGGACTGGGTTACTCAGCCTCAGGTCCTTCGCTCCATTTACCGCGAGTTCAAGGCTTTCCTGACAGAGTTCATTGACGCTAGTGGTCAATCGGTTTATGGCAATCGTATCAAAACTCTGGGTGAGATCAACTCGGCTTCCCTGGAGGTGTCCTACGCCCATTTGAGTAACAGCAAGGCGGCACTGTCTTACTTCCTTGCCAACGAGCCTACCGAGATTCTCAAGGTCTTTGACCAGGCTGCACTTGATGTCACCCTCTTCTACTACCCTCAGTACCACGATATTCACAACGAGATTCACGTGCGCATTACCGATATCCCCGTGATCTACACTCTCCGCCAGCTGCGTCAGTCTCACCTCAACTGTCTTGTCCGTGTTGGTGGTGTCGTCACCCGCCGTACGGGTGTCTTCCCACAGTTGAAATTTGTCATGTTCCTCTGCCAGAAGTGTGGTATCACTCTAGGTCCTTTCCAGCAAGAGTCCAGCTCGGAAGTGAAGATCTCCTTCTGCCAGAACTGCCAGTCTCGTGGTCCCTTTACTGTCAACAACGAGAAGACTGTCTACCGCAACTACCAAAAGCTGACTCTGCAGGAATCTCCTGGTACTGTTCCCGCCGGTCGTCTCCCTCGTCAGCGGGAGGTCATCTTGTTGGCTGACTTAATTGACACCGCCAAGCCTGGTGATGAGATCGAGGTCACTGGTATCTACCGTAACAGCTACGATGCTCAGTTGAACAACAAGAACGGTTTCCCCGTCTTTTCTACTGTTATCGAGGCTAATCAGGTCGTCAAATCTCACGATCAGCTGGCCGGTTTCCGTTTGACTGAGGACGACGAACGTGAGATTCGTGCTCTGTCCCGCGAGCCCGACATCGTTGACAGGATTGTTCGGTCCATGGCACCTAGTATCTACGGTCACCAAGATGTCAAGACTGCTGTTGCTCTTTCTCTCTTTGGCGGTGTCAGCAAGCAGGCCCAGGGTAAGATGTCGATCCGTGGTGATATCAACGTTCTGCTGCTTGGTGATCCCGGTACCGCCAAGTCTCAGGTGCTCAAGTACGTTGAGAAGACAGCACACCGAGCTGTTTTCGCCACCGGTCAAGGTGCCAGTGCTGTTGGTTTGACGGCCAGCGTTCGCCGTGACCCGCTAACCAGCGAGTGGACCTTGGAAGGTGGTGCCCTTGTGCTCGCTGACCGTGGTACTTGTCTGATTGATGAGTTTGACAAGATGAACGACCAAGACCGAACATCTATCCACGAAGCCATGGAACAGCAGACCATTTCCATCTCGAAGGCTGGTATTGTGACAACTCTGCAGGCTCGCTGTGCGGTAGTCGCCGCTGCCAACCCCCAGGGTGGTCGATACAACGCTACCAAGCCCCTATCGGAGAATGTGGAGCTGACCGAGCCTATCTTGTCCCGTTTCGATATCTTGTGTGTGGTTCGCGATCTGGTCGAACCCAGCGAGGACGAGCGCTTGGCCAACTTCGTGATCGAATCTCATCACCGTGCCAACCCTGCTCGTCCCTTGCGCAATGACCAGAATGAGCTGGTTGACACCGATGGCAACCTCATCAACGAGGAGGGTTACCGCATCGATGAGCATGGCCAGCTTCTCCCACCCACACAAGAAGAAATTTCCCAGCGTGCCGCCGAGCAGAAGAAGGAAGAGGAAGAAAGAGAAGGCGAGATCCCGCAAGAGCTGCTACGCAAGTACATCCTTTACGCCCGCGAGCGATGCCACCCCAAGTTGTACCAGATCGACCAGGACAAGGTCGCCCGTCTGTTCGCAGACATGCGTCGGGAGTCCCTGGCCACTGGTGCCTACCCTATTACTGTAAGCCCCCCGACCCCGAAATTCTTTTTGTTCTTTAGCTGACTCCGCCAGGTCCGTCACCTCGAGGCTATCATGCGTATTGCCGAATCTTTCTGCAAGATGCGTTTGTCAGAGTACTGTTCTTCTCAGGACATTGACCGCGCCATCGCCGTTACTGTGGAATCCTTTGTTGGCAGCCAAAAAATCAGCTGCAAGAAGGCGCTGTCCCGTGCATTTGCCAAGTATGTTCACCATCCCCATCAAATCCAACTTTGAATGCTAATGATGTCTCCAGGTACACACTCGCCCGGCCCAAGCCGATGTCCAAGCGTCGTGCCGGTGTCGCTGTGCCCAACCCGCATTTGCCACGGAGTGCGTCCGTCGCTCAGTAAACAATATCAAATGGGGAGGGTGTCTGCGGTTTCTTTCAAGTAAAATACCATCTTGTTTGCATGTGGTGTGGGGCGTTTTGATTGTTATAAGATTTTACTGCAGGACTTTACTAGGAGTCAGGCTATGATTTAATGAATTGAACAAATATCCACGATATCAAACATACCTAAAATCTAAGTAAACCAAACATCAAAAGTAAAGTCAATAACGCTAAGCCAACCACCCATGTTCCTCCCACTTCCCTTCTGGCTACAACAACCACGTATACCTCCCAAAGACAACTCTCAAAAGACAACCAGAATAGAGACAAACGCCAATACACAGACGCAGAATTGACAGAGCCTTGTTTGAGATTGAATATTAGACTTGCGAGGCGTTGGTTTCTGAGATTTTATAAGAGCGACTCGTGTTGACGTCTGATATACCATGGGAGAAATGGTTGCTGTGTGGTATTACATCCAGTAGATAAGGTTAGTAAAGCGATTAGCTAGTGTGGGACTTGGGGTTTTATGGCCCCAATTATGTCATGGGACTCACTAGGCTCAGTAAAAAGGGAATTCAATGTATGGGACTCTTGATACTGGGCAGAAGAAGCATCAACCTGGAAATAGAGCGCTAAGCGATACAAAACATGTTCAGAATATAAGACTTAGTAAGAATGGATAGATTCTACTATGGCAAAGTGGCTATCGATAGAAGTACAAGCTCACATGGATATGCTGGGCATGTTTCAGCCTTAAAGAAAACACCTGAAAAAGGAGCGCAAAAGCATAACCAAAATAAAAAGCAAAAGCAAATTCAGCCTACTCCCGTGAGTTATCAACGCCATGTTGGGCGCCAGATTGCTAGCGCTCAAGGGTATTACATAGAAAGTCATCAGTCCCCATGGCCCATGAGGATAAAAGCAAAGGTGCCAGTAACAGTGTGGGGAGCAGTAACATTTGATAACCCCAAATTTAATTCTGCGCTTAATCGCTGGTGCGGCGCTCCGGGCGCGGCTTGCGCAAACTCTTCATTCGGTTCAGGAATCCGCCGCCCCCTGCATTCAACTTCTGCTGGTCTTCATAGGCTCGGTCACTGGTTGTCTTGCGCTCCAGTCCGGTTGGTTGCTTGGGGCTGCTTGATGAGCGAAGACGACCGTTACCCTCCAGACGCGCCTCTGCGATCCGCGATCCTTTCTTGTCCCACTCCTCGTCTGGGTCTTCTTGGAAGAATGGGTTCCGCTCGTTGGCCCGCGACGATGCGGAGTGGCTTGAGCCTAGCTGTGGTGGGGACAGGCCTTGCTCTGTGGGGGAACCGACTCGGCCACCGGGGGGTGCAATACGGCCGGTGCCACTCTTTCCACGCAGACGTTGGGCCAAACTCTTCTTTCGCTGCAGACCGCCATTCTGAGCAAACTGTGCTTCATTCGCGCTCTCACGTCGTGCAATGGCCGAGCGGCTGGCCGGGGCGCCATCAAGGAAGGTGCTAGTTCCCAGACCCATGGTCTGGGCACCGTGGATCGGTTCCAATGTGGTTTTAGCATCAATTTGAACTGTTTCAGGGTTGCGGTTGAGGCCAGAGTTGTAGTCGTTGTAGCCCTCCTCCATTCTGCCGTGGAAGAGATTTAGGTCAATGTTTGGGTTAACCGGACCAGAACCACCAAGAGCCATGTTCGTTGAGTTCTTGGGGAAAGCCTGCATGGGCGCAGTGCGCGCGCCCTTACGGTTGCGGTGGGGATTGCATGCGTCAAAGGGACCATCGTGGTGAAACACTGTAAGTGAATTAGCATGGGCCAAGATAAGCCACGGAAAGGCAAGTACGTACTTCCGGTGCCATAGATGCTTGTCACGTCCAACTTGTCGATAATATCCAGGCGGCGGTCCTTGCGAGAAGAACGGGGCTTTCCATCACGCTGACGCTCACGCTCACGGTGACGCCGTTCACGTCGGCGTTTCTCATCCTCATCATCAAACAGGGTCGATGGCCGCTCCATCACAGACGACTCTGAATTCCGGCGAGGTCGACGGGAACTCTTCTGGGTGCCTGAGCTGGAGCTCTTGGGGTCGGCAAATATATCGAATGGATCCTTCGAACGGGACTCTGTAGGGCGCCCGGATGGGGCTGGACGCTCCCGCGATGGACGAGGGCGACTGGTTGATGGTTGCCGCGGAATGGCCTCGGGAACTGGACGGGAGCTATTGGACTGGGATGAGAAAGGCGAGGGAGCCGGGGCCGCTGAAACTGTAGCGGTAGGCTTGATAGAGAGGTTCTCCTGCGGAGCATGTTAGCTTGAGCGGTCTGGCTTGCGGTCGGCGTCTGCACATACGAAAAGGTCACGGGTGTTGCTGGTCATATCGGGTCTTTCGGTCGGAGAGAACATAGTGGCTCCGGTAGACAAGCCAGGGGCCGATTGTGGTGATAGCGCGTCAGTGTCGTCTAAGAATGGGTTGGTCGATCGGGGACGTTCGGGTTGAGCGTTGGTAGCTGAGCCAGGAACAGTGGAAGGCGAGAGAGCACGGTTTCGGAAAGGATTATTGGAGCCAAAATTGGCTGCTGTGGGCGAGACCTGGCTGCCTGTTCCTCAGAATTGTGTCACGGGTCAGTTTCACGTTACAGTGACGCTGTGTCGCCGGGGGACGGGACTGATTTTAAGTGTTCTGGACAAAGACCCCAGAAGCACACAAACGAGCAATCAGGGGAGTCCACAAAGACTCCTTTGACGTTACGTACCTGGTGCCAGCGACACGCCGGGCGGATACCCGAGCGCTGGAGGGGCATTCATGGCGAGATGAAACGGAGGGAGTGGAGAGGGTGATGGGCGTGCGTCGATAGGGTGGTGAGGTGTCGCACGAGTACGGGAGTACGTAGACGGGGGTGATTAACCTGTGATGAAACAGACCAAGAGTATGAAGGACGAAGCAGAGTGAAGGAAGAGAAGGAGAAGAGAAAAAAAAAAGAAAAGACCGAGGAAAAGAGAAGTCGAAGCTCGGGGGGCAAAGGGACACGGGACTCAGGAGTACGTAAAGGAGCGATCGCCAATCCACTTTACGACCAGAGTAGGGGAGTAGAGTTGGTGTTGTAGGTTGTACTCATGTATCTAAAGGCTTAAATTGTTCTGCTTTAATCGAGTTTCTTTCACTTTGCGTTCCCAGTCGAGTCTCCAAATTCCCATAGTTATAAAAGTACCGTTGAACTAGCAAATCCAGGGGCAAAAGACGCTACGCGGACGCTTTTCCCCTCGATCGGCATTTCCCCACTCACACGTCGCATTTTGCCGCCTTCACGAGGAAATAATGAACTAATTCGACTCTTCAGTCTGGGCTTTCCCATGATTGACTTATCAGAAATTCCTGTAGCCCCCCGGAATGACGTTCACATTCCCAATCCCCGGTTTATGCCATCTCAAAGCGGGAATGTGGATATGTGTGGCTGGGGTTTACTTTAGCACACGCGAGGGTCTTTTGCCTTTTCCCCCTTTGCGTCCCTAGGGACCTGATCGGCGTTTTCCTATGTCTGATGTCAGGCTGCGATCTCGCACGGTCCCTTCTTTATACCGTCAGGACGCAATCCAGGAACAAGAAACACACATTGTTTGGACCTTATCTTATTCCAAAGCATGTAAGGTAGATGCAGATGCGATCGTACGCATGAGGAAATCGGACAATCTTGGAAATACAGAGTGTACATCCCCGCGCCAGAGCCTAGGTTGATCTAATATCGTTAGAGGGTAAAGTCAATCAGCATGGCGTTTTTCAGTTGATAGGTCGAGATCTTGATTAGCGGTTATATTCTTAACCTTTCGTTCCACTCTAGGCGACTACAATTGATCCTGTGCCTATTACTTTGCTGAAGTAGCCTGCTAGAGAGATTCAACGTTCTCAAATACCCATCTACCCCAAGCTTTTGCTTCTGGCTAGACACATACCGAGATAAGATCCGAGGTCTTTTGGTCAGGGCTACTCCGTACTTCCAAGGTTTAATTTGGAAATAATCCTCTAGTAAAATTATACACGAAATAAGATCAAGCCATCGACGCCGAAGTCCTCTGTAGCACCCACCGGATTTCGTCGGCTACTAGCTCTGGTTCTGTGAGCTGGGTATTATGGCCACTCCTTGTCGTCGTGGAGAAGCGAGCCGTACTCGACAGATTTAGGAGCTCCCGCTGGAAAGACTCTTCGCTCTCCTCCCACTGCGCCAGATATCCCTCGAACTTAGCTCGCTGAGCCTCAGTACCTCCCCCTTGGGCTACGCCGGCCTTGTATAAAAGCTCATGATCACGTTTCGAGTTGCCCCGGAGTACACTGACCGGCTTTCCATTCAACAAATCCCGACCAGGGAGTAATTGCTGCTTCTTCGCCAATATACTCCGGTTAACCTGTAGATACGGCAACTCCCGAACCGCCTGGCGTGCGTGCTTATCACTCGACTCTTCCGCCATAAGCTCCTTCCATTCCGACTCCGTCGACCGGTGATCTCATGTCAACCCCACCACCTCCATATAGTTCAGTCCATCTGTAACGGCCGCAATGCTGGGGTCAGGCCATGCTTCAAAGAGCATGCGTTCCTGCACTGGGTCCACCAGGAGCAGGCCACAGATATCCTCACTAGGTTGGGCAGCGATGAACTCACGGGCGAGAATTCCGCCCCAGGAATGTCCCACCACAAGGTACGGTGGTTTCAGGTCCGCTGCTACCAATAGCCGAGACAGTTCGTCTACAATTGTGAGAGAGTCTGGTTCGTTGGGAGACTCCTCGCTGCAATCGTATCCAGATCGTTCATAGAGTAGAACTGATATCTCGCTTTCGATATGCCGACAGACTGGGCTTCATTCTAGGGCACTGCTTGTGATCCCCGTACAAATAATCACTAGGGGGCTTCCGGGCTGCCTGGTGATACCCCGCAGCGCGTAGCTTAACGAGTGGGTTCTGATATGAGCGACGTGCCGAAAGTGTTCCATCGCAGCGCGACTCGGTGGTCTGGTATGTAGTGAAAATCTAATGCGACAGTGTTTCAATTCATTGGGAAGATTGTCATTATACAGGAGACTTTCAAAGCAATAACATATGCTACCTCATTTGGCTAGTAGATGTGAGTCATGTCCGATCAGCTAAGTAACTTAATTAGTATAGTATGTACTTGTAATTTGCGACGAACTGAAAACCAATCGTCGGAATTTAAAAGATCTGGTGGTTTTGGATTTCTTTCTTCCTCGAATCGGACAAAAGCCAACGACCTGTAGAAGTTATCTTCTGCTATGGCGACGTGGACTGAGGGAAAGAAAAAGCCCTGACGTCAAGCTGCGATCTCGCACGGTCCCTCCGATGATGACAGCGACCAATATTCCATGCTAAGGCCCCGAGATTGCTTTATCTCCAAGGGATGACGGTCATATGTGACATATCTTGTATCCAGAACTTCAATAGTCCATGAGCGCACTGAACATGTATGACTGCGCCAAGTCTAGGAACTAGTGAACTATAGCGTTGTGTTATCTTATGTGCCTTCGTGTAACAGGTTCATGGGTCGAGGGTTGCCCGGTTCATTCCCACGCTGCTAGATTGATACTAGGTGGGATTATGTCCACCGAGGCAAGGGGCCGCAATTGCCATCTGTACTAGTCGAGTTGCCAACTCGGTTGGAGTAAAACATGGAAATGGTGCCGAGCCATGCAATTGCCGCTGCGATCCTACGTAGTCGCCTATCTGCGACCAACCAGCCGATCCGGTGTTAGTTCCGTGCACCGAGAACAGGCTGCCATCGGCCGCCCACATAATTATGTGATGGGAGTTGATGATTGGGGAATACAGTAAGCTATAGAAAATAATCACGTGCATTCTAATTGGAGAAATGATTTTTTGCCATGCGTTGCATACAAGCGTCATTCCGCCTCACATGGTTGCATGGTACAAACACTCAAAACCTCGTTTTATCTTAAGAGGGAACCTCCGGTCGAGCCTTAGTATAAGAGACCGTCTTTTGACCTTCTCAGTTCTTTTTTGTACCATATATCTCCAAGCAATAACAAGTCTAGTTATGCTGCTTTTTCACAAGGTTGCAACACTGCTCTCTTTACTCTGTAATACGATCATAATGGTCATCGCTTTATACTTACCTGACACTCCTCGTCCACTTGACATGTAAGACGTGTCCTTCTATTAGCGCAGTCTCTTCGTTATAGTCTAGTTTCAATTCTCTCCGTCTCGAATAGCCTCCTCATACCGGGTGTACAAGCCCCCATTTCCACAATTCCACTCCTCTGGTGCTCCCCTTGCTATATGGTTATTGAACTTAGGATCCGTCAGTTCTCACCGAGCGTTATGTTTTGAAAAGAGAATATGCCCAGAAGCCATCGAGAGGAGTTGCAATTTCTGTAAGCAGATTCTCAAGACCTTGGTTGGCCCAATCTGAATTATGACCTGAAATTGGGGGTAGGCTAGCTCAAAAATCGCTAAATCTGCTTTATCAAGATTCGTCTTTCACAGCAATAAAGTAGTACATATGCACGAAAGGCTCATACACCATCTGGTTACCACTTTTAAACTTCCAGCCGCTTAGATCAAGACCTTTCTGATGCAGAAGGTCTTGAATCTCCTCGCCCGTTCGACAGCGTATAGTCGACACCAGACCATCAAACGCTGTAAGGAATGGTAGCAAGGGAATGACATACGTGAAAAACAAATGCAAAGGACTGTTTCTATACTTGGCAATAGAATGCCAGTAAGGGAACAGAAACATAACAGGAATATTTAACAACGAAGTCAAGTTGCGCTGAGACATCTCGCAAATACTAGAAGCCGTCAGCTTAGCTCATATATTTCTTTTTACATCGAAAGTAAAATACTCACATGAAGGAATCGGCCGACTCCATAGCTTTCCGCAACGCCGTCGACGCAAGAGGGTCATCAAAATGGTGAAAGCTCAGATTGAAAATCCTGCATTCCTTCCTATCCTTCGGAGCAATCCTGTCACAGCTCGTTGCATCTATCGGCTCAGCGATGAACGAGACATGCTCTTGTCGTTTGCTGATAGCGGTCCATTCTTCCACGCAGGGATAAAGATCCGTAAGAACGAATTGAGCGGGTTGCTTGCCTTCCGTCTGGAGTTTGCTATTCATAATTTTTTCGATGGTGCCTGTTGGTCCGCCTGCACCCGCACAAAGTTCGACAAAAGTGTAGGAGGATGCATCTGACAAATTTTCCAAAATAAGATTGGCTGCCACGCCTGCTGGAGAGGTTTTGCTGAAGGGGGGAAGATGTAGATTCCAGACTCGGGTTAGATATGATTGGATATAAGTTCTCATCCATTCTGGACACCAGGATTGATCGCCGATTTCAAATAGATGCCATCGAGGGAAGAGGATCATTGTGTTTCGACCGCCCGAGCGGGGTTGGTAGACTCTTGGGTTTATGACTGATAAGATGTCAAAGGACGATCAACTGGCATCTGGATGTCTTGCCGTGTTCATGTCTAGTTGCACTTCAGTGATGGTGGATAGTGGTTGGTGGCGGCGAATGGTGGTTGGATGTGGAGCCCCTGACTGGTTGCAGGCCGCGATGCTGCCTGAGGCATTAAAAGGGGCGGTTTTCTGTACTATGACTATTCTGTTCTGTACTTGCAAGTTACAAGCAACAAGATGCCAAAATATCATAATCAAAATGGGATTCAATAAGACATGAAAGTGTATCATTCTAAATACTAAATACTTGTAGCTATAGAAGGTGGAACTTAGTGTACCACCGAGTCCTGAGATATCATAAATCGCAACGCTAAATAGAAAAAAGATTCGTAAATTATATCGCCAAAAGACGCTCTACCTTTCCACCTGGTGCCAAACAAGGCAACCAGTCCTAAACCGCGATTGCTGGGGCAAAATTTCCTTGCAAAGAGTCTTGCATCTCATTCTTCTCCACAGCCCAGCTACCAAGAGCCGACTGAACGGGCGTATCATCTCGACTGGTAACCGATTTCCGGTATCGCTCAGCAGCAGGCCAGATCTCGTGACCAGCTTCTCTCTCCTTCTTATGATGTTCCGTTACGACCTCGCGCACAGTCTTCTGGAAGTGAAGTGGACCGGCCTCCATCTCAGGGTGCAGCTCGCCGTTGACAAAGACGCCGGCATTCAAATTTTTCTGTGAGAGGATGCAGAGGTATTTGTCTTCTGACATGATGCGCTTGTACATATCACTGATCAGGCTAAATGCCTCATCGGTAGCGTCCTTGTGGCGGTAGACCTCGTACCGCATGACACACTTAGTAGGACTGGACGGAGTAAAGCGCTGCATGAAGAAGAAGTTGGGGCTGATGTTGAAAGAAGCGTTCGGCCAAAAGTACGTAGTAGCTATCCGGAAGCCCTTCTCGATTTGATCTTCACGTGCAGCACCATAGTGCTGAATATGTCCGTCCTTCGTCTTGACATAGTATGAGTTCAGATCGGCGATAGTGGGTATATCCGGGTGAGCGACTAGACAGTGATAGCACTCATTGTAGTTATCTGCCAGAATCTTCCAGTTGAATTCGCCCTCCATATCCCATGAGTGGTCGAATCTGTAATTCTCAAAATTGTAGTGGGCGTATCGGGGCTGCTCGTCCACACCATCGAAGTCGTCTTTCCATGCTACTTCGGGTGTCTCGGATGAATCCATGTTTACCCAGACGAAGCCATTTCGGTCGATGTGCAGGTGTACAGGGGCGAGGTCATCAGCGAGGACGGCACTGATGGTTCCCTGGTGATCCTTGAGGATGATGAACTCGAAGCCGGCGGCGTCGTATCGAACTGAGTCACCTGGGTTGGCAACACGGTGCTTGTGTGTGGTGAGGAGCCATTTACGAGAGAAGATTGCTCGGCGCTCAAGCTCGTACATGTCCTGGGAGGTATACCAGGAAGCGGGCAAGGCCCGGACGGGAGTTTTCTCGTCCTTGGGCGTGTCAGGCGTGGTGCTAGTGCCAAAGAAATTCCTCAGGAAGGACATTTTGAATTTGTTATCCGAAAATTTGTTACAAAGATGCTTGAAGACTGAGATCTGAGCTCTTTGCTATTGTTGTTATCTACCATTGAGCCGGATATCTGTCTCTTCTATATAGATAACCATCTCGACCAGGGTTCTACGGAACCCACGGAGCCAAACACCTTATCCGAGCTCTTTCACGGTGCTTCAGTCTTTCACGCCCGAGACCAGCAGCATGCCTAGGTGCTCTTCCCAGTCAGGTGGCCACTATCTACGGGCGATATAGCTCGGTACCGATCAGGTGATCGGTGGGAGATTTCCCAACCGGGCCGAGTGGCTTAATTGTTATCGACAGCTCCAGGGTTTTCGGAAGACGGACGAAGCTTGTGGCAAGAGTACCAGCGAATTGTATTCCAAGCTTCTAGCATCATTATCTTTCATGGTTGATCTAGAACCCCGTAGTCGATCTGTCCCCGGTTCGGCCGTACAGCCGTTCCACACCGGGTCTTTTGACCTGGCCTTAACTGGTAATGTTCGTCAGAATTCCCCAGATTTGTGGAGAAAGTACACGAATAATTGTGGAGGATGGACTGGAGATGTTTCTGGTAATCTGAAGCAATGCTCAAATGATGACGAGGTGGGTCTGGGCATATCCCGGACCATAGTCAATGGAGCCGTTTCAACCGTGGGAGCTTGCAGAACTTAGAATCCTGAGTATTCGCAATGCGCTATTTTGAGACGGTGCATTCTTCAATGCTGGATTTTAATACCTGCTAGTCTTATCTCTGAAGCCGATCCTTTAATATTGAGCTGAGTTCAAGATAAAAGATCCTGAAAGTTTGGTTGAGCCAATAGATATCGCTCCGTAAAAATTGACAGACCGAGCAGTAAGAAAATACAATCGGTCCTTAGACAGCTAACGTCTTAGTCTGGATTGCTTTACTCAGTCGGGATGGTGCTAGGCTGATAGGGATAAGCCAGTGAGGTGCGCCAATTTAGTCTTTATTCCGGGAACTGATCGCCGTCGGGAGCCGGTGGGATATACCGTCCCCAATATTATACTCTGAAAGCCCACAGCCATGCAGTGTTGAAATTACTGCAGAGTAGGCATATATCAGAGCGAACTGCATTCTTTTCATCCATGCATATTATGAAAGTCGTACATCCAGGGCACTAGAGTATTCTAAAGTAGAAAGTGCATACTAGCTAATGTAAGGGGAGATAAGAAGACCGGAAGGTAATGTGGCCATCACGCGAGCACCTGACATCCAGCTATTTATACCTTATCTTGCAGTCACGCGACTAATCAGGCACATCAACTCCGTAACTTTACACATAGATGTAACTCCAGTAATCCTTCTGAGTCTGGAATACCGTCCGGGTTCAGTTTGCATGCTACAGGTATTAGAACAGGTTTTTGGTCAACATCATATAATGTCATGAAACGATCAGCAGTTTGAGTGCCGTTACAGGCAAGGGAAGATGGGTCAAAGAAGCATCCCTTGGAATTCGAGGGAACCTTGACCATTCTAGGGATCACATTGACGAATAACCTCCTCTTCGATAGCCGAGTACAGTGACTCTGTAATTGGAAAATTTGAGTTCAAGCCACTAAGAGTCGTCTGTCTGACGTTTTCAGGTGCCTAGTGGTCCATCACGTTAGTGCACCAGCCATAGCACCATCATAATCATCAGGATAAGTCTGGGTTGACTTCATAATCTATCAGTAGCCCCTGGAGATTCCGTTCAAGTAGATGTACTGTTTTTCTCCTCAAGTCATGACTTGACGATAGCTTTGATAGTCAGCATCGACATATGCAGTGCATGACATCTCCAGTCGATCAGACCATTGAGCATCTCCCATCCTGAACCATGATAAGGTTCATGATGGCCAGATTTCCAGGCGAATGTGGCAAATGCATGTCTCCGACCAGCACTTGCGACACCCCGTGATAGACCATAATCAGGGGCGGCCATCCTAAATGAACTCAGCGACTGGCCCAAGTATCGTCAATGTGAAAAGCTCATGATGCTGCCGTTGAAATGGCAGGAAGAATAGCACCGAGTTCCCAGTTTGCATCCTCTTTAGTGACTCCGTTGACTCGAAACGCGCATACGGATGGGACGTCGGTGTTAAACGTGGAGGCTTTGACATAATCGGTGAACTCATCCAGAATTGCATTGTTGCCAATGTGAAAAGCATAGGCAACACTCAACTTCGTATTACCGAGTCCCGTGATCTTGTTCATAAAGCCTGTAGACCACTGGTAGTGCATTTGGGTGCACCAGTTGCATTGTAGGTAGTAGCATTTTCCCAAACACAAATATCGCCCGTGGGTAGTTCCACTGGAATTGCGCACTAGCGACGGCGAGCATCGACACCCATGTCGCCAGCGAAAGTGTGAGTCCCATTTTCAGCCAAAATTCATCAGCTTTTTTACGACATTTTGACAGGAAACCAAACAGAATTTTATAGCTGTCCTTGAGCCAACCTAATCAACGATCTATCCCCAAACTCCACCAGTCGTGACATATGTGCTCCACGGGTAATCGCATAGCTTTGGCTGTCTAATCAAATTTAGAAGGGAGAATTTACGTTAGACAGATAGCAGGTCACCAGTCTCAGTTCCGAACCGTGCCTTGTGGAGGTTGGACCCTTTTAGCCTTAATTTTGAGGTTAGCAGAATCTTGATGCTTGAACCATTAACTTCCACAAAATCTTAGCGTCTCTCAAAGTGAACTATTATTCCTGGCATTCCGAATGATACTCAAAATAGTTAGTCATGAGCTCCCAAATGGATGATAAGAGATCTTGTTCTTCTTAGGCTGATTCAGATCTTACTTAATATTACATGTACCGCGTCGTGCTGTGATCCCCAGCGGAGTCCAAATAAAAAGATGGCATTCACCCGCTATTCTGCACCGGGGAAGGTTGCAAGGATAGCTGGCTCAAGCGTACGTCGTCATGACCTACGGAGTCCGGGAAACGGCTTCTTGACTGTGTGCTACATAGAAAGTCACTAATCACGGTTGAGGCGTACCGCGGCTTCCCGCCCCAGGCCCCACCATTCCGCGTCAGCTCCGCAGATCTGCAGATCTCGTCGATAAAAGAGAACATATAGTACAGTACCTACACTGTCCTTGTTAACCCCGCTATGATCCCGGATATGACAACCACATCAGAAAGGCGTGAGTGATGGAATCATGTAATTCTCCGAGTACATAGGATTTGAACAGACTTTCAAGTGCTGGTTTGGTGATAGTGTGATATTATGATTATGTTTTTTTACTCATGCAAGTCGGTAGAACATGACGTCATCTAGCCCTGATATATATACTCTTGTTTCGAGATCATAATGAACGGTTTAAGTGATGGTTGTGGCTGAGTATGCGAAATCTCAGAAGTGATGTTCGGGAAATCGGCAACTTGGTTTGCCTCTAGGTAGAACAGGTGAGTGAGTGTGTGGCTGAGTGAAGATAAACCGGAATAATCATCTTCCGCCAAGGGTTCTTTCTAAATTTGTCCCTTAGATGTGGCGCATGGGATCCGACGCGTAGGGCTGGGTATGAACCATGGAATCATCCTTGGCAGTGACGCACGCCGTAGTTATATAAGAGCGCAAAATAAACCCGGAAAAAAACTTTCCATCAAACAGTCTCAAGAGAATCATACGCATATCAAGATTCTGATCAATCAAACGAATCGAATCTCTCTGACAAAAATTACAATCGCACTTCATCTTTCGAATATATAACAATGGGTGGTTGCTTCTCCTCTCCTCGCATGGGCGGTGACTTCGGTCCAGGACCCCGTCCGCATGGTGGTCCTGGCTTTGGCGGTGGAATGGGAATGGATATGAGTGGTGGATTTGGACATCATCACCATCACCATGGTGGACCAGGGTTTGGCGGTGGTCCTGGATTTGGCGGTGGAGGCTTTGGGGGTCACGGAGGTGGCTTCGGAGGACCAGGTGGAGGTGGTGGCTTTGGACATCATGGAGGTGGTTTTGGAGGACCTGGCGGCGGTGGCTTTGGTGGTCCTGGTGGCGGACACGGCGGAGGTCCCGGTGGATGGTAAATTATATCATCTATGAAGGATGATATCATCCATCACCATCTCAACCCAACACAGACCCCTGCAAACCTGTCGGGGAGCCCCCATCAAGGCAATGAAGCAGCTAGCATATCGAGCCTTGGATTTACAAGGAGGGCAACAACATCAGTTGAAGAGAACTCGTTCATCAACTATGCGCTCCTTAGTTACTACGGCGTTGCTCTATGCTACCTTTACCGTCCACGCTGTCTATGTCGACTACAGGCTCTGAGTCACCCGCATCGGCTTGGACCCACGCCATCTTGCCTGCAGCTCCGGTGACACGAGCTCTCAGTTATATCGTCTGTTAATGCGTCACCTGCTTAACCTCCTACAACGCCGTCCATTGCTACTCGATATCAGTCTGAGTTCAGCATCCAGTTCTAACCACGATCAACATACTATGTCGTCTGCTTTCTACTGGTGATCAGCCAATCTCCTCATGTCCTACAACCCTTTGCTAGCTCACCAAAGCTATTATTGGATTTCACACGCTTTCTCGAATCTTTACTCAAGATCATCCATCTTTCGACATAGACAATTCATCAGAGATATCCAATTAGAAGGACATCTTCCATACTGAAGTATCTATTAGATTCATTTAATGAACGGATGCCTGAAATCTTGTTAATAGCTAGGTCGTCAACGGGCACCTTAGTCAACACTGTATTGTGCTGTATCTAGTCTTTCATATAGAGACAATGACGGACAAAAAGGAACAGACTCACTGATAATCTGAAAACCGGAATCCGCCGTCAATAATTTTAAGCCATAAATATACGTTTCTTCATTTCCTCGATGCTCATCAACACCGGAAACTGATGAGATACCTCTTTTATCAAAACTAGTTTTTTAAGCTCTAAAAATGAGCATATAATCCTCCCAAGGCTGTCCTTGAATATACACTCACATTTGTTCCCCACAGATGGTGTTCCAAGTTATGCTGAATAAGACAACAGGTTACATACAGGTGATAGCGAAATCCTCACTTTCCCTAGCAGGCAATATGCCGACGAGTTCTACAAATGTCAGGTGTATAACAATGTCATCCAGCAAAAGCGATTATCAAGATGCCCTCCACCAAATGGTTCTATCATCTCCTCAGTCTTGGTCTTTGAACTCCGAAACTCCGTTTTCCCCAATAAAGACAAGTATCAACTTAAAAGATCTCATACCAACACCTATGCTCGTACGGATTGGTGGCTACCCGAAACACCCCATATACAGCGGTGAGGTGATTTCAAATAAACGTAGGCGGCGATACGGCAAACATGGAATATCGATGTTGGGGTACATGCTTTACTCGCACAAAATCTACAGCCTATCAGTTCTGATTCTGCGAGCAAAGTTATCATTTCGCCCAAGTTGGTGAGTTCAGAAAGTAATACAGCCTATCAGTTCTGATTCTGCGAGCAAAGTTATCATTTCGCCCAAGTTGGTGAGTTCAGAAAGTAAAAGTTCCAAATTGATCGATAGGGTTCTCAATCCACCAAGACTCCTGGTAAGCATTGCGTGCTTGACAGAACAAACCTTGTCGTCGTGACCGCGCTGGGAACAACCTAGAACGGCCTCATTGGCCTCCAGCATAGATAGGCCGGACCCCTTCGATTGTTTTATCACTTCATCTAATTTAAACTATGTAACTCCTTTTGCGTTCCCCTTAGCCAGCATTTATGACGCAAATGTGGGTATGAATTGGAGTACTTCCCCAGTGTCTGTTACAATTGCCATATCCGACTTTCAGAGTCACTTATTCTGGCAGAGAGTGGAAACTTGTGCACTAGTCCTGTCACTCAAGCTTTGTGTGATTCTGAAGCTTTGTACTTTTTTTGTTTGACCCCTTTGCTTAAAATGAAATCCCACAAGCCTCAGTAACTGATGAGCCAAGTATTCTGTGGGTTAGGCAAAATATCTTAGCAGCTCTAAAATCCAAGTGAGCATAATTACAAATGGTATACATCGGAAAGTCCCAAGCTTCTGAGACTATCCTATAGCCAGGAACAAAAAAATATCCTTATGTTATGCGTAGTGCATGTGGAGCTAGCAACTGTCAGCATGGAAGGTATGACACCATTCAATATCAATAGGTTCATCAAGTACTATGCAATGAATGACATAATCTTCCTGACAGCCTTTGAAAGGCCGTGATCAAGAGGTGTTGTGATTGTCGCAGGGTCAGTGACTAGGGCTTGGCGCCCCGTAATCTCAAGCTTCGGAAGCTTTCCTCTCCAACACCCTTGAAGCTACCTACTCGACATGAATTCCACCATGGAGCCCGCTGCCCAGCCCCCTCCAACCCTGACCAACCCTCGGTTCACTCTCGAATTAGAATTCGTCTCATCGCTCGCCAATCCCTATTACCTGTCGCACCTGGCAGTCACCTACCCAAACCTGCTGGGGATCTCTCGCGCCGACGAGGACGACGATTCTGCCTCCGCCCCCGATGCGCAGGCATTCGCCGCATATCTCGCCTACCTCTATTCATACTGGAAGACCCCCGAATACTCTCAGTTCCTTACCCATCCGGGCCCGACCTTGCGCGCCCTGCGCTTACTGCAGGAAGACACCTTCCGCCGAGATATTATCTTGCCCCAGGTGATCGAAGGATTGGCGGGCGTCAACGTCTTTGGCGATGGCGCAGCAGCAGAAGCCGAAGATGCAGGAGCCACAGAGAATCAGGAGGAGCAGAATGGGACGAAGACCTGAGGATGCGTCATAAGCTCGGGACTCATCATTATTCGGATCTTCTACCACCTCTCCTTCCCTACCAGCATTGCTTCGCATATCAGACTCAAATGGAGGGTCGCACAGCCCCTAAGACCACAGATCGATCTATCATACACTCGGCACTTTGTCCACAAGGCCATGATTGCGGGGCCAGGCACTTCATGTGCGACCGAGGTATTGGACAAGATCGGCCGGGGGTTTGTCGATCGCACACCAGGTACGAAGTTCATCCAAGTCCAAGGTTTCCGCCAGTCCCGGTATCCATGTTCTCATTGTATTGCGGGGTTGGGAAAGGGACCAAGCGCTAGGGGGAAAAAAATACTTTAGCGAATTCATATAGAATCAGTTAATAAGGGCACCGCATGCGTCGCAAGCTATTCGCCTTATGCCGCGGCAATTGATTGACCACCAATCGAATCAATGTATCGTTTTGCCTCAATTTCCAGTCAAAGATGGGGTCCGTAAAAGTATGCAATTAACATCAGAACTCGATACTAAATTGTCGCTATCTGACATGGTCGTATCCGAGCTCATCCCAATCTTCTTTTTTTTTGACTTTGATCTTTCTCATTTAATTTCGCCTCCTTTCTTTTCTTTCCCAACAGAGTAACCTGCAATTTTCCTATTATTCTCATTCGAATAGTACTTCTTTTGGTGTTGTTTTCTGTCTCTTGCTACTTTTCCTGGAAATTGCCGTATTCTTGGTTCTGAGAGAGCCCCACCCCCTGGTGATCGGCCTCCAACTACCTCATCGGACAGCCGTTCCCGTCCAACGTGGCTCTGAACGTTCGCTTCCATTGACAGCTCGCCTCCCCCATGGCCTTCCTCCAGTCCTAACATCCAACACTACCCTGAAACTCCGGGCGCTCATCGAAACCTCGCAGCTCCTGTCCGCGAACCTCCCCCGGGGGGCATCACCAAAGTGCCCATGGAGTCCGTACGCCAATCCTGTCGGCCTAAACACCAGGTCTTAACGCTGAAATGCTATCCCCGATACCAAAAAGGCGTGGCGGAGGTCAAACCGAACCCGAGTGAACTTTCATACCTGCTGTACTATGCGAGTACACGTCGCAGTAAGCTGACCAAGGTCGGTGGCTTTCTGGAGAAGAAGGTGGCCAAAGATGTCTGGCGACGAAGATTAGGGTGAGTGACATGCGATTAAATGACGACTTGAGCGCTTGACTCAGGAGCTCTCAAGGAACTGTGACTGACATTTGGCTGTGGCAGAAATGTCCAAGTCGCGCTTCATATAATATCCGGACTTATCGAAAAAGTTCCTCGCGATCTTCCTATTTACGTGGGCTCCGTTCTAACCGTCATCGAAACCGTTCTACGATCAAATGAAATTTCCATGGTGGAGGACTCCATCGCCACCTTCGAGACCTTCTGCCGGCACCAGGACATCGCAATTATTTCCGCCGAACAAGGAATTGCCCAAAAATACCGAGAAGTCATTCGTTTGTACGCAAGCTTCGCCGACCCCTCCTCCGACTTATACTCTCCCGCAAAAGTAAGCCCACCAGTGTCGATTCGATGGAGAAATGCCGGACTCCGCGCAATCCGGAGCATCGTCAGCTCAGAAAGTCTTGCGGCCGACGGAGGAAACTCCCTGAAAATCATTCTACCCGTTCTTTTGGAGAATTTGTACTCGGCAGATGAGGACGTGCTTATCCCATTGAAGGCCAGACTTAATGAGGACAAGGACCCCGAGCGTGATGGAGGTCGTGCCCCCCGACGGATGAGCGCCGCAACGGTATATACGGTGGATACTGTTGAGGCTGATCCAGCCCTTGCAGCTCAGTCGACTGCAGATGTTGACCGAAAGGCGGAGATGGACGCCCGGCTACTAGCACTGCGCTGTCTCGAGCGAATTACTGTCTCCGGCAGTAACCGTGGTCAGATGCGAATTGCAGCGTCCATCATTATGCGATTCATCGCGAACAAACGTTTCCCTCGTACCAATTCGCAGGGACAGCCATCCGAGCAGCACCATGATGGGAACTGGGCTACTTCGCTCATTGAACTAATTGCAAACTGGTGTCCCGTCCAAGTTCGATTTGTGATTTTGATGACGGCCATGGACACCTTGTTCGAGACGAACCCCTCGGAGAAGGCATTGGATTCTGCATTTACTATTCTTTCCGTGGTGGATTGGCTTCTAAAATCGTCAGTCAATATGATTGGATTAAGTGTTATGGATATCTTGTCTGGTCTGATGCAATATGCCTCGAGCATTCTGTCGCTTCAGGAAGGCGATGGTGAAAAGAAGGCAGATCTGCAAGCCGACAGCTCGTCTCACATCTCTAGTCAGAGAAGGAGTCTGCTCACCCTTCTTGAACAGTGTATTGGGAATTTGGCTACTCACATTTACTATGGTGACCAGGTTGCAGATATGACGCGCGCCATCCTCCGGCGCTTTAAGCAAGCCATGAACAATGATACTACCGCGCCATCTGCTCTTGCTACCGTTCATGAATCTACTGCGTCCCCAGTGGCTGTCACTCAGTCTGGCTCCGAGATCAATGGCGAAAAAGTTAGAAATGATGCGTATTCGCACGCTGCTGCGAGATCGACGGCTCTCCGAGCTGTCAAAGCCATCTTTGTCGTCGCAAACTTGAAAAAGGCTGCCCCGACGTCCGAAACAAGAGATCCGGTTGGTATTCATGTTTGGGAAGGGACCCATGGTCTTCTTCGGGATTCTGATCGTGAGGTCCGCTACGCCTATGCTGATGCCTTTTTGGCCTGGCTACGCCTCGAAACCAATAAGGATGACCTCAAAGTTCGAAGTGACACTCCGAAGTACGTCAAGCCCACAACAAAAGCTGAGCAGCTAGACAAGCCCAGCCGGCGGAGCACCTCTGCTCCAGGTAATCAGAGAGAGATCGTCGCTCAGGCTGCGCAGTCTACTTTCCTCCGGCTTTTGCACCTGGCTATCTATGATGCTGCTCTTGACTCTGCCTCTGTTGAATCTGAGATCCTCCTACTGCATCTTCTCCTGGTCAGCCTTGTTGAGAATCTGGGTGTCAATGCTGTTCAATTTGGACTTCCGATGGTCTTGAAACTTCAAGACGATCTTGCCACCTCAGTTGATCTTGCCTCACCTAACGCCCGGGTCAACATCGCAAGTCTTGTCCATGGGTACCTTTTGGCAATTTCGAACAAGTTCAATCTTGAATCCTCCCACGCCGGTGTTGAGGTCCGCAACGAAGTCGAGAGGAGACAGAGCAGGGGACAATGGCTCTCCACTGTTCGACTGCCACCCATAGGTCTCGATGCTATTTTCACCGATGAGAAGGCTGTCAACGGCCACTCGGCTTCGTCTGATAGCCTGCCACCTTTCCGAAATGTTGAGGGGCTTGTGAGTGACATTGATGAATCTTATAGCAAAGCGATCTCGTCGCCACCACAAAGTCCTCCGACAGCACCAGCCCGGGGTTTCAACTTCCCAGTACTGAGCCAACCTCCCTCGTCACACTCGCCGTTGGAGAGCGGTCTTCCATCATCCGTCAGAGACCAGATGCTATCTGCATGGTCTCGAGAGTCATGCCTGGCTGCCGTCGAGAAGGAAAGCGTCAAGACACTTTCTCTCAGTGGATCCCGTGGAGGCACTGTGCCTCGCAACAATACCAATGGCGCTGTCAATGGCTCTCCTGCTGGCTCTGCTACGAACAAACACCGCCGGATGAGTGTTCCCGAAATTTCACGAACGCCAGAGCACAGTTCCAACCGAGGGTCTCCTGTGCGCGTGACAGAGCTGCGACGTGTGCTCTCCGTAACCAACGACAGTCAACAACGGAAACTCAGTCCCCTTCGCGGCCATGTTGATGCGTCAAATGTCAGTGTGATTTCCTCTGGCAGTGAAAGTATGGTCAGCGGTAACTACCCAGTCTCCGAGATGGACGCAGATGGCACATCTATCCACCAACAGGAGGGACAGTATACTCCCGACATAGAGGGATCAGAAACTCCCCGCCCGGCATCAGCTATTGTTCTTTCAGAGGACCAAACCCCCACAGAACAATCAGACAGCCTGAGCCGAGTCAACTCCAAAGAAATTCCTCCTGTCCCGCCCATCCCTACAAATCTGTACATCCCAGGTGGCTTCCCCAACGACTCCCAACGGTCCTTACTCATCGACCGTCCATCCACTGCACCTGACTCGCGTCAACCTTCTTTCCAGGGTAAGGGGCAAGCTCAACAACACACTCGCAACAAAAAATCCTTGAACCGAAACAAGAGCCGCAGCAGCAACCATCTCGCTGGGGCTGACTTCCAGGACACCAACGGCAATTCTGCTTTAGATAGCAGCCATCGTGACCAGATGAAAACTCTTCTAGATGGATTCCTGGCGCCAGAGAACAGTCTTTTGGCTAATGGAGACCGCCCGACCACCGCTTCCAAGGCCCCAGTCAGTCGAAGCTACTCCAAACGCCGAGTCAGCGGTGGCGGCATCGGACGCCCTCCCTATTGATCTTTCTTTTCACTACGCTTTGCATCTGTACATTCGATTCTCCGGTACTTTACTCGGAAATCTGATTCCCGTTTCTCCGCCTGCATTGTACATGTTATAATCTCCTTTCTCTTTTCACTCTATGCTTTTGGGTGGCCCAGTCTCAAGACTTGGTATAGCAGCCCTCTACATTCTCTCGTCCGTCGGTTGTTCTTTTGCCTTTTTTTTCTCTCTCTTCATGCCACCTGATATTCTCTCTTTTGATCATATTTTCTTTTTGCATATGCTTATTCTCTTGCCATGCCGCAAACTTTTCGTTTTCTTCCTTTTTTTCTCCCTCTCTTTTCCGCGAATGCTTTTGTATATCGGCCAATGTTTGCCGCGGTATTGTACCTAGCTACGTTGTCAGAAGACACAAAATAGATGGTGCTTTAGTCTGCACATGGGATAGATTTGAATCTGGCTTCGTATATTCTAGTCAATTGTGGAGATGGCAACCTTGGTAGACAACAAATATGGATCAAGTCTTAGTCTCAATAACCCATATCAGTAACATAATAGATATCACGAAATATTATAGGCAGCCACTTGGCATTTTACCTCCCGAAAAGAAACAATCTTGGAAGAATTCATATATCACATGTATCCGGATGCTCAACAAGTAATTTAAGCAGGCTGCGCAATCAAACCCAAAGACTCATCCTCCTCATCTTGCACAACAACAGAATCCGCAGGACCGAAAAACTCCTTAAAAGACTTCTCAAGAACCTCATCAGAAAGATGCATATGCTCACCAGGAGTAGTCCTAAAGTCCAACTTATTTTGCTGATCCAAAATCTTCAACCCAATCCAATCTTCCACATAGATATCCCTCTTCTGCAACGGCGTAATAGTCCCATCCGTCCCATTGACATCAGCAAAATGCGCACTCTCCTTCGGCACAGCAACAGTGTCATCCTCAAACATGTACATAATGAATCTATTTAAAGACGAAAGCCTTTTCTTATAAACCTCCTGTTTCTCCGCGCGTTCATTGTTAATATCAGCCAAGAAAGCACTATGCTCAAGATAAGGCTCGATCTCCTCTGGATCCCGGAAATACTGTGCAGGTACCACATGCGACTGCACAAAATCCGCCCATGTCCCTGCGCGCAGTAAAGTCTCGGCCGCATTACAGAACCAGTCGCTTAGTCCGCACGACTGGAATTCAGATATACCATTGTGTTGGCTACCAAATGTGACTAGGTTGTGGACGGGCGGACTGTTGCAGCGTTCGATGTAGCCGCGGAGGAATTGGCCTCCTTGGGAGAATCCTAAGGCGTTGACTGCTGGTGCTGTGCTTAGGATCGGGTCTGAGGCTAGTTGGGCGCAGACTGTTTCCAGTTGGGCGCTGACATTGCCGAAGAATGTGGCTTGGCGGTCGCCGCTGGCTGATTCGTCTAGTCTGATTATGTGTACATATGTTCCGGGGTTTGTGGTTTCGGCTAGATCGGCTATGGAGTTTAGGCCGTCGCGTTCGAAGTCGTCGCCTAGACCGTGCCAGATTACTAGGGGGAGTTGGACTGGATCAGCATTGGCGTTGGAGGTTGGGGATTTGATTGATAGGGAGAGGGCGCTCGTAGCGAGTGATATGATGGGGATGAGACGCAACATGGTAGCGCTGTTGAGGGCTCGAGGTTGGAGCGGAGTGACGTTCTGAAGGCTGAAGTGGATCCGGGAATACATTCCACTATCTGCACGTGATATGCGACACTGAAGCGTCGTGGAGCACAAAGTCCACGGGTGTATTATGCAAACCAGCTCCGTAGAGCTACCTTTCTTAATTCTAATTTGAATTGGTGCACCATTTTGGTAACAATTGAGAAACAAGGCATCACATGATAACCATTGCGACATTTGGTGAGCTTGATCGAGATATATATGGAAACACGTCCGACCAGATTGGGAACGTAGTACAGTCAACTCCCGCTTATAGGATACCCCACCATCCAAGGAAAATTGTGTACAATGAGTGAGAGATACAATAAATGAGAGGATGACATAATACCCTATTGGCTATTTAATTTACACTCCATATCTTCTAAAGGTCACCTGGCGCTTCTAATCGACCTGAATATCACTGAATAAGCTCCCAACCTGACGAATATGGTCTTGTGAGCTCTTTTATTGCTCTCAATCTATAGTCATATATATTATAGATAACAAAGTATATTAGAATTGGATCGTATCTTAGGTAGGCGCTTATTTCCGTTAATATCTTACGCTTCTGAGCTCTCGATATTGAAATATATATCTTACCCATGTCTCATCTTTAGATATAATATCTTTCTCGAATCCAGTATAAACTGATCAAATTATACAAAACTTTCATTACTCACATGATCAATTAGGTACTTCATTATATAGAGCTTTGGTGGTGGTGCTTGGTTGGTGGTGCTTGGGTGGCCGGCCTGATGCACTTTGGCAGGGGGAATTGTAGAGTATTCAGGCTTTCTGATTGTTTGATAGAACTGACTAAGCGGATGACACAGCAAAAATGGGAGTGTACAAAGGTGTGTGTTCTATAAGTGAGAGTTTTGTATGGGAAAACCCCGAAAAAGTGGGTCCATTCAAGCGGGAGTGTACTATAAGCGGGAGTTAACTGTATAAGTTGGAAATTCTTTCAGACGACTGCCACTTTAACTCTACAATTGGACGACCTGACCGAAGATTTTCACTGACACAGCACATCCGATGTTTTCTATGACCTCCAAAGATAGATTCGATAAGCTTGAGCGAGGCACCTCATCCACGGTAGGTTGGAACAATTCCATTTGATTATTAGATAAACTGCGAGAGTCGAGTGGGCTGCTGTGCTGTGGAGTTCGCTTTGGCTGTGGAAGCCAACTGGAAACAATGGGTTCGAAAGAGACCTCGGACATGAATAGTGTGGGTGACGGCGAGGCTGCCTGTCGAAGGCTACAAGAAGATCTAGGGTGAAGCCGTAGAGGCGATATCAATTCGGTATCAAGTCGCATCCTTTCTTCAAGCAATTGATCATCAATCGTAAAGCGGCGCCTTGGTAAGGGCGAGCCAGCTGTATTCCCAGGATAATTTGCTATGGTTGTGCCCCGGTCTATTTCCACTCGGGAGCGATAGGGTGAGCCGTTAGAAATATCGATATTTGAGGCAACAGGTCGAAGAACATCGTAGCCAGCAGGATCGGAATATTCCGCCTCTAGAGTCTTGGTCGGAATATCTGGTTCTTCGCGACGGAGTGGCGCATGGTCGTGGCTTGGCTGGAGTGAAAGGCCCCCGGAAGAAACCTTCCATGGAGGAACTGGGGAGGAACCTTGAATTTCTGGTTGAAAGAGCACGGGGGGTTCAGAGTTCAAAAGCATCGAAGATGACGACAGATTGTCATTGGATAGTACTCGAGTGTCATCTGATGGAGAGCCGACAAGCTGGCCGTCAATGCGTATTTTTACATGACCCAAGCCAATGTTCTCGGAAACTGGAAGCCTTCTTTCGAAGCCTTCAGGTAAATTGGGATTCCCATTCGTCGACAAGCGCTTCTGGTCCAGGTCAGTCAATTTCCGTCGCCTTGCAAATTGGCCGTTCTCCTTCACAGAAGCGAATTTGAATTCCAGTGGACGAGCAACAGATACAGCAGCCCAGTCTGGCTGTTGAAGCAGTCGTCGCTTCAAGATACCCAGTCTGTTATTGGAGAGGTTTTTGGCAGAGGAAGGTTCGCCTGGCTCTGTGGTCCTGAAAATTAGAAGATCCAGTTAGTATCGCGCCGATTGAACCACTACCAAAAACAAAGAAAAACCATGCATAAATCTAGCCTTTTTCACTGACTGGTTTGCCTTTGCTATTTCTTCTGTGTCATCTTTGGAGAGCTCATCTGGAAACCCGCAAAATGGCGGTGGTTGAGCCGATGCTCTGCTGGTGGTCAGTTTGCGAGACTTGGCAAAGTTCTGTCGCCGCGTTTTGGATAAAACACCTGGGCGAGCGGAATGTCGATGTAATTGACCTCCTGTCCAGTTCATCTTGGGACATGCACAATGGAAAAGTGGATCCGCTGTTGAAAGTCTTATCGATAGGGATATGACTATGGCGTAATCCAGGGGGAGAGCGGAAGGATATGGTTATGTGTGGTACTGTTGTGGGGGGGGGAATCGTGGTTTCTGTATAGTCAGTTTTGTAGATCAAATCAGGACTAGTGTGATGTGCTTCCACATCTACTGCGGCCAAGTCTCCACTTCCCGCGGCCATCCACCACTAAGAAAACAGTTATTCTTGTCCAAGAGCCGTTGTATTACTGTATTGCAATTGTCTTAGCCATGTCCTTCCGACGGGAAAAACAGTCGAGCGCCAAAACTGTGGACTTGTGAACAGGATCACTACAGTGAATCATGGAGAAAAGCCTTCGTTTGGAGGAAAAGCTGAACAATGAAGACGAGACCTCCCCAAGAGCTCAATCGCCGACTTTTGTCCACCAAGGCGGGAATATCGACCGGTTCATCATTCGCAGATAGTCAAGAGCAAGTGAAATGTGAACTTGGTGGATCAAATCTAGCTCCGACTTTATGCTTTTGCCCCTTGTTCTATAAGACTGATAACCTGCTTCGGTAGAGCACGCAGTCTCTCAGCCTCTTGTGGTTCAGAGACCGCAATATCAATACAGACTTCACTCATCCGTAAATAATGTTCTTTGAACGCAACCCATAAAGGAGAATCAATTCCAGGGTCTCTCGATGGTCGAGGATAATAGGGATCATTACGCCAAAAAGCTGCTGCAGCCTGCTGCGCACCGTTTGAATCCATCGTTATTCTCCTACACATATCAAAGTCGAGAACCCATATCGAAGGGCTTCCAAGAGCATTGGAATCTACTTTCATATGAGGTAAAAGTAGAGCATCCGTGATGATATATTCTGACTGTTTATCATAACGAGAATCCTGAATGGGTGGTGCAAGGACAAATTCAATATCGTTTCCATCCATTTCACCAACCCAGTGCATCACCGCGAGGGTCTCAGCCATAGCTCTTGCATACTGACTCATGTCGCTTGCTATCATAAGGGCTTCATATTGATCCAGATGGAGTGGAAAATTTCGTAGAGAGAATGCCGTGAATCGCGACGTAGAATGAGCTTTCTTCATTCTTCTTCGGCCTAAATATGGCCTAACCAAGCAGTCTTTGTTTGGCTCGCTTATGATGATTTCCTGTCTGAGATTTGGCGGACAGTAGTTCTCAATAAGAAGCCTTCTCACATGTTCTGGGAAAGGCGGTATTCGCTGAGACTGGATTATATTGCATGGCGTCCAGAAGTCTGGTGGAAATATATGATGATTTGTGGTCCACCATTCCTGATCATCTTTTTTGATAAAGCCATAACATGCTGGGATACGGATTTGAAGCGTCGTGATCTTTTGTAAACTATGAAGAGCTCGCTGGTGCATATCAAAGTCATTCTTCAAAGATCGATCGGGTCCACCATCCTCTCTTTTGAAAGCTGGACCTTTATCGGAGCCGCACACGGTGCCACAGAAGCCCTGTCCAATCTTGTGTAGTTGGGAGGTAGTGTGCAATAACGAAAGAGCATCTGCTATCTCGACCTCTCGAACTGCATCCCAGGCCATAGTTGTGTCAGTTAATGTGGTTTCAATACACTGAATAGTTGAGAAGATTTGCGATCTGAATCTTCGACGAAACAAAAGTTGTAAATACTGTGGTATGATTGTATGATGAAATGCGGAAGAAGTTGGAATTAGCTACAAGATATGTGGTGATATGATTGATCCTTGGTTCTACAATCTATGAAAAGGAAGGGAAGATTCAAAACAGCGTCGGAAAGGGCAACAGAAACCTTATCCATATACAAAGAGTACTAGTCAATTATTGAGTGGCTGTCAATCTTCCGTCATACGGTATGTCATTCAACGTACTTATATAGCACAACCCATGGCGAGGTGAGAAGACACAGCACGTAAATCCTTGTAGCATATCTTGTGAAATTTTTACATCCGATGTGGTGTAGTGGAGATCATTACAACCCAAACACCATTCCCGAATGGGCACCCAGCCAAACGACACAAACATGTCACATGACCTGGCGCACAAAATTCGGTTTCGGGATTTTTGCTTTTCTCTCTCCTTAATATGATTATGCTCATGTTATAGCTCCGACCGACCAGGTTGTGTGACAACTCACCCGATCCACAGGTAAGCCGTGTTCGCAATTTCCTTTACCTTTTCCCAGTTTTTATTTCCCTCTGCGAGGATCCGTGCTCTCCGCGTGCGGAAAAATCCTGCGCCTGGTCTTCCTGATGAAGCAATATTTCAAAGCATAGTTCACCTGAAATCTTCGGATTGCTGAACGATAAACTTTATCCATCTTTCAACCTATCTGATACCATTCCACAATTTCCAAAATTTGACATTCATGCGAATTTCGGACTTTCTCGCTGACATATTGTCGACAGGTCCACTCAAGATAGTTTTTTTTCTGGCGCCCAACGCTGCATTGCTACCCAACGTGGGTCTCGGCGGCGGGCCGCTCCTTCGGGAACCAGTGAAATAGACAATAATGCTAGCCTTCATTTGCCCTGTTTTTGAGTCTCTTGTTCCTCTTGGACCTGCGTTGTCCCTGTACTCTGTAATCCCCTGTGCGCTCATGCTTGACGTCCTGTAACATCCTCTCTCGCTGCGCCTCAGCTGCCGCTTCCTGTTCCGTATCACTCCGACGTGGACGACTCTCCACCATACATGTTCTCTATCCCATGCGCGGTGAACATCATCCTGCAGCGTCAGCCTCAGTATGCCACCAATCATACTCGTCTACGTACATTGCCAAGCTATGGAGACGCTGGCTAGGCTCACCGCTAGAACATCCCCTCCCTTCCATCCACTCGGGGGCGTCCACTCGCAAACCGAGTCTGCAGATGCCGTCACCGCCAGTCCTCAGCACTGGCCATCTACTGGCCCTCGATGGTGCCAACACTACGCTGCACACTGCAAGTCTGCGACTCTGGCACACGCGCCATGTTTTGTTCTGGCCCCACCCCACTCCGAAGACCGGTGGTGTCCCTTTTTCTAGTACTAAAAAGGCTGCTGATCCCCTTTTTTCCCTTTCCTTTTTCCTTCTTCTCTATAACACTTCGGATACCCATCATCTGACGACTTGGTTTAATTTTGACCATCGTGCTTTGTCCTTCAATATATACCCCCTTCACGATATACCCTACGCCAATCAGTCTCTGGACCTTGGACGCCCCTTATTGTTACTACGCACAACATCTGCCTGGTTTATCTTGCCCTAAGGAATTTTTTTTTTATTCTTGCCACATTACCCTGGACAGGATTTGCTTTGTTGTTCCCCCAGGCTTCTCTTCATCACATTCTCGTGACTGAAAATTACCAGGTAGTCCCCATCACATTTTCTTTGCACTTCCTACTCTTATCTTCCCATGCGCTTCCTTTTCTACTGGACCTGTACCATTGCCACTGTATTTTCGACAACCTGCCTTCTACCATGGACTCCGCCAACTGCAGGCCATTGCAGAGCCTTTTGACCTATGGACCTTTTGAATCTTGACTTGACCGTGATCCTCACTGGTTACTCTACCAACCTGGTAGCCCAAAAAGAATGATGTTTCTTTATCATGGATACTCCCTGGTACCGGTTGCCAGGTGAGGGGCTCTTTCGAGTGCTGTTTATGTTGCACACTTGATTGAAACTTCCGCTGGACTGCCTTTATACCCCTGGATTTTGCAAACTTGCCCTGGACTCCCTTCACCCAAGCCTGGTGTGATGTGGATGGATATACTTTACTCCCTGGATGACTGAATGGACCTTATCGCCCTGGCTTACCTTTGATTACCTACTCTGGACAAATAATGAAATAACCCTGGAATGATTTTACCATGGTCCCTTCGCGGCCGTAAGGAGCCTTCTACAAACTATCCCAGGATTCTTTGAGCTTAATGTTGCTCTTCCATATGGAATGATCTACCTAATTCAACACTTACCTTGGCCCACTGACTTGATGGAAACCGGTCATGCAAGCCTAGCTGACCTGCCGTGAAATGATTATCTTGACTTGACTCCCTGGAACCTGATTCTGCTGCATGATACTTCGACTAGTAGCTCTGGCCTTGATGAACAAACGACCTTTCTCCAAGAACACAACTGGCAATAGGCTTTACCATATACCTGGACTCGATACACGACATGAACTTATCCTAGGACACGACGCCTCCGGCTTGGATTTGCTTACTCTAATTGTGACTTTGGTGCGTCAAGCCGCCGGTCTCACCGCAATGACTTCAGCTAATAGATCATAGGTTTTTAACTTCTTCTGGACCTCGGAGCTCTTGTTTTTGTCTTTTTTTTTTCTTTTCTTTCTTCTTTATTTTTCTGCAAACTTTAGACATGACGGTGTAGATTACTGACTTGATGATGCTTTCTCTCTACAGTGACTACAAATATACACAACACAATGTCTCCCAGGACCAGCACAGACCCCGAGCGGGGTTCTCTTTCTCAGTCTAGACACTCCATGGTCCACGGAATGTCACATATGGCCTCAAGAACACTCCAGGATGATGAATTATCGAGCCAGGACAACTCGTCCTTGTGCTCTAGTATTGCCACAAACCACGGAAATCCCCAGGACATGAAAGAATGGAATATGAACACTACAGAATCCCTCGATCAGGCCATCTCTTCCAAGGAATCTCCCCAGGTGCAAATGCTTTCTTTCTCGCTGTCTCATCAGCTCATGACCCCCACGGTCGGACCAAATGATGTGATGTACACAGGCGTGGACTTCCCAGCAGTCTCAGACCTGCATGACCATGATGGATTTTACTCCTTTGTGGACCTATCTTCCATGGATAATGATGTTTGTGGTGCACAGTCAAGCACACCGGATGATGCTCTTTCTGTTGCTCACAGCTCCCACACGGATGATGCCCACTTCATGAGCCACGAGTCATGGAATGCTATGATGCTAGATGGCCACTACCCCGGAACAACCCTGGACCAACTCTCATCAAGTCTTTTCCAGACTGTGCCAGTCTCTCCGCCTCTGACGGAAGCCAGCAATGACATTCCCATCACATCCTCATGCTCCCACCCGGGATTTCCTTCATTCTTGGCCCATGATGATACACTCCTCGGAGATTACACTGCATCGCCTAATGGCAACCATGGACTTAATCCAACGGAGCCGTTGTTCCCTAACACCACTCTTAACGAGAAGGACCCTGAAAGGTAGGTCCATAGAAATGAATGTGGAAACAAACAAATCGACCCGAAATTCTAATTCATACCCCAACAGAACCATCAGACCCACCAAACAATCTCGACGATCAGCTTTGCCTGGCGTTACGCAGCCCAACATTAAGGCCGAATCTGATTTCTTTCCACCACTACCTATGAGAGAGCCAGCCCGCCAGAGATCCAAGGATGGAGCCGAAGCTCGCAACCCGCGAGAGCACCACTATTATTCCCTTCCCACCCACAATGATGGAAAGTACTACTGTCCATTCGCCAATGGAGACAAGCCCTGCAACCACCCACCCACCACGCAAAAATGCGCTTACCAGCAAGTTCTCCTCATAATAAAGGATCTGGACGAATCATGGAGCTAACCGATTTTCCTTTACAGCAAGTATCTGGATTCCCACCTGAAGCCCTACCGGTGCAAGGTCCCAGTCTGCATGGATGGTCAACTGCGTTTCTCTTCAAATGCCTGCCTGTTCCGCCACGAGCGCGAGGCCCACGGATTACATGGCCATGGAGATAACCCTCACCTCTGCCTGTGGGAGGGTTGTGAGCGCTCCGTTCCCGGATATGGATTCCCCCGTAGATGGAACCTGTACGACCACATGCGTCGTGTTCACGACTACGTTTCCTCCGAGCGCCACAGCTCACCTGAGACTTCCCCGGTTGCTGCTCCAGTTAAGAAGAAGGACTCCCCTACTTCCACTACCGGCCGCAAGAGAAGAAGCGTCACGGGTCCCACCCCGGCCCCGACCATGAAGCGCACCCGCTCTATTCACTCCCACACCGGTCCCGTCAAGGCTACCCACAATTCCGCCCAGCATGGACAGCGCCTGCGCACAGCCGAGCACAACTACTACACCTGCCGCTCCCGTCTGGTTGAGGAACTCACCAAGATCAACCCCCAGGATATCTCCATGCACGAGAAGGTCAACGCCAGCCTCCAAGAGCTGTTCACTCTCGGTCTGAACTTCCGTCAGATTGAGGCCAGCCAGGTCAGCCACATGCCAAATGGAATGCCCGCTTGAATGATTTCTTCTTAAGGCTCTGTAATCCACCCCTCCATGTTAATGGATGAATAAGGATGCCAGCAGCCATGATCGTTTTCAATCTTTGCGGAAGGATCCTTTCCCCTATCACCCTCATACCCTGGACGAAACTGCTGCATTTCCGCGCTTGCTTTCGAATTCCGGAATAACCTGTTTAACCAACCTACCCTCGGGAGCGTACGGATGCATTGTAATATGCACTCACGTCGGAGCAACTGCTCCAGACCTGGATGCCTCTTGGCACCGAAGGGAAACAACGGGAAATAGTGCATGTTGGAGCCGGGCACTCCGGCTGCTAGTATTTCTTGGTCCCGGATGCTCATTAGAATCTGTGGCTAGATAGACCATGGAAGAGCACCAACCTTCACTTCACTGAAATGTGATAGCGAGGGAAATCAAGAGCATGGACAGGAGCCATGCTTTCACAAAAAAAAAAAAAAAAAAAAAAAAAAAAGAAAAAGAAAAAGAAAAAGAAGAAAACTGAAAAGGAGGATTGTGAGGAATTTTGATTTGCAGTTTTATTCGACAGATGGAGTTTATTTTGACAATATATTGATTTATATGTGAATACACTTCCCGTAGACAAGACATTGTACATCCATCTCAACATTAGAATGAGCTAGAAGCCCTAAAGTCGTAATCCTGACAAAAATAACACTCAAACTCAATAATTCTGCTTTTAGTCTCATAAGTCATGAATATCTCCATCTATCTCTATGAACATCGACATCCCAGGTCTATTTGCAATAGGTCACCACAAATCACGTCTCATCCTCACCCCCAAAAGTCGAATTCAAAAACCTCACAAAAGCATCTCCAATCTGCTCAGCCGCCAAACCGCCCTGCCCAGCCCCGTGTCCCCTCCCAATATAGACCCGATTCAAACTAATCCACTGCCTCCTCAGCCTCTGCAACCTAGGCAAAGCCAAAACACCACCGGGCCCCGCAAGTTCATCAGTAGTACCAGTAGTAGCAACATGAGCCGGAATAAAAATCTTCTCCTGCGCATCAGGAACAGAAACCTCAATCCCCTTTCCATCTTTGCTCTGCGCCAGAGCCACCTCCGCCGAGGGCGTAGCCTGCGTGAATGCGCGGATGGCACTAACGACAGCCGAGGTCTTCTTTTCCATTGCGTAGAGGGCACTGTGGTCCGTTGCTACGGCTTGGACTGTAGCTTGGTGAGGGACGATACGAGGTTTTGAACTCCCGCTTCCTCCGACTGCGGTTCCGCCGCGCGTGAATGTTGTTCGTGTTGTTGTGACGCTTGCGGCCGAGGAGAGAGATGTTGAGTTCAAGGTGGTTGTTAGGTCGGAAATGGGTGTTATGGTTGGTTCTTGGGCTGAGGGGAGGATTACTCCCGACAGAGCGTGGAAAATGTCTGCTACTGGGGGTGTTTCGTCTGCCCAAGGGACTGTGAAGAGGGGTTTATCCCAGCGGCTGTGGGTTGATGGTTCTTCGTAGCGGAAGATGAGGTTGTTCAGGAGTTCGGGTGGGTATGGCTCTTCGTTGTCGATTTTCGTGGACTCGTCTGAAGCAGGAGATGTCTGTGTCTCGTCTGCGTTCTTTTCCGAAGCTTGACGATGTAGTCGGGCATCGTTGTTTGCGACACACTGGTCAACTGGCGTACCGACATGGACCTATTCCACATATTATGATTAGCCTGGATACCCCGAATAGGTTGGAAAGTTCCATCATACCACACAGCATGTTGTTCCAGCAGCTTTAGCTTCACACCAAAGCTGATACCGCCATCCCTTGATATAATTCATGCCGTCCAATATCACGATGCTGTCCCGCGTGAGCACGCGCTTAGCTCGGGCGTAGGCCACGCCTCGGGCCTCCTTTTCTGTCCGTGCATGGTCGTATACGGTACGTGGGTGCGAAGCGTCATGCGATGCGATGACGTGGACTTTGAATCGAGATTTTAGCGTGACAGGCGACGCGGACTCGGTGGCTGCGAAGAGTTCATCTTGCGCTGTCTCGAGGAGTGCGGCAAGCTGGTTTGCGCGGTAGGTGAGGCCGGAGCAGGGATACCCGGTTAGAATGACGAGCTGGGAGGTTAGTCAAGGTTATTTTAGGGCTTTTCCAGAAGCACTTACTGGCATTGTTGTGGCGTGGTGTTTGGTGTAGCGGAGTTTTTTTTTGGCGCGGGGTTGACCATGTGACTGCGGGACAGCCGCGATCGACAGTAGATTATGGTGGGATTTGGCCTCGGGAGGTTTATAGGACTAGGATTTCGTGGTCAACACCAATTATGGTAATATTAATCTATGGCAACCATATGAATTTGCATAAATCGATCGAGCTCCATTATGATAGAGCCGAGAGATATTTTACCACTGCTACTACCATAGCAAATTTTTCTATGACGACCAATTTAAATGTGCAGCCAAAATTCAAGTCCAGCGTATGCATACCTGACTCTGGTGCTTTAAGTTCTTTGGTCAACTGAGCGCTTGTTACATCGCATTAGAGTCGGGAGGCCCTCGTATTCTGCGTCCAAATCACATCTGGCATGACATAGTACACCGGGCAGACAGTGTCTATTGGCGGATGATCATGCGGCTAGATCCATTTGCATACAGTACTATTCGCTATATGCTTATTCCTCGTGACTCTCGGCGTGTCAGTGCAGGGCGGCTGAGAGCGAGAGCGAGAGCGCTGAATTCTTTCCCTATAACTATCTCTACACGGCTTGTGACAAACAATGGCGAGGACAGAGCTTGTGAATGACATGAAACTGAACTCTGAGACAACCGGATGATACCTCACACCATACCTCATGCCTTTGAACCTGACTACTTCCAAGGGACCAATCAGGTGGCAGGTGGCAGGTGGCGGCCAAAGGTCGAGATCTGGGAGCGAGGAAGATACTGGGCGCAGGATCATTTGGGACAATCTGGGTTGAACAATGTGTCAAGTGAAGGTCCGGGTAGGCTGCGAGCTGTGAAGATGATTAAGAAGCTACCTCACCCTTCCCATCAGGCCTACTGCAACCAAGAACTCGAAGTCATTGCGAAGTTTTGTCAACCAAAAGTATGTATTACTATTGACGCCGTTTTTTAGCGGATGTTGATATCGATCAGTACTCAGATTTGTGGGTGAAATTCCTTGGAGCGCTGGTAGACCAACCTCTTACCTAAAAATCCATTTCATGACATGTTTACCATGATCACCGTAAAAGTCATCTATGGAAATAATCGCACTGCCCTGTCCAATAAAAATCAAGATGATTGAAGCTGGGGTTCGGAACGTGCCAAGACCGCCGTTCTCCATGTGGGCAAGCTAGGTGACGTCGGGTAAAAGCCCATCGGACAAAAGCCGGGGAAAACTTCCCTCGCTTGGCTATTATCGGGTCTAGATACAGTAGCTCTCTCCAATCGGATGACAAGCAAATTCAATGGTTGTCGATGTCGGCGGTTCAAAGGTATCGTAGGGGTATCTGTACGGCCAAGCCATCTAAGTACAAGCGCCCCCCGCTGCCTAGAATTTGAGTTTGGAGATTGGTTTGCTTTGCAGATCTAAAAATGGGGAAGACATTTATTAGGCAAGGATACGAGGTAAGATGTGGGGAGGTTCGTAACAGGAACGCAGGTGTATGCACGTTGGAATACGGCCTTGAGGACCTTGGAAGTGATTTTTAATTACGTCAATAGTCTACAGTACAGTGCATCCTACATGTAAGTATCGATCTGGAGAGACATACTGCGGACTTATCAAGTGTCGTGCATACAGCAGATGGAAGAAATGCTTATCGCGGCAGTGAAGGAGATAGATTCGAAACGGGCAAAAGCTCCGGTTATACATTGCATCAACACGGTGGCGACCAATAGGAAGAGTAACCAGAAAGATGAACTTTGCTGATAATCGTTCTTCCCTCGATCCTATACACATGTCGCGCACTCCGGCCGAGGCAACTTACGGGTTTACCGTAATTTGCCACCTTGACTGTGTGGAGAGGAGTGGAGATACCGTCACATTACCGCGCGGGTAATCGTCGGGATCGACTGGGAAGTCGCAAAACCTATCACGTCGGGAATTCTCCCTTTCTCCAGAGTCGAAGCCAAACTCTTCTCCTTTCTTCTCCCAGACTGCTGCTCCCCATCTCCCGGACCGTCACTCTCTAAGCGACCTGGGACTCGTCCGCCCTTCCGCAACCATCCACCATCGTCGATTCGTTCTCCGATTCTTTTCACCCCGGTTCATTGCCAGTGGTGCCGTCATTGGGGGCTACGACGCTACAACACAACGCTACGCTCCATTCGTCTGAACGAATCCGCCTGGCCATCTTTGCAGATTCAAACCCTTTGATCCTACAGTCCACACCATCACTCAATCCGACCCATCACGGCTACTTTAACATAAAGTAGTTGCCCCGCATGGATCCTGGACGATCAGCCCATCCACCCAAAGCCCCCGCTTCTACCTCCTTATTCGCACCCATGCAATCCTTCGCTCCTGCCACCAATCTAGCCAGTGCAGTTTCTCAACCGCCAAACTCCTTCAACATGGCCTCAAAACCCGCCCCGCAAGCCTTCGCTGCCCCGCTGCAGTCTACGTCCATCGGCGCCGCACCCTCAATCTCCCAAAGCCAACCCTTTGCGCAAGCTCTGAACGCTTCCAGTGCGTCTGGGATACCAGTCGCTTCACAGGGTCTCAATTCCGACTCAATCCCACGATCGGAAACCATGCCCGCTACGCAGCCCGCCACCGATATCTACCCCCACCAGGTGAACGACCTCGGTGGTCCCACAGCAACTGCACCGTTCTTACAGGACTTTAGTCTTGTGGCTGAGGCGGCGAAGCGAGCGCAGATGGGGATTGTGATGCGTGATTTGGAGAGCGTGACTTTATAATCGGGTACAGGGATGCAGGGATGCAGGGGGCGGGGGCAGGTCCTCTAAGCGGGGTTATACACGATAAAAGTGCAACGCGAGAGCATTTGCATTCCCTGCCAGCATGAACGGGCTTTCATGCGATACACTTTGGTAGGCTTTTCTTCTTCTTCTTTTTTAACTTGGGCGTCGCAATTGGGGAAATAATGGTTGGTTTGTGGATTTCTCTTGATGAGATCATACTCCGGATGGCTTTGGAATTGCTATCCTGGTTTGCTTCCTTTCTATGTCTTTGCGCCTTTGGTGTTTTCTCGGCGTTTTATTGCTTACTTCTACTTTATACCACCTACATATACTCGATACATGCAATATCTATCGCCTCTCTGAATCTCATGAAACATTACAACGAATACTCTTGCTCAATATCTATAAGAGATAAATAAGAACATGCACAGGCGGCTTGCCCTAAACTTGCGATGTGCATTATCCACAATTTCGGATCTTGCTCCGGCTGACCTTGCATAGGAATGGATTGATGGGTTGTAGTTCTGTATGATGTCATATTTGATGCTGGGCATCTTATCGTCTGGAAATCGTTGATGGGATAAAACCTTAGCAGCATTATATTAAACGAGACAAACATAAGCTTTGGTAATGGACATGCTAAGTGTAGATCTCGGTGCAGTCGTAACATTCTCAAACTTTGGCGACAACCTTGCAAGTTTTTGCACACATTATCAGTGCCGAAATACAACGGCCTACTACATTGAGATGAAAAATATACCAAGTCATGATCCGCAATCAAAATCATACGAGTCAGGAGCCTTTGGTGTCACGTCGCATGGTATCACAGGCCCCCGGCCCCGCTTCCCAATGAGGAAAGGTTATGGACCCCACGTTGTTAACAAATGCCCTAAAGCCAGGGAAAGTTCTCTGCGTATTTCCTTGAATTTGATTTAATTTTTCTCCAATTCACATTATCACATCTGACCAAATCTCATCATGGCTGACCTCGATGTCAACGAAGACGTGAAGCGAAATGCTTTCACTGTCAAGAATTACCGGGACAAGTATCCTGCTATTGACCCTTCTCGACCAGAGCTGGCTCAAACGGGCAAGGTAGTCGTCATCACTGGTGGGAGTCGTGGTCTAGGACGCTTGGTAAGGGCCCCGTATTGCAATTGAAATGTGTACATTGCTCACAATTACTATAGGCCTTCGCAGCTTCATTTGCTCGAGCTGGAGCAGCAGTCATTGCACTCATCGGCCGCTCAGCGAGTGGCCTGGAAGAAACGGAGAAGTTCATCAACGATATTGACCCCAGTATCAAAGTCCTTCGCTTTGCACTCGACATCACGGATCAGACAGCTGTGGAAACTGCATTCAAGGATATCACCGCACAGGCCGGTGTTCCGCAAGTCCTGATCAACAACGCGGGTAATCTCTCTCCACTCGAGAGCACATTTGACTCATCGTTGGATTCATGGTGGGAATGCCAGGTGAGATCTAAAACTTCATCATCAAATGCCAACATAACCTTATCAATGTATCGCAGGAAATCAACATCAAAGGAACTTACAACGTCACCAAAGCCTTTCTAAAAGAAACCGGAGCTACGCCTACCAAATCAACCACGATTGTCACCATCACTTCCCTCGCTGCTCATGGAACTGCACCCGGTATGGGAGGATACTCCCTCGCAAAGTTGGCCCTGACAAAGCTCACGGCTTACGTTGCTTCCGAGCATCCCTCCATTACCTCCGTCAGTCTTGACCCGGGTATCGTGCCAACGGATATGGGTCGCAGTGTGCCATTCCTTGCACCGTTTATGCTCGATACTCCCGAGCTGGTGGGAGGTGCTGCTGTGTGGTTGTCGAGTGGCGATAAAAGCTTTCTTTCGGGAAGATATGTGTCTTCTAATTGGGATGTTGAAGAGATTGAGTTGCGGAAAGGGGAAATCGTGGATGAGGACCAGTTGAAATTCAAAATTAAGGCTAATTATGCGGCGAACGCGACCGTTGAAAATGTCGAAATGATTTAGTGCTTCAAAGCTGATATAGACTTTATCCAGAAGAACAATTATGACTCTCAATATTCTGACCTGCATTGAATGGCACTGCCCGGTTGAGAAAAGACATACCATTTCGTTGCGATAGAACCTATGCATGGCCCTCAACCCTTAATTATAGATGCGTAAGGCAAAAGAGCTTAAATCCTTGCAGTAAATTTTATTCATATCCTGCAGCGGCTGTGTCCCACTGCCTATTCCTCTGTAGATCTTGTTTCCATTAGGAAGTGGGGGTTTCTTGGCTTGCATTGAGCTCATCACGTCCACATTTTGCTTATTTTACTTGAACAGCTTATAAAGGAGTTGCATATTTGAGTGGTTAAAACCAAGTCTTTCCCGTTTTCGCGGGAATTTCATCTACAATGTTCAAACTTCAATATCAAGAACGCCCACCATGGCCAAAAACCCATTTCAACGACCACCCTCAAATGATCTCACCTCTGTCAAGATAGACCCAATCAACCAGACCAGGCTATTGACCCTCCATCCTGGCCATGGCGATTCTGAAATCCAATGTCATGTCTAAGTCATAAGTATCAAGCCAAAATCCTCCACCGAATATGACGCGCTCTCATACGTATGGGGCGACTGGACCAACCATGGCAAGATGCGATTAAACGGCATTCCAAATTCCCCAGTCACCAGGAATCTTTGCCTAGCCCTTCGAAGACTCCGGAAAAGAGATAAAGAATGCACAAGCCACGGAGCCAGAGGGGCGAAGTAGGAATGTTAGTGGAGGGAAGACTGAGGTCATGATGGTTTCGTGGATGGCCATGGTCAGAAACTGGATGGCCATTTTGTGAGGGGGTACAATTAGCAAAATCGAGGTACAAATAGCAACTCTTTTTAAATTTGGTAAGTATGATACAGTAAGAAATTGACGTATGGTCCATGCTGCCGAATCTCAAATTTGGGGGGCTGATGATGAACTGAATTGCCTTTGCATTAGGATGATAGTATAGGGAAACCTAATAAAAAAGGGAAAAACCTATACCAAGGCTGAAGAGAAACAATTTTCGGTCTGGGTCCTGAAAGCGCCTCGTGCTCAGCGACATCAGGTAGGGACGATTGATTTGGATACTGAGTTGAAAGCTATTAAAAATCAACTGGCTCTTCCCCTGCGTAGTCGAAGCTCCTATATATCACAGGAGTTGTCCAGAGCTATACGATGAGTATTTGGTTGGCTTGAGACCCTTGCCATGGGATCTCATCCAACACCAATTTTCCTTGTTGTTGGTATTCCCCGCGAATCTTACACAGCGTGGGGCATTGGCACATCTGTTCGCACACGATTGGAAAGATGTATCGCTTGGTCTGTCTAGGTCCCAATTTCCCGGGTCATCCACTAAAACAGAATTAACTCAATCCCAACAAACTCCTGATGTAATATGACACTTGGCATAATTGATCTGGAACCTTTTGTTCGAAGCTGCGGGGAGGATGCAGGGATCATCCTGAGATCCTAATTTTTGTGAAATGATTAGCCTCAGCTCAAAACGACTGAACGTATTTGTGTGGACATACCAACGTTGAAAAGACCAGCTCGACAAATTCTGCCGGTTCCCCCTGCTTTACATTGTGACTCAAGTGTGTTGTATGAGCTCTGGAGCTTATCGTGCTCTTTCTTGAGGCTCGTCAGGGACGTCTGAACGCCGCTTATCTCGGTATTGAGCTTCGTCACCTGGAGTGCTAATTCACTCTTGGAAGTTTCACATTTCTTCTTAGTAAGGACTTCATCGGCAAGCTCTGATTCGCATTTGCCATGGGCAGTCCGCCAAAAACGCTTCTTCTCCTGCATGCCCTCCAAATTTTCAAGGCATGTATTTTCGGCTGTCTCCGCGCGCTCCTTCGCTAGAGTGCACTTCGACAAATCTTCTTGATTTCTTCTATCTCAGAGACGCCACCTACTTTCAGAAAACGAAAGGCAAATGAGCCGGCTCCAGGATGACCGAAAAAGCCAAAGTCCGCAAAGAAGGCTCCGAACGAGGAAGACGACACTGACAGGTATAAATACAAAAAGATGGAATTCAAGCTACAAGCCGTGGCTACAGAGAGCTTGAATTGTAGCAGGTGACAACACTTCATGATAAGTATGTCCAAATAGGAGAGTTCGTGTCAGTTAGAATTGGCACTTGCTTGTGACATTGAAGGCCATATTGCACGATGCTAAGAGCAAATGGACACTGGTATCATGCCCACTATATAGGAAGATCTACTAAAGGTCTAGAAGGCACAACAAAAGACAGGTATAAGTTTCGAGAGGAGAGTTGGGCACTAGCACCAGTCCGCTTTTTTGCTGTGGCAAAATGACCCTTCGACTTGTATAAGATGCTGGAAAAATTAGAGGTAAGTGGATATTCGGGGAGCAAGTTCCCAATGCAAAGGCCACGATGTCTGCTTACAAGACGGGTGATCTGGAACGAGTCATTCAAAACAGGGTCACCTACTGACATACAGGGGAGCAGGTCTGTGAGCCGAAAGGATGGGATCTTGATGATTATCTCAAGTTTTCAAAAACGCTAAAAGGCTTCTGGGTGGGAGGTATAGGCAAAATAACAACAATTCCAATAATTCAACCCTCAATGTCTTCTCTAATTGTGTATACCTAGTGCTCTAGGCCCGCCCAGAATTGATAGCTCCAGCGTTAGCTGTTTCTCCGGTATGATTTGACTCCTGACTTCTGTTTGGATTCGAATGGCCGCAGTCTATGGTTAGGAGACTAGAGTCACTGGGTCCAACCTTGCAAATATCAAGCCCCATAACAAGGTCGTTTGAGTGGTAATGGCCGGCAGCTGTGAAATGTGCCTACCATCGTGGGCTTACAGAATAGGAGCACCAGGACTGTTTGCTTCCCTCAACTGTTATTATTTTAATTTTTACGCAATACCTCAGCTGAATCTCACTAAAAGATTCTTCCCTCAGCTTATTTCTACGTCGCACGAAGCTTCGTAAGACCATGTATCTCATGCACTAAAAAGAAACTAGTCCACGGAACATAAATAGCCTCAAAGACCCGCATGCGGCACGCAAGGCACCGACCAATTCCACAAATGGCGGACACATCACATGCATCCCAGCCTCCGTTGACGAATACACCCACGAAAAGCTTGTTTCATAATAGTGGACTAGGTACTCCAGTTCTGACGTGTGCTTCCACCCGAGGTGCACAACAGATCCGAGAATAGACCCTCGGCACAATCTCGGATAAGTCCTGTCAAGCGCAGATGGTGTGATTGCGTGAAGCTGCCTATCACCGAGCCAGTGGGAATACACTTAGTGGGGGGATTAGTGGAGCGGGGAGAGGGGAGCCGTTGATCTACAAGCATAAACATCATACTGAAGACGTGTTTAAGTTTGGATTACAATTAGAGTTGAAGATCGGCTGGATATCTGGAAGCATAATGCCAACAGTAAATATCAAGAACGCCACTGTTTTGATTCATTTCAATCTTGCGTGACAATCCCGGTATACACTAGTAAGAAAGGTCCCATTTTCCAGAGGTGCATACAAGCGAGGAACGGTTCGAGACTAGTGCTTCCGGGCAGCCACAAGCCACGATAAGAACTAAAAACTACCGAAGAACGACAAGTATGCAACATACTAATGGAATTCCCCCTCACTGCCCCGGTAGATCGACGTAAAATTTTTCAGCTCATTCTTTATTTTTAGCGAGGCGTTTGCTGACGCACGTCGGTCCACACCCGCAACTGCGGGCGGCTGCGTGTGGCGCCCGCTTGTCATGCCCGATGACCGATTGCTGAGACAATTCATGCACGTAACTTAGTGAAGGAACTACTTATCGATAGAGTTCATTGCCTAGGATTTTGGTAGTTTATTATAGTCCCTGACATGCATCATGTAGGGAAGCGTCGACTAGGTTACCGGACCCGCAGGTAGCACGAATTCCCGCTACTATGTATGAACTATTGAGACCTATCGAGTAAACATTGAATATTGGCAGAAGTAAAATTCATTCCCAAACACCAAGCTATGCGCGACCCAAACCAAATTGCAAAAATAAATACAGTTTCCAGGACACGGACAATATTAGCTGGGTATCTATTGACCCATGTAATGTGTGGTTCAAAACAAGGATACAGAAAAACAAAGAGAACGATTTAGAATCGAAAAGCAAAAAACCCCCATCCAAACCATGGATATAATGACAATAAAGAGTACTCCACCCGGAATCAAGACCCAAACACCGATTTTTCCCATGTGCGGATTGCATGTGTGTGTCTATCGACATATAATGATCGTCGCTGCAAGAAGTAGCAGCATAGAGCCGATCTATCGGCTTCTTTTTGTTCCCAAGATTGATTCCGGGAAATAATTTCATGATTCAGTTCGAGCTCGGTTCCAGTGTTTGTGTTCCGAGGTCGGTAATTTTTGGCTCATTAATCATGCCATGGATCCACTTGACCCGACCGCTCCGCCCATTAATCAATGTCTATATTGGTTTCAGATTTCCCAATATAGACATTGATTTTTTCTCTCCAAAAATTTCAATGCTCTTCGCAGCTTAGTTCATAGCCGAAGAACCAATCAAATTTGGCGTAGAAATACTAGCTGTAGAAGGCCGTTCACCAACCTTCCGACCACCGAAAATAGACAGTCTGCGCGAGAGTCGCCGACTCAGTCCACGCTGTGGCGCAGCAGACAACACAGACATACGCCGCGAGCTAGGGCCATGGCAGTCTGCTGTCTCGGGGCGGGGGGAGGTGGTTCCGAGCGAGCCATCCAGCAGGAAAGTAGAGCGACGCTTGAGCTTTGCGGCTGTGCTGGATGGATCGGCGAGTTGGTAAGCGAAGTCTTCTTTGATATCGTCTAGTGCATGGGAGACGCGGCGTAGGAGTTTTGGTTTCTCAATGATTGAATTGGGACGTCGTTCGAGGCCGTAGAGTTGGATGGGAGTTGAGTCTCCTTCGTCCATGGGGGAGGAGTAGAAGCGGCGGTATTTCGGCATTGCTCGGCGGGCTTGAGGAAGGGAGACGGTAGATGTTGGTTGAGGGTGTTGGTAGGGAAGGTGAGGGTCTGAAGAGGAGACGCTCGAGGAGTAGGAGCTGTTTGTGGCGGATGATGCCCACATGATGTCGGTTGGGTATGTGATATGTGTTTTGAAGGGAGAAGGGGGAGGGTGGGGGTATAAGCTCTATAAAAGGGAGAGAGAGAGAGACAGAGAGAGGGAGAGAGACTTAGGACATGCCCACAGGGTCGGAGAAAGGTGCCATTCTCATCCCCAAAAAGCATAGAGACTCCATTCGGAAAAAGACTAAAAGCACTAAAAGTGGATCAAAGACATGGAATGAGCATTTTAGTTCGCAAGCTACGAGGCGCCGTCCCGTGTAACACATAGATGACTGTAATTTTGTTTCATTTCGCTCGATGTATACGTCCGCCCCTGATCCTGTGGGGGTTAGAGTGAAGTACATACGTCCCGTAGAGGTATTGCATAATCGTGACGATAATGTACGAAGATCACTGCGAGAGAGAGTACAATTCCCGAGAAATGGGGAAATGGGGAAATGGGACTTTTTTCTCCCTTTTTTCTCTCTTTTTTTTTTACGAGACCCGCTCAATCTAAGCGGAGTTAACCCGTATCAGATCATCCCATCCACAATGTGTCTTGGAATCTGACACATCATTGTCTACGTGACGCGGCAGTTAAAAACGCCTCTTTAAACTTTGGTCCCGAGATCTCCAAGCCACACACCGAAACGCAAAATGTGAACGCCAATGTGGTGGTTCCAAACTTCGAGGATCTTGGAGAAAGCAAATGGGAAAAGCGGACCGTGGGTACTCACGGTTCCACCGGGATCTTCTGCCGCTATATTTTAATTGGATCGATTCCCGCTCAGGGGAATCGTGCAATACTCCAGCTCTTGGGTTGGTGCCAAGCGAAATGACCTCGGACAGAGTTCTTCCCGCGTGAGAAAATAAACGGCTGATTTTTGTCTTCACAATTCCCTCTTTGAGAAGACGTAAAAAGGGTTCGCTAAGGTCTCCAGCGTTCGAGGATGAGAGTTGTGTATGTGGGTCGGTATGGGGCCGAGGGAAGACCTGACAAACCACATCGCATTGGAGAACACACGAGGTCCGTGGAGGGGTTCTGAATCGTGGGCCATTGGTCTCAGTTATCCACTGTAGGCTACCCCCGCAAGAGATCGTCTATTTTTCATGTCAACAGAGAGGGGATTGATCAGGATAAATCCTATCCCCCCTATGCACCTACATAATACCGTATAAATTACTGCAGGGAAGAGAGGATTACCGCGGAGTCCTACGGAGTACGGAATGACAGAAGGGCCATGACATCGTTCCTCATTTCTTTGAAACCTGTGATCTACATAACAAAGCGCAAATTGACATCTATCTCGAAGTCAGCCAGGGTCACGTTCATGGTAACACAGAAACTTACCAAGAGGATGGCTGCAGCTCAGCTGCGGCTTTTGAGTATACTTGCCGTCGAGCTCCGCCCGAATGGCATTCAACAGCTGCAGATAAGATTGCTGCGGCCATTGTTTCAAAGATTTGATAAATGCCCAGCTGAGGGCTCCACGCGCCTGTCCGTCCTGGAACGTATCGGCCCTGCAGAAGAGAAAGGGGTTAGTTCTGCTAAAATTAAGGGCCGCTTCCCCGCACTTACGAGGTCTGTGTATCTTTAGATCCCGAGAACATAACCACATCGGCCGGCGATGTCTTGGTTTGCAAAGTGCGTTGACGCGCCTGTCCGCCATTGGCCGCCTTCTTAAAGAACCCGATGGCCGTGTTCGCCATACTAGACAGATCACCCTGTCCGTAGGAACTAATCGCGCTGAACAGATCCTGCGCGGCCTCCTTGGCCAGGTTAGGCTCCTTGAGGACACCCTGGGTCGAATAGATGTACGGTAGATCCAATGCGGTACCTGAGTGGCATGAGTCGAAAATCGCGGTCAGTCGCACACCAGGCCGGAGGGGTTTGACCATGATGTCGTGCATTTGGTCGTCTACTATATGGCCGACTGTGCGGTAGTCGACTGGATAGATGACATCGTCATATCCATCGTCCTCGTCGCCGTCCAAGTCCGGTGTACGGCCACCGTGTCCAGAGAAGTGAATAAACAGTGAATCGTGAGGCTGGGCATCTTTGACGAGCCACTGCATCGCGCGAAGAATGTTTTGCTTGGTTGGGATGCTCATCGGATTCTTCTGGTCATCAGTTAGGATGACCATGTCCTCCCGACGATACCCAAATCGCTCGTGCAAGAAAGTGGACATGTTGGTGACATCGTTGATACAGCCGCGCAAAGAGTTTGGCTGGCCGGTATAATTAATTCCGATTAGAAGAGCCTTGCGACGTCCCGTACAGGCCGAGTATTGGAACTGATAATTGGACGGCGCCCCTGACCCGAAATGTTGGAGATTCTGGGGGAGGCGGGGGTGCCACATGCGGTGAAGAGGAGCGGCCAGGATCTGCCCGAGTCAGTCAATCGGTCGCTTAAGCCAATAATATATGTTTATAAGCCCTACCATTGCGGGAACTACTAAGATTATGCTGATGCGACGGATAGGGCTGAGATGTAGGTCGATAGCCGTACGGTTGTGGTGATGGCTGGGGGGATGGCGTATGGTATCCGTAAGACCCGGAATGGTGTGGCGAATGACTATAGGGTCGTGGAGGGAGTTGCGGCGAATGGCTGTAAGACCCGGGGGGCGGAGGGCCTTGGGGAGGGTAATACTGAGCGTGATGTTGCGGCGGTCCGTGATGGCCGTAGGGCTGACCTCCATGCGGGGCCCACTGACCTGGGGGAGGTTGATGATAACCCCACGGTGGAGGCCCTTGAGGGGGAGGGGGTCCTGGTGGAGGATAATACATGATGATATGACAGCGAAGCTCAAGAACCGGAAAACAAAGGAAGTGGGATCTCTAAAGGAAGAAGTTTTTTCGTCGGGGGGTTTTCTGGCTGGCTGACTTGGGTGTGGGTCGCGCAGATCGGAGTTAATGAGCTTAGGAAATCACGGCAAGGCTTGCCGGATAGGAGATATAGGACAGAGTAGTTTAGAAGGCTTGATGAGGAAACCGACAGACAAGGAAAAAAATACACATGCCGCAGCCAAGGATAGTCTACGCCCGGCGCCTCTTTCGGCTTCAATGTTCCATGGAACTTTCAGCCCTACGAGTCTGCAGGCAACAATGTTTATGCGGAACTCCGCGGTCTTGGCATGATATTAGTGGCAGTAGATCACGTGACCGAAATGGCCGGCTACAGATCTAGCGTGTGTCTAGTGGAAGCCTAATGGTATAGAGAGACAAGGGAGATCTGCGCAGCACGAAATCCGTGACTCCAGAATTTCAAGACAAACAATCCCAACAATCTTATGTAAGATCTCCGAACAGTCATCCTTGAATGCCTGAGGCGTGATGACGCTCTAAAAATAGCTTACGTAGTCAGACGTAACGTGGTTACGTGACCAATTTTTGATTCATCTGAAGCCTTGTTCAAGCAAGGCTGTCCATACCTGCAAGAGAGAAAGACTAAAGCCAGATGGTGTGGGGTCGTATCACGCAGTCACACCGCGTTATCCGAGCCCGAATTTCTTGAGAGGCCACAGCGTCCGTAAACATGGAACTCAGTTGACAATCACACGAGTCCGGGTCTCACATGCGTGGAAGATCCACACCTGCATGAAGATCATACAGTGGGGAGGGAAGGACAGAATGGAACTATTTGAGCGAAAAGAGCCTCATCAAATATGCTCAGGACGAGTAAGAATGATTACCCCCGAGCTTCTTCGTATTCCCGCCCCTTGCCGCTTCGGAGGCTGATTTCACCTTCCAATCACAAAGCAGGGTCCGCGACTTGAGCCGCATCATTTCCCAATATGCTGGAATACCAGGTTAAATAACTCAATTTATATCATATGCAATGAATTCTAATCTGGCCAAAACCTTGGACTAAATTGTGCGAGCGCCGATCACGGCCTGGGGGGCTGTGCGGATTATCTACGGAATCTCTCCTAAATTTGCCCCCTCTGATGAGGCTCAACTAGTAGCATCCTCATAAGTCCCACCCGTCTTCCTAAATCAGTCCCAACCACCCATGCCATTTCTTTCTTCTCGTCATTTCCATTTCAGCTTTCAACATGAATTCGTGTTAATTGTTCCTTCCCTTCTCCCATTTCACAGCCATGCCGGCTGCAAGGAGTCTCGACTCCCTTCCATTTGACATCTTTTACGAAATCGCTACATCACTGGATGATCGTGACTTTATCAATCTGAGCCGTACCAACCGTGCCCTTCGTGATCTTGCCCAGAGTGACCTCGTCGCCCGCAAAACGGTAGAGGTAAGCAAAGAAATACATGCCCCCGCCCGCGGGGCGAAAGCTGACCCCCTCGCAGAACGTTCTCCTATTCAGCAAAGAGGGACAGTTGGCCTTACATCAGGCCGGTTATACCTACCGCAAGGCTGTTGGGCATCGGTTTGACATTCATGAAGCGGTCGCTACAGCTGCGCCATATTCTGTTTCAGTCCTAGCCTATGGGGCCGAGTTTCTCTACAATCAAGGGATCCTATGCTACCGAGTGGGGCATGAAATCCGCCTCCTGGACGTGCATGCTGGGAGTAAGCAGGAACGTGTCTTGAACTTATTAGTCCTTTTCCGCCGTTTGACTTCGGAACCGCTGGGCGCGGATGCAGTCGATCGGGTATCGTTGCTGCGATATGCAGATGGCATCCTCGTATTTCGGGTTGATACCGACGATGATCAGGATGACTTGTTGTTAGCCATGGATATGTCCAACCGGCTACATCACCCCAGAAAGGGCCGCCTGCTCCTCAAAAAGTGGATCCCTGCAGGGGCGCGGGTCTTTGTCCGACACAGCCGCACCTATATTTGGTACGGCATATTTACAGCAGTCGGTGGCTCCGATGGCGTATGGACTGTCTACGGGATGGACATGACCTCCGCCACTCTTGAGCCGATGAAACCTACGCTCACGCGGATTGTGGATGGCGATCTTGGCCAATCTCTCTGTTTTGAGATGTACAACGAGCATCTCTATGTAGTATCCACCCAAGTCACTTCAGACGAGGATGAAAGATACTCCTCGTTTTACCATTGGTTTTGCTTTGCCCCACGTCAGAATCGTCGTAAATGGAGTGGAAGTATATGGCGTCGCGAGCACTGCGAAGGTCCTATTAATGAGCTTTGGACCGATCTTTCAATTACCACTGATGAAGTAACCGGCCGACCGGTTATCTTAGAATGCCGCCGGGAGTACGCCGAAGGCAAAAGTGAAAATCATCGCACCTACTATACCCAAGCCCTTCAAACACCAGAAGAATTACTCACCAGGTACGGCGAGGGGGAGGAAGCAACACCCATACTATTTAGCGACTCAGGCGAAACCTCTGAGTGTCAAGAGTCCACTCGTGACAGCAACGAGCACCGACCAGAAAAGCGATTACGTCGTGACTACCACGCTGAGTACGAATCCACACACGACCCAACAAAAAGACAAGAGTTCATCGCCGCACGCACAAAGCACCGCAGCTATAATCTCGCCGCATCCACCTTCATTGACCTCGTAAATGACCCAGCCCTACAATCAGACGGCTTCCGATCTCAAGACCGTCTCCGCCTCCGCACCGTCTCCCGAAAGCGCAAGTGCCCCATCGACGAAGAGGGCGATGAAGGCCCATCGGGACTCCTCTTCCGGCCAACACAATATAATGAAGACGGCTCACCAGTCGAAGGCTCAGAAGAGCGTTTCGTCTCTCGTGGTGTCTACATGTGGCCTCCAGATGATGCACCAGCCGAACTACGTCGCCTCCTCTGCCCAGATTCACGGATAAACACAGTATGCGCCATCTCAGATGAACGCTCTCTTATCTACTCTGTACGGTGTGCAGGTGTGCCAGCTGGAAATCAGGCTATGGTATTGATAAGTTTTGATCCCCAAATCCACTTTCCCACGTTGTCATCCTTGCATACTATGAAGGCGCCTATTCCCGATAAAATATTCTCTGTTGAGGCACCACTGGCCGAAGCATCGACATCTCTCGTCAGAGAAGATAAGCCGCTCTATGAGGCTATTAAATGGGGATATTGGCTACGATAGGTCTTTACCGCCATAATGGCTTTGAGCTTCATGTGCTATGATGCATGATAAGAGGATATGGACTCTTACAAGTATTAACCATGCATAATATAGAAACAAATATTCCAATACAAATAAATTTTACTCAATTTCGGCTGTCTTCCTATTATTTAGATCGATTCGCGTATTGATCACAGGACCTCGCGGCATTATTGTCGATCTCGGTCTTATCAAGTGAATCAAGCGCAAAAACAACCCACTAAAGATGAGGGGCCAGGACACTTGTCTATAGCCTCTACGCAGACCTCCTAGTATGAATGTCATTAGATGACGCGTCTTAGCCCCGAGATCTTTTCGCCCCCAAATAATATCCAGTCCCAGCAAAGCGGACCACATCTGGATTGGGTATCATCCTTTCTTTAAGTTTAAGCCCCCGCATGCAAGCCCATCCCAGCAAACCACGGGATCAATTTGCGTGAATTTGATCCCGATAAATTGCCCAGTACCAATTGAAAGCCCCAGGCCCCCAGCTAACGCTTGATGGTTCTTTCAAACCAGGTACAACCACAACAGGGACAATCATTACCAGAAAGTCGCCATCTGTAGCCCTTAGCAGGTGGTAGATCCAATTTCAAAATCACTTTCGTAAACCCATGCATGGATACCGGCAATTATCCGATTCCGAAATTCGCCCCAAAACCGAGAGATTATGGATACCTCGCGCATAGACAAAAGGACTGTAGCGAGCAAGGTGGGGTACATTGCTCAAACTAATTCCACAGGCCAGTTGTAGCTTCATATATTGTGGCCGCAATGAAAATGGTCAATGCAGTGCTGTTTTTCAATCCTTGGATCGGTGGTAAGGTGATTGGGAAGAAGTAGCTGATGGATGTATTGTGAAATGTTCAGGTTGATTGATGACTATCTAGTTAAGCCAGAACCAAAGACAATCAGAAAGTAGTCCGTAGGCCATTTGCTATCGTAAAGAGAAGTCATGAAGATGGTCTAATAATGACCGATTCATAATACCAAAAAATCTCACAAGCTACAAAGAAGCGGGGATTTAGGGTTCAAAACAAGAAGATGGTAAGAAAAAGAGGTTGTCTGTCAACAGTTTTCAGTATTCACTCATCTGCGACTTACAGTAATCTTGATCTCCGACACTCTTTGCTACTCTTTCCTTTCGATTTCTTCTTGCATACTAATTTGCACAATGTTCCTCTTGAACAATTTGACAGGTCTTATCCAGCTGTTGTCATCAGTCTGTTCTTAACCTACTCACCTCTTGACCCTTTCATATGTCGACCCAATCCCGTGCAATTTAGTCATCATCTTCCTCCCCTCTTACATTCACTCAAAGACCTCACTCTCTGTTTCCACCTTGCAATCTCTTGCTTTATGCTTTGACCTCTCCCTATTTACTTTGTTCTCGTTTCTTGGTCAATTGATCACACCTGTTCCATCATCAAACTACCATCTTTTTGATCATCTTCCTCTCACGCCCTTACGATAAGCTCGCCGAATTGAAGGTTAAACACATACAGGAAATGAGACCGCTGGAAGGTATTGCTGGCAAAGGAGACTCTTATCATGTTTTATACGTGTGCGATACCTAGGTGCGGCTGACCTAGGATCTATACACTGTAGTGCGACAATATGAGGCAACGAAGAATGAGAACTTGGCATCAAAAGCTCGAAATATCTTCCGGCACAGAGAGCTCCGGAAGGACTGAGCCATTTATAGAAGCTATTAAATCATTTCGACCAAGAAATGAATAGAATAATTCCTTCTAAGCAGGCAAGATAAGACAAGTGACTTACATTTGAAGCTCTATCTTGCCTTTAATTAGGAGGATCCAAGGATAGGTCGTCCGGTGAAGTAATAGATCGCCAGTGATTCCGTGATTACGTGATTCGCGACGCCAAAAAACCTTGTTTGTGAAAATTCGGTTATAAACCTCGTCAAGCTCGTATCACCCGAAAATTAGCTAAAAAAAGTTTTCATCCCTGAAAACATTGCTATCGCTTGGCAGATGATCATGTCTCTCGACGTTGCCGCGGCCCCTGAGGCAACCAAGACCAGCCAAGACATCCAAGACATCCAAGACATCCAAGAAAACGAAGATGATCGCGAATTGTTGAAGCTAGGTTACCGCGCTGTTTTAGCGAGAGGATGGGGCTCTTATGACAATTTTGCTTGCTCATTCTCTGCTCTTTACCCAATTGGTGGTATTCGCTTGTTATTCTATATTGCAATCAGCGGAGGTGGTCCTGCTGCTATGTAAGTACACCCGAGCTACCCGGGCAGCTTTCGCATTCAACCAGGCCCGTCTCTAACAAATTCTTAACAGGTGGAGCTCCTGGGTTTCGGGTAGTATTCTTTCGATTATTACCGCCGCTTGCCTTGCTGAAGCCTGTTCCAGCTACCCCGCCGCGGGGTCGATCTACTACTGGGCATTCCGCTCTTGGGGTGGTGGACGGGTGGGAAGGTTTGTAAGCTTCCTGGTTGCAGCATGGACACTCGTTGCATGGACGGCATTCCTGGCGAGCGACTGCTTTGGTGTCGCCAATTACCTCGTGTCGGAGGTGGTTGTGTTCAACCCAGATACGAGCTTCCCCTACGACACATCTGACGTCCGTGCACGAGCTATCGCCTGGATCTTCTCATTGTTCTTTCTGGGGGTGGCCACCAGCTTGAACTTTCTCCCGTCGCACATGTATTCCTGGGTGTTTCGTACTGGTGTCATTGTCATTGCCTTCGATATGTTGCTGAACTTCATCTGGCTCCCGATTGGTGTATCGCAAACTTATGGCTTTCAATCGGCCGAGTATGTGTTTACTTCGACCTACAACGGTGGAGATGTTACTCCGAGCCTTAACTGGGTTCTTTCTTGGTTCATGACTGCCAGCTGTCTGGTGGGTGAGGACGCCTCGGGCCATGTTGCAGAGGAGACAGTCTCGGCTAAGAAGGCCGCTGCCAAGGGTGTCTTCTGGGCAACGGTCGCGTCAGCACTTTGCGGCTTCCCGATCATTATTCTGTTCCTGTTCTGCATGCCATCCATTGAGACCTTCTACAACACCAGCGCTCCCCAGCCTTTTACTAATATGTATGCTCTTGCGCTAGGCCCACACGCTCATGTGGTCATGACTATTATCTCCATGGTTGGTGGTATTCTCAACACTTCCATCTCGCTGGTTGCCGCCTCTCGCTTGGTCTTTGCCGTGGCACGCGATGGAATCTTCCCATACAGCCACGTGTTGGCTCGTGTTTCAAAGTCAAAGCAGCCTCACAACGCAGTCATTTTCATTTCGACTATTGCTGCTCTTCTGCTCTGTACCCAGCTGCCGTCCCAAGTCGCCTTTTCTAGCTTGATCTCAACTTCGGCCGCCGGCTCCATCGCAGCCTATGGTCTTGTCGGCATTGGTCGCGCTTTCATCACCCGCAAAACATTCCGCCCAGGATTCTGGGACATGGGCCGATTCGGCGTGGTGGCTGCTGTCGTCACGTTCGTTTGGAATGGCTTTGCGTTCGCTGTTCTCTGTGCACCAGAGTATTCCAACAGCCAAATTGACAAGGACTCGAGTCTTTTCAACTACGCAATTGTTATCATGGGTGGTGTCACCATTCTCGCGCTCGCAGAGTGGTGGCGCAAATCGAAAGACGAATGGTTCCAGCACCTTGAGCCTGTCGATACAGCGTCGGAGACCGACACCTCCATTCGGCGCGAGACACAGGAGGCTACTTGGGCTGAATCCAAGGAAGTTTGATGTGTAAAGTTGGGCTATTAAATCCGGGATGGCAATATCAGATTGCATCTGCTGCGGTAGACTGAACGATCGCTTGGCGATTGATAGTTTGGATGATGGGTATGTATAGCCTTTGGAGGCAACAGCAGGCATGACGGGTGTTCGAGACTTTGCTTAGCAAGGTCTCGTTCTGAGATATTACCGTTAGAACTTGATCTGGACAATACCAGCGAAAGGACATGCATGCTTTACCCATTTCTCTCCCTTGGTGTCTTTGTTCTCAGACTGAGTCTGAGGACAGATACTACTAACTCTACTTCTGTAGACACGGTTTGCCGCTGGAAATGTTTCTGGCTGTCAGCACGGGCTGTGTGAGGATCTGCATCGGTGTTCACACGGGAAGGAATCTGCCAAGTGGAGATCCTGTATGTCCCCGATGACATTGTTGACAGAGTGCGTCCTCATATCGCATGTGGACTCGAGGGATACCCGAGCATCATGAGACATGATTCGTCGTGAGGGGAATTCCGGCTCCTGTTCCCGCTGTTGGCCTTTGCACCCTCGCATACCGACTCTCGACCCGCTGGCTTCTGAGCCGAAACACGCGGCAAACCATGGCTTGTAACTTCGTAATCTGGAATATTCGTAATCTTGGCATCCATAGGTGTTTTCGATTGGCTCTGTCCTACACCTAGCTGCAAAGGCTCCCATCGCGCCAACAAAGCCCCGTAGGCAAGTATCCTGCTATACCCTACCCACGATCAAAGGAGATGTAATCGAGGCCTGGGGCTGTCTCAACCGAAAAACTCGTACATGTCAAAGCGAACCAGGAAACCTCGAACCTGCCGTCACTATTATGCGTAACAGCAAGTGTGGAAAGCATGTAAAGAGAAGTCTACATGACCGGCCCCCTCATGTTGTATGGACATACTAGCTAGATTTTGAAATCGAATTGTTCCGTGGATACTAACGCATCTTTTAACGGAGTACTCAGTTAAAATGTGAACAGAAATGTGAACAGTTCTTTTCAAACAAAAGACCCTTTTTCTTGTTCTAGGACCATTCGTTGTTCACCACTTCTATATGCTGCGTAATTGGAAATCATGAGGTTGCAGTGGGACCCAGAACTAGAAGCATTCTCTCCGCCCCCACGTTCCACGGGTCGAGAGCCCCTTCCAAACACCTAACCCCTTTTGGCCCATCACCAGGACTCGTGTCCATTACAATCTCAATAGATTTCAACGCGTCGCCTTCGCGACTCAGTCCTCTGCTCGGTAGCCTCAAAGAAAGGGAACTCTCCATTTCCAATGCTGACGTGTCCTAACGCCCGTCTTATCCCCCCCCCGCTTGTTATCTTTGACCATCCCGTGGGAGAGCAAACCTCGCGCCTTTCGTTTCAGCCCTTTCGATCCCACCACGAAACCACAATGTCGAACAAGAAGAACGAGGATATCGAGATGAGTGCGATGGGTGATGAGTCCAGTGAGCGAGAGAACCTCCTGCTGGAGCCCGCGCCCCATCACCGGGCACGCGTCGATAGCGGCACGGATAGCATTTTCTCCCAACTGGAGAAAAACCCTGGCGCTGCTGTTCTAGCCTACTGCTTCTCCTCAATCAGTATGACGGTCGTGAATAAATATGTCGTTTCTGGGTCGTCCTGGAACTTGAATTTTCTTTATCTGGCCATTCAGGTATGCGCCGCATCTGACACCATAAGACATTGCCGCTGACAGCTATTCGTTAGTCCGTTATCTGCACTGCTGCAATCCTGGTCTTGAAACAGTTGGGCTTGATTCCTAACCTCGCTGCGTTGGAAAGCGGCAAGGCGAAGAGATGTACGTCTGCGACGGCCAACTGACGCTTGTGCAAGGTCGTGCTAACACTGAATCAGGGCTCCCCGTGTCTGTGTTCTTCGTTGGCATGATCTACACCAGCACCAAGTCTCTTCAATTTCTGTCTGTTCCGGTATACACTATTTTCAAGAATTTGACCATCATTGTCATCGCCTATGGTGAGATCCTGTGGTTCGGCGGCAACGTCACCCCGCTGCTTCTGTTGTCATTCGGCTTCATGGTGCTCAGCTCCGTTGTCGCTGCATGGGCTGATATCCAGGCCGCTGTCAATGGCATTGGGCACTCGGCTGAGTCTGCCACTGCTATCTCAACCTTGAATGCTGGGTATGCGTGGATGGGGCTAAATGTCATCTGCACTGCCTCGTACGTCCTGGGTACGCGCAAATTCATTACCTCATTGAACTTTAAGGACTGGGATAGTAAGTTTTAAATTAATTGTCAGGCGTTGCGATACAAACTGACAAGAATCGACCAGCAATGTTCTATAACAACATGATCTCCCTCCCTATCATGATCATCTGCTCCCTGACCACGGAGGACTGGTCTTCGGCCAACGTGGCTAAGAACTTTCCTGCTGAGTCGCGTAACAGTCTCATGATTGGCATGCTCTATTCTGGCCTGGGTGCCATCTTCATCTCCTACTCGTCTGCCTGGTGCATTCGTAAGACTTCGTCGACAACTTACTCATTTGTCGGCTATCTGAATAAGCTCCCGCTCGCTATCAGCGGTATCGTTTTTTTCGATGCTCCTGTCACGTTCGGTAGTGTCACGGCTATTCTCCTAGGGTTCTTCAGCGGTCTCATCTACGGGTATGGCAAGATGAAGCAGAAGGAGCAGCCTAAGCAAGTCCTCCCCACCTCCCAGCCTCCCATGAGCGCCAGCTCCCAGCGCCAGAAAGATGCATATAAACTATAAACCAGTACCGACCAGGCTACTCGAGTGACTAGAGAGAACTCGAAGTAGTAAGCAGGGCTTACCAAATGGCTACCCAGATCCACGCTGGAGAGCCACCATCTTCCTTGAAAAAAATAGAACATTGCGACCACCAAACACCTTCAGGTAGACCAGTCGTTTACCCACGAACAAATATGGGGGATTTCGGTATCTATGGCGGTGGAGGACCACACCGCACGTTGATTAGACTTTCCATATTCCCTGGTACTAGTCATTCTCCAAATCCTGGTTCCGAATCGTGGACTAGTAGACGATGTATTTCTAGGAGTAAGTAGTATAAAGTATAATACTGATTGATTAATTAAATAGCAGGCTGCATTGTGGTGTGATTGATTGATTGTAGCATGTTTGACGAATGAGAAAAGTAGCACACAGTGGAGACAAGGGAAGAATTTGGTATGCAATGCCAATAATTCCACGGAAGTCAGGAAGATTGTCCAAATGAAATAGCGAAATAACAATTAGGGACACGAGGGCAGAAATGAACCAACAACAGACCCCACGTGAATGGTTGACGTCAGTCGTTCTCCCTGCAAGGTCGGGAAGATCACCGATCATTACCTGAACCGTCATGTCTCTCCGCACTTTGAGGGGTCGTCAAAGTTGGCATAAAAGTTAACCATAGGCTGATTCATTACGCCAAACTCCGTCTCTGGAAAGAAATTATACGCAGTCACAATCTGATCTGCAAAAATAATGGCATTCGCGCGTCGCCTTGCCATTCTACCCGGCGGCCTAGGTAGGGATGAAGGGCGACCCGCCTTAAGAGCAACAAAGCTAAAACCACGCCAGGTGGCCTTGGATCAAGCATCGGCCAAAAGCTAAGGCAGCAAGGTGCCCGCCTTGCAATCCTATACGCGCCTTTTGAGGCTGCTCGTCGCGACCAGCTCCTCGAAACAGGATATGGAAGCAGCACGGACTTCGATGACATCCGCACATACGAGTGCGACATCACGTCTCCCGAATCCGTGCAGTCTGCGTTTGACGCACTAGAGAAAGATACAGTGTCACCAAACACCGCATCTCAAACCGAGAGAGCCTTCCCCAGCATTCTGATTAACACGGCTGGATATGTCTCTCTCAGCGATATGGAGATCACGCCACCCGAAGAGACCATGAAACATTTAAGCACCAATATCTTCGGTCCGATGCTTTGTTCGCAGGCTTTTGCCCGTTTGTATTTCGCTGCATCGAAGGCAGCGGAATCTTCGACTACTCCCCCGCCGCCGGGTCGGATCGTCAGTATTTCGTCGCAGGCTGCACATGCTGCTTTGCACCAACACGGTGCGTACTGTGCTTCGAAGGCTGGTTTGCTTGGCTTGACACGGAGTATGGCTTCTGAGTGGGGACCTCGCGGGATTACTTCTAACAGTGTGTCTCCGACCGTGGCTTGGACGGCTCTTGGACAGAAGGCTTGGGGCGAAACGTCTGTGAGGGAGGCATTTTTGAAGAACATTCCGACCGGCAAGTTTGCGTTGCCTGAAGAAGTTGCGGATTCAGTTATTTTTCTTTGTCAGGTAAGGGCTATCTGAAAGTCTTTGTGATTTTCTCTAACTTTGTTCTAGGATTCTAGTGGTATGATCAATGGTGCCGATATTCGGGTTGATGGTGGATTCACGATTCGGTAATTTCGATAACAAACTAGACTAAACTCATTTCCCCTATATCAATAGAAGCGTGTAAGAACATTATAGACTCTACGACGCCACGCTAGAGGGTAAGTTCTATAGAATCAGTAGCAGGCATAAGCATTCTTAGAACGTCACGCATATCAAGGCTCGTATCTCTCTCGCGCGTCTGTTCGGGCTTTTGAATACTTGGACATAGAACAGAGTCGATAATATGACAAACTCCATCACTAGCCAGCCCATTTTGCACTGTGACATTTGCTATCCCGTTGACACTCATTGATATCAAGCCCCCAACCCGCGTAATGTCAACAGATAAATCATGGTCTTCAATGGATGTAGAAAGGACAAACCGCCGCTTGCCTTTGAGCACTCGCCAAATTGGGTCATCTTGGGTCTCCGGTGTAGGTACGGTATGATCTGGTGTTGGACTAGGCTCATGAGCGAATTGCTCAGGTGGAGTATCCGCGTCGTAGCAGCGATTTGAATAAAGTGTTTGCCAATTTCCGACATGATATTCTATCAATCTCTTAAGGTATGGGTCTCCTTCATCGCTGAATATGAGGGTTCGTTCAGCTTCCGAAAGTTTATCAAAGGCGGCATTCGTTGGAATGAATACCGTAAAGCCACCACGGATTTCAGGGTAACCTATCTTTCCAAGATAAAGATCTGATAGTTGAAACGCCTTTTGGAAAAATCCAAATTCTTGTGATGGTAATGCCATGATCAGCTCCTTAATCGATGGTGCAGGAGGAATTGGCTGATCAATGAAGTGAATTAAACCATTCTTGACGTGATAGTCAGATTCAACGATTTTTGAATAGTTGTTGATACGCATTCCCTCCAGGGAAGGACGGAGAGTCACTCTCTGCACTCCATTCAGCTCTGGTGACCACAGTAACGTGTCATCGGTCGGAGCCGTGAGTAGAAAGTAGATGGGTGAAAATCCGGGCGAAATGTGTCTATGAAGGAACTCCTGAAGATCCTTCTTTGGAATATCGCCCCAGAAAGGCTCTGTTGGGTCATTCCTTGGTACCCAAACCGTGGAACAAAACTCTGGGTTCTGTAGGAGCTCCTTTACAGGAGAGCAGGCGTCGACCAACTTCATGAAATTCGAGTTATCTAGCCGCGAGTGCAGACTCTCGTAGATTGTCATATCATTCATCGATGTACCGGAAAGGCAAGTCATAAGGGCATGTTTGTATCCGTGGTACTGATGACCAAGGAAATCTAAGTCATGTTCAGTTGAGGCTGTTGCATCCAGCCAACGCTGAACATTGCAAGTGGAGGCGGCCATGGTTCAGCACTGAGAAAATTGAAATTGTTGAAAATCCTTGAGGGACTGAGAAAAATCGGATAGCGGAGGCTCGGAACTGGAGCTATATAGCCACATTTATTTCAACTGAACGTCAACGGCAAAAAAGCGATAGCATCGGGAGCAGACGGAGTATTCTATGCATCACAAGATACATCTATGGGAAAGCCCGCTCTGACAAATTAGTGCACATGCCTTCTTCCAAAATAGTAGTCAGGGTAAAACCTCTCATTGGTTTCTCGCTCGGACCTCCGTCGCAAGCCCGGCAATCAGCTTTCAAGCCTTGAGATGCCGGCGCTAGCAATGCTTGTTATCTTCATTGATTGCAAAGTCTACCTTATGGGTACGATAAAGAACAAAGACATCATACCATTAATTGATACTCAACTTCAGAATTCTTGATAGGCTCCTAATTTCGTAGCATGCAATGGTACAGCGCGTTTATTGATCTCAAGAAAACCAGATACGGATACCCGTTGAGAACATAGAAGTAGAAGACGAAAGCTTACACACAGGTTTTTCAGGCTGCCTAGTTTGCTTAAGGGCACAAATATCGTGAAATGGTGACAGCTTTGACCAACGAGCACATGGGATCCATCTGCCTTGTTGCTCTGGGCAGGCAACCTAACGCTCCTGAAGTAAGGCTCGCCATGTACAGACGATACCTCGTCGATGAGAGACTTTGAGTTGAAAGTGCTCTAATATTCCAAACTAGCGTCGGACTGTTGAAAATATTGCCGTTAGGATAGAACACTTACTGAACTCAGCAGCTTTGGCAATTCTAGACGTACACAGCTTTTTACTTAATACTACGTACTAGGCCGATTATGTCTTGAAGGGATTCTGAAAATCACTTTGCAAAGGGGAATATGGATGTCGATGGAGGGGACTTTTGGCAAGGAACGGTCAAAGACCATTGAAGGGGGGAATCGGAGCGGTTCACCCTAGCCCACCCCTCGGCTCAGTAAGCAGATCAGATAGTTTTTGGCAGCAGGTCTGGCAGATACCGAATATTCAAAAATGCACGCTCGCAGATCCCTGGATATCTGAACTTCATCTCGAAACTAAAAGGTGGCTGTCACTATGGGCCAGAAAACTCTGCCTTAGTTTCGCCATATTGCAGGGAGCTGTCAAATGCGCCTTGTTTATCACAACACACAACTCTTTTAGTCAAAGATACATACATATACGTAGCACAAGATTCTGCATAGCCCCTTGGTAATGCTGGGGTCATCAAAATAGTAATGGCAGCTATTGATTTGGGATTTACGTCTAGCTTACGGGGTCACGGGGCTAGACCCGCGCGGTCGAGGATTTTGGTGAGCATGACGGCCAAGTCGTATGAAAACTCAAGTCGGAAAACAATATCCATAGTCAATTTCCAATTACCTCAATAAAGGGTCTTCCTGACGTAGAATTGGCCCACATCTGCACTTGCACTGCCTGTCACTGGTCTGGTATGTAGGGGTTCTCGGTCGCTCATATGGCGATCCGCAGCACCGGTGGTATCTAAAACTCATAATTCTCTCTTTGGCGCATTCATTCTCTATTAATGGGTGTGAGGTATCAGATAAAAGGACACTGATATTCAGTGTTCTGTTGATTCCACCATCAACGCAAACATGTCGCACATCGCCCCAATCGCTGCTGTCAAGAATGACAACATTCTGCCAGAAAGGAGAAGGCTGTTGCTTCTTTCCCAGCAAGATTGACCAGCTACCAGTCTAATATAGCTACGAGTTGGTTAATGGTCACAGTTCCTATCACTGCCCTCACCATCATATTTCTTGTGATGGTATTCCGATCTCGAGTGGTTCACGGCGACATCCCCTTCGCAAATCTCCGTGTCCCCACTACAGAAGACAACAAACATGCTATTTACGTCAACTTGAACTCCAGCGCCATCTTGTTTGTCAACTTCCTGGGGCAGCTCTCTTGCCCCAATGCTATCCGGCTTCATTGTGGTTCTGGCTTCTTTTCCTATCGCACGCCTGTTATCGAACAATATTCAAAAAGGTCATATGGATTCTCTGCCCACCCCGTACCAGCTAGGCTTGACTATCAAATACCTTGATGGGAGCGCCCTTGGTTCGATTTGGAGCTGGATAGTATATCTTGTTTCATGGAGGAAAACGCGTCAACCACAAACACCAGTTCTTGTCACTACATCTAGTATTGCTATACTCGCTACGGCCCTGGGGTAAGTAACATGCATGGAAACCTTCAACCCACGAGACTGATCGGTTTGTTTTAGCCTTCTAGTAACTGCTGCGGACACCTGGCTCCACTTTGTCACCACCACAGTACCGTTTACCCAAGTATCGCCTGTTGCCGACCAGATGGGATATAGCTTCGGTTTGATCCCAGAATGTCTATCTACAAATAATTCCGCCGTGGCGCAAAATGAGGCGCAAATACTTTGCAGCATTCAATTTGGACAAGGCAGTTATCTTCGGAATATCGCCACCACACTGCAAATGATTAGCAATGCCTCTTCTGACGCAACTGTTTACACGCATACAGACCTCAATGGAAAGCCATACGCCTACTTTGGCGTCCCATCCGACAATCTCGCTGCCGAGCACGACTTCACCGCGCATACATACGGTGTTCATACTTCATGCTTTCCTATTTCGCAACGCTGTCATCTCCACAATTTAGCTTTAACAGTCGTCTATAACTGCTCTTCTGCATTTAATGGGTTCATACTGGACCCTAGCGTACATTCAGCATTTTTCACGGATGAAAGCATCCAAATGTCTACCGCACCCTCTGCTGGCAACGAATACATAGCCACAGGAACAAACAACCCTTATTAATTTTCATTGGCCTTATTGGAAGGCCAGTGGGACAACATACCACCAGGTGGCGATTTGAATCCAAACTTCTTACGTAGCCTACACGGCGGTATCGCCTTCGTCCTCGGGTGCAAAAGCACAGTATACGATGTTGAGTATGATCGGGTGAATGGAAGCATAACACGCTTTGACACTCGGCCGAGCAATACTTCCGTCAGTAACATATGGCAAGCAACCATATCAAATTACGGAACAGACTGGACTTTACCCGTGAAGCAGGCCATGACAGATGCATTATTTATGACCAACACCAGTCGCGCATTTGCGGATATGATTGCCCTCTCTTTCAGCAAGGCCAGCATGGCTATGGGGACACAGGGAATTGAACCAAGACTGGCTTTAGCTTTGCAAAGGCAAATTACGACACTAGTTGCAAGTATTCCCATGGCCCCCTTAATTGCATTTGTGGTTGTTTCTTTGCTTTTTGTTGTGACTAGCATGCTGCTTACCGTGTTGGCGATTTGGGCGTCAAAGCTTGAACAGGTCCGTTATATTCAAGCAAGCCTTGGAACTGTTGGATTAGTAGCAGATCGGTTTGAGAACAACAGTCTCAAACGGGATGCTGCCAGCGTCGAGGGGTTTTTCGCGGAATATGTCAGCAAGACGAGTCGACGAGTTGCAATAGAGACAGACAAAGAGTCGGGTTATATATATACACAACCTGGCAAGACACAGATGTATCGAATTCTGGCAGTCATCTTCTCCGCTGATAGGTTTCTATCGGGTGATGTCATGCTGTGGATTTTTGTAATTTGCTCAGTCTCACCCGGCTCGGTGCATAGGTGTCCAAAATATTTGATAGTGTGAAAGGTTGATGGTTATAATGGTCGCCTGACTCATGAGATACCAATGAAGAGTACATTCAGGGGTACATTCAGGGGTACTTTTAGTTGATAATATGAAAGGATATCAGAGATTTGAGAACAGCCAGGTGGGTTTGAGACTGCTAAATTATATTATAATCCTGAATAGTTGAATGTTCGCCATTGAAATAAAGTTGGAGGTATGTTAGTTCATGCCAACTAGCAGGAAGAAAAGAACTACTTTTTACTCTTAACACATTGGAATTAAGCACACCACACTAACTGTGAATGATCCATGGACGTCTTCGATTAATACATGGTACCTTCTCCTCTGCCGGAGTTGCTTATGTAAGCTTGAATTAATTCACTTCGCGAACTATAGAGATGGTAAAAAAAGAAATTGGTAAGTTTTTCCCGCTGCACTATGAGGTAGTACCCGGCTAAGTAGACTAGGACTGATAGAGCTTTAGTGCTCATGTTCAAATGCCGAAGTTCAGAATTCAGCCGTGATTAAAGGGGCGATGATGGACCTAAACGAAAACGAACCGACCACTTTCCTGATCAAGTTAATCCCGAAACCCGATCTCCCGAAGTGCTGCAGTGTTGCATCGTGAGAACCAAGCATTTGGCCCCGCGTTTGAGGGATTTGAGGCAACCCGCGTGCACTAAATGCTGACACCCCTCTTTGATTGGGGGCGACCTCATATCCCGTACCTGAAATGTTCAAACTCATGACTCCAAGGTTACAACGGCTGATGCGTATAAAGAGTCCCTGATTCCTATAGCTTGACACCAGCCATTCAAAATCATTCTTCCGGGTCAAACACAAGGCACTCGAGACTTTGTCAAGATGCGCACTATTGTGTCCCTACTCAGCTTGGCTGCTGCTAGCTACGCCTTGGAAAAGAGAGCCTCGGCATCGGCTTACAGCTCCAACTCCGCTGGAAACTATAAACTCTCCTCAATTGCCGCACCTGTCCAAGGAGCAGGGGACCCCGGCTCAAGCTCGACATGGAAGCTCAGCATCGATGACACGAGCTCAGGGCACAAGCAAACGATCGTGGGCTTTGGTGGAGCTGTGACTGATGCGACTGTCACGTCTTTCAACACACTGTCCAGCTCAAACCTCCAAGCTCTTCTCAACGATCTCATGACAGACTCTGGTGCCAACTTTGCTTTGATGAGACACACTATTGGTGCTTCTGATCTGTCTGGAGACCCAGCCTACACCTACGATGACAATGGTGGGTCTGCAGACACATCACTCTCAGGGTTCAATCTCGGAGACCGTGGAACAGCCATGGCCAAAATGCTAGCCTCCATGAAATCTATCCAGTCGGCTTTAACTATCTTTGGATCGCCGTGGAGTGCGCCTGGATGGATGAAGATGAACGGTGTCATCGATGGGACCACAACGAACAACAACTTGAATGATGGATACTTGAACGGGGGAAGCGCGAACTCGGGGTATGCTAGTCAATTTGCGGACTACTTCGTCAAGTATATTCAGGCCTACAAGAGTCTCGACGTATCCATTGACGCCATCACCATTCAAAATGAGCCCTTGAATAGCCAGTCCGGATATCCCACGATGTATGTCTATGCGGAGGAGTCCGCGGAGCTGATCCAGAACTACATTGGCCCTGCTCTTGCTGATGCTGGCCTTGACACGGCCGTCTGGGCCTACGACCACAACACGGGTAATTCCATAGCTTTCTTCAAACAAGTCTCCATACTAACTTAAAAAAGATGTCCCCAGTTATCCTCAGACAGTCATTGACGGTGCCGGCAAGTATGTCGACTCGGTCGCCTGGCATTGCTACGCGACCGATGTAGACTGGACAGTCCTCACCACATTTCACGAGAGCAACCCAGACGTCAACCAATACATGACCGAATGCTGGACCCCGTCTACCGGTTCGTGGAACCAAGCTGCCGATTTCACGATGGGGCCCCTACAGAATTGGGCTTCTGGCGTGACAGCATGGACGCTCGGCACCAACTCTGCCGATGGTCCGCATCTGTCCAGCGGTGGATGCGGCACTTGTACTGGTCTCGTCACTATCAATGGTGATGGAAGCTATACCTTTGAGACGGCATACTATATGATCGCTCAGTTCAGTAAATTCATTCCTGTTGGCGCTATCGTGTTGAGTGGAACAGGAAGCTACACTTACTCGAATGGCGGGGGTGTGCAGTCCGTGGCCTCACTGAACCCCGATGGGACACGGTCTGTTGTTATTGAGAATACTTTTGATAACGATGTTTACGTGACTCTCAGTACCGAGAGCGGCGAGGAGTGGTCAGGTGACATTCCGAGTGAGTCTGTCACCACTTGGGTGCTTCCCGCTTCGTCTTAGGCTACTTGTCATCTGTGGAGGACTTTTCTGTATATATTATAGTCAAGCCTGAGTATTTCAGCTCGTGCTGGTCGAAAATATATGACTAATTATCCACATGGTGACTTCGTAAGCGGGCAATTGCGGAATCTGACCGCCATCAACTCATCAACGCTTCCAAAGGCAACTCGCGTAAAATGTCTAGTGCTGGCCACAGATGTTCTATCTGCAGGCAGGATTTCTCCAGTCGTAGCCATCGCAAACGACATGAGGCATCATCACGTAAGTGGGGAAAGATATACTGAATCCAAGCGTGAAACTGACCCTCTATCTAGACAACCCACAAACACAAGTGACGTGCGAGTTTTGCGGGCGCAAATATTCCAGACAGTACGATATGACGCCTGAGATTACTATTGGAATATTAATAGCATTTTCATTAGAGACGCACTCCGGCGCCATTACAAGAGCTGCACCATTGGGCAGCAGCCTTTGCCCAAGAAAGCCGGACGCCATCGAAAATCATGTGACACCTGCGCAAAAAACAGAAGCACTTGCAATGCCAGTGACCCTTGCTCTTCCTGTGAGAGTCAAGGTGTTGATTGCACTTATCAGCGTCTTGACGGTCACACAGATGAGCCACTCGGAGCCGTAGCCGCTAAACCCAATACTCGGGTGTCAACGAGAAGTCAACACAGACGAGCGACAGCTACATCGGATCAAAGGCGACAGGGCCAATTGTCAGTTCCATTTTTGCTTAATTACTCTGCACCAAGTAATCAAAGGAATCCCGGTGAAGTCAATCAGGCGCTTTCTTTGCTGTCGACCACAGAGTCGAATGAACCAGAGCTGGACTCTGCACTCCCAAGTCTGGAAGTGGAGGCTGAAAGAAGTGATCTCTTCGTTGAGGATTCTTGGGCGCTTTTCTTTAGGCCTATCACACAAGAGAGACAGTGTCGAATCTCACCGCCGCCGGAAGGGCTCGATGAACCGGAACAACGACAGTTGGCTGCTGACAAAATGATCGATTGCCTGTCCAGAATATACGCCTCACACAGCCATGTTTCCGAAGGGTTCGATGTCAACCGTGAGCGCGCATTTTTCAACGAGAGAAATGTTGGCGATTTCATCAATGCCTATTTTGACCATACAGTTCGCCCTCGATCTCGCATCGTCTTGAAATCCTCGTTCAATCTGGAAACTACCTCGACACCCCTTCTTCTCGCCATCTTCTTGTTGGGCGCAAATTGTGGGCTTTCTGATCATGCAAAGTCAGAAGCTACAATTTATGTTGACGTGGCGGAACAAGTTGTTTTTGAAGATTCTAATTTTCTTCGACTCGTATACAACCAGCAATCACGGGATAGTGACAGCTTGGATGAGATTGAGATTGAAAGCATACAAGCGGCGATTCTTATTATTCTTATTCAGCTGGCTAGCCCCAAGGCAGATGCCCGGCGGAGGGTGCGAATACAACGGTATCCAGCCCTGGTGTCTATTGCTCGGGCAATATCCATGACACAAATCAAGAATCAATGGCACTGCTCAAATACACCCTTGAGTCATGCAAAATTTATAAAAAATGAGACTTGTATCAGGTACATTCTGTTTTAAATACACGCCTCTTTCACAGTGCTAATGACATACAGATTGATGGCCTCAATCACTATGCTTGACTGCCACAATATCATGTTTCTCAATACCCCTCCCCAATTCACGGCATCGGAGTTTGGATTTGATCTGCCAGCTGAGGAAAGGGGTATTGATATTCGGGACAGTGCTACATGGGAGACATGGGCATTAAGCGAACGGAAATATCAACGACCCCCACCTCTGAAAACATTTGTACAGGAACTGCTATCCGATGACTGGCCAGGACTTGATGACCCGAGATACAGCAATCTCAACGTATTTGCTCTTTTTATTGTTGTCTCCGGTAAGCATTCGATGACAAACCCTTTTCCTCGGAGTAAAAAGCTAAAGAATGTTTTAACCAAAGCATTCCAACCAATAATATTCGGGCTAAGATCAAGTCTTTGCGACATGTCCGACGCCACTCGCCAACTCGAAAGGGCGCTCTCTAGGTGGATGAGTCTGTGGGAACGACTCAAATCCCGATTAAGCCAGCAAGAGATTTACCGAGCGGGAATCACCTACCACGCGTCTGATCTATGCGTCTTTGCAAAATTAGTACTACAGAAACCATTATCCGAGACGGGCGAAGTTGCAAAGGATTCAATGGCTCAAATCCATCAACTTCTGAAGGGGCCTTCAAAATGAAAACTTCTCCAAAGTTCTACTTTGATTGTACGATATCCAAATATTGAGCTTACATGTTACCTATTAGACATCATTATGTCCAGGCTTGTACAAAGCCAATCCCAAAGATGCACTCATAGAACAAACCAAAACGACCCACGATGCTCTTCCACTCTGCTTCTTCCCCAATAGACAGCCCGTATCCCAAATCAATTGCTTCAGTCCATTGAACGCATGGTATGTGAAGGGAATTGAGATCCCAAACTTGACACCGGTCTTCACCGCAGACGGTAACGCCACAAATGCGTCGACTATAGTTGTCGAGTAGAGGTTGATACCCAGCGTCGGGGACAGTAGGTACAGCGTTCCAAAAGCGTAGAGACCTCCTGAGAGTACGATTCCGGTTATTCGGTGGAGTATTGATGCTGAGGAAACAAACTGCCATTTGTATATGCTAAGGTGGGGGGAAACCGGTCGGTTCAAGCGTTGTGCAGCGAGGTGATCACGGGGGGACTCGGTGGGTATGTTTTGAGTTGAGAGGCTTCTTTGAATAATTTTTTAGAGGGTAAAATGGAGGGGTTTATCATTGACCTACTGGAATTTGACTCCGTTGCCTCTGAAGAGTCGGGTTGTTTTTAACGTGTGGCGCGACGCACGTAAAAACATCTTGAACTAGCAGTTCTTAGATTAGAAACAAACGTAATATTCGCTTCGAAGTATCACTTACGTCCAAGAAACTGGGGAATTTTTCAGAAACTGGCCTTTGGTTCATGGTAGAACACCGAGCCAGGAATCAAAATGACTGTTTATACTGACTGGAGAATACCCACAAGTGGGTATTTTCCGATCAGCGGCCCCACAAAATATGGCAGGCCTTCAAGGTCCACCTCTCCTTTGAGTACCATTTTTTATTTGGATTACGACTTGATCAGAATTCCATGATTTTAAGCTTCATCGCTCAGGAGTGATTCAGTTGTTTCAAAGCTTTCGCTTGGAAGTTTTTATTTTAAGTTGGTGTTTCGGGAAGGCTTTATCTGACTCTTGCATAAGTTATTTTCTGCAATATTTGGTCATGCCTACCTAGGCTCATGAGCCTGGAACCGGCGGTTGATTGAAGCGTGACTTTGCATATTCTGAGGTTCATTTGCGCAGGTGGTTACTATATATCGCCACAGGCCTACGCCCATACAGAGTCCGCCCGGCTTGCTTGTATATACCTGGAGGATCAGAAGAGATTTAAGATTGTAAAAACTGGAACGGGGTGTTTCGACTGCCTATTTATCTATATTTGATTCTGGTTTTCGAGATGAGAAGCTTTTTTATCAATTTCTGAAGGTTTCCAGTGCTTCCATACGAATATTTTGATCCCTCATTGTTGATGACGGAAGCGCGGATCATTCATGGCCGGATGCCAGGTCTCACAGACTCCATGGGCGACAACTTGCGAATCGAGACAAAATGATGGTGTATTTCCAGCTCAAGGCGAGGAGCAAGGTAATTAGCTATGCTGAAATCTAGCCCTTAAGCAACCTTAGAAAAATTCAAGTTGAACTCTGCCTACTTGATCTCGAGGCTATGAGATTGGGGCTGATCAGAGTATTTTCATTTCTTGGTGGATGTGAGTGTGTGAGATTTTTTGTTATCCCATTGCAGGTGCTTACATGACTGCCTGACGACGTTTCTAAAGTGTGGCGGTTTTTTTTGACAGCTTTTTGAAATCGTGAATGATAAGTCCTGCCAATAACCGATGTTAGAATTTCAGTCATGGTCGAAGTATCAATTGTCCTTGCAAGCACGTGAGCTCTGGGGTTTGCCCAAATAGGCAAATTGAGACCCTAGGTAGCCGAATGATCAAGAACGGCAAGCTGGCGAAAAGATTTCGCACCACTAATTGTTGCGAAGCCTTGCAGTGGGATTTATACTCTATGTTCTTGACATTGGAACCATGGATTGATGTTGCGATAGACCTGATCTATAGCATTTTTCATCATGTGACCTGTTGCCGCCTGGCAAAATTACATCACGACAAATCGCACGCCATTCGATCTCCCGGAATTGAGGCAAGAACAGGACCCGCCACAGCTGCACTCCAGATGACACCATCACAGATCATTATGTGCTTTACAAGTTCCATTAAGCTTCTCGAAAAGTGCTAACATCATCATTAGGCAATGATGCCAGACCCTGATAAACGGGACTGCCGACGTGGATTAATCAGCCCCGGATCTGGGAAGAACCGGAGTTTGGAAAGCTTTCTACGAGCTTCCGAGCTCCGCGGGAATGATTGCTCAGCACTAAGCACCCTCTCTAACCAGATTCGAGGTTACTGCTTGATTATTAAAGCATAATGGGGTGGAAAACCGGGCATGGTCCTCCAGACTTGCCTCATTTGAGTAGGTACGGGAGACTACAGCGACCAAAGATGCCGAGAATGTGAGCACGCAATCACGCCATTTCAGGCACCCAGGCATCAATAAGCACGCCATCGAATTTTCAAGGACCCACTCGAGACCCCGATGTCGTGCTCAAATGAAAGGACGGCTAGGGAAATCGGAAGTATGCCAGGCACGAAAAATCACATCATTGCCTCTACAGCCTATATTATTCGGAGCCTGACCTTTGTTCCTCTTCCCATCATCATCCCCATATCCATTTTCGGTGCTTCAATTCCCTGTTGTGTACAGTTAAACACCTTACCCTAGGCGTTTATACATCTATTTCTCTTACACATTACTCTTTGTGCACGCCTTGAAAATGCCGGCCAAGATGCCTGTCCAGTACCCATCTGATGGAGAGGGCATTGACTCTCGAGACAATATGACCGAGTCTGGCTATGTCAGTGGAGGCTCCTCTAGTGAAGAATACATCCCAGAGATTGTCTTCACCAAGCCTCATCTTCAGTTTTTGAACCGCCAGTTGCAGTTCCTCGAGCCTCAAGGTATGCTATCCGTGAAACCCCGCTATAGCAAAGGTTTCCATGTATGGTTTCTGACTCTTACCCCTCAATAGATATCTTGAGATGGTGCATTACATCACTCCCTCATCTCTTCCAGACTACTGCCTTTGGTCTTACTGGCCTGGTCACCCTGGACATGTTGTCCAAATTGGATGTTCCCCGCCCCCAGATGGTGGATCTTATCTTCCTCGATACGCTGCACCACTTCTCCGAGACCCTTAATCTGGTCGACCGGGTCCGCAAGCGTTACCCGTTGAACAATGTCCACGTGTATAAGCCTGCTGGTGCCGAGACTGCTGCCGAGTTCGAATCTAAGTATGGCTCCCGTCTGTGGGAGGTTGATGACCAGCTCTACGACTGGGTTGCCAAGGTTGAGCCTGCCCAGCGTGCCTACCGTGAATTGAATGTCCACGCCGTCCTCACCGGTCGCCGTCGCAGCCAGGGTGGCAAGCGTGGTGACCTCGACGTCATTGAAGTTGACGAGGCTGGCCTTATCAAGATCAACCCCATGGCCAACTGGTCCTTTGACCAGGTCAAGCAATATGCCCGGGACAACAATGTTCCCTACAACGAGCTCCTTGACCGTGGCTACAAGAGTGTCGGTGACTGGCACTCCACCCAGCCCGTTGCCGAGAACGAGGATGAACGCTCTGGTCGCTGGAAGGGTCAGCAGAAGACCGAGTGTGGTATCCACAACCCCCGTTCCAAGTATGCTCAGTATTTGATGGAGATGGAGCGCAAGCGCCAAGAGGAAGCTTTGACATCTGCATTGCACGCTCAGCTTTCTGCAGCTCAATGATCCCGTCGCTCTTGTTCCTTGCATCCTCCATCGCATACCTCATGGCGTTTTAATGATACCTCGGCTTTCTTTATTTTTCATCCTCGTTTGAGCGGTGCGAACCGGCTCTTTTAAGACCGACGCACATCCATGATTTTATATGTTATCGGGATTTTATTCCCAAAAAGACAAAACAGCCCACTCCCCCGTTTGTAAATAGGGAGTTTGGTTTCCGCTCGCGGCCCTTATTGGGACCGTTGAGACATGATAATGACCTTCGCATGACTAGAGACAAAAGCATAACTTGTGTCCTGAATAAATATTCACTTATTCTAAAAACCATAATAATTTTACGTAGTTCTGAACATTAAAAGTCTTTTTTAATTTTTCTTTTTCATCGAGCGTCTATCAATGTGTCGTTGGGAGGGGTCTCACGTGCAGCCCGCCAACCCTAAGTTGGATCCCATGAACTGCTGCAAGGGCGTTATCAGTACGTTCATTCAGTCAATCAATCGGGCTTTCGAAACGCGATGATCATTTCAATGTCTGACAGCATATTGACCAAAAGCGGGGCTCTACTCACCTCCATTTGCAGTGTAGAATCATTCTACTGAATGAATGATCCAAATCGAATAACTTCGAACTCCCATTTCTCAATCTACATAGTCAGATTTTGGTTGTTTTCTGGCAAGGTATATGCATTGAAAATATTAAGGCTTCCAGTTATTTTACATCTACTCACCTCTAGAATGCTTAATAAATCTTCTACTTGGACTTTTCATTGTGATCGACGACCCAATTTGCCCATACACAAGATGCCGATACTGACATGGAGTCCAACAAGTCGTTCTCCTGGTCAGCAAGTAGCGTTTCTCATCGCGCAGTTAATATTTCTATCGACGTATCACTCATGCTAATATTTTCTTTCAATGAGTACTTTTGACAGTTTGATTAGAAGTGACGCAAGCCGGTGCGGAACCCCCACCAACTGGCCACGTGACGGGCCAGGATCGGCAATGTTTTCTCGAGAAAAGCGATCGTTGGTTCCCAGCTTAAGTCCCATCCAGTCCAACTTCTCCAAAGTCCCAGTGAAAGGCCATGGCTGACCAAATCACCTCCCGCCAGCGGCCCTCGCTAGGCCAAATGCGCAGCAGCTCATTCCTCCAAGACCACCAACAATATAAGCCCCCGCTCTCCGTCAGCCAGAATATCGGCGAAGTCCTAGGCTCCCAACTCAGCGAGGTCTCAATCAACCCTATTAGCCCAGACCCCGAACGGGTCCACGACAGCGGTGTCACCCATAGTATATTCAACCACCAGGCTAACCCCCTCGAGACGGGCACCCCGCGCATCGTCGCAACAATCTTCTACAAATCCTCAAAACCCGTTCACCCTCACTTTCACCCCGATTCCTCGCCCAACCCAGCTGCGGGCGAGCAGCTGCCTTTACCTCATGTTCCTGAAGGCTCCGCCCCCACAGAAGACATGGACAAGTTCCCCCGCGAACCGCCTGCTCCGGAACCGGAACCACTGGATCACATCTACGGACCTTACGTGTCGCAGTTGTGTTTGACCAACTTCCTGCAGGTTCTTGAGTCTCTGCCAACGCCTTACCAGCGTATGAACACCTCACACCGCTGCCTGGACCGTGACGCTCAACCCCGCATTGTGGAGGTCACATTCTCCCCCCTCCGGACCCCAAATACCTCTCTTTTGAGGACTTGCGCAAGCACGAGAGCATCTGGCGCTTTGAGCGCGAGTGGAATGTCGAGGTTGTACTGCAGCAGGAGAGTGTCTTCCGCCGACACAAGCGGTTGGCTGTGTTTGACATGGACAGCACCCTTATCGAGAACGAGGTTATCGACGAGATTGCCAAGTTCATTGGAGTTGAGAAGGAGGTTTCTGTATGTTGAATTGATCTGTCATATTTCAAGCTGTTAGAAAAACTAATTGTGTTAGGAAATCACCGAGCGCGCGATGAACGGCGAACTGGACTTCGCGGCATCGCTCAAGGAGCGCGTCAGCCTTCTCAAGGGAGTACCTGCTGACGTCTTCGAGAAGCTCAAATCAGTCATCACCATTGCAAAGGGCGCCCGCGAGCTTTGCGCCGCTTTGAAGATGATGGGATACAAGATGGCCGTTCTGAGCGGTGGCTTCCAACCTCTCGCAGAGTGGTTAGCCGAACAGCTTGGACTGGACTATGCGGTCGCCAATCACGTAATACTCCCCAAAAAACACTACTGTCCTGCTAATGGATCGCTGAACTAATTCTCTATTTAGCTTGAAATCGACACTGAAACTCAGACCCTGACCGGCAAACTGGTCGAGTCGAAGCCCATCATTGATGCTGCCCAGAAGCGCAGTCTCCTCAAATCCATCGCCGCCGAGAACAACATTCCCATTTCCCAGACACTGGCTGTCGGTGATGGTGCCAATGATCTTCTCATGCTTCACGAGGCTGGCCTTGGTGTCGCCTGGCGCGCCAAGTCCAAGGTCCAGCTCGAGGCTCCAACCCGCATTAACGGAGAGAGCTTGGTCGACATTCTCCACCTGTTCGGTCTGGAGAAGGAGGACATACTGGAGCTCACCGGTGCCAAGGCCCAATAGTGGCATAGGCTATATGTGAGCGCCGTCTTTTCCCAGGTGGATCTATTTACGTCTTGGAACGCAATACCCATTTTATGTCCGCTTTTTTATTTGATGCGATACCGGTGACGACAGCTTACACGAGCTACCTGTTTCCGCATCTGTTGATACTCATTTCCCTTTTCATTTGAACAGCTTCGAGTTACCCTGGAGTCAGAGGAAGAGGAGTAGGATCGAGGGGAGAGCCTCGTGCAGTGCGGTATATAGCTGGTGTAGCTGTATCTTTGCTATTTCCTTGAACGTAGATGGTATAGTTGAACTGAAGACTCGTCCGGACGTACAGCTTACTTTTAGCTTCACGACCGATACGTAGTCGAATGAGAAATGCACACGTTGAAAGAATACCTTGGAAACTAGAAATTTGGTTTATGTAATTGCTTCTAAGAAACTCCATGAGAACGCCTAGAATATAGATAAGGTAGGAACCGTTGATGGTGATACAAGACAATGTTGAAATGGATTGTCGAAAACAGTGAATGAATTCCCAACCCCAAACCGAAGCCAAACCAGATGCAATCTCGGCGCCGAGTGAATGGTGCATGAGCCGCGCGCAATACCAAAGAGCGGTCATAAACCATGCATATTATTTTTTGAGATAAAAGAATGGACAAGAACCGGACCTAGCGGGTTGCCTCGCCAGTCTGGATAACAGGCTGCTCGACAGTCTGTTCAGTGGCTCCAGCTCCACCACGACGCTTCTTCAGGACATTCTCAATGAACGCCTCGCCGGCCTTGTAACTGCTGCGAACCAAAGGTCCAGAAGCACAGTATAGGAAACCCATATCAAGCGCACGCTGGCGCCAAGCCTCAAATCGATCAGGAGTGACATACTCATGAACAGCCATATGACGCTTGGTAGGACGCATGTACTGACCAAAGGTGACAACGTCAACATCAACAGCACGCAACTGGCGCAGCGCATCCCAAAGCTGCTCATCCGTCTCACCAAGACCCAGCATAAGACTTGTCTTCGTGATAAGATCAGGCTTCGCCTCCTTAGCAGCCTTCAAAACCCGAATCGACTGCTGGAAAGTAGCGCGACGATCACGCACAAAAGGAGTCAAAGCCTCAACGGTCTCAACATTGTGCGCATAAACGTCTAATCCACTCCGCGCAACCACCTGCGCCATCTCGAGATCTCCACGATAATCACCAGTCAAACACTCGACCAGGATGTTCGGAGCCTTGGACTTGATCTTGATGACGGTCTCGGCGAAGTGGTGCGCACCTCCATCAGCAAGATCGTCACGGTCAACACTAGTCAAAACCACATATCCAAGTCCCCATCGTGAGATAGCCTCAGCTGTGTTCTCCGGCTCGTGCGGGTCGAGTGCTGCGGGTGTACGACTAGTTTTCACACTGCAGAACCGGCATCCGCGTGTACAAGTATCGCCCATAAGCATGATAGTAGCGGTAGCAGCAGCCTTATCGCCTCCACCCCAGCAATCGGAAATGTTAGGGCATCGAGCCTCCTCGCAAACAGTGTGCAGGTTCAATCCACGGAGATCCTTCTTCAAGCGCTGGTAGTTCTTCGAGTCCGGGATAGGAGTCTTAAGCCATTCGGGGAGCCGAGTCATTTCCTTCTTGCGACCAGCTGGGCCGACCATGGCTGTCTTGAGAGCGTAGGCTTCTGCGGGATCGAGAACTTCCTCTGCATCGCCCGAGACGAAATCGGAGAAGGAGGGGCCGGCATTAAGTTTGTCTTGAAAGGAGGTCTTTCGCCGACGGGTGATCCCCGGTGTGTTAGTGGCGGAGCCGCTGTCGGTCGTGGCATAGGTGCGGTAGTGGAGGGGGGAGAGGGTTGACGGGGCAGATAAAAGGGATGTCCTTACGGACGATAGGCGCCGTAGGCTTCGTGCTGGTGCGGCCATTATGGTGTGTATGTGAGGTGTTGAGGTTCTGATCCGCAATCTGCAGAGAAAGATAGCTGGGCTTTCCCGCGGGATTCTCGGATGAGTCAGCAGTGGAGATGGTGGCGGCTCAATCATCCAAGGTGCTTCCCGAAGTCCCGTCCGTCACCGATGTATGTTTATGGCGAGTGTAGTGTTTGATTTAGCTAATTAGAGAAAGCGAGGGTTATAGCAATGGCTATTATGATTATGCTTTACTATAGTACTTTGCTACTAATTGTACATGTGACACAAGCTCAAGAACAATTCGAAGGGAACGAATCGCGATGACAGGGTATGAAGATGACGGGAAAGAAAAAATCGGTGGTCGGGTAAGTGATGAAGAGATAATTGTTGCTCAGAATGAAAGAGAGCCATGCTGGATAGAGACGATTGAGGAAATGGGAAATGGAAACCAAAGAGAGGAGGTTTATAGAGACACAAGGAAATTGTGAAAGATAGGGAAAGAGGGAAGCTTAGGGGGCATTCACTTCCAACACCTGGGCAAGAACTTCAATCGCAGATTTAAGCACTTCATCAGATCGACCACAAATCGCGAAGAGCAAGTTGTCGATGATCGCCTCGACTTGCCGACGCAGTTCTGAGCTGCGGGACCCAAGGACTCGGTCTTTGGTACGGCCGGGGGACCCGGATGGGAGCTGAATGCCCAGTGTGCTGTATGCTTTGGTGGGGATGGCATCTATGCCATATGTGTCATTTCGCGCCAGTAAAGAAGGTTTGTGGCGGTGAATTGTAGATAGGGAAAGGAGATAGTTGCGGGCGATGAGAGCTGCGCAGAGACAATCTAGCAGATTCTCGGTGACTTCAGGGAATATTGTTCGGAATGGACGAAGGAAATTCTTGTCATCGCTCTTTCGTACATGGAGGATTGCAGGTGATGTGAGTCGAAGCATGTGGCGAGGAAAGTCTTTAACAGAATGTTCAAGTTCGTCAAGGGTCCACTGATGATCATCCAAGGTCCACTCATGGTCAGCATCATCCCACGGGGTTGCTTCGTCGGATTCTTCTTTGACAGACTTGGTAGACCTGCGGTTTGGAGAATTGTCTGGTTGTGGCGTTGCTTCTGGGCTTAGACTCCCCGACCGGATTTCTGGCTGGGGAAAAGTGTCGCGCTCTCCCTGCGCGGTGCCAGGTCGTTCGCCGATCACAGTAGATGTGACGCTGTCCGAGGTTAATGACCCTGGATCAGTGTACACATCGTCATCTTTGCCATCTTCGTATGTATCCAGGGAGTAACCTGACTCCCGCGTGCCATAACCACTATCCGACATGTCCAGGGGGTTTTCAAGTGGTGTATCAGGACTGAAAGCAGATACTTCCTCTTGCCGCTGGTCCGGAGTCATTGGCACAGGGTGTGGTAGTAAAGATTGCGGAGGTGGCATTGGAGAGGACTGCCGAGCAATATCAACCAATCTTGGTTTGTTTTTAGGCTTGCTTGCAACAGCGAATCTCTGCAGAAATATTAGAATGGCTGGAGATTCATCAGCTACAGTGTGGGATATTTCATCACTTACCAGTGGTTCATCGAGAGACTTCATCCCCGGGATGAACTCAATCTTCGGCATTGGAAGTGGTGGATCTTGTTCGACAATTTGGACCTTTCTACGGTTGGATTCTCTGATGTTCTCATCCTTTCCAGAAATCGGATCAAAAGGCACGCCCTTCAGCCATGTCTCGCAATACGCCAGGTTACTGGGTATCCAACTAGCTTCGCTTGAGACAGTGGCGGTCCTCGGCCTTTGGGGTCTCGGCGAACTGCCTGGAACATGACTAGAAGTGGGCGCTGAAGGTGAAGTGATAGGACTTGAAAGCCCATCATGGCTCGTGGTGGCTTTTCTTGACTCATTGCCTTCACACTGCCGGATGAGATTCGAATGTGCTTCGTGGACACTAGTCACTTCCGTCCACCTTTGTTCTTGGGGTTGTTCGTGGGGCTCTTCGTTCCAGTCAGACGGGCGATAGGCTTGATAGTTAATCCTTTCTGCGTCACTGTCCTCCAATTCTCCACTCAATCCAATCGACTCCTCTAGTTCAGGCAAGCTTGGCTCTTTTCGTAGATCCTCATTTATGATGTCCGCCTCTTTCGGTTCGTCTTTGCACTCAAAATATGAGGTATTAGCCCCCGCACTGCCAGCTCTGGATTCTGATATCGGGGGACTGGGCAGAAGGCCAAAAGCAGACATGCTAGCAGACCCCAAATTTTGATCGGAGCGCCATGTTCGCAGGGTATGGCCGCCTGGTAGCTTAGATTCCCTGGTGGATTTGGGGCGGAATGTCGGCGCGCTGTCGCATGACGCTGGTGACGACGGGAGCATCAGCTGGAAAGGTTCCTTCATTCTGCGTACCGAGCGAAAAGGTGAGATAATGGGTGGCCCTCTACTCGCGGGCCGCCGGCATAGAGAGGTAGTTGAGGAATCATGAACCTCCGAACGAGGCAATGTAGGTGACGGCACGAATGACAATGTCGGAAATTGTCTGCTCCTCCTTCGGGGCTGATATGTAGGAGACCATCGGCGTGGCGAGGGGATGGGGTCAGGAATTGCCATGGCATCGTGGCTCGGCGCGGATGAATATGACTCTTGGTTGTTTATGTGAGTTTGAATCGGGGCCGGGAAGCATGCGTTGTTGGGCCTTTTAGTAATACCGCAGTCCATGGTAGGCATACTGCGCCTTTCAGATGAGGCTGTTCTAGTCCCAGCTCAAATGCTGAAAAAGCAACATGCGGTCGCACAAGAGTTACCTGGATGAGAATGAAATGCAGTCGTGGAAGCACTGGAACCTCCGCACGATGCAGGGGCACAATATGGACTTATACAGTCAGAGTGACGCTAATTTTGACTTTCAAGGACGATAGGGTCACCAGGTATACAAGGTAGAACATCCCTTGACAAGGAACTCAACACCCTGCCATGAAGAAACTCGAGTATGTTCAGATGAGGATTCGCCCCTTCAAGGATTCTGGGTTTCTTTCCACGAAGTGAGCTCAGCTCTTGAGGCACGGGCCATCATAATAATAGCTGAGAATGAGAGTCAAATTGTCCTTGCATGCCCGAGAAAGGTGAGATCTAAGCAGGCGGTGGGGGATGATTGGCCCTAGATTGCTATTGATGGTCTGCAGCACGCTGTCAACGTGGATAGACCCTTTGCGGGTCGCCTATAATCGTCATAGTTCGGGACGAAGAATGAGACAAATGGGATGCAAAAGGGGGATTAGCGAATCACAGCCCTTGAGAAGGGCAATAAGATCGACCACAGGGTGTGTTGCACTGTACCCGAGCGGGTCTTCATTGGCTGCAGTGTCTCGTTGCAATAGCAATGGGGGAGCCCCCTTCATGGGGTTGCCATCCCTTGCATCGGAGTCACCCATGCCTGACCAGACTCTGAAACTTGGGATATAAATGATAACATGCTTCGTCATGGCGTGCATAAGTGCCATTTTCTTTTTCTTCCCAACTGTGTTAGCGGCTCTGAGCATACCATGTAAAATGCCACGGATTATCATTGACAAATTCGATAGATCATCATAATGATTCCTCTAAATTTCTGCTGGCCACTCCAATTTCGCGGATCCCGTCGACATTCCCGGGGATTGACAGGTCCCATTCAAAGCCCCGCTTATCCCCAAACATGGCTGAAGTAGATGATAGATGTCAGTTCGACGGTCCTATGAAATTAGCCGAATTAAAGTAAACGCGAACACGGGTTAGATCTGATCGAATGAGGAGAAGATTTAGGATTGATCACATCTTCATACTGTAGTTGCATTTCCTGGTAGGCGGTGGGGCCACAAACAGTGCAAACTGCCTTATCGATTGGACTTATCGCGTAGCTTTTTTTTTTCTTTCGGCTGCGAGGAATGATCTTCTCCCATAATTCATGCAAGCGCCCCATTCCCCATGATTTCCGAATCGTTCATAGCGGCGACGCTGTCATCCGCTAAAACTCCGACCGCCACTCTCCGGGATGTCGGCATTTGCGTGCATGAATTCCAGCCTGCCCCCCAGCTACGATCCACTTTCAAGAAGAGCTCGACCACACCAAATTGCTTGGCCGTGAGCCCGTCGCATATTTTCGCAGCACAGGCGGACAAGGCCGTCGTCCATGTCTACAGTCGGGAAAAGGGAAACCAGGAGGCTCTTGTACCATTTCCGGAGCGGATCCGCAGCATTGCTGTCGTCGGAGCCAAGCATGGTGATGTGCTAGTTCTTGGCACGGAGGGAGGCCGATTGATTCTGTGGGAGGTATGATACATCAATTGTTTATTTTCGGATCTGTCAGAGATTTAGTGGATTCAGACTAATTCGTGCGCGTGTTTCAGACATGCACCGGACGTCAAGTGGCTACCACCGCCTCACATCTACAGCCGGTCACCTCGCTCGTCGTCGACCCCACTTCGAACTTCATTCTGTCAGGCTCCGCTGATGCCAGCATACACGTCTGGTCTCTGCCTGGCATTCTTTCCTTTTCAAAACCCGCTCAGGGTCAGGACCGACAGCCACCAAACTCGCCCATTCGGACTTTCTCCAACCACCGTGCCGCCATCACATCTCTGGCTGTTGGACACAGCAACGGACGAAACAACATCGCAGTCTCAACTGCAAAAGATAATACCGCTATCGTATGGGACTATAACACTGGTCACGCTCTGCGAACATACCTACTCCCATCCTCGGCGACCTGTCTAGCATTGGATCCGGTGGATAGAGCTGGCTACGTTGGATACGAGGACGGCAGCGTGCAGTCGATCGACTTTTACCGCAGCGGCTCAGTAAAACATACTCTCTACGACTCCTCTCTACAATCGACCCCTGCCCAGGTGTCCGCTGAAGACCGATGGCTTCCTCCATCAGCCGAGTCCGGTGCTACCAGGGCTCTTATTGTCTCGTATGATGGTACCACACTGTTGTCTGCACACGATAGCGGCAAGGTTCTATCATGGAATATTGCGCGTCGAAAATTCGCGACGACTATTTCTGATTACACACACCCCGTGACAAATCTGGTTTCCTTGCCGCTAAACGGGCTGTCAAATTCCTCGCAGGAGCCAATTCGCACCATTCACACTATTGTCAAGCCTCGCCACGACGGTGCGCTCTCAGACCCTTCTCATGCCCCTGGTGCCGTCCCAGCAGCATACACTTTCCACACACACTTGACCGCCCCCTCACGTCTCCGCTCTCGCCAAACATCCCAATTCTCTCAGGCCCTCACCCACGCAGCCTTCCCCACCTCCATGATTGAGGAGGGTCTCGTCGAGCTGGCTGCTTTCCGTCAACCGGGCGCTGAAGTCTCCCGTGTCGCATACACAGCTCCTGTGGTTCCAGATACCTCGCTTGACGTTCCCGCTCAAGACGATCGCATTTCTGAGCTAGAGGCTGAAATTGCTCTGCTGAAGAAAAAGGACGCAGTCAATGACAAGACTCGACACACCACCGTGGATGAGGTTGTGCAGCTGCGGTCGGATCTCGCCCATCTGCAAGATTACATCAACGAGATGCATGAGAAGCAGGAGGCAGCTCAGCGTAACAAGGTGCAGCGGCAAGCAAGGAAGGAGGCTCGTGAGACCAAAAAGCGGGAAGCATGGTTCGCCGCGGAAGGGAAAGGACGTAATGGCGATACAGTGATTAAAAAGATGGAGATAGATGACGGCATGCTGACCAGTGACTCGGATGATCAGAGCGATGAGTAAAGCTTTTCAATATTGTGGTTAATTTCGGCTTTGGTCTACTCAAAATGGGAATGGCGCCCGGTTAAACATTTGCATATATTTCACGATATCTATTCAAGAAATTTCCAGTCAGATATGAATCTGGTCGAATCGCACACGTAGATCATTCCAAAGACAAGATGTAGCTTCCAAGTGGACATAGATTTGGTCATGGACTTTCCCAGGTTGTTGGTGTCATCTTTGCCGCTCAGCTCAGCCAGCATAGGTCTTTAGCATCTATGCATCGATTTCTCTGACTCGGTTTTGCGAGTATACTCGATTGCGACCATCATGTTAAAGTGATACTGATTGTTATTTCCCACTTGGCCGGACTTGTCACCTGCATTGTCATTCCAAGACAGATAGGGGCTTGTATATCCTCACACTAAGCAGACTGCTAATGATTCAATCGAACCAACTAAATATTCCACGGAGCCAGACTGTGGGAGTGAAGAACGACGGTGTAGTTAATGAGCTATGGTGTGGAATGAAGGAAGAGGGATTTTTTACGAGAATCATGGGGATATGGGGGAGAGAGAGAGAGAGTTGTAGCGGCAGGGAGTCATTCCGGAACAAATTCCTGAGTGAATGTACCTACGAGACATTTAATGAGGCCCCGGGTCGCGATTGATCGGTTTTAATCAGCGATTCCATACTGTGGACGACACCGGCAATTCAAGTACAATTTGTAGCAACAAGAGAATTTGAAGGCTATATTGCTCAGTGATATGGGCCTAGTATTCACGATCGCCAATAGGTTGAAAGCAAAATTTGAGCCTTTGATACATTCGGGCTCCAGGCACCTGTAGGCTGAGGCTAATGACACGCGCAATAGATAGCAAAGCCACAACCTTGGAAGTCGCAAGAATATGGAAGATGTTTGATTTATAAATCGAATTTATATCCTTCAACCTTCTCCCATTTCATTTTGAAAATATATTCGCAGTTGTTTTCAACGAGGCGGCTATGTCTGAAGAAAGTCGTTGTATATCTTTTCGCTCACTGATGATGTGACGCAACCATTCGATAATATCCAGACACCTGTCCATGCCAGGTGGGTACGTTCTTTAAATATCATTGATTTGCAACTTGTTATTGATTGGATCATTACAAATCCTGTCTAAATGCGAGATGATTTAATGCTTGAAGTGCGGAGTTGGAAGAACCCGATGCTGAAGCCATTAAAGTGAAACTCCAGTGGGCTCCATCGTCTACCTTTCGGAAAGCGCTTAACGACTCCAATGAAGAAACGCATCATCAATGTAAGAAATTTTCATAACTCATGACTTGTAATAATACTGGTCAAAAGCGTCAAAGAAAGTACAGAAATGTAGGCTGGGGAAAATCAGGGGCTCTCCCAATATGCTCCTTCACAATCCACAATCAACCATTCCATCAACCTACATGGTACTCCACGCTGACAGCATGTGCTGGCCCCTCACTGGATCCCACTCAAGCCAGGGCCACTTTGCCCCCACTACTCAAAGCCATTTGGCGGGGCCGAAAAGGCAAATGAAATCATAACTCGCCACACCGAATACATAAATATAGAGAAGCCTACAACCAAAAAAGTACGTTCTTTGCATGAAGCATACGAATTAACGATATTTCCGTCATTTGAGACCCAGCAAAACCTTTTTATTTTAGTTATTTGAAGCCACAAGTCATTGCCAACATGTCCGACTCCTACACCAGTTCTTCCTATTACTACAGCTCTTCAATCAACACGGACGAAGGCACGACCGCAGCCACTGGGCATCGATACTCTACTACTTCGCACACTGATCCTGACGGCACCACTACCGTGCGTACAGCACACCAAGACTTGGGAGAAGCTCCGGTGGTTGAGGAGCGGCGCTATGATAGTACCGGCCAGGAAGAATTAGCACTCCCTGGGCCGCCGGGGTCGTCTGCTGGTGGCGTGAGACGGATTACGGATCTTGATGAGTAGAATGGGGATTTCAGCCTTCAAAGTTGGCTTAACTCTTTCGGTACATCAGTTGAAAAAGTATACGAAGCACAATATCATATCTTCTAATTTCATTACTGTTGTATCTCACAGCTATAAGCTCGAGGTCTGCTCAGACAAGTAGTTAGGTACCTAGATCTGTAGAACACTTAACACCAGGGGTCAAAACTCTACCAGAGAATATTCGGAAGCCCTTAAAAAACATCCAGCTCCCCTCATCCAAAATCATCTATTACACCGCCGGTCGCGCTGCCCAAGGCCTGGGGTCCTGATCAGACGGGCAGTGGCCCCCAGGGTTCATAGTTCTTATTACACATGCCGACACGATGATTTAATCCGACACAAGTTATACTTGTGAAGCTTGACATGCAATGACTATGCTAAATAGAGGCCTCTTTCATTACAAAGGGCCACTATTTTAAAACAAGAAAGACATGGCCAATTATTCCAATGTTTTGCGCATAATACAGGCGCCCCGCCAAGAGAATCCGGCGTCCAGGTCTGATCAAGTGGACCATGCCAGCTTAGTTAAGAGGTGAAATAGTCAAGGTTCTCAATGCGACACTAATCCTTCAACGCCTTGAAATGCTGCATGTGCACACTCACATAGGCAGTGAGCGGGACATGAGGCCGTATTGAGACTGATCTGAGCGGTGATCATTCACATTTGGTCCAAGGCCTGAATCTTAGGCGCCCTTAAGCCCGAGTTCGCAACGGCACCCCCAAAACAGGTGCCTGGAATGAAATACAGTACAGTATAAATATTTCCCCATAGCCTAGCAACTTAAACCAGCCCAGACGAATTTACATCCGCCGTATACAGCCATGAAGCTTGCTACCCTCGCTCCTTTGGCTATCGCCTTGGCATCCACCACCTTCGCATGGATCGTGAATGACTACGCGGACGTAACAGACTGCAACATTATCAACACAAACGCAGTCTTCCGGTCATACGAAGGGACCGATTCCAATGCATGCCACAACTTTGGTGCAGGCGAGTCCGGCTCTACTTGTTCGCAGCATACCATGGAAGTAGAGGAAAACTGCACGGATGACTTGCTTATTTCTGGGAGTGTCCTCGTTCGAGACTCCCCTCAGTGCGAGTTCTTCACCGCGAGTGACTGTGCGGGATCTGCTCGTGTTATTGCGTCTGGAAATTGCCTGACTGGCGAATACGCTTCTTTCTCTTGCGTAAGTGAGCTTCTACTCGAGAGTGTAAGTCGATGAGCTGATTCATTTCTTGTAGCCGAATATTTGAACTTTCAGTGAGAATGAGGAATAGGTTACTTGCGGAGATTTGAAATTGCTGGAAACTGAATGAGAACATGGGTAGTAAGAGAAATGTCTAAGTTGCTGGCTCTGATATAATTCAACCTGAAGGTGCCTGCCCAGGCATGTAACTAGCTAGTTAACTTAACTAGGGTAATGATAACTTAGATAATCGGTTGACAATTCATTGCTTGCAATGTAAATCATGTGACCTGTATGACAGGGTGTCACGTGACCTATATGGTGACGTTGCGTGGCAAGAGTGATTATATAATACACACTAAACCGCTTTAGGAATTCTGGTCCCAAGTCAGATCAGACAGTTGGGAAGCCGGAGACACTGAGAAAAAGGAATTGTGCATTATGAATCAAGCAGTCTCAAGCAGAAGGGAACAGAGAGACATATTGATCGAGATCCAGGTAGAGGTGACGTTGAACCCCGAATCTGGGGATCGGCCGCCCCTCACCGTAGGACCGAACGAGGTTTTAGCGTGGGTTAAGCGAGCGACCGGAATCGGCGAGGAAACACTCACCGGTTCATTCTCTAGCGTGCAGGACCCAAATCGCTCTCACTCAATCTATCTGCGCATCACTAGAACGCGGAGGCCCGTTCCCCATAGCTTGATATATAAGCTCATCTAAAATAAACCAACCTAGACAGATTTCTGCGCTTCTGCTTTCCTTTCCCAGGCCCGACCCCCTCCCCCAATTTCCGTCCATGCCGTCCCGGATCATGGCCGCTGAGGCCTTTAAATTGCGGACCTTAGGATCCTATATCGGACTTGGTCCAGCGGATCCAGGCTGATCTTGAGCCCGGACCTCGTGCAATTCTCGTCCCGGCTTAGAAATGCCTCTCGTTGATTATTACGTGCTCAGACGCTATTCCCGCTTAATTTACACTTGAAAAATCTGTCCGGGACTGCGATTCTTTTCCCCCAAGTCAACTAGAATATATCGACACGCTTAAGCGCATCATTTCTATTCATCTTACTCTTGGAATTATTCTCTTTTTTAAATCCTCGGACAGAATCCTGGACTTTTGGGAAGTAAACTTTCCCCTCCGTTCGCATCCGGAGAATAGCCTTTCGGGGAATTGAGAATTGCTATTTTTTTCTTTGGAAACACGCCACCCATCCATTACCCCTCCCTGGGGACCTTGTTCCTGTTCAAGTCAACAATCATTCCTTGAACATATTCCTCTTGAGAATAAAGTGATCAGAGAACTTGCTGGTCTATTTTCTGTTGCGTGACCTCGGACCACGTCTCAAGCCGGAGATCTACGGATTGTAATTCGCATGGAGATTCTCTGATTTCAGATCTGATCCACACGTGCTCCTCTTCCCTGTACAGCTTGTCCCATTTTCATTCCATTTCATTGCATCCCTCATAATGTTGCCTCCGGTACCTTCACCGCTGGACTACGGCATCTCGCCTGAAAACGGCTTTCTGTCACCAGAGCTCCCGTTGGAAGTTCTGCCAGATCCATATTACGCCAAGTGGGAGGCGATTGCTGCCAACTTGCAACCCTTACTTCTCAGTAAACGAGTCCGGGGTCTTGTGGATCGGTTACCCGTGCTTTCAACCGAGTACCTGCGCACAGATGCCGAGTGGCGTCGGGCATATGTTGTCCTGGTATTCATGTTGCACGGCTATGTATGGGGTGGTGACCGTCCTGCCGAGGTAAGCACTCCTCATTTACCAGTAACAAACTCCAAACTAATAACAAGCAACAGAAAATCCCTCCTCAGTTAACGGTACCCCTGTTCTCAGTCTGTGACCGACTTGAAGTTCCCCCAGTAGCGACATACGCCGGCGTATGTCTCTGGAACTACAAGCCCATCTTCCCGGACGAGCCTACCGACGACCTGGACAACCTCGCCTGTCTCCAAACCTTCACCGGATCACTAGATGAACAATGGTTCTACCTCATCTCGGTAGCCATCGAGGCCCGCGGTGCTCCTTCAATCCCTCTCATGCTGCAAGCCATCGCCGCAGCCCGACTCGGCAAAGCCCGCGTAGTAACTGAGTGCCTACAACGGCTTGCCGAAATGATAGACGAGATCAACTCTCTCCTCCAACGCATGTACGACAACTGCGACCCGTACATCTTCTACAACCGTATCCGCCCCTACCTCGCCGGCAGCAAGAACATGACCGACGCAGGCCTACCAAATGGGCTCCTGTACGACGACGGCCAAAACGAACCTCGGTACCGACAATATGGCGGGGGCAGCAACGCCCAAAGCTCCCTGATCCAGTTCTTCGATATCGTGCTGGGTGTCGAGCACCGGCCGACAGGCGTATCTCGCCCAGAACAAACCGAGAACAGCACAGAAGAAGGTCCCAAGTCTCGGAACGGTTTTATTCATGAGATGCGCGCGTATATGCCCGGCCCGCACAGACGGTTCTTGGAACACGTCGACACCATCGCCAATATCCGGTCCTTCGTTGAGGCTCGTCGTACAGACCCTGCTCTCAGATTGGCATACGATGCCTGCCTAGGTATGCTGCGTGCAATGCGCGACAAGCACATTCAGATCGTGTCCCGCTACGTCATTCTGCAGGCGCGCGGGGCTCGTCGCGAGTCACAGGCTAAGCCCAGCCAGCCTGCGCCGCAGAATCTGGCTACCGCCGCCCCGGCCGATAGCAAGAAGCTAAGAGGAACCGGTGGTACTGCGCTCATTCCGTTCCTTAAGCAGGCGCGCGATGAGACTGGGGAACCGGCCATCGATGCGTGGGCACGACGACTTCTCAGCAATGGACCCGCGGTTGTGGGCTCGGCTGCGCTGAGTAAAGTCGGTGAGCATCCCGATGGGCACCTGGAGGTCGTTGGCCTATGCGGGTCATGGACAGCGGACGACAGCGAAGGTGGAATTTGCCACTGGTGATCAAGTCTATTATTCTTGCTTGTGATTTATGAGCGTTCATATCTGCATCGGATCTCCATGTTGACGACTGCTTGTTGCAGTGAATAGTGGGTTGTTTGGCGTTTATCATTAGCTTATCTTCTGGGCCCCATCTCAACATTGCTAGCCCTTGTTTATTCTTAGCATCTAGATTCTAGACTACATTATCTGACGGTTGTGGACCAATAAGGGCCTAATCATCGTGATAAAATATTATTCCATTTTTCTTCTTGAACCTTGTGTTATCGATCGGAAACTGAACTAAGTAGGTTTGTGTAATATCAATATCGAAATTGAATTTGAGTAGCCTCGGAATCAAGCGACTTATCATTGCTGTCAACAATCTGGTAACTGTGCTCAAGTTCCGTGTAAGTTTGTGATTCTGGGAAATCTGAAAAAAGGTCCCAAAAGGTGGTGGAAGTCAATCCTAAGTTTTGGAAGACTCGAGATGTTGCTAATAAATTTGACATCCCTTTAAAGCCTGTGGTTCTCGAGAAATACGCGGGCTGTCCACCTCTTGGCCTGATTATTATTCGTAATTCGGGACAGACAGTTGTGAGTGGTGTCATTAGATATGTGGAATGGCCGTGCCCTTTTCATCGATGTACTTGTGGGTCGCCTCCTAGGTTTGACAGTTATGCTATAAAGACCTTGACATTTGGACAACCAAGAAAGAGTTTCATAGCCAAAACTAAGAAATTCATTAGATAAGACACAACTTTAAGTAACTATTTAATGATAACTTATTGCATCAAGAGTCAAGTCTCAAAGTCGAATCTTTACTGTAAAGAATAAGAGCGTTACTTGATATACAGCGATTTCATCATTGATACTCAGCCACAATCTCTAGGCTGTGTACGATTGTACTCTGAATGGCTCCACTGTAGTCTGTGGAACCTTCCGCGTCCCGTTCCTCTTTCTTCATGACGCGTTTTCCATGTTGTGTCCATTCAGGTACGGGGTATCACGTGCATGACATCAGTGGGTGACGTCATCTATCATATGCTGATGAATTACGTAGTGGCTGATTTACGCCTTGGCAAATGGAGTGGCTGTAAGTATATAAAGAAGTGATAATACCAAGAGAAACATAGTCAATCAACAAAACAAATAAACAAACAAACAAATCACATCACCACAACTTTACTCTCTCACCAACTTCATCTACATTCATCACAACAATGTCTGACGGTAACTCCTCCACTATCGGCTCCTACGTGAACCAAGCTACAGGCGCTGCCCAGCGCGCTGTCGGCTCCCTCACTGGCGACTCCTCCACCCAAGTAAGCCAACCGCGCTCCCAATACTCTCAGCGAACGATCACTAACAAAACCTAGATCAAAGGCGAAGCAGTCCAAGACCAAGGCAAGGAGCAGCACGAGAACTCCCACACAACAGCCAAACTAGGCCCTATCTCTGCCGACCCCAACACCGGCGCAACTGCCACCGACGACCCCAACCGCTCAACTGGTTCCTGGGACCAGACCGTCGGCTCAGCTAAGGAGTCACTGGGTAACATGATCGGCAACGAGAGCCTCCGCAAGGCTGGTGTTGAGCAGAACGCCGCGGGCAAGGAGCAAGAGGCTAAGGGCCAGCTCAAGGACTGGGGTGAGGGTATGCAGAACCGGGCCCAGGGTGCCCTTGGCGGCGTTGCTGCTGCTGTTACCGGTGATCGGGACGAGGAGAAGAAGTTCCAGGATATGCATGACGAGGGCAAGGTTAGACAGCGTGGAGCTGAGGCTGATATGGCCAAGCGCCAGGGTGCGTAAGCCTTCTTTTGTTCCTCTGCTTTGTTGAGTTGAGTTGAGTAGGTGCTCTGCTCGACTCGACTTGATTTCTGGTTTCGACGGACTGGACGATTCTTTCGGGTCCTGTTAGCTTTACGATTATGATCCCATGAGATATCCAATTTGAGATTGATTTTACTTGATTTTTGCTCGCCTGTGTGATGCAAGTAGGTGAATAGTAGGTTTGCTTTTCCTTGTAGTTGGTTTCGTATAGATTCTCGGCCCATGCAGCCCTATTCGATCGACTGTCGATCAAACGCAAATTGGCACTGGTGCATCTTTTGACAGCTTCTTATACATTGATCAGCGAAGGGCGGCTTCAATGGGGTGTGCATCAGATCCCCTTTCGGGGCCCGACAAATAAAAAACTGATGCGAGGGTTGGCATGGAAGCTTCAAATCTACTTTATAGTCCAATATGGCGTGTCCTGCATTAAGACCACATTCCATCTTCCAAGTTCTTGATAGAACACACATTTTTCATTGGACCAGAATTGATCTCCCCTCGTTCTTCAATGCCATACTCGTTGGGGATGAGGTAAGTTATGGACCTTGTCTCTGTACCACATCTCCGCTGATCTTAATTGTCCTTGTCTACTCATCTATCCCCCCACAAATCATTGAAATATGCAAAGCCGTTGATTTCGTATGCTATCGTTAATTACAAAAATATCATTTCGTTTCTCAAAGTGACCCAAGCAGAGATCCAAGGAGTTTTGACACATCCTCGATAAGCTACACAAATATTAGTCAATAGGCCAACGGAAACAACAGAAAGAGCACATACCGGTGTAGCATCTCCGATCAAAGTAGTGGTGTTATCCACAAACTCCTTGGTCAACAAGGATCCAGCGTTGGTCAAGATGGTCTGTAGTGTGTTGGTATTATCATCGGAAAGGACCTTAGCAGCATTGGTGATGATAGTCTGAAGGTTGTTGATGTTCTCATCGGTGAGCAGGCTCTCGAGCTCGGTAATTGTGCTTAGGAGGCCGGAGGTACTGGCCGGCGCGGGGGCAGCGACGGGGTTGGGTTCTGGGGCAGCGACAGCCAGAGCCATGGGAGCCGCAAATAGAGGGAGGAAAATGTTTGTGAATCGCATTTTGGTGTTTTTATGTGTCTTCAAGAACTTTGTAAATCAAAAACCACGACAGCTTCGGGAAGAAGAAAAAAAAAGTTGACGATTTACTACAGGATAAAAAAGAAAAGAAAGCCTAGTCATAGAAGAAAAAGCAAGCCTCCAAGACTTGGCCAAAACTTACAGTACATAGGACACAACCACCCCACCTGCACTCTAGACCAGTCGACCGTGTCTTAGATTGAATTCCCAATCGGAGTCATGGCCAAAGAAAGTATAAAAGAGCAAAAAGACAAGACAAAATTCCCCGAGACTCCAATCAAGCCAATGCGCATCGAGGAAATCATCACAGTCACTAAGGCTCAAGCCGGATTAGCATCGGATCTCTCCGTCGAAGTCTCCCTTGTCATCGCCGAGGTCGATCCAACCGACACCGAAAAACGGGCTGCCATGTGATGGCACTACGACAAAGCACCACGAACCAAATCTAGAATCTACTACAATTCTAACATTTCCTTCTCAATCAGGTCTAGCACCAAATCTAACCCAGACGCACCCTCATTTCCCGCATTACGAGCTCACCTAGTCACATCCCCGCATCCAAGTTCTCCCCCCCAGACTACCGGTGTTAGGAAACGATCGCCAAGGAAGGGCGATCAGACCCCCCTTTGAGTGGAGCTGTCGACACTAGTGGAATGCTAACCCCTCTTCGGACCGAGTGCTCCATGTGATCTCCACCCCGCGGAGCACGAGTTCTCTTTAGTAGGGATCGGCACGGGCTGAGGCTATCGAGAATACGTGGGAAAATCGGATATTGAGTACAGTCCGCCGTGAATCAGATTTGATTCTCGATATTAATTCATGCAAGATGATGTGAGTTGCTTTGATGGGACGCCGAGGTGGAATAAGCATGTGCGTTCCCACAAAAAGGGGTTGCGCCACCAATGGTTCGGCGTTTTCCTGTCCCTGGAACCAGGAACGAGAACCAGAGAACACAGAACACAGAATTGGTTGATGTCACGCACCGTATCATTTCCTCTATGTACGTAAACACAGTGGATTACTTCCTCGTAGACCCTGTATGATGCAAGATAAAGAAACCCACTAAGATACCCTATGATAAAAGCAAAAGCAAAAAAAAAAACAAATGGATCCTGAAGCATTCACGGTGCAGATGCATCCCAGCTGCAGGACCGGCAGCCACTTTCCCAAACAGTCATAGCGACAATCCCCGCATTAGCTCGCCCCACCGTCTCACAACGCTATGACCAGCCCAAGACTCAACCCGATCATCGCACTGAATACCGTTGGCTTTGCTGCCACACCATTAGAGGTAGACGATGACGCGGTCGCAGTGGCTGTCGCCGTCGCCGTCGCCGTCGCCGCCGCACCAGCTCCAGTGGTAGCCGTAGTCTGGTATCCCAGCCCAGTGGTAGCAGTCAAAGCGCCATTTTGAATCTGTAATCGGACGACGGACATGTAGCTCTTCACGTCAACGGGAAGACTAGAGTACCAAGCTGGCGTAGTGCCCGCCTTGAATTGACTAGCGAGGGAACTGCGGGATTGCGCGTCGATTAATTCCCCGACTACGGTTAGGGGAACGACCGAGAGGATCTCGGGAATGAGGGCTTTGGGTGGAGGGGAGATGTTTGCGAAATTGCCTGTTGTTGTTGCGCTTGCGAGATTGACTCTGAAATCAACGGTGTTAGTTTATATTCTTTGTTGAAGTACGAATCCTTGAACGAACAGGGCACTTGATAAGGACGCAAGGTTGAAGCCGTCCTCTGTGGTTGCAGCGACGGTGGTTGCATCTCGTTTTTGTGGCTCGGCCCAAGCTGTTGCCGTTAAAAAGAATAGGATTGTCGTCAATTTCATTTTCGATGCTTAGATGAGTTATACGGTACAGAGGTGCTCTTGAAACCACAGTTGGGACAGGTCAAGTATATCAAATGCTTGACCCCTCTTGGTCTATGTATGCGGAATGTCTTACGATTGGGTTTCCTACCCATGCCATGGAAAGTATACTTCCGTATGTAGGTGATTCACTTATCCTGGGAATCGGCCTATGAGCGATGGTAGGCAAGCAGGTTTTCTTTTAGGCCGGTCGGTTGCATCCGTTCCGAGGCTCAGCGAGATGGTCTAGACAGTCCAAATCGGATGCCACGACTGTGATTGCGGGGCTAAAGAGTCTATGCATTTTGTCAGGCTGTGATTTTTCATTTTTGCGAGAAGGTGTTAAAATATTCACCACCGTTGATTTACGTGATCACCTGTCGATCTAAAAATAAGAGACAAGATTCGGACTAAGACTGATTTTCCAACGTTCAAAGAATAAACTCAAAAAACAAAGGATAGAGTGAGAGTGGGCCTGAGCAGCTCTGAATTTTGGACATGAAACATCGACTTGAAAACAGGTTGAAACTAAAATTCAAGTCAGACGATAACGGCTTGCTCTGGGAATGACTTGATCGGATAGGAAAAAGCCTTTCTACAAAGAATACTTGCGAAAAGAGGACTGATCGTAGCACGTAGCGTATATTAAAGAAAGGGTATATACAAAGAAACAATAGAAACCCACTAGAACACAAGCATCACCTAAGCCACATTCAGCTTCTCACGCAAACGATCCTGATAGTATCGCAGCGGATAAGCCCGCATCTTATTAGGCATAGCAGGGTAAACCGCAACCGAAAATCCCATCCAAGTCCGATACAAAAACCTCGTTCCAGCAGTAGATTTCAGCCCATACGCATCCCGAAGCTTCGGCGGCAACATCTCAATAGTGACAACCCGCAGAAAGGGCTTGATCCTCTGCACCCATTTCGGCATATCCTTACTCTCATGCAAATCTTTCGCGAACTTGGCAGCATCATCCGAGACAGTCAATTGTGCAACCTGATCATCCCAGTAAGACCAGAACGCCTGCCGAGTCTCCGGCCAAGTACCCGCTGGCATACCGAGACAGTTCATCAGCATGGTAAATTCCACATACCCGCGCTGAGCGGTGTCGTAGTCCACACGGCCATACACGCGTTGGTAGAAGTCCGTTGCGGTTGCATAGAGAGTTGCAGCCATCCAGCGCTGTAGGGGTGGGTGGTGGGCGAAACGGTTGTTGTGTCCGCCGCCTAGACCGGGTGCTTCGCCTCGTTTGAGGAGGTTGAGGAGAGTCTTGCGCTCTGCGTTGGAACCGAAGACTAAGATTGAGATGTAGCTTAGGTGGGCTTGGAGGGCATCGAGAAGTTCTGTTGCGAGGTCTTTGGGACTTTCGTCGATTTCCTCTGTGCGGATTGCTGGCATGGCTGCTTGGAGCAGGAGCGCAGCTCCCGAGCCCGCGAATAGGATTCCCTCGTTGAGGATCTGGGGGAGGATTTCTAGTTGTTCCAGGGCATGGAGGCGACCGGAGTCTGAGGTTGGGTTTGAGTCTTCATTCTCCAGTTGGAATTCTGGTAGAGCTCCGGGCTTTTCGTCGTCCAGCGGAGACGGTGGTGTGGAAGCGCGCGACATTATTGATTTTTTTTTTATTATAGTGTTGAAGTGTTGGCAACGATGAGTTTTATTCCACTAATCTAGGCGACGACCTGAATAAAAGATAAAAGGTAAAAGGCCTCCCCGCAAAAAGAAAATACCCACTCAAACCATAAGTCAGGACGCCGTCATCAGTGGATGGCTCGGCCCATGTGAACCCCCTATTTTGCGTGCTAGTGCGCCACTATCCCAGAAACACAAAAAGACCGCGGTTCGCAGTAGATCACCATCTCCTCCGCTGATCCCTGCTGCTTCCAGCTGCATGCGCTCGTGAATCCTATCCCAGACAGGGAATAGTGCTCCGACGCACCGTGACCTTAATCCACTTTTTTTGTTTTTTGGCCTCGTTTTCCTTTTTTCGAGGTCCCCCGTCTCCACTCGGATCCTCCCTGGGTCAGTCCGAACAATGGAACGTCCGGGGCGTCTCCATACGGAGGCGAGAGGGAAAATAGAAAGGGCTTATTTCGCTTGTCCTTCATAGGTAGGCGATCCCCGGTTCCTTCTTTCCCCGGACCTCGATACATATAGGCGACCGCGTCCCGCTTCTGCTCCCTTCCCCACGGAGTTGACAACAGCGGTCCCAGAACTCAATCCCCCCCGTCACAATGGGAAAGACAATTGACGACCGGCCGGCCTATCTGAGCTCTGATGACGCCAAGTACTCCCTAGGTGTTCATCGTGGGCCACTGGCCACCACAGTCGATGATCCTAAGCTAGAGAAAGTCGAGACGGCTGGTGGTCTGTCGCTGGCTACTACCCAAACGCGAAAAGAAAAGTTCGCGCGTCATTGGAAGCGATTCTGGTGTTGCTATTTGATTGGAAATGTCATCTTCCTGGCTATTTTCTTGCCGGTCTTGTAAGTTTGCGCTATAGATTGCTGCCTACCATTGAGTTGCGCGCTAATACGATTGGCGCCCAAACAGCTTCCTGGTGGCTATTCCAGCCATTTCACAGCTTGTCGTTGACAAGTCAAACTTGGTGTTGGTCAGTGCGGCCGTCATGCAGCCGCTGCCAAATACCATGCATCTTACACTTCAGTCGGCGCTAGATTTGAAAATTGCGCTCCCTGTTCGGATTGACCCTATTACGTTGAATTTGTTTGTTCGCGATAACGGCGCAGCCAATCCATGGGGTCAGGCCAATTTGACCGGCATGACTATTCGAGGAAACTCCACATTGGGCGTAACCGATAAGTTCACACCAATTCTCAACTCGACTACTTGGACCGATTATGTTCGGAAGGTCGTTTTCCAAAAGGAGACTGCACTGTCAGTCAAGGGCACGACCGATTCATTTCTGGGCGTTTTGAAGTCGAAGGTCACCATGAACAAGGACATCACATCTCCGAGTAAGCTTACCCTCCTACGAAAGTCCGAACGGTCTGAAACACTATCCTAACCGTTCCTGCAGCACTGGACAAATTCACAGGTTTCAGTATTGATGATACCTCGCTCGTTCCCACAAAGAGCGACGGCACTAATCTCGTTGGAAATGTCACCCTTCCAAATCCATCTATCTTGACCCTTGAGATTGGCACCATCGTCCTTGACGTCAAGAGTGGTGATTTGGTGATCGGAAACGCTACCGTCGAGAACCTTACCCTCAAACCCGGCAACCATGCGAACCCCATGACCGGAATTCTGGATATTGGCGTCATCCTCAGGAATATCGGCACCGTGCTAAAGGACCAGGCTTCAGCCATCAAAAATGGCAGCCTTAGTCTCACTTCCGTTACCCGCGAGGTCACCTACAATGGGACCCGCGTTCCTTACTACTCAGAGGTCATGTCAGAGCTACCTCTCACAGCAGAGGTTTCCCTTGGCGAGATCCTGAAAAACACCCTCAGGAGCTTCCTCGGCTCCGGCTCTAATAGGAACTACACCGAGATTCTCGACAATTTAAAGAACCACACCTCTGCCACTACCGGTAGTGACCTCCTCGCAGATCTGAAGGAGGGCCTGGATGCCATCGAAAGCAGAGACTACGTTCCCCGAGAAGAAGTTGACCGCGTCGATACTGCAAAGTCTCTCGCCAAGGCTTTGAAGCGGAATGTCCATGTCCGTGATCTTTTCCAAGATGAACATCCCATCAAGCGTGACGCGATGATCGACTCCTTAGTTGGATGGCTTGGGAATCAACAGTAAGAGACTTTCTAGACATAGAACTGTTTAGAGCTTAGAGCTTAGACTAGACATCTGTCTTGTGTTCTGTTCTGTTCGACTTTGTTTATACGGTGTTTTTCTTTTCTTTAGAAGATGCCGCCACGTCCCGCGACGTTTGACGCAGACATGATTTGATTTTGTTGTTTGGTTTTGATTTTGATTCCCCGGATTTGGTGGACAATTCACGGTTTAACGGAGTTACGGCCTCGGCTATGTATATCGATGTGCCTGCGGTCGATTGTTGATATGAATAATTAATATGATGATTACCCTACTTCAAATTCCCTAGCAATTGAAACAAAAGATATTTCGGTCACTGACTGAGGTCATACCTTGCCGATCTTCATCCTGTTGATCTTGAGTTACATCAACGGAGCCAAGTTCTTCCCGACATTCTAACCGAGCCGCCTCGTCACGACCTGCAGAATTCGCCGATCTTCCATCTCGCCAAATCATGGCTAAGAACCGAGGTAGCTAGCGATATTCAATCTGGGATATGCAGCCGAGAAACTCAATCGTATAGCCTCCCCGGAGTCATGTGAGAAAGTCTACAGTATGGTTGTTACATCACCCCGCACGAGCCGTTAGCGATCTTGTCCGAAGGTGGAACAGCGTCATGTGCTGTGGATCTTGGGTGAAGTTTGTTAGATTAGGGCGTATTTGTTCCGGCCGACTAGAGGTTTTATCTCAATGACGTAGACACTAGGAATGATGATTAAGGAGGTAAATTTATCATGTTTAATCTTCAGGCTCCAGTCATCTACCATGGGGTGTATGTTGTTGATATTATACCTGATATAGTCGCAAGTTGGAAGCAGAGCACATTGGTGAAATGGATGCAGAGCTTAGTGTTGACGTCCATTCTGGGACTAGTGCCTTCCTCTAACTACTTAAGCTTCACTTTCCCAGACTCTCCTTTTTCCTTCCTCGTCACTCTCAATCAAGTTCTATCGTACTCAATTGTTCAGCTTCGTTCTCTCATTTCTCTTCTTCATTACTTAGTCTTATTTGAAGGTCGTTTTGGGGCAGGGGAATTGTTTTGTTAGGGGACTGTACGTACGAATGTCTAAGCTGTGCACATAACCAAGGATGGCCTCCCACGCGACAGACCTTTTTCACCAGGGGCTCCACTCCCACAAACACTCACTAGAGAAGAATAGAATATTTTCCTTATATCTGCTACCTTCGTATGACAATGCGAGTGGGAGTATTCCTGCGAACTTGGATCTTTAAAGCTTAGTGGCAGCTTTAGCAGAAATGAGTTAGAAATTCCCCTCATGTAGTATATCCATAACTCAGAAGCAGAGAATAACTCAGGATAATCTTTGCGAACATACTTTCGATACTGGGAGGCTAAGAGTTACGGCACTACTCATCGCTCTGCCCGCTGAACTTGACTTGCAGCCTCCAATTTATCATCTCTCTTCTATTTCAAACCACGACTCTTTCTCGCACACGTTAGGCGGTAGTGCTGACCCTAAAGAATTTGATGATCTTGTCGTCAGTGGCCACAGTGAGGCCCCCATCCTACCTTTTTCTAGCCTGGCGCAGCTCGCAGTTAGCTTCAGTGACCAGGTGCCAGCAGAAGCTATCAATCGTGAGATTCTTTTTGGAAGGAGAATGAATTGATATTTGCTGCTATGGATAAGCGATAAATAGGTGGGGACGAGTTCGTGCAGAGCAAGAAAGGAGCTGGTAGTGCCACGACCTGCATGGCAAATGCTGATTTCCGTTCTGTCAAGGCCATTGTCGCCGGCATGAACGGAAAGCACGTGGTAGAGGAAGCAATTGTCTATCCCCTCGGTGTTGTCGGAGGCAGCGAGATAGCGAGAAAACTGGACGTTGACTACATTGCGGTCAAAATTGCTCTGGGAATGACGGGTGCCACAGAGGCCCTTCCAATTGAGAATATTACTGAGAATCAGATGAAGCTTCTCCAAGTTGCCATCCGGGGAATAAAGATCAACATTGAGACTGGGGTCTCTTTCATGTCTCAGTAGACCACGATTGCTACACTGCGTGGGTTTCGTTGTCGAGGCTCTCCAGTTGTGTGTAGTATTTTTAACTGACCTTGGACCTATTCACTAAGTTTAAGTTCATTCTGTTTTTCAATTTAAATTTAAAAAGCAATCAAAATCAAATTCTTGCTATAACTCTTCATCCATCAGTCAGTGGTGTTGAAACAGGGAATCACAGCCAAAAGCAATTGATTACACCAGTACAACAATCTTAGTGCCACTGACACCATCTCTGAGTTTGTCCAGTGCCGCATTTACTCCACCCAGACCGCCACCCTCAACCTGTATATTGGGGCTAGGAATTACTTCTCCAGACTGCAGACAGGTCTTCAGCCACCCATGGAAGACCTCTTTGATGTGCTTGCTCCTCAACGCTTCATCCATAGATGGGGAGTTGAAAGCGATCAGTGTATTTTCAAGGGTAGGATGACCTTCTGGGAGAAGCGGCGAGTGTGCAACCCTAGCGTGTGCATCACCCTTGGTCTCCTTGAGGATATCCAGTGTCGGCTGCAGAGCTCCATCAACAACGCAGTGCGCTGTGTGCAGCTTGACGCCATCCCTCTTCACAGCATTCACTATCTGGGAGACAACGTCGCTTGCCTTATAATCAAAAGTCGCATGGGCTCCGAGCTTCTTGACAAGATCATGGTGCTTGACACTGGCGGTAGCGTAGACAGTGAAGCCGAGTATCTTGGCAAACTGAACAGCAAACGTGCCTACACTGCTTGATGCACCCCAGATCAGGACTGCTTGTTTGTTTGCGGGGATATATTTGGTGTCGAGCGGAATTCCGATTGAGGTCCAGGCTGTCAAGGCAGTCAAGACAGCTAAAGGGAAAAGTGCGCCTTGCTCAAAGGAGAGATTATCTGGAAGTGGAATGACAGCTTCAGATTGTGCCAAAGTATATTTTTGGAATGCGCCATGGTCGGGGGAGCCGTTCTGGTAGAATGACGAGGCAAAGGCAAGAACCCGGCTTCCTGGACTAGGGACCGTGGTGACATTCGAGCCTAGCTTAGCGACAATACCAGCAACATCTTGTCCGATGACAGCGGGGTAGATAGGTACAGGAGGCATCCCGTAGTCGCGCTGAAAATAATCGCAGGGGTTCAAGGCAACGGCTTTGACTTCGATAAGGACATCGTTCGGACCAGGCTCTGGGGTTGGGCGTTTTCCAAGGGACAAGGGTCCACCCTTCTGGAGGAGAATGGCAGCTTCATGTTGTCCGGCCATGGTGGGTATTTGATGAGTTGATGCAGTGGCTGCTTCTATAGGTGTTTTCTTTTCTACCGAATGGATGGCTCAACCTGCGTGATCGAAGTATGTAGAATAAACGAATCTTTTATATTCCAAGTTGTTCATGACGCATCTTAATCTAAATCCGATAAATCCCTAAAGCCCGATTTTGGGAAAATGTGATTTGTTGCTTGTTGAGACGTCATTGAAGGCCTACTATTAAGATGAAATATGATCCTAGTGATAGCCACGTTCATCGAATCAGAATGGCAATGATACGGCGCGTGGTTAGTAATTCTGGTCAACTAAGATCGTGTAATTGGGACGAATACGAATGGTGGTTAGCGTCCTCTTTTAGTGTGGACCCACTTTCCTCCAATATGCAGTTTGACTGCGCACTAAGCTTCGTAAACTCCCCCTGCTCCTCGGCTGACTTTTAGTCCATACGCTGCACCCGTATACTTGACCGCATCGCTGAACTAAGTTTCGGCCTAGACACTTGGCGAAGTTGCATCAAAGTCGGAGATACTATTGGAATAGTTCATAGCAGTATCTTCTCGTTTGATCGGTGATAGCGCATATTACTTTGAATCGGCAAATAGCCTTTGCGCGGCTTAGCGGATCGGTCGGCGTTAATTTTTAACTCCATATGAATGCGGCTTCGACGCTACGAAAAACTACTGGCTGTGCCCGTTTTGCTTGAAATGTAAAAAATAAGACTATATGGGAGCCAACAGTCAATGGGTTCAACGCCCCACCAAATCGTAAATTATCAATTTCACTGATCTCCTCGAATTTAAGCGGCCACTTGAAACCACCTACTTTTCACCGAAAACCTCATTGCAGTAGCTCTGCTCTACTCTGTCCGAAAATTGAAGCGTTGTCTGTATTGAAACGTGTTATAGCGTCGGATACCGCGGCTAAGGACTTAATATCGCTGAAGAATGCTGGGATATCTAAGATCTAAAAATTCTCATTCCGTCGTCTCACCTGTAAATTCCACATGCTCTGCCTCAACAGGCTGACCCATCGCCTTGTCCTTGGCAGTCCTTCTAACCTCCTCATCCTCATGCTCGATGTACTTTTGAGGCCGAGCTCTGCAAATGGCATCGGGATCTTTCGTGACAATCAAGGATGGATTGGAACGGTAATAGGCATCGATATCCTCGAGACTCCGGTTGGCTGTAAAGTGTGTTAATAAGAGCTTTCTTAATATAATATGATGGAGCTGACCTGTTTCTGGGTAGAGGAAGTAGAGAATCGGTAGGAAACAAGCGTTGGTCACTGTCCAAACGATCCCTGCATTCTGTTAGCACCAGATAAATCAATTACGAGATATGAAGACTTACAGAACTTCCAGCCGATGTTCTGAATTCCAATGGGGGTGATTTCGACAATCGCAAAATTGGTGATCCAGTCGGTTGCGGTCGCGAGGGCGGCACCCTTTGTTCTCATCGGTAGAGAGTTGATCTCGGTGGGATATAGCCAAGGGATTCCTAGCATACCAATACCGAACGCGCCGTGGAACTAGAAGACACAGGAGGGTCAGATCTTTGATAATTTGGAAAATATCGAAATGCATATAGACTTACCAAGAAGAAAAATGCCACAGAGGCTGACCCAAACTTCTTGCTCTCATCGCCAGTAGTATTCTCTTGATACCTCAAGAGAATAGTGATGATGAGAAAGCAAATGAATTGCCCAAATGTGGAAAGAAGCATCAGACCCCGACGACCCATCCGTTCAACTAAAAGGACAGCGAGACCTGAAAAGATCATGTAGGAGATAGCATTGCATGCGGTCAACAGGCGGGCCATACTCTCCCCCATACCCACTGCTGACTCCAGGACGGTAGGAAGGTAGTATGACATGATGTTGATACCACCAAACTGCTGCATGAACTGACTACCAGCTCCAAGCAGCAAGCGACGCAGCGTCTTAGTGTCATTATCATTCTTCTTGAGAAGGTCCCGCCACCGGACAGCATTGTCATGCTCATAGCGGATTGTGTATTCGATCTCGTTGCGTTGCGAAATGACGAAGGGGTCATTAATGGGTTTGGCTTCAAGGCAACTAATGACTTGGACGGCTTCTTCTTCTTTGCCATGCATGAGAAGCCATCTTACAACTGTTAGGAGTTTCACAGCAACTTGACAGGGGTACTGACCTGGGGGACTCTGGGAGCCATGGAACAGTAGACCAAAGAACGATCAGGAAGACAGCCTGCAGTGCGATTGGGAGTCGCCAAGCTATGGCACCTCCAACGAAAGACAATCCATAGTTGATCCAATTGACTGTAGCATATCCAGCAATGTTCATCATCATTTCAAATGTCACCAAGCGGCCACGCCAGCGTGACTGCGAGGTCTCGGACTGCCAAATTGGCGCGCAAGCAGTATTAATACCATTCCCAATACTATTGAGTGAGTCTGTTAGAAGAAATGCCCCCTCTCTTAGTACCATTTCTACTCACCCAGATACCACACGACCGACAAAGATATGGGGCAGGCTGAAAGATGAAGCCTGAAGAACAGTGCCAATAGCCATGATAGTGGTTCCCCATAGAATTGACTTCTTCCGACCTAGGCGCTCGCCGAGTGTGAATGCGAAGATGGCACCTAAGAAACATCCAACATCATAAATGGCTGTCACTGTTGACAAAGTTTTTGTCTTGGTAGGCCCCTCAAGATTGTGAATTTGAAGGAAGTCTTTTGTAATCACGACACCACCTAGAAAAAGGTCAATTGGAATCAGTTGGTTCTCGCAGGAATGTAGCCTCTTACTGAAAACACCCTGGTCATAACCAAATAAAGACATATCTGTTGCACAAGCGACCTGGTCAAAGTCAATCTAAGTCGCAAGTAGAAGTTTGTTTTCGGGAAGCATACCGTAACCCACAAGGTGAGCCATCCTCCTGTTAGCCCAAAGTAAGGCTTCTTCTCCTTGACCACCGCCATTGTTAAACTAAAAGAGAGAGTGTGTGAAAGAAATACTACCACAACGGCTCTTCACGATCCGCACACGAAAAGACAAAACGAAATGCGGAGTAGCAATGCGGGGATCTCTCGGCGCCTTTATACATGCCGCCGCATCTCCCATGGCCCTTACGCCTTATTGCACGGCGATCACATTTCCGGCTAAATACTACATGAAACTCGGCGTTTTCCCGAAGTCCGGGGTGCCCGGAGGTGGGGGATCTGCGTGGGGGAGGCTGGTATTGACGAATCAAGTGACCTTGCTCATTGTCCTTGCATTTCCTTGTTGGAAAGCAGTAAATGATTGGTCGGTATCCTTTACCGACATCCACTTCTAATAACAAAGGATTGGCCGTGCCAGACAAGCTGACGAGCCCGGGTCAGCGTTGTAGCAGATCACCAGATTTTGGGCAATTGTGGAATTGCGTCATAGTGCGGAGTCAGTTAGTGTGAAGTGGAGTCAGGGGAATCCGGGGTGGCCCAACATTAGATTCCTCGAGAAACTTTTCGTGACAATTTAAATTTCCATTTCTGCAAACCCTAATCATGATTGTATCTATCTCTGGGGCTGACCCCTAGTACCTAAGGGCGCCACACCATCCCTGTCAGACGGAAGATACCAAAGCCACTGTTAGCCGGTGCATACTTTCTCAGATCGATATCGCAGTGTGTCATGTCTTCGAATCCCAACTTGTTGAAAAACTCATATGCTGGAGCTTCAGCACAGATAGTAAGTGGGATATCTTCAGCATGGGCACGATCGAAGCCCAGCTGAACTAGCTTGGAGCCAACTCCTTTCCGCTGGTGGGATGGCTTCACACACATGTAGATCACTTCTGCTTGAAACGTTAGCGAATCTGAAAACAACAAGTCATATTTGACTAATTAATAACTGAATAACTGATAACTAACCAAACCGATCGATTGTCTCCGTTTGTTTGGCGATTTTGGTGGTCGCTGTCATCACCTCCTCAAAGAGACCGCGATTGAGGCCATCTGGGGTAGCTTGCCGGGAATCTTCGTTTCCGTTATTGACTATACTCTCTTTGACTGGTTGCTTCCGTGCAAGGACAAAGTAGCCAATAATTTCGTTGGAGTTGGCATCGACAGCCTTAAAACATTCCATCGAAGGTTCTGAGTAACTGTGTAGGACGGCGTTACTGTACATCTCTTTCTGAAGTGCCTCATTTGGCCAATTTTCAAAGATGAGACGGTTGATGCTTAAAGATAGCTTAGCGGCATGGGTAAAATTGGCTAGAAAGGGGAGGTCGGCCTCTAAAACGGGAACGATGGAGTATTCTGGACTAGCCATTTCTTTCGTAAGGGGGGTTTGAGGGGATGGATTCATGCTTTCAAGCTCTCAGAATTAGTGTTTGACATTCAATGAAACAAGATTCATGTATTTATGAGGGGATGGGTGCCTATAATTCTCCTTTCTAGCGACGCGTATACCATAGGCTACTAGATAAATAATCTATTGTAGAGGATTGATAGACAGCAAACCTCCTAAATCAGTAGCGAAGGCAGCAGAATAATATCTTGCGATAGTGGGGCTCAAGGTGTCAGCGCATAGAGTCCGAACTGATAAGCCACGGGAGACCATATCTCCTATGGTTACGTATTAAATTATAGATAACTCATGCACTCGAACGTTTTGGCCGCCAAGTCTCGTCTATATGTGCTGCGAAGCATCTCAATAGATTTTCTCCTAGAATCTCCCCTTTTTCCTAATCGTTTATGAGTTTAACTCATAAGAGTAGACACCGCTTAGCCTCATTGGCTCTAAATGCATAACATGCTGTACGAGAATTGGTGATTTAATTTGATATAAAGAAAAACGGAGCATAATTACCGGTATGAGTGATAGGCGACACTGCAGTGCTGATATGACCCGGCAGCTTGGGGATGGGGACCAAAACCTATAGAATATTAAGGCCCAGCACTATCTGCGGCACCTAAAAATGTAAAAAAATATGATCCAGGGCGCTGAACAGCCACACAGTGGCTGCCGTCTTTGTTGCCCCTGGATCGTACCTAAGAAAGTTTCTTAAGTAATTGAAGAACTTGTCACATGACTCGCGCTTTCCTTATTCCGCGATATCTACAAAGCCTCATTATCAGAACATGTCGAATGGGTCGTGTCTTCACTATGGCATTCCACCTTAGCTGCGATGATTTCAATATACGTCAACTCGAAAATTGTCGCCCATAATAACCCATGTCTATCTAAGTAAAAGATGCGTGAGCGACCTCGGACTATATTGCTGAATATCTGAAAGGATATGGCGCTGTACTGGACCATTCCTTCACTAGGGGTTCAGAAAATGCGAGAGACAGGAGCGTTAGAAATATTGAATCTTAATAATGAACATGCATTTCCATGTTGAAGATTGAAAGCTCAAAATACGAGTCTGAATGTCTCGGTTGCACACAAAACTCATTGTCAATCTCCCTCTGAAAGTCCTCAAAATCATCCTCTCCGGAAACATGTCCCTTGAGTCGAGCTGAAATCCTCGGCCTTTACTTCGAGAACGTTGTTTCAACCAAAGAATGATTCACTGCGCCCCCTTTTGCTTTCCCTTCTTCTTCTCCTCCTCCTCCTCCTTCTTTTCTTCCTCCTCTTCCGCTTCATATTCTTCCGCAAAGGACTCAAGCATGAGCTTGGCCTCCCGAGCATCGTCCTCGAAGTAAGGCATCAACCCGAAAGTTATCATGAACTGAGCCCAGCCTCCATAGGACTTGACGATTGCCCGCTCAGTGGCGGTGAGACGTGGCTCTGTTTATGGTTAGTATTAAAGCTTTTGGGGGGGGGGGGCCTTAAAAAGGATAAGTGAAGGAACGTACGGGTGTTCGTGGCAAGCATTTCGCACCGGGTTTGAAGTTAGTGCGATGTTGATTTAAAACTCCAAGCAAGTCAAGGCAAGCTGTTTGAGCTTTTTCGATTGATGACTATTATGGAGAAAGAAGCAAGTTCGGAGTTGGTGGATTGATGGGTAAAAAAATGATTATGGGGACGTTAGGCAGAACGTCAATAAGGTGGGGGGACACAACTTTGGCCATGTTTGTCTAGCGCTACAATAATAGTGAATGAAAGCGCTTTAGTGGTAACAACATTAAATGATGCAAGTCCTGTAACTATCACATCATGTGCCCACTATTTTCTCTGGCACGTTACCCGGAAAAAACGATTGACCAAGCTTGACAGGATGGCAGGAACATGAGATATGATTTTAAGGTTCAACAAAGCATTGAGAGGCAAAAGGCAGTCGAAATTGCATTACTATTACCTCTCCCTATGCAGAATCGAGATAATAAGAACACTCCTTTGACACCTGCACTAAGGCGTCTGCGTAGATAGCCTTCACACCCTTTCGGACAGCCGCGGGGATTTCACCGAAACTTGGAAGCAGTCTCGCGTTAGTTTGATAATAGAAAATATCAGATAGGAGATAATTCACGTGGCGCAAGGTAAAGCAATCAGATCCGAAAAATGGGAAGCGCTTGAAAGCTTTGAATACAAACAAAGCTTCAAATTGTATACATTAGGCACTCACACTACACGAGCTAGTCCACGAGTGTTACCTAAGTCCATCAGTTTCTCCTCTTTCTTTCCCCTTGATATCGTTTCCTTTTCTCCAACCATCTTTCAAACACCATCCTGGGGACTCCAGAATGGATTTAAGTGAGCAAATATCTCATCAAATATTCTCAAAGGAGCTGCACTAAAGTTTATATTAGCTCAGAATGAGTTTATCGAAGTGGCAGACGCAGGACGCAAAGGCAAGGGTGTGTCTGCGAAAGTGAATATACCTCTTGGCACGCGCGTTATGTCCGAGCCCGCCCTCATCGAACTTCAGCTTGACGATAACGGAGGCTTTACCTCGATGCAAATTTTACAAGCATTCGCACTTCTTACGCCTTCTCAACAAGTTTCATTTCTTGAGCTCAGTGGATTTGGGTGTCCAGCATTGAAGGCTTCCGTCTCGGAAGAATTCCAAAACATTTGGGAAAATATTCCGGAGCTGCAGCGCGACGTGATTTCTATTTTCAGAAAAAATACCTTCGATGGCATGCTTTTCTTGACCGGTTCTCGCATCAACCACTCCTGCATTCCGAATCTCATCTTCGCATACAACCCCATAATCGGGAAAGAGACATTTCACGCTATACGCGACATTGCGGCAGGTGAAGAACTCACCATTATGTACATCGACGGTGTCAATCGCCCCCGAAAGTGACGCCAGGCCGATCTGCTGCAGTGGGGCTTCGTGTGCGAGTGCCCTGCATGCGAGAACACACCCGAGGGAAACTTGAAGGAGAAGAGACGCGTTGAGCTATTTATCATGGACCAAGTACTCGCTATCCATGAGCTTAATTGTATCCGAGAGTCCACTAAAGGAGCTCTTCGACTTGCGCAAAAGATGGCTGGCATCCAGAAGTCCGAAGGCTTGGTAAACCAGGCCTTGAAAATTTCGTGGGTGGCTTTTTTTATTCGAAATATTAGTATGCTGATTCATAATTTTCCAGTTGCCGCGACGCTTCCAAGTATTCCCTCATGCTGCAAAATACCTACATGGCACTGCTGTGGGCTGAGAAAGGGCTGGAGATCGACCTTTATTGCCTGGGGAAAGATTATCCCGAGTATCAGCATATGCTTAGAGCCGTGGACGTGTTAGAAACTCAACAATTTTATGAATTAATGACAATTCTAAAAGGTCACCCTCAGATATTGCGTCGCCGGATTATTCGTCAGAGGAGTTGCGATGACCAGGTCATTTTGGTCTGCCGGTAAATAATTCATAACTTCTGAAGAGAGCCCATGGTTTTCAACAATGTTACATTGAATTTCACTTGACGGTTTATTTTCCGAATTACAGAGGTAGCTGTCTCTAGTTCAATAAAGTGGTCACTGCAGATAGGTACCAAATCAGAAATCGTAGTTGTATACCCGGGGTAGCAGTAATCTGAATTTGGCGTACTACGTAGAGGATACTTCCTAAAAACGACATTCCGGCTTACCATTATGTTCTATGAATTTGCTTCAACCTCTTACCTATCTCTCCTTCATTCTTGAGCCCCAAATACCTATCAGTTCCAGCAAGTCCGCAGCTCGATGGCACTCGCAATGAACGGGGAAAGCGGCGCAGTTTCCGGGTGGCTATCAATATTCCATCGTCAGACCACAGCTCGTTCTCGGCTGGTGAGAAAGGAGCATAGTAGATTGCAATATGCCGTATAACCTTTTTGATGGACACTCCACATTCTGACTTTTCTGAACACGAGCTTCCAGGGCGAAACCGACCCATAAAGCCTGCTCAGCCTCGGCTGTGGCTGCGAATAATAGTATGATAAATGATATACGGTCCCCCTAGGCACTATTTCGATAAGAAGTTTGGTCCAGCATGCATTAGGGGTGTGGCTTTGGTCGCAGGGCAAACAGTAAACAGAGCACAGGAGCCAAATATTTAGAGGCTGACTGATGAACGGATTTCGTAAGTCCCGCACATACGGTAGCAATATTTGACTATTTAGGCAATTCAAGTCGGATAGAATGAATGATTAGCGATAGTCACTGTAGGTCAACAAAGGAGTTTAAGCCAGAAAATTCAGGAGCAAAATCGAGGCTTGTCTCCACTCGGTAATCTTATAGGGACCCAAGGGACCCACTTCAGCGGGTTGGCTTGAGGTAAAGTTGGCCAAGGTACCATTGTAAAAGCTACACAGGTTGCTGAAAGAATATCACAAGATGCTGCATTGTATTTTCTTAAACGTCGCATCTGGTCCATGTGGGCTTTGGCGTTGGGATATAGCCGGGAGGATCACAGGTTCCATATCCCCTACACGCGGAATCAGACTTCGCAGCTACTAGGCCGAAGCTCCACAATGAAACTTTATTTCCCCTTTTTGCGATTAATTGCCATAATGTGGATATGTTCGTGGAGTTACGCAAAGCCCTCGACCGTACTATGCAGTATCGTGAAGCTTATTCCCTTTGTTCTGAGCCAAGACTAGTACTATACAAAACCCCCGGCCTTCTCTATGACAATGGGTGTTCTTGTTTCAAGGTCATTTTTATGTCAACATGTGATATTTCAGAGCTGAGTAGTTCCTGATAATTGCCAGGTGTGGAGTTTCTACTTACGGCTAAGGATGGGAACCCAGTCTTATCTCCCACGCGGCACAAAGAGCATCACAGGCTCACAAAGCCAAGACTTCGAGTCTCCAGATGTTCATTCTGGTGGGCACTAGCCTGCTAGCTTCTGGGACTAGCATTGAGCACGAAGTAGATCGTGACCCCTTTTAAACCCAAGCCAAGATTTGTTTTGTTATCCAGCCCTTCCTCGAGTATATCAAGTCGGTCCATCCCCTATGCATTTCAATCCTCTCGTCGCCTCCGAATTTCAGAAATAAACGCAAAGATTGAGTCCAGCTCCTCTATCCACGATCACAATGCGTTTCTCTACCATCTTCACAACTGTGCTCGCCGCCGGCACTGCCGCTGCCACCCATTCCCATGCCGCCAAACGTACCGTCGAGGTCGATCTCTCCGGTGTCTCCCTCTTGGACATTGTCAGCGCTCTCGTCGACAAGCTTCCCATCGATGGCGCTATCAACGATCTCACCGGTGGCCTGCTAGATCTTACCCAGGTTGACGTCCAAGCCGTTCTCAACTGCATCACAGATGAGCTGCCCCTGTCCGCGAGCGTGAACCTCTTCCCTATGCCCACCACCAGCGCTGGCAAAACCTTCACCGTTACTCGCACCCATACTGTCTACGTTGCCCCTACTGAGGCACCCAGCGTTCAGAAGCGTGGTGATGACATTGACCTGTCCAACATCCCTATCCTCAGTCTCATTACTGGCCTTGTTGACAAGCTGCCTGTTGATGCCAGCGTCGGGGCCCTCCCCGGTGGTCTCTCGGATCTGACTGATCTCTCCGACATCAATTTGCTGAGCATCGTCACCTGCATCCTCAAGAATTTGGGCATCAACCTTTGATCTTCTTGTGGTTCGGGCTGGGAATTGCGCCTATGATAAAGGCATTAATTGGATATGAGGGAGATATACGGATACTGTTTGTAATCTCAACTAATTTGTTAATCATAATATCAGACATTTTGCGCTACGCGGCCCTGAGTTCGGCTCTGTGGCCAAGCAAAATTTGCAGTCATAGCATACCTATCTTCCGTATCTCCATTTCGTAGGACTTGAACTTGCTTCGAGGATTGTCTCTTTCCGTTGGGGCTACGGACATTCATCTTATCGATTAAGATGCTCGAGTACTGGGCCTGTCAAGCCACATGGCCCGGGCTTGACCCACTGACGTGTTGGCGCTCTTGGCCTAGCGCCTCTTCGATGGAGGGCATGTGGGGCTAAACACCACCAATGATAGGGGTTGCACGGGGATGTCACTCACTCTGGAAAGTGGAGCTTGACAGGGTGCCCCCTGTAATCTCCGAGATGGCGTTTCATGCATGATGTACTGGTGGACATTGGTTTCTCTAGTTCGCACGAGTGGAGCCTCCGAGGTTTCGTGAAAGAGGTCTGGACCTCGACACATTCTGCCGAAGACAGATCTTCAAAGAGCTTCTCAAGTGGATGAACAACCGGATGACCCTGAAAGCAGGTTTAAATTGGCGAATTGGGTAAATGTGCTCCAACTATAAAGTGAACAGTTCGTCTATCGCATGGACTTCCCCGCGTTGGCCATTCTTCACGGCTGATATCCACAAAGCTTACATTTACCCTTTCATGTCCCCTTTAGCCGTGGCGTCATTCGTGGCCGCTTGAAGACGGGTTTATTTATCCATATCAACGTCTCCTTGACCCTTTTAGATTTCTAAGCCCAAACAAGCCTTAGACATGGCTTTACGCCGGTGCTTGAAACTGCGTTTCAGACAAACTATTTGTGGAACTTTGACTGACAGGCGGTTCCACCATCGAGCAGCTTGGCTCCACGGGGGTCGTCCCTTGAACAGAATAGGCTACCGGTTAAATATGTCAATCGGGAATCGTCTCATGAATGTCTCAACCTATATTGCACGCAACAGCGACCGACAAGTATAAGAACACTGCCCTCCCTCTTGACTCGTACCTATCCTATCCACACACCAGAGAATCTTCAGCACCTCAGCCTTGCCATACTACATACACCTCTATCATTATCCACAATGAAGTCCATTACCACGTTTCTAGTAGCTTCCGCGACCGTCATGGGCGCAATGGCTGTACCTGGTGAATACCACAAGCGACACGACAAACGCGATACCATCACCTCCAGCGCGACAGGTACCAGCGGTGGATACTACTACCAATTCTGGACCAATGGCGGTGGTACCGTTGAATATACCAATGGCGACTCGGGCGAGTACAGCGTCACCTGGGAAGACTGTGGGGACTTCACATCCGGCAAGGGATGGCCAACTGGTAGCGACCGGTAAGAACATGTCTTCTTGCCCCAAGGCCAACATATAACTTACAAACTCTCCTCTTCAGCGACATTACCTTCGAAGGAAGCTTCGAGCCTTCTGGAAACGCATACCTTTCCGTTTATGGTTGGACCACTAGCCCACTAGTCGAGTACTATATCCTCGAGAACTACGGCGATTACAACCCCGGTAGTTCGATGACATATAAGGGAACTGTTACCAGTGATGGATCTGTTTATGATATCTACGAGCACCAGCAGGTTGACCAGCCCTCTGTCAGCGGTACCGCAACTTTCAACCAATACTGGTCGATTCGTCAGGATACCCGGTCAAGTGGCACTGTTACCACAGCCAATCACTTCAATGCTTGGGCCGATCTTGGCATGGATCTTGGTACGAGCTTCAACTACCAGATTGTCTCTACTGAAGGTTATGAGAGCAGTGGTTCATCCACAATCACTGTGTCCTAAGCTTAGTACTGGCTAGGGAAATGTATCTCGGAGAATTTTGGTGGCAGGAGAAGGCTACCTGAAATATGATAGGTGATTATCTGTTGCGACTTCCCGAGTTATGTATCAAGGATTCGAATTTGCAAAAGAGATCGGAAGAAGAAACAGATGCGGCACGTCCCGATCCCGAAAATTCTTGAATGAACGAACCTTGAAATCAATACACGTAGTAACACAATAGTAACAAAGATAACCCCGGATGATCGTCAGGGTATTTCGATATTATCCAACCCCTGCTACAGTTTTCTGCCACGCTGCTTTGCTGAAGACTTTTGTGAGCCTACAAAATGTGGGGAGATTTGAATGCGGGGCCCCGCATACTTGAAGTGGACCCGAGAGGTGAACTTGTGGGTACGGGTTCTCCTCTCCAGACTGTAAGCGATACAGCTCGCTTACATCCAGCGCTTTGACTTCGAATCCCACTTGCTGATCTGAGATAAACTATCACTCGGACGTATCTCTACCGGGCACCGAAGTCCAGAATGCGGAGAACTTGGGGTTGAAATCATGGAGGGCGACAGGATTGCTGCCCGCCACGCCGCGAGAGGATTCCAGCCCCAAGAAGAATTCTTCAAGTACGCTTTCGGCATCTTACAACTTGGGAGCTATGCGATATAGAATCAATAAGCTCCACAATATACAGTCTACCTGTGGAATTTCCATTGGAAACGGGCATTATCTTTTCACGAGCCTCGGTTCAACTGGTCTCTGATTACCTTGCAAGGAGCTTCATCCTAGAATCGCATGCGTGGCGTAGCCCCGCTTGGAGCTATTTGTCATGAACTGCATGTTAAATGCTCTTCAAGTCGGAATCACTTGTCGGCAAAAGATCTAATACTGCAGAAGGCTCACGTGTTACTAGTGCCCCACATATTCGGTTTAGTATTACTCCGTGTAGGACTCAGAACTTCTCTGTAGAGGTAAAATATAAGAAGAACTCGAGTCGCGGAGCCAGGTGTTCCTTTTCAAGAGCGCAGCTTTATAGGAGTTCGCATCATCATTCTTCATGCGTGCTCTTTATTTATTTCCATTGGCCACATTGGCTATTCCGGGAGTTTTTTCAATTGGCACGAATGACCAAGTAGATCCCGATCTCGACTATGGAACATTTCAAACCCCATCCTCATCTGTGAGGCCTCGCTTCCGGTACTGGGTAAATGATGCCTCAATGAACCTGAGTGTTCTCGCTGAGGATGTGAGATCCATCGGAAAGGCGGGTGCGGGGGGCATTGAGCTTCTCGGGTACTATTTATATGGAGATAGTCCATCTTATGGTGGGGCAAATTCTGCGCCTTTGCAAACTGATTGGACTGTTTATGGCTTTGGTGGTGCTCCATGGAGTAAGATTGACACACCTGCCATTGGAACCTTGAACCGAATCTGACCATTACAGAGGAAATGGTCGACACCATCCTTGAAGTAGCGAAAGAGGAAAGCCTGGTGATTGACTTTGCTAATGGGCCAAACCAAGGAGCAGGTGTTCCGGCACCTTATAACAGTGATGGTCTTCTTTGGGATCTCGCCGCATATAACTCAACGTTTTCAAGCAGCAAAGGCTTCAAGAGCACATTGCCTGGTTGGGGATCTGGTCGTTTCATTGCAGCTACCACAGGAACTGTCAAGTCAAGCACTGCTTCAGAGGCGGTGCTTTATGAAAGTTCTCTACAGGATGTTACCAGCATGGTGAAATCGGACGGGCGCCTAAAAGTTGAGGCAACCAGCAATTCTGAAGGAACTGAAAGCCTTGTCTTTGCATACTACCTCATACATTCCCGTTACCGTGAGGCTCCAGACCCCACTGATCCATCAATTGTGACAGCAGTACCTCAGTCCCCAGTCACAGAATACTCTCAGAACGGATCATGGGTTGTCGATCATTGGTCCGCTGCCGGTGCGCAGGTTGTGGCCAATTTCTGGAAGCAGTCTATATTGGATAGCGAGATTGGACAGCTCCTTCGAGACGTTGGAAATTATCTATGGGAAGATAGCCAGGAGTTCAGTGTTGCCACCTTCTGGACACCTGACCTTCAGAAGAAATTCCTCTCCAACCGAGGGTACAGCATCAACAAATATATACCACTTGTCGTGGGTTCTGGAGGAACGACGTCCAATATCACGTATGTCACGGACGAGATCGATGCGGGTGCCAATCACATCGTAGACTACCAACAAACAGTTTGTCTCTCATGTTCACTCCCCACATGAAGCACTCCGCTAATTCGAATAGCTTACGGAGCTCAATGCTGAATACCTCGACGCTTTGACTGAATGGAGCAATGACTTAGGAGTCCAGTTCTCAGCCCAAGTTGTCTATAACCTTCCGATGGACATGCTCGCTAATATCCCGCACGTCAATGCACCCGAATGCGAAACGCTTGGTTTCAGCGAAAATATCGATGGATACAGACAATTCAGTGGCCCTGCAAACCTCGCAGGAAAACGCGTGATCTCAAGCGAGGCGGGTGCAATATTTGGTGAGGCTTACCAGCAACCAATATCCGAGCTCCTTTGGACATTTAAGCGCTCTTTTGCTGGATCCGTCAACAGTTTCATTATCCACGGATTCCCAAATTCCGGAAATTATGGAAACACGTCCTGGCCTGGCTTTACGACTTTTATGTATGAATTTTCGGCCATGTATGGACCTCGTCAGCCTGCTTTTGCTTTCTATTCGGATTTTCTGAACTGGGTCTCGAGGAATCAGTTCATCCTGCAGACTGGTATTCCAAAAATTGATGTTGCGTTTTGGTCAAAGTCGACGACCTACAAAAGTGTTCCAACTAGCTATGCACCTGTGGACTTGCAAGAAGCAGGTGAGAATTTTCGTTTCCTTCAGCCTGGGTTTCCCTATACTGACCAATTCTACACAGGCTATACCTACGAGTACCTAAGCCCAGACAATTTTGCGCTCCCTGAAGCTTACGTCTCTGATGCCGCTTTTGCTCCGAACCGACAAGCATTCAAAGCGCTCATTGTTCGGTCTAACGAGACTCTCACGACCTTGGGTGTCAACAAGCTTGTTCAATATGCGCATGCTGGCCTTCCAATTATCTTCCCAGGTGGATTACCATCAAACTTCAGTGGATACCACCCAACTGCAGCGACCAAGGCTATCAAGTCATTAAACAGTATTAAGTCTTTGAAAAATGTTCACTTGGTCAAGGCAGATGGCCTTGCGGATACGCTTGAGTCTCTAAATATCCTGCCACGAAGTTCTGTCACGGCAAATGGCACATGGTATACAATGTGGAGAGAGGAAGCAGCCAACGCGAAATCTTATATCTACGTGTACAATGATGCGACTGGTCTGTCTTTCGAAAAAGGCATGACATCTGGCAGTGTATCATTTGAAAGTACCGGTGTTCCATTCTTCTACGATGCATGGTCGGGTGAAGTGACTCCCATTTCTTCTTATACCCAGTCCAAGACGCACACAACTATCCCTCTCCAATTAGCTGGCAACCAAACTGCAATCATCGGCTTTGACAAGAATGCCAAGTCTAGCGTCCACATCCAGGATACCACAATCCCCGTACTTCCCACGACAAGTGACACCGAGTCTCTCACTGTCCTCAGATCGTTTGATCAAAAGTCACGTGAAATTAGACTCTCCACTGGAAAGAAAGCATCTCTCTCATCAATGTCCACCAAGCCCTTCACTTTGGACAACTGGAAATTGAACGTCGAGTCATGGACACCTCTGCCAGACTTTTATAACGCGGAAGGCGCAACTCGCACTAATCAAACATTCCACATCCCAAGCCTTGTTCCTTGGAACCAAATCTCCCACACTTTGGCCAATGTCTCAGGAATCGGATACTATACAACGGCCTTCACATGGCCTCCAGCATCCTCATCCAGTGTGTCAGGTGCTTTCATTGACCTTGGCGCAATCACGCACACGGCTCGTGTGATGATTAATGGACACCATTTGCCACCGCTAGATATTTCCTGGGCTAGAGCTGATATTGGGTCGTTCCTTCAGCATGGGAAGAACATCGTGGAAGTCATTGTCAGCACAACATTGGGGAATGTGCTCCGGACTTATTGGGATGAGCTCGAGACAAGCGGGAAGCTTGCATCGGCCGTCGTTGCTGATCCACCAACTGAGGAGGGTTATGGATTGGTTCATCCTGTAAAAATTATACCTTACCGCAAAGACAAGATAGTGTAGTCTGTACGCGTGATCTTTGATGTCCTAATAATAAAGTTCACCATCCATCTGAAAAGAATGCATTAATTAGGAAATAGGGTATTGGAAATAAAACAGAGCGCCAACTCAGCTAATTAAAATCATGGATGAACGCGGAGATATCGTCGGAAAAGTCCTTTTCTTCAGGGGGGGAAAATTCCTGGATTTTTGTAATGGGAAAAACTGCGACCGGGGCAGGAACCGGTGGAGGGATGTGATCTTCAGTGGCATCGATGATTGCACCACGAAGAGCGAGCTGTTGTCTTCTATGCAAGGCCTGCTGGCGGAAAAACAAAACCTCTTTGAACCTGTGCGGGAGCTAAGGTTAGCTTGATTCTGTTTGATGGTTTAAGGGGACGCACACTGCGGTTTTCCAGGCATCGATATTCACTTCGGCGTTATCGAAACGCCAGTCAAATGGTGTGTCTACTACCGGCTCGTCCGTGGGGTCGTGGTAAGCTGCCACGTAAGGGTGCAATAGCGCGTTCTCTGCGCTGATGCGCTCATCGACGTCGAAGGAAAGCATTTTCTCAAGGATATCGATAGCTGCATCTGTAAGTTATTGAATCGATCATTTAGGCCTTAGTGACCGCCTACCTTCTTGATCCATCTCGGGGAATGTCTCTTTCAATGGCTGTCGCTCGCACTGTGGAAGAGACTGGACAAAAGCTCTCGTCTAAAACATTCCGTTAATATCAGCGAGCTATTAAGTAGCAGAGTAGACAGGCGTACATTCTTATTCTTAATCCTTTCCACTATACGTTTCGATGGATTGCCCAGCAATTCAACGAAAAGGGTAAATTGATCAGGATAGTTGTTAGCTGGAAATAATGGAGTCCCTCTCAGCATCTCTGCCAAAATGCACGCAGCGCCCCAGATATCCACTTTTTCGGAATATTCTTGCCAACTAAGCATGATCTCTGGAGCACGATAGTATCTCGTTGCGACATAACCGGTCATTTTGATGTCTTGAACTCGAGCATGACCAAAATCGCATATTTTCAAGTCGCAATTCTCATCAACAAGTATGCTAGTTGGTTTCAGGTCACGGTGTATGATGCCGGCCGAGTGAACATATTTCAATCCACGCTATTTTCTTTAATTGTTGTTCAAATTTCAGTATATTGGGTATTGAGTTGACATACCAGAATTTGATATAGAAAGCATTTTGCAAAGTCGTTATGGAGGGGACCTTTTGAAATGAGGACTTGCAGATTAGTCCACATTAGATCCGTCACAATATATCTATAGAAGTTAGCGAGATCCATGGAAAAACAGAGTGCCTTGGAGGTGTTTCCGAGACATACAAATCTTCTTTCTGAGAAATGAAGACGTCGGCAAGACCGATTATCTATTATTACATCAGCCACATGGCTTCACGCATGAAATGATACCTGGGTCAGGAAACTAACATTTTCATGTCGCATATATCTTAGAAGTTTCACTTCTCGAAGGGCATTCTTCGCCAGCGTAGAAGACCCAAACGGTCTAGTGATTTTCTTGATAGCGACCAGTTTGTTAAGAATGCGATCCTTTGCGGAGCTAGATATATTGGTCAGTCATAATTTTCTTGCAAGCAGACACATTGACACGGACGTACCAAATCAGCCCAAATGCGTCTAGCTCAACAGGCAATGGATCCGAATAGCTACGAACGGATTAGCTTTAGCCTAAGCGGGCCGGTAGTCATGGCCTCTAATTACCGAGAGGTGAGCTCGAACTTGACGCCCATAATAGGCGTGCAAACAAATTCCGACATTCCTGCCCGACTTTGCGTCGACAAAAGCCGCAAAGACAGCCCCAACTGTTATAGAAAATGGAATGGGGTGATCAGACGCACGCGAATGCGGACAGGGAAAGCTAGACGTACAACAGGAACTGATGGGCGTAGATCTCTCTTGAATGGGACGCACGGGTTCAACTTGCTTTTTGGATCGCCCTATACCCTAAACAGTCCCTGGCCCAGACCTTCTTCATTTTCCAGGATGTTCAACCAATAAAACACATCGGAAAAGATTCCCAAAGGGTTCAGCCACAACAGAGACGGCAAATGTCTTGATACACATGGGAGATATGATTGGCTGGTCTGAGTTGCCGGCAAAAACTTGGAAGTTGAATGACATCCTGTTTTGGGTCCCGCTACAGGGCATCCACTTAACTGAGTGTACACCCTCTACAAGATTACTAATTTCTTTCTGCTGAAATAATTATATAATCTGTATACTCTCTGTACTATATCGCCACCAGTATTGTAATATGTCCAATAATCGGTTACATCGTTCCGCTCAATCACTTGAAGTACACGCTTAAGGATAGAATTGCATAAATTATGCAAAATTGGAGCATCTGTCGCTTTTAATGCTTCATATATTGCCGTTTTGAGTACTGGAAGATCGATATAATGTAATTGTGATATAATACTGTATTTGAGAGACAAGCTGGTATAATATATCAGGTAAGCGGTGTATGAGTTCTTCTCACCGCCCAAAGGGGCTGTACACTCAACGACCTCGGGAAGTGGCTGCCCCGTAGTCTTGTCGGGGCTTAGCGCTTCATCTATACATCGCAGGCCTGGGATCGTTCCTTGGTTTCATGTTTCTGCCTCCTTGATTTTTGCCCTTGATTCGTAAACTGATCGGCTTGTTCCCCTCTCACTTGCCACAATGTGGGTCATCGGAAGTGATGCCGATTCCAACATAATCATTGAATGTACCCCTGCTGTGCCACAGCTTCCAATGATTCTGATTGCTTCTCGCCCTTCCGCCAATCATAGACCCCAGGACAAGATTTCTCCGCAGAATCAACAGAATCGTCATATGTTGATCTCATGTGGAATCCCCGCTATGGATCGCAGCGACCGGCTGCGATCTTCTATTTTTTCCAACACTGTCCTCTACACTCCATAGTCCTCTTTAGCAGCTCCCATCCACGTTACTCTACAGTGCCGATGGATCGTTTAAGTGCATCTAAACGCTACACGAAAAACACCCGCCATTAACCGATATCACGGGGCTATACCGAAGCCTGGGCGACATCCCGAGTAACTCGATATTTACTGGCTCGCCCGGCAGAACACCGACTATGTCCTCCCCTTTGAGCAGAGCCGAAGACCACAGTGCTGGACGTCGAAATAGGGAGGTTTATCGTTATTTTCGACCAGAGCGCCTCTGCCCTATCGATGAAGACTCGACAGCTGGCAGTGACAATGGCTTGGATCAAGAGCTTCTTCGGCCTTCAGCTACATCGGCCTCTCGAGGTCGTTCGCCATGCAGTCGATCACAATCCCCAAATCCTCCAACATTGCCGACGGAGCCGGTAGCGAATTCTCTTAGTCCGATGCCTGAATCTCTAGTCCTTGGCGATGCAAACACAACTTTAAATTCCTTCGCGCAGCTGGCTGCACTGCGACTGGGTGTGGATCGCGCCTTCATCAGGTAAAATTCATCTTGAAAACTTATACGCACCTTTTGTATTAACGGTATTCTCGCCACTAGTGTTTCTGACAGGGACTCACAGTACATCATCGCACAAGGCGGTCAGACTGTGGAAAGTACAACCAAGTATGACTCAATCGGAGAAGGTCTATATGCAGGCTGTTCGACACTTGATATATCCACGTGGAGCATGTGTCAGGTAAATCGCATTTTGAATCTGGTCCAAACCAGCGTTTCGTGGGACTGTTTGACTTACATTTATGATAGGATACCGTCGCATTGCCTCAATCAGATCGGGGACAAGGGAAATACAATTTTGTCGTCTCGGACGACATGGCTCAGGACGAACGCTACCAGCACTTGCCCCTAGTGAAGGAGAAACCTAACTTTCGATTCTATGCCGGGACACCCTTGACCACAGACAGCAACATCAACGTCGGTTGTCTCTTTGTTCTCGACACGAAGCCACACTCGGAATTCTCTAGCAAAGACAAAGTCTCAATGGGTCACATGGCAATGTTGATCATGGACTTCCTCAAAGTCAGTCGCCAAGCCTCGGAAGGCCGGCGTGCGGCCCGCCTATTGAGAGGAATAAATCATTTCGTTGAAGGCCGATCAACCCTCGTCGATGATACCGGAAGCACTGGAAGTTTACATCCCCAGTCTGCTGATGCGTCCAGGAGCAGAAAGAAAAGTCGTCATCGGAGGAACAGCAGTGTATCTTCCCTCTGCTCTCGCTCCAGCAGTAGCAGTGCACATTCATTTTCCGATTCCGAGCCATATGGCCCATCCTCCTCCTCGAGTTACAGCTCAGCAAATCCGAGTGAACCAGAGAAAAGCCAAAGTTTCACCGACAACAATATGGGAAATTCGTGGACATTTCGACGTGCCGCAAACATTATACGCGAGAGCCTCGAGCTCGGCGGTGACAGTGGTGTGGCCTTCTTTGAAGCGGGCAATGACTTCATGCTAGATCGCAACAGCGACAGTGAGTTGTCTAGCTCTTTTGAGACCGGCAAGTCTGCTTCTCTTCTTGGCCTTTCTACGGCCAACTGTTTGTACGGTCCATTTGAAGATTCGGCTACATCATATCCCGTCTCAAACATGGATGAGGAATTCTTGCACCGTCTTCTGAATAGATATCACCAGGGAAGAATTTGGTCTCTTCATCGTGACGGCCAACTTTCTAGCTCCGACAGTGAGGATGGGTCTCAGAAACGGTCTACCTCGAGAAGAAATGCCACTCAGTCTGTGCCTTCTAAAGGTTCGAAACGATGGAAATTCAGGGAGAACAACATGCTGAATCAGTACTTCCCTGGTGCTACTCAAGTCATGTTCGTTCCATTGTGGAGTCCCGCTAATTCGCAATGGTTCGGTGGCTTTTTCTGTTGGAACAACGTGGAGAGCGATGTTTTCGACCCATCAGTGGAACTCAGTTCCTTATTGAGTTTCGGATCCTCAATCATGTCTGAATGTAGCCGGGTTGAATCTCTAATATCAGACCGTCAAAAGGCCGATTTTCTTGGGAGCATATCGTAAGTCTACCTGAATGATTTTATTATATACCCCAAGTAGCTAATTTTATTGTGTAGGCACGAACTACGAAGTCCTCTTCATGGAGTTCTTGCAGCGGCGGAGATTCTGCAGGGCTCCGATCTCAGTCAATACCAGAGTTCTTTGATGGATACTGTCAACGCTTGTGGTAGGACTTTGCTGGATACTATGAACCAAGTTTTGGATTACAGCAAAATCCTGTCTCTAGAGAAACGATTCCGACATCTTGATCGACGGATGATTTCAAGCTTGGAGCGCAAAAGCATGCACCGGTCTGCAGCACACCTTGATAAATATGCCGCAACAGACCTCTCACTCATAGCCGAGGAAGTGGTGGATGGAGTCTGTTTGGGCCAACACCATATTCAAAATTTCTCCTCGTCTTCCCATATCCTGACATCTATTGACACAAAGCACGATACGGCTGGTGCAAATCCATCAGCCCCAAAGGTCAAAATCACACTCGACATCTCGCCCAATGACTGGGTTTACAACATTCCTCCCGGGGCTATACGTCGCATAATCATGAATATTTTCAGCAATGCGATCAAATATACAGAAGCAGGTCATATCTCCATGCGATTGGAGGCTGACAGCTCGTCCTCCCGACACAATACTCAAGAAGACATGATCACTTTGACGGTTTCTGATACTGGCAAGGGTATTTCAGAAGAATTCTTACGATCTAGACTTTTCGTTCCCTTCATCCAAGAGGATTCTCTCGCTAGTGGCTCTGGTCTAGGTCTGTCCATTGTTCGCAGTTTGCTCAAACCTCTCGGCGGAAACATCAGCTTCCAAAGTAAGCCAGGAGTCGGAACGACGGTTAAGGTTACTTTGCCTCTGGTCCATCCAGAGCAAGAATTTGAAGCGTATTACGGAACCACACCGCCCCCCGCACCCGAGCGACCCGCATTATCAACTTGTGCCCTTCTGCGTGAGAAATACGCTGGACGAACTGTCGCCTTTGAGGATGTTTCTGACAAACCATCTTGGGACGTTTTATCATCCTACCTAACCGACTGGTTTGGTCTCAAGGTGGTCTCGCCTTCATCGAAAGCACCACTCGATATCATTTTCCTTGAATCAATACCATCTGAAGGTGATGCTAGCAGCATATTCTCCGACCAGAATTCATCTTTCTTCATGTTGAGCGACTATCATATTGCCCACGACTTGATACAAGTTGTGACCGCATTTGGACCTCGAAATGTGCATGTAATCAACAGTCCATGCGGTCCGCACAAGCTTGCTCGAATATTGAAGGGTTGCCTCGATGGGAACGCACCCAACATAACGAGAAAGCCAATTGTTCTCCCTGAAAGATCTTCAGAACAGGCCAAACCTGCAGATGCGACAAGTGAGGACCTCATTTCGGAGAAGGAAACCCAAGCCACAGACACAGCTCCGGCAGTTCCTGCACAACAGGCCGAACCCCCAACAAATCCTACCTCGGAAACCCCCGAGGCCGCAACGGAAAAGCCAGGCGCCCGGATTCTGGTAGTCGAAGACAACAAAATAAACCTCAACCTCATGCTCGCTTTCCTTAAGAAACGTGGTCTAGCGGCCTTAGACTCTGCAGAGAACGGCAAGGCAGCCGTATCAGCCGTGAAAGAAGAGCAGCAGGGATATGACATCATCTTCATGGGTAGGTTCCCACCCTGTAAACATACTAAACTTGATGCTAATCAGTCAACAGATATATCAATGCCAGTCATGAATGGGTTTGAGGCCGCGCGAACAATTCGTGCCTTTGAAAAAGGACGAGGGGATGGATTGAAACGATCGAAGATAATCGCCCTCACCGGATTGAGCAGTGTGTCTGATGAAATGGAAGCCCTTGATTCTGGGATCAACCTATTCCTGACAAAACCTGTTGCGTTCAAGGAGGTTCAGAAGATTTTGGATCGTTGGGATCGAGGGGAAAGTGACCCAGAACAAGAGGATGCAGACTCTGAGTGAGTCTCTGGGGTCTATATTTCGAGAACTCGACTATTTTTAACGACTTTAACGAATCGTATGATAAATGTACATATATTTCCACGATCAAACATTATCTTCCTGTTAGGACTCGCAGAGTCTTGAGAACCTTTCGAACCGTTAATTGAACATGGCGGCTATGCTGTAATCGTTGCAATGAGTAACAAACACCAGTGCTCATAAGTTCGAAAAAGTCAATACTGTGGAACATTGAAGTTGCAAATAAGAATTCACGGTGGGGAAGGAGGATCGGTGGGGGTGGGGGCGGTGGCCGATAAGCTATCCACGGATGACAACATGTGGACTAGCGTCGATCCTGATGTACAAGTAAGGGGTACATCATGCATCAACCAGCCGACGAGGTGCAGTGGTTAGCACGGTCCCCTCATAACCGCCCCATGGTCGATGACTGGTAGGGCCGAATGCTCAGTTGTCTTATTTCTGTTTTTCCCTTTTGTTATTCTCCGCAGTCGGAGATCGTTGTATTTGCTCCTCCTCTTGTTCCTTATCTCGTTCCTCATCTTTCATTAGTTGTTCTGGATTACTCTTCGAGGAGGAATGTTTACCAATGTTTCATGATAAGACGCTGTGATCGATAATATTTGTACTTGAATTCTGAATTTTGTGCCTTATCTAGAACTAACAACGTGTGCTTTCAACCAAAATTGCGTGTTTTGGAATTCATTCCTTAAGAATACAGAACTTGATCATCTCAAAATTATATCCACACAACGCCCTCACACAACTATAAACACCCTTCATATCATGAAAATTACACTCATAGATATTATTGTACACCTTGAACAGTCCCAACAGTCAGATTCCACAGCAAATCGCTATAATCAAATGCAGTGAGCCCATCTAGATCCTTCTCCAGAGAATTGACTCTCTCGGACTTGAGAAGCAAATCAGCCACACCGGGACTATCATGCATGAAAGCAACATGGAGCGGCGTTCTCCCAATGTCGTCTTTGGCATTGACAAGTACCTTGTCAGACTCAAGCATGCATCTGACAAAGGGTGCATTTCCGCTCGAACAAGCATAATGCAGCGGTGTTTTTCTGTCGAAATCGCGGGCATTTGCGTCGACTTGGTCATAGCTCAAAAGAAGTTTCGTCATTTCTTCATCGCCGTATTGCGCGACTGCGTGCATAACTGTCCATTCATTAAGGTTTCTAATGCGCCCATTGACTTTGAATGGGGGATCAATTTGGCCGGAGTCTATGAGGACTTTCAAAGTTGCTGTATTTCTGCTTTTGACGGTTTGGTGGATCGGCGTGATCATTTGTTCGTCCTCTTGGTCTGCGTCTGTGTGGTTCAATTGGAGGAGGACTTGCGTGATTTCGCCTGTCCGGTCATGTTTGGCGGCGAGGTGGAAAGCGGTTTGACCGTCTCGGTTTTTGGTGTTTGTTTTAACTTTGCCTGAACTGAGAAGTCTTTTTGCGATGGCATTATTGCCTATGATCACAGCTTTGTGGAGAGGTGTTAATCCGTGCAAGTCCTCTTGCTCATCGAGTAATGTTGACGAGGACTTGAGGAGAAGTCCGGCGATGGGGTCAGTATCCAACGACTCAAGGGCCATGTGTAGTGGTGCCCGGCCAAAGTTGTCCTTGGCATTGAGATTAGTCCGTGTTGATTTGATGAGAATTTCGGCGACTGAGTTGTGTTTCCTTTGAATTGCAACATGAAGCGCATTCTGTCTGTTTTTGCTCGACAAGTTGGTGTCTACAGTGCTTATACCGAGAATGTATGTGACGATAGCTTCATGCCCGGACGCAGCAGCGAGAAAAAGAGGTGTTTGGCCAGATTGGTCGGCTGAATTTGGATCAATTTTGCCAGATTGGAGGAGTACCATCAGGATTGATTCGATGCCTTTTTCAGCCGCAAGAAGCAATAACGTATGGCCGTCGCTAGTATTAATATCCAGCATAGTGCCACCAAGTAACCGAAGTAACAAATTTTCTATCTCAGGGGACATCGCCTGTTTCAGGTGTCTCAGCGTGGAGACGGCGTGATGTAGGCAGTTGGACTTTGCATATGATAGAAAGCAAAATTTTTGAACGGATATTGACTCATGTCTGGGACGCAGCTGTTCCAGGGTTTTGCCCAAGTCAAAGCCTGGGGTTTTTCTGAGCTTCAGAAGGCTCATTGCCAGGTCCCGGACAACATTCGGGACTTCGAAGACCGATTCCACAATTTTTGCAGGCGCCGAATCAACCTGTAGGGTTTTGTTCACCCGAGTTGATATTTGGGTCTCAAAGACGCCGTAGTTTAGATAGGTTATGGCGATATCAGCCATCTTCCGTTCTGCTTCCTCGAGCGTGAATTTTGTGTTCATGAGCTCTGAATCCATGTCCTCTGACCCAATCAAGTACTGTCTCACACTACTATGAACAAGCCGCACGGTATTTTCTTCTTCGTCAATTGTGAGTAAGCCACCGCAGCACGTCAGAATGCCGAATATATCATTCACAAGCTTTGACGGGTTCCATGTAGGATCGCCTGGTTCCACACTCAGGGCCTCCCGCAATTCCCCGGGTTTCAAGGGATGCCGAGCTGCAACGATTATTTGCAATATTGACCTTTGATGTGTTCTGGCTACATTCGAGTCAAACCTTCGAAGAATGCGATCGAATGTTTCGGAGAGGGTACGCGGGAGATCGACTAGTGCTTGACGAATCGCCTCATCGGTGCACATTGTGCAAAGGTTATCTATCTGGAGAGCCACCCAGAGAAACATCCCTTGGGATCCCTTCAGTAGAGCATCTTGTATTTCCAAGATGAGTAGCGGATTTCCAATCGTCAACTTTCCCGATCGAATGCAGAGTTCCAACTCCGTCTCAATAAAAACTTCAATATCGCTGGCGTTGTCAGGGATTGCAGCAATTTCGGCAGACTCCAATCTCTCCCACGCTAGATCAATTCCATATAAATCACGGGGCTCTTTCCGGACAGAGGCACAGAGCAGCAGTGATATCCTTTGTTGAAGCCATCGGAGTTCTTGGATCACAACCTGTCTGTCCGCAGTTTCAAACTCGTCTAGGCCATCGATCACAAGATAAGCCTTGAGGTCCGGGGGGACGCAGGTTTCAATCAGGCGTCGTATTGTGTTAAACTCATCGGGCTCCCCTTTGAAGTCAAAATTGCTGACTTTGTCTGCCATTCCAGGTATTGACCAAAGCAGCTGTCGTGCTATCGAGCCAATAATGTTTCGAGGCTTCAGACTATCTGGAAGATCATGCCTGCTGAAGAAAAAAGCCACAGTGGTGTTCTGCCCCTGAGTATTCAGGTTCAGATCATCAACTATATTTGCCAACAGTACTGACTTGCCTGAGCCCAGTCTACCCGTAAGAACCAAAGAGCATGATGAGGCTCGCTCTCGCCAGTCGATATATTGCGGACATTGATAGAACAGGGTCGTATTACCCAGCCTTCGGGCTTGCTTCCATGGCGCCATGTAGTCGTATGTGGAACAAAACTCCAGAGCTGCAAGATAGGCTTTCATCTGGCGCTGATGAGTAATTTCCTTTGAATATTTCCTTGACCAGAGTTGGGTAGTAAAGCTGGCTTGCTCCTCAATTCTCTGGGCCATGAGGTAGTTCACCTCATCTTTGATGTCCTTGGCTCGAGTCTCCAGTTGAGTCAGGAATGTCTTCAGATCTGAGTCGTCTAGCGTCGCACCTATCTTCCCCAGGGTCGACTTTCGAGTAAACTTAAGGATGCAATGGCAAAGCCGAACAACGACCGTGAAATAATCAAGCAGGAGGGACTGCAATTCCTTGGACCGAGGATACAGAAGAGCAAGCTTCTCATAACGTGGCGCTGAGCGCCCAATGATCATGAAGATATTGGATATCTTCTCAAAATATGTTGAGAAATTCAGAACCAGCTGAGAAATTTGTGAGCAATTGCCTTCCGAATGTGACAAGGAATGCATATTTCAGTGAGCAGTCGGGATGTACAGACCGTTAAGGATGTCCGTACCAGTGCCCAGACCCCACTAGCCACCAGATTTTGGGTTCCCCCAACAATAATGTCGCCCAGGGAAACAAATTGCTGAACAGATTGCAGAAAGCTGGTTGTTCTGGTACCCAGGCAGCGACCACGTATTTTGGTGGATAATTGTTCATCGATGTCCGCGGTGAGCTGCATCACATCTTGAATCGATGGAGCCTTCTCACATGCGCGAGACCTGCAGCGATTAAACGCCTCTTTTTGGTCTCGTGTCAGATCAGCTTCGTACTCAGACACTGCTTGCGCCAGGCGGATGGCAGGCTTCAAGCGCGGAGCAGATATCAGACCATGCGGCATACTAACCATCTTGAGTGATGGTGGCCCAGCATGAGAATTGAAAGTGCATTAGTAACTTTGCGGAGTGAATAATTTGGCTGTCGTGATTAAGCTAATTGATGGGTGGCCGGGGTGGGTACTCGTCAGGAACGAGGCCAATTGTTGGGGTCTAGAAAGCGCAATGTTCGGTTCACCGCCCACAGCAAAAGTCGCATACATGTAACGCAGCGGGGCAATGTCAGGTTATAACATCAAGCTGACAGGAGCATGGTCGGAGCGAAGGGTTCCCGCGTCGTTATGAATAAAGATCACCTGATCTCGTACCATGTCCGCGCAAAGTCATAAATGAGGAATCGATCGCTATGTAGATCCCCTTTGCACAGCCACCTAGTACATGCAGGCACCTGGGCACTGGTGCTATTTTTACAACATTGGAAGGCGTATGCTCGCTAGTCAAAGTATTTCCCCAGATCAGTTTCTGGGCCTACCCCATCAATTATATGTATTCACTAAACAATCCATCATACCATCATATATTACTGAAATTCTGTAAAATTGAACTATCTCTTAATATATTATGTAAAAATTCCACCCTAAGCTTTCTAACCACTAGTAATTGTCTCGTTAGCCTTAATACTAACACATTAATTTTTAGGTATAGTATTACTCACCAAAATTCTGCTACATACCCCTGAAGGTACTATTAAATACTATTGTATATTCCTCTATTAATAAGCTTTAGATAAAACCTAAGAAGTTCCTATTTTAATAACATGTAAATAATGTTGAGGGGGTTTGCAAGCTCAGTGAATGCCTCGGCGGGTCCTCCATATTTACATATAAACTTTCAAACCGCTCTATCGTCACCAAAAAGCTATATGAGTCTTCGAATTATCTTATCAAAATACTTCTCTATAGTTATGGATTAAAGTAAGACTTTGTTGAAGCGAGCCCTCTTAATACTGAGTGGTACATGCCTTCCCAATAAGTTGGTTGGTGGGTTGACCCTACCGGACCCGCACTTGGGTAAATACTTACGGTCCCCATTGTAGTTTATCAGCCATCTGAAGTATCTACCATGGTAGCCTATAAATATGAATTCAAGCCAGCAGTCAATCCAGATTGATGTGACGAAAGAAGCCAAGATAAACGGGGCTTTTGTTTACTTACATCAACCACGGGTCATACCCGCTATGTAGTGGAATCTCCCCCGACATCCGACCAATCAACTCCACCCCCATGCGCATCAACCACATGGAGGTCACGGAGGTCACCCTCTTCTTCTTTCTTCTTCTCCTCACTCCGCCTTCAACTTCGCTACCGCTTCTTGTCTTCTTCTTTTCGCCTCCTCCTGCTCCCGCACTTCTTCTGCCCGAAGCGTGTCCCACGCTTGTCGGGTCTTGATCCCCCATTGCCGGACCTTGTGCGGATCCTCGAGGAATAACATCACGAGGTCCCGAGTCGCCCTCGAGTCCTCCAGGGAACTGTGTCCTGACTTGCTATTTTGGATGGAGTACTGAAGGAGCTCTTGAGTCAGAAACTTCAGATTCCAGGTTCTCGGGGTGGGCTTTTCGGCAGGGAGTTCTGGAAACACCGCATCGCAGGTGAGAATCGACGAGTCGACAATGCGAAGGTGAATGAAGCGCAGGACGTTTAGATCATTTTGGAGTGCGTGCCCGATGAGCACGGTGTCAGAGTCTGCGATGCTGCGCAACCGATCTCTAGCCTCTTCCCACTGAAGTCCGTTGCCCGTGCGCATGGCCTCAGCCATTGCGTGACGAGTCACACCGCTGTATGAGGTATTCCAGTTGACCACTTCTCCCCTCGGCTGCACGTAGTGGTCGATGAGGATCTCACCAGTGAGGAAGTCGAGAGCAGTCAGAAAGGCGAGTTCTGAGCGGCCACCAGAAAGCGTCACCATCTCGCAGTCCATGGCGATGGCTTTCCTTTTTGACAGTCCTGGAGAGGGAGTGGGTAAGGTGACCAACTCTCCTAGTGGAATCGATTTTTCTGTCGTGTTCATCCTTTTCGCCGTTCCACCATATGGGATGGTGAACCGGTGGGAGAGAAGGGTACTTGCCGGGTGACACTTCGACATTAAATCGTCCAAGAGGACCTGAAGTCTTGGCGGAAGTGAGGCAGGCTGAATGACGGCGCCTGTGGAGTTTGTGATAGAGCCCAAGGGCTTTGTGACACGACCCAGACCCAGAGCTAAGAGACAATTGTTAGCATGAACGCAATTATCATGAAACATCTACCACTTACTCAAGAGGTTTATTGTTTTTGTTGCTGTTATGTCTGTATGCTGCATCACAGATCCTTGGTTGCTTGAGGTCGCAAGCGTTGATGCGCCAGGTGTTGGCGATTCTGTGATCCATGATTTGTCAAGCTGGGTTATTAACCGATCGGGCTCAATAGCCCATGAATCGGAATCAGCCCAAGGATCAGAGTGCACTATCCAAGGATCAGGGTCATTTTCAGCATCTTCAACAGCTCGACGATTCTCTTCGCGACGTCGTCGACCAGCCTGTTTATCGGAAATCATGCTCAAGCAGTTATGACGCGTCGAAAATACTAAATCCCACAACGTGGGAGAAAAAAGCATAGAAGCAAACGATTCATGCGATACTGCAAAGATGCAAATGTTGAAGATACGTTCGCTGGCCAACAATTAGGAACGTTACGTAGGGTCGAAGAAATATACCCAAAAGTGTAGGGGACGCTGTTGTTCTACGCTAGCCAAATATGGAGTATATGAGCTTCGCACCTTGATGTGACGGAGCTTTCAGCTCGTGCACGTTGTTATAAAAAAAATGATACTTGGGTACATTGTCACGATGATGTGACTACCGAATTAAGCATAAAGCTTTCACTACCACAGACCCATAGCTTTCAGCCTCACCCTTCACTTATTCTTGCCTCATTCTAATCCATGATAATCATAGCATTTCACTTGGTCGAGTGAGCTTCAACAACACCGATGATATTGTATCTTCATACCACTGAAATCCCTCCCACATAGACACTTCCTCGCATTCAACCGTAGATCAAATCTTCATATCACGTATCACAAATCTGCATCCCTGCTGTGAAACTGAACAAAACATAATTTCTTCAAACTGAGCGTTTCTCCTCCTCCGTAGCTTTAGAATCCCACATCAACAACCCACAACCAGGGCAATTAGTCGAGTGAATGATGGTCTGAGGCCAGGTTCGTGGAATTCGCATGCGTCTCGCCAGAGCGATTCCGATATCCTCCTTCTCAAGTACAAAATTCAGGCCCATGTAGGAAAGTTGGTTGGCACTTGGAAGGATTCCTCGTTCGTAGGCCCATACACATCCCTTACAGAAGTAGTGCGGAGTGGGATCAACATGAAGTCGTTCCACGTGTGGAAACCATGCGGCAATTGCACCGAACAAAGGATTGAAATTCTCATACAATGGTCGACGAGGGAAGGGAACTGTCAAAGGGTCACTCCCGAATCGGGGCAGAACAGAACGGAAGAACCGAAATAGCTCAGCATCCATGATCTCGAACGAGGTTGAATCGGGATTACGGTCTGGGGATTGGAGCTCACCCTGCCGCTGCATGTTCTCAACTGTTCCCCAGCGCTTGACGCCAGCCTCAAAAGCACATTTGACGGGAACCATGTACTCAACGTATGTCAACGCAAAGGGCCAGACAGCGGGACGGTATGAGTTTGGTTTCATGCGAATAATAGGGATGCGTCGGAGCTCAGGCATGTCGATTGCGAATGCTTTTTTGGCATCGTCCACCAAGATACACCAGTAATCCTTGTTTAGGTCACAGCAATTTGGGCAAATGCGTTCACATGTTGGAAGAAAGACGTAAGATCCACTTGCGCCGCACGATCTGCAGTAAGGGTACTGCAGCTCATTCCTGAAGTTGCCGAGACTGTTCCAGTATGCCAGTCCTGAGGCTGAGAGGATGTCGCGAATGTGAGAGGCGTGCTCCATCACCATCCTGTAGCTTGGGTGGTGATTGACTGCAATGCGAAGAAAGCGACAGCTACGGGAGAATCGCTCAATGGTTAAGAGATCCATGTGGTTGATGATCTCATGCATCACCTCCAGTGACAAGCAGCCGAGGAGCCCCAGGTTCACAGTAGCAACAGACTTAGGTTCCTTGAGGCTCGGAAGTGGCCTCAAGGTGCTAAAGATGTTGTTTGCGGCTTTGTCGTCGTATGTAATCAGATTCTTGAGAATTTCCTGGTCCCAGGTGAGTGGATTCGAATATTCCTTCCATTTGGAATGGGTTAGACGCGCGGTAACTTCAGGGTTGCTCAGGCCAGCGACGCCAGCGGGCATTCTTCGCGGAGCCGCCGCAAGTGCCAGTGGCAGAGGGGGAGGGGGAGCCATGTTCATGATGGCGGGAGTTGCTCGGGGAGTAGTTGAATGATCTAGGACGTGTTGGGCTATTAAACGCAAATTTCTAGTCTTCGATCAATCCCTAAGGAAATGTATGTATCAAGAGCAAGGATGTGGAGGTAATGTTCATGTGGATAAGAGGGGCGGCGATGAGAAAGAAAGTGAATTATGAGAGTGAGTCGCAAACCTTAGTAAATGACCGAATCAGGCATGTGTGATAGTTGCCTATAGTTGAGCTAAGCGCGTGGACCACGAGAATAATATATGCAAATAATGTTCATGTTATGTAGGTAAGTTGTATACATGGCCAGACTGGCGCTGAACGTAATATCCGAAGCGATAACTTCGAGAAATAATCATTTACTCCACCTCTTCCATGGGATTTGAGAGATGGTCAGTTCGGACGATGTAATCCTCGTCATCATCATTTAGCGCACCACCTTGCATTTCGTGCTCGTCATCTTCAACTGAGGCATCAGAGTCTGCACCGCTTGAGCCCTTGCCCTTTCTCCCAGCCACGCTCTTGCCTTTGCCCTTGCTGCTCGTTGTGGACTGACCACTGGCACTGCGAATCATTCCACCAGGCCACTGCTTCAAACCTTTGATGCGGCCATGAATGCTTCCTGGGTAGGTGCCATCCCCATTGCTGACAGCGATCTCATTCGGAGACTCAGGTCCTCCCAGATTGAATGCCTCCATGGCTTCTGCAATGGTCTGGGGGGCGGCTGCTGCGGGGTCCTGCTTCTGTTTATCGACTGACTCGAAGCTTTGACGGATGCGCTCGAAATGTTCGAGTTCCTTGGCACTGTTCACAATGTTAGTAAAATCCTGGATATACTTCTTCTGGGTACGTAAAAGTCTTACCTAACAGAAGGAACAAGCTCTCCTTGCGCCGCCACGAAGTCTTCTTCAGTTACATTGACACTAACATCCTCCGGTGTCGCGAGATGGTCGAAGAAGTACGCCGTAGTGACCGGACCGTCGGGGAGTTGCTTGATCTTGTCGTCCACCGCGGTGGACTTTCTTGTGATGGCTTTCAGCATGGCATCAGAGCAAAGAGCATACAAGTCGGCACCAGTGTAGGTTAGAGGGAGCTGCTCCGCAACACGATCCAAAGACACACTAGGATCGAGGACAAACTTTCGAGTAAGTGCCTCAAGAATTGTAGCCTGCTTCCTGTGCGTATCTGACACGCCCAGGTAAAGCATCTTGTCGAATCGACCAGGCCGAAGAAGAGCAGTATCGAGCAAATCGGGTCGGTTAGTAGCTCCGATGACGAAAACGCCACCACTGTTCTCCTCGCCGCCGTTCATCCCATCCAGCTCTGCGAGCAGCTGACTAACAATACGGTCCATGACACCGCCGCTGTCACCCTGGTTGCCACGCTTAGGTGCAACGGAGTCCAACTCGTCAAAGAACACGACACAGGGGCGGGCATCTCGGGCGCGCTGGAAAACTCGACGGACGTTGGCTTCAGATTCACCAATGTACATATTAAGCAGCTCTGGGCCCTTGACAGAGAAAAAGTTGAGGGAGAACTCGGTAGCAATGGCCTTGGCCAGCAGAGTCTTTCCAGTACCAGGAGGTCCATAGAACAGGATACCACTCCGCTTCTTCATGCCCTTGGCGAACAACTCAGGTCGCTCGAGTGGCAGCTGAATAGTTTCAACCAAGGCATCCTTCACGTTGCTCAGGCCACCAACGTCATCCCAGCTGACGTTAGGGATCTTAGGAGCACCAATAGAGTCGGCGAAGTTCTTCCGAGCAGCCTCAACTGCAGCATCAAAGTCAGCCTTAGTGACACCTCGGGCCCCTTCTCCCCCAGAGAGCAACACATCCCGTACAAAGACCTGTGATCCAGCGAGTTGTTTGCTTGCAGCCTCTGCAAGACCCTCTAGACGGGCAGTTCTAGCTGTGGCAGCTCGTTCCACGACATCGACCAAGTCTCCAGCAACCAGCGCTGCGGTCTTCAAAGCAACAGTTCCCAGCTCTACATCAGAAGACAATTTGATGCCGCGTTCTGCCACTGCGTTCCGAAGAATGCCTTCACGCTCCTTCTCTTCCGGTGCTCCCATCTCAAACTCATGGGTGAACATGCTGCGAATGCCTTCCGGAATTTGCTCGACATCTGTTGTCGTGGCGATGATAACTCTAGCTTCGTTCGCGATGTCAGTCATAGCAGTAACCATTCGGTCTGCTGTCAAGACTTCAATATGCTTGATAAGCAAGGCAGTGCAATTCGATCCGCAGTGGAAAGCCCGTTCTGCCCGCGCTTTGAGATATGCTTCCGTCTTCACGTCGCCACCGTTTGCACCACCCTCGGTAAGAATATCGTAAGAATCAATGGGGAAAGTGTGGAGTCCAATGTCGGCGCATGCCCGTGTGGCAATTGTGGCTTTACCAATGTGTCTCTGTTGGGAACTCAGCAGAATGATAACGGGCTTCATGCCCAATTGAATTGCACGCGGGCTTGTGGCTGCCGACATCAAGTCACGAATTCGTTGTTGCAAGGGGGGAATAAATGCCTGAGGAGGGTCCGTGACAATCCCATGGGCTGCTGGAGCCTGGTCCACAGTTTTCGGGATGGTCTTGACACCGAGCCAATATTCCCATCCATTGCCCAAGATTCCGGGAACACGGCTGACATCGCTGCCAGCCTGAACCATTCGAGTACTCGAAGGATCAATGACTGCGACACCGCCCCACAGGTCCTCGTCAGTCTCTTCGAATTCCTCAACCGCAGTCGGTGCCACTTGCCCAACCCGGAACCAAGCAACACCAACCTTGCGAGCTGAAGAGCTGTCAATGTTCGAACCTTGACCTAATCGAGAGGTGATATCTTCCTCTTGGTTTGCCGCATCACCCCCGGCAGTTCCAGAGAAGACAGCTCTGCCTAATCCTTCATCAACGCTAATACCAACCAAATCACCGCTTTTCAAAATCCGTCTGCGAGACTCAAAATACTGCTTCAATCCAGCAAATAGCGCTGGCTGCAAAACCCGATCCATAGAAAGTGGAGTGGAGACTTTGAGCAGAGTAACTTCCTTGGCCAAAGGTGGGTTCTTCACGGCAGTGTTCTTCATGTGGTGCAAAAGACCAGGCTTTGAAGCACTAACAGCGGGGAATGTCATGGGAGAGATGCGCAAATACTTAGGGTTGTCGATATTGCCCAGCAACAAAGGCGGCACGAAAATTGAAGGGGTCAAACGTGTCTGAGGGCGCTGGGAGAAGCTTGATCGGCGTTCCCCAGAGTGATTGATGGCATATCGAGGCTTTGAAGATGGAAGTCCCGGTAGGCCAAATACCTTGACTGGTCGCCAATCACCAGAATCCTCAGGAGACTCGTTGAAGCTTCCGAACTTCAGTGAGGCAAACATATTAAGCTGAGGTTCTTCTGCAGCTTCAATCCGCACCCAGTCTCCAGAGAAACAACCAATCTTGGCCAGTGTGTTGATATCAACGAAAACAAAAGAGTCGACATCTTCGTCATCGCGAGGGCGGGGGTGCAAAACTTCATTGGGAACTTGCTGCAAGAGTCCTTCGACCTTGAAAACCTTTCCACCACCGCGACCAGGTCGCATTGTTGCTGATGTAAAATTAGAAGCCACCGACCCGGGGGTATGAATCCCATCGGTTCTGCGTCCACCCGCGCGAGGCGTCGCAGATGTCATTGAAGACATCACACCTGATGATGGTTGTGGCAGCTCAGGGGCGGAGAGGGATATCATATCTTCCAGAGAATCATCAGAAGAATCACTGAGGGAGCCAGCAGAGCCTTCAGTTTCAGATTCTTCAGCTGCAGAGGTGGTTTCCATATCCGTCGCACTTTCTCCGGGCTTATCCTCGGCGGCTGAATAAAATTGTTCATTAGAAGTATCATCAGCTTCGTCCTCAGCGACCTGTTTCAACAACGCCGATCTTGAGGGCATTATCTGCTGGTTGCGGTTCGCTTGTGAGCGAGCGTGAACGAGCACTATCTTTGTCGCAGGCATCAACAGCCCTTGTGAGACTGGCTCGCAGAAGGAGATACGGGCGGGTGGAGCGGGCGCATAAGTGATGGGGTGTGCTGGCAGTGGGAGAGGTAATACATCCCCGGTATGAACGATGCGCTGTGTGGCTAATGCCTCACGCACGGCTGCAGTCAGTCGCTGTTCTGCATCAGCGGCCTCTCTCTTCGAATATCTCTTGCTCTCCGGGCCCTTCCCAGTTTTTGGCCACAACCCAGTGGGTCCAGAATTCTGGAAACCACCGCCAAATTTGTTTTGAACGTCATCATGGTTTCGCAGTAAGTGTCGCTCCACGGTAACGAACACCGTATCCAGGTGCAAAGGGGCAACATCGAGAATCCGAATTTCTATACTGCGGTGTGTCTGTAGCGATTGACGTGCGGAGTCGAGCTTCCCAAGAGCCAGAAGGAAAGACTGCAGTGAATCGGCCAATTCAGGAAAAAGTATAGTCGACTGAGATGTTGGAGACTGCGATCTTGCTGGTTGGATGCGAACAGGGAGAATCGTCCATGCCGAGTCCTCGACAGAGGTATAAGTAGGCGTGTGCGGGGAAACTGCCACATAGAGAACTCCGTCTCCAGTCGCCGAGTCTATCGATTTCAGTTCCTCAGTTAGTCCAAACTGCGACGACTGACCATATGAATTGACGTGACACTACTTACCCAGGAGGGACTGATGAGAGAACAGGTCGTTTGCGATGTCCTCCGATATGACACCGACGTTTCCACGGAGCTTGGGGTCGAGAGCTAGACGAGCAGGAATTGGGGGCTTGTTATTCTGCCGTCTTTTTCCCACTCTCTTGCGCCTTTGCTTGGGCTGCTGGGAGCTTTGCCCGAAGTGATCATAATCCATAACGGTCCGGGGTTCGAGCTTCGGGTTCCGATTGCTGTCGGCAAAGGTGCTGGGTGGTTCAGATGAGAGTACTGAAAGGGGTATTTGATGCAATCTACCAATTCTATTCAATCCGCATAAACCAGAAAGCAAGGACCCGCAAAAAGGAGATGTAGACGCGGAGAGGACGTAGCGGGACTCAGAATCCGGGGGAAATCACCACGCGGGCAACTCGGCACCGCCCGCTATTCTGCCACTCCCGAAGCCGAGGTCCAATGCGTCCCAAATGGGATTAGATCAGGGACATGCCGATTACGAGAAACGCATAGGAGTATGATTGTGCAGTCTTTCATTTATCTACTTTTGAAGTAGCTACTTAGGTATCTAATTGCATTGGTAATGATTGACCTAGTCGCGTGCATCACCTTCCAAGCCTCTTCCAAGCCTCTTATAGCGGTATGTATATATGTATAGTCGGCTTGTGATCGGAGCTTTGCCCGTAACATTATGACGACTGTTGGAGCATTACACGCGCTTGCAATGGATGTATGCCTAGTGATTGGCCACACCTCGAGCCTCCCACGACTGGAGGCTTGTATTTTCACCAGGGTTCATACTACTCTCCGGGCTGGACTAAATATTCTACCGCCGTCTAAATCTAATTGCAATGTTCATGCCACCTCGGTACTACATATATCTTTGCCCATAGAAGATCCCCCCGCGTTTCCCATTTGTGCTATACAAGTGATCAGGTCGAAGGTAGGACGCTTATTTCGAACTAAACTTCGGATCCATGTCTATCCCCGGGACATGGGAAGCTAATCGCCACCTGTGGACTTCAGCCGATCTCGGGAGATCTACCTCGACCTTTGCGCCTGATATATAACCTGAATATAGCACCACCTGGACATATTGGATGCCGCCAGCTCATACATCGGATTCTCCAGAGCTCAAAGAGTAGTCTTTCAAATCGCTCTGGCTTTTTCTTAAAGTTCATTTTCGGGCTCCACTCCGCACAACTTCCTGATTGGGAAGTTTATACTCGAAAGCTTGGCACACTTTCTTTGGCCACTAACCATCATTAGAGACCTGGGTATTATATAAAAATGACGGCCACCTTGTGGATACCCACATATTTGTACCATTCAAGCGACACGACAATAGCCTGGGGGATTATTATGAAGTAGCTTGACATTTATTAGCCGCATTGGGAAGCCAAGAGTAGAGTGGCCGCGATGGCTTAGAAATATCATTCTCAACTGCCCTGTCCGGTCATCGGGTATAAATATGCACTGAACTGAAGCACTAGACTTTTGACTACCCATCTGGAGTCTGATGATTCAGGTTTACTCTTATGTCGTCGACCCTTGGTCAAGCGGCTTCTACACCTGGGATATCCAGGATGGCAACTTGCTCAGAGCCCACGGGCACACACACAAATGAGCCTGATTTGGAGAAATTAGGCAGAGACCGCCCACCTCACTTCTCTAGTCAATGGTCAGAGCTTGCTTTTTGCTTCTCCATTGTCATGTCCCAGATTTTAGCAGTGCGTCACCTCCAACTACAATATCACCACAAGCCTGACACATTTGCAGGAATTTTACATTACAGGATCGAACCTTCTCCTACCAACACTCATCGCAGAGCTGAATATCCCCGAAGCTTCCACAATATGGCCGACTACAGCCCTCTCACTCGTCGTGTGTGCTACGCTGCTCATCTTTGGTCGTTTGACGGACATGTACGGAGGATACCTCCTTTATAACGCCGGAGCGATCTGGCTCACAATATCCTCGATTCTAGCCGGTGTCTCTACAACCTCGCTCATGTTGATCATTTGTCGTGCACTGCAAGGCTTGGCCCTGGGAGCTCTCCTCCCATCCGGAATGATGATTCTCGGCAGCACCTATCGCCCAGGCCCTCGGAAAAATCTCGTCTTCAGCATCTATGGCGCCTGTGCTGCTTTGGGATTCTTTGCCGGGTTCTTCGTTTCTGGAATCTGTGGCCAGTTCCTTACCTGGAGGTGGTACTTCTACATCGGCGCAATTCTGTCTGCCATCATGGCTGCGTCGTCGATTTTTTCTATCCCCCGCGATTACTATGAGAAGAAAGAGCTTGGGATGCGTATGGATTGGCCTGGTCTGGCTCTCTCTATCACAGGCACTACACTCTTTGTGTTCACAATTGCGGACAGCTCATATGCACCACAAGGATGGAAAACACCATATATTATCGTCTTCTTTGTATTGGGTATCTTCTTGCTGGGAGCTATGGCTTATATCGAAGGTTGGGTTGTTCCAAATCCTCTCCTTCCAGGTGATATCTTTGGAGTGAAGCACATGACGGCTCTTGTCGTTGCTTTATTGTTCCTTTACGGAAGTTTGGGTATATTCCTACTTTATGGTGTTCTTTAGTAAGTCAACATACCTCGTGTATTTGAATAATTTCTCTGACTCGATGACAGCATGTCCAATTTCATGGGCGGATCACCCCTTCAAATCGTTGCTTGGACTGTGCCCATGGCCGTCGGCGGCTTGATCCTCTCGGCGACGGGTGGCTTCATTCTACACAAAGTATCTGGAACCTTGCTGATGCTCATCTCTTGTCTCGGCTATGTGGGCTCAGGACTGCTTTTTGCTGTGATCCCGATCGGCGGAGACTATTGGGCATACATCTTCCCGGCTATGATATGTGGTACTGTTGCCATTGACATAAGCTTCAACCTGGCGAACATCTTCATAACGACCAGCTTGCCCAGGGCAAGACAAGGTCTTGCTGGTGCCATGATTTACTGTACTATGCACCTGGGAATAGCCGCTATGCTTGGCTTTGCGGATATTGTACAGACCCAAACCAACCATCTTGGCGTTCGGGAGAGTTATAAGGTTGTGTTCTGGTTCCAGACGGGGTTGGCTGTTATCGGTTTGCTTATAGTGCTGTTTTTCGTGAGGATACGACATGCAAAGAGCGAGTTGACGGCGGACGAAATCCAAGCCCTACAGACTCAAGAGAGCATGACCAGGGAAGACCATAAGGTCTGAAGCCATGCAGGGGTGTTGTAAATATTGTGACGCAATTTGGACAAAATGGGCAATAAATGGCTTACAAGTTGGCTGAAGCAGGGAAGTCAGTGGGCTTGACTAGTCAACATCTAGCCAGCCAGAAAATGCTCAATACTTACCAGCCAGTCTTGAACTCGTCATTATGGCTACCGTGGCTGTTTAGGCAATGCAGTAAACCTTTGAGGCACTGTGTGGGGTTGAGTGTAGAATGGCGGGTCAAATGTCAGTCTAATCGGAGATATGCCCGATCGCCCGCCCCCCACGGGTAAAAAGCCTCATTTCTATTCAGTGGCCTAGCCGAGACTGTTCGAGATTGCCCATCATTTCAGGCAGAATTTTTATCTTAGTTGTCCTCTCAACTATGCAGGTGAGTGGCTTGGACTAGGACCTAATTGGACAATGAAAACATATCCGCGGAATGCTTGTTCTGCCGCGTAATCCCCGAACCTTACTACCTGATAGGCATGAAGTTTCCATGATCCTTACCCAGAGAGTGAAAATTCTGGAGCCTTGACTAACATCTGAATTGATATCATAGAAGAGGCATGTTGACGCCTCTTGAGTTTTGGAATATAGTTCCAAGTTTCACAATGTACTTGTAAGTGTCAAAATTTACTGTAAATTGCTTCCAGTCCTGTAAATAAGCACAGCAATTGTGTTCTGTTTTACTGATGTTCTGTGCAGCTGTATAAGAGGCAAGCATTGGGGACTGAGGCCAGAGTGCAGATGCCAATTGGTGATCTACCCGGAAATCTCAGCCGGCAATATCAGGCAGCAATTGGAATACGAGGCCGAGCCATCCGAGAGGCTCACATTTCACGTGCCGGCAGCCCCACCGTGCCAGCGGATTTCCAATTTTGAACGGAGTACTCCGTATCGAGTGGATACTGGGTGAGTGGATCCGAGGAACCGGTTCCCTTTTTTTTCCCTTTCTTTTCTAGGGGCCGTTTTCTATTTTTGCATTGGGGAGTTGTAATGGCATGATTATGGTGTTGACCATTAAACGATACAAGAAAAGCGATTAAAAATCCAAGAACCCGTGCATCTTAGCATACCCAAATGGGCTTCCAATCGTAGGCAGACGGATTCTCCAGTGCTGACATGGACAGCAGATCGGATGAATTTATTGAGCCGCAACCCAGGAATGGACCCCGTTGCTGTTTCCAATTTGGGAGTCCGAGGAGGAACTTTGTACATTACCGGTAACTTACGTTGGTTACAGGAGGATGGGGCCACTTCCCACGAAACTTCCCCATGATTACCCAAATACAAGGCTGAGCGGTGTATTTGCAAAACAAGAGCTTGACCAATCAACGCCAGAATTACTTGCTCAGCCATCCAGGCTTTACCCGACCAGGTCTAGCGGATTTCGTCTATCAGGCAGACACTCATCCGTCATCCTCCTTCACGCCAAAGATCTCTTTTCCCCCGGGACCCATCTTTCTCCAGTCTCCCTTACTTTTGATCTTTCTCTCTCCACCGTGTACTTGTTATCTCGTATATCTGGCACTTACCCTCCATTTTTACATATATTAGCACTGCCACGAATATCGGCTTGGTGCGACTTGTCTTTCATATCATCTCAACGCTCATCTTGAGGGTTCCACCGTCAACGTTTGGGATCGAGTATCGAGTCCAGTTGATCTGGTACCGGTATCTAGCTTCGCGCCCAAACCAGCAATCCCGCCCTCTTCAAATACCGTCGCATCTCTTACCGGCATCGTGTTGCCCTGTTGAAGAGGGGCGCCGAATCGACCATTATATAGAGTCTTCAGCCCCGCACGCGCTCAACTTCGTGACTCAAGCGCTAGTAATAGCCTCGTATCAGCTGGATCCGTCTCTGTGAGTCATACCAGTCTAGCCAATCATCGAGGCTTCTGTGCTGCAGCCTTGAGACCTGTGCTAATCAGAAATAAGTCATCGACTAGCCCATCATGTCGAAGCCCCAGGTTGATAATGCCCGTGCGCATCCGCGTCGCCGACCTGTTTTAAATGCAGACCTTCCCTCTCTAGTTACTGAGTCAGCTGAATCCTCTAAAATGGGTTTGAAGAAAGGGGAGACTTTTCATACCCCAACCTCTCCTCCATCGAATGATCGTGATCCGGTCTTGAACATTCGATCTTTGCCTCGTCGCTGTCCAACTTCTCTTGAAGCTATCGCAGCCAGTGAAGAGCGCATGACGTCGATCTTGAATCGGTTGACCTTGGACTCCCCTGAAGACAGCGGGGAAGAACCATCGGACTGTACTGAACGTGCCTCGAAAGCTCCCACTGCACCTGTATCTCCTAGTAGATCGCGTCGATCCTCGGTTGGCGATGAAACGAAAGAGAAAAGCCCAAGCCAGGAGCATGGTCATGAATCGGATAGTGGTCTTGGAACATCTGTCAGCAGTAATGAAGAACTGGCAGGTGAAACAACAGGTAAATCTCCCTTCTTGTGATTTGGGGACTCTACGTGAATAACGGTATCCGCGTGGATGGCGTCCGCATTTGCGTTAATTTCACAGGATGTCGTTGTTGGTTGGTGGTTGCCTTGGAAAACTGACGCTAACACCCCCAACCAGGAAACGATACGCCACAGTCGCCCATTACCAGCCCGATATCTACATTTGATGTCGGCACCACGGCTAAGCGCCAGCTTTCCTTGACTGCCTGCAAACAGATTGAGCGCTACATTCTTGTCCCAATACTCAAGGACCCCAAGCTCAAACCTTTCCACCCATTAGTCAAGTCTATTCCCTCACGTATTCTGAACCGCCACATTCTATGCCTCAGGGACGTTGAGAAGTCTTTGCTTTGGCTTGCTCCTGTAAGTGAATCCCTTTTGTCGTTTTTTTCTGGCTTCCGTCGTGAATGTTTGACCGTGGAGGCGTTGCTTTGTCGTGAATGATATCCATCGTGAAGGCTTTTATCATGAAGACATTATCGTGAATGCTTTGTTCGGGGCTTATATTTTGTGGCAGAGATTTTCCAACTCTCGACACGCATATCTCAACTTCGCCGAGTTTACTATTCAGTGCTTGCACACCTCAGCTGCTCATCTTAACGACCGCGATCATCGACTACCAACAGATCGGCCATACACTAACGGATATTTCCTTGACCTTGTTTCACAGGTCCGACGATACGCTGCCATGATCCGTGCTTCCCGTGAGCGCGCCGAACAGGCCCAGGCTGAGGTCCCAGCCTCCGACAAAGAAAACAAGATTCCGCTTGTTACCAGCGCCTCCCTCGAGGGTGGCCTCTCCAAGAATGGCAAACCTGCTGAGCTTGTTGTGATGCAAGATGGAAAGCCAATATCCTTGGCTACCGGTCTACCATATGTAGCTGAAGAAACCCCTGCTACCTTCAAGCGCACGATCAGCTTTGACGAACGAGCCGATGAGGGCGTCCAGCGCTCCATGGCTCGCCGCAAGAAGAATGCTCCACCGATGGACATCAATCAAAAGTGCAGTCACTGCGACAAGGTTTTCAAGCGCCCCTGTGACTTGACCAAACATGAAAAGACTCATTCCCGCCCTTGGAAATGCTCTGATTCGACTTGCAAGTATTTCCAGATTGGCTGGCCCACTGAGAAGGAACGTGATCGCCACGTCAATGACAAACACTCTGACACCCCTGCACTGTACAAGTGCAACTTTCAGCCTTGTACATATGCTTCGAAGCGTGAGAGCAACTGCAAGCAACACATGGAGAAGGCTCATGGTTGGCTGTATCTTCGATCCAAAAACAACGCCCGTGGGGAAGGCAAGCGTGCATCCTCCAACCAGGCTTCTCGCACTCCAAGCGTGTCTACACCAGCCTCGAAATCCGTTGATTTCCCTACACCCATGACAGGTCCAAGCCCCTCGCCTGGTCCGAGTTCCTCCATGTTCCCCGACTCCCTTCCGTTCAACTTTAACGATCCGCCTGTCGCCCACAGCGATGAGTACCCACGCCTGTTCGAAAATTCGCCTTACCCCAGCTCCTCGGGTGGTGTGAGCAACGACTTTAGCTTCGCCACCTCTGTCAACCTTGACTCCTTCCAAAGCCAATTTGAGTCGGGCGACCCTCAAGGATTGATTCCCTCTCTGCAAATGCATCGTCAGTCAATGAACTCGATCTCGGTCCCCTCTGCAGATTCGGTCCCTGACCTCATGGGCATGTCGGGTTACGATGGTTCTCCCCTGGCCACTACAGACAACAACAGCCTCAACTTTGACTTTGAATGGAGTAACCTGGACTACACTGAGGTGGATGCGGACTACACTGCCCTCAACATGCAGCTGCAAACCCCTGCCCAGTCCGAGAATATTTACAAGGGATACTCGGGCCAAATGGCAACAGGCCCCTCGCACCTTTCCATGACTGCTCCCCACAAGATGGCGGGTCTTTCTCCCAATGCACAGGGTAACCCTATGCTGTACTCCCCTGGCTCCGAGCACTATGAGTACGGTGTCCAGCCCCAAAATGGCAATGATTTCATGCTCTATGGCGAGCAGGTTGGGATGCACATGGCCCAGATGGTCCCTTCCATGACTCAGCACCAGGCCACTCGTCAGTATGCTCAAGCTCAGACCATGTTTCCCCCTCTCAGTGATCAGGATGCCGCTCTCCAGGGCCTGCAGTCCTGGGCTACTGAGCCACGCCAGGGAGGTAAACCCGAGTCCTACATGCACCATGACATGGAGCTTGAGTTCATGAAATAGGCAGTCTTCTTTGTAGCGTGAGATTTTTTCCGTCTTTTATCCTTAAGCGAAATCCAGCAAGCGTTTGCGTCACATTTACCCCTTATGTTGCGAGCATTTTTCCTGTTTCTGTGACAGCCCGAGAGTGGCTTTTATCCAAGAAGCTCGTTTATCTGATTGACCTAGTGGTGGATGGCTTTGATCCTATTTGCTCTTACCGTCATTTATGCAGTGATGCAATATCTCAAATCTAATTTTACCGATCTCTTGTACATCGATCTCCAAGTAAATGTAGTTGTAGTCTTACGGATAAGTCATGCAACGGAAATGCACCTGGGTAGGACATGGGTCTTGCGCATTACAAACGCCGAGGGGATACGCCGAGAACTTCTTGCCGCATGACACTCAGCCCTGTGCCCCACGGTGACCCTTTGAATGTCAATCCTTGGGACCACCCATGGACTAATTCAGACTAGTTCGAGAAGGCCGCGTCAGGGACGCCACCAGCCGTATATAGTAGGAAATGACAACATTCATAGCCAAGATGAAACTCGAGGCATGGCTTCTTGGCACCAAGGTTAGTAGAGCAGGCAGAAATAATCTTGGAAGTTCATACCTAACTGTAGTGATCCTTTGTTTTCCAACACATGATTGTGCGCCGTGAATTTTTCCACGACAATTAGAAATTTGGCCCTGAAGGCAGGTTACATAAAAAAATGACATTCCAGGCATCGTACCACTGAAACCATCTATATATAAATAGTACAGGTCATGGCAAGGGCATTCGAAACAAACTCCGAAGTACACTAGACGGGTCTAAGGCCATCCGTTAAAAGACGCCTCATAGCGCATTGGATCGACGATCTTCGGGGGCGGCCAAGCTAAACACCTTTAATACTGCCGAAGCAGGTGACGACATCACCTCCCCGCTTGTCATCCAACTCCTTTTTTTTTCTTTTGATTCACTTATTCTTGTCCTTCACTAAAGTAATCAGAAACTGTCAATTTATTTCTTGTTGCTAATTTTCCATCATTGCAAACTAGCAATCTCGTCGTGACGGCTGACGGGGCTGTGGTCGGCTACTATTGAATCTCGGCGTCATCCCAAGCAGGCAGACGAATTCTGCTGCATTTCTCCATCTCAATCCTGGTCACTTTTAGACAGTTTGGGAGCGACAAGACATTTACTTTCACTTCTTTGAATTCGCGCAACAATGCTGGAATCTCAGTCCACATTGTCTAACGGCGATCAAGGCGGAAAAATGTCTGGCCAAAATGCGGCCCCGCCAACAGGACAGATCCTGACAGGCAAGCAGGAGCACTGTGAGATATCCGACCCCCTTTTGCCTTTTGGATGCTGCTGCGCATATTCAGCTTCACTGGAATTCAATGCTCCTATGCTAATCCCAGCTCTGATTCTCAGATCTCAAGCGCGAACTCATTGCCCGCCAGGTTCACGGAGAAATCTCCGAGCTTAATTCCCCCACAGCACTCCAGCGTTTCGGTGCTCCTTTTCGATCAGAGTTCGGCGAAGTCGCCCCCGTTGACTCCGAGCTCCCTATCCTTCGCTATATCTTCGTGCACCATGTTCGCAATTTCCCCTTTCTCAACCAGGCGGAGGAAAAGCAATTCTGGCAAGATAAGCTGCAAGTAGTGGGTCTCCCTCGTGCGCAACCAAAATCGCGACACAGAACGGATATTGACGGTCGCTTTGGATTATAGTTCCTCGAATCCTTTGCCAACAAGCATGTCTCGTCTTCAGAAGATCGGTTGGAGGAAACAAAGCGTCGGAAGTTGGCTCGCAAGTGCGAGAAGCTCGTGGAGCTGATGATGGTTTCTGGTGTGCCGACGGCGTCGGGATACGAAGAGCGCATCCAGTTCTCGGAGATGGAGGTTGTGGAGCGCGGAGCCAATGAAAAGGGTCTGCTTGTTAATATGCCCGAGGGCAATGCGATTAACAATTGGGACGTGAACGTGGCTGCAGTTCGGGTTACTTCTGTCAAGCGGACCGTCCGATACCACCCCCACGCTGTAAGTTACCTCCCCGAGCATCTAGCATTGGAGCGCTTACTGACAGTCTGATAGGAATTCCTTATTCGAGTCCGTCGAGACGACCAGGAAGAGTTCCACGTCGGTAGAAGATATGGTGAATTCGTCAATCTCCACAAGAGACTACGCACTGAGTTCCCAGGCAAGCATCTGCCGCCTCTTCCTCGCAAGAACAAGACATCAACATCATCTAGTTGGTTTGGCTCGGCTGACGACGATGCTTCTTCCGTATCCTCCTTCTCCTCCACCCAAGATGCTAGCCTCCCTGATGACTCAGGAGTCTCGGGTCGCACTTTGGCACCCGGAGCAAATCATACACGCTCAACTTCTCGGGGATCTTTCCGATCTACGAAGTCTCCTCGCGCATCCAGTGATGTCTCAAGGGATACTGTTCTCTATCGCGAGGAGCAGCGGGTGTCTTTGCGCGCATTCCTCCGCACCCTTCTACAGAATAAGCGCATTGCGGAATCCAAATCCATGGAGGAATTTCTGACCGCGCGACCCATTAAACTTAATGAAGAAGAACTAATCGATGTTCAAAAGCGCAAGAGCATGGACGCCATTAGAATTGAAGAGCAAAAGCGATTCTATGAGATCGCAAGGCAGCGAGCAGCAGAGTTGGACGTTTACATGGAGAAGTTCCGGAGGGATATTGTGGAGAGCAGTAAGTTTGCCCACATAAGCAGCGATATGATACTAATTTGTAATAGATGGCTTGACGAAGCTTTTCGCCGAGATTCGAGAGAAACCCTCCATTGCCGACCTAAGCCCGCAGTATCAGAAATTCGCGGAGTGGCTTCGCATCGAGTATGTTTTAAAGCGATTTTTTCTGCTTCATTGACTGACTGAAATAGGGTTGCCGCAACTGTGTATCACTTGTTCCTTGCAGAAGACAATTCGCCTGAATTGTTTGCGCAGGCGAAAAGAATCCATGGCCTCGTCCCATACACATTGTTGAAGAATGTGATTCGCATTGCCAACCCTGCTGCCGTCATGTCGGGTGTTCTCGATCTTTTCTTGGCTCAACCATTTGGCTCACGGTCGCTGCTTCAGCGCATTTTCTCTTTAACTCTCAATGACAGCATCAAGGCATTCCAGAAGGGCATTGCCTCCCTGAGTGCCAAGATTGAGGACCCTGTGCTTGCTCAAAAGCTCAAAAGCTTTGTAGATGCCGAAGAGGATATCAAGAATGTCATACGTGAAGAAGCTGAAGCCGAGGAAGTTGATCTCATCGTGGCCATTCTTCGTTCAGAGATACTGTCGCCAGAGCTCACCCCAGAGCAGATTGAGAAGGTGTTCAATGGCTGGGTTGCTTGGAACTATGCCGTTGACAATGTCGACCTGGAAATGCAGCAAGGTGCTCAATGGTTTGCAAACATGAAGCAATTACTCAAATTATATACCCGCCAGCGTGATAAGGCCATGATGCTCAGCATCGTCGAAGAGCCTACCACTCTTCAACTCTTCCGCGACTTGTTCACCATCTTCTATGAACCACTTGTGCGAGTATACAAGTCTGCGAATGTATACAGCAGTATTACCGATTTTGCTCAATTCGCGGACGACGCGATTGCTGTGATCGAGAGTGCCCAGCGCCAAGATGCTTCTGCCGATCCCAACCAGACAGTCCAGTCCTTTATTGACCTTTGTGCTCGCCACCAAGATAATTTCTACAAGTTTGTTCACGAGGTGCACCAGCACGATAATGGACTTTTCCAGTCTCTCATGTCCTGGATCGAGGAGATCCTTGATTTCCTGCGCAAGGGACCGACAGGTGGTAAGCTGGACATGAACGCCATGTTCCAGGGAGCTGCTGGCGTCGGCCAGGTCGACAAAGACATTGCTCTCGATGAGATCAATGCCTTGATCAAATGGCACGAAGATAGGAAGCGCTGGCATCTAAACAAGACTCGCCAGAAGATGGCTGCTGAAGGCACGACTGATACTGTTCCGGGCTCTACGACCTTCAAGGGTAGTGACTTCGGCCTTGATGAGGTGAGTTGGTTATTTCAAGTTTCACTATAATTTGGCTTGTCTAACATTTTTACTAGGGTGACCTCGAAGATCTGACTATCTCTGATGAGGCTTCTGACTCCGAAGATGAAGGGACTGAAGACGATGAAGAGGATGACCCCATTGCTTCCGAACGCCGTCGGCGGATCAAGAAGCAAGACCAGCTCCGTCGTACTGCGGGAGAGCCGGTGAAGCCCGAAATCACTGAAATTCTCAAGCTTACTGATCCTTTCGTGGTTATGCTACGCCATGTTCTGGCTGATTAGATGCTTGCCAATAATAGACTCAATACATCTCCATTGCTCTATGCTAAAAGTTTCGTCCTCATGATGCACTCTGGCCACATGCATTCCCTCTGCATCGTAGTGGTAAAGTCAACGAGGCCAAATTTGATATCAGTACAATGCCCATGGCAAATTGCTATATACTTTCCAATCTCTTACATACAAGTGGATATCCATAGTCCCTCGCTATATCCAACGGTGTCCTCCCTTCCAAATCCCCCAAACTAGGATCAATCCCTCCAGCCTCCAACAAAGCGTTCACATTCTCCAAGATCCCCATCGCAGCAGCCTTATACAACGCTGTCTCCCCATTTTGATCCCTCGCATTCGGATCCGCCCTTCGTGCCCCCGTAACCAGACTATTAATCACACCCCCGTTCCCCTCTCTCGTCGCAGCCTCACTCAAAGGCGTAGTCCCGTGAACATCCGCCAACTCCAACTCCACCCGTTCACTCTGTACCAAAACATCCACAACCCCGACCCGTCTCTGCTTTGCCGCCACAAAAAGTGGCGACTGATGCTGCCACCCATCCCTGAGATTCGGATCTGTCTTCTCCCAGCTCAACAGAAAACGTACAACCTCAATCTGCTCCCGATCCGCCGCTATGGAGAACGCTCCGCGTCCATACCCATGATCACCACCATTTGGATCGAGTTTCTCCCCGAAGAACTGTACAAGGTACTTCACAATCTCCAATTGGCCCATAATAGCCGCATAGAAAAATACATGCTGGATATGAGCCTCCTCATTATTCCCATCAAGAATAAGTCTCAAATGCGTAGCGAATAATAGATCGACGTCGCCCTCGGCCTCTCGATCACGACTAGCTTTCGATAAGGCTGTCGCGCCCTGTCGATTTTGTAGTCTTGGATCTGCACGTCCACTGCCTACTAACATGGAAACAGTCTCCCAGTGGGAGATATTAGCCGCCGTGAGCAACGCTGTGTCGCCATTCTTATCTTCCAGATTAACGTCCACACGCTCGTCCTTTAATAGAGCACGGACAATATGTCGATGACCCTGCTTCACAGCCCAGGAGATTGGTGGCCGGAGGTATTTCCTATCTCGCGCGTTCGGGTTGAAGTTTATATCGTCGTTTTCTAGTAGGAGACAGAGGACACTCTCGCTGCCGTAGTAGGCTGCCAAGAGTAGCGGAGTACAGCCTTTGACATGATTGTCAAAGTCTGAGTTAAGTTGCGAATCTGCACCTGCGCAGAGGGATTTCTTTGCCGTTGAGGCTTGATTATGTTTTGCGGACCAGTGGAGGGCGATGCTGCTTTGGTGGATATCCAGACGATAAAGAGGTTTTGTGAGGAGGTCGTTGAAGGTGCTATTTGCACGACAGAGAGCGTTCAGATCTGAGGTCTTTGATAAGAAAGACGATATGTGGATTAGGAGTTCCTTTGGGAGGTCCATCAGGGATGGTCCGCATTGTTGGATCATGTTGCCGGTCGTATAATTTTGGTGTCGGGGTTATTGAGCGGGTCGCATTGGGCCGAATCTTTGCTGGTCTCATCAAGGCTAAGAATTGCGAAACTGGGGCTCCACGGGATTATAGCTGCGCAGTTGTGTGGGGTTGAAGCTTTATTTGTGGGTATTCAGCCTCTTTTGACGAGAGGATTTTGGTATGACGACATTGGAGCTGGGAGGGTTGTATCCCACTTATGTCACATACTAGTGGCAGCGGCAGGTGGCTGTGGTCTCAGAATAGGACTCCACGTGGAGGTTTCTCTAAATTAGCGAACCTAATAAAAGATTGCTGTCATTTTAGGGCGTCAGGTCTTAAAAAGAAGGCAATAATGCGGGGCGATGTCTTACCGGGCGATAAGCTGATTAGATATGATATGAGTTTCCATAGCGACGATCGTTGAATCTGTACCTTCCATTCTTGCATTTCACATCTTCCCTGCACCGTTGAGCCTTCATGATGTCGTCTCCATACAGGAAAGGCTTCAGGTCGCCCAAATCCCCAAGGACTGCAGCCCGCTTGAACGGCCTCTACAAGGAGAATGCGTGGTACTGCAACTGCCCAGACCGAGAGCCAGCCGTCAGGTTCCAAGTGAAGAAAGAAGGACCAAATAGAGGACGATGGTGTAAGTAGAACCCGCTTTACTTGTTTCGCTGGCTAATGATTCCGGTTTCAGTTTATACGTGTCACAAACCGCAAGGTCAGCGCTGCACGTTCTTCCTCTGGAACGAAGAGGCCGAACTTCGCGAGAAGACCGTTGTGATGGCAAACTCCGACTCTGAACCAGACCCCCGATCTCAATCTCAATCTAACATGCCTTCAACTCCAACCAAGAGCACCCAACGCTCCAACGGCCTATTCACACCTCAAACCGATCACAGAATAATAGACGTCCCACCACGTCACTCCGCCTCCAAGCCCGCGACAACCTCCATGACACCCAAAGCGCGCATGATGGCCGAAGACAACGACGAGTTCGGCTGGGACCTCGACTCAGACGACAATGCCAAACTTACACAAGCAAGCCAGTACGCCGAAGAATCCTTTATGTCGCAACCGAATTTCCACGCCGGCTCTCCGCCCTCCAAAGCACCCCGCACTCCTCGAAATAACTCCCCAGGCAAGCGCAAGTTATCGGACTACGTCCATGAGCCACAATCCACTCAATCCTCTCCTTATTTTGGCACACCTGGCACATCTTCCGCATCCTCATTTCGCCCTCCGCCTGCCTCGGCTGAGCTATGCATGACGCCCACGCCGAAAAGATATCGGGATACCGATATCCTGACTGTGGATTCGCGATCTGATGAATCGGATTTGGCGAAGGAGCTTTTGAGTATTTTCAAGAAACATGAGGTTGTTATGTCAAATGAGGCGAGGGATGAGTTTGTTTCGCGGGTCAATCTTGAGGATTCGAGATATAAGGGTGCACTGAGGGCGAGGGATTTGTTACGGGAAGCGATGAAGAAGAAGGATAAGGAAATTTTGGAGCTGAAGGAAAGGAACACGAATTTGAAGGCTCAGGCTGAAATGGTGCAGAACATGGTCAATTCGTTTCACGAGTGATGCTAGTCAGGTCTCTGGTATTTCTCAGCGAGTTTAAGTTCTGCAGGGGATTCTTTCAACTTTTACGATATCATGACTTTAATTTATGCTTGTTTTGAGCGGCTTTGGGACCATATATCAGATGGATGAGTTCAATTAAACTGAAACTCCAGGCTTAGGAGTAAAATCTACATATCTTAATCAATGAACATCAATTAAAAGACGATGGATGAGAATAATCTAAATATTCCATGACCTTTTGAACATGATGCCCAGATTTTCGAGCTGAACACACCTTAATGGTGGTATAACACCTTGAAACATCAACCAATCACCGCCCTCGCCCGCCGCCGCACCTCACGTGCCCGATAAGGAAATAAATCCATTATCAACGCCCAATATTATTTCACAGTACGCACCGACTCTCCAATTGTGCACAGGCCACCTCCCTTCAATGGAGTCTTCGAACGACGACCGCCAGCAGGGTTCCAACAACCTCCCCGAAATGTTCCGACCACCCGTCAACCGCTCAATGCGCACTCTCGACCGGTCGTTCTTCCGCAAGACCGTGCCGATCGCCGCGGCCAAGGTCTTCAAGAACTCGGAGATCTCAAAGGTGCGCCAGGAGCTTCATAAGGTGCGGGACTTGTTGGCTGTCCCGCGGTTGAGCTCTGTGCGTGATTTGCAGGAGAAGGATGGGGTTAAGAAGGCGCTCTTGCTGCGGGGGGATTTGAGGCCTGATGGTGGGTAATCCGTGGTGATTTGTTGCGATTGATCAGCCGAGGTGCTGGGACGAATTTTAGATGTTGATGTTAATTCTGGGGTCTATTACAGATAAGACGACTTGGTCTCCGACAATCAATGCGCTTGTTGAGAAGGGGACTGTTGATGTGATGCCTTATGACTTGGTTTTGGATTATGAATACTGGTCCTATGGTATGAAATTACATGTTTGCGATACTTGCGCTTGGTGATATGAGGACTAATAATCAACGTCTAGCTGAGATTATTGGCGCTATTCTGCCAGAAAAGGAGATGCAGGAGGTTCCTCAAGGCTTCACGCAGGTGGGGCATGTTGGTAGGTTTCTGCCCGATGCGCCAGATACCAGTCATCGATACTAACGGGACTAGCACACCTCAACCTCCGCGAGCAATTTTTCCCCTATAAGTTCCTTATTGCCGAGATTCTGAGAGACAAAAATCCCTCCATTCGCACCGTCATCAACAAGATTGAAGATGTTGGCTCTCAAAGCCAATTCCGAACTTTCCCATTCGAGGTGCTTATTGGTGAAAATGATTTGAATGTTGTTCAGCACGAACAGGATTGCGAGTTTCGATTCGATTACGCCCGTGTGTACTGGAACAGTCGCTTGGAGACCGAGCACCGACGACTTGTTGACAAGTTCAAGCCGGGTCAGATGGTCTGCGACGTCATGGCTGGCGTTGGGCCGTTCGCCGTTCCTGCGGGCAAGAAGAAGATCTTTGTGTGGGGCAATGATTTGAACCCGCATGGATACGAGGTGATGCAGGATGCGATTGTGCGGAACAAGGTCCAGGACTTCGTGACGCCGTTCAACTCAGATGGTCGGGAGTTTATCAAGACCTCGGCCAAGGCTCTGTTGGAGGCGGAACAGGTGACTGTCACTATCAAGCCGAAGGTCAAGTCCCGCAGTGATAAGAAGCGTAAGATCGAGGAGGGTAAGGAGGTGGTTGAGCCCCCAGCTGAGGTGTATACTCGTCCGTCTATTGTGGACCACTACGTTATGAACCTGCCTGCCACTGCCATTGAGTTCGTCGATGCCTTCCAGGGTGTCTACGCTGGCCACGAGTCGCTTTTCGCACCGAACACTTCTCAACTTCTGCCTATGGTTCATGTCTACTGTTTCTCGGGCCACTCTGACAACGAGGTGGACGATCACATTGATATTTGCCAGCGGTTGTCTGAGCGCATTGGGTACACCATCACTCACGAGGACCGAGTTGGAGGCACTGGCAACACCGCCATTGAACTGGCGATCCACAATGTCCGACTCGTCAGTCCGAACAAACAGATGTTCTGTGCTAGTTTCCGTCTGCCGGCAGAGGTTGCGTTCCGGAAGGTGTAAATTGGACATTTCACGGCGTTTGAGAGATGTAAAAAGGATAGACTAAAGAATCCATAGATACCCTACTCACCGAAGAATTGGTATAATCTTCGTACTTTTGTAACTATTTAAGCATATACCTGATTGGGAGCGTTGCATCGTTTGGTGCGGTGAGTTTGTGGACTGACCGCCTTCGAACTGCCGGCAGGAAACCTGCAGAGTTTCGTCGCGGTCAGCTCTTGAAGATGAATAACCTCAACATCCAACGCCCATCTCGCATCTAGTTGCCAACGCCCGATCTATTGTGCACAATCTACGAGATACCACTCTATCCTTCTATCCCATCATAATGAGCGTGCAGCTACCCCCCGCCACTCACCGCCAGCGCGTGCTGCCCCAAGGCGAACTCGAAGCCGCATCAACCCTGAAGCTGGGAGCAGACCAACACACCCACACCCTCTCCCTATCCGAGGCCCGACTTGTCATTCACAAGGTGTTAGAAAACAAGCGGCGCGGTGGAAACAAGTACGAGGAGCCGGAGTATGTGCACCCCTCCGAAGCTCGGACTAAAGGACGGAATTGCTAATGCGGGGTGGATCTAGGAATCTGACCAAGACCCTGGACTACCTGGATGTGTTTGCCCGGTTCAAGGACGAGGAGAACATCAAGGCGGTCGAGCGATTGCTGAACTCGCACACGGAGCTGGAGATGTTCGAACGATCGCAGCTGGGTGAGTTTCGGTTTCCACCGTATCTGCATACCGAATCGGGCTAATGGGTTTGCTTCATTAGGCAGTTTGTGTTGCGATAATGCTGAGGAAGCCAAGTCCCTTATTCCCAGTCTTCAGCACAAAATCTCCGATGCCGACCTGCAAGAGTTACTGGACGAGCTGACCAAGCTGCGCAACTTCACCGAGTAAGATGCAGATCCGGATGCAAGGGTTTTACTATTAGGTAAGAGATCGGAGGACAGTTGACCGTTTACAAATCCCCAAATTTGAGTAGCATGGGATCAGGCGTTAGGCGTTGGAGGATTCCCGGGCCTGTAATAGACTTTTGAGCATTTTCCGAAGAATTCCTCATTGCCACCCGGATCAGCGTTTTAGAGAGTAAGTGCTCACATGCCCGGAGATTCCTTGAATGACTCCGTTGTGGGGCCCAAGTTAAACTCACCTAATTGTAATCAAGGCAGTGGCAGTTCATGGCGCGACTGTTACCGTGTGCACCCCACACGGAGCTCTGCCGGGTGTGATTGGTTCCCATCCAGAGCGTTATCATGAGGCTCTGATTGGCTGGGGGGCTAGCTGCTTCCAACCAAGGCAAATGATTCGTAGGTCTCGCTGATCTGGGGCGAAGTCCCAGGAGAACGTCTGCCCTCCTCTTGATTTCCCCAGACAATTAATCCCTGACGACCTGCAGCGAGGAGCAGCCGTTCCAGGACCGACACGAATCATACGGTCTGCGGGAAGTAGCTGAGTAAGGAGGATTAATCAGTACGTAATAAGGATGGAGGCTCGATCTGGGGATCCAATCAGCGGAGCGGGTCTTATCTGTGACAATTTCAAAGTCATAATTAGGATCCAAACGGCAATTCTGTTACGAGAGCAAAAAGGCGATCGTCTGGGTCAAGTCGGCTCGAGTCCATACAAGTGCATTCTATATCGATGTCATCATTTCCTATTCTCTCTGGTTTCTTGTTCATCCATTTCTCTTTCCCTTTCACGACGACTACGTCCTGGATTGATCTAAACTGCTCCCCAGATAGGAATGACGGAGCGTACGACCCGGCATCTTATCCTACTACAGTCTCTCGCGGGTTCATCTGCTTGAGCTATATAGGATCGTCGGAGATAACTGATAAGATATTATCATTATCTCGTGTGTCTCCCCTGCCTCACCTGCTTTCCTTATCTATATACCACCTACAGATCAACGAATAGCAACTGATGATTTCCAATTCTAGTTCCCAATCATAATACCCCATTTATACTCGGTTCTGTCAGATTGCGGAGGCCCCAGACTTATCCCTTTACGTGACAAGATTCGCGTATCTACTTTTTTTTTTTTTTTATCTCCGCCGTATCTACTGCCCACTTTTCCCTTTATCTCCCCGGTTTCTCCCTTTCCCCATGGCCACCGTTATTACCATTCAGCCTTCAACGACGGCTAGCCCAGCTGCCTCGCCCTATACCCAAAGCCACCATTCCCCGGACCTACGCCGCAGACCCCAATCGATCTCCACACCTGCCCTTTCCCCATCGCCCATCAATTCGTCCCTACCCCGTGTCCGGGATGGAGCCAGCTGTGACGCCTGCCTCCGTAGAAAGAGTCGTTGCGCTATGAACGACATGGTCAACAAATGCTATTCGTGCGACTTTCATCGCCAGGATTGCACTTTTACCTTAACGGCCGGGGACGGCCCCACTAAGAAAAGAAAGCTATCCGAGTCGGCTCGGGACGATTCTGCCAAACGGTATGCCGATGCTGAGTCTCCAGTCGAATTGCAGTGGAGATGGAAGAACTGACTCTGATGATACCAGGCCTTCTACTGTCCAGTCTATTTCCACTGAAGAAGTTGCTCGCCCCGGCCATTGTCACACCATGATTCGCCCAGGCTTCTTCAACCAGTCGACCCAACATATTGGCATGACCACAGAATTGGAACCCGCACTATTGGAGTTCTTGCCGCTGGATGAATATGACGAATTCTCAGTCTCCACCTCTCGCATTCGGAGGTGCGCGGACGACCGCACTTTTATGCGTGTCGTTAATACCGTTCCCGTTGGTGACTCGCAGGCCGTGTCACTAGATGCCATTGAGAGCCTGGTTGCTCCCTATGGATCCACCCTGATCGAGAAGTTTTTCGAGCACGTGCACCCGTCTTTTCCGATTTTGATGGAGGATGCTTTCCGTCAGTCATATCGCGAGCGTCGTCAACTATCGCCATTGCTATTGGCGGCAGTGTACGTATTGACATTGAAGTTTGTGGATGTCGGTGCCTCCTCGCAGAGACGACCGGATTCTGCTCGATTGGAGAGTGCAGCGTTGAAATTGCTACTCGATTCATTGCCCTTCCCCAGTATCTCGACGATTCAAGCGGGTCTGTTGTTAACACAGAAGTCGACACTGGCCACTTCCTCGCTGAACGGCCAGTTGGTGACAGCTGGGTTCGAGCTGGGTCTGCACCAAGACTGCACGGCTTGGCGAATGAAGACATGGGAAAAGGGTCTGCGCAAACGTCTTGCCTGGGCCCTATACATGCAAGACAAGTGGTCCGCACTCGTGCACGGCCGCCCCTCACACATTTTCGCGTTCAACTGGACTGTCAAGGATCTTGTGGAGCAGGACTTCTCAGATGCCTTCCTGTCTGGTACCCACTCCGCACACGACGAAGCCGCAGTCGGACATGGACCCCTTCTTTTCTGCCATATGGTGGCCCTGACGACCATCCTCTCCGACATCCTAGACCGTTTCTATACCCTACAAGCAGCGGAAGACTTCCATGCCGCAGGAAACCAGCGCACGCGAATTATCCTGGAAAAAGCCAAACCAGCCCAAATCCGACTGAAAGACTGGTTCTCTTCACTCCCAGCGGCACTGAAAATGGAATCTGGCAGCGGTGAATTAGTCGAAACAATCACAGACGAACACGCCCGAAACGGCGCCCTCCACCTCGCATACTTCGCCACTGAAATCACCCTCCACCGCTGCATCGTTCGTTCCCTCGCCACAGACGGAACGGATTCCTACCTCGCACACATCTGTCGCTCGGCAGCAAAGACCCGACTTATCTCGGCAATGGATTTCGTTAACCGACTGCGTCCCGCCCATCTACGCTCTTTCTGGCCTGCATCAGCACGTACGAACTTCTCCCTTATCGGTTCCTTCGGCATGTTGCTCCGAATCACCGCGCCAACAACCGAGGAATCGGAGTTCTACCGCGTCCGGTTATGCGAGTACAGATGGACGCTAAGCGTCAGCCACAAGAACGCCGAGTTCATGGGCTTCGCATTAGAGAGTTTGGACAACGCTACTGCGCTCGATAAGCACGTACCTGCGAAACCGACTATCGATGAGCTTATGGCTTCCAGTAAGCAGACGAGATTGCCGCCCATGCATGCTGCTACCTATGATGAGGCTATGGGTGATCCAGACGGAATTCCTGGTGGAACGGGTGCTTCTTCGTCGGTTATATCTGGCTTGGCTTCTCCTGCTACTTCTGTCAGTGATATGGATGAGAACGAAACTTCTATGATGTGACCTTGAACTACACCACCTACCTTATACCTCTACTCTACCTCTCGACATACACCTACACACACCTCTACCTCACGACATATTTCCCGGCGTTCCAAGGATTCTCAGTTCGAAGCGCATAACTGATTTTGATTGATTTTATTTGAATTTGAATTTGCTTGCATGTACGCCCCAAAGGGGCTTTGACATGATGGATACGTTGAACTTGCTTGGAATTACCCTACTCGCTGGACAGGACTTGATTTGAATTTAGGCACGGAAAGGATTGGAATTGATCTTATGTATATAGATACTCCCGGCTGGGACGCATAGATCGGACGAAATGAATAATGATTGGATATATTAATCCCGCTATATCGTAGTCCCGATCCCCAAACTAGAAAAGAGAAAACTCCTGTCCCCCGAACGCAAAATCCTCCAATATAGAAGGATCAACCAAATTAGCCAACATCTCCGCCCTCGTCCGATCAGACTGCTGATCCTGACTAAACAGCGAGAGAAAGAAATCGTCATCGGGCTGCAATCCAGATCCCTGTGCTTGCCCCTCCGTCAGAAGCTCTGAAGCCCCCAGAGAAATCTCCGGCACAGCAAACCCATCCTGCGCATGCGAACCAGACGTAAGTGACGGGCCGTCCAACGCAGGATACCGTGTAGGCATTTGAGTCATTTGCGACCTTCTACGCGCAAGACATGTCCGCGCAACATCCAGAACCTCACGTAGCATTTCTGCGCAGCGCCGGGCTACGATAATATCGTCCATGGATGAGAAGATCTCGAGAGATTTCTCGACGTCTTCAAGGAGTTCTTCATCTGGTAGGCCGGGGAAATTTGAGAGGATTAGGTGGAGGAGGATCATTGAGCCGTAGAGGGCATAGGTCGTGTTGTACCACCTTTAGATCAGTGTTATTATCAGGTCTGTATTTGCTTCTTGTGCTTATGCATAGGTGTTGATATGGGCTTACCAGGTGCGAATATAAATACGATGCATAAAAGACTCGTACTGCATTTTTATGCTCATGCGTGCTGCTTCGAGACACATATGCAGATGTTGTCTGAACTCACACGATTCAGCATTTGTAGTTGATGCGACGAGGAATGGTTTATGGATTAGGATTCGGGTATTGTAGTATCCTGTTATTGTTAGACTTTGTCTCAGTAGAGAGGGAGGGACTGACTCAGTCTTAGTACGAGCTTTTGTTTAAAGGCCCATTCCGGGTCGCTGAGTGGATGTGCATCTAGATTTAGGAATGCTGGGATATTAGATTTCCACTCCTGTAGTCTTGCGTCGAGAGACATTGCTAGACTGGATTTCTCGCTGAGAGATCGTTGTGTTGAGTGGTAGAGTTGGTGGGATGCTTCGGACATGATTTGGGCTAGAGAGACCATGACTGGAATTATGGCTACGTCGTTGTCTTCAGCGTCGGGATCGAGGCCTCCAAAGTGGATCTGGATCTTGTTAATACATAGCATGACGGCAGATGGGGTGAGGTTCATGCCTTGAGTTTGGGGAGAGAGACTTGGTAGTAGGTTAGCTCTTTCATGCTGTCTAGGCGACCTGATGAGCAGCACATTTCTCTGTCGGGAGTTAGGATAATAGAGACATGGCAAGATCATGAGCGCTTACATCTCATGTGAGTAGATACACCACCATGTACGCTTTGCCTCTCGCCGCCGACTAGGTGGTAGCGAGGACATACTTGAAGCAAGTCCAATCGCCGCTGCTGTTCGAACAGCCATCCCACTATACATATAACAGCTATGAGGCTGCAGAGAATTTTGACGGAAAACACTCTATTCAATAAGTACTTGAATGGTTCTGCTTAGGGATAGACATACCAAAAGCAGCAATGCCTGAGCCGTCTCCAGGCAACTACTCTCAAACAAATCACCCAGAGCGACTTTCGCAATCCCAAAATAGAATTTAGCAAAATCCAACGCCGAGAAATGGGTTGCTGGTGCTGTTCTGTCCGGGTCTGTAGACTGCTGATAGAAATGATCCAGCAGAGCGGTCTCATTCGGACTCGCATTGATAGCACCCAGTGCAACAACGGCAAAGTACAGTCCTGAAAATTTAGTGGTGCCTCGAAAAAGTCCGGCTCGTCGGGATATGGGCCATGCTTCGCGCTCGCAGCGTCGCATGAAGGCGCCTTTTGATAAAATCGGGTGGATGTAGTGCTTATTTGTGAAGTAGCTGCCGATGAAGATTTTCTCGATTTCCAATTGTGCACCGTCTGTGATCTGGGCGAACAGTGCGGGTAGACCGGCATTTTCTTGGACTATTCCTTGGTATTAGGTGTCATGTTTGGAGAACGGTGCTGGAAAACTTACAATTGATAGGGCCCGCCGTGCTCCTCGGCGCATTTGCATGCGAGGAACTTTTGTGCGAGCTTTCTGTGCTGTCATAGGATTGCGGTGACGGATAACCTGTGTAGTCCGCATTGTAAAGTAAGTTCACGATAGAAAGCTGCGATTTTCCAGAGGTGGATCTGTTTTCAGGCGAGGACGGCTGTGGCCTGTTTGCCGTCTTCGCTGCAATGTCCTGACTACCGACTGGTTCACGCCCTTCCGATTGGTTCTGGGCTCTTGCGAAGAGGTTACCGAGGAACGCTAGATTTGATGAATTTCCATAGAACTCAGTTCCCTTTGTATGGAGATTCACTCCACTGAGGCCATCTCTGCCTGCGGCGTCCCCGAGCTCTGAAGACGCTGAGCGGGGCGTTAGCTTCGAGTTCCATGTCTAGTAATGATGGGCCTTACAAGATTCGTCATCATCATGTTCAGTTGCTGTGGTTGGGGTCTCAGGAGTTGTTCCCAGAGGCCCGGTGGGGTAAAAAGCCCGTGGTGCTTCTCTCATTAGTGTGGGTGAACCTACCGCCCTGGAGGTCGAGTGGTTCATATTTCGGTTCTCATAATTAAAGGCATTTGGAATGGCACTGCTTTGGGCCAATCCCGGTCCTGGCCAGGGTGAAGAGTGTATCACATTATCACGGCTGTGTGACTGTCAGAAGATAATCCAATCCGATCCGAAAATGCCTTCAACGATAGCGGAGCCTAAGATGCTTACCTTTCCTGCGGGGCTCTAGCGGCTCGTTTTCTTTGAGCATGGGGATCCCTAGCAGTTCCCCGGCCTCCGGATGTACGGTAGACACAGTTAAAGGAGTGATCTTAGCTTCGTCAGCGTACTGCCATTCAAGCGGGATCAGAGCAGAAGATGTACATGCGCAATATGAGCATGGTTGAGCTTGATCGCACTGTGATGATCGTCAGTTGATAATGAACAGAGTCTAGATAAGCAGTCCGCATTGGAGGCTTATGCGAAGTGGGGAGTGGAGATAAAGCAAGGACGATACATACCTTAGTCTTGCGAGAACGGCAGGTCTCGCAAGCACGCGACGCTCGCGGCAAACGACGTTGCGAGGGCAATCGTGGCTTAGCCTCGGAAGGGTCCATAGTGCATGGGTCCACGGGGCTCTGTATCAGGAGTTTTGGCCAATCCAACTCCCCATCATGCGATGTTGTAGGAGGAAATGTTGTGGCGGACAATAAGCGCAGAAAATCATCAAACCCGTGTGCCGAACCACCCGCCCTCAAACCTTGAGATTGAACTTATCGCGGGGAACCTGGGGTCTGGGGATATTTATGGCAAGCCAAAGCTTGAAGTTGTTCTCAATTATGTATTTTACTGATCTTCTTTCTTAATTGGAATTAGCTATCATCGGTTCGGCATGCCGGGACATCGGGATCTATTTCTACTCAAGTGTTACGCTACTGGGGGTATTTCACTTATTAACGTACTCGACTCTTAGACATAAATCTATCTTGGATTGATACGTATCCTTGTGTCAGTCCTAGCAGGTTTTGAACAATTTAAGGGGTTAGAGGTGTCGAGGGCGACATGACATAGTCCATTCCGCCACTTCCCGACGGAAGTTGCAATATCCGTCGGATCATCTACCGATCTCCCGAGATCCACTTTACATCCTCAACCTTGGACTTCGTGTAGCATTTCCGGGGCATATGGGGTGCGGGGAAGATGCAAGTAATTTAGATTGATCCTATTGGTATGCTTGACTACTTCATTATTGGTAGATTGAAAAATGAATATAAATTGGTAATCAAATTCCCCAATAACTGAGTCAACGACACCTTGACTATTGATATCAGATTGGTACTCCCTCTCAAGCTACATTATGTCGGAACCCTCTGCCAATGGTATCGGAGCCGCTGGTCTCAATGGAATTAGCGACCGCACACGAGCCAAATGGGCTGCAGGCTCCCCTGAAGATATCGCAGCTCGACTCCCCCCAATGCTCGACTTGACCATCGAGAATATCACCGAAAATGTGATGCAAATTAACTCAATGTGCGACAACCCTCGAATGATGTATCTCATCACAAAGCTAGTCAAAGCCTCGCACGACTACGTGCGAGACGTGAATCTGCAATTCGACGAGTGGGAGCAAGCTTGGCAGTTCCTCACGCGCGTAAGTATAATCTTTTTCGATCAAGAAGACTAAAATTCACATCTAAATAGGTCGGTCAGATTTCAACCGATGTTCGGCACGAGTTTGTTCTCCTGTCTGATATCCTGGGTATCTCGGCTCTGGTAGACGCGCTATCATACCCTGCCGTCCCAGGCGCGACCGAGTCTTCGGTTTTGGGTCCATTCCACGATGAGGAGGCTCATTGTTTTGAAAACGGGGAATCTATTACTTCCGATGGAACCCCTGGCGAGCCTACTATTGTCCGTGGTTCTGTTCGCGACATCGAAGGCAATTTCGTTCCTAAAGCCCTGATCGATGTTTGGGAGACCGATGGTAACGGAGTATATGACCTCGAGTATGACGGTAGCCAAGACCCGAACTGTCGTGGAAAGATATTTACGGATGCCAAGGGTCAATATCTTTTCAAATGTGTCAAGCCTGTTGCGTACCCGATCTCGAATGATGGCCCGGTCGGAGAGCTCCTGCGCAAGCTGAGGAGACACTGGTACCGACCAGCGCATATGGTTAGTTTGTGCTTAAGCTTTCTTGATCCCGGAGTCTGACTTTCAAATTTTATAGCACTTCATGGTCATGCACCCTGAATACACCAAGTTGATCACGGCACTATATTCCCGGGACAGCAACTTCGTCGAAAGCGATGCTGTTTTCGGCGTCAAGAAAAGTTTGATTGTCGACTATAAATGGTCTGAGGATCTGGAAATTGCCAAGCAGCATAATCTTGTTCCTATGAAGAGAACTGTCGATGGCAAGGAGTCTATGGGCTTTTGGCTGTTGGAGCAGGACTTCGTATTAGTCAAGAAAAGTACTCCTCCTCCTCGCAAGGTCAGGGATGATTAGAGCCAGATTATATACAACAATTCAATTATCGAATGTACAGGAAATGAATATCCATGCTTTGTCTGTATGCCCATGTAACACCCTATCGTGCTGCGGAAACAGCGAGAAGACAGAATAAAAGCTCCTATATGGTGAAAGCATACCCTAATTGATTTTTTTAGGTATCATTCAGCCTTTAACACACAGAGCATGATTTCAATATCAGGAGCTCGGGAATAAGGCCGGCTACCCTTAAGTTTCTCTATCCCCAATCAAAATTTACTTTCCACATTTCTTATGCTACGGTCTATTGCCATCGTCCTTTCGCGGAGTCAGTGGACTGTGTTTATCTCAAACTTCAAGGAGGAGAGGAGAAGTGTTGTGTGTGACGTGTTATTCGTGTTTCAACACCGACGTTGATTCCCGTAATGCTACGAACCCAATCTACTGACTAGACCTGTTAAGGCCAAGAGCAATTCACTCCATAGCCTCCTTTTATCTTTTTCTCCCCCACCATCTCCGTTCATGAACATCTTCCCATTTCAAAAAGAAAACTGCCCGTTATGAATATGCAATCACTAAGGAATCTGGGATTTCCTACATTGGTAGTTGATCAGCTTGGCCTTGTAGATGTTGAAAAAGCTTTCCACTTCACCAAATCTAATCATACAAACTGGAGCCAGTTTCAGACTCCGTTTCGGATACCTGAGGACTGCAGGTCTTATCTCAGTGATATTGACACCTCGATCTCCAACTCAGATGGATTACATGAGATTTCGTTGCAACAGCGTCTGATTTTCCTTTTTGCTGCTGTCTTTTCTACTGCTCCCGAAGACCCTCGCTTCCCTGGTTTAACCCAAATTCCTATATCGGGCAAATGTCAATTATCACTTCAGCCGATCGCCTACGAGGGGGAAATGTGCCATCTAAAAGGATCCCCTGATCTTTCTCTTTGGTACCAACCATACGCTGGGGAAGAAGGCCTAGACATCAATATTATTATCATGGACACAAAAAAAGGCTAATCTTACTTTAGCGTGCCCCAGGCCCTTGCATATATGGGTCAGCTCTTCCACTCCATTTCCACGTCGGCGCTGATTATCTATCTAGGTATGATTCATAGACAGCGGCGCTACGAGGGCATGGTTGAACATACAATCTTTGGTCTCTTGACGGATCACCACCGCTTCCGTTCACTTCAAATCAATACCAAAGGAAAGGTAACGAATTCCCCATCCACTAGATAAATGACGCTAATTCAAATTAGTGGTCTCAACTAGACTTGGACTATTCTAGTCAACGCCAGGAGATTATCGGCACCCTTGCCTATGTACACAGGCATGCCTCTATACTATCGACCTTGCCTTGCAGTCGTAAACCTAAGAACATCTCGAGATCTCAAGTGACGGGAGGCCTTATCACAACTCCCTGCTTGCGTGGCAAATTGGACAAAACATGTTTCACATTTCAAGCCGATGGCTGCGACTCGGATGATGGTTCTGGTGGTGAATAGGCCTGGTGACTGTATTTGCTTTTCGCTTCAAGATGATATCCAGACCAAAAGTTGTCGCTCTATTCTGAGTAATGGAACTGAACGTTACGTCAATTTCACAATATTTGCTTCCTTTTCGCCCTTTGGAAATCGACGATTACCAACAGCTACAAGATTCCGTTAAAGCATTAGCATTATTGTAGTTACTGTTGATTGGGGTTGTTCTGAGTCTGCTACTAACGAAATCTCCAGTCCTTCATCTCTGCCCTTTCCCTATCTAGCATTGATTGCCATCTCCAAGGTCTTTTGTGTCTGGTCCAGAAGACCCTGGAGCTCCGCCTGTTCAATCCTAGCCCAATCGAGGGCCTGCTTTTTGGTCATGGTGGCTCCTCCATCTGCGAAAGTAATGCTCGGAGGCAGTGGCGTAGTATCTCTTGCCCCCCAAAACCTGCACCACCAAAACTTCTAATGCCACCTTGGCAGTGGATACGTGCCTAAATGTCATTTCTGAGGCTACCCATGGCTTGGACGAAGAGTGCCTCGCATATAGCGGTTTTTAGGGCAACAAAAGAGTAAATTCTGTGGAGCTTCATGGCCATTTGTGCGTTCGCCGCTTAGAACTCATCTTGAAAGTTGGCTCCCGTAGGAGTGATAAATTCATCATTGAATTGAGAAGAGTACCACTCTTGTTGATTGGCGCGACAGCCCGTCACCAGATCGGTTGCTGGGCACTGTGGGTCTAGAATTCGGAGGGAGGATTTCGGGGTCTAGTCCATCTCTAGACATATGTTAGCGTGATGCAGAGCTTCCACTGGACTGAAGAGTTCCACCTCACTGGAGAGTAAGTGATGGAAAAAGGGTCAGTGGAGTTGTGGGGTTGGGAGAAGAATGTTGTGGAAGGAATTTCTAGTTGATTTTCGGAGAAGAGAGTTACGAAGTAGTGAGAAAGTGTACTAGCAAAGAGAAACATGGCGGTTTCATTTTGGTACTATTTACTCCCCATCCATCCGCTCATCCAGCACAAGCCCCTCTCTTGCGCTTGGTTCCTGATCATGATGAGTTTGAGCCGATGACTCCTTCGAGTGCATTGGCGAGAGCAGCATTGCCTTCTTCATCATGAAGACCATCGGCCCAAACACTGTCTCGTACTTATCATTACGCGCTATTATCAGGCGTTCAGACCACTAGGTCAATGTTAGAATAATTTAGTAGGAATAATATGATCAAGAGTAACTTACCCGGGAATAGTTATCGAGTTTCAAAAAAAGGAAGTGAACATCATCACAACAGACTCCGTACACGGTACAGTCATTCTTGCCAAGAAGCTTTCGCCGTCTGTGGACAATCCCTGGATCAAAAAGAATTAGACGATGGATATTTTTCACAGGTGCTGAGGGACTTACCCATGTAGCCGAGGGATTGGGGAAGCCCAGTCATCCCCTTCCCTTCTCCTTTGCTTCCACGATGACCACGTTCACGGCAACATCGTCAATCTCCCCGTACCAGACTGTATAATCTGACTTTCCATTCAGATTCCACTTCTTGCCTTTGTGTTTCACCCCTGAAAGGGAGCACGCGGACTCAGTCTGGAGACTGATTGGTACTGATGCTATGCCCTTGGATGTTGTTGCAACCAGACACGCACTCAAGTGCAAATCGTTGATTTTGAAGCGGATGTTCGCCTCGATCGGCACACTCTTGTTGAGGACGATGTTAATGACTCTTAAATGGCTCACTATATCGATTTTAGTTAACCCGATAAGTCATTTCTTTCTTGATCAGCTTACCAAGCTCGGACGGCAAGGCCAGAGGTAGTACGAGGTTCAATTCATAGTCAACGTCGGTGTACCGAATACCATCAGCATCCTGTAATTTCAAATTCAAGCTCGAGACAGCCAAGCTTGGCATTGCAGGTTCACGCGACTTTTGGTCAAGCTTTCGCGCGAGCTCGAGAATCTCTGGATCCTGGGGTTTGTGCCGGTTGAGAAACCGGCGAAGAATCTCGCGAATCTCGCGGAGGACGCTACTCTCGAAAATGGCACGAGAAAAAAGAGTCAAAAAAAAAAAGAGTCAGACTGGAAATAGTTTGGCAGAGGGAGAAAATTAGAAAGAGGATATAAGCATTAGTGCACAAATAGAGAGCAGGAAAACAAGTGAGAGGAAGTATCTGAGAGGGGACTGAGAGGGAAAAGAGAGGAGACTGACAGAAACAGTCTAGAATGTGGAAGTTGTCGAGAAGAAGAAAGGAAAGAGAGGAAGAAGCCCTGATCTATCAACTTGTCATCGCAGAAAATTCTCATCTCCAGTCGCCGCCATTACCGCCATTGACTGGGGTGTCCTCTGGGATGGCAACTGCCTGTCTACCGTGCTCATGACCAGGCTACACGCGTACGTCAGTGCCACAATTACCAAAAATAGTGTGATTGGACTCAACCAACCCAGGTATCGACTCCAAACACCGAAATATCACTTTCAGCCACCGTACGTGGCCCGCCTGAAGCTAGGTCATCTTCACTTTGCCTCGTTATAAGTAATTTAGATCTTAGAAGAATAGTAAGGAAGAGATTTCTCTGAGTGAATAAAGAATGAGGAAAGGGAAAGCAAATATATGAGCTGAGTCTTGACTTTCGAGCTGCTACAATGGCGACGGTAAGTATTGCCCCTAGTGCTTGTCGGGTAGTAACAATCCAACAACCAACTTTTGGCAAGGCATGTACAATTCAGTATTAAGAGGGCTCGCTTCAAAAAGTCTCACTTTAACCCATGACTATAGAGAACTATTTTGAGAAGACAATTCGATGATCCATATAGCTTTGGTAGCGAAAGAGCGGTTTGAAAGTTGATGTGTAAATGTGAAAGACCCGCCCAGGTAGTCACTAGGCTTTTAAACCCCTTGAACATTATCTGCATATTATTGAGATAAGAGCTTCTTAGATTGCATCTAGAGCTTATTTATAGAGGAAGATATAAAATTATTTAATAGTACCTTCAGGGGTATGTACTAGAATTATGGTGAGTAATACTACACGTAAAAATTAATGTGTTAGTACAAAGGGTGGCGAGATAATTATTAGTGGTTAGAAAACTTAGGGTAGATTTTTATGAAACTTTAAGCAATGTTTCTGCGCGTTAGATGGCTATTAATAACCATGCGTAATTAAGTAGAATTTGCGTAAGACATGGTGATGTGGTGAACTATTTAGTGAACATATATAATTAACGGGGTAGGCCCGAAAACTAATCTGGGAGAATACTTCTGATTAATTATTGTATTAAGGGTGGTGTACATGGTCATATTGAAAGTCATATGGAAGCTCACAATCCAATAAGGCTACAAATCCTCCGGGTAATTATATAGAACTTCTATAGCTTCAAGACATAAGGATTTCTCAGACAACTTCGATTGAAAATAAAGGGTCAAAGGTCCCCAACCTCGGGTCTATCAAAATGTGTGTACAGTATCAAGAATGCCTGGTAACTCTTCATATGGACCTCGGCGAATCGACGGCGGTACGGCACTTCCGGCAGACAAAGAGCTCCTGAATTTCCGACGGATCCGCTTCCTATTGGCTTGCGCTCTAATTCCCGCCACGCTTCACCATAGCCCCAAATATGAGGGTTTAGATTGGTTCTGGAAACCAGATGATGGCTTCGATCCCCGCATCTATCCTTGAACTTACGTCCTCCAAGAATCATTCCGATAATCTTATCGGCGCCTCCGACGGATCCCCGATAACGGATATTCACGGCGATAACGATATCGGTTATCGGAGAGTACGTAGTACACTGAATATAAAGGGAATGGACTTATCGGCCATTATGTGTTTAGACTACTTGAAACTCATGGGAACCTCAAATATCCTATCTATCCTTGTTAGATAATTTCATTCTTGTTATAAGACTTCCCAAACCAAACCGAAACGGCCTGTACGATGACTGAGCACTGGGACCAAAATGCGCTACGGGCGCGCTTCTGTCATGCTCTCTCTGAGATGTACAAGAGTGAAGTCCCTCTCTACGGCGACCTGATAGATGTGGTCTGGGAAGCAGATGCAAAAGCTATTCAATGCAGTCAAAGTTTAGAAGGCAAACAAGTTATCGACCCGGATGATATCTTACCTTCACGACACCGTGTAGAGAGACACGGCGCTATCAGACTAGGAACATCTCAAGAACTGAACACAATCAGACGCATGTTTGCCGTCATGGGAATGTACCCAGTCGGATACTACGACCTAAGTCTAGCTGGATTTCCCATGCACGCCACCGCATTCCGACCAAAAACTCACGATGCTCTCGCCGAACACCCATTCCGTGTTTTCACAACAGTACTGAGAATGGATCTCCTGACAGAACGAACACGTGAGCTGGCACAACAAGCTCTGAAGCGACGAAACATCTTTACGCCGAGACTTCTATCCCTCCTGGATCTTGTCGATACAAAAGGGTCTCTATCTCCGACAGAGTGCATAGAGTTTGTTATGAATGGCCTTGAGACTTTCAGATGGCATTCCAAAGCAACTGTCTCCTTAGAAGAATACCAGATGCTTAAAGCGGAGCACCCTCTTATCGCCGATGTTGTCTCCTTCCCCAGCTCTCATATCAATCACTTGACTCCCCGTACTATCGACATCGATCTAGTGCAGAAACTCATGGTGGACCGCGGAATGCCCGCCAAAGAACGAATCGAAGGTCCTCCCAAACGAGAATGTCCTATTCTTCTTCGGCAAACGAGCTTCAAAGCCCTGGAAGAGACTGTCTACTTCCGTGACACATCGGCCGAATACGTGAAAGGATCCCATACGGCTCGATTTGGTGAAGTGGAGCAACGGGGTTACGCATTGACTCGAGAGGGACGTCAGCTCTACGACCAGATCTTGGACCGAGTCAATGCCGAGGCAGCAAAGAATAAGATCAAAGGCAACGATTACGAAATACTTTTGGAAGATAGATTCAAGGAATTTCCAGATACGTTGCCAGCTTTGCGTGAGCATCATTTGGCATACTTTAGCTATCGGATAACGCCGAAGGGCGAGAGACTGGCGGAAGATGGCGTCGATATTGCCCAATCTGGAAGCTCCTCTGTACCGCTTCAAGAACTTCTAGACCAAGGTGTTTTGAGTTTTGAGCCTCTCACCTATGAAGACTTTTTGCCATTGTCTGCCGGTGGTATTTTTAACTCCAACCTCGGGAATGTGTCGCAGTCAAAACAACTCATCATGAGCGCTGAGCCTGATCTAGACGGCTTCCAGCGCTCCCTGGGATGCCTTATCGCGGATGAATTCCATCTGTACGCTGAAATGCAGGCAAAGTCCTTGGAGCTTTGCAGGGGACAACTTGGATTGGAGAGGATTGAAGTTTAAACATATATAGACCTGGCTGCTGGTCAATCGGACTTTTTGATTTCATGAAGCGTTTTCCTCAACTGCTATTTGTGACATTACATTCCATATCGTACACCCAATAATTCAATGCGAATTTTTATGAACTGGTTGATTACTTCATACGATAGATGATATAACCAAAGCAAATGAACAAATACCAATTACCGGATTTGTGGTCATCAGACAATTTCTGACATCCTGTACATAGGAAGCATCATAGATTCATCTCGGCAGGAAAAGGAAAGATCCGCAAGACAATCACCGGGACAGTGGGGACCGACATCCCTAGCCGTATTTTCCCCGGATTTCCGACTAGCTGCTACTACAAACTACATATCCAATGTAGTAATCACCACTCTTCATAAGACCACAATCCATTGAATTTTCAAAAACAAAATTCTGCTCAAAAGCGACAATACATAACTCGGCCTCCCTTTGCCCTTCGTCCCGACACATACTTAACGACTGGCACATCACCAAATCATTCCGAGCCTTTAATAGATCGCCACATCTAAGCCCCGATACTGGTCCCCGAAACCCCTGTCGCGACCAAGCGCACAATTACCGAATACGTCTGAACAAGAGGAAGACACAGCCGCCAAGTCGCCGAGGAAGAAAGCCGGAAGCGCCCGATGATGCGGCAACCCGAGCCGTATACGCCTATACGATGACGGCAGCACCCGCTCCGGCCGAATGAACGCCGCGTACCAGGGAAATGGAAGGAGGCTCAGCAACTAAGTTATGGCTGCGATCTGTGAATTTTTATCCATGAGATCTTCCCGCTTAACCTTGTTTATTCTTACATTGTATTTAAGTCCAAGGCCTTAGCGAGATGGATAATCGGTATCCAAGATTATCGTTCATGCAGGGTTCTTTTGAAAACGATTTCCTGCATGGATTCCAACCAGACGGAGGTTGATACCACTTGGCATATTTATGTTGGAACTATTGCTACCATTATTCCTGCGACTATTGCAGTCTCTTTGAGATTCGCTGCGAGATATGTCTCTAGTGCTGGATTCTGGTGGGATGATTATACTATTGCGCTGTCGTTGGTGAGCTTTCGTTTTCCTTTTCCAATTCGGTCTGAAGGATGACGTTGTAATTGTTAACACTCATTCCAGGTCGTCAACTGGGTTATGGCAGCTTTGAGATGGGCACAGATTTCACTAGAATATTATGGCCCCGATGGTCATGCCCTGAATCCAGAAAAAGTCCAAGGGTTTGGAAAGGTACGAATATTCACCTTGTTGGTTGCCTGTCCATTTCTAATCATTGGATAGCTTTTCATGGGGATCCAATTGATCTATATCCTCAATGCCGGTCTCACCAAAACTTCTCTTCTACTTCTATACCACCGTATCTTTGGAGTAGTTCGAGGCTTTCGCTGGGCTCTTTGGGCGGCTGGTGCCATTGTGATTGCATGGTGCATCGCTAACACCCTCGGTGTGATTTTCGGATGCTGGCCTATTTCCAAACTCTGGGATCCTAGCCTACCAGGGAGATGCATTAATATTGGGGCATTCGGACGCTGGACTGGCGTTGCCAACCTCCTTATCGATGTCTTGATTCTTTGCCTCCCTTATCCCATGGCGTGGAGATTGCAGACTAGCGTGCGGCAAAAGGTTATTCTGAGTGGTATGTTTCTGATGGGAACTTTGTAAGTTTGCTCAGAGCTTGGGGCCCAACGGTATCTGATTCTGATGATCGGCAGTGTCTGCTTTATATCTGTACTCCGAGTGACAAGTTTTGACTATGACACCCTCGGATATAGCACCTATAAAAACATTGAGCCAGCGACCTGGTCTTCCATCGAGCAATCGGTCGGGATTATTTGTGCTTGTCTGCCTACTCTACGACCTCTTTTTAGGTGGCTATCTGGTAGCTTAAAGAAAGATGCGAAGAATAGAGACAGTGCTTTGTCGGATTTCCCAAAGCAAGCTCCTCTATCTCGCCGGGCGGCACTTGTGGATGAAGAAAACGCGTGGGGACTTGAGGATCCTCCTGTGCAAGAGGAGATTGAGGAGATTGCTGAGAACCGTGACGGACAGGATAGACCATTGTCACAGCAGACTACGGACACCACTACTTCTCAAGACTCTCTACGAGGTCAGCCTGAAGCTCGGCCCGAGTCTTTTGCTTAGCTTTTCCCCTGTACATAATGATAACGAATCAATGATACCACTATTAGAACTGAACCTTGTTTGGAAGCACAATTATATGTAAGATTTGTCAAGAATTCGAATAATTTTTGATAAGATTCAAAGAAAAGATTGATATAGAATACAATGCATGCAAAGGATCAGCCAAATTCCATCTATCTGTACAAATATGCTGCAAAGATATCATTGCATCACATCTCAGGACATGTCACCAAACCATTGGCAAACAACTCCACGACCTCATGACCGGGCCTCAATTTGGGGAGAGTCCTCTGCATCCTCAACCACCACAGCGCCCTCCTTCAACAATTCTTCAGGACTCTTCACCCGCACATCCATCACTCGCATAATAGTATACCGGTGCTTGCTCCGAGCCTGCTTTGTGTGTCTCTGTCTTCGCTTCGTCTTCTCCTTAATGCGCAATGGCTCCGACTCCACACCAATAACACGGACTCGGCACTCGAACAGTCGCTCGTCGATGTGGGGTGAGCCCTTCAAGGTGAAATCACGAGATCCAAGCGCAGAGGCCCGGTTAAATCGCAGGATATCACCGGTCTTCACCTTCGGCATAAGGAACGGCAGACGAACGTGATCGCCCTCTGTTAAGAGGAAAGGCCGGGCGTGCAGCTCGGCAGTAACGTAGTGTGGTTTCTGGCCAACGAGGTGGGGAAGCTGCGCCATAAGGGACTTGGTCACTTCGAGAGGTGCGGTGAATGTGGGAGCAACGGGCTGCTTCGCGAGGGGAATATCATTGCGGAGGATGGTGTTGTTGATGGGGGAGACCTGGGTCTCTGGGATAGAGTCTTGTGCGCGTGGGGTAGCGGACAGAGGTGTTTCGGGATTAACAGATGAGGATTGGGTCTGGGATTGTTGTTGCGCGTTCCGGAGCGATGCCGTTTGGTGAAGGCAAGCTCGTTGCGGAAGGGGAATGGAGGAGATCGAGGGCGCTGACAAGCGCAGATCGGAGGTCAGACTCCGCAATACTGAGCGGGAGAACATGGCTATGAATTTCTTCCCGGTGAAAGACGAATTGCGGGAGAAATTGGAATCTTGGTGGTTTGGGTTGCTAGAGCGGCTTCCTATTTCGAGAAAATCAGATGCTGCGTTTGTGGCCGCTTCGCCGCCCGTATAGTCACGTGTAGTGTGCTAAAATGAATCAAAGATTGAACTCTTAATTTGCAAGACTTGACATATAAAAGAAGATGTGACACTTATTAGGGAGTTGAATACAATTCAAATGTCTTTTTCTGGTTAAAAATTCGTTAATTAGAATTGTAAATTGTAATTGATCAGTCTTAGACTTCCTGTTCTGGCAGATGTTGATAAGAGTGTCACGTGGATCGCTATCTTTGCCGCCGAAACAACTTTTTCGGTTGCGATTAGATCTTGCAGTCCAAACCACATCTAACACCCCACCTTCTGTGCTCATTCTGTATTCATCATGGTTAGTCCTTGAATCAAAACCCACATGCTCTTCAATTTGAGTAACTTAGCTAACCACTTTTCTCAACCAACAGCCTCAGAACGAGTCCGTACCCTCCCCGCCAACCACCCGATAAAAGTCACAGCTAACCCACATAAAACAGGTACATCGAACGCTGGCAAAAGCAGCACGGTAAGCGTCTCGATCACGATGAGCGCGTCCGCAAGCGTCAGGCTCGTGAGGGCCACAAGGCCTCCTACGATGCCCAGAACCTCACCGGTCTGAGAGCCAAGCTGTACCAGCAGAAGCGTCACAAGGAGAAGATCCAGATGAAGAAGCGCATCAAGGCACAGGAGGAGAAGAACGTCAAATCCGCTGCTCCCGACGAGCCTTCCAAGACTCCTTTGCCCCAGTACCTGCTCGACCGTTCGCAGGCTACCAATGCCAAGGCTTTGTCCAGTGCTATCAAGGATAAGCGTTCGGAAAAGGCTGCTAAGTTTGCTGTCCCCCTGCCTAAGGTTAAGGGTATCAGTGAGGAGGAGATGTTCAAGGTTATCAACACCGGAAAGAAGACTCACAAGAAGTCGTGGAAGCGTATGATTACCAAGCCTACTTTTGTTGGTAACGACTTCACTCGTCGGCCCGTCAAGTACGAGCGATTCATTCGGCCTATGGGTCTTCGTTACAAGAAGGCCAATGTCACTCAGTATGTTTCTTCTTCATTGGCACTTTCGGTGTTGGATTTGGACCAGTCAATGCTAACAATGACTTTTCCAGCCCCGAACTGGGCGTCACTGTCCAGCTTCCCATCCTTTCGGTCAAGAAGAACCCCTCCAACCCCTTATATACTCAACTTGGTGTCCTGACCAAGGGTACCATTATCGAGGTCAATGTCTCCGAGTTGGGTCTCGTCACTACCTCCGGTAAGGTTGTTTGGGGTAAATGGGCCCAGATTACCAATGTGTAAGTTCCTCCTCGGTACACGATATATACATGCTGGAGCGCATACTAATCAATGCCACTACAGTCCCGAGAATGACGGCTGTGTCAATGCGTAAGTGATTGTCGATTCTATCAGGCCTCGAACGGTTACTAACTACCTCATAGTGTTCTTCTTGTCTAAAATTGTCGCCCTTGAACCGGCATTCCTTTGTTCATCACTCCTGGCAGACAGCAGTCTGTCTTCGATACCACCGTGTCCTGGGCACTACTATTGATTATTGAGGTTCATACGGTTGACGTAGACCATGCTATTACTCTGGTGTTTCTGGCGCATTTTCTCATTATCTGGTCTTTGAACGAAAAGTATGCATGCTTTGGTTTGCCATGCATTAGATAGACCAAATAGTTACACATTCATGCAATTATTTCATGATGAGAGAGATACAGATTTTCATACATAACGTACGCATTATCACCGTGAAGGTTCATAGGAAACAAAATGGAGACTACTAAAAACCAGTACACCCATGACGTACGGAGCAGTAAGGTTGAGAGGATTGACAATTAAACATCATAACCAAAATGGAGTCAATGATGAACTCCAAGGTCCAATGAGCCGGTATCCAGAGTCGGCATCCAATGCAATAGGAAGATTATCCAAAATCATATACAAATGTAAAGATCCACAGGGTTCGCTGAATCGCTTAAACTGGAGTGGTGGTAATAATGGAAACGGAAAGGACGAAAAAGAAAATTGACAAGATAGATCAGCCAAACAGCTGCATCAATTTTGAACAAGCAATAAAGAAAAGAAGCTCTCACCAAACACCGGTCATAAAGTCGTTCTAGAAAAAACAAAGGCAGGGTATGAGGCCCGTCACAAATAATGAAAACAAAGGAAATTTACCAGTCAGGTGTGTTAAGAATTCTCTTCTTCCAAGGCTGCTTTGATCTTCGCAAAGAATCCGGCGGGCCATTGAGCAAGTTCTTCTTCCTTGGGAATGCCACGCGCTTTGCAGTGGTGTACAACGTTGGCGAGGATGCGACCAAGCATGTCTTGGGTAACAGGGACGGCACCCTCAAGCTGAGCATCTGGGTGCAAGAATGGGTCTCGGGGACCGAGCATCTCTTCGATAGTTGGTCGAAGAGTTTGATCACGCTGTAGACAGCGCTTCAATGTTCGAATGAGTCCAGGGGGCACGGTGACACCACCGACACCATGAGTGGGAAAGTCGATTTGTACACGGGGGTTGGGAATTGCCATGATACGCTCATAATACTTGGCGATCTTAGCAAATGGTGGATGGCCGTAGACCATTTTGTACAAAATGCAGCCTAGACTCCAAACGTCGCTAGGCTTACCTAGTTTCATCACCTTGCCAACGCTCGCAGGGAGCCCAAGGGATGCGTTCGAGTCAACCAAGGCCTCGGGGGACATGTAATTGGGCGTTCCGACTTGTTGTTCTCGGTGAACATTCACGGTGTGGTCCTGGATGGCGTTGGCAATACCAAAGTCGATTAACTTTAGGCGTCCCTGGACCATAAGGAAATTGGCCGGCTTCAAATCGGAGTGGACAATGTTGTGCTCGTGAACGGCCTGGACACATTCGAGCATCTCCTTCCAGTAGAAGCGAGTGAAGTTGATATCGAAAACAGCATCTTCCGCATTGAGACGGTATACGAGAATCTTCTCTAGATCAGATTCGCCAATTTCCATGAGGACGCTGAGCGAATGTTTGTCCATGTTGAGTTCCCAATCAAACAAACGCACCACACGCTCAACATTCTCTAACTTCTTCAGTAGATCAATTTCACCCTTGTAGCCAGCGAGCGTGAGCGGGTCGAGATCCTCCAGATTTACTCGCTTCAGCGCGAAAATCTTGTAGTTTTCAGCCATCACACGATAGACGCGAGAACTACCTCCACGGCCAATGCAGTCTAGTCGAGTGAAATGTTTGTGGTTGATAGACACTTGAGTTCGCTTTTTACGTGATTGTGATGTCGATGCTCCACCAGTTGCAGTTGCAGTCTCAAGTACGGACATTTTCGGGGGCGGGGGCGCCGGTCGATGAGGGGTGTTACTACTTCTGGTAGCAAGAATCTTGCGTGGTGAGTTTCCTGCTGGTGTTTCGGCAACTTGTTTCTTTTCGGTTTCGTACATAGATGATAACTTGTCGGGTTTATCCAGCACATTCAAGCCCTGTGGTTTCGTTCGTCTGAAAGTTGGCGGAGGCTCATTCTCCTGGTCCCTTACTGAGGGCAGATGAGGTAAAGACGGAACTTTAAAAGCGGGTTGTTCTCTTGCGCTGGATGACCTCGAAGACTGGTCTGATGACGCAGGGGTGGACTTGGATTGCGATCCGTAAGACTTGGGCGAAGATGGCCTTGAGAAAGGACCGTCACTCCGCACTGTGCTTGCAGGTCGTTCAGGTCGTCGCCATTCACTCTCTTGTGGCGGGCTCGGGTCCGCCCATGAAACCTTGGGTGATGATGGTTTTTCAATATCTCGAGGTTGAGACTCAATATTATCATAATCGGGTTCTCCATTCTCCCTTAAGCCGTCATTGAGATAGTTATCTTCGTTGTTCTCTTCACTCTGGCGGCGCAACACTCCTCTTCGAGCAGGTCCATTGAGGAAAGTTCCAGTGAGTCGCCCAACCCGCTTGACTCGCAAAGAGCTCTGCGGGCCAAATTCATCCATGTTGCGATTCCGTAGAACCGAAGCAGTGCCGATTCGTGCCACAGGATCATCTTCGTAATGCGATTTCCGGCCGCTATCAGACCGATCAGCGCTGCCGTACTCATCGCCCGAGTTCCGTTCTGAAGAACGGTTCAGAGATGGCGACTGGGATGACGGGGACCTCGTGTTGCTGCGCGACGCATTGATTCGAACACTTCGCGGTCGTGGCGCAGGAGTTTTGAAGTCATCGGGATGCCTTTGCGCTTCCGGTTCGGCAATATGGCTATTGGAAAGTGGAGATCCTTCACGGGAGAACCTGGAGGCACCACCAATACGAACAACCCGCGGTGCTGGGCTGCCGGTGGAATTGTCATGGGGCGAGGAGTTTCGTGGCGATTGACTGCTCTGTCTAGAGCCCATTGCAGCGGCCCGTCGCTCATATGCGGCATGTCCTTTCTGGAGGCTGGGAGAGGATCCTAAGCCATCTCCGTCCAAAAGCGCTTTGACAGAGGCGCTGAATTTCGGCTCCGGAACTTCATCATCAGAGCTGTCGCCAGAGTAGTGTCTGGAGAGTGATGTTTTTGACCCCGCATGCTGGAGGGCTGGGGAGACCCGTCTGGAACCGGGACGTGAAACCGCGGATCGGGCCACCGGTCGGGATGGTTGTTGATACAGGTTGCTGTTGTATGCGGATGAAAGGGAATTCGGGGAGGCCATGGCGACTAGCGCACTACATTGAAGTCGGGAATCAATGTAGCCCTCGGCGACCCGGGGTTGTCGAATATCGAATGTTGGATGTTTGTTGTTCTCAAAACGGGAAAGTCCAATTGATCTGATGTTCCACCGCGAGCGGGCGCGCTACAAGGTCACGTGCTCTTCGGTTGCCATGGCGATCACCACAACAAAGAATGTCTGAATGGAAGGTTGCCTCTTACTACAGTACTACCAGTATTTAATTATGGCTGCACAGTATGAGCAAGAAGATTGAAATGTTTTTCAAAAGCACCAGATGCTTTTTAGCCGGAAGCTGTCAATTTTGAGGCTTTGAAACTTCAAGTTTGACGTCGGACAGTAAAGCACGATTACGTAGCGATCTACTTCCAACTTGGACCAATTTTTCCTGTCAGCTTCTCAGGCCTCACAGGGCTGTGGATATTGTTTGATTCTTTGAAATTAGTTTGGTGTAAACTTCAATGGAATCATGAATATCGTCAACTATTGATTCACAATTATTTACAATGCTCTGCATTGATCCAACCTTTCCTTGGAAAGCGGACGATTCAAATGTTCCCGACGTCTTACGTCCGCGGATATATATTTCTCAGCATATAGTAGCCACCATCTGGGCAGCCAGCAATTCTTTGCTAAAGTACGTATATTTCTAGTCTACCTACGTATGCATGGAGTCATTTCCATTGAGAAAGTTAAAAGCATGAATATACAGCCTGTCAGAGACCTCGGGATCTACGGTATTTGCGACCTGGTAAAGATCTCGAGTTTAAAAGTTCTACAATAGCATTGTTGCATAAATCCGATGTTTTCTATATTTTGTGACATGCAGGCCCCAGTTTAGAGCACCTAAGTAACTAGAGTACGGCGGCAATAGGAAAAGTAAAATTAACACCATGCATCCTCAAGTCTGCCTGAAAAAAGAGATGCATGTTTTCGATGAAGTCGAATTTTGTCCGAATGTTATCTCCTGGATGTTCATGTCGAAACTCAAATATAGATCGGAGTCCTATGGGACACGGTCGCAGCTGTCAACAACGTGAAATGACCCGAAACCTAACATTGAACCTTGGGAAAGCAAACATTGGATCTATCACATTGGACTCTGAAGACCGGAAGATTGAAATTACGCATGCTGTTGTGAAAAAGACCAATAAAGTCCCTTTAATCCACTGACTCACCTGTAAATGATCAGGACTGACCGCGGATTTCTGTGCATGGGCAGACGCAGAAGATCAAGACCTCGCCACAATGCTGCATTCTGCACTCTGCATCCAGTCTCCACAGTTGGCTGTAAGCACCAAGGGGCAAACACTCTGGAGTGGCGCCGAGGCATTGATCCAATTGGGCACTAACGGGTTCCTGCATGGACTTAAGTCCAGAGGATCTGAATTTCTCTTTGTCACCGAGATGGGAAATGGCAGGTCATAATTTGGCGGTGCATGTGTAGGGCCTTCTTCATTTGCCATGCGAGGATGCAATGCAATGCGATCCACCAACGCCCATTGGCAACATTAGGCGAGGTGCACATGTGATGCCGGTAGATCGATCGGATTTGATTAATTGTCTCGGTTAATGTTCCGTTTCCAGTAAAAGTTTTTGATCATTGAAAAGCTAGAAATTGGGTGGTGAGAATTCTGATAAAAATAAAGGAGAGCGCACGGAGTCGGTATCCCAAGGCGGGCATATGTCCTTTTTCCCCCAGTGGTTCAAGGATTCGGATAGGGCGTTTCATAGTGCCTAAATTCGAGGTTAATTTGTAGAACCATATGTTGGCGAAATCAATAGATCGGAACGCGCTCCATTTTAGATTCCCAGTGGGCTTCTATATGTACCATGGAAGTAAATATTGAAGAAGAAAAACCATCTGGTGGATGCCTAGGATGATCGCTTCCGCCGGCTACCGACCGTAGGAAGCTGCCGGATAATGTGCAAACTGACTCTCAATCGGAGAAGATCACTTGTCACACCTTTCGTTGCAAATCAGACTTATCGCAATTTGAAGCAGGAGCCACTGGGACAACCGTGAGCGTAACTGTTCGCTCATAAACCTTAACCCTGGTGGGCTGAGACATGTTCGAACAAGATACTATATTTCACACCCACCCGGTCACCATATGTCTCTCCTCAAGACGCCTCCAAAGCCTAAAAAGCTTTTCTTAGAAGTATGGGAACCAAGGTTGATGATGAAACCGCGATCGCTTCATAGAATCAGGATCAGGGTCAACGAACCGGTTCCCCAATCCGAAATGTGGTGATGGCGTAGCACTAGGGGTTAGCGTTGTTTGGGAGCATTAGTTAGTGGAGCCTAAGCTCCTAAGCTGCAGACAAGCTTAAAGGCTAGGAAGCACAGCAGGTGTCCCCACTCAGGTTAAAAATTTCCCCTGCTCCGAGTAGCACTACGCCGTATTGAGTTAAGCCTAACCCTCCCCGAGGCCGCCGTCGTGTGGGACGTCGGGAAGCCCCTGGACCTTGGCATTTGTTTTGGATCCCACGCTAGTGTGAAGGAAGCCAATTTTAGGAACAGCCTCAAACCCTCGTCTTTTTTTTTTCCCCCTCCGAGCCATGGGTAGCCTCCAAGTCTGCGACGGCCTACCGTTTACATCGTCTACAGAGTGGAGACTAGGGCTTGAAATGCAGGAGGCCCTCACTATTGTTGCGATCCCGGCCGTGGCGTGCATTAGTGCTGGTCACAACCTTGGAAACAACCCTGTTCCTGGATTTGAGGGGATTTTGGTTCGACCAGTCTAGACAGCCTCGGAAGACGACCGTGGAGATGGTCCCTGGGGGTGGGTTCGCATGTATGCTGCATCTTACATACCTCGCCACCGTCAATCCTTCCGAGATGCTGCCGCACCTGCATAATCAAGACATAACAATCAAGGCATAACATTTGGCAGGTCATCACACGGTCAAAGAAAAAAAGAAATTAAAGATCATCACAGGCAACGAGTCACTGTACGTAAATGCGGTAAATCTACGGAGTACATACGTCAACGGTCCTATAAATACATCATCTGAAAAAGACCACATCGATACCAGGATAAATTGTCATCCGTTTGATACTCTCGACCGGAATCAATGGTGCCATGGTATGGAGTCCTGTTCGATAGGTCGCTTTCAAGTTTTCCGGTGGAATTGACAAAACAGAGAGTGAATCCACACATTTCCCAAAAGCGTATAGACCGTGCAGTATGGTCTTTGTCTAAACTCCCGGGGTTGCCAGCCATATTGGGCGGATCCATAACCAGCCACTCGGAACCCTTTCACGCCGACCTACCCCTGCAGAGGTTCTCAGGTACCAAAAAAAGAAGAAAAAAAAAAGGTCTGTGGGCATGAGTTGATACTGTGCTCCCAAAAAAGGGGAGGTGCAAATGGTTACAGCCAAATTAATTCTTCGGGATATGGGTCATCAACCGTTGGTGGGTCCATGACGATCGTTTCCCCTGGCTCACAGGGCGATGACCGAATGTTGCCTAGGATTTTCATTCTGTTTACCTCGTTGAGAGAATTTGCCGACCTCGCCCTCGTGCATGTATGTGCTGGTTAGTTTCTTCGACTGCGGGAGAAAAGAAGATCTGGATAAGCTGGCAACGTGTGGTGCCGTGATGGGCCGGGTATCAAGACCCCAATGGAGTGGACACAGTCGGTATGCAAATCGAAGATGATCCGTAATCTGACACCTTTTCTGACGACCTTGCCACAGATGGACGGCACGGGCACCTTTGTCTCCAGTCTGGCCGGTGGATCCTCACTGGTCCATGTATCCACAACTTGCCCTGGAAGATCCAGGTCTACCCCCCCCGTATCCGAGAGCCTAAGGGGTTAGCTAGCTCCAAATGTGGACTAAGGCTTCGAGACCGGGGTAGCCCTCTTGGTCCAGCGTGGATCGATACTTCTCCTGCCCAGGCCGAATTCTCTTGCTCCCACGATCAGGGGTATATAAAGATCGAGGATCGTCACCTCGATTGACATTGCTTCATCAGTTTGTTTTTCATTTTCAACCTTTTCCTCAGTCTATCGTTAATACCTTCCGCAGACGGCTTTCTTAGTCCGTCTTGCTACTTCCTTTCTTGTCTCTTCTTTTTTTTACGCCATTTTTGTATAAATCTTTCGCCATACACACACTCGCTATCATCAACTGAGAGACAATGCGTTATTCTCTTGCTCTGCTTGCCGGTCTGGCGGGCTCGTCCCTAGCCTACCCGGCTGAAGTTTCTAACGAGCGCCGTACTTTCGGTCTCGTTGCCGATATCCTTGGTAACGTTGGTTCGGAGGTTGGCTCCATCCTCAACACCGTTCTGGGTGGTCACGGCCACGCTAGTGCTAGTGCCCACGCCAGTGGCTCCGTTAGCCTGCTCGCTGGTCTGAGTGCTCGCGGTGCTGCTGCCCTCGAGGGTGGTGCTCTTGGATGCAGCCATTCTACCATTCATGCCGGTGCCCGTGGTGAGCTGAAGACCTGGTTGTCCAGCCAAACCCACATCACCGGATCCCTGAAGACCTCCCTCTTGTCTTGGTGTGAGGGCCACATTAGCACTCTGGATGCTGGTGTCACTGCCGGCCTCGCTGTCTACATCCCGACTTGTGCCGACCTCGCCGCCAAGGAATCCATCTACGTTACCATCGATGGTATCTTCGAAGCCTCTAGCCTCGAGTCCACCCTTATTCTCAGCGCTTCTGCTCAGACTTCCCTTACTGCTTTCATCTCCGCCAACGCCGACCTGGATGTCGATGTCAAGGCCGGTCTCCACCTTTGCGCTGCTGGTGGTATTGTTGGCAGCTTGAGTGCCGACATCAAGGCTTCCCTTCTCACCTGGATTCAGGGCTCTGACTGCGGTCTCGGTGCCACCCTGAAGGCCTCCGTTCTTGCCTGGATTAAGGGCGAGGCCGGTGCTGACCTCGTTGCCATTGGCTCTGTCTCTACCGATGCTCTTACTTCCCTCTCCGTTGGTGCCTCCGTTGAGGTCCTCGTCGAGGAGTCTGGTATCCTTTCTACCTCTGCCCTTGCCTCTATCGCCGCTTTCCTCGAGGCTGATGTCTCGGTTGACATTGACGTGAACGTTCGTGCTGCTCTCAAGGCCTGTGCCGAGGGCAAGCTTGCCTCTGCCCTTAGCGTTGATCTCCGTACTTCCCTGGCTGTCTGGCTGTCTGGCTCTGACTGCACTCTCGGTGTTGAACTGAAGGCCGTTATCCTGCTCTGGCTGTCCGTTGCTGTTACTGCTGAGGCCTCCGTCGGTGTCGTCTCTGGTCTCGTCGTTGATATCACCTCTTTCCTGACTGAGGAGATCATCTCTCTCCTCTCCGTCAACCTCCGTGGTGCTCTTGCCCTCCTCGAGGCTGGTGAGAGCCTGACCCTGCTTTCCTGGGAGGCTCGTGCTGAGCTCGCTGCCTTCCTCGGTGGCTGCACCAGCATTGACATCAGCGTTTCCATCGAGGTTATCATCATCGAGTGGTTCACCGGCTGCAGCATTGGCTCCGGCTCCGGCTCTTCTCCTTCCGGCTCTGCCTCTGTCCCTAGCCTGCCCTCTGCCACTGCCTCCATCGTGCCCAGCGGCCCTGCTGCCTCCGGCTCCGTTCCCTCTGGACCTGCTGCCACTGGCTCCGTTCCCTCCGGCCCTGCTGCTTCCGGCTCCGTTCCTTCCGGCCCTGCTCCCTCTGGCCCTGCTGGCTCCGGCTCTGTTCCTTCCGGCCCTGCTGCCACTGGCTCCGTTCCTTCCGGTGCTTCGCCCACTGGTTCCGGCGCCGCTCCCTCCGGCCCTGCTGCCACTGGCCCTGCTCCCTCCGGCCCTGCTGCCACTGGCCCTGCTCCCTCCGGCCCTGTTGCCTCCGGCTCTGTGCCCGCTGGCCCTGCTCCTTCCGGCCCTGCTGCCTCCGGCTCTGTGCCCTCTGGCCCTGCTCCTTCCGGTCCTGCTGCCTCTGGCTCTGTTCCTTCCGGCCCTGCTCCTTCTGGACCTGCTGCCACTGGCTCCGTTCCCTCTGGCCCTGCTCCCTCTGGCCCTGCTGCCTCTGGCTCTGTTCCTTCCGGCCCTGCTCCTTCTGGACCTGCTGCCACTGGCTCCGTTCCCTCCGGCCCTGCTGCCACTGGCCCTGCTCCCTCTGGACCTGCTCCCTCTGGACCTGCTGCCTCCGGCTCTGTCTCGGTCCCTGCCGGCCCTGCCCCTACCGAGACTGTTGTTATGAGCACCCCCTGCGCTGGCGGAGCCGGTGCCGGTGAGACTGAGACCATCAGCTACAGCACTGCCTTCACCGAGACCCTTGTCGGCACTGGTGCCGTCGGTTACACCTCGACCCTCATCTACAGCACTGCCTACACCGAGACCATCCACTACACTGAGACCGTCTCCGCTCCCGCTGTCACTGTCGCCCCCTCTGGCGTCTCTCCCGAGGGCTCCGGTGCCATCACCACCGTCTACGTCACCCAGACCGCTACCGTCTGCGGATGCGAGTAAAACATCTCACTACCCATCTCTCATCCATTTATGACGCTCGGCGTCTAACCATATTTTCTTTTTCCTTATGATAAGACCTTTACCTCTTGAAGTGGTGTGGCCTGCAGATCTGTTCAAACTATCTCAGGCCATGGTCAACAGCATTCCTCCATGTTCACCTACTCGGTGATTCGTTTCCTTGCCTCTGTCCTGCCTGTAGATATCTAATTCTAATTCTAATCTGCTTTGGGAGATTTGGTCTAAACTGTTGGATAGACTCTTGGCGGATTGCGGCTCTGTTTTTTCGCAGAGCGAAGATCACTTGTTATTTTTTCTGATCAAGATATCCTACTTATTCCCATCAATGGAGTACATTCCTTAGCTTCTTGTATATTTGTGCGTGCCTTTATTGATTCTTTTGCTTTTTTGGCTATTTTGAGTTGACTTTGATGCAAAAAGTTATTTCTTACACAGCAAACGAAAAAGAGATCAAAAATATCTTCATATGAACAGTTCCTTTTCAAATTTAGTTTCTAAAGGTGTACTGTATTTCGGCTTTGAATGTCCTGAACTCAGTGTTGAAATCCATACGGTCTTTACCATACCGAAGATGTAATCTTTCAAGTCCGAGCTCAGAACCGACTCAATTCTCTTCGTGTACAAAAATAAAAAAAATAAAAAAAAAACATACATTGATAACCAAGGATAATGCCCCAAAGAAAAAACAGAATAGGTATACGAAAAGATGTCCGAAATCAACAGAAATCTACGAAATATGATCAATCCTTCCCGAGGTCTTTCAAGCTTCTACAGCAGCCATCTGTATACCATTAGTCTCCCCAACCACCACCTTCTCTTCAACCTCACTTGCAACCACAACCTCTGGCACAGCGGTTGGTTCAGGGTAAAAATCAATTTTCCCTCCGTCTTGAATAACCCCAGTGCGATCCGAAAGACTACGAGCCCGCACATAGGGATCAAGTCGCCAATAATTATCCGACAACTGCTTGATCACAGCATCACGACGGTTGTCCAAGGAATCATCCTGAGAACCCGTGATCCACTCCGCATTCATACGGAACAAATCATCACCAAGCTCCTTTCTTTCCTGAAGGATCGTATCTCGAGTCGCCGTATCACGGAGCCTCTCATTTTCATTAGGCCTGGGCTCGATGTATTTGACTTCCCAGTCTTCGGGGCCTCCAAGCTCTTTGATAATATGTTCTGCAGGAACGAGAGTCTCCAGCTCTCTGGTACCAGTGACAAAATGAACTTTCGAAGCGACCACCGGGTCAAGGAGACCATTGATGATTTTCCAGAATCCTGATCGCAACATGTTAGCCGAGCTATGATATCGGATACGAGATGTGGGTAGATCGGAACGCACCGGAAAAGATCCAAGGGGCATTATAGAAAATCATAGCGCCCAACGATTCAGGATAATATTCCTGAAAGGAATCAATGATGAATTTTACGGGAGCCAGTTCCTGTCAAATGTCAGCTTAGAAACTATCGAAGTCTAAATCAAATGTCTCATCCACATACCCAGTTTGAGATAGAAAACGAACTCAAATCAAAGACAATAGCCTACATTCCAAATCTTGGTTAGTCTCCACCGAACCATCGAAGTTTCTAAGCGATCCTTCCAGAAGCCTGGAAGATCCGGGGTGGAACATGTCATGCATACGTACCATCGACTCCACAGGAGGAACCATTAGTAGCCTCACGAGCTCAATTAAATGAATGATATAATCATTCAGCCCCTCAGTCGTCTGAGCGCCCGGCTGGTGAGTCCGCACCCGGACAATACAAATAGGACGACCGTCGAGATCGACTCCGTGCAGATGTCCTTTGCCCGTATACGCCTGTAATAAGAATCCCTCACCATTTTTCTTCGCGATGGAATCTCCCTCCAATTTGGAATTAATAAATGCGTGTTCTTCTCCTTTGGCCAGCGCCTCGTCGACCTTGAACTCATTCATACGCCAGTTAAGTGTGCGTACGAACTTGATCCAGGCTTTGGGGACGTCCCATTTTTCTGCGCGTAGGAATCGTAGACATAATGCGTCGGGATGGTCTTGTTTGAGTATTGACAAGAATGCGGTGCGGATTTTGTCACCGGGAAGCTGGGTAAGCAGGGATTCGACTGCCCGGAGCTCGTTTGCGCCTGCGCCTAGACGTTTCAGTGACGAGAGCAGATTCGATGGGATTGTAGATAGTTCTTCATTGGTTGGTTCAGTTGTTGCGCGACTGAAAGAGAAGAATCGTCGACGTCCAGCGTTTGTACTCGAATTCGCTACTGAGGTCGTGTCGTCTGTACTCGATAATGAGGGATCCCATGATTGCTGAATGCATTTCCAGAACTGCTGTAGCTTTTCTTGTTGGACTGGGGTGAGGTTCCCCACATAGCCTTCTGGGACGGGGATCGGATCAGGCATTGGGGCTGGAATGAGAGATTTCACGATGCACGGTAGCTTTGTTTGTTTAGTGGGATTGAGGGATCGCGGTAGGTACTTATGTGCTTATTCGGCAAAAGGATTTGCTTTTGCAATAGCTTTGGACCCCATCCTATCCAATGATGATGACCCCTTTCGCCCCTCCATGTGATCTTAGCTGCATTAGCCCCGCACGCGAAGCCGAGGGAAATCCCCTGGACTGTACGCAAGGGTCAGATCTGCAGTCCATGGGGTTTGTGATCTACAGGTAGGACCCGGGGTAATAATCTAAACTTGGAAGTGATGAACTACTGGGCTTGTGATCGAATTCTTCGGAGTAACATGGCTCTATGTCTTATGTCTTAGTGGGGGCCGAGTTCCAAGCCTATTTAAAGATGTTAAGATTACCAGTTTGAGGAATTAGAATTTCAGGTATGACTTGATTCCTAGAAACTGCCGTCGCTGTAGGCATGGGGCCCAGAACCAGTACCTACCTTTTCATTAATAATACACTCCAGTTGAGATAGAAGAAGTCGTAGATCCACATCAATATGGAAGGTGAATGTTCCTCCATTAGATGTTAGAGTTCTCAAGGGTTCCTCGAGTGAGGGACTTGTCCACCTCACTCGGTATCCTTCATTTCCTCATCCTCCGCGTTGGGTTGCATCTCGAGTGGTTTGGGAGTCAATGGGTCTTCGGACTGATCAGCATTCTCTGGTTGTTTTTCGGGTGTAGATACAGATGTGTCACGTCTTCTGTGAGCAGCTGGAGTGTGTCGCTCCAAAGAGCGGCGCCGTTCATGCTCTCTGCGAGGGCTGCGGCTGCGGCTGCGGCTGCGGCGTCGTCCATACCCACGACCACGAGTCTCTTCGTCGTTCAATCGGGAAGTGTCGCGTTCATATCGTCTACCTCTATCACGCGAACGTTGTCGATAGCGAGGGAGATCGCTCGAGCCAGAGTTCTTGCGGTCCTGGCGCCGAGAGGATGGTGTCACGCTGCGGGAGAACGAGCGCCGTCTCCGTTCATCTCTGGGAATTGGTGAGCGTGGATTATTCTTGTCAATAGATCTGTTTCGATCACCGTAGTTTGGGCTGCGCCTAGTTCCCTCACGGCTGCGCGAGCCGGGGGAGATAGATCGACTGAAGGTTCCGCGGCGGCGGTCTGGAGACCGTGCACGACCAGCATGACGCGGCTCCCGAATGGATGAACGAGAAGGGGAATGGAGGGAGCGAGATCGGGAGCGAGATTGAGAAGGGGAGCGAGAGCGGCGGCCTTGGTTCGAGCTAGACGGGACATAAGAATCAAAGTTACGGCGAGGGGGTTCACGGTATCGGTCCCGGCTTCGATTGCGAGGGGGAGGGGATCGCGATCGTCGGCGGTAGTTGTCATTAAAACCACGGTTCCGACCAGGGGCCCTCTGTCCCCGTTCGCGATCACCACGGGCTCCGCGTTCTCTGTTTCTGATGTCACCCAATTCGCGCTCCCGGGCGATATCTTGCTCACGCTGTCGTCGAGCGGATTCGGCGGCTCTCTCGGCTTCAGCCTGCAATATTATGCATCAGCAAAGATTTTGCGCCGAATCGCAGGCTCGGACTCACCTTTTCTTGGATGAGCTCGAGCTTTTTCGCTTCTAAGAGTTCCTTTGGAACACCCTGGGGATTCTCTTGACCGCTCAGACACAGCAGCCAAAGATCCTTGCAGAACTTGGGGGTATCTTTGTCAAGAAATCCTGTCAGTTGGATTTGGATTGCCTTGATATCAGGCTAATTGTGTTACGGAAATGTCAGTAAGACATGAGCAATGATTCGAAGTACCGCAGGAAACATACGTAGCGGGTGCCTTCAATTAGGCCAAAGCAAAGCTCGATGACTACATCGTCTTCATTGCCAAGAATCTCAGAAATCCGGCCTGCGATCCATCTATAGTTTAATATGGTGATTAGCATGTGGTCTTCGCGATCCAAATCCGGGGAAGGGCGGACAGACTTCTTCATAACCTCAATGTTGACTTTCTGCATATCAACCTTGCGACTAAACTCGGGGGGAAACTTAGTCTTCCGGAGAAGCTTCTGATCCACCGGAGCGGCCATTATGGGTGGTGTGAGATTGGTAGTGCAGTGATTGAGAGTTGAGAAAGAGTCGCGTTGGTGGAGAAACATGCGCGGATATTCAAAGGCGGTCTGAGAAACTGCATCGTCCAGGATTCACCGCCTTGGAGATCATTGTCGCCTGATGGATCGGGCATCAGTACTTGCTCCAACCCTGATCGAAGTATGTACGGAGTACTTCGATCACCAGAACTTCAACCCATCATTGCAACCAAAGGAATCGCCATAGGCCCATGATCTGCACAGAAAATAGCATGCCTCTGCATATCTTATATGAAGCCCTTATACTACAACAAAAATGCAGCGGCCTCCAGCATACTCTGGAGCCCTGTCAACGGCGCTCAGTGCTCAGTTCTGTTCAGTGGGCAAAAGGCGACGAGGAATAAGCACTCATCCAGGAGGGGAGTGCTAGAACTTGGGAGTGGAGATCTAGTCAGTAGGGAGGCCTTTTTAATAAGCCTACAATATAGCCAAGGAGCTACCAAACCTGAAGCCTTTCCCAGTTTTGACTGTTAAATACTCCATTTATCATTTCCGTGATCCCGGGAACCCCCGTGACCTGTGAGAATGTAAGATGATTTATATAAGTGATGCTTTGATTTCGAAAAGTAAGCGGTCAAGAGGCTCGGATATGAATAATGGGAAGTTTAGATAAAGCGTCCGTCTTGTAATTGGACCCGTCATGTAATTATAAAATAAAAAGGCAATATCCATCATCCCGAATTTCCAACCTCACAGACAGCAACTCCAAGCGCCCACTCCGATCTCAAAACCTCCGCTGCAGTAATCCTCGACTCCGAATCAGGATGTAACATCGCATAGATCACATTTCGGCAACGCTGTTTTGGGAAAATTAGATAATTTGCCCGTCTTAAGTCTTACTTAGAAGGGCGACAGATCAACTCACAAGCCTAAGCACCTGTATAGGACCATAGCCGTCATCGGTCAGGCGACAGTCAAGATAATTGGCAAAAGGCTTTTCAGGATTCACTGTCTGTGCCCTGCTCCAAAGGAGCTTGCCAGATATCAGAGCCATGTATATTATACCGCAAGCCCATATATCCCCAGCTCTGATATCGGAACCATGATGATGTGAGTAGCTTTGATGGTAAGAGCCGCGTCGACTAGAGAACCTCTCTGGAGGAAGATAAGGAACACTTGACTCCAAAAGCTTCCTCCGAATACAAATCTTTGGTCTGTAGTTAAAAGCCGGAATCGAGTTCAAACTGGGTCCCGACCCGGAGTCACACGACGGGAGATTATTACCATGCAATATTTCAACCAGTTCCCGGACTGCATCTTCGTCTTCCCCAAAACCACTTACCTTTACTGCGCCTTCGGTTGTGAAGAGGACATGTTCTGGTTTCAAATCGCCGTGGACAATGTCCTTTGCGTGTAAAAATGCCACTGCGCGAAGTATTTGAATAATCCAGCAGTTCAACTCTTCCGTTGAGATCTTGTCTTTTCGTGGCTCTTCTTGGGAAAGAAAGGATTTAAGGCTGCCACCGCCGCAGTAGGGCATAACGAGGCAGAGGTGCTTCTTTTCATTGTAAAGTATGTCGATAATTGGGATCACATTAGGGTGGCATAGTGAAAATGATTCACCTTGGTTTCTGCAGGGGCATAGAGCGGTTGATTGGGCGCAGTGAAACATTTTGACTGCATAGAGCTCTCTTGTTGTCTTGTGAATTGTGGAAGCCCGCCTCAATTTCGTCAGCACAGGGGTCGATGGAGATCTTTCTGGCGATTTGATTTGCTCAACCGGTGCTTTCTTTTCGTATAGTTGAACAGTATTTGAGCCGTCGTAATGGAGAACCCTGTTGAATTTCCCGTAATTCTTTGCAAAAGATGTCTGAAATGCGGCTTTTGCCTCGTGATTTGGCGACGAGACGCTGCACGCCCGTCCAAATTTTAAAGAAGGCACAGTTGTAAAGTCTTGACGAAAGGCCTTTGCCGATTCCGATTGGACTTCACGTTCGGGCAACAGCCATCCCCATCCAGACAATGCGTTGGTTAGTCCATTGAAGATGCGAGGGGTCTCGAAATCTTTTGTTTCTCTGCTATCGTCCTTCCTTGTATGATGGCGATGAGATGGCAAGGGGCGAGAAGGCAATTCGACTTCCTCGAAGGTATCATGTAGATAAAATGGAGGGTTTTCCTTATTCATTCTTTGTGACCGTGTATGTATCTGTTGACCTGGGGATTTTTGATAAACAGCCTTAGGCCGAAGGGAGACTATTAAGTAGTTATTACAGGAGGTTCATCGAGAAGGTAGTTTTGGTGATGGATGACGGTATGATAAATCATGGCACCTGACTTGGGACCCGTAACCTTGGTTGGAAAGTGGTGTACAACCAATGGCTGGTTCCCGAGGTCCCGCTCGCTGAGTACCGCAGCCATAACATTCATCCATGGTTTACCCCCACCATTCGAGGTCACAATCCTCCATGCCCGGTCCAGAATGTGTGAAAGATCCATGACCTTGGGGCAGATCTCGACTTTCAAGGTTGGGAATATATATTCTGAGGGTATTGTCAATGGTCGAAGCCTTCAAGCAAGCCATCATGTACTGAAATTCCCTACAGCTTTATGATTTTCCTAAAATACTAGCCCGACATGTCAAATGGTTGCCATGCCACTTTCCGAACCAAGTGATCGAAATAAATCGTTCCAACTCAACCTTTGACTTCGCAGTAGTATGGAAATGCGTCGACCTACAAGCTCCTGATGTGGTCGAAGTGCTCGGGAAGCTAAATCTGATTACTTGCATGGGCTTGGTAGATAGATAGTGCAATACCGAAATTTTGGCCAGGTGTATTTTGACCTTTTATATATCTTGAATGCCGTAACCAAAGGGATAGATTTAATTTTGGCCGCAAGGTGATGAGGTTTTGTTGAATCGTAGCTTTGCTCGAGCGGAAATCCATAAGGTTGGAGATAGAATAATCGTGTGACCAAAAGCAAACCTGTTTTGAGTGTCTAATATACCTGATCTCTTATCTCAGAAGCTAAGATTGGACAATTTCCTTCAAGATGTACTCAATTGGTAGATTGTAGCCGACAGCTCTCATCGGGCCGCCTGATCGTCTGTTCAGCTGTATGCAAGGGTGATAAAAACAAATCAAACCATTCGGCCAATCAGACACTCTTACCACTACAATGAAGCTATGAAATGTGGTACATTCCACCAAATTGCTTTTTCTGTTTTCAATAGCTGTGCATTATGCTCATTTGCTTTTTCTTTGTCCGATGTTCCTTTAAAGACAATTTTCTCTCTCCATCATGCCGTTCCTATAACAAACAACCAGACACCCCGAGGTCTTTCGTCCAAGAGATGTGGAAAAGCAAAAGTCACTTGGATCGTGATTACGGATCGGCATTGACAATAAGCCTCAATGATCCTTGCTATGAGATACACTACGGAGAAGAACAGCCATTAACGAGAGTTCCCACTTCATCTTCCGATCAAAAAAGGGAGGATGAAGTTGGCGGGAGGCACCTTGCTGGACTTTTATTTGGGATCGTTTGTTTCACCTGCATCGGCACAGCCCTGGCGATATTTTGCGCGATAATTGCAACACACCCTCGTACCAGTCAGGTGGCATGAGCTGCATGAACTGCACGGTATGGATGTAGGTAAGATTGAGTTATATGCAGATAACCTCCAGTTTCATGGTGCGAAGCTGACATTATCCTATAGCTTCTAAAGCTATCTAGCCAATGAAACCATGGATTTATATGACAAAAATAAGTGTCCACAAAGCGTGGTTTGCAGGATTGCGCGAGTCTTTGGACTCAATTTTGCCGTTTTTTATGTCAAATAATGGCCTTTTCACATATCCCGGATATATTTCGCTCCTTAACGGAGTTGATAGCAAATAGGTACGCACAACCTTTTTTCTATCGCCACGCATCTGTTCACAGCCACTGACTACTGATTAGCAGAATTAAAACGGCCTTTACCAAGCAACAACCAGTGAGGAGCATGGACTCCGGGGCATAATCACGCTTAACCACTCAAGGTCCCACTCGTTTATTTGCTTGGAAGCTGACTATACGGAGATTCCTGTGGAACAAATGGATGCGCGTGGATTCGATCGCTTGGAAGGGCCCACAGGCTGGGTGGGAACTTATCTTTCGTTTCCTCTCAATCGTTAGATTTGACTTCTTCGCATCAACGCACTTTCTTCTATGTGGCCTAGAAAATATTGGGATTTAGTTACCAAGAGTCTAAACTCTTCTTGGAGATTGGCTAGCATATATGCTGTATGAACCTCGTGGCCTGATGCGCTCTGCCATCGAAGGGTTCTCTTGCGGAGATCTTGTTTTCTTTACCGCACATTTGTCATATAACAACAAGCCCCCCAACATCAATCTTTCGGCTAGCAATGTCAAGTTTCGTCCCGAACTCCACACGAAGGTCTCAGAACTCCTCAAAAGCGGCAAAGGCCTCATTCTCACGTTGTCTGATTACCGTGAAGCAACAATGCAGCCATTCCCATTGGACAACAATGATGATGCGTTTGATAGCGGGCGCTTCTTCTTCAAACCCCGTCAATCCTTCGAGGTAAAAGTGTGGATTGACCCCAAGGCGCCTAGTGCCAATGGGCCCGGGCTTTTGGATGATTTGTCTGAGTTGGTTGGACAGGGCCAGATGGATCCCGGCGAAGATGTGTATTGGGATGTGGGCGTGTTGAACAAAGACCCATTTGCAGATGAGACGAACGAGACTCCGTGGGATGAAGAATTGAATGCGACCACGAGCGTGCTAAATACTGCCACCGTGTAGTAGACATGCGCTCCCGAGGAAAATTGATATCTTCGGAGTCTCCAGACTCTTGGAAACAGGGTTTTTTTGGTGAGAGGAAAGATTTTAGAAACCAAATCAAAATCATCGTTCCTATACTATCGTTCACAAAGGCTGCTCGCACGTAGTTACTCGCCTTCGCAGTAGCCCTATAGCTGGGTGTAGTCGCTGATCCATAAATCCCGAATTGTTCATCATGAACCTTTCAGCCGCCGCATCGGGCCCTCCAGAGATGATTCTCCAAGCCAGTATACAAGAATACGCTTCATCCAAGCCGCGATATAGATAAGAAAATGTGCCGTCTCAAAAGCATCACACCTGATCACCTTCACAATCCTGGATAGCCCGGTGTGAATAAGTAGGTACCTGGGTATGTACTGGTCGGATTGCTAGTATGATATGCAATTATCGCCATACCCAGATGTGGACAAGTAAGGTGTCCGACTAGTTGTGTGGTGTTCAATTGTTGATATCCATGAAAGCATGTCACATGGTTGATTCAGGCAATTGCATGGTTCTCAGACAGCCATCATTTACCTGTGTGTTACTTGCCGGGACTCTCATGTAGAAGAATGTGTCCATTTGCCATGTGTCGACGAGGAAGAATATGACAATGAGATGAAGAACTTTCCAGAAACTGTTCTATCAGATGGCCTGGATGTTACGCAATCAGACAGGGATGGAAGACTCGATTGTGGACATTGATCCGGATTACAGAGAATTATAAGATTGGTTGGATATGAGTTGCTGGATCACTCACCCCTGGACTACCATTATTCACTGGCATTTCCGGGTGCTTCCTCCGCTTTCCATGATTCGTGTGCCTGCTCGGGTAGTATTTGCTTGACAACCAGGTTGTATACTCCCCTGGACTGCATAATCGGACTTTAGAACTACATTAGTCCAGCAATGCTCGTGAAAACTTGGATCTGATCGATTTGAGGAAGCACAGACAACCAACGGGGTGTTCAGACTGATTTGGTGGTAATGCAGGGGAGCTCTGCGTAACCCATATGCACAGTACGACAATGCTTTGAACAAATATCAGATCAAAGTTTAAAGCAATGAGTGGCTCGTATTTTAGCCCAAATTAAGTAGCAAAAAGCATTTCAAACACTCAAGGTTGGCTCACTAGAAATGCTACCTTCACGAAATATCTTGTTCTTCACCAACAGCGAGCTAGGTCAAGCTAACGTAGCTCTCGCAGTGGCAGAGGAATTCCTCCACCGCAATGAATTCTCCGTCCACATCGCCTCCTACAGCCAGCTAGCACCCCTGGTAAATGAACTATGCAAACGGAGTCCCCAGCCAGCGAAATTCCACGAAATACACGGGCCATGCATGGAAGACCTTGCGATTCGTACACATGTCGGCCTCATACACCATAAACCAGGGATAATGGGCACAGTGGAAGGCTTCCAAAAAGTCCGTGCGGTAATGTCTAGCTGGACATTTTCAGAATACGGAAAAGCATACCGAAGCTGTATCGATATATTGAATGAGTTTAATCCTGCCGTGGTGGTTGTTGATCCGATACTGCATGTGGGTTTGAATGCATGCCAGAGCGTTGGATCATCTCGTGTTGTTATTCTGTGGCCAGTTCCACTCAAGGACGTCGTGATCCTGAACCAGCCTAACGCAGGATTCTTATGGAAGTATCCCATGTAAGGAGAGAATACTGGTACCCGTTTGAGATTGTCGGATTTGCTGATGGAACTATAGGACTGGATCGGGGTATTCGTATCCACTGCCGTGGACATTGATACTTCCGAATATGTATCTCGTGCTTCGTGCAGCGATGGCTATGACCACGAGAAGCCTTTCGTCGGAGACAGATGAATTAGGAACAGATCCCCAAGGAATGAGTCCGTTTCCTTTGACCAATGCTTATCATAAGGACTCACTGCATTTAACACCAGCATTTCGGGAAATGGATTTCCCCTTGCATGTACCAGATAATGTCGTTAGTTGTGGGCCGATCCTCCGGTTTCGAGGTCATCAGTCTCTTTTGGAAAAGGATCCTGAGATGGCAGCATGGCTCACAAAGCCGACTATCCTCATCAGTCTTGGATCTCATGTGAAGCCCACCGAAGATGTTGCTATTCAAATGGCACAGGCACTCCAGAGTGTACTCGAAAATCACACTGACCATCAAGCATTATGGAAACTACGATACGACTGGAAGATCTCAGACGCTTTTCAAAGGGTTCTTGGGACATTCATTGATGCAGGGTCTGTGAGGATAGTGCCTTGGATACAGTCGGATATCATTGATGTTCTCGAAACCGGTAAAATCACGGTGTATGTTCATCACGGAGGCGCAAATTCATACTTTGAAGCATGCAAGTATGTGCCCTATTCTAGATATAACTTGTTGCTGATCCCCTGGTATCCAGAGTGGGCGCCCCGCAAGTCATTCTTCCGCAGTGGCTCGACACATACGACTGTGCCACGAGAGTCGAGTGGCTAGGTATAGGACTCCACGGAAGTCGGAAGGCAGCCCCCGGGATTGACGCAGAGGAGTTTTCTCAAGCGCTAGAGACAGTATTGCACGACAAGAGTATCCATGCCAAAGCGGCTGCTATGCGAGATATTTGCAAGACGGAGGGACGGGTTCTGGCGCACGATAGGATCGCGAATTTCGCTCATTGAAAAGGTTTCTGGTGATTATTTGGTTCTTCATACTAGCTCGCTCAGAACAAGTTCCACATCTTCGCGGGCCTTTCGCAGTGCATCATCCACCTCACCGTTGGAGTGTCTTGATTTGAATTCATAATGCAGCTTGACCAGTTCTTTGGCCCGTTGCAAGTCTTCATGCTTTTTGTCCTGGGTTCCGGGTGCTTCGTCGGAGGCATTTACGGCTGAGCTGTCTTTATCGGTATCGCTTTTTCTTGTGACAGGCTGGTTCACGTTCACGAGGGAAAGGGCTTCGTTGTGGCCCTAAACGAGGTTAGCCTTGGGCTCGAGCAAGGGATCGGCGCGTGGAGGGGCAATCCGTTGGGGACCCAGGGGGAACCTCATCGGCCTTGGAGAACACGAGACTTACACAAACCCGTAGTGAGGTGATATCAGATAGAATTTCTGCTACCTGCATTGTGAATGGTGAATTTGCTTGGCGTTTACTCAAGAAGTTGCAATGTTTAAGTTGTGATCCGATGACGTTCGGGAGGAATAAAGAATGTCTTGGCGGCGATACGACGCGATCAGCTTGTGAAACCATTCAACGTTCCACTTCCACGATTTCAAAGGCGTGGACGGTATCTTTAAGTTAAAGAATTAAGATAATGTAGCAGACTCGGAGGGAACTGGAAATTATGCAGCTGGTTTTTAAATTGGAAAGTGTAACATGCATGAGTGTTGATTTTGATGGTTGTTCTAGACCTCGAGGATTTATGCTATATGATCAGCCAAAAAAGATAGATACCACATGACCAGACCATGGAGACGTGGATTTCAATCTGTGTGTTCCGATGGCTTTATCTGTCTAATCCAAGGGATACATTTGAAGTTCAACGAGATCAAATCATGTGGGAAGGATCCCTTATACAGACTGTTGTCGGGAGTGGCATCGGTGAGCGGTGAAACGATGTGAGCGTGGGGTAAACAGAAACATCCCGCCACCTTTAAGATTTCTCCTTTTTTGACATATTAATTACCATTGCCCATAATGTCCACCTCTACATCCTCGCTCGAGGCTAATCTCGCCTATGAGCCTCAAATTCTTAAATTCGGCACCAGTGGTCGACGTGGCTTGATCGTCGATTTAACCCAACTGGAAATTTACATCAACGTTCTTGGTGAAATTCGCTACCTTCAAGCCATTTCCCCATCTGAGGGTGGCATTGAGCGTGGTGACGACTTCTACTACGCCTACGACCTGCGCCCTAGCTCAATTAATTATGTAGAGCCCAACCGTGGCGGTCTTTGCCAGGCCGTTGAGAAGGCCCTGAGAGATGCGGGTATGCGGCCTATCAGCCTAGGCGCTATCCCTACACCCGCTCTCACCCTTTTCGCTTTGCAAAGAGGAAAGGGAAGTATTATGGTTACCGGCAGCCATATTCCCTTCGATCGCAATGGCTACAAGCTCAACACCTCCAAAGGAGAGCTGCTGAAAAAGGACGAGCAGCCCATCAATGAGTCCGTTGCGATTGCCCGGAAAGAGCTTCTCGCACAGCCATTTGAGCAGTCTCTTTTCAACGAGCAGGGAATGCTTCGTGCTGCCACTTCGACCCTTGAAACTCCCATCCCCGAGGGCAAGAGCGAGTATATTCAACGATATCTTGACTTCTTCAAGGGCGATACTCTGCAAGGCATGAAGCTACTGGTGTACCAGCACTCCGCTGTCGGGCGTGATCTCATTGTCGAGCTGCTCGAACTTCTTGGTGCTGAGGTTGTCCCTGCAGGCCGCAGCGAGACTTTTGTTCCTATCGACACTGAGGCTATTGACCAAGCCCAACTCGACACTGTCCAAGCTCTCTCCGACAGCACGGGACAAAGCTTCGATGCCGTCATCTCCACCGATGGCGATAGTGATCGTCCCCTCCTCTTGTCGCCCGAGGATGGCAAACTCCGCTTCTTCAGCGGAGATCTGCTAGGCATGGTTGTTGCCGAATTCCTTGGTGCCGACGCAGTCGTCGTTCCCATCAGCACCAACGATGCCATTGACCGTGGCCCTCTTGCCAAGGCGCTTCTGCCCAAGACCAGGATCGGCAGCCCTTATGTGATTGCCGGCATGCAAGACGCTGCCCATAAAGGACGCAGCCGTGTTCTAGGATGGGAAGCCAACGGCGGTTTCCTCACCGGCTCCGACATCGAGCTTGATGGCCGAAAGCTCCCCGCTCTGCCTACACGTGATGCAGTTTTGCCACTCCTTTGCGTCCTGTTCGCAGCACGCAAGCGTCAGACCAACGTCCCGACTCTCTTCAAATCCCTGCCCGCCCGATCTAGCAAGGCCGCGGTGATTCGAAACTTCCCTCGCCCAACAAGCGCAAAGATTGTTGAGCGCTTTTCGCCTATCAACAAGGAGGATCATGAGATTCTATACTCTGAGGGGGGCATGCAGAATCTCAATTCCAATGGAGAGCACGTTCTTAGCGTTACTGTGGAAGGTGGTCGCCATATCTTCCAGATCCGTCGCGAGCTTGAACAAGTTTTCTCCGCTGAAGCTGGCTTCACTCCGGTAAAAAAGACAAATTACACCGATGGAGTTCGTATCACTTTCGAGAATGGCGATGTTGCTCATATTCGGCCTTCTGGCAATGCTGACGAGCTGCGGATTTACTCTGTTAGCGATACTCAGGCTCGTGCGGATGAGATTTGTAGCCAAGGTATCGAGGAGCCTAATGGCTTGCTGAGGCAATTGGCAAGCATGGTCTAGAATGAGGTTCAATAACAGCAAAAATCTTTTAATCAACGTTAGACAATGACAAACAGCCATGTTTCAGTTTTGACTTTCTGCTTGCCGGCTTTTCCCATTGATGGTTAACTTTGTCAACCCAGAGTAGTCTTAGCAAGGTCAAGGTACACCCGCCCGAAACCATGGCAGCAGCCCAGCACATAAATTTGATTCGGCTGTACTTCCACATAACTAATGGATCCTTCGTAGCATTCCTCCTGGGGTCATCGTGACTTGTCGTCCAACTTGAAGCCACCACCCTTATCACTAATAAGGTATGTCCATATACTGGAATACTCGTTTCCTCTGGAGTCGGGAAATGAAGACCTGTGCCATGGACCCATTGCGATGAATGAGAGTGAAAAGACTCTCTTCCAAATGAGCCTTGAAAGAAAGGGCAGATACACAGGCTTCCATTCTCACATTGAAAAGAAAGGTGCATGCAAATTACATATCAGCCCCGTGGGCAGATTGGCCACAGAGAAGGTCAGTGCGGGCCGGGTGGAGGCTCAGTACCTTGACAAGCGTGGGGGCTGGAATTCAATATATCTGATTGGCTGTTGACATCAACTTAATCTATTTGTCTTCCCATTCTGTTTGGGGCCGGATTCCGGACGGTCCTCCGGTGATCTTGAAACGTCCAAGCGAGGTGTTGTTATGCGGAGTATTACGACGGTATACAGTCGTTCTCGAGATCGGCTTGACAGATACATTCGTCAATCGTGATTCGTGACATTACTTGCCGGAGGTTCCCCCCACTTTAAGTTTCTTGTTCTACGGATATTCCCGCTCCAAACGGGCCGCCCCCATTTGACGTCGCGCCCCTTGAGAGCTCATATCCATGAGATATTTTATGTCCTTTACAGTTCTATTGGACCCAACATGTCGACCGAGAAGTTTACCATTACGGAACATGTCGTTCCTGGCTGTCATATCCGAGAATATCCAGGAAGCACTGTGCACCAGGAGGACGTGCTAGAGCTTCATGTTAAGCAATATACCCCAAAGAACCAAGAATTACCCATTCCCTCTGATGCAATTACTTTAATTGCTGCCCATGGAGTTGCGCTACCAAAAGTGAGTCTCCAAACATTGATATTCAGCCTCACAAACTGATCATCCCCCGATATAGGAACTGTATGAGCCTCTCTGGGATGAAATTCTGGAGAAAACCACCGGCTTTCGAATCCGGAGCATCTGGGTAGCCGACTGCGCAAGCATGAACATGAGCGGAATCAAAAATGAGGACAAACTCAGCATGGACTGTATGCATACGCCGTTGCCACCAAACTATCCTCTCATTCATACTAACCCGCCCTAAGGCTCTTGGATGGACCACCCACGGGACCTCTTCCTAATGATCAACCACTTCCGCGACCAAATGCCCCGTCCAATAGTAGGTCTCGGTCACAGCTTCGGAGGAACCATCATGTTCGTGCCCATTTCCTGCAACCAAGAGAAATCAAAAATTGATACAAGCTCCTAGTACCAACCTTGCCTACCTCCACCCACGCCTCTTCACAACCGTCCTCCTCATTGACCCCGTAATCCAACTACACCCACCAGAAATGGGCTTCGGTACTGACGCTCCCGGTGTAATCAACTATACCCTACGGCGCAGCGACGTCTGGCCCAATCGCGAGATTGCTCTGCGCGCAAACCGTGCTCTAACTAAGGACTGGGACCCACGCTGCATTGATCGGATGGCCAAGTACGGATTCCGCGATCTCCCAACTCGCCTATACCCAGACGTGGATGCTATCAAGGCTCGTTTCAACTCAAAACAAACACCGGTTACTTTGACGACGAGTAAATACCAAGATTTGATTGGCCAGATTCGCGAGAATTTCGGTGCCCAAGACTCCGCTACAGGTCGAATCGTGATCAATCGCGCGACACACGCGGACCTGGATCCGCTTGCGGCTTTTATTCCTATGTATCGCCCCGAGCCACCGAGTACCTTCTTGCGGTTACCAAGCCTGCGGCCTTCTTGTGTGTGGATCCTTGGTGGCTCTACTTACCTGAGGCTGGATGAAATACGGGAAGGTATTAAAGTTTGCGGGACTGGGGTGGGCGGTAGTGGGGGTTTGCCGGAGGGCAGAGTTCGGGAGGTGACGTTAGCGGGACTGGGGCATTTGATGCCCTTCCAAGAGGTGACGAAGGTAGTTGAGCCGTGCGTTGCGTGGCTTGTGGAGGAGATGGATCGGTTTCGCCGAACTGAGAAGCAGTGGGAAAAGGATCGTAAGCGTGTTAATCATTTAGAGCTGAGTGAGACTTGGTACAAGGTTTTGAAGCCTATTGATGGTGGACGTGCTGGTGGAAAGGATCGAAGGAAGGAAAAGCTATGAAATATAAATGGTTGGTTTCTATAAAGATCTTACTTGGATCTCGTTGAATTGCAGAATTGTTAACTACTTTTTTGCCTTTAATTTACACTAGAATTTCTTTGGTCCGTGCATTCTTATAAAGTAAACATGACCCGAATGAGCTACGCAGGTTTTGGGGGCGGATAATAGCAGAATAAACTTCCAACAAGCCTAGTGGCAAGAACATAACTACCTAAGTCTAGGTCACACATGAGCAGGCAGCGAGCCACCAAACCCAAAGTCCTCCTTGACAATGTCCGAAGCTTTTTCTGCAATGGCATACACTGTAGCCATGATAGCGGCACTGACTTGCATCGGCATAACGCTGGCATCAACAACACGAAGACGTCGAACTCCTTTCACCCGCAGCCTCTCATCTACTACCTGTCCCATTGCGCAAGTCCCTAAAGCATGATGATAGGGCAATATGTGATCGCGAACGAACTGGCGAACGTCATCCACATTTGAAAGATTGAGATCAGCAGGCGGAGTTACTCGCCTACGAACTTTGTCCTTGAGGGATGGCGACTGGAAGACACGATCTGCAAAGATGATGGCTGCAGCTAGGACGTCAGTATCCACCGGATGGCTCAGAAACCCCGGATCAATCCCCGGCGCGTCTATCGGATTCGAGGTCCGTACGTGAACACTTCCGCGCGACAAAGGATACATGTTGCTGACGATGATGGAGTAGCATGCGCCGTAGCTGACGGGAGGACCAGACATAATAGTCGCGCAGTTCTTATAGCCTGCTGTATTGAAAAATGCAGGGGTGCCAATATACTGGATATCTGCAGAGCTGGGATTTTTCATCCGTGCGGCGATAACTTCCTGTTGCTGACATTGGTAGTCGGTGTTCTGCTCAAACTGCCCACCAGTCACATTCGGAGCACCCATAATACGTGTAATGGTGGCATCGAACTGAGCCTCATTAGATAGTAACGAATATGGAGTAAAACCGATGAGACTAATTGATCCAGACAAGGCTCCGGAATGGTCTTTGGTGTAGAGATTTTTATGCTCTTCTAGCAGAGCTGGATCTTTGAACAAAGAGTCCACTGAAATGAGTCCGTCCGCAAGCTCATAAGACACAGCAGACATAGTGTGTTCTTGCAAATTGTTGCCCACGTCAGTGTTGGCCACTATACACGAAATCCCTGCATTTTTGAGGACGTCTGGATCTCCCATTCCGGAAAGCTCCAAGAGCTGTGGACTCTGGATAGATCCAGCGCTGAGGATTACTTCTTTCTTAGCCTTCACGACGTAGCAAGTCCCCTCGTGCTGCAGTTCAACCCCTTCCGCGACGGGTTCTCCGTCTGAACCATCAGAAAATACGATACGGCATACCTGTGCGTTCTCCAAGACCTTCAGATTTGGGCGTCCCATAATCGGCGCGAGATAACCACTCGTCGCATAGCTCCGGACTGGCGCTTTGCTTCTGTTCAATGTAAACGTGGACCTGTAGAACCCCAGATGAGCCCCATTATAGGGCTCCGCTGGCCGCGGAAGACGTGAGGTCTCATCGAACGCAGCCAAAAGTGGCTCTTCTATGGGTGCTTGCCAGGGACCTATCGAAGTATGAATAGGCCCCTCAGTGCCATGAATGTTCGGATCAATTGGACAGCTTTCACTGGGCTTAATAGGCTCCAGATGCTCGCTCCTTTCGAAGTACGGTAGCAGCTCAGACCATGTCCACCCGCTAAGGCCTAGCTTTTGGGCCCAATCGTCAATGTCTTCGGCGGATGGTCGGTTATAAGACATAAAGTTGATGCCGCTAGAGCCACCTAGCATTTTGCCTCGTGGAATATGATAAGCTTTATCATTGGTACCGGCCTTCGAGTTGTCAGTACTGGCTTATGGTGTCATTTTAAGATATCATACCTGTGGGATGCTTTCGAAATTCCAGTCATAGTCAGGATTGCTTAGCATCTGACCCGATCCTGTCGGAAGGTCAACTCTGGGATCTCCCAGCTTAAGAGATCCGGCTTCAATTACGCCGACTTGGATGCCTGACTCTTCGGAAAGACGGTTTGCGAGGACGAGACCGGCAGTTCCACCACCGACGATGAGAAAGTCAAATGGAGTTTGTATAAAATCGGTGAGCTTTATTGTGGCCATGATATACGGTGCTTCTCTTCCAAATTTCGATTCCAGGGAGTACAAAAACGAGTTGAGAAATGGCCCCATGTGCTGGACAAGGCTATGGTACTTATAGCGTACATCTCTCAAGCGAGCGGGACATCCGCGCGGCCGGGACACCAAATCAAGATTTGATAATTCAAATTAGCGTAAGTCAACCAAAACAACTTAATATTCAATTTATAAGCCATATTACCAGATTAGCATACTGCGCTCTTTTATGCCGTCGAATTTCACAGTCCAAGCACTTTGGTGGAGTGGTTTCTATGCTTGATTTCGACTAGTTGGCCGGTCTACCTGAGATTGGTTTTGATGTTGTCTACCACGTTACGATAATCCTTTGAGCTCCGCCACAGAAAACCTTCTTCAATTTTTGAAGCTCGTTTTCTTGAATGAGAAAAGTGGTGGATTGTATCGTAAATTGATACGCTTTTAATACTTGATCTACACGTTACGGACCCACTGGGGCCGCCCCCACGGAGCAACAAGAATTAAGCATTCCGGAAAAAACGGTGCACTGTGCAGTTCACGTACTAGGCATGATCTGAGAAGTCATAGCGAAGATAGAACAATACAGAAATAACCCAGGGTTATTACGGAAAGAGAATTCTGCAGGATAGGCACCATCTTGCGGCACACCACGGTTCACATCAGAATCTTACCATACGGCAAGCCATGGTATGGGCCTACAGGGGGTTTGCAGGGCACTAGGTGCTCTAGGAAAGGCAACATCCTACGATGCACCGTGTTACTCAACCACCACGTATATCTTTCGATAAATGGGACCCTGAGACAGTCAGGATCACAGGAGTGCCGTGATCACTAGGACAATGGTCATGCGAGGACTCATCAGTGATGCGCTGGATTAGATGAATAAAAATGGCCATTAATACATATGTATTGAGTTCTTCGCGTTCAATCACACGTCATTACCTAGAACACAGCAGTCTGGGCACTACCCGCTTTCGCATAAAAAGACATCTTACAAAGACCTCGGGAAAGGTATCCTTGGCTTCTAGTCATTTGATTTAGACCACAAGTATAGCTCAACTTGGCCCATTACCTGGAGCCTGTGAGCAAGGATTTACTGTATAGATTCGAGCCTGTGTCAGGCCCTACGACAACTGGCAACGGTGCAATTGCGACTGAGACATGATGAGAAGCATCGAGAACACTTGTAGCGGACCCAAGGAGCGATACTTACGGCGACCAGTTAGGACCACTCATCACTACTCTCGGAAATCTTTTGTGGATTGAGTTAAGCCATACTCTAAAAACTAGGATCCTTATACAAGCAAGCATCTTCTTAGCTGATCTAGAGAAGGTAGCTTTTGTCTCGGAGTTCAAACTCGGCAGAGACTACAAATAATCCGGTCAGAATTATCTCGATAGAGCTGAATGAGATAAACCATGTTGGACAGTAAATGAAATTTGAAATCAATTAATAACGAGATGTTTGGACCATGGAGCAGCCGGATAAAAGATCCGGATTAAAGAGATCCGAGCGAGATATTCCGCCACTCTAACTCAGATTTACTCTGGTCTGGATCCATGAATAGAACAAAGAAAGCAAAGATGCTATTTTGAATGGAGACAAGTGATAGCTCCTCTATCACTGGAACAAATGGGTACGTTGACATTTACGATGACCCACAAGGGGAGGAGAGAGACGTCGGCTGGGAAAGCTGACATATAAAAAGCTTCAAGTAGGTGGTTGTTGCTCGATCATCAACACAACAATTCTCAAAGTCTTCAATCTTCTGCATTATGTCTATTCCCCCAGTTGGCACGCCTGTGGGCCTCGAGGTCCCGGCCAAGGACGTGGCTCGTGGTAAGCCGTCTCCATCCTCTACATGATCATTCATCCGACAATGCAATCTCACGCGAATTTCTCACAGGGGCTGAATTCTACAAGGCTGTTTTCAACTGGACATTTGCTGCCTCCACCCTGGGATTCCCCGCGCATAAGCTTCAAACTTTCGAGGTTCCTGGAGGAATCTTTCCCATCGGAGGTGCCATGCGTCTGGCGGAAGAAATTCCAACAGGCACCGGTGCCACTAAGCTCTACTTCTACGTCAATGACATTGGTACTGCAATGGATGTGAATGATTAATGGACTGACAATTGACACGATAAACCGATCGGCTAATGGATTACAGGCCATTGAAAAGAACGGCGGCAAGAAGGCGAGCGAGGTTATTCCAGAAGGCAACAAGGGGCTGTTCCAGTATTTTGAGGATTGTGAAGGCAAAAAATTTGCGATCTACACCTATAATTGATTGAAAATTTGAAGCGCGCTTTGAAATAATCCTTGCGAGAAGTTGCGAGACTGCAAAGTTTAGGGCTTGGAGTATGCTGTCTTGTATGCACAAATACAAATATGCCTAGAGAAGGTCAATATCAAGGCCGTTTTAGATTGTTTAGGCAGCTCGCAATCTGTCAACACCAGTTCATATATCCATCATAATCCAAGGTTCCAAAAGTTCAGTACGAATACAATGTACCACCGACTTTGAATTTCGAAGCAGGGGGGTAGTAGCTGGTTCGGAATGCGTTGCACACCAGGAAGCTATTCCGGAAGCAGATTGTTTGTAGTTCCTGGGCTTGTGTCTGTTAGCTCGCTTCTAGTAACGAATTTGGTCAGGTGATCGAGTGCCTTCGTTGACCTCGAATCCTTGGTCTCTTTGTTCGAACCGAGTAATTCCATCTCATAAAATGGCGTCCACACCAAATCGACAGCGCGCCCGACCGCCGAAACAGCGACAACGAACGGGAAAAGCCTGCGAGGAATGCCGGCGACGCAAGCTACGTTGCGATGCAGCGCAGCCGCGGTGCGGGGCCTGTGTGGAATCGGGGGTACCATGTGAGGTTAACAGCCTACGGCAGCCCAGGGGTCCGAGAAAGGCTATTTGAAGGCGTTAAGGAATCGAGTCGGTATATTATCGATGTTTCAAAACTTTTATTTTGCCAAAGTTGATCTAAAATTGCCAGCGATGCTCGAGACTCATCTACCGCTGCAGCATCACGCTGGAGCCTTGTCTGAGCTCAAAACATTGTCAACTCCCTTTACCGACAATCATCATGATTCCTCGAGTGTTTCGAGTGCATCAAGCTGTTATGATTCCAATTCGCCTTCATTAATCACGGAAATGACGGCAGCTCGTGAGTCTACTATATTAGTTGAACAGAACGAGTGTTTGTTCGCCTCAGTCAGTCGGCATGCACGGCAAAGACATGGGTTGTGCCGAAGCTATAACGGAATTGATGCAGGCGGAATTGTAAGTGGCCCGAGCCCCTCCGAGCAAGGTGTGACTGATGATTATAAAGAAACCAGTTATACTTTGACCGAGTCCACCCGTCCGTCCAGATTCTGCACCAGCTTCGTTATATAGGTTAGGCCAGGAAACCCGTGAAGAAAACATCCCGTCGGTGTCTGCAGTACGCGATATGGACGCTGGCATCTCTCCTAGCCGCGCAATTCCAACAGCTTCAAGACTTCTTCTATCAGGAAATAAAGCGGACATTAGAGCACTCTTCTCTATCGGGCGATTCGAATAATTTGGTTGACACAGAAGAGATCCAAGCATGGATATTGATAGCAATATATGAGTCAATGCGAACTCTGCATTGCTGTGCATGGATGAGTGCCGGGCGCGCGTTCCGTCTGGTGCAGTTGAGGCGACTTCATGAAATTGACAGTCCTACAAAACCCGAATTACCTGATGAAGACTTCATCGAGACAGAGGAAAAGCGCCGAGTGTTCTGGATGGCATATTTCTTGAATCATCTGTTCAGCATGCGTAATAATTGGCCAATAACATTGAACGAACACGTGGTACGGCCCAGATTCCATCACTACACAGCGAGATGACAGAACAGTTGAAGTTGACCTTATACTTCCTGATTAGATCTGTACCCAGCTTCCAGCCCCAGACAAGGAATTCCAGAGTGGCCAGGCAGTGCTAGGTGCTTTCCTTTCGGAAGCAATAATTGACGTTATGCCGCAGACAACATCGCCTTTCAACGAATGTATCATTTTGGCTACTATTTGCGGGCGCAGTCTGTTTCAAGCCCAACAATGTGGCGTCCGTTTTGTGTACGGTGACTTGGCTCCCAACTGGACTGATAAGCACCGGTGGCTGGACAACGTACTTACCCACCGGCTTCAGGTCCTTTTGCAGTACTATCCCTCACCATCCCAAATCTGCGATCCAATGCTCTCGTTCGCACACATCATGGGACAGGCGAGTGTGATTCATCTGTACAAGGGTATGGAATCGGTTGCATGGGCAGTCAACGAGGCAGGTTGGGTGGTTGAATATAAACGGCACGCCCTAAATGCAGCACAGGAAATCGTGAAGCAAGCAAAAGGTCTCATAGAGTTCTATTTTTTCAAAGTATGTCACACCTCATGGCGACCCTGGACTGGAGCGTGAATATCTCATTCGCTTCCGGAAGGTACCAAATATGGAACGCAGGTCCATCCACTTATGCCAATCCCATTGTTGCTCTGCGCCGAATTCCTCTACGCCAATCGAGAATCGGACGCGGCATTTGACTCGCTACTTCAAGAGCTTCTGCAGATTTTCCGCCAACTCAAAAAATGCTAACGACCCAACTCAAAGTTACATACATCTATTCGGACTGTCATGTACTGCGGCATCGATTGAATTAGTCAAAGGAAGCTCCATTGCTCCATGATTATACAGGTTTGATAAAAGGTTATTAGATTGACGATAAGGTACAATTTTCACATGTATACTAATTGATCGAGTTCAAATTTATGATACCTGTAATTGGCTTTTTTGTCTTAACTTTCTGCTGCGTAGGTAGAGACCTCAACAGATCGGTAAGAGTATGTTGCTTTCATGTTATAAGTGGTGGTCGCACGCTCCAACATGTATTCTTCCACATTGAGCACATGTTCCTCGTCTGACTCGCAATCTCGCCTAATTTGATACAGTGGCCGTAACTCATAGTCAATATTGCTATCGAATAAAAAGACTACACTGTACTGGTCGGTCGTGTTTTTATCAATGACGCGGTGAATAATACTCTTGAAATGACCTTTGGTAATCCTGCTTATTGTATTTCCCGGGCTGACCATTTACGTGTCACTGTTTAGAAGAACTTTAATTCACTCCCCTGTTTCGCGATCCTGGACCTTAAGCCCCGCGTAATCATCTTGTAGAAGAAACGTGATAGCTCCAAAGTTCCTATGCGCGCTACTTCCCAGCTGATGATAATTAGCTATGTCTAGTGCAGGAGTAGGTGGGTAATGAAGTAGTCGAAGCGGATACACCATCTGTTTCGCTAACGTGGATGGTGAAAAGATGTAGACTCAGATGTTTCAAGAAATTGGTACGTATGTGACTGAGGCCCTGGTGCATAATTGTTCATTTTTATCACTAAATAGCAACCTTAGAGCAAGTTACATTGGGAACAATTAGGAGTAGGCCATATTTGAAGCAAATAGAAGTAGGCTATTGGAATTGCAAGTTATTGAGCAACTATAACTCAACTTCACTTCATTGTCTCCGTTGGAGCTTTAATGCATGTTCCGATTGCCAGAGCAGTCAGCTTGTAGTCCTGGAATATAAAGATTAGCATCTCTATTAGAGCGACAATCGAAAATCAAAAATCGAAAATCATCTCCAACTTACCTCAAATCCCGCTTGGACAGCAAGAACCTCCTTGTTTGAAATCAGACTTTGAATATCCGTATCTGGTTTATCATATTTGATTTCTGTTGGCGAACCAACCCATATCGATGAATGGAGTTCCAAGGGCTGATCTGACGCAGATGTAGCTCTGGTAGTGTAGACTCGAATGGCACAAATCCTATCATCGTCACTACAAACCTCGAATCCCCGAAAATGTTCCCGTGCTCCGATGTCAATTACGTGTCGCTCTCCCGGAATTCGATACCCGAATGCTTTGTCAGTAACCATACTGTCGGTAATGAATTCCATGCCGGCAATGAAAGAACCAAGTGGAGTTCGAAAAACCCAAATCCCAATCTTGACCAAGGCCTCAGGGAGAATGATATTCTCGGTTACCTCGCATTCTTGAGGTATCTCCGGTTTCCACTTCCAAAAGCCTGTCAAAATCTGACGATTCATTGTATGCCAGCAAGCATCAGCAACAAGTCTCTGTTCTTCCTCAGAAACTGGTATTTTCGTCCTCACGCAAATGTCTCTAAACAATATTAATTTCAGCCAAAACCAGTATTTGACCAGGATACGCTGGCAGGACTTCCTGTGTCCATACATCCTCAACATTCTCGCAGGTTGGGTTTTGTAGTATATTTGGTGCCAATCTCTCTTGTTCGCGCGGCCGCTATTCTTATCCTCTTTATCCTCTTCTACGAGACAATTTAGAAAGCCTCGTTCCATATGAATTTTGAATCTGTGACGCCAGAAGATCTGAGTATGGAACAAAGATGACATGACACGTGAGGAAAGTCGAAGGTTGAGGTAATCAACCATGTCAGTACAGGCGGCTATTTCTTCCATGATTTCAATAGGTAAACAAGAAAATGGATCGGTGGGGTTTGCGTGAATTACCGCGCCTGACTCGCGAATGGCATATTTCCTGGTGTAATAGGGTAAAGACGCACCCAGGTAGGTGAAACCTGTGGTGAAAGGATGCCACATTTTAGAGACCGGTACTGTGAGTATAAGTATAGTTCAAGTCTATTAAGAACGGTATCACTCACGCCATTCAATTGCTTGGAAGCGACGGTACCCATAGTAGTCTTCTGGCAGTCTACTCATGACATGAAAAAGCCTTTTTAGGTCAAGGCGGTCATCTTTGAAGTGGCGTGTGAAGATTTCCCAACAACAGTTGTGAACCAAATTGGCAACTTGTGAATCTGGGTAGTCAAGCCATCTATCGTATGAGTAATTACACCGACGTGCTGAGAATTTGACATCCGATATATAAGCCTGGTCATCCGCTAAGTATACTGTTTTGAAATTTAGTAGGGTACAGGGCACTTTCCTATTGTGGTACTTACTTGCGCGCGCTGTCGTCATCCAAAGATCGGAAGATAATGGTTTAATTTCCCAGTCGCAAAAGCAACAGTGCCAAGCCAAGGACCCATCACTCATGATTGACTAAAGGGGGGAAATCCTAGCTCATCTTAGTTGTAAGTCGAAAGGTGTAAGATTTATTTACTTCATAGGGGGGTTTCACGTATAATGGTCACCATTACATCAACCAACCATCGATATGAGAAGAAAGTGTAATATCTAATCCTGGAACCGGGACCTAGGAAGAACAATTCTCGCTGTCAATAGCATGCAAGGGAGGGGAGGATTTGTCTAACACTGTTGAATGTGGCTTCATTCATTGAGGTTTGGATATGACCTTATACCACTAAAGATCGCACCACGTATCACCTATTATTATTGTTGCTTTCCACGGTCTGTAATGTGTTTGAAACAACCTCAAACTCGGTGACCAATTACCCCGCGCTTCAATGTAGGGGCATCTGGAGCTGATTTCCGTAATCAGACTCAATGAGGCGTCATACAGGGACATTGACCAGGCGTAGCACTAGTAGAGAGGCAGAATTCTCAAATAACGGTCAGTAGAAGACAGAAGAATGAAAGGAGGGAATCTGCTGTTAAATTGACTCGCTTATAGAAGAGAGACGGATATACGTAAAGTAGGGGGTTGTGTTCTTTTATAAGGCACACATGATTAAGCACACATGACCGCAAAGGACAGTTTGAGGGTTTGTGAAGATCAAAGGAGGGCTGTTAGGCAAGTCCATACATCGAAAAGCATATTCCAATACAAGTATGTTTAAAGAGGTCACCACGGAATCATGATTGCCAGGACGACAATTTGGACTCGATCCCGCAACTATTCAATAACATCTCGAATATCAATAGCAAAGAAGAATCTAATTCTTTTCAACTCTAATTAATGCTCCGTAAATTCTAGGACATGGACCAAGAATATAGATCAAGGATGTGATAAAGAATGCACCAAATATTTCAGCCTGTCCGAAGCTCTTCTGAAAATTACCACGCCTTCCGAAAGCCATCGATCCATGACCATTGTCCCTCACTCCTCCCCGGAAGTTGTCAAGTCCTCCGCGGTAATAGGCTGAAGAATGACAAACCGGTGCTGCCTCGTCCCATCTGGCAACTGAACCGACCCATCCTCAAACTGGTGCGCAAGCGCATACTCCTGCTTCGCAAAGTATTTCTCCTCGAAGACGATAAAGCGGACCATATGCTCAAGCCACGGCCATTCATACTTCTCCTGTCTCAGCCAGTGAACAATACGACGGCGGTAGAGATTGTTATCCAGGCCGGCAATGAAGGAAGTGATATGGTCAATGGTATTATTTGGCTGCAGTGCGCGTACGCGTTGACGGTAAAGCTTTGCTGCCTCGAAATAGAATTCAAGACAGCGGCCGTTTTGTTTCATTCTTGTCTTCAGCTGATGCTCGATTTCAGCATTGCTAAGAGCTTCTTCTTGTCCTTTCTCTTTGATGTACTGGTTTGTGGGGGCAGATTGGCCTGGAGTTCGCTGGGGTTGAGCTGTGTCTGTGCTGATAGTATCATCTGGAGATTCAAGTTTGATTCCTGTCTTGGTCATTTTGTTTGCTTCTTTTTCTTTCAGCTGCTTGCAAAGACAATTGATTTCAGTAGTGCAGGTGAGCATTGCCTCGCTCTTTTCATTCGTCGCCTTTGTGTATTTCTTCACTGCCTTCAAGGTGCGTTTGAACTGGCGTTGTAGCTTGCGTACCTCCTGAGACTGGTCACGTTGATCTGGGTTTGTGTTGGTTGTCATCAATGAGCTCATCATACCGACAAGGTCTTTCAGACTCTGGCATAGCAATTCGTTGACGTCTTCGGCTTCATCGACTGTTCTTTTTGTCTGCAGGAGGCGCGCGGTCAACATCTGGTTTATGCGGCGGAATTCATAATTCCAAAGGAGTTGGCCGGGTTTCAAACGTGAATCACATTCTGAAGGTGAACTCGGCTCCATTGTCGTAGTTCTGCGTGAATCTGAGGGAGGTAATGGATGAGGTGCCTTGTGGACGTGTCAAAGGAGAGGGGGAATTCGGAAAAGAGATACAAATGGGGGTTTGAAGATCAAGGAGCCTTGGGGCGCAGTAAGATGGAGTGATAAATCAAGAACTAAAATGACGGAATCGGTGGGTAAGAGCACAATTGAATGATTGTAAAGGAATGAAGACATAAGTTCAGAATACGTTGCGGCAAGGAAGCGTAGTATTACTAGGAGATTAACCGTGGGGAAACAAGTCACATTTTGGCCCGATCTATTGATTAAGTACGGTAACAGAGACATTCTTAACCAACCTGAGCGAGCTAGATACAGAGGAAACGGAGGAAGAATGCGGAAAAATAGGAAAGCCGTGACAGCAAAACAAGCACGAGCATGTCACATCTCTGTTAATTGCAGAAAATAGGAAACCATAGCAGTGGCGACGACGGCGGCCCGCGTCCATCAAGTCATCATATAGATAGGCTCCAGCCAATCCATCGAGCCACCGCGTAGCGGGGATGTAAAAACACAGAAAGCCACTTTTCACGCAGGTTCTGCGATCATAATCCGCATCAAGACATCAAGGGGGAGGTTTAAGGTGTTTAGATGAGGTCAGCAACGTTCATGGGCATCTCCTCGACCTGGGTGCTGTAGAACTGCTCGATCTCACGGAGCATGCGAACATCGTCAGCGGTGACGAAGTTGATGGCAACACCCTTACGACCGAAACGACCACCACGACCGATACGGTGAATGTAGTTCTCACGGTTGGCAGGGAGGTCGTAGTTGATGACCAGGGAAACCTGCTGGACATCGATACCACGGGCCAAAAGGTCAGTGGCGATCAGGACACGGGAGGAGCCGGAACGGAACTCCTTCATGATAACATCACGCTGGCCCTGCTCCATGTCACCGTGCATGGCGGAGACGGTGAAGTCACGGGCAGTGAGCTTGTCAGTGAGCCAGTCGACCTTTCGGCGGGTGTTGCAGAAGATAACGGCCTGGGTGATGGTGACGGTCTCGTAGAGATCGGACAGGGTGTCGAGCTTCCAGTCCTCCTTCTCAACAGCGATGTAGAACTGCTTAATACCCTCAAGGGTAAGCTCCTGCTTCTTGACAAGAATACGGATGGGGTCACGCATGAACTTGGTGGTGACCTCGAGGACGTCCTGGGGCATGGTAGCGGACAGCAGGTTGACCTGGGTAGACTGGGGCAGAAGCTGGAAGATGTCGTAGATCTGCTCGGTGAAACCACGGGACAGCATCTCATCGGCCTCGTCGAGAATGAAGAGCTTCATGGTGGAGGTGTTCAGGACGCGGCGCTGGATCATGTCGTGGACACGACCGGGGGTACCGACAACGACCTGGGGACCGTCACGGAGAGCGGTCATGTCCTCACGGACGGGGGTACCACCGATACAGGCGTGGCAGGTGAGGTTCATGAAGTCACCAATGGCAACAACGACCTTCTGGATCTGCTGGGCCAACTCACGGGTGGGAGCAAGGATCAAAGCCTGGCAACCCTTGACCTCGGGGTCGATCTTCTGCAGGGCGGAGATAGAGAAGGTAGCGGTCTTTCCGGTACCGGACTGGGCCTGAGCGATAACATCGTTACCTGCAGGGGGATTAGACTGATATCGCAAAAGAGAAAATTTTAGAGGGAACGAAACTCACCCTTGATGATGGGCATGATGGCGCGCTGCTGAATAGCAGAGGGGCGCTCGAAACCGTAGGCGTAGATACCTGTAATGAGGCCTGTCAGTAGATTTTCTTCGTGCCCCGCCGCCCACGAGGGGAAGCGCCAACAAGTCGGAAATTTCATCACATACCGCGGAGCAGCTCAGGCTTGAGGTCCATAGCATCGAAGGAGTCGGTGATCTCATCGTAGTTGGACTCGATCATTCCTGTTAGATGAACAGCCGAGTTAGTCTTGTCGTCCCTTTCTTCATCATTCACGTCGCCACCTCAAATTCTTCACGGGTGTGTAAACACCAAAGGAGATTTCACGAGCTTTCAAAGAAGAATATGAGCAGGGAGGCGTCACATACCCTCGGGAAGATCCTCCAAACCCTTATCGTTCGACATGTTGGGTGGTTGGTGAGGTGGTGATCACAGGCGTGTCGCTGTGATCTGGATGGTGGGGTGAGAGAGTTTTAGCGAACGTGCCCTGTGGGGTAGTTCGCGAGTGTTGTAAAGCTAGTATCTGAACTCTTCAAGTAGAAGAGTTGACAGGATACTAGAGGTAAGACTTGTATGGGGTGGTGGAAAGTGGAAGTCGCAAAGACTGAAGTGGGAAGAAAAAGAAAGTGAAAAAATCGACCAGCGGAACTGCCCATTTGCTGCGACGCTTTTTTTTTTTCACCCACGGTCGGGTTCGCCTCACCGCTTGCCCAATGTGGGGCCTCCCGCTTTAATACAAGCGAGTACAACGTTGGTGATCGCCCCATGGTTACTTTCTATTCGTATTGTTCCTGGTTTTTCTTGTTCTCCCGCGTGGCGTTACTTTTACCCTTGATTCTTTTTTCTTGCTTCTTTTGTTCCTGGCTTACTTTCCTTGTCGGGCTTCCCGGGTTGGGCTCTATAGTCGCTCTTACTATTGGGTTGAAGGAGCGCTCGGACGGGCAGAAAAAAAAAATCTTGAAGCCCTAAAAGTGATTCCCGTGGACCATGCCTGACATCACAACACTGCCGAGTTATCCACTTCCCCAAGATGAGGATCTCGGCGTTGAGGTTATTCCCAGCCATCCGTTAGGCGTCAAGCCTAGTGGCAACGCACTATTAGCCACATCGAATCTTCGTTCGGCAATCGGAACATGGCAACTCCTACCCGACGAACTAATCCTGTTGCTGCTGGAATGCCTGGATGGGACTAGTCTAATGGCATTTGGACGAACATGTAAAGCTTTTTATGCATTCACTCGTGCAGAGGAACTGTGGAAGGCTTTGTTTATTCGGTAAGTTTGAACTAATTTCCAGCGGATCATGAACGTGTGTAGATCTTTGATCTATATATCGTAGCTGATTCTGCTATGACCCACCGAGGCAACAGGACCTAGAGATTATTCAACAAATTCACAAAACCAAGACTAATGACACTAATAGTTGTTCTCCCGAATCATTCACATGGCGAGGAACATGGCGATCAACATATCTGAATCTGCCAGCCAGTAAAGTCCCCGTGGTAGATTGTTCTAACCTCTACTCGGATGCTCTATACCGACCATTCAACTGCGCGCACATCGTTATGGATCCCTATGTCTCTAAGATCCCTAAGCGCAATCAAATCCCACGTCTTCCCGACTTGTCGCCACAAGAGTTTCATGAACAATGGGCTGACCGCCCATTTATTCTAACCGACCCCGTCAAAGACTGGCCAGTCTACAAGAACTGGACCGTTGGCCATCTACTCTCAAAGTATGGACAAGAAAAGTTCCGCGCAGAAGCAGTCGACTGGGTCCTCCGTACATACGGCGACTACATGGCCGACAATGTGGACGAAAGTCCATTATATCTATTTGATCGGAACTTCGTCTCCAAAATGGGACTGGCAGTCGGTCCGCCAAACGAGACCCCCGATGCAGCCTACTGGCCGCCAGCATGCTTCGCTGAAGATTTCTTCTCGGTGCTGGGGAATGAACGACCGGATCGACAGTGGTTGATCGTAGGACCAGAGCGGTCGGGCAGTAAATTCCATAAAGACCCGAACGCCACTAGCGCTTGGAATGCTGTGCTCAGGGGACCCAAGTATTGGATTATGTTCCCGTCTGGCGATAAGCAGAATCCCCCACCCGGAGTGTTTGTATCAGATGACCAGAGCGAGGTTACCTCACCGCTCAGTATCGCTGAATGGCTACTGACTTTCCACGCTGAGGCGCGACGAACGGCAGGCTGCATGGAGGGGATTTGCGGCGAAGGCGAAATTCTACATGTGCCGTCTGGATGGTGGCATTTGGTTGTGAATCTCGAATCGTCCGTCGCCATTACTCAAAACTTCATGCCCCGAGCACATCTCTGTGCTGCGCTGGATTTCCTGTCCAACAAAGCTGATCAGGTCTCTGGCTTTAAAAAGACCGTTCAGAATCCATACCAGAAGTTTATTGATGGCATGCAAGAAGCATACCCAGAACTTCTACAACAAGCCCAGGAAGAGCTCCAGAGGAAAGCAGAAGGGAAGAAGCGCAAATGGGACGACATTGTACATGGCAAGACAGAAGACACAGAAGAGCAAGATGCTGGTGGATTCAGCTTTGGATTTGGAGATGATGGGAGCGATGTTGAAGTCCCATGAAGCAATTATACTGAGCCGGAGGGGACACAGTTCACGATAACAATCATATGTCAACGAGAAAATCAACGCCTTCATAGCAAAATAAAATTACGAATTCATGCACCGTGGTCCAAGCTTCCGCCATATATGTTGAACACCAAGATAAGCTCGGTATTTAGTGGCAAGCAACCGACTTAGCTGCAGGGGTACCTTCAGAAAAAGCCAAATATCCTACGAAGGCACCGACAGCAACAGCAATCATAACCGCGCCATTGTATGTCATGAAAAGAAGCCTGCGGAGAAGAGGAAATCAGTCGTCATCAACCAAGCCAGAACAAGGGGGGCAGCTCACATGATGAAGAAGCTATAGAAGACCTGGGTGGCATATAACGCAGCCATAGTGAGCTTTCCCTGGCGCACTACGGCAGCTCGATTGTCCCTTCCTACAAGCAGTGGTGAGCGATCGTCGTTATTGGTAGGAAGACGCGCATTATCGGAGACGACGTTGGCGAGGGATGGGTCGGTGATACCACCATCTGAAGAGCAAGACATCAATGAGAGCTCGCTCAAACAGGAGTGGAAAGGGGTTCAATAATAATCAAACACGTAACCTCAACCTCAATCTCAAAACCGATGCCAACGCCATCATTCCAAGCGGCAACGATAAAGTGTATGCTTGGGCTCGCAATTCAAACCTACCTCCTGTAGACGACACTGCCGTGAAAGCATTGAGACGTCGCGCATGTGCAACCTCATATTTTCGAGTAATCTGTCGTACCCCTTCGTAACCAGCTGTGAGGAGGACGATAAGGACGAGCGAAAGAAGGAAGGAGATCGGGCCAGTGATGCGCCACCAGCGGAAGATGATGCAAAGGTTCTCGGAAGACCATGTGAAGATCATCTAGCGTATCAGAACCTCAGTGAGTACATGGCTTATAAGACCTAGCAATAGGCAAGTACATACGTTCATGTTGCACTGGCCACCCATATCCATACCGCCATGGCCATGATCCATACCTGGCATACCATGATCCATATGCATCGAGTGATCCATGATGAAAATCAGTGACCTAATAGCCAGTGAAAGATAGAAGAAGAAGAAAGTTACGACCTAAGTAGCACAATGTAGGCAAGCCTGACCAGTAGTCGGAAAGTAAACATGAATGATGCGGGACGTGAGGTGATACCACCATCCCCAGTGCAAACAAGGCAAACATCACTGATAAGCTCTCGCGTCCGAACCGCCTCAACTCTCCAATCCAGTCCAATCCCGCATTGGTTGCTGTTCCCCGTCTCGAGCTAGCTCACTTTTCTCGCTTGCATGCTACGCGCTGGGTGAATAAATCACCAGGGCCTCTTACCTTATTTTCCCTTTCACACCATCATGGCGGATACTGCCACCGCCACGACAGCAGCACCCGCGACCGGCGCGCCTGCGGCTCCGGCAGGCGCAACAGCAGGGGCTCCAAATGCGCCTAATGACCAGAATGCTGCGAGTCGCGGACTACCATACTACGAGAAATTGCGCCGGGAGCTTAGGGACACGTTATCCAAGAAGCGATTGATGGATCGGAGCATGGTGAGTACCGAACTTCTAGCAGCGCGTCAGTCTTGTCCGTTCTGTGGGTGTCTGCAAGCTTTGTAACAGCTCTCAATCAGCGGCACCGACGGAGGCAAGGACTAAGAATCTGTTATTTTGCTGTGGTCAGAAGAGTAGACTGACTCGTCCAATCTCCACAGGGCCAACTCGAAGACCAAATTTTCCGCTTTGAGCAATCCTACCTCGAGGAAACGACCGCCGGCAACATTATCAAGGGCTTCGATAATTACATCAAGGGATCGGCCAATGCGTCTAGTCTTGGCGCTTCGGGACTGAGTCTCGGATCGGGTATTGGTGGGCGTCGTAAAGCGCAAGTCACAGATTCAGATCGGGTTTTCTCAAGGAGTTCTGCGAGCTACATGATGGTATGTGAAGACTCCGATGCCCGACGGCTACAAGCTTGATGAATCCATCGCTAATGACTGTTTCAATAGGACTCGCCTGGGCCTTCCTCCGCACAAACTACACCGTCGCACGCGGCTACGCCTACGTCCATTGCTGGTGGCAACGCACCTTCGACAAAGAGCAATGGAGGTGATGCGTCGGGATCTGCGAAGAACGCATCGGTCTCTTCGAAGAATAAGAAGAAGTCCAGTGGTGGGTCGAAGAATACCAAGGGAAAGAATCAGACGGATGATCTGTCTGATGACGGAGATAAACCGCCCGTTAAGCGGTTGAAGATTAGCTATGGGCGGGACTAGAGGTTGATTTCCAGTCCAATATTCCTTGAATGATTTTAGGTTTGGAGTTTGGGGGGCGTTGTTCTGCAATCGTTTAAACAGGCGAAAATAGCCTATGGCGCAGGACAAAAAGGTCGCTTTCTATTGCGCATCATGTACATCACGACCGATCAAGACTACAGTGTGTTGAATACCAGATATTGTCAGATTTATTGACTAGAAATTCCCCGTGCAGATTCATAGCAAAATATATCAATGTGTCTCAAGCACGAAAAGGAATCGGTGAGTGCCCAGCATCACAGCTGCAATCGGAAAGTAGCGATCTCGAATGCCCTCAGCTCAATAGACACCTGAGCACCATCACTGATCTGCTCGAATTTCAATTCTTCCTCGTCGTCCTCGAGGACATTGCATTTCCAAACACGCTTCACAGGGAAAGTACTCTTGATAGCTCCAGAAGCTTTGCCGCCAAGAGATTCATAAACACGAATGATGACACTCTTCCCACTGCGGGCTGGAATGCCCCCGGTGGAAACGTCTTCATCATCTTCACCTCGCTTGACAGCATCCAAGATCACGGAAGGTGCACCCTGAATCGAAACGCCCGCGACATCAACATAGTTTACCGCATGTGAACTGATTTTCTCAATGACAAGTGGTTGGTTGAAATTGTAGCCGGCACGGATGGTACGGTCGTTGAGTGGACCAGAGTGTGGAAGGATTGCATAACGAATGCGATGGCGACCCATATCTGCATGTGCATCCGGGGCCTTGGGAGCACGGAGCAGCGAGAGACGCATGAGGTTTCCGCATGTTGCGAAGCCGTATTTCGAGTCATTAAGAATTGAAACACCATATCCGTTCTCGGAGAGATCGGCCCATTTATGGCAGCAGACTTCGAATTTGGCCATGTCCCAGCTAGATCACGTTAGTATCGAGAAATCAAGATTTAGCGCTTATACGTACCTTGTGTTGTAGTGAGTCGGACGACGAATGATACCATATTGCGTCTCGTAGGAAGCTTCCGTGTTGGTGATGTCTACGGGGAACTCGACCTTGAGGAACTTCATAGTCTCTCGCCATTCAACCTCGCTTTCGAATTCAACAGACGAGGGCCCAGATACCGAAGCTGACAAGCTGATAGTGGTCTTTATCCAGCTCTTGTCACTGATCTTCGTCTCCGTCACCAAGCTTACTCGGTGAGGACCGTTCTCCGCAATGACAGTCTTGCCGCGAGGAAGCTCCTTTCGTGACTCCAAGTGGAAGACTTCGACATCCCAAGCTTGCCAATACAGAGGCTTGTCGTCGAATATCACTAATTGGCCAGCCTTTCCGCCCTTCGCGATGACCTCTCTGTTAGCCAAGACATCAAAGAGTGAGGTAATGACGCCATCTTGGACTTCAACAGTGAGCTTGCCGTTATCAAGACGGAAAACTCCAGCCGCTAGTTCAACCACAGTTACCGAGTCGACGGTCTGGAAATTCACATCCCGGCATGAAAGCACACCCATTTCACCATCCAACAGAGCGTATTTCGAACCATGTCCTGTGGTAAGAGTTTTCGGAAGTTTGACCACCTCCGATCGACGCCAAGGTAAGGTATTGATAGCTCCTAGAATTTCATTATGGATGGGACTTGTGATTCCTAAGGCCGCCAAAGCATTCTGACGCAACTGAGCTCCAATTTTGAAAACCTTGGCATAGAGCTTGTCGGAGTCATCATAGCACATCTCGATTGAGCTTCCAGGCAGACAGTCGTGGAATTGGCAAAGAAGGGTATTCTCCCACATTTCATCAAGCTCCTTCTTTGGGTAACGGTATTTCTCATCAATGCCGCGAATGGTAGCTAATGTAGCCAAAAGCTCGATCTCGCGAAGCAAGAACTCAGACTTTCGATTGTTGCGCTTGTTGTTTGCCTGAGTAGTATATGTACCTCGATGGAGCTCGAAGTATAGCTCCCCATACCATGTGGCAAACTTGGTACCATTGGCGGCGGCTGCTTCCAGCTTGTCAAAGAAGTCGTCAACTGACTCTCCCATCTTTACTCGAGGAAGAGTACCGGTCTTGTCGCTGAGGCCACGGCAGCGACGAAGCTTCTCAAGGTGTTCGAAGGTGGGTCCTCCACCACCATCTCCCTTGCCAAAGACGAGTAAGGAGGATTTATCGGCATCCAATGATTTGTGCTGCGTGACACTGCGCTTGAGATCACCAAAGTGAGCTTCTGCAGTGTATGTCTCTGCGGGAGCCATATGGCACATCACTTGGCTACCATCCAACGCAACCCATTGGAAGGTAGTGTGAGGGAAAGTGTTTATGTTGTTCCAACTGAGCTTCTGGGTAAAGAAGCGACTCATTCCGGCGAGGCGGCAAATCTGGGGGATTTGGGTGGAGTAACCAAACGTATCAGGCAACCAGAAAGTCGAACATCGTTTTCCAAAGTGACTCTCAAAAAATCTTTGGCCGTAGAGGAACTGCCTGACCAAAGACTCTCCACTCGGCATGTTGGTATCATGTTCGACCCAACTACCACCGATTGGCTGGAAGTGGCCCTTACGCACCCATCGCTTGACACGATCAAAGACTGATGGATAATATTGCTGCAGCCATTTGAATTGCTGAGCCTGTGAGCAAGTAAATCTGTGTTCTGGGTACCGATCCATCAAGTCGCATTGGTTCGACCACGAACGTGCAACCTTCCGCTTAGTTTCTGCCCAAGGCCACAGCCAGCAGGTATCAATGTGGCAATGGCCAATAGCAAACACAAATGGATTTGTATCTGCTTTGTAAACATCCGAAGAATCCACTTTGTCCCCAATATACTTTTGAGCAATTTTTCGACCCTCGAGGATAGACTCCTGGCTTCCATTGCCTGCAGTGAAAGCATCGATGATGGCATTTCCGACCACATTGGCCTCATGTGCTTCCCAAGAGTCACCAGGGAACTCGCGGGCAGCATCGCCAATAATCCAGAAATCATAATAAAGTGCGCGCGCGGCCAGATTAATCGTGGTAATTCGTGCAGTTACGAGTTGGTATGACTTGTCTGGTTTCGGCGGTTGGATCGAGTCGCCCCCGGGGGCATTTCCAAACATGCCATTGCATGCCATTTCAATATAAAACATATGCTCCTTTCCATCGCGCCATGCATCGGGAATAATCCATTCAACTCGTTCGCCGCCGCCGGTTAAACCTTGCAACGGGTGACCGTCCTCGGTCCATACCAGTCCCTCATTGTGGGCATCCCAGTGAAACTCGAGTCGTTCCTTTTCTCGCATATCCTCAGGGACAGTCAATTTTATACGAAACCAATGCGTAGACCAGCTGGGTCCGAACGATTCACCAACATGAGTCGGCTTGAATTCATGTGACGTTGCTTCCTCGAACGTCGGCCGTTCTAGATTGGGGACCGAATACACTGATAGTTTGACATGGTCTTCGTCCGAGTTGGTTGCTTCGAAAAACTTGGAGACGAGGTTTTGGCCTTCATATTGACCTTTTTCTGTGAACTGCTTCAGTCGGTCGGTGTAGATTTTCGTGATACGTTGGCCGACCGGGCGCTCGGACAGTACTGGGAGAGTCTTGGTAGCTGGAATGGGGACGAGGTGAGGTTCTCCACCCATTTTGACGACTATCTTAGAACTCCGTTGTTTCTTATCCGGGTGAAGGCTTGTGATTTTGGGGGTGGTGCGCAATGAGAAGTGAAACTCAAGGGAGGAGCTGAGCTGACCAAATGCGGAGGCATGACGGAATGCGGAGTCAGGGCGGGGACCAGCCGCGTTACATCCACTTCGCATCCACAGCTCGTAAACATCGTTATAGATCTATTATTATCTTGTGGACTTGAAATCCACATCCGATCTAAGAAACGTCTTCTCCATTTCTTCATCAGCCCTTCGTCTCTCCCAATCGTCATCACAAAAGAAAATTGCGATAGCCATTTTTAAGCGAGAATTTTTGAGCATCATGTAGAGCTTTCAATCGGAGCAAATTCTGGTCTCCATGCTGGTCTTGGCTTCCCAGGTCCACATTATAATCCAGATTATTGAACGTGATCCGGGCAACTACAGATGCATAATGTCGAGGGTCTTTGACGGCAAGAGGGGTTGTATCTTAGTAATGATTCAATAAGAACCTGAGGTCTAAGACTAATATGAGCGCCCTTGCCAATCGATCAAGCCTGACTCTCACATTACTGACAATAGCATCATGGGCGGACGAATCAGATACGGGCAGATACTGTGCACCTGGATGTAGAGTCTATAAAATTCTAGCTATTGACCTAGAAAGTCAAAAATATCATTCTCAATTGTTTTGTCTTCCACTCTTTTCAATATAAAATACGAACCTTACTTTCTCTGGCCAAACATACCTCTTGAAAGGTTTCAGGAAGTAGGTATAGGCCCAAATATTGCAAGATGGGCCTGGAGTGCCGAAGTGGGTCAGTACCCCCCCCCCCAACTTAGTTATTAGTAGACACGCAAAGTAAGAAGCATCTCGTGATTCCAGATCATCGTCTCTGCTCCAGAATTTTACCCCGGTGATCCAATTCCAGAATTGAACAAGGACTTATCAGAGCTACAAATTGGTATGGAATTTTCAGGTGAGTGCATACATAAAATAATATATTTCGGCTCCTTCAAGGTTGAAGTCATCATAAATCATGGATTGAATATATATTTACTTGACCCAACATCTCAACGCGTGTCGTTCAGAATAAAAAGCCCGAGTTATTGAGCTTCAACCATGAGAGCTCAGGTGCCCAGGCGGTTATACTCGGAAGTCTATTGTTACATTGAAACCTTGGCCTAACTACCTATACCTATGCCCCCCTACCATTTGAAGCCACCAGAGTACCAAGATTGGAATCCAGCCAGCAGGAAATGGTCAACATTCAACAAGATGTGATACCTACTTTATCACCTCTGCGGAATAGCAGCAACCCGTCCAGGTGCCCTTGCCGTCTGAGTAGCATTTCCCACACACCAACAGTTCCCCGGTAGCTGAACTGTGGCACTTTGATCATAAAAGGTGCTCCCAACATCATTTCGTTGTTGAATAGAATTCATCGAGTCACACACATACAAACAATCATGCAATGTCATATTAGGTAGCATCATCAAAATAGATTTGTCACCGATGAAGTCGTAGTCGCAATGAATAAGATATTTCTGCGCGTTCATTGTTTGTATAGAGTTGTCTGCAGATGGACAAGAGATTGGGGTTGTGGAGTTTAGCGTGTCTGTCCAGAAATTTGCGCGGCTACCTGGGGAACTAGTCGTAGAGCTATTCAATGAGCTATTCGTATAGTGATTGTTCGATGAGGCGCTGGATGGTGTTGGTGGTTGATCTATCATCCATGATTTAGTAGTAAAATACGATATAGGAATGGGATGTCCGTACTATTTTGCTGTGTAAGACCCATCGCCAGCCCGATGGCTATGGCAAACACCACAATCGTCAATGATACAATGCACAGTATGAGCCAGAAGGTGACCCTTCGTAGACCGCATATAGTACGCTTCGGTGGTGGGCTAGCCTTGACTAAAGGGGTATCACCCAGATAGTAGACTGCATGGCGATGGTCAACTTCCAGAGGAGCTTGGACGACCTCCAATCCCACTGAATTTCTGACTTGTTTAGAGGTATCAACGACAGACATGGTGATGAAGGGTTTTGTAAGTCAATGCTTTCACCCAAACACAGGGCGTAAAGGGACTTAAATCAAATTACTAACCTGGCTACGCACCAGGGCTTGCCAGTGCTGAGCTATTTACGATTCCACACACGATATGGCTGCCATCAAATGATATTGCTAAGAAAGATTGTGCCACCACAATATAGCGATGATCCATGCAGGGGCGTACTGTAGGATATGTAGGCATGCTGGAAGAATGAGTACATCCATTCTTCTACGGTCGCATTAGGCCTCCCACGTCCGCATTCTCTGACTCCATAACCACCTGAGCGGGTCCATCATTGAATACTTGTGAAGGATTCCAGGAAGCTGTCTATTGATCAATGGAATCTTATCTCGCAGTCTGAACTAATCATGTTTGGTTCGAAGCCGTGATCTTAAATTAAAAGTATTAGATTTTCAGGTCAATGCTCTTTTTGAACATCTGCATATATCGGACATTGTCAAAACATCTGAAATAGATCCTGCTTAAATGTTTATATTCAATCGAATTAAAAATACTATATGAATGGGGCCATATCAATGGAAATCCCGCTCTACTTGCACAAGGTGCTACAAAGATATAGGGCGTAGCTCGGGTATGCCCGTGCCGAAACTCTGCTAATCTGTGCCGTCCCTTGCCCATGTGGTCCCGCCATTGGGGGCCGAAACATTAATCTTTCCCTTAAAGTATTCTTCGCCCTGCTTTCACTTTCACTACAAGGCCGAAGAACTTTGATTTAACCTCACAAAATCATTAATACCGTGAGTATCTGCGTTCTACTTTCCTAACGATTTATTTTTATCAATAACGAATTTACAGTGCCGTAGAGCATGACCTTACTTTTGCCCTTGTAGGATGGCTGGGATGTTGAACACTTGGACTGCGGAACTGAATTTACTCCCAACGTCTTTCGAGTGGCCTCCCTTGTGGACTCCTATATCTCTGGGGGCATTGGCGGTGGCGCTATTCTATTTGATAGACCAGATAGGTGAGCCGCACGTGTCACCCTTGGATGTGTCGCTCTTCCTGCTATGGCCTACTGGGCTAGTTTGTTATCTAATTCGCCAAGGACTCCGTCTCGATTGGCCTCTACATGTGGTGACTGAACTGCTTGGATGGTCGATTGTCTTGGTCCTATGGCTAGCTGGCACTTTCGCGTTCTATCGCCAAGCAGGCCGATCTTGTATGTTATGCAACTCGTATGCTCTGAGCTTGGAGATTAATATTTTTCTTCAGCGCGCAACCAAAAGACTCGTACTCGCAAAATTCAGAACAAATAACTAGAATGAGGCATGGGCCGGGTGGTGTTCATAGTCTAATGAGCAAAGAGGTACATGAAAAGTTTTGACGCTGGATTAAGGTATTGAATTTGTCAAAACCAATTTTTGAAGTTCAAGGTGCTCTATTTCATCAGGTCTTCTTTATCACTGTTAGCTCGATAGTAGGCCCTAAAAACACAAGAATATCTATGAATTGATCCATTCAATAGTTCAATGATATCCAGTACATGAAGATAAAATGCACATGATGATGATTTCGATTGACATGGCGTTGTGTCGAGCTAATCCTTATGCGCCTGCTTTTCAAGGTTGCGTAATAATTTAGGGAATCTGCAAATTGGCTGTTGCTACAACTCCAAAACAAAACTTTCCGAACTTCCTCACATCCATACCCTTACGCTATTCCTTACCAAGAGCTCTGATAGAGAGCTCGGATCGTTCCCAATCCTGGTATTTGCGATTCGCAGAAAATCAGAGAAATGTCAAGATTCTCGATGATCATATGGCGAAGTAGCAAGTTGTCAGTGAAATTAGGACGTCAACCCATAATTGAACATCCCCTTCCAATACATGATGCTGGTAGAAGGAAAGAGAGAAGAAAAGGGAGGAAAAGGAAATTCTTTGGTAGCTGCTGCCCAGCATACCTGTTTGATCAAATTCTGATTTTATGCCAGGTGTGAACTACAAACTTTGACGTCGTGATATCATCTGGAGTTATATTCTGATAGAGGCACATGCATTAGGGCAATATTAAGGTAAATAAAACTTTGGGTATGAGGCTCTCTGGAATTGAAGCATCATGGGGGCATTTCCGGGAAAAATTTGCTAATTGTACCCTGTCACCAAGCGCTATCCAGGGGTGGGGGAGGATATATGTGGTAGGTAAGAGATCAGTCACCTTTCTTGCAAAAGGATATGTTCTTAGGTAGGACAAATCATGTAGGTGGTACTTGAATTTCCATCATTTCTGAAGTCTACTCGAGCTATACATAGTCGTACATACTCATCGACGGGTAACAATCCCAGACGTCATTTGAGGTCTGTCCCATGAAAAGATCCCATAGTTCTCAAATTTGGACATCCTGTCATCAAATAAGAGCCCCCAAGGTAAGGCAGTATTAATATAAAGTTATTTTGTTCATTTCCAAATAGACATAAATCTAAATTATACTAAGCTCCGGGTGGCAAACCCCCAACAAAATCTCTGAACATGACATGCATGCAGAAGTCTAAATAGCTATGTCTAGAATCTAAATTTAATTGAGCTTCCCAGATGCAATAAGCATAGAGCCTCACATATACCTTATGAGCAGAATCCACTGAATAAGCCATGTCGGACCCATAAATCTACTAAACCCAAAATAGCGCGGAAACCCCACGAGGCTCTAAACTTAACTCCAAAACCCATTAGCAACCAAATCTGACTGGCCAAGCACCCAAGAATGAAGTAAACCAGTATACAGATCAGGTAAGATCTTCCAATCTTGCATAACCCAAGCAAGACATAAGCTCACCAACAGTATGCCGAATCGGGTAAAGGACCTTATGTCATGATAATCTATTTTTAGGGCCCCCACGTGGGATGAGCCGTCGACATTTCTAGTATCCTAAACTTAAACTAAATTGTTCCAGCCTCCGGTTCTTGGAATAGTTATATGGCTGTACTTGGAATTGAGTTAGTGCTTCCTTGATCGATGCAGTTACGGGGTAATCTTCCCAGCGTTATTATGAGGCTCTTCTCTCGCAATATTCAGGGCAGAGCTGGTAATTCGATGATGAAAGTGATCCTACATCTAGAGACTTACCTTGATTGTCAATCTTCTCAGATAATTTTCAATCCTGACGGACATCAAGGCCCAAGTCCATCAACTCCGTCAAGTATCTTGTGGTGGCAAAGATCATCGAATCCCCCAAAATCTCATCCCTTCGGGAAATTCATCACCGGCCCCCAAGCAGGATCTTAGTGGATCTTGATTTCCACAATGAGTGGATGCAGCATTTCCTAACAGCAAGGGTCGTGAAGGATCCTTAGCTTGTTACATATGTGGTGAGATGCTTTTTTTCTCTCACTGGATCACAGTGGCAAAAGTGCTGCGTAGGTGGCTGCATCTTTAATTGAGCTAGTGTAGGTATATGTCATCTGCGTGAAGCAGGGAGCTGTAGGTTGTTGTTGGGGTATCCCTGTCAAGTAGTCGAATCTTAAATGTTAAGGTAAAGTTCCGTCGAGTCGAAGCGATTGATCGGCATAGTGATAGGAGAGACCGTTTTTGAGTAAATGCGGAGGGTTGAGGCAATAGCGCATAATACATTGATCAGAATAATGAAGATAACTAAATTCTATACTTTGTAGTCACGCTAAGATCCAGCCATAGCTGCGAGTACATGACTAAGTCCAAAAAGCCAATCCGGCGCAAAAAGAGAAAAAGAAAAAGAAAGAATAGAAAGTGGAATGCTGACGTTTTGACAGATAACGACCCAGAAAAAGGAAAAAAGTGATGCAAAGGAAACTCCAATAGGGGAGCTTGGTCGGTCATGGTAATAGCTCATGTGGTAGGTATAAATCGCTAAATCAAACAAAACAAAAATGACAAAGGAAATATGATCAAGGAGACCAAGGATCAGGCTGCGGTGCACACAAGTGCGGATTGACAGCACCGACGAATTTAATCTTAGACTTCAATAGCTCGCGACGACGGTCATCTGGTGTCTCAGTCATCCTCTTCTTCGCGTCATCAAAAGAGGTCTGCAAAACAGCCAAAGTCTGGCGCTTGGATTGTTGGTTGTTCTTGGGTAGTGTCGGTGTAGGCGGCGGCAGGTTGGCATGAGCAAAGTATTCCGGTGAGGTCGTAGCTCTGTGTAGTCTCTTAAGCATGCCACGCTTCTTCTCTTTCGGAGCAAGAGGTGATGAGCGCGGTTGTTCAAAAACATTAGCTCGACTGGAACTAGCTGTAGATGTAGCGACTAGTTGAGCGTGGAATTCATCCATTTCCAACTCGTCATCGAACTCTTCGTCGTCTACCATGATGGATGGCGGGTGTGCGCTGAGCGGGCCCATGGGTGCAGTGAAACGGCGCGAAGGCGGTGTTCGCCTAGTGTTGACTGGCTCTTCAACCTCATTATCACGAGCCAAAGTCTTGTTGACATATGACTTGATTGAGTCCCGAACAGCAGGCTTCCAGCTGGACGAGTGCATAGAGTACCATTTCGGTGTCTTGGCAGAAACGTTCAAGCGGCCTTCTTTGCCGTTCCGACTAGAAGCGGGGCTCACACGGCCGCTAGTCTGACGTGTAGAAGGGGTCGCAAGCTCAGGGAAAAAATCCCAGGTTTTTTCCCGGAAATAGTGGTTGGAATCTATTCTGCGAGTCCAATCTACCGGACGTCCGTAGTGTGCAGATGTGCCTAGGATGATAGAGGAAGCGTCGATGTCGATAGGACTGGCGTCCGTGCGCTCGGGGAGATGGGGATCAAGTGGGGATGGGACTGATGGTTCCATATTTCCGTGATCTGCGGGGGGATCGTAGTTGGTGAAGTCATCCGAATTGGATCGGACGAAGATGGGAAAATCGCGCTCGCGTGAATAGCTTGAGGAGACACTTGGGCTTTGTAGGCTGTCGTCGAGGGTGCTTTCTGTGTCGCTGTCCGAGTCGCTGTACATGGTGGAGTACTCGGTCGGAGAGTCTAGCATCATGATAGGCACCGGTCGGCCGGGGAGGGGTTTGTTGATGAGGATTTCAGAGCGGTGCGGTGTGAAATACATCATCTTTGGTGGGACCACCTGTTCCATACCTTCCAGCGAGTGAGAGGTATAGAGTGGAGGCGCAGTGCGCCGGGCAGGGTTGGCGGACATTATGGTAGGGCAGAGACTTGACAAAGAAACTGGTGTGAAGAAAGCCTCCCCTCTTTATGACATCGAAGCAAAGAGAGAAAAGAGGAGTAAGCTCGATTATTATCCTGCACCGATCGTGCACGGACAACGCGAGGGGCCGCAAGGGATACTTTGGAGGGAGGACAGGAATAGTTCTAGATCCTCAGAAGGGATTAAATCAGATTAATTTGACTTGGTCAATTTTCCCCCGACGGATCCATTTCTGTTTCCAGAAAATCCCAAATTGCCCAATCCCCAAAATGATGCGTTGTCAACCGATCGACGATCGCCTGATGACGCCAAGAATGACCGCCCCCAAACCCCCTCAGGAACTAACCCAACAGCAGTAATCGGTCGAATCATGCCTAGAAAGGGACTTCTATCTTTGCAATCCTAACTAAGTTTGGCTGCCCTCTCCATTGTCTCACGAGTCAATTGATCAGATCGTCTACGAACTGCACTGAGACGACCCAGACGCCTTAACTTGGCGATCATAGCCTCGTCTCCAAAATGACTGTTATGCTCGAACTCTGGCTCCTGGTCATAAGCCACGCGTGCGGCATCCACAATAATGCGTGCTGTCATGCCGAACACGCGATAGCGCTGGACCTGTCCATCCGCATCCGCCGCTAGTTCAACATTCTTGTGGGGCTTTGGCTTGACCACCCGGGTATTGGCACGAACAAAGAACTGGTGCACTGTTGAATTCCTGGTCAGTTGTCGTGTTTTTCGGGTCGATTTCATAATTATTGTCGGGCAAAAAAAGCAAACAACAGATCAATAAACCCGAAAAGATCAGAAAAACAAATATCCGTGTTACCAGCTCCACTTGGAAAACATGGTTCGGTACGACCGGTTTCTCTAGACTCAAGCCTTGAACCATAGTGGGTCCGATGTTGACACCCCTTGCCATGTGTGATAACGGGAAATTAAAGACAAGGGCGTTGAAGAAAGGGGGTCGGCACCCGTAACCAGGATTTGCGCAAACAAAAAAAGGGGAATACGTACTGCGCCAGTTGGAATTGTGCCACAAACTCCACGATCCTCGATACCATTCCCCCGGATCCGTCTCGTTAGCGTCCGCGCCCAACGAACCCTGATCAGCCTGAGCTGAACCCACAATTGAATCTTCCTGTGAATTCGGAGGCAACTGCTCATCGTCATCCCTCAAACGCAAAAAACTGTAAAACGGCGCCGTAAAAACAGCAGCCACCTCCCTCGCATCTAGCTTAGGAATGAGCGAGATCTCGGGGTCCGCATTCTGGCCCGTCTGTGCATCGTATGAGTGTAATAGAGCCACGCAGGGCCGAACCACGACTTCTGTTTTGGCAAGATTTGCCGGTAACTCGCAGAGATGTTCGACTGTGAAGGGGTGGGGAAGGGGCTGATCGATTCCCGGTAGCCCGATCTCTTCCCATGCTTCGCGACGTGCGGTCTGGAACGGCGTCTCCGATGACGCATCTGCTCGACCTGAATTATTTGTTAGCGAGGGATCCACTCCACCGTTGGGCGTTTGTTTGCAGTTGTTCTTTTCTTCTTTTCCTCAGACCGGATGAATGTCTTCTTTTTCTATTTAGGGGAATTGTGCCTGTTGATCCATTTTCGTTTGTTTTTCTGCCATTGTTTTTTTCTCGTATTCCTCGTAATCGTAGTCTATCCCTAATAATATAGATAAATAACTCACCTCCTGGTAAAGCCGCATCTCCTGCATCTGAAATGCAGCCCGACAGAATAGGGGGCATAGGTTAGCGCAGTCCGCATGTCGTGCAGCATTGGCGTGGGTAGCCCTGTTTTCAGGGCTGGTCTAGTTGCAAGGAGAACAGATACGTACATGAACTTAATGTCTTGGCCCGGATCGTAATCACGACTCTCAGGTCTCCTTTCGCATCGGCGTACAGCAGCAGCAGTACTGCCGCTCGCCTGGTCACTGGGACATCCTCGTACGCAGTGGGCGGAGGAACATAGTTTCGGAGTCGGTGGATGGCTTCCTGTCATCCATCATATTAGCTCAAACATTCCCCAGTTCTGTTTATCCTTCCGTGGCGCTTTTTGTCTTTTTCTTTGTTTGTCTTTTTTTTCTTGCCACGCGACGTTGGGTTGGGTTTTAGACATTCATTCTCCAGAGGGATGTCCATCCACGGGTGCCGTCAGCAAGCCAATATTCTTGAAGATATGTGACACGCCCCGAAGGCCTGTGGGACTTGAAGGTGGAACTCAAATATGCGGATACGGAGTAAACAGAATAAGACTGGAATGAAATCATGACAACAGAATCAACGAGATAAGACAGTAGTTCTCTGACCGCATGGATCCCATCCGGAAATAAGGATGTGTGGATAGAATGGGTCCGAGTGTACAGGTACACACGCAGACGACGGATACGCACAGGCAGGTAGGTGCATACTTAGGTCGAGCATGAAAGTACTATTCCCAAAGCGTAGAGATCCAGTCGTGGCTTTCGGTGTATCTCATTGCACATAACGTCACTTACCAATGAAGCCTGGTTCAGCGGCGCCATACTGGAAGAAGCACGGCCACTCCCCACCTGGTACAAATAGAGACTCTGGAAGCGAGCTGAATTCGGATTGGCGGGGATCGGGAACTTTGGATGGATAGTTCGGATTAAATGACGTGGATGTCTCCGCATAGCACTCTATGTATGTGCTATCGAGTGGAAGTTTGGAGGGTATGAAAACGAGGGATATACCAAAAGGACGAACAGGAAGTAATACTAAGACCCCGGAGAATAAAATGTTTGGTCAAGTAGTGTAGCGGGGGAATCCCGACTCTTGAATGCAAGGATGTCTGAGCGACGCGGTGGAAAGCACGTGATCTGGGTTGTACTGGACAAACTCACTCTACGTTGTACGCTACAGAAAAGGGTTACAAGAACAAATTCATAGACAATCATGCTGAGTACATTATTCAATCTGCGTGATTCTAACAGCTATCCCGAACGGTTTGGCGTGGGTGTGTTTATTACCCTGGCCTGTTCGTCGTGGCCAGCTTCATGCATCTTCTAGTGACCCTCGGAGGAGACCGATTGCTTGGTTGCGGGGGAAATACTTCGGTCCAATTGGAACAGTAGTTTTGCCGAGGTTGGGTTCCGGCTAGAGTTGTCATTGCCGATTAATAATCTTAGGTTTACACTTTATGAGGTGTTTGAATCAAATTAGATGGATGCATCATGTGGACTTGTTCTATCAATACACGGCTTTTCGCTCTGAACTCCAAATCAATGGCTGAGATTCTTGCAACACATCCACCCAGCGATTTCAGTCTTGCCCCAGAAGGCACCAGGACAACTCATACCAACTGCTTTGCATATCGAAAGATTGCAAATAATGAGAGAAAACAAACAGGGTGGGATCAAAAGATTGTATCAGCAAAGACCCAGAGATCAGGGCAAAGAAGTGAAAGAGGTGGTAGAAGAGGAAATGAGAGGGAGAGAAGAGTCAGAGAGAGAAGGGGGTCTATAGCAACATAGCGGAGAAGTAACACATGGGGAGAACAGAAGGGAGTCGAAAAAGAAGAGACAATAAACAAAATCTATATGTTATCCAAAAAACAATCCCCGGAAAGAAAACGCAAGTGCAAACCGAGCCATTCATGAATCTACGAGCTTTCACTCTTCTTGGTCTGCTCGGCCTTGGTGCCCTCGGCCATGGCTTCATTTGCTTCGGCGGACTGCTTCTCGGAGGCGTTGGATGCCTCGATGCGGGCCTCCTCCTTCTCGTCGATATCTTCGATATCCTTGGGCGCGGCAACATGGCCATCGTTTCCGCTGTTCTGCACGCTCTCCTCCTCGATGAGCTCCTCCTGCTCCTTGATGACCTCCAGACGCTGCTTGTTGGTAGCAGCACCCTCGGCGTTGTGGACCTCCAGCTCGATCTCGTGGAACAGCTCCTCGGGAATGCTAGACAGAACCGACTTTAGGGCATCAATCTGAGAGGCCATGTCAGACTCCTTGCCGCCCTGGGTGTACATATAGGCATTGCTCAGAACCAAGAGGGTGGATGGGACACCCTGCTGAAGACGGAGGTCGAGCCACATGGTAAGGTCCTCGCGGAGACGTGCAGGGGAGACACCGTGTGTGCGGATACCCCGAGAAGCGCTAGCCATCTGCAGCTCGGGAACGGACAGCGAGTCGACGCCCTCGTAGTAGATGGCGCGGTCATCACGCTTAATTTGGCGCATGCGGTGACGAATGTTGTAACGAAGCATGGCATCAGTGCCGAAGGTGTTCAGGTTCATGTAACGGCAGATAGCCACCAGCTGGGGGCGGGACAAGTTGTCCAGGGTAAGATCGTCCTTGAAGATCTTGCAGACCTTGACAACGTCTTCGGTGGAGGGAGATTCACCGGTGGTGCGGATCTTGCGGAAGAAGTCTGCGAACTCCTCGTTCTTCACGGTCGCAGCGGTCAAGGGCAAGCCGGTCTCGCGCAATGTGTTGCGCAAGAAGCTAGAGACCTCTTTACGGGTGGAGCTCAGGTTCGTTGCCTTCTTCTCGCGAGCGGACTTGCCCTCGTAGGTGCTGGGCAGCAAGTTGGGGAAGATCTTCAGGGCGACGGGGAGCAGGAGTTCGGCGAAGGGAACGATAAGGAAAACAGAGAAAGGAACCAGCCGACCCAAGTCCTTGGTGGTACGTTGAAGCTGTTACATTGAAATCCAAAGTTAGTCAAATGATCCCGATCTCGGCGATCGGAGTTTTGACCTACCTGACGGTGCTCTCTCCGACTGAGCTCATATCCAGCTGCCATCTTCACAGCTAACCGGGTGCTAATCTTGACCTCTGTTGCCAACAGCTTTGTGCCATCCCAGTAGTGCTGCAGCTCCTTTTTAACCTTCTGTCCCATTGTCAACTTCTTGGCTTCCTTCTCCTCGGTCTTCTGAGATTCCACAGCGGTCTTGCTGGAGGCTGGCTTGACATCCTTAGTGACAGGCTCAAACGTCTCGGGCTTGGCAACTTTTTGTGATGATTGTGCTAGCTCCTGAGGGATAGGCTTCTTCGCTTGCTCGGCATTGAATCCAGGAGGAGGGTATGACTGGGAGGAGTTGGATGTGGATTGCTCAGTGGCATAGCCACGCTGTTGGGGAATCAAGATCGCAAGTGCAGACACATGCGATGGAAGACCGCGGCCATTTCGGAGCAGACTGTTCGCCGCAGCGATGGAAGCTGGGCCGAGAGCGCCAGCACGAGTGCGAGCTATTCAGCGAGGGTAAAAAACGTCAGTCCACACCATTCATCGGTTTTCAAAATAGAACAGTGATGACTTACCAGTCAGGGTCGACCGCAATGCAGACGTGTTGCGCACCAGCTGAGCAGATCTCATTGTGGCGGACATTTGCGGAAAATGTTGGGGCGAGAGGGTAAAGGGCCCGATGAGTCGAGCAGGGGGTCGCGGAGGGCGCAACAACGGAATAGACTGCCTTAAATTAAGACAATTCCGAGGTAAACAAGATGATTGAGACAAAGTATGGATGGTATGGATTTGTGCAGGTTGAAGAGAATACGGAAGATGTAGGTGACGCTGCCGGTCATCACGTTTATCCACGTGACCGAAAGCGGCCTCGGAGGTGTCAACGGAGATAAATCGATCGATCTTCCATGTTTTCTATTGGCGCTGCATTTTCACTCATGCAGCCTTGGCAGCCTTGTGTTACGAATATGCAATGAATTTTCTTTTGAAACATATATACTGTGTGTTCCATTAAAAAGTCACATCGTGTCAATCTCGATTTGAACATGAAATGATCGTCTCTTATGTAGTAGGTCTGAAGCGTATTCCATCCAACAGCTCAATGGAATCTCAAAGAAATGCAGCATGAAAACACGATATATCGAGAGGGCGAACGCTATATTTGCAAGGATAAAAATCATTTACGCCAAGGGGTATCATGGACGATTAAAGAAAGTAAGAAACCCCGATAATTAAGTTCTCTCGCGAACAGTTGACTCAGTGTCCCGGGCAGCGTCACGGAAGGCAGTCGAGGCAGCCAGGTTGGCATCCAGCAGCGGGATCCGGTCAACACTGCCTCGTTTTTCTAGAGGAGGATGAGTCCGGGATGCATCGGTGGCGACCGTAGCGGGGGTATCCGGGAAGATGAGCGGGCTGGTTGCTCCTTCGGGGGAACTTTGCCACCGAGCAACGTCCATCTTCAGCTGGTCCAGCTCCTTCTGGAATCGCTTACCAAAGACATCGATATAGTAGGTAGCGCCATTGTGGATACTCCATACGAACAAAGCGGAAATGTAGATGCCGCTTGCATTCCGGTACCAGAACCAGATGGGGGAAGGGATCATGGTCGAGAGCGCAAAGCCGTATTGAATCAGCATAAAGGCCGGTTCTTGCAGTGCCGCTGGTAGGCTCAGGACAAATCGTCCAATCCAGGCCTTAGAGTATGACTTGCGAAGCCAGGTAAAGCTGGTTGGCCGTCCTGCCGCAATCTTATCTGCACGGCGCACGGAAATCATGAAATGGTATGCGAACTGCCAAGTCAAGTATGGTACAGTGGACCAGATTATCATGGCCCATAGCGAGTAGTGCTCAGGGTCACCCGGTTTGCTGTACTTAATGGCATAGACCGCGGGAAATCGCTCCTTAAGCATCTCGATGGGGGTCAAGTGAACAACACAGTGCAACGTGACCGGTGGCATGATGTGAATAAATAGACTGCAGACAACAGATTAGTTTACAAGAATATACCTGGATCAAAACGGGGACTACATACCTGACGACCTTGTCCATACTATGGAAAACCAGCGAGTTCCGCCACATGGCAATGGCGGCCGCGTTGTTTCCGAATGTCAAACAGAACGTGCCCAGGAACAACCGCTTCGAGCCAGGGAACACCCACAAACTCAGCATACAGAGCATGTTCACAAAGTAACAAAGATCGGCGAGGAAGTAGTGGTAGCCCTTGGCATGGTAGGTGTAATACCGGATGGGCATGAAGTACGCCAGCTGAGCAGTAAACCAGAGGTAGAAGTATTCGGGGCAAGCACCGATCAGGTAGCCGCTAATGAAGATGTTGAGCACACCGGCGATGAAGGAGGCTTTCTCTCGGAGAGTGACAGTGGCGGTCTTGTTCCACTGTTTGCCCAATCGCTCCACCCCGGTCTTCATGCGCTGTCGGTACTTATCAAGTCGCTCGTCCGCGGTCGGAACGCGACGCTTCCACTCTCCCACAACACGCTGTCTGGCGTTCTGCCCGGTTGATCGGAGCTTCTCACGCTGCTTGCGCACCTTCTCTTTCTGCAAATTGATTGTATGTTGCCATTTCTCCAAGCGCTGTGTAAGCTGGAAGTTATCGAGGAGATCGAATATAGTCAACTTGTCCAGTGGCGGGAATGTTTCCCAGTCCTCTTGGTATGAGCTGCTGTTTGAGAAGGAGCCGTTGCGCGATAGCTTGCCCGGGGAAGGAGGAGGGGAGTAGAATTCGTCCCCATCGGCGAACTCCTCCAAGAAAGGGTTATCCAAGTCATCAGGCCCCGGTGTCGACGCCAACGACTCTGGCGCGACTGCCGAGTCTGATTTCCGACGTTGGTGGGCGCTAGATTCCTGCATCAGGAACTGTTGTTGGAAGGAGAAGAGGGTAGGACCGTCCCGAAGGTGAGGGTAGGGTCGGCTAAGGAAACGACCAAACGTTAGCATCCCCATGGTGGCTCCAGCGCGTATTTTGCAAAAGTCACCGCCATGTGCAGCTTCGACTCTTCTTATCTTCACATAGGTTGAGGGGCAAAAGATCCAGGCGCGACACCTACCTTATCGGAGTGGAGGGGCGGATCACGACCACGGTTCACGCGGAGAACAGCGGAGACCAGGGGGGGGATTTGGTTGGTAAGATTCACCCCAACCTACAGAGGCAAACTCGCGAAAACAGAAGGTTGACTTTAGATGGATGGATTGTCGAGGGTGCAATCGACCAGCAAGAAGGAGATGACGGAGCGTGTGCTGTTGACGTGACCGCTGGTTGGTTTATCTGGATCCCGGTGCAGGGTGCCGGGTAGTCCAATCACGCAGCTCCACTGGGTCACGCCGATCAGGGCCCGCGTTTATTGTTGGTTCCAGGCGTTGTATACCTCTGGTTGGACCCCGATCTGCTTTACTGAAAACGGTATCAGTTTCCTTATTTGCGGTTTTTTGATAACCTCGAGAATCAGTCTCTCCAATGAATAAGCCACATTCTACGGTGAAACAACCAATCTTATATCTCGTCTATTCACTTTTTCATGACCTACGGATATTTTGAGGTCTTCTGCCGTGTGTGACTATGAGTACTGGTCACCAGGAACAGGCCGCTGTCATGTTTGCTGTGCCGCAATGTCAGATCATGCCTGAGTCATATTCAAAATATACTCGGACGAGGCTTGACCTCCACGCCACGTAGGTCATGAGTTTCGCCTCACACTGCGCTCTCTCACACTCTGCTCGTGTGACTGTATAGCCACTTGATCGATCGCGCTGTCTAGGCTGACTGGCTCTTCAGCCAGTATCCTGCGCCTTGGGCTGAATTCGGTCCACGAAGGTTTCGAAGGGCTTGTATGGGATCTTTCTCCGATTTATCGTGGGAGCATTAGTAGGGTTTCTAGCAGTCGTTGGCTCATCAAGCATTCTGAGAAATTCTGTCGTAAATTGGCCCTCGTAAAGATGTATGAAGTCCTTATCCTGCCCATTCGTCACTAGAAGGTGCGACTTGGATAGACGAGTTAGCCGGATGGTAAAACCAAAGGATAAGGTAGATCAACAAGGGCACATACCGTTTGACTTGTCAACTGTGAGGCTTTTTGCGTACGTTCTTGAAATTGCGCAATAGAAATCAAGACACACAGCAAATATGGGTCTTCGGTCCATTCCTGAGGGGTAGCTCGCGCCACCTTAATATCAGAAACGCGTTGACAGACATCATTAGTTTTTTCTTTGTCCGGATGTGGGTGAGGCAAAAGCCTCCTCCTGCGAGACGAATCGATTTGTAGGTAGTCTATATACCCGACCAATGGTCGAAAGTCCTGCGAAGGAGACTGGGCTGTCTGCACATGGCAACAGAACATGATATAAGATGGCTGGTGAACAGCTCCCCCGGCGAAGAAAAGATCGGCCCCTTTTCTAGTAGGCATTGTCAGTATTCGCGATATCATATTGAGCTTATCCCGTACTGATACTTATTAAACACACTTCTTTCATTCAACAGAAGACGTGATAGGAAGCGAATTCTCTGATTCGGCAACGTAGCTATGGAAAACAGTTCCACTTCCTCCATCTCTTTTTTACGCTTGGGGTTTGGTGTGTCATCTGTCCTTTGCCTCGTCATCTGGTCGATATTGGCGTCCTCGACCGGGACGTAGTCGATATGCTGGAAATGGCATCTTAACGCGTTCAGCTGACGAGAAGTCCAAAATAGAGGGTTTACCAAGAGCTCCCGATTATGGCGTATGACTTCAGGGAGTGACACCAAATCAGACCCATTTTTCATGTTGATGATTGTGATATCCGCTGAAGCCTGAACACGCACATATGCCATTTTGCCGCGAAATCTTTGACCGCCTTGGAGGTATACAGCAATATACATTTTCAGGTTTGTCAAGTGAAACTGGTAAGAAGTATTTCATTTATTGATCATCGTACCATGTTCGACCTTTACACTCTGCTGCCCCTTCTTGGTGCCACATTCGAGAACTAGCCTGTCATTGGCTTGGTCTGTCAAACTGACAAGCTGCCATACTCTTTCTTGCTCTTCCCATTACCCTGTCACTGGCGGCAAGAGCAATTCTGGTCTGGAGGACCAAAAACCTTCCTGTTTGTCCAGAATAGGTGTAAGACCTTAAGGATATGGTTTATCGATATTGCTTATATCTACTTTCATGTTACGTTGAGCACTGTGGCGCCGAGAAAGAACCCACCTTACAATGTAAATTGAGAAAGCTGAAATTGACGATTACTTTTCTTCTACCAATATCACCACCTCATCTACCGAAGCGGCAAGATCCTTAGGGATATTTCATGCTATTCACATTATACTACGTGTACGGAAGACCCGAATTCACCATCTCTCCACAAAATCACGAAAGCAAGCAACAAAGCACCAAGATTGGTTTGGATTAGCCGACCGGCTCGACCCACATCCAACGAGCTGTCGCGGCCCCGCGATAAACCAGCGATAAGGACACAGAATAGATTGATGTGGGGCGGAGTATGCTTGTCCCGCCAAAGTCATCGAGAATCTCTTTCTTTCATAACCAACATAATTCCGCCATTGACAGAAGCTCAACTTGAACTTGTTGTTGAAGCTGTGGTTTTATCGAAAGTATCATCGATTGAAGTATAGAAGTCTCGAGACAACGCCAGACTACCTCCATCATGGCAACGACAACAGAGGCGCCAAAGCGTCCTAATTTCTTGTTCATGCTTGCCGATGACCTGGTATATTCAAATCGCCTCCCAAACGCCATTGAAGCAGTCAATTAATCGTATTACCCAGGGCTTCTCTGACATCGGATGCTATGGAAGTGAAATCCAAACCCCAAACATCGACCGTCTAGCCGCAGATGGAATCCGCATGCTAAACCACCACACAGCGGCTGCATGCTCACCCACACGCGCCATGCTAATGAGCGGGACAGACGCGCACCTTGGTGGCCTCGGGTGCCTGATTGAATCCCGGGCCAGTCCCAAGGGTGGAAAGCGGTGGAACGGTAAGGCGGGGTATGAGGGATATCTGAATAACGATGTCGCGACTCTCCCTGAGATTCTTGGTGATAATGGGTATTTCACAGCTGTTTCTGGCAAGGTATGGAGCCATCTTCAAACCCCGGGTTAGTCCCAGTCTGCAATTGAGTGGATGCTAATTAGAATGGGAATACAGTGGCATCTGGGTCTGCGGGCCAGTCAAGGCCCTTCGGAACGTGGTTTCCAGAAAGCTTTTGCTATGCTTCCGGGATGCTGTAGTCATTATGCGTGGGAACCTGTTCAGGAACGGTTCCCCATGGGTGGGTCGCCGGTGCATACGGAGGGTGGTGTCAAGTTTGACGTGTGAGTTGAGCCCTGAATTAATGATTATAAATCCTGTTGGGTTCTAATTGATTCAGGCCACCAAACACAACCGAAGATCCGGAAGGATTCTATTCGTCTGATTATTATACTGATCGGTTAATTGAATACCTCGATACCCGATCTGTGGCCGATCGATCGAAACCTTTCTTCGCTTTCTTGCCGTACACAGCTCCCCATTGGCCGTTACAGTGCTCCAGGGCCCAGCGTGACAAGTAAGAACCACATATGACTACCCCAGAAATGATCTGTAATTGATTATCGCTAGGTACAAAGGCATGTATGACGATGGCCCATATGCGCTCCGCGAACGCCGGCTCAAGAAGCTTGCGGAGATTGGCATTATCGATGAGTCTGTTATCCCCCACAAGATGGAGACTATTACCCAAGGCTCGGGCGAGTGGGAAGAGTTCACACCGGAAGAAAAGCGGTGCTCCAGTCGGTCTATGGAGGCTTATGCTGGTATGGTCGACTCGATGGATTACAATGTCGGCAAGATCATTGCGCATTTGAAGAAGACTGGAGAGTATGATAACACTTTTATTGTGTTCATGAGTGATAACGGAGCAGAGGGTGCAGCGTACGTATAAGGTTTTTCATCGGACTTTTCTACATTTGCTAACAGATCACATTAGGTTGGAAGCAAGACGTAAGTCAAACAGTGGTAACATCCAGATACTCAGACTAATTGGATACAGCTGTTATGGGAGATAACATCAAGCGCGCCATCCACAAGTATTACGACAACTCATACGAGAATATCGGTAACTACAACTCATTCACATGGTACGATTCATCTCCCAGAAAACCCAGTATACAAATCTAACCTACACAGGCTCGGACCACTCTGGGCCCAAGCCTCAACCGCTCCGTCACGTCTATTCAAAGGGTTCCCGTCCCAAGGCGGAATCCTAGTCCCCTGCGTCGTGAAACCACCCAAAAACACTTTCCTCCCATTCAACCCAGGCAGCTTCAACCGCTCCTTTAGCACAGTAATGGACTGGTCCCCAACATTCCTCGAGCTAGCAGGAATATCGCTCCCCCCATCTTTCGAAAAAGAGAAGCTAAGAGCCCACGAGAAAACGACAGTCATTCAAAAAATGACCAAATTCCGCGGCAAGGATGTCCACGCCATCCGAGGAAAATCTTGGGTCCCATTTTTCGCTCGAGGACAAAAAGCCGCAGAAGAAGAACTGTGGCATATTCATTCCTCTTCTGAACCTATCGGTTGGGAGCTGTTTGCCCGTGCAGCCATGCGCAAGGGTGATTGGAAGATCGTTCATATTGCCAAGGCGAATGGTGGTGTTGGGAAGGATAATGGTGATGGATGGGAATTATTCAATGTGGTTGAGGATCCTGGAGAGACTAAGAATCTTGCTGAAGCGTACCCAGAGAAATATGCGGAGCTTTTGGCTTGTTGGGAGGAGTATGTCAATGAGTGTGGGATTGTTTGGGGTGAGAATGCTATGGATCCGGGGTTGTCGATTGAAGATGCGCCTGAGCTTTGGGAAGATGAGGTTGAGCTGCAGAAGTGTTGGCTTGGTGCTAAGGCTGGAGAACGTATTGAGTAGATGTTGTAGGTTTGACATAATTCTTTCATTATTCCTTTATCTCTAAGAGGTCTTGCATTGCGTTTGTTGCGATAATCCATAGGTTTGGGGTATCAATGTTGTACAGATGTGTAGCCATGGTCTGATGGTGGCTATGGGTATCAAGTATCTGACTGCCCACTAGTTCATTATTTGACATGCGGACGGACCTGACTCTCAGGGGACGCTTGAAGTGGCATATTCAGACCGCTTGATAGCGACGTGGCTGGGTGCTGATCCCGATCGACGTCGGCCTCGGTTGGCCAGAGTCATATATTCAGCCACTCGCACTTCATCCTGCGCCTGTTCAGGTATCACAGGGCATAGCAACATTGCGTCGGCAATTGGCGCATCCAGCAGAGTCCACATGTCGTCGATTGTCAAATGTGAACAATCGCATATCCAGCTTGGCATGATGCTTTGGACCCTAGTATGTCACTCAGTCGGTTTCTCTGCCTTCTTTCCTTGGCGACATTCGATGGCAGGATCCAATTCCAGGCTCATGATCAATTTGATCAGTGATCAGTCAACGGGTATCGATGTTGAGATCAGTGTCGCAGATCGCCCATCACACATAAGCTCTAGCACCCTTGCAATATACAAGACTCAGCAACTGAGTCGCAACAAACAGCGAAAGGCCCAGTAGGTAGCAAACAAGACCAATCTGGAAAACGAGCCGTTGGACCTTAGTGAACTTAGAGTACTGGCGCAGGCCTATACCGAAATAGATAAGGCCGGCTGCCACGACAGCCACAGTGGGCGCCATTTCCTTCCAGACCATGTCCAGCATTTTGACGCGCGATGAATTCACGAGGAGGAGCTATTTCGAGATGAGCATAGGGTTTTGCCGGAATTTCCGGGTTCGGTTGGATCCTACCGTTATAAGTGGGGCGTAGGGCGGATGGGGCCAGTGATGATCGTGAAGATCACGATATAATGCGCGAGAACGAGGACCTGAAGAACTTGGTAGAAGATAGAATGCAGAATTTGCAAAAGAGGACAGTTTAGTTTGAATAGGAGGGCTTTAAGGGAAAAAAAAGAGAATCAGTCGTCGGGAAAGCGCTCTTGAATGACCGCGTATGCCAGTGGGGCATCCACGTGTACCGCATCCCGTCATCCCGTTCGTCAGTTCCCGAAGGTTAAGTTGTGGTTAATGCTACCGACCACCAAACCAATACATAAGCATCACACCCCAGGGCTCCAGGCCCTGATCGGCTGGAAGCCCAGATCGATTCAGGCTATTCAGGGGTAAAAACATAATCCAAGGAAAATTACTCCGTACACAATTTGAGATTAATGCCTTTTTCATAGAAATAGATTCAAATATAGACCAGGGAACGTTGCTTATATATCTGCCCAAAATGTCATATCCATGTTCGCCGCCGCTTCCAAAAAATATTTTCTCAAGAAATTAAGAGCATCAAGCTCTGGGGTTTGTTTAGATCAATATCCAAATTGCGACATTGAGTGAGGCACGCTGGGCCAGTACCCCGCGTTCTTCTCTGTCGGCGCAAATGGCTGTGCATAGTATCCCGCCATGGGATGAGGCGGGGCGTGAGGGTGAGGGTGAGGGTCCGCCATCTGTTGTTTGATGACCGGCGATTCATGCGGAAGCATGTTCGGTGCCATGCCAATGGGGTAGGCCCCGTACCCCGTAGTCGGGCTGTGAGGTTCACTTGACTCGCTAGTTGCGGGGGATAGAGGTACGCCCTGGTGGGTCGGGATGGTGTACTGGTCAGCGGTCTCTAGGAGGGGTCCCTGGTCTTCATCATCCTGCTCATCTTCCGTGTCGAAGGACGTGCTAGGGGCGGAGTGAACGCGAATTGTTGGGTCGGTCGCTTGGTAGTTTGCTTCTGGGAGATGGGTCTGGGTCACCTGGACTAGCGTGCTTGCATCTGGGAAGAATTAGTAGGACTGTGAATGAAAATTTCAGGAGCATAGGACATACCGATCTTCCCGTCGAGGTATCGTTCTTCCATCTGTCGGACAAAATAGATCTCGTCGAGGACCCGTAGGCGGTTTGCGGGGCTGATCTGACGTCGCACGTCTTGGCCGGCCTCCCGCAGTTTCTCAGCCGTGACTCCGTGGCTGTCTTTAAGCTCGCAAAGAATGTGGACCAGAAGACGGAGTCGGTCTAGTTGTTGGTTAGCATAGGTTATTACAATTTCGTATTCGTATCGAACGATGGTTACCTCGCTTCAACAGGTGATCAGGCTCTTTGTGCAAGACCCCCTTGGGCCACCATCCCGGCTTAGTGAGTTCGGGGTTGACACGCTGTGATACTCCAGCAATAACCTTCCGACCATTGTACGGAAAATGAACTTGTTTCCGAGGTTCCACAAGTTTAATATACGACTTGGCGATGGCCCGACAATTCAATTGTTGGAAGTCCTCAAAAGCTTTTTCGTAGTACCGTCGCAAAAGGTCTGCATTGTCGACACGAAGCACGCTTCGTCCAGGGGGAGGTGTCGGTGGAGGTGAAGCGGATTTTGGTCGGGGTCTAACCATCCCCGTTCGTTTCATGTCCCTCCGTTTCCGCCGGCTCTGTTGTGATTGCCATTCACAAGGTATTAATTCAGGAGATCGGGTCTGGCCGGACTGTGCCCATTGAATGTCTGATTGCATACCCCACGGAGAGGGAGGAATTGATCTCTGGTCTAAATTTTTTCAGATTAACCATGAGGTCGTTTCCGAGCGATTTGGTATCGGTCGTCCACTTACTCGGATATTGCAAGGGCTGGCTCCCTGGGGACGTCATTTCCACGAAGCGGTCTTTCACGTCCGGCGTGAATATAGCTCCCCCACACCCTGCGATTGAGGGGGATGCCATGATTTGAGGATTGCCATCTTGGTCCAGATAAATAACGGCGAAGTGCTGGTGTGGGAGGTCCACGTTGGTCGACATGACAGCCTGAGCACGATATGAGTCAAAAGAAGGTCAATTGCGCAAGGGTGATTCAATTACCATATGGGAGTGCGGCACCGATGTATCAGAATGCCTGCGCTCAAGAGATTCCCCGACCCCTAGGTGTGACCGACTCATATCCATAGCATAGGGCAAGTCACTGATCACTTTTAAGCAAAGTTTTGCGTCCAGAGAAGGATCAAGTGAGGGATTGAAATGAAATACGTGGGCGAGTCCTAAGGTAAATAAAATTTCCTAGCAAGCCTGCAGCAGATAAAATAAGGAACACGGCCACCTGCTTGACGGAAATAGATCTCCTGGCCACTAGGAAAGGAGCCGACGGCAATAGATATAGCATCGATATTCCCTGAGGGTACATCAGCACAATGCTGCAAGGAAAAAAGAAATATCTGCGGAGCTGAAGCCGGTGGCAATGGAGCGTTCCATTTTGATCTCTCTGGTCCTGCAGCTCACGATCGGATCGTCAGTGCACAGGGCCCTCGAGATGGGTCCAGTGGGTTCCAGGCCGCACGCACGGATGCTATAGTAGGGCTGTCGCTGTAAGAAATTCATTGGTCGCGTCCAACACCCGATGCCATGGCTTGAAAGTCAACAGCTCAACTCAGTATCCCCACTTGTTGATCCCAACGCTTGGGGACACTAGCCACGGGAAACTCCACAGGTACCCACTGGTTAAACCACTAGCTTTTTTTCATTCTCCGTGCGACCATCGAATTCGACCTTTTCCTCTCGAGAAACTTTCAGGGGACATCTGGGTTGACAGAAGTACTGTTACTCAATGTGCGTTTTCGATCGTCCAATAATCGGGCGTGGAACCGATCAGCCTCAATTTTGGGCGAATGAGATGGCCTGATCGGCGATCAGAGTGTAGGCCAAAGCTTTCCGCCACACATGCTGGATCCCAAAAGGCAGCGGGTCGGGACGCCATTGAAGTCATCGTCTGCAAACTATGTGGACACACAGAGAATGGCTTACAGTCCATCGACCGGGGGTGATCTTCCCCCCTTTCGATCGTGCATATTCCAGCGCATCTGGCCATTTTATCTTTTCTATTGTCTGGATCTGATCTCCGAATCGAACCAGACAAAATTGCTACGAAGTTCTCCCGATCCACGGGGCCCAAGCTATTGCCAAACGGACCACTCATGGCTATAGTTTCTATGTTAACGATCATCGAATCTTGAGCTTATCCAAACTCCCGGGAGAGCACTTCCGGTCTCCATGGTTCAACCGCGCAACGCAAAATACACTTTGTGATCATTGATTCCTGGGACTTTTGTCCTTTTCCCCGTCTCTTTACTTTTTGAGTTATCTCGTTGCAAATGACAAATATCTCTTACATTTGCATCGCCAAAGTAGGTAATGACCGTCGTCTTGTCGGCCGACTGGCACAGCACCCGACTCGAGCCCGCATCAAAAAGAAAGCTAGTAGCGACGATAGCACCCATTCAAATCGATTCCATATGTCCGGATCGGCATCGCTTAGTTGATCGTAAATCGGCCGACGAATTCCAGGTTAGGTGCGGCCATGTACCCCACCGAGCCAAAACACTTGTCAACACCGGTGGCCACTCAACTATGGTGGCTTGCAGTAGTGGCAAGCTCTCCTGTACGAACCCGGTCTTCCCCAACATATTTTTGTTTTATTCCTGTGGTTTTTCTTTTTCTTTACCCGTACTTTCATGTTTCATACGCGACACTATTCCTAGCGCGACTAGCGTCGTGCAACCTGGAGATAGTATCCGGCGCCTCCTGATTGGCTGAGGGGGTAGTTGCTTCTTCTCTGTGTGGACAACTCGCAACCTTCGTATTAACTAGAAACAAGAAGAAAGATTCTGCGTCAAAACCCCCGCCTGGTATTAGGAGAGACTGATCAAAACCAGGGCTAAACGACAAGCCATTTTAACTTCCGGGGAACCGTGAACAGGAGATCGAGTAAGCCCAACCACGTCTTGGCGTGGCGTGAACTTGGACCGTCTCAAGGTCTCATGGTCTCCTGATCTCGAGCCGCATTGACCTCAACTGCCCCCTTGCCTTTATTATTCTTTGTACAACACCTGACGCACTAAGAGGGATCGGACCTTGTACCGCTCACGCCATTGCATTGCATTACTACTGCCGTTAGAAATAAATTATGGTAGGTATACAAAAGTACGTTTCCGACTCGCTAATGCATCAACCCCATCGTCCAATGCGTTGTGTTACCTTTGTAAGCTTCGTGCAGGACAGATTCCTGTTACCAGGTTATTGATGCATTAGCCTGGCGTTGGGGCACTCCACAGTGCAGGTAACCTGGGCTCTCCAGGCATTGATACCCTTGGGTTGGCAGTTGTCTCTTCTACCATCCCAGCTCGCTTCCAAAGGGTTATCGCGAAGTTGAAGCGGTGACGTGGGAATGCAGCGGCTCTGCACCTGTAAAGGAGGGGACGGGGATTTGGAATTGCAATTGCATTAGACGCGAACATGCGGCAGGTAAGATTCCCCATCGATGGCGTTTCATTTGGATTTCCTAATCGAATCGAACATGCTTTGCCCGAGTCAAGAAGATCAGCGCGATCATTCGAGATCATGTTTGCCTAGGATTCCTCATCCCTTCACGGGCACCGCAGACTCCACTTCATCTGTAGAATCGGCGTCAACAACTCGGCAGCAGAGCCCGGAAGCAAATCCCGCCCACAGATCAACCAACAAAATGCCTCAGACAATCCCCATTCTTCAAATAAACTTTCAACTTAAATGGCTATAGATTGCTCCTGCCCTGATTTTCCCTCGCCAACAAACCCCGAATCTGACCTGGATCCCGAGGTGGATCAGACCCACTACAGGTTCAAGATAGCACCGCTCGAAAATGGAAGTTTGAGCTCCACTACCCCCGAATCCGCATCCACCGACACCCTCTCACCCACTGTGATATTGCCCAAGCGGACGGGTGCGCCGCCATTCAGCTCGTAGTTGTATGACCAGCCATCCCAGGAGATACCTGTGATCGCGTCGCTCCCATTGGCCATGAGCCGGTGCACGGATAAAGATGTCGCTGAGATATCGGGCAAATGGAAAGAATAGCTTGCTGTAGGACGGGATGCCGAGGTTATAGACCCAGTGTAATTGTACTCTTGCATATTGAGCACGGCGATACGGACGATTTTGCCATCAATATAGGTGGCGTAGGCGGCCTCGGTATCTTTAGCTAGGGGTATATTTACGACTCGGATATCGTCCGAGTCATCATTGCTATCGCCACCCAGCATTGCGGCTACCATTATGTTTCCGTAGTATGGCGCTTTGGTACCGATTGTGGTCTTGTTAGTGGAAATTGGTTGCCATGATGCATACCGATAGTCTGTCCCTTGGTGCATGTGTGTCCGTCGGATACTCTGTGACGCGCAATAGAGATTGAAGTCGACGCCCCAAAGGGCTGCGCCAAATGAATTGGATAACCCAGGTTTGCCTTCGTTATAGAGGGAATTGGTCTCGCCTAGAATGTAGGGAATACCATTTGCCAGACCATCTTTGTTGAGAGTCTTTGATAGATCCACATGATGCTGGACGCTGTTGACCGTGGACGTATGGTTCATCAGAGTTCGTTGAAGTGTCACCCCTGGCTGCGTAGCGCCACCGATATAGCTAGATAAAAGTCAGAGAGTACATCTCAAAAAGTAGTCATCAGTAAACCCACTTGTGCATCGAGTTCAACATGATATCATGATCCGTATAAAGTCCTTCCTGCCAGGTCTTCACAGGGTCAAGGCTATTTCCTATTCCAGCAAATGAAGGTGCTAGATACTGGTACTCTGTATCCTCTGCCATCTCAGGACAAGCTTTTGAAATCTGACTTTTGACAAGTCGGGTCTTGGCCAGCCACTCCGTGACATAATCACTTTCCGTCCAATTTGCCGGCCGCTTGGTATCTGGTGTACTTGTCTTAAATAGATCAGGCTCATTGCCCATCTCCCAGTAGGCCAGCTTGCCATCCTTGAGAGCTTTGCATGCTAGAGAAGCGGTAGCCAGCAACGTATCCATCCCTTCAGTCCCATTTTTACCCATATCAAAGCCGAAACTGAATTTGGTGTCTGGCCATGTTGCATATGACTCAAAGAAGGATGGTCCGATATATACTATTGAAGGGTAATCGGTCGAAATGGCGGGAACAACAGTGCCATTGATTCCAGTTTTCAAATTGGGATCATATAAAGCAAAGTCTCTGTCGCAGCAATTAGAAAGCTCAGGTGATTCTTTAGATAGGTTGACTCACTGGGTGTTTCCGCCAACTCGGATATAGGGTTTGACACCCTGGAGATCGGCAAGGTTATCTAATAATCGATTCGAGAATTTGTTTGGCAAGGATAGGTTACCTGGTGAGTAGCAGCTTAGCTTTTTAGTCTCTTGAGAAGGGGGTGTATATACATACCGGCAAAGTCTGGGAAAGAGGCAAACTCAATCGAAAATGAGACAAATGGGCGCAGAATTGCGGCACCAGCATCTTCCGGTGTGTTCTGGCTAATTGTCACCGCGGACGAGCTATACTTCGCACCAGTAGTCGGGCTAGCAGCCACTACTGCAGCACCTAATAACAGAGAGACAAACATAGTAGATAGTATCTCTTTCGTCACTTCACTAGACTCAGGAGCTCTAAACGTTTGGGTAAGTTCGGATCAGGGCATATCTGTATTTATTTATAATGCCCTATCCCGACTTCTATATGGGTGGGTCACTGGTCTTTAGCCGGTGGAGATATTCAAAAGCCGCTTGCAACAGTAACAAGCTTTGCGCAGGGAGACATGACGATAATTCAGGGGTTCATTGGTGGGGGAATTACCGGGGGAAACCCTTCAAGCGCATGTACCGGTTAGACGATGCGGGGGTTACATCTGGGGAAGTGGAGAGGACGATCGTTACTTTATTTCCTGAGAAGTCGGCTATTGACAGGAAATCAATGCTTGAATGGGTATAGTGATATCTATTGGGCGAATAGTGCAATGTTCAAGATGTAGGAAATTGAAATGAAGTCCGTAAATTCCACATAGAAAATTGGTATCAGTCAACGACTAGCTCGCGATTAATCAACATCTTCGCCAGCCAATCCCCTAGTAATAGTGAAGCCGGCATAAAATAATCTACACAAACGAAGAAAAAGCAACCAGATCGTAAAGTCCGTCTTGATCCTCTATCGAGAGATCATGTGTATTTGCGGAGCTGAAATAAAAGTTAGCTTATTGTCATGCGGATTCAGGTCATGGGTAAACTCACATCAAGGGTTAGGGATTTACTGCTGTTCTCCACTTGATCTCTGTAGATTCCGACCAGTGCCTCACTGTTCTGGAAAAGGCCGGTCTTCAGGCTGATAACAATGAATTGCATGCCAGGGGCGGCGTGGTCATGGATGTAGTTGGCAATGCGGGCAACGTTGGTATTGTCAAGAGCAGCGTCGACTTCGTCCAGCACGAAGAAAGGCGAGGGTTGGTAAGAGTGGATCGCAAACAGCAGAGCAAGTGCGGCCATGGTCTTCTCACCACCAGACAAGTGCTCCATATCACGGAAACGCTTCAGGGGAGGCATAGCGTGGTATTTAATGCCATCGAGGTAAGGCTCATCCGAGTCTTCGATATCAAGATATCTGTGAAAAAAAATATTAGTGTCACACTGTTCAATGGGAACTACACATCATGGAACATACGCTTGTCCACCAAGGGGATAGTTGGCACTACGTGTCAATTCTCGGTAGATGGGGCCGATTTGCTCGGAAATGTGCGCAAAGGCTTTGTTGAAGAGATCGGAACGTTTCTTCATCACTGCCTCGAACCCTTCCTTCGCCTTTCGGGCTTGCTTCCGCGCATCCTCAAAGTCCTGCTCGGTGCTACGAAGCTTGTTCTCAACAGTCTCGAGGCGCTCCATCGCGCGGGTATTTGGTGCCATTTTATCGAGCTCGCTGTTAAGAACGCGGACCTTTTCTAGCAATTCTTCTTCGAGCTTATCATCGGCCTCCTACAGGTGGCATTAGTATGTAATATAGTGGTGATTTCAAATATGCACATACCTCTTTAAGTGTTTCACCGAGAGAGTCAAAGTCGACCTCAATTCCGTAGTCCTGGACCACGGGGGATTCATCAAGTTCATCGGCCTCGTCTACATCCATGGCATCTGGATCGGCTGCCTGCACCATTTCATCGATAGGAAGTTTGTCGAAGGAGTTGGAGGAGTCGGTCAACGGAACGTCGATGTCCTCAAGCTTGCATCGGCGCAGGAGAGCATACCGGCCGGATGAATTGCGCTGAATCTCAGCTTCAAGCGCATTAATGTTTTTGAGTGCCGCTTCGACGTGCTTGCTACGCTTCTGGAGTTCTCTTCGCTGTTCAGCCAGGTTCTCTGCTGATTGGGCATAGATCTCCTTCTGCTTCTCGAGGTTCTCCCGCAGAACGTCAAGCTCGGCACTGGTCTCATCTAGCCTGTTACGGATCTCTTCCTGTTGACTCTTGAGATCCTGTATCAGACTCATATCGCGCTCATATTGAGCCTTGAGACCGCTAACACGATCCTCAGTCGCTTGAATTCGCTGCATTTCGAAGCTGAGCTGGTTTTCAATGCGACTCTTCTGGGTAGTGAATTCGAGTTTCTTCTGAGCAGCTTCTTCCTGCAGCGAACCTTGCTGCGCCTCATATTCACGGATATTATCATATCCAAGACGATTGCAGAACTTGCTGTAGATCTCATCTTCGACTTGGCTAACTGAAGATTGAGAGACCTCGATAGTCTGGTCCAACTCATCGAGATTCTCCTTCCGCTCAGTATATTTGGGTCGCAAGTCTTCCAATTGGCGCTTGACAAAGTCTAGCTCGCTGCGCTTGCTTTTGATGTTTCTCTCGAGTGCTTTCAACTCTTCCCGGGAATAGTTTAGTCGCTGCTCAAGACCAACCAACTCGCCCTGCAGAGTTTCCTCTTCCGAGCCACGGTGGTGGCTCTTAGGAAGATTTCCAAGGTCACCAATCAACTTATCTTTCAGTTTATAAAGATTCTCCACTTCGGAGTCTTCCCAACGTTTCGAATTCTGCTGGGGCCCTCGCCCACCAGTCATAAGACCACCCTTGTGGATGACGGTGCCATCCAGGGTGACAGCTTTGGCATCAACATTCCTCTCGTAGCAAAGATACTTGGCCGTGTCCAGATCGTCACATACAATGGAATTTCCACAGGCATAGCTAATAGCACGAGCGACCCAATCTTCGTAATCGATGGTCTCAATGGCCGGGCGCATATTTCGGTGCATGCCCTTCAAGTTGGAGTTGATAGGCTTTACCTGGATGGTCTCCAACGGCAGAAAGGTTGCTAGGCCAGCACGTTGGTCGCGAAGATGTTGGATGCATTCTTTGGCAGTCTTCTCGTTGTCCACTACAATAGCATCGAAATGGCGACCTAGCACGGTGCTGACCGCCTCGGCGTATTTGCGCTGCTTAGGCTTGCAAAGATCACTGACACGCCCCTTGACACCGGGGAAGATGCGCTTGAGAGTCGAGATCATCTCTTTGGCACGTAGCTCACGCTCGGTCTGCTTTTTTCCATTATCGGCTTCGAGCAGCTTTCTCAGCACAACCTGCAGCTTCTCTTCAAGTTCTGTTCTCATTTGCGAGACCTTTAAGCGTTCAGAGGTCAAGGTGTTGAGCTCCTTCTTCTTGCGGTCGATGTCCTTAGATGTGATTTTGTTTGTCTCCGTAAGAGACGCCTTACGCTCATTCATATTCTGAGCATCCGACTCCAGGTTCTTAAGTTGCCACTCGGTGTTCTCGAATTTGCCTTTCAGGCTGTTGACAGCTTCAGCCTCGGTCTTTCTCTGTCTCTGAAGGTTGTCGAGATTCAATTGGTCGGCGGACGAGCGTTTGCTGACCTCTTCGCGGAGCTTGTGGTATTCTTGTTGGTCAGCTTCACTTAGCTGTACGCCCTGTTTGTTGGTTGTCTTTGTCCACTCAGCCTCCCATTGAGCCTGAGCTTTCTCCACCAGCTTTAAATCCTTCTCCAGCTTCTTAGCACCGTCAGAGTAAGTTGCACGCTCTTTTCCGATCTCCTCGATTTTCGAAGCATACCGCTCAACCTTCTTCTGCGTGATATCGACTTTCTCATCAACGGGCACCAGGGAGTTATTGAGTTCTTCGATCGCTTTCTCTTTCTTCAGGATGCTCTTCTCGGCCTTGCCAACATCTCTACCAACGCGGGCGTGATCCTTCTTGGCGTCCTCAACATTCGTCTCATATTTCTCAACGCCACGGCGGTACTCCTTGAGCTCATCCTGATACTTCTGGATGTCGGCACTCGAATCATCAATCAGGCGCTGGAAGTGGAAGAGCTTCCACAGAATGTGCGTAATAATTGCCTGATCACGCTCCTCGGCCTTCCGAGCGTAGTTCTCGGCTTCCCGCTTCTGCTCTTGGTACTGCTTGACCTCTGAGTTGATGCCTCGTCGGCGATTGAGCTGCACAGTCTGCTGGTCAGCTGCTTCCTCTGCTTCCGCCTTCAACTTCTCGTAATCCGCCTTGTACTCCAAGCTGCCGGAAATTTGTTCAATTAACCGAGTAAGGTCTCGAGGCGACTGGGATGCAATAGCCTCAACGTCTCCTTGGAAGACGAGGAAATTTCGCGCGCGGATCAAGATGTTCTCCTCCTCCAGAGCCTCGTTGTATTGCTGAGCAGTCACGATTTTGTTGTTGATGCGGTACTCGCTGGCGCCTTGACTGGTGATGGTACGACGCCATTGCTGTTCCTCGCCGGCATCATCTTCGTAGCACGCCATGACCCAGGCGGTCTTGGGATCGTTCGGTCCACCTGCGTCCTGCGATGCATCCATATTCTCATCCTCCTCTGCCTCTGCCTCGCCGTTCTCTCCGTTGGCAGCAGGCTGTCCTTCGATCTTCGAAGTGCGCAGAACGCGTCCGCGGTATACTAGATCGCGGAGGTTGGTAGATCGCAGGTGAGAAGACTTGATTCCTAGAACGAACGAAATGGCATCCATCCTGCTATGGGTCAGCTTAAGGCCTTTGCCGGGGGAAACGATGGCAATGTAAATGCATACGAATTCGACTTACCAGACCCATTGGGTCCGATAATTGACGTAAAGTACGCATCGCCAAACAGTAGCGCATGATGTCCTTTATAGGACTTGAAATCTGAAAGCAAAGTTAGCCGATCTGCGCGATACGCCCTTTGGAGGCCGTACATACTGAAAAGCTCAAGGCGAATTAGTTTGCCCATGGTGCAAAGCAGCCGCTTCCAGAGGAAGCCACGCGCTCAGAATACTCAGGCGAATCTGGTGTGGTTGATGCCAAATCGCGGGATTGACTGGACACAAATGAGTGGGAGGGGCGCGATATGGGGAATCGCGCGTCAACCCCGACGCGCCGTTCAGTCACGTGGTTTGGGTTCACGTTCTGGCTGCAATTCCAGATCGCCGCAGTAGATGTTTTACGAATGTTTTACGAATGTTTTACGAATGTTTTACGAATGTTTTACGAATGTTTTACCTGAGTTCAAAGCCTAATGGCGATGATTGGATCTTGTCAAAGTGCAATGTGTCATAATTCAAGGCAGATGGTGGACTGAACCTCGCTTTGGAACCAGGGATTAGGTTCCCGAGCTTTTATACTGTATGTATATAAAAAAATTTACCCGCATCTTTCGAATAGCAGAAACATCAAAGACTTCCTTAGCAGTGTAGATCCATACTCTGAAGACCTTCAGATCAAACCCTTTTGAAAAATAATTTAACATAAAAAAATATTAACCAGGTTTGGAATTAAGCACACCTTGTAATTCAACGACAACCTTGAAAGTAAGCAAAGATCCCTAAAGTACTAGAAACTTTGGCAAAAAAGATGTATTGAATGGGGCAGTCAATTGTATGCTGATTGGTGTTACAGGGTGTATATGTACACTATCAAGTTGTCCCCAACGTCCATGGATCGAAAGGACAAGAGACGAGCAAACAAGATAATATCGAGTGCGGATATTGGAAACGAGTCACAAGTATTTAGACACGACAAGAAGGAGAGGACACCAGGTTACGACGAGCTCAAGACCTCTTGAACTGCACCGGGTTACCCAGAGCCATAAAATCATTAGACACAAACCCATTGGAATCCACCCGGAAAGTTTGCTTGCGGCCCTCAACCTTCATGAGAATGAAATCTTCACCAGTAAAGATCTGTCGCATAGACATAAACATCTTCCAGATACCAACACTCATGGCCTGGACGGGTGCTTTGAAGAAACCCGGCCGCGGGTCCTGTGCTGAGCCAACCTTCTTGCTATCCCCCTCAAACCGCTGTTTCGAATCCTGCGAGACCACCAACCGCCGGGAAATGGAAACTTCCGATGGCAAAACCTCAAATTGGTAAGGCTTTGTGAAAGGAATCATGCGCCGCACCGCAAAACGAATGTGAGTCTGGTTGTTAGACTTGACGGCGGTGATACTCCGAACCAAATGGCCCGTTCTCACGAGGAACAGCGTACCCATGACACTCATTGTCACACAAATACCACCAAACAATCCCTTCTGCCAAACGGGGCGCTCAATTTGAGCATCGCGAAAAACGTCGTTGGAGTTGAACAGGGCATACGCGAAACAGAATGCCGACAGACCGTATGCGCTCATGATGTACGTGCGATGGGAGGGTGCCTTGAAGAGAACGACATCGCCTTCTCTTGCGACCTTAAGCGCTAGCCGGCCTATTGATCCCACCGGAACACTCGAGCCTGGGACGGCGTTTCGTGGGGATGGCTTTGCTCCACGAGCTGATCGCGGAGCGCTCGTTACAAATGAGCGCCATGTGGAGGCCACGTCTGCCTGGCAGCCGTTTCGAGCCGAAGCCCCGGCTAATCGGTGCCAAAACAGGCGGAAGGTAGGAGGTCTAGCAGCCATTATTATTGCGCGGCGTCTGCTGATGCTGGGGTCAGTACAACATTTAGAAAGTCATTCCGCAGAAGCGGGCCTTGTGGCCAATGCCAATCGATGGCAGATATCAAGCTCGAATGTACCTCATTGAACGAAGTAATCCACGAAAAGATAGAAAGCACTTACCAAAAGACCGATCAGTTCACCGTCGTTCTCCTCGGAAAGCACCGCGAGTCGAAAACAGCCGCTGCGGCAGAAAAATGTTCCCGACCCGGCCGCCGGTGAAGCTCCCAACGGCCTCAACACCGGCTTCATTTCCTTTCAATCCCTAAGCTCAACCTCTCAGACCAGACGAACCACATTACTTACTACGGGAACTAACGCGGCTAGCCGCGCTGGTGGACTTTCGGTCGATCTTGTCTTCTCTGTCGAAATTTCAGCTCCTCCGGAGAGTTGCGACCTCGCTTGAACCATCTCCGACAGTTCAAGTAACGAAACGACCTCCCCAAAAGTCACCGCAACTCACAATCAAAATGTCCGCTCGAATTCCCGTCACTAAGGCCTCGGCTATGTTCGCCCGCCGCCAGCCCCAGGTCATCCAAATCTCCAAGCGTAAGTCCACTCCACGGACAATGCGATCCACAACTCCGCAAAAGCAGAATATCCTTATCGGAATTCAATTGCTTAAGCAGCGCAGCTCTCACGTACCGGAAAATTAACGTAACTAACCTTACCAATGAATATAGGCATGCAATCTACCTCCGCTCCTCAATTCCACAATCCCGCCTACCCTCTCTACCCCTCCGTCAGCCAGCTCCTGCACCAAAAGAACATCCCCGAGTCCGAAGTTTCCAAGATCCCCGCTTCGGGACCCAAGGGCCGCCTCCTGAAGGGTGATGTCCTCGCCTACATCGGTCAGATCGCCGCCGAGTACCCAGCCACTCAAGCCGCTTCACTCGCCAAGCTGTCCTACCTCGACCTGAGCAACGTCAAGATCGCTGCGCCGGTCCCTCCCCCGCCGCGCAGGCCGCAGGGCAAGTTGAGGAACCAGTCATAGCTAAGCCCCCGCCCATGATCTCAATCGCAATCTCTGTTTCCCTTGCGGCCGTCTTGTCCGCCCAGAAGAAGATCCAGGATAACCTAGGGGTTACCGTTCCCCTCTCCAGGTTCCTGGCTGTGGCTACTGACCTCGCCAACGACGATCTGCCTCGCGCGAAGAACGACACTCCCTCTGCTGATGAGCTGTTTGAGGAGGTCCTTGGTGCCGAGCCCGTTACTATTTCGCGCGGTGACTACATCCCCGAGTTGAATGCTTATGAGGCTGAGGCATACCGCCCGGCAGCTCCTGTTGCCGAGGATATCATTGATATCCTGAGTGCCAAGCCTGGCAAGAAAGTTTCCTCCGTGGCACCCTCTGTTGAGAGCTCTGCTGGTGCTTCCAATGTCTTCAGCTTAATTGTTCCGGTTGGCGAGGAGGTGCGCGCCAAAGAGTTCCTGGAGCGGATTAAGACTCTTCTGCAGGTCGAGCCTGCTCGTCTGGTGCTTTAAAATGAGGTTTGATTGTTATCACATCTCTATGATCTTTTAGAGATTTTATATTTTATTTTAACATCTCCATTGCGTTCCGGAGATTCCGAGGCTCTTGTATTTAGTATAGCATAGGTAATTTGATACCGCCTGGGTCAGCTTTTAGTGAGTGTATTTCTACATCTAGATATTGAATCGATAGGTTTCATTTACACTACACATAGTCTACAGATATATTTCAAAAACAGGGTTAATTCAATAATCGAGGTATAGACCTCATGATATTTCATCCTAAAATGGCAGAACCCCTGCGCCAGACCGATGATATGGCATAACATTAGATCAAATCAAAGATAGAGCAGAAAGGCAAATCTGTCGGTGGAAAGAAGAGCAAGGGGAAAGTAGTGAGAAAGAAAGTAAGGATGGGGACATTTCATCATCAAAGGGCAAGTTGTAATAAGAAACAACCATCCTTCCTGACGCCAATGCCGGATACCGGCGACCCTTGAAACACCATGAGCGCCACCGCTTGGACTGAGAAGGGGAAAAAGTTGCGCCGGAGAGAAATAACCATGAAAGAGAGATAATAATCGGGTAGGGGATGGAACGCCGTAAGAACAAAAATAGTGGAGGGGCAAAGCTTTTCCACCGAGAAAAGGATGAAGCAGACTTGCAAATCACCACCGATACAGAGAAGCCGTGAACCAGGCCATAATGTAGTAGAGGCCGATGCAGAAATGTCCATGATCGAGATCAAATTTCCTTGATACCATGCAATGATAAACCCCGAGAATCAATGCCCAAGACCCAAACTCCATGTCGCATGCAGATGAAAATGGAAAGGCAAGACTAAGAAATCTATCGGATGGAGCCCCATTCCGATATCTTGCTACCCTCGCGCCGCGAGTCTCTGGTAGCTCGTTTGTCGAAAATCTTCCAGAATCTGAGTGTCTCATCGCCAGCACCAGTCACAACTGTTTGACCGTCTGGACTCATGGCAAGGTATAATACACGGAAAGTGTGACCTGTTAACGAGACGATTTGCTCCATGCGTGGATACTTCCAGATGACAATTTGATTCTGGCTGTATCCATGGGTGCTGATAATCTCATCCGAATTTTTGGACCAAGAAAGGTTGCAGACCTGGCTTCCAGTGTCCATCTCCTTGATCAGAGAGCCGGTTGACGTGTTCCAGAATTTGATTGTCCGATCCGCTGTACCTCCACCTGATGCAAGTAGGTGGTGTTGGTGAGGCGACCATGCAATGGCCTTCACAGCTGCGCAGTGATCCGAGAATCGATAAAGCGGTGTATCATGCAACTTGTCCCACACCATCAACTTGTTGTCATTGCCACCAGATGCCAATTGACCATCTTCGGTGTTCCACTTCAACCCGCAGACCTCTTGCTTGTGGCCAGACAATCGCTTGATCCACTGATCGGGGGAGCGGACATCACGATGGTAGATAAGACGATCACGAGACCCTGATGTGAGAATATGGTCATTCCATGCCAAAGCACCGACACGGTTGGTATGGCCAACCATCGTGCGCAATCGCCGGCAATGGTCGGCATCCCAGATCTGAACTAGACCCTTGCCTGTACCAATAGCGAGATGAGTGCCCTGCAGCAGGATATGATCAGCCATGCACATCACTCGGCCAGAAAATTGAAACACATATACATACCCTTTGAATCCAGTTCACGCTGGTGACAGTGTCGTCCTTGAGCTCGCAGAGTTTGGTCACGCGGCCAGATTGAGAGTTCCACATATACACCGAATTGGCCAATCCGACTCCCAGAACATTACTGCTGCCCCAGTCCACCAAATTCAGGTAGAAGTCGTCCTGTAGTTCGGGCGCATCTAGAACCTTGTAGGGAACCTTATTCACATAGCGGGGCTGCTTGCGTGGGGTTTCAAGAATCCGCTGACTATCATATCGGATAGGTGATAGGCTATACAAGTCAGAGCGGACATTTAGATTCGGTGCATGCGCACTGCGAGGAGTTTTCGAGGGTGTAGGGTGATTGGAGCCCGGACGACTTGGGCCATAGTTGAAAAGGTTTTTGTGTGGAGTTGAAGGAGTCATGCTGGCGGGTGGAAGGTTGGAGACAAGGGAAGGTGGTGTATGAGATCGAGTTTTGTCATTAATGCCGGTGCTGAATCCCATTAATGGATCAGGTGAGGCCGAATTTAGATCAGGTTGAGGAACGGTATTTCCGAATAGTTCACTGCGCAAGACCCGGGAGAAAGTCCGGTTTGCTTCTTCCGCTGTAGCATTGTTAGTGATCACTTCTACATTTGAAAGCCAGAATCACAAACTCTTTTGAAAGTGAAGCTCTGAGTGAGGGGCACGTCTCTTCGACTTTGATGGAGTTGAAGGGCACCCATCCTCATGGAGCAGACTGTATGTGGCCTGGAGGTCTTGTCCTTCGCGATTTGGTATAAAACTTGAATGACAGTCAGTTCATTGTCATTGTTTGAGGAGTTCGCGATGAGTGCATTCTCTCTCCAGGTCACTGGCGCTTGACTTACCGATCTCCATAGACCCGCTGTCTCTTTCGACATGGACTTGTTCCTGGTGTCCTCTCTCTTCCTTTTCCGCCCTCGTCGAAATCTTTGAGCGCCCTGGCCAGCGCATTTGGATCCACTGGCTCTGATCCGTCCTCCACCCGTACCCGTGGACCCCCAATGTTGTCTGGATACAAGATCGTTCTCTTTATCGGCATAGAGGGCGGGGTTTTCGAACCAGGAGGAGAAACAATATTTGCAGCTTGAACGTTTGAAGCTTGCGACCGGGTGTTGCCTGTTGTTGTTTTCCCAGCCCTCAGACCTGCTGCTGTATCCTGAGATCGATCCCCCATGGTGGCGGCTGATCCACAGGCCCCAGGTTCAGATCGCGCTGAATATTGACGGTGCTGGTTGTTCGCATGCGATGAGAAACTGATAGTGCTGATTGGTTGGCAATTCGAATGTGATGGGAGATGTTGCTATTTGAGGTGCGCTGGTTGCTGGGGCTTTGTGTTGATTTGTGATGAGGAAACCGGACCCAGCCACTGAAACGGGCGCTTCGACACAGGAATCAACCTGTGACCTTTGGACAACTTTGAATAGAACACAAAGACTCAAAGTCAATGACCACCCAGACAAAGAGGGCATTCAAAGAAAGGGACCAGGATAAGCGTTGGAACAGCATCCAAGGGCGACTTCACCTCATCCCTCTCCCGGTCACGCGTCGGGAACGCTATACCCGATTGGGATGGCTCTGGAATTCAACTTTGTTACGTCGATTTATTAGAGGAACACTACCGGTGTTTGAGTTCCTTCATAGATCTAATCCTTTCATTCCACGGATCCACTCAGATCGACGGTATCTTGGATTCTAATTTAGATTCAACATGTGTGATCTACAAATGTTCTATACAGCTGATTTCAGTTTGGGCGGGAACAGGGTGTTGACTCAAACGTGTTCCACCCCCTCTCTCTGCATAGTCTCAGACTTGTTTACATTCACGCGTGTGATGGTGGGTTCATTGGACTATGTCATAGGTTGAGAGTGGGGGGTTTGGGGAGGAATCAGACGCGAACCTATGAAACCCATCAACGCGTGAGAGCGCGTATGGGACGCGCTAGAGCTGTAAGCCACAGGTAAGATGCTGACTCTACCAATTATTTGGCTCACCGGAGAACTGAAAGTCAAATAATCCATAATCCATTCTTCAATGCAGGTGGGTCGATCTGAAATACCCTCTGTAGTTCTATGAATTCAATCTTGGGTGTGCACTGTTTACTTCGGAGGTCTTATCTATCGCACATGGTTCACCTGTCACCGCCAGCGGGAAAACCTTGCCCGCAGTTGGCACATCCCCACCACATCGACTCGAACTCGACTATGCGCTCCTCTGTTCTACCTATATTGACTCGTAATATCCGATCTTTTTCCACCATGGCTCAAGCATCCAAGGTTCCTGCCCAGCAGTTCCTAGACTTTGTCAATGCTTCCCCTACTCGTATGCTTTTTTATTGAACCCCTGGTTGTCGATCGTGGAGTTAACCGGGTCTAGCCTTCCACGCTGTGCAATCTGCCAAGGACCTTCTGGCCAAGGCTGGATTTCAGGAAATCAAGGTACTCCCCATTCCCCACAGATCCAATCTATATAGTGGAAACGCCGTTGGAACTTGTGCACTTACCTTGTCCGTAGGAAAAAGATTCCTGGGCCTCCACTTGCAAGCCCGGTGGCCGTTACTATCTGACTCGCAACACCACCACTCTTATCGCCTTTGCGATCGGTCAGAAATGGAAGGTTTGTATTGAAAATCTTGAAGCGTTTTCAATATAGCTAATCTGAACAATGAAAAATAGCCGGGCAATTCCATCGCTATGATTGGTGCCCACACTGACTCCCCTGTCCTGAAGGTCAAGCCTGTCAGCAAGAAGCAGGGTGAAGGTTATATTCAAGTTGGTGTTGAGTGCTATGGTGGTGGCATCTGGCACACCTGTATGTATAACTCATTGATTCTCTAAGAAAGTCGCTAACAATGACAGGGTTCGACCGTGACTTGGGTGTCGCTGGCCGGGTCATGACTCGTGACAGCAACGGATCCATTGTCCAGAAGCTAGTCAAGGTTGACCGTCCCAGTATGTGCTATTGATTCAAGCATTGGATCTTGGCTAATGTTTGGCAGTTCTTCGCATCCCCACTCTGGCTATTCACCTCGACCGCCAGGAGAACTTCTCCTTCAACAAGGAGACCCAACTCTTCCCCATTGCTGGCCTAATTGCCAAGGAGCTCAACCAGACCAGCGAGTCCAATGCCGAGACCAAGGAGGATGAATACGCCCCCTTGAAAACTGTCACTCAGCGTCACCACTCCCAATTTGTCAAGCTCATCGCGGCCGAGGCTGGAGTCACCCCCGAGGACATTTTGGACTTTGAGATCACTCTTTTCGATACCCAGAAGTCCTGCTTGGGTGGCATGAGTGAGGAGTTTATCTTCTCCCCCCGTTTGGACAACCTGAACAGCACTTACTGTGCTACTGCAGCTCTCACCGAGTCTGCTCCCTCTGAGAAGGCTCTCGAGAATGAAGAGGCCATCCGCCTGATTGCCCTGTTCGACCACGAGGAGATTGGTAGCCGTACCGCCCAGGGTGCGGACTCGAACATCCTCCCTTCCATCATCCGCCGTCTGTCGGTGCTTCCTTCATCTACCTCCTCCTCTGAAGACGTCTCGACCGCCTACGAGCAGACTCTTGCCACTTCCTTCCTGGTCTCTGCCGACATGGCCCACGCCATCAACCCGAACTACGCTCAAAAGTACGAATCTGACCACAAGCCCGAGATGAACAAGGGTTGTGTGATCAAGATCAACGCCAATGCCCGCTATGCGACCAATTCTCCCGGTATCGTTTTACTCCAGGAGATTGCCCGTAAGAAGGGCGAGCAGGACAGTCTGCCTGTTCCCCTGCAGCTGTTTGTCGTCCGCAACGACTCGAGCTGCGGTAGCACGATTGGACCTATGCTGTCTGCTGCTCTGGGTGCCCGTACTCTGGATCTGGGTAACCCCCAGCTGAGCATGCACAGCATTCGTGAGACTGGTGGTACTTTCGATGTTGACCACGCCATTCGCCTCTTCACCGGATTCTTTGAGCACTACTCGGAGTTGGCCCCGAAGATCTTCGTGGACTAAGTTTACAGTCTGCAAGTATAGTCTGTAATAAAGCCCGTCAAGAATATGCATATGAAGCAAATGAAATGAAGTACATTCTTTAATCCCACAAATAAATACCCTTCTGCATACATAGGTATACTTTAGCTCTTTTGATGACACGAGTATAGAAAGCACGTGGTGGTCGGCCCGGGATAACTCCGCCTCTCCCTAAATCGACTCCACACCTTATCACAGCACTGGACACCCGATTGCAGAGCAGTGTCCATGCCCCCATGACCCTCTATGACAGACGTCGATGTCTTCCGCGATGCAGAGTACATCGCTGACGTGTCAAGGATATCCCTTCTCGATGACGCGGAGAGCGATTCAGCAGCCGGAAATGGTCCACCCAGCGCCCAGGACCGCAGTCGCGTAAGGAAAGCCCAGTCCACAGCGAAAATCGCCTTCATCGACCGGTTACTTCGGGACCTGGACATTCTCATTTACTGCCAATTGTCAGCACTGTATTATATGGAGTGAGTCTAGCCCTTGACCATATTTGATGGCTGGGCTGGGGGGATCGATCGCGATTCAGTCCCGGTAGCTGGCTAGCTAGCTATTACCCCAGCTTTCATCATCAAACCCCACATTTGCTAATGCGCTTTGTAACTTTTCAGCTGCTCTATTGTTCTGTTTGCTATTCGTGCCTTTGTCGAACTCATCTTCTTCACGCCTAAAGCCGCGCCCTTCGAACCTACGCGAAATCAACCGTTCGTGACAGCTATTATCGGCAGCAACCTGCTCTGCATCCTCTTTCATGCCTTCATTATAAACCCCGAAGCTGGCGAAGCTACTCGCGGCTATCTACATGGCGGGGTATTTATCGATTTCATCGGACAGAAACCCGTCCCCGTCTTTCGACTCATATCCTTCGATATCCTGATCTTCCTTGTCGACTTTCTCATGCTAGGATTGATTATTGAGCGAGTAAAGACGACTGCTCTGAGTTCCCCTTCAACAACAACAACAACCACCACCACCACGACCGCTTCTTCAACGAATGTCGACGCAGGTACAGAGACGGCAGAGCCTGATCAGACGGAGGGACAAGATCACGATGCAGAGGAGCGGGGAGTTATACGAGGAACCGAAGAGGCAAATGATGACAATATCTCTACAACTCCACCAGTTATTGAAATTGATGATGTGAATGACGAACGGACGACACTCCTCGCGGATCCTGAAGACAATGCTGCAAGTCGGGACAGTCACCCTCTTGACTCGTTTTCTTCGGGCGTGGCTGTTATAATGGAAATGGGGTTCTTTACCACAATACGAAACCAATGGGTATACTCGACTAGACCGCAGCGGCCCACGGGTTATGTGCCATCGTCTGAGACGGCTACATTCCTTCGACAGCGTTTCGGGCTGCAAGTTGGGGCGGATGGCCGGATCGTTCGAGTGAATGCATAGACTTGCAGATTATACGAATGTATTTTAGTCATCATGGAAAGATCTATAATGCCTTGCCCATACAACTATCTCGGTGCTGGCTACCGAGTACGAATGAAAGACACATATCAAGATTCGGAACTCCTAATCCTTCCAGTGCATAAACAGTAGAGAAATGGTGCAAACAAATGAGTAGTCATGATAATACAAAAAGACCAATTGGAAACAACCCCCACAACCTTGGAAAACTTGAGAAAACAAAGCACAGACCGGGTATTTAGCTCTCACAGACTATCCAAGTGGTATAAGACCCTATTCAAGTCAGCATCTCATGCTCACTTCTCCTCTGGCTTGACACGACGATCCAGGATCTCATCAATAATGCCAAGCTCCTTGGCCTCCTCCGCACCCATGAAATAATCTCGCTCCATCAGCTTCTCGATATCATCAAGTTCAAGCTTCTTCGGACCATTCAAATGGCGCTTATAAATGTTGTTAAGCTGTGCCCGAATGCGCAGGATCTCCTTCGCATGGATAGCGATATCAGTCGCTTGACCGTGGTATCCACCGGAAGGTTGGTGTACCATGATAGACGAGTGGGGGAGACAAAAGCGCTTGCCGGGCGCGCCACCGGCGAGGAGGAGGGAGCCCATGGAGGCGGCTTGGCCGACGCAAATTGTGTTCACGGGGGCGGCGATGTAGGTCATTGTATCGTAAATTGCCAGACCTAAAGGCACGTACGTCAGTTGAAACTGAAGATCGGAGCTAGAAAAAAAGGTGTATGAGGGTGACAAGTATCACATACCAGCTGTCACAGAGCCGCCGGGAGAATTGATGTAGAGATGAATAGGCTTTTTGGGGTTATCGGCTTCGAGGAAGAGGAGCTGCGCGACAATTGATGCGGATGCAACGTCATTCACTTCTCCATTGAGACAGACAATGCGCTCCTTGAGGAGCTTGGAGAAGATATCGTCTAGATTGTGCATCAAAGTGTTAGCCAGGCCAGTCCGGGCTAGAATGGGCAATGGGACTGGGGAGTGTGGGGTCTTAATCCGACGTACAGGTGTGCCAGCCACCAGCCTATAGAACTTTAGTATTGGTAAGAATATTCAAGCTTGCTTGAAAAGAGGGACATACAACAGTCTCGGTGACAATGGGCATTGGTGTCCAACTCCGCGGGGGTGAGTAGTCCATTGAGGACCCAGAGCTTGTGAAGGCTCGGGCACCAACAACACGCGCAAGAGCGGGAACGGAGAAGAGAGAGGCCTGGCGACCCAGTCGCTGGAATATGGGGAGACCGGTGCGCATCATTGTGCCGGATTGTGAGGGTGAATGCGGAGGTGTGGGAGTTGGAGAAGATGAAATGAGATGGCGGAGCTGTCGAGCGTTAAAGTTGATAACGATAAGCTCCAGCCACCGTTGCTCCACTCTTAAGTATACTGTAGTTAAGCCAATTGCTCTGTATAACTTCCAAAGTATACCAGGTAGTTGCCACATTTACATGACAGATTCTGCAGCTTACCATGCTTTGGAATTACTCGATTGATGTTGAACTCAAAATCTTTGACCTATAGCAAAGCAGCTACCCAGATAATTGTTAGTAGTCACCTCGTGGCATGCCTGCCTGAAACTGAGGCCTAAGGCTTGAAATGTCCTGCAAGTTGTGTTGTCTTGAGCCTATGGAGTCTGCAATATAGCTATTAGTAATATGAGAAAACCGTATTTACATCACCTGAAAGATCTTTGGTGATGTCGACCCGCATATCGATCTCACTTGATTGTCTCCGAAGCGACTCCGCAAATAGCGAGCTCTGATTGGCAAAATTCCGACGGGCCATGGGAACGCCGCAACAAAAGTGAACCTCCTCCTGACAACCACCAACATGGATTGCGCCAGCCACCGAATCCCGCTTGGGATATGGCGCCTTCGTATATACCATCAGCTTTTATCTACATCTCAACGATCCCAACCTCATCGCTCCTTTTCATCGAAAACACGCCAGAACCAGTCCCAAGATGGGGCCTCAATTCCCCCATCACAGCGCCTACCACAATCGCCTCTCCTCACCCGTCTCAGCCCAGGTTCAAATCAGAAACCCGACCCAAAACTTATGCCTGAAAAGGCAGGCCTTGAACCGCTCGCCAAAAACCCCTGGGCACTAGCTCTAGCGTCGCCGATGAGAACATGTTCTCTATCGGGAGCAAGGATGCCACGCGCCCTTATGGGAGAATGGGGGCTAGTGCGGAAGCCGAACACGGAAGAAATGTATCTTTTACCTGTTGATCTGCTCAGGGAGTCACTGGAAGGACGCAATACAAAAGGCCAAAACCAGAGTCAAAATGCAGCTGCAGCTGAAGACAACAGTCCCATGAAGGCTCGGAAAGAAAAGTTTGGTCGCCAGCTGGTATTCCTGATGACCAATTTTATGTCATCTTTACGAGCCATATCCAAACCACTCGGGAAAACCGGCGGCAAGAAGCCGGCTGTTTCGAGGCTTATACCTTTCCGGTGGAAGCATCCTCAAGGGCCTATCACAGCGCGCGAGGAAAGGCAACTGGTTTGGATGGATAATATGCCAGAATACATGCTGCGGCATATGAGAAGTAAGGTGGTCAAGCAGCTTGTAGCGGCTTGCCTAAAATCAAACCACCTTGGCGCTGCGAATCGGGTTTGGAGTGCTATTGAGATGCAAGTTTATTCGCACTCGGCCTTGTCGGAGGCTTTGGACCGACTAGAGCCAATGGAACAGATGGAATGTGGCGCGGTCATTTTACTAGGAGGCCACAAAAATGAAAATAGCAGCGGGTCTTTCCCAAAGTCTGTTATCCTTTCCCAGAATCAAAGAGGGGTTCCTGTGTTTGACCTTTCGACTCTGTTATCGCACTCGGACTTAGCGAAGCTGCGAGAAGCTGTCCCGCACTTTCATCAGTCGGCATTGTTTTTCAGACCGAATAACAAGGCCGTGAGTGAGTTGATGTTGTCGCTGTGGAAATTGAAGCAATTCCTTGAGAATGACAAGGGATTTGAGGGAGTTTAGACAATATGGAAAATGATCTTTGTCACATTTATAATACACACTACCTCGCTTCTATTCATCTAGTCGTGCATCGAAATTGACCCCGGGGCCCTGGATGCTCTTGTTGTACCTGCATTGACATACTACCGACTTGCATTATTTCTTACAAATTAAATGGATGAATGTCGCTGGAGCTAAATTCTAACGTTCTGACCATCGTATTTGCATTGAACGGAAGCCTATGCACAGATTGCCACCAGTCAACCATTCTATTCCTCACAGGCCCTCACAGGCCGTAGAGTGCCGCAAAAGGATCCAGATCAGGATCCTCCCACCGTGAATACTCTATTCTATCCGCAATATCCTTCGCCGTCTCCGGGCCAAAAACCGCCTCAATCCAAGCAAGCGTAACATCAATCCCAGCACTGACACCCGAAGAAGTCCAGATATTTCCATCATTCACCCATCTCGCATGCGGCTTCCAAGTAACCAAATCACCCATAGCCGTAGTTTCAGCCCATGCCCGCTTATTCGTCGTCGCGCGCTTTCCATCCAAAACCCCAGCGCGCGCTGCAAGTCCAGATCCAGTACAGACAGTAATCAAGTACTGGAGGGACGGATAGACGTCCCGAATGAACGTGACAACTTCCTGTACCAACGGGCTAAGCTCACGTGCACCGATCCCACCGGGAACGAGCAGGACGTCGAGTTCCGGTGCAGCCGCATAGGTATGCGTTGGCACAACGCTTTGGCCGATTGAATTAGGGAATTCGGGTAAAAATGTCGAGACTGGCTCCAGAGTTGACGAAATCAGAGCGAGTGTAAAATTCTCTGATTTCGAGAGGGTGTTTAGGCAGTCCAATGGGCCGAATACATCCAGAGCCTGGAATCCTGGATATAAAGCCACGCCGATACGGAGAGGCGGGGTTGATTGATCTGTTTCCTGCTTAATATCTTGTCTTGGATAACGTGGGGAATGCGGTAATTGGGAGAATGAACTTACCTGTCATGATTGGATGCAGTCTGAGATCTTTGGCAGGGTTGTAGCGAGAAGGTGAGAGCCGCTGAGTGAGAAAGAGGGGGGGAGGGTTGATCGTACGATTGCGATCTCACTGAGTCCTCATTGGCCCCCGGCTCCTTCGCTCAACGCTCCGCCGGGATAGGTTTGGTACAAAATATTGGGAGGAATTTTTAGATGTCCCTTTGATGAATTGTTCTCAGTTTCCAGGGATTTTCTCATTCATTCTCTCCATCACTAGCCACAGTACATGTCTCCGGGTACAGCCGTGTCGATCAACCCCACCAACGTGCTCCACTTAGTCCACTCTGCTTTACAAAGTTGGACATGTTCTAATCTGAGAGTTTACGGTATTCAAATATTTCCATCTGACATTTGCTTTACCATCTCAAACTCATGTTTCTTCAAATAATCAAATATGAACAAAGAAACTGACCGGGGGAGAAGCTCCGAGTATGCTTTCTTTGATAGAATCCAGGTGCTGAAATGAAACAAGTCTACCTCAATAAATAAAAATCAATCATTGAGCTATGCCTATTCAAATACTAAGTGTTCTAAATCTGTAGATCAGGCAAAATGAACTCACTGTTGGAAACATTGTCTATGAGGTAAGCTTTGTTGTCAAGATAATATTCATCTAAGAATCTGTTCTTAGAAAAGACTGTTTCGACTTCTTCACCTCTCACTCTTCACATCTGCCACATCAAGCATTATGCGCTTCTTCAAATGCTTGTTGAAATGGACTGGCCTGTCTTGGTTTGCAGACCTCTTCAAATGGTCTGGTCCGTTCTATCAGCTGAAAAGGTTGATTGGACAACCAGCACCCGCCCCCTTCCCAGCCGCGACAAGCGGGTTCGAAATCGTCGATGACTCGGTAGTGCTAGAAGAAGGAAGGTTCGACCGCTTTCTCAATGGCTTGTATTATCCCGTGAAGATCGGAGATGTCCTCAATGACCGATACACGATCATAGGTAAACTTGGCTATGGTCTCAATTCGACTGTCTGGCTTGCCGGAGATCTAAAGTAAGTCAGCGCGCTCAGATTTCCAGTTCTAAGGCCTACTGGATCATCGGAGTTCGTTTCGACAAAGGCGGCCCAGGAACCACCGAACGCGGCGGTGATCTCTTCTTTCTTCCATCCGTCGGCTTTAACAACCTCAACGCCCAGGGCAACAATATCCCGAGCTGCGTTAGAACCAGGGTCTCGTGTGAGACCTCTGATCTGGAATGAGGGGTTCTGCACCAGAAAGCGGATCACAGAGCTACCTTGCTTTCCAGTTGCCCCAAACACAGTGACAAGCTTGGTAGGACAGTCGTTGGAACCCATGATGAGTGAAAATGTATATTAAACAGGGATGAGTCGGGTTGAGAGATTCGCTAAGGAAAATGGTAAATGTAAAGTGTCAACCAGGCTGCCTCTTTCAAAGCCAGAAGAGAGTGTGACCTAAAGATATAGTCCTGAGTTTAAAGAATAGAGATCTTAGCTGTGTAATATCTTGGACATAATGCAAGGGCAGGTCAAAAGATTTGAGCTTCAGCTGATTTTATGCCTTCCCAGCTCCGAGACGCAATAAATGTAAGTTATCTCACGCCTCTGTGTGACATCCATGTTGATGCAAAGATCATCGGCAGGAGAACGACTGCTCGGGTCTGCAGGACTAATACATGGCGGAGGCAACCATATATGGCTAATTACAACACAATTCCGCTGTAGTAATGGAATGATAATGTACGCAGTGTAAGCCTTGGCTGTGAATGAATCTTACCCGAAGGCTGTTCCTTCCTTGCTACGTTGGAATAATATGCTTGCTTCAGAAAGAAGTCGACGGGGTCCTTAAAACAGAGATTCATGTCGGTAGCTGATACACCGATTGTGAAAGGGCCTTTCCCGCTAAATGTCATTTTAGTTCACGTTTGGGAAACCCTTAGTATTATGTAGTACAGCATTGCGCTATCTAGTCGCACCCAATATGGGATGCACTGTGATCATTTGCTGCAGAAGGTAAATCCAAAGCAAAAAAAAAAAGAAAAGATCAATGAAAGAAAGCTAGATATATTCGTTGTGATAAAAAGAAAAGAAGAAAAGAAATGGAAAAGTTTAGGGTCCAGGGAGGAAGCAAAGATGGTTTTGTACGGGCCGATAGCAAAGGCCAACACGAAGCACAAGGATACGTATGTAGTACTGTAGAAGTGCGGCAAGGAAAGAAGGAAATGATCTACGCAAGATGAAGCCTAAGTAGTGCAGGACGGAAGGTACTAGTCCTAATCAGGACGTCAAAAGGTTTATATTAAATAAAAGCAATGGAGATCTACAGAGAAACAAAAATGATCTGTACCAAATACGCTTCCGATCTTACTATTCCTGATACTTGGCCAAAGATCATCTCCAAGCTATTGTCTTTTGTGAAACCTCCTAGACCCAGGATAAAAAGTCAAAAGTCAAAAAAGTATACACAACCTACCTATAGGCAGTGTCTGTGTCTCGGATATTGAAAAAGCATTTGAATTTGTGGACCATTCCTTGAGTATCCTGAGTCAAGTTGGCGAGCTTTGTTATTCTTTCAATATAAGTATTGCTTCTGGGGAATATAAAATGCTTGAAAGGTTCAGACATCCTTCGGTTCTAACCAAGCTTCGAACAAAGAGCCAAGAATGGAAGCTCATCAGGTTCTTCATATTTCCGTCTATCTCTACCTCTATCGGTTTGCGCTTCCCTCTTTCGTTATGCTGAGTTGGCGTACGATCAATGGCTGGAGCGTCTTCGATCCCAAGATGACAGTGAACCTCTCCAACCTCTTCTCCCCATGCTAGAGGAGAAGGTTTATGAAGGGCGGTCCCGATGGCAAATGTATGAACATATGCCCGTCTACGGAACCGAAAACACACAAAGACATGTCGCAGACGATCCTACCCTTGCCAAATGTCCCGAGCTGGATGTTACATTACTGCGAAAATTCTTGGTCAAGCTCAAGCTCATTTAGACGCAAAGTGTGTATTGTATTGAAGTACAGATTAATATCAAAGAATGGCTAATAAAGGCTAGATTGTGGATCTTTTACAGTATATTATCGTGGACTTGATTCAGTCTTGTTGACTCGTTTACAATTTTAGCCAAATAGTAATAGCGTATTCAAACCCCCGAATTCGAATCATAAGAATATCAATATTGTCAAGCCTACCATGATACCTCATAGACCCTCTACCTCCTAAAAGGGTCACATGAGAAGATGTTTTCAGTCGGCTATTCTTTAAGTTCTTTTTGCTGCCGAAATGTAGTTCTAATATAACAATAGGCTTTGACGCTATAGTCATGCGCATTTGTGGTGTAGCATTGTGGACGTGCTTCAAGCTAGATTCCTGAAGAGTGTATATGTAAATAAATCTAAAATGAATAATCCAGAGCAAATGACGAAATAATTTATCAGTTAAATCCGCGGGAAATCTGATTGTAAACCATTTCCGGGCTTTCAAGAGGGATTAAATGCTTCGCGTTCTCGGCACCATTGGCACTGATGATATCAACCCCACATTTCTCCAGAAAAGGAACCACCTCACCCATCACTCGCTCCTTCGGTTCAACAGGGTCATTTCCGCCATAGATCACCACCGCTTTAAGCGGCGAGTCCGCACGGCGTGCTTGTCCCAGCGCACCTCTCACAAGCTCGGAAACATCCTCCTGCATCGCATAACCAGGCCAGGATTTCTTGGCCAAAGGATGCCCTTTCAAGCTGCCACGAACCACCAAGTCCGCATCAGAGGCTGAAAGCATACCCTCCTGGGCGAGATCATGTGCCATAGCACCCCGGACATGCGCCTCACAGTCATACGCAGCCTGCCGCATCTTGATAATGTCGGGAGGCAGGATCATCGGGGTGACTGGTGCTGGTGCAATCAGGACGAACCCCTTGAGCTCAGGGAATAGCTGATGCAGGTTACTCGCAGTTGCGAGGGCAACCTTCGCCCCCATGGAGTGTCCAACTAGAATGAAACCGTGGTCAAACATACCCTTCGTATCCGCGTCGGACTTCATTCTCTGCAAGACTGTGCCTACATCGAAGGCCATCGCTTTGATAGAAAATGCCTGGGCAGAATCAACTGCCATGCTAGACGGTAGTTGACTCGACTCTCCCCAGCCGCGAAGGTCAATTGCAACGGTGGGATAGATGGCGCTAAGTGATGTCGGTGAGTCCAGCTCGGTGAGCCTATGCCAGGTCTCCGTTGAGCCTCCCCAGTAGTGGAGGAGGACCAGAAGGGGCTTGCGCTCTTTACCTGGACAGGGCCAGGTTCGTGCATTGATCCAGCATTCAGGAGCTGTTTCAAATTTCTTGGAGAACTCCATTGTAGTTCAAGGTGGTTTTAGAGCGTTGAGGACTGTAAAAGAGGAGGAAGATTGATTGGAGAATGTGTTCTTTGGGTATCTGACGGAATATTGCTGGTCTTTTATACCTCGCAATTTTGGGAATTTTAGGGTACGGTGAAACTCCGCGGAATTTCACGCAAAAGTCCGACGCTGATACAACTTACACACAGTCTTTGCCGCCTGAACGTCAACTTCCAACTTACATGATTAGTTTTCATGCGACAGGAGTCCAGGCGCATATTGTTCTTGACTGGATCTCCACAATTTTCCCAAAATTGGGCTGATCTAGGTAGACATCACTCTAGTCTTTTTCTATTATTGAGGTATCGAGCAGGGCATAGTCAGCAGAATAGTAAATATGTATTCCCAAAGTCTATTCATCAAGTCTTTACACGTATATCAATAATCCGATTCTAATAGATCAGACAGTTTATCCAAGTACGCATGAGGCCGCACAGGACCAGACACAAAGTCCTCCTTCGAGCTCACGCCAGTCAAAACACCAAGCGTTCCACCAAGCTTACCCTCCAAGCCGAACCGAATATCCGTGTTGGCACGATCTCCAACCATGCAAGCACGGCTACGATCAAACTTGAACTTGCCCTCGATGGCATCCATCATCGCCTGACTCGGTTTACCAAGCGCAGTAGGCTCCTGTCCGAGCATCATAATCAGTGGCGCACTCATCGATCCCGCACCAGGGAACAGAGCGCCGGAACTCGGTAGTGTCGAATCGATGTTGGTAGCGAGGAAGATTGCACCACGCTTGACATAGTGGTAAGCCAGCGCATGCTTCAGGTAGTTGATGTGGAAATCCAGACCAACGAGCACAACGCCGACCTCTGGGTCCAGGATGGATTCGTCACCCGCAGCAACGAGCTTGTAATCCTCTGGTGTAATCTCGCGGCGGTATGCGGGGTCTGTACCGCCGATGAAGGGCACATTCTCGGAGCGTAGCTCTTGCTCAATACCGGTTTCACCAATGACAAAGACTTTGCGCTTATTCTCCGGAAGTTGCAGGATGCGCGAGATGTAGATGGAAGAGCTGTACGACGAGGAAAAGATCTCTTCCTGTTGGATGTGTGAGTCATCTTGGTAGATAATTCTGGAGGGTGTTCCAACTAACCACTGTGCTGGGAATTCCGAGAGCTTCAAGTTTCTTGCGGTAGTCTGCGCGGGACTTGGTGCTGTTGTTTGTCACGAATACCACTTGCTTGCCTGCGACGGGTGTCAACCTCCGGTGTATGCTGGCCAGACAGGGTACCCACCATTCTTTCGTAGTAATTCGAGAGTCTCGACTGTGCCAGGGAAGCAGTGGTCGCCAGACCAGAGCACACCTAGATTGCCATTTGTGTCTTAGTCATTGTTGCGACAAGCGGTCTCGGGTTGCGCGTGAGCAATCAAGGGCGGGGAGAAGGCCGGGGTCCGAGAGGCAGGAACATACCATCGCAATCGAAGAGGAAGACCTAAGGAATCATTGTGTCAGTCAATTGAATCCCATGGAGACCCTACGCCCAGGATCATAACGAGGTGCTCACATCAAACTTGTCGAGGAATTCGCGGAGACCGGCCTTGTCTCCGGTCAAATAGCGGGGTACGGTAGACTGCGACTGTGACTGCGCCATGGTTGTGGAAATGCGAGCAAAGGAATCGCGAGAAAGAGATGCGCAAGACGAGAGACAACGAGGAGAAAAAACAGAAGATAGAAGGGAGAGTCTGACTAAATTCACGATCGTGTACGACCCGAACCGACTCGCCGGTGACTCGCCGATCGCGTGGGGCAACCGTGGGGCTAATGGTTTCCCTACTGTATATACATCCAACGTCATCCTCGATGTATGCAGTCTTTACTTTCTCTCCATTACCCTGAAATATAAGTGTACAACCTCCGCCAAAATAAAGCGCTGTACACACAACGGTTCCAGTGGCTCAGGTTCTACATCGCGTTCCTTCAGCGACATTTCCGGGCTCCAAAGCAAGAAAGACATCATGAACAGCCTCATCGAACCCACCAAGATTGTAATAACCTTCCCAGAATCATACCATTTGTTGCCATTTGGACTTACTGGCAGCGAAAGCAGCTCACCAATAATATTATGAATATTCCCAGAGTCAGACGAGCCCATATCATCACACTTATAGATCGACCCAACCATCAACAAGCGTAATGTAATAGGCGAAAGTGCCAATAGGTGAATAGGCTTCGGACGTTTATATACCACTTTTTATATGCCACTAACTTAATCGAGAATTATCAGTTATACAATGTCAATGTATATTGAATGCCCTTGGCGCCCACAATAAGTGTCAAGTAAGTCGTACAATCATAGTCGAAACATCCTGTTGCATGCCCTTCGATATATCAGGGTCTAGGAGACTTTTCATTGAAAGCAGCGAAAAGAGCCCTGGTAGCAGCTAGATTCGCCGTACTACCAAGCTGATGCCCTTGCGATTCTGCTAGTTTGTCATGGTACAAACTTCTAATATCCTCACAAACCGTCCAAATCCGCCTGCGATTCACAAGTCCAGGGATGTAATCCACCATCTCTTTGTTATATCGACTCTTTTTTTCAACTTCCTCAAATATCTTAGAAAGTCCGGCCTCCATCGCCTGTGACTTGAACGGGTCAATATCATGGACTTCCCAAAGCCAAGGCATGTCAGTTTCCAGCTTTTGTTTCCAAGACATGTACGGACAAGTATGCATTGAATATGATGCAGCCTTGACAGCCAGAATGGATGCGATTGGGAGGAGGTTGAATATGTTTTGACAAAGTTCAAAGGGTAGCTTGTCGAATATGTCGTATCTGTCTTGTACAGTCCTAGACTCGGTCCTAGACTCGGTCCCTTCCTTTTCAGCTTCCCCAAGGAGTTCTGGGATTACTCTCAGGTGGACCGCTAGTTGAGGTATGTCGACGGGATGCGTCACCAGGACCTGTTTCAATCTCTAAGCAAGACATCGCTTCCATTATGTAGGAAATGAATTACCTCTTCGCCCTTGTTGCATTCCCAATATTGCTCGTAGGGCGGAAAGGGATCACCGTAGTCCAACGCCAACGCATTATGTCGATCTTGCCTCATCTCTTCGCAGAGAGCATAAAGGACGTCTGCATTTATCTTTTCATTTTTGAAACATCGGAGGAGGATTTCCTTATAGCAGACTTCATGAAAAGGGAAGACAATTAGGCTTTCCTGGGTAAAATCATGGTATCTAGAGAGAAAGTTAGTACCGTGTCTATCGGAATGGAACGAAATGAAACATACGCGTACAAGCCAGATACATTGCCTCTTTCATCAAGGGGAACGTTAGGATCTATATAAGGTCAGACGAGACATAAGACATAGAATTGTAGGTCTAAACAAACCGTCGCCTTGAGCTACATCGATATAACCCTGGAAATGTTTGTTAAGATAAACAGCTATTACTCATAATCAAGTAATGACTTACAGCATCTGCATAACTGCCTTGGCTTGTGATAAAAGATCTATACTTGTTAGGATTAACATGGGGAGTCATTAAACATATACGTTACTGACTTTCTTTCTCCAGAGATATTAGGATTGATACCAAGAGCGCAGAGCCTTTCTAGCCACTTAAGATCACTATCTCCAATGACTTCTCCGCTATACGTTGCATCAGTCTCGTCATCGGAATCAATAGAGACCCTGCTGTCGAATGTCGAGCCACATATCGCGCAATACACATCCCAACCGCCCATATTCGAGGTGGGCTTGGGGTAAGAATGGAGGAAGCGTTGAAGTGTTGATTGTTGATCTTGACAAAGTTCAATGGAAAAGTTGGCCTAAGATGTAGGCTGCCATGGCCCATGGAAGGGAGGCATTAAAGTTTTTCTAATCCCACAATGGCTTAGTGTGCGCGGTACCTCGTATTCTGAAGCGGGTTCATAATTCGACAGCTCAACAAACCTCAATCAGAATCAGCGTAGTAATTATCATCTACATAGAATGCAGCTTAATTCCTTACGCATGACATAAATATGTAACATACTGCAGAACATCCTGTATACCCGCACTCAATTGGACTTACAAGATAACACTTCAATCGACGCTATCTTTGGGCCAATGACCTCGGGAAACTAGTTATGACCCGCGGGTGTGACCGCCCAGAAATTACAACGGCTATCCGAACACACACGCACATACCTCAACAAACAATTAGTGATATGTATGACCAAAATTTTTGCTTGTTCTTTGATACCTGAGAGAACGAGTGGTTTTTTATTGGAATTGCAATTACGTGCTAGTCCATATCTGGGTGATCGTGGTGTTAGGTAAATGGCTGCCTAGTGCCGTCGAACTAATAATCTCCTTAAACCCCCATCTCTGCTACTCTGTACACTGACTACTCATAGGTAAAACACCTCAGGAGGAAGAGGAAAATATTGGTATTGATTTCATTAAGGATGGATGTGATTAATCGCATGTTGAATACGAACCTTTAAACATCGATAGTCATAGTAGGGACGGGCGACACAAAATGCATGTACTGCATGTTGGATGCAATCCATCAGAAAAGTTCCCAGTCACTAGAGCTCCCTTAACATAAACATATTATCATCTCCGTAAGCCCTCACGATAAACAAAAACCTAGCGGCACCATTTCTGCCACAAACATCCTTGTCGAACAGCATAGCAGTGAGGACATCCATTATTTCCACGACAGTTCGCAATCGTCCCGCAGAACTGGTAGCACCGAGAGGCCCGCTTGTCGAAGATGGTGGCGTCCCTGGTCAACAGAGTCCCATCGCGTGGGCAGGCGGCCGAACTCCTCTTTTCAACGGTCGAGTCGTCAACAGTCTCGTTTGAGTCCGTGGCTGGCTGAAGAACGTCTTGAGCAAGCTCATTCTCTTGGGAGAAGTATTGGTTTGCAGTGTCACTGGGAGTGAAGGATTCGGAAATGGCAAGATCGTTGGATGGGTGCTCGTAGACGTCGATCTTCACTCGGCTGTTTTCGAGGTACATATCCATGAAGTGGGTATCCTGCAAGAGAGATAAGAAGGCATCGTAGCGGTCAAGCTCATCCTCGTGGATAGCGGACCGAGGGGAGAGGGCCATGGCACATGCTGCGAAAGACATGGCGATGAAGAGTGCACGGAGAAGAGTTTGGGACAACATTGGTGGTTTGTTGACTTGTTGACTTATTGTCATGTGATATTGTTTATATAGCACGACTGGGGTGGAAAGGCTCAACGCTTTCAAGGTTGTTCCTTAATATTGATTCCTGACATGATGATCCAGGGGTTTGAAAGTACTCATGGCATTTATAGGTCTTTTCGAGATTGTCAGATCATGAAGAATTTGTCGGCTGAATCGATCCTTGCTATTGCACTACATCAGACCATCTGGTGTGGTAAATTCCACAAGAAAGCAGTCCTCTGTAACTAGGTAGCTTATATCACGTAAGCTCTAGGACCGACGAACGCCACCCTTTATGCTTAGTAGGTTAGCAACTAAAGCTATGACGAGGTAGTCTCTCCGGGTAGACAAATTCTCCAGCATTTTCGACTAAATACAGCAAGAAAAGGAAGAATAGAACACCCAAAAATATCGATTCTCTGTGGGAATCTACAGCTCGGAGGATCTTTGTATGGTTTGAAGGACAAACCTTGGGGACCGAAACCGACTTCAGGGTCCTGGCTGACAGGCAAACAGAAGCAATAGCCTCGATTCAGAGAAGCGAAAGACGACAAGGGTCTTTCTCATAATGCAACATCAACCTGTAGTCTGACATGCTTTCAAGCGGCCGGTGATCCTGGCGAGTTCAGCAAAGGTGGAATTAGGCAATAGCAGCGTGAATTGGGGGGTGTGTCAAGTATGTAGCCTCGATGGGAATTGACAAAATCTGAGACAACTGTCAGGCTAGACAAGGCTTTAGCCAAATACCGCCATTTATTGGGACCTGGTCGTATGATTGATGTAACCTTAACTTGACCGCTAGGCTACCACAGTTTCATTCTCTTCTTTATTTCCAGCCACCAAAAGTCAAAGCTACCTGACAGACTCGACCTAGATCTAGAGCAAGGATGTAGTTTCGGTTCTAGATGGAAATTCAAAAGCCCGGTGATAGCCGTTATAACAATGTAACTCTAACAAACAATTTCGTTGGATAGCTCCCAGTGGGAGAAAGGAAGTATTGATTCTCACAAAAATGAACGAAAGAAGGTAATCATTCATGACATGGGTGAACGTAACGAAGTGAATATCGACAGTGTGGGTATTTCAGCATTAATAAACATAAACATAGACAAAAAACCATCCCGCTCAAGTCAGTCAATATTCCGTATATTTATTTTTGATCAAATCCGATGCCCTCTCAGCTACAGCATAGATGGTACTTGTGAGATGGCCACAAAGCTGGAATGGCAAAACCGACGCATCGACAACGCGGACATTCTTGGTTCCATAAACTTTGAGTTGGGGGTCAACGACGCCACCTTTTGGTCGGGGGGAGCATGCTGGCGGTGCCGACAGGGTGGAAGTTTGATCGATCTAGGGTCTTGTAAGCAGGCTATTCGGGGAAACGTGGACAGAGTAAGACAAGACAAGAGCGTACTTACAGGTATCCTTGATCCAATCTGTCCATTCAGACTCCGGCGCATTGTTGGGCAGCAGATCCATGCCAGGCTCATACTCCGCTGTCACAAGATCACTCAAAGGCGCAGTATTGAATGCGTTTCGAATATACCAAGCAACTTCAGCCTGAGCAATAATGTCTTGGTCAAACATGAAGTAGTTCGGGTTGATAGAAGCAGATTTCGAAGGATCGGCTGATGTGATGTGAATATTACCCCGTGAAAACGGTAAAAGAGTCCAGTATTCACTGGCAAATACAGAACCGAGAGGCAACCAGACGATCTCCGTATAAGGAACTTCTGATTTGAAGATCAAGTCATACTGGAGTTGGAAAGCGGCAAGAACATTAGCCTCTTGGACAGCACCGTTCGAGAAGTTGGCTATGGCCTTGGCGTAATCAGGTAGACTGGCGTTGACGGCATTGGCGATAGACTCGGTCTTGTCACCGTAAATCTGCTCGGCCGATGGTAGAGCAGAGAAAGCAGGGAGACCGCTCCATCTCTCTCGACTTCCGTATGTGAGTCCGTTGTTCGTTTGATCTTGTAGGTTTTCGCCGACAGTGGAGATGTTGACTTTCACGGGAATGTCGAATTTCTTGAGGATATCGGGATTTCCGACGCCAGATAATTCTAGAATAAGGGGTGATTTGAGAGAGCCAGCAGATAATATTACCTCCTTGGACGCATGGATTGTCAGGACACCATCAGGGCCGGCAACTTCAACACCAGTTGCAACCGCTTCGTGGGAATCGTTGGACCAAATGATCTTGTTCGCGTATGTGTTCGTGATAATTTTGAGGTTTGGTCGTTGTTGGTAGGGCCAGTAGTAAGCCCTGGCAGCATCTTGTCGAACGTTCTCTTCTCTGTCGATGGTATCGGGATGAACTGTAAGTCCAACCATATTTCCGCCATTAACATCACGGTTATATGAGACGCGGATTTGGCTCAAGGTTTCATCGAGCACGGGGAGCACGCTGCTGTTGGCCATTCCGTAAGGCCAGCCGGTCTTGACTGGGCCTTGATCGCCGTGGTAGGTTGTATAATAGTCTGCGCCATTAGCAACTTGATCTGGAGTGGGAGCTTGAAAACCCTCTGATTTCTTGTAGTAAGGCAGAAGACTCTTCCAGTTCCAGCCTTTATTCCCAACCGATTCCCAGGCGTCAATTTGTACGTTTTGCGCTCGAGTATATGACATCCCTGCAGGCAAGAATCATCAGCATAGGTCGTAGAGTATCATGGACATGGCAGAACGTACCGTTAATCGTACTTGTTCCACCGATTGCTTTGCCAGCGCGCATAGTCTGTTTTTTCCCTCCGGCGTATTTCTGCTCCTCCGTCTGATAGGCCCAGTCGATGGGTGTATCAAAGGACTTTCCGTAACCATAAGGAGTTGAAACGTTAAAATTGTTGAGGACCGATTCGCCCGCTTCGATAACTGCCACAGTGAAATCTTTTCGTTCTGAAAGCCTGTTAGCAATAACTAACCCGCTCGTTCCTCCTCCGACAATAACAAAGTCATATGCTGCAAGTAATGTATCATGTTGCTTCGCAACGGCTGCACCTAGCCATATACTTCCGAAAACAAGAGTTGAGACGATCATTATCGGAGCGATAGAGGACGTCTGATAAATGATAGGGCACTCGTGGCAAAGAGAAGATCTTTGACGAAAACAATTGAGGGGCTCTGGAATACTTAACAGGGCCTGACGCTCGGCTCCCGACAAGGGTTGCCGGGAGGCCGTTGGAATGCTGGCGTCATTCTGTATAACCGCCAACATACCGGCATGTCAAGCGGCAGGAATAACCGATACCGGATTTCACAGTCGTTAGGGTATCATGATAATTTTTATTCAAATGATAATAAAATCAGAGTAGATACAGAACGCCTCGGCATGTTTTCAAAAATGCATCCCGAACTCCTTTGACTCGGCCAGCCCATTTTGACCGAGAACCTTTTCACTCTTTCTGTTTATAAATGAATCAATTGCCTCGTAGGATCCCGGCAATGCGCAGAGTTAGGTCAAGGACGGACAAATGCTCGTCTGCACCATCAACGAGTCGCTTATCCATTTCCGAGAATGCGATGACAATCTTGTTCTTCTGAACATCAGGAATCGCCTCGTTAAAGACAATTCGTCGGTAGAGCTAAGAAATAATTAGCAAAATAGGACCCGGGAATGAAGAAATGGGGGTACACAAACCTGGCCAATGACTTGAGTCGCACTCCACCCATCAGCTACAAGGTTCGTAATGACCTTAGACACAGCCTCATATGCTGACCCCGAGCTCTTCGGCTGCATAGCCTGCACAATCTCATCCAGTATACTTTCCGGGACAACACCAGCAATCTCTTCAATACTGCGGATCGTAATAAGTCCCGCCTCCGGGGCCCCAGCATCCGTCATCTCCTCATCCTCGTCGGTCTTAGCAGGTAATGCCTTGGTAGCACCAATCAACCGTGCCGCACTCTGCAAATAAGTAATAGCACGACGCAAATCACCCTCACCGCACCGAATGAGTGTATCTATAACACCATCCTCAAGATTTAGTCCTTCAGCCTTCGCAATATTCTCTATCCGGACACCCGCCGCAGAATTATCCAGCGACTTGAACCGGAACTTACTGCAACGACTGGCCAGAGGTTCAATGATGCGAGTGACATAGTTACACACGAGACAAAATCGTGTGATACGGCTGTACTGTTCCATCGTCCGGCGCAGAGCTGACTGTGCATCTTGTGTCATACTATCTGCCTCATCAAGAATGATGATCTTGAATGGAGGGCAGGGGTATTGTGCGCGGTATTCGGCATCGAGACCCGTCGGTTGGGAGAGTTGGGCACGGGCAAAGTTCTTGATCTTGACGCGGACGATATTGATGCCGCGCTCATCTGAGGCGTTCAGCTCCAGAATGCGGGAGCGGTAGAGGGCGGGGCCGAAGAGGGATTTGGCGAGGGCAAGGATTGTAGATGTTTTACCCGTCCCTGGGGGTCCATAGAAGAGCATGTGAGGGAGCTGTAGGTCAATTTATTAGCATTGGTTGTGTGGAAGGGTTGATTGGGTGAATGTGTACGTTAGAAGCTTGCAAAGTGCGCTGGAGGACTTTGGTGGTATGATCTTGCGCGGCGACATCATCAAGGGTTTTGGGTCGACTAATTGCGGTTAGTATAAATATGTGTATAATTCCCAGTTCGGTGAAGGCGTACTATTTCTCTACCCAGGGTTGCAAGCGGGTTGAATCTTCCTTGTTGTCAGCGGCCTTCGCCTTGGAGCTGCTGGATGCTGCAGCGGCTGCAGCGCGGGCCTTATTGTTGAAGAATGTGGAGGTCATGATGTTTAAGTGGCCTGTTGGAGCAATGCAAAGACGTTCTAGGGATATGAACGGCGATTGCTTTTGTGACGGAACTCATTGAAGCTGCGGACACCATGCGCGCGGCAGATGGAAACGCGTCTGCACGTGACACGCGAAGCACTTACACGTCAGCCAATCAGAATGTACGCATGTACTTCAACAATCAAAAGGCCCTGGGGTCACTGCAGAGCTAAAATATGGAATTTTGATCATAATGTTGTTTTGAATGCACCTTCAATGCTTCAATGCTTCAATGCTTTATCGCTGACATTCATTTCATTATTTCTCTTTTAAGTCTATAGTTCATCTCTTACGACATCTCGTTCACCTTCCATCATCCTCTTTTTAGGATTCCGAGGGTGTTCTTCTTTTTCGTGCCTTGCCTCGGCTAGTATATCGTCAAGATAGATGTCTTTCTGCGTTTCTGCCTCTTCAACCATCTCCCCAATCTTATCGATGAGACGATCCTCCTCTTCCTGTGAAGCTTGATCGTTGTTCTCAGGCATGGCGCCACCTGTGAAAGTTGCAGCTGCTTCTTGCAAAGTAGCAGAGATATCAGCAGCAATCGGGCTAGATGAAGGCTGCAGAGACTTGGTACTTGTGACGCCAACGATACCAAATACTGCGAATACAACTCGCAAGATGAATTGGAATGGTAGCCACACCAGCCACCAGAGAGGTCCGTAGAGAATCCGTCGGAAGACCAGCCACGAGATTGTCGCGATAAGAATCCAAAAAGCGGTTTCGAGGTACCAGGTATCCGATTTCTGGGAGCGTAGAAGTGAGTTGGCGAGAGTGCGAGATGAAGCAAGGAGGGTATCGAGACTAGTGTAAGATTCAGACAACGATGAAATAGCGGCGGTTGATTGTTCTTCGATACGTCAGTATATTGAGCGAACAGTAATCTCGTCAAGCTTAGTACTAACCAAGAGTTTCTTGAGCAAACTGACTTCGAGAAAGTTCAGTTTGCATCAGTTGATGGGTTCTGCGCAAAGCAGCAGTAACATCATTCGATGCATTCAGCGCCAGGTCATCCTGTGTGAGGTGTTCTGATGGCTTATTATGACGTCCCGAAGACGATTGCGATCGGGACAACAGCAGCTCGCGCTCCTTCCGCTTAGCAAGCTCGGTTTGACGCTTGGATTGTAATTGAGCATTCCGAAAATCGCTTCGAGTTCTGTTTCCATCGTTAGTACCAATGATTCTCAAATCAAACGATATAAGGCGCAACACACCTCTTAAGGTCCTCCGCCAATCGTCCCGCCATTGTGACGACACGCTCCTTCTCTGCTTCTTTCTCTCCAGTCGCCACCGACTGTCTTCTCCTGGTATCTGAGCTCGAGTCTAGAGCTTCTACCTCAATCCGCAACAGCTCAAGCCCGTCCTCGGCATCTTTAAGGCCCGCATGAATCTCCGCTCCCAGCTCCAGACGAGTTTCGTCGCCATTCTCATTGGGTGTGGATTTGCGAAGTTGGTCGATCAAAGGCTGGATCTGGCCGATCGTGACCGACAGCGCCTTCAAGCGGGCTTGAAGAGCAGCTGTGGGGGACATGTTTGGTGTACCGCGTGGAGGGGACTTTTGTGGCCACAACGAGTGATCTGACTGGCCAGATCAAAGGAAAAAGGCGTGGATTTCTAGTAGATTGTATGTTAAAGCGTTATTCAGTGCCTTATAGGTTAGACTCGATTTCAAAGAGCTGTAGATTGGAGTCAAATCGGTCGTCGCAAGGTGGCAGTAGTGTCTCTATTGATGTGTTTGCACTTTCGGCAAACACCGGACTTCCCTCGAATTCGCTCCTCCATATCATTCATTTGCTCAACTCTGCCAATTGCCCGCGTTTCCAGTTCGAGAAATACCAGGCTTTGCTTTTATATTCCCTGCGCCTATTCTGCCAAGCCGTCTGAAGCAGAACGTATCTTTTGCGCTCCTCCTTGGTCAGAATTGCACCCCCAAAAAAAAACTTCCGGAACAACCCCAGATCCAATCCGATCAGGTATGTCTGGCATTTTATGCTGGCTGAACAATCTGCGCGCTCCGCTGTCCAATAAATGAGATTCTGACTGTACCATTAGTGGATATTCCATAAAGCTGCGTCCCGAGACCTTTGAACTACTCTAAATTCCTCGCAAGTCTCACGATCACCAACCACCACCATGCCTATCCCACTCAGCGTGATCACCACCTTCCGCACAACCTTCAATCCCTTCTCCCAGGCTTCCCGGCCCTGCCGGCTTTTCCTGTCCCTCCTCCGCACTCCCAACACCGTCCCCGGTAGCGCAAGCTTCATCGACATCAAGGTCAACCAGCTGCCGCGCAACTCTACACAGGAACCTACTATGACTATAGGCTTCAAGGGTGGAAAGGAACTGACCCTGGAGGTTGGCAAGCGTGGACTGAAGATCGGTGATGTGGTCGAGGAAGTGTCGCGAGTTGGTCGCCAGTTGGAGCGCGAGGCCAGTCTGAAGGGCTAGACCATTCAATGTGTTGAACTATTGAATTGCTCTTTTTATTCATGTATTATAGCATTTGTTTGGGTTGTTTTACTACTGGCGCTGTTCCGAGTGTTGGATATCTATAATACCTGAGTAGATACCTTGCATATTATACCTGATCTACAGAAATGATGATGGATATTCGCTCAATTATTTGCTCAATGGTTTTTTCTTTGTTCTTCTCAGCTAAGTGGATTAGGATTATACCCAGCAAGAGTCCATTGCTGGAGAAACAAAGACAAGAAGCATGAACAAAAAATAAAAATAGATGCTTCAAATATACACATCGCCGAGACGACGGTGGGTATACAACTGGTTTAATTTTGATTCTTTTAAGGCAGCAAGATGACCGACGCTTAGACGGCGGCACCGGAGATGAAGAACCACTTGTCAATGGAGCCATCAATGGGAGCGGGGGCAAGCTCCTGGTTGGCAGGGATAGCAGCGAGCTGAGCGGAGTCAGCGCGGTGGGCATCGCCCTCGGGAGCCTCACTGTTGGCAAGGTTGATGTCACCGGGGGTAGTCTTGCCGGAAATGAGCTTCTCCCAGGCATCGGCACACTCGTGGATAACCTCCTCGGCGTACTTCTTGTTCTTGCACTCGCCGGAGAAGGCGAACTGGTTCTCGGGCTTTCCGTCGGGGATCTTGTAGATGCGGAACCACTCGTTGGTGGCACGCAGGAGACCGGGCAGGTGACGCTCGACATCCTCAATGTCGTGCAGCTTGGCGGCAAGAGGGTCGTTGACGTCGATGACAATGATCTTCCAGTCAGTCTCCTCCTCGTCGATCAGGGCCATGACACCCAGAACCTTGACCTGCTTGACCTGGCCAGGGTAGCCGACAAGCTCACCAATCTCGCAAACATCGAGCGGGTCGTTGTCGCCCTTGGCCTTGGTCTCGGGGTGGACGGAGTTGGGGTCCTCCCAGGTCTGTGTGGAAGGGTTGGTTAGTTTTGTGATATCCATGTTTACCCCGCCATGGATTTTCGACCGATGGCCGAAGGTGGGGCGTATGCAAAAGGTCAAACTTACGCGGGGGAAGGCACCGTAGTTCCAGAGGTAGCCCTTGTGGGGGAAGCAGTTGCGGACGAAGCGCAGCTTGCCCTTCTTGGTGTCCTGCTTGATGGGGTTGAGGAACTCCTCCTTGGAGATCTGGTAATCAATTGAATCGCAATCAGTACGGACGATCGATGGGACGTTGAACTGGCGTAATGCGTACCTCCTGCTTGGCGTTGGTCCAGCGAGGAATCTCAACGACCATGTTCAGGATGGTCTGCTCCTTGTTGGCATAGAGGGGAATATCGTGGAAGGGAGAGACGGGGACGCCATCCTTCTCGATGTAGACACGGTGCTCCAGCGTGTAAGGCTGAGCGATCTTGCGAATGGAGTAAGACATTTTGGGAGATGATGAGGAGAAATGCCGGGAGATGAGAGCAGCTCGAGAGAGAGGAGGGGAAGAAAAGGAGGGAGGGGCTTTCCAGGTGTGGGGCGCCAGTGTCGCTGATGTGCGCCAAACACGTCGGGAGGCGGTGGAGGCACAGAATCCTAGTCGGGCCAAAGGAGGACCGGCCTGTGCCATTGGGCAGTTTGGAGATTAGGAAATCAAGCAAAAACCAAAAAATTATAATATACAAGTGTGATTTTTGCCAAATGACGGCAATGATCTGCGGTTGGTGCACCAAGAAGTCTCAATGCCTGGTATGATGGTGGTTTGCGTGGCCTGAAATGAGTGTTTCCAGGGGTCGAACTGGGTCCGGTGTAATGTGTTGGCCTGTTGTTTGGGCTGTTCCGTGTGTTAGTGTCGGCAATGGACCGGGCCCGATACCGAAAGGATTATGATCCCGACTAAAGTTATGGTTACGCTATTGCGTCGAAGTATGTTAAAATAGTACAAGGTCAGTTCTTCAGAACATTGAACAATTGACAATATGTGAGGAGTCTCGTGCCCTTGCACCTCCGCCATGTACTCTGCATGTACTCCAGTGTTCCCGTGACAGCTGCAAGTGCTAGCCGATATCGGCATAGGTTGAGAATATGCTTAAAAACCTAGCATTGTAAACCATGGCATGTCGAAGATACTTAAGAGTACAGATCGTCTGCATACTTCAATTTGGACACTTCGCATGGCTCCAATTCACAAATCTGAGTGGTGGCGAATCCAAAAGTACAAAACAAAAGTCTTGGCAGGGACGTAATCGTTCACTTTAGTTATGGAGGGGCAATGCTGCCCGAAGAGTAAGGCATAAAGTGAAAAGTCTAATCGGTTATCTACACGTGACCCTCGTAGAACTGGCCAGGCGGGAGTTGACCGATACCAAACCCCAGGAAAAAAAATATTGCCCTCGATCTTTAACCCCACCTCAGCATGCTATGAACAGACTCATCCGATCCCTTCGATCCACCATGGCCTCCCTCTCCACTGCTACTCCAGCACAGACACCCCGTGTCCCCATTCCAGCAAATGGTGTCGACTACCGCGGCACGGTTGTGCTCGCCCCAATGGTCCGCTCCGGCGAACTGCCCTCGCGCCTGCTGGCCCTCAAATACGGCGCAGACCTCGTCTGGGGCCCAGAGACAATCGACAAAGCCTTGATCGGCTGCGTCCGACGCGTCAACCCTCGCAACGGCACCATCGAATTCACCCGTCTCCCCTCCAACGGCGGCCGTACAGACACACCAGCTAAGGAATCGGTCATCAGCCGCATCGACACAGCGCGTGAGAAAGGACGCCTCATTTTCCAATTAGGTACCGCAGACCCGGATCTCGCGGTCCAGGCAGCCCGCATGGTGGCCGGCGACGTCGCAGGCGTCGACGTCAACTCAGGCTGTCCCAAGCCATTCAGTACTAGCGGCGGTATGGGCGCCGCGCTACTGCGCACACCAGACAAACTTGTTTCCATTCTTGAAGCGCTCGTCCGCGAAGTTGGTGAGCCGTTCAAGATCGGTATCTCGGTTAAGATTCGCATCCTCAGCGACCCTGAGATGACAAAGAGCCTTGTCTCCCGACTTGTACGAACTGGTATCACCGGTTTGACCGTCCACTGCCGTACGACGCCCATGCGGCCTCGTGAGCGTGCGATCAGAGATCAGCTACGTATGATTGCGGATATTTGCCATGAGGCTGGCGTGGCGTGTGTCATGAACGGTGATGTTGAAAATCGTGATCAGGCGCTGAAAATGATGGAAGAGTATGGTGTTGATGGTGCTATGATTGCTACATCTGCTGAGGCGAATTCGTCCTGCTTCCGCTCTGAGGCTGATGGTGGCCTCGCGCCATGGCGGGAGGTTGTCTACAATTATGTCAAGTTCTCTATTGAAAGCGAGAACCGCTTTGGAAACACCAAATATCTGCTCAACATGCTTATCCCTGGAAAGAACAAGGAGTTTGCCCAGGCGAAGGCGTCGAAGACTTACACTGATGTCTGCCGGAACATGCAGTTTGACGATCTCATCCCTGGCGCGATTTGTCTCGATGAAATTCTTCAATTGACAGAGAAGTGGGAGAAAGCTCCTGCCGAGGAGGAAAAGGCCCGGTCTAAGGCTGTCCAGAATGCCATTGAGAACAACGAGTCAGCTCGTGCGGCTGGTGGCCATGGTGCTAGGTCGAAGTCTACTTCTGCGCCTTCCCATGCCGGTGGTCCTATCCGTACTTTGGGTATCCCAGAGTCCTCGGCCATGGCCAAGTCTGAGCCTGAGGTTTCTGTGGATGCCTCTATTCCTGCGACAGAGGTGGCTCAGAAGCAGGTGACGGTGTAAATTGCTGTCTTGGATATACGCTCTCCTGCTTGGTTTTTCCTGTTTCACTCAGCTACTTCTCTTTTTGTTTCTGCATAGCCTGGTTACCTGGATTTGGTACTGCATTTTTGAGGTGTCGCGTCTCCTCTCCTGTTAATAGATTCCCCAAAACATAAGTCGATAATATACAAGATATGGATTATAGATATTTTCCTCTTGCTGTTTGTGACTGGTCACCGTTGAATCAATAATATCCTAAAATATTCTGGAATTTGGTGTTTGCATCTGGGCACAAAGTCACTGAGCACCTTTCAATCTTTGGAGGTTACACCTCAAATACTTTCTTCTCCCTTCTCCATCATCCAAGGTCCTATACTACAGACTTGATAGAATATAATCATCCACAAACTCCTTCAAACAGCAGCCAATAGGGCTTCCCTCAAATCTTTGGCTTGGAGTTCTGAGTAAGTAATCTCTTCGAGATAAAGATACACCCAATAGGAAGCATTGACTCACAATCCAACTTGGCTGGATACAGAAACACTAAGCAACGCCTCATTGCAGAGCCATAGAGGAAGGAAGAGTGCTACTTTCTGCCAAAGAATCGAGAGAGAATCGTGCGCCTACGGTGTCCGCCACCTTCAGGCCTGGACACTCGCTTGGATGTTTCTGGGGAACTTGACAGAATTTGGTCTTCTTTGCTTCCACTAGGCGCTTTAGTGAGCTGGGAAGATGAAGATAAAGGTGTGGAATAAGCCTTCTCACGCCACTCGTTTAAAAGAGACCTGGAGCACATGGTTTGTGGGTGATCAAGGCCGATTTTTCGCTCGCACAGTCGAACACAGTCGGTCATCAGTAGGAGAGCAGCTTTTTCTTGCTGGATTGACCAAAGGGTATAAGCTAGGTTGTTCATGCTAGCTAGCGTGTCCCGGTGGTCGGCGCCGAGCTTCGTCTTACGAGTTTCCAATACCTGCAACCCGAGCTGCTCCGCCTCTTTCCACCGGCCTAGGTTACAGAAAGTCGACGCCAGATTAGCCATACTCGTCAGCGTATAGGGATGGTCGGCGCCAAGTGTTGCTTTGCGAGTTTCCATGACCTGTGTCTCGAGCTTCTCTGCCTCTTCCCACCGGCCCTGGTCCGAGAACGTCGACGCTAGGTTGGCTATACTCGTTACTGTGGAGGGATGGTCGGCGCCGAGTGTCGCTTTGCGAGCCTTCATGACCTGTACCTCGAGCTGCTCCGCCTCGTCCCACCGGCCCTGGTTCCAGAGCGTCGACGCTAGGTTGGCCATACTCGTCAGCGTATAGGGATGGTCGGCGCCGAGTGTCGCTTTGCGAGTTTCCATGACCTGTGCCTCGAGCTTCTCTGCCTCCTCCCACCGGCCCTGCTCCGAGAGCGTCGACGCTAGGTTGGCTATACTCGTCACTGTAGAGGGATGGTCAGCGCCGAGTGTTATTTTGCGAGTTTCCATAACCTGCGCCCCGAGCTGCTCTGCCTCTTTCCACCGGCCCTGGTGCCAGAACGTTAACGCTAGATTAGCTATGCTTGTTAACGTGTCTGGATGGTTGGCGCCAAGCTTCGTCTTGCGAGTCTCCATAACCTGTACCTCAAGCTGCTCCGCCTCTCTCCAAGCCCCCTCAAGTCGGTAGGCTACTGCTAATAGGGCAGTGCTATCAAGTGTCTCTTCATCACCTAACCCAAATATACCTATTCTCTGCTCTCTCGATATAGACGCCATTTCGCGTGAATCGGGGATATTACCAGATTCTTGCGCATACCACGCCCCCTTATAAAGTAACTCAGCCCATCTTTGGAGAAGGTCTTGCGACTTTGGTCCATACAATTTTGGTCGATGTGATATAGCTGACTTGACGTGCGGAAAGAGTGTCCGGCACCTCTCCCAATGTTCATATTGACCAGTCGGAAATTCAGCGTGTAGATTATTAATAAATCGTTCTTTCCACTCTTCGGCCTGGTCATTCATCTCTAGCCACGCGCGTGCTGTGAGCTGTACTAGCCGATGCATCGTGAACACCATGCTATTTTCACTTGTAGTAGTGACGAAGGAATAGTCTCTAAGGGTGATAATATCGCTCTCGAAATCGTCATCTAGGTCACTTTTAGGTAAACTTTCTACCCCTAAAGGACTTGAAGCTTGATGATTTCTTGCTTGATCTTGAACTCGAAGAAGATCTTCGGGGATCCCCTGCCAGTCAAAAAAGCTCATTAGAGATAGTAAGTCAGCCGCAGACGGCCTTACTCGCCGAATATGGTCAAACGATATTTGCCACGTCAGTAGAATAGAGTTCTTCGCCTCCCAATCTCGGTCTATTTGTCCCTCGTGATTTAGAAGCATTATAGCTTGATGATCACTCTGCTGAAGCTTTTTGAGGTATTTTGACACCGAGCAACGGGGTGAATGGTGGGCGATGTAGCTAGCCGCCTGCACAATCGCCAGCGGCATGAACTCAAGTTCCTCCACAAGTTGAATTGACTCCGCTCTCTCTGCACATGAACCTAGCTTGTGCTGCATAAGGTCTAACGCCTCGGCCATATTCATTGGTTGTACATCGATTAGATGCTTCTGATGGCTAGCGATGCCCAATGCTACTGCTTTATTCCGACTCGTGATAATGATAAAGCCCGTCGAGGTTCCAGTAAGGTATTTTAGCGGGGGCTGGGCGTTCGCTTGAGCGCTTGTACGGGCTACCAGCGACTTGCGTAGGAGCTCGTCATCATCTATGTTATCCAGGATAAGGACCCATTTTCCAATGTTTCCATCTTGAAGCCAGTTCCCAAAGAGTTGGAATATATTAACGTTGCTGTCCTCGCGCCCGGGAATCTTGGCGCGGTCGGCTAGGTTACGGAGACTCTCCTCGCAGCGCGCCGCAGTGCTCGCATGAACCCAGAAGACCCAGGTGTCGGCTGACTGCTGTCGGACCCGGTGGCAGTATTCGATAGCAAGCCGGGTTTTCCTGCTATAAAGTTAGCCTTTGACATGACGGGCCGCCGTGCCACCCGTGATGACTAACCCCACACCGCCGAGACCAACGAGAGCTATCCTAGACCCCGGGATTGACGATTTCTCGTGGATTTTATTAAGCATACCATCGCGGCTAACAAAGTCCGGGTCATGCGGGAATGGCACGGTAAAAAGTGGCTCTGGGCGGGGCTCTGGTTGTTCTAGGAAGCGTGTCGTTGTTAGTCAATCCAACGTGGCCCTGTCCTCCAGGCTATTGGGGACTCACTAGATGTGAAATTTATCATCCCATTGTTGACCCCCACCAGGAAGCCTGAATTACTGCCAAATTTTATAGATTCCATGCTCAACGTATACACAGCTTTTCGCGTCTTGGGCGAAAAGAGACGCCGGCCTCTCATCGAGGGGTGCCATCCTTAGCCTCACTATCAGGTGACCATGGGCGCTAAGCGTTGCATGGACTCCGCACGTGTCGGGCTAGCTTTACGTGAGCGCGGTCGGGAGCTTGGAGATAACAATCGATTAGCGGGGGATATATGGCCTAACGACCTTGGCGTATCTATTTCGCCAGGTACCTAGTGAAGAAGGGAACGCTCGCTGGCAGCACACTCAGAAATATGCGGGTCAATCCAGCAACACAGCAGCAATAGCAACATGAGATAACAACATAAGCTACCGCAGGCTGTACGAGAGCTCCGTGGGATCAGATTAGAGAGGCTAAGAAGCGCGCTAGTCAATACTATCTGTCTAGTGCTGGTGCTAGATATGCTACCAGTGCCCAGCATGCCAGGGCACTGAACTGCTGGTGTCACGATACAGGCCGGAAAACCACTGACCGGTATATTCCGTATCAAGTCATAGGCGGGGCTCTCCACTACGCTATGTATTCTACGGACCCAATTTGATGGACAGGAATAATCTGCAGCCTAGCCGAGTCCGGCCTAGGCGATTTCACCATAGTCTTAGCAGTGGGCGTGAGATAGTCTCTCTGTGTATGGAATGGAAGCGGTTCGAATATTGCTATATGATGGCTATACCATGTCTTGGCAAATGTTTGGCTTACTTTTGAAACATATGCCTAAGATATTCCTAAGCCTATAAGTGTTATTATTCGGACCAATGTTTGGCGGAAGATATTGTGAGGCAAAGTCGACTAAAAACGGGTCAGCACCACTATATCGTCCTCGCATGCTTCCTATAAACTGCAGTGATAGACTCTTGAATTTTTGAAACCCATAGTACCTGCAGAGGCCCCGATTAGAGGCCTCGTGAAGAGTTTAGGAAGTTTGAAGAAGCGTAGACACAATATATCGAAAAGAACAACGAAGGCCCCCCAAGAGAAGGCCTACCGTGGTCGTAACACTTACATGACCAAGCTTATATTTCATAGTGTTCTTCACAGACCTGAGGGGCTTTTAGCTTACCCACGAGACTCTGATTAAGGCAGAGTAAGACGTATGCGGGTTGATGGGCGAAGCCAAAGCAAAGGGACGTGGGAAGCGTGTGCAGCTTTGATCTAGGTGCTGCAGAAGTATGACCTAGTGAAGGCTCGTCAAAGCTTTATATATTTTTTCAGACTTGTACATGCTACGGCAGAGTCCAAGGCTTAGATGAGCCAAAATGAGCCTCGAAGTAGAGGATACCATATTCATTCCGCGGGAATAGACAGAGAGGGTGAATGAAACTCAATGGCTATAAGGAGAGGCAGCTATCTCTCAAATGTTACAATTAAAAGCAAGAAGAAAGTGATCTGAAGGCAAAAAGCCAGTGATGTATTAGCTGCCATCCACGGACGGCTCATATCTTTAGTATGCCCAGCACCCGAAACACGCCGTGCAATCGAAACAAAAGAAAATCCCCGGAGGGAACACAAATCACACACAGACACCTCACCACATCACTCCTTCTCCTTCTCCATATCCGCCACCAACATCGACTCCACCGCCTTGATGCCCGCTTCCTCTCCCTTAGCAGAGCCTCCGTCATCATCGCCAGCGACGGCATGATCGAGCGCGAGCTTCGTCTGTCCAAGGGCATAGATCTGCTCTTCAATCGTGCCACTGGTAACGAAGCGGAAGATCTCCACGTCACGGGTCTGTCCAACGCGGTGCGCACGGTTCTCGGCCTGGACATCCTCCTGTGGATTGAAAGAGGAGTCGAAGATGACGACCTTATTGGCACAAGCCAAATTGATACCGGCGCCACCGGCCTTAGTGGACAGAAGGAAAACAGGGATCTCCTCCCTCTCGTAGAAAGCGTCCAGAATGGACTGCCGGTCCTCGACATTAGTCCGGCCGTCCAAACGGACGAATTCAATCCGCAGCGTCTCCAAGACGTGCTCTAGGATATCCATGACCAGCGTGAACTGCGAGAAGATGAGGGTCCGGTCACCATTCTCGATGAACTTAAGGAGGAGTTCACGGAGTTGCTCGACTTTGCCTGAGTCCATCCATTCGTCGTTTTGTAGTTTGAACTTCCCCAGGTGTTTGGGGTTGTCGACGCAGAGACGATGGCACTCAAAGTCGTTGTAGCTCTTCAGTTCGCTGAAAATGGTTTCGGGGTCAGACATTTCCCACTGGGGATCCTTGAGGCATGCCTTGGAAATTTTGCGGATCCGCTCGTCATTGAAGTGGCGACGGGCGAGGAGAGGGTGGATTGCGGCTTGGCGGAGTTTCATAAGGATGTTGGCGGATTTTGATCCGGTCTTTTTGCCTGCTGCACGATCTTCCAGGAGCTGGCGGACTTGGTCCTTCTCGTGCTCGTAGATCTCAACTTGGGATGCCTTCATTTTGCAGTACTTGACGTGTGAGGTTTTCGCTGGAAGGTCGATGACTTGGTGCTTCTTTCGACGCAGCACGAAGGGCTTCAGCATAGACTTGGCCCGCTCGATGCGCTGGGCCGAGAGCAAAGTGGCATGAGACTCATCGGAAGTCTTGGCCTTGTTGGAGAAGACGGAGTTCATGTCATCCTTGTGCTCCCGGAAGACATCTGGAAGGATGAAGCCTAGCAGGGATGCCAGCTCTTGGAGGTTGTTCTGGAGAGGTGTACCGGTGAGGAGAAGTCGGAACCGAGCCGGAATACGGACGAGTTTATCGTATAGCTGAGACTGGTGGTTTTTCAGCATGTGGCCTTCATCGTAGACACAGACACTGAAGTCCTGGTCTCTAAGGAACTTCGCGTCAACCTTCGATCTGGCGATGGTATAAGTGGTAATGACCACATTGATCTCATCACGGTTGTCTTCAATCTGCTCCCGAAGATTGACACGCTCAGCCTGCCCGGCGTAGTATGGAATAACTGAGAGAGTTGGGCAGAACTTTTGAAACTCTCTAAGCCAGTTTTCGATTGTAGACGATGGAACAACAATAAGGTGAGGCCCCTTTATACCCTGCTCAAACAAAACCGCAAGGAAAGCGATGACTTGGCAGGTCTTACCGAGACCCATGTCATCTGCAAGGATGCAGCTCAGCTTCTTCTCAAACAGCAGCGACAACCAGTTGATTCCCACAATTTGGTAGTCCTTCATCACCAGGCTTTCAGCCATGATCGAAGGTTGTGGAATGAAGCTGTTTTGTGACTTGGACTTTCGGACCACGGCCACTGGGCCGTCATCATCGGAGTCATTAGGTGACTGGCGATTAGACGAAGGGGTAGCAATTCCGGAATCATGCGCGTTGCCGTTCATCGAAGTCAGTTCGAAATCACCATCACGCTTTCCGAATATGTCAACACCCCATTTCTTCATCTCCGCAGCTACTGGTTTACCCAGTGCTTCACACTGAGCCACAAGAGAATCGATTGCGAGGTAGCCAGTCCACATCTCGATGCATTTGTCAACGAGCTTGTCTCCAATGGGCTTAGGAGCTTTGCGTGGCTTGGCCTTGCCCTTGGCTTTGCTCGGGTCAACAGGGGCTTCAATAGCGCGAACATCATCGAGCGAGGCGAAAGGACGATGGGTGGTGACGTGACTGGCGGTGTCCTCGGGGATGGAGGCAATGTCTGCCAAATCACGGACGCTGCAAGTGTTGAAGAACTTCAAAACCTTTGTGTTTAAACCGCCAGCGGTGGAATCTTGCATTTGCACATCTTCATCCTCGGAATCTGTCATGTCAGCCTCAACAGACTCCACAGAGGGCTCACGGCGGCGGCCTTTCTGGAGACGACCAGCCTTTGGCTTGGGCTGACTATCATCGGAGTCAATTGTGATTGTCGCAGAGGGAGAAGCACGGTTTCGAGGGCCGCGGATTAGACGACCTCGAGGCTTCACATCCTCAGGTGTGCTTTGATCCCGGGAAGTCTTTAGATTGCGAGAAGCCCATTTGTCATGAATGGTGCCACGGGCCTTAATTTGTTGCTTGGCCATTGGGAGAGGGGCCACTGTGGGCAAAGCAGTCAACTCGTCATCAGACGAATTAATGACAATAGAATTGTTGAATGCCAGGCCCTCGGGGTCGGCGAGGCGGTCCAGCGCTTCGTCGTAGTTTCCATTTGCTTTAATGAGAGCCTCCACGCACTCGTGGACGGGTTTTCCCGGAAATATTTTTAAAATACGCTCAACCTTGACTCGAACTCGGTAATCCTCAATGGCCTGCAAAGAAGATATCTGGTTGGCCACAGGCATGGCGCGAGAGGGTGCATTCTGTCGGGCCTTTTTCATGGCAACATCGTCGGGTCCGGCGGGGCTCATCTGTTCAGCAGAGCGCTTGACACCGTTGGTCGAGGGGTCGTAAACTGCAGCAGAGGTGATTTCCTTAAAACGATCCATTGCGCCGTTTGCACGCACGGGCGACTCTGCAACCTTCTCCGGGCTTCGAGTTTTTTCAAACATGGCGGGTTTGATGTCGGTGGAACGAACTGTGTAATTTTCTTCGTCTTCAGAAGAGCCTCCTCTATAGGTGGGGCCGTCGTCTATGTCAATTGTAGAAGGTCTTTTGGCAGGGCGGACTGTAGTTGCTGGAGAACGAAAGTGTGTTCCAGAAGGAGCCATGAGCGAGGATAATATACCACCGCGGCGAGGGGGTGAATGGGCCGGGGCAGTGGGCGAAGAAGCAGCCACTTGAACAACGGATCCACGAGAGTGTGGATGAGGCATTTGGACGAGTTGGGTGGGTTGGGTCATTCGTTGCGAGGGAGTCAGTGAATGCGCCCCGACTGGGACCGTGGCAATGGTCTCGTAGTCCTCCTCGGGCGTTTGCTTTCTGTCCCGGTTGGGAGTGTCTGGTATTGTGCCATTCATGGTGAATGTCCCTATGTCCCTTCCCTTGGAATGTCTATTGAGAACCACCTCCCTGGCTGCAAAGGGTCAGGAACCGATAGTATTGAATCGCTTTCCTTTTTTTTCTGCCGGCGGAGAACGCGATACCGACGCGCCACAGTCACGTGTGGTCCGATAGCACGCATGCAATCATTACTTTATTCATTATTGTCGAAGCTGTGGAGCTGAAGAAGCCATAGTATCGATAGAAATAAAGGTTACTTAACCTATTTGAGCAACCTTGAATGGATTGACCAAAAGAGTCAATAGTGGAGATTCGGACGTTTCATTGTTCTCTCCGCCATGTGACCGGGCGCTTGGACGATCTCCGCAATATAGCTTCGTCACTCCTTAGCATCAACAACACCAAAGTGGAACACAGATCAACTTTACCTTGTCAAAACCCATTGCAATCATCCCCCATCAACCTTCAATCAATCCAAAGATGTCTGCTCGCCGGCCTCACGGACAAAGCTATGCCGATGTTGCGGCCAAGCCTCCTCAAGAAGAAAGCAACTCTGATGTGACCCCTGCTGTCCCAGCGTATGTGCATAAGTAGACCTTGAAATTAACTCTTTACACATTCTTACTTTCATTGACAGTGATGTCATCTACAAGCTACTGGGCTTCACATTTGCCATGGTCTTTGCCCCCATTGGCGTGTACTTTTTGACTGTGAACTCGATCTTTAGTGGTAAGTTTGACTTATATCTGATGTCAATGAAAGCCCACTGGAGCTAACGCCATCAAGGTAACGCTATATACTCTGGAATTACAGCGGCCATCACGGCCAACGTGGTCCTGTTCGCTTACATCTACGTCGCCTGGAAAGAAGATCAAGCAGACCAGCAAGCAGCGACCAAGGCCAAATCAAAGAAAGGCCAATGACTATAGGCATGCTATGTCTTGTATTTGTGCCATTTCATCATTCATTTCTGGCGTTGCAGGTGTATTAATCGGATGAACCCAGTTCTCAGGAATCTACGCTGTCCATTTGATATTCGGCTCTGACAGGATTGTGACAAAAATATACGAGATTTCTCGAGTGTTATTTGGATATCATAGGACAAAAAGAAATTCCCAGGATCTCTGATCTCTGGCCATTCAGCGATCCCACCCCGTTTTAGACAATGTTAAAAGAAGCCAGCCCATGTTGAAGGGACCCCTCACTCCGAGAAAATGAAATCACAACGCATAATGCTCGAATCAATTATACGGAGACGCCAGTATGCTTTGCAGCCATTGAGGATGCGACTCGAACTTCAAACCCACCCAATTAAGGTCGTCGCTTCACAAACTCCTCCAGATCGGCCTTGGTGGCAACGCCGAGCACGAACTTGCGTGCTACATCGGTCACCACGGCAAATGGGTGCTTCTCTCGCTTTTCACCGTTGGCACCGATCTCACTCTCAAAGAATTCCTCCAGCTCCTCTAGGGGTGTCTCCATAGTGATGACCTTGTAGATACCGCGCTTCCGGTTAAAACGCTGCATAGCGGCAGAGACTGGATCGGACTCCTTCACGGCGCCAGTCTGGATCAGCTCCTTCAATCGGGGGATGCTCAGGTAACCGAGGAGGGATCGCTGGGCGGAGATGACGGTGAGATGGGTGTAGTCGCGCTCGTAGGCGGCCATGAGGGCGGCGGAGATGGGGCTATCGGGGGAGACAGAAAGTGCCTGGGGTGGGTCGAGGTCTTCAATGGTGGCCTGTAAAAATGATATGAGCTGCTGCTGCGGTTTCCTAGAGCTTGAGGGGCAGACTAACCCCGCGGTATTTGTCAGCCCAAGCTGCTTGGGGTGCGGAGTCCATTTTTTGGTGTTCACGAGCAAAGGCCTCGCTACCAGTCATGTAGGATGCCATTGTAGCTTGTGGATATATGGAGGGTTCGGAGGATGGAGGGGCTCGCCGAGTGCGAGAAGAGTGGGGGGAACTTTGGGGGGTGAAGAAGGCGTCACAGTAGAAGTAGATTAGAAATTGGTAAAGCTCGAGAAGAAGCCCCAGTCGCAATCGTTATTCGGGCGTGAAAAAAAGAATAATAGCAGCAAGGGACAAATGCACGAGCTTGACCGTTCAAATGATCAAACTCGGCGCCTTTCCTCTTTTTCCCGCGCCAAGACCCCTCAACTTCTACGTCATCTCTTACGGACATGATCCCTCAGCCTTATCGCCTTTGTCTCATATGACACTTGCTCTTCCGGTTTATCCGTAAGTCATTTTGAACTTCATTTAACCCGATCAAGCCTTCTCAACCACCCTCAAGTTTTCTATCTGCAGGTTCGTTGTTGACTTGAAAGTGGAGCCCCCGCCATTCTCGATCCAGCAAGATCGCTGCATTCGGACATTTGGTGCTCCACTCTGGTTACCCACATTAATAGATCACAGTAAACAGACATGATTCCCACGGACTCGATCGTTAAAATCCTGGCTACTCACCACCCCCTAGGTGGAGTGGGAAACCAGCACCAATCGCACACGGAGCAACCGGGGAATCTAAAGCCACGACGAGAGCCCTTCCCTGCCTGGAGTGTTGTCGACGAGGTAAAGAAGACAGCAGCCCATGAATATGAGGCTGCCAGTCAGACGGCGCAGAACAAGGCCGGCAAGATTGAGCTTTGGACTCCCAAGTACTATGCCGCCTGTACTTTCGGTGGACTTCTTGCATGTGTCAGTGATCCATAAGAATATACAACGATGGCATTGAAAGGGTTTACCTGACCTTGCAATACATAGGGTCTTACCCACACGGCTGTTACGCCCTTGGATCTGATCAAATGTCGCCGTCAAGTTGACCCTAAGCTCTACAAGAGCAATATGCAGGCGTACAGCAAGATTCGTGCAGCTGAGGGTCTGCGCGGCGTGTTCACTGGTTGGGGCCCCACGTTTTTCGGTTACAGTGTAAGTACTACTCGTGTCTAAAGATTTTCTGTACTGACTGGCATCTTTCCAGGCCCAAGGAGCATTCAAATATGGTGGATACGAGTTCTTCAAGAAGTTTTATAGTGACCTTGTTGGCCAGGAACGTGCCACCAAATACAAGACTTCGCTGTACCTTGTCGCCAGTGCTTCGGCCGAGTTGATCGCTGATGTAGCCCTCTGTCCTTTCGAATCCGTCAAAGTACGGATGCAAACTACCATTCCACCCGATATCAAAGGAACCTTCAGTGGTATCTCCAGCGTGGTAGCCAAGGAGGGAGTGTCCGGGTCAGTCTGAAGCATGCGATGTCCAAGTTTACATCTAGGATACTAACAACTGCCCAGGCTGTACAAGGGTCTGTACCCACTCTGGGGCCGACAGATCCCCTACACTATGATGAAGTTTGCTTCTTTTGAGACCATTGTGGAGATGATTTATCACACTCTGCCTGGACAAAAGTCCGATTACAATAAGGGTGCCCAGACCGCTGTTGCTTTCAGCGCTGGTTACTTGGCGGGTATTCTCTGTGCTGTCGTGTCGCATCCTGCTGACGTGATGGTGAGCAAGCTGAATGCTAATCGCCAGGCTGGGGAGGCATTCGGTGCTGCGATGAGCCGTATCTACGGTGACATTGGCTTCCGGGGGTTGTGGAATGGTCTACCCGTTCGTATCGTTATGATTGGTACCCTGGTGAGTAGTTGAGCCACATGCAGCCATGAGTCTATGCTAACAAAACTTGCAGACTGGTCTCCAGTGGATGATGTATGACTTTATGCGATAATCTTGCAAACAGTGCTGACCATTTATTAGTTACGATTCATTCAAGATCTTCATGGGTCTCCCGACTACCGGTGGAGGCGGCGAGCAGAAGAAAACCCAGTAAGCGAAACAATATATGCCTTTTCCCTATTCAATCCTCCTTTTATCGTGCAACTCCAGAATAAATTGATCCCGAGAAATTGTTATGGGAATTGTGAATATATGGGTCATTTACCCAGTCAATTTCAAGATTTTAAAGCTATTTCCTGATAGCACTCGTGAATTGTGGAAGCCAGGACAAAGACGCGTAATAGAAGAAGTCATTTTCAAATTTATAGGATTATAAGAAGTCAGATCATAGGAGTAGTTTAGAGGCATATCTTCTAAACTCGAAGCGCTGGTCTTGTCTGATCACCAATCAGAATCTTCATATTGACTAAATATGCCACACCTAATGAATTGGACTCAAGCGACCCCCAGCCGGAAGTCGCACCGTACTCGAGTTCAACCACGAGTTCGCACTTGAGCTGGAATCATAGTAGATAGTATGACCCTGATCATGAATATTGGACAACCTGGTTGTAGTAATGTTCTGCAAAACGGTATCCGCCGTAACAATCCACGTCGAAGTCGAATCCAAAGACACGGCAACAGACCCATTATTACCAATCGAATAGGCCGTACCAGTCCAAGTCGAATGATTACCAAGTCCCCACGAAATAGAACTACCATTATATGTCACCAAATCCCCCACAAGCGTCGACTCCTCAACATCAATATCCACAATCGCAGGCAAAACAAAACTGCTATACTCTGCTCCAGCAAAATAATCAAATTCAGGCGTAATCCGGGATGAATTAGCAATAACAAGGATCCCAGATCTAGTGCTGATAGTCGTCGAATACAACTTTGCCTCAGCAATGACATTTCCAAACCATAGGCCCGCCATCGTCTCGCCAGTTGTAGTAAGATGCGAGTTAGTAAAAGAAAGAGAAGCTCCCGATTGACGCGGAGTTGAGCAGAACATCACCGTGCCAGCTAACAGCCCGGCCGTGAAATCGACATTCTCAAAAACCGCTTTCTGGGCCCCGTCGGAAAAGAGACTGGGGGAGTTTTCGGCAACACCGACTAGGTCAGTTCCGTATGCCTCACCGAGAGCGTAGAAGATCGCACTCCCACGCTCGGCAGTATGTGCAACAGAGTTGTTGATGTGTAGATATCCACCGGGTGAATCACCGGCAAAAGCCGAGCTGCGAATGCCACCAGAGTATTGACGAATTCCCGCGGCATATACTGTGGCGTTTCCAGCTGCGTATACCCCATGTGCACAGGGGCCCGAGCTGTACATGTCTGAGTTTGTGATTGTGACAGTTGTATTGGTTCCGTAGGCGTAGAGATTGGCAGCTCCATTGCGAGTAGTGATATTTGAGTTTGCGATGTTTGCGGTTGAGGCATTTGCAACGTTAATAGCAGCGTTTACACCGAAGAAACTGGCCTGGTTGAGGCTGGAGGCGTAGCCGTATTTAATCACATCGACAGAACTTATGTTCGCGTCAGAAGAATCCGTCACGACGATGACGCTGGTGTCGTTCTTCTTTACTTCGTAGACCCTATGGGCAAGAGAGACATCTTTATCGGAATAATAATATGGACCTGTAACAGAGATAGTTTGGTAGGTCACACCGGGATTCTTGTAATCCATCGCGAGGGCATTGTCGCTGTCATCTGCGTCGACGTCGACATAGTCGCCAGGGTCCAGCAACGTTATGGATGCAAATGCTAGTGGCCAGAAGGCGCAAAGGTAGAGTGAGTACTTCATAAGTTTCGATTGCATGCTAGCTCTGGGCTGGATCTGAAGTTGTAGAGTAGTAGTCAGGAGGTAGATATCTTCATGTTCTTATACTGTTGTGATTCCCCCACCTGCTTTGGTGTCATCCACCCTCCTAATCTTCCAGGGATTAGGCCAAGTCGCAAGTCAGTCTCAAGTGGAGATTCCACAAAATTTTAGTGTCAATGGGCACATAGTGAGAGTCCCGAGGGGAATATCAAAAAGACCCTCCACATGGGCCGGCCCCACACTTGCAAGAGCATAGATGCGGGGGAATTGCAGGAAACTAGCTACAACATATCAATTAAGAAACAAAATAGAGCTTGTTTGCTTGGAAGTGGAGCCGAAAATAATTTTCCTAGTGAATTGGGACTACGTCATGCCTAAATGTCAGTGAAGCTTACCTGGAATCAACAGAATCATCAACCGTGAAACACAAGAGTATGACGCAGCCATCACAGCTTGAGGGCTAAATGCATCGTAGGATTCGTTCAATTAAACCTATTAAGCCCATTAATCCCATCAAGCCCATTAATCCCATCAAGCCCATTAATCCCATCAAGCCCATTAATCCCATCAAGCCCATTAATCCCATCAAGCCCATTAATCCCATCAAGCCCATTAATCCCATCAAGCCCATTAATCCCATCAAGCCCATTAATCCCATCAAGCCCATTAATCCCATCAAGCCCATTAATCCCATCAAGCCCATTAATCCCATCAAGCCCATTAATCCCATCAAGCCCATTAATCCCATCAAGCCCATTAATCCCATGTTGGAGATTAATCCATGCAATTTGTTGCAATGCTTTCCAGTCGTCAACTCTCTAGACCAGCTACTAATCAAATGGTGGTTCTACGATTTCAATGCACCCCTTCTCCGGATGTAGAATGGTATAATTTCGCGATTGGTCTAGCACTTTTGATATATGAGATATTAGGTCTAAGTAGGGATTCTCCAGTTGATTGTCTTTCATGGTTCCTTGGGGGCTTGACAGCAGGATTTACGGGGTCTATGGAGCCTATACAGTCTATAGAATCTATGGCTGGCGGTGGAAACTCAGGTCTGTTGGACTATCTTGACCCAGACTATACCCACAAGTGTCTTTAAAGCTTGGAAATCCAGCATATATGGAACAATATTCAGTTCTGGAGCGGGCCATCTTTGTGGATTCCGCGCCAACCCTAGGCTGGCATGCTCCGAGACCGAGTTACTTGGAAGAGAAACCGAAATCTCTTTGTGCAGAAGGCTCCATGGAAGTCTGGACTTCAATTCCCTGTCCTGCCAGTGGACCCCGCAGCTGTAGTGATATGACTATTATACGCATAGTGGATGGCGCTTCATCTGAACGGTGAAAATCATAAACCTTCACGAACTCAAAACGATGCGACTCTTACTTCAGCCCTAACATCTGTCCAGCCTCCATATTCGCATGTAGATATCAAATGTTATGATCCGCCAAGAACGCTATCAGCAAAAGGTTAGTCACGCATCCACCAATCGTCGCCACTTATCTTATCGGGCACGACGTCACCAATCGTATTCATAAAAAGAAAGCATCAAGCGAAACAAGATGGCCTCTCGCTTCTCAATATTAGTTCGTAAATCCTTAGCTTGCCTAGGCCGATGCCGTGATCTTACTAGTGAGCAATCAGATTGCCCGGTTGAATCTCGTGCTGATTTCACTCTTTTATTACCGGATTCCTATCCCTATTTCCCTAATCCATTTCATCCTACTATTGTACTATCCCCTAACTGTAATCCGGTACCTGCGTCTTATCGTAAATCCCACGAGTTTCCGATCGTGCGATAAGACTTCCTTCCTTTCTCAACCTGCCTTGGTCCTCACTCACGACTTTCCTTTCGACAAATTCGACAATCAATATGCCTGACGAAGCTCCTGTCGTCTCCCACGGCCGTGGTGGTATGTACACGGACTCATCCGCTCTCCGCGCTTATTTACAATCACCGGCTAATAATCGCAGGCCAGGGAAATATCGGTCAAGATCCTAACCAGTATGCGACCCATCCTGCTCCTTTCCAGTCCTATTCTGTTCAGTCCCGATCGCAATCGAATTCCATCGCGGCCGCTTGCATTACCCCGCTACTCCGCAATAACCACCATCTCAGACTGCGGTGGCTAACAGTGTTGACTAGGTACATCGATGGCGAAATCGTTCGTGAAGGTGTTTACGGCGATCAAGGTGATGGCGCGTACTCTGCCGGTGTAAGCTCTCCACCATCCCCACGAGCCTGGCCCGACTTTGCCCAATATACTACGCACCTAAATATTCCAGCTTTCAGGCTATATTAACATTGATGTAGCGCGGCGGGGCAGGGAACATCGGCTCCCCACGGGTCCGCCCAACCTCCAAAGTCCCGCATGACGCGGAGATGATCCCGGAACTGGCAGTTCGGAATTCCAGTGACGAGACGTTCCATACTGGGGTGAATATCCCTTTTCCTTGTGTTTTCGCAACTCCATGGGGTTAAGCGTTTATGCTGGTTGAATCTTTTGCTAACTGTGCTGTAGCGTGGCGGCCAGGGCAACGTTCACCTCGACGAAGCGACGAAGAACAAGAAGGCCATGGAGCCTGCGCACAAAGGGTTGGCGGATCTATTGAAGGATAAGTTGTTTGGGAAGAAGTGAGTTTCATGTGTGATCTACGGTGGATCCGCGGGAGTGGTGGGTGCGGTGGGGATGGAAGCTTGATTTTGTTTAGTTTTAGTTTGATTCCCTTTTGATTTGGATTGGAAGATTTTAGTTTTTGAGTAATGACGTTTTTGGAAATGCTTAGCTACTGAGGATCTGAAGTGCTATCCATTGCATGAGATTTGAAATTTAGATCTGCTATACATAACATTGAACATAAACATATCTTAAGTGCATATTCCATATTCGCGAATCCTTGCACGATCAAATGGCAGCTGACTGGCAGCGCAAAACAAGCTATCCATGCGCAAAGAATGAAACACCAAACATAAACCCATATCATACTCTCACCCATGTATCATAACGGCATTAAACATAAAAGCAAATGGTCAACGGATATCGCATCGGAACTGTGCAAAAAGAAAAAACGATGAATGGGAAAAGAAAAAAGAAACTCAACGCCGATGGGGATGGTAGTACATCTTCCGAGGAATTGCGTATGCGATGTATGGAAGAACAGTCGAATCAAATCTAATCTTTGCTGAATCGCCGCTTGAACCAACTCTTCCGCTTGTCGTTCAGATTCGTGGGTTTTTTGACAACGTTCATACCACCTTGCGAAGGCACATAGGTGGAGCTCGCAGCTGGCGCAGAGGGCCTGCCATTGACCTGGCTCTGGTATCCGTATTCGGCGCCATCTTGACGTTGCTGTAACTGGTCCACGGAACTATTGAGAGAGCTGGGGTCAGTCGATTGACCATAATCGGTATTTCCAGACGCTGATCCCGACATGGCAGTGACATTATCGTAAGAGCGCTGATGATATTGCGGGGCTCCATACTGGTTACCGTTGCCATAAACACCTTGGTCCGTTGACTGGCGTGATTGGTACCGTGGCCGACGCTGCTGTCCGTTCTGGTTGTAGGGGTATGGGTTCTCCAGAGCCTGGCTCGAGCTTGCATAGTCGATCACGCTGCCGGGACGCGATTGGCCGTTGCGACCATACTGGTTCTCGTGTCCGCGATTATTCGATCCTGCTCTTGTCAGCTACTATTGACGGGTGTCCTGGCGTTAAACATACCGTAGTAGCTTGTTCGTCGGCTGAAGTCTCCCATTTGTGAGGCGGCGTCATCTGGCAAGTAATCCTGATCAGTCTGGGGTCCCAGGGTGAGGATGAGAGCACAACGAACCTGTTCGGGCGTAGGAACCCCGGCGCTGAGTACCGTATGTTCCATTTATTGCGGCCTCGAACGATCGAATGGTATCCAGGGGGCGCTCAAAACGTGGACGGGTGGGGTTCGACCAGTCGGGATCGGCTATGAACGCAATGGTCAGTAAGAATGAACGATTGACGCCGCATGGTTGAAATCTCTCCAGATTTCCTTTCGGTGAGACGAACTGATCAGCTCTCCAAATTGATCTCTGTGTTGAGTTTCTCTCAATGAAGCCAGATTGGACTTCTCCAGCGCCACGGCCACTATGTAGAGAATTAGTATGGGACGAATGCGACCGCGCGGGTCTACCGCGCGTCGGGGGCTGATAAGAGCATACTCGGCTGTAACTCGGTCATAGCGACCAATGGATCGGCTTTGGTGTGTAAATTGCGACGGGCCTTTTCCTCAGAGGATTCGGAGAGTTGACTTTTGTGGCCGGAGGTGCTGGTACGATGAGAATGGTCGGATTTGACGCTGAATCCACGACTCCGTTGAGGAACGTGGGTCGGTTGGGGGGCGGCCATTTTATTTAGGGACGGGTCACCGTTTCTTGTTTAGCGTCCGAGATTCAAGGCAACTTGGGGGTAAACTGAAACAGGGTGTGATCTGCTTGAGCTACGGGCGTTGTGGAGCGCGCGATATGAAGGTGGAAACTGCCAAGACAGCACACAGGCCAGTTGAAGGACCGGCGCGAGTTCGTTGCGCGCGAAAGAAGCACTAAAGCAAGCTTTTGCAACACTAGTGTCGGATCTTTGGTCGATAGGATTCGCGTGGCCTGCCTGACTGGGTGGAGAAAGGCAAGATTGAGTAGACGGTGAAGGTTGGGGAGGAAAGAGATCGGGAGTGGAGTTGCACCGTTATGGGGAAATTTTAGGGGAGTTGCCAGCCTTAAATACAAAAGAAGAAGAGAGTTTTTTCTAATGGTTGACGACAGACGCCACGCAATAGAGGGTACAACGGGACCAAAAGTAAGAGTCCGTGGCGCATCATGAAGCGGAGCCTAAGTGTTCGTCGAGGCCGCGCAAGCACTTTTTCGTTTTTTCTACTTCTGTTATCCGGCTTGGAGTGGGTCAATCATCTATGCAGACACATTGACTGAGATTATTGAATTGTTAGACGCAAATCTCCAAGTGCACAGATTCCAAGCTACTTAGCTACTCCATGACCGCGGTAGGGTCACAGGCACAGATTTTCTTTGTCCGCACAGTGCCTGACGTTCCGTGGTACACAGCCCGGATGTCGCGTGCATGCGATTGGCGAGGTTCTTCCCTAGCGTCCCAGCCCTGATGGAAACACGCCTCCAGGGACCGAGCTACCTGGGGGTTCGACGTTTTTGCCGAGAGGCAGTCTCGTCCTTTCTGATTGATCCTACTGTTTGAGATCCACATTTATACATATGTAATCCGATTTAGCTCCATCACCATTTGACTTCGAGGCACCCCAACTGACTATGGCTTGCAAGAATATTCCTAACACTACGCTACTCCGATTCTGCTCATCTGTTTCACCTCACCAAGCGAAATGTTGAAAATCTTGGTTGGAGCGTGTGATGCATGGGCACCCGGCTTGTTCCAATTGGCTAGCGGATAAGGCTTTGTGCCTCGGTCCCACAGTATTATTTTTAGATCTATTTCCGTCTAGATATTCAACGCCAGTGGAGTTTCATCGCTAATAAACTACTCCGTATCTCCCATCAAAGCAGACTGCATGACGGGATTTATCTTTGCCGAGATGTGTAACTGGGTTGTTCGAGATGGGAATCTTGATCAACCGTTCCAAGGTTTCCATGAAGACGAATGACTGCATTGAGGACTAACTTGGAATCAGACCATTCAAGACGGGTTGAGATATTCTCTGTATCCCCACAGATTGCCCACCAGGTCAAATCAGATTACTTTGGTCAATTGCGACAAACTGGACGGGAATTGCTGATCAGGCTTCTCGGGCCCCACTGGTGATCATCAGGCATCCATATTCACAAAGTCTATTTGTTGTCAGAGAACATTTGAAATCGTAACGGTACAGAATCAGAATTGACTTGGACATTGCATTTCAGCTGTGTTTCAAGAGTCCTATCTGTGTTACATTTAAGCTCATAGGACCTTCGGTCCCGGTCTGGAAGTACATCTAGGCAATGACAAATGAGCTACCGCGCCAAGCAACGGGAACAGATAAATTCGTAATCTTATTTCAGATTCCAAGGTTAAAGTGAGTTAATATTAAGCATGATCTGGTGGCTGAGTACGGGTAGACTTAGGCGCTCATTATAACATTCTTTTGAGAATAGTTTCTCAAGTGCGGCCACGAGTGAAGCCCTGGCACCCGCCTGCGGGCAAAAATATATATTGACCAGCCACCCGGGTCTTCCGATGATGGGGACGTTTCCCTTAGGTAGAAGCTTAAGGTCTGGACTTTAGTTTGAGCCTGGCTCCAGGGCAAGAATCCAAATCCTCGCCTTTAGAATATATATACAGTATGTATACATATATGTAGCCGTACCTACATGAAAATATTCAAGTTGGTATATCTAGCATTGCTCAATTGTGTATATATATGGATGTTCCAACCTTGGTGTTATAAACATGGGCAGAGTGATTCAAATATGCCTTAGGTAGACTTCACGTAATGCTGGAAACCATGTCACATGCATAGACAAGCAACTCTTGAGACAACGGCCGTGGACGTCATACTACATAGAGGCTAGCCCTACAGTCTATTAATTCTACTGCCGAGGTCCCGGTCTAGACCAATACAAGTGGGCATAATCAGTCGCAATGGGTGGATATATTTTGGTTCCTAAAGACATGCCGTGGTGGAGTAGCCAAAGCAGGAAAAACTGCAATTCTTCTAACACCAAGACGAGGCCCACGAGGAATATCGACAATTGACCGGTCTGTTGAAATGGTATGGAATTTGGTGTGTATGAGTCAGATACACAGTGGGAGAGCGACGCTGCACGACCAGACAGATATCATGCATGCGCCAGGTGCCAGAGAAAATGAGAAATCACAGAGACGCCCCCAATTCCTTTTGGAGAGAAAAACAAGAGGCATCTCTTTCCCAGTTGGATACCGACACGAGTGAAACGGAAAAAAGGTAATTTTTTGATTCATAGGGCTTTGGATATGGGCCCTGTCTTCTCCCACGAATAGAACGTTATCAAACCGCCAACTCCATCACCTCATATCAACATCGGCTCGTTCCGTCGACTTTTCCTTGCCTGACCGACCGTCCGCGCGAAGAAAGGGAATCGCCACTAGATACAGGTTTTGCCGTTTAGATGTTGGAGGGGTAGAGCATGACGCGGACGGTGGCACCGAAGGTCTTGGGGGGGAGGTTGTTGCGGAACTTGGCGCGCACAACACCGGAGTTGCCTGGGCCTTGTTAGAATTTCGAGAAAAGAGTAGACTTGTAGATTCATCACATACCGTGAGGGCGGGTAACCTTGCCCCAGATCACCCGGATGTTGGAGCCACGGACCTCACGCTTGGCCCGGTAGACGAAAGCGACCTTCTTGCCAAGGTAGAACTGAGCAGCCTTGGAGTCCTCGACACCCTCGATCTTAACCAAGCTGTTCAACACAATCAGATTCCATTCTTCCATTCGATCATTTCGTTGTGCGTGGGGGGTATGTACCTGGTGTTGGGGTTCTGGGTGTGCTTGGCGCGCTGGTAGCTCAGGTGGCGACCCCTAAAAAATTCCGTATTAATCTTCCATTCAAAATCGTATGCTGTTTGTGTGCAATCTGTGTGTGGTGGATAGCGGGTAGTATGTGGTGCGTGATTTCGTGGTGTTCCAAGTCCATCGAGATTCCTTATGTCCTTGCTGATCGAACCACTTTCGAAATGGTGCATGCATGTCTAACGTGATGGCGAAAGATGATAACTTACTTAACGTAAACTAGGAAGAGAAAAGGGGTTAGCATAACATATTCATTTCGATCGGATCTCCATCCATCTTGATGCGCTCGGTTGTTGAACGGGTTCTTCGAGACAGATAACGGAGTTCATGGGGGCGCACTCACGGCGGTGACCTTGTTCCGAAGGCATGTTGACGGCTTTTTCTCTGAGCAGCGGGCGAGGAGGAGAAGTCGAAGAAATGACCCGCAAGAGATCAGAAGTCGTTGCCGGTTGTCGTGGATGTCGTCGCTTCGATAGAGTCGAGCGCACAATCAATTTGCAAGGTGTGGTGGCTGACTTTCGCCCTAGTCCCAATTAGGATCTTAGCGACAGGGTAAGCGAGATCCCGTGACTCCACACACTAGGCTAGAACTGGATCCATGGATTCCTCAGGAACAAACGCAAGATCTGTATCTCCGGGATCCGTAATTCCTCGATCACATAAGCAGTACTCTTTCAATCACATGACTATCCCACCTGATCCCACCCCACCGCTTTCAGCTATTCTGCCCAGGTCGGGCTACAGTAGTCCGGCCCGGTTTGTCCAAGTCGGGGGCTGGATGCATATCGCTGACAAACTTCACCATGACGACACTATACTTCAACCTAGTTTTGAGCTCCAGCTTCAGTGGGAATCGGTTAATGTGAAGATTCTATCGGCTTTTGACCAGGTGGACTAATAAATTAGTTGATATTATGTGTCAATTCCGAAGCATTGGTGTTCCACCTCATCTATAGTGACGGATATCACTACTCCGGCGTGCCACAGACCGAAAGCACTGATTGGGAAAACCAAAGCCATCCGCCCTTCTGCCCCACCATTTTAGCTGGGATGATTCGCATCTTTCGTGCGAGTCAGCCATTACGGTAAGCTTGTCATTAAAACGATACACCCTGTACCGACTTAGTCGGATCTTATACATGGGCCACGGTTAATATGTCCCGAATCCGGCGTTCACTGGACCGAGCGCTTAGATCGGTGCCCCGGAGTTACTGCGACTCACGGGAAAATAGAATCCGTCTGGTATGAGAGATGACAAATGCGCCGATCTCCCTCACTCCACGATTTGGGTCACCGGGGGGCTTATCAGGATACCGTTTTACAATTCTTTACAAGGTATGATGAAATACTTGAGAAGACATGCAATCAAGATTTTATTCCACATTAGGAACACGAAAGTAGGCAATAAGATCTGAGTTAAAACTGCATTGATCAAAATCCCGTGATTCATAAACTTTGTGGAGTTGTGCTACAAGGGTTCCCTGCAACATTCCACACACTGGTCTGATAGGGTGGTTTCTGCTGTACCTTGTAAAGTCGCAGCCACCAAAGAAAGAAGGGAAATCTCCACTTCTGAGTGCATCGCTGACCGCATTATGTCTGTGATAGCCATTTTTTCTCATGTATCATAGGCTTTCATAATCAGGGCCACGTACTCCACCCTAAATTCAGGCTGTTTGGAACCGTGTCTAACGGGGGGAATCAGTAATCAAATCACGTCACCGTATGTATGAGCTTATCAGATGACCTGTTTCTTTCGTTTTCTTTTTCAGCCTTGGCTTCTAGAATGTCCATTTGAATTTAGATCCTTGAAGGTTATTTTGGTCGTACATAACTTTCAGCCCCAGGACAGCCCCAAGAACTTCCGTGTGATATGAAGTTTGTAGGGGCCAGAGCATCCAGAGAAAAGAGAGGAAAGAGTAAAGAAGGAGATGTGAATGCGGGTCGTGTCCTCTTTTATGTAGTGACCAAATGGATAGCGAAAGTGGCCGACGACACGGAGCCGGAGTTAAAGTATCTGCAATGCTGACTCGCTACGAGGTAATCCCATGAACCTACTGCTTATATAGGCAAAAAGAGGGTGAAAAGCCCCGTCTTAGCCCCGAAGTCCATGACCAAAGCAGTAATCTTAATACCTGAAGGTCATTGAAACATAAAATACCCAGACATTCAAAATTGCCCCACCGAAAGCTCATGGTCGACGCATTGAAAAGTACCTGCTCCGCCGGAACCTGTTGGATCTGTTCCCTCCCAACAACTTTCCAATCTTAATTTTCCTCCTTTTCCCATATCTCTCTCTGTGTCATTATTCCCTTCCCTGTTCATTTTACTTATACCCAGTTGTGTTGTGTGGAAAGATGGCCAGTATGATCAACCAGACCGATGAGCGCCAAAGTGCTGGGTGAGTGCCCCTACTCTGACATCACCTTTCCCCCTCTCTCTCCGGCAGCGGAAGCGTGCCGGCTACACCTCAACTTCACCCCTACCGAATTGTCGCTCTCTGAACGAGCGCACGCTGCTATCTCTTCTCGACTTTTTTTTTTTTCTCCTGCCATCCTTGCTCTGGTCACTTTTCCTAGACTCGCCTCATCTCAATCTTACCCCCCCGCTTGAACCCCTCCATCGGCCATTATCCTCTGCAAATTTTGCGCTCGTCAAGCTGAGCCGTTTTCGACTGACAATGGCTTCCCAACGTAGCACCATCGAATTGAAAGATGACACCATTATTGTGGTTCTCGGAGCCTCGGGCGATCTCGCCAAAAAGAAGACGGTTTGTGTCTCGTTGAAATATCTAGCTTGGGTGACTCAGGACTAATTCATTTGCCAGTTCCCCGCACTATTCGGTCTCGTATGTGCTCGATAACCCATGGAAGTCCGCCAATTCTGGAGCTCAACTAATCTCCTCTAATTTTAGTTCCGGAACAAGTTCCTCCCCAAGGATATTAAAATCGTCGGATATGCGCGGACGAAGATGGACCACGAAGAATACCTGAAGCGCGTGCGCTCGTACATCAAGGTTCCCACAAAGGAGATCGAGGAGCAATTAGATCAGTTCTGCAAGCTGTGCACCTACGTTTCCGGCCAGTACGATCAGGATGATTCGTTCATCGAGCTTAACAAGCACCTCGAGGAGGTCGAGAAGGGCCGACAAAGCAAGGAGCAGAACCGTGTCTTTTACATGGCTCTGCCCCCGAGTGTCTTCATTACCGTTTCCGAGCAATTGAAGCGCAACTGCTACCCTAAGACTGGTCTTGCCCGCATCATAGTGAGTTTTGAGAACTCGGTTTCTACCGAGGTACATTTTGGCCCAGCTGGCAGGAGGTGCTAATACCCTATTCTCACCATAGGTCGAGAAGCCCTTCGGTAAGGATCTGCAGAGCTCGCGCGACCTCCAGAAGGCCCTGGAGCCCAACTGGAAGGAGGAAGAGATCTTCCGTATCGATCATTACCTGGGTAAGGAGATGGTCAAGAACATTCTCATCCTGCGATTCGGCAACGAGTTCTTCAATGCTACATGGAACCGTCACCACATCGACAATGTCCAGGTAGGTGCCGAGATGGACTAAACCATATAAGATAAACTTGACTAATCCCTGTGCAGATCACATTTAAAGAGCCCTTCGGTACCGAGGGCCGTGGAGGTTACTTCGACGAGTTCGGCATCATCCGTGATGTTATGCAGAACCGTATGTTACTATGTATTCAGATGCCACCATGATACTCCATGATACTAACCAATACCAGACCTTCTGCAGGTCCTCACCCTCCTTGCTATGGAGCGCCCCATCTCCTTCTCCTCAGAGGATATCCGTGACGAGAAGGTCCGTGTCCTCCGTGCCATGGATGCCATTGAGCCCAAGAATGTCATTATTGGCCAGTATGGCCGCTCCCTTGACGGCAGCAAGCCTGGATACCTGGAGGACGACACTGTGCCCAAGGAGTCGCGTTGCCCAACCTTCTGTGCCCTTGTTGCCTATATTAAGAACGAGCGTTGGGATGGTGTTCCCTTCATCCTGAAGGCCGGTAAAGGTATGTATTGACTGCAGATGACCTCACTCTCAGCGAAAGTATTGACCATTCTCTAGCCCTTAACGAGCAGAAGACCGAGGTCCGCATCCAGTTCAAGGACGTCACTTCCGGTATCTTCAAGGATATTCCTCGTAACGAGCTTGTCATCCGTGTCCAGCCCAACGAGTCCGTCTATATTAAGATGAACTCCAAGCTGCCCGGCCTGTCCATGCAGACAGTAGTGACCGAGCTGGACTTGACCTACCGCCGCCGTTTCTCTGACCTCAAGATCCCCGAGGCTTACGAGTCCTTGATTCTTGATGCTTTCAAGGGTGACCACTCTAACTTTGTTCGTGACGATGAGTTGGATGCCAGTTGGCGCATGTTTAGTCCGCTCCTGCACTACCTGGACGACAACAAGGAGATCATCCCCATGGAATACCCATACGGTATGTTTTCCGCATCAATCAGCAGCCGACACCCTTGCTAACCACTCTCCTCTAGGCTCTCGCGGTCCTGCTGTCCTCGACGACTTCACTGCCTCCTATGGCTATAAGTTCAGTGATGCCGCTGGTTACCAGTGGCCGGTGACCAACACCACCCCCAACCGTTTGTAGATGGTGGTTAATGTAGCAGTTTACGACGATACGGGTGGGCTATGAAGACGAACAAAATCCAATTATTTGATTTCCCCTCACTTCTGTTAGCAGGCCGGCCGGGCTGGCGGGAGTTGCGTCGTGATCTTGGGTTACCAAGCTTCATGATGCTAGAAATGGAGGCTCAGCAATGAAACAATGTTACGCAAACATGAAGCTTTTTTTATGTATTTCCGGCTTTCGTTTATTCCAAGGTGTCTGCATGTAATCCCGGAATAACTCTGAATTTTCTCTGATACTCCGGTGCTCCCGCTTATTTCCCTAGTCAATGTTTGCGTATAGCTTATCCACTTAATCCCCGGGCTCCAGTCCACCACGTACGCCATGCAATTTCGTTCTATAAATGGCTCCATTACTCAGCAAGCCAATCACGTCTCTCTATTACTCCCCAAGCTTCATACTCCTGCGAAATCTACTAAATTAATGACTAACACGTCATGTTATATGGCAGAAAATGTTTGCTGTAATTGAAAGGCAATATTGATTACCCCGGTTTCTCATCTTGGAACCCAAACCGGTCATTAGTCGTCGCAGCCCCTGGCGGGTCTCGCACGATAAGACCGGGGGCCCGCATAAACAGCGCTCAGGCCAGGTCCTTTTTTCTCCCGTCCGCTTCGCTTGCGCCCCAGAAATACGACATCCCAGAATCCAATTTCTACGTCCTTTATCTTTGCCCCAATTGAGCGCCTCATTCGCATACGCATTTACCTCACCCTCTACTACCCACGCCGGAACGGGAGCACCACGCAACCCAACCCAACCCGCGCAAAGATTGGCACCCCTCGGCCGCGCATGTCCAAGTCTCGTGCGGTACATCCAGTCCAAGAATTCACGACCGTAGGCCAGAATTGAAAGACACCGATCAATCTTACCCCCTAGACGACAAAACGAGTTCGATTACCACGTTGCTTCCGTTCCGTTCAACCCACCCGCATCGGGCACAACGCGCCAACCAGTCCCAATCCCAATCCCCGGATTATTTCGCCTGATAGAGGGGGTCAGGCTACCTTTGAGCTGCACTCGACAACGCGCACGGGATCATATACGATCAGATTGGGTCTATCCCCGGAGGAGCTGAGCACATGCTAGTGCGCGCACAAGATGCCGCAGGCCGCACGATGGGCTGGAACTCCCTCTATTAAGGGAAAGTCGGAGTCAACGCGCATGATGCTGTTAACATTTAGTTTGGTGGGATTACAGTGCGTTCCCCCTACGTTTGGTTTGGTTAAGGAGGGTCTGGTGGATTTGGTATACTGAGTTGTGGCTGACTGGGCTTATGGCAGGTTTACTTGGGGTACTGAAATGACCTGTAAGTATAGGCGAGACCCTGGATGTATGTTGGAACTTGAGCTGATGCGTTTTTTTTTCTTTTTAATTCCAGATTGCACGCCCTATCTTCTTCAGCTCGGTTTGACAAAGTCGAAAACATCGTTGGTGTGGATTGCTGGGCCGCTGTCTGGATTGATTATTCAACCTCTTATTGGTGTGATTGCAGATCGGTCACGGTCTAAATGGGGTCGGCGCAGACCGTTTATGGTGTTTGGGTCTTTTGTTGTGGCGCTTTGTCTGATCGTACTGGGATGGACGGCGGAGATTGTGGGGTTATTTGTTACGGATCCAGAAAAGGTACCGATGCTATTTTATAAATTGATCTGTGGGGCTGGAGGCTAACTGTTTTGGTTGCAGGCTAAGAATATTACTATCGCACTAGCTGTTTCAAGTATCTATGCTGTGGATTTCTCTATCAACGTTGGTAAGTGGGGAATAGATTTGACTAAGATCACTGCTCATCCGTTCTTAGTACAAGCATGTTGTCGCAGTCTTATTGTCGATACATTGCCGATTCCATTGCAACAAGCTGGGTCCGCCTGGGGTATGTTTCGATTTTACCGTGTTGAAGAGAGTATTTCTAATGATCTATAGCGGGCCGGATGTGTGCTATTGGCCAACTCATTAGCTATGTGATCGGCTCAATTAACACTGTCAGCATTTTTGGAAGTCTTTTCGGAGATACGCAGTTCAAGCAGATGACCGTTATTGCCGCATTTTCGTTGGTCGCTGCTGTGGCTGTAACTTCATACTCGGTGAAAGAGCGCGTTCTGATTTCTGCGAGGTGAGTAATCTCTCCATGTTGCAAGTTTCCGGCACTAAAGTTTGCTCGACAGGGATTCCGAAGGCTCAGCTGGTGCAATTCAAGTGATTCAGCAGCTTTTCAAGACCACAATGGAACTGCCACCCCGTATCCAGGCTATCTGTTGGGCCCAGTTCTGGGCTTGGATCGGTACGTTGCAAATGTAGCAAACGACGAATCCTCTTGCTAACGAACCCAGGATGGTTCCCTTTCCTGTTCTACAGCACCACCTGGGTAGGCGAGACCTACTTCCGGTACGAAGTACCAAAAGACGAAATCACCAAGTCTACCGATATGCTCGGCGAAGTTGGTCGTGTGGGCAGTCTCTCACTCGTCGTCTTCTCATCCATCACCTTCATCAGCTCCGTCCTCCTTCCATTTTGCGTACAATCTCCTGACAACAAACGCTCCCGCTTCACACCCCGCCCCCCACCAGGCATGGCTGCCGTGCTAAAAGCCTTCACCGCAATCCGACCGGACCTCCAAACCGCCTGGTTCATCTCCCAGCTCATGTTCGCCGTAACCATGATTTTCGCCCCACTAGCCCACTCCCGTGCCTTCGCCACGACCCTAGTCGCAGTTTGCGGTATCCCTTGGGCAATCAGCGCCTGGGCCCCTTTCGCATTCATGGGCGTAGAAATCAACAAATTGACCATGAACGGTGCCTCAGCACCGGGTATCGCTGCATCATCCACCCGTGCCGGCGTGACGATGATCACATCAGCCAGTCTACGTGCCAACGCAGCAGCAGATACCGAGCTGGAAGTCCTGAGGCTAAACCACCGGGACTCGGATAGTGACAGCGACGAAGAGGATCCTTCGTCATTACACTCTAATATCCCGTCAACGGGAGAATTAACGGGCATTTACCTTGGTGTACTCAACGTGTACACTACGCTTCCGCAGTTCGTTGGCACGTTCATTAGCTGGATTGTCTTCACTATTCTTGAGCCTAGCGCCACGAAGCTTCCGAAGGATGCTGATGCGTCTGATGCTCAGTGGATGAATTTGGATAAAGACAAGCCTAATGCTATTGCCATTTGTCTTTTTATTGGGGCGTTGAGTGCGCTTGTCGCTGCTGAGGCTACAAGGCGGTTACGATACGTGTTATAAGCCCTCCAAGCTGAAGAGCGTATTTATAGATGCGTGGACATGATATGATTTTGACCATAAGATGCAAAGAAAAACTCAAAAGCTGTATACTCGAGGATCTGGTCAATTGTGAGCCTGTTCTAATGAAGAGGTAGCTCGGCGCCCGTTTTGTACAGTGGGGATCGCTTGGAGTCCTGGACGTGTGGCTTGAGATGTGCATATTAGATTTGATACCTATAATAATTCCTAATGACCATTCAATCAATCTCTAGGCTCTATCTGTAGCAGCACATTCCGTCTCATTCCATGTTTGAGATTGGTCACATTAGTATCAATCCCTGATCCATCAACGGCAGGTATATCCCGAGGCAAAATCCCGGCCATCTGGATATATATTGAAACATTATCTTTGAAACCCTCTAACCATGAATAGAACCTTGTCTCACAAAGTTGAATACACATTGGAACCCCAATGATATCCAGAAACCCCGAATAAACCCCTTACCCTAAGCACAGAAACCCTAAACCCCTAAGGAATTGACCGCAAGTATAGGTTGATTGATAATCATCGACCAGCGGAAAAGTGGGGCTGTGACGAAATGATGAAATATAATAGAACTTCTTCACGAGCTTAAATTTCGTCCCCCAACCCCTCACCAATTTCAAATCTTCTTCAATCTTCCAAACAATTACAACTTCACTCAAATAAAAATGGCTCCTAAAGTCCTTGTCGTTCTCACCTCCCATGACCAGATCCCTGGCGTCGGACCTACCGGCTGGTATTTGGTACGTTTAGCTACCCCGCCATAGCTCCGTCCGAGCTACCCCCTAGCAACAAGTCCATACCTACAAGACATTGAATTGACGGACCAAAATGCTAATTAATCTACTATCCAGCCCGAATTCGCTCATCCATGGGAAGTCCTTAATAAAAAGACTTCCTTGACCATTGCCTCCCCAAAGGGCGGAAAAGCCCCACTGGACCCCAACTCCGTGAAGATGTTCGAAGCAGACCCCGTGTCCAAGTCTTTCTTGCAAAACCAGGAGGCACTATGGAGCAACACGGAGAAGCTGGCCGATGTGGCTCCCCGCGCCGGAGAGTTTGATGCTATTTTCTACGTTGGTGGACATGGACGTATGTACACACCGCCATTCCAACCCATTCCATACCACGAGAAGAGTTGGAGGATTAGCAATTGCATGTGACTAATATCTGATGCAGCCATGTTCGATCTCACAACCGATCCAGTTTCCATTTCCCTCATCGAGACTTTCGCTGCGGCCAAGAAACCCGTTGCTGCGGTCTGCCACGGACCCTGTGTTTTCCTTAACACGAAGAACACATCCGGCGAGTCTCTTATTGCCGGTGCGGAGGTGACTGGATTCTCTAACTTGGAGGAGGACCAGGTGCAGCTTTCGGCTGCCATGCCTTTCATGTTGGAGACTGAGTTGCAGGCTAAGGGTGGTAAGTATGTTAAGGCTGATGAGCCTTGGGGACCTAAGGTCATTGTTGATAAGACGAACGGGATTGGAGGTGTTTTGATTACTGGACAGAATCCCGCTTCGGCTACTGGAGTTGGAGAGGCTATTCTCAAGGCTTTGGGGCTTTAAGTATCCTCTGAATATCACGTAATGGCAAGTGAAGCATTCACTCCTGATCCAATGTTTTCGCCTCTTTCCCTCTAGCTCCTCATCAGTCGAAACTACTTGCCCATCAAACACCGTATTCGTCTCCAAGCTGTGGCCAGAATAAAAGAAAGACAGGGACGCAATACATCAACAGTATGATAACAAAAACAATGATATCCTCCTAGTGAAGAAGAAAATGAGTACAGGATAGTAAGCGGACTGAGCGCAGAACAGAAGCTGAATGAATTTTCAGTTATCGTTAGGAGGAAAGAACTTTTCTAATAGAAAGTAGTCGGCCAGGGAATGATTTAACTCCAAAGTGGGATCAAGCCCAGGGCCCGAAAATAATGGGAGATTTTGGTCAGTTGCGAGCACGTCCATTATCTCAGAGCCAATACCCGTATCAACGGCAGATTCTCGTCCTTTCAACGCGTTGTTCAAATGCTCTAACTTGTTAAGTCCTTTTTGCCTCTCTTGGGTAACAAGAAAACAGGCAGTATCATAAGACTCCCGAGTCAATCCAGTATCGTATTGAGCAGTAACCTTTCGCAAGACTTCCAGAGCCTCTGTTAAAAGACACAAAGAGCGATCCGTGTCAATGACGAGACAGACACAAACAATCTGAAAGGGTATATTGATAACGTGCCACCAAGGAGAGGCAAGGTTAACAAGATTGCTCACAACTGACAGTGTATTCTTTGCCAAGTCCAATATTCTTCCCCGTGACACATCAGTCAATGGCCTGCGGAGCGCTCTAGCTCGACGAAAACAGCAAAGAGCAATATTGCATTTTAAAAGCTGGAGCATGGGTTGTGCCGGACTCAATACACAAAGGTCGGCGATTAGCGACTCCAGCTCCTCCGGCTCGAAATCAAATTGTCGACCCAGACGACAAGACATATAGCAAAGCTGAGTCTGGTCCTTGGTCCAGATTTCCTGAGGAAGCTCAGTGGACGCGCCACGCAACTCGACTTGGGATTTTCCACAGTCTGCTGACACCCATGTATTGAATAATTGCGCCACCCAGAAGATGCGACGACGTAAATTTGCCGGGCATGGGCTTCCAGATTGAGCTAATATCCAAGTCTTCGATGGCTCCAGGTGCAGTCTTGTTGTTTCGACCATATGCATCAATGTGCAACATGCCATCCACGTTGCCTGCGGAGTGCTTGTCGCACGGAGGTATATGACGCGCAGTAACCATCCAAGGACGTGATCAATTTCCGGACAAGGTAGCGAGCTTGACTGCTCTAGGGCAATTCGTATGCATTGTACCAGTCTAGTTTCATGGATGCCGGGCTTCCCCCCAAAAAGGCAGCCGAGAGCTGCGACACCACAGAGCATGGAGTCTCTCGAATCTTGAGATCCATTGTGCCAGAGCTTGGAGATAGCAGCGTCGACATATTCCCGATCCAGAAAGTTGTACACCGGGGCCACGTGCAAAAAGTAATCTGTAGTATACTCGTACATCTGATTGAGACTCAATATGTCCGTGAGGCGCAGTGATTGTGGGGCGGTTGTGGTTTCCCTATCAAGACCCAGATTCCATGCGTAGCAGCTCAAGCGGGGGGCCGATGCTGGATTTATTTTCAGTCCAAGCTGTCGGACGAATACAGCAGGAGAATTTGCTTCTATGAGGCGCAGCGCAGAGCTTTCCCCATCATCCTTATTAAGGCCAGCCACATCTTGAGAAACTGATCGTTTTTGGCTGTTTCGCTTGATTTTCTTTCGCTGTTCATATTCGCAGTTGTGATCGTTTGCCTCGCAATATGCGCATGGCAGTCCGCCGTCACACCTGCGTTTTCGCTGCCGACAAGAAATGCACGCTTTCTTTGAACGATGGGGATTAGGATCCGCAGACATGGTGGGTGACAAATATGTAGGAGATGCCAAAGTCACATTCCAAGCCGAGAAATTCCTATCAGAATGTGTCATGGACTTTGTTATGTAATTAAATTTGGAGCGCCCAGAGGGCTCGCTATCTGCTTCATTCTCGCTGGTTTAATGTTCACTGTGGAGGGAAGCTGCGACTGATCTAGAATTCAGAGTCTTCAGTTCTACATAAAGTGGTTGAGGCTTTTCAGATTCAGTCATGACGGACTTGAAAATCTGTGGACACTGGAGATTCCCCGGGGATTGGAGAAACTCCCGAGGTCGGACACTGTCTACAGTACCGAGGTCTTTCAAAGAATCTATACCCGTCAATGACAGGTGAAAAAGTGACATCCTTGGTCTATGTATGGGCTTAGGTGGTGCTCGGATATATCTTCAACTGCCTTTCCAAGGTTGATGACGGTGCGGCATTGATGCGGACCGCATCAGCGCCGCATCAGACCGCACGAATGCCGCAGATTCCCCCGTCCCTTCGAACGGCCTCGATCAGCAATAAAAGAATACTCCTAAGTCACAATGATGCCTTTAAATGTTGCAATGTGCCATTTACCACATTCATTAAAAACCCTTTATGGAAAGGTGTTAGCTGGCCATGACCGAAAACCACAGCATTTCCCGAGACGGGAGTCAGGATGAGGCTCAAACCAACACGACCCTCCAGCTTGAGATCATCTACCTCGACTTGAATTTTGACTCCGACCTACCTCAACCATCACCTTACAGCAGGCCCGACATCCCACCCCCAAATCTATCGAAATTGACCTCGCCTTACGACTGGTCCCCAGCACAAAAGTCAGTAGTGCTCGCGGTATCCTGCACCTCGACATGTTTTGCTTCATTTGCCGCGAGTTGCTACAGTCCCGGGGTCGAGCAGATGGCATCAGAGTGGAACATCGGTGAAGTCGCTTGTCTCGTGGGTATCACTACGTTTTGCTGCGGCTTCGCGGTTGGACCCATGTTCCTAGCTCCCTTCTCCGAAATCACTGGAAGAAAGCCTGTGTTCGTGGCTACTGCGATCCTGCTTGCTATTTGTCAGCTTTGCTGCGCCGTCACCAGGCTATATTCGGGGTAAGTTTCGAACATCATGGCGTTCGCAGAAATACATGTGCAAGTGAAGATCTAACCGTTCTTAGGATGCTTGTTGCCCGCCTTTTCGCTGGAGTGGGCGGCTCGACTTTCTCTACGATGGTCGGAGGCATTATCGCTGACATTTGCATGCCGAAGAATCGGAATATGCCCATGGCCTTGTTTTCTGTTGCTGCGATCTTTGGGACGGGACTGGGTCCGCTGGTGTGTGGGTTCATCGCGGAGTACACGACCTGGAGGTGGATCTTCTATATTCAAATCATCATTGCTGGAATGATTACCCTAGCTGTGATCTTCCTATTCAGAGAAACTCGCGGCCTGGTCATCCTTCGCGCCAAAGCAAAGAAACTGAATGAATGGTATGATGCCCTTGAAGCCAGCGGGTGCTACGGAGTTCGATTTCCCACCGAGGAGAAATCAGTCAGAATCCGATGGAGGATTGCTGGAGATGAGGAGCGAGCCGGTCTTTCGGAAATGTTATGGACATCAACGACGCGTCCGTTTCATCTGTTATTCACCGAACCCGTCGTCTTCTTCTTCTCGCTGTGGGCCGCGTTTAGCTGGTCTGTCCTATACATCAACCTGTCGGTGATCCCCCTGATATTCCAAGAGCACTATGGCTTTAGTCTGTCAGAGTCAGACTCTGTCTTCACTGCTACATGCGTGGGAAGCTTACTCGCGATGACCATATCTATCGTGCAAGACAACTTGGCTTCGCGCCGCAAAGGGTGGAACTCGGTTCCGGAACATAGACTATACTTCAGTTGTCTGCAGAGCATATTGCTTCCAATCGGGCTTTTTCTCTTTGGGTGGACATCGCAATTTTATGTCCATTGGATTGTGCCAGCTATAGCCGTGGCTATCGCGACTATGGGCATCTTCTCAATTTACCTGGCTGTGTTTAATTACCTTGCTGATACTTATCACCGGTATGCCAGCTCGGCACTTGCTGCGCAAAGCTTTTGTCGGAACATGATGGGTGGGGTATTCCCTCTGGTTTCCAAACAATTATTCACCAACCTGAAATTTGGTCCTGCGGCAAGCTTGCTAGGTGGTATTGGAGCGGCTTTGACGCTTGTTCCTTGGTTGCTTGTATTCTTTGGACCGAAAATTCGACGTGCGAGCAAGTTTGCTAGTGAAGCGATGGACTAAAATGGCATTTTCACAAACGATATAGACATAGACACATAAGCACCTGTGGTGAATGAAATACCAATTGGACATGATATAGTTCCAAACAATTAAATGTAGTTGGATTGACTAATATAACTAAATCTTAAGTAGACTAATATCATAGAACAAAACAAAGCGATTCGTATTTAGCGATCTGAATCAGCTTGGGGAATTCAGCAGCGAAAGGGGAATAGAGCAAGCAAAAGAGCAGATTGGATCTGCCCGGGGAATAAAGGTGTAAAGAAATAGGAAATAGAAACCGGTCTGTCCAGCCGGATCGTATGGAGAAGGTAGGGGCAGAACCAAAAGTAAATCACAGTCAAAAGATCCCGTCAATCGTATCATATCGCAGGGCTCCTTGTCGGACTTGTCTCTTGGATTCATGAGATGAGAGTGACATGACTTTAAATCGTGAGACGTGAGGATAGCAAGCACGAGAACAGACGGAAGTCTGGTCAAGAGGGGTGCGAATGATGAGGAAAGAGACGATAAGACACTAGGTTGGCCCAGGTGAAGGTAGTCTTATGGTTGAAGGTGAATGTGACTAAAAGAACAGGCTCTGTTAGAGTAGGCTGAATTAGCGGGCGGCCTCCATGTCGCCGGTGAGTTCGGCGACGCGGGCCTTGATGCGAGCAACACGAGATTCGATAGCTGGGTAGAATGTTAGTAGGACAACGAGATGATATGATCATGGTAGTACTTACTCTCTTCACCACTGGTGTCTCCCTCATCTGTACGTTCCGACTGGCTGGTGCGAGTATCGGGCTCCTCAGTCGGGAAAGCAGTGCGCTGGGCAGCGTTCTCGCGAATCTGCTTCCACCGGTCCTCAGATGCGTTCAGAGGGCTCACAGGCTTGATCTTCTCCTCGCGACCGTTGGTCGGGGTTTGGGGAAGTTCAGGCTCAGTTGCTGGGTTGGGAGTGACGGGTTCATCACCATCCTCGGGAACGAAAGCGGGCTGCTCAACCAGAGGACCCTGGTCGAACTTGGAGAACTCTTGGTCAGCGGCATCGCGCTCGTTGGTATCGACACGGGACAATGCGTCGTATTCAACAGCGCGGCGGGTCTGAGGCGGGCTACCGGTACCAAGAATCTGAGCGTGCTGCTTAGCCACGGGCTCGGGCTGCTGAGGCGTAGAGGGCTTGACGGGCTTCGGAATAGGGGCTTCCGTCACAGTGGACTGTTGGCCGGCAACGGGCTTCTTCTTGAGGACAGCCTTGGGGGGTGACTCCTTAACAGGGGCCCCTTGAGCAGCCTTGGCCTTGGCCTCGAGAGCCGCACGAGCAGCTGCCACGGCCGAGCTAGTGTCACTGACACCGACCTTCACAGGAGGCGAGTCGGTCTTCTTCTTGCTGACAAACATGCTCTTGAAGCCACCAGTGTTACCGGCCTTCTTCTTGAGCTTCTTGCTTTCATCGGCAGCAGTCTGGGTCTCAGACTCGGCGGGCTGCTCAACAACGACAGCCTGGGCATCCTTGGTATTCTCCTTGTCCTCCTCAGGGAAGGTCACGGCTTTAGCCAAAGTCTTCTTGGCTGGTTCAGGCGAGGGCGGCAGCGGAGTGCCCACGGCAGCAGTGTCCTTTGGAGGCGGCGGGGGTCCAGACTTAGATGTGCTGGGTGGAAGGGGAGCTGAAGGTGTCTCGGGCTTCTCCGTTGGCTCGGGAACATGCTCACCGGTGTCCCCAGACACGGCACCTGTTCCAGCGCGGCTGTTGTTAAGATAGGCAGTACGGAAAGTGTTCTTGTCGTAGTTGCTGGCCCACTTCATGGCCGATGAAGCCTCGTTCACAATACCCGGCTGGAGAGTAAGGACTGAGTTAGTCTTGGTCGAATAAGCGTCAGAACGCGATTGACCCCCGGCATCCTTTGCCTCGGCCTCTTGCTCACGATTCTTCTTCTGAAGAGCTGCAGCCGCGGCCTGAATTCGCTTGTGCTGGTCAGGACCAATGCTAGTCTTGCTCTGCTGAGCTTGGTTGTTAGCCCGCTTGTAGGAGTCTTCCACCGAGTCCACCTTCCTGGCAGAAGACTTTCGGCGACCGAGCTTAGTTCCCTTCCGACTGCCAAAGCTGAAGAAGCTCTTCTTCTCAACAATTTGTGCGCCTGCCTCCGGTTCAGGGGCAGCACCCTTGATCTGCTCCTCGAGAACCAGCCATTTGGTTTCCCGAATGACAGTTTCAAGGAGAGCACAGCGACCAAACACGGCCTTGCGCGAAGACGGCTCATCACCAGACAGACTGGTGATCCAGACCCACCAGAACGAATCATCCAAATCCAAAGTGTTAATGCTGGCCAGCTCAGCTGGCTCGAGGGCTGGTTCAGGGGCCAAAGCACGTCTGTGCGATTGAGAGCTCTGGCCGCGAGTAGCCGCGATCGGGGGAAGGACCTTGTCTGGCGGCAAGAGGAGACCAACCGGGGCCTTCAGGGGATTATCATCCGAGAAGCCGGACGACATAAAGTCTGCCCAGGATGGGGTTGTGGGACGTCCCAGATCACCACCCTGCGACCTAGGCGCCGTGTTGATGCTAGCAGCAGTGTCGGTCTTTGGGGCTGGAGCCTGCTTTTCTTCATCTTCCGGGTCCGACTCAATTGAACCACCAAATCCAATGTCCTCAAAACGGGACCATGACGCATCCCGCAAGCTAGTTGACTGCTTCGAGCTCGAAACACTTGACTCATTAGTCGATGAGATACATTTCAAAACACGCAGACACTCGTCGGTCAGCGCTTTAATCGGGTCCTCAAAGTTGGCGAACTCTTGCAGATGCCAGTGCTCGTCGCGGTATTCAAAGTTCTTTGCGCGGCGCAACAAAGAGAAGGGTGTGGGTGAGACGGTATCAACAATCATGACAACTTTAGTGGTCGTAACTTGGAGGAGAGTCGGGGTTTCTGGGGGATATTCGGTGGCCTCAACGAGTGACTGGAGGGAGATAGGTAGCGATGAGATACCAGTCACACCACGAGGCATTTCGGGGGAAAGAGAGCGCAAGTAAGCAAAGAATAAGTGGCTTGTCGCATCGGCGGCACTATGTCAACCAAAGTCAGGGTTTGTCCAAAAAGTATAATTGAAAGCATTCATACGCAGCCCAATTTTTATAGGAGGCTTCGAAGCCCTTTCCAGTATCGTGGTGCTCAAAGGCCCACCATCCGGCATAACGCGACAGCTTGCGGCCACCCAGACCATTGGATTTGCCGTGCGCCGCGATCGCTGCAAGAAGGTCGAAGAAATCGAAGATAATCTTGGAGCGAGCATCGGTGTCGACACTGATAGGGATGAAAGTTGCAAAAGCATCGCGGGCCCAATCCGAATCTATGGTCTTGTTTAGCGGATTTATTTTCCACCAAATTACAATTGGTGCACGTACCTTGTTCGCCAACCTTGAACAGCTCGTAGGCTTCCCAAGTAACGACACCGCCAGGCAATCTGCTCCAACACCATTTCAAAACACTGCAAAGAACCTGTGCCGTGAATTAGTGACCGCCCTACTGCCACCCCAGGATACAATCCTTACCATCGGCTCATTGAGCCGCAGCTCCTGCATCAAGGCATCTCCGCTGACCGGGGCACCCTGCTCGAAGGACTGATTGAAGTAATTTCGTATGAATGTACGGGCCGCACTAGGGTCAGAACTGGGACGGAAGGGAAGGAGCAAGAATGGGGTGTCGAGAGCTAAATTGAACGAATGATCAGCAATCCGAAGTATGCGCGTGGCAGCCGTAACACCACCACATGGTTGGAATGAAAATGTCAACCCACCTCGCGCCTTCAATTCCTGCGCACAGCCTCGAATGAGGTCTTGCACTTCCTCGGCGGCGACCTCTGTCCGTTGCCAGGCATCGGTCCATTTTGGCTTCGCGGGGGCTGGGTTCGCGGTGGTAGCTGGTTTGGCCTGCTTCTTAGTCGCGGTGGAGTCTTTACTCCGGAAGACGCGAGAAAAGAACGGCATTTCGGAAGATTCACGCGACCGCTAGGAAATCGAGGGGAGGTGTGCTCGGGCACGCGTGTCGGTTAGCTCCGTTAATTTTTTTTTTTCTTGAAGATCTGCGTCAACAAATAAACATTAGCGGATGGATTTCCAAAGGGTACTGCAGAAGACCGACAGATAATTTAACAATTGGAAGAAGTGAAGAGGAAAATAAGAGATTAACCCGGCCGGGATGTCCTGCAGCCCCGGAACAGGCTCAGGCAGAAAAAAAAAAAAAAAAAAGAAGGTAAACGATCTCCTTAGGACGGAGTCTGTGCTCTCTGCTAGAGAGGTAGGTAAGGGCAAAAGGGATCAACCAGTGAATCGAGATCAGAAGGAGAGAATAGCGAAGGAAAAACAGATCATTGACGGAAAACGTCAAGACGTGAAGGTGATGTTGGTGACTTCAGGGGTAAAAACGGGATTGAATCACACTAACCGTTGGGTCTCGACCGCCCCCCCTCTTTGTTGGGTTTTAGCAGTGTTTTGGTCCCTAATTGTTCAGGGTTTGGCTTTCTTGATCTGTAGTAGGAAATCTCTTGGAAGACTAAGAGCCCAACTACGAACCAAAGAATAGGGCGACGCGTACAATGTGCGACCTATACACATGTGAAGCAAAAGGTACTCTGCGGAATGGATGATACCGATGGCGATCATCATCTCAAAATTGACTTTGGCTCGATCCAGGATTTGGGGACGGGGAGGGTTCAGTGTTGGATCTACATTAACTGGAATTGTGTCATGACAACGAAGCTATCATATGTACCAATGACCTATAGCCATCTACTCGGTACTATAGTTGGGTACAATGGAGAGAAACGGATTGTACAGGTCCATTGGTGACGCGGGAACCAATCACGAAGCTGAACCCCATGGTTGGCTGGATGGGTCGTTCTATTGGAGGCTTGGCTTGGAATAAATACTGAAGATAGAGCATAAAGATATTTTTTTGGATCTACATACATCTATGGACTAGTTCAAGGTTCTTATAATCTCATCCGCGGTAGGAAGTACTCCAGGGTCCTGTAACGGCAACCCTGGAAGATGAAACGTGGGAACATCAAGTTTCAGGACGGGCCACTGGGACCTCTTATACTTATACTTATGCTTGAACATTGCACTAATAAACGGCGGGATGCAACTTGGATCGGGAAGCTTAGGCCAAGCCCCATATGGCCCCATTGATATCAGAACCGATTCAGCACTGACGTTCTCCTGCTGGTTTTAGTTTTTTTAGCCGCGAAACCCTGATCCTGCGGTGTTTGGACCAATGGCGGGGGGATCACGGGATCCACTGTGATAGACATACATGAGTTACATAAGCCAGTTATTAATAGCCCCTCAGCCTCAGGCCAACACATGGCTTACCTCATCCCCTCCTTTCCTTTTTCTTTCCCTCGATAATGAATGATTCTATCTTTAGAATCAACCTTTTCTGTCTGCATCGTCAATCAGCCCCCCCCATCAAGGTGTACTCCACGCTTTCGCATCCGTGGTTCCCTTTGAATCCTTCATCCCCACCATCTCTCATTCCTTCCTTTGTTTTATCGGATACCCACCGAGTCTTAGACATTGCCCTCGAGCTTTTGAATCCTGCAGCATCGCGCAATACTTCACAAACACACGGCTCTTGCTACATGTCCCACTTGCGCAGTGAAATATAGACCTTTATTCTCGAGTAATTTTGAGTCGCCTGTGCTGGTTGTAAAACTTGCCGTCCCGGACGAGGCGACTCCTTTTCCTGTACCATCACGCGCGTTTGGGGAATAGATCAAAATGGGTCGCAGAAAGATCGAGATCAAAGCCATCAAGGATGATCGCAATCGCTCAGTGTAAGTTGTGGGTACGTCCTCTCGTCTGATCGATGCTAATATCAGTTGTAGCACATTCCTGAAGCGAAAGGGTGGTCTGTTCAAGAAGGCGCATGAGTTGGCTGTTCTTTGTTCCGTCGACGTCGCGGTCATCATTTTTGGGCACAATAAGAAGCTTTATGAGTACTCATCATGCGACATGCACGAGGCTCTTGGGCGGTATCAATATGTAGGTGACACCTCTTGAATCAGTGGCAGGAGGCAATTGCTAAACAGTGTTACAGTTCGGTGGCCCTCATGAGCACAAAGGCCCAGATGATTTCTCCGGCAAGCGTGACGATGACGACGAGGAAGATGAGGATCACACACCGGCCCCCGAGGACATGCAAATTCCACAATCCCACACTGCCGTTCCCCCTCATCTCCACCAGTCCGGTTTCCAGCACGTTAATCATGCGCCCTCCGCGTCCCCTCCCATCCAGAACGGTCTCCCGACGCGACATGGCACCCCGCAATCGCAGATCTCTCGTCCCTCGTCTAGGAATACCCAGAATACACACGCTCGTCGCGTCAGCTCTAATCTTGGTCCGCATCACGGTACGCCGCCGCCACCCGCGGCGCAAAATGGCTATTACATGGCCAATCCATCCATGTACAATCCGAACGTTCACTCTGCCATGAATCAACCGCGCCCCGCACAGTACGCCCAATATGCCCATCCTCCAGGTCCTCAAGGAACACCTCCCCAAGGAATGCCCCATCCACATGGTCTACCTCAACAGATGCCTCAGCAACATTTCCAGCACGCACATGCCGTGACTTCACAGCAGATGGGAATGCCACCTGGATCACATGCGCCGGTGCAGCAGGTCACGCAGGCCTACATGGCGGACCAGGGGCGGGGGTCAATGCCTCCATCATTTGGTCCTGATACCCAGAAGCGCAACATGCCCGAGATCCCCGAGCGCTCAGATAATACGTCGGGTGGCCTAAAGCCAGATAGTCAATCACCGCCCCAGCCGAAATTTTTGTCCAAGTCTCGCAGCATTTTCACGCCCATTGACGACGGAGGATCTGTGCTAGCCCGCCATTTCGGAGCAGGTCCCTCTATGTACGAACCCCCCCGTGTGAACCAGAACATCAAGCCGGATACATCGCATGAGGACTCGAGCTCTAGAGCAGAGCTTGTGAATCCCGCTCCAGAGCCTCCGCGTCCACAATCGACCTCCTCAGTCCCGGAGATCAAGCCGGTCCAGCGAATGAATAGTGGCCAGATTCCATCCAAACGCCCGCAATTGAAGGTTCAGATTCCAAGTGAGAGCTCCGATCGGGGTAGTGCAACGGCCGACTCCTCTTCACGAGATTCTGCTGGCAACAAGACGACGCCCGCTCGAGGGAATGGCGAGAATCCTACGCCGGGTGGTGTGGTCCTGCCACCACCTTCACCGTCGGCCGGGGCGATTCTCAGTGCAGGCGCCCAAGGCCCTCCGAATCCGTTTGCTCGTCCACCACCACCAGTCACCCAGTCACAGAGCAATGCATTTGGCAATTCCATGAACAATGGCAATAACTCGAATAACATCGAGACGCCAATCTCTGCCCTCCCAAGCCGCTTTGTCTCGGATGCTCTCCTTCCGTCGCCGTCAAGTTTCTTCCCGGAATGGGGTTTTGGCCGTTCAGGACCAGACTCCAGCCTTCTGCCTAGTCCCCTCACCTTCCCGACGCCCGCATTACAAAGTGGACCAAGCTTTGCAAGAGAAGATGAACAGGATAAGAAGCGCAAGAGTCCAGACAGCGGGTCACAAGACGATGGCGCGAACAAAAAACCAAAAACTTAGGGCATCTATTTCTGCCTTCCAACTCAACTCCCTCTACCCTAGTCGATTACCTTCTCTCTTACTCCGATATCCCGGCTGATATCATTCACTCCTCCTCACTCATAACCTCTTTTCATTCTATGTTTCCATTTTCCTGATTTGGTTGAGTCCAGGATCTTTATGCTCTTATACCCCGGCTTTATACCTCTTCTTTTCTCAAGTGCTACTTCCCTTCTCATATTCTTTCTTTGATGGTTCCTGTTTCCTGAATTTGACTCCATATACTTCATTTTTTTCTTGGTTATCTACTGAAATTTCCCTTCTCTATGAATTTATCTGTTATGAATTTTTGTTCGTCGTGCTTGCTTGTCGGAAGTCGGCGTTGATCTGTTTCGTGTGCGTACGGATGATGTATATACAGTTTGACCTAGGATAGCAATGAATGTCCATCCAAAAGCAGCAATTTCCCGTGGACGTATTTGGATGTTATTATGTATGACGAGCAAACCTTTAAGGTCAGAGCTTATTCCCTTCCCAATTGACCATCTGGGATCCCCCAACATACCCAAAAAGAAAATGTAACACTCGAGCCCTGGTCCTTGTAATCACCGAATCAATACCGCAGATCCAACCACGGCTCTACAACCCGGACGACCCTCGGCGATTGAAGGTGGGGGGTAAAAACCAAACCCCGAACGCCGAGGGTGATCAAGTATAAAACGCCGTCATGACGGGTGAACCCCCGCTTCTCTTCTGCATCTTGATTCCCACAAGGTACACACGCCAAACAACCTTATTTACTTTATTTCTTCTCTACAATATACAATGACTCTCACCGGTAGCTGCATGTGTGGTGCTATCCACTACACCGCCGAAGGTTCGTATCATTGCATATGCAACCAAATCCACCAAAAAATAACTAACCGGATTCATTGCAGTGGACAAGTACCTCGCCGCTCTCTGCCATTGCACCGATTGCCAGAAGGTAACAGTCACAATGACCTGAAATACAAAAAATTACAAGATAATAACAAAAACAGTGGTCCGGAGGCGCATTCACATCAAACGCCGTCGTCCCCCGTAACAGCTTGAAGGTGACAAAAGGTGCGTGAAACATCAATTACAAATTTAAACCATCCTCTAACTCGGCTCAGGCACTCCAACCTCCTATGACGCCATCGGCAACAGCGGAAAAATCAACAAGCACTTCTTCTGCCCAACCTGCGGCTCAAGCCTCTACACCGAGTTGGAGGTTATGCCGGATATGACCTGCGTCAAGGCTGGTGGCTTGGATAATAAGGAGGCACACATGAACGGCAAGGTTGATATTGAGTTCTATGTCAAGGACCGGCCTAGTTACCTTGCTGCTGTTGAGGGTGCGAAGCAGGAGCCTATGTTTGGGTGATTGTGGAATGAGTGGATTGGATGGAGTAGGTCTGGTCCGGTGTTTGATTGTGGGGTTTGCTTGATAAGACGCTTGTGTGGGGGTGGGGTGGGTGGATCAAAGGCCGAAACTAGTTGCTGGGTTGATAATGGTAAATAGGATGAATTGATTGAAATCGATTGAGGATATTTGGTCCATCAAAACTTTCTGAAAGGTAGAACAGAATTAACCAGGTAAATGCCCACGGGTTTGGTGTTCTTAACTTGTTTAATTCAGCTGATGGCCTACTACAGGCCTTACAGGTCACCACACAACCTGTTATGCACATAGAAAAGTTGAAAAATTGAAAATCTTAGTATCTGTTGGGTCCTATTAAAAGATTTTAACTTTGCTATCTATGCGCGTCTCGTGAATGGTGTCGTAAATACATACATGGATCCCTCCAATTCACCTGCTTATCCAAAATTTCAAGTACATCCAATGGGCGTTACCAATTAACCACAAAGCTGCGAGCAGAGAGTAGTCCCTTTCGATCAAGTCGGTCCAGAATGCTCTCAATACAAGCAATATCCACCTCATACCCGACTCCACTCATTTTGAACGTTTGATAAGCCACCTTGAGTGGAAAGAAAGTAGACGCCGGACCGAAGAGCTCCATCTCATCCTGCAACAAAAACTCCACGCTCAAATGTATTTGTCTCGCAAGCACTATCATCAGTAGATCATTCTCAGCAAGACCCACATGGAGCCGTCTGGCAGATAGCGATTCCCGTAACAAGTCATGGGGAAGATAAGTAGCCAATTGCTTCATCTCTTTCATGCAGATAATTTTAAGGGCCCATAGATGCGTAAATGCATTCGCTATGGTGACGTTAGGATACCAGAAAGGGAGGGGTGTATCTTCAGCATCACCATGAGGCCAGTAGGGCGGAGAACCATCAACGAACAACGTTGTTTCCCAGTTATCCAGACGTAAAGCAAAATTAATGAAAAGATCCAGTACCTGACTGACCTCGGCGTGGTTCAGTTCCGGACTTTTGATGACCTTATCGGCCTGTTGTAGCAGCGATGGAAGTTTAACAGCCTCATTGAGGAGCTGCTGCATAAGTGAAGGGTCGAATATGGAGAAAGGCGTATCAATCCAAGCTGGTATAGCCAGGAAGACGGGTTGACGTTGGTAAATGGCTTGCATCGTCTGAAAGAGAGTGTCAGTATAACACCGTAAGCTTGAGAATATGTCGGCGCACGAACCAGAAGAGGACGAAAACCAACGAAAAGCTTATGAATAAATCCCTCTTTACATGCATCTGGGCCGTAGACATGAAATAGGAGTCCTGCAGCCTTGACATGCTCCGCTATAGCCGTAGCTGAGTCTGGCATCATCATCTTGGTAAATTAGTCAATGTAACTAAGGGCTGTTGTGTATGATAAACGCTTACCTCTGCCAAGGTTAAACACATGACCGTCGGTATCATTTCAAACTTCACACTAATACCGTTCACACCAAAGCTTTTCCGGAGTGTGTGTATAGCTTCGTGGTAGCTACTAGAGCAATCGGCGTTGGCCATATTAGGCCGCGATATTATCGTAGCTGCCAATGCTTTGACGGCTTTTGTGAGAACCAAACTGCCAGCATTCAGGCACGGAAGGATGGATAATACCTCCACCCAGGATCCACATATCCTAGGCTCCAAGTAATCTGAATTGTGTACGTTTGGCGTTCTTTCTTTTCCCGGAACATAACTTTGCACAATCAAGGCTGAGAGGTGATTGGCATCTGGCTGACTCGGGATTTGCCGAGGTATTGAAGGGGCTATATCTAAGATGGTCTGTACCTGTAGACGGGTCGGTTCTGTTGATTTTATCTCTGCATCTGCTTGGCCTCTTTTCCGTCTTGGCGTCGAAGTGTGGGGTAGAAAGGTCCAGTCTGATGGGTAGCCGTCACATTTGAGTCCTGAGAAAGCACATTGGCTGCATTCGGGACTCTTTCCATCACACTATGTAGACATAGAGGTTAGTGTGTTGATTGAGTCCTAGGTTCAGTGGTTCATACTCCCAGCTTTCGCTTCCTGCACGTCTGGCAGACGTTTCGCTGTTTGACTTTCATATTGCCTGTCACGGATATTTGAAAGTGGAGCCAGACGAGAGCATGTTCGGTTAGTTGTAGAAATCTCTACTAATAAGCTTCCGAGGGAAGAATTCCCCTCTGCTTACGGCGGATATGGCTGGAGTGATATGTGATCACATCATCCTAGAGGTCTTGGCGGATTTTGAATCCTAAAGTGGTTAGCACGTACCCACCGAATGGTAAATAGAGTGGAATCTGCTTCCTCCATAACGACTGCGTTTCTTTTCGCGGGACCCACAGCAGAGGCACTAGCGCCAATTCACATTTAGTGGGCATCGTTATCATTTGCCTCTTCTTTTGCTTTTAGCGAGAGGATAGCAGGTCTAGTCACACATGAATATCAAAACAAGCAGTGTAACGAAGCTTTTACTGCAAACCCACCCCGCGCGCAATAGAGGGAGCCAGGTGCGAGTTTCGCTTGGAAGCTTTTTGAAGTTTAAACAGACATTGTACATTCTTGGATGTCCTAATTTGCGATATGTATCTGAAGTTTGAAAATTGGAAAAATTCTCCAGGACTTTCCTCAAATTATCCCCTTTCTAAGTCAGCCGCCGCGAAGTTCTCATGTCTTCCACTGCCCGTATTGAAATGGCTTGTACTCATACTTATACTTTGCAGTGAATACGGGTTGATTGGTGCCGCTAGACTCACTCAGGTACTTCTTCATTGTCGCCATACATAGATCGACAGCAAAATCCGGATTCGCTTTCAAGAGGCTAGAATTGATTGTCGGGGCTGACTTTTCCTGAAGAACTCGTAAGTTGTCGACTATCAACTTCATTGCTAGCACCCTTAGATCCAAATAGTTGGCTCTTGTTGAATAAAGTTCCGTTATGACTTGCGCAAGGAATTCTGTCTCAGCGCAATCTATAAATGAAGCACAGAAGTTCTCTTCTGCTCTGGTCTTCAAATCTTCGATCATGAAGTAATCTGCTTCTGCGTACATTCGTAAATGGAAGTAGCATGGATGGCAGTCGGTCAGTGGATCGACGATGGGCTCCAGTTCGATGATATCTGTGGTGGACGCTTCTCCAGTGAGAGGTCTGGTTTCATTCTTTGGCGGTTCGTGCATGGAGTCTGCTGTGGTACCGTCTGAGGATAGCAGTGCAGTTTCATTAATGTCGTATATTTCATCTGGGATATCCTCCATCGCATTCTCATCTGTTTGGGAGTCTATGACATTATTCGATTCTAGTTCTTTATCGCTATCGCTTTGAGAACTATTCACTTTGGTCGTATTGTCTTCGAGGATATAGCTTCCTGTGTATAGGAATTCTAGTATCTTCTCGATCAGTATCGAGCTTTTGGTGTCTAGATTTATTATTCCTTTAGATTCCTAGGAGCCATAGAAGACCATTAGCTTCGGTTCGAAGGGCTCCTAATTGCTCTCGCTATATTCACCTTGAATTCGCCGCAACAAGCTCTTTGGAAATACTTGGATCTGGGGCATAAGACAAGCTTGTGAGCTGGAAAAGATTTGTTTTCGCAAATTATCTCTATATCGCTGTAATCAGGGTTGAGATGGAGACTTTGTAGAAGTTAACGGAATGGCGTTGACTAGTAGAAACATGTATGATCCTGGTCAAAATGTGTAATCCTCACCTAGCAATAATACCCAGAAGAACGTTCTGGTCCTGCCTGGCTGACATGTCTGGAATATCAGGTGGCAGAATTTGAATCACTGGTTGTAGATGATCGTGAGATGTCACGTCTTCTATTCACCATAATCGGCCGTGAAAAAACAGCCCAAAACTAGGGTGATCGTATCAATAGATCTGGCTAGATTTGGAAGGGAATGAGTAGTTTCCAAGGCCGGCTATATATGCAGGATGTTTTAATGCGAACCAGATGCATAGCTGCCTGACCCCGCCTCTTTACATTTCGATACCAATGTCTGTCACATTTCATAATATGTCCTAAAAATCATCATCTAGGGTAGAGAGCACTTAGAAACTGACTAAGATATAGAAAAAGCGGATAATAGTTGTGTTGGGCTACCTCAAAAATGAAAGAACAACAAGACAGCGCTCCCTATGCCGTACTGGATGAAAGAGCCAATATAGATTTTTCGCACAGTTCCTGTACCGAGCGAAGATTTGCTAAAATTGATTGGCCCGCACAATTTAACAGGTCATTTGAATCAGCTAAAACAATAGCATGTCCATCCTTTGAGGAAACATTATCAAGATATAGGCTGCGAATGCTTTTTTCGGCTGTTCTAACTCGATCTAGAATAAGTTGTGAAAAACGATACAAAGAATCCAGACCGGAAAACCTGGCGATTGCAATATCCCAAAGCTCTTTCCAATACGAGGTACTTGTATTGCTATTGGACAAGTTTTTTGACTTGCTCCATTTCAGGCATGGTTTCTGAGGTGATAATATTTACGTCTGAAGGTAGCAACGGTCGTTGTTCTCAAAGATATTCTTGGTATTGGCGGTCATATATTCATTGCGCAATGCCAGAACCTATTATTACAGTAGTCTTGGTAATATACTGAAATATTTGGCAGGAGTTACGGTAGGGTGCTGGCGCTACGATTAAAAGCGCCTCCTGATCGAAGAACCCCGTCAAAGACCTGATAGTCAGAGCTTAACCTCTAACGGCGTCGGTTCAACGCAAAAGCAGCCCCACCAGCTACCAAACCCAATACAACCGGCCCCAAAATCTTAAAACCAGAGGACCAAATCAACCTTGTCCGAGCCTTCGCCTCCTCATTATGCGCGCCAGCCTCATTCTCCCTCGGAAAGGGTTCATCAGGAACATCCACACCCAAAAACTCGCAAAGGGGCTCCCACCCATCCTCAAGACAAAACTCAAGTCTCTGCTTGACAGGCACTTTAACTCGGAGATCATCATAATACTTCGAATACCTCTCTTTCGCATTAACAAGGATATCATCTCGACACCTGGCACCGAAAAATCCAAAATGAATCTTCCGCATCGCCTGCACGGCTGGCATTCCCATGAGATACAGCCCCAGGAACCCGTTGATAGCGGCTGCTGGCTGCAGCATTACACGGTCAAGCACCTCGGTTTTGAAACTGGGCCACCAGGCCTCGAAGTCGCGTTGGATGATCACGACCTTTGCTTCTGGGTATGCTTCTATCAGCTGTAATGCGAAAGGTGACGCTAGATCTGTGGCGGCGTCGTATTTGGTTCCCCATAGCGCGTCCCAGTCTGTGCGTGTAAAGGGTTGTCTGCTGGGATTTGCTGTGCTGGGCCATGTTGCTTCGGCGGCAGCTTCCAGTTGGACCCAAGGGGTTTCTGTTACTTTTTCCAATAATCCGTGGTGGGTTTTGAAGCCTAGGATCTGGTAGGCACGGGCCATTGACTTGCTGCCGCTGCGGAAGAGGCCGGCGTTTATAATGAGGAGGCCTTGGCCTTTTTTTCCTTGAGTTGAGTTTTTGTTCATCTTGGCAAGCAAGGACTTTCATGGAATTGTGTAATGCCTTGGTGGTGAAAAGGAGAGGTTGTTTGATGCGGGTCTTAGAATGTCAGCCCTAAGATCGGCTTTGGACTAGCTTTAAATTGCTTAGTGCTTACCTGCCAAGATACTGAACGCTATATTTGGATATCGTCATATAAAGGCACTCTTTTCAGGTCAGTAACTCTCTAGGATGCGTTTGAATAAAATTTTTACTTGAATCTAAGTACGGTTTTATACTTCAATTAGTGGTGATACAAAGTGGGGTGGGCGGGCTTCTGCATGCATGTTGTCTTGCATTGAAAATGCGTGCCAATCACGGATCCGACCGACATTTAACCGCTTCACGCTAGTCTCAGGCTCATATACAATTGAATTGCCATTAAAAAAATCCTTCTAACCTTTCGGGTCATCTCTGGAAGTCACGGGAGGTCTGATTTAAGTAGAGTTTGACCCCACATCTCGCCCTTATCTCTTGGCCTTATGGAGCCGAAGTTAGCCGAAGCGTGACATCAACCCTTATCTCAGCAAGACAAACGAACACTCTAATATGTGCAGCTGGAACCACTCTAATCGTATTCCAAATTTTACTCTTCTCTGCAATACGACTTACCTTAGCAGCAAGATGTCACATCAAGCAAGCATGGACCTCATCTCCCGCCGAGCACAGAGTGCCTCACAAGCTGGATGCACGAACACAATGTGGGATGTAATGAACGACACCTGGAACCCAAGCATAAGCCCGAACGGATACGTCAACGTTGGGGTAGCTGAGAACGGTCTCATGCACGACGAGCTTCTGAAATTTATCAACGCCAAGCTAGAGATTCCGGCAAGATACCTCACTTACAACGATGGAGGAGGCGGATCAACTAGATTAAGAACAGCCATGGCCAACTTTCTCAATAAACACTTCAACCCCGCTATCCCACTTGATTTGAATCATTTGGTCATCACCAACGGCGTTTCACCGGCTATTGAGCATGTTTCTTGGGTTTTCGCTGATCCCGGCGAAGGGATCTTGTTAGGAAGACCTTACTATGGAACTTTCATTCCTGATATCAGTCAGAGGCCCGGAACGACAGTCGTCCCTGTCAGTTTCGGGGATTGTAGTCCCTTCAGCTTGGAGGCTGTGGACAAGTATGAAGAAGCGTTGTTGAATTTCCAAGAATCCACTGGGAAGAAAGTTCGCGGGTTGATGCTGTGTCATCCACATAACCCGCTCGGGCGCTGCTATCCACGTCCAGTCTTGATCGCTTTAATGCGTCTCTGCCAGAAACACCAGATACATTTGATTAGCGATGAGATTTACGCGTTGTCTGTTTGGGAGAACACAGTCGATGAAAGCCCGGCGCCGGTGAAATTCCAATCTGTTTTGTCTATTCCACTAGACGGGATTATTGATCCACGCTTGGTGCATGTTTTGTGGGGCATGAGCAAGGACTTTGGCGCAAATGGAATTCGGCTGGGTACAATAATTTCCCAGGCGAATGACGGCCTTCATGAGGCGTTGAAAGGGATTTCTTTGTACTCGTTCCCATCCGGGATCACTGATCATTTGACGTCTTTGCTCCTGGAAGATGAGGAGTTTACTGAGGCTTATATTCAGGAGAACCAGAAGAGGTTGTCAGAGGCTTATGCGTTTGTGACGAGAGTTTTGAAGAGATGTGATATTGAATATGCGCCTGGGGGCAATGCTGCTTTCTTTTTGTGGGTTGATTTAGGGAAGAAGTATAAAGAGCTTCGACCTCAGAAATCGGGGGATGATGTAGGAGAAGAGATTATGCAGCGCCTGTTAAAGCATAAAGTGTTTCTAGCTAGTGGTGCATTGTTTGGTTCAGAGAAGGATGCGTGGTTTAGGATTGTCTTTTCACATCCTCGAATTTACTTGGAGGAGGCTCTTGGTAGGATTGTCAAAGCACTGGAGAATTGATTAACCCAACAGCTTGATCATATGAACATATGCTTGTGTCCAAATATCTATTGTGTATTAACAAAGAGAACATATCTATGTAATCAAAATGAATCTCTAAAGCACCTCCATGAAATCTTCCATGCACCAACAAAGTATGCAACATCTATTCCTCGAGCCTCATCGCAGTCTCAAACCCTAACCTCGACCTCATTTGTAACAGCATACTTGCTCCATCTCCGAATGACAGGTCCAAACTTATAGAAAACATAAGGCACAGGCACCATGATAGCACTGATGCACCCCAGAATCGTTAAAGTCCAATGAACCCCCATATTCTTGTAAAACGGCATTCCAACAACCGTCATTCCACCAGCAGCACAGTATCTCGAAACAGTCATGAAACCCAGCGCCGAAGCCGCATAGATATCATAAGAATCGATGACATACATATACGAACTGATGAAAACACAGATCGTGCCAAGACCAAAGCAACTTGACGCAATGATAGGCGACCAAATGGACACAGACGAGAAATCCGTCCAGCCCATCCAGAACAGCGAGATAGGAATAAGCGGCGCACCGAACATAGCAAAGAAAAGTCTGATTTCCGGTTCTGTGTGTACCCCATCCAAAGCGTGCGGATTAACAGCCGGATCAGACCCATTCACAGCCATCGCAGCAGCAGTGAAATCCTTCTTCGTCTTGCGGTGGATAATCGGAACAAGGATCGCACACAGGAGGATCCCGACATACATCGCAGCCCAGATGATATTCGTCAAACCCTGCGAAATACCATATGTATCCGTGAAAATATAAGTATACCCATCAAAGAAAGTGAAGAGCACAATATACAACACAGTCATATAGAGCGAGATAAGCAGGATGATAGGCTCATGAATCGTAATGAGGAATTGACGTTTCATAGCCCCACCAATTCGGCTAAAAAGCGCAAGCTTTTGCAGATCCATTTCCGAACGGAATCGTTTATCACCTGTGATCTTGCGTAGTTGTTTCCCCTTCCAGTGCAGAAGCAATGGCGCATATGTCTCGGGTTGGAATAGGATAATCAGTACCATGACTAAACCTGATCCGATGAGGATAATCCAGCCACTCCAGCGCCAGGACAGAACGCCCGTTTGCCCGACATAGTTTGCTAGGACGGGGCCGAGAACTGGACCTCCGAATGAGAGGACAGCGTACATGGGAAAGTAAATTGTCTTCTCAATCGGGTTGAATAGATCGGCGATCGTACCGCCTGCACAGGTAAGTGGTGGACAACCGAATATACCGGATAGGAAGCGGAAAGCGAGTTGGGCGCCGATATTGGGTGCGAGGGCGGAACCCATGACGAAGATCATGAAGAGGGTTAACGAGCCGATGTAGACTAGATTGCGACCTAAGATTTCGGATAATGGACCGCTGAAGAGGGATCCGAAGGCAAAGCCTAGTAGATAAAGGCCTGCGATATGTTAGTGGATATGTTGAAAAGTATAGGGACTGGTGCTTACCATCTACCAGCGAGCCTACAACATCGCTAATACCGAAGGCCGCGTTGTTCTGTGGTAGAACGCCCGAGTTGATTGATGATGCTGCACCGACGATAAAACCCAACGCAGACACGATAAGCGTTGCAGTCAGACGACGGGCAAGACTGTAGTTCCGTGGATGTTGGGGATCATTGACACCATCCCAACCAACGACAAAGACGCGACTGGGTCGATCGGAGGAATCATCGACATGAGAACGGACCTCGATGCCCGGAAGCGTGTGTGCGATTGCAGTTTTCTCCGAATTGCAGGTCGGACGTTTCCCCAGAGCCTCCGACGCAGCGCTATCCTGCCTTATCTGATCCGACGCACTGGCATTTTCAGCTTCAGTGATTGAATCAGAATCGCTCGGAGTGGACTCGGTTTGCTTGTTCCCGTTCTCGTTTATCACATTCTCCGCCTTATTCACCGAATTCGCACCTTGTTGGGGAAAATCCGCCAATTGTTTCCGAACCGCAGTTCCCAGACGACGATACTGCAAATAAGACTGCATTTCCACACCTCGAGATTAGACTGATTTTTTAAATGTCCGAGTTGTGTTCTCACCGGTGAAGCCAATTCGCAGGGTTGTTATCCCTGTGATTAGTTTTATAGTGTCGTGCTCGTCGGGTATAAAATGTTCGTGTCTGGATTTCGTTTGTAAGAAAAATAAGATGAACTGAAAAACAAGGCGCGCTTGACCTTTTAAGGATTCATGGTTCCGGTGCTGAGAAATCGAGTTTGTCGCCGGAGACATTTGATTTCAGGATCTGCATTGTGGGTCTGTTGCGTAGCGTTTTCTCGGCCGATCGCTGACTCGGGTAACTTTCTCCGTTGTGAGGTAATGGCTTGTTACTGGTTCAATGGGATGAAAAGTGTTAATTTGAATGATAGATGACACCGGTAGCCAGGTGAGTCTAGTTGCCGTGTCTCTTGAGAATAGGGTTGAATTGGGAATCTGGTATAGAGTAGTTCGAGACTCCATGGCTAAAGTTCGGGAGCAATAGTCAAGCAAAAGTGGATCTCGGATTTACGCTCGGAGAGATGTTCGACCGAGACTGGAAATCGGAGAGTTGCCGAGTGGAACCTTTAACCTAATTGGAATGCTCTTATCTTCACATGGTAAGGAAACAGGATTTTCATTATGCTGAAATAACTCTATTTTTGAAATTAGGTACAATGAATAAGATAAGTATGTGCAGCTTCACCATATAGACGAGGTTGCTATGCATTCAAAACGTGACATCATGCAAGGGTGGAAAGCCATCAACACGGCGAATAAATGGACCGTGGGCCGCACCAGTATACCGCCAGCGGTCAAGGTAGACCTGAAAATTAGGAAATGTGTGAAAGGCATTCTCAAAGTAAAATGCACATTTAAGCCTCCTCCTCGGGCTTTCCCTGAGCCTTGCGCTGCATATCAATCAGATCCTGTCGATTGCGCTCCTGCTGATCAAGACCAGTCTTCTGAATAGTGTGAGACTTGCTCAGCACTTTCGGGCGTATCAAAAGGGAAAGAATAAAGCCGATGCCGCCAACGCAAGTGTAAAGAATCCACATACGGCTCAGGGCGTAGGTGAATGCCTCGAGCACGACGGCGCGCTGGGATTCAGTCAGACTTTCAATAAGAGATCTGGAAGATCCAGAGAACGAGGAGGAAATGGTTGCGGCTTTCTCGGCTCCGACAGCAGCAACCAGCTTAGCTGCTTGCTGACCCATCACGTTCTGATAGACGACCGTGCCGAGAACGACGGAGATGGAGGTGGAGAGTTGGCGGACAAAGCCAAAGGTAGCAGTTGCGATGGCCATATCGGCGGGGCGGACGTTAGCCTGGAATGCGACCAGTGGAGCCTGGAAGTTAGGTCCAATACCAATACCGCCGATGAGCTGGAAGATGATGATACGAGGCCATGATGCGTAAGGCTTGAGATCGATGAATAGACCAAAACCGAGAGTCATCATGAAGAGGCCCCCGGAGATAAGTTCACGGTAGCGACCGGTCTTCTTCATAAGGACACCAGTTACCGCGGAGCCAATCGAAAGTGCGAGAACCAAGGGCAGAACGTAGACACCACTCATGATAGGGGATGCCATGAGGACTGTTTGGAAGTAAAGTGGAAGGTAGTAGGTTCCAGAGATGAAAACAAAGCCGTGGCAGAAACAGACCAGAAGAATCAGGACGTTATACCATTCGCCAAAGAGACGGGTCGGGATGATGGGGTATTTGGCGATTTTCCACTCGGCCAGGAAAGCCAGCACCCAAACCACGATACCAAAGACGATCAAACAGATGACGGTTGCAGAGGCCCATGGGTAGTTGACACCGCCGAATTCGAGACCGAAGAGGAACATCAGAGTACCTCCTATGATAGTGAAAGTTCCAATCCAGTCGACGGTGCGCAGACCAGCCACTAACGGGGTCTTGGGGGATTCGATGTGGAGGAAGAAAAACAAGATGACAAGCGAGACACCGCCGATGGGCACTAGAAGATTGTGTTAGCTCAAGTTTGTAGGAACATTATGAATCCAAGCAGCTTACAGTTCACGTAGAAGCACCATCTCCAAGTAACATCGGTCGTAAAAGCACCACCAACAATAGGACCTAGCGCACCCGCAATAGCCCATGTAGCACCGAAAATGCCATAGTACATAGGCCGATCACGCATGCTGAATAAATCTGAAACACTGATATTGGCCAGAATGATAATTCCACCTCCACCAATACCCTGGACCGCACGACCAGCAATGATCATCGGCAAGTTCTTTGCCAAGGCGCAGATCAAACTGCCAACCAAGAACAAGACGTTAGCCATCAAAATGATCGGCTTGCGTCCCCAAATATCAGATATCTTGCCCCACAATGGAATACAAGCGGCATTTGCGAGAAGATAGGATGCAGCAATCCACGAATATCCACTTTCAGTTGCATGGAAATTGTCTGCGATGGTGACCAACGCGGTAGAAATGATAGTCTGGAAGGATATTAGTCAAGATCCTCATCATTTGACCTAAAAAAAAGCAAGCATACCATATCTAAAGCGGCAAGAAACAATGCCATCTAGAAAGAAGAATTAGCTTTTCGATATGCATGAAATTTCCCGCGATACGCGGGTTCGGATATTTCTTACACATAGCGCCACCATGACCAAAGCAATCTTCTTCTTGCCCATCTTCTGCGCAGAAGAAGGTGTGCGATCAAGGGGTGGGCCAGACTGAGCATTTTCCACCGGCGCATCGATAGGTGTAACGGGTTGAGCTTCAGCTTTCTCCTCCATGTTTTCGTGGTCTTGCTCTGGCGCAGTCTCCAAAGACCTCTTCTCACTCAATTCTTGGGACACAACGGTATCGCCGGTCGAGGCATTGCTCGGCGCAGCTTGTGTTTCGGTCGTCATGATGCCTAGATTGAGGACCAGGAAAGAAGAAAAGTCAAGCGGAGAAAAAGGTGGATATGTAGGTGCGACACGTCAAGTGACCTGGACCGGATCGATGGTCGCGACGCTCGGACGATGAGTCGAGTTCGTGAGTGAGTGGGTGTTCGCGTTTCTGTGGAAATCAACCTTGGAGGCTGTATACTGTCAAAGAGATATGCCCCTTTTTATAAAGCTCGGGCTGGGGAGTCATAAGAAAAAAAAAATAGAAAAGAAAAGCCTACCGGGGTTAATTATGGGTCTGGGCCTCCACTTGGAAAAAGGGTGTTCACGGGAGTTTGGGAGATCCGAACGGCCGAGCTCCGTCTCCGTCACTTGGCCGAGCTTATGCGAACCGCGATGCTACGATCATCCTTGCAAAGTGTAGCGGTCAGTTTGTTTAGCGATACTTAACCGAGAGCCTCGATTATGTTCTAGGCCAAGCGTTAAGTATACATTGACGCAAGGGGTGTGGGTCGAATCTATAACGGGGACAAACTCCACTCAATTGCTTGGTTTTCGGCCTTTGATTCTGTTTGCTTTTTTACGTTTATTACCGCCTGTCGTGATTGCACCTTCATATCAGATTCATAAAGAGGGGCGCCTGATATCCAATACGTTTGACGATTCTATAGTTGTGTCGCGTATTGTGTGACAGCAATTACCTAGGAGTGGAGAAGTTGTCATATCATCTTGCCCAGCCATGGCAACACATGGAAGTCGTGTGGAAGTAAATAATACAGAACAAAACGATATCAAGATTCTTGAGATGGATCTTTGGACAGATATTATTCTAGATGAACACCTCTATGACCTGGGCGCCGGAAACGTAGATCAAATTGGGTGAATCTACAATCACCATATATACATATGCATGGACAACACTGTTGACGGGGATGGAATCAAGTAAGCCTCAAATTAATGAGACAGCCTTTCTCGGAATGATTCGATCAACTGCTCGATCTCATCGGCATTGCTCAGTGGGGGCTCTATCAGAAAAATAGATGAGGGGGTATAGAAGGAAGCATAGATGCACATAAACCACCAATGACAACAGTGATGAAATAGGATAAGAAACCGAGGGGAGAGGACAAATCAGAGTATTAATCCTGGAGCTGGAGGATTTCTGTAATATTGTTAGCTCAAAATCCTGGTGGCCAATCCAGGAGAAGTATGTCATGGCTTACCAGTCAAAAACTCCTCGAAGCTCACGGTAATGTAACCATCCCGATCATCATCGTAGCGTTTAAACACATCCGTCATACGTTTCAAGCTGATACACGCCTGCACGAAGAGATCAAAGCTCATGCCACTATGGTGGGGGCTCCGCGGCGCCGCGTTCAGCTGCCTCGTCTTGCTCTCAAAAATCGAGAAGAGTACAGATATAAACTTCGGGCTTAAGCGGTATCCGAACGCGATCAGCGCCTTCTCGAACTCCGGCAGGCTGATGCGCCCGCTGCGATCTTCGTCAAACCGATCAAACAGCTCCCGCCAAGCAGCCAGATAGCGCCACAGAGAAACGAATTCGTCAAAGGTGATGATACCGTTGCCTTCTCGGTCAAACATGCGAATCATCATCTTGACGGTGCGCGGGTGGAAGGAAGTGTAGTCTCCGTTCACGAGAGCGGAGCCGAGCTCATGCTCGGTCAAGGAACCGGAGTGTGAGGAGTTCGCGGCGCGGAAGAGGGGGTATAGTTGTTGGGGGTCATCGCTGGGGACTGCCAATGGGGGAGGAATGGGTGACTGGGGAGGACGAGATGAAGGCGGGGGTCGGGTGCGGCTTGCCTGCGATGGAGGTGGACCGAAGCCATAGTTTTGGGGTGGCGGCGAGGGGTGCAAAGGATGCGGCCTGGCTTGAACTGACGGGGTATATTGGTTTGGGACAGCTGCGGGCGAAGGGCGACCGTTATAGGACTGTGGTGCATGGAGATCTGGGCGCGGGGCAGGCGAGCTATAAGGATTATGCTGCGGGGGAGCACTTGAGACGGGAACGCGAGGAGGAACGCCCCCACTAGGAACACTCTGGACTGGCGGGCGAGTTGGGAGTGGTTTCTGTGCTGGTGCTGGTGCTGGTCTCCCTCCCATCTGCATGGACCCGATCATCTGCGCGACCTAAGGGATAATTAACAGGAGCATTGGATGATGTAATGGCCTGGAAAGAGCTACCTGTTCTGGCTCAGCATGTCTGTATCAATCCACCGAGTCAGCGATCATGAAGCCTTCCAAATCATTCAGTCATTTGTACTTACGCTGGCAGCGCATCGGGGTTGTAACTCTTGTTGTAAGCCATTGTGACGCAATTAGGCTGCAAGAAAAGACGCGTGTCAAAGGGCGAGCACTCCTCGCCCTGACGAGAAATTAAAGAGAAAGATGAGTGAACGGAGTCTTTACCTGTCGAAAGCAGTGAAAAGGAGAAAAGATATTTAGAGATTGCTTGGGAGGGAATGCGAAGTTGAACGGTTCTTGTCAAAGCGAGTGGGGCGGTGGTTCTCAGGTTGGGCCTAACGTAGATAAACCCGCCAAGCCAAGAAAAAAGAAAAATTCAGTGGTTGCACTGTACTTCCCCACTATATGGGGACTGGAATTGTGGCTTCGAAGCAGTTCCCATATCCAGAACCTGCAGATTCAGCCCTATACGATGTAAAGCTGGTGATGCATGGTCCAATTGGCCATTCCCAGTCTATTGCCGCTATGATCCTTGTGTTCAAAGAATATTCGAATCCTTGATGCCCAGCTAAACTTTCTCCCCTGAACCATGTCCGAATTGATGAGACTCCACTATGGTTATTAGTATAGCCCTATTAAAATTGGTTCTATATTAGTACATTACTCCCATACGAATACGACCCTCAAACATGGTTCCCCAAGGCCTTGATAATGTCGCGCACTTCTGCAGCTTGGCTTTCCAATAGCTCCACGATTTCTTTCCACGCTTTGTCTTGGAATTCCTTCCCTTGGTGCCCAGTGGTGAGGGCTTTGGATTCACTGAATGAAGTTAGCAGACAATACAACCAATCTGAAACAAGCATGGACTCAATCCTACTCCAGGTACCCATCACTCCGCCAGCATTTGCCCTGCGACTCTACACCCTGAAGTGTCGCGCTTACTAGAGACCGACTACCTTGCTCAGTCGTTCGGGCAAAGAGCCGGTACGCCAGCCATGAAAGCCACCGCTCATAAAATCGCCGACGGTATTGCCGTGTCAGGGAAGATTGGCACAAACCAGGACTGATCGTGTTGACAATAATGGGCAATGTGCCATCCTTATTGCGAACCAGATCCGCGACAGTTTTCATAACGTATTCCAGTAGTAATTTGGAAATACCGTACTGTTTGGGCCCTTGAAACCTGTCCTGGGAATTCAGATGTTCTAACAGGGGACCCTCAGTTAGGTTTTCCGCCCTCACACGGGCGAATTGCTGGCTTGAAACCACGCTCAGGTGGGTAGGCTCGACGCCTGAGGATTCACGGAGTTTGGGAAGAAGTAACAGGGCCAGAAGTGATGTCGACAGCGTGTTAACCTGGAGGGTCTCTTCGTATCCATCGGGTGAAAGCATGTATTCACGGTTCCAGAGACCGGCATTTAGTAAAGCGATATCGACGCGGGGAAGGTCCTTGTTGACACGATTGGCAAAATCTTTGATGCTTTGGAAATTGTTCATCTCAAGCTCCCAGACCTGTACGACACCTGGCCGGCTGGTGACTTTTTCAAGCTCAGCCTTAGTTCGATTCCCTCGCTCCAGACTGCGACTTCCAATTACTAATGAGTCGACCCCCAGATTGAGAAATTTGATAGCGGCCTCATAGCCTAGACCCGAGGTGGCCCCCGTTAAGAGGACTGTTTTGCCGGCGAGAGTAATCCCCCGCGGGTCTGTCGGAGGAATGTATTGCATTTTGAGGAGGCGAAATAAGCCCGCCATATTGTCGGTGAATGATATCAATAATGTAGAGGGTAAATTTCGACTAAGTATGGTTCGTATGGACCTTCTGGAAAGGTTTATCGGATCAAAATAGATGACATCAGCATGCTTAGTCATGACCTGCGGGATAACTAGTTAACTAACTAGAGCGGTTTGAAAGTTTATGTGTAAATATGGAGGGCCCGCCGAGGCATTCACTGAGCTTTTCAACCCCTTCAACATTATTTACATGTTATCAAAACAACGACATCTTACATTTTATCTAAAGCTCATTTCAAGAGGAGGATATAACAGTATTTAATAGCACCTTCAGGGGTATGTACCAGAATTATGGTGAGTGATACTATACGTAAAAATTAATGTGTTAGTATAAAGTGTGACGAGACAATTACTTGTGGAAGGTTAAAAATCTTAGGGTAGATCCCCAAAAGTATTAAGAGATAACTCTGTGCGTCAGATGGGTATTGATTACTAGGAGTAATTATATAGAATTTCAGTATGATATGGTGGTGTGGTGAATTGTTTAGTGAATACATATAATTGATGAGGTGGGCCCGGAAACTGATCTGGGGAAATACTTTTGACTAGATAGTGTGTGCGCCAAGATAAGAGAGAGTAGGTGTTTATGCTTATAAGGTTCGGGCATCTCTGAATTTAGCATTCGGGTTCTCGATCAAGATTGCCTTCAAGTACCCAGCGATTTCAGATTGCATTTCTGTTGCATTGCACATGTCTGCAAACCGCGCCAGCTCTACGATAGCTGCAATCTGACGTTCGGGCTCATCCATATCAAATTTGTTCTTGCGAAGCCATGGCCATTGCAAGAAAGCCTCGAAGCTTTGTACCGAAACGAACTCTTCAATCGTTTGCATAGAGGCCGTCTGCTGCTGTTCCTCTCTAGGTTTGCCCTTGAACATGGCTGAGAAATGTGTTGATTCTCTGCAGAGAATTTCCTTCGAGACTTTGTATACATGGGCACTAAAATTGAACCAAATTGGAACAATAGCATCATGATAGAGCGGTAGAATCCTAGATCAAGGTTTAGATTTGATTCTTCCCAAAGCTGAAAGCATAATACAGACGATCTAGCAAAAGATGTGCGACTTGCGGCGGACATATCGGTTGTCGCCAAAGTTGTACTTTGAAGATGCTTAGTAACACCGCCACACCTGTACGAGCAAAAAGCAAGGGTAGCAGGAAGCCTGAATACAGAAGAGAAAGCTGCTAGTCCCAGAATGAACGTCCAAAAGGATTGCTCTAGGAATTATGAATGAGAATGAGAGATTTTTGTTATAGTTCTAGCCTTTAATATACGGCTCATCTAATTGGAACATAAACATCCAGATTGACGTGGTCAATAATGATGTGCAATGCATGGCCCTGGTATATTCCGGTAACGATGTTTGCCTAGTGCCAGAAGTTGCATGTTTCTCTGTCTTTCGTACAAAGCGGGAAAAGAATTGGGGCTTTCCGGTTCAATTCAGTTTAGCGCGATAGAAGTGCACAGAGATGTAGACTTAACTTAGGAAGTCCAAGGCAGAGATACAAAGTTGACAGTGGTACTACATGAAGACATCCGGGGACAGAGACCAACCAGGCTCGACTTGCTGGTACCGATTGTTATTCAACGGATGCACCACACCCTCAGTGACCGGAAATTTATACTAGCGTTTCCAGAAGATGATGAAATGCAGTCATTCATCTCGGTGGACCAAAGATCGGCTGATTTTTTGGTTCCTGTGACACATCGGCCGCAACCGCTAAGATAAACAGTAGCTTTTTCGGCAGGCAGTGGCTGGATATTATCCATCAAGGTCTTGACTGTGGCAACGGGCAAATTGAATGCGACATAGGTGGTGTTATTGAGCGTATAAAATTCGAGAGTCTAGCGCTTGTCGGGGACGTAATCATCTATGTTCAAGTCAAGCCCCTGACTAGTTCATTTATTGTCCGCAAATAAGGACGCCATGCCACTTGTCAGTTATGACAGGGCTTCAGACAGTGCTGGCGGCCTTGTGAGAAGGCTGATATGAGTAGCAAGAGTGTCATCAGTCATTTTGGATGCCTTTCGATGGAGGATTCTCTCATTTTGAGGAGAATTCCTGAAGTTTTCTTGCAAAAATGTCGACAAGACACTGCTTTGAACATGGAAAACCCATGACGACGCCGAAGTAATAGCACATGAATAACACTTTCATTGAATCATTCAGACCTAGGAAAGCCAGCATCGGTACTTGGTTCCCGAAAAAGATTACTTAGGCTCTTCTATAAACCTCGAATGGAGAGAAGTTAATTATGAAGATGCAGGTGGCTTTCACAGTGGAAACCAAGAAAACGAAAGTGTCAGATGCCACATTATATTAGAGTTTGTCATGCTCCAGGGGCTACTGATCAGGGTCCAAGGGACGGGGTGAAACGCAAAGGACGGGGCATAGCTTAGTGCTTATTACACTATAGCCTACATCTTCTATCAATTCATTTGATATTTTAAAATCCCCATGTATAGTTTTGAATCCTGGTATACGTCCAAGTTAGATTGATGATTTTCAAGGACAAGCATTCGATACTCTATGTATGGCAATATCTTGGAATAGTCAGAGAAGAGATAATCTTTTTTGTAATGAGTGCATTGACTCGACTTGGGGTGAAATCACCACAGTGATCTTTGATCATCATGCACAAATTCATAGACCCCGAATTGTTGAAAGTGTTTAACCGTGACAAGCCAGTGCGGTAAAACCCTTGCAAGTTCAAATTTGACGCCAATCAATAGAACCTGGTAAAATGAGTTATGATCCACGGATACTCGTGACACATGATAATAAGAAATAAAGTCTCAGCAAGCGAGGTACTAATCAGCAAAGCCGGTTCTTTGGCTAAATGTTCTATTCCCGGAGGTCGCGTGTGAGCATTTTGTTTGTCTTTGGGAAAATTGGCTCTTGCAACCATGGGCAGAATCTTGGTTGTATAAAAGCTGAGTCGGCATCATATGATTTAGACTGGACCCCGAGCCAATTGCTATGGTCCACCGGTCCCAAGGACTGTCGATGGCTAATCTACCCTGATGCTGAGCAGGCAAGGTGTACTTGAGTCTGAAATCGAATACGTATTTTACCTAAAGGAAAACAAAGACTTATTCTGATTCCTGTCATCATCATTGCTTTTTCAAATGTAAGCATGGTATTTTTCAATATATTATGCTTATTTGAATTAAGCGCACTTGTTCACCAAGTATCTCTCCCGACATCTTCAAATGCCAGTCAGTAAGTTAAGAGTTTACACGGAGAAATATTGAGACTCATATTCAGATTTGCGATCTAGTCAAATAACATGCTCTCAATCAAATAAATAAAACGTGGGCTAGTACATCAATTCAAATCCCAGGGTTAGATCATCTTCTGGTGGTATGGCGAACGAAGGCAAACAGTGCAAACAATGGCGACACGATTTCCCACACCGACTGCCCGGATGTATATGAACACAAATCACCGCCATTCAAGAAATACATAGACCATTGCGTTTTTTGTTTTGAATCTGGCGCACCCTAACCACACTATCTCAGCTCGTGGACAAAATCTTCACCCATAGTCGCGTTAGTTCCTGTTTCCGAAGGTATTCGTGGCTGGCTGAACATGGCGGCTAGTCTGCAAGGCCACCAGGTACATCCTGAGGGCCGTACATGGAGGACACATTTCCCAAAAGGAGATCTCTGGGTATTTGGATATGGGTGAGTAATGCCCTTGCCAATTTCCTTGCTCCCCCTCGCATGAATGATTCATGCAAAACTAACAAACCTTCAGGAGTCTAATCTGGAAACCACCCCCACACTATGGTGCGTAAAATCAAATTGTGACCAAGTTCATTTGATTCAAATATGCAGCCGCCACAGGCCCCCAATATAGCTATTCAATGCGAGAAGATCACCCAACTAATGCCACGTAGACCAACGAGTCCCGGGCTACATCAGTGGATACGTCCGACGCTTTTGGCAGGTAAGAGCCCCATGATGGTCTGACCGAAGAATCGGTGGAGACATTGCAAAAAAAAGCAAAAAGAAACAAAATATGCTACAAGTCTAGAGCGATCCAAAGCTGACACGAGAGCGCGTGGCGTTCTATTTTCAGGCTAGGTATGTCACCCGGGACGGGCCAAGCCCGAAAGGAACATCTTATTCATCACAATCTCGCTAACGCCCTTGTGCTCATTTAGTACTGACCACCGTGGAACACCCGAACAACCGGGTCGTGTTGTTACCGTCATTGAACGGAAGTTCTGGGAGACGCTGGATGACCCTGTAATTCACCACCTATCTCCAACGCTATCACGACTATCATTGGCCCCACCTTGGCAATGATAGAGTCCTGCAGTTATCCGAGCTAATTTCGTATACAGCTGGCAAAACTAGAATCCGAATCCGAATCTACCGGTAAGGTGTGGGGCGCGGCATACCATATCCCCGCCTCACATGCTGAAGAAGTTCATGATTACCTTGATGAGCGTGAGATAGATGGGTATAGTGCTCATTTCACGCCCTTTTATCCTGTCACTGGGGAGTCTGCGTCTACTGGAGCACCTGGGGAGCATTCCATTTGCATGGTTTATATCGGCCAGCCTACGAACCCGCAATTCTTGCGTGAGCGTGCTCAGCGTGAGCCGCAGGATGTGGCGCAGGTGATCAGTGCGGGGCATGGTCTTAGTGGCAAAAATTCGGAGTACCTTTTCTTGTTGGAGAAGGCATTGGAGGGAATTGGGCTGGGCTCGGCTGATGTTCATGTGACGGATTTAGTGAAGAGGGTCAAGGCCATTGAGATGGAAGGCGAGGGCGAGAGAGAAGAGATGGAGGCGGAGAAGGAAGTGAAGCTTTCATTAGCTTCCCATGAAAAGTTGGCGAGCGGGGATAATATTGAGTAGGCGACCATTGCCCATGGGATTCAATAAACTCGATGTAGACCGCATTAATTGCTTCACTGGTTCATAGATATTGACAGGGTCGTGCAATGAGAAAACTTTGAAGAGATCCTGGACTGCTATTGTAATTTATCCATGGGTACGGATTGCTAAATACATTTCCTCCAGATTGACGAAGTGGAATCGATGCCGAGTCGAAATGATACACCGTGATTGCATTGATTGTGACGTTTTCGTTTCACATCCAAAGTTTATCCTACAGTCCCAAGGTTCGGGTACAGTAAACCACCCCACTAAACAACGCAAAGACAAAAGACATCGTATATAGGACATGGTCAAGGCAAATTATTGTCCCCACGCGGGCCTGCTCTACCTGGGAAGGCATCACCACAAGCAGAAGTCGATTATAAAACTATTGCATAAATCCACCAGCCAGATCCGTACCGTACCGCATTGCATCAAACCTCAATTTCTGACGGATTTGGTAAACACCGTTTTTGAAAGGCAGGCGAAGAAGATTTTGCGTGTACCAAGAAAGACGACAATGGGGGTATCGTGAAGAATTCTGGAGCCTTAGTTGCCCTCTGGGTTTGGGGGTTGGGTGGGACGCCAGCCTGTCAATATGTTAATATCAAGGCTCATTTGCAACCTGGGATCTTCAAAGACGATCGAACATACCAGCACCACCGTTACCACCTCCTATAGATCATGTTAGTCATTATGAAAGTCAAAATTTGAACAAAAGAAGATACTCACCATAACCACCGGGGTTGTATCCAGCTCCATAGCCGCCGCCGTTGCCATATTGGTTGTTGTAGCCACCATATCCTCCGCGGTTACCACCCTGCTGGTAACCACCACCACCACCACCCTGATAACCGCCGCCGCCGCCGCCACCACCAGGCTGGTATCCTTGACCGGGCTGCTGGTTATATCCGCCGCGACCCTGAAAACCGCCGTCCGGGCGTTGGGGGCGGTCAAATGCCTTGTCGACGCGGATAGTCCGACCGTCGAATCTGCCACAAAGCATGAGCTCCAGAATACTCTAATGTGGAGTAAGGTTATGAATGGTTCAGAGTCTTACTCCACGTTGTTCATGGCACTCATTGCCGCATCTGCTTCGGCATCAGTGGCGAAGCGAACAAAACCAAATCCGCGACTGCGCAATGTTGCGCGATCTTTGACGACGATCTGGAAAGACTTGAGTAAGATTGCATGCCACAAGAGAGTGATGAAATGAATTGAACGAGTACTAACAGCTTCTTGGATCTCGCCAAACTGCTGGAATCCCTCACGAAGGGTATCATCATTCGTGTGCCACGAAAGGCCGCTTTAAATCATTTCATTGATAGTGAGCTTACTATTCTAGCCTCCACGATGAAGGGGGGAAGCCTGGGCCTCAAATAAGAGGGAAAGTGAAAGTAGAGGAACGTACTGCACGAAGAGCTTAGACATAGTAGCTTTGCGAAACGTCAGGAAGAGGCCAAAGAACTAGGGAACTAGATTAGTCTAGGGGAAAAGAAGCGACTGGAGAGAAAAAGAAACGATGAAAGAATTGTGCCCGGTGCAGAGTGGCAGGGAGATCCTAGTGGTTGGGAAACGAGTCAGCCGTCAAACCCGTGTAACAATCACACTGCCTTAGGGCTTCCACATCCTTGAGATTCACAGTCGGTCTGCCGCCAATAGAAGCTGTAAATCAGGGGGATATAATGCTTACTGAGTACTTTGAATTTGGGTTTGGCTTTTCCCTTTTTTTTCTTGTTTCCTTGTTTTCCTTGGTGGGTTGTGGCCAGTAATAGGGAGTGGGCGGGCAATAGGAAATAGTGACAGGACAAGGTGGGGGGAAACGAACCAGAAGTAGTGCTGTAAAGAGCGAGATAACCCCCGCCTAAACCTTGAACAGTGATTTGATTCGGGACCCGGCGGCCTGTCTACCCTTTTCCCGCTCCATCAATCAGATGTTACCCGAGGCTGGATCATGGAAGATGGGGGACGCTAGCCAAAACGGCTGATTACCACGGCCTGACTCCCCCTTTCATGGGATGTGAGACGATCAACACCGGATCCCAAACGGTTGAGAACACATAGTTACTCAAACCACAACATAATGGATCGGAGAAACCAAAGAGCGCGTGGTCGGCTGCAAAGAATCCTGCGAGCGATTTGCTGCGTTGAGCGGGGTTCTCCACGCACTTTGCTATGGAACGTGCACCTGTGTCACTTAACTTAGGTACGGTACCTCACAGTTTCATGCAGTTGCGATGTGTATGCAAGACCCGTGGCCCTATCCGGGTTCCTGTGCCCAGAATGGTCTGGCCCCCAATTGCTACCGGCTGAAGAATGGCTGATGGCGTCCTGGCCTTGTCAAACCAATTGGAGCCCCAATCCCGGTCTTGAACATCCACATCCAATCCAAGCTGTGCGTGGGTGGAGGGGCAAAGGACCCACATGCCGCTTGGGCCGTACTTCGGATTGACTCCGAAGGAAAGGGCAGATCAGCGCATGGATCAACTTGGCAGGGCGTTGGAAGCTTGAAAGGCTGAAGATAACCTCAACTAGCTGGCATGTTTCGGGGAGTTAGGGGTGAAGATGAGATCGTCTGATTTTCAAATCTTTCTGATAGCTTCAAAGACGAGAAAATGCAGTTTGAGATGGAATTCTAATAGATCATCGTGACAAGGTACCGAACCAAAAAGCCTGAAGCTGATGAAAGAAAGTATGGCTCAGGAATATGGGATGTTGGGTGAGGTGAAGTGAGGTGGATAAGGTTCGTAACTTCCGCCAGCAAAATGTGATCGACGTCAAGAAACCGCGACCTTCCAAGGTTCTTCCATATATCAACAACCTCATCTTGACTTTCTTTTCAATACAATCATGGAGACGGACCACAATTCAATACATCAATGGCTTGCAAAGGTATCCGATGCTCGTTCTGCTTGCAATGCGACAGGTATAGTTCCATTTCTACGCGAATACCGTTGTGTCTAGACCGCTGACTCAAAAGGACAGGCGATCCGAATAATTTTGGCTCAGTGCCTGCAAATACATTGCCCATTGCGCCCAAACTATTTGACACCTCCCGCGAACATGCACTAGTAAAGGGCGGCTCTTTGGTGCAGGGTCAAATCCAACCCCAGAAAGCTGGCCATGAAGTACACCTCAGCTTTGACCGCAAACTGCGCCACAAGACTCGAGAAGATCGATATGAGTACAAGGGTGCCAGCACTAGCAAGACGCAGTCCACATCGAACAAGAACAAAATTAAACGACGGCGAAGCAGGAAACACACGATGGACGACATGTTCCGTGCACCCAACGTTGCTCGTGAGAGGTTAACCGTAAGGACAAGCGCTTGAGGCCTTTGTTCACTGTTCTAACCCCCAATTAAAGCTCCGCGGCAATCTGAATATTGGTATTTTTAACAAAGGTAAGGTATCATCGCCACTGAAACTGGGTCACAGTGAGCACAATCAGATCCGGAAGAGGGCAGAATATAACAAAGCTGATGACATCTACAAGTTCCCGATTCTGCATTTTCAGAACGCAAATTCCTCACCAAGAGGCAACCTGGGACTCCATCAAAGTCTCCCACTACGGACAAAAAGCGGAAGGCGGATCCCGAGGCTTCAAGAAGAGGTACCGGTCGACAGCAGAAATGGCCTGAATACGTATTCTCTGGGTTTTCCAACGAACCAGAAATTGAAGATGACAAGACAAAGCAACTCGTTTCTCAGGTCGGAGAGTTTGGCCAGCCAAATGACGAAGCCAGTATTGATCAAGGACTTTGCGTAGGAAGAGGCTCGGGCCCAATTGTTCAGAGAGAGCTACTCGATACGCGGAGCCATCGTTCATCCTTGACACAACCAGTCGAAAATACAGCAGGCTGGTCCGAGTCTGCTTCACTATATACCTGGTCTGAAACGAACCTCGAAAAGTCCCAACCGGAGCATGCTTTGGAGATTGAGCTGTTGAAACTTCTTCACGTGGGTCTTTTCCCAGCCCAAGGAGACGATCTGTCACGAGAAACAAACCAAAATCACACTTACTACGATCTCGACGAGTTGAAAGCCATTTTAAAAGGCCGAAAAGAGTGTTGGGTGTCGGAGAATAGTCTGACTCGCCAGGTCGTTGCCACGCTGCCTGTCACTGTTTTCCGTCATAATTCGATTGCTGAAATCCACAAGAAACGCGAAGGGTTTGGAAGTGCGGCTCCGATTGATTCAACGTACCCACAAGCGAACGATTTAAATCCTGAGGAATCATCGCATGACAAAATTGTTCAACGTCAAATTTCTTCTAGACCGGTCAGTCAACTTCACAAGACAAAGGTCAGCCCCATTCCACAGCCGAATCGGCTGGAACCAGGTACCTTCAGCATCAATGATACCCAGGAAGCCCAGGGAAGTCCACCGGACGATATCTTCTTCAGTAATTTAGATGCAGCATTTTGGGCGATTGTGGATCCGAACTCCCAAAACGAGATGGACTCTTTGGTGATGATGGGAATACAAAGGTCACCAATCTTTGACTCTGAAGACATCATGATAACAGCCGAGCTCAAAAATGCTGAGGTCTCCAAGCGGCCCTCGCAAGGTACATTATCGCATGCCCAGGTTGGAGTCGAGACACTTTATTCCCCCCAACCTGCTGCTAATGGTTATTGTGGCTCTGAGAACCCTGTCACAGACCTCGAGGACGGCCAAAACAGATTCATATTGTCCAGAGTCTCCCAAAAAGAAGAGTTGAATTGCATGCCGATACAAAGATATTCACACCTACACTCGAGTACCGCCCATTATTCGAATGATGACCCAATTCCTCCTGGCTTCTGGCGTCAGAATAGGCTGTGTTGATCTGACATCTGAGCAGACCCTCACAATCAGAATCAAATATACAAGGCCTATCAACTGACTGGCGTTTTAATTGGTACTCTTGCTCGAAACCAAGACAGCATGAAATGCACAATGATCCTCATGTATAAGAGATGTCGGGAAGTGCTGTTTATTTTTAGTCACCAACTGAGATCAATGAAGTCCAGTCTTTACTATAGGATTCACCTCTACATATCCCCCAGCTTGATGATATCTTCAATTTGCGAATTTGGTACCAAATTCAATCACTATCAATCTTATGTAGTACCGTGGTTGGGTTCACAGATTATACATGGTTTCCAGCTCGTGCATTTCCTGGCCGAAGATGGTAGCGATAAACATGCAGAAATTAGCGCACATGAAGCGTGTGTGGACCAAAAGAAAAAGCAATAAAGCATCCAATCGCTTTTTCACTACCAAATCCGGCTATATTACCAGCCTGTTCCCACTTCCATCATGGAGTACAAGATCCCAGTATTTACAGCTTTCATTAGAGACACAAAACTGCGATTCATGGCGAATGGAAAATTGCCATTTTCCTCAATCCCAGTTTTTGTCACCGAGGGATCATCTATGAATCTGTTGCAGCTATGCTTTTTATAACTGGTAATTTTTTGGTTTAAAATCACGTCGTCTAGGGACTAACGATAAAGTAAAAAGTCGGCCAGAGGCCTCTGTAGAAGATGTCCTGTTATTGAGGGTTGCATTAGAGAGATGAGCACCTGGGCATGTGAATGAGACGACCATGCAAATAGTTTAAATGAGAATCCTTGTGTAGCAATAAAACCTGCTTGATGCCACCCTTTAGGTATCACATTATCTATAGGCTGTACATTGATCCTTACCTCGTTTGACTCTTCCGGGGTTTATATTAGCATTTTCAATGACGTGGTCATGGTAATTCAACCTTGGGAAGTACAGATATGTATGCGTCAGCCCTCACATATACCCTAGATCGCTCATCCAACATTTCTGCTTTATTCTCAGATTCTTAAGCTAGCCACCTTGAGCCCTTAGACTGCTCAAAAGACAAAATAAAATCATCGATACTCGACAACATGAAGCTTTTGACTATTCAATATGCCGCTTTCTTTGGCACTGTGGTGGCTAGTACCTGCGATTGATCGTACCGCTGAGCTTGGTGACTAAGTTGAAAAGCGATAATCGGTACCTTGTTTGAGTTTTACCTGATACTTGACAAGGATTAGACTAACCAATTTGTCATATACGCAGTTCGTGGGTGTTCACCTTTCCTTTGAGGCTACTTGATGACGAAGATGCTAACATGACTTCAAATTTAGACCGAGGTGGGTTTTCCATCTTTTTTATGACTCTTAAAAAGAATAAAGCCAAGTAGCCTAGGATGGCGCTGAATATAGTGTGTGAGTTATTAACTTTCAAGTGTGTTACATCATATCGTAGGGAAGAAATCCGCAAATGTAGGTGCGAATTTGATGGGAGTTTGAGGTAGATTTAAGTGATTGGCTCTTAGCGAAAGACACTTCTAGCATCATACTGAATAGCTGAAGTGCGAATGGAAAAAGTGAACGGGTAGGTGATTTGCTATTCCTTAAAGTTGAATTGAAGAAATTCAGACTGATCAGTTTAGGGGAATACTACCCTATCAATGCCTAAATTAAAGTATAAGTCTAAGCCAAAGCCTGAGTAATCGCGTAGAAAGATCGCGATAGATACCTAAGCTTCCAAAGCTGCTCACTTTCCCGTAGCTTTTGATCTCGCCTTGGCTCAGGTTTTCCCTATTAGATTACGTTTCCTCATACAGCTACATGAATGCAAAGATTGTTTCTATCGCTCTATTTGATAGGCACGACGTAGTCATTATAATCAAAAATAATGGCGTGCTCAAGAGCATCAAATGTATAATATAATACGGACTGGGTGGTAAAAGAGTAGGCTGTATATAGCGCAATTGAATGTTCTCGCATCTATCCGATGCCTCAGTAGATGGCTTGCCAGCAAAAGGGAACGTAACATGGTTTTTAGCTGACCATCTAAATGAACAAGGACCATTATATTCAACGCCAATAATGCGAACACAAGAAAAAGGAGACAAAAAGGACAAAGGAGGGGTATTAAAGGGTTGCGGCGGCCTCGATAGCTCCGGCGGCTTTGAACATTCCCGGGCTCCGCATTACAACCTCAACTGGGTATTTCCATGACATGAATCGGGTCCAGCCTGCAAACCACAAATATTAGCAACCCATTTCCACAATTCAGCAGACGTTATTACCTACTCCAGTATGCGCATTTCCGCCCCATGTATTTGCCAATAAAAGGCACAAGCACCATTGTCAATAGCAGTTCTAATTGCTCGATGCTTTCCCGCCACTCGGCCTCGGCATCGGAGTAGTCATCCGAGAGGGTTTCGAGGTCGGACTCGGTGGTGGTTTCTGATGGCAGTGAAGCGACCTCGTCATCTGAGTCGTACGAGTGCTGGTTGGAGGGCATCATGTATGCGGACATGGAGAACGAGGGATTGGACGAAGGAGGAGAGGCAGACATGTTGGCGGTGATTCTGGGAGATTTGGAAAGGAGAGGTATGATTGAGAAAGAGCAGTGGCCTGCCTACTGCCCTGTGGTGATCAAAGCATTTGTTTCGTGAGTGAGTTGGACTGTGATAATCCCGGTGTTGGGGTTGTAGGTAGACGCCGCGGGTGGTACATGTATTACATAAGCGCCGGCAAGCTTGCTGAGTCATGCGGGGCTGCATGATAGATCTATAGAAATGGACATGGATTAGTTGAATTTTATGGAAACCAAGACAGTTGGACTCACAAATTCATTCAATGCCTCTTTTGCTGCTCGGATTTATAAGAGCGGTCATAATTACCTGAAGCACACAACATGAGACCTGTATGGAATCCCAGCTTCATTATACGGGTTAGGGGCCAGCAAATTACCACCAATTGACTTGCTGATTTGTCTACTTTATTTAAGATCAAAGTCAAGACAAATGTTGAGTAAGGATGCATATACTGTCATATTTTTTAGATGCTCTCTGCTCAGCTTGGAAATGTTGGAGGTTCTATACAATTCTGCACGTGACTTTTATCAATGAGTCAAGGTCACGTGGCCGACCCGCGATAACAGACTCTCGCCTCTCGAACATTGAGATATCAGACCCAGCATCAAATTCGTCATTGTCGACATCGCCGTCTCTCCGACCTCCCCGTCACTCCTGTCTTTCTTGAAAATACCCCGGTGGTGAATCGAAGCGAATTTTCCAACCACCCAGCATGGCGGACGCCGTATGTCACACTTGGTTTCTTTTTTACCGCACCCACATTTTCTTTCAGGCCTGCACAATACCCCTCGGTCAACACCCACACTAGTCGCGCAAGCCACTTGCTTCCTAGCTAGACTCTGAGACCCTTTTTGCCCCAGAAAGCCCAATCCACAACTCCATTTGCCTTTACAATCTATTTTTTTTACACTTCACTAATTTGTGGCGGGGCCCGAACAGGAACAAAAGCAGCGCAAGTCCGTTGCATTCAGCGAAGGATCGGTCATCATGGACACCAACGGCCAAGTCACAGAGTCTTCCGAGACTGAGAAGCCTGCCGGTACGACACAATAGCTTCTCACATTCGGGTTCCACCCGTCTGAACCCCGGACCCGCTAACGGATATATTCAAAATTCTAGACAAGGAAGTCGACGAGGTTACCGACATGTTCAAGGGTCTCGCCAAGAAGAAGAAGTCCAAGAAGTCCAAGGACACTGAGGGCGAAGGTGAGGAGGCCGCTGGCGACGCCGAGTTCGACCCCTCCGCCTTGAAAAAGAAGAAGAAGTCCAAGTCCAAGAAGGCCGACGCTGGTGACTTCGAGGCCAAGCTTGCTGAGGCCGGTGTCTCCGAGGAGGCCGGTGAGCAGGCTGAGGAGGAAGTCGTGCCCGAAGGTGACCTTGAGGCCGGCACCGGCATCTGGGCCCACGATGCCACCCAAACCATCCCCTACTCTCTTCTCGTCTCTCGGTTCTTCTCCCTCATCCAGAGCCACCACCCCGACCTCCTGTCCAGCGGAACCAAGTCGTACAAGATTCCCCCGCCCCAGTGCTTGCGTGAGGGTAACCGTCGTACCGTTTTCGCCAACATTGCCGATATCTGCAAGCGCATGAAGCGATCCGACGACCACGTTATGCAGTTCCTGTTCGCTGAATTGGGAACTAGCGGCAGTGTCGACGGTAGCCGTCGCCTGATCATTAAGGGTCGTTTCGTCCAGAGACAAATTGAGTCCGTTTTGAGGTCATATATCGGTAGGTTCCGCCTTTCTATTATCGCGATACTCGCCATGGGAGTTGAAGCTCTAACACATCTACAGTGGAGTATGTTACTTGCAAGACCTGTCGCAGCCCCGACACCGAGCTCAACAAGGGTGAGAACCGTCTGTACTTCATTACCTGCAACTCCTGCGGTTCCCGTCGTTCCGTCGCCGCTATCAAGACCGGTTTCCGTGGACAAGTCGGCCGCCGGAAGCGTACTGGCTAAGCGAGATAAGCACTGGATTTGGCATTTGTGGCGGAGGCAATTTCTATTGTTCTCTCCTTTATGGCGTGTCACATACTGGGATCGGTGGGTGGTGAAAATGAGACCCCGGCATTGTATCTTTCTACCGTTGGAGGTTTGAGATGAGGAAACGATTTGAAAGATAGAAATAGTTCGCTATGAAATGGATTGATATGACCACTTACTTTCTAGTTTGAATTGACAATCACTCAGTTCATTCATTTCTTGAAGTACAGTTTCAAAGCTAACAACCCGGACACTCAACTAAGCCAATTTCTTTGCTTCACCTGTCACTCTGCAGCATCCTGCCCTCAACCTTCACCTAGAGTCCTTCGACGACCGCCCTATGCCATTTCGACATTTGCCCCTAGCGTGGTGCCGAGTAGCCTGTGAACCAGTAAGCAAATCCATTAGTTTCAAAGTCCCATTGGTCCATGGAAATCCGCTTTGCTTGTTAAATTATTAATAAATACTAATACTTCTGTTTTTCTGTTTCAATTTCTGAACCACATTATCTGGCCTTCGATTCAACTTACGTAGAGTAGCCAGTTGTGCCTGAAGAGCCTCCAGTTCGGCGCTTGTGTGAGCGTGATCGGCCTCGCTCACAGATATCCTGAGCTCATACATCTCTATTTCGTCTTCAGGATCAATTATTCTCCTCTCGACCCAGTCAATTTCAACTTCGAATCGATCAATGTCACCCTGAATATCAGCCAGTCTTTGCTTGCACATGGCTATTGCGTTCTCGATGGGACCTATGTCGGCTTTATGGATGGCTAGTTCTTCTGCGGGCGACTCCGCAGACGCTGTGGGCCGTTGATTCTCAGACTGAAAGGATGTTATAAAAGAACTGTGCATTGCGAGAGTGAAGAAGTGGAATTCGCATATGTGTATGGCCCCACTCGCCTTGCGGTTGCTCAACAATAACGGGACTTCACCGTAATAGAACGAAGAACGATCACTCACCAGCAGTGTGGAATCAACGTACATAGTCCATAATTCAAAGCGTACGCAACTCCCTAATTATCGCATGCCTCAGGATATAAATTGTTCAATAAACTGTTGGAATTCAGATATTGCCGAGAAGATACCTTTTCGGAGGGACTGCGAAAATTCTCTGTGTTGTCCTCCTGAGTTGTTGACACTTCTGGTTTGCTCGGTCGATCAACGGTTGTGTTCACGCATAGTTGAACGCTCTCTATTTTTTTTTATGGATTCAAGTGATAATCAACGGGAAACAGTGCAATGGAATGGACTCAGTCATATTGAAATTGATTGGCTATTCAACAAGCCATTCTCCACCAAGCGAGCGGGACCGTGTAAGTGCCCGCTCGTAATTATTTCACTCGCTTATTCACCTTCGGCTCACCTTGCAGTTGACGATACAACGAAAGACACTTTGTGTGTGCAGTATCTCCTAGAGACAATGATGTTTTACATAGGGAAGCTTCTACATAGCCCTTTTTTATCCTTGAAGGCGTGAGATCTGTTCTCGCTAGATCTTCCCTGAGCCTGTCGCTCCTCCCCAAGTGCTTGATGATCCTCGGCCAGTAGCTTCGTTGCGGCTATAAACTCTTCCGATGTGTCCCCGTGTTGAAGCTTATGGCATTCCACAAGGAGCAACAAACATTCATGCCTGCAACGTAGAATCTCGGTGTCGGAACTTGTCATCATATCTTTAGTCAATTCCAGAAATTGGTTGACCAACTGCGAGGTTAAAAGGAGTCGCTCCGTCAGCGCATTTCGACTGAGCATGGCTGCTTCATAATAAAGGGAGATGGCTTTGTCAACGGAGCCGACTTGGCAGTATTGGGATGCCAAGAGTATCATACATTGCATGGTGACAACATGATCATCTCCAATTGACTTGCGGTAGAGGTCTGTCACAATTTCATGGTAGCTTAAGCAATCAGGTTTTGTTAGTCCGTTCCAGACAGTGCTGAGGAGCCTGATGAAAGTCGTGGATATTGGGAGGACATCGGTAATCTTCTCCAGGTGATCAGTGGTGGTGTTATTTTGAGAAGCAGACAGACTTTGGAGATGAATAGGCCAGTAGCGAAGAGCGTATTGAAGCAGCGGGTTCTGGAGTTGCAATGTAGTGACAGTGCGCTGGTCCAGCGCATCAAATGCAGGCTCACTCGAATTCTCAATAGCATATTTAATGTAGATGAAGAGCCGAGTAAGGAATTCGCTACCAGGGTCCTCGTGGTAGTCCAACTTGTTCCGGGACAAGAGATCCAATACGCCTTCTTTTATCGTACCATGACCAAGAGAAATCAGATCGCCCGCGATAGACACTAAGTCGCTGACGGGGCTCAAGTTCTGGTAAAGAGAGGCCTTGAACTCAAGGTCACTGAGAGGCACAATTTGTTTGTCGATCGAGATAGAAGCCAAGATGTTGAGCTCGGCTGGACGCAAAGGACGCTGGGCAATAGCCAGCAATGAGAGCATATGTTTGGCCTCAATAGATACACCTTCTTGGCTCAGAAGCAGAAGAATCAGGTCGGAGATACTGGGCTTTTCGGTGACGAGAGTTTCCACGGCATCGCGAATTTGATCCGAGCTTTCCTGAACACTGGCGTGTCTGGATGCGAGCTTCGCCCATACAAAAGAACCCTCACACGCTTCAGTGAGTTGGTCAATGGCAATCTCTTGATCAAGCTCAGGCATATCCCACCATATCGGCTTTTCTCCGAATAGTGTTCTTATGACAGTAGATATATCGTCGAAAACCCTATCTTTAGTAAAATTAACGAGAAGCTGACTGTCTGATTCCATAGGTTTGTGTGTGCCGAGGGTTATCAGTTTCATATTCGGAATCTCCGATGTTAAAGAGGCTAGTTTGGCCAAAAGACTTTGCTCGTCACACAGGGCTTCGTCGACGCCATCCACGACCAGAACTATTTGGTTGGTTTCGGGTGCAAGGCCAATCAGTGCGCGTTTCAGTGTATCCCACAGAAAATCGTCATATTCTTTGCCGTCTGCAAGCCGTTTGCTGTGCTCGAATGATTCATTCAGTGCTATTAAGAACGGAAAATTGCCACAGGATTGAGTCAACATTTGGTAAAGTATAGCACGGGCAATGGAATGCAAAGTCCTCTCTGCTGGGAGCCTACTGGCATCTGTTAAAGCTCGTATTAGATATTGTCATATTGAAGGGTAGTTTAGCGGTCATATACTTACTGATGGAAACTGACAGAGTCAGCCAATCGGCAGTATCTCTAAAGGAGTCTCTTAGGTACCCAAGAATGACTTGAGTTGAAACACTCTTTCCCGAGCCTGGCTGGCCAGAAAAATGAAGGTTATTTACCTTTTCACCCCGCCGGAAGACTGAGACATAAGGACGTATCCACAAACAAGTCAGCTCAGCCCTCTCTCCAACCTGGCGTGATGTAGTTTCGATGAGCTCCGCGACGACACGATCATTAGGCGCAAGCCAAGAGAGGATTTCGTAGAGATTTTTACCTTTGAGAGATTCAGTTATATGTAAGTTTTCATCTTTCTCCACTGTATGAACGTACCACTCTCGGTATTTTGAGTCTCTCCCTGTAACCGTTGCATTGAAATCGCCATGGTGACGCTCATGTAGAGGCTCCGAAGGTTCTCAATCCGACCAGCAAATTGCTCATAAATGTTGGTCGAGAGTGACCCAGAAGACTTCCTCAAATTGTAAAAATGAATGGAAACTGCAGCAACAAGGGACACTAGGTCGACAAACGCCTTGATAAGGTGTTCCACAATTTTTGGGTTATTTTCGACTTTTGTTGCACGTAGCAAGTTCGCGAGCGGAGTTGAAATATCATAGAAAAACCCGAAAGGGATTTCAAGCCATGTGGGATCATCACCTCTGAGCTAGACCAATGTGTTAGTCTTGATGAGATCAACAAGAGCGGTGCAGATCAAGCACTGGAGCTGGGTTTGGTAAAATACAGACCTCAAGAAGCATGGAGCAGTGGCCATAAGCAAGACCAGTGGCAAGGTGAATATCTGCCGTGAACGGGTCGATTGTTTCCTCAAATGCACGCAATCTTTCGAGAAAGACGTTGAGCCAGCTTAATATGTTGTCGTATTTACTCGCTTCGCCAGGGAGTAAGCTCATTCGCTGCATACGCATCCATTCCAGTAGAGAGTTGCCCGAGACTTCCAAAAGAAGTGAGGTTTCAGCAAGGGGTAAATCATCATGGTTGGATTGGAATAGATGGAGGATATCATCGGAAATGTTCAAGATGCCCGGACCCACTGGCAATTGACTCTGAAGTCGTCTCGAGATAATAGGGATAACTTTGGATCCTGGTACAGAGACCAACGTCGCAGACATTCTGATTACCCGGAGGATGAAGTACTCCGAATTCGCTTTTTTGATGGAATGAGGGCGTCAGGTGGAAGTGATGGACAGATTTCATCTGGCAAAAAAAAAAACCGTGTATTCAGAGTGGAGTGGTCCACAATTTTTCAGCTCCAGATACAAGATCTGCATTTGCGATGGCGTAGCTGAAGCCTCTCCACTATAATACGTATATTTCGTATGATAGTTCCCGCTTTATGGGGTATTATATCCAATGACAAGTATGCACGTATCTCGGTGGCCTAGAGATATGCAAGTCGCACTGTAGGTGCAAAAATTCCAAAGTTCTCTTAGTTGTAACTCTTGATACATAGCGGTTTCTTGCCCCTCTTTGGAGTCTTCTTTTGAGGGGGAGCAACCGACCCTGCGGGGAGAGTTAGACTGGTGCTTACAAACTGCGGTAAGAGAAAGGAAACGCAACAGAAATGCTTCAAAGGACTCGATGATGAATGCAAGTTGCACCTAGTATACACATCAACACAGCACTTATCTAATCATGTCAGGTGTAGATATCTGCCTTCATGTGACAATTTATTGTCAACATTAACCAAGAACGGCAGAAATGACGACAAAGGAGCAAACATGAGATCCACAATCATTTTTACAAACAATTATTACGACTAGTATCGCGACAAGACTCGTCTTCGAATCCCCTCGGTCGGGATCATCCACCTTCAGCATTCACTTTGACAATTATTCACGTCGCGTCTCAGAACCCAGATCACACACCCCACGGCCGTGAAAGATGGAGCACGCTAGGCATAGATTACGGGGGATTTTTCATCGGCACCCAAAGAATACTGGTGCAGAGGGTCATCCCATAGAAAAGTCCGAAAGTGTACCAGAAGACAAAGAAGGCAAGCCCCTCGAGAAACCGACACCGCAAGAGTCCCGGGCGATTCTCGCAGGCAGAACCACGAACCTCTGGCAAAGAGCAGAGAATAGATTGAATAGCAACCCAGATAAGCGGCAGCTTATGCAAGCTGCCCACGCAGCGCTGACCGCCGACCTGGGGGAGGAGCTGGAGCCGAGCGGCACCTCTGCCCGCCAGGCCCAATTGAGCAGGCTCTTTCAACGTCGAGTCAACGCGCTGGAGAGACAAAAATGGAGGATTCAATTCGGCGATCACGAGGTGGCTGTTCAGGATTTGGTGGCTAGCACTTTTGAAAAAGTCTTGGTGGTGAAGGGGCTGGTTGATACGGCCGCCAGCGCCAGTCCCCCAGCAGCGCTTGCATGTGCCGGACTTTCGGTCGTTTTCACGCTCGCTCTTCAAGCAACTACCCAGCAGGCGGTTCTTCTGGAGACGTTAGACTATTCCTCCGATTTAATGTGCCGCTTCCAGGTCATGGAGGACGTTTACCGTCTGGGTGAGAATGCTTCTCATGGTCCACCAGGGCACCGTGCTGAATTGCTTGAGAAATTCGAAGACCATTTGACCGACTTATACGCTATTATCCTCGAATTTCAAGCCCGCGCGCTGTATTACATGGGAAAACATAGCTTCGTTCGAACCCTAAGTGACGCTTTTGAACATGATGGATGGAATACTATCTTGGGAAGCATGAAATCCCTCGAGACCAACACGGAGAAAGATGCACAACTAATCGGTGCTGCAAATGTGGATCAAAAGTTGAACGAGATCCAGAATAGCCAACTTCAAGAAAACGCCCGTCGTATCATCACAGATCGCGACCAAAAGGCATTCGAATTCCTGCGCGCTCTATATAACTGCCCATACAAAGACCGAAAGGACCGAAACGATGTTCGAGTTCCTGGTACATGTGAATGGTTTACGCATCATCATTTGTTCGAAAATTGGCATCGAACCGAGGGCTCGAGTCTTCTTTGGGTATCTGCTGATCCTGGCTGCGGCAAATCAGTCCTGACCAAGTATCTCGTGGATGAATTCCTTCCCGACCTGAAGAAGCCCACAATATGTTACTTCTTCTTCAAAGATGACTTTTCAGATCAAAACACCGCGACCAGCGCATTATGTGCGATTCTACGTCAAATATTTTTAGCTCACCCACAGCTTCTACGGGACCCAATCCTGACCAAGTTTGGGACGGACGGTGAACGCCTGACCAAATCCTTCAATGATCTCTGGTCTATCTTTACGAATGTGACGGCAGACCCCAAATCAGGAGAGATTATTTTTATCCTGGACGCTCTCGATGAATGCCGGAAAGATGGCCGAGACAGGCTAATAGAGGCTGTCACTCGTTTCCAACAGGGTGGTCCGAAAAGCGCCAACGTGAAATTCCTCATCACAAGTAGGCCATATCTCGATATTTACCGAGAAATACAGGGCAATCAACAGGACTTATCAAGAGTTCATCTCAGTGGCGAGGGCGAAGAAGAGCTCGGTCAAATTTCGAATGAGATCAACCTTGTTACTCAGAAACGAGTCGAGGATATTTGTCGTGAACGTCGTCTTACCTCAAACCAAGCTAAGATGTTGATTGACGAGCTTCTGCCCGTGGTTGACCGCACCTACCTCTGGGTCACCTTAACTATGGATGTGATTAGAAGTACCCCCAGCTTCACCAAGGGAAACATTCGTGCGGCAGTGAAACAGCTTCCAGCTACCGTTGACGATGCCTATGAGAAGATTCTTACTCGAAGTCCGACGCCGGAGCGAGCGAGAACAATTTTACATGCTATTTTGGCCGCAGAGAGACCCCTTTCGGTGAGTGAGATGGCTTTGATAGTGGCTTGCGAACAAGCCTTCAGGGAATCCGTGGATATTGAGGATTTTCTGGAGTCCGAAGATGATTTCAAACAAACGCTTCGAGAGATCTGTGGTCTCTTTGTAGTCATCATTCATTCAAGATTATACTTGCTCCATCAAACCGCTAGGGAGTTTTTAGTCGGATCGAAGTCTGCATCGAAGTCTGCATCTCCTCTGAACCAGGTTTCAGCGGCTACCGTATGGAAGGGTTCCTTCGATCTCCAGGTATCCAACCGCCTGCTGGTAGATGTCTGCGTGCGCTATCTTACGTCGGATAAATGTAACGAACTGAAGGCACTTGAGGAATATTCCAAACAGAACTGGGTGACGCATTTCAAGTCATGTCCAATCGGAGCCGATGACTCTATTATACCCCTGGCCGGTCAGCTCTGTGGCTCAGGTAACCAGAGTTCTCTCAAATTTGCCTTTGCATCTGGTCTCCCATATGTGGTAGAATATCTGATCAAGGTTGAAAAACATGGTGGAGGCACATTTCTAGTGGATCGGGCCAGAGAAGGGCGTGTTGACTTGGTTCAAATGATCCTTGAGCATGCAGTCGATGTCACTTCAAGCAGTGAAACCTGGGTCATTCCTCTACAAATGGCTATCGTGAATGGACATTTGGATGTGGTCCAAGTCTTTCTTGAAAATGGCGTTGATCTCACTCCCAAGAATGGATTTTCCGACCCCTCGATATGTTTTGCTGCAAGCCAAGGCAATGAGAAGATATTGGATATCCTGATCAAGCATGGAGCTGATGTCAATACCCGAGATCTGCTGGGCAGAACGCTTCTATGCCTAGCGCAAGGACACGAAGCTGCCTGTCGGTTACTCATTGAGCATAATGCAAAGATGGAGTAAGGCAGCTTTCAATGCATAGCACTATATGTATGATTCCACTTTGAGATCTATAGTATTTACATTAATGTGTCCTATTCCCAATCAAAGAGTTGCTTCTAGAGGTTCTTTTCATGCCTTTCAACCGGCCTTGGATAGTAAGAGCCCTGAAAGAGTCAGAAAACTTGCGATCTCCCATTTTCACCTGGACTTACTAATTGAGAGCTCAGGAACGACCAAAACCCGGAGGCGTCTGCAGAATAGATATAAACTTCCCCTGACTGTCGAATGCGTATGCCCACGCAGACATCCGCCCCGCACATTTTGCTATACTCCCGCGCCTTTTTCTCTAGGCATAACTTGCGCCGGCCTCTCTTCTGTTGCAGTAATTTCTTCTCCACGCTGGCGTTCTTTGATTGTTTTGAAATTCTCGCCATTGTCTTGACTAGATGGATACTCCTGGCTGAATGAATGGGCAAGCTCGGTTAAACAAGGTGAGCCGAGGGTGAGAATAAACGAACAATTAACACAGCTCCAAATGTTTCGCCCCCATATAGAATCAACTGGCCAATCAGATCTGAAGAGGGGGGAACTTGGATTTTATGCCGGCGCAACAGAAGGCGGAGCTTACAGAACGCGGTATTGGGGCGCTAAACTGAAAACGGGAAAACTAGCCACATGCGGGAATTCACAGGTCCGGGTATCACAAAACGTATCAGCTGTCCGAAGTGAATCGGGAAGCGGATGTTAACCGTCTTTACTAGGCTAATACGGGATACAAGGATACGTTGAACCATGGATCAAGTACTAACGCTCCCTCGACTGCATGCCCGCTAGATACCTAAGGATAGGAAAATACTAAGAGTATGATCTAATTTATATCAGAGCTATATACTGAAGAGATAAGTAATGGAGACACCAGAGTAGTACTCATTGTCCTACCGGGCTGTGTTGATGTTAGCATTCTAATGATGTGTCGAACGAAGAGGAAATTATTTGCAAGTGTGATGCTTCCTGAGATCCTGCACGACTTTGATATCCTCCTACTTTATTATCGCCGAAGATAGATCATCAAGCGGGTGGCTTCAGACGTTGTATACTAAGCTAATATCGGAAACTACCCAATTCTCTACTGGGGGCCATTGTTCGAGCTTTAGTAATACAAAGTGTTTTGCTCGGGAAATCGTAATATTGCAGCTGTATACGAGGCGATAACCAAGACAACACAAACTGATAACCATCTTACAGCCATCAACATCACCCACTCGCCGTGCTCATCTTCATCTGCATAGCAAAGGTATTCAAGTTCCTAGTTTGGAAATAAACAGTTCCAGGCCCCTTGAACTTACAAGCAAGACCCTCATGGGAAGAATAAGCAGACAAAATTCCACCAGAGGCAACACGCTCAAGTGTATAATCGCAATTCCACGCAACGAGATACCCATTGTCAACGAAGTATTTCTCTCCCTCCACCAGCTAGGATATGTTAGTACTTCCAAGAAAAACGAAAAATATAATGGCAGGTTGCAACGTACTTCTTTCTTGACAATCGCGCCGAAACTCTGGATCCAAAGTAGTCCTGTTCCGGTGATTTTGTATACAAACAATCCCTCCCCGGAGAACATTGCTTTTGTCAGGCCCTGGGTTACATATTCGTGATTGACGGCTGATGAATGCGCTAGGAAGGCGTCTCTACCGATCATCCATTCATTTTCTGGGCGGATGGGGAGGACCATTAGGTCGCCCAGGACGGAGGGGGCTAAGAGGAGTTCCCCAGGTCCTGTGAAGGTTGACATGCCCATTTTGCCTCCGGCTAGCAGTTTTTTCATTGTGAAATGGACTTCACCTCGGAGGGTCATTGTAGGAGACATTGCCAGCATAGCGCCTGGAAAGATCGTTAGACGTTTGAAGTAAAGTTCCGATTATATTGCTTACCTGGCTTTGCTACCAATGGCGCGCCCATGGCTAGTTGGATTGTCAAGAGAGAGTTTGAATCCCGGTGACTGATTCTGTAACTCCCTCCGTTGAATGTACCGACATTGTCGTCGTGTGTTGCGGTTGTTCCTTTGAAGTCTCCGTACGAAGGCGCCCCTCCAGGTATCTTGTCCATTCGATTCAGTGAGGAGGACTGAGATTCAGATCTACTGATACTGGCCACGGGTTGCTGAAAAGCAGCCGCACTCGGTTGGTGGTAGAATGGCGGCTTATCTTGGGGATACTGATTCTCTGGTGGTGGACTCTGGACTGGAGGGCTAACGGATGGGGGTGGTCCCGGGAATACATTGTTTGTTGGTTGGGACCTGGGTGGAGGAGGGTAACTGAAGTTCTGCGGGGGTGCGTTTGCGGAGACCTGTGAAGCAGGTGATGGTTGCGAGGGTGGGGGGAGAGGCCTGGGGAGGCGGAGGGAATGCTTGAGGAGGGGGAGGGAAGACTTGTTGAGGAGGTAAAGAAAATGCTATACCATCGTAAGTCAAGTGCTCTTATACTTAATTCTAGGGATTATTTACTTGTTTGATGAGCCGGCGCTGCCGCAATGTTAGCATATTGAATCAACGTTTCTTCATGGATAGCTTACCAGACATCGGCGGAGGGGGATAATGGGTTTGTGGCTGCGACATTTTCTTGTTGAAGAAGGACGGCATGTATGCAAAAGCGAAGTCCAATTGGGCTTCAGATGTATCCCTTTTCAACTGTCAGGGCCCTAAATTTGATCACCCCAGATTGTAGACGTACAATTCTCCTTGTGCGGGGTAAGTTCAACCAGTCTAGTTCGACTGTTCAGGCGAGCTTTGCTGATCAACAGCAAATATAAGAATCGAAAGGACTAATAACTTTAACGGTTGAGAGCCGGCTCAAAATGCAGAGAATTCGGAAATGCACAAAGGAAATAAAAGCTCTGAACTTTGAGGAGCTCGAAACCTATTATTAGGTGCGGTCTTGGAGACGACGACCATTTAGATTAGCAACCGAATCACAATTCACTACTGCATGATCATCCCAGCTGGGCGCTTACAAGGTCCAACTGCGCAATCTGATGGGCTGGTGCATGCAGTAGTAAAGTGGATCCTCAAGCGTGATTGGCGGTTCACGAACACGCCGAGCGGCCAAGCATAATACGGAAGTTAAAAGTGGGACACGACAGGGTCAACGGTGATAGATGTGAATATCTTGCCGCTCGGACAGAATGCCCAGGATACTAATGACCTTGCATGCCTGCGGCCAAGTCGTGCACTGGCGGGGTTACACCTTGGTATAGCATAATTGGGAAAGATCATCGCAAAGAATACGAAATTCGAGCTTCCGGTGCATTTTTCTACCATTTTTCTACCCGGGTTCCTGAGGCATAGCAATGTGGCAACGCTAGCACTCGAATGTCAAATACAAAAGAGGTAAGTTCCAAGAAGAATACTCTGCCAAAAAAGCCATTTGTCCAAGCATAGACATAACCACCAACGCCTTTCAATGATTTAGGATATATGAAGAGGGAACATCCACGCAATATCAAACGAGTGCAGCATAAACAAATCCAAATGGTAGCGAGCTTAGAAGATGCTGTTCACGATGTTGGATCCAACAGTAGCACCGGCACCGAAGATTGCTGCTCACAATTAGTTATCTAAATATCGACCACATCGGAATATGACACATACCAGCGTTACCCAGTTTCTTGCCAAACTTCTTGCCGCCCTGCTCGAATTTGCTCTTCTGGTTCGGGTCGTTGGATTCAGCCGAAGGTCCACCTTGGCTAACTTCCAGAGGCATGTTTCCATAGTTGGTAGGCGGGGGAGCACCGCCAACCTTCTCATTCAAGACGTTCACATAGCTGCGAGGGAAAATACCCTCCATACCGGTGCGCTCGTTGCGACCACGCCACCCTGTTTGAATATTAGTACACCTTCAAATCCGTTCGTCTCGGGCAAAACATACAGTCATCATTCATGTGCTCAATAACCTGAATACGGTCATTCGGCTGCAAAGCAAGATCACCCGCATCGGTGGGAGTGTATGCATACAACGCCGAGGCGAGAGACAGAATAGCAGGGACTTGGGGATAGGCTGGCGGGGCCATCTGAGGAGGCGGGGAGGCATATTGGTTGTGCAGCTGGGCTTTCTCATTCAACGAGGCATTGTGCATTTGTGACACGGGAGGGGAATAAGGAGCTGGAGCGGGCTGGGCCTGCACGGGTTCCGGCAAGGGTGAAGGTGTGGGCATCACCGGCGTAGCCTCGCGGTGTTGGGGGGCGGAACGAGCATCGGACTCGTTGGGCAGTTGTGAGAGAATAGAGTTCAGTTGTTGGCGTGAGATCACGGATGCATCTGCTAAGAATTCCAGCTCCTGGGTGTGTTCGTTAGTGGTTGCGACTTTGAGGTACTGTGGAGAAAGACATACGGTTCGGACCATGCGGAGCGACCGGGTGGTCATGGCAGAGGCGAAATCGTTTGCCATGACGGGTATGAAAACTCGGGCGATTGTAGGATATTATGTGTATAATCGAATCGCTTGCTGGGAAGAGATGGAGATCAAAGATAGGGGAGGTATGGGTTGATGGAGAGAGCTGGAGGAATAGCGGAGGTCAAGACCGACTCCTCTGCCAAGTGGGTTGTCTCGTCTGCCTGGCGGGCCAAGACTCAAGAACACCAGGGGTAATCTCTCTTCGACCATCCATACTCATTGATAACTTGTTCAATAGTTCTCTGGGAGCGATTCCAATCAATTCTCGATTCTCCTCTTTAGCAACCTCACTTTATGTTTTTGCTGTTATTTGGGGCATTTGCAGGATCAATGTAGCTGGTTTGCATGACTAGCATAAGTGGCCCCATTTCTGTGTTTAAAATTAGAGCCGGGGTTCCCGATATCAAATTTGTTCTCAAATTCATGTCACTTGGTGGGGATCACTGTAACTCGTCGTTTAGCAAAACCAAATGGCTCCAGTGCTGGGTAGACCAAACATTGGACTAGATCTATGATGTATCTGGTCTTTGCATCAATTGACCCGAAGTAAAGCTCCGTCTAATCCACGCTGTGGAGGCCAGTCACAGTAGCTTTGTGAGTGCAAAACTAGCAGTGGAGCAAACTATCATTCGCTCTCATCCCCAATTACACGAGTGATCGTAATAGCGTCCTGCAGGCAGTTAGCATCTCCTTAAGAACCCAAGGAAGGAGACGTACAAGACCAAAATCAGTCTCAAACTCAGCAAGGACTGTGTCATACACCAAATTAGGATTGGGCGCAACAGCACCAATCCCAGCCCCCTTGACCATCTCTCGCTTCTGCTTCGTAGTCGCCTCCACCCATTTCCTATACTCGGGAGCACCAGGAAAGATGACATTATCCGCAATAACTACCGAAACATCCGTCTTGAGAGCATCCATCTCCTCAAGAAGCCATAGGTCAGGCAGATATAGGTCCTTCCAGTGATCCAGAAAGATAAATTCAACATGCCTTAGCTCTTCCTCTTCAACCAGCTCCTGCAGAACTTCATCGCTAGACCCAACGAGAATCTGCACGGTATCGCGTAGCCCGGCCAGATCTACCAGCTGACTTGCTATAGCACCCATCTCGGGGTTCTTTTCGATACCGATGTATTGCTCCCCGCCGTGCGATCGTATGGCGTCTCCGAATAATATAGCGCTGTAGCCGATATAGACACCGAGTTCGATCATAGATGACGGTTTGCTTTCGCTGATTAGGTTGACTATGTGCTGGCCTTTTTGGGCTCCGACATTGATGAGTATATCGAATTCTCTGTGGTATTCATCGATTGCACAGAGTACTCTTTGTGGATTTCCGTTGAGCTCTTTGATATCGGGGCGCGCGTATATATAGTGAAGTAGATCTACTTCGCGGCCGTCCTGGGGTTTTTTTTTAGAATTTTCGTCTACATATGTTCAGAGTTGGAGTTTTACTCACAAGAGCATATTTGGTCGCTGGAGGTGCGTGCTGCTTGTTTGACATGGTTTCTATAGATACGAGGAACGGATTGAAGCACTTGCTTGAAAGGAATACGTCGGATTCGAATGCCTAGATTCCAATACTTAAAATCAAGTGGGAGATTTTGGATATCTATGTCGGACCATTATTTGGAGCTATACTCCTTCGCACCTGAGAAGGAAGCTTTATAGTGATTCGTATATAGCATTTAGTCGGAGTTTACGATGTTTGTGGGGAGTTCCGAGGTCAGGAGTTAAGCCTCTCAGAACGGAAATCTCCGAATGCTTTCGGAGAATCTGACCCTCCGAGGCCTTGGCCTGCAGTCACGCGTTGTGGTTGTGATAAGGAAATTCCAGTGATATCTTTCCATATCAAGTGTGGAGGTCTTGATCATCTTAAGTTCTTGCACCCGTGGACTATTTACTGCAGTAGGTACCACTGGAATCCGAGATTGTGTATAGTCGTTGAGATACTGCGATAGTGGTCACGCGAAGAACCTTCAGAAGTGATGCAAAGTGACAGAATAGTTTATGGAAATATGCTAGATTTCCATCAATTGGAGAGTGGCACCTGACCTCAGAAACCCCTTGCATATTTGCAGAGGCTGTGAGGCTCAGTGTCGTGGTGGGGTCAGTCGGGGTCCGTAAGAGGAAACCGGACTGCGCCTTATATGCTGTATTACGGATCTTTGATTGTGAGTCAGCTATTCACTGAGTGAAAACATTTTGAAAGAAAACAAAAATAGTGTACAGAATAATTTCCTCCTTTATATATAGCGTCTGTACAGTAGCGTGCGATGAGATCAATGCCCCAGCATGGACCGAGCCTCTATGACATCAAGTGGGTCGAATACATCATAGCATTTGCAACTAATTGATAAACAATAGAATTATACGGCCTGAGAAGAGTGCATAGTAATGTGTGAGAGATATTGTTCCAAATACTAGGCTTAATACGCGGCTATATAGAGTAAAAGACCCAAGCGACTGGGTTTCTGAAAGACGGCGATGGTGGCAACATCATCGTGGCCCCACTTGAATGATGCCTGCAGCCTCAATTTGCACTCAACAACAAATTGAAAAATACCAAACTGTACTCAATTGCTATGTTCACTCTCTAATATATCCCTGAAATCAATTGCTAAGCAAGTATCTAGAATGTACGCATGGTAAGCGGAGTTAGGCGCACGACAATATCCGTGACAATAACCCCCACTAAACCAGAAAGGGTTTAGCGCATGACTCCCCTCTCTCCCACTCTCGAGAAGCTTCTGTGCAGTATAAATCCCATCAACCCAACCTCACGCGAGCCCTTCGTCATAATCCACCTTCCTTCCTCCACAATCCACACCACAACACCCTATTCCCAACCACAACCTTCAACCGCAAAAATGGACGACTGGAACACTACCACCAAGATCGGCAGCAAGCACCGTGGCGCCGGTATGGCCCCCCGCGAGACTGTCGTCAAGGGCAAGAGCGCCCTGAATGCCGCTCAGCGCCAGGGTGGTATCCTCTCCACCGAGAAGAAGTACACCACCGGTAATATCGTACGTTCAACCGTTGCAGCCTATGATCCCCAAAACCCATGAAACAAACACTAACCCGAATCCACAGTCTGCGAAGTCTGGTGCCCCCGAAGGCCAGCACCTCACCAAGGTCGACCGCAGTGACGACATCATCAAGCCTAAGACCGTCGGCCTCGAAGTCGCAGACGCTATCAAGAAGCGCCGTACCGATGAGGGCTACAAGATGACACAGAAGGAGCTCGCCACCAAGTGCAACACTACCGTCACTGTCATCCAGGACTTCGAGCGTGGTTCCGCCGCTCCGGATCAGAAGGTTCTTTCTGCCATGGAGCGCGTGCTTAATGTGAAGCTCCGTGGTAGTGACATCGGTAAAGAAAAGTTCCCCAAGAAGAAATAAATGAATTAGGCCTCGGCTTGTGCTTTATTTCTGGGGGATGAGACGCATTTTCTTTCTTCTTTGTTTTTGTGATGAACGTCATGCCTTTCCCCTTTTTCTGATATGATGTCTACTTTTTTTTTTTACCTCTTTGGGGGGTTCTTTTCTGCTGGTCGGATTAGCGCTGGCCTTGCATGGAATGGGCTTAGAGAAAATTCGGATAAAAATGTATAAATGAGATACCTCAATGATTGTGATCTACGTCCATGGTGTTTCTGTGATGTATGGTTAACGTAGAGCCGTACTTTCAGGGAAGATTATTACTTAATTGTCAAGTTCGATTGGACAGCTGATTGCATGCGTTATATCCTAGCCATTGATCCTGGTCTCAACGTGCGTCAATAGGCCGAAGACTTCCAGACCTAACTAGGGCCGAATCAGAGACCTCGATATACAAGCCTAGCTCCTTGAATACTTGTCTGAACTGATTGAAATTTTGCAAGGCTTCTGTATTGTCTATTTTGTGATATGTACGTCCACTGGAATTTTGAGCCGTGCGTCCACACGCTCTCCCCAGCAAGAAAGACATATAACTCGAGAGCTGAAAATGAAGCATGCTGTCTTTTATTAAACAGAAAACAAAAGCAAAAGGGTACCAACTCCGGTTGATCATGTAGGAATCAAGAAATGAGAAAACCGTGTCCTCGAAAGGTCATCATCTCATCCCATATGCCGGACTCGAGGGCAAAATTAAAAACAAACGTCCCGAGTCTAGTTCGCATCGTAAACACATACACACAACTCTCCTCGACTCGAATCACCTATACTTCTTCGTAGCGTAGTCGTCCCTTACTTCCGCAGCTGCTCCCGCTCAACCTCGTACATGAAGTCGAAGTAGCCCTTATCGAAGTGGTGGATACGGACGTAACCGTCCTCACCACCGGAGGCGTATGAGGTACCGGCGGGGTGAACGTCGATGGTGTTGAGGGGACCGAAGTGACCACGGACACGGCCGATCTCGTCTTCGAAGATCTTGTGGTAGAAGCGGGCCTCGAATTTACCCTGGCGAGCGGAGGTGGTGGTGACATCCATGGCGGCCTGACCACCACCCAAAATCACGTAGTCCTTCTTGTTGGTGATGGAGGCGGAGTTGAGGGGAGTATCGGCGGGGTAGGTCTTGAGGATGGCGAGGTTGCGAGCGGAGATGAGCTGGAAAAGGTCAGTTAGATTGTTCTGAATTTGAGATTAATGTCGTCTGCCTACCTTAGCAGTCTTGTCTTTGGAGGCGGTGATGAAGTGGGTGCGGTCAGCGGAAAATTGGATGTCGTTGATCTGGTGGTCGAACTCGTGGGCCTGGATGTTCTCCAGCTGATCACCGGTCTGAGAAAAAAGATGTTAGTATTCCTAGGCTGGGATTGAATCCAAATATCACCCTGACGGGCATACCTTAGGGTCATATTGGCTGACGGAGCCATCCTCGTGTGCAGCGATAATGTACTTGGCCATGTAACTCCATCCGGCAACAGTGGCCTTGCTCTCAGCGCAAGTAATGCGCAAGCTTGGCTCCTCTGCTTGAACATCCAGGTTGTTGCCCTGACCATCACCATAGGCGATGTCGAGAACAGCGATCGAACCGAGGAAACCCATACGCTTCTCCGTCACTGCCAGCAGCTTGCTTCCATCCGGGGAGAATGCCACCCGCTTCACGGCTGTCGGGAACTCCCAAACCTTGATGCAGTCGCCAGTCTTGATGTTCCATAGCCGAACAGTGTTGTCGGCTGATCCAGTCGCAAGGATCACAGTGTTGGGGCTCACGTCGACAGTCCAGATAGCACCCTGGTGGCCAGCGTACGTTCCGAGGCGCTCACCGTTGGCGGTCCACCATGCGCACACATTCTTATCCTTAGAAACCGAGAAGAGGAGGTCGCCATCCTTGTTGTAACGAATCTGGTTGAGGGACCGCTCCTATAAGGTGATTACGGTTAGTTTTCACTGTGGACCCGAGCTTTTAAAGAAGAATCCCACGCACATGTCCCGACAGCAGAATAGGTCTCATCTTGGTGGATGCGACAGGAAATGACCGGAAATAAGTGCACTGAGCTGATCGTCTCAGTGAGGTGGATGTATGGCGGGTATATCGGAGGAGGGGGGGTCAATCTCGTCAACCGTCACTTTCTTTCACTAGTGAATTTCATCGCACACTCCTCCAGCGCCAAGACTGACAAACCGTATCGAATCGCGCTTTTCCGGCAAAACCATTGATCCGGTATCTACACGTGATGTGCTACCCCTCAGCCCTAAGCCCTATTAGGCCTGATCTGGCACCCATACAATCGGAATAACTAAAGCTCCATCGGATCAACTAATAGCCATGACTCATTAAGCTGTTATCTTCGGAGTTTTGTGAGTGCCTCAGGCAACAATGCCCCGTGTGACTTGCGTTCTCCCTTTCGGATTCCGAAGTATCACAGCAACGAGAAAGGGAATTGCAGGAGAGACGAGGTGAGGGGGAAAGAGACTACATTCGAAGAGACATAAACTCTGGCCAAGATCTCTTTTGGTTTCTGATTCCGAGTTTTTCCTCTATCATAAGGGTGAAATGTTAAGCTTCCTCGTGATCCCGAACCGATAGTCAGCTCCGAGGGTTCTCGCCCCTAAAGAAGCAATAATATTCATGCTGTTCCCCGCCGTACCCCGCGGTCCTCTTTCCCTTCAGGCGCGAGCGACTAATTTTTATCTCCGCACCTCCCTGTGCTTGTCTTCATACCACACCATATCCTCCGCACGAGGGGTAAGAGGTTCTGTCTTGTCAATCTTTTCGACGCCATCCCAAAAGTCTGCTTTTCTAAACCCGTTGCCCGCTGCTTCGAATCGCACGTTCTGCAGCTCCGCAGCCATGGCCGCTAAGATTGATGGCACGGCAATTGCCAAAGCCATTCGCCAGGGTCTCAAGACTGAGATTGAGGAGACTCAGATTGCCAACCCCCGGTTCAAGCCTAACCTAATCATTTTTCAAGGTAAGCAATTTTGCTCCAGTCCCAACGCGAAACTAGCAGCATGTGATTGACTAACACCACTTTGCGATAGTCGGCAACCGATCGGATTCCAGTTAGTTTTGCATCACACATGTATCGACCAATTAAGGCACAGAACTAACTAGAACCCAGGCACCTATGTGCGCATGAAGCTGAAGGCCGCCCAAGAGGTAGATTTGATCCAATTGGCAACAGTCAGAGATAGGATGACTGCTGACTCACTTTAGGCCAACATCCTTTGCACTCTGATCAACATTCCCGAGACCAGCACCGAGCTGGAGCTCCTCCAGGAGATTACCAAGGCCAACAATGACCCCACCGTTCACGGTATCCTGGTTCAGTTACCCCTCCCCTCCCACATGTCCGAGCACAGCATCACCTCTGCCGTCTCTGATGAGAAGGACGTGGATGGATTCGGTGCTGTCAACATTGGTGAGCTGGCCAAGCGTGGTGGCCGCCCACACTTCACCCCGTGCACTCCGCTTGCAGTGATGGAGCTGCTCAAGGCCAGTGGAGTTGACCCCTCAGGCAAGCAGGCTGTAGTCCTGGGACGTAGCGACATTGTTGGCAGCCCAGTCAGCTTCCTGCTCCGCAATGCCCACGCCACCGTCACGGTCTGCCACTCTAAGAGTGCCGACATCCCAAGCATCGTGAAAAATGCTGACATTGTCGTCGCCGCTATTGGAAAGACCGAGTATGTGAAGGGTGAATGGTTGAAGCCAGGCTGCGTTGTGATTGATGTTGGCATCAACTACAAGCCTGATGCGACCAAGAAGTCTGGTGAGCGCCTAGTCGGAGATGTGGACTTCGAGTCTGCTTCCCAGGTGGCCTCGCAAATCACCCCGGTCCCCGGTGGTGTGGGCCCTATGACAGTTGCCATGCTGCTGAAGAATGTGGTCCATGCTGCCAAATCATACTTCGAGAAGCAGAAGGACCGTCGCATTACTCCACTACCTATTCGTATTCAGACTCCCGTCCCGTCGGATATCGCCATCTCTCGCGCTCAATACCCCAAGCCAATTACTCAGGTTGCTGCTGAGGTTGGCGTTGCGCCTCATGAGCTGGAGCCCTACGGTCACACCAAGGCCAAGGTTGGGCTTGAGGCCTTGGACCGTCTCTCTCACCGTCGCAATGGACGTTACATTCTGGTTGCCGGTATCACCCCTACTCCTCTGGGTGAGGGCAAGTCGACCACTACTCTTGGTCTTACTCAGGCTCTTGGAGCTCACCTGAACCGTATCACCTTTGCCAACGTTCGTCAGCCTAGCCAAGGACCCACCTTTGGTATCAAAGGTGGTGCTGCCGGAGGTGGCTACAGTCAGGTCATTCCTATGGATGAGTTTAACCTGCACTTGACAGGTGACATTCATGCGATCACTGCCGCCAACAACCTGCTTGCTGCAGCAATTGAGACCCGCATGTTCCATGAGAGCACACAGAAGGACGGCCCTCTCTACAGCCGTCTGGTGCCCGCCAAGAAGGGCAAGCGCGAGTTCCAGCCTATCATGTACCGTCGCCTGAAGAAGCTGGGTATCGAGAAGACCAACCCGGATGAGCTTACCGAGGACGAGATCCGCCGCTTTGCTCGTCTGGACATTGACCCTACCACTATCACTTGGCGTCGTGTTCTTGATGTCAACGACCGTCACTTGCGTGGCATCACCGTTGGTGAGGCTCCTACTGAGAAGGGTCTTTCTCGCGAGACTGGTTTCGATATCTCCGTTGCCAGTGAGTGTATGGCGATCCTTGCTCTGAGTAACGACTTGGCGGACATGCGTGAGCGCCTGGGCCGTATGGTGGTCGCTACCTCCCGCAGCGGTGACCCAGTCACTTGTGATGACATTGGCGCCGGTGGTGCTCTTGCTGCCTTGATGAAGGATGCCATCAAGCCCAACCTCATGCAGAGCTTGGAGGGAACTCCCGTTTTGGTCCATGCTGGCCCCTTCGCAAACATCAGTATTGGCGCTAGCTCCGTCATTGCCGATAAACTGGCCTTGAAGTTGGCCGGTACCGAGCCCGACGAGGACCACGATGCCAAGACTGGTTTCGTCGTGACTGAGGCTGGTTTCGACTTCACCATGGGTGGTGAGCGCTTCTTCAACATCAAGTGCCGATCATCGGGTCTCTCTCCCGATACCGTGGTCATCGTGGCTACCGTCCGCGCCCTGAAGGTGCACGGTGGCGGTCCCGATATCAAGCCTGGTGCTGCTCTGCACGAGGTTTACCGCACTGAGAACGTCGATATTCTCCGTAAGGGTTGTGTCAACCTGCGCAAGCACATTTCCAATGCCCGGCAATACGGCGTGCCGGTTGTCGTGGCCATCAACAAATTTGAGACTGACACCGAGGCTGAGATTGCTGTCATCAGGGAGGAAGCGATCGCAGCCGGTGCCGAGGATGCCATCCCCGCCAACCACTGGGCTGAGGGTGGAGCCGGCGCCGTTGACCTGGCTAAGGGTGTTCTGGTCGCCAGCTCCAAGCCCAAGGACTTCAAGCTGCTCTACGACCTGAATGGCAGCATCCAGGAGCGCATTGAGCGCATCGGCAAGGAAATGTACGGCGCCGAGAAAGTGGAGTTTAGCGAGCTCGCACAGAAGAAGGTTGATACCTACACCCAGCAAGGATTTGCCAATCTGCCTATCTGTATTGCCAAGACCCAGTACTCTCTCAGTCACGACCCTGCCCTGAAGGGTGCACCAACCGGATTCACTGTACCAATTCGGGATGTCAGACTAGCCGTGGGCGCTGGATATCTGTAAGCTCTCTCCCCATTTCTTTTTCCATTACGGTCCCCGCAGTGACCCGCTTTTTGTCCCCATTCCTATCTACCATGCAAGACGCAACTACTAATTTGACTCACAGTTACGCTTTGGCTGCCGACATCCAAACTATCCCTGGTCTGCCTACTGCACCGGGCTACCTGAATGTAGACATTGACCCAGAGACTGGTGAGATCGACGGTCTGTTCTAGATCGTGCATGAAACTTTGTTTTAAGGTTCGGATTGGATAGACAATGACTGGATGTATATAACCGTGTATTGAGCACGGCTTGGGACTTTTTTCAACACATACCACTTACAACGATAATCTGGCGTCCCATGGGAATGTTTAGAGCGGAGAATTTCAACACCAGGTTCGTTAGCAGATGAATCAATTTCAAGAAGTTACGAAACACTATTTTTTTAAGCCATCATCAACCTTGGGACTTCCAAGGTCTTGTACCTGTAGATCGTGCTATTCGGGTGATCGTTTCCCGGTGCAAGAGTGGGTCTAGCACCTTCCTCGGTGAGCGCGGAGTAGTGCTCCGAGCTCCGGAGAACACTACGTTTTGACTTCTTCCCCCAACCGTGTAGCGGGTCGGTGGATAGAGCTATGAGCCCGGTGACTCGATGAATGGAACATAGAAAGGGCTAGGACCAGGGGATTTAAGAGAAAGAAGCCATGGCCTCCTCCATTCTTACCTTTTAATTTCTAGTATCCATCAGGTTATCAGCTTTCCCTTGGTAAGTCTCGTGACTGTCCGGCTTCGGCGCTTCTTGTAGCGGCAAACGGTTAGAAGAGGAGATCACATTGGCTCATCCATTTGTTCCTTGCAGCAGAGTTTCCTCCCGGACAAGGCTTTTTCCTCTTTTCCCCTTCGACCTTGCCATCGCTCTCCTCTTGCTCGGTAATTCCCCCAGTTCCCATTTGCCTTGTTGGACCCATTTGCCCAGTTACCCGGCCACTCCCGTTTTCCCCCGGGCTTTGGCTCCCCCAGACATTGTTTCCGGCACATCTAGCGGGTGACGTTGCGATCGGGCATAGGACAACTCCGACCCCACTGCCGCTTTTCCCTTCTGCCGAACATCGTTCCCTCGGTTGTTCAACACGGCGAACCCGCAGAACTGTCCCCCCGATACTGCCTCCGAACCAAACAGAAAGAGAGAAAGTCGCGCTGACGCTTTTCCGAGCATAGGCCCCAATTCTTGCCTGATTTCCACACTATGAACGCTCTTCGGTCTGGTTCCGCTTTCGCGCGCCGGTCCCTTGCGACCCCTCCTGTTGCCCCTCTCTCTTCTTCTTCTCGTCTTCTCTCTTCCTCCTTTACTTCCTTTTCTACTTCCCAGAGATCTCTTTCTTCTGCCTCCCTCCCTCGCACTAACAGAATCTCTGCGTCTTCCCGCTGGACCGGATCGACTTCTTCGTTGTACCTTACTCAAATCCGCACTATGGCTTCCGAAAGCAAGATCAAGGTCGTGAACCCGGTGGTGGAGCTGGATGGTGATGAGGTATGGAGCGAATCCCTCCCCTTTTTATATTTTAGACCCCGATCTCTCCCTTGCGCGGGGTTTGTCACAAGCTTGCATTGTCTCGTGCTTCGAGCGGTACATTTTCGTCTTGTCCGGCATTCAACGCGGGGAAACACGGGGGATCTAGTCTCATACATGTGTCATTGGGCCAACCCGATGCCAATGGACCGACCCGAGGCTCGTTCGGCATCAATTGTGAACTTGGCTAACAGAGGATCTTCAATAGATGACCCGTATTATCTGGCAAGACATCCGTAACAAGGTAAGCCTCGGAACAATCCCATTGCCCCTCTGCCCCTCTTGCTAGCTGAACCTGCATGATCGGCTCCCGGCTGCAGAAGGCTGCATGCAGTCGATGCATCAGATCGCCCTAGAGATCTAGACCATGGCTAACATTGTTTTCTTTAGTTGATTCTGCCGTAAGTGCTGAACCTAGACGGAGTGTTCGTTTCGTCCGTTTTACTAAACCGATCTTCAGTTACCTCGACATTGACCTTAAGTACTACGACTTGGTAAGCTTCTAAACCAACCCATAACGTTCTGAGTCACTCCCGCTAACCAATTGATTAGGGTCTTGAGTACCGTGACCAGACCGATGACCAGGTCACCATTGACGCCGCTGAGGCTATCAAGAAGTACGGTGTCGGTGTCAAGTGTGCCACCATCACCCCCGATGAGGCCCGTGTTGAGGAGTTTAAGCTGAAGAAGAGTAAGTTATGGACTGCTCTCAATTGTACACATTCGGTGACTAAAATTGGACCTAGTGTGGCTGTCCCCCAACGGTACTATCCGTAACATCCTTGGCGGAACCGTTTTCCGTGAGCCCATCATCATTGATAAGATCCCCCGTCTCGTGCCTGGCTGGAACAAGCCCATTGTCATTGGCCGTCACGCCTTCGGTGACCAGTACCGTGCTACCGACCGTGTTATCCCCGGCCCCGGTAAGCTCGAGCTGGTCTACACCCCCGCCGGTGGTGAGCCCGAGGTTGCCCAGGTCTTCGACTTCCAGGGTGGCGGTGTCACTCAGGTTCAGTACAACACTGACGAGTCCATCCGTGGATTCGCCCACGCCTCTTTCAAGATGGCCCTCCTCAAGGGTCTCCCTCTGTACATGAGCACCAAGAACACCATCCTTAAGCGCTACGACGGCCGCTTCAAGGATATCTTCCAGGAGATCTTCGACAAGGAGTACAAGGCTGAGTTCGATGCCAAGAAGATCTGGTATGAGCACCGTCTCATCGACGACATGGTTGCCCAGATGATCAAGTCTGAGGGTGGCTTCGTCATGGCCCTGAAGAACTACGACGGTGACGTCCAGTCCGACATCGTCGCCCAGGGCTTCGGTTCCCTCGGTCTCATGACCTCCACTCTCGTCACCCCCGACGGCAAGTCTTTCGAGGCCGAGGCCGCTCACGGTACCGTCACCCGTCACTACCGCGAACACCAGAAGGGTAACGAAACCTCCACCAACCCCATTGCCTCCATCTTCGCCTGGACCCGTGGTCTCGTCCAGCGTGGTCAGCTCGACAACACCCCCGACGTTGTTAAGTTCGCCGAGGAGCTCGAGCGTGCCTGTATCGAGGTTGTCAACGACGAGGGTATCATGACCAAGGATCTTGCCCTTGCCACTGGTCGCAAGGACCGTGAGGCCTGGGTTACCACCTCCGAGTACATGGCTGCCGTTGAGCGGAAGCTGAAGGCCAACCTCAAGTCTCGCCTGTAGATCATTTTGTCTTTTTGTGATGCCCATTTCTGCCTGCGCAATCTTTCTATATGATATCTGTTCCCCAATAGATCTAGGGGAACCTTGATCTAGCTTCTGACATGTACAGTCGTCGGACAATAAAATTCGAGTCGCTATGCATAAACTTTCTTCCTATTTCATATCTGCTTCGATTAGTGCCGTTTATGTTAGTACATAAATTTCCATTGCTTTCCTAGACCTACACTTGAGAAATCAGATTCATGCAGACAATGGTAATATCCTAGCAACAGACTGTCATTGATTTGCGAGTCAAACATGTCAGTTATACCGTAGTTATACCGTAGGCCATTTCAGGGTTCAACTACAATCTAAATCCCTTCTGTGTTTTGGAAGGGATGTGGAGCTCACTTACCCCAACCTTAAGTAAATCCCAAGACACGTGAGTTCTCCAAGAGTTTATTTCGTAGCAGGTTGTATACATCTGATTTCAATTTTGCTCAGGATCGTAGAGAGTATCTATACGTCCTCTTCTCTCGACTTGAAGCTACTTCTGACAGTCTTAAGGGATGTTGAGACACTGTGCTAGAAGAACTATTCCCAGCAAACTAGCGTGGGTATTGTTGTTGACGATTGGCCTTGGACTCATGGCATCATGCATGTCCGAGTCAATCACATGAGCGAAGTGCTCGACTAGGTAGTATGTAGTATGTTGTTCTTTCCGTTCTCATGTCCCAGTGGTGGGCATCCGATCCCAGGAAGGCGCAACCCAAAAGATGAATTATAATGCAGCAATACCCTGTTCCTCCTCTTCCTCCTCTTCCTCTCTCCATATCTTTGCTTCATATTACAACTACCATACACCGTCGTTTTGAAACCATACGTTCACTACCTCACACTTTTTGTGCTCAACTTATTTTGTCTCTTGACACTCATTTCCGTTGTTCCCCAGGCACCATTCGTCTATTTCGACTCTTCAAGCATCATCATGCAGTTCCAGCCTGTGTGTCCCGTCCACTTCATCCGTCCCCAGCAGCTGCATCCTCGATTTTGCATTTTTCGTCCTGGTGGTGTCCCCACACCTCTCATTGCCATCGATGAGCTTCCATCGTGGCTTCAGGTATCCAATCCATCTCCGGACATGTACATCGGCTTGCAACCAGTCTCCCCAAGCTATATACCACGAGAAGGTGAGTATGAGGTGACATGCATCAACTGCTCAAGCAGTGTGTCCTCAGTCAACCAGAGCATGTCGGACCGTAATGAAGACATTCAGTCTCCTCATTCCTCTGTCAGCGCGAACAAGAGCTGCACTGGTACACCCTGCAATGGTGCGGTCGAGAGTGCAGCGGCGGTTGTCATTCCCAAGTTTCCAATCGAGTTCAACATTGGAACTCCCCCTTCGATGCAACGCGGCAGAGCCCTGTCCTTGGACTTTACAGAACCAACATACCTCCACTAGCTCCTCAGAACATTCCTTTACCCGCGTCGCAGCCACCAAGCGTTGGAGGATCGGTCTTGAGTTCTGAGAATCTTTCATCAGAACCGAGTAAGTCCGACAGACCAGATACCCCAGCAACGTCTTCAGACTCCTCAAAGGGATCAAGCATCGCCTCTACCCGATCCCTCACAGCCAGTGTCGAACGGCTCAAGGAAAGGATCAAGTTGAAGGGTTCGTCTGTGGACTCGTCAAATGCAACAAGCATCGCTTCCACCCGATCCGTCACTGCCGCTGTCGAACGGCTCAAGGAAAGGATCAAGTTGAAGGGTCCATTTCGCCGGGCCAGCTTCCGTCACAAAGTTCACAGGGCAGTCCAGGCCGATTCCGATTGGCAAAAAAATTCCAAGTACCACAGAGTGCACTCTGAATCCCACCGAATTGTCAAAGTGCCTCGCCGTCCTCGGATCAAACTCAAGGAGTCGGAGTCGACGCGCTCAAGTCTTGCCGATGGTATGAAAGAGGAGGAGCTGAAGCCAGAACAATCAAATTCGTCCACCAAGCGACGTGCTCGTCGCGAACGATTGACCCAGCGACTGCTTCTCAAGAATGACGTGGACCGCAAGAGCCGCTATTGGCACATGAGCAAGATTTCAAAATGATGCATGTTTCAAAATGTACAGGAATTGCGACTTCGCTGATGAGCTTTTGGCTGGCTTTTGTACTCTGATTATGTTATGCGGATATTCCGTGTTTCGTGACTATCGCTGGGCTTTTGGTCCAGATTGAACTTTCTACAGATACGCATGTTCTTCGCTCATTCGGTGCACTTCTTGCTTAGCACAGTTTACCAGAGTAATGGAATACACTTTCTATGGCCAACTTCATGGGTTCGCTCTGTAAAGGATTATCATAAACTGGAGTCAATTCCGATGTAATCATTTTCTTGCTAGAACCAAACCGGCCAATCGCCTCCCCCGCACGCTTATCTCCCGGTACTACTCCGATGCACGACCACAACACAATGGCAGGCATCAAGAAGCCTCGAGGAATCAGACACGATCGTCATTGCCACCGCTGTCGAGTCAAGGGCACCAAATGTGATCTCAACCGCCCTCGTTGCCAGCTGTGCCAACAGAATGGAGTGGCATGTAGCTATCCCCAGAGAGTCGTCTGGATGGGTGATAAGAAAGGCACACCTGAAAACGTACCATCAGTGCCAACATTGGTGACAGAAAATGGGAGTAAGGAGTCAAGTCCAACTCAGCCACAAAGCAACAACATACCTATCAATCTATACGGGTTCATCGACCTTCTATCACACTTCTACCAAGAGATTCGATCGACCAAGGAAGAGCTCCCAGATGAAGCCGTCAAACTCATCGCTCACACCTTGAGCTTCGCTCGTTCACGTTTGCAGGGACCAGACAATAAACAATCGATCCAGACGCATCTCGGAGCCTTGACGAACTTGAGTAAAGTGATCGACTCCGGACATCCGATTGCACTATTCGGTATCGCCACATTCGCCATTTTTGAAGTCTGCTGTGGCTCATTTGGCAAATGGCATCGTCATTTACAAGGTGCACGCTCTCTCCTTGACCTCCACTGTCGGAACAAGACCGAGCTTGACGACCTCGCTGCCCGTGTACCTGGCCTTGGAGATGTACTATCGTACCTGGTATGGTTTGACGTTACGGGCGCACTGATTCGAGATGGTGATCTGATATTTGACGATTGGCACCGCGGAGTCCTAAGCCCGAATTTCTTCGACTCGGTGGGCTGTCCACCTGATACATTTGAGCTCTTTGCGCAATTGGCAAACCAGAATAACAATCTCGATATCTTGGACCTGAGTTCCAGAGCCATGGGTCAGATATTGAATTTAGATAATAGTGATATTACGGAGCGGGGATTGGCGGCTGCCGTGTACAGATGCACGGGCGCGATTGTGGCATTTGGCCGTGCAGGAGGGAACGGGAATAACGAAAGCACCCCTATCTCGAATCCTTATTCCGATTCGTTATCGAAGATGGTAGATCAGGCATGCGATGTCATCTCCCGGATCCCCACGTCCTCGAGATTCTACGTTCACCTAGCCAGCCCGGCCTATTTGACCGGGATGCACGCAAGCAGCACGAGACAATGCGAAATTCTACGAGGATATTGGCGGAATTGTCAGCTTTGCGACTTTCCGCGGTATCCGGATGCACAGGAACAATGCGAGGCAAGATGGAGGAGGATCTAAACACGAGTTAGATAGCTTTCCTAATGCGGAAACCTATCTAACCGTCCCCGCATCTCTTATCTGAACCCTACATCCATAAATACCGCTCCTTCCTCTGTACCTAATGGATTTGATATTTATTCTGTCTTTATCTGTATTATGGCAACCGACACACCGACCTTATCTTACCAAGAACTCGCTGCTCAAAAGCGCGAGCGCCAGCTCGATCTGATTCCTGCCGAGTGGCGCTTGGATCCAATTCCCTCGGTAGACTCTGCACCCAACGCCCTGCTATATATTCGTCAGACGTTAAGTCCGACTGAGCTTGCTCTGACCGAGGAAACCGATATCACTGTCTTACTGCGCAAGCTTTCCTCTGGCGAGCTTTCTTCCCTAGAGCTTACGCGGGCATTCGCTAAGCGCGCAGCGCTGGCACACCAATTAACAACATGTTGCACGGAAATATTTTTCGAAGAAGCCTTCGCTGTCGCTAAAGAGATGGATGAACATCTCGCTACTACAGGCAAGACGCTAGGGCCTCTACACGGGCTGCCAGTGTCAATTAAAGATTTATTTTCTGTTAAGGGCGTGGATACATCCATTGGTATGTCGCATTGCATTTTCAATCCAGAATCACTCCTGGTCCAGCCATATGGATGTATGGATTTATGCTAATTTTCCAGGATGGGTCGGTCTCACCAATAACCCAGCCCAAGCCGATAAATCCGTCGCCAGAACACTTCGCAGACTAGGCGCTGTTCTCTACGTGAAAACAAATCTGCCCCAGTCAATGATGATGTCTGACTCGTATAATCATGTCTGGGGCCAGTGCGTTAATCCTTTCAATCGGAATCTGATCTCGGGTGGCAGTTCTGGTGGCGAGGGATCTATTGTTGCGGCCAGGGGAAGTCCGCTTGGTATTGGGACTGATCTTGGTGGATCAATTCGTATTCCTGCTGGGCTTTGTGGGCTTTATGGGCTTTCGCCTAGCCCGGGGAGACATCCTTATGAGCGGGGGAAGTGAGTATTGCCTCTTTTGTCGTTGTATTTGCAGAGGAAATTCGGTCTAATCAACTTGTTTGGTATAGCCCCGGTCAAGATATTGTTCGCTCGGTCGCTGGACCTATGAGTGTCAGTCTTGCCAGTATTGAGCGGTATATGGAGGCTGTGCCGTGTGCCTCGCCTTGGGAGTTAGATCAGCACGTTGCTCCCGTGCCGTGGCGGAGGAGTCTTGCTTCACTGCGGCCTAAGAGGTTGAAGATTGGGTTTCTGGTTGATGATGGTGTTGTTAGATGTCAGCCGCCTGCTGAACGTGGTGTTCGGGATGTTATTGAGGCTTTGAAGGCGGCTGGTCATGAAGGTGAGTCAGTACCCTGATTTGGGGGATAAAATCGTGCTAACGTCGATACAGTCTTTGAGTGGGACGCCTCATCTCATGCGTATGCATATGAGTTATGGGAGAAAGCTATTCTTTCTGATGGTGGTGAAGGATGTCGTCGGATGATTGAGTTAACTGGTGAACCTCTCATCGAGGGTATGCTTGTTGGGAAAGAGAAGAATATCTTGACTACATCGGAAACGCATCAGGTATGATCAGATATCTCCCAACAGAACCTCAAAAGCGCTTTACCATGGAAGAAAGATCCAATGGATATTTACTAAGTCTTCACAGTTGAACGCCGCCAAATATAAATACGAGACTTCATATCTCGAGCGCTGGATCTCATCTGGCATCGATGCTTTGATCATGCCCAATACGCCCTGGGTCGGATATAAGCCCTGGACCTGGGTTAAATCTAATAACTATGTGGGATACACTAGTATCTGGAACTTGGTAGGGTATGCGGCTTTGACTGTTCCTGCTACGACGGTTTCTAGGGACAAGGATGTGCCGAGTCAGGACTGGCTCGATCATGTTCCTAGGAACCCGGGCGACAAGTTCAATAAGGAGCAATGTGAGTTTGCCATCCGCAAATGTGTGACTAAGATACTGATGACTTTAGATGATATCGACTTGGTCGATGGTATGCCGGTGGGTGTGCAGGTGGTGGGAGGTAGATTCGGTGAAGAAAAATGCGTTGCTGTAGCCAAAGCTATTGAGCAGGCGATGAGATGGAAGGATTTGGCTCGACCGAGTCTTTAACAGATATCATGGATGCAATCCAAAGCCCATTTCACAAACATCAAGGACAGAAATTTGAATTGCTCTTCTAGAATCATTTTCATCATAGTGTTCGTGTATTTGCCTATGTAAATGGTATATATACACCAATCCAACCAATAATATACAATCCAAGAGCCACCAGGGCACTAAATAGGAGCATTCATCCTTTCCTTATAATCCGGAAACTCAAAATCTCCCAAATCCCACTCAATACTCGGATTCCAACTCCCCTGTCCGGCACCGCCAGATCCAGACCCAGATCCCATGCCCGAAACCTCCCCTAACTCAATATCCTTTTTACCCTCATCAGGCAAAAGCCTCGGACTAAGTCTGGGAGTCTGCATGACTGAATCCGAAACCATCCTCAACTCCCTAACAACCCTAATTCCATCCTGACCCTCACACTCCCCTTTCTCATCTTTCTCACTATCTCCCAGTTTGGAGATACTAGCCGTATAGCCGCCCGGGCCCGCGTAGAAGAAATCATTCGAGAAGATCCCGCCTTCAGTACTAAGTCCATAGTCGTGTACAGAACGTTTCCGGGAATCAGCGACGCAGGTCGCGTTTGAGTGTGTTTTTGACCAAGGGGTTGAGTGAAGTGGTTGAGGGCGGAAGCAGAAGGAGAAAATATTTGAGATAAAGGGGTGGAGGGGGCCATGCAGGCGCAGATTATTGAGACGTTGGATTCGAGGGAAGACCAGACTGCTGCTTCAGCGTTTTTCTTTGTGAAGTCATGGCCGTTTACCATTGTGCTTAGCTCGTAGAGGCGGGCGGAACTGGTTGCTATTACACTATACATCAAGTAGATTGTTAGCTCGTGCTCGGAAGTTGAGGGCGTAAGTAAGCTGGGAAAGAAGGGCACGTACAAAATCCCAACACCAAATACAAGCATAATGCCAATCTTCTGCTGCCGGGGTAGTTGTAGTTTGTATAAGAGTGGCATTGGTAGAATCAGGATCACGATATCAGAAAAGATCTGCATCGCGGCGTTGGAATACCAGACTGGTCCTTTTGGGAGACAGTGCTTGTTACTTGATGGCGAAGCATGCCAAAAATCCGAGATCGGGATGCAGAAGATGAAACCGCTTAATACCACCCACAGGCCTGCTACTATCAAGAAGCCCATTGTGATGTATGTGGCGAGGAGGAAAGGTTTTGTGCGGAAGATGCGGATGAAGAGGAATAAGGCGGATAATTTGGAGAGGATTAAGGCTAGATTGTAAAATGGGATTGAGAGCCAGAGATACTGAAGATTTGTTAGATTTGAGTTTTTGGAGGGTAATTAGGCTTGTTGGTGAACTTACGTGCAACTGATTGGTAATTACATCGTCTGGCAATTGTTGTTTGGCGATTCCAAGGCCATAGTGTCGCTCTATAGATTGTTAGATCCCGAAGCAGGAGTATGGGGCAGGTTGGCATACCGACTAGTATGAATCCGTAGAATGCCAAGGAGCATAGCTGTGATTGACTCATGTTAGCATCGCTACATATCCAAGTGCATAGATCCAAAGTGCAAGTACATACCAAAGCCGCAAAGATAAATAGATCGTCCAAGCCAGGACTTCTTACTAGCTTGAATCGTGTCCAAAGCCGGATGGAGACAACGAGAGCCGCCAGAATGGTAAAGATAGTGCTTATAACGAAGACGCGCATATTCACCGTGCTTCAAACGTTATAATATTTTCAGAGCCATCGGTTGACCTTAACGGTTTGTATGCTGGCAATCTTCAACACAAGCAATTGTCAATCCATCTAATCCGATGCAGGCGTATGAGAATGGTGTAGGATTCAATTCGAAGGTTGAGAGTAACGAATGAAGCTCAAATGCAATTTTCAATGATAGACAAGAGATAAAGTCGGTATGTATGCAGGTGTTGTAACAGTGTCGATTCAAATACTCAATGTTCAGCAAAGTGGGAGAATTAATAATATATATCAAAACCGTGAGATCAGCGGCAGGGATCCCACAACTCCTAACGTCCTATCAGAGATCCACTTCTGCAGAAAGCCTCGTCGTTCATTTCCTCGTCACAGATAAACTCACATCCGTCTGACTAGGGTCTTATTTGGTGGTTCAGCGATCGATTGGTGGATCGGCGTGGGACGTGGCCGCATTAGGCAAAGCGCGAGCACCGATTGCGTCGACGACATCATCCTCAACTCTGTGTCTAGGCTGGTCTGTACATCAGTCTTGTATGATTGGACACTTGGATTTCCTGGTGGGGTCTGTCAATTGAGCGACATCTCGCCGATGAGTCTCCAACACTTGGCTCATGAGCTTCGTGCGAGTCGGGGAGTGGCCGACGGCCGAGTCTTTACCTGACTCGAGTATCCGGAGATCGCGACAATTATTCACTTTGATGCTTCGAGTCTCTTTCGTGTCGCAAAAGGAGGGTTCAACAATCTAAGGATGAGGCTCGAAGTTTAGCCTTTCGCTAAATCCCTTTTACCCTGATCACCATCGGCCTCTCTCTATTGTTCATGAAGATCCGGGTAAAGAACCCAGTAAAATCAACTCTATCGAAGCCGAACCAAGTCTGGAATGCAAATCCTCGCTCGGAAAACCCGAGATTGACGATAATGTATAATGTTTTCTGTGGTGTCATGGTCTTGTGCTAAGTGGCGGACTGACGATGCAACGTTCTTGTTCTCGGACATCGCCGTAGCCTAGAGGGATTTAAGGTTCGGAAATCGACGGTTCGTGGGGGATCGGAAACTATAATTCTGCCGGGGAGGACAGATCGAGCTGATACAGCCTCAGGGTAGACCGCATTCCTCCCCGTACATATCGTCCCACGACTTGGATCTAGACTTAAGATAGAGATCATGAATCAGGAGTGGATTCGTCAAAGCGCTTATCCGGTGAAGACCTGAATAAAGACTATCGCCACCAAATGTACTCAAAATTGCGACCTAAAGAAAAAAAAAACGCTAGATCTGAGATCAGATCCGAAAGAGGGAATGGCGAAGCGAGTCCAGTCGCCTCGTTGCCCGGGTATTGGAAAGTAAATGCGAGCAGAAAGCGATGCGCCGAATGAGAAAGCCAATCTCCCCTGGTACGGCGCTGGTTCCAATATTCCTCCACTGGGTATTCTATCCTGCCAATATCATGACTTTGCCTTTGTCTGTTTTCTGTTTCTAGATGTAGAGGCCGTTTGTATATTTTCGGCCATTTTCGTGCCGTTTTGCCTGCGCTTCGTATGCAGCTCAGGAACCGACATACCAAACTTCAACCCCTAGGATATCGAATTTCACCCCCTCATCGGACAATGGCTCGTTTCCAAATGTCTGACTAGGAGCGCTGACACCTTTTTCCAGACCAGAGTCAATCCAGAGGCCATAGTGTCCATCACTATACTAGAGGTCAGTCCCTGGGTAATCAGAATGCCACAGCAAAGGGTAGAAACTCACCCGCCACCAAGACTCAAGAACCCAGTCTCGCAGAACATCATGTAGTCATTTACTCCACTGTACGGGAACGCCTTGAAACGAATGCGTTCGGGAGTACTCGCCCCGCTCCGCGTTGTATTAATGGACGACGGCGACGGAGGCGCAAGAGCCCCTCCACTAGCAGCAGCAATACTAGTTTTAAGACTAAGATTCAAGTTGTGCGCAGGAGACTCTGATTTCGATTTCGGATCGTTGCGCAGCGTACTCCATCGACCGGCGTGAGTAGTGTCAGCAGAAGGGGGAGGGGGAAGACCAGCGCGCTCGAGCGCTTCTTCAGACTGGGGACCGTCGCTTGGGAACGCAAGACCCAGGCTCGATGGAGGAGGCAGTACACTAGCACGCCAGAGGAAGCATTCGCCCGTGCCGAAGAACTGCGAGTCAGGGTGCGGCGCGTCGGTCATGTAGGCGCCGAATACGGCGCTGGTAGGGGAGGAGTCGCGAATGACTAGGACGTAGCCCGCCCGCGGGCTACGATGGGAGAATTCCTCGCAGTTGTCGTAGAGGGTCGCCAGGGAGGCGCCATCGCGGTCGAGACTGTAGGCGAGGCGCCAGTTCTCGACGAGTTGGAGCCGCGGTGGGACAAGGAGACGGATTTCCTCGGCCAGTACGCGGGTTAGGAGTTGCTGCTGGAGGAGGTCGGCGCTTTTGGGGACTGTAAGGGTGAGAGGGGTGAGAGGTGGTGGTTGGAAGGGCGAGGCAGTCCGGCGGGGGGTGAAGACCTCAGGGGAGGACCATGGGGTTGTGGATGGCATGACGGGGGCAGCGATGCTGGGGTCGGTCAAGCGTCGGTAGAGACCTGAGACAACGTGGCTGACTGGGTAAGAGAAGTAGGAGGCGGCAGAATGGTAGGAATTGGAGTTGGCTGGATTTTGGTGGGGCGTGTGAGATCCGGACCTGGAGTTGGAGCTGGTCGGGGTATTGGAGGGGCGATCCCCCTGAGATGAGGACGACATACAGGCAATTCGAGTCAATGGTGGGGAGGAGGCGAGAATCCGGGGAAAGTTGGCGGAGTGGTGATATGTAGGACAAGATGAAGTAGAGAGGTGAAGATGAAACAAACTTATCGCTTATCGTGTAGCGGCTCGTACATGTACAGTGATGTATGTAGCTGCTCGCACCAGAAGCTTCCAATTCAAGTTGAATAGACTTTGGATTTGGATGTCACAGACGAAAAGACAAGTAGTCTGTTCTTGCAAGATTGCGAGTATATTTGCGTCATCTTCAGACACTGACAGGTGTACGTATAATCTAAGCTTCATGTGGTATAGACCAAGCCACACTGTAGTTAGCTGACATGGATTGACATAATCCCCTCGTCGGAAATCCGAGAGATCACCCAGGCTGGTATTACTGAATACACATCTGCTGAACGCCCGATCCTTGCCCTGATGTTTCTGTTGAACAATATTTTATTTAATTTTTTTTTTCCAAGTAACAAAAGCTAGGCACCTTATCTCAATGCAGGTCACGCGACCTTCACGTTATATGTGCCAAACAATCAGTGCTCTTCCCTCCAATTTGTCCTGGGAACGAACCTCCGAGTTGCCTCTATGACGGAAGAGTGGCGGGTAGGAATTGTATAAAACCCACACATTGTGCTAGATCAATCATTGATACGATTTAAAGGAAGCTTTCATTCAAATCTATCATATTCTACCAATAAACCCGCAACCATGACTACCAGGTTCTCTCCATCCGATGACTACCATGATGAAATCGTCAATATAGAGGAGGCGAAGTATGGTTCTCATCACCACCACCATATTACCCATGACGAACCACCATGGAATGAGGTAGGCATAAGAGTCATGATTCGAGCAGTCCCACACAAAGTCCAGTTGATTTTGTGCTGTGGCGTGGACAGTGAATAATGACTGACGGGAACTATAGGGCCCTAAGAGAGTTCCCCACCGGGACGGAGTTCGTCGCTCACCCTCACCGTCGAACTATGCGAAAGAGAGTTCAGGATCGGCGGCCAAAAGAATTACTCGTGCGAATGGTGCTAAATCGTATGCCCATAAGCATCCACATCCATAAGAATGATCCGTCGTGGCAGGGGCATGTTGAAGTTTGTGGCGATGTACATAATGAATGACCAGAGAATTGGCCACCAAGGTGGAATAGAAGTTAAGACAGAGGTAGGTTAAATTGCTGTGTAGTGTAAAACCGAGGGTATCATATTCAATCGAATAACATAAACGAAGAACAAGTGTTCAATCACGCGCATCTTTTGGGCGTAGATCCACAGTCTCATACTCTAGACCGTTGACTTCGACGACATGGCCGGGTCGCAACGCACCTGTGTATATGTTCTCTTGAGCGTGTGGATGGAACAGTCCCTTCTGAGTGCAATTGAGAACGGTCTTCAGCCCTGGCGGATCGGTGAGCCGGAACACCCCCCAGTCTGGATTCTTGCTGGGCGCACAGACAATGGCAATACTTTCCGGAAGCATCACTTGATACCCAGAATGGGTGTGCAAGTCGCGTGAGCTCATGAAGCATGTCTGAGAGGGGTGGGTATGAATCCAGCCCAGCATGATTAGGTCTTCAGAATCGCAGTACTCGAAAATTGCAGATTCGTTAGTGGTCTCGCAGGTATCCGACGTCGATATTTGTTCTGGAATCACAAGTCTGGAGATGAAAAGCGCATTGGAAACCAATGTCCCACAAAGGATCCCACAGGTTTCCAAGTTCCGGCGGGTACTTGGAGCCGCGAGAGACAAAAATCGATCCCGAAGGCTAGAGGGGAGAAATACGGAGCGCAGTGGGCTGCCGTTTTCCAGATACGCTGAGGGCTTGAAGGTGTAACTTGCCGGGTCAAGGCTTGATGGTGTGGAAGCACCACCATCAAAGGATTGCACCTTCTCAGGAAGTGCCGGAGCAACTGACAACTTTGATGGAAGCGGCGGAGGTTCCACTGAAGGCGCTCCATCGATAAAAGATGCCCTGTGTGGTTCAGCATGTTCCTTCGGTGGCAGAATCGGGGGTGGTTGCCTTTCCGCATTCTTGTCACGGATGGCAATTTGGCCGGAGGAGACGGGTGGTCCTAAAGGCTGCTGACGAGGTACGGTAGGATAATTGTATGCCGTCGTGGCGGAGGGAGTTTCGCGCAGAACAGGTCTCTGCGCACGCTGTGCCTGGCTGATAGGCTGCGTATGATCGATATTGGATCTGATATCCTGAATACGTTGACTCAAGTCTTTATCAGTGGACCGCTTGTCCGTTTTGAATGCGCTTTCCCAATCACCCCATACGCCTGCCGCTCGGCGATTGTCGTCTTCGGTTCTGCGGACGGTAGCTCGGCGATTGAGTTCTGATTGCGCCAGACGAACAGCGAGGTCTTGATTCTCTCCAGCTTCTAAGGGTTTTGCGACACCGCTCAATGCGGGATCCATAGGTCGCTCTCCTTGGCCCGCACCCATGTTGAACTCTAAAGACAGCTTTCGGGAGTCGCGCTCGCGCATCAACTGCATGTAACGCTCGTAACGTTTATTGATCCTGGGCTTGAGTACTTCCAGCTTGGCCAGGTTTTTCTGCACTTCCTTCTCAGCAGCCACCAGAGCTTTACGATCTTTATCATCTTTGGCGGCATCTGGATGTTTTGACAGGTTTACCAGGACCAGCTGGGCATGTCGAAAAAGGAGAAGATAGGCTTGCTCGTCGTGCCCTTCGCGCTCGTAGATTTGGGCCTAGTAGAAGGACGTTAGATAAAATTTCCACGCGCAGTTCGACCAGCGGGAATTGACCAACCTCTCGCATCAGTGTAGCTGCAGTCCGGAGCCAGTATTTTAGTGGCACGGCCGGGTTGTACTGATAATCCTGGGCGATCTTGGTGATCTTGTTTACCGCCTGAGGAGGGCTACCTCCCGCACTGGGGCCTGAGATATGGGAAGACATGGTGTAGTGTGTCAGATGGAGGTTGAGTGGAAATCAAAGCTTGATTAAGATCGAAAGCCCCTCTTTCACGCAAAGCGAATCTGAAGGGGCATGGTTGACATAAATAGGGGGCGATCTCCGACAGCTGGCGCAAAGACCAGAGACACTCGGGACAAAGGCAACCGCATTCAGGCGGTCCACGTTGAGTGCCGAGCAGAAGTGAGGGGAGGAAAAGGGTGCCTGAAGTGTTGTGATGCCTGGTGGGGGAGATGCGGAACCCGCAAGGTCTCCGCTTTCACAAAATCAATTATTCTTCTCCAACTCCGACTCCAATTTCACCTCCAATCTACCACCGCCTCAACCATGCTATCCATACAGCGCGCATGACACCAGTAATCAAATTGGAACCTTCGCTCAGGATTGGAAAATGGGGACCTCTTTATGGGAGGTGAGCGCGCGATTCCCGATCACCCAGGGCCTCCGCGAGATCTTTGCGAAGAGGGCCAGCAGAAACAAGGCAGCTTCGGCAGGCTATGTAAGCGAAAAGCTATGTGGTAGGTGGCCAGAAATCTTCATCATGACTTTCGGTAACCCGGACTAATATGTGGATTGGCTTAGATGATATGATCCACCGCCTGTCACCCTACCTTAAACGAAATGCCCCCGTTGATATCCTTGACCTATGGCCTGGCTGTGGGTTATGGTCATCCAAAATGAACGATTTTCTTCGCCCACGTCGTCATATCCTGGTCGAGCCAAATATGAAGCTATTCGGATCACACCTCAAGGAATTGGCCAAAAGTAAACCGTGCTACAAGCTCGCGTCGGGGGAGATCTATGGAACCAACTGGAACGCAGTCTACGAAAAGTATCTGCCAGAACAGATTCGCCCCATGGATGTAGTGCCTGGCACTTTACCAAAAAATGACACTCTCCTGGTGCTTGCGAGTCCACCTGTAACGGAGTCGAAGAAAAATCATTTAACCCCGGCACGATGGTGGGCCTCGGTGATGGAAGACTGTATGAACCAGACCGGTCTTCATGCTTATGGCAGTGTGCGCATTCTGGCTGGGCTTTCTGTCGCGGAATTGCAAGTAGTGCTTCCTCGCAGTATTCACGAGCGCCGGCGACCGGCAATGTTGACGGAAAGTGTGGCATTGCATAACTTTGAGATTGCTAGTGGATATGAAATAGAGCCATGGCATACACTAAAGACATGGGATTCTATCCAGCGCAATAATGAGCGAGTTGCTGAGAGATCTGCCGCGCAAGGCGTGATCACTCCTCCCGGGCGTGAGCCCCTGCCTCTGCAGTTGGCCCCCGAATCCCCAGTACCCGGGAAAGGGGGACCAAAAGCCAAGAAAGAGGTTCCTTACCATCCCCGTGCTCGATCAGAAGGTCACCACCGATTTGAGAAAGCCATTCGGAGGGGTGAAAACCTCTCCAAAACCAAAAGCGTCTCGGCCAAGGAGGAAGCGGAAATTAAAAAGGAGGCACGGACAGCTCGGGCCGCCTTGAACTTTGATAACCGCTGTTCCTGGGCTCGAGCGGAGATTAGCAAAGACATATCTGCCATCGATGAACGTTCACGAGATCTGTCGCGTGCAGCCGCAGATCCTAACGCGACTGCAGCCTCACTGGAGGAGATCGATCGAGATATCGAGACCAGAAAATCGGCTGTGAGCCAGAAAATGGCCGACCTTCATTTCCGCCTTACTCGCGGCTGGGAGCGATCCCTTGACGATATGCGCAATGAAGCATGCTCGAACAATTTGGATGACTCCGTCCTTCTGTGGGACCGGCGGCCATTTGAGCCGATGCTTATAGAAAGCGATGAGGTTTTCCCCCGCTTCCATCAAACCTTGGTTTATTTTGAAGCGGACGAACATGCTATTTCAGCCCAAAAGCTCAGCAAGGTTCCTCCCAAAGATCGTGAATCAATGATGCAGCTATTCGAAGCCATGACTCTCAGCTTCAGCAGCGGCAACCACATCAGCATTGCCGAGTTGGCTGATCGCTTCTTCCCTGGACAAGCGGCCAATGATGTTGTCAAAACCATCCCCAGTCTTGCTAAATATGTGGGAAAACGGCTCAAACCGAACTATGGTCCTATGCCACTGGCCGATGATACATTGGACCCGACTGAGTGCTTCCAGGAGAATATCGATTATGACCTGAGCGAGACTCGGGTGATCACCCTACCGATCCAGGTTATCTGGGATATCCTGTTAGAGTATCATAAACATGCGCAGGATCTGTCCCCGCTGCAGATAAACCGGCTTCTCGGGGGCACTATGACGTCCTACCGGACTGGGGAGTACCGATTGGACACTGCAGCGAAGAAACTGCATTAATACCCCGGATTGTAAATCATGTACACTACATCAGCGCTGACGGCGCCAAATATAGATATCAACACGAAGCATTAGAAACATAGATGGGGGCCACGGGGCCAAGGGATTGGTCAGGAGTTCAAGGGTTCACAGGGCTTTTCATTGGATGGAAATCCATTCTAAGTTTTATATCCAAGGGTTTTATTATTTAGTTTTTTTGCGTCCCGAATTCGTCTGAGTCATCTCCCGTTATGTGGAGAACCTGCATTGGTAGCCGTTTGCTTTGCTTGACGCCCCGGATTCATCTAAAGGTCGCGCTATCACAAAAAAATGGCCCCAATCACAATCTGCTGGGCTCGGTCTGCGATAGATCGTCAATTTCCCGACATTTTCCGGTTCGTCAGCTAATCTAAGTAATTTCCCAACACCCGCGCTAAACCATTATACTCCGAAACTACCATTGCAATCCACGGTTACTACCGTCGTATCGAACTGGTTTGTCGATCTAACCAATTTGCGGCATTGTCACTTATCGGTTGAGAGTCGAGACCATCTATCGCCCTGTGGAACTGGGGCCCTTTTTCCCATTTTTTCTTTTTCTCGCTTTTATTATGGCACTGACCCCCATGACCCCCATGACCCCCAAATGCTCCTTTATGACTCTTTGTTCTGGAAATATAAAATCTTTTCTCCCTTTGATTCCTTGATCACACGAGTATCTACATTTTCGCATCGTTCGCATTCTGCATTCGTCACATTTTTGCCACCACGTCATACCCGTGCCCTAACCCGTGGATGATGCGCCTGGTATCACGCAGAGTCTAGATTCTTTTTGCCGGTGGCGCCGAGTCGAATTTCCATTGTCTAGCATCGGATTTTCATTGCGACACCAGCTACACTTTTTTTTTACGTCTATCGTCCAACGATTCGGAGCTCGCAGTGTATACCGAGCTAACCGCCGACAAAAATTGTCGCAAATCGCGCCCCCGCCCCAACTATGCAATTATCGCTGCAAACGAATCACGATGGGAAAGGTCTCGGGATTCAAACCCCAACTCCCATATCAGCATCAAGGTCAACGCTCACGCCGCCCGTGACTCCGATCGGGAAAGACAGCGACGTCGAACACTTAATCCCGGTTGGCGCCACCCCCGCTGAAACAGCTTCGGAGTTGAAACGCAGTATCTCGTCTCCGCTGCGCTTTACCGATGACCTGAAAGTGGATTACGATTCGGAGGAACGTCCCATCGAATTCGGTCGCGGCGCTTGGAGTATTGTCTACAAGGCCCGCTCAATACCAAGTGTATCAACTATCCATACTCCACCCAGCTCACCTATCGCCACAAGCCGTGTCTACGCTGTTAAGGCTCCTCTGCGCCGCGATGCGCGTCCAGTCCTACAGTCCGAAGCGCTGACATTGACGCGCCTGAATCTGACATCGGGGTATGAGCGGTACATCGTCCCGTTCCACGGATACCACTCCGATACCGAGGCACTGGTCATGACAGCCGTTCCACTGGCATTATCAACATACATCGAAGACCAAGCCGATCTGCTTCGAAAGCAAGGTCCATCAACAGCGACGATGTTCGATCCTGTCCAAGGACCTGATTCTTGGCGTGATCTCGCCCGTAAGCTTATCAGCGGGTTGGAATGGTTACACAAAACCGCCGGCATAATCCACGGTGATATCAAGCCGCATAATCTGCTCTTGAGACCCATCCCGGATGACAGCTCGGATGCAAGCACTTTGCCATACGAGCCGCTATTCGCCGACTTCTCTTCTGCGCTGGATCTTACGCCCGATATCCCAGGCCAGGATGCCAGTCATACGTCCATGTCGGCGTTTACGCCACCGTTCACCGCGCCGGAACTGCTGTCGCTTAAGGCGCTGAAGTCGGGGGAGGCTGTGCCTTCGCCGGCTTCGGATGTTTTCTCCCTTGCTGCGACGCTGGTTGCGGCTGCTACCGGGGATTTGTTGTTGTACCCCGGTTCAAGTAATATGCAGCGGTTGGCGATGGCGAGGGATGGACATCGGATTTTGGAGTTCACGAGGTGTGGTACGAATGGTTCGCGGGTTCCGCGGGCCGGGTTCGTGGAGAAGTTACTTTCGCCTGCTGTTGCCAAGGACCCGGTGGAGCGGATCGACACTTCGGACTGGGTGGTTATGGCATTTGCTTGATCTCATCAACATTTACCTGGATTTATTTTTGTAACATTTACTATTTGGTGTGCTGCTGTTCGCGATATATTTGCATTTCAGGCTTGGAGCATTTTGTTTTCGTTCTTTGGATTTGGTTTGGTTCAACACTGGCCTGGCATAAATGGGATACCCGGTTAGATGGAGTGGGAAGCATAGCATCAATACAATGGGATGAATTAGATCCTCGATCAAACACTGAAGCTTTCAATCTGGAATACATATAATTTCAGAATCGTGTTCCAATCTCGATTCAAAGCGTAGTCAAAAAAACCTCCAACCACCAAGCGACTAGTCACTACTGATTCTCCTCAACAAACCTCTTCAAATCCTGAACCCACAGCTCAAAGTTCGCGTCCAGCCTCTTCCCATACATCCACTTGACAACATAAACAAGCCACCCAACCTGACACTCCCAATTCCTGACCTCACATCCCCCCTCCACATCTTTGATCTCATGTTCTCTCTCCGCAGTCAAAAGACTAGCCGATAACCCACCCGGCGCCTCAGAGTCTGAAGCCCAAACGATCCGACCGGGCATATTAGTCTCGGGGCTCGGCGCCTCGAACTCAGTAACCTTGAGCGCGGTGTCGGTTGCTTTTTGCGGCTTGTCGGATGTGGGGTCCATGCGAACGTGGAAGATCATTTTTGTACCCTTTTGGAGGATGGGTGAGAGCTCAGTGCTGGCGTCGGTGTTTGGTTGGGAAGTGATAGTTACTCGGGGGATGAACTCGTTCCAGGAGGGCCAAGTTGAGGTATCTGTTAGGGCGGCCCAGACTGCTGTTGAGGGGGCGGCGATGAAGATTGAGCTGCCGATGTGAAGGTTCGCGTTTGCGGCTTCGATTGTTGGGGTTGCGCGGTTGGCATTTTGGGGGTCTGACAGGGGTGTGGACATTTTGGCGCTGGTGTTCTTGGCCCAAATTTGTTCTTGTTCTTATGTGGGTGTCGAAGGTGTTCGGGTATGGGTTTTGTTGTTATGCGGAGAAAGCTGGGGGTTGGAAAGTGATGATGGTGACTATTTAATCTCCGAGTGGAGTGATAACGGGACCGATAAGGTGGCTGTCAACTGTTTACCCACTTGTTATTGGCTTTGATGGCCCACATTGGTGATGAAGCGCATTCAAGCATGGATGAAAATCATGCCCGATTGGTCTTTTCGTGGGGAGAAATGAAAACACTGCTTCTGGTCTCTAGATATCACATGGCGGTTTTTGGTCATGATAGGCATCAGGCTCGAAGAAGAAATATGGTATGATGTGTTAAAGGTGCATCACTAAGTATGTTAAAAATGATCGATATTGATTTTGCATAAAATATTCACAAATAAGAGTTAAAAGAACAATGAAAGCCGAGTTCGAAACATAATAGCAGGACAAATAATCAGAATCCTTTTTTTCATTCCGCTACAAGCCCCAGTCTCACGAGACTTTCTCCTGTAGCAACCACTGCCTCGACATTGGACCGGGGCTTCCAGCCTAGCAAACTCTTAGCTTTCTCATTAGATCCTGCAAGAGACTGGCTCAACCGAGGTACCACCAGGGCAATAGCCGGGTCGAATTTTCCCAGTATTTTCATAAGGAAATTTGGAACAGCTCGCGTGGGGCACTTCTTCGCTTTCTCCCCCAAACCCTCCCGCAGAGCTAGTGAAATTCCCTTCATGGTCATTGTTGGCGGTGCCATGCACAGGAAGCGTTCCCCCTTGGCCTTGGGATGCTCCATTGCGAGAAGATGCAGGTCAGCAACATCGCGAACATCCACAACGCCAAATTCTAAATTTGGGCAGCCCGGAACTGTTCCATTCATCAGACGACTGATGACTTCGATCGACGTGGATATGTTAGGGCTGAGAACAGGTCCCATCACCATAACCGGGTTGATAACGGATAATTGAAGGCCATTTGCCTCGCACCGAACAAACGCCCACGCAAGTGTCTCGGCCAGCGTCTTGCTCTTCTCGTAGGCACTAACTTCAGGCGAGTCAATATCAGTCCAGTCTTCCTCGGTGAAGACCTTATTTGTGTCTGCCTTTGTTGGACCTGCATGGATGGCTCCGAATGAGGATGTGAGGATGATGCGGTAGACCCCTTCGTCTCGGGCTGCGCGCAGCACGCGTAAGGTACCATCGCGGGCGGGCTCTATCAATTCATTCTCATTCTCGGGTGTCGCAGTGGGGAATGGCGACGCGACGTGGAGGACGTAACGGCAATCACGAACGGCTTCAGCCCAGCCATCGTCTTTAGTGAGGTCGGCTTCCACGAATGACAGCTCCTCGAGGTTGACTGCGTTTCCCGCACAGAGTGTTGCTCGTACTTCCTCTTCGCGTTTGAGGGAGCGGACGGTTGTTCTGACTCGGTAGCCGGCTGCGAGGCATTTAATGATGCAGTAGCCCGCGATGAATCCAGTTCCACCAGTGACGAGCACCAAATCCTTGGGAGTAGACATGCTCTTAAAATAGATGCGGGACGAGGGACGAGGGATGAGGGATCAGGGAAGAGATTGAGGCGGTTGGGATGTTTTGTTAATTCAGAGAAACCACTAAAATCTTATGAGAGAAACTGGAAAAAATTGATCCTAAGCTGCGAAGTCGAGCAAAGTAACACACGACACAAATGCTACATGTCAGCACGATTCCCAAATTGAGGGCAAAATGTGCAAAGCAGTGCTACTCAGTTTCAAATTCTGTGATTTGATACTCTGCAACAATGATTGAATTGGAGATAAAGTTGATGTTGAGGATTATATTTGCGTCAGGAACAGACACCAAGGATAATATATCGTTGCACTTCTTGATGGACACAAAACACTGGGACCCACAGGGCCCAACAGGTTCGGATTCGGGCAAGGGAAGCGAGCAACTGCCGGTCACTCCAGTTCTCTACAAATGAATGTGAATTACCTCATATGTTGTATCGTGGTGTCTGGGCGCTACGTCGATCTTGCTATTATTTCCACCAATGAATTGTGGAGCCCCATCCGCCGAAATAAAAGTCCATCCACACACGACCCTTCAACAGCATTCTTCTCCGCATTGTGGGGAACATCATTCCCCACAGTCTGGGGTATGGGGGTTCTACCTTTCAATAAACCCGAGTTGTTTGCAAGGGCCGAGCGCATTTCACAACTATAAAGGATGGAGTATATCGGAGCGATTCATTGCCATTACCACAGAGACTAGCCTTTCATCATGTTGTTTACAAGGGCATCGATATGCCTGGTTTTATCCTCGCTCGTATTGGGTGCTCCTAGCTCGAAACGCTCCACCGAACGTCCACATCGCTGCGTGATCCCATCTTCCAATGGCACGGCAGATGATTCCCCAGCCGTTTCTCAAGCATTTGCCAAATGCGCTTCTAATTCCATCATCGTCTTCCAGGATGGCGTCGATTACAATATCTTCACTCCCATTTCTGCCACAAACCTCAGCAATGTCGAGATCAAAATGAACGGAAACCTACATCTACCCCAGAATATTACAACAGTTCAGAGCATCGTCAATGGAACAAGTAGCACCCTCTACTCGGACGGAAAATATTGGTTCAAGTTCAAAGGTCCCAAGATCGATTACACCGGCTCTGCCAATGTGAACCACGGATGGATCAACTCCTACGGACAGGCATGGTGGGATGCAAACCCGATTAACGGAACGGGAATTGATTCTCGTCCCCATCTCATGAGCTTCCAGACCACGGATGGATCTCTCAAGTACTTCAAATCTCGCAAGCCAATCGCCTGGAACGTGCAGTTGCAGGGAGACAACATCACCGTCAGCCATGCTTTCATCGATGCCGAGTCAACAGGGTCCTTCCCCTTCAACACCGATGGATTTGATGTTACAGCCACAAATGTCCGCATCACGGACAGCGTCATCTACAACGGTGACGACGCCATTGCCGTCCAGTCGGGATCCCACAACGTGGTCTTCAAACATAACACCATCGGCTACCAAAGCCATGGCATGAGCATTGGATCACTGGGTCAAACCCAGACTGAATTTGCTAATGTCTCCGATATCCACTTCGAGGACGTCACGGTCATCGATGCTGTCTACGGCTCTCGTTTCAAGTCCTGGATGGGTGGTCAAGGTATCGCGAAGAATATCACCTGGAAGAATATCCGCGTGTACAATGTGACTTTTCCCATTTTCGTCACGCAGAGCTATACCAACCAGGGCTCTTCCCAGACACAGCTTGGAAACGGCGTCACCACTGGACGTGTCAACAATGCCTCTGTTATGATGGAAGACTTTGTTTGGTCCGACTTTACGGGTACCGTTAACTCGTGGCGTCCGGGTGATGGGTCTTGTGTGACTGATCCTTGCTGGTATGATGTTGGTCTGCCAAATCTGAAGCACACAGAAGCTGTGATCATTGAGTGCAATACCAACTCTTCTTGTAAGAACTTTGAGTTGAGGAATATTGAGATCATCCCGCAGACTATGGCTGAGCCAACGGTTGTCTGTATTAATGCGACATCGGCATTGAATCCGGACCTTGGATTCGATTGTGGGAATGGAACATTTATTGCCTACTCCTCATAAGGACAATTGTAACTTTAGATTGCTTGCATTCTTCGTTCAATCACGGTATTCTCTGCCTGCTAAGCCAATACCAGGTGGTTCATGACCCAGCGAATTTTAGCAAAAGTCAATACCAAATATTGTCAAACAGGACATACCAAGTAGGAAAACAAACAAGATACAAACTAGCCGGGCACCTGAACTAGATAGAAATTAATCATCGCACTTTCGCAACTTCATTTGCCCTCGATTTTCATCGCATTCTTGATTTTCATCGAAACAATCTCGACCCCATTGACCAAAGTTAGGTTTCTTTACTCGAAAGAAACATCGTCATGCCTGGCAATTCATACAGGGTAGCTTTTCATTTTCTTTCATCAAGGTAATTGATTCATCGCTTGAAACTTCCACTGCTCATGGCCTTTATGCCCCGATGTCAGTCCACCTAATTTATATGGTGTGCGATCCTGAATAGCATCTGCACGTAAAGGCATTGAGCTGTGGACATTTCAAATGATAAATCAAAAACTGAAATGGAAAATTAATCGTCATCTCAAGATAATGCTGACATGATGATGATTTAGTTTTGCAATTACTGCATAAAAAGGGGCCATGTCGAATCAGAATGCTTTCGTCAGGAGGATATAAAGTGGAAAACCAATTCGCTGTAAATCATCTCGAAGAGATCTTTGAGCTTAGGGTTTGTTTCCTTGAATCTTGCTCCGGGAGGTTTGTACTAAAGCCATTTATAGAAACGTCAGTTTCCCGAAGGCAGTAAGTGTTTATGCGGTGTTTTTCCCTGATGTCGACCTCCTCACACGGGGACTTCGACTGGTATCACAGGCGATTCCAACACGAGAATGCCAAACTCTTTTGCTCCTGTTCACCATTATGTTTCCGGGCGTATTTATAGCATCCATGACATAAATGCGGTCCAGGAAATGACTTGTACACGGACGGAACGCCCTTGTATATAACGTCCGCCCCTTTCGCGCTGCAATTCTTGTTGCTGCAAGTCCTTTTGTCCAACGGAATATATTCGCTTGGATATCTTTTATAGCCTTGCAGAAGGGGAAAAGCTCTATTCATGCCTTTCTATTGTTGCGGGGGCAACGCTAAATCCTTTTGGACTTGCTGCAAAAGACCCCATACCAACGGTGAATTCTAGCCTGAACTTTCTCCTGGATTTTCTTGGAAATTTCGAATAGTGCCAAACAGCAAAGTCGCAATTCCCTCGAGCATCACAAGTTATGCAGGGGGTAGACGGTTGGAGAACTGCGCAAAGACAAAGTCATGCGGCTCAACCTCTTTCTTTTGCAACAGCGTATAGTAAGGACTCCTCCGATAACTAAGTGCCTTTCCACGGTTCAAACGATTGGCAATATCTCGGTGTTCCTTGATCCGTCGGCTCATTTGCTTGGATGATCCCACATAAGCGGCGATCAATTGACGATTGCCTTTGCTTGATACGATATCAATATAGATACCTTGCTGGCCATCCATGTCACTACTTGCGCGGCGCAACTTTCCATTGAGGAAGTCTTCCTTAGTCCAGGTGTGCGGGTCCTTTTAAAAAATATCAGCCCATCCCGCCAAGATCCCTGGAAAGTACAGTCAACTCCCACTTATGGTACGGCGGGTTATAGAACACTCCCAGTTATAGTACACCATCCGCTTGAATGGACCCACTTTTCCGGGTTCTCTCATACAAAACTCTCACTTATAGAACAATCATCTTTGTATACTCCTTTTACTGTGCCATCCGCCTAGTTAGCTCTATCAACCAATCACAATGCCTGAATACTCTACAATTCCCCTGCCAAAGTGCATCAGGCCGGCCACCCAAGCACCACCACCCAAGCACCGCCACCAAAGCTCTATATAAACAAGTACCTAATTGATAATGTTCGTAATGATAATATTGTATAATTTGATCAATCCTTAGACTATATTCGAGGAAAATATTATATCCAAAGATGAGACCTATGGGTATTATGTCATCCCCTCACTCATTGTACACAATTTTCCTTGGATGGTGGGGTGTACTATAAGCGGGAGTTGACTGTACGTAGACAGACTTTGAAATTAGGGATCTACGCATTTGAAGATAAGCACGCTACTTAGTTGGCAACCTTAAGTACTCAAAAACTTCTTCGTCATGTCCAAAACGGAGACCTCAAGAAACACTCCATTCATTTCCACTTGAGAATAAAATCCAGTATCTTTGTATTTTATGCCTTGATGCCTGAAAATAGGATTTAGCACGTGATCCAGTCGCAGCCCAGTGAAGTCAGATTCGAGATCAAATGAAGTCGGCAGCAAATACATATACAGATTTCATAATACAGTTTAGACCCTCAACTTCTACACACTGATATCTAGAGCAGCTTGATACTGTACATCTATCCTACAAGTGGAGGTGTGGTCATTTCTCTTTTACCTATTCGATCCGCCCGTTCCGGGCAGCTTCATATATCCCTCTCCAGAGTCTTCACGAGAGGTTCTGCTCCTTTATGACGGCCACACAAGCGGACAAAGTGAATAAAGAGTATGCTCGAGAGGACAAGCAAAAAGAAAGAGATCTGGACCAAATTTGGCGAAAGGGACTAGCTGGAGGGTTGGCAGGATGTGCTGTAAGAAATTTTGGAATTCTCCAAAAGATGCGCAAACACTGACATCCGCGCAGGCTAAAACAGTCGTAGCACCTCTAGAGAGAGTAAAAATCCTTTTCCAAACCGCTCATTTTGGGTTCGTGCGGCATACCAAGGACTGGCTCGGTTTTGTTCATGCCATTCAAGCTATTCGGCAGCATCATGGGAGCCAAGCACTATTCCAAGGCCATTCAGTCACATTACTACGAATTTTTCCCTATGCTGCTATCAACTTCCTTGCCTATGACCAGATTCGAGCTACTCTAATCGCATCTCCTCATCATGAAACTCCTTTCCGTCGCTTGATCTCTGGCAGTCTGGCCGGTGCTATATCGACATCCTGCACATATCCCTTTGAACTCATTCGGGTACATTTAGCTGTCCAGACTAAAGATGCATCGTTGGTTGCTACTTGCCGAGATATTTACCGCGATGGTGGACTTGCCAGCTTTTACCGGGGGTATGCTCCCACATTATTAGGCATCTTGCCTTATGCGGGCACTTCTTTTTTCACCCACGACGTGATTGGAGACTGGCTTCGTTCCCCAAAGTTGGCCCCATACACTGCCCTTGAGCCTCCCAATGAGAGAAAGACCGGCAGTAAGCGTCTTCAGTTGACTGCAGTTGCAGAGCTGACCTCTGGTGCTTTGGCTGGTTTGGTAGCACAGACGGTTTCCTATCCCCTTGAGAGTATTCGTCGACGTATGCAGGTTCACAAGAGGGATTTACAAAATGGCCGTCGACCAAGTATTGCTCACACAGCTCGAACTATTTACTTGGAAAGTGGGTTGCGAGGTTTCTATCTGGGGCTGACAATTGGCTATATCAAAATTATGCCCATGGTAGCGACGAGCTTTTTCGTTTACGATCGTATGAAAGGATATCTTGGTGTGTACTAGCAAAAGACATTTGACGCAGTGTATTATTTCAAAATATGCATCGTGTAAGGCAGAGAAACGATGTCACGGAGCCGTCAATTCCATTTTTTGACCCTTGATAATAACTGAAGATCTTCCATATCCTGCTCTAGTCAATAGCTTGAGCAGCAGCGAAAATCTAGTACACGATATCAAACATGCATTTATGAATAGTCATAAGGGTTGAATGTACGTATCCATTTGCTCTCCTATCAGATAAGGGTCAAGGGCTATGAGTGTGGGTAGAATACATTGATGAGATCTTGAAAGCTACCAATGGGGACCGTAAGTACTTCCCCAAGTGCGGGTCCGGTGGGGTCAACCCAACAACCAACTTTTGGGAAAGCATGTATCATTTAGTATTAGGAGGGGCTCGCTTCAAAAAGTTTTACTTTAGCCCATGACTATAGAGAAGAATTTTGAGAAGATAATTCGAAGGTCCATATAGCTTTGGTGGCGATAGAGCGGTTTGAAAGTTGATGTGTAAATATGGAGGACCCGCCGAGGCATTCACTGAGCTTTTAAACCTCCAGCTTTAATATTATTTATATGTTGTTAAAACAAGAGCTATTTAGACTATATCTAACCTATGCTTATCTATAGACGAATATATAATAGTATTTAATCGTACCTAAAGAGGTATGTAGCAGAATTATGGTGAGTAATACTATATGTAAAAATTAATGTGTTAGCATACAGGGTGACGAGACAATTACTAGTGGTTAGAAAGCTAAGGGTAGATTTTTATAAAACATTAAGAGATAGTTCTATGCATTAGATGGGTATTAACAACTATGTATGCGTAATTATACAGAATTTCAGTCAGATATGGTGGTGTGATGAACTGTTTAGTAAAAATATAGATGATGGAGGAGGCCCGAAGACTGATTTGGGAAAATACTTTTGACTATATAGTGTATGAATGTTGAATATAGATGCCCTCAATCTCTGCGAATTCTTTTGATCACCAAAGGCGGATGCTCTTCGACTGGCGGAGGCCTCTTCTGCTTTTCCAAGTGGAGGACTGTCTGCCTTTGCAACTGAAATGACCCCATTAGCGGCGATAACTGTGAGGGAACTGTTATTGAAGCGTTGCAGCCTCTGTCAAGCATCTGAGAAAGGAAAAATTTGGCATACGCGGCCGCTGTAGCAGCGGCATATTCCTGCCACAGTTTGTTCTTATGCGAGTCAGAATAATCGCAAATGCCCCGGATAACAAGGCAGTTGGTAGTTGTTCTCACAACCCCTGCCGCCTCCATTTCGACACAGATCACATCTTCTTTGCTCAGGCGGTCTCGGTGGCTTGCATCTCGGACAACATGATTCCCAGATGCTATGAGACCATAGAAAACGTTCGGGCCTTCATACAGTCGATCGTCCCGCGGTTGTGCGACGGTACACCCATGACAATTCAACTGGCCTCTTGGATGAAGGTGTTCCGAGTGAAAAAGTGTGTCCCTACCAGCGCCTGGGTATTGATATTCCGGCTTTCGCGAGGCAATCAGATTGATATCGTCGAGAAGTGGGTTGGAGGCGGAGTTGAAAGAGACGTCGCAATCGGATTTGATTTTTGTAATCACTGATCCTAAAAATGCGGGTGGTGTTTGTTTCCCTCCTGTTCTCTGAAATTGAGAGTCCGAGATCAGTTTCCCCATGTCGACCTGTATTACACCAGTGCCGACGACTATGTCACCGAGACGAATGTCATTAGTCGCAGAAGGGACTCCTCCACCAATGCCGACCAACAGACAAAATTTGACCCGCCGAAAAGTTCGCATCAAATTCGAGGCGACGTTAGCGGCAGAGTTTGCGCCATAGTCGTTGTGCGGAAGACCTGCGGCAACCACCTTGAACCTTTTGATCTGGCCAAGGCAGTAGCAGTTGGGATCATTCTCATCTTTTGCGAGATCTGGATAAGATAGATCGAACAAGGCGCGCACAGCAAGAAGCTCTTTGGATAATGCACAAACAATTCCTACTTCGTAGTCCTCATGGGTAAGGCCGTCAGGCTGCGGTCTTAATGAAGGCATTTCCTCAGACTTCCCATCATTCGCGGCAGAAGGCGCCAGGCTTGTTCCAAGTCCCGAGTCATGGAAATCATCATCTGAATCTGAATCCGAGTCATCTGAAGATGGCAAAAGTTCTTCCACGGGAAACCCAGTGTCACTCCAGGACCATCGTAAGTCTCTGTTGTAACCGAAAACCACCGCACCACTCCCCCTATCTTCTAACTGAGCGCGGTTCTGCTTGGGTATTCTTTTTCTAAAATGTGAAGGCAGAATGACATGTGCTAGTTCACAATGTTTTGTATTCTGCGGGTCGGTAGTGCATTGGCAAGCTCGAAGATCATCATCTGCCTTGTACCAGATCAATTGATTTGTCAGTCTCACCGGGTTGCTGTTAGGGTTTCCAAATCGGTCGATTATGTTTGCAAGATCGCCATCGCTGATAGCAAGGTAGGAATTTCCTTCCGGCAATCTGTTCCATCGAGAGCATGAGCTGCTAGTTGGAACCGGCTGGATAATCTCACCAAATCCGTTCCCGAACAACGTGATTGCTCGAACAGCTCTGCTCAGGTCAACCCAGCCTTTTCCTTTGGATGCTAGCTTACAAACTCGAGGATATAACGGGTCTTCATGAGTGGCCAGATCCTTGAAATCCCACCCCTCAAGTCTACCCCTAGGCATATCGCGTAGTGCTTCGCTGCTTCCCCCGAGGATCTCTTCTTGGTGGTCCATCATCTTCTCGAGCATGCTATACAGAAGATTAACCCTATGCCGAATCCGGACCGGTGGTATCGCTCTTTGCCCCGGTTCACCATCCTGTGCATGATAAATTTCCAAGGATAGATTATCGGGGTTCAACAATACTTCCGTTGCAGACCTAGAAGTGAATGGTTTCTTGGGGCCCTTGATGCTTGTCTTGTCCAGCCGGAATGCAGAAGAAAGTGGATCAGTCCTGTTGAAGTCGATTGAAGCAAGAAGAAGATGCAATAGAGCGCAGGATCCATTCACCAGCCACCCCCGTTTCCCTCCCACATCCCACATCAGGACGTATTGTTTATTGATCCAAGAAAGCTTCTCCATATAGTCGCTCCGTTCAATCCTAAAAGGAACATCTTTGCTGCCGTAGATGGCTACATCGCCGCCTTCGATGGGCTTGCCTGCTGAAATGATGGCATTGGCAAACCTGCATTGAGGCGATGGCCGCCGTAGCCAGGACCTTTTAATCGAATAGTTGGCATCGATTGCGCCTATTGGCCGGTTAGATGGATGGACCATTTCTGAAATATCATAATGTTTGCGATAACGTACCGGCGTAGCATCTAGCGTCTAAGCACCAACCGAGGATATGGCGACTGGATCCTAATTCAGAAAACATTATGTCTACCTGACCTTTCATACCATCCAAATAAGAGATACGGTTTCCGTCCGGATCGTAAAGGAGGTGCCATATGATTTGATTGTGATCCCGCATGTGTTCTGTGGGCAATAGCAGACTAGAAAACCCCTTGATGAAAAGCTTCCCTTTAAAGATATCCGCGCTCTTCGCTTGAATCAAGCCAGCCAGGAGGTTGAGTGGAATTTCAAGGCCGGTGCCATCTCTGGACCGGTGTGGAATGGGAAACCCCTTCACCACGATTGGATTTCGGAACAAGTGATGCCAGCACTGTCCTGTGAGTGGGAATACATTTTCCATTTCATCTTCAAGCTGGAAGTCAATGACGCAGGAACATTCGATGATAACTGGGGCTTCCGAGCTTGGACATGATTCATTCTCAACGGCGGTGCTGCTGATAAATGGCGTGCAGTATGATAACTTATCGTCGTGTGGAGAGGAACGAAGAGCAGAAGCCAACCACGAAAGTTGTTCTCCAATATCTGCAATTGATTCGTTTATCCCAGTGACTTCGACAAAAAGCTTTGTCTCATCTATCCATGCGCCAATCTGTGTGTTATCTTGAAGGCTACCTAAAGGACATTGTTAGTGCTGATCGTGCAACTTGGGAAGCCCCGAAGGAGCTTGGATTACATTTGCATTCACAGCCCGGTCCACTAAGAAGTGTGGCCTCGATAATTTGAAGAAGATCGGCTCCGTATGAGTGCCAGGTTTGATGAAGATACTGCAAAGAGGTCATGGCCTGCGCATCAATGCTTGAACCTGTAACTGTGATAATCCTTCCGAGGAAGCCGTCTTTACTTTGGTCATACCCTTGCTCGCTGACGAAGGATACGAGATCCCAATTGAGAGTGAATGTAGTCTGATATAGTCTTGGTTGATCATATCGACTCACTGTCCTGGGTGTCGGGAGGAAATTCAGGATTCGTTTGCGAATGGAGCCCTGGGTATTTGGCATTGCTGACTCTAAATTAAGCTCTCTTTGAATACTTCCAAGTAACCACTCATATGCTTGGCTATTGGAGATCAACTCCCTGTAAGCCTCAATTCCAGGGAGTCCTTTGTCATAATCTTCCATGAAAACCTCATCGTTGGCATCCGAGGCATCTGGTCCAGTATCTGTGTCGAATCGTTCATGCTCAAAGTCATTGTCTTTATCTTCCTGGTTGTGATACCACAATTTCATGATATCACCCAACTCCATTTTGTCGTCATCGTTTGCAGGAGCTGGAGACTCGTCCTCATCCTCCAGGTATCTCAGTTTCAAATTACTTGCAATATCACTACAGCCTTATCAGTAGCCTCCTGGAAGTGAAGCTGAGGCAAGGACATTACTCACTGCCTGTATCGACGAATAAATATCATGATGTCCCGATGCATTTGTGTTGAGCCGTATTGGCCAAGCCTGAGTGCAAAACCTTTCAAAAGGCGTGGAAGAACACTATGAATATTCTCTGGTGATTCATGGGCGTATCGCGCCAATCGGACATTATTGAACAAGTCTTCACTCAAGTGTGAAATGTAGATTTGCTGCGTGTTTAGGGAAGTACCATGCTGAAACGTGTAGATAGATCGAGTATCTTTGTTGACGTCGATCTCGACATCCCCAATGCCAGACTCTTCCTGGGGTAACCCAAGCCCTTCATTATCAGAGGTAATACTTTGAAGATCATTATATGAGTGTGTTTGATGTTGTTCGTGAGCGGGCATGGTGTTAAGTGGAAATTTTCGATGTGAAATAGAAGCGTATCCAGAGTCTGTGGGTGGTATAGTGGAGCTCGGTGGATCTATTCTGCCAGAAATGTTTTCTGCTGGAAGGGATGGGTGTCTAGAGTCATTTCCCTCCACCTCGGAGTGATCAAACTTGTGATCCTGAGCGCGCGACAGATCCTCCACCGGGTGCAACTCAATCAAAATGCGGCGCCATAACTCTCGTTGTTGAGGAGAATCGAAGCGCAAGTAGAAGTAAGGGAGTTCGTCGACTGAAAGGTTCAAAGAGAGTATGTAGTCATCAGTGTCCGTTTCCAGGGACCTCAAGTGCTTCTTGAAGAGAATAGAAGCCTTGAGGGAGCAGCTTGATGGCTTCTTCTCCTTGACGCAGATGAGCATCTCGGTGAATAAGTAACACTCCAACTTTTGCCATGTTTCTCTGTCCTTGCCAACACTCATTTGTCCGTGCAGAAGCAGTTTTCCAAATCGGTTGAACTCCAGGCCATGCCAGTCATTGACCCGGATCTTGAGCTCATCAGCGATCTCGTTCAATTTCTCTGATGGTAGAATTCCTCGTATCACTCGTTTATCTTGAGCCTCGTGATGGGAGATCATGGAAAGAAGGTCTTTAGCAAAAGCTGCCGCCGCTGCCGCGGCATATCGTTGCCAACGCCGATTTTTATGTGAGTCGGCGTAGTCACTGATGCCACGAATGACTAGACATCGAAATTCACCCATGAGGCCCGTTGCACCCTTCTCCACACAACACGCTCCCGTGTCTCGGGCTAGTTGATCCCGTAGCTTGCCATCTCTCATTTCACCGTTGAATGACGCGACCTGTCCGAAATGGACTTTTGGATTCCTCACCTCGCCAGCATCTCGTGGAGGCCGTGGAATCAGTTTTGATCGATCACAACTGACACATGTATCCAACCTTGGATCCCTATGACTGTAGTCCGCTTGGTATAGACAGTCCTCCTGAGTTGGTCGTATGAAATGTTTAGCATCGCTCCCTGTTGATTTGTTTCCGATGGTGAAGAGGAACTCGGTAATTCGACTTCTTTCTACTTCATATGTTTCTTTGAGCCACATGAGGGCAGTTGAGAGAAAAAGAGGTGGCGGCTTGAGTATTCCGGACTGAACAAATCGACTCCCGCTTGATGCTTGATCGAGCTCGTACTGTATCACGCCTCCAGAGATTGCTGATGGCTGAGCGACTACAACATCTCCAAGTCGAATATCTCGATCGCTGCTTGGTATCCCTCCACCGATACCGACGAGAAGACTAAATTGGATAGAAGGAAAGCTGTTCATCAAGTCTCTGGCAACGTCTGCAGATGTTCTCAACTCGTCCCCGCCGCTCCGCAGGAAAGCAACAGCGATGTTATGTCTCCCGATGCTCCCTAAAACGTACACGTTTTGATCATTTGGTTGTTGGGGTAATGGTGGGTGTATCGCATCAAACATCATTTGCGCTGCTGCCAACTCAATAGGTAAGCAGCATATCCATCCGACCGTGTAATTGCCCCGTGACCGAGGGTTTCTGGCTGCCATAATGTCTACCATAGTGAATTGAGTAAATTCTCCCAACTCTCCGTGAAGAAACAGTAGAACGAGGTTGCTCAGGAGGCGGGGTTGAGGGGTGTGGCTGAAAATCTCACGACCCAAGTGTTCAGCTTACATTGCACTTTACTCTCTTGCACTGCCTGCTCATCTATATTATGGAAATTCTTCTACTTGTACACTGAAATCTGTTCCATCCCACCCACATGAACTTTAATGATTATATAAGTTTTAACTATCGAAAGGGGCTGGAATTGGAGCCACAAATTCTCAAATCGCTTCGGCCACATTGCCCACCCAATGGCGTCAACAGCCATAGATAAATATATCTTCCACATAATGTTTCTTATACATATTTCACAGAAAGAGTAACAGAGGTAGATCTTGTAGCAGTCCCATGATTTGAGTAGATGGGCCAAGTGACCACCCCAAAATGAATGGGACTTTGAACGGCTGACATTCTACACCTGGGCACGAGTTGACGGGAGACCAAATGACCGTCTCCTGCAGGATGACGTACATCCCTGCAGCTCAGGTCACATAAACCACTGCCCCTACACCTGATACTGTCTCGTCTGCCATATCTACCGCGTCGCCTGTTGCATATAACAATTCGGCCTGCCTACCTTATTCCATTCTCTAACCTCTTTGTCCAAGTACATCAAACTTAGATTTCATAACATTCATATGTTCGAAGTGAGCTTTTAGTTATACCCTGTCCCTAAAGTCTTCTCAAACCACATAGCATCATGGAGCCCCCAAAGTTGGACAGTAAGTGCGAGAATTCCTAAGTATAACCTTGTAATATATCGCAAGATCTGAAAGTTACGGTATAGAAACCCCAGCGACTCACTGTGCCTCCACGTCCATGCGATCCCGAAGCCCCAGTGACAGTCACGGTGGATTCGCCCAATTTCTATTGATGATCATGGGCTATGAAGTTTTGATTCAACATCGCTCATTGGGTACAGGGACGATCCAGAAAGGCCAGTAATCGTGTGAATAGGATAATCTAGTTGATTTGATTTTGGGATTTGAGGATTTGACTGAAGAATGAATTCTGGAGACTACCTATTGGGGCGCAAGGGAACTCATTTGGTTGGAGTATGTAAGGCGTTTAACATCATGACAAGAATGAACACTTGTATCCCATATTCTAAAGTCAAGTCGCATAGAGCTATCTCTTCATATTTTATAAAAGTCTACCCTTAGTTTTCTAACCACTAGTAATTGTCTCGTCACCCTGTATGCTAACACATTAATTTTTACATATAGTATTACTCACCATAATTCTGCTACATACCTCTTTAGGTGCTATTAAAAACTGTTATATCTTCCTCTATAAACAAGCTTTAGATACAAACTGAGAAGTCTTTAATTTAATAACATGTAAATAATGTTGAGGGGGTTTGAAAGCTCAGTGAATGCCTCGGCGGGTCCTCCATATTTACACATCAACTTTCAAACCGCTCTATCGCCACCAAAGCTATATGGATCTTCTAATTATCTTCTCAAAATTCTTCTCTATAGTCATGGGCTAAAGTAAAACTTTTTTTGAAGCGAGCCTCTCCTAATACTAAATGATACATGCTTTCCCAAAAGTTGGTTGTTGGGTTGACCCCACCGGACCCGCACTTGGGGAAGTACTTACGGTCCCTATTGTAGTATGCAATCAATAAACATTTACATGCCAGACGACCAGGATGTGATCATATAGCAGATTATGAGAAGATAGTGACATCTTTCCTGTGATACAGGTATCCCGCATGAATAGTCTCTTTTGATATTTGAAGATATGGGAATCCATGATTATGCCCGGAGACTTATACGACATGGATAATCATCTACCGGAAAAGCGGCTTTCTCAGTTTGGTAGGCTCTCTCCCCATTAACAGTATTGGGAACCGCCTTGCCAGAGCGTCCAGTCAACCTACTCACCCACCCTTGATTCTGTAACTTGAGCGCATCCCACTCTTCATAAGCTGGCGAGATATCAAAAAGTCTCAGGCTCATGGCTAAAAGTACGCGTATTTCATTATAGACAAGTGTCTGGCCAATGCAGTTCCGGGGTCCCTGCTCAAATGGACGCCAAGCACCTGGGACTGGGTATAGTTCGTGTCCCGGTTCAACAAGCCAGCGCTCTGGGAGGAACTCTTCTGCACGCGGCCATATGCGGGGATTTAAATGACAAGCTTGGTGGAGGATATTGGCTCCAACGTAGTCAATGGGGTACAAGTTCCCATGTCGGTCAGTCAAGGATTCGTGCGTGTCTGCCAGCTCGCCCCTACTGGTTGAGGCGGGCGGGAATACCCGGAGGGTCTCTTTGATCACCGCGAGCGTGAGCGAACAGTTGTTCAGTAGAGTCGGGTCTGACTTGATCATATTGCCTGCGTTCGAGGGATCGCTTCCAAAGACGCGGTCGTGCTCTTCTCGTACCTGTCTCAGGATATCGGGATGCTTGAAGAGAAGATGATAGACGTAATTAATGGTGCTTGACGTTGTGTCGCTACCAGCAAATAAAAACAGACGGATTTGATAGGAGGCATATTGGGCAAAATGCTCATCCAACACGGTTGTCTCACTGAAATCTTTCTTCTCGCCAAGCTGAGGATCGGCGAGATAGGCCTCAAGGGCAAGCGCAATAACAGATTTTCCTCTTTTAGAGGAATCTGATTGTAGCTTCTCCTGTTCTTGGCCCTGTTTCATTTCAATAAATCTCTTCTCCAGCTCTTTCCTGATAGACTTATTGATAAGATTGCTGTGGTACTTCTGGACGAATGGTCGGACAGGGTTGATTAAGACTCGCGGATCCCAAAAGGAATGCCAAGCTAAGATCTTCTGCAATGAGGTTGAGATCGGATGCTCAGCGCGCTGATTATCAGAGTTCATATCCCTATAATATGATGGTTAGGGGTCTCGTTCTATGGCGAAGGAAGTATTCCGACTCACAGAGTGATCTTCAAAATCACTTCCATTGTCAATCGCGATGTTAGAGTGCTGAGCTGAATTGGTTCCTTGGACCCAACTTTCCCCTGTAAGATATCGCAAAATACCTGGGTTGAATCAACCACGGCTGGCACGAGGTCCATCATACTGCCCCCGCTGAACCCGGGATTGAATATGTTCCGCCAATATTTCCACTCGGCATGGTTCATACCGTGTAGACTTGGTCCGCCCACGATTGGATGCATGAATTTGAGATGCAGCGGAAGTTTAGGCAAGTTGAATTTGTTGGAGACCTGATACGCTGCTTGTGGGTCAAAGACGATATAGAACGGTGGGTAAACAGGCCAGAAGTCCATCAGAAATATTTCTGTATGTCCCCATTTCTCCAGCGCCAGACTTTGCATGGCGAGTTGGACATTTGCATCGGGGGGTAATCGCTCAATGTATTCTTGAAGAACGAGAAGATGGCCGGTGAACCAATTCCATTTTGGCATCGGCTATAGCAGTGAGTCAGATTAACAATTGACAGGTTAGGAAGAATCAAGTGCTGACTGACTATTCCTTGTTTGCGTAGCTCGTTGATTTTGCGGCGATGGCTATATCCACAATATAACCCATAACCGAGAGCTGTCATAATTAATGGCATGGCCAATTTGACCAGCATGTTGAGAAGTGCCATGGTGTATCAAGGCCCCGGAAATCAATCAGGGAGGTAAACTGGAAAAATAGGAGAATCCCCAGCCGGGTTGTCAGGGGTCACCCACGCGTTTTAAGACCGAGTGTGACTGGAGCCGCCCTACTCGTAGAATGACGTAGAGAGGCTGGGGGCTGGGACCGAGTGTTGTGCTTGGGGGCGGGCTTATAGGATTCTGCGCAAGCTCAAACCACAAGGAGAAAAGTCCACCGCAATATAACAGACCTCGAGCGGGATACGATAAGTGTAGCCAATGACATGCGCGCTGTAGCAAATGCCACTGGCAGATTCCACGAGTAGATATGGGATCATCCGGCATATTTAGCCCCCACTTGACTTAGCCGTTCGATTAGTCTCCGATCAACCAATGATTAAGCTTCGAATTGTGGGTTTGGCTCTCTCCAGGAAAGCGAGATGAACGACAGTACGTAGAGCTTCCCCGCCCCGCAAGGAAAAGACCTCATACACACTTCCAGAACGTCGTGTCAGAGGTGGCATGCGTGATGGACACATTTTCATGTACGGAGAGTGATCAACCCCTCTGAAGCTGGTCAGTCAAGCAAACAAGAGACCTAGAGACGAACCACTCAAGAATGACTAAATGCTATGATGAAACTAGGCAGACCGTAACATGATACCTCCGTACGATCTACAATTGGAGCGCTGCACGCCAAGAGATGCAAGCCCCGCGAACTTCGTCCAACTTGTCGATCACCCTCGTGAATCTACTCTTCCCGCCTCTTCATTGTCCTTCATCGTCCTGCTTCAATAAACTTATTTCCACATCATAGCTGGTTGTCTAAGAATGATGCCAGTCCAAGTCAATGCAAAAGCCCTGCTCTATTTTGTGTTTATTCTGGTACGAGGCTACTGATCCAGCCTGGTGATGCTTCTGTTAACGAATTTCGCCATTAGGGAGGAGCCATATCCTTGATCCTAGGAGCGTGAGTTCATCTTCCCCAATGTCTATAGCTATAGCTCATTGGATATAAATAGTAATTAACGATCCTTAATGAAACAGGTTGTCGTGGTCTCGTACAGCCGCCGTGTGCCTTCCCTTACCAACATGGGTTCCAGCCATCGCGACCCTGATATCTCCAATCACAGTCCTTACGCTGATAGCCGCACGATATCTCTCCCGACCCTCAAACAATGAAACTCAGCCCCATCGATGGAGCACAATATCCAGTATTCTCAATCAGATTCAAACCATCATATTAACTATCGTGGCCACAGTAGCACTTGCCTACATCTTCCCCGATAAGATCCTCTCCTGTAATCTGGATCAACAATGGCAGGCATTCTTTCACTCCAAGAATTCAAACGCGATCCGCTCAATTCAAGATGAGTTCCGATGCTGCGGACTGAGAAGTATTCATGACAGGGCCTGGCCCTTCAAAGACCGGAATTACGGGGACAACGCGTGTGAGTTACAGCTGGGATATCAGAGGAGCTGCTTCGCTCCTTGGAGGGAGCACCAGCAGCGTACGTCTTGGATGGTAGTTGCTGCGGCTGTTTTTGTTATCGTGGCCAAGGTGGGTTTGCTATCCCGAGGGTTAACGGGGTGATGGCTGACATCCTGCTACTTCGCACAGATCGCTTTCTTTCAGATTTTTGCTCAACGGACGAGTTGGATGAGTGGGCAGTCTGGGAGCACGAGGCCTGATTACCAGCGGATTTCGCACGCGGGGGTACAGGATGAAGAGAACGAGGGTAATGGTGGCGACGAGGAGGCGCAGAGAACATTCTTACCCCAGTCGAATACCCAAAGTCGAAACAATTGGGAAACATAGAGGCGTCAATGGCTCAGAATGCCCATCTAATACCTAGGGAGGTGACCGCCTGGAAATGGGTTGAGATTGGAATTGGTTTCTTTATTGGTTGAAGGCTAGCTACACTACCTGGGAAAATGTCAAACTCAAGCTTGTATGCCCAAGAAACACATTCGTGGCGAAAGAAAACGACAGTAGCAATGCCAATCGGGACGAGACATGAAAACTTGAGAGAATTGAATTGAAACCAAGAGAAATGGAAGAAAAGATATAAACAACAGGGGGTATGGGTAATGGTACAAAGCAAGGAAACAGGAAAGAAAAGATTAAAGTAAAGGGCGAACTTTGAAAAGATAATAGTGAGCCATGAGTAAACTAGTAGGGAGAGTTCACAATGTCGTTGCGACCAAGATGGCTGCTAAATCTCCCGCTCCGGGCGCGACTGGGAGTAACGGGGCCGGCAATACTCTCCCGAGTGACCTTCTGGAAACTACGCTTGGCGACCATGTTGACCTCGTTGGGAAGAGCAACAATGACGTTCTTGTCCGAGTCAAAGCGGAAGTTGTCAGCCATGACATCCTCGGCGTAGCGCTTGATGGTATACGGGTCCTTGCGGCCGGCAATAATCTTCTTCAGGGACCAAGTGATAATGAAGGGACCGGTGGCGGTGATGATGGAGGTTTCCTCTTTATCGACACCAGTGTTGAAACGAGCAGGCGTAAAGGCAAGAGGCTGTTTGGTCTCGTGCTGGAACTGGGCGACATGTGCAGGCTGCAAGCCCAGACGACGGGGCTGGGGCTTTGAGTCCTTGGCGAATGCCTTCTCAAAGCCAAGCTTGCCCTCGTTCTTGCCCTCCTTTTGGAGGGAGTCAATCAGAAGGAGATACGTACGGCATGTAGCAAGCACCCAGCGTCCATCGGCCGACACATCAAGACCGATGATGGGCTCACCAAGAGCTGGAATGTGGGTCTTGGCGTTGATGCCCAGCCGGTCGAACATGCGAATGTCTCCCTTGTTGGACGCGACCGCTAGATAGCCCTTTTCGGTAGTGGCCATTGCTGAAAAGTCATTCTTGCTAGCATACTGCTTCAAGTCGGCATCGACAAGCTTGGTGCCAGCGAGACGTGGGTCAATGCGGAAGAGGGCATTCTTGGAAGCACCGACGAACGGCTGAGCCGAGGTCATTTGAGAAAATTTCTAGAAATCGATTAGATAATTGAAATCCAAGCTTTTTGTTGTTCGGATGTACTCACGTTCTCATGGGCGAAAGTCTCGACGGGAATGTCCTCATGGACCTTCCACTCGTCAACAACCTTGCCGTACTCCAAATCCATGCGGTAGAGGGAGTTCGGATCCTCGCCATTCTGAAGAATCATATTTGAATCTTCGGCATGCAGCATGACTTTCTTAGGGCTGAACAGCTTGCCACCGGGAGTTGCGACCTTCGAGATGGTAGTGGAGAATTCGAGATTGTTGTTGTCTGTATGCTTAAAAACACCGATTTTGGAGCCTCGAACCACAAACGAGCGATCATGCTTGTAGCCGACGGCCAATTGGGAGTTCACATTTCCATCCTCATCACGAGTGACAACATCCTCCTCTTCTTCGTCGCTGTCATAGTGTTCGCTGCGCTGTCCGTCATCTTGGTCAGTTTCTTCGTCCTCCTCTTCCTCTTCCTCCTCCTCTTCAGGCTTGTCATCGGCATCCTCCATGGTAAGATCTTGGAATGCATCCAGCACGTAGTCGCGTTCGTTTTCCTTGACCTTGGTCCACTTCATTTCGTTGAGTTGTTCCCACAGAGCCTGCATCAGACCTTCTTGGAAGCGCTCCTCTGCCGGCTGATCCTTGAACCGAAGCAGCCACGAGTAAGCGGAACCATCCTCGGAATAGTGGTTAAAGATGAAGGACAAATATTCAAAGTTAAAGACGGGGTTGATGTCTCCCACGACGGCCTGGCCGAGCCACTCCTTCTCCTTGCCAGTAATCTGTAGCCAATATTGCCAGCTACCGATTTCTGACACAGTAGCGGTCACCTCGGTTTCTTGCAAGACGAATGTTCCACTGGCAAAGTCGAACAAATGCAGTTCAGCTTTTTCCTGTGTAAGAACTTCTTTCGCCTCGGGCTGAGCTGCAGAAGCTGGCGCTGTAGTAGCCTCATCATCGATACTAGCTGTCTTTAGCTGACCCTTGGACTGGGCATATTTCACGTCCTTCGCCATCTCGGCAGCGGTTTCTTCGGCGGTCAAAGAGTTGTTGTGAGAATGGGAAGTGGGCGAGGTAATAGGGCTGGCTGATGGAATGGGCTTCTCCTCCGTGTAAGCAAACTCCTGGAGATCCTGCTCGCTAGCCTTTTGAGCACTGCAGCGGAACTTGCGCTCGTATTGGCACTGCAAGGCAGCCAACTCAAAGGTGGCGACCTTGTCGGATGGAACCGAAGCGTCACAAATAAACTCGTAAAGGTCACCCTCGTCGCCACTGAGATCGTCCCAAGCTAAGATCTTGCTGGCTCCGTCACGAACCTCGGAGCGGAAGTGAAGAGTCTGGTCTAGCAGGAAAACCTTCTCGTCTTTGTCTAGGCTGTCGGCCGCACCCTGTTCTTCCTCGTCGTCCGCAAGTTCCTCTTCTCCTTCCTCATAGGCTCTCTGAATCACGAGCTGATACTGAAAGTCTTGACCAGTGCGTCGGATGGTAGCTGCCGCGTCCTTGAAGATGAGTTCCGAGTAACCCTTAGGTGACAACGGTCGAACCAGATACAGCTGGCCTTGGGGGATTTCGATGATAGATTCTTTCGAAGTGTCACCGAAAATGAATTTGCTCACTAGTGTATCGATTTGAGATTAGTACTTTCCAAAACCATTGTGATTCGATTTGTTGGTATGGAGGGGTTTGGCGGGGCAGGTGCGCATTGCTTACCGTTGCGGAGCATAAACATGGTTGCGAGGGGCAGCTGCTACCAAGCAACAACAAAACAACAGATGGAAGTTGACGAAAGGGAATAGGTAAGGGGAGTCCGGCAAGGCAGGCAATAAATAAGAGAGGAAGTTGAAAGAAACAAAGAGGGTTAGGGCCACCGGAACAGGAGTGAGGCTTGAGAGAGACAAAAAAAAAAAAAGAAGGAAAGATAAGTGCCATCACCAGAGTAATAATCGCCTCCGTCATCGAAGTGTGGCGTTGTGGCTGATAGGTTATGTCATCACCCCGCGCCCTCGACACCCGAGAAGCAGGGCACCAATTTATATACAAATTCACATTGCTATTGGTCAGATGAAAAAGGTATTTCCGAATTAATGTTCAAATTGAAATTTTGATGCATGCTTCATGCATCTATGCAATTTAGCACGGGACTAGTAGGTAATATCATAAACAAAATGTTGAATTTCAGAACCTCGGCAGTCCGTAGTATCTTTTACCGGTATCCCACCGGCATTCCATCAATTGACAGCACTTATATGGACATCATTCACAGCTTTGCAGCACAAACAAGCTAGTACCCGGACTGAACATGGTGCCCAGTATTCTCAAACTCTCGGTAAAGTGTCTTGAGACAATCCCCCGGCCATTCCATGCTATCATTTACGCCTGAGGGGCGAAACCAAGCTGGGGGCCACTGGCATCGAACACAACGTACTGGCTCTTCAGGAAGATATCACCAAAGATAGAGAAGCCAATACCCGAGTTGGACTGAATACCACCAATGCAAGAGCCACCACCAATGGACGCGTAGTTGATCAGGCTGCCAGAGACGGTAGCGGTGTAATCGCCAATGGTCACGCTGAAATCCGGGAGATCAGCAGAGCAGTCAAAAACGTAGCCTCCCTCGGAGTAGCTGTACGAAGCACTGTCGACCTGCTCGTAGTAAGAGGAGACAGTGTCATCGGCAAGCAGAAGAAGAGTGGTGCCAGTATCAGCAATACCAGAGAAGCCTTGACCAGAAGCACTGCCAGCGCTCCAGCCATCAACCGAGAAGCTCCAGTAGCCTTCCGAGCTGTCAACATCGGTGTAGGTAAGAGAGCCAGTGTACTTGGAGGAGTCGGTGAAACCAAAGTCGAAGACACCGGGCTCGCCGTGCTTCAGGGCAACACCGAAGAGTGGCTTAGCCAGCTGAGACTGGGCATTGGAGAACCAGGTCTTCTGAGCCCTGGGCGAAACAGTGTTGATAGAGTCGAAACCCAGACCCAGAAGGCCATCGCTAGTGTCTTCGATAAATTCGGAGCTGATCTTCTTAGCGGCTTCAACAGCCTGGCTAGAGACAGTGATTCCACCGACAATAACCTTGTCCTTGTAAACGTTGCCGCTAGCAGAGCTACCGTCGCCGTAAGAGATGTCCCAAGTATAACCGGACATCAGACTGGCGCTCGAACCGGGGGTGTAGTAAGAGTGACCGGACCGCTGGGAAGCAGACAGCTCAGAAGAGAAGACCCAGCTATAAGCAATCAGTTTTTATATCTTTTAGAAATTGATATCACAAGATAGGTTGATGCTTACAGGTCAGATGATCCGGTATCGAAGTCAAGCTGCAGAGTAGTTCCTCCCACAGATACGGGGGTCAGATACTCCTCATCGTCAGTCGAGGGAGTGTTTGTAGCGACACCGCTGGCAACAGCGGCGGCCTGAACATTAGACGGAACAGTGGCTCCAAACTTCGTCAGAGCACGAGCATACTGAGACGCAAAGTTGGTGGTCTTAGTAGCAGGACGGGCAACCTGCTTGACAGAGTATTTCCCGGAAGTGGGAGCAGCACAAGCAATGGAAGCCAGGCCCGCGAGAGCCGGGATGACTTTGTTGACAATGACCATGATGACGGCTTAGAGAGAATGAGATTCAAGGATGATGTGATGATGAATGGAGTGAATTCATGAGAAGACCTGTCGACAAAGCCCCTTTTATAACTTTCTGTATACCTCGGGACTCGTGCATCTTACTATCAAGATGCATGAAAGAATTCAAGCCCGAAATGGCGCCAGCGAAGCTCGCTATCACCCGATACACGAACGATGTAACTTCTTCTAACCCGAATCCTCTAGATGCAGGCTTGAAACCCAATGTTGCGCCATCTTCACGGAGTCCATCGGCCAACTTAGAGATAGCTACCGGGCACCCGCGTTGAAGGGGAACCAAAGAGAGGCCGGAACGTAGGAAGAAGGGGTCTGACTGAGCTAGTGGCGCAATACCAGAGACCTGAGTGGAATTGCGCTAGCATTTAGGCCTGCGGAGAACTCGCTAGGACATAAAGGGTGCATGTAGAGAGAATAATATCAAGGCGGCCTTTCTTATCCGCCTCTTATCAAGACACAGCAGGTATTACTCGATTTTGGTCCCGCGGCGGAGTTTACCGAACGCTTTAATCCTTCACGACTCAATAAAGAAAGCTTGGAGAAAGCTTAATACTCAATCCCGAGAAACCCTACTGAGTTCATACATCCTTGCTAGCGGACGATAAATAACATTATGACACATCGTACAGTTACTTTAACCGGGGAGAAGGCCAAATCCACTCTGAATTTGTAGAATCCTGGAGCCTTCGCATCACAATGCAAGTCCATTTGTTTCCGGGCGTAAATCCAGGGTAGTGAGAATAGTTCGCATCGAGGAAATCCCGACGGAGCTCCGAGACACATCCAATCTACCCCCTGCCCCTGTGGACCCTGCATGACTCTAATTGTTCTAGTCAAGGGACCAATATATATCCGCCGGCGATATACGAAATACTAATGATCCACATTTGATGTGACCCTGAACTAAACAAGCCACCCCCGCTCTTATCGTCCAATTAATCGAACGAATTCCATCCACAGAATTCTTCAGACGCCAACTCATCTCAGCCTTGCAATATTTATAACAGAAATTAAATTGATAAGGACCCTGCCCGGATAAAAGAGGGCTTTTGATCAGAATGACGATCGCGACAAAAACGGTCAATGTACCCCCGAAATGCAGATCTTCCGTTTTTTAGGTCTGAGCCCCGTGTACTCCGGATGCTACATCGTAATATACATAATAGATTATCATAAGGGGTCAGAGTCAGAGTCATGATCTCCGTGATTCTGGCCCTACTCGAAGACTAATAAGAGTTCGATGTGGCCTGTTCATGATTCATAGTTCGCATTATCCCAACTGTACAGTACTTCGGGCTCTTCTATAAACCGTATACGACGAACAGAATGTAGTTCGTGCCAAGGCGCTTCGGGATGAAATTTGTATGGCCGAAGTTCCTGCTGCAGGGTCTCTATCAGGTTAGACTAAAAGCATGAAATGGACAATCGTAGGTCACGCGTAATTGTGACCCAAATATGTGATTGAGCAAACTTGGTGAGGCTAAGCACAAGTCACCGGGGAGGAGGTTGGAAATGTTACTTTTATCAATCTCTTACCTGGGCAGGCCCTATCAAAATTGGTTTTCGTGTGGAGAAGTTGCCATTAGCATCTAGAACACCGATCCCCCAAAAATTAAGCAGATTATGAACGGCCATTCTAATGATGCTTCCAAATTATATCTTGCCCAAAAGGCCGTCTGGTTGCATCTAGCTAGCAGAACACATCCACGGCCATGCCAAACCATAAACACTCCTTTTATGACATTAGCCAAGTATTGGGTCATGCCTATTTCATTGAGTCGGCAATCAGGCGACGTCCTGGTTATAAAGCAATAGGTTATTCGTACCAAACTATCGTGTTATGAGATCGATGCTAAAGGTTGGAAAGCAATTAGAGCAGTGTGATCTCCAGGGCTCCGGCCAACCAATATTAAGCAGGCTAACCAGGGCGTCAAGATTCTATTTAAATCATATTTTCGCTTTCCTGTTGAGCCCTATTGAGATTCCCAAATTCTTCTTCTGATACTCAAAAATCAGACTTCCTTGATGAATCAAGTAGAGATGCTTTTGAACGACCAAGATTTTTATTTGTATAGATGATGAATTGGGATATCGGGACACATCAGATGCTTTTCCCTGGTTCATTTACTGTATACTATATAGCATGCTTGATAGTCTTCATGAATTCTCTTCCACTTCCTCACATCCCTCTTCGGCAGCAGCCTCAACAGCTGCGATCTGATCCTCCTCATTCTCATGTTCATCTTCAGGCTCTTCCTCCGCCTCATCGCCATCTCCAGCCTCGTTAGAGCCAGTAAGCAACTTTCCTCCTTTCCTCTGCGGCAGGACCTTCATGAAAGCCTCTCCCCAGTCACCCAGCTCCAACCACTTCAGCATAATATCCACGACATGATTGGTTGTCAACACCGAACGAGATGCCATTTGGATGTAATCGCCAATGGGAAGCTTCGCCGTCTTAATACCCTTCGCCATGGCGCTCTTGTAGCAAACGGCCTTGTGTCGATTCTTATCCACCAGTCCACCAATGATATAAGTATCGTATGGCTTGAGCTCAGTCAATGTATTGTCGCTGTCACTGCTGAGGTAGATAATTTCTCCATCCTCAGGTTTAGCATCGGTCATTCCAGCAAAAGGACCAGCTAGCCTTCCACCCCGGGGAGGACCCATGAAACCCTTTGCCATTTCAGCAGCAACCATGAAATCATCCTGGATGATCTTGACTCCCTTCCAGTTCTTGTGCGCCGGGAGCACGTTGTCGAAACGATCCTTGAGAAGTTTGTCGAAAGAGCTGAACATTAGATTCGACCGCCATTTTGCGCGAGTGTTCTCCGAGTAGGAACGTGTCAATTGCGATGACAGGGAGACGCGCTCTTTGGGGTTCATAAGTTCGTCGTAGCCGCAGTCAATGATAATTGTAAAAGGCAGTAGAGTCGACTTTCTGTGCTTGGCCCGTAGACCCTCCCAGCCCTTGCGCAATTCCTTCACTGCCTCCTCACCACCCGTCGCCCGAGCTTGTTCGACCATCGCTTGTCGGCGCACTTTTTTGTCGGCCATCTTTTCTCTCCGCTGGAGCCGGCGTAGGTCGCGTTCATTCTCCCATTTCTCTCTCTTGAGGAGCTTCTTTAGTTGATTCTTGGACATTTTCGGTGCGGCATCCTCTGTGCCTTCGGCCGGTGCAGCTGCGGCAGTGCTTGATTCGGCGTTGGCATTTTGTGGCTCTGACTGTTTCGGGTTCGCGTCTTCAATCGTAGACACGGCCGTATTCGCGGATTCTTGCGCATCTTGTACGGCACCAGTCATAGCAGGTCCGAGCTCTGATTGGGTAGTCTCGTCGTCGTGGCCAAGCTTAGGCAATTTTCTAGGCCTATCGTCGTCCATCTTGGTGTGTAGCGCGAGAAATGGGTTCTTAATGTTCAAACAGAAAGAAAGAGTGGGCTGTCAGTTGTAGATCCCGAAGAGCGGATAAAAAAGCCCAACCCAGCACGAACTGACCAATCACCGCCTCCATAGCCCTCATTACTGTTCCCATTCACGTGACTACCGTCACTCGATCAACTTCTCCGTTTCTCGACTTTGAATTGATTGCTCCAACCCCAAATTCCCCCACTCTCCCGCCATCATGCCTCAGGATATGCCCCCAACGGGGGGCTACGCCCAAGTCCAGTACAAGGTATGCCATTGACGCAGCTTCATGTCCAGTCCAGGCCCTGCCGAGTCATCGCAGTCCCGCCCTACCTTCACCCCCCAGGGTCCGGAACCCGCTAACGCTGTCGCTCGAATTATAGCGGAACCTCCCTGCCCGTGGCTTCAAGCCTTGGGTTTACATGGTTGGCATGCACGCGATCATGGCTTACGGGTTCTACAAGTACTTCCACGGTGTCCGTGAGCAACGGTACGTTTCGTTTCCGGGGACCGCGAGCTCCGCTTCCTTCTTTCGGCCAGACGAGATCTTACTCGCGATTCGCTTTTGCATCCTGGGACCGCGAAGTCCCGATGTTCTCGATTGTATATGAGGCTAATTGTCGATTTCCGTGTAGTGAGCTTTCTCGCGAGAAGATGTGGTCCCGTCTGTACCTCACTCCCCTCCTCCAGGCCGAGGAGGACCGTGATCAGGTCCGCCGCTACTACGCCGACCAGGCCCGTGCTAAGGAGCTCGGTATTGAGGACAAGGTTTACAACTCTGACCGGTATGATTTGACCGACTTGGCAGCTGCTAAAGATTTCTTGTTCTTGTTCTGGATCTGTCGATTGCTAACTTCATTGGGCTTTACAGCTTCATCCGCCCTACCTTCGCCATTACTCCCAGCCAGGTCACTCAATAAGTAGAGCTACGAGCCTTGACTTGATTCGTGCCTTTTGTGATAGCCCTGTTTCTTTCGTACAGGGACTGGAGTTGAATTTGCGGATGATGCGGTCATGGTCGAAAGATCAGCCATCTGGAAGATGGGTCTTGTCTCGAGGTGCTCGAGAAAAACACTGTAGATATACATTTCTAAGAAGGGTCTAGTTTGGTTTTGCAATATCATTTCTTCATGCGTTCTATGACTGAGAATAAAACGTGCCAACTACTGGAGCTCTGGACATTGAGTAATAAGCCATATTTGAATCTGTCATCAGTTGGCCTTGAATAGCCTACGGTACAAATTGATATGTAATGTGCCTGAGCACGTTCATATTATTTTCCGCCGTCTATGGGTATAGAGGCCCGTCTATAGAAATGGTCTCAAAGCGCCGCCACCGGGGTAATCCGTAAGATCGCAAGCGAGTATAACGAATGCGCAAAAGAAAAAAAAAAACTTCAGAGTGTGCGCTCAAGATGCAGGTCTTGAAACACCCAGACTGCAATGGAAATGCAACATACAAATTTAGCGATGGCCTCGGTTCAACAGATTGGCATGGCGACATTAGAACAATATGGAATAATATGCACAAAGTCAGAGCAACAAACAAGGGATTGCCATGGAAATGAAAATTTCAAGTCAAAAATGCATGCTACCCAGGGCCTAGGAAACTGGAGCCGAAGCGTGAGAGCGAGACTGCTGCATCGTTGAAGCTGGGTGCCGATCGGAGTTGTGCATTGTGGAGATAGTATAATCGCCATTCAGCTCGTAATGAGAGGCTGTGGGAATTGCTAAAAGCGCTAACGAACCGTAGAAAACACCGTAAATGAGGTAATCTGGCAGCCATGAGCCAATTTAGCCGAACATATCAGCCACCCCAGAAAGATCGGGCCCATCGTTAATATCAACACGATGATTTGTTTGCTGAGTCTCCATTTCGTTGGTCATGTACCGTTCCTGAAGCGCACTTCGAGCTTTGCGACGGTCCTCGCGTGAGCCAAGGATCTTTCCCTGCTCAGCAATGCTTACGCCTCGCAGAGATTCAAGAAGTTCAAGCACCAGGGCACGTTGCTGACGAGGGGAGGCGCATCGATGAAGCTGTGCCTCTGTATGTGAAAGCTTTTCCTGAGTGATTCCCGGTAATGTGAGGAGAATAGAGCGTGGGGTGCAGGTTTCCATTCCATACAAGACCCAGATCGACGCAATAAGTTGCGCCAAGTCTTTCTGCATGTCGACGAAGTACGGTTCATGAACCGATGTGATGCACGCCTTGAGAACATCCGTACAGATAAATTCGCGGATCGTCAAGGTGGTTTGGCTGTTGTGAGGAGGGGCAAAGTCTGGAAGAATCGAGCGAATAACACGAGTGATGATGCTGCAGCATCGGGTATCTCGCATGCGGAGTGCGTGTGTACAGAAAAGCATGAGAGGTTCAAATATCTCGGGCGATGAAAGGACAAAATGGCGGATTGAATCTGAGAGTTCGGGAGTGGACTGCGGAGCGCTCGGGTCCGCTTCCGTTCTATCAGGGTCTAAGGAGTCACATAAATTAGAATACCGGGCATAAGCAAGGGCACTAAGGGTCAATCTTGTCGAGTCCTTACCTCCTCTCTGTGGATCGAACAAGCTGGCCACCATGATGACGGCTGAATAAGTCAATTGACGGAGCACACTTTCGGATTTCATTTCATCAGTAAGATCCCCATCAGCGAATCCGTTCTTTCGTGCTTCGATTATTTCCCACTCGGTGGTGATCTTACGATCAATGCTTCTAAACAAAGTGGAAAGCATGGGAGGGAGAAATTGGCTGCGGTACTGCACTGGGCAGTCATCGATCAGGCAACGTGAAATGTTGAGCAGGACTGAGTATTGATGAGAAGATAGATGCTCTGCATCTTTGAAGAGAGCTTCGGACAAAGGCCCGGGGAGCTCAGCATATCCGTAGAACTGATCGCGCATTCTGCTCATACTGAACAGCATAGAGTAACAGGATTCACGAACTGCTCTGATCTTTCCTCGAACGGAGGATGCGAAGCCCTCAATGGTTGATTTAGAGGCGGTGATTCTAGCATAAAAGTCATCTCGACTCCCACTAGAGATACCAGCTTGCCAAAAGCGGTCTGTCAAAATTCGCTCGACCACTGCCCGCATTTCATCACTCACTGTCCAGTTCGACGGGTTGTGGAAAGCATGAACATGGTTGAGGAGAGGAAGGAGGGTCCGTAGAATCTGAGGTACCAAGTCATGCCACATATTGCAAGCGACTGTATATGCCGGAGCGGACTGCTTTAGCTTATCTGTGGACACTGCGAGCATTGTTTTGGTACCCCGCAATGGGAGCATTTGGAATTTCTTGGTCATTTCCTCCTGGACAAGCTTTCCCTGGCTGTCCAAGGGTGCAGATGACCAATCAGACAGCTTGTGTGCCTGCAAGGCCTGCATGTATGATCCAACATTTTCCAGACCAAGCATTGAGCAAAAGCCTTCAAAAGTCGAACTCATGCGACAAAATTCTTCATCCTGCCAAGCCTCTCGGATAGGCTCGAGGAAGGAAGCTAGGCGGCTAAGGCGTACGTTCGGATCGATGTTGTTTGCTCGTTGCATGATGATAAGTAGGATGGAAGTTAGCTCCATCTGAAGCTTATCATCGACACGATTGGCCTGTGTGATCTCCCTAATCTTCGGTTCAAGCAAATCATAGAATGTGGAAAAGTAGTCGGCATAACGGATCGCAAGGCGGCGTAGCTCGTGGCTAGCCAATCCGTGGAGTTCCTTAACAGCCTCGGAATAGGCAGGGAACTCAGGGTGATCCTGGAGTCGGGTCATGAGGATATGTTCGAGTACTTTCAAAGCGAAGGCAGGGTGATTATCCAATGCTCGTGAGGAAATATCAACCACCAGCTTAATGACTCGCTGTTTCATTACGGGGTCCTCGTATGACCTCTGCATCAGAGTCGAGGCCCAATTTTCCACGGCATATTCTAATTGACTGCGTTCTTGCTCATCCTCCTGCGGAGCTTTACCATGAGCTTCAATCCATTTGTGGTAGCCCTTGATAACCGCCTCCACCACTGCAAATTGAGCATCTGCGCGCATAAGCGGAATAGAAGATTTGTTGAAGGTCTCCATACTAAACGGCTGGGCACCATTGTAAAGGTTGTCCAAATTTCCATCCACTCTGCCAAGTATCTCGCTAACCGCCTCCTGTGGTCGCTTGAAAGTAATAGTTTCGATAATTGATGAACAGTAGCGGCGATAGTTTCCAACAAAGGCATGGCGTTCGGGAATCGTATCAATGTCTTCCACAAGGAACTGCACTGTTGGGTTATCGGATTCGGTGGGAAGTGACTCCCAACGAATCAATCTCTCGGTACAAATGTTCAAAAGGTTTGCTGTCTGTCCCACCACAAAGTCCAGTTTGCCGATTTTGTTGATGGGTAGTAGTCTGGACCATAAATGCAAGACGGGAATCGACACAGTCAAACTTTCATGCTGCATAATGTTCACCATGAAATTGAAGAACGTCGGAAGGTCCAAGCTGTGCATGGTTTCTCTCAATAGTCGGTCATCTTCTAAGCAGCCCGCAACATAAGAAACCATCTGGTCATTCTGTCAGCCATTTTATTCACATTGCTAGTAGGAGACTTATAGCGTACCTCAGAAAGCTTTTTAGAAATCAGGTATTTGGGTTCATCGATGTCATCTGGACCCACAATCGACCATTGGTACAGGTTTTGAAGGGTGTTAAGGTACTCAGGCTCGAAGAGAAGACAAACAAGGGCCTGGGATTCTTCATTGCCCATGTTGCTCCTACCATAGAGTGCATGCAATGCCTCAATTCCGGCCTACCAAACATGTGGTCAGTCAACATACCCTCCAGATATACGTAAACAAATGATTTCCTCACCAGCAAAATATGTTCATCTTGGCAGGTCAATGACCTAAAAATGGCGGGCACAACCTGCGACGCCAGAACAGCTTTGTAGATTGACCAGGATAGGGCAGAGCGCAAGGTCATTAGAGCTTTGACCGCTGCATCACGGGCCTGGGGGGAGCTGGAGGAGTTTTGGACGCAGTTGTCCAAAAACTCGCAAATCCGAACAAGCCAACCTTCCGGGCCGCAACGTTCTGCCGCGCATTTGCTTTTATCTGGATTGATTTGTTCAACAATCGCAACAGGGGTGAAAATCTCCACCAATGCACGATTAAGTTCAGATCCACGCAACGATGAAACAGTATCCTCGCGGAAGAAGACATCCTCAGACAAGGTCTCCAAGACGGCAAGAACTAGCTCATTGTGTACCAGAGACGCACCCCAAAACTTCACCAGCGCCTCGTCCATGTCCACCCAATCCAATGCCCAGCTCTTTTTGGCAGCCTCTGACCATAGCTGCGGAATCTTGTTGCGGAAATAGGCAGGGTCTTCGGGGCGAATGTTTTCGGCGAGTTGGAGGATCATCGAGCGCACGTTCGCGGATTCTTCGTGGTTGGAGACGGTATTGGAGAAGGAAAGATGCCGGAGAACATGATCCAGCAACGTCAAGCCGAAGTATCGCACGACGTAGGCATGGTCAGCGCGTGAGGCAAGTAAAAAGCCGTTGCGGGCTGCCGCATCGCTATCTTTGAGAGATTCAACAAAAGAAAGGGCCTCTTTGCGAAGCTCGTTCGTAGACGCAGGGCTGTGGATCGCTTCAAGGGCTCGAATGATATCGGCCAGGCCGGCCTCCGACAACTCCTCAGCAGCCATCTTTTCACCGCGCCGAGTTGTAAACGCGATGGATAAAGTACAGAGGTGGGGATTGTTTTTCGAGGGGCGTGACGAATGAAAGAGCCAAAAAGTAGCAGTTGTGACTGTATGAGTATTGTTATACTAGGTCAAATTGGCAAGCAACGCTGCATGAATCTAGGAAATGAGGCTGAAGGGAAGGTTGTATGGCCGTTGACCCGTCCGTGGGGATGCTTAGCAGTCGGACACAGCAGCAACGGCCATTCAAGGGTGACAATCGAATCTTCGCGGAAGGTCAAAGGTAAGAAGAATGGTTCGGGGAGAGATTGTTGAGAGATGCGAACAAAGGGTGGGGGAGGTGTTTCTGCGGGAGAGCGAAACTCCAGGTGATGCGGGAAGGAAGCCGGAAGTTTGGGAATTGCCGGAGAATTTTACCAACACATCCCCATAGTGATAGGCACACCGCTCCCCTCGACAGGTTCACCCTTAGATTCACTCAGACATCAAGGAGCTTGGTAGCTTCCAAAGGCCATTGGCGCCAATCTTTGTTTATATTGCTTCTCCCTCTAAATATTGACTCGTCACAACGATGCCCCTCACTCGTCACCGGTTGTTTATCTTATCTCCTACACGCGATCCATGGGTTGCTGTGCCTGTTTAGCGCCAACAGACGCGGAGTTGCTGTACAGTACCTCTTTTGTAAAGGAATTCGGGGTCTTTTCAACTTCTAACCCGGCCTTTGAATGTAATACACGAGGTGCACCTGTGAACCCCACCTACCAGTGAGGCTATATATAAGCAGAATGTGACCGGGCCTAGGGGATAGGTATATTGCATTGCAATGGACGTGATAACGAACTGGACGACTAATATTAAACCATAACTTCACATCAAAAGGCACTGGCCTCGCTGGCACTGGTCCAGATAAGTCATGTTTTCACAGGATTGGTTTGCAACCTCTCCTGGCTGACGTTTGAGCCCTTCAATTTGGATATTTTGTTCCCCTTCAGCGTGCCACCACCGGAGGCGCTGAATTTTGATGCTCTGAATCTTGTAAAAATCGAATTCCCACTTCCCTCCACTCACTGAAACCACTGTCTCGACCTCCGGGAAATGGAAATCGGGGAGATAGATCTCCGTTGGAGCATCGGATGATGTGGCTTTCTTGGCTGTCAAAGACATGGTGAATCTGCAATTTTGAAGATCGAAGACGTGATTCTCCAGAGTCCCACTCACATGTATTGGACTTGGGCGAAGGAATGCTTCCGCTGCACGGTAGCCCTTGGGTTGCGTGGGCTCCTCACTAGAAATCGATGGAGAGGCCAATGCACCCTTGAGATTGCGTGGTCCAACTTCAGACTCACCGCTGCTATGGCTTTCAGAGTAGGCAGGAGAATGTGAGTTCAAAGAGCGGCTAGGGATCCCTGCTGGAAGCTCCAAATCATCGTGGGAATAGATAGACAAATCCTCTCCATTCCACTGGTCTCCCCATTGGTGACTGTTCTCGGTTTCATAAACCCAAAGAGTGAATCCATTGGAAGTGCTACCTTCAAGAGCAAAGTGGTTGGCGTCCATTGCGCTTGTTTGGCTGCTATAATCTCCAGTTTTGTATGCGTGTTTGTCATCCATGTCATATGGGATTCCAATCTCCGTGAAAACCATTGGATGGTCTCCCATGTATTTCAGGCTTTCGTCTCGAAGAAATTTGAGTTGATCGCGAAGACAATTACGAATAGCGGTTTCACCAATTTTAACAGCGAAGGCTGGAGCCCAGTACTTTCCTCGAAGAACACCGATAACGTCGACATTGTAGAGTCGGTTCCTATTACGGTCAGATATGCGATAACTTCACATGGCAATTGAGGAATTTGTGACTTACCAATGCTTCGTGATAAGAGTCAGACCATCATAGAAATGAACGGCATGGACCATGTTTGGGTCGTCATCAATTGTGCCTTTAAGAACTGGTGGCACTTCCATCACCGGTGGCTGACATAGCATGATAGCTTCCGGCCAGATGTTGCGGATCGCATCTCTGTATGCGCGATAGTGGTCCAAAAAGTACGTGTTGGTAAATTTCTCATAGTCCAACTTCTCTCCTGTCGTGGGTACTTTTGAGAAGTAGTCCTTCTGTAGCAACGTGTCCGTCGACGGATCCCACACTCCATGTTGCGCCCATATGCATTCACCGAGCTTCCAACCATCATCCCTATGCCATCCATATTTGCCATCATCATGCTCCACACTTAACCAAGCTTGCACGCCCTCTGGGTCAACAAGCTCTCTACCCGTTTGGTGGGGTCCAAAACCACCGAAAGCCCACGTCGTTTGCTCGCAAGCACGTCCGGATCCAGTGAGAATTGCCTGAAAAGCCGTCGGTGATGTTCCAAGCTGTAGCTGCTGCTCAGGCGGTATCACAGAAATGTCTTGCACGCCAATCAAACCACGGTGGGGTTCGTTCATGCTTTCCCAACCGATGACCACATCATGTTCGATATCACCGGCTTCGTGAATCTTTTGAGCAAGATGTTTACAGGCTGCGATGAAATAAGTTTGCAGATAATCCTGGATGTTCACGCCGTCGATTATGGCCTTGGGCGCAAAATCTCGCCCCGCCCAAAAGAGCGTGAACATTGTTTGACAAACCAGTCGAGTATAGTTCGTGCTCCATATCATCTTTGGAAACTCAGCCGGATTTTCAAACGTATTGTGGACAAGAGCTGCTTGGGTAATCTTGAAGCTCTTGGGATCAAACCCTGCCGCATAGAGGGTCCACATAGGCGCCCCAGAGCCTCCAGATAGTCTCGACCACTTTTATGATCAGCCATCAACCTTCTTTTCGATTTTGATATGTTGGAACTTACCACATCCTGGTGAGGGTCCATAAAGACATAAAACTCGTATTGCTTGGCTATTCTGAGGACCTGGATGGTGAAATCGATCCACTCCTCATCATAGATACCCGGACCAGCATGCTCTATGGCCTCCCAAGTGAAGATATATCTGATCGTGTTGTATCCCCACTTGCGCAGCCTTTGAAAATGAACATGGGAGTCTTTGAGAGAGAACGGTCTCTCGACAAACGATACATCGTCTGCCTCGAAGAATTTATGCGATTCAAACGATGGAATATCGGGAGTCTTGGGGTATTTGGCATCACCAGCCACGTTGATCCCCCTTAAGATAACCTCTCGACCCTGTGTATCACGAAAAGACTTCCCATCGATATGAAGGCGCAAGGAGCCCATCTTCACGGTGGAGATAACAAGTCAAGATGCCCGAGCGTGTACTTAGAATCAAAATCCACGGACCCTGCAGTAGGCCTTCTTCGAAACGGAGATGTGGACTGGCTGACTGAAAGCATAACAGGTGAGCTGAGCTAGCTACTGCATAGGTCCCGCGGTCTGCTGAGCCTACCTATGTGCATAAGAAGTGGAAGTTACCGATATATTGCTCAATAAGGGGAGCCTGCTCAGTGAACAGCCGTAGGCTCATAAACCAGACTCAAGGCGATGACAAGGACGACTGGCAGATCAAGGGAACAAGGGAGCCAAGCGGTGAAGTTGAGGAGTTGATGATGGGGTACATACCGATAGGTCCGATAAGAAGGTGACGTATCGATAAGTAGCAACGGCGCTAACCGATTCGCCCGCAAACTGCTCCACCACCACACTCGAACCTCCCCGCTCCTCTTATGAGCGCCCACTGACAATGTCGACCAAGGGCGCGCTAAAAGCTGTACGAGCTGCTATCGATGCAAAGCAATGGGATGTCGCCGCTGAGAAGGCTCGCGATTTGCTGAAAGACGATGCGAAGAATTATAATGCGTATGTCACTGAAATCAACATGGCTTACCATTTGAGCATTGGAGCTGACGACTATCACTTTTCCGCAGAAACCTGTTCCTTGGCCTCGCAAGCGATAAATTGCGCAGAGTAGATGAGTCAGAAGCAGCTTACTTAGCTGCAACTCGCATCAAGCCCGAAGACCGCGCTGCTTGGCAAGGCTTGATCGCCTTGTACGAAAAACAGGGCAGTCAAAAACTTGATGCCTACCATGACGCGGCCTTGAAATTCTGTCAGACACTTATCGATCGGTATGTATGAATACTTGTCTAATTGCAGTTGGATCCGAATATGGGCTGATGGATTGCAGTGATGAACAAGAACGTTGCCAAGATGTGGTCAACAACTTCTCCAAGCTCGCCCGCAAGTCTGGGACCATAGCCCACCAGAAGAAAGCTCTGGAAATGCAACTTCCAACCTCCCCGCTGTACGGCTTCCTCGAGGGACGCCTTCCCCATCCATCCCTGACCTACCTGCGCTTGATCGAGATCGCGGAACCGGAAGAAAAGGAATACATCAACCGTGAAATCGGAGAGCGCAGAACCCGACTAGGAGCGCGTATTGATCAAGTTACAACGGAAGTCAAAAGAGAAGCATTCAAGAGAAGTTCGCTGAATGATCTCTATGCCGGCCTAATTCACTGGACGAACGATGATGCAGTTCGACGCCAGTACGAAGAGAAGCTCCTCCAACGAGGTTACGATGAGCTCGAGGTTGTTCCTATGAAATCAAAGAAGGCGAAAAGAAACGAGGTCTTCAAAGCAGCAGAGGGCATGGTCATCATCAAGCATCCTTTCGAACTTGCGTGGAAAATTGTGCTGGAATGGAAGGATATTGACAACTATTCGGAATGGGATGTGGGCATTGTGCGAGAATTCATTGAATTTTTCCCTGACACCGGGCTTGCCAAGGTTTTGAAAGGCTTTCTAGCCAGTGAACTCTCACCATTTCCCCAGGAAAAGACGACAGAGCAAGATGAAGAGGCCCAGGACCCCGAAACTCCGGAAGGAAGTGACATCCCCGCCGATAGGTTGATCCTCATGGTTGAAGGCCTTGATTTGGCTCGTTCTTCTGTTATTGCACACCGAATCATGGCCGATCTCTACCTGTCCATGGGGGAGCATCAGAGTGTCGTCGAGGTAGCTCGCAGGGGCCTACTTAATGTCAAGGAACTTGGTGCACTCACCGCCATGAATATGACCAAGACAATAGATTCCTTGAACATCACACTCGCCAATTCTTTGATCCACTATCAATCTCCTCGACACCATCCAGAGGCTAAAACAATCTTCGAAGGGGTCCTTTCGAGAAACCCAACTTCCACAAGCTGCTTCTTGGGTATCGGACTGATTTCGAAAGTTGACGAGGATTACCTAGAAGCCGTGGACTTTTTGCAGCGCGCCTTGGAGCGTGACCCAACAAACGTATTGATTCGCGGTGAACTTTCCTGGTGCAGGGCTCTGACTGGTGATCTCGAGACGGGTCTCAATGGCCTCCAGGACGCACTCGAACGCCTCCAAGGGGAGAGGTCCCCAAATCTTGACTTTAAAGGCGAGCTCCTCTATCGCATCGGGTACTGCCAATGGGAGCTAGATCCCTCTCCGGCTGCCAGGAAAGACCGCAACGGGGCCTACGCTAGCTTCCTTGCATCCATCAAAGCAAATATGAATTTCGCCCCGGCATACACAAGCCTAGGCCTCTTTTACGCGGACTATAAGCGTGACAAGACTCGAGCTCGTCGGTGTTTCCACAAAGCATTTGAACTGTCTTCCTCGGAAATCGAGGCAGGAGAACGGCTTGCCCGAGGATTTGCTGATCAAAAGGAATGGGACCTTGTTGAGGCTATTGCTCAACGAGTAGTAGACTCGGGCCATGCCAAACCGGCTCCTGGCTCAAAGCGCAAGGGCCACAGTTGGCCATATGCTGCACTTGGTACAGTGCAGATCAACAAGCAACAATACGCGAAGAGCATCGTCTCATTCCAAGCCGCTTTGCGCATTGCACCTGGTGATTACCATTCCTGGGTGGGTCTAGCGGAGAGTTACCACCACTCTGGTCGATATGTCGCTGCGACCAAGGCTTTCGAACATGCGAAGGCATTGGAAGACACCCTGTCAAGTGAAGAGCGTGAGCATATCTGGTTCGCAAGATACATGTTAGCCAATGTGAAACGTGAACTTGGCGAATACGACGATGCAATTGCTAGCTATGAGAATGTTCTTAGCACCAGGCCTCATGATATTGGTAACACAATTGCTTTACTACAGACATTGGCGGAAAGCTCGTGGAAAAGTCTGAACACCGGTTTATTCAACAACTCCGCGGAGCTTGCAGCCAAAACCATTCAGGTGGCTCACTCGCTCGCAGAGGTCCGCAGTGATATCTTCAACCTGTGGAAAGCAGTGGGCGACGCCTGTGCTAATTTCACACACATCAAAAAGAAGACAGAGAAAATGTCCGTCTCTACTTGCAAAGCTTTGTTGACGACCCAGCTTGATTCAGCGGCACTTGATATCATGACTGAGGTTGATGGCGTGGGTCAAGCCTGGCTCGAGTCTTGTGACACTGCTGCTTCATCAGATACTTGCATCTACATGGCTATTCTTGCATACAAACGCGCAATTCATGTTTCGGCCAATGATCAACATGCTCAGGCCGTGGGATGGTACAACCTTGGTTGGGCTGAATTCCGCGCATACCGAAGTGTGCAGCCAGAAGCTGGAAGCAGTGGTAAGAGGCCTCGCAAGTTCCTCAAGGCTGCAATGCGGTGTTTTAAAAGGGCCATTGAGCTGGAAGCCGGAAATTCAGAGTTCTGGAACTCACTTGGAGTGGTTACTACAAGCTTGAGTCCCAAGGTTGCCCAGCATGCGTTCATCCGTAGCTTGCATTTGAACGACCGAAGCGCGCAGGTGTGGACTAATTTGGGTGCGCTCTATCTTTTACACAACGACGTACAACTCGCAAATGAGGCTTTCACTCGTGCTCAGTCTACTGACCCAGACTACTCCCAAGCATGGGTTGGCCAGGGATTCCTTGCACTTCTCTACGGGGATAAAAAGGAGGCGCGCGGTCTCTTTGCACATGCATTCGACATCTCTCACTCATCTGACATGCTTCCCAAGCGCCAATACTCCTTGACTCTGTTCGACCATCTTCTTTCCGACTCTTCTGCCTCCAACGAAGTTTCTCAATTGATACAGCCGTTCTTTGCTCTCCATCAGCTATGTATCCAGGATCCTTTGAATCTACCGTTCATGCACATATCTGCTCTGCTAGCCGAGAGAATGGGCGAAGCAGCTGATGCTGAGTCTAGCCTAGAAGTTGTGTGCGCTGGTATGGAAGCTGAGTACGATGAATCTGAGTCTGTGTCTTCGCTCTCAAAGTTTGCCCAGGCCAATGCGGATTTCGCGCGTGTCCTCCTTGCACGCCATGAGTATGAGCAAGCGATAGAGAAGGCAGAGACTGCGCTTTCTCTCTCAGGCGAGGAAGATGCCAGTCAGTTCGACCCTGAAATTTGCACCAAGCTTCGCCTGTCGGCCCACTTGACAGCTGGTTTGGCATACTACTTCATAAAGTCAATGGACAGTGCCATTGATATGTTCCGTGATGCTTTGCAGGAAGCTGACAATGCTCCTGATGTGGTTTGTCTTCTTGCTCAAGTTCTATGGGCCAAGGGTGGGCAGGAAGAAAGATCGGTTGCTCGCCAGCAGCTGTTCGACTGTATTGAGAACCACCCGGACCATATCGGCGCCATCACCCTCCTCGGAGCCATTGCCCTGATGGATGAGGACAAGGACGTGATTGAAGCAGTTGAGTCTGACCTCCATAGCATGGTCACCCGCGATGACATCGACATTCAAGACCGAGCTAAGCTTCTGAAGCTTCTGGCTGCGGTTTCTGCCAAGGGATTGAACGAGGATGCTGTCCTTCCCGAAGACTTGCGACAGATCAAAGAAGCTACCGGTGCCATTATGTTGTCCCCTGGCCAGCCACAAGGCTGGTTGGAGCTTTCGGCGGCATCAACATCGTCGTACCCCGCCGAAATGGCCATCAACCGGGCTTTACGTTGCGTGCCTCCTCATGGTAACCTTGAAGCTTCCGATCTCAGCCAAGCGTACGCCCAGACTGGCAAGGCCGGGGATGCTTTTAGATCAATCATGATCGCACCGTGGAGACGTGAAGGTTGGGAAGAGTTGGACTATGCCTTGACTAGCTCAGCCTGATCAGTTTCGATGGACAATTTTATGGTTCAACAGATTCTCATTCTAGAAAATATGTCACATACCTTTCACTTATCATTAAAGCTTAGCAAAAAAATCCAGCATAGCCTTATCACATACTTCCTGCAGAAAGATTACCGCCGTCTCGTACCTCCATCCTGTTAGGTGTCCGACCCCTCCATAGATGCGATTCTCTCTAACAATCTCGACTTTCGCCCTTCTTTCCACGGCCTATCTAACAGCTCGATTTTCCCACCAAGCAAAGTAGCGCACTCAGAGTCCAAGAGGATCATCCCCCTTGCAACTGTCACACCTCGCAGCATGAACTTCGCTCCAATAGCCAGCTTCTCGAGTGAAACAGCATCTATGCGCTGCATCTCAATTGCCACCACCTTAGTCCCGGCCATATCTTGAAGAATCAGCCGATGCGGTCCAGAGCCACTACTCCCCGACGCGGCAGGATTTGTCCCCGATCCATTGTTCGCCGCTGCCTCAGCATCCTCACCCACAGAAACCGTGCGCACAATTTCTCGTCCTCGAATTGCTTCACCGCGCTCTACACGCTCAATTGCTTCGACCTGACTCCAGAGACTGGTGCCTATGTCTTCGATATCGAGGACTTGTACCGGGATCGGACCTGGGAGGCGTCTTTCTTGTATTTTGGGGTCAGAAACATCGATGGGAAACAAGGAGGAAGGATTTCTGGCCAGCGATTCACGAAAATCAGAACCGAGAACGCGAAATAGAGCTGTTTTGGTGAGTGCGGAGGCGGGGATGTTGCGCTGCGCGGTGGAGGAAGCTAGGAAGGTGCTAAGCCATGTCGGGGAGACACAAAGACCAGTGGAACTCGATATTTGTGCGATAATCTGGTCAGCCGTAGACATTATCAGTTCATATCGACAGAAACAGCCGTGATTGTTCTATGGTCAAGCTCAAGGAAAGAGAGTTGGAGTAAAAGTTGGAGCACCAAACAAAGCACGGACCACCGCTTAAAGCCGTTGACCTGGTCTCTTGCGCTCCGCAACTGTCCGCTGCACATCAACACATAATCACACGATGTCTACGATATCTTCTCCGCGCCCGTCCATTGCGTCTTCGCGGGCGGTTTCTCCTGCCCCGCCATCATCCCGCCCGTCCCTAGATACGCTGAACACGAACGTGGGCGGCGGCCTCAGTGCCTCTTCCACCCCATCCACTGCCCGCGCCATCTCACCAAACCCCCGACGAAACCGCTCAGCTTTGCGAGATTATTATAACCTTAAACCACCTGGTGCCGACTTAGCTAGTGCTGGATCAATCTCTCGGTCTCGCAGCGTACCCCGAAACACCGATGCCGGCGATATCTCGAACCCCACGGCTTTGAGCTCAGGGACAGAGCTCGATAATGCCGACTTCGATCCGCAGCGCTACGTGGACCATCTGCTCTCGACCTCATCACTATCCACGATCCTGAAAGCAGAAAATACACTCGTGGGAGACATTCGTACCCTGGATGGAGAGCGCAAAGCGCTCGTCTACGATAACTACTCCAAATTGATTCGCGCAGTCGAGACGATTGGCAAGATGCGGAAGAGTATGGATGACCGTGGTGCACCGTTAACGATGACCAAGACTCTGGGACCGGCTATTGCGTTCGTGGCGGAGACAGCAGGGGGTCTTATTAAGGAGGGAGAGGAGCAGCGAAAGAGGATCAAAGAGGCACGAGAAAATGAGCCGGTACCGGAGAAGACGGCTGAAAGGGACACTGTGAGGTGGGTGCTCGCAGCGCCTGAGCGACTGGGAGCTCTTCTGGAACAAGGCCGACGTGAGGATGCGGAGAAGGACTGGAAGGAGGTTCAGGAACTTCTTGATGCCTGGAGTCAGGTTAAGGGTGTTGCTGAGATCCGAGAGTCATGTGAGAAGGCTATGAGCCAGAGCCAAGAGGACTGAGTGAGCTGCGGTGGAGGATCGGCCATGATATTCGTGGTTTGAAGTCTCCATGGCATTTTGTGCAATCGCTCTTCTATGAGCAACCAACAATCCGGGGTTACGGGCTCGTGACCAGCGCATAAATCGGCTGGTTCAAGTCCTCGTCGTCGGTCCATATCCGAGCTTGGCATGCAGTACAATCGGCTATTGCGCACCTCGGCTCTCCAAGAGTGGAAATGATTTCAATTTTATAGATACCCAAACCATTGCACTAATAGACCAAGCATGCTGCCATCATCACTCATAAAGCCATATCACATAAGACAACATTCGGCACTCTGCCCTTCACTTCAGAAAGTCCCGACTCGAATACATACTTGCCTTAAGCCCATACTCATTCTTCGACGTAATTCCAAGCAACGTATACGCGTCGCATTTGTAAAATATCGGCCCTTTGCTCGGCTCAAAAAGCCCCTGAGCCTTCATGTTCAGTAAAACCTCCTTCACATCCTCTTTGTCCTCAAAATCCTGGGTGAAGACACAAATCAAACGACTCTGTCCAGACCCAGACTCATCGTCCGCCGCGACCTTAGCATCTGCATGAATAGTCCCGTTATCCAGAGCTGTAACAAGAGTCTTCCACGTAGAATCCACGTCACCCACTGACGGAAACAACATCCACTTCCCAACCGTCACACCTGTCTCGAGCGCCAACGCAAAGATATTCTTCTGCAGCTCACGGCGAAGCGGTGTAAGTTTGCGCGTCAACGCAGCTGTAGTCTTGGCGCCAGACTTGTCGTGTGCAGCGCGTAATTCAGAAAGTGTCTCTTCAAATGCGCGGAGGAGTTCAGTACCCTTGCGAATAAATGTTGCTTCGTCGCGTGAGTTCAGATTGGCTGTAAGATTTGCGTTCCCGCGTGCCCAAATCCATGGGTCCTTTCCTGGGAATACTGTTTGAGATGGCGGAAGGCGAGTAAGAAAGCTGGCGATGGATTCATTTGCGCCGCGTTTGTTAAGAGGGAGCCGGCCGGGTGAATCGGTTGTGTTTTGGTCGGGCATGGGGCAGTCCGATGGTTCCCTTTTTAGGGTAGATGCGCGTCGCTCATTTTGCCTGGTTGATGGGAGCTTGGAGTGGTATTCTGACCAGTATGGCTCGATGTCATAGGAGGCTACTTGCTCTTCTAGTCGTGCTTGCTCGTTCTCGTCGCCTGGGTGGATGGTTATCGTTTTGCTTTTATCATGAGTTTGATATCACTTGGTAGTACTTACCGTAGAAGCTAGACTCCTCCGAGAAGATCTCGGCGGGATCTGGGGTCGTAGAGGTCATGGTTGTGGGATGATGTATGTAGGTGCAACACGACGGAGATGTCGATAAGAGCTCGATCTTATCGGTGTGGGGAAACTAGGTCAGTTGTGCAGCTCAACACCGTATCATTTACACCCGCTCTTGTCTATCGCGAGGCCCTGCGTATTCTCTGTTTGACCATTGTGGGCTGGTAGTCAGCTAGGGAGTAGAGGAATGCTCAAGTGGATTGTGTTTGACGGTCTCCTTCGTGTTCCTGGCCATTCGTCGGGTGGAAAAGGCTCGGGGCGATCCGCAGTTTAGTGATGACCGCCGGTGACGACTCCTTAGTGTGTCATGGGAAAGCTTCAATACAGCAACGCTACAATTGAACACCACCAAAAACCAGCTGAGCCTGGCTGGCCCATATCTACGGTAGTGCAGGGGTTGTAGTTCAGAGCCGTGGGTAATTCAGGTACTTAGTTGCTCACACTGCGCTAGTTGAAAGGTGGTCCCCACAGCCCGGGAGAACCAGCGCCTGATCTGATCTTTGTCTCGGCTCGAAAGATGCGTTAGGTATCACATCTCCACTTTCAATGCAGACGAGGTGATGTGTATCTTGCGTGGTACTTGAGACAGTTACCATAATTGTGCTACTTTTCGAGGGCTCCATTTCTAAAAAGTGCTCTCAAGGTTGGCTCGGGGAACGTAATATCAGCACGCTGGGGACAGCAAATTGTTTATATGCCTAAGCTGCACTAGGTCGTCACAAGTACGTCAGCGCGAGCTCAGACTCGCTTAACTTGACCTACATCACGCCCTGTGAGCCTGCCAGCATACTGAGGAGCGTCTTCGCTGGCGATCAAGAAAGCGGGAAGGGGCACCAGGAATGAAAAAAAGCAAAGGTCAAGCCTCATACTGTACACGACCACAGCTACAGATGCCTTGAATTGACGTAGCCAGGCATCCTACACATAATGCTTTGATCCCATTGATTTGCGGAAGATCCTCTTCGAATCTGACTTCCTATTCATCGTGGGCTACATCATCTTCAGGTTGAATTCGGTCGCATGTCCATAAGGTGCCCTGTGCTACAGCAACTTGCAGAGACATACGCCAATGACTATGCGAAGACTGCCAATGCGCTATTTTTTCCCGTGGCAATTATACTCCTCGCATCTTGGCGAATGCCGATTGCCAATGTCGTGTGTTCATCACACTCTGCCGTGGCGGGCTGAAGCTGAAGCTGAGGCGGGCAAACTATCGATTGGCGGGGGCTCCACTGATCTACAAACATGATCGCCTCTTGAACCTCTCAGGGCATTGCCCAAAACAATCACCGGTGATACTCAATGGATGGGACAAGCATGTAATTATCATGCATTGCTTGACCGATCCCTAGATGGATTGGGCTCTGTGGGAATTCGAGGTCTCTATCAAATATGGAATGTGCACAAGGCTTGCACTATGCTTTTCAATCTCAGGCGCGTCTTGCATGAGCCCGCATGCCTGTGATGCAGTGTTACTCGACCTTTCCTATGATAGAAATGATTTTCAAAATTATACTTCAACTATAACCCACCAAAGCCAACATGCATGAGCCTGTCGCAGGGGACGATGAAAGCTCGGGTCAAGCCTGAGAGATTTAAGGTATAAATATGTCGTGCAAAAGACCAGTCTCTGATCCCTTTTCATAGCTAATTGCGTTTCCTTGTGCTCCAGGGAACTTTGGCAACATGTTGCAGCTCCGCATTGTTCCGTGCCTGCTCGCTCTTCTGTCTCTTCGCCTAGCCGCTGCCTTGACCGTTCCCCAAGAGGTCCTGCATGAGCAGAATGACATCTATGAGCTCGATGATGATGATCTGTCAGTGAACACCACTGACATCTCAGCATATGATGTTTCCACCTTGGACTTCCGGTCGTGCGAGACCTGGGATGTCGATCAATGGGACTACGATGTAGCGATCGTTGGTGGTGGCCCTGCTGGTCTGGCCGCGTCGATGTCGCTAGGTCGCGTAGCCCGTACGTCATTGATGTACGACTCAGGGCAATACCGAAACGCAAGAACCCGTTACATGCACGATGTGCTTGGTCAAGATGGTATTATTCACTTCGCTAGTTCTCATACGAAAAGGCAGCTGATTATAACCCAGGTCAGGTCCCCAAGAATTTCCGCATTGCGGTTCGTGGCCAGATCGATCAATATTACAGTGATTACTCTTTCCGTGCAACCCAAGGTACTAGGGTCACCGCCATCCAGCCTCTCTCAAAGGGCTTCCGCGTTTACGATGACAAAGGAGGCAAGACCCTGGTTCGAAAGGTGATTTTGGCCACCGGTATCACAGATGTACTGCCAAACAAGACTGGATTTGCGGCAGCATTCGGCAGAGGCTTGTTCTGGTGCCCGTGGTGTGATGGATACGACTACAAGGGACGAACAGTTGTGGTCATTGGAACGCCAGGTAAATTTGGCAGCGCCATCGGCAATGCGTTGAACATGAGAAAATTGACGACCAACATTCAAATTGTTGCCGGTGGCGTCCTCAGCGCGGCGGATAAGGCTGCTGCTGAAGAGAGATGGCCTGGGTGGGAGAATATCCTCAAAACCAAGTACAACATTCCTGTTCATCAAGTCGATGTCAAGACAATTGAGCGAACCGCTAAAGGATCAGAGCCCGGTGACGACGAGTACAAACTCACGCTGAGTGGACAGCCACTTACCATTACCACCCATGGAATTCTGATCAGTGCTCCCACTAAGCAGACCTCTGAACTGCATAAGCAGTTGCACCTGCAAATGGATGGGAGCTCTATCAAGGTCGAAAAAAACATGGAGACTAGTGTGGGCGGAATCTATGCTGTCGGCGATGCCAATAATGACGGTAGTACGAATGCTTACCATGCTATGTGGAGTGCCAAGCGGGCTGTTGTGAATGCCCATGGTAAGTCCGAGGCCTATTACTGGTACCCTGATTAAAGCTAATTTAAATAGTCGCTATCTCCAAGGAGGAATATCTTGAATCCGTACCTGCTGCCATGGTGGCAGCACACGGTGGAGATGAAGAGTTCTACCAGCGCCAGATTGAGGAGCTGCAATGGATGATGGGTAATGATGTAGAGGAACTCTACAAGGCCCTGGGTGGATAAGGAATGGCATACAGCCGACATTAGGAAGCAGCAAGTATGCTTGGGTCATTATAGAAAGTATCGAAGATATCGAGAGGAGATAGTAAATTTCGGCCGCACCATCAAAGCTCTTGACAACACATGTCTATACTTTGGTAGATGTAGTTCACTGTGTCTAAAGTTTCAGAAAAGAATGCAGTCACTTGTGGTGTCAATCTAAGTTTAGTGTATTAATAAACAAAATAAAGTCTAGACCTCGACTCGAGCCCGCTGCACAAGAGCGCATACATAGGAGGGAGTACTAGCAATACATCACTTCTTACCTGTAATCCCCGGCCATATCTGGTCCATAAACTGGACGAGATCTGTCTTCAGCGCTTCGGGTTGCTCGAGTGCTGCGAAATGTCCGCCCTGGTGGTATAGTTTGTCAGAGATGCATTGAACCCGATTCCAGTTGATCTCAATTCTCTGCCGTACCTTTTCGTGCTCTCCCCAATAGACTAGGTTACCCGAGGTTTCAATCCAAGAGCGAGGTAGTGGAGCAAGTTCTTTAGGGAAAGACGAAAAACCGAACGGTTTCTGGATATACCACCGAGGATCATTCGCGGCAGGAATAGGCACAGGCGGGAAGTTCTAAACTGTTAGGCCCATGCCTAATATCTATCATTGTCTAATAGAGAACATACCTGGCGATAAGTGTAGATCGACCGAGGGAATGTGTCTGTAAGCCAATACAAAGTGATCGACTCGAGGATATGCTCCGGAGATACTGGGTCGTCGACCCATTCCAAGAACTTCTCACCGATCCTATAGAAGTTAGCGTGATGTCAATTTTCTAAAAGCTAGTCTTACCATGCCAATAGTGACATTGGACTTGCCGAAAGGACATGGCCGATGGTGCTCGGTCGAGTACCGTGCTCGGTCAAATATCCAGAGCCCAAAGTTTTAAAGTTGTCGAATCTTTGAATGCCAATCTTCTCTTTATCACTTAGGTGGTCGTCCGTCATACCCACGGGCCGTCCCATGAAACAAACATTGACTGTTGGGTATAAGCATTCAACTTGCAGGTTCGCATTCCGAAGATCACTTACGATGCACAGCTTTGAATAGTTTAGCATAAAGAAGAAGAAATCTAAGGTTCAGGTCAATGCTCACCTTTACAACTTTCATAGTCCACAGCCAATTCTCTGGCAATGCGACTCCCAATATCGCCTCCTTGAGCGACGTAGCCACTTTCAAATCCAATATTCCTCATCAATTGGTCCAAAACACGCGCAACATCCATAGTGCCAAAGTTGCGGTCTAGTGGTGGACCTGATGAAAAAGCATATCCTGGCAGAGAAGGCACAATTAGGTGGTATGGTAAGGTACTTGGCGTGTAGTCTTTCCGGAAAAGCTCCAGAATAGGTAGAAATTCAAGGAAGCTTCCTAAGAGAGTCGTAAGTATGGTTTCTTTTGATTCCATTGCCGTGATATTAACGGTGAATCTCACCTGGCCATCCATGACACAAGAGTATGGGAATTGCATCCCGCCTTTCCGAGAATAAGCCCACAAAATGAATAGTAAGTCCCTCAATCTCTGTGGTCCATTGCGGAAAAGTGTTGATTCGATCTTCGGATGTTTTCCTATCGTAATCAACAATTAGTCCTTTATCATGGATACATGGTTTATCTGCAGAATCCCAACCATTTGTAAGACCTCAGCCATTGATCCTTCATAGTGGTCAGCCAGTCGGTAGTGACTCCATATCTTGCGTCAACCTGCGAGTTCTCGTATGTATGCGGGGCAAGCTTTGAAAGCTCTATCAGCGTCCTCAGTTCGTCTAATTGTGTCTTGGGAATCGAGACGGTGAACGGAGTTGGAGCGACCTTCGCGGTGGAAGGGAGATTACCAAACTGCCGAGACATTGTTGCCATACTAATCCGAGTATATGATCAAGGAATTGCGTATAGATGATCAACGATGAGGGTTGGATTTCCATTGCCGTGGTCCTTGCCCGTCATGTGATAAATGCGGGGTACACCGGGATGTGTTATCGGGTCGATCTTAAGAGTTGCCGATTCGCCTTTGTGGGCTTTTAGTGCCATTTTCCAGTGGCAGAAAGGCAGTATATGAATTAAGTCCCCATTACTCTCGAGAAACAGACCGGTGAGAAGACATCTTTAGCCGGATATGTCGTGTGTGGGTCATGCTACCCAGAATTGAGTCATCCGCAAAACAGTGAACTCAGTGTTCCATACTTTCTGCGGATATAGGTGAAATCTGACCCATAACACTTGATATAAAGCGACTACCCAATGGTGCCCATGAACAAAAGTTAGTATTTGCAGCTTGTCAATTTCGAGTTTCACTCTTCACTGACTCTTGAATAAGGTTGTTCAACGTGCAATAAGCGCCGCATCAAATGTGACCGTGCGCAGCCATCGTGCCAAAAGTGCACTAATAAGGGTCTTGACTGTCCTGGGTATAAACCGAAATTCCGATGGGCCGGTGGGGCGGCTGTACGCGGAGAACTGAAAGGACTTCAGGCTCAGGCAATAGCAGAGTCCCTCCGGGCAAATGAGAGTTTGCTGAGCAGAGTTGTGGCGCCGGATATTGAGTCGTTAGGTGGACTTTCATTACAAGAGTTAGTGGAATACTACGACAAGACGATCGCCCCTCGTATGGTCTGGTTCGACTCCGAAGACAACATCTACCGTTGCCACATCCTTCCGCTCGCACAGAAAAACAAAGTCGTCCGTCTTGCTATAGCTGCAGTCTCCGCTCAACATGCGGCCTGCGGTCGAGGTGATCACAATTTCCCCGAAGATGCGCGCAATGAGGCAGTGACCATGATCACGAATTATATCACTGAGGTCACAAACCGCGTTACCGGCGGACATGATGTTGAGTTTGGTCTAGATGTGGATGCTGCCGAATGGATCCTAGCCTCAATGCTAGTACTTTCGTGCTATGAAATGGCACACTCAGGCGCTGAAGCTGCAGAGTTTCACAGAAAGGCAGCTCGCTCCCTCGTGTCTACTCTTGCTACGACAGACCATTGCAAGAGCAAGTTTTTCACTTCAATGAGAAACAAATTATCAATGTATGAGGTCTTCGGCTCCACAACATCGTTCGATGTACAGAGTATCCAAGACGCCGTGCTCTCAGACCCTGCAGATGAAATGGCAGGCGACGATGAGACAACTCTTTTTTCCGGATACGTCAACCTCATACACCAGGTCACCATGCTTGGACGACTTGTCCCAACAGCTTCTGGAGCCAATCGCGACTGGAAAGAAGAATTCGGACTCGCGCGCGGGATCACCTTGATGGCGATTGGTAGACATTCTAGTATCAAAACGCCCTCTCACCGACGGGATCTTATTCGCCTTGTGGATATTCATTACAATGCCGCTCTTCTATATGTATCTAGATGTCTTGGTCTCGATGCTCTTGGTCCTAGCGCCTTGGATCAAACACATACAGCTATTTCAGATCTGCTGCGGCAAATTCATGCTATGGAAGATATGGATTATTGGCTTCAAAATCTACCCTGGCCTTTATTCATAGCTGGGGCAGAAAGCTATGGCAACCTTGCTAGGCAGATGGAAATATCCCAGCTATATAAGAGAATCCCGTACTTTACTGGCCTTCGGCATTACCATGATGTGCTGAGTTTCTTAGATACATTTTGGTCTGGCGCTGAGCCTGATTGGCAAGCCCTAGCCAGGGAATGGGAGGAGTCTGGTAGAAGGATATTAGCATATTAAATATCTAGGTATCATACAGGCTTTATCACATGCTCACAATCAATATTATCAATACAAGGCTATCAAAGAGAAAATCTATCCAGTCGTTATGGAGCCCTCCAATTGAACAGCACAAAATTAGTCGAACACCCTCACTAACCGCGTCTAGAGGTATCTCAAGTATGAAAGGACATACACATCATCTCGCGTAAGTTAAGTGGACAAGCAAGGCAACGTTCCATTCGAGCCGGGATAAAGATCAGAAAAAGCGCTGGCGTAATATTTATCTCTCCTTAATCACCCGTCCGCCCAGGTGGTGTGACCTGCTAGGTATCTAGCTATGTACTCAATAAGATCGTCATACTAAATCTCAGATACTGCGCCTTACCTCACAATATCAATATGATGTTCCATTATACTGTAACGCTCCGTGTTGCTGCCTCCTGCCTAAACGCCACTCGGAGATCCTTTCCCCTTTGGGCCATGCATAACAACATCATGGCACAGGCCTTTGTGATACTTCACACCTCCGCAAAAGTTGATTCAACCCTTGGTGAAAGTCCTCCGATTACTTTATTTCAACATCCTCTCCCCTATACGCTTGTCATCAATATTTTCCTCACGCTTCACCCAGCATAATTAACCCGAATTCCTCTTGTCTGGAGATCTATCGCGGGTTTATGCTTATCGCCCGGCTATGGCGTCACCGGTAAAGACTGGATATTTTCAAACCCTCCAGACCATCAACAAAAATCAAGTCATCATTCGAGACAGGATTTATGGCGAGCATATAATCACTGAGCCAGTGCTTGCCGAGCTTCTCCAAAGCCCGGAGCTGTTTCGTCTCAAAGGCGTCTGTCAACATGGAGTAACTGCCCTCCTAGGCTTTGGCCCGAAGGTAACCCGGTTCGAGCACTCAGTTGGTGCATTCCTACTAGTGCGCAAAGTTGGAGCCACCGTACTTGAGCAAATCGCTGCCCTGCTTCACGATATCAGTCACACCAGTCTGAGTCATGTGGTCGATTTTGCCCTGTCCAAGCCCGGAGAGGGGAGTTACCATGAGGTTCACAAGCCCCGGTACTTGAAAAGAACCAATTTGGCTAAGATTCTCACTCGTTACGATCTCGGATACGTGGAGGCATTCGAGGAAGATCTATTCCCGTTGGTCGAAAAGGCGGCTCCACAGCTCTGTGCCGATCGGCTTGACTATTCACTTCGCGATGCGGTAGCGTTCAAGAAGCTTAGCCTCGTAGAAGCACAGAAAGTTTACAAAAACCTCAAAGCGCATCCGTCTGCCACTTCGTCTGCTCGTCTTCTTGTTCTCGATGATCCGCGGCTCGCATTATCACTTGCGCGATCATACTTGGCAACCGATCGAGATGTCTGGTCCAACCGTGCCCATGCCGATATCTATAAGAGGACAGGCCGTATCATTCGGGACTTAGCGGCCTCTGGACATGTGGATGATGATGCACTCTGGGGTCTTTCTGATGAGGATTTCTGGACATTGCTTCGGAAGGCCGCGACGCCGGAAATATTATCTGAAATGGACAGACTTGAGACAGAGGGTCTTCCTGATGAGGCGAATCTACTTCTTCCGGCGGCTGCTAAGATCCGGACTATTGATCCGGATATTTGTCAGGGACCGGAGCAGGAGCCTCTGCCCTTGTCGGTTGTTTTTCCGGAATGGGGTGTGGTGCGCAAGGAATATGTTCGCAGTCGCGAATTAACGCGAGAATAGAAGCCATGTCTTGAGATACCAGATAATTGTTCTTAGTCAAATGTGATACCGTTCGCTTTACAAGTAATATCGATGTATCAATGGAGCAGTGATTGACAGAATCTGATAACCCCAATTTCACGCCATGTCTCGGCGGCCCATCTTATTAAAATTGTTCTAATGTTTTTACATAGTTCCCCAAGCCCTGTGGGTCAAGTGCACGGCCAATACTTGCGCATGCAGTGCCAGCTTCGGTCTAGCGCAACTTGATCAAAGCCGATCCCTCCTTAAAAAGGCAGTAAAGGTGAGAAGTTTGGACCAGTGGGCGAATTCCTTACTATTACCCTCCACTGGTAGTTGACGGGAAAGAATCGCATCGAAAAGGATCGTAAATGGCGCTGCTTTGAGCTGCCAATCTGAATATTGTTTTTCTAGTTGGGATTTTCTGTTAATTCTTCCGCTTCTCGGACTGAATCAAGGCTATCGAAGCACAACAGGAGCTCGACTCATTCAAGTAAAACAGGCACCAATCAAGACTTCAACTTCGGTGCTGACCTCCAGAATCAAACGATAGACAATCCAGATTGTTCAGGGCAGCGTCGTGACTAACCCAATCTGTGCTAGAGGTTGTTATCTTCATTACAAGACTAGGTATATAAAGCCCAGTGGGCCCGAGGAATTCCATCATCAAGCTTTCTTTCCAACTATGACAGCCAAATCAAAAATTTTGGTTGTTGGAGGGGGAGGCGTCGGCGCCATCGTTGCTTTGAACTTGGACTCAGCATCCGGTACGGAGGTTACTTTAGTCCTGAGATCCAACTACACGGCCGTCACACAACACGGATTTGAAATACAGTCATGCGATCATGGAAGACTAGTTAACTGGCGACCCTGGAAAAGTGAGTATTACATTGAAGTCTGCCATGGCAACACTGACACGAATACAGTTGTCAACAAAATCCCACATATCTATTGCGGTGAGGATGCCTTCGACTTCGTGGTCGTCACAGCAAAGAATATACCAAATTCCTCCGCAGACCTGGCCTCCCAAATTTCACCATCAGTCACTCCTGGAATCACAACTGTCGTTCTGATACAAAACGGACTCAACATAGAACGACCTTATCTCGAGAGATGCCCTAGAAACATCATGCTGTCTGGAATCAGCATGATTGGCTCCGAGGAAACCAAACCCGGCTTTATCAAGCATTCATTTGCCGACCATCTCACAATAGGACCTTTCCGCAATCCCAACCTTGAGACTACTAAAGAAATCGAAGAGGCAGAAAGGTTTGTAGATATCTACTCTGCTGGAGGTAAAACCTTCTGCATATACGACAAAAACGTCCTATGGAATCGTTGGAAGAAATTGGTCTACAATTCGTCCATGAATCCTATTTGCGCTATCACGGGGCTAGATGCCGGCCAAATCAGAAGGGCCGGTGATTCTATTGCTACACTAGTGAGTGATTCTATGCGCGAGATAGAAGCTGCCGCAAAGGCGTCGGGGTATGAGCTTCCAGCGGATATTGTCGAATACATGGCGACTGTCGACCCCGTCGAAGACCGGTTCGCGCCAAGTATGCTTCAGGATGTTAGAAAGGTATATTAACTTGCTTATTTTGCTAAACGATTTTTGCTGACTGGTCAGGGTAACTCGATTGAGTACGAATATCTTCTTGGAGAGCCACTGAGAGAGGGCAAGAGGCTTGGGGTGGCAATGCCTGTTTTGTCTACATTATACGCGTTGTGCTCAGCTATCCAATGGCGCACCAAGGAGGAGCGGAATCACTGAATTGAGAGGAATGGATTCTTAAAAAAAAAAAAAAAAAAAAAAAAAGATTTTTGATATTTCTCTTAAAATTTATTCATTCAGAAAACGGTTGCACACCCTGTGTCGTAAGGTATATTGATTGCTTCTAAATAATGTTCAACGACGAGTTGCATTGCATGGACCTCCTTTAGCAACAACTAATCTCATATTCATGTCTCATCTTCCATCTTTGAACTCCTCGCAGATAGCCTTGCCAAACCTAGCAATTGCCTCCGTTATCTGGGGAAGCGAGGCGCTCGCAAAGGTCACACGGAAGAACAAATCACAACCCTGCGCACCACCTGCACGAAATGCACTTCCCTTACAGCACATAACGCCCATTTTCAACCCCCTACAATAAATTCGATCCTCAATATCAAGCATCGTGTCGAATTCAGATTTGGCAGTGCTAATAGCCATTGGATGTGCGCGCCAATCAATCTTGATCCAATGAAACATGCCAGCCTTGGGTGTCTGCCAAGAACAGATATCCCGAGGTAGGTAGTCTTCGCAGGATTTGAGCATCACATTTAGACGCTCAGTGTATTCATTCTGTAGATGTATGAGCCAATTTACCAGTCCCTCGTGGCCCCATACCTCATCCAAGAGCGTGTGTACAGCCAGCTGAGACAACCCACTCGGACAAACAACAGTAGCATCATGGAGATATAGAAAGCGAGAAATGATCTCGGCAGACCCCGTCATCCAGGAGCATCTCAACCCAGGTGCAAGGATCTTAGAAGTCGAGTCAAGACGGAGAACTCGTCCTGATACATCTAACGAAAGAAAGGATGGGACGAGCTCGCACAAGAAAGAATCAACCGCTTCTGTGGCAGAACGTGTCGGCTCAATTCCATTTGTTGCGCTGACCTGTGTGCCAAGGCCAAGTCGCAGGAAGTAATATGGGTCATCTTCGATGATATACAGATCGTGTCGCTCGGCAACATCATAAATTTCGTTGCGCCTTTCCAGGCTCTGTGTGACGCCAGTGGGGTTCTGACCTGTCGGGATAAGGTAAAGCAGAAAAGGCTTTCTGGCTCCTCGTTCCGCAGGATTCCACCCCGATATCAATGCATCAAGGTTGACCGCTGATAGACCTTGGTCATCCATCGGGACGCCGATTGTACGGACTCCAATAGGCCGTGCTGCTTCAATAATTGCAGAGTATGTGTACTCTTCCGTGATGATGAAATCGCCCCGTTCACAGAACGTCCGAAAGATACAGTCAATGGCTGAAGTGCTCCCCGCAGTTAATGAGCATTGCCAATCCGAGTAAGGCGGATTGTGTACAACATCAACGTGCTCGGTCAAGAAGCGTATGAGTTGCTCCGATCCCGCGCTATGTCCATAATTGAGGGACACCGCAAGGTCAAATGTGGACTTCTTGTCTTGAATGTCATATTTCCCAATTGTTTTAGATTCCGAACAAATGGAAGAGCTTTCGAAGTATTCTGGTCTGCTGGGAAAGTCCATGGACATTTTTAGAAAGGGAAAGTATTCTGGAGAAGGTCTTCCTGTGCCGAGACTAATGACATCCCCACTAAGCTCAGCACCGGCTGCCTTTAGAGTTGCGGCACCGCGAGATCTGGCTTCCAGATTCAGACGGTGCTCAAAGGATTTAGCTGGTGGTTTTTGGGAACACCTTGGACTCTTGAACATTTCTGAAGTGGTAATCGGTGCGATTGTTCCAGTCAGCGGCTCTGAACTCTGTCTTTGTGCAGCAATATCAGAGAAAGACAGCATGGAAGACATTGCAGATGATGTAGAGGAGATTCAATTTTGATGGGGTAGATTGAGTCGAAATGTAAGATTATCTTGGCTGTGGTGGGTTTGTCTGGATGTAAATTTACAGCCCTTGAAGAGGAATCATTCTATCACCTTTATTTATATGCTTTGTGCCATGTGGTTATTTGTTCCACCATGGCATGTCAGAAGGCTAGTTATATCATAGTTCCAAAATCATCGCGGTGGAGATCGCTGAGATGTTTGGATTTCTCTTATTTGGTACCATTTCCGGTTAGACTCGGTGGCTCTCCAAAGAAGTACTGTTTTAAGTTAAGCTTAATCTACAGACCTCAACTCTGGTACCTTATCTGGCCTCGCGTGCAATCCAGTGCACAATAGAAGCTAAAGATCGGAAGCAGTTTATCAATATCTAGTAAATAAATTCCATATGAAGAACCCGGTCCCGTATATCCGGAAATAAGATACAAATCCGGCCCCTTGGGCCTGTGACACCCTGAAACGATCAACGATCAGCGCTAAATACAAAATTTTCTATCTATCTGAATGTTCTATCTAAACAGAAATCTCCTTCTCCTTCAAAATCGTCTGGAACTTGGGCTTGGACTCAATGGGCGATTCAATCTGCTCGTGGGCCGGAAGACATGGCAGAGTTCTTGAGACACGAACAGTATCCAGGACACTATCAGATAGTGTGAAAATGTCGTCTATTTCTTCGAGGGTGCGTCCTGATGTCTCTGGGAACAGGAAATAAATCATCGGGACCATTACGGTATTCAGCACTGCGAAAACGAGAAAGTATTTTTGGCCCATTTTGTTGAAGGCGAGAGGTGTGATGTGCGCAATCAAGATGCTGAAGGCGCCTCCCACGCTGATGCTAACGGAGTTGATGGTGGCGCGTAGATGGAGGGGCGCAACCTCCGTGGCATATAGGTAAGGTATGCCCCCATAGCCGATAATGTAGCTGAAATGGAAGAGGAAAAGGAAGAACACAGCAGCATGGCAGGCCTTGATATTGTCCGTTTGGGATCCGAGGCCGGCGATGCAGGCTAAGCATATAGCGTTGCCAATGGCGCTACCCATCATCAGGCGGCGGCGTCCAACTCCCTCAATGATGAAGACACAGAGTATAGCGCCGAAGGGTCCAGCTAGCTGATACACAGCTGCCAGAAGTCTTGCTGTGGACTCCTTTAGTTCAAGATTGTTTTCGAAGATTGCAGTCGCTGTGGGAGCAAGTCAATGAACAGTTCTGTGGCAAGTTGGACATTATGTAAGATTGAAAAAAATCAAAGACTTACTGTAATATGTAGTGACTGTAGCTCCAGTCAATTGTAGAAACAACAGACCACCGACCGCGAGCATTGCTCGGTGAAAGACTCTCTGTGGTCCCATCTGAAAGAGTTGCTTGAAATCTGTGTTCCCGCCTGCCAAGCTCAGTGAAGCTTGCACTTCGCTGATCGTGCCTTCAATTTTCTCATCTTCAGCACCGATATCAGCTAGAGCGGCTAGGATATATCTGGCTTCTGCAATTCTGCTTCTCTGAATTAACCAGCGAGGCGATTCAGGTAGAAGTATCGCAAATGTCAAGACAGTCGCAGACAGAACAGTTGGAAATGCAAAGGGAATCCGCCATGCAATGCTGCTTTTAGTCTTGAAAGACATTCCAAAGTCGAAAAACAAAGCAGTTGCGCATCCCAGGCCCGTGAATATGCCTTTTGTGACAACGTGAGAGCCACGTCGCTTGGCTGGGGCAGTCTCAGAGACCCAAAGAGGAATGGTGGCCAATAAGATACCAGTCCCCATTCCCACAAGCATTCGTGACACGATGAGCTGTACCAATGAGTAGGATGAGGCGTTTAGAGCATAACCAGTGATCTGAGTGGCTGCTCCGACCATCATGGTACGGCGACGGCCCAGCCAATCACCCATCCAAATGCAGGAAAATGACCCCAGAAAGGAGCCAATCGCAAAGGCGGCCACAACGGTCCCTTCCAAAGAAGACGCATAATCTTTGTTTTTGGCATGCACCACGTCGATTTCAGGAAAGGTTCTGTTGAAGCTGTCCAAAGACAAAACCCCTCCAAGCGAAGCCGTGTTGTAGCCAACCGACATGATCCCCGGCATCAATACCCCAATGATAGCTGCGACATTGAGGCGAGTACCCCGAAGACCAAGAAAACGTGCCATAGTTGCGAAGTATGTAGATCAGCAGCCAAGACCTTTCGTCCCCAGAAAGTATCAAGGGATCGAAGTGATCGACTTTTGTACGCGCAATCAGACAGCTCTAGCGTGGGTCAAAAGAAGCTTAAGTAGATTCACATCTTCTTGTGATCAATAGGCCAAGCTTTTCTATTATTTCAAAGTTCCCACCTGCTCACGGAACTCGGCTGTGGCAAGGCGTTGGTTCTCACATTCCATTCTTGTGTTATGCATTAAATTCCCGCAACGGAGGCGAATCTGCAGACTGGCCACCAGGGTCGGGCTAGACCACCCAACACAGTTAAAGTCATCTGCAAGGCTTTTACCATTCTTGTCAGTTGACTTGGAAACTATGGAACCAATGAAGTCAAATTGACGTGAATTTCCAAAGGGAGGTGGTCCTGATTGGCTGCAGAGAACTATGTACCCAGATGCATAATGTTGATAGACAGGAAGATACCTCGGTCTTTCGATCATGGTATTAACCTCACTTTCTGCCCCTGTGTGATCAGCGATATCAAAGTATACATACCTCGCGGTTCAAAGGGATCTGGGCCTCCAGAGCTTCATTCGACCAGTGGATCATTCACCGCCCCACTCACTGGCACTCGGATACTTCCTATCATTTTTTTATCTCAAACACCAATCTCATCCTAGGAGCACCAGAGTATCGGAAGCGGTATCAATGGGGTATTCTATCGCATTCTACGCCTACTAGCTTCCAAGACATGTACAGGACTGACCTGGTCCAATGACATAAATTTTCAATTCAACCTGCCCCTCTTGTCATCAACCTTGGAACACCCACGAGATAATTTTAACCCTTGAGACTAGCCGTCAAGTCACAATGGCTAGCATTCTCCAACCCAAATCCCAGACAACGGTCTTTCTAGACCAGCCGCCCAGCTGTCTCGAATTCTGCCCGGAGATCCGTGACCACTTCGTGGTGGGCACTTACCTCCTATCCGAGACCAAGAATGAGAGTGGAGACATCCAACAGACCAAAACCGGAAGCTTGCAGTTATGGAAATTAGACCCGAACACCAATGCACTGTAAGTAAAGCATTTCAGACTGGATCACGGGGCTTTTCTCCCGAGAGCTCTAGACCTGACATCGGACAATTCAAGTTTAACTCTCATTCTTCAGATCCTTGGTGCATAGACTGGCACTCCCCTATGCAGTCTTTGATCTCCACTTTCACCCAAGGGAGAAAAACAAGTTTGCCATCGTGGGAAGCACAGGGCTAGCAGCCTTGTTCACCGTCCCTGAGGATCCCACGCCAGCCATAACTCAGATCTGGGAGAAGCAGATCCATGAAGATACCTCAATTCCAGCCCTGTTTTTGGCTTGGGCCCCTCAGGGTTGGTTCCCTCGACCGGCATCTGATGGCTTTGCTGTTACTTTCTCGGATAGCCGGACGACTGTCTTTGGCACTGATGGAAATATCACGGACCAAAGTGGGATTGAGGAATGGGGGTCGTTTGAAGCTCGTCAAATGATCGAGGTCTGGTTTGTTGCGCTGGCTGCAATCAAACAAGTCCCTGATACAAGCGAGGACATTGAGACGACTATTCCTTTCATGCTGACTGGTAATGACTTTGGGTCACTACATTCCCGTCTCTTTGAAAACCATTGCGGTCAGCCGAATTATGATGATGATGAGCCGCTCGGTTCTGTGATAGTTGAATATGATGATCGGGCTCGTCATCACACGGCTGGTGTAACAGCTATCTTACCCCTTGATATTCCGACGGTAGAAAACGCGCCCATTATGCTAACAGGGAGCTATGACGAAGGTCTGCGCGTGTACCATGCTACTTCTCGAGGCAAGGTCCTCGCAGAGCAGGGCCTGGGTGGTGGGGTGTGGCGGCTGCAGTTACTATCAACAACAGAATCCCCTGGGTCGGATGAAGGCTTGGAGCGGCATTTTGTTGTCCTTGCGAGCTGTATGCATGCTGGAACAAGAGTTGTACGAGTCACCCAGAAAGAGCAGGGACAGGGTCCAGCGGAATGGGATATTCAAGTTCTGGCGGAGTTTACAGAGCATGAGAGTATGAATTATGCCAGTGATGTGTGGAAGGGCGCGTCGGAATATTCGGATGCATTGCAGGCATCGTCCGAGTTACTTTGTGTGTCAAGTAGCTTCTATGATCGTCGGCTTTGTGTCTGGCGGGTCAATGTATAGCATGAGAAACATACTAGTCCAATTACCCACTTGTTAGCTTTCTGGTTACACATGATGTCCTACGCTTCAAACGCTCAGATGCGATCTTATCTTTAGACGTATTGTCATAAGAGCGCTAGATCAAATTACAATGCATGCAACCGGCGTACAAGCACATGTGCATCCGATGACCAGGACCAGACCATAAAAAAAAAAACCAATGTAACCGTTCATATCCATTGCAGAGATAACACCATTGTGATGCTTCGTATTAAACAATTGTCTCCAACTCCCGAGCGTAGCCTAGTGTATTCTCGATCACGGTGCCACTGGCCACCAGGATGTCCTTCTCGGACCTAGTTGCCGTCTCGGGCTCAACAGGGAAGTATATCCGTCCGTCGCGAAGAATCCATCCACGCTGCTGAGCAAACTCGATGACTGCGCCCTCCGACTCGAGGAACAGAAGGTTCTTGGCGTTGGAGATAGGGAGGGAGGGGTAGGCCTTCTCCGAGCAGTCTGCAATCTCGCTGCGAATAGTGCCGATAAGAACCTAAGACAAATTGGTTAGTAAGTACACCGCAACTATGTCCAAGTTTTGCAAAAGCAAAGAGTCGAGTCTTACATTAGAGAACAGGCCGAAATCTTCATCTGGCACGCGCTCGGACTTCGTCTCCCGCCACACCTTATCATAGCTACCCTCCATCAAGTTCCGCTCAAGCTCGACGGGGTACTTGATGTAAGTATCATCTTCAATGCGGCCACCCTTCAAGCTAGCCTCTTCCACCAGTCCCTCCAACACAGTGTGGAAGTTGGCACTGTCACCACTGCTCAACAGGAGCAACAAGTACAATCCTGTGATCTTGCTGCGCTGGCTTGTGCTGAAATCGACTTGAGATGATGGTTGTTCAGGCCCACCGACGTGACGCTCGAGGTCGTAGAAAGGCTGCAGCTGTTGGTAATATCGTGTGAAAGTCTGGGCATCAGTTTGTCGGATCGAGACGAGGGCGCCAAGCTCAAGTACCTGCCGGGCGACGACGACAAGCTGAGGGGTTGTGGAGGGAGTCGGGATCAAGGCATTTTGGGTGAGAAGGGCGCGCTTGGCTTTGCTGAGAAGACCGTTGGCGGCGTCGAGCTGTTTGCGCTCAAGAGCGTTCTGTAGCTCCGGGACAAGGGTGTTGAGGTCGGACATCATGGGTGTGAAGGATGCGATGAGAGCAGATTAAAAGCGTATGGAGGAATGGGCCCAGACAATCCAAAGGTGAGATTGTTAGGACAAGCGAAATGATATGGAAAGCTGTGGATGATGCGAGTTGGCCGAGCACTTGATGACATGACGGAGCTACCGTGGGCGGTCAATTTGGATCCACGTGACTACCTACTAGCCAGTTGATTTGATTTACTTGCATACAAACTTTGATTGCTCAGTAAATAATTTACAGTGACGGGTCATAAGTATTTGCACCCCCTCGCCCCACACCCCCTGCTTATATAATATTCTGCCGGTCAAAAACCTTGGAAATTGTATGAATTCCTACCTAATATGGTGTATACCACCCTTGAGACTCAATAATTGCCTCGACACGGTGCGGCATAGTCTCCGAAAGATGGCTAAAATGGCTAAGATCAAGCTCATCCCAAGCCTGTTGCGCTGTCTCGACTAAGATTGCCTTTGTTTCGTTGTTATTCCTCATATGGATCAAATCAGGTCGAAGTTTATAAATTGCCGCTTTAAGTAATGCCCATAGGTTCTCAATAGGATTCAGATCCGGTGAATGAGGTGGCCACTCCATAAACTCGATATTCATCTCCTCTAAAGCTTCTCGTACAACGTAGGCAGTGTGTGTTGGTGCGTTATCATGCTGAAATATAGCGTCTTCATTCGCCATTAAAGTAGGTAAAATTCGACGATATAAATCCTCAATAACGAAGCGGTTAATACCTCCTCTTTCAGATTCAGGATCTCCAAAAAGCGGGATCAATCCAGTACGCCGCACAGCCCCTGAAAACGCTGCCCAAAACATCTACTTAACTTGCTTTCCACGCTAAGGTAGCCCTTAGACTTGGCCCTCTTTTGGTTAGTCTCTTGGACGAGTAAAAGTCCACTCCCGGCGGACACCAATTCCACGTTCAACCGTACACTCATCAGACCAGAAAACTCGGGCCCAATCCTCAGGCGTAAAGTGTCGATATCGGTAGGCCCATCGAAGTCGTTTCGTGGCATTCTCCTCAGTTAAGTATGGTCGCCAACTACAGCGCCACTTCCGGAGGTTCTCAGCGTTTAGAAGGCGTTGAATCGAACGAATTTTCACCTTATGGTCAACCTCAGCGAGTAGATCTTCACGTGTAATTCTTGGATTACCATGAATAGCCTCGAGAATTCGGTCTTTCTCTGCGTCAGAGAGCTTTTTTGGCCGACCAGAGCGTGCCTTAGAGACACCTTCTCGTCGTTCATGCTCCTTCTTAATTGTATATCGAATTGTAGATAGTGGGATATAGGGATAACGCTTTTGAATACGTTTATATCCCCATTTAATAGCGTGGAGCTCGCATATACGCTCACGTATGGCGGATGTAAGCTCCGCTGAGCGGGCCATGTTAGCTGAAGCTGATAGATATTAGGAGATATAGTGAATTAGACAAGAAAGGGGGTAGTTCTAATAATATTGAACGCGAGACTATACACGACTAATTTAGCGTGATTTCTGATACGCGAATTAGGAAGGCGGTACTAGCGGTGAGGGAGTGGGTCTTTAGGGGGGTGCAAAAACTTATGACCCGTCACTGTATCTTAACTTGATACATTTCACTCTCTCTCTTTTTCAACCAATCACTTTCCTGTCAACCCATCAGAGTAATACCAATTTTTCTAGTGTTGGGAAGAACGGTGTACCCAACCCAGTCGCCGGATCCCACCCAATCGTCGCATTCCAACCAGCATTGTGTACGGGAGATGCCGCGCAACCTTGCGACGCCCCATCCACGATATCCGTCAACCCATCTAGCCCTGTTGTATACAGCCAGGGGTTGAGGAATCCTAATCGCGGTTTTCCCTGTGTCAAGCGAATTGCATTCAACTGAGATACTATACCGGCAATCACAGGTGCAGACGCGCTAGCAAACATCAGCATGAGTATACGCTCATCTAGTTCAAAGGTGTACAGACCTTGTTCCCCCGACAGTTAAATACACACCATGATCTCTGACCATAAAACGGCTTGCTTGGGCTGAAATGTCGGGGATACCTCTACCAGTAGCATTGAACAGTCCTTGCCATTGGTCACCGTTTTTGGTCAGAAAAGTTTGGACAAGAGATTCTTGATATGATGGTCGATCAAAATAATCTGAGAATCCACCCCCAGAAAAGCTAACCGCATGCTCAGGTGAGCTCCCGAAAGTCCCACCGACAGATGTAACGAATGGGCAGGATGCCGGCCAACCGGGAATGAACTTGGCTCGGTAGCTTCCATCATTACTTTCGCATGAACCTCCAGGTCCAGCGTCACCACTACTGAAGATGACCGTGACGCCTCTGGCACCTAGCTGAGCAAAGAGATTGCAGCTGGCTGTGGCATATGATTTCGGGACGCTTTGCTCCGGCTCGCCGTATGACATGGTTATAACGGCTGGGAGGTCCTCGTCCGGGAGGCTAATGAGATAGTGAAGCTGCTCGAGGTATGGCTCATTTGTTGAGGGGCCTGTTGATTCACCATCAGGAATGACGGGCCCTCGGCCACCAGTGGTGTAAAAGGTCACCAATGCGCGGTACGCCAGCGAAATGGAGTACTGAAGATCCAGGCTGGCCTCAACGCTATTCTTGGTGGAATTTTCGTCGTTTTGGCCACCATTGATAGAAACCACAGTGAAATTTGCATCCGTCTGATCGGATGCGTATAATTGCATGAAATGAAGAAAGTCGCTGTGACGAGCATACTGCTCCAAAAATCCGGCTATACCTAGTCGATTTCGAGGATCGGGTGTTGACGTCGTGTTATAAAGGCCGTAAAGATCTCGCAAACAACTGGGTGTAACTACTGTTCCACATCCTGCAGATATGTCTTCTGTCGTGGCGACAACATGTGGCTCATCGCTCAAGCCACGCAGGGGACTGAACTCCCAAAATCGCGTCGTTGGCTGGATCAACTGGATATAATCACGAAGTTCACTTGGTACTGAATATTCAAGAGCTCTGACTATCGTGCTATCACCGTCCTTGTTCTTGTACGAAAAGAATTCTGTTTCCAGCATGCGCTCTGCTTGAAAGACGGCAGCTTCGAAGGTGAGCCAGTTCCCGTCCAATTCAATAGAGTCCGGGGAGATATTTTCTGAGTTCAACCAGGAAAGAATCTGATTCGTCACGACGGGAGAAGGACGTAGCAATTGTCTCACTTGTTCGCGCTTCATGTGCTGGCCATAACTAGGATGTCCTGGTGTGGAAATGTCAATCACGATTTGCTCGAATATCGCAAGGGTATCTGGTGAATTAATTGCAAGCCGAAATTTGATCAGAGCCAGAGGCGATGGCTTGTCGCCCTTGAGCCAGCCAAAGGGAGCATCTTCTAGCTTCTCGAGGACTTGATGGCTGGAGATGCCAGCCAAAACCACTCTGATCCAGCACACAAACAATACGTGAAATGCAAGCTTGGAAAACATCTTGTCTACCGACAAGTAAATATGTTTCCAGGGGCTTTAAAGAATGATATAACGGTCCTCTGCGCGAATAAAAATCTAATGTCCTAAATACAAGGCTTTTATAAACCTGAGTCTCCCACTACTGATTTGACGGATACTAGCAGGGCCCTGTCGATGGGTCGCACAAGGGGGTTGGTGTGCTTGTACAATGGTTGCAGTTCTGTAGTCCGTGGTTCATTGCCTAGAATATTGTGTATGTAGAAGATCGATTTCAATTTTGCTTTCTGCTCATAGAACACTACATGTAAGATTAGAAGACTAGTCACCATTCAGACTTATACCACAGTTCAGCCACAGCTGAAAGCCTAGAATTTTCCAATGTTGAGGGGCACGAATGTGGGGACCAACATGGGTATGTCCCAGCGGGTCCACGGGTGCTACCTAAATACAACCCACCTGGGCAATACAACTCTGAAGAACGCTTGCAAAACACCAACATGTAAAGAGAAACATCACAAGACATAATGCTCGTTGGTGATTGGCCTATCGTAGTGGCAGAGCTTCACTGAGTGGATAATCAGGCTATGTTTGAGGATCTAGGCGTGTTGAATGATTATCTGTGAGGAAGGACATATCACCGGGCTATGAAATATGAGCAGATCCAGAATAGGGTCATGACCAGAATGACTGCACAGATTGATGGGAATCAAATCCTGATCTGAGCACCTGAAAATTCCGAAATTGTCTCATTGCCACGAAATGATACCAGCAGGCGTTGCAGGGTTGTTGGTCTTAAGGCAAAATGATTCTTGCCTTGTGGCCTGATGATGCGGATCATCCGAAACTCCGAGATGCGGGATGATCGACGTCACGGAGAATGAAGTCTGAGCTTGTGCAGCTGTGTCTCACTCTCCACATTTAAGGCTCCTGGTGGTTAAACGGCAGCGCTTCAGAATTAATTTTTCAGGTGTGTTTCTGTGGAGAAATGTTGCGTTGTGGATAGCTCCCAGTCTGTTGTGTTTCAAGCTTCCCACACTGACGGAGTGCGTGGAGATTGTGCATAGGTTGACAGGCCCCAGTTTGACAAGATCTGCACGAAGACTTATATCATTTCTAAAAACCCCACTTGATTCTTCAAGCCATATCATCATTCCTATTGCTCTGTGCCTCAAAGCAAATCAACATACAACTGCGGGGTGGTATGATTTGTCTGAGATCGAATCGACGTCATTCCTACTACAAGTACATTCCACATTCCGATTAATATCTCATCTTCCAACTTCCCCAACCCATAGCTTCCAAACCGCATTATTCCAAACCACCATGGCGGATTCTGATGTTCAACAATCTCGCCGGCTCTCAGCCGACAATCAAATCATCTCGAAGTCTGATATTCCCTTGAAGGAACGGTTCTTCCGGTACTTTCAACATGAAATCACCGGTATGTCCCCACACCTGCCCCAGGTCATCTCCACACATAAACTAAGACTTAAACCAACCCCCAAGCCTTGCAAAATTCGATGGACCACCTCATCGACACGTCCCTGATAGGAGGGGAACGAGCTGATGCGACAGATCACTGTCTGGCCGGGATTGTGCGGCTCTCGAATGAAGTGAAAGATGCAGCGAGCTACATTCCAACTTACGACCAGAGAGTCTATGCTGAGGTACAAAGAGAAAAAATGATGCCAAGATCGCGCAGCTGACCACTTCCAGGCCATCAAAGCTTTGCAGGACAAGCTGACCGAAATTCGTGCATCATTCGAGCCTCGCTCGAAATTCAGCTTCAAGACCAAGAAAAATGCTTCTGCTATCTCTTTGCATGACGCAGCGACTCTAGCTTCCCAGGGCCGGCGGAGTATTCCCGGATACCGGTCTCCAGGCGCATCTTCAGTCGGTTCTTCTGCCAACCATACCCCGAACGATCCTTCTACTCCTTTGAACGAGCCGGATAAACAGCAATGGGAAAGACCAGAGGTCGCGCCCACCTCATTCCCATCAATGTTTCCTGGAGGCAGTGATAAAGGTTCGCCCGATGCGAAGCCTCACTCGGGTTTCGCAGCCAGCGGTATCTCTTCGGTCTCGGTAGACAACCACCACAATCTACATATCATGCTTCCGGCTTCCGGATCAATGGCCAATGTTCCTGCCTCGATGACTTCTCTGCGGCACTGCATTGTGGACATGTCCATTCCAACTGCGAATGGAAAGCCATATGCCAGTTTGACTATACGGGATGTCAAGCAAAGCCTTTTACTCTGCAACCAAACCAATGGCCCTGCCCATATTACTGGCGTTGAGAATAGCATCATAGTAGTTTCATGCCGCCAGTTCCGTATGCATCACTGCAAGAATGTCGATGTCTATCTCAGCTGCTCGAGCAACCCGATCATTGAGGACTGCTCCAATATTCGCTTTGGTCGGATTCCCAAAGCCCATGTATGTTTTGGTTTTTATCTTTTGATGCTTCCACTCTGGCAGGGCTGGTTTGCTAATCTGATTTCTTTCCCTAGGCTCTGGATCATGACCGCCCGGATCATCAAGACCGTTGGAGTCAAGTGGAGGATTTCAAGTGGATCAAACCCGAGCCCAGTCCCAACTGGAGCTTACTGGACCCGAGCGATGCCATCCCAGAAGAAGTCTGGACAGAGATTATCCCCGGCGGGCCGGGCTGGTCTCTTGATGACATCCTGCGAGCAATTAAACTTGTTCAAGGATAGTTTTTTCCTATCTTCCGCTTCAGTAACTACCCTGCGGACCAAAAAGAAAAAACCATTGACCGATCATTTCAGTCGACTTCCGCAATCGACTAACATTCCTTTTTGTAACACATTTACTTTCGCTGATTGCCATCGCGCTTTCGTTCAACCTTTTCCATAACATTTTGATTTAATTCCTTTTATTGAAATTCCTCGGTTTGAATCAATTTACTGGTTGGTGGCAATCCACGGGCTCCTATATGACTTTCATGATCTGCTCTTTTAGCAATAGAAGGCAATCGATTATGGTGCATTGATCATGCAATGTATTTAGTTATGTAAAAGCGGCCACTTATGAACACAGCGACCGGTTTACCTGCAATACTCTGCCACACAGTTTAAAACTCAACCTTGAACACCAGGACCTGGGTATCCAGGTTAAACCCAGACGAGTCCTTGTAGGCAAACTTTCCACCATTCATGTACCCTGGGATCTTGTCAGCTCAACCCAAGTATTGGAAACTCCTAATAACTTACCATCTTGAGTAATAAAGTCATTATCATTCATACTGAACAGGAAGTACTCCTTTTTGCCCCTCCCATTGCTATCCTGCGGATCAACAGGCACAAGTGCCAAACTCTCCCACTTCTCGTTCAGAAGATTCTCGTCTTGATCACCACCATTATGAAGCCCAAACTTCGCCAGCTCAGAATTCACATTATAATCCAGGAATGAGCAGTACTCAACCGGAATAATACCCGACTTCAAAACGCCTTTGGATGAAGCAATAGCTCCAGTAGCGGTATCATAATTCTTCAACCCTTTTAAATCCGTAATAGACGAGTTTCCCAGCATAGAGAACACATCCGCATGTCGATAAACTGACCTTGACTCGCTCTGCCCATGCCCAAAATCTGAGTCCCGCGACAGGACTAAGAAATCTCCAGTAGGCAGCTGATGGATCTCCGACTGAGCAGCAACCTTCCACTCTTTACCGGCCTTAGTCTCCGTATAATCAAGATACTTGGGTAACATAACCACCCATTCATGAATATACCTTGGCACCCGACCCGAGATATCATAAGCAAGCAAACGCGCGGGCTGCTTATTCTGTAGCTTAGGTCCACCCTCCTGATCAAGCGCAGATTGCATAAGCGTATATAACGTCTTCCCATCAGCCGAGGTAGTCAAGCCCTCAAGGCCCTGGCTATTAGCACGGCCGGTCACCGTGTCTTTGGGATGCGGCACATTAGAGGGATCGTAGGTCGGTGCCGAGTCCGAACTGAAACTGACGGTATTGTTGCGTCGGGGTAGGATGGCTTGCGGAGGCTGGATGGCGTGCTCCATGCGTCCCTTTGAATTAAACTTGTACACGTATGGGCCGTACTCATCGGAAATCCAGAACCCGCCGTCCGTGGCCAGCGCGAGGCCTTCAGGGTCTATGGCGATTCGGCGTCCGCCTGCGCCTTCGCCGCCGAATCCGTCGCCCGTGTAGGTTGCTACGGGCATTTCGGGGAAGCCGGGATAGGAGAAGCTGCCGGTGACGTCGGCATCCAGGCCGGTTGTTGGTTGGCCATCTGGGCCATAGAGAAGAATTGTGTCCAGATAATTCAGGTTGAGGTTTGGCTTGGAAGGGTTCTGGGCGGAGGCTTTGGGGGCTAGTTTCAAGGTGATTTGAAACTTTTGGATGCGCGGGTGGAAATTCAAGGTTCCATTGGTGTTCCTGAGAAGTTTTAGCTTCCCTAATCTTGGTCAGGTTAGGTGGACTTGGAGAGATGAGATAGGTCATACCAGCCTTGGTCTGGAATCGCGTAGAGTATTCCGGAGTATACGTCGTGGGATAGTTTGCGCCAGGAGGATTTCTCAATAGCGATAGAGCTACCTATACCTCCGATTGTATCGCCATATTTGTCTCTGGCATTTGATGGAATAGAACCATAGCCTTGGAGGCCGGTATACTGGTATGTGGTGCCCCCGCAAGTAGTCTGATCGACAATGTGGTTGTAGGCGGCCGCAACGGTCGCCAACAGGGCTACTGGTAAAGCAAATCTCATTGTGAAGTCACAAACACTGGCGTGGATATTACAGACATCTTTGAAGCGCAGGAAATGGGAATGATTTATGTTCACTCTTGAATTCCGAAGTCGTACGCGCAAATCTCGGACGTGATACACGCTAGAGGAGAGTACGACGTGCAAGGGAGGGGATCGGTCGTCATTCGCGCGGGGAGCGTGCTGATTCCATCGCCAAGATCGGGCGCCGGTTATCAATCTACATTTCTGGGCACGAATATGATAATCCCTACTATGTTGGAAACATATAGCCTCCGTTTACCACGCGAGGTACTAGATTTGTTGACCTGAGCGGAGTCATCATTTCCAAAATTGCTTTTGTTGTTGTTTGCGCGAACGGTTATATGAAAGCTGTTCAAGTCCATCGATTGGAATACATATTGAGTTACCCGCTCCATGTCGTGGGAAGACCGCGATAATTGTTGGCGTACATTCCGAGATCTTGGAATACGGTTTCATTGCCTGTATCAACGTTAATTGTGCATAGGAGAAGGAAAAATATGATTCTAGAAGCCTACCCTGCAGATGCTCGACTCGATGTTCATTTTCCTCAGCGAGTCTTTCCAGCTCTTGGCCAGGTTCTGGCTCATCGGGCTGTTTAGTGCCCTCGGCTGTCGCAGCTTTGCCCCAATTGTTCATTGCGGCCCCGATCATCAGGATCTGCGCATTGGGGTAATCGATGAACTCTGGCTGCAGGGGAACCCATCGGAGATCGCCGAATTTTTCGCGCACACTGCACTCTGATTAGCACAAGTATGTTTATCGCATGGCAGGTAAAACTTACGATTCAGGATAATCTGCCTCCTTGGGCAATTGGCCCTGAGGTGGGCCAGGGAACTTTGGGTTTTTAGACTGCACGATCCAGCTCCCGCGCTGGCAAAGGCCAAAGTTCTTTTGGATCTCACCTAGTTCGGCAGGGATGGTCAATTCGTAGGCGAGATGAGATGCCCGTTGCGTCGATGTGATTGCGTAGACACCTTCTGCATAGGGTCTTGCGTCTTCGGTGGTACGTTCGCCCCGAGTTGCAGTTTGGTATGTACTGCTCGCGACGAACTTGTCCTGAAGATCTCTAACGGATTGTCCTGCTTTCTCCACAAATGCCATGTCCCTTTCCTTGGCTGAGGTGGGGAACTTCTTCTTCGGGAGCATCAACAAACGGCATCGGGCGTCTTTGTCCACTGGACCCTGATCGTTGTCCAACTCAGCACCGAGAGGAGTGGGACGAAGCACGAAGAAGCTTCGCGCCACGTCACTCATACCATGCGGATCATCCACATTGACACGCGGCCGAAAGAAGAAGTAAATGATGCCCTTTTCCAAGATGCTGGAGGGGACAATACTTTCTCTCTTATCGGATTTGCGAACCCCGGATTCTTTGTCTAAATCCGAATCCTCGCGCTTTTCGGTAGAATGTTGGGTTCCAGTAACACCACCTGGCATCCTCTGTTCAACAGGCTTTGTGGCAGACATCCCACCCGTTGACGGGCCCGCGCTGTCCTCTACCTTCGGCTCTTTCTCGATCTCTCTCTGTTTGTTGGGCTCCTGGGGCTTCTCTGACCGGGCCTTGCGTTTTGAGCCAGCAGAATCTTTTCCACTTCCACTGGCCCCCATGTGATCGGTGATGGCTTCTTTGGCCTTCTGGGCGGCCTGGCGTGACGATGCTCGAGTAGCCATGATGGTATTGGTGTTTTATCACAATAACCTCAATGAGAGATCATAGATATAATGGTGATAAGTGATCGCTCATTCAAGAAGCCTTTGACATACTCCACAGGCGGACAATGGGCTCATAACCTCATGATATATAAATGACGTCATGTTTGCTCACCGTTGAGCCTGGTCATATTTTGTCACTCGCAGAGAGAGCCAATAAAAGATCGACCGTACAGAAATTGAAAGATTACATAAAAGAATCAGTCAAGATCCATATCGTCGACTATGGCGGACTCGTACATTTCAGCACTGCTATCAGTTGACCATGCATCTGAGCTCGAGCCACCGTTAACTCTGTCCTCGCGGAAGTCATGCAGAGAAACCGAATGAGCAGCTTTCATAGAGTCGTCTGGAATTTTACTGCGTCTCCGTCGTCGCTTTGAAGACAAACCAGGCACTGACATTGGCTCTTCGCCCGGTCCAGTCTTGAAAGTTGAGCAGGGGGAGTGCGACGAGTGGTACCCCGTTCCAGACATGCTGCTTGGCTTGCGCTTCTGGCCTCTTCTAGGGGCTGTCAATGGCTTAGAAATGATTTGTTTCGATGGATCATTGCCTAGGCCGTTCATGTACTCTATAAGCTCGCGCTGCCATCCTTCGAAGAAGTCCGGCAGACATTGGAACTCCAGTTTTTGGACAGCAGGGTTAGGCTCATCGTCCGGCTCCTCGATATCATACGGATGGTAAACTTTAACATTCGGCATCTCTGGTGGAATGTTCAAGTTGTCGGTAGCCATAGGTGTTGAGGGGCCAGACCCATTCAAACTATGTTCGCTGTAATCCGTCCGGGAGTCGGATATATCGGGGGTCGTGGAAGGCGAAGATCGTGTTGATTCAGTTGGCCCAAGTGAAATGTTTAATGACTCCAAATCCTCCATTTGAATATCATTAGCCATTATAAAGGAATAGTAATGGTAGGTGCCTCAATGTATAACTGTAGGCGCCACTGCACATAACGTCACCAGTTGGTCAAGATTCGTTACCAAGGACACATGTCATAGAAGGCAAATGGTGCAATAATACAATGATGTGCCGCATTAGAATAGACAAAGGATCCTAAGCCTAACTAGGAATATGGACAGATGATAAATAGAAATCTCTCCGGTATGACCGTCGGATCGTAGTGTTCCAGATGTTTCCAGCAGCGGGGAGATGTAAAGTCCCCGGTTCGCCAATGATAAAGAGCCACCACAACCACTCACAACTCATAGATTCATGATGCAGGTGTTAGGCTCAGATCTGAATTAATATATACAATCATAATTAATATATTAATCTACGAATTACAAGCTCCTTGTTAAAAATAGTGTCATGTATAGAATCGATCCTACCACGGACCCTTTCCCCCTGACCGCTCACCGCCCGCGGGCATGATTGGCTGCCGCGATTCGCTTACACAATAAGTCCACGTTTAGTTTACCTTGCTACGCCTGCTACGCTACAGCATAGGTATCCAACCACTGCGCCTTGCCCTCTTGTTCCACTCAGGCAAGTGGATGCACTGGTTGACTCTTTGATTCCATTTCTTCTCGCGTGCGGAGCTTGCAACTGTTCGGTGCGGCTCCGGCCAGGTCTTTCACGATGCAGTCCTCCCCAAACATGCTCACCAAGGTAAACGCCCCCTCGTTATGCCCGACGCCAAAGCAACCGCCTTAATCGCGCCCTGTTATGTCCGCTTGATTCAATTGCATTTACTGATCCTTGTCTGTCACGCAGTTTGAGTCCAAATCCTCCAGAGCCAAGGGAATTGCCTTCCACCCGACACGGTCAGTCGGTCCCGCGGGGACACCTACACACCAAGCTAGAGCATCTCCACTAACCTCAATACCAGGCCATGGATTCTCGTTTCGCTTCACTCCTCAACCATTCAGCTATGGGACTACCGCATGGGAACTCTCATTGACCGATTCGAAGAGCACGATGGCCCAGTCCGCGGCGTTGATTTCCACCCAACTCAACCCCTGTTTGTGTCCGGAGGTGATGACTACAAGATCAAGGTCTGGAACTACCAGACCCGGAGATGTCTTTTCACATTGAATGGTCATTTGGATTACGTGCGCACAGTGTTCTTCCACCCTGAACTCCCCTGGATCCTGTCTGCCTCCGATGACCAGACCATTCGGATCTGGAATTGGCAGAACCGCTCTTTGAGTAAGTGGTATTAGCTGTATTCCGTGTCCTAGGGCTGTACTAACGGCCCGCTCTCTATCTAGTCTGCACCATGACCGGTCACAATCACTATGTTATGTGCGCTCAGTTCCACCCCACCGAAGACCTCATCGCCTCGGCCTCGCTCGACCAGTCCGTCCGTATCTGGGATATTTCTGGCCTGCGAAAGAAGCACTCCGCCCCGACGTCGATTTCCTTCGAGGATCAGATGGCGCGAGCCAATCCCAACCAGGCAGATATGTTCGGCAACACAGACGCCATTGTGAAGTTTGTCCTGGAGGGTCATGACCGCGGAGTGAACTGGGTGTCGTTCCACCCTACATTGCCACTGATTGTTTCAGCGGGCGATGACCGTCTAATTAAGCTCTGGCGGATGAGTGACACCAAGGCGTGGGAAGTCGACACCTGCCGTGGCCATTTCCAGAACGCCTCTGCCGCTTTGTTCCACCCGCACCAGGACCTCATTCTCTCCGTCGGCGAAGATAAGACCATTCGTGTTTGGGACCTTAACAAGCGAACCTCCGTTCAGTCATTCAAGCGCGACTCCGACCGTTTCTGGGTGATTGCGGCCCACCCCAAGATTAACCTGTTCGCCGCTGGCCACGATACTGGTGTTATGGTGTTTAAGTTGGAGCGTGAGCGACCTGCCTCGGCCGTTTACCAGAACCAGCTGTTCTACATCACTAAAGAGAAACACGTTAAGTCATATGACTTCGCCAAGAATGTCGAGTCCCCTCCGATGCTTTCGTTGCGCAAACTGGGCTCCCCGTGGATCCCCCCGCGCACCGTTTCCTATAACCCAGCTGAACGTGCTATTTTGGTCACATCCCCCGCCGACAGCGGAACATACGAATTGATCCACCTCCCTCGTGATGCCACTGGCGCAGTCGAGCCTACCGACGTCAAGCGCGGCCAGGCTACCTCTGCGGTCTTTGTTGCTCGTAATCGTTTTGCGGTCTTCAACCCTTCAAGCCAGCAGGTTGACATTAAGGACCTAAGCAACTCCACTACCAAGACCATCACCCCTCCCGCTGGGACAACCGATATCTACTTCGGCGGCACTGGTTGCCTCCTGTTTATCACCCCCACAACCGTCGTTCTCTTCGATATCCAACAAAAGAAACAACTTGCGGAAGTTACCGTCAGTGGCGTGAAGTATGTTGTTTGGTCCAACGACGGTCTCTACTGTGCCCTGCTCAGCAAGCACAATGTTACCATTGTTACCAAGACCCTAGAGCAAGTTAGCACTCTCCACGAGACCATTCGCATCAAGAGCGCAACCTGGGACGATGCTGGTGTGCTCATCTATTCCACTCTGAACCACATCAAGTATTCACTATTGAACGGGTATGTTAATGATAAGACGATTTTTGGATATAATGTGCTAATATTTTTTGACAGCGACAATGGAATCATTCGCACTCTGGATCAAACTGTCTACCTTGTCCGTGTCAAGGGACGTAACGTCTACTGCCTTGACCGCAATGCCCAGCCCAGGATCCTCGAGATCGATCCTACTGAATACCGTTTCAAGCTTTCCTTGGTCAAGCGGAACTACGATGAGATGTTGCAGATTATCAAGAACTCTAGCTTGGTTGGTCAGAGCATTATCTCCTACCTGCAGAAGAAGGGTTACCCAGAGATTGCTCTGCAGTTCGTTCAGGACCCGCAGACTCGCTTCGATCTTGCTCTTGAGTGTGGAAACTTGGAGGTTGCTATCGAGATGGCTCGCGAGCTGGACCGTCCCAACTTCTGGAGCCGCCTCGGCGCTGAGGCCTTGGCCCATGGTAACCACCAGGTCGTTGAAATGACCTACCAGAAGCAGCGAAACTTCGACAAGCTCTCGTTTCTCTACCTGGCTACTGGTGACGAGGAGAAACTTTCTCGTATGGCTAAGATTGCTGAGCATCGTGGTGACTTCACTTCCCGTTTCCAGAACGCTATCTACCGTGGAGATGTTGAAGATCGCATTCAGATGTTCAAGGAGGTTGACCTGTATCCCCTGGCCTACCTCACTGCCAAGTCGCATGGCTTGACCGAAGAGGCTGAGTCCATTTTAGAGTCTTGCGGCTTGACTGAAGACCAGATCGGCTTGCCCTCTCTTGAAACCCCTCTTCAGACCCCCTCGTCCTATTGTTCCTACCTTCAAGTCCAAGTGGCCTGTTAAGGCTGCCGGTCACTCTTCATTTGAAAAGGCCCTTCTTGGAGAGGTCGGTGCTGGTGACGAGGAGGCTACTGGCGATGCCTTGGAGTTTGGCGAGAATGAAACAGAGGCTGTCCTTGCTAAGGATACCCTGGAAGATGAGGAGGAGGATGCCTCCGGATGGGATATGGGTGATGATGTTAATGTTGAGGAGGACGTTGAATTCGTCAACGTGGAAAGCGCAGAGGCTGGTGCGGGCAGCTCCGAGGCTGATCTGTGGGCTCGTAACTCTCCACTGGCAGCTGACCATGTTGCGGCCGGCTCCTTCGACACTGCTATGCAGCTCCTCAACCGACAGGTGGGTGCTGTGCAGTTCGCTCCTCTGAAGGATCGATTCCTTGAGGTCTACAAGGCCTCCAAGACCTACCTTCCTGCCACTACTGGCCTGCCACCCTTGGTCAACTACGTCCGGAGAACTACCGAAGAGACAGATAGCCGCAAGGTCCTGCCCATCATTCCCCGTGATCTAGAGACCATTGCCAGCGTTGACCTCCAGGAAGGTTACGCTGCCATGCGGACCAACAAGTTGGAAGACGGTGTGAAGATTTTCAAGCGTATCTTGCACACAGTCCTTGTCAACAGCGTCTCCTCTGAGGAAGAGGTCGAGCAAGCAAAGAAGATTATCTCCACTGCTCGGGAGTACATTCTCGCCATGTCCATTGAGCTTGAGCGTCGTTCCGTCCCTACTGATACCGAGGAGGGTCTCAAGCGCAGCCTCGAGCTGTCCGCCTACTTCACCATCCCTAAGCTGGAGGTTGCTCACCGTCAATTGGCGTTGATGGCTGCCATGAAGCTATCCTTTGCCAACAAGAACTACAACTCTGCCTTGGGCTTCGCCAACCGTATGCTGGCTAACGGTGGCTCCGCCAGGCTTCTGGATCAGGCCCGCCGGATCAAGGCCCAGTGTGAGCGCAACCCGTCCGACGCCATCGACATCGAGTTCGACCAGTTCGCCGAGTTCGATATCTGCGCTGCTTCCTTCACTCCGATTTTCAGCGGTTCTCCTTGCGTGACCGACCTATTCTCAGGCGCCAAGTACCATGAGCAGTACAAGGGCAGCGTCTGCCGGATATCCGAGGTCACCGAGATCGGCGCTCCGGCCAGTGGCCTGCGCCTATTCGTCCCCGGACTCTAAATTCAACATGACGAAGTTTGACGGTTTCCCTCCAGCTTTCTTTTTTCTTCTTCACATGAAGCTACAAAATGGGTTTTTCTTCCATATTCGTGTAGAAGAAGTTTGTGTGTTTGGCGGCGCTTTTTTGGGAGAAATCTCCCGCTTCACACCCTGTCTAGATTTGTACCCGGGATTATAATTGTTTAGCGGTTCAGTTTATGCGAATGTTTCTTTCATATCCATCCTTGTAAACATCCTAGCCAACATCTCGAAGTAATAGTATACAAATAAACCACGGTCTATAAACTCTAATGCATATCGTACAATGGGCGGAGATGTCCCACGCAAGAGCGGAGTGTTTAGCCAACACATTTCATCCAGCATCTGAGGCAATAGTCAGATCCTAATCACACCTCCCATCCTTCCACCCAGTTCGCCACCTCTCCTCCCAAAACCGACAATTGAACTCTTTTTTCCCAAGCTTCCGATTAACCTCATTATGCGCCTCACACATCCACCATCCAAACTCCGCACGCCCACCCAACTTCGGCTGGTTCTTCCCACTCGGATGCGCCATCCACGTCTTGAAATCGTCCGCACACACCCAACACGGGTATAGTCGCGAGAACAATTTCAGGAAGCCCTGCATATCGGACTGTTGCTGCGTATCCGCTTTCTCGGGGTACGTCGCTGCCATCGTGTGTAGGAGTGTCCAGGTTGAGCGGCCCAGTGCTTCGACGTCGGGTGGACAGTCTGCGGGGATGGTTGATTCGGGCTGAGTGGCCGGTGCGGCGAGGGGCTTTGTGGGCGTTGTTGAGGTTGAGGTTGTGTTTGCGCTGGAGGATGTGGGAGAGTCGGCTTTCGCTTGTTTCGTGAGGGCGCGCCATGAGGCGACGGAGGTGCAGGTTCGACAGCTAATGTGAATTCGTTAGTACGTTTGGACGGAAGGGTGTGGTGCATTGGAGAATGCTGGGTTGGTGTTTCTTACGGTTTTCCATCTTTGTCTAGGACGACGCCTTTGGGTAAGGCTGAGTCGGTTTCTTGCGGTTGTTTAGTGGTTGCAGCAGGCTGCTGATTAAATCCTCTCAAGGAATTCAGCTGTTCTGGTGATACCTCTGCCATTTTTGCGTGGGTTGAAGGTTTCTTAGGGAGCAAATGTTGGAGGTAAGTTGCTTGATTTCTAATCGGTTGGAGGCGGGATCGGCGGAGTTAGCGTTGTCAGCATTCAGGTACGGCGATCTATAGAGCCCCGACTTTGCTATCCTTTGCATCACAACGAATTCTGCATTTGTTTCCCATTTTCTTATATCCCATATCTATTTCGATATTTCTTTTGCAATTCAATCTCTTGCCTCGACAGCCAATGGTTTAAAGGACCTCGAAGACCTGACCATTTGGACATCTTAGACAGGTCGAAAACATTATAGCCTGTTCCTGGATCGATAATTCTGGGATCGGCACCTGCTTTCAGAAGCACATCCACTGTATCAAAGTTTTGCCTGTTGCTAGCTGCGAAGACAGCAGTGGCACCGACCCGACCTCCCGGGGCATCAATATCAAGATCCTTGTCGAATTCAAGGATCATCTTGACAACAGATGTCAAGCCATAGGAGCTGGCATAATACAGTGGATGCGTCTTTTCGATTGTCGAAAATCCCACCGACGGCATCAGGACCTGCATCCAAGTACCAAAGTTTCCCTGGCGAGGAAGGTGTCTCGTATTGAAGAATTTCTGCACCAAGCTTCGCTCGGTATCTCCCAGCTCCGCCGCGGCAGCATATTTGGGCCACATGTATGTAGCATATGGGAGGGCCTTGTGCTTTCTCCAGCGTCGAGATATTTCCCCTTTACTTGTGTATCCATCTTTGAAGTTGTCGAGACATAGATAAGTGAGACACTTTTGCATGATGATGGTGTTCGCTGTGGCCGGGTCCATGCTAAAATAGCTGACACGTGAAGATTTGATCCAGTCGGATGTCAAAAAGTCTTTGATGGAGGCATGGGCGAGAGTGACATAGCCAGATAAGTCACGGGTGATTAAGCCCCGGCAGATATCAAGAAGAATTTGTGCGGGGACTAGCATCATATCTTCATCGAATGTTGTGCACTCTTCGTCAAGTACCACTACTTCGTTGAGGACGTCCAGTGTGAGCAATTCGTCTGCGAAAAGGTGGTCCTGCGCAAAGCTGGTCCAGAAGAGCGCCTCCCGAACAAAGGGTCTGTCCTCATCGGATATTTGATCTAGGGTTTTCGCGTACATTTCGCGAAGTGATCCTGGTAGGTTTCGGAGTGCTTCGCGCATCAATCTTGTTGTTCTCTGGGCGCATAAATTATCCATTGAAAGCTGGACCCAGCGGAATCTACTCAATTGTTAGATTGGGCACAATTAGCCGGGGACACACTCAATGCTCACGATCCATCAGCATTGTCGGATAATCTCTTCTGAATTTCAGCTTTGAATTCGGGCTTTTGTCCCCGCAGTGCCTCGTCAGACTCCAATCGATGATTTATATACGCCTTGATATCACCCAACATCATATTCGCGCTGATATTGAGCATGTCGACACCTCGTTTGATCATGGTCGATGTAGTTGTTACTACGATGCGAATATTTGGGGCCAGGTTGGCAAGTCTCAAGAGAGAAAGCTCGATGTGTCTTGTGTCATGGCTTTCATTGATAGCGTCCACCAGGATGATAATCTTGGTCTTGCCAGAAGCATGGTTGATGATGGCATCTTCAAGAACAGCGATATCAATGGTGCGCTTGTGAGCCTGAGACTTAGGGATATCGTTGTAAATTGGGCGGATGTTGTCGAGTATCGAAGGGTCCTTTCCCGAGAGCTGAGCGACCAATGATCCTAGCACGTTAACTGGGAGTTGAGAGGCCGAGTTACTCATGGTGCAGTAGAAGTATGCAATGCTGAGAGCTGAATCTCGCGAGGCCATCGAGACAATTTCATCAACACACTGGGCACTATAAGGATTGTGATAAGTGTATGTCAAATGTACCTTGTCCGTGGTATATACTAACAACAATGTGGTCTTTCCAGTACCAGCTGGAACTTAATCAGTAAGGAACGATCGGGGTGGACGAGAGCAGCATACATTTTCCCACAAGGAAGAAGATCTTCCTATCTCCATATTGCAGCCAATGCTCAAGATGGCCATTGATAAACCATTTTCCAGAGGCAATGTTACGTCTCTCACTAGCCTGCAGATGTGAATTTGCCGGGCTCACGGGAGCCATCCATTGGAACAGTTCGTTATTGGCCATCTGATCTCTTTCCTGCTCCCTGATTTTCAACTCCTCAGTCAAAGATCGTGCCAGGCTCCCAATTTCTCGCTGCAGATCCCTCTCAACCGCACCATGATCTGCAGTAAGAACTAGTATCAACCAAGACTTCACTCTTTCCAAACGAGTAAGATGAGCAGTGACTTTTGCCTCTGTAAAGGGCCATTCCAGCTTCTGTTTTAAACTTTGCAGCTTACTTTCTGCCGGCTCTAGGTCTTTTAGAATGGAATCAAGAAATTCTTTCGTTGTTTGAAGAACCTTATCCATGATATCTTCGTTAAAGGGAGTCGAATTTTCCGACTCGATATGCTGGACCTTCGGGATCTCTGATGAGGACTGTGATTGCAAATGGTCGAGAATGCCTCGTAGGGCAAATAATTCTTCGCTGAGCTTTCGCATTTCGGACCTTGCTCCTTGTACAGCTTGGGCGTACTTGATCAGACGGGCTATGATGTGGCTGACGTCCACGATCAGGCCCGTGATTGAGATGGGATCCATGCTGCACGTTATGCGACCAAAGATATAAGTCAATTCGAATCAAACGAGGCTTTCCGGATGATAATCAGTTATGAAAAGGGTGTTTTCATGAATAGGTAGTGCTTTTTTTCGCTAACCTCAGGCGGGGTAAGTATGGGTATCCACTCAAGGGTCCAGCGCCATGTCAGGCTATCCCGCCCATCCCTAAACCTTGATTATAGTAGGATAGCCCTATTCTATCTTGTGCAGATTTGCGAAAACCATTCATTGGCGATGGAAATCATGAGCAAGCCTTCACCTATCAGTCCATGAAGCTGATATACCTTGTCAAAATCGCTCAATTGAAATCATATGTATCTATGTACGTGCCAAGAACTGGTCCACTATACAACTTAAATGATTCAAATGAGAGGTCCAAGACTTTCGTGATACTAATCATAACTAGAAATATTCAAATGTACGTTGGATATTTCAAGATTGATCATATACAGGTGCAGTCTAGATAATCATTCGTTGATGACAGGTACCTTCTCAGCACTTGAGGTCCACGGGTATACCTAGTGGTTCCAAGGTTTGCTTCTTGAGTCCGTCTCTACCTGCCAAGGTAGCCCTGGAGAAGTGTTACTTCGTATCTGTTCGTATTTAACCCGTATAGCTGGGTACCAATGCTCTCTGGTCATCTGCCTTTGATCCCGAAGACCTGAGGTGATCTATATATTTTCGGCTGATTACACTTAAAAAACCATCAAAATGACTCTCAGCCCTCCACGGCCATTGTGAGGTCCAGCCCGCTACTCATACCGAGGTATCTAAATATGCCCGAGAAACACCTAGTTATCATTGGAATATATCAATATACGGGCTATTATCTACTTTGGATTTTCTATTTCATATTCTTACGTGAAGAAAGTCGTGGTGTTTGAACGGATAACGCGCAGATCACCGACAAGCTTTGTCATCGCTTCCTTTCCACTCCAACCTCAATCTAGGACCACGCGACTGGACGTGTCAAACAATCTGCAATTCGATAAATTGCACTGTCACGCGGCGTCTGTTATATACGGAAGCTTCGCCTTCATCGATAGTCACCTTTAGACCAAACCCTTGCGGCACACGGCAAACCACGTCGATATCAGTCGCGATACACCATGGAACCCAAATACAAGCTGTCAGACGCCGAATCAGAGTCGGAGCCTGATGTTCCTACCGTTCCTTCCGATAAACAGCTAGAGCAAGGCTTGCGCAATGAGGTTGCTGGGATCTTCAAATCCGGCAACATGGAGGAGCTTACCGTGAAACGGGTACGACTGGCGGCGGAGAAGAAGCTTGGTCTTGCCGAGGGATACTTCAAAACTACGGACGATTGGAAAGCACGAAGTGAGCAGATAATTAAGGCGGAAGTGGTAAGAGCTCATTGTTCAATTGGCATGCGTCTCAACTATCCTTGACTAGCACTAAGATGAATCTCATGGAATAGGACGTGCAAGAAAGTGCGCAAAACGCCAATGAGCCCACCGAGAAATCGCCGTCTCCTCCACCACAGACTAAAAAGAAGGCACCAGCCAAGCGATCCACGAGTGACACTGCACCCAAGCCGAGAAAGCGCCAGAAGACACAGACCCCTGTTTCGAAGGATGAGGCTACAGGGCCATCTGGTAACGAGAGTGAGGAAGAGGTCGCAAAGCCGAAGAGCCGTGCAACCGCACCCAAGAAAAAGGTCTCCCCGAAACCCGCGACGGACGAGCCGGAAGGTTCAGATGCCCAGGATGATTCCGATAGAGTGAAGTCATCAGAAATTGTCAAAGATGATTCGGAGAGCGAGATGTCTGTGGTCTTGGACGAGGAGCCCAAACCAAAACCCGCGCGCAAGCGAAAGAGTACCGAGACGGCTCCTAAGAAGGAAAAGAAGCCTGCGCCCAAAGCCAAATCCAAAGACGAGGAGGATCCAGATCAAACAGAGATCAAGCGGTTACAAGGGTGGCTGGTGAAATGCGGCATTCGCAAGATGTGGTTCCGTGAGCTGGCACCGTACGACACCGCAAAGGCGAAGATCAAGCATCTCAAGGGAATGCTAGAGGATGCCGGTATGACGGGGCGATACTCGCAAGAGAAAGCGAACAAGATTCGCGATGAGCGCGAGCTCAAGGCAGACTTGGAAATGATCCAACAAGGGGCGAAGCAATGGGGAAAAGGGAGCGGAGACGAAGGAGAAGAGGATGGACCACCTCGACGCCGTGCTGCTGCCCGAGGTCGACAGGCACTTGCATTTTTGGAGAGCGATGGCGAAGAGTCGGACTAATAAGCCTTCTGGATGAGCTGTGTAATTTCAATGTATAATGTTGTTTAGCCATATGTATTCATAATGACCAACGCCGTGGGTATCTTTGTTCAAATGCTTCTCCCATGTCGCGTGTACTGCGTCACCGGCCGGCCTTGGGTCCACTCATGCGTTGAGCGGCCAAGCTGAAGATCGCGACGGATGAAATGAAGAGAACTAAATTATAGAACTGTGCCTTCCGTTAGAATTTGCGTATGATTTTGAACGTGATACAGGGGGAATGTACCGCTGTACGAGAGTACTCGTTCTCCTCGACTTCAGTGCGCGCCTCGACGAAGAGACGTCGCAGATTAGGAAGATTGGCCTGGGAGGACGTTAGATTTTAGTCACACGGCATATAAAGGTCCTAGACTAACCATTTGAGTACAACTGCAACTATGAAGTTGACAAGAGAGAAGTGGTAAAAGGAGGTCTAAAAACGTACAACGCCGGTAAAGCGGACGGGAAGGTCCAGAGCCCGCCATTTGTGGACAACTTTTGATCGCCCAAACACCTCACCTCTTCCTTTCGTCACTCTTCGGAAATCCCTCCTACCCCATTCTCTCTCGTTTTCTTCTCATTTACACCTGAGCAGAGAGGGGGGAATGGTTTAAGCCCTGTCTCCGATCGCCTTTTCCTTACTCCCGAAGTCGCGCGACCAGTGGAAGCTCGCAATTCCCCGCAGTCTCCCAACTACTCGACTCCTTACGACACCCTACCTCCCCGATTCCATTGGTGGAAGCACGACAAAGTCGGAGCTGAAGCAGATAATTCCTCACTATGGCTATGAATAAGATCCGTGGCGCCTTTGCGGTGCCTCGGAAAGGAGAGACGTTTGAATTGCGAGCTGGTCTTGTGTATGGAACCCCCTCCGAACATAGGTGGCTACTTAGCCATGATGGATGACCGATCATGCTGACTGCTAGAATAGTTCCCAGTATGCCTACGAACGGTACGTTAGCTCGCCAACTCAAGGATATAGTGAATGATCCGAGGAGATGGTGTGGCAAGGCTAACACTCCCACAGGAAAGAGTCTATCCAGAAGACTATCATGGCTATGACTCTAGGCAAAGATGTCTCCGCTCTCTTCCCCGATGTTCTTAAGAACATCGCGACCGCCGACTTGGAGCAGAAGAAGCTGGTTTACCTTTACCTCATGTGGGTCATCCTCGGACACCTTAAGGGGGACCGCATATGCTGACCACTGGAATTGTATAGGAACTACGCCAAATCACACCCCGACCTTTGTATTCTCGCCGTCAACACATTTGTACAGGACTCGGAAGATCCTAACCCGCTGGTTCGAGCCCTCGCCATTCGCACAATGGGTTGCATTCGAGTGGAGAAGATGGTGGACTACATGGAGGAACCGCTGCGCAAGACCCTTCGCGACGAATCGCCGTATGTCCGCAAGACCGCCGCAATCTGTGTCGCCAAGCTTTTCGATCTGAACCCCAGCATGTGCCTTGAGAACGGATTCCTGGAGATGCTGCAGGAGATGATTGGTGACCCCAACCCAATGGTGGTTGCCAACTCGGTGACCGCACTTGCGGAAATCCACCACTCGGCCGTTGAACTTGGAGCTCTTCAAATTACAACCAACACACTACGGAAGATGCTCATGGCATTAAATGAGTGCACGGAATGGGGTCGCGTTACTATCCTCTCGACACTAGCCGAGTACCGAGCAGCTGATGTAAAGGAGTCGGAGCACATTTGCGAGCGAGTCGCGCCTCAGTTCCAACATGTGAACGCAAGTGTGGTTCTTGCAGCAGTCAAGGTTGTGTTCCTCCACATGAAATATGTCGGCCCGGAGCTGGCAAAGACATATCTCAAGAAAATGGCCCCACCTCTGGGTATGTTACATCCATAAGTCGCTGCGTAATTCAACGTTGACTAACGAATGATAGTGACTTTGGTTTCTTCCGAACCCGAGGTGCAGTATGTTGCTTTGAGAAACATCGATCTTTTGCTACAGAAGCAGCCGGATATTTTGAACAAGGAACTGCGTGTATTCTTCTGCAAATACAACGACCCGCCTTATGTCAAATTCCAAAAATTGGAGATTATGGTGCGGATAGCAAACGATCGCAATGTCGACCAGCTTTTGGCGGAATTGAAAGAATACGCCATGGAAGTCGACATGGACTTTGTGCGGCGCGCCGTCAAGGCGATCGGCCAGGTTGCCATCAAGATCGAGAGCGGCAGCGAGAAGTGCGTGAATACGCTCTTGGATCTAATCAACTTGAAGGTAAACTACGTCGTTCAGGAGGCCATCGTCGTCATCAGGGATATCTTCCGCAAGTACCCCGGCTACGAGGGTATCATCCCGACCCTTTGCCAGTGCATTGATGAGTTGGATGAGCCCAATGCGCGGGCAGCCTTGATCTGGATCGTTGGTGAGTATGCCGAGAAGATCAGCAACGCAGGTGATATCCTGGGTAGCTTCGTGGATGGATTCAACGAAGAGTTCTCTCAGACTCAACTACAAATCCTTACTGCAGTAGTCAAGCTTTTCCTTAAGCGGCCCGAGAAGGCCCAGGGTCTGGTGCAGCGTGTCCTCCAGGCCGCCACCGCTGAGAACGACAACCCAGATGTCCGTGACAGAGCCTATATTTACTGGCGTCTGCTGTCCAACACCAGTGACCAAAACGCCACCAAGAACATTGTTCTCTCAGACAAGCCTCCAATTGTCACAACCATCCAGTCATTACCACCAGCTCTGCTCGAACAGCTTCTTCAGGAGCTTTCTACTCTATCATCCGTGTACCACAAGCCCCCAGAGCAATTTGTTGGACAAGGTCGCTTCGGAGCGGATGCCGTTCAGCGAGCCGCTATTGAGTACGTTTATCAAGCCTCCAGCGAAGTCATTTCATACATATTAATGGTCCATTTAGGGAACAACTCCAAAACGCTCGCGAAAACCCACTGGCTGCCGCAGCCGCAGCAGCTGTCAGTGGCACTACTCCCCCTGCGCAGGCGCAAAACAACGTCGAGAACCTGCTGGACATTGATTTCGACGGCGGTGCCCCTGCATCCGTGCAAAATAATGCTGGTGGCATGTCCGGCTTGGAGGGTCTAGCTGGCACCCCCGTCCGGGTGCAGTCCCCTGCGATTGGCGCTCCCGCCCCCTCAAGCAACAACAACCTTGACGACTTGTTGGGAGTGTTTGATGATTCAGGAGCATCGCAGCCCTCATCGAGTGGTGCGAATGGTAGCGGAGCTGGCGATTTGATGAATGGCTTCTCTGGCCTTGATCTGTCTGGCACCACCTCTCCGGCGAATGACAACCAGCCCAAGAAGACCAACGAGGACATCCTGTCTCTCTTCTAGATGGTTGTTGTAGGATATAGCGTTCCCAGCCAACTGTAGAGGCTGGTTGTTTTTTATATCCATGTTTCGCAAGCGAGGATTTTTGAACAGATCGAGATAGAATGGTGTTTTTTACATGTTTAATTTTTTTCTTTCTTATTTTCTGCATTCCTACTCTATATGCACCTATATACACAGGATAATGTCTGGCAGGTGGGGATTTCCTGATTTGGCTGCCGCTGCTTTAATGAGGGCGGTCAGACTCAGGCTCAGTGAGTAGACTTCAGCACGGGCTCAGGCTCAGTGATCTGATCAGCCGCATCACATGATCGATGACTAATACTCAGTGATCAATCAGTGATTAATCGGTGACCAATCAGGGCAGCTCAGTGATCACTCAATGCTTTTGCTCCAGTCCCCAATGTCCAATCGTCCTATCAGCAGCTAGTGTCTAACTATTTCCTAATTTAGTATAGTCTATAGGGTCATCTATTTCGTGACTACTAGCGCGGTCATGCTTGTGACAGTTTTCCTTTATTGAGCGTCGACGTTTAATAGATGGACATCATTCCTACCCACCGCCACAAAAATGAAGTCGTCTTACTTTTTCGGAATAATACGGTTGATACAGAAGGGATTGCTCCTTCTTACACTGCCTCGAGCCCGCAGGTTCGAATTATTTAAGAGTGACTTGTTCCTTCTAAATGTCATAGTATTCACAAATCCAACACACTTAGCCCTTCCTCGATCATTTATTATTCCCTATGGGTCAAAAGGCTTTTTTTCGAGGAGAGACGAAAAAGCCAAAGAAAGGCGCCATTTCCAAAGGCAGAAAAACGGTTATGTTCCTGGCGCTCACAAGGAGGACGATGCTATTCGACATAAGGATAGGAAGCTGCCCAAGACTAAAGATCTACAGCTGAGAACTCTAGATCTCTGGGTGGAGTATGCCCGATCACTTTCCAATAAGGATCCCCTTAGTCCGCATGGCTAACTTGCTAGTAGATTCATTGAAGATCCAGAGAACGGATTCGACCACTACAAAACCGCTCCAGGTTGCCAGGCCCCAAGCCATGAAACGGTGAAGGGGTTCATCCGCTGGTACGCAGAGTCGACTAAAGGTCGGCTTGACAAGAGCGGAAAACCTACTGTGAGAACAACAAAGTCTGGTGCCGAGAAATTATTCGGTGGTCTCAAAGAAGCTACAAGTACGGATGTTTCAGAAATGGATCGGGAAGAGATATATACGGTAAGAGTTGTGCCTGTTTCTTTTACGAATAATATTAATTTTTGTCTCCGCGGAACTCAGTGGATCAAAAATACTTTTACAAAAGACGGCAAGGTGGTTAATAAAAAAAAGCTGAAATACAAGGTGAGTCACTGAATTGCGTAAAATATCTCTATCCTAACCGCAATGGTAGCATATCGAATTAGTTCTTTTCCCTTCTGCGACCGCACCCTGGGAAGTTGGATGGAGAGTGAATCAGCAATGGCTCAAGAACAATCGAGATCCTGACTACACGATGTATGAAGAGCCATGAATTCCCCCATTACACTAACTAGATGTAAGAAAATATTTAATTGGTATAGGTAGTTGTACTTAGATCTACTATAGTCTACTGTTTTTAACTCCCAAATACTATCGAAGAACCAAGTCGTTAACCAGATAGAAGATTATTTTCACTGCCCCCCACTTTTTTTTCTTTCTTTTTTCTGTGTTTTTCTTTTTTATGAAGTTATATGGCTTGTTGAATATAGCATAGTTCTGGTCGAGTGATTACAGAACATACCTGGGTAATCATTATACTAGCTGCTACGGGGAGTTTTAGATGACCACAAGTAGGTAGCACTAGATGTAGCGAAGCTACCTAGGCAAGTCCAGCATTATAACCTAGGAAGCGCTAGTTTCAGAGGGGCGAATATATCCACATCCATCATTCTAAATAAACATCCAACATAAAATAACTCGGATCCACGCGGATAGTCCCTACCAAGCAGAGGGGGCTAGTATCGCCAAGAATTGAGCTGAAGATCGGCACTATTTACCATGACCAGTCTGCTTTAGCGCAGGGTCACCCCTCGGCCATTTATTTCCTGGTTCCGCTTCCTTCACCTTGAGACACACTTTTGTTTGGCCCCCAAACAATTTGCCCGACCAGGTTTTCAAGATGTTGGAAGATAAACTCGACGAGGGTGCCGAGTACGGTGCTTTCCAATTTGATTACTACATCGCAGTAAGCGTATTCCTCGCATGACAAACCATCTCAGCTCATGCGAAATAGGATCATTGGCCCGAGGGCTTAGAGGAAAGCCCTCAGAAATGGGAAGAATTAGTGTGGAAATATCTAGCGTTATCGCTTATAGATCGATATGTCTGACATCTCCCCCCGCCGGGTATCTCGATTATATACTAATATTTAATTAGGACTATCAATCTAGAGCAGACTCGAAGGTGACTGATTTGGCAAATGGTCTACCGTCTGACTTAACAAATGATCAAATAAAAGTTTTGAGCATTCATCAGTCAAATAATGAGCGAAATATTTGTGCAAATTTGGATACTGGCATACAGAAAATCTGGCTTCGGACCTGCTACGATGAAGACCTAAACGAGAAATATGAAACATGAGAGCTGATGGGGAGGATGAAATTACCCTCTTTCGATGTCTCGACGACAGCAATCGCTACGCTTTTGATGACGGATCGTTGGATCACTGGCGACAAGTTCTCGTCCGAGTACCGGGAATAACGGACTTCCGGGGCGTCGGGTACGATGGAGATGTCCTCACTTACCATTCGGGTAAAAACGACGAGGAGATGCGGGCCCAATGTGAAGAGATAGAAGACGAGGAATCTAGAGGCCTAGCCTTGACAGAGCTAGAGTTTCAAGTTGTGGTGTACCTGCTCGACCGCGAGGCTATCGAAACGGGTCTGATCAAGATGCTTTGGTTGGACGAGCACGGAAACAGTGCTTGGGAGAACCGCGTGGAGCCCTCTAGTCTAAATTCGCTTTCTGGGGCCTTTATGAATGGCATTCGTTTAGACGAAATTATGGGTGGAAATTCCGGCCGAGGGTCCTTGATAAGTAGATAGCCAGTCAGAATGTCAGCGATGTTGGCGATGTGGACAGTGAGTAAACGGGGGGGATTCGATGTAAGGCCGTGGTATTTTAGCCCAAGGTCCGCGGAGTGGGGGATTTAAGGGTTCAATATCAAATCTCTGCTCTGAACTAAAGTTTTCTTTTCTTTTTCTTTTGCTAAATTAACGTACATCTTTCTACTAAAAGGCCGTCTCAACTGCCTCTACTTCAAAGTAAGCGGGCGATTGGACTTTACCAAACTTGAACCTTGCGGTATGTGTCAGCATATATTTTCTAGATCTTTCTAAGTCGATTTGATGAGATTAAACTTCTCACTCGGCACTGGATGTAGGAAAGTCTCCGCGGGCCCAAACCCCCGTAATTCCGCCGCCAGCCGCGGTTGTCTCGTCCATTGCCCATTGTAAGCGCCATAAAGTCTGTAAAGCAAATTTATATCAGAATGAGAGAAAGAGAGATAATAAAAGCCTTGTAATGCTAGATTGAACCAATTGCTCAACACAACATGGTCTTAACGCAGTGCTCTATACTAACCATCAAAGCAGCATAGAACACCCCAGTCCCCCCGAATACTCCAAAAGATGATCCAAGTTGCTTACCAATGCTTCAATAGAATCCAATTTTTCCATCATCTCCAACGGAAGATGTGGGTCTCAGGGCCAATCCGCTGGTCGGACCCAGAAAAACTCGGCCGCAGAGATAAATGGGGCCTGTCGCCCGGGAATTCCTTAAAAAAAGAAAAAAGGACTACAAACTAGATCCAGTTCTGGGAAACCCTACGTCTTGCAGAAATTATACATCAAAATGACCGATTACAAGTTTGAGGGCTGGATGGGCCTTGACCCTAGCTCGGCGGAGGGCAACATGGTCTGGCAGGAATTCGAGCCAAAAGAATGGGAGGAAACCGATATCGATATCAAGATCTCGCATTGTGGTATTTGTGGTTCGGATTTGCATACTCTGCGCAGTGGATGGGTAAGTTACACTCTCTTAAAGTGTTGCATGCATCCAAATCCCCCATACTAGAAAAGGTCCCATCCACTGACTACCCCAGCGTCCGGCCACATACCCCTGCTGCGTCGGCCATGAACTGGTCGGCAAAGCCGTCCGTGTAGGATCCAAGGTGACAACCATCAAGCTTGGAGACCGCGTCGGTGTCGGCGCCCAAAGCGATTCCTGCCAGGGCCGCCAAGGCGACTGTGAAGAGTGCTCCATGGGCATGGAGAACTACTGCTCCAAGAAAGTGATCGGTACATACAACAGCGAGCACTTCAACGGCGGAAAGACTTACGGCGGATACGCGCTGTACAACCGTGTCCCTGCGCACTTTGCCGTCAAGATCCCTGATTGCATTTCTTCTGCTGCTGCCGCGCCTATGCTCTGCGGCGGTGTTACGCTGTACAGTCCCCTGAAGCACAATAACTGTGGACCGGGAAAGACGGTCGGTATTATTGGCGTTGGAGGTCTGGGACACTTTGGTGTGCTGTTTGCGAAGGCTATGGGTGCTGATCGGGTTGTTGCTATTTCGCGGAAGAGTGGGAAGGCGGAGGATTCGATCAAGATGGGGGCTGATATCTATATTGCTACTGATGAGGAGGAGGGGTGGGCGAGCAAGCATGCCAGAAGTTTGGATTTGATTGTTTGTACCGTCTCTTCTACTAAGGTGAGTTTGATTGAGGCTAGGGATTGCGGGTTTGTTAGCTGACGTATCTAGATGCCTATGACTGATTACCTTGGTCTTCTCAAGACTGGTGGTACCATGGTTCAGGTTGGTTTGCCTGAGGATGGTGGTCTCTTTGCTCCTGTGCGGAGCTTGATGCGTCGTTTGAAGTTGGAGAGCTCGCTTGTTGGTAGCCCGAATGAAATCCGGGAGATGTTCCAGTTGGTGGCGGAGAAGGGCATCCAGCCTTGGATCCAGGAGATTCCGATGAAGGATGCTAACAAGGCGATTGTGGACATGGAAGAGGGACTTGCGCGCTACCGTTACGTGCTGGTCAATGAGGAGTAACTACCATTGTTAGATTGACGTGAAATGTATAGAATGATGATATAGAATGTAGAATGTGGAATGAAGAAACGAAGATATAAAGAAGCTCAATGGACTTGGAAAGAAGAATATTCGGGACAAAACACACATTCTTGAGTAACTTTTGAATATAGTCTCGGTCTTTATTGAACAAAAAGCTTTCGTATGCAATCAGCGTCTAACCTGATTTAAGATACACTCAAAGGAAAAAGAAAAAGAAAAAGGAGACGAACAAAATCCAAGCAAAAGCCATGTATTTATTACCATTACTTTATATCACGAGCTGACACAATAGCGTAAACCAAATTCTCGAAATGACCAAGCAACTCTTTTCCCCCATGTATGGGGGAGACCAAGCGGATCTACTATCGATGCACTGTAGCCAAGCAAGCAAAGCACAACAAATCAATTTCCCAAATGCTTGTTTCTCAGGTCCGCACCACGAAGACCGAAAGAACCAAGGAAATGGGCAGTCTTTTGAGAATAGTGTACATCTGATATCAGATGCAACCACTCATCCTCAAACACTCATAGCTGAAATTTACAGCAGAGCGAAGAGACCGACAACACCAGCCAAGAGACCGGCAGCGGGCTTGATGCTGGAGGCAGCACCAGTGAAGGTACCGGGGGCGCTGGTCTGCTCAGTGGGGACGGAGGAAGATCCAGAGGGCACGGAGACGGCAGTGGAAGCAGCCTGGGTCTCAGCGGGGACAGAGGCAGCAGACTCAGCGGGGACAGAGGCGGCAGCCGACTCGGAGGGCACAGCAACGGCAGTAGAAGCGGCCTGAGACTCAGCGGGGACAGAGGCAGCAGACTCAGCGGGGGTGGAGGGAGACGCAGCAGGGACGGAGGCCGACTCAGCAGGGACGGAGGCCGACTCAGCAGGGACAGAGGCCGACTCAGCAGGGACGGAGGCCGACTGAGCAGGGACGGAGGCCGACTGAGCAGGGACGGAGGCCGACTGAGCAGGGACGGAGGCCGACTGAGCAGGGACGGAAGAGGCCTCAGCGGTGGAGACAGCGGGCACGACCGAGGATCCGGGCACAACGACGGCAGAGGAGGTGGGGACCACAACGGCAGTGCCGGGAACAGTGCCGGGAACAGTGGCGGGGACAGTCGCGTTGGCGAAGGTCATGGGCTTCTCCTCGCAAGCAGTGCAGACAGTGGTCTTGGTGAGGGTGATGGTGCTGGTCTCAGTGACAGGGACAGTATAGGTCGAGGAGCCAGAGGTGACAACCGACGAGGTGACTAGCAGTTTGTTAATGAGATGTTCATTCGCGAAGGGTCATTTGAGATGCTTACCAGGGCAGGTGGTGGTGACAATGGTGATAGTCTTAGTGGTGCCAGGGATCACAGGAGTGTGAGAGGACTTGGTGTGGTGGGGGGTGGTGCTGGACTCCGGGGTGGGAGTAGTAGAGGTGCACGGGGTAGAAGTGGACTCCGGGGTGGGAGTAGTAGAGTAGGTGCACGGGGTGGTGCTGGACTCCGGGGTGGGAGTGGGAGTTGTGCTGGTGGAGCAGGGGCTGGTCCACGAAGGCTCGTCGGCAGGACGGCTCCAGCTGTTACCCCACTCCTCAACGTGGTGATGAGCAGCGCTGGAAGGGGCATAAGCCTCACCACGAGCCTGCATGACACCGGCAAAGGCCGGGCTGGCAAGGGCCAGAAGAGCAATAGACTGGATCATTTCGAGAAATTGAAAAGCTTGAGCTTGGAAAGATAAAACGAGTGAAGTTGTTGAAGGGATGAGAAAAAAAAAAGCGTCGAGGAGGAAGACACAAAGGAGTTTATATGCTTGACTCGAGGAACATCGTCTAAGTCATGACGGAGATGGCTGCCACGGTTGTGTTCAGGAGAGAAAAGGTTGACCTGATCCACATCTGAGGGAATTATGGCCGAATGCAGGAACAGCGTCAACGAGCCGTGGCCGGCAGAGGCACTGATTGAATATCATAGGTCAAAAATCATGGGGTAATGGTACCTTCATGTGGTCGACTCAGATGCAAACGTGACATGCTGTGGTTTCATCTTCACTGATAGTCCAGTGAGTCTCCACAGAAGCTCCCAATGCGGAAGTAAATTTGCTGGGCTCACAATTGGTTGATGCGGAGTTGCGAGGATAGAAGCAGCTTGAGACTATTAATTGAAGTCAAGAGTCGTAAGTGAATTAGTAATATCATTACAAGTCCTCGACAATGCGGTATCTAAATCAGCATAGGCCTGCATATAATCGAAAGAGCCAGCAAACAAAGCACAGCAAACAAAGCACACGAAGGAAAAGATTTGGAAGTGCAAGCAGAGAAGCAAGGTCTTGTTAAGGCCGGAAACGGCGCCTCGAGGAATCGCCACGCTGTGGACGACCACATGTGGGCCAGATCTAGTATTTACCAATCACAGACTGGAATCTTGCTTTCGGCATGCGCACCTACTTGACAGGGCTGATCACGGAGATCTAAAACGGCCGAAAGGTTCCGGTGCCAGTGAGAGTTTCACTCGAAGCTGAGGAATGTAGATCATTGTAGCTGGAGATGGTACCTGCTGTGATTGGCTAGAGTCTCAGCCAGGAATGTGAGGGATGTCTTTCCCCCAGAAAACGGTCCGCTTCATGGACAATAGATCAGATTTTTCTGAAATCCACTGTTGATGTGACCCAGTTCCTTTTGGTCCACAGTTATGGGATCCTGGCTTGACGCCGGATTTGATCCTATCTCCACCATTTGAGATAGGGCTGGCCTATGACCGATCTCTGAAGCTTTGAAATTTGCCGCACACGAATCAGTGGCAAGAGGCCTGATGTTACTCATCGATGTTGGCTAATGAGACCGTCTCGTCGTGGCTGAGAGAGTTTGAGCCAACTTGGGTAGTCTTGTTGTCATCCAAGGTTAGCCATTAAGTAACAGGTACGACTATGGGGAAAAAATCTGCAAACGGTAAAGATTGGGTTAGGGAATGAGGAAAGTTCCGGATGCTTCCTTGCAAGTCAGATTGACTGGACTTAGTCAATGTTCTTGAGGTTTCCAAGGACCGAGGTTGAATCGTGTATGTAGATGTAGAAGTGGCATCCGGATTAGGCAAAATGACACACACGTGACTAGGGTTTAGGGCGCGCTTTCCTCGACGCGTCGCGCGTCCGGACTTCCTGTTCGGGCTCGAGATCTCGACTATCGGTATTAATTGTTTACATAAATCATGCCTCACTCAGTATCAACAATGGAACCGCCTGCACCAAACGATGACGAAACTCTCCCTGATGCTCCTGCAGAGGCAAATGGAGTCAAATTGGAGGACATGTTCGATGATGACGAGGACGAGGAGTTCCCTGCATCGAGCGCGCGGGATGTCAAGATGGAGAGTTCTCCAGCGCCTGCACCGGAACCGTACGTTGGTCAGATTGCATCAGGATCTGTTCATTAGCTAATGAATGGGAAAAGTGTACCAGCTCCAGTCCAATCTGGTGTGGATTCGGATGTCATGCTCGCCTTTTACCAGCGCCTCTTCCCATTCCGCTATCTTTTCCAATGGCTGAACCACGGAATTGTGCCTACACGAGAATTTGGCAATCGCGAATTCGCCCTGACACTCCAAAATGACGCTTACCTTCGTTACCAATCTTACCCCACTGCAGACTTGTGAGATCAAACAGAATGCCCCCAGACAAAATGAAGCCTAACAAAGCAAACGCCAGATTCCGAAAGGACATACTTAAAATGAACCCATCTCGTTTCGAAATCGGACCCGTTTACAGCACCAATCCCCGCGACCGCAAAACCCTGCGAGGAGGCCAGATGAAACCTGTCTCGAAAGAACTGGTTTTCGATATTGATATGACAGATTACGATGATATCCGAACATGCTGCTCTGGCGCTAGCATCTGTGCCAAATGCTGGGCGTTTGTCACTATGGCGATTAAGGTGATCGACGCTGCTCTCCGGGAGGATTTCGGCTTCGAGCACATCCTATGGGTCTACTCGGGCCGTCGTGGTGCCCACGCCTGGGTTTGCGACCCGCGTGCCCGTAATATGCCTGACGATCGACGGAGGGCAATTGCTGGCTACCTCGAAATTGTTAAGGGGGGTCTTCAAGTGGCAAGAAAGTCAACCTAAAGCGGCCTTTGCACCCGCATATCACCCGCAGTCTTGACATTCTCAAGAACCATTTCGGGCAGACGACACTCATCGACCAAGATACCTTTACAAGCTCCGAACAGGCAGAAAAGCTCCTCAATCTGCTCCCGGATAAATCGCTCAATGATGCCCTGAGGAGGAAATGGAGCTCGTCTCCTGATCGTCCCAGCACCAGCAAATGGGCTGATATTGATGCATTGGCCAAGACTGGAAAGAGTAGCACATTGAATACTTCTACGCTGCGCGATGCCAAGCAAGATATTGTACTGGAATATACCTACCCACGTCTTGATGCGGAGGTCAGCAAGAAGATGATTCACTTGTTGAAGAGTCCATTTGTTATTCACCCTGGCACTGGTCGTATTTGTGTCCCAATCGACCCAAAGAAGGCCGATGAATTCGACCCCTTGTCCGTCCCGACTGTGCTGGGTCTCCTCGGCGAGATCGACGAATACGATGCCAAACATCCCGCTGGTACCGAGACTGAGATGCCTGATGCAAATGGCAGTGCAGCGAACGGTTCTGACGTTAGAGGACCTCGCAAAATGCAGGATTATGAGAAGACCAGTCTGAAGCCCTATATTGATTTCTTCAGGTCGTTTATTGCTGGTCTAATCAAGGAAGAGCGGGCCGGCAAGCGAGAGCGTGATGAGACTGGCCCGAAAATCAAAGCTGACCCGATGGAGTTTTGAGTAAAATGTCGGATCTAAAGTACATTGTGAATTATGACTTTCATGTCTTGTTATTTTTGAAGCAAACTTGCCCTTGTCTCCAGGGAAGTTGAGCATGTCTTTTCTAGGCGTTTTTGGTTGCATGATCCCCAAGCTGTTGATTTCTTCTTTTCTATAATCAAATTTGCCATGGACTACACATTATCTGAACAATCAAGTTCATACCACCCAGATGTATTGCCACCGCTGGTTTCATGCTAACGGGTAGATCCTTTTAAGGCTGGATGTTCAGTCCAGTGCTGTCATACTAGTGGTTCATGTTGAGTGTAGTATATCAGGCAGTATCATGACCGGAGACTTGTTCATTTATTTAATTTGTAGTTATTGGTACACGCCTGACAATGCGGAGCAGCCGACATAGATCAGTTCAAGGGGGTTATTACAACGTAGACGAAAAAACGTCAAAGTGTGAACATTGACTTCACACCGACAAGGCAATTCAGGAATTGAAGTTTAAGAGACATCACTTAAGCAGCGATGAACTTGCGAACGTTCTCCAACCAAGACACGTACTCCTTCTGCTCCTTGAAAGCGATGTAGTCGGTGATCATGTTCTGGAACTCAACGTTCAGACCACGCTCCTCGAGGTAGCGGCCCCAGAAAGACAGGAGCTCGGGGTCGAGGTTCTCAGCGGGAGGACCGGAGTAGAGGCTCTGGCGAGTCCAGTCCTTCTCGGCAGTGTGAGCGTTGGCGATCTCGGCATCCTTGAAGTGGGAGATCTCCTCGATCTGTAGGTCACCGTCCTGGATGACAGCCTGGATCAAGAGAGCACCCTGGTTGGCCTTCTCGACGGCAATGTCAAGACGGGCGGGGAAGGTAGGGGGGAGGATCTCGTCCTCACCCTCAACATCACGGCCCTGGTTGTTGTACTCGGCCTCGTCACCGAGAGCGTCGTCATGAAGGTCATCCATGGGGTCCTCGGAGAGGTTATTAATATCGGCGACGGTGAAAGTAACGCGGATACTATTGAAGATATCTAACATTAGTCAAGCGCCCAATTCCGATGGTTCTAGATGGACCCGGTGACTTACGTCTCGTTGCCGAACTTCTTGGTCAGGACAACCTCCTGCTCGCCGGCAACATCCTTAACCTGCCACTCGCCAGCCTGCAGCGTGTAGTCGATGCTGGCCTTCTGCTCCTTAGCATCCTCAGCACCGGAAGCCTTCTCGTGCTTCACCTCCTCGTCGAGCTTGGCAAGAAGCTCAACATCTCCTGTTGGATGAAAAATTAAAATATTAGCCATTTGCCTCGAAGACTTTATAGAAGACGTCGCATTGAGCTCCGTGAAACAATATTAATCTATTTGACTTACCCTCAGCAGCGGGTTCCCGGAAGACGCTGGAAGTAGAGAAAGAAGCGTAGGCGGGCTTGGTGGCCTGCTTCCAGGGGTGAAGTAGAGCAGGCTTGGGGAAGACAGCCGGGCGCATCGAAGTGCGGGCAATGGAGCGGGAGAACCGCGGGACGGAACGAGAGAAAGCACGGAGAGAAAGCATTGTGAATGTGTGGATGGAATGGATGACAGGGGAAGAGCTGGAGCAGAAAAAGACGAGCTGCCGCGATGATGTTAATGCCAAGCCCGGGCCTTTTCTGGCTCCGCCCAAGTCAGGTTTGCAGATCTGCCGTTGTTTCCATTGGACGAGTCACTAGTCCTGCAATTCTTTAGGTCTTTTGCCACTTTCTATGTTCATCTAAATATTTGAATTGATGTATATGTCATAATTGGTATCAGCCAGTACTTTTCGCGAGAAAACAAGCGTCGATGCATATCCCATATTGCGCCAATCAACCCCACTTAGACCAGTGAAGAAATGTAAAAGAATCATCTACGGTCATGAACAGTAATCATGACATACCCTTGGGTGGGAAGCTGGAGGGTTGTTTCTCTCCACCAATCACCAATCGAATGAACTTGGCCGAGCTGAGAGCCGTCCATTCTCCATTCCAGTTCTTCAACTTCAAGAATGCATCCTCGTCGCTGAGATCCGGCATCCAGAAGCCGGTCTTGAATTCCTTCTCCTCCGTTTGTGTCCGTTGTGACAGAGCCTCCTCACGTCGAAGAGGTGGCCGGCCTTTGCGTCTTTCTTGCTGAAGCTGTGCGAGCTCCTCGCTGTCCCGGTTGATGCACCTATTGCCCATTGTTAAGTCTTCATCTTTTCGAGTCCCACTGCGATAAGAGAACGTACTGGTTCACCAGGTCGGCCAATCCTTCCTCAGTCAAAGGTTCCTCGATATCTTGAACAGCATTGTGGAAGTATTCAATGCGCTCCACTATAAGAGAGGTTAGAACATCGAATTGACATAAACTGGGCTGGATTGATGCTCACTGTAAGGTTGGCGGGCCTTCAGTACGGCGGCGGTATGACGGTTCAATCGGTCATCCCGAGAACCGGCACGACGTAAGCGTCTGGCATCACGGCTGTTCTCGTGAAGCGAGTCGATGACACCGCGCTTCTTGGAGATTTGTTTGTGTACTTTTTGAAGTGTGCGAGGCATGATTAAGGGTTGTGGTGGTAATTATCGCAATTGCAGCAAGATTAGATTTGATAATTATTTTTTTGGCAGGTGCAGAATTTGGCGGTGAAGACAACACCACCGCCTTCCCTAAACCATTTCAATCGCGTCTGCGCGTCGAGAGGGGAACAAACGTGAGCAAACATTCCACCAGCCATGGCGGTATTTACTCGGTGATTCTGTGTCGGTCCTTCCTTCTTACCATACTGCATATTGATTTCTTCGCGTTGAGCCTTTGGATATTCGAATCCGCATGTTATTGTTTATCATCTAACCCGAGGACCCGCTTGAGCCTCGACCCTGGTTCCCGCAATGGGTATCAAAGGTAAATTTGCTAGACCGAAGGGGTAAGGATGCTTCGAATGATTCTGACCTTTGTAGGACTTCACGGTCTCCTGAAATCTATTCAAAAGCCATGTCATCTCAAGAAGTTCGCTGGCCAGACTCTCGCGGTGGACGCCTATGGCTGGCTGCACCGTGGTACAGTTGCTTGTTCCGTGGATCTGGTCTTGGATAGGCCAACAAGGAAGTATGAACCCACTACCGGAGCCTGAAATAGTGATATGTTAATCCTGATGATGACAGACATATTGATTTTGTTCTTCATCGAGTCCGTATGCTCTTGTACTTCGGAGTAGTACCCTACCTCGTCTTCGATGGCGATGACCTTCCCAGCAAAGCGGCGACCGAAGCCGATCGACATCGTCGCCGACAAGAAAGTAAAGCCCTGGGATTAGAACTACAACGGAAAGGCAGAATCCCGGAGGCCTACCAGGAGTTCCAGAAAGCTGTCGACGTCACGCCCTACATGGCTCGCCAACTGATTGAGGAATTGAAGAAAATGAATGTACAGTACGTGGTGGCACCATATGAGGCGGATCCTCAGATGGTGTACCTCGAACAACAGGGAATTGTACATGGTATCATTTCCGAGGACTCGGATTTGCTAGTATTTGGTGCGAAGCGCTTGCTATCGAAATTGGATCAGCATGGCGAGTGCATTGAAATCAATCGAGCAGACTTTACTGCTTGTCGAGAAGTGAGCCTGGTGGGATGGAGTGATGCCGACTTTCGTCGAATGTGCATTCTGAGCGGGTGTGATTATTTGGCCAATATTCCGAAAATGGGATTGAAGACGGCATACCGCAGCATTCGCAAGCATCGGACTGTGGAGAAAGCGTTGCGGATGCTTCAATTTGATGGCCAGTTCAAGGTCCCAGCTGATTACCTGAAAGATTTCAAGCAGGCCGAGGATACCTTCCTTTACCAGCGTGTTTTTTGTCCCAAGGCCAAAAAGCTGATCCCTTTAACACCTCCCGAGGAGGGAGTAAATCTCGAGGAAATGCCCTTTGTTGGGGCTGATGTGGACCCAGAAACTGCGGCTGGGGTCGCTTCCGGGGATCTAGACCCGACGACCAAGGAGCCCATTGAGATGAAACCGCTGGTTGCAGGTAAAGTTCCCCTGGGTTTAAGTCGCCGTCAAACTTTGGGGTCGTCTTCAGAGCTGAAGCCCAGCAAGCCCATCAACTCGTTCTTCACTCCGAAGCGCAAGCCTCTGGCCGAGTTGGATCCGAACAGCTTGACTCCCTCACCAAGTCAGCAGAGACTGCTGGAGCGGAATGCGAACAACTCCTGGCAACCCAACTCGGTGCCCTTACGCTCTAACACTGTTAGGGCAACTCCGGTTCGAGCGTTCTCTGACCAAGGTCTCAGCCCCATGATTCGCAGTGTTGGGCGAAATACAGTCTTAGCTCAGAATTCCCGGGCACCAAACCTGCAACCGACGAAGAGACAGAGACTTTGCTCTGAAGCCGAGGATGATTCGCTACCTGCTTGCCCAAGCATTCAAAGTCGGTTCTTTGCTACTACTGAACAAGTAAGCCCTAGTGGACAGAAAGTGTCTCGGAGTAAAAAGGCACGCCAATCGATGATGGACGTCTTTTCGGATGAGGTCGCGGAAGATATTTTCTCACGAATCTCTGACCCTGTTTTGAAAGGGAAAACTACGCTAGATCAGGGAGACAGCAATCATGAGAATACCCCTTCGAGGGTGAAGAGCGAGGTGGAAGTTGATGCTGTGGCCATTCCTGATCCAAAGACGGACGACGAGCAGGCCCCAACAGATAATTCAGCGCCAGAGTCCGAATTATTGTCTGCGGATAACGAGTTCAACCAAGCTCTCGGATATCATGTGCAGCGACAGAACTCGACCATTTCGGGATTCACGTTCAGGTCTGGATCTAAGCCAGCTTCTCCTGTTCAGCGCTCTCCTATGAGTAGGATTCCAGTGATTCAGACCAGTCAAAGGGAAGCGTTTCTCTCGTCTCCTCGGACACCCGTGATCAACTCTCGAAACAAATCTCCTCAGCGGCAGCGCCTCACTCCGCTGCAGCGGATGGGCCAAGCAGCTCTTCACCGCTCGCGTAGCATCAACTTCCCCACCTCTCTCCGACATGCGGACTCTTCAGAGTCTCAGTCTGACGAAGCACCAGTCACTACCCAGACTAACACGCCCCAAGGTAGTGAAGATTTCCTTGTCCCGGATAGCGATGATTCGGAAGAAGAAATTTCTACTAGCTTTGGACAGACCCCAACGTTGGATTTAAAGCGGTTTTCGTTTGCCGCTAAATAAGGTGGAGTTCGAATCGGGTATCTATGCATTTTCAGGTACGGAGTCTTTGTATGGAGTATTGGCCGGACACAACCACCTATGTGGGGTGGATGCATTTCGTGGATGGTATTCTTGTTTTCTTTTACAAAGTGATTTGCTGCATTGTTCCTGGCGTGGATCAAATGTCATTTTCATCAATATCTTATCCATTATCATTTCGGGAATCACCATCGACCTACTTGTGGACTTGGTCTCATGGAGTAGAAACAGTAGATCTTCAAGTGGGGAGGCTGGGGGGAGTGGCGCATGTGGATCCTAACTCACTGAAATACGATTTACGCTAGCCTGTATGTGGTCTAGCGCAGGAACACGGCGCCACCGAATCGGGCCAGATTAGGCAGAATGGCCCGGATAGTGAGGCGGTCAGATCTGGTTTCCCTGGAAGCGGGAAGGTAAACAAAGACGGTTGGCCCAGCCTCCCAATTTCCCATACTCGTCTCCATCCCCAGCCTCCAAGGGACTTTGGAATTCAAGCCTGACGTGGTTCCTTGAATCGCAGCTACGATCTTTCTTATCCCCCTTCCATTCCTTCTGCACATTCCTCTCTACAACTCCCCTGTGGTGACCACTGGTGGTAAAGAAGCTCCCATTCTGACCATATTCGAGTCTTTTCTCTAGGTGCGATCCGAATCAAAAGACAAGCCCAAACTTTCATTGTTTTGGTGTCTTTCCTTGAGCCTGACTTTACGTCCGAAATTTCTTCGATTCTTTCCCTCGCACCTCATCTTTCACATTCTTTCTCCACATTCCAATCGTTCTTGACATCGGAATCTGTCACGTCAACGGCTACTGAAGATCCTCGATCTGATCTAAGAAGCCAGCCTTCCGTCTCAATAAGGCGGATTCAAAGATTCTGACTCTACGTTTGTGTTCAAGCACTCCTTCTCGGAGAGACGAGAAGCGAGTTAATTGACGTGAAAGAGGTGGGCCAGTTGCGGGCCATCGTTGGACGCAATGCCTGTTAATTTCGCGGCAGGATGGGCCCGTATGTGACACCATGTTTCCGGATAGTTCTCGAATGAAAGGCCAGTTTCACTAACTTGAGTACAGGGTTCATTCCCATGATCGGGTACCACCACGTGTTGATGATTATCATTGCGCTTGCTATTATCTTATTATGTAAGTTGACCAAACGCTCTTGTCACAAGAGAAGACTAAGAATGTCATTGGAATGATTCTAACAATCTCTAGCACTTTTGTTGGCCGGATGTTCCTCCTCGTCCCCACAAATCCCCGACATTTTCTTGATCTCGCTGTACTATGAGAGTTACAAGCCCAATTTCGCCCTGGCACAAGTGGATCCAGGAGTCACCACCGCTATGGCTAACATCGTGCACAACGCCGAGCTAGAGGTTCGAGTTGGATACTTCGGTATTTGTGTTCAACCTGACCATGGCTCATACATTTGCAATGCCAATGCCACCGCACTGGCTGAGATTGTCAATGTGGACCAGGACCCACTCAACCTGATCTGGGTCGCCTCAACATTCAAAGATGCGGTTGTGTTCCCATACCTACTGTAAGTTTGCCTCGGTCCGTTGAGATAATTACTTAAGCTAACTATGCCTCAGTATCGTCGCTGTAATCCTTGCTTTCTTCTGTTTCATCCTTCTAGCCACATTCCCTGGCTGGCACGAAGAGCGCGATGACTCCGGTTCCGATGTCGAAGTCAAGCCTTTCCCATCGCGTCCTGTTTCCCAAGCCGCACTTGCCCTCATCTTCGTCTCCTCCGTATTTGTCCTCGTGTCCGTATTATGGCAGCACACCGCGTCCGTCGCAGCAAGTACCATCGCCCAAGATATGGGCAATGGCAGCGTCAAGAGCGGAGTCGGGACTTCAGCCATGGTGCTGGGTTGGTTCGGCTTCGTCCTCATGGTCATCGTCACAGTCGGCCTTCTAGTCATGATCCTCAGTATCCGAATGATCCGGAAACTGACAGATGATGAAGAATGACCGTCTTGACCATGTGCGTTTTCTTTCTTGCGTTTGGTTTTGCCTTTTTGTCCTTTACGCCACTTATCTTGATATCCGACTACACACCTGTTATATCCGACACGACGAATGGAAAATGATTAATAACTACGAGCATACGGCAATGGCTCGAGGCTTTTATGGAATGGAATACGACTTTAAAGGTCATGGGAATGGGAAATGGGAATTGAAACAATTTGGGACTGAATATATCTGAGGATCTGGATCCTCTCTCCACATCATCTTGGGACTGAAATAGAAAGCGGTCCCAGGGGGCTCGATGGCCAGTTTATTTGTCAGCTGGGATATGCTGGGTGTGACGTTCAATGCCCTCAAATTGCTTGTACAGCTTTGCAGCCGGTGTTATGGGTTCTTCTTGTGCCTTATTTTGTTTTCTCGGCGTTTTCATTTTGTTTCATGTATAAAACATGTTTCTGGGACATGGATCACGCTGCATACCGCTTGATTTGCAACTGCTTTCTTGCATACATCTTTGAAAGCCCAAGGCTTGAGCACTAGATAGTTGAACTTGAACAATGAACCACCAATACCTCTCTACAAGCTCATGCCTGTTACTGTACCCAATTGTCTAGACCACTGACCCTGCCTCTAGGGTTGTTCACTTGTCTTCCGTGATCTTCTTCCTGCTCTGCAGCTAGTACCTTTGTTCTATATTCAGCACTAAAATTTATTGCTTCCAAGGCTCTGATGTGCTACCAGTAGGTTTATATGGACCGGTTGTAGTCACGTGTCCCATCTTCAATTCCACTTCGGCTACTGCACAACGCAGGAAAGAGTTAAAACGGATACGAATACTGGATTGATGAAAGTCTAATTGTAAAACTGCGGAATCCCGCTGTCGGCAAGTGCAAAACCTAAGCTGCATATGGTTAGTGGCGCTTGACGTTCAATGCTCTGCCCTATAGGACCCGGATGGAGCCCACGTGCGCCTCCAGGTCGGCTAGTATGTTGCAGGCCGGCAGCCATGCGTCGCTATGCAGGTTATGCTTGTTCAAGCCATCATGAAATCCACGTTTCTTATCAATTACAGTCATTCAAAATTCTTGCCTTCAAGTTGACTGCTATGTCACAAATCAGCGTGTCCATTGTCGCAGCCCAATTGGAATATGGGCCGAACGGGCAAGTATTAGACGACATAAATCCCGGCCCACGCATTGAGCATCAGCATCCCGGCATCGGCCGGCACCGGCTCCACCGTCACTGTTTTGGCAAGGGGAAATTGGTTCTGGAACGAGATACCCCACGTTATCAATCTATCAGCCTCATCCAATGAGATGCCACTTCACCACCATGTGCCTGCCATGCTTCCTATTTCCAACATTCATTTCGGCAAAATATCGTCTGACCCATGGCCAGTCATTACAATGGCTATTCGATACTCCGTACCCGTATCCGTTTATGCATGTATAATGGAAGCGAACCGTAGCGGGATGTATGCCTGGTAGTATAGGATGCATGGACTATAAAGTCCCATTCATCTCTCTCTGGGGAGGCTCGTCTTCGATCACCATACAGCTTACCTTCTCAAAATGTTGAATCTTTTGACATCCGGATTGGCCTTGGCCTCTTTGGCCTCCGCAGGCTCCAGCGGGCTCCCCAAGTTCGGCGAGAAGCAATTCTCCCAGTCCTTCCTCGATGGATACAACCTGTTGAAGCACATGGGTAGTTTCGCTCCTTACTCCGATCGTGCTTCGTACGGTGTGGACCGAAACACTCCCGAGGGATGCGAGGTTGATCAAGCGCATATGCTGATGCGTCACGGCGAGCGTTACCCCGACGCTATCTTTGCTGAAGGCTATGTTGAGGTGTTGGAGAAGATGCGGAAGTCCAAGGTCAAGACCTGGGCTGGAGACCTCGCTTTCTTCAATGACTGGACTTACTATGTTGAGAATGAGGGTTTGTATTCCCAGGAATCGACTACCGGTCCGTATGCGGGTCTGCTTGATGCTTTCACTCGCGGCAGTGAATACCGTCTTCGCTATGGTCACCTTTGGGATGGCGAGTCCGTTGTCCCTATCTTCAGCTCTGGCTATGAGCGTGTTATTGAGACTGCTCGTTATTTCGGTCGGGGCTTCTTTGGATACAACTACTCTACCAGTGCTGCCATGAACATCATTCCTGAGGCTGCTACTCAAGGAGCTGATAGTTTGACCCCGTCGTGCTCGGCTGATTCGAACTACTACACCTGCTACGCGGAGCGGTTCTACAAGACCTTGCCCCCGTTGGAGGTTGCTGCCAAGCGATTCAACTCTCAAAATCCTGGACTGAACCTCACTGCAAGTGATGTTCTCCAATTGATGGGTAAGATTTGGTTAATCCTTGCTCTTGGCTCTAATGCTAATATTCATCACAGAGACTGCGGCGTTTGAGCTCAATGTCCGTGCTTCTACCCCATGGGCTGATGCATTCACTCTCGATGAGTGGGTGGCCTATGGCTATATCTGGGATATGGCCTACTACTACTGCTTTGGGTAAGTTGTTCTCTCTACGCTTTCAACATTCATGACTAACCATGTGTCCTATAGAGCTGGCAGCGAGTACCAGACCGCCGCAGGTCAAGTTTATGCTAACGCCACCCGTGTCCTGATGGAGTCCGGCCCCAAGGCTGGAAAGATGTTCTGGAGTTTGTGAGTAAACCCTACTTTTCTCTCTCAAAGCCTATTCTAATAGCCACCCAGTGCCCACGATGCCAACATCACTCCTGTTATTGCCGCCTTGGGAATTGACGTCCCCGAGCACCATCTCCCCAACAACACCATTCCATTCCCTAACCCATACCGCGTGGCCGATATCGTCCCCATGGGTGGTCACCTTACCCTGGAGCGTATGACTTGCAACGCTACCGCCACGAGCAAGGCCGGTGTCTACGTCCGTGCCATCCTTAACGAGGCCGTTGTGCCTTACTCGAAGTGCCAGAGTGGACCCGGTTACTCGTGTCCTCTCACTAAATTCTCTGCTATCGTCGACAAGGCTCCTAAGTTCGATGAGAAGTGTGAGACTCCTTCCTCGTACCCTCAGTACTTGGACTTCTTCTGGAACTATAACACTACCAACGAGTACAATGACCAGTCTGGCCCTATCGCATACCAGGTTACTGATATCGACGTTTGAGTGGTTGGTTATTTCGATGCTCTCTTTGAGCGGATGGTTGTCTTTAAACTGTATGGGTGTATAATAGTTATTCTAGAGGTTAATAGAGCTTACCTTGCTTGGTGGATATATACAAATGAAGAAAATACTCAAGGGCATTATATGGCTGACTTTTGAGTGCCCACAAGCACACCAAGCTTGCATTGAAATACTGCTTATATCAAGACCGTCGCACCCGCACGTAACCTTCCATTGGAATGTTACAAAAGCGGCGGGGCCTATATACACACAGTAGGCAGGAAGGCCCCACCTGGAGCCATTCCACTCAGCTCCACGGTTTCGGCATACTTTAAACTGGAACTGTTGGTCGTACCACAAAACGCTAATTATCCTAGGATTTCTACCGTCGAGGACTGAGTGATATTTCACCAAAATAAAACACGCTCACAACCACTACTGCAGTCTGCAATGTAAATTCTGTTTAGCCCTAAGTAGGACGAAAAGAGGTCGCCTGATCTGTCTCAATGAGCATGACTAACATGAATAGTAGGAAAGCGTCTCTTATGGTGTAACCTTCGCTGCTAATAGGGAAAGTTCCCTTGATCTGATCTTCAAGGACCAAGCTGACGAAAGATGAGTCCCACGATTTACAACAGTTTCACGCTTTCAAGAGGTCGTTGGGACCCGCAAGCCTTTGAATCTCGTCTAATATCGAAACGAAAGCTTCGATTATTCGATTTTGTCTCATCGATAGATCCATGGTAACATTATGACATTCCTTTGAGCTTTCCTAATATACAAGAGAATTTTTATGCCAGACACATGATTTCATTTTCTCTCTTCTCTATCTAGTCTATCACTAGTTGTGTACCAGCCTGCTCGCCCCTGCCTCTGTATGAATGATGGTATCTCCTATGATGGGTGTGAGAATATTTCCCTTCTTCGTGATAGTTCCTATTACCTTTTCTGCCTAGCTAGGTTCCTTTTCCTGGGAGGAGACCCTCGGTGTTGCAGATGTCGTACCGCTGCTTCATACGTTTTGCCTTTAACGAGGCCTAGTATCATTTGGTGCTGGTTGTCCATATCCGGTCTAGTCTTTGCAGTGAAGGGTTTGATGTTCATCGGATTGCTGCTTTATTCTCTTTGTTCTCTTGGTCTACTTTACTTTCTGCACCCAGCATTAGCAAGCAGTCAACAAGATGTAACGCCAAATGAATGTTCTTAGGTTACACGCAACCCTGCTGCGGCGAAGAACATTAGGCTTTTTGTATTCTGATTTCATTTAACTGCTTGTTAATGCTAAACACAGGAGAGGGACAGCAGGCCAAGAGAACAAAGAGGATAAAGCAACGTCCTCAAGGCACCCTTGTTTAAAGGACTTGAAAAGATTTTTGAGAAAGCAAGAAAAGAATCGAATCACAAAACTATGATGAGTATTATAGAAATATACATTCTATGGACATTGTCAAGACATTTCAACAATACTTGGCTCCAACCTGGTACAAAGATAGATCTTGCAGATAAACGAGAACATAATCATATTCTCGACGTAGGCCAGCTCAGCTATACTTATCAATATAGTAATTTCGCGGTCCAGCTTTATAATTTCCAAACTCATCGTGGGTGAAGTTTCTCATGACGTCACGTCGACAATACAGTATATCCGTCCCGACGGAAGATGAGTTTCACGGTGAACGATAATCAGGGCGGTTATCCGGGCTGCCATTGAACCTTAAATGACCATGGCCCTTTTCAAGATTAGGTCTTTTCTCCGGTCCAGAGAGGTCTAGTCTATTCCGACTAGTAGGAACTGTTGCCACAGACTCGGAAATACGGCTGTACGTAATCCATCTCGGATAAAAGTCTTATGTCATTCTAGTATGAGATCCAGAAAATTATAAAGTATATGACCCGATGGAAAACTTGGAATACCTGATATAAATTGGAATCTTTACAGGACATTCAATTTGGATTCTCTGCCAAGCAACCATTTGCATAGAACACAATCTCCTGTTCGGGTTACAGCTTGAGTGACGAGTCCCGCAGGACCTACTTCACCATGGAGACCTTGCGCGACACTGCATTCGGCAAGCTGGTCCGCTTAGCCACTCGGACAAAATTCATGCAGTATCCAGAAGAGAAAGATTCTTCTGTTTGGACCGAATACCTCAAGACGGAAACAAAGAATGAGGCAGAATCCTCGATGACAGAGACCGAATCCGGGAACAATGAAGATCTGGAGGCTTGCGGTATCTATACGGTCATTTCTCAGGCCTCATCTCGGCCCCGAAGGATGTCTTCTGCTTCAACAATTGGAAGTGAAAACCAGTCTATTTTAATTAGTTGGCGAGGGGCTGATGATCCGGAGGTGAGTCGCAGCTGATTCGTTGCCAGAAAGAATGAATCACCAACTGACTTACCTAGAACCCGCAAAACTGGAGCACCAAAAAGAAATACTTTGTCAGCAGCTTGATTTGGTTTTTGACGTTCGCCATCTACGTCGGCTCTGCAATTTATACACCAGGTATCCCTGGCGTCGAAGAGCAATTTGGAGTAAGCAGTGTCGCTGGCACTCTTGGACTAACACTATTCGTCCTTGGTTATGGGCTCGGTTCGTCAATACATCCTCCTCCCCGAAGTAATTCTAACAATCCCCAGGACCAATGGTCTGGTCACCATTATCCGAGATCCCCATGATAGGCCGAAGTCCAACATACGTCCTAACACTTTTTGTATTCGTGTTCTTCAATTTCGGCGTCGTCTACGCCAGAAACTTCGGCATGCTTTTAGCATTCCGATTCTTAACAGGTTTCATCGGTTCGCCAGCCCTAGCAACCGGCGGAGCATCAATGGGCGATATCTGGAGCCCCAAGGTCCGTGACTACATGATCGGAGTTTGGGGCATGTTCGCGATCTCAGCGCCGGTTCTAGGACCCATGCTGGGAGGCTTTGCTTTCGCGGCTGAAGGTTGGACCTGGACCATCTGGCAACTGATATGGGTATCGGGCTTTGCATTCGTTCTACTGTTCTTCGGACTGCCTGAGACATTTGCGCCGAATATTCTTGCCAGGCGTGCGAGGCGGGTTCGTCGTATTACTGGGAATTCGCGATACATGTCGGAGTCGGAGATCGAGATGAAGGAGATTAAACCGCTGGTATGTTCAAACCAACACCAACATCAAGACAGACTGTGACTTCATTGCAACATAAATGCTGACTTGGAATCCCAGGATCTTCTTTTCGAATCCCTTGTTCGCCCTTTCCAACTCTGTTTTCTTGAACCCATTGTCTTCCTCCTGAACCTTTATATCGCCCTCATTTACGGTATCCTTTACATCTGGTTCGAAGCCTTCCCAATCGTCTTCTCCGAAATCCACTCCTTCAACTCCGGCGAAAGCGGTCTAGCCTTCATGGGTATCCTAGTCTCAACAGTCTGCATTACGATTCCAGCGTACTTTTACTGGAAATGGAAGTACCAATCACGATACTTCGATGCTAATGGCAACATCGCACCAGAATGGCAGATGCCACCAGCCTGTGTAGGCGCATTCGCACTGCCGATTTCACTCTTCTGGTTCGGTTGGACGGGTAATTTTGCTAGCGTGCATTGGATTGTGCCGATTATTGCTTCGATGTTCTTTGCTGTTGGGGGTTGTTTGATTTTCAATGCCATCTTTTGCTACCTTGCGCATGCCTATCCACGATATGCGGCGAGTGTACTTGCGGGTAATGATTTCTTGCGATCTTCCTTTGGGGCTGGATTTCCGCTTTTTGCGTCGGCTATGTTTCATAATTTGGGAGTTGGATGGGCTTGTACTTTGTTGGGATGCCTGACTGTTGTCTTTGTGCCGTTCCCTTTCATTTTGTTCTTCATGGGGAAGAGGATTCGGTTGGCGAGCAAGTATGCTCGGCATGATATTTGATGTTGCATTTGTCTCTTTGGCGAAATTAACTTTATACCCTAGTTGGACTGAACGAATTTAAGAGAATTCCTTCGCACATCTCAACGGCAATGATAGCAGTGATGCACGAAAGGAGAGAGTATGAGAGATATAATAGTTATAGGATTGACAAGTAATTAAGCTGAAGTTGCTCATTTTCAGCCCATACTGACACGTGGATATTCCGGCAAGCGCCCCTCTGATTGATGCAAGAAAGACAATATCATGAACAAGGCAACAATGCTCCTTAGGCCGACGAGAACAGATAAATATTAATCAATAATTACCTCAGTAGTCCATAGGATATCCATTATTACTGTTGTTGCCGCCCTTGTTTTCCTGCATCCCATCGTAACCATTGCTGTAGTCATCTAGTGACTTGTAGTAAGGGTTTGCGCCTCCATCGCGGCCGCCACGACCCCGGCCCCGACCGCGTGTAGCGTTGCCGCGACCTCTTCCGTTACCACGTCCTCGCCCACGGTAAGAGCCTCGGCGAGAGTTATTATCATCGTACTGATTCCGATTCTCCCCAGTAGGCCGTGAATACGGATGGAAGCCGTGGGAATGAGAGGATGTCTCGTGGTTTGTGTTGTGAGTATTCTGCTGGTGAGGAACTTCTTCATAATGATCTTGGGGCTGGCGTTTCTTAGAATGCTTAGGCCCTGTTGGAGGCCCACTTCTCTCGTCATCTTCAACACGAAGTATGACTTTTTCTCCAACAACGGTGTCAAATCTCAGGGCTTGATTGGAAGGAACAGGTTGCCAGTTCGTGATTCTCGATGCCTCGACTGGGCGAGCACCTTTACGAACGGCCAGTACAATCAGAGGTACTGGGTTCTCCGAGAAGACCTGTTCAGTTGACGGTATAGTTGCGACGCGGGCTGCGAAAACTCTATTTTCGAGCACTGCCGTTCCAGTGATCTGCCAGCTTACTTTCTTGCCAAGGCCACCAACCTTTTCCAGGATGGAGTGTGGGGCCGGGCGAGGCGTGATCAGGATATTGTTAGCCATGTACTTGATATCATTCGACTCGGCAAGTCCATTGGGAAGAAGTGGGTTCAACACTTCTTCGATCATACGCTTGGAGTCCTCTTGCGATATTAGATATCCCGTGTAAATGATTGTGCGCTTAATACGCATGTAGCGCCGGGTTGAGAATGTCTTGTATCGCCCTAAGGACGGATTGCGGACAGCAAGGTTGTGCGAATTGATCATGCGCTGTACTTCGGCAGCTTCGGTTACTGGATCAAGCAAGGTAGCGGACTCGATTACCTGGAGAACCTCGGCATTGATGGGCTTTCGGGAAGCAAATTGCCCGGATTGTAGCTTCCTGTTCATGTCCTCAAAATGATCACGGAACCCTTTGACACTGGAAGCAAATCAATACAGGAAGGCTCGTTCTGATCAACAAGGCCATGAACTTACTGCTTGGGTCGGTCTTCATACACTCGAATTTCATCAGCCTGATCGTAAGTGAGGACGAGATCTTCGAGGAAGGCATGTTTAAATGCAGCAGTCGAGGCAAAGCGTTCTCCATTGGGGCCAACTTCTGGTTTCAGACCCACCAAGTCGAAATCTAGCTTCTGGGTTGCCACCATACGCTTTATGAGCTCCCCAAAGCCAGCTTCATTTCGACCAGTCAGGAGCACTGTAACAGCATCCTTCTGCTTCATGCTGAGCTTCACCAGATGGAGCTACTAGTGGTTAGTAAAGATTTCATTTGTGCTGGCGCCATACGGTAGCCTCACAATATTTTCATTCCACCAACCATTCCATGCTCGTGCTTCCTCCTCTTCCAAGCCTTTTCCTGTAGCGGAGAGAATATTTGGATCGTGCCACCATCCGCCATTGGCAAAATGAGTTTCTGATTGCAGATGACCGATGGTACTTCCATGCCAAAGTTGTGGGTTCGGTAACGGACTGAGGAACACTGGAAAGGCAGAGAGTCAGTATTTCACGTCGCATAAAACTTGACGAGGAATCACTGACAAGTATTATCGAAATCATACACGTGAATTGCTTTGATTTGAGAAACAGCTGTGACAGGAACATGGTTAGCTGGAGTGTTTACATGAGTTAGGGAGATGTTCTCGCACCAGGTAACTCCGTATTCACGACGGACCATCGCTTTAATGATGTCAAGGTGTGCTGATGTGACTGCGATCCAGCCATAGTGTTGTATGACATGCCGGGATTCGCTTTGCGGTAGCGCGCGAGGTTCTCAGAGACAACAGCTTTAGCGGAACGCATCTGAAGTGATTGAAGAATAGAGGAAAGTTCTGCCTCGATTAGTGCATTTGGGAGAACAGCAGAATTCCCCTGGAAGGTGCGACTGCAAAGATTGACAATGTCTTCCCGACTTGGAAGTGACGTAGAGTGAATTGCACCTTGGAAGTGAGATTGGAAGCTGTGACTGCGCCGTTTTTTCTGCCGGCGAGGAGCGGGCGGTAGGGTCGCGATAAGCTCACCGTCCACGATTGGGTCCCCGAATTATTCCCAGGTTTCCTCTTCATGGCAGACGATGGGGACCTGCAACAGGAGATCCTCCAGAAAACTCTTCGGGAGGTAGGGGATGAGGAAAATGAGGGCGATCCATGTGTGATCTGTCTAGAATCTATCACCGAAGCCAGCATCGCCAAGCCATGCAACCATACCAACTTTGACTTCTTATGCCTGGTCAGCTGGCTGGAGCAACAGCCGAACTGTCCTTTATGTACGGATTCTCACAACAAGCTACTGATAGTGTGACTGATGGAAAGACAGGTAAGACTCAACTCACCTCGGTCCAATATGATCTTCAAGCCCCGCAAGGCCCCAAAACATACAATGTGCCTCTCCACGATCGATCCGGACAACCACCCCGAGGTCCTGGCCAAGGCCGTGGTGGGTTTACCGGAACTCGAGGAGCACGACATCGGCGTCAGCGACCCCATTTACAGCAGCAGCCATCGTCCCGAGACCCACTCGCGACACGCCGCAACGTTTACCGTAACAATTCATATTCCCTCCGCGTGGGGTCAAACCGTTTATCACAATATAGCGAGGTGACACCAGAACACTTTAACCGAGACGAGTCGCTGGTATCGCGTGCACGGAAGTGGATCCGGAGGGAATTGCAGGTCTTTACTTTCTTGAATCCAGAGGCGGACACAGACGAAGACCGTGGCCGAGGCCGATTACCTCGTCCTGGCACTCAACGACTCGAGGACCGAAGGGCCAACAATGCAGAATTCCTACTCGAGTATGTAATTGCGATTCTGCGCACCGTTGATATCAAGGGTAGTGCCGGTCAAGCCGAGGAGCTATTACGGGACTTCATTGGACGGGATCATGCTCGCTTGTTCCTACATGAGCTGCTAGCGTGGTTAAGAAGTCCATATGTGTCCTTAGAAGACTGGGACCGCCATGTACAGTATCCGAGGCTAGCTCAGAGCTCTACTAACCGGGATGAGCGAGGGCCCGGTCGTCGGGATCGTCCAGCTCGCGGCCGAAGTGCTTCTCCGGCTCGAGAGGCTGATAGAAGCTTGTTTGATCGGATCACAAGGCCTGAGACTGGATCAGCTACAATACCTAGAGAGGCACGTCCACGATCTCGGCCGTACAGCCGTCACTCTAGACCACCGCGACACTTGCTTGATCGATATATCCCAGATTAAAGTTTTAGATCTGAGCCTTTGTACTATAGAGTTAGAACCGTTAGTGTTAACATGACTACCTTGTAATCGTAGTATCATCTCGCTTGAGCCATACTATTCCAAGAGCTGGAAATGAATGCGGTGCAAGTATTGATTTGCTGGGTGATATTATATATGCTTAGTATTGATGCAGTCGTCATGTCATTAAACAATGAAAGAACATTGTCCTCATCGCCTGCGAAACCGCCCACCACCACGAGTCCCTCCTCTATTCCTGATCTTTAGTGATCTATAATTCGCATGGGCTTGAGGGTTGATCTTGCGGTCCCGAGGCTTCTTCTCTTTCTCTGGTTCTTCTGGCTTTGCAGAAGGCTTGATAGGAGCTTCCGGGGCAGTTGGCTTAGCCATCAAAACCGCCTCCTTAATGCGCTCCGAGAAACTCTTCGGTCGAGGCGGAGGTTTAGCCTTCTCGCCATATTCAGGGTCACCGTCCGAGTCCACATCGGTATCTCCCTCGTAGTCCGATCCAGGTTCTGAATTGGAATGGGGAGAGGTAACATCATCATGGTCATCTTCGTCCTCCTCGTGAGCATTCATAGCTTCCTTGGGCCCTTCGGGAATCTGTGTCTCCGGGACCGCAGCCAGTTCGTCATCACTCTCTTCGTACAACTCTGGATAAAGCTCCTCTTGTATCTTTGGCTTGGAGATAGCTGGTCGGATATTGACCCTTCTTGTAGTCCGCTTTTGACCCTTCTTTTTATAAGGTTGTTGCTTGTCCGCTACGGGGCCCTGGCTTTCAGGAACATCGAAGTGGAACCCTTCTTGCTCTTCCTCGATCTCGCGGAGCATATCCCACTCATCTTCCATGCGCTCTTCTTCCATTTCCCGAAGACCTTTAACCAAATGTGATAGTCCCCGTCCAGCGAACTGGCGCGGTTTCCGAGATGCAATGGGACTAAGACCTGGTCCCTCGTTTGTAGTGGGCGCAGGATACCGGCCGGAGTTAGAGCGACGCAGGAAAGAAGGTGTTCCTGATGGGTTTGAATGCTGGGAGCCTGCAGGCTCCGTTTCCTGAGGATGGCTTTCTTGGGGGGCGTTGTTATCCTCGGCCTCAACCATGGCTGCATAGCGCATCGTCGTAGGAGTCGCAAAGAGATTCGCGAGGTAGAATTGCTTAGTTGAGGAGGCTGGTGTGCGTGAGAGTCGTGATGTTTCCTCCTCTTCTTCCTCTGGCACCTCGGCGATGGGATCAAAGAGCTTTGGTTTAGAAGGTGTTCGGAATCCTGCCGCTAATACATCCTTTTGTCTTTTGGCTGATGGAGTTGCCTGGCTGCCACCAGACTCGGACAGCATGTCGAACAGCCCGAGAGCCTTTCCATCGCGCTGTGGCGTAGGCCCAATGGCAGGTTTCAGAGGCGACGGTGCTGGTAAGCTCTGTCGATGGGTGCTCGGACTGAACAATCGACGAAAGGTGGACGGTGAGTCGTAAGGGTCTAATTGAGCGGGATGGATCTGCGCGTTGCGATTGTGAGATGGGGTCGCAAATAGGCCCCTGCTTGATTTGCGTGGTGTCGTCTCAATACTTTTGTGCGACGGCCCTGTGGGAGAGGTATGTTTTCTCTTTCTAGGGGAGCCTTGTGGGCGATTTTCGCGTCGGGTAAGTGCAGCCTCGAGATTTTTGAGTCGCCCATACTCCTTGTACTTTGCAGCTAGAATGACAGATGTGGATCAGTGACTGGTTCCATTTTTATCCAGTCATTTTGAATGTATCGCGCCTAGTCAGACGTACCAATGTCCGGTCTTTGTTTGATATCCTCTCGACCAGCCTTTTTCCCGTCATGTGCCGTTGCAAATTCTTTCTCCCATACTTTTAATTCTGCTCGAACAGCGACAGCTTGCGCTGCGACTTCGTCGCGAGATTTAAGGGTTTGGTCGGCCATTGTTGTGAGAATGTGGCGCAGGCACGGAAGAGAGTTGATGATACGCGGAACGCGAAACCAAATCAATTAACGCGGTGACGTCGCGTGCTCGGCCACACTAGCAAATTACTACTTTCATATTTCCCCCCTCGCACCCACCCATACGAATAGGAATGAGAATTGTAACATGCTATCACTGGTAGCCAACAGACAATTATAGCAGAATTGATAAAATCATATCCCTGAATGGAAAGTCGCAGTGCGTTTGCAGTTGTTCATGTATGACCTCATGCCTATTTATATGTTGATCTCATCTTCGTCCTCTTAAGAAGACATTACGCGGTTAACTAATGGTAGTGTGGCATTTTGTAATCGATTAACCTAAATTCTTTATATGACTTTGTTTAGTAGATCATTGTAGTGCGGCAGGAGGAACAGACTGTGCTTAACTTCATTAGAATCAATATTTCTAGATACCTATATATTGATGAACATAATTTGGGCGATCTGTCCGAACCTAGCTTTTGGGGACTATATTATGACTGGAATCATTGTTTTGGGAGGATTTGCTGGTTTCTGAGGCCCCTCGGCTCTATTCTGAGGTCTGAAGAAGCCTAATGAGCATCAGGCACAATGATACCGTTCAAGGTCTAAAGCGACGACATTCAGGCCATGGATATATACGGACGGTCACCAATGCCGCGTGAACTTTTCTTCATTGAAGGTGTTGACATTGTTATCGGACTTCATCATACGAACTCCCTGCTATCCACAAGCTGAAACCTAGGGGCCCTTTGTGTCCCTGCCCTAATTCTCGTGAGGAAGTTGAAATCCGTAGCTTTGCCTTAGTACGGAGCTCTCTAGTGATGAAATTTGAAAGATGAAGTTTTACTCCTCTAACGTGGATGCACCAAACGCAGAAGTAACGAACACTGGATCTAAGGGATATTCTAAGGTGGATACGCAAAGTTCATGGGAGCTATATTTGATGTTCATGCTATTGATGTCTGAATTCTTATCAATGCATGGATAGCACATACACCGGTTTTCCAAGGTTCATCCTGATGGATGGGGCGACATAATTCAGAATTATTAATACATTGAGGCGGTATCCAAAGGCTTAGGCGCATAAATTAAGTTTGCTTGTATACAAGATAGAGTGTGAATTGGGGAAATCGAAAGACACGAAGGTCGGGAAACAAAGGGGGGACGCTTAAATAACGTCAAAATTTGCTGGGTCAAGAGAGAGATCAAGCTACGTACTTTACGCAAAGGTTGGAATGTGCCTCCTGCGGATTCCCTAATGGCCGATCATCTAAGACTAGTACAAAGATAGTAGATTACTGCAGTTTGCAGATTAGTGAGTCTATGATCTACACACACTAATGATTATTCATGCTACGTGCTACATAGTGTGTAGTACATAAGACTAGTCAATCTACAAGGTCGCACAGACTTTATAGAAAAATCTTTTATAGAATAGACCTTTACTAGACATTGATCATCTCTGCATGTTCAAATACATTCTCACTGCTCAATACTTACACAATTCAAGTAACTACCAATAAAGATCTAGCAGAGGGGCTCAATAGCGTCGTAGGTAGCGCTGCGTTGTATGACGGGGGTTATCAAATCGCAAGGGGGTGGAAAAAGCATATTCGTATACATTTTTGGGGATTTCCAAATGTTGCAACGAGGCAATCCATTTATGTAACGCAGTGATTTCTGAAAGTGCTTAGCTCCCACAGTAAGCTTGATTTAGAGCACGACTGCGTGTGTCTAATATCTTCTATCTTCCCATCTGCCTGGGGCCCCCTATCTCATGCTCTGCAGCGCTGCCTTGTGAGAAGCACGCATACGTAATTCTACGGCGACTCTTTAAGTACTGCGGGAATAATAAGCTGACTTGTGAACTGTTTCATAAATATGGTTTAAAAAAGCAAATGGCATTTGAGCGGAAACAGTCTGTAGTTGACACCTTTGACAGCCAATCTACATCTCTATGTACTCCACTTATGTGCGTATAATCACAAATAACCACGCGATCTAATAATACTTATTGAGAAAATCTCGGGTATCAAGGCATGGTTGACTTTCCGGCTTTGGCCTTCCTCGCTGAAAAGCCGATAAAACATTGTCGAAAGTAAGAATGGTAACATGGGCCGCAAGTACCCTCACCAACTTGTCAACCCCCGCGCACGATCAAAACCACCCCGCAGCTGCGACTCAGGATGAACAACCTTACCCTGAAGCAGAGTGTATTTCACCAACCCTTCGCAATGCTCAGGGCGGACCCGCGCCAGCCAAATCATCTGCTGATCTTTTTTTCGGTAAATAAGCACATTAGCTGAGAACTTGTGGCCCCCAACATGGGAGACAAAGAAGATCCCCGCGCCACCCGGTCGCGTGTCATCGGCATCGCGGTCCAACCCAAGAGGACGAAGGTGGCGCTCAAGTTCACGCTTGATAAGTGGAGCTGTGATTCCACAGCGCGCGTCTCGCCGGCGGTGCGAACATAGGAGGATCACGTAGTCTAGTTCACATGGGCGGGCGGTCATGCCGGATGCCGAAATGGCAGTGGATCCGTTTTTTTCATCGCTAGGATTGTCGATAAATCGATGGACCAAGTCAGGAACGTCTGCTTGGGACACGGAATCCACGAAGGTGAATGATGGCAAGATAAGCACTGTAGTGGGTTTGGTGAGGTCTTGCTCCCCGGAATGATCTGGTGTTGTCAGATTGGAGGCGGAGACCATCAGACGCTGGAAGAGTGTTAGCTTTCATTCATTTCATATCTGCGATTACCACGTACGCCTAGTTTGGATTTTGCGGAAGACTGGTCAAAGGCCTCCATTAGGGATCCATGTTCATGCCCGACCTTCTCCTTCCAATCAGATCGGCCTGTCGCTATGAGAACGTGGGCTTGGATTTCTTTAATATGGCCGTAGAGCGGCCTTGAATTTTCGATCTTGACTTTCGAAGGGTACTCAATAGTGCAATCTGCACAGTCTTTGAGGCAGTCAGGGCCATCCTTCGCGGGATCCACTTTGGGAAACAGATAGTCCGGTGTGCGACCAAAGGACAGAATTGATTTTAACATGGCGACGGGATTTCGTAAGATGGTGAGTTGGTGAGAGTGAGCTTGTGAGATGGGCGCAGGGTTCAAGAGAATGATACAGCAAGAGCATTTTGTTGAGGGTTGTGGCTGCCTACGGTAGTTATACTGTCTAAGTCCATTGAGTATCTCCGAGGGATCTCGCTCCGAACCGTTAAGCCCGACGCGGCTCCGATCTGATCCCTGTAACATGACCCGAAGGAGAAACTGAGTGCCCGCGCCAATCATGTGGTCTCGATCTTCGTACTACTGTATGTTTCTCCTCCACCTGCAGTATAATCCTGGGGAGTACGGAGTACATTCGTACAGAGGAGCAAAACAGTCATAAGTTTGCATTGTTTCCATTCCGTGGGAAATCGTTTTATTAAGTTTCAAGTGTTTTCTTATATCGACTACGGGGATGGAATTACGGAACAGGGAGAGACCATCAGAAAGGACTTGGAAAATGAAGAGATGACCGATCGTGGATTCAGCTTGTGGGATCAGTGGGCATCCATAGGCAGGTCACGTGACCATGTCTGCGATATCAGATCTGGTGTGTGTTGGGTATAAAGGGACTGCCAAGGGAGGAGAATCGTGAGGCTTGGTTTTAATAATAGCTGCGGGGTCTCACTTGAGTCAAAACTGTTTCATCTGAAGCACCACTTCTTCATGACGGAGTAAATCGGGCCAGCCCAGTCAGAATCTTCTAAGCCTGAGGCTTCCCTAGAGCAACTCATTTTGGACAGAAACACATCATGCCCCATATCTTCAAGGATGTATCCACTGATATGCAAATCAATGGAGAGGCCAACTAATCGCCTTGGACGCGTTGGCGTGGTCGGACACACTTACCGGATCGGGTAAATACCAGGGTGGGCCATACCACGTAAGCCGGAGCAAGTCATCCCTCTAACTCTTCAAGTGAAGAGTTCGGGGCATGCTTCTTAGCTATTCAATCACCATTCAATAGCCCAGAATGGAAGAAGTACATGACTTCGGTGCACAGCCAGACCGGCCGCGCAAAAGGCGCCGTCGCACCATGGCATGCACCCAATGCCGCAGTCGCAAATTGCGCTGCGACCGGGAGTATCCCACATGTGGCCGCTGTCTAAAAAGCAGAGCGCCCACCAAGTGCACCTACGAAGATGGCTTCTTGTGGCAGCAGCCCACCACGGTGTCGACAACTGCATTTGCTTCGGACCGAGGATCCACTCTAGGAATGCCCCAGACAGATCAGAATCTCCAGACGCCCCCGGACTCGGGTTTAGGGGCGCCGTCGATTCGGTCGGAAGCACTCGTTTCGACAACCCTGCCCGACTCGGGCCCAACCCCCTCTGATGGTCCGCGCCATCCTCGCAGACATGGCCATGGGAGGGAGCGTCGCGATTGTTTCTTGGAAACTGTTCTCGGTGCGCCTAAAGCTGCCGTTAATCAGGAGCCTTACGTGAATACAGGCCTCCTGCAACGCCCGAAACGTGTGCTGCCTGAACCCGAGGCGGACTCTTCAGCGCAGGTCAATAGCGAGAATATTAATGGAGTTGGCCTCGATAACCCCTTGTCTCCGTCCCATCAGTTGGACCTTCAGCCTCGCATTATGATGAGGGGTCGCGAGACCAAGACCCGCTTCAGCGGCTCCGGAATCTATGCCAATTTGGTGGCACAAGTGTGTTCTCCTGTCAAATGAGTCTACAATCGCAATTTCTCTGAATACTGACCTGGATCTCTAGTTCCCTGACATCAGATCTTTCGCCGAGGAAATCCGTCTGTCAAACCCGATTTTGTCTCGGGTTCGTCCGGATCTGGAGCGAGTCAAGCGAGGACTATGGAAGAGACGTCCACTCAATGAGCCATTCCCAGACCCAACCACAGTATCATTGATCTCCTTGCTCCCAACACGAGCTGTGGCCGATGAGCTTATAAGTCTGTATCTGACCTACATCGAATCGACTCAACGGATCATTCATGTCCCGACTTTCCTTCGGGATGTCGAGGAGTTTTGGTCTAGCTACGACAACCCTTCCATCCATTCCGCTGCATTCGTCGCACAACTCCTCCTGGTCCTCGCATGTGCGTGGAACTTTGCTGATGTGACCAGCCTCCAAGAGAAATCCCCGACGCCTCTTAGATGCTATACCGCTTTGGAGTGGGTCTTGCACGCCGAGAAATGGATTACCAATGCTCGTATCAAACGGCCTGAGATCAATACGTTACGTTTATACATCTTACTGATCACCGCACAAAATTCATTCGGCATGAAACGAAGTCAGGCGTGGATAGCCACCAGCCAGATGGTCAAGTCGGCCATGATGTCAGGGTACCACCGAGATCCGAGCAAGTATGCCCGGATATCTACTTTCAACAAAGAGATGCGCCGGCGCATCTGGATGACGATCGTGGAGCTGGACCTCCAGGTTGCCATTGACCGCGGCATGCCGCCAACTGTTCAGGCTTCTGACTACGATACCCTTCCTCCATTAAATATCAATGACGATGAGCTCCATGAAACTACCATCGAAGCCCCAGAGGAACATCCTATAGGCGATGCTACTGATTGTTCTTATCAAACTGCTCTTGGCCAATCCCTTCCTGTTCGGTTGAAAGCGTGTTCACTTATGCACTCTCCGCGACTCAGCTGCCGATACGAAGAAATCCAACGCCTCGATTGGGAGTTGACCCGGCACCTCTCCCAGATCCCCACATGGTACTCAGCTGAAGCTAGCGACCCTCTCACGCAACAAAAGGTGACGTTGTGGAAAGCCTCGATTGAGATCAAGCTGGCGCATAGCCTGCTCTCCGTGCACACACCTTTTGCTATCGAGGCCCGTCACGAAGCCTTATTTGCGCCATCTGCGCGGTCGCGACTGGATGCAGCTATCATGATTCTGTCCACGCAACGTCGACTGCACGAGACCTCGCCCATGTTATCACTGTGCATTCTTGGGGAGTGGACGCTTCATGCATTCATTTCCATCTGCCAAGTGTTGCACTCCTTAAACTCTCAAGCATGTATGACTTACCCTATGTTTCTCTATCTAGATCCAACTAAAGATACTGATATTTTCTCTAGCGAGTGCCGCCTTCTCAACATCCTCCACCTTTCAACTTGCCGCCCTACCAGGCTTTCCCGACTCTCTCATGTCGCTCGTCGAGACCGCACTCATCGCCCTGGAAGTCCGGTTTCTGTTGGTCGTCAAGGGCGCCAAGGACTATTTCTTCCTTTCGACGATCGGCGCGTTAGTGAAAGCGAAGCTTTGGCCAGCCCAAGCAATGATGTACAAGCAGCAAGTGGTGGAGCGAGTGCTATCCTTTGCCCAGACGCTGTTCCAAAGACACGCGACCTGCGAGCACCTTGGGTCTCCGGGTATGGGTAACTTCAAAGACAACCAAGTGGTTGCTTTCCTTGCAACTCCCGGCATGCCACCGGTCATGACCTCTGATTTCAATGGCATCCTTCCACCGCCCAATCTTGGCGTTACGGTAAGTCGATAATCTAAAGCCGATCGGAGTTATTAGTACTGATTTGAATTTTCCAATAGCCGCCTGGAGATTTCGATCCCTTTTTGGATGTGTTCGATTGGGATGATCTGGCCGGAATGCCGATTTAATGTAGTGCAGTGTACGATAATGACGATTTGAGTGGATCTTTATTTGCTTATTCAAATCTATATCCCATGTATTGTTTCAAGTCAAGTTCTCGTTTGCGATGATAATTCAGTACATCATTGCCATCTTTCCAAGCTCGTGAGGGTCTCTCGTCATGACCCGTCATGGTCATTCCTCAAAACATGATCAGGCGAGCTCTCGGTCCAGGGGTCCACAGTGAGATCATGATCAGAGCGACGATCAGATCAACCTGCAAGGGCAGACAGAGTTGCAAATCCCCATAGTGACCTGCGATCAGGCCTTCAAAAAAAAAAAAAAAAAAAAAAAAACACTTCAAACTAGGACCACTAGTTTGTGGAATATTTATAGCTAGAGCCTTGCGGTTGAAGATTATGCCCAGTGGATACACAAGGCTTATCATGTCTTTTGGCCCCGGTACAGGTGGGGCCGTGAATATGGACGCCTGGTGTAACGCTCGAGTCTAAGCGAAGCAAAAACCATCAAGTGCCGGCAAAAAAAGCCACGAAAGCTTTAATTGATTAAGCGACCGCCCGCAGCGGAAAGATAACGACATTTTCTCCGTGAATTATGAAAAGGGGATAAGGAGGAGTCCTTTAAACCCAATCGCTACAATCGGCCCAATCACGAGTGGCCACTTCAATTCCCCTGCGTGATGCGACCGAGGCCTGTGACAGGCTGTACTCACTGCCACTAATATAGGAGCACTTGGGGGACCCTTGGTGGGGTCAGCACGGGAGGTACTCTAGCGGTACTTGGCAGTCGCCGCTACGGGGCATAACGCAGCAAGTACACAGCTAGTACCGGCCCCCCAAAAATGGCAGCCTAACAAACGGACTTCTTGCCCCTAAAAGACTTGGCTTCTGTTTAGCCTCGATCGACGCGGGCGGGACCCTGCGGATTGGAACAAGTTGAAAGGCTCTAGACAAGGCGGGCTGTGCTTTTTTCTTGGTTTTTCTTTTTTAGGCCCTTACTTATTGCCATGTGTCTCCCTGACTTTTTTCCACCTCTAGTTCTTACTATTTACTTCAATCCTTCCGTTAATGTCTATCGTTAAGCGCTTTACTTGAATTGCTATTATAGAGCACAGCATGTGCTCGCCCGCCCGATAACACTTGACAACTGATTCCACGGCCAAAGGCCCAACCAATTCCAGGGTTTGCGCGCAACGCACTTAAAATCGCTCTCTCAAACTATACAATCTCAACGTGATCATTGTGTACATATTACTCGACAAGCGCCTGCCAGGGGAAAAGAAAACACGCGACAAAGGCCATCCCCGCCGCGCAAGAAATCAATTTATTTTAAAAAGCACCATGCACAGCACCGGGCTTCTGACTAGCCTAACCCTGCTGCTTACACTGGTGACAGCGACCCCATCATCGCAACCAGCTCATGCGATATCCCAAGTCTACGACACAACAGACAGACTTCCACTCCCAAACCAAGGCAACATAGCCGCACACGACCCCAACATCCTCCTTTGGGAAAACTGGTACTACCTCTTTCAAGGCGGGGTAGGCATTTTAATCCATCGCGCGCAAAATCTCAGCGGACCCTGGGAAGATGTGGGCACAGTCCTCTCGGGCCCCTCAATAATCCATACGCAAAATCGCACAAGACCCTGGGCTCCGACAACAATCGAAGCAAACGGTACATTCTACTGCTACTACACACTAAGTCAGCACGGTTCCCGCGACAGCGCAATCGGAGTCGCGACAACAACCTCTTTATCTGGTGAAAGCCACGACTGGACTGATCACGGCGCGATTATCCATACAGGCAGTGGGAAAGGCTCAGATGTGCATCCGTTTTCAGTCTCGAACGCTATCGATGCATCTTTCATTAAGGATAATAGCACCGGCCAAAGCTATCTGAATTTCGGTAGCTTCTGGACCGATATTTGGCAGGTTCCGCTTGCGGATGATTTACTTTCGCTTAAAGATCCCTCGAATCCAGATGCTGTGCATTTGACTTTCTTGCCGCAGCAGAAACAGAGGCCTGAGGAGGGGTCTTGGATGAGTTTTCATGAGGGATATTATTATGCTTGGTTTAGTCATGGGAAATGTTGTCGGTTTCATAAGGGGTTTCCCGGTCGTGGGAAGGAGTATGAAATCAGAGTTGGGAGATCGACTAGTCCCAGAGGGCCTTTTGAGGATAAAGATGGGATGAATTTGCTTGACGGGGGTGGGACGGTGATCTATGCCTCAAATCATGGGGTGGTCTATGCTCCTGGTGGGTTGGGGGTTTTGGCTGGGAATGGGTCCACGCCGGATATTCTTTATTATCATTATTTGAACACGAGTATTGGGTTTACTGATGAGGTATGTGGAGAATTATGACAGATGGGTGTTGTGAAATTTTTGCTGATTATTGCAGGATGCTCGTTTGGGTTGGAATTACCTGAATTATACGGATGGGTGGCCCGTCGTGATTGACGGGAATGATATTGGGACTACGAGTGCAGGATCAATTCTTTCGGTTCCAAGTGGGATTGCGTTGGCGATGGCTATGAGTATGTGTTACTTCACCTGTTGTTGATGAATCCTTACTAATTCGATTGTAGGTTTATGGCTGTACATTTGATCATAGTAGATACCCCGTCCTGGCATTCGATACTGCGGATAGACTTGTTTTTCAGCGCATCAGCATTTATAGACGGCGTTTGGTTTGGTCCGAGCCATTGGGACCTGTCATTTAAGAGCATTCAGATAGTATCATACAAAGGCTTTGTCTTCCTCAAATGATTCTATCAAGGACGTTGGCATAAAGATAAGTCCGCACTGCCTGTCAGAAGTGGAACTAAGCAAGCCACCCGCTGTCATGCGTCATGGGTCCCAGCCTCCATCAACATTATATACCTGCCCTGTCGTATATGACGCGGCGTCACTCAACAAAAACACCACTGTCTGCGCCACCTCCTCGGGAGTTCCAACGCGAGGAATGACACTAGGCGGAACGGTCGCAGCTCCTTGAATAACAGCAGCCTGATCCAGAAGAGGTGTTTGAATAGACCCACTAACCAAATACAACAATTAGCACTCTTGACAGTCACAACTGGAACCGGTTCAAGGAATATTGACTCACGGAGCAACAGCATTAACGCGAATAGCAGGTCCTACCTCCCTGGCAACAGACCTCGTCATGCCCACAACCCCATGCTTTGTAGTCGAATACGCTGCATGCAACGGAAACCCCCTCACACCCTGAATACTTGACGCATTAACAATACTCCCCTTCCCATCAGGTGCCGTTGCCATGATCGCAAGCAGTTCCGTTCGCAGACAATACATCATCCCTGAAAGATTCACCCGCACCAACATATCCCACTCGTCATCTTCCATGTCGACGAACCGGCCTACACCGTGGTTTTTCCCGATAGCACCAGCCATATTGGCTGCGCCGTCGAGGCGTTCAAAGCGTTCCACTGTTGCATAAATCCAGTCTTTCACGGCTTTCGCTGAGGTTATATCGAGGACTGTCGTCATAACCCTTGTCGAGTCGAAGTTCGAGGCGCTCAGGGCGTGCACTGCGGTTTCTAGCGTTTTCTCGGAGATGTCTGCTAGAGAAAGGTATGCACCCAGGGCATAGAGCTGCTTTGCGACCGCAAGACCTATGCCACCGAGTCCTGTGACGGCGTAGACTTTATCTTTAACGGAGTCCATTGTTGTTTCCGGGGTCGCGGGTCTGTATATGCACAAAACTGCGTCTAAAAGACAAAATATTTCACGCTGTCTTTGCTACAAGATGGACCAACCCCGCTACAACGCTTTACCACACAGCGGGGTCGGAGCTTCTCCGTGAATTCATTACTTAATGGTTCTGTTGATTAATGTGGAGCTGTCAGACACGGGGTTAACCTACCCCGAGTATGCGGCCCCAGCCGCCCCACACGAAGCCTAAAAGCCCAGTATGAAATTATCAGATCATTTTAAATAACGCAGTTCGGTTCACGGAATAATGAATTGGCCGCGTGGCCTAATGGTGAAGGTATCCGCCTCCTATTGCAGCGTTGCATGACGCTTGTGACAGCGGGAGATTGCCGGTTCGAGTCCGGCCGTGGTCGTTGTTTTTGACCTTTTTTCTTTCTTTACATATGCTCCTTTTTTGGCTTCTGGAAATTCTCTTTCAATTGTTTTTGCATCTCTTACTAGTTTATTAATCCAAAGAATTGACTCTGAAGCTCTTCCTCTTCCATTTTAAGTATTCACTATGCTGGTGGCTTATGGAGGAATGCCCAACAGATCTGATCGCGCAAAATGCTAGAGAATTACCGAGTTGAAATCCAGGATCGAATATTGAAGAATTTGTCCCATTCGAAGCAGAATGATGCTAGGTTACGACAAATTCAAGCGTCTCAAGATCCGTCTGTGCACCGAGGACTAAATTAGACAAAAGGCCGGATTTACCAAGTGTGGTGATGTGAAGATAATGGGTGGGCATGGTCAGCCTTGTGAGGATTTTCTTCAAGATCCAATACTCAACAATTTGCCCTCCGCTCGGGTGTGCAACGGTGAATGATTACCTAGGTACCAGTATAAGACCTTTCTTGCGGCTATACATGACCAAACTACACCATCCAATGAACTTTAATGTCATTTTCACTACTACAATACAATGTCCCAAATATCAAAAGGGTATCTTAACGACTAAACAAAAGCCACTCCATCCTGCTAAACCATCAAGCTCGAAACAACCAAGCTAATCAATAACACAGTCCACGCATTCATCGACTCCGAAACCAACGATCCAACCCCCGAATCTTTCACAACCCCTCCATAGGTCACGGTCTTTGAATTCAAGCAATATGACACATCAATTGCCTGTTTCTCCGAACTTGAATTGCAAACCACCGTACAAGGCTCCGGATTCGAGTAAATCCACACCTCCGAGTGACAGCACTCCTGCAGAAGGTCCACTATGTCATCAACCAGGTTGAGTGTTTGGTATAGCGGGACCTCGGCGTAGAATTTTGGTGCGCCAGGAATTGTGGGTATAAAATCGCGGTATGGGTAACATTCTGTGGGCTGCTTGGTGTTTGCGGGGCCCATTGAGGTCATTTTGTCAGACTCGGAATGAGGGACGATGAGGCTGATCGGATGCGCTCGGGTGGTCAAGCTTGGAGTGGATCCGAGATTTTGGTTTGGGGGATCGGCATGGAGAGGGCTGAAGCTCGTTGGGGGTCTGTTGAGCGCGGAAGGTGAGACGCGACAGTGGATGTGGTGATCGGATTAAAGATTGGAATATCGATCTCGGGGAGGAAATCAGAGTAGCGCGTGGGGTACTATTTGTTAAGCTCAGGGTCTTACAGTTTGACCTCGTGCTTCCCGCATAGGGGAAATGCCAAGGCGCTACTGCTTATGGGTTGAAGCCACCACAAAGGCACCTAACCAATCGAACAACCTGAGTCAGTTCTGAAAATTCGATATACAGCCTGGGGAGCACATAGTGCGTGTTCTGAAATTATCTCAAACTGGACTGGTTTCCGTGATACACAAAGCCGATGTTCTCTTCGGGACATTACCAGACACAAAGTGCGCACCATTACTATGTTCTATCGAATCTATTCACAAGAATGAATGTTTATTTACACATGCATGGAGCGTAAACTAAAGTTTCGCTTCCCGATTAGCCCGCTTCCACATCTTCTTCCTACGCTCATGTCCGGCATCAAAATCATCCACCCATTTCTGATCAAACGGAGGCAGTCGCCGCCCAGGCATACCCTCCCCCGGCTCCCCCGCAATTCGGCGAAGCTCTTCAAAATACGCCCTGAAATCGGGATTGACCACTGTGAATGCCGGCCCATCACCTTTCTGCGCGATCCGGTCTGTCTCCCAATTCTCCTGCTCGCTTACCGAAGGCAACGTGCCCCTGCCTGCAAGGATACGTGCTGCCGCAACAGCCTGCCATTCGAATACCTTGAAGGTTAGACCTGCGCCTACGGCTCCGATGAAGACAAGGCTGGGGTCATGGCGGTAGAAGACATGCTGGTATAAATCGGGAACGCGATTACTACGTGTTGACACCTGTGGGAGGAAAGGTAGTGTCCAGGTGAAACCTGTTCCGAAGATAATATGGTCGACGTCGCTGATGGAGGTGCCATCTTCGAAATGCACAGTCCGATCTTTGGTGGTGATGCGTGAGATTGGGGCTCGGCGTTGGATTTTTGGGTGTTTGAAGGCTTCGTCGCCGAAGAAGACGTTGTAGCGGCCGCGGACTACAGCGTGGATGGGAGTTTGCGCGCTATCGATGAGACTGACTGCCGTGTCTGCGGCGGAGACTGATGCGCCGACTGTGATGACTTTCTATGTGGGTGTTAGTGATCTGACTGATGTGATGGTAGATCGACTTGCGACGTTGGGGAACATACCTTTCCTCGGTAGGTCTCTGGTCCTCGGTAATGCTTAGTATGTTCGACGCTACGAGGGTATGCTTTCGCGAACTCTTCCAAGCCGGGAATGGCTGGGATATAAGGCACTGCGTAGTGGCCTGAAGCAACCACCACCGCATCAAATTCCTCAGTCCACCAGTAATCCGATGGACTCTCATTATCGAGCTCTCTACGGCGCAGGGTCAGTGTCCATTTCTGGGTCTTGGGATCCTTGATCGCCTGCTCGACGGTCGTGTGATATTCAACAAGACCGCCATGACCTTTCTTAATTAAGAGGTCCTCGATGTACTGCCGGATGACAGTGTGATGGCGGAACGGGGTCTCCGGGCCATGACGATCAATCGACCACTGAGACCGAATAGTGGGGATCGGCTCTTGGGAGTAAGACATGACCCCCGCATCCACGTTCGTCTCCAGTCCGGGGTAGACAGGGGAGTCTGTGAAACGATCCTGCGTCACTGCCGGGGTTCGGCATGGCAGCTGGTCAGGGATCTTCAATGCAGCATCTGCGGTGCGGGCTGCTAATCCGTCAAAATTGAGTTGCCGGGGAGGCTCATCATCTCTTGAGACCCTGTCATCATTGTCAATATATATGAATTGATGTCCGATGAAACGGGGTGACAAACCAGCATCCACCAGCCTTTTCCTGGCGTTCAAAAACACGGACCACATCGAAAGCCTTCTCTTGCATTAAGGCATCAACAGCAATGGCACCCGAAGGGCCGGCGCCGATAACGGCTACACTCTTAACGCCTGACAACATGCCAATTTAGGCCCGGAGTTTGACTGTACAAAATATTGTGTAGTGTCGAAGCTGATGATTTTCAGTAAAGAGATCCTCGAGTCTCTCGGCCGAGCAGTGCAGCTTCAATATGTTGTAGGGGTGATCTGGAGAGGTAAAGTTAGACTATGTCACGCCATCGAGGTTTCTCTTGCGCAAGATCCAATCCAATCGCCGATGTTGGGTCTCAAGCATCCACAATTGGTTACAGATTTAGTCCTCGGGAAAAGAGCAAACCACTCACCGATTTATATGGATTTGGCACTGTAGTTATCAAAAAATTCTAAATGCCGAGTTATTCGATCTAAAATTTCAATCCCCGAGCCGTATGGGGTCATGTCTGCCGTGCTTTTCATTGGCCGTGATTGTGTGGGTCAGGAACTGTATTGTGATTGGTCTCTCCGCTTAAATGTTTGCCCAGCGGCAAACAGCCCCAAACAACCCCAAACAACCCCAACCCGCCCCAAATGGGGCCGCTGTTGCCTGCAGCCTTGCCAGTTTATAAATCGCCAAACAAGGCCCAAGAACTTCTTATAAAGCAAGGCACAGGAAGTATTCGAGGGAGTGTCAAAGTAAATTTTAGGAGCTCTCGCTCTTCGTTATCAGAATGGGTCCTGATTCAGAAACGCTGATATCCCAACTAGAAAAAGTTGAGAAACTCCCAAGATATGGAAATGCGACCAAGACAGAATCAGCAATCGACAGAGTCCTGGATACTCTAGAGCTTCTGGACATGATCCTGACCCGGGTGGATATGCGCACGCTTCTCACATCTGCTCAGCGAGTCTGTCGTAACTGGTTGAACCTGATTAACAAGTCGCCGTCTATCCAAAAAGCTCTTTTCTTCACTCCGATCGCAGATTCCGAATGGGGAATGAACGAAAAGACACTCAACCCGCTTTTGACAGAGACCTTTGCTTCTATATTTCCCGCCGAGGACAGATCGGTGTATTACAAATTCAACTTTTCAGATTTAGCCATGACCAAAGACGCTGCAAGCATGGATCGATTCGTACGAAAGAACGCAAGCTGGCGCAAGATGCTAGTCCAGCAGCCGCCCATACCAGAAATAGGACTTTTTCATATTTGCCACGGGATGTGTGGGGATAATGCCGAAAGTAATAGTATATCGGTCAGTTTCCCACCCACCCGAAAGTCTCTGGTGGGCCATGGCTAATGAATGGTGTTAAGGCGGATAAAAACAGGCAAGAATTTGGGAACGGTGGTTTTCGGATGGAAAGGCTCTTTGAGCTTTTACTCTTGGACCGCCGGGTTGAATTCTTGCCTTTCACCAAAGCGCGAGTATATTGGTCTACTGAAGCGCCGATCATATTTAACGAGAGCTATCGCTATCCTAACATCAACGATGAATTTTTTCGGCTTCTGAATCAATTTGGTTTAGTTCTCTATACGCGCACGGTCAGGCAGTGCTCTGAATATACCGGTTCCCCAAGTGCTGCGGAAATTGTCAGGGGGGAGATTATTGCGGCTTATGGAGACCACGGCTTCGATGTTGATTCTATGAGACAGTCTCTCCAAGATTCGGAGAGTCAAGTGGTTGACTTAGATGGGGCGATACGATATGCCCCTGAGAGCCCGCAAACTGCTGATTCTCTGCGAGATGCAGATGATCTGGAAGGTTCGTTTACTCCGACAAGCCCATCCGCAAGTGCATGCTAATTGCTTGGATCCAGCGTGTCGAAATTCTTGCCTCGAATGAAGTCTTTTTGAGTATTATTGACCAAGGCCACATGAAAAAAAAAAAAAAAAAAAAAAACAGAATTCTATAAAGCAATGAACCCAGTTGGCTCTTGTTATAGATACTACCCATCTGAATCTCACTTGAGTTCCTAGACCAGCGGTATGTTGCCAAATAGTCATCCCCTACCAGAATTAGACTCGTCGAGTATGAGGACTACATAGAAATGGGCCATGTTGCTTAAGGGCGGAGGTATACAGGGAAAGTACACAGTTGAGGACCTGCTTCTATGGTCAGAGCTTTACTACTCAAAGCTGAGAGACGTACAGAGTAGTCAGTATGATACAGACGTGATCGCTCGATCGAGACGAGAGAAAGCTATACGTGCATAGCTTATGACAAACGAAACATATCAGCCAATCAGGGCACACTAGCCACGTCGTCAGATCTCTCCTCACTTGTCTGCTTATCACCTCGTGGGACACATTACGGATATTCGGTACCTACTTCGTCACTGAGCTCAGCTTTATCATTCATCTACTATGGCTGTTGTTCATGATCGCGATAAGCTATGCTCTTCATGCAGTCTTGTCCCCCCGGTCAAAGATTTCATTTTTGGATATGATGAAATGTGGGGCAGTTTTCAACAATTCAAGTCCTCTGCCCTGAATGGCTGCCCTCTATGTAGTTATCTTTATAACGCAGGGCGTGTTGGTTGGGATTCTTGTGAAAAGAGTGCCGACCTCAATCCTGGGCCGCCTTTCTCACTGAAGTGGAATGGACAGCTACCCCTTCGACCACCATTGGTGAATGAAGACCATAATATAATCATGGAGCATGCATATGAGTTCCTACATGGTGTTCAATATTCAATATTTGTTGACCCGGGTAAGAACCACTGCGAAAATCGAACAAACTTACTTCCAGGTGTTGACGACTAATTTTGTGCAGATGAGCCAATATCAAACGAAGTTTCTCCTAGGAGGATTGATCCCGATCCTATGTCGGACCAAGTCTTTGCTAAGATCAATGGATGGATTACGTCCTGTTGCCTGAATCATTCTTCTTGCCAGACCGCCGAGGCAGCATTGCTACCTCGATTCGTGATCGAAATTGATGGTAGCGACGGGGCAAAACCAAGCTTGCGAATATTCGAAAATGGACAGAAGAAGGCGCGTTATATTGCATTGAGCTATGTGTGGGGGATAAGGCCCCAACCGGTGCAACTGATGAAGGAGAACACGGAGAGACTGAAAGAGTGCATCGACTATGACACACTACCCAGCACGATACAGGATGCTATACGTGTAGCACGGCGTCTCGGTGTGAAATACGTGTGGGTCGATGCCCTTTGCATCGTTCAAGATGATGATGATATCAAGAAGCAACAGATCGGCCAAATGCAAAACATTTACGGCAATTCCTATTTGACTATACAAGCAGCAAACGTTAGCACGGTCATGGAAAGCTTTTTGAAACTTCGAGAGTCTCCCGAGCCGTTCAAGCTTCGATACGACGAAACCAGCCACGTCTACCTGAGGGGATATACTCCACATCGCTTGTCTGGTGGATCAGCTCGGCAAAGAGCCTGGATTTACCAAGAGTCCATACTACCAAATCGACTTCTTCTCTACGGAGAACACCAAATAATCTTCCAATGCAGAGAGGAAATGCAACATGAAGACGGTTTTCGCGCCAACCAAACGGAATCTCGTTCCTCCGCGACACCATCATTCTTAAGACCCAGCAACTGGCTCAATCATTTGCGTACAAGATTAACTAAGCCTGTTCCCGCTCCCGATCGCCGACTGGATTTCCTCTCAGCGTGGTATTCCGCCATTGATGACGGATATACAACACGAAAACTCACCTATCGAGGCGACAGACTGCCCGCAGTCAGCGGTGTCGCTGCCCGTTTACAAAAGGAAATAGGAGGGCGGTACGTAGCAGGCCTTTGGGAGTCTGATTTACCCTGGGGTCTACTTTGGGGATCAAAGAACAAAGGGGCATACTCATTTGACCCTCAATTACGAGATCAGAGGATGAGCAGGCCCGTCAATCCTTGCGCCCCGTCATGGTCATGGGCATCCATGGATGGATCTACGAAGCACGCATTTTGGCTACGACATAACGATACAAGAGAAGATGGCTTTCCAGTTGCCTCGGTCTGCATGAAATCGTTGCAGGTGGACATTACGGGAGAGATCGTCAACAGTGATGGAATGCTGCAGATAAGTGCTCGACTTGTTTACACTTCTGTGATTTGCAAGACGAATTCCCGGCACAAGGATTTACAGCAACAGAGCATTAAGACTCAAAGTGGGAGGCCGGTTGGAAGGCTGGACCCGTTATTGGTATGGGATACGCCCGAAAAGGGATCCCAAGGACTGGGGGAATCCGAGATAAATTTCGATCGATACTCCGGGAGTTATGAGGGGCCTATTGCTGTTGCTGACTTCGATGTCGAAGATGAGCAGAGCTCTTACTCTGGTGTGTGGTGTCTGCTTATTTGTCGCTCTACAGCGTTGATGCTGGAGTGTGTTGACCAAGAGAGGAAAATATTCAGACGGCTAGGGCTTGGTCTTATTGTGTCTGAATTTTGGCCTTATTTTGCCATTGAGAAGCCATTGACCGAGGTTTCGTTGATATAGCAAAATAGATGATTGAATATCGTTTATTTGAGTTTATTCGGTCTTGGTACCAGGTGTACTGTGAGCAATGTATCTCGGCTCCGGGATATGGTCCCTTACATAGCAATGTACGATTGTACATACCAGCTTATGGTTATGCAAATGCCTTTCTGAAACCCTAATTTTAACTGATGGGGTGTCACCGATTGACTAGCCGATTGGTTCTGGCCCCTGCATTCGATCTCGTCGGCAGTGGCATCCACATTCCAGCAAAAGACATCCATTTACCACGATAAGCTAGCCCATTCTATTAGGAGATATCATCCAATCAAACAGTGTCAATATTCGATCTTGCATTTTCATTAACAGACTGCCGGGACACGAGATATCTTGAGGTTCGTCAACCCCTTGTTTAGTTACTACAAAAACGCCTTGAGGTTTGTGAAGACATTGGAAAATGGATGAGATATGTGACGCTGATCTCTAAAATGTGAGATCTTGCACTCGTTTACAAATATGGTAGTCTGTAGCGTGGAATGTTTTGTTTCAGTCAAAAAGTTAAAATATATTATATCGAAACAACTCTCGAGGTAGCAATAATGAATTATTTGGCGGAGTTTCTAGCGGCCGCAATGTGTACAGATGGCTTGTGCACATCTCCACCCTCTTCTTCGGGTCTTTGGGTCTGCGGTGGCTTTCATCATTCTACTCATCTGCTTGTTTGCCGGTAGTGCGCCCGGGGTCCTATCCGATGCTGAGATTTTCAGAGTGGGTGAAAGAACTATCCTTGAATCGGGCTGCAAACTAATTAAGAACCCGTAGGTTGAGCTCTCAAATCTACCAAGCGACGATATACCAAACTTTATCAATGTCTATCTTATGTCCTACTGTGTGGGACATGAGTGGCACTACATCGATGGACCCACCAATGAAAGCAGAACTCAGACAGACTTGAGAGACTGCTCCGACCGCAGCGTTTCATTCCATTTTAACCCATTTCAAGCGATCGAGGAGGCCCTGGGATCCTCCGTTGGGCCTGACTGGGCGGGCTGGTCTAGTTCGCTCAGCGACAATGACTTCGACGAGCTGACCACCGCAAGTCGAACGATGATAGTATTCTTCATTCTTGGCACAACGCTTGTCATCTTATCAATGGGTATACGCGCCACGGCTCATCACTTTAGACGTCGCTTTGCGCGTTATCGCATCCCAGATCACAAGGCACCACCTTTGCCCGGACACCCAGATTATTCGATCCGAGGCAATCTCAACACACCTCCCTCCTACTTGGAGCTTGCTACATTAGTGGTACGCCACAACTAAATAACCGTGAAAGGTCTTAAACACTAACAATATATAAAGCTTAGCACCATGTTTCTCTTGATTGCGTCAATAATTACCTCCGCAGTCTCTGTGAGGTTCATCGCGTTGATCCGTCAAAGCGACGATGCCGATGTTTCAGCACGGCACAACAATACCTTTCTTGGGATGGCATGGAGTACGACACTTATCCAAGGCCTTCTCACAATCCACAAAGTTGCTGCCCTTATACGGTATGAATCGCATAATTCTCGGTTCGATTCGGATGGGTACTCCTTGACCCGAGATACTGGAAACAGGGGAGTATTTACTCGAATGGACTAAAGACCTTGTCATAGAATGTAGGCTCCAACTATGCTACGAGCACCAGATTGTCATTCTCTATCAGGTTTTTCTTGGGTCGGCTGCAAGTTTGCATCAGACGGAAAAGGTCTATTGATTGTATTAGACGGTCATTCGCACAGGTTGCATAATAGATAAAAGCCCTGCGTTGATTGTATTATATTACAAGGCTTGAAGTGATGAAGAGAAGGAACTAATATGAGTCCTTCTCCTATAATATTTACCTGGGTCACCTAGGGTTGTACGCGCCGTACTCCAAGATATGAGGGGTATGGCCATTTCACTTTTTGAATTGCACAATCGTTCTTAACCTCTATGCAATTAAAGAAGCAGAAGGATAAAGATTGACTTCTCGGCAAAATTCAAGCAGCCGAACTACCATCAATAAAGCTTCGCCGAGTGACACTCCATAACCGTGTGGCCTCGCTCGGCTCGGGTGTCCACATCGCCAATCTATTGTGCATGCCTTCAAACCCCCATTTGGATTTCATAAATGGTATCTTTCTAAAGATCGATCGCGAACACTATTCAAAAAATCACATCGTCTAAGACAGTGTGTCAAAATCCGCTTTCATCCGCCAGCACTAATTCGTAAACGACTTCCATCACCAAACTCATCTTAAGATGCACCTCACCATATTGTCCCGCAGAATTCCCACATTGACTCACGCTCAGTTCCACCATGAATTTAGCGTTGTCCACGCCGAGCAAACCTTGTCCATCGCCCAAAACCTGGGTATCATTCATGAGTACGAGCAAGGTCTAGCCCTGCCTATTCTCGAGCAACCAGGCTTAGAAAGGACCGCTCTCTTTCCTCTGCAGGAAACAGCTGACTATGACGCCTTTGCTCGATTGACATGGCCTAGCGTAGAGGTCATGCAAGGTTCGTTCACGACGGAGGGCTACCGCGAATCAGCTGGAAAACATATCTTTTTTTAAGGATAATGGTAGATGTTGAGGAGAAATGGTTCAGCTGCCTTCCAAGGCTAATAGCTGAGCGATTGCATTAGTGCATCATAAACACTGTTGAGGATCCAAAGCAAATTCCTCTATTTTTGACCGAGCCACTGGGTACCAATGGAGCACGACAAGCTCTGAAAAATTCAAGGAACGAAGAGGGACAAATTTTCGAGTCATCATTCCCATTCAGCCTCGTCCCGCAAACGGAGTTGACTTCGAGGAACGGTGGAATGAGCATGCCGATTTTATACGGTCCATAGTGTCGGGGTATACTCTTCATAGGAGCTTAAACATCCTGCACGATCGTCTGAAGCAGATATTCAACCAGACGCATTTCGATCATTGGCTTGTCGTTGCCCAGCGAGGATACGAGGAGTTTGTCTTCGGGTCACGAGCGGAAGCGGAGAGCTTTTTTGGCCGATATGGCAAGGAAATCCGTGACTCATACAGTCATTTCGTTGACCCGGCGCAATTGAAGGTGTTTATCTTTGATTCTGTGACAAAATTTGCGGTAGAACAGCGAGGCCTGTGGCAGATTGGTATGGGGTTGGTAGTTGGGACAGCACTAAGATTGAAGTTTTTGTTGAGCGCTTGAGTCTGTACGCGCTTGGACCTCATGAATTGAGTCACCGAGAAAATATGAACAAAGAAGCATCCGCACATGTGACAAGTGGACGGTCATTGAAGCTGTTGCCCCAATCGTGGGTTGTGGCATAAGACACTGGTTTTACCATGATCCAGAGCGTGGCTGACTATCAAGATTGTGGATGAGCTGTATGAGTATAGAGAAAGCCGCATCTTTATCACTGCTCTTCGGTTGTTCCGAGCTCGTGGTGTTTATAATCACGGCCAAGAAGCGAAATCCCGCTTTTTAATCAGCATTATTGTAGGTCTATAGTGTCCATAACACCCCGATGCGAGATGCGAACCTGCTACTAACTTTGCTGTACCCTCTGATGACTGGTCTGCAATGATGATGCGGGAATTCAGACACCCTGGATATCAACAACAGGCTTGCTCCTACCGGGACAGGGAACACCAAGGCCGTGTGACCCACTATTTCTCAGGAAGATCCTAAGAATTCCAAATTAGAAATAGAATGAGGCAAAAGTTGTTGCAGAGTTGAACGAGCTGGCCCCGGGGGCCCGCCCTTTCAGGCCGCAAGGTTAACATTGTTTGGAAGCAAAATCCTGTAACATGACCTCACAATAATTTTTCACATATAGAACAGTGGGACATTTGAATTGGTGATCAGCGGGCCCCGGGTAGCCTGCTAGGATAGTTTGCGCAGATAGCAGCTATGGATTCTGATACTGGCCCCCAATATGAATTCGGTGTGGTGGCGATAGTGAGAATCCACTGGTGGCAAGGCGTCTGGCCTGATCATAAGCAGCAAGCAAAGCTTATATGATTTAACTTCCTAAAGGGAGTTGTTTCTACTGAAAATGAGTGCTTTCTGGTATCAAGATCATTTTTATGAAGAAAACAAGATAATCTTGGAAGGGAAAAACTTCAGTCAAAGCTCCTGGATTCAAGGTGCCCCCACGCTATAGGGGCCAACAATCTCGGGTTCCGCACTCGAACGAATTCAATTACCATCGTAATACTCTTTTAGGGGCCCAATGAACCTCTGCCCCCATTCGCCATGCCGATACCTTCTTCATTGAAGCTTCCTAAGCAGTATTGCCCCACATCCTTCTATACGCCACCCAACAACAAGCATCCACACACGTAGACATGCTACGCATGGTGATCTTGTTTCAACTGATTGATCAACCTATAATCTTGTAGCAGCAAGATCGACAGCTCCAAAACATTCCTTTCAACGCCCCATTTGCCCGTTTAATGTGAATTACCCGTTCAGTCGTTGTCCAGCCACCACGTAATCCTCACATCTAGAGGTATAAAGCAGCCCAAGATGACCAGTATCCCAGTTATGATTTACAACCAGCAGTTCTATCCTCGAAACTCTCAATCTTCTCGCAATTCAATTCGCCCCAACTACTCTCATAAAAACATCCAAAATGCAGTTTTACTACCTCGTCACTCTCGGCCTCATGAGCACCGCCTATGCCTTGAGCCCTCAGAACAACGCGGCTCATGATATATCCACCGAGGAAATGGGACCTTTCGTTGCTCCCGGCTCCGGGGGCTTCAGATCCGGCCGACCCTGGGGTCACGCAAATCCCTCGATGACTTCTGTCGCAAGCCCATCATCCACCATCCCAACCTCGACTCCTGTCGGCTCGATGTTCCCCTCTGAGATTCCTGTCGCGAAGGAGCCCGTCGCCGTCCGCGCGGCCATCAGAACCTACTACAAGGACTACCGCCTGTGGGAGGCTGCTACCGGTGAGGAGAAGAAGAGGCTCCAGGCTAAGGTTCAGGATGATCTTGAGTCTATTCGGAGCATTAAGGCTGCTACTGAGCGTAACAAGGCCAGTGCTAGTGCCAGCCCTAGTGCCAGTGCAAGCGCTTCTGCTAGTGCCACTCCTACTCCTAAGCGCCGTTAAGTGTTTGCGATAAGCGATGTGGTGTTTTGACTATGGATTGTCCTTGTGATTTTTAGACGTTTAGAAGGTTATGTCTGTATGCACTAGAGCCGGTCTCTCGTGTTTGAGCTTTTGTTTGTCTGATTTGATATGGTAGCTGGTTCAAGAGACTTCTGGATGTCGTGGTACAAATAGACTTTCGGCAATTCAAGCTTTGCATTATCCCAGCAAATAAAGTAAAAGGTGAAGAAGATACTAGATTGTGCATCGTAGGTTGATTGCAATCATTGTTTCTCGAGGAAAACGACCTTGCTGCCGTAGTCGGTATCGAAGGGGAATTGCAATCCAATATTCATCAATGTCGCACCAGAGTATGTTCCCTTCCCTTCCACACTGTACATAGCCTCAGGAGCCAACCCTTGCATCTTGATCCAAGGAATAGAGTGGTCCACCCGCGGATTGAGCTGGAAATAGAAAAGCACAGCCTGAGCCCCATCCTCCGAAATAAATAGAACAGCAGGCCAATTCGAGTCTTCGGGCAGGCTCAGACGGTACATATCACCCTTCAAAACAAGGGGGGTTCACCTTCTCAGAAAGCGCAATTAGTCCCGGTAAAGCAGCTTTGTCCGCTTCGGGCGTGGTAGCCGGGTCAAGTTCTAACCCAAATGATCCGCCCATCATGGCGACATGTCCGCGGAAAGCGACAGGTATTGTCCGACCGGTTTGTTGGTTTGGAACGGCGGATAAGTGTGCGCCCATAGCGCTAGGTGGGTAGGCGAGGGAAGTTCCCATTTGGATGGTGATACGCTCAATAGCGTCCGTATCGTCCGACGCCCAGATCTGAGGAAAGAACTGTAGGACACCTGGGTCGAAGCGGCCTCCGCCCGAGGCACAGCCTTCCCAAAGGACGTCGGGGAACTGGGTAGTGAGATTTGTAAAGACCTTGTAGATTCCCAACATGTATGCGTGATCGGTGGAGGGGGAAGGCATCTCATGAATACCTCTATTGTTATCCCATTTCACGTATGAGATGTTGGCGGTGTTGAGGATGTTGGAGACGGACTCGATTACGAATTCCTGGACCTCCGGTAGAGCGAGGTTGAGTACCAGCTGGTTTCGTCGTTGTGTGCGCGGGTACGGTCCTGCATGAAGTGCCCAGTCAGGGTGTTCGCGATAGAGGCTGGAGTTCGGGTTGACCATTTCAGGTTCCATCCAGATGCCAAAGCGTAGGTTGGTCGAGGTATTACCGGACTTAAGATCAGTGATGTTATTCACGGTATCGGCTAGACCATCAGGGAATCGCCGAGGATTGGGTACCCAGTCGCCGAGGCCTTCAGTGTCTGAAGTGCGAGCATATTTGTCACCAAACCAACCGTCGTCTAGCACAAACATTCTGACCCCCAATTCGGCTGATTCCTGGGCTAGCTGATAGATGCTGGTTGCGTTATAGTCAAAGCCGAGTCCTTCCCAGCTGTTCAGAAGAGGTGGGCGATCGTCGGTCGCAAACTTGCTTTTGATGAGATGGTTGCGGTACAGACGGTGCAGGGAGCGGGACATGCCACCGACTCCATTGCTGGAATAGACGGCAACACACTCTGGCGAGTTCAGAGTTTCACCCGGTGCCAACGACCATGATAGCTGACCAGGATTGAACCCGAGCATGGCGCGCGTGAAGCCCTGGGAGCCCTTTTCCACATCGACGGAGAATGATCCGGAGTACACGAGCGAGAAACCCCATGCCTCGCCGGAAGCTTCAGTAGTAGCTGGGTCCACAAGCGCGAGGAACGGGTTGTGCAGGTGTGAGGCATAACCCGTTGAGCTTCCAAAGCTAATACCAAAAATTCGTTAGCTAAGTCAAGCGGCCTCGGAAATCAAGACTTACCCTTGGGTGCCGTATTCAACCGATCTCCGTTCACGGTGGGCTTCTCGTGCCCAGTCACCTCTCAAGCTGATCATATCCAAATCCTCATAAGGGAAGTCCACACTGATACTAGCGAGAGACTCAACGGTAATATTACCCTTGCCTTTGTTCGTAACACTGGCACTGCGCACAATCGCATCATACTTGGGAAAGATTGAGTAAGACAAAGCCGCAGCAACATCACTGTAGTGATCATACAGGTGCACCACGAGCGTAGTGACATCTTTCTCAGTTCCAAATGTTGACGGCAGACCTGGCAAAGCTGGTTTCCCACGCTTGATCTCATAGGACTGGTACTGGAGATCTGACACTGTGTACCCTTCAGTCTGCCGGATGCGAATGGCCGGCATACGGAAGTCCCCTCGGCCTTGATCCGGGAATTCCCTGCGGGTGCGGCCTGGCACTCCAACCCAGCCATTCACTGCGCTCACAATCTCTGTGGGGATGGGGCCCGTCACGCTTCCACCGAAGTGGTCTGATAACAGATCCCCAGTACTGTTGTCCACACGGAACCGATAAGAGACATTGTCGCCATTAAGGGCAAACGTAGTTCCATCCACGGCAATTGCTATATCATAGGATTAGTATTAGGCACTAGAAAGTCCCGCGCGTAGCTCACCATCTGTACTTGTGGGCTCTTGAGCCGTTACCAAAGAGCAGTGACCAAGTAGCGAGACCAAACTGGCTGCCACCAGTGTTCTGCTCAATTGGAACATATTAGCTGTTCGCTCTTGCTTAGAAGACTGAGAGGACGAATAGAAAAAGCAGAACAGACCCTGGAAAGCGGAATACCTTTATACGAGGAATGCAAGGAGTCGCGCCGATATAGCCCCGCACCATAAGCCAATCGAGGCCTTGCCATGCTATCACCAGCGCATGATGCACTGTACTTCTCGTCAGACCCTCCACGCGGGGTGTAGCTTTGCCGGCGAGAAGCCGAAGATCTTCATGGGAAAGCGCGTCTTAGCGGCGGGTTTGAACGCGTCTGATTCGTCCAACAGATCCCGCCGTGCCAAGACTTGGAGAAACACAGTCCGCTGTGGACTTCAGATGAGGGATTATTACTTTCAAAGTGGAGTGGGAAGATGTAGATTGGTGACAAACGAGGCGGATTCAACCGCCTCTATTGAGTTGAGTACCTACCACTGAACATTCCCAAATTTCTGGTAAACCTTTTTCCACGTAGTAGTGCAGAACATAGCCAAGAGAGAATGACCGAAGATGCCCCGCTGTGGAGTCCCCGGATTTGCTTTTGCAATTTCCCGCGCCCCTCAATCCTTGCTCTTGCCAGTTTTGAGGGGAAAATGAGACAGGCTAAGGCCTGTGTAGCTTGCCGGTAAGACGGAAGAGGCGCTTGGAGGCATTAATGGTCGTTTTTCTAACGCTACAGCACAGGGAAAGCCGACGAAAATGTGAGATCGGCACACCCGGTTCCTCATGCAGGAACTGTCTCAAACGGAGATTGGCCTGCACCAGTAGCGATTTTCCAACGAAAATCCAGAGCCAATGCGCACAGTCTTCTTCTGTTGCTGATGAAGCTACTGTACCTCGATGTACACCAAGTAGGAAATGCTTTCTGCCTGCTCAACCACTGTGTGTCGAGCTAGTCCGGCTTTATTTCAATTATGTGCATGATCAGTTCCATACACTCTTTCATGAACCGAGCTTTTTGGAAGACCTTCAGAATGGACAGGCTCCACCAGTGTTATTGTTTGGGATGATGGCCCTCTCAGCGAGGCAAGTTAGCTGAAGACCAGCGAGGATAGATCCGACGTCTGACTATCAATAGATTCTCTACCAATCCCTATTTTTCTGATAGAGACCCACGAGAGAGAGGAAGAGTATTCGCCAAGGAATGTGAAGATCTGCTCGACTGGAACGATGTCTCGATAACAACTATACACGCCTGCGTCTTACTTGGTGCGATCGCCATTACGGAAGGCAAACCAGCTTCAGAATCAATACACTATGCGGTTGCTTGCCGAATAGCACAGCTTCTAGATCTACCGAACTGCGAAGCCTCGAGCCAAGTTGATCGAGAAGTCAATATTCGGAGTTCGTTTGTTCCTACCTCCATTCCTCTCTTAGATATGAGCTAACAAAGAGCAGCTTGGTGGACTCTGAGTATGATTGACGTATGGTCGTCCACTGGAGTGCGACTACCAAGGCTTCTCGCCCCAAAGCCTGATGTCCCTTTACCGATGGAAGAAAAGACCCTTTTACGTCTAAGACGAAACCAGAAGTTTGATGTCCAGGTTCTATCAGAAATAAGATCGTCCCTTCTAGCAGAAATGGTCCGTCTGAATCGCATACTCCAGCAAATTAACGACTTCAATATTCGAGCCTCCGAGTCCCAATTGGACTCCGTGTCCATAAAAAGTGACGTCGAAAGTCTATCTAAACAACTTGACATATGGCTCAAAGAACTTCCCGACCACATACGGGACACGCGCGCAAACATGATCGATTATGCAGAACAAGGACTTGGGCGAATGTTTGTCGCTATCTACTTGGGATACTATCACTTTGGCCAGATGCTTTTCTATCGATTTTTACATGAGGATTCACGAGCATTCGACATCAGCACGCGGTATTACGCAAACAAATGCAAGCAGCATGCAGGCAGTCTATGTGATATCCTCTATGCATCTGAAGAGATACCAGGGTGTGACGTCAAGTACAACATGGTTGGGCATGTGGTCGTGATCGCATCGACAGTGCAAATTCACAGTCTTTTGTTTGAGGGTGAAGAGGCCAACGTCTCACTAGCTAAAACACGATTGGAAAAGAACTTCTGCATTTTAACCCAACTTCGCCAGCTCTGGCCAACTTTGGACATCTGTATGGAACGTCTTATGGCTTTTCACCATGCATGCAGAGACTCAGCCGATACCAGTTTTTGCATGGACAGATGGATGGTGCGTTTCCTAGTCGAATTCGCAAGCCCTGTCAGCGACAAAGCTTCAGCGCAAGATCAAAATGTCTGGTCTTTTTCTGATTTAGGAATTGACCAGACCAGTCCAAAAGCTAGATAACATCTAATGTGTCATATCCCTCGTCGCAGTTCTCTTGTGCAACCTTCCCAGCCAGGAGTTAGCTGTCCATATCCGAATCCTTTTGCCAAAGAGAACAAAGACAATGACCATCAAATTATTCGCCAGTAGAACACCCCCGAATATACCAGATATAACCACCGCATACCCCCTTTCCAAGATCCAATCTAAAAGGTAAGATCCCATACCGAATGATATAGCCTGCTTGCCGAGGTTCATGGCAATAAGCATCTCGGACGTATTAGCGTAATATGAATCCACGGCATAGGCTAGCGTGAACGTAAAATAGAAATACGAGCCGAACATGTTCATCGCAACCCCGGCAAAGTATCCTACCCAGTGCAGATTACGTTGAGCTGTGAAGCCGTATACAATGAGCCCTGCCGGGGGGAGGAGCATGACCGGGAACAAAGCTGGGAGACGCATTTCTGCTTCGCGAATTCCATGGTTGCGTTTCGTTCGGTAAGCGGCTAGTCGGTCTGAGGATGAAGTAAATGGGAGGGCGAGGAGGTAGCCGATGAATGAGGCTATCGCTATGAGGCCGGAATTTGTCTGGTATTGATTAGGAGGCCATTCATTTGATTCAAGAAGCTGGGGACTCACCTCGCTCCAATTATATGGCGACTCTACAATCTTGATTGGGAAGGTGTAATTGAAAGCCAGGGCTCCGAGACCAATGTAAAGACCTGGAATCCGATTAGCAAGAATTTTTGTAAGTGTAGATGCGGCCATCAGTATACCATAGCTAGCAATGACCCAGAAGACAGCGGGGACAAGAAAGTATGTGAAGGAGCGCAGCATCGTCATGAGGAATTCTGCATCTGGGTCGATAGCGCTCCATGGAGCGAGTGTTGATAGAAAGCTCTTTCTGGGAGGCATGCCAGCTGACGTTACATGTTCCAATTCTTCTGGTGAACTTTTCTCCTTTTCTCCATTCTTAACTGCCAATGATTGAGATGAGTCGTGAGGCGAAGTCGACTGATTGGCCCGATGATAAGTGGATTCTTCGACGAAGAAAAAAGCCATGATGAGAAGAGCAGCAGCGAATGCAGCTTCGACATAGAAGAATAGTCGCCATGAATACCCGCCTGCAAGCATATACCCAGCATACAATGGGCCTGTTGATCCGAGGCACAGACAAACTTGACATCGTTAGCCTAGGTTTCAAGCCTGACCTAATATTGACAACTTACTAGTGTAGTAGCCCAGTTTCTTTCCCCGTTCATGAATATAGAAGATGTCATTTACCAATTGCACTGGCAAACTCTCACAGACACCACTATGACAAGTTAGGTACCGTAAGGGCAGATCTGGTTATGATAAACTCACCTGCCGAATCCATGGAACACGCGAGCAACCATAAGGCCAGTATATGTGGTACAACGTGAGGCACCAATAAGACCAGCCAAAAACTACTGATCTTCAGTATTAATAGAATTGACTTTAGCTTTATACGTACGGTCAGCATAGAAAGGAGTGTCACTGGACGGCGACCTATTTTGAGGTACATTGGCACCAGAATAAGTGAACCTGGGAGCAATCAGCAAGAAAGATCACAGCCATTCGCATTCAAGAAATACCAAAGCCGAATGCCAAGTTTGCATAGGATATGAGGCCAGATGCTTCCGCCGATGATATTCCAAATTCCTCACTGTATATGGTAATATAGACCGAGGGTCCAGTCAGCGCGCTATTACCCAGAAACGAATAAATGGCAACGATGACGAGGATGGTATTTTTCTTCCATATGGGCCACTATTAAACCAGAAAAAATCAGTCCATGAAGGGTGGTATAAGGGCATTGTTTGCACTTACTTGAAGCGGATCATTGGGATCCTCAGCAGGAACTGGATAGAGCGCTTGTCCATACGCCGTATCATCACCTTCAACGGCACTAAGATCAACAGTTCCTGGTATCTCGCCTTCGTGCGCATGACTTTTGCGATGGTTAGTCTTTGTAGAGCTATGTGATGAAAATAGACTACCTGTGCACGAGATGCGGCTTTCTAGCCGAAGCTGCGTCGCTCTTCTGCATGATCCGTTTACTGGATGTAACGTGAAATGAATTGACTGTAGATCGAAATTCAATGGAGAAATAAGAAATCCTGGTCATTTCCCCATACTCTGAGAGACCGACAGGGCACAGGGTCTTCCCCGCATTTCTCCACATTTTCCCTTCTCGACTACCTCTTAGCCCCACAACGAGCTATTGTGAGCTATCATAAGAGATGCCGAAACTCCATTGAAGTGCCGAGTAGCGGGGAACAGAACTATTGAAGGTGGAGCAACAAAATAATAATACAATTTTGTTTGAATAATACAAGCTTAATCCAAGTAAGCAGTTCTCAAGTAAAAACATCAGTAGCATACCTCTCCTTCGTCCGCAACTGATCAAAGAACTTCTCAGCAGCAACATCCTCCTCAAGCTCCGCATTAGGAACCTCCTCGCCGACCTCCGTAGCCTTCGCAATCTTCTCCCTTCGCTTCTGAATGAAAATGTCCTTGCAAACAGCACGAACGGCACTCCCCACCCCAGTACTACCACAAACATAGATATTAGCACCCGCCTCAAACAACTCAGTAAGCTCTTCGCTATCTCCCCGCATCAGATCCTGAACATGTTGTCCTTTCGTCCCGTCCGATGGACGACTGTATGCCCACCGAACATCAACAGCACCCATCTTAGCCCATTCTGCCAGTTCGGCGGAATGGATATCATCTTGGCCCTTTGTGCGGCAGCCTGCGTATAGAATTGCTTTCGCGGGTTGCTCAGGACTGTTACGTCCGTGGATTCGTTCTGCGCGATCCATTATGAATCCGCGGAAGGGTGCGAGTCCTGTACCGGCACATGCCATTATCATTGGTGTTTGGAGGTCTGCGGGTGGTCTGAAGCCTGAGTGGGACGGTCGGACGGAGATATGTGCTCGTTCACCGATTTGGAGTTCGGATAGGTAATTCGATGCGACGCCCAGGTATTGTTGTGCCTCTGATTCGGTACCTTCGGAGGGTATAGAGAGTGCCGGCGCATTCAGGACGGAGAAGGTGATTGTGCACTCTTCCGAGTTAGACAGTGGAGATGAGGAGATAGAGTACTGTCGTACGCGCATAGGTGGAAGCATAACAAGAAAATCGCCGATTGGCAGCTTGATGGCTGAGTAGCGCATAAGGAGGTCCAGGGGACTGACGCGTTTCTTGACGATTTCGGAGGAGAAGCGGTTGGGGCTTGAGGCGATGTAGCGGAGTTCAGCTTGGGTTTCTGCGTCTTCGATTGCGGCGTCTGCAAGAAGCTGCAGGTCGCGCTTTGAGGCGGGCTGGGATAGCTCGACGTATGTTGAGAGGAGGTCGAAGGCGGAGATTGGGGTGTCCAGGGGGATGGATGGTGGAGCTGTGCTCTTGGATGGCTTTTGGATGCGAAGCATTGCATCCCAGGGTAGACCGAAACGGCTAATTGCGCGACGGACTACTGAAGTTGGATTCACGGGTAAGACGGCCAAGTAGTCACCGCATTGGTAGGTCATATCGGTTGGGAGTTTGAATTTCACCAGTCTCTTCATAGGCACACCGGGCTGTGTCAGGAGTTGATTCTCCATCACGAAGCCCTCCTCCAACTGGAGGCCTAGAGTTGATGCGCGCATTCCTGATGACACCTCGACTTGTAGGGACGATTTAGACTTGGCTTTCTTGTCTTGTCCTCCACCATATTTTGCTGTAATTGCTGGCCAGAATGCCGTCTCGCCCCAACCATCAAAATCAGTGAACATGTCCGAGTTGGCTGCGTCGGCAAGTCCTATTTCACAGAGTCTGTTTCCTCCATTCTCTTGGATCAGCTCATTCACTGCCTTTGGGATCCGGTGGAAAGTAGCAGCCCAATCATCTATGTTTATGATTAGCGGAGTTCATAAATACTCAGGAGTATCACTTACGATGACCACAACCAAAGACTGCATAATTGACACCCTCCAAGCTGCTACCCTTAAGCTCACTCAGCCACTCAAAAAAGTGAGCTGCATTATCGGGTGGCTGTCCTTCATAGGAAGCCGTAATAAAGACAACGGGCTCACTGGTCGGAATATTCTGCATAGCAGAATCCAAAGATTTAGTCGAAGCGGAGAATCCATACTCCGCAGCATCATCTGCCAACCTGCGTGCAAACGCTTCACAAGTCCCGGTGTTACTTCCGTAGAAGATGTGCATATTCTTGAGCTTGGCACCCACAGGAACAGGCTTAGGCTTCCTCTCCCGATCTTCAAGACCAGAAGCCTTTGCAGCATCAGCAGAACCATTCAAGGTCATACTAAGATGTGTCGGATCAAGCCCATCCCGCAGTGATGCCTTCATCTCAAAATCTTTGGGTTTGATGGTGAGAGTCTGCTTGATACGCAAATCATAGCTAGGATTGGCCATTTGGAAATTGAAATTCTGCAACAAAATCGCGACGACGAGCAGAGCTTCTTGCCAAGCGAATGGCCGTCCGATACAGCCTCGCATGCCATTTCCGAATGGCTTCCATGCGTTCTTGGGCAGTTTGTCGAAATGCTCGTCTAACATTCGTTCGGGTCGGAACTCGTCTGCGTCGGCACCCCAGACTTTTGGATCGCGCTGCATTTTGCCGATAATCATCACGATAGGCTCATCTTTGTTCAAGACGTATTTCCCGCCCCCGAGTGTGACTGGTTCTTCTTTGTTCTTGATTGGGTGGGCATGGAGACCGATGAACGGTGCGGTCGGTTTCAGTCGGAGGGTTTCGCGCATCACGGCTGTGATATAGGGGAGTTTTGACAGGTCGTCCACTGTGATCTTGCGCTTTCCGATAACCTGGTCGACTTCTTCTTGGGCTTTTTTGTATGCATGTGGGGTTTTGAGTAAATAGTAGAACAAAAATGATAGCATGCCAGAAGTAGTTTCGTGTCCTTTGTAAGTAAGCTTTATGCCATTTCGCCAATTGACATGAATTATTACGTACCGGCGATCAGGAATGTGATCATGTTATCGACAATCGAGGAGTCTGTCAGACCATTTCCAGTCTGAGGATCACGGCCAAGAATCATGGCATTAAGAAGATCCTTCTTATCTTCAGGATTATTTTTCCGATCATCGACAAGCTCCTGCGAAAGCTTGCGTAGATAATCAATATCAGCCCAGTACTTCGTGTTTTCGCTCGTGGGCAAATTGTTCAGCAGAGCCGGACGACGAGATCGGGCGCCCGATCCAGCAAGCAGGCCCACCATAGCCTCCACAAAGGGATGCATCTCGTCGCGATAGAAGGAGTTAAACCGCGTTCCCATAGCACATAGTGCGATGGTATCCAATGTCAGACGAGTAAAGTCATCGGTGACGGTGATCGAGGCATTCGGGCCTTGTCGAGCCCACTTCATGACCAGCTGAGTGGCGATATCGTACATATCTGTGTAGATATTCAGTATATAGCCGAGCATAAAACCTCCCATGGTAGCTCTCACCATCGAACATTCCGCGAATTGCCAATGGTCCAAATGCGGGGACTAGGACTCGGTGCGCAGCCCCCCAGTTAGTGTCTTCGCCGGGGACATCTGCGGTAAAAAGACCGTCGTGTGTGCCATTTCGGATTTCCCTCAGTCCACCTGAGACCACCTTTGCGAATCGCTCTTCGTTGCATACTTCGTTGACTAGCTCGTAGGAGCTCACGAATACGCGCGGGGAACCAAATGTGGTGATTCGGTAGATCGGCCCTTGAAGAGATAGGTTTCGTATTAGTTCATTGAACGCCAGCTAGGGGGGTAAATAGGATGCTTGGCATATACCGTAGTTATCAGCCATCAGCTCAATGCTCTTCATTGGCACTTCAGCTTCGATGTCATAGATGTTACCCAAAAGCGGGACCCCCTTGGGTCCCGGAATAGGAACCTCCTTGGAGCTCATGGTGAAACGGTATCGTCGATGGAAGATGAAGAATAATAATTAGAAGCCAAGGCAGCACAAGATGTTATAAAGAAAATCAACAAAAGTTTAAAGACGGGGTTAGGTTACCCAATTCCGATAAGGTAGTAGGCCCGCCCCGCCGTCAGCATTGAAATTGACAAGTACGTAACTTCAGTACAACATTCCACAACTACACTACACCATGCACTGCATAAGCAACCCTGAGGGTACAATGATTTGTCTGACGTGCCGATCGATCCAGTACACAATCCAATTGTGCACTAGACATGTAATATCATTCAACAGGGCAAAGCGCCGCGCCACGGACTCGGAATTGGTTAAACATTCCTGCCCGTGGTAGGATCCACCCTTGAACCTCGGCAACTTCCTGAGCCAATCAATTCTTGAATGATCGCCGTAACGTGAGTAATTTGTCTCAGTGATTGGTCTTGGAAAGGCAACCTCCGATCGGGCACGGGAGCCTCGATCGGGCCGACCGATGGAACTTGATTCTTTTTGGAAGTCAGCTTGTCTCATCGTCAGAAGAGAATGAGGTCATCCCTTCCAAGATTGCGTGTGGCGGGGACCTGGATGAGGTTAAATTTAGTATGCATCTATCATGTAAGGGTAGCATGGTCCCTTTCTTGGGTGCAGTGACAAGCACCTTGCGTATTGGGTAAATGTTTGAAACAGAAGAGTCAGAGGCAGAAGTTATTGAGAAGAAACACAATGGCTTGGAAAATATGTACAAATCATGTATGTGAACGATTGGCTCAAAGGGAATAAAGGCAGGCAACATCAGCCTATAAACGCCGGCGGGTTTGAACCGGGAAAAAAAGGAAAAGAGCAGAGAACGGATATCAACAAGAATGGACGCTCATAAATGGAGGGTAGAGCAGGCGCAAGGGCAGAGCTGAGGCGGAAGGAAGTGGTCATTAAGGGGTTCCATGGCCATCGCAGACGCCCACGGAAGGGACACAAGAGTCTAGTCAGAATAAGTCATGGTGGTGTCTGAGAGACCGACAGCACAGGAAGAACAAATTCACGGAATCTGTTGTAGGGGTCGAATGAAGAAGGATCAAAGATGATGCGGTGGGTCGAGTATAGAAAGCGTAGGAAAATCCTTTAGCTGACTTGTTTGTAGCCACTCTTTCTCCATTCGCTTTGTTTCCAGTCGTTCTGATAGTTAAGCATTTCGGTACGCTGGTCGGCATATTTGGTGTCGTCTAGGGCTTGTGCGAGTCGGCCTTGGCGGCGTTGGCGAATACACCACCATGTGAAGGCACCGATGCAGGCTGCGCCGACTACACCGCATGCGACGTAGATGCCGATGTGGGCTCCTTCGCCAAGATCATCCCATTTCTCAGACAGTGTTTCCTTAGGCTTCTTGTTGAGTTCGGTGACGGTGGTGGAATTACCCCTAGGATATAGTTAGTTGTAGTATAGAGTCGCGATGTGTGGGAATACGTACTTGACCACCTCGATACTTTGCCAATCACCCGAATGGTTGCCATATTTGTACTCCTTGCCAGAGTTGAAATCTTTGACACGAACGCGCTGAACGGTCATAGTGAAGGGGCCATCATCCCAATCGACCAGACCACCACCCCATTCGATCGTACCCAACGCCTCATATGATTCACCGGAAGGCCAAACACCAATCTTGACTTGACATGGAGTCTGTGGGTAGTTCTTGCCCCCAAGTGTCAGGGACTCGGAGTAATTGACTGTTCGAACCAGGACGTCATCCAGCCACCATTCCAGTCTGTCTTGGTCCCAGTAAGTGGTGTAGTTATGGAACTCGGTATCAGCATTCGACATGCCCACACTGGTCCCGCGGTCGCCCGTCGTGTTGCCTTTGCCAAAGAAGTCGGTCTGCACGAGTGATGTATTATATCCAAGCCATTCCCAGTCGATTTCGTCGAGGTCGTCAGATTCAAGGACCACACTGCTAATGATACCCGCACCCTTGGCCATCTTGACCCATGATTCGACAACGCCGAAGAAGATATAGAAGTTGGACTGCAGTAGCAGAGATGATCCATTGGTGCTGAGGGTAAATTCAGCTCCTTCGTCGGTATAGTTGAGCGCGCCATCCGTCATGTTCCAGATAGTGGAGTCGAGCGTCTCGTTAAACCACCATGTATGCTCAGTGCCGAGAGCAGAGTCGGCAGGACAGGTAGTATTGAGCGGATCACAGGTTGTAGACGTCTGAGCAGCTGTATAACCAGCCAGCGCAGCCACCGCCGCGAGAGCGAAGGTGTTTCTCATTGTGGATGGAAGTTCCGGTGTTCTCCTCTTCGATCCAATAGCAAAAGAACAGCAAATACCAGGCTAAATCGGTAATTCCACGGAACACAGATGTAAACAATGAATGGACGAGATCAAAATCTCAGAAACCCTATCTTCAAAAGAGTGGAAGTGCGATACACGCGCACGAAATGATCGTAAGTGGAAGAAACCAGTAGCCCAGAAGATTAAGAGAGAAGCATTGGAAGGAAATGGGGGGGAACACGCCAAATGTGGGTTCGTCGCATTACGGCTAGCGCTGGGGCAAAACAGTACAAAAGCAGAGATTAATTTCAATCACTTGGGCTTTGTGCTCTCACAGCAAGGGGAGAGAGTACACGATGTCGAAGCTAAACCGCAGCTGGTCTAATGCAGCGGCCCCGTGCCTGACACTAAGCTCGATTGGCCGATCCTAAGCTTGCTCTGGCTGCGAGTCACCGCCACGGATCAGTCCTATAGTGTGATTGGCCAATGGCCCCCGATAAGACCTGGATCCACGGTTGAATGCAGAATGCGGTCCTCTCTGGATGGCAAATCACGGCCCTACAGCAGCCCAAGCTATACCAAGCATCGCGTATCCCGTCGTCTTGGATGGATAGTGTACTGATCGGCAAATGTCAAAGGACCAAACTAAGCTCGTTTTCGGGTCTTGAATCGAGTGACACACGTACTCCTTCCCCTTTTACTCGTAAGACATCAGTCAGGCAGCAAATATAAAAACTTTTCCCGCCCCTATACAAGTCTATTTTGAGATTGCCGGTTCCGAATCATTTTTTCTCCCACGAACCGAGTCATCCGGACGGGCTCCGCTTTTCAAACCCACAATTACCACCGTCCACAAGCTAAGTCGACCCTGTGGAGACCCTTTCATGTCCGCTCGGACCTAATTGAGTCCGAAAAGACCGGTTCACACAAGCGAGCTGGGGCGACTCGAAAAGGGGTGCCACTCCCGCGCCGTCATTCGTCAATGCCACGCAGGCTGACCTGGGCGAAGCTTTGAGGCGTCGCGCCGGCCCTTGGCCGTTACGTGGACATCTCACTAGTGTCACTTCTGGCTGAAATCAAGATTGGACAGATCGGATGGTTGGTTATGGCAAGTGAGTTCAGCCCTGATCCGAAGTTCGTCCAAGGTTCTGAATGCAGGGCAAATGAGGGTCTGAAGGGATTGCGGCCCTGAGAACCCCGAGAAACCCGGTCTTTTCTTGATCTTTTGCGGAGACCAGTCCGTTAACAGCAATTTAAGCCGAAATAAAAAATGAAACGGGCATTTGATTGGGTTTCATTTCTGATTAAATGTGCATATTACATATCTCATGAGTCATTTAGTTGCATATGGTCTTGAATCGTGTATGTCGTGCATCTCGTATTATCCCGTCGTCACCCTTTCCCCCATGAACCTCCATCCATGGACATTAAACCTCATGCCCCCCTCTTGTAATATTGATCCAGTTTCCTGATCTGAATTGATCACTTGATCAGCTCAGATAAACCTTAGCTGGTCGTCGGACATCATCGCGATATCGTCGTGTACTGCGCGAGGTGCGGGGTTTCTCAATCACGTCCACATATGACCCTGTGCTCCTTCTCCTGCTGCCCCGAGTGCGAGTGACGGGGGGACGATAGCCGACGTCTGGTTCGGTGCTGCTCCACACTCCGGGCATTGTGCAGAGTCGCCACAGCCACAAGAGGAGTAGGGTTCCGGCCATGGTTCCGAGCACGATACCTGCGATCGCACCACCAGAAAGGGTACTCGGACATCCATCGTTCGCTCGGGCTGCGAGTTTAAAATCAATGGGGGCCTGAAGACAATAATCAGTCATCAATCCGTGATACTGCAGAGCCGTGGTACTGGAATCTCGGATCCGTTCTTCGACGTCCCATGGATTTGCTATGCGATGCACTGACCATTTTGAAACTTGACACTTCTTCAAGTGGATGCTATTCTTTCTTTTATTTTTGTCAAGCTTTGAAAGTCATCAATGGCAAGCTTTATACTGATATGGAATGCGGTGGGTCTGCAGTCGATCGCCAAGCGCAACGAATGGCAGAGTTCAATGGATTACCGACCAAAAAGAAACTAAGGAAAAATTTCAACAAAATCAAGACAAATCCGAGACGGATCCTCTTGCTTATAAACACCTCGTCGCGGATCACTTATTCTCACTTCCAACCTCCTCCTTTCATCCCGCTCTGACGTCAAGAGAACGTCGGCCTTGGCGGCCTGGAAGAGCAGCGATCTACCTCACCAAGGGTACAAACCTGGAACCTTGTCGCAGCCACTCATCTCTTACAACCAGCCATTGGTTGTCTTCTCATTGAAAAACTCAATGCCCTCAATCCTGTTTCTTGTCTCAAAGCTAACTTTGGCAGGTCTATTCCCGAAGAATTGGTACTTGGCCGAAGCATGCAATTCACGCATGCGCACGGATGTTACGGGTTATCTATCGAATGCGGGGCAGGTCATCCCATGCCTCCGAATCAAAAATGACGCACATCACGCAACGAATGCATTGATAGGCCGCTTTCCTATGTCTGCTTTGCCAAGCTCACGCCCTTCAACATTCGACCCAGCACACCGAGGTTGACTATTTCAATTGCACATGTCCGGGTGAGGGCGGCACATCTCCACTCTCCCACATCTTGGCATCCTTGCCTAGCTCGAACTCGATCCTTCCGCCATTAATCATGACATCTTCGTGCTCGAACCAGTTCTTTGTCCATTGCTTCCCGTTGATCTTCACGCTCTGCACGTAAAATCCGGCATCCAGCCCGGTCGCGGAGATACGGAGCGTTTTGTTTCCGTTGATCGTCATGTTCAGATCCGGGAACCATGGTGACGAGAGTAGGTATACGGGCTGCGTGACGATGGGGTAGATACCCAGCATTTGCCATAGGAGCCAGGAATTCATGGCTCCGGCGTCGCTGTTGCCGGGTATGCCGTAGGCAGCATCTTTGAAGCTACCATTGGTTCAGTTGGATAGCCGCGGTACAGAACATGTTTGTGGTACTTACTATTCGTCAGCGAGGCTGCGTGACTGTGCGACACTCTTGTGTTGCTTGTTGATATAGTTGTACAGGTAAGGTGTAGCGAAATCGGGCTCGTTTCTTTTGATTCGTTAGTGAATATACGACAATAAACTCAATTTGACGCACCCAATATTCATCAATGTCGTAATACCAGCTCCATTGTCACCGAGATCTTGAATGGCCATGTTGGGTTTGAACTAGACGACACTGTTAGTGATTGACACAACAACCAGCATGCATCTTACCATCATATCAAGCCGTGAATCAAACGTCTCCGATCCTCCCATAAACTTGATCAATGTCTCAACATCATGAGGAATAACAAACGAGTATTCTTAGAGCCCTTTCATCAGCCTCAATTCATCCAAATCCCCAAGCGGGAATACATACCCCACGGAACAGCCTCATAAGTATACGAAGACCACTCACACCCACCACACAACCTCGGATCATACCCCGAATTATTAAAAGCCCCATCCGAAAACTTTGGCGCCAAAAACCCCGTAAAGTTCAAACTCTCCACGCTCTCATCCCAAATGTTCTGCCACCCCGCTGATCGATTCAAATACTTCTGCACATCACCCGGCATCTCTCCCTTAGCAACCTGACTAAGCGCAAAATCATTCAAACTATACTCAACAGTCCGCGAGATACTGCGCGTATTGCGGTCCTCGGATACGTAGCCAAGCTCTTTCCAGTCGTCCAATGCGCCACGACCTTCTTTCGTACTCGCTGTGAAATCTGTAGGATCGAATGTGTTGTATGGTGTTACTTCTGCGTCTTTGACCATTGCTGCGTAGCCGTCTGTCCAGTTTATGGAGCCTCGGAGACCTTTGACATAGGCGTCTGCTAGGACATTGTCGGCATCTGAACCGCCTTGAACGAGGCCATTCCAGTTTCCAGAGCGGCCGTCTGGCATATAACCTTGGTGTCTGGGTAAATTATTAGCTTGGAGTTGATTGGGGAAGTTGAGCCTGTTTCTACCTCCAGATATCGATTAAAGCTCGGATCATGGACTCGTAGTACTCTGGTTGGAAGATGTGATAGAAGCTGACCGTGCAGCGGAAGATATCCCCTGTAAGAGTTAGTATCACCTATACATTTCAAGAAGCTTTATAGTTCACATACACATGGTGTAAAAGTCATCCCAGAATGGCTCATCAGACTCCCATAATGGATTCTCGCCAGATCGGTCGGATGGCATCAGGTGCATGAAGTATAGGGAGCTATAGAGCAATCTGACGTGTGTCATGTTCGCTGAATCATCCAATGGGACCTGAATCTTATCGAAGACATCCTTGTTCCATTCTTTGACTGCGTCAGCTACAGTGTCATTCAACGTCCACGATGGAATCTCGTTTTCGATGTACGAGCGGGCTCTTGCAGTGGAGATTGAGGAAATTCCCACACGCGAAACAACGTGTGAGGCTGATCCGGACTTCCAACTCATCAATGCACCGATGCGGTTGGTCATTGGGCCCGAGTTGGCTTTTTTAGTCTGGTTCCCGTAAGTTGGCTGGCTTGTTCCGCCGTTCGCCAAGTTTTGATACCTCGGGATTGGGTCTGTGTTGACGCCGGAAAAGGTGCGCGCCTGCTCTGGAGTCGTGGAGAATTCTCCATAAAAGAAGACTGTAAATTGGGCACCTGTTGTCTGTCAGAATCCGTCTCTCTACAAAGTCGTGTAATACTGGTTTTTGGCTTGCCGTTATTCCATCCGCCGACGTAGGTTCCATATCCACTGTATGATTTTCCATCGTCTTCGATTTCAATCTCTCCACCAACGTAAAACTGACTTCCGGAGTCTCCTGGAGATCCAGGTAGATACTTGAAGATGTTAGTTGCGTCTCAAGCCGAACCATTTTCCAGTGACCTACATGAGAAACATCAATAAGAACATGTTTCTCCCCATCTGGGAATGAATACTCCATAATCCCAGCATGACGCGAAGCAGATAACTCAACGGTTACTCCACTTTCCAGCCGAGTTTTATAGTAGCCCACACTCGCCTCATCTTCTCCAACCTAGCCGCGTTCCACATGTCAGTCCAACACGCGAGAATATATGAACAAATTAACTATTCCTCACCCTCGGCTGACTATAAGTCTGGTTGTCAAGAATATTGACAGGCGACTCAACCGATGTCAACGGCATCTGGGCAATCAGCCCATACTTGGGCGCACCCCCTGTCCCACTCTCATGCATCATACTAACACCCGTAACGTTTCCATCGGGCGTCCACCCACCATTCAAAATAGCCGTAGACCAATTCGCAGCCGTCGAGTCTATGCCCACCTTCGCAACACCGAACGGCCGCGCACCACCTACAAATATGTCGCCTCCGCCGGCCCCGGTTCCATCGGGACCTTCGGAGCCGATGAATACGTTTACGTATTGGGAGAGGTCGACTGCAGCTTTGGCGGTGTTTGTTAGTAGGACCAGTCCCAACAAAGGGGCTGATTTGTCTGTCCACCGCATTTATGGGGACAATGAGATCGTGAGGCAAGCTTGAAGAATGATGGGATCGTACGCTGTAAGGTGTGTAGTGATAGGTACTGCGGCTTTTCGATTCTTATACATTCCCCGGCAGGAGAAAACCCCGATCCGATCCCTTCGGTGTAACGTCCATTCACTTGAGCTCCTTTATTCCTCCGTGCGCATTTGGAGACTCGGATTGGTAGGAACATCATGTTTTTCGTTAGTCTCTGTGCTCTACCCCGCATCCTGCATGGCATGAGCACACGGCATAAATTGGAGTCGGCAATCAGTACTCCGTGCGATTTGCCATGATATATTTGATCGGCGGAATCAATGTAACATAGTGCACCGTGGGGCTAAAGATGGGACTTTGGATGAGGAGTGGGACTAGTTGAAGCTTGTTCGGCGATCTGCCAGGTGTGCGGGGAGAATAATTCGGGGTAAATTCTTCTTTGTGTCCCTATTACCCGTTCCTTGATGTGAAGATGATCATCAGTATCCTCTCCCGAGATCCGTCTATCCACGGCCTGACGATATAGTTGCTTGTTCGTGTTTCTAGGCGCCCCACTGCAAGATTCGACGTAAGGAAGCTGGGAGTGTGCGAAAATTGAAACATTGTACTTGCCAGGTGAGATATGCTTATACCACTACTAAAGGCTCCATACTCCAGCTTTGAAGCCTTTACTCACAGGTCCCATCCATCTAGTCTATCAATAGAAAGGCCTCCGGGCCAGCTCAACACAATGTGCTCTGGGCAGTGCTTATGCTAAGTTTGAGTTGAAATATGTATTGTGATAAAGAAAATGCAGATGAACATGAAGCAAAACAATACTTCACCAAAGATCCAGAAACTCCAAACCCATGATATCATCAAAACAAGCAGGCAACCCTATCCAGCCAGGCACCTATCCAAGAATGCGACGGAAAACATAATAGAAAACATGCAATATTGGCCCCTTGATCATTACCGGCCTTCAATGTAGTCCCTGTTCTCGATTGTAACACTCTTGGTCATATGGTTGACCTTGTAAACTCCGACAAGTCTGGAGGCAAGCTCGAACTGTGGACTGCGTTAGCTTAAAAAAAGCATATTGGGGCTAGAATGAGCAACGTACCATGTTATTTCTCAAAGAGATAACAATGAATTGAGCATTCTTTGTTCGTTCCTTGATGTAGGAAGCAACGATAGAAACCTGGAGTACGGTCATTAGCGTCGATGCAGCAAACAATATGTATGAGACTCACGTTTCGGAAGTCCAAGGCCGCATCAATCTCGTCCATGACATAGAGCGGAGTAGGCTTGTAGTGGTGAAGGGCGAACACAAGGGCCAGACTGGATAGTGTCTTCTCACCACCAGACAGGTTTCCGATGTTCTTCCAACTCTTCTTTGGCGGCATGACAGAGAAAAGAATACCCTCTGAGAAAGGATCCAGCGAATCAACAAGCTCCAGCTCGGCATTACCACCCATGGTGATCATCTGGTACATCTCCTTCAGACGAAGAGAAATGATACCAAATCCTTCCATGAAACCATTCAAGCGAGCTGACCGAAGACCGTCAAGGCGAGCCTTTGCGCCGTCTCGGGATGCCAAGGCTGTGGCCAAGTCTGCAGATCGCGATTCATGCTCAGCAGCACGACGACGGTATTCTTCGATGACAGCCAAATCAACAGAGGCATTCTGAACCTTCTCCTCCAGTGCCACGATGACTGCTTTCAATGACTCCTTGTTCATCGCGTCCAACTCGTCCTTGGTGTACATTTGGAGTTCGGTAGATTCTTGCTCTTCACCCAAGTCACTGACGTTCTGTAAGGACAGCTTCGAAAGCTTCTCCTCCCAGTAGCGACTGCGCTTCTGGTTTTCTGACAGAGCCTTCTGGTTCTCCTCCAGCTTGTTGCGCATTTCGATCTCAGTAGCCCGTGTCTCGTTGAGCTCAGCCACCTTCTCGTCGAGTTCATCCTTCAGAGCCTTGAGCTCTTCCTTCTTCGTCTCAAGAGCCTTGTAAAAGTTAGCATCGTAGTCTATGCTTTGACAAATCATCGGGCCTGCTCACCAATTCGGCCTCGTCAGCCTTTTGTCTCCAGCCAGAAGCATCATTTGCCTGGTTTTCCACATCTTCCTCTAGCTTTTCCAAGTCTTCTGCAATCTGGTTGAGCTCCTTTTCTGCCCCATCACGAGCCTTAGTGTGCTTTGTGATAAGTTTCTCGTTCTTGGACTTTTGCACTTCGGCATTGGAAATCTCATCGGCCAACATGCCGATTTGTTCCTTCAAGCCATCGACCTTGGCTCTCTGTCCACGAAGACGCACACCACCGACTTCCATGATCTTGTTTTGCAAGGTCTGGATTTCTTCCTCGATCCCGCTCTTCTGGCTGTTGAGATCTTCGATCTCGTCGTTGATGCCTTCAATTTGCTTTTCGAGAGTAGTCGCCTGGGTGGCGTCGGTCTTTGATGGTTTGTGCTCAGCACTAATTTCCTTCACTCGTCGCTGGGCATCTGCAAGGCTGCGCTTAGAGCTGTCGATCTCGATTAGGATCTTCTGGATCTTGGTCTCGACCCGCGGGATTTCCTCAGACTTCTCACGAATCTGAGATTCAACATTTCTCTGTTTCTCTGAAAAGGCTTGGAATTTACGTTCTAACTCCTCGAGGTCTGCTTCCAGGCGGGTAACCTGTTCCTTGGTGGTATCTGCAACTTGCTTTGAGGACATACCACCCCGTGCGACACGAGTACCACCACCACTCATTGTTCCAGACACATCAATTAGTTGTCCATCCAAGGTGACCACACGCCAACGTCGAGCGCCATAGGCGATCCGGTTCGCTTGCTCGAGGTCCTTAGCAACCAGTGTATTTTGCATGACGCTATAGAACGCTGGTGCAAACTTCGGATCCTTAGGCTGAACAAGGTCAAAGAGTCGGGGAACGCTTTCGGGAGTGTAGATGGAGGACATATCACGACGAGGCAAACGATCCAGGAGAATGAAGTTGGCTCGGCCGAGGTTGTTCTTGCGCAGATAATCGATACAGTGTTGGCCAACCTCCACAGTTTCTACAACCATGTTGTCGAGAGCTGGGCAGGCGGTGGAAATGGCGACATCGTACTTTTCATCGATAGTACCCAAGTTTCCCAGGCGGCCATGGAATCCATCAATACGACCAGATTCCTTGAGTCGCATCAATCCTGTCAAGACACTTCCACGGTTTTGCGTGCTCGCGAGGCTGACGCGTGCTTCATCTGCCTTTTGCCGAGCACTTGAAACATGCGAACGAACCTCGGGTTCACGGGCGATGTACTTTTTCAGGTCGTGCTTCAGCTTCTCCACCTCGCCTTCCAGGGTCTCCTTCTGAGCTTGGCGTTCTTCAAGATCGGTTTGTTTGCTCTGCAGGGTCTCCTCAATGGAGGCGATCTTGCCATGTGCTTCTTCAAGCAAAACGGCGCCGGCGTTGCTCCGCTCGCGAATAATATCGAGCTCACTCTGGGCAACAGCGACGGCAGATTGCTTCTTGTTGATTTTCTCGTTCCAAGGCTCGAGAGACTTCTGTTTCGCGGCGATTTGGTCGGAGAGGCCTTGCGTTTTCCCCTTGAGACTTTCACGAATAGAGTTCAACTCCTCCTCTTCCGATTTCATTTCCGTTTCGAATGCAGTAGTTTCACTGGTCTTTTTCTCGATGTCGTCGCTGAACTTTTCGACCAAGCTCTGGCACTCGGAAGCAGCTAGACGACTTGTCTGCATGGTCTTCTCGAGCTTCTTTTGCTTTCCGACCAGGAATTTCTTCTTCTCTTCAAACTTGACCGATTCCTTATCGTACTTGGCCATTTCCTTCAACAAGCCCTGCGCTTCTTTTTCCATGGTTTCGTATTCCCGGACTCCACGCTTATAGGCTTTCTCGAGTTCCTTGATGCCGGATTCGTTTCCTTCATGCTTCTCAAGCTCCATGTTTAAGAGCTCCTGCATTTGAAGAATTGCCTCCTCGGTGACGCGGACATTGTCCGCACATTCATCGATGTAGATTTGGTAGAGCGCAGACTGCTTTTCGGAAAGCTCATTTTCGTCTCGAATATACGCCAATGCCTTGTCCTTCTTGTCCTCGAGCGCAGTCTTCTCTTTTTCGACGTGTTGCACTCGGTTGTTCTTCTCCGCGCACACGTCGTTGAGACTTTCCAACTCGGTGGCTGCCTCATCGATCGGAGTCTTGTACTTTGAAGTTCCAATGATGTCTTCCAGGTATTCGAGAAGGCCTTCGTCGTGTTCGCCGGTAGCTTTCGCTTTCATCTGGGCAATAGACTCAACTTCACCCTGTAAGATCAAAAATCGCTTGTGGTCAAGATCAATCCCGCGGTCGCGGAGGAAAGTGGTTACCACAGTGAAATTTGTCTCTTTCTTGTTCATGTAGTATTTGCTGCTGTTGTTTTTGAATGCCCGTCGAGAAATTACTAAGTGGGAATCTGGGATGACTTCGTGGCCACCGTCTGGCAAGTCGAGAACTTGCTCGAAGTGGACCTCTACTTCGCAGAAGGGCAAATTGGGGTGCTGAGCTGAGTTGTGAATCAAGGCCGAAATTTTGCCCTGTCGCATCTTGCTAGCACGGAATCCAAACACAAATAGAAGAGAATCGATAACGTTGGATTTTCCCGATCCGTTTGGTCCAACGACGGATGAGAAGGATGCATGGAATGGACCAACAATCTGCTGTCCAGCGTAACTCTTGAAGTTGGTTAAAATCAAGTTCTGGATGATCATCCGAGGCTTGGCCTCGGCAGGCTCCTCTGGGGCAGGAGCAGCCACATTTCTTGATTTCATGACAATATCCATGGGCTTTTCCAGTACAGTAGAATTGGGATTGATGTAAGAGACCTGGGATTTGGGTTCTTCGGACTGTTTCGATGGGGACTGGTTGACGGCGGATTCGGTGATGTCGGACAGAGGCGGTACACTTTCCCGATGAGCTCGCGCTTCAGGTTCTGGCGATGCGGATGGCTCTGGAGTGGGAAGTGAGCCCTTGACCGACATAGACGTAGTTGAGCCACGACTCTTGCGGGGATGAGACATACTATGTCTTTTCATTGCCGCCTGGTTGGACAGCGAATTGGGATCTGCATCCACCGCCTCAATACTCTTTCGCTTCAATGCCGCGTTATTAGAAGGAGACTCTGGATCAGCCTCCACGGATACTAGACTAGCTCCTTCATGATTCTCGTCATTTTCGTCTGTGTCGGTGATTTGCGATGCGTCTGATTCGTCTGCCACCGATGGCCGAGACTTACGCGCTGGCCGCGCAGTAGAGGGAGTTGATGGCTCAGCCTTGGTATGGCTCCTCGACACTCGTTTTGTTTTCTTGGGGACCGGAGTGTAATCCTCCTCTTCTTCGTCTGAATCGTCGTCATCATGCGTCGAGGCCGTAGGTGTCACATTGCCAGCATCCTCTGATTCGGATGTCTCTTCGATAGCGTAACTCGGGCGAGAGGCTGAGCGGCGAGAGGGCCGACCCTGTGTAAGTGAAGCCATTATGCGCAAATCAGTCGAAGCGCTTACTTCATGGGCGCGCGGGGATGGCGGGGGAAAATGTGATGAAAGATAGACGCAGCAAGCTGCGGGAACCTTAAGAAAGTGGGTTGTTTACCTCACGCCCAAAGAGGAATAGCCTCGTTGTTCTGCCACAACACAACCCTCACCGCCAGGATTTTACCGCGACATTACCAAATTCATTACCAAGATTACACCGCTTTCCTACAGAGCACTTCGTTCACATACTCTTTTTCTCCGAAACCCCTAAGCTCCCAATCATGGCGCAGTGGGAAGATTTTAACCATGTTTTTGGTTTTAATAAGAAATATCATTATGACACTAAGGTAGTTGAGCTAATCAACTCCAACCGTCGTGCGCTAGAGAACCATCTCTTCGCCGATCGGCTGTTGACACTGGTTGGTATCAAAGGAGGTATGAACAGCTAGGTAGCCCTGTCGTGATGCCTGTAACTAACTGCAAGGCTCCATACAGTGACCAAAGCCTATCCTCCAAAGACCAATGCCGAGTTGCGCTCACTGATTGATCACATTGTCTCCTCCGAATTGGACATCCATCACAAGCAAGCCTTGATCTATTACATTCTCAAAGACTGTCGCGCCGCGCCAGATGCAGCAGGCCAATTTGCGCGCTCGTGTCACTTGCCTGAGAAATACCGTCTTTTTATCGAAGGTCTATGGCACATGGATCGTCTTGACTTCCGGGTATGTCCCCCCGCCGGAGATGCATAGCCATCGCTAACATGCAACAGCGCGCAATCGAGTACCTGGCCGAACCTTCTCTCATTCCCACCTTTCCTGACGAAATCCTTTACGTCCTCACACTCTCTCAACTTCCTAAGCATGACGATAGTCTCGCGATCGCATACTATCTCAATGCCGCGCCGCCTCTGGCAACCGAAAAGGTGCAAAGATCCTTCTATGAGACCCTCTGTCGCTCTAGCATTACCGAAGCATTTTTCTTCTCACGAAAATATGATGAACTCAAGCGTCACAATTACTTTGTACAGTTGATCGAGTTCATTCACAAAACTGGAGCTGGTCAAACACGCAGTAAGCGTGCGATGGAACTGGTTGGGCTGCCGCTCGATGAAGATGAGGAGGATTGGTTTGAGAAGGCTTTGCTCCATGGGAGTGCCAGCGCCTTTCCTGGCGCAAAGGACACATTGATGATGCGGCGCTTGGCAACAGGCAGAGTTGACGGTCTGTCGGCAGAGCTGGAGGCATTGGGCGGGAAAAAAGTGGACGGACTTAACTGGGATGATCTACGTCAAAGCATGCGGTACACGCAAGCGGGTGGTAATCTCTTGGAATGATTTTAATGAGAGCAAAAATGGACAAATTAAAGGAGTTTGGGCTTTAAAGTTTTGAATTGAATCCACTAATTACTTTTGAAAGATGCACTGGATGCGTCCTGATACCATCCCACTTGTATATGATTCAGGGTGCTCAATGGCCAGGCCATATACGTATACAATAATCTACTCCCGTTAACTTGGGTAAACGTGGACAAATAGCCCAACGTTGAATCCGGACGTAATGGATGTTTGCTTATAATATATATATCTCCCCAGGCATAGATTAGGTAGATACCTACCCTGGCTGGGTAACACGCGAAACCCCAAAACTACCGAGAGAGAATACTAAGATAAATCTCTTTTGATTAGGTGCCAGCGAAGCTAAATTAAAGACCACTATGAGCATTCAAGGTGATTGCGCTTGACTTTGTATTCCAAGTCGACTTCCGTTCACCTGCATCAGTCTCGGGCTTCGAGGGACCGATAACCGATAAGACCTCGATAAGAGATCACCTCGCGGAACTCACAATTCGCGGAAAACAGCTTCATTTTCATTCATACGCGTTTTACCCTTCCTCTACAGCTTACTATATTACTTTCACCTCATTTGATACTGGTTGATTGATTCAAATTACTTTCACCTTGACTTGCAGCAAACCGGAGCTGGAATTGCCTGCCCGCAACGTCGCCTTCAATTGGGCTATCACAACCGCGCCAGAGCAGCCCTGAATGCGGTCATAGTCAAACATGACCGTCTGTGCTTTCTTTCAGCAGGGTCGCTGCAAATTTGGCGGTAAGTAAGCACTGATATGGCTTCGGAGTTAGGGCTAATAGGTTGACAGACCGCTGCAAGTTCGAGCACCCTGGCCGCAATACGACCGGTTCGTCGGGGAACCGTTTCGGTGCTCTCGCCGCCGGTGGCTTTGGAAGTAAGTTAATTTGTTGCTGAGATGGCAACATGGCAACAGTCATGAATGGAGTTTGCCATCTCAAGCTTACCCTCACATTGTGTTTCTTCATTCATTTCGTCCTTTAAATTCTTTGAACCACATCATACTTTACACATCTCAACATCTCCAATCATCCTTGTCCCCTTTCCCCCAGAACAGATGCTTCCATTCTCATCATTCCGCAAACCTAAAATACCACCAGCCTCAGCTCCAGCAGCTATTCAAAACAATGTTTCCCCCCATAAGGGCTTGAGCGCTGACTCGCATGTGGTAGATCAAGGCTCGAGGCAGAACCAACAACCACCAGAGTAAGTGCCAGGTAAAGCCAAATTACTGCATTGAATGGGGGGCTAACCCAATAAAAGCTACAACCTGAACGCCAGCGACATCAAGCTCGACCTCACCGTCGGCAAAGGTCGCCCGGAATGGGTATTCTCTGCATACGCGCCTTTGCGGGATCTTCCACGACAGCTATTCGGCGGTCCTCAACGAGAGCAGAGCATGGAAGAGATGCGTCTTCGTCACTACCAAGCAGCTGCAGCAGGCAACATGAGCCAGGCCTTACAGGAGGCCCAGGCTCTGTATGCGGAATCAGTGAAGCAGATGGAAGTGGCGTTGAATGATACCAATGGCGCCATCCAATACATCATTGACGGAGATAAAGAGCATCCAAACCGCATTGACATCGTCAATGGGAACACTGGATCTGATGCGAATCAGGCACCATCTGCTTTCGGCCAATCACCCGCCCCCGCTCCGACCAATGCATTCGGAGGAAGTGCTCCATCGACGGCCTTTGGCCAACCATCAGCATTTGGAGGTAATTCCTCATCGACAGCCTTTGGCCAACCATCAGCACTCGGAGGCAATTCCTCATCGCCAGCTTTTGGCCAACCATCAGCATTCGGGCAAACTTCTAGCCTCGGCCAGCCGTCTGCCTTCGGACAACCATCAAGCCTTGGCCAAAAGCCATCTCCCTTCGGACAGCCCTCAACCATGGGAGGACAGAGTGCATTCGGAAAGCCGGCATTCGGCCAGCCATCACAACCTGCTAATAACCAGCCCGCGTTCGGTCAATCGGCATTTGGGCAGCCGACGGGCCCAGCACCCTTCGGTGGTACAGCATCTGCTTCTCCGTTCGGTGCGGTCAACCAGAACGCCAACCCCTCTGCATTCGGACAGCCATCAGCCCAGCAACCTGCTGCAGCCGCAGCTCCTTCACCATTCGGACAGGTAGCTACGCAGCAAGCCGGTGCGCCATCCGCGTTTGGCCAGCCATCAGGTACAAGTGGCTTTGGTCAACCATCCCAAAACCCAGCACCGTTCGGTCAACCTCAGCAGGCTAAACCAAATCCATTTGGCCAAGCGCCCGCTGCGACAAACCCATTTGGAGCCCCGCAACCTGCTGCTGCTCCCTTTGGTCAGCCTGCAGCTCCTCAAGGGTTACCGGTAGCAAATGTCGATGCTGGCCCGCCTGCATTTATGCAGATAGATGACCCCAATGAATTGAACCCGCTCCCACGGCTGCAGGGTGAGACCAGACGTGATCCTGGCTCTAACAGACTCACTGCGTGGAAAGGCCGGCCCGTGCGATATGTGAACAACTACCCTTGCTATGAGCACCCACAGGACCCTAAGACTTTGGTTCGTATAAACTTCCCTGACGGACCGCCCGATGCGGCTACTCTCCGTGATTCTCAAGGGAAAGAGGAGGAGTATACACCGGAAATCATTGAGATGTATCAATTCTTCCTTGCAAATGGATACTTCAAAGATGGCATTATCCCGGCGGTGCCACCCAAGAGAGAATGGATCAGTTTTGATTTCTGAGCTTGTTATTATTTTCTTGCATTGATAATGTCGATTAAGGGCGGCCTTTTCTTTTTCTTCTCTTCTGATTTGTTTGCGAGGTGCATTTCCATGACTTGCCGGCTTGTCAATTGTTTCTCCCCCCTCTATTTCTTTTTTTTATGGGAACAATTTCAGTGTTAGGGTACCTCATACAAAATGGCGTGGTCGGAGTTCAGGGCATCATTCTGTTACGCTTACAATGATTACGATACAATTTTACAAGTTCAGATTCAGGATCTGCAAGCACAATATTCTTTCTCAAGATGTTTCCATTTTTTTGTGTCTCAGGTAAAGCGGGTATCCACCACGAATTCCTTCTCAGGCTCAAAAGCGGACGACCAACTGTTCCGCAACCAAATATTTAATTCGATTAATTCGACGGAGCAGCCAGTCCAAAAACCCTCCCTGATCCATTGCAAGAACTACTTAGGGTAGTGCATTTAAGCAGCAATGGTAACCTCAACCTCAACACCGGCCTCGATGTTGATGATGATCTGCTTGACGGTCTCGGTGGGGGCGAGCAGGCTGCGACAGAGTCAGTAAAATGTCCAGGTAGAAACGAATGCAGCGCGAGCACACTACACGCTCTAGGCATTTGAATGTATCCGGGGAAAACTCACTCAATCAGGCGCTTGTGGATGCGCATCTCGAACTTGTCCCAAGTCTTGGAACCCTCACCGTTGGGGGTCTTACGGGTGGAGATGTTCAGGGTCTTGGTGGGCAGACGGACGGGGCCCTTGACCTGGAGGGACTTGGAGCGAGCACGGTCGATCAGCTCCTGGCAGACCTTCTCGAGGGAGGCAACCTTGCGGGAGGTGAGGGTGATGCGGATCTTGTGGACCTTCTACAAGGGGCATTAGCAATTGCACACAGGCATAGATAGATATGATAGCCAAGTGTCGAGAAAGGGGAGTGGTTTTTTTCCGCCGGCGCATTGCACAATGAACTTTGCGACGGCGGGGATGGTGGTGGCGGCACATAGATAGTGGGAAATGATAGAGGATGAGATTCCACGTACAGGGCCCTCGCCGAACTCCTTCTCAGGCTTCTGGAAAGACATCTTGAGATTTTTGTGATTGTTGAAAGAAGCTAATTGCCAATCAAGACCTGAACTGCTGGGCTCGGTAATGTGATGATGGCCGATGGAGATTGTGGGTGTGGAGCGAGAAATGTGAACATTTTTAGTGGGAAAACGCTTCGTGCTTCGGCTATCGCAACGCTAGTCCCGATTAAGTATGCTGCTGAGTCATCGGACTCGGGGACCAAATGCGGTCCTATCTACACGACGTAGCTAATTTGATGGTCGCTTTGTTTATTATTTGCTTGGTTTTCTTGTGTCTATTTACTCCTCATCGGAGCTTTTCTCTTTTTTTCTCTTCGTTTTTTTTCTAGCGCATCCTGAAATGACGGGGTTTCCGCCATTGGCCCCGGTGCCCTCCCCCGCAGTCCGGAAGAGCATCCCATCTAATGACTGGGAAGCATGCCTGGATGCATGGATGATGCTGCTGAGCATCCGTCTGAATGCCGATGATCAGAAGTTCCAGATTGCTGCTGCCGAAGATCTTCCGGCCGTCTGGTTCCTAGATTCATTCTATCAACATGCCGCCGCAGGAGACCAGGGTCTACAGTCTGGACCCAAAGCTCGAAAGCTTCGGAAACTTTGCTTTCTAACGACAAGGCGGTACATCTTAACTCTTTCAAATCCCCCAACTGATCTCTTTGATTGGAGACTTTTGGGAAATATGTGCTGCTGTTATCCGTCAAGCACGGCATTGAAGACGTCTTTATCAGAAGCATGGGACTTGCATCATGAAAAGATATCATCTAGCATAGAGAAGGCCAAATCATCTATTATGAATCAGCTATCTTCAGGAAGTCAGTCGTCAGCAGCCGATACCATCACAGACATTCGACGATTGACAATATTGACTTCGGTTTTGCCATCTTGCGGTCAGGTCCTGATGGCAGGCTCCGACTATCTGGATACACTGGCAGAAAGCTATCAGTCGCGAAGGACTCGAAATGAGCTGAGCAAGATTCTTGTCGCCAACCTCTACGTGGGCCTGGTCTCATTATTGAAAGAACCCTCAACCAACCTGTCGTTGCTACTGGACCAGCTGTTCAGCCTCAAGTCCGCCGCAGGAGTGGGCACGCCCCAAATGAAAAATGAAGCCACAATCCTTTCAGATCTTATATGTAGCTCTGATTTGCTACAAAGGCTCGAGAAGTATCTCAGCAGCCATCCCCAAAAAAGAGGAGAAGACCTCCTTTCCAGTCTTCGCGTCTACCAGATAGAGTCAAAACACAAGCACCAACGGTACCAAAGACGTAAGAAAGTGGACAAGGGGAAAGGTCCTTCTTCTGGTCTACAGTATCAAGACGAAGAGCTCCATGCACACAAAATGTCCCTTGTCTTGCAGGTTCAAGATCTCTTTCCAGACCTGGGCTCCGCCTTCGTGGTGAGGCTCCTAGATGTCTACAACGACGACCCCGAAACAGTGATCGCCCACCTCCTGGATGATTCTCTCTCCCCAGAGCTCCAAAGCTTGGATAGATCCGAACAACTCCAACCTCCAGCAGAATCAAAGCACGACAACTTAGCACCTCGACCAACACCTCCTGCAATGTACTCGCCACCACTGCACTCAATACCCGAACGCAAGAACGTCTTCGATCAAGACGTCGATATCGCAGAACTAAGCATCTCAGGCGAGGCAAAGGGCAAACTACGCTTTGGCCGTGCAGACCCCGATCTCACCGCAGACGTAGTCCTAGCAGATCGAAGTCAACACGCAACCAACAAAGCCGCCATCCTCTCTGCACTGGCAGCATTCGACTCAGACGAAGACGAGCGCGACGACACATACGATGTCGCAGATGTCGGCGGCACAGTTGATGCCGTAACAGTCGGTGCCGACGCAGATGCAGAAACCGAAGCGCGAAACCAGCGTGCAGCCGCAGATAATCTCGACATGATACTTCTCCGCGCTTACAAGTCCAACCCGGCGCTCTTCTCCCGTGACGCTACAACGCGTCGCTCACAGTCTCGCGCGCAGCTCAAGCGCGAGACTAACATGGTGGATGAGGCTATCGAGGGCTGGGCTGTTATGCTCGTCCGGGATCCAAAGCGTCTCGCTAAGCTTGAAAATCGACTTGCTGATGAAATGGGTGGTTCTTCTGGTGGATCACTGAACCAGCCCGCTCTTTCTTCGACGTCGTATCGGAAGCCGCGTGCTGGAGATGAAGAAGATTCTGCGGATGGAGGTGAGTCATCTGGCCCTTCGGCTCGCGGAGGACACGATAGAGGTAGAGGTGGACGTGGTCGGGGAAGAGGTGGCAGAGGTGGGCGGGGTGGTGGTCCGTCTCATCCCGGGGGCCAGGGGCAGCAGAATACTCCGGCGGCAAATAGGAGGAAGGAGGAGAATAAGGCCAGTCGGGCTAATCATAATAGGCGCCAACAACGGGCAAAGAAGATTGCGCGTGGAGGCGGCTTGCCGGGATGAATGTCAAAACAGACTATCTGATGTCAAACACAATACATGCATATATCAGATATTCCAAATGGGGCTTACTCCATAGTCTGGCGTATCTTCTGTTCCATGGATTCGTTATAGATTGAGACATATGCCCCTTACTGCTGTTAGAGGTACGGCATTTTAAAATTTTTGAGAAGGTAGGGGCACTTTTTGAGAAGAAACCGGAAACATCAATTCGCTCGTATGTACATAAGATCTAGGATAAAACAGCCGAAGGAAGTCGTGATTACACATTAGTGGTGGTGCGAAAAGACGCCCTCTGTCGCAATCGACTTGCGACACTCCTCCATAAGGCGGACCTGTTTCGCCACGTCACCGAGCCGGCCGATGACCTCCTTGTTTCCATCATAAAAGGTGAAGATGGCGTAGGGAATACCAGTCTCCTTGCAGAATTCTAGAACGTACTTCTGAGCACGACGCAAGTTGTGGCGGGGCATGCGAGGGTACAGGTGGTGGATAGCCTGAAACTGCAGACCACCGTGGAAGAAGTCCAGCCAGGTAGGACAGTCAACGTCCATAGTTGTGCGAAGCATCTTCTGGGGAAATGATTCATGAACACCCAGATCAGCGGTAGACATGGCGAAATGAGAGAGCGTGATTTGGACGTGCAGAGGCGAGGGTACGACGTGAGAAATCAGTAAGTAGATGAGTCTGCTTTGCCAGTCGGGGACAGTCTTGTACATGACACCGTAGACAAACCAATACCAAAAGAAAGCCTGACCTGCAAACTCGAGCCAAATATGCCACCAGGCGGGTCCTTTTCGCGGGGCCTGACCCTTCAACAAGTACTCCCAACTCAATCGGTAAAGATTGAAACGGGCCAGCATCATAATAGGGTAATAACTATAGTTCTGAACTTTGACCATGACCTTGGAGAATGCATCAAAGGTCATGTTGCGGTCATAGTAGGTACTGTTAAGGCTGTCGAGGAAGCGATGCGAGATGGCAAAGAAGGGAATGTGCTCGATATCTGGGTCATGCTCCGGCTCATTGGTGACGATGTGGTGGACATTGTGACTCCGTTTCCACCAGCCCAGACTCAATCCACCCATGAAATCAGCAATGATGATTCCAATAACCGTGTCCACGTGGAAATTGTGGGTGATGCCCATATGACCAGCATCATGGGCAGTGAAGACAAGCTGGTGCCAGAAGCACCCGAGGAAGAACGCAGAAGGTGCCCACCAACCAAAACGAAGAAATACGTAAGCTAGCGTTGCGAAGAGAGTATACCGACAACACTCGATGAAGTAGGAGAAGTAATTGCAGTCGAAAAGACCGTCATCCTGCATGCGCACGTAAAGCTCGCGGTATCTCCGTTTGATGCTTTCTTGGTTCGCCTGGTCCAACGAGGGGTATTTTGCGGTATCGAATACAATTTCCTCCCGCGTTCGAGCATCAAGGAAAGCTGGCTTGGGCCGCAAGTCTGTCTCTGCCTCCACCGGCGTGGAAGCGTCGGTGTCTGTGCCTTGCGAGGGCTTCTTTCGGCGAGTGACAGATTTGGAGTCGACCGCATCAAAGATCGGAGAAGGTGGAATGGAGCCCTCTTGGCTCGAATTGTCCTGACTTGTCATGTCGTCCTCGCTCGAGTACGTTTCTTCAGCGTATAGGCGGAACTTGCCGCCTTGAATCGGGGGGAGAAAGTTTGTCCAGACCCCTTCGACTCGACCGATCTGATATGCGGGCATGCGCTCTCGGGCTTCTTTCGAGTGCAAACTATAGGAGAAAGCATAGGGTCAGCAAAAGTCAAGAGCAAGGATCCGGAGTCGAAGCCATACGCATTGATTTCATCTGTCGCATCCCTACCGACCATGTGTTTGATCGGCTTTTCACCGCCAGGGTGAAATTTGAGGAAAGCATCCACCTTGAGAACAGAGTTCTCGTAGATTATGACATGCTTCCCTTCCGCAATCAAGCCTTCAATGTACCGGCGACTCAACAGTGTGTCCTTCCGGGACGGTCGGGGAGCGGGTTTCTCCATCGTGGGAAAATGCGATGAATTGGAGAAGAGTGCGGTGAAGTTTGGTCGGAGAAAACAGTCAACAATATATGAGAAATTCAATACATCGTATGATCGTCGCAGTCGCTCGAGGTATGTACCTGAAACAAGAAGAAAAAGGTTGGGGCCAAGGCAGAAATGTATCAAGGAGGTGGATCAACAAGCGGGGAGGGATCAACCGCGGTCTTTCCACGGGACTCCCGTGATTACAATTCCAGAGCACCTGCAACTTGGAACCTTGGAACACTTCACAATCGCAAATGGATCAGGTACATTCCGCTTTGCCTGACATACTAAACCTAGTCTAACCTATTTAGATATCACTTTCATCGCTAGTCGAGACATGGCTCCAGTGGGACCAGGTATGTAGCTTGTGATTATGCTCGTGGCCTGACCCTTATCTTAAACGGATATTCGGATATAGGATCCCAGGACTCGCACGGAGATAGAGCACCTTCGGGATACCAATGACGAAGCTGCACTGGAGCTGTGCCTACGCAACCGTATGTTGGACTATGTTCATAGCGTAATTGAGCCGAAAAGCTAAATATGGTTCCAAGGCATTAAATTCGGCACGGCGGGCTTGCGAGGCCGTATGGCAGCAGGGTTCTCTTGCATGAATTCCTTAACGGTTATCCAAGCTTCTCAGGGACTGGCTAAGTATATACAAACTCAACGTCCCGACATTGCCCCTAAAGGCGTTGTCATTGGATACGATGCGCGCCATAACTCTCACAGATTCGCCGAGCTTGCCGCCAATGCCTTCATTGCATTGCAGATCCCTGTTTACTTCTTCTCCATGTCCTCGCCAACTCCGTTGGTTCCTTTTGGAATCAACTACTTCAAAGCTGCCGCGGGTATTATGGTTACCGCAAGCCATGTACGTCAAGAAAAGAGTGGCTGAAAGACGCAATACTAACAAACGACCTGGAAGAACCCGCCTCAAGACAACGGTATATGTCTTTTTATCATATTCAATTATAAGCTACTGACTTTTGCCTAGGCTACAAGGTGTAAGAATCTCTATTTTACTGGCCAGGCACCTACCCTGTTTTGGGAGCTGACTCTGCCCTGCTCAGTTATTCCAGCAATGGTGCCCAGATCAATCGACCTGAAGATGGAGAGATAGCACAGTCTATTCGCGACAGCCTTGACCCATGGCCGGGTGCCTGGAATGAACTGCAGCCTGGCGAGTACTTGCATGCCGATGCATACGAAAAAATCATTCCATTCTACAGGGCGCAGGTCAAAGAATACGCGGTTAGTAAGGACCAACGTTCTAGGCCAGGAAGCTGACTATTGAAAAAGCTTTCGACAGCTTTAGGATGGAACAACCTCAGCTCATTTGTTTATACGCCTCTTCATGGCGTTGGAGGCTTAGTGCTTCCAGACATTTGTGACTCGCTTGGGGTGCACGACTTCTTATCTGTCCCTCTCCAATCAGTACCCAATCCTGAGTTTCCCACAGTCAAATTCCCCAACCCCGAAGAAGCCGGGGCTCTTGACCTTGCCATACAAACCGCCGATCAAGAAGGGAGAACTCTGATCATTGCCAATGACCCTGATGCGGATAGATTCGCAGCGGCGGAGAAGTTGAAGTCAGTCTCTTGCTCCATTTTAATATGTGAACCTTTGCTCACAGTAATAGTGGCGAATGGTTTCTCTTCACCGGCAATCACATGGGTGTCCTTTTGGGATCTCATATTCTTGAGTCCTTAAATAGTGAGGATTTGTCAAGGACTACATTTTTGACGACAACCGTGTCCAGTGGCATGCTCGAAAAGATGACCAAGTCTAAAGGTGCTCAGTTCCAAGAGACATTGACTGGCTTCAAATGGATGGGTAACGTTGCTCGGGACCTTGAACGTACTGGAATGACTGTTCCATTTGCCTACGAGGAAGCCCTCGGGTACATGTTTCCTTCAGTCTGCTACGATAAGGATGGGATCACAGCTGCCGCTGTTTTTCTAGGGGCATATGCCAAATGGAGATCTGAAGGGTTAACTGCACAAGCTAAACTTCAGCAATTATTTGAGGAATTTGGGCACCACGAAACACTGAACAACTACTTCCGTTCCCCTAGCCCAGATCTGGCGGTTGAGCTGTTCCGTGGTATTCGGAGCGGCCCCTTCCTCGCCAGTAAGAAGTTTGGCTCATTCAAGATCCTCCGCTGGAGAGACCTGACAGAAGGATTTGATTCCGCCTCTTCGGATAACAAACCAGACCTGCCTGAAGATCCTACAAGCCAGATGCTGACCCTATGGCTGGATGGAGGAGTGCGCTTCACTATTAGAGGCTCGGGCACAGAACCAAAGGTCAAGTGTTAGTTCCCTTTTCGTTGTAACCTTACTTTGTTTAGCCGCAGATTGTGATCCGTACTGACACGCGCCACTAGTCTACATAGAAAGCTGTGGCGCCTCTCGTGACAATGCCGTCAAGGCTGTTTGTGAAACTTTCCTCACCATCCTGACAGAATGGGTTCAGAAATACACCCCTTCCATGACCCACAGCAGCCAGCTTCCAACCTCGTCAGGTCAGATTCTTGATATGGATAAGCAATGACGATATGTCGTAGTCTTGCGAGAAGAAAGTTCTGGGACTTGGAATGTCAATTATGTTTTATTATTCCGAGACCCAATAGCTATACACTTCAAGTGAGGCAAATATTGAACAAAGAGGACCCCAGTGTCACTTGGACCTGCAGGTCCCCGTCTACGTAAAAGGTCTTACCACCTTCCTTTGAATCTACTCCTGGACACTCGGGCAGCCAGAGACATGCAAACTGCATTTGGAGTTGCACGAGCCTGGAACAGATTCAGTCGTTGAGGTCAATCAAAAGAAGACAAGCAAACTCAAGTATATAACAAGGAAGTATATATCAAAGATCCTTTTCCTTGAACCAACCCCGAATCCACACATGTCGCACTTGACTGGTACAGCCTCGCAAAATTGATCAACAAGTTGGGCTTCTTTACGTTATGTTTCATCCCATTCGCGGTCACCATGGTTCAGGAAACCTGTACCATACCCACTATACCACGCCGGAAATATTGCCCCGCCACTATCAACATGGCCACCTCCATGGACATGCTAGTACTATCAACACAAGCGATGGCTCTCATACACTCCATGAATATCAAACGCCTGGTACTGCCGGAGCCTCAACTGAAAAGCATCGGCACCTTTACCAGCTCAATCTCCAGGACAAGGGCCAACACCCTGCTCATCGCCAGCACGGATTTTCTAATACAGCTCATGAAATGTATGTGCAAGATCCAACATGAATGAACTCAAAGTCCAACTAGCAATAATCTCACTTAATACCTAACACCCGAAAGGCACACCGACGTTCGACCTAAACCACCAAAACCAGGCTGCCCTTATCATAATAACGATCCAAGAGATGCACTGCGACGCACCCATACACATCCTCATCCACACACAGGCTTGCCACAGCACATGACAAATGGACATGATCAGCGCGAACACTCGCCTTTGTATCACGGCAATCATATAGATCAGCCTAGAGCCAGAAGCCAGATAATACCGCCAGCACCAACGAGGCAAAATCAACACCATCACCACCACGCACATGACCCGGCTCCAGTGGAGTCTCAGGTCCATCGTTCTCACGCTTACCCACATATGTATTTCGCACATGGTGCCCTTGATCCTGGATCATCCCAACATGACCATGAGGAGGACGCTCACCCCAAGGAAAGTCCTCCCGATCGCAGCAAACCGCTAGTGGGTATTCGTGAGGAAGATTTGATGTGGGGATATGGACCTCCTTTACCTATACTGACAGTGCATCGTCGAAAGAATAATCGAAGGAGACGAAAGAGTTGACTAGGGGATGTCGTGTTGCCCTAGCCTGTTGTTCAATTATAGTTTCCGGGCGCAAAATATGAGTGTCATTTTCCAGCCTTACCTACCTACCATGCTGTTATATCTGCCTTCTGAACCCAAAAGAATGAAAACAATAGCCAAGGCTAGATGGCGATGAGCGTAGTGATAAAGCAGAAATGAAGACGTTCGAAAATTTTAATGATGGAAGGAAAGTCATGATATATGGGGAATTAAGTGTAAGTGAAGGTGAATGTTGCATAAAAACGAAAAAAGAAACTCCGATAGGGGGAATCGAACCCCCGGCTGTCGTGTGAGAGACGACGATGTTAGCCACTACACCATATCGGAAGGGGACAACGAAATATTCCATTAAGAGCAACATAACCAGCTTTGGTTTAGCGTCATGTGCCCTTCCACATCGCCGTGCCTCTTACATGTTTGCGGTTTGTGCTTACACCAACCACAGGGCTGCAATAGCCGCCCAGGTGAGGGGGGAAGAATGAAAGATGACTCATTGCGACATGGACAGGTAACTTAGCTTTATGATTCAATACGAAGTAATAACACTAGATTTAATTGTAAGAGCCATCTAATTAAACACCACAATAGTCCATATGGGGGTACAGTCTTGAAATTGTAATTCAGATTAAATACAGACCACGAGATGGCAATCCTGCCTAGTTGCCATTTTCCCACAGAATTTGAGGGGCAGCCACATGATGTAGTCACGCAAATCCACGAATCCACGATGCAGAAAGCAGATAAGCTACAAATTTGGCTGTTGGTAAGAGCGTGGACAATCACAGCAAAAGGCAATGAGGAGAACTCCTACCATATAGTTTCCCATTTCAGGAATTAAGTGAACGAGCACATCTCGTTAGGTTGCACTTGAATAGATAGCTAGTAGTTCGACACTTATCAAGTTCATTCTACTTTCTGATTATTTCATCTTCTGTCATCTGCTCTATTCTTCTTGAACTTCCTTTTGTATGCGTGACTTCAGGAAAACAGAGAAGCGATAAGCAAGGTCGTCTCCATGAATGGGAGGATTACCACCTCCTGGAATCTCCACTCCATCAGGAGTCAAGATTGGTCCTGGCTCTGGCCTCCAAGGCCACCGAGCTTCCCATAGCCCTAGTTCATAGAGCCGCCATAGATCCCAAATAGGCATACCCACTGCACGCCAGGGACGGGAATCCCGGAGGCTGCATTCCTGAAGTGTGATCGGATACTTTATGGTTCGAAGCTGATACATCCGCCAAAGGCCGGCCATGGGATTCCTTTGGGTCATGTTGGTTCCCTGGCCCCAAACATCATTAGGGATGTCAGGCGCATGGTAGTCTAGAATGATGGGCGGAGGGGGAGGGGACCAGATGTCAAATTTGCATGACAGTTGAGTGGCACTTGGTAACTTCGTAATCAAGGCTACGTCGCTATTTTTCGCTTCGACCGAGGGCTTTTGAGTATGATCTGTATCAACTCTGAGCAGATCCTGCAGGCATTCGCTTATGGCGCGGATCTCATCTGCAGATCTAGGGGGCTTCTGATTCCAGTCTATGTCGTTGGACCATAAATTCTCGGGATCACTTTGCGGCCACTTTAGCCTTTTGGCAGTGATCAACAGATCGGAATGCAATTGCAGGTGCCATAATGCGTGGTAGACCCGATACTCCTCAATCCAGGAAGGAGAGCCGGCGTCGCGTGGCTCATATGGTACGGTACCCGTCACTCTGGAATAGTCTTCGCCCGGCATTTGAACTAACTCCCAGCGCCGAGGTTTTACCTCCCGAACCCGTGTTAGCAGGATAATTAGGCAAACACATGCCAGCCGCTGAATGTTGGCCGCGATCATCACCGTTTCCTGCAACATGGCGCGGGTTATCGACGAAGAAACTGTCATGGATGATAAAGAATAGTCCCGAGCCATGAAAATGGCAGCACTTTTATCTACCAAGGTAGGCTGGCGCAGTTTCATAGTCATACGGAAGTAGCGGTGGAGTTCATGGCTCATAATAGGGTTCAAATTGAGGATTGATTCCACTAGACGAATAGCTTCAGGGTCTGCTTTGCTGTTGGGTTCACCGGCGAAAAGCTTTTCCACTTGAGGGAAGACTTGGCACAAATTTTCGAGACCAACCCAGTCCGCTGTGTATGCATTGATTCTGGAGAGAAGTTCAATCGGAAGTCGGGTCCTTGCTGCCATTGTTGCCTTCAGATCGGATATCGCAGAGGGGTCTGAGAACGTAAAGGGGTGTGTACTCTGCAAACCCGGGGAGAGATAACAAGCAGACCAGACGATGGCACCAGCACCACTTGAAGGGTATTTGTTGAAAGACAGTGAAATGGGATTGAAGCATTCAATGAGATCAATAACGTACGGAGATCTTCCAATTTAGCGTGGTTGCAAATTTCACTTTGGGTCTAGTGTGGGAACGGTGGCACATAGCCGCCGCAAGCTCGGACTCGCAAGTAAGAAGTTCTGGCAGCCCCGCCTTTGGCTCTTTCTCTACTATCAAATAGCCGTATTCAAACCAGGCCAATTTCAAGCTCAATCAAGGTACTCTTGAGCATAATGAGCACGAACTCAAAATGGCAAGACTTTAATCAGACAACTAATACCTCTTGCAAGATGCATCTGATAAATGGTGAAAGCCTGCAATATCGACAACTCATGGGCTGGCGTCTTGGAGCTCAAAATGATCGATGAAAATATCTACAGAGACGCCACGCCCCAGGCCCGATCATCATCATTTTTGGTATGGCAACAGTCTGTGTAATTGGTAGACCAACCTTGGTGAGATATTCAGGGTATATTTTGGTGTGATTTAGTCTATGGTGGTTGTGCACACGTTAAAAGCCATTATTCTTTGTCTAACCGATGGTCACTTTTTTAGACCAATCACTGCCAGGTTACGGGGACTATGACCGTATTCAAACACTGGCTCAACCCAACATTCTTTGACGGAATCCTGCTCCCGGAGATATTGCCACCGATCCACAACAATTATGGACTCGACAAGCTGCGCACTGAACGCCATTAGACTCCACACTATACTGATATGTTTTCTTGTGTGGAGGTATTCAGCCTCGTAGTGTTCAATGTCCTCATCGGTCATGGTAGCAATGTGGTCTTTTATCCTGGAACCATAAATCGGATCTCGGCTCATCTTGACCGTAGCTGCACGAATGTATGTATTGAAAGACTTGTAGGCAGATTTGGGCAATGATCCGATGATAAAAGCGTCGGCTTTTGATTCTGAGTGAGACTTGCCAGAGAGGGGAGTTTCTGACGCTGAAGGTTTAGGGAGAACAGTACGGTCAACGAGAATGCGCTGGAAAAGAGCACGGAAGTAGTGACGCGTAAATGACACTTCGCTGTCTTTGGCCGTCCAATTGAGTGGAGCTTGCACGGCTAATGCACGAGCTGTGATATTAAGCCTAATTCCTTCTGTTGTTCCGGGACTTCGGTAATCTTCGTAGTATTTGGAGAGGGGAAATCCATGCGGATCGTATGATGAGCCAGTCTCTTGAAGTCGAGGGTGTAGAGATTGAAGGATAGGCAGCTTATTAGTGGCTGGACCGAGGCGCTCGGTCAGTAAATTGTAGCAGCAGCCGATCATAGCGACTGCCACCACCGAAGGATTAACAATCAGGGATTTTAAGCCATGATGAACAAGGTTCCCGCAGGAATGAAGAGAAACAACCATGACTCTAGCGTTGGTTTCTTTTTTATCGGCCCCTTCCGAATCCTCATCAAGGGATGGTTTAGTGACGTGTTCGATGATGGGCTCTAGGTAGCCATCTTGGATGTCATGTTCGATATAGCTGAGAGTACCGCGATTAAGGACCTCCGGTGTCGGGAGCTTTTCTCGGCGTGAACCTTTCGTGAGCGTACCGAGTAGCTCATCAGGTTCAAGACTAATCTCGCCAAGCATATCGAAAGCAGTGGCATCCTCGGAGACCTGCGAACCTTCTGTCGTAGGCTGGGGGGAATCCGACGGTTCAGATGTATTCACCTCTGCAGTCCCGTTACAATCATTGCACGGATCTTTCCTCTTGGAATGATGTAGAGCCTTTGGGTCATTCGCTAGCTTTGCTCGGACATCCATGCCCTTGGCACCTGTGATGTACTGATGTTTGCGCTCGATTGCGATGATGTGCTTATGATAAGGAGAGCTGACCAGGGTTCGTCCCAGATAGTTCTGTCCAGATCCAAAATCCACAATATGAGAGACCGGCTCCCCTTGGTGCTTTTGAACGATGTCTGACAGGGATGCAACATATTGAGAAAAGCATTCAACCTCGTGCACTTTTTTTCGGTTCATGCGCATAGCAACTTGCTTTGGTAGATCTATCTTCTTGGATGGTGAGGTAAATGAACCTTGTTGGAGTACCAGTCGGCGAACATTGCAAATGTAGTCCAAGAGGCTCTCAGGTGGAAATGCTCCTCCATTCCAAGTACGGCTGCCGGGATCTGTGTGGGGACCCTGAGCGCCTCGCAGGTGATCAATATCCTCCCTTAGAAGTAGGTGAATGATATCCTGAATCTGATGCTGCTCGAAAAAGGACCTCCAATTTTCTGGAAGTAGTGTTGTATAGACGTCGGGTTCGCGGGTCAGAAAATCGACCATATGCACGCCACCGCACAAATTCATAAAAAGCACTGACGTGGTAGAGAAGGAGAGGAGCTCCTCAATATAAGCATCGGGACTGTCCCATGCCTCAGCGATGGGAAGAGGGCGACTGGAAGCCATGTGAATCGCGTCCAGTCAAAAGTCTCACCAAAAACCCCATGAGGATTCTTCATGCTGGGGATCTGTTTAGACTTTTTCTTTACGTTATCGCGTTATCGCGAAGGTAGGCGGTGGGTCCAAACATACCAAACCGCGGTATCGAGCCCATCATGGGCAACACTGCCATACCTGACTCGTAACGTTTTCACCCCACCAAACAAGCCATAGAAATTTTCGGTTTATCGGCGCCAGATTTGAAGATAACCATGTTTAGATTGTTCTGTGCTGTTAATGGCACATATACACAACTTGTGAGAATAAAGGGACTTAGCTGTGCCGGGCCACCTATCACAATCGGAATCAGAGCTCACTTGTCTTTGGACGTTCTACAAGTCAAGAAATATCAACCTAGTCTTCGTTGGCGCATCAGGATATGGCAAACCAACAATGATAGCCTTCCTAGAGATATTTTACGATTTATCGATCAGTTGAATCAAATAAAGTCCTTGCCTCTACCAAGTCTTAGTCCGTATTCTTTTCTTACCTTGGTACAACAAGAATCGAATTTGTTCCCTGTTTCTACCCGCGAAACAGCTCGCTTTGACCTGAATAACGACAATTCTGTAGGAAATTCGGTAGAAAACCACCAGATCAAAGCTGCCCTTGAAACCGCCAATGCTTGGAATTCGATGGTTTATCCACATCTGTTGGATTTGGTGGGTTACAGCTTCGGGTGCTCAGCGGCAGCGTGTTGCGATTGCGCGATTACTAGTACGAAATCAAAAGAATATTCGTTTTTATTAGGCATGTAATGCATTTCAAACCGATAGTGAGCGTGTTGTGCATGCTTCTCTTGCTCCGGCGAGGGATGGGATCCAACCACGGTTGCCATTGCACATTGTTTAAGCACTGTTTAGGATGCAGAAGTGCTCTGTGTCTTTCTGCCCCTTGCAGGGGCCGACCTGAAGAGATTTGATTGCAGTCTACATTTATTGGACTGGAAGGGATTTATCGCAGGGTTTCTGAAGTTTAGGCCTTAGACAAATTTCCGGAAGGTGAAAAGCATTTTGAATTTTCGCAGATCCCAGCTTGGAAATAATATGGGTGAGATCAATCAAGCCTGTAAAGTCCTAATTATTGATTTGAGTTGTAATATAGGGCTAAGTTGTCCGGAGACATTACATAAGCCTATATCCGTGATTGTCTTTTCGCAATTGTTTCTCGAAATATGATAGGTCAGAATACAGACACCTGTGACTTGACTAGAGAACAAGTGAAAGCAGGAAATTCAGCCGCTTTTGTTCGTGTCCGTATGAACCCAATACGGTAGCTGACCCTGCTTGGGACGAGCAGTTCCTATTTGATCTCTCTTTCTTTTAACCACGAGACACTAGGGAGCATGGCCAAAGAGCAAATCATCGAGGTCACTGTAAAATTAGCATCCCAGCCGTGTATGATTTCTAGATCCACTCACAGGGTGCGAATCGAAAAGCATTTCAATAACTCCGTTGTACCAGGCTTCGAGCATCAGGATTTAAAGTCCAAGCAAATCTCTCATCGTTGACGATCCGATTGATCAACTATCATAGCCAGCGTTGTTACCGGGGGGGGGGCCACTCAAATGTAGTAGATCGCGTCAAACCTTTTCTTCCGGAAGTTCCCTCAGTGTTCTTTGAAGTCCTCCTTCAAAAGCGTGTTGCACGATGGCTACGCTTGTTGCAAGACCTAGAATCCATCCAAGCTGTTGGAAGAAATAGTATGTGGTAATGCAGATCGCTAATTGCTCCTTCGGGGCGGCTAGAGACATCGCAGTTAACTGGGTAACGAAGAGAACTCCGAGGCAAACACCAACTAGGGAATAAAAAGGCAAGTTCCCAAGGTGAAAATCCAACTCGCCAGCGAATGAGCATGACTAAGAAACCGAAGGCTAAGCCGCAGACCGCAATGACCGTTAGGAGTTTATATCGCTTTGATCTAATAAGAAAAACGTTAGCAAGTCCTTATCGCTCGTATTGACACCAACTTGCCTTTTAATGACAGCGCCTGCAAGTAGGGATCCACCAGAGGCCCCGGTTGCCGCTACAATGAAGGCGGACGTGGCAAAAAGGTTCATGGTGTTTTGAAGTCTGATCAGGTACGGGACTAAGTTGCTTAGAAGCTAAAATGGTAGAATTATTCCTGAGTATAATGACTAATTGAATGTTAGAGAAGGAAGACTCACGGCTGAGTGACAAGCTGTCATCATCGTTTGGTTCATTAAATATGCCCCTACTGATGTTCGAAATAGGGCTAATGATATCAGTGGTTTTTTGGCCCAATATGCCTCGATCGCGATAAAAGTCAGAATGGCGACGACAGTGGCGGGCACTAGGATCGCTAGACGCCAAGAATGGTTTGCGGAACCTAAATCCTGTAGCGTTGCGAAGAAAAGGACCATGGCAATAAAAAAGCTAGCCAAACCACCGAAGTCAAATTTGGTGGCATTTGAGCCAGGGGCATCTGTCCGCTCAGAACCGGGCTCGACGTGGCTCTCTTTTGCTTTAGAGTCATCCGGAATACCATAAGTCGTAATGAGTATGCAAAAGGCCACCAAGGGTACGTGACCAAAGAAGGACCATCGCCACCCAATGGAATCAATAAGAAGACCTCCCAATGGGGCGCCCAAGCTTCGAGCAGAGGCATTGATCACATTAGCGTAGCCTCGGAGGACGGCCACATCTTCAGGGGGAGCGATATCTATTCTTCATGTGAGTAAAGCTACACCAAGAGGGGGTGAAGGATGGGCATGAGATACCGGTGATGATGATTGAGACAAGTGAAACCATCCTGCCCCCACTAATTCCAGGCATGAATCTTCCGAGCACCAACTGAGTATACGATGTACTGGTACCACTATTCCGCGTTGTCCATTAATGTGGTGTATACAAATGTAGACACAAGTTTGACGTACCAAACAAGACAGCCTGCAGCGAAACGAGCATAAGCCCCGAGAAGCACCTTTCTGCGGCCAAGTGACCCACATAAGACGCCATACTAGACAGTTGTATGTGAATTTAGAATATCAAAGGTCAAAATATATATATAGACCGGTACTCACAACAGGTAGATATATGCAATATCCAAGGTTATAAGTCACCAGTAGCCATGATCCCCAAGAGAGCGCGTTGAATTCGGATGCGATCATACTCCAGTTGGAGAGAAGAAAGGATTCATCGGCAGCTGCGAGAAACACGCCTGGATAAAATGGTTAAACATATAACAAAACAAGTGACTGGATACGCTGCTTACCCATGAAAGAACCATAGATGATAAGCCTGCTGGTTGGCTTTTGAGAGTCCAAGGTTTCCCCTTCACGGGCTTCCTCGGTGCAGATTAGTGGTATCAATCTCATCACATACTATATTCCTACTTTGCTAGAGAATCAGATCGGGTTGACTAGCACCGTCTCTCGACTGATATCCGCTTGTAATGGAACCGAATATTTTATTGCTTCTGTGGTTGCTATATTCATTATTGAGAAATTTGGTCGCCGCACACATATGATCTTCGGTCCAGTTGGGATGTCGCTCTCTATGATAGTCCTAGCTATCTCTAATAAGATTGCTACTTTAAATACAGGCAATGATATTGGGACGAAAGCAGGAATAGTCCAGACTGTCTTCCTTTTCGTTTTCAATACCTTCTTCGGTATTGGCTGGCTTGGCATGACTTGACTATATCCCGCAGAGATTGTCCCATTAAAGATTCGTGCCCCAGCCAACGCGCTACCCACCTCTTCCAACTGGATCTGGAACTTCATCGTTGTCGTGATTTCGTCTATCGCCTTCAATGACATTGGATATCGAACATATGTTATCTTCGCCATTATGTGAGTCAGCCAATCTAGTTATATCCTTGAGCTTCGAACTGAACATTTACAGCAATGCCTTTATCATACCATTCGTCTACTTCTTTTTTCCAGAAACCACGTCTCGTTCGCTAGAGGAGATGGATCGCATCTTCCGAAAGTCAACCACCGTGTTCGACGTTGTCACTGTTGCTCGTGAAGAACCATTTGCATATGGTCCGAAAGGCGAGCTCCTTAACACACTAGAACACCTGGAGAACAATATCTGCACAATGCATGAAAGTGAAGTGGATTTCTGAGACTGGAATCCTAATTTATGGTGCCGGACATATGCGACAGGCTCTTATTGAGGTCACATGAGGGGCTCTACGCTTGCAAGTCGTTCTCGACTTATTGAAATCCTTGCTCTTTATACCTTGGGACATCTGCAATCTCCAGTCACTTTCGTGGTTTTAATGATTGATTGAAGTTATCTCCATCTACGTCCTAATTCCCCAGCTCTTGCGAATCCGCTGGAGCCACTCATCGACCGATAGAATTTCCTCGCCAACCTTGACGTTTCCCTCACCAATGGTCTGATGTGCAGCCCTATCATAGGGTGGCACATGTAGCATGTCATGGTCCTTACGGCAAACGTTCACCTCGAGAGTCCCATCCTGTAGACTGTCCAAGCATGTTCGGTCAAACTCCACATAGCTACACTCCTTACAGACGTAAATGTCGTCTGCAAAAGACCATTGGGTACCGCAACCTCCGTCACAGGCATCATTCAAGAGCCCCTCCAGCTTCCTCTCGACTGCGTCAGATCCAGCAGAGTCAGAGGTACTCTCTGTCGCCTCTATGGGAGCTATCATTGACCAAGCGGCGAGAGCATCGGCCTCCTGTCCTGCAGACATAAAGTAGATTGCGAGCCCATTGTATCCCTGCCAGTCGTTGAGTGGATCGTCATCAGAAAGGAGGTCAAGGTTGAGCTTCACGTGGGCACGTAAGGTATTCTTAGCAGCCTGCTCATCTCCCTGCAGCGTGTGATATCGAGCGAGGAGTCGCGCCGCATGCGTGCCAAGGAACTGCCCTGCAAGATTCTCGTTGCTCACCAATGATGAAATATTCTCCAAGTGTTCCAGATAGATCGCAGCATTTTCTGGATCTTGCCGGGCCTTCTCTGAACAGACGACAGCAAGTTGCGAGCGAACCACGGCTTGTTTATCTGTAATCAAAGAGTCATCTGCGCCATTCATCGTCAGGATGTACAACCACTGATTGATGGCAAAGTCCAACCGGTCGGGTTTTTGAGAGCTGTTTTTGTAACACAGAAGTGCAATTTGATGCATAAGATAAATCTGGCAGACTTGCCCAGACCATTCTTTTGAGGCATTGCCACTCTTTCTTCCCTGTGCGGCTAGTGCCTTGGCATCGGCAATGGATGTTTCGTAGCTTTCGAAAATTATCTTGAACTCTCGCTCGCCAGATACCGATGCACGGAGGGCTTCATGGTATTCTTCCCGATCGTAATGTACATGGAAAGTCGAGGTTTGTCGATCGAAGGGATTACTCCCGTCTGTAGAATCTTTCAGTGACTGGAGGAACTCGAGTAGACGCGGGTAATTCTTTTGCTCGTGCAACAGCATGATGAGCGCAAGAGTAGTATCATAATCGTTGGGCGTTTCTTGTATTAGCTTCTCATATATCACAAGAGTCGTTTCTGTTCGGCCGACTTCTTTGTTCCAATCAGCTAAATTGCGATCGATACCAGCCATATCCCATTTGAGCTCGTTAGCATCCCCCATCTCGCCGGTCTCAATTGCCTTCTTCGTGGCCTCCAAGATATCGATTGCGGCGGCATATTCCCCTTGGCTGGCATAGCACTCCGATAACCCCCATTGCGAGAACCAGTTGTTTTGCGCCAGTGTTGAGGTAATTTTGAATTGTTCTATTGCCTCATCGTATTTCCCGTAGTCGCGCAGAGTACGTGAGAGGTTACGGCTTTCTTCATAACCCAAAGTGTCTAACTTGATCTGCTCCTGGGCCCATTTAGCAGCATTCAGGATGTCGGTAGCCTGAATCTCATTCGTGAGTGGCTCATGGGTCAATCTTTCAATCTCTGGGTTTTTGCGGTTCTCGATCTATAGAAGAAAGTCAGCTATTGGCTATAACCAGGCATCCTGTGATCATGCAATGCGTACCTTTGTGATATACCCTTGCACAGCATCAAAATAGAATGCAACGTTCTCAGCACCAATCTGGAGCCACCTGCGGGCAAGGGTTCTGCCGATATGCTCAAGGACATCTGCATCGAGCTCAGACTTGGAGCTCAAACTCTTGACCCACTTGCTCTGCTCCTCGGAAATGTTTTTGGTGACGGCAGAGTCCTGCAGCCATTTCAGTATGACTTCCGCCATGTCATCGTCATAGATCCAAATGCTCCGTAGCCAGGCGTTGTTAAAGCTCCACCATCGGTCTATGGCCTCTTCATCTGCAAAGGCCTTCACCAGGCACGGGCCTAGAGCGATTTTGAGATGTGGTTGTGTCAACGAAGGGTCCGCTTGTCTGAGATGCTCGCCGAAAAATGGCACCGCGTAGGGAAGCAAAGCATCTATATTTGACGATGGTTTCGAGCAAATAACCTCTAGGCATCCCGACACTAACGTCAGATGTGCCGTCTCTATGTCCACTCCGACTCGAACAGCCCTGCCCTTGATCTTCCGCTGGAAAAATTCATCGAATCCGAATCTGTTAAACAGTGTAGAGTCACAGACAGACTCCAAGAATCGTCTCACAATTCTTACCTCAGCCTCGCTGACCTCGCCCATAATTTGTTGGTTATCATCATGCTTGTTAGCTTCGGGATTGAGTTTGGTTAGCAAGAAGTCTTTTATCGAATCGGAGACAAGGTGAACGCATGCGCCTGCGATGTGAAAGAGAGAAGAATACTGGTCTCTTATCTTCTCCGCGAGGGGTCGAAGAGAAGGCTCGCGCGATTTGAGGAAGAGCACCGCCTCCAGCTCGTCAAGGCCCAGCGGGCGAAACGAAAACACCACCCATGTGAGAAGCTCATTGAGATCGGAGATATCTTCGTCACTGAGAGTCTCCGTGAGTAGATCAATCTTTCTAACGATCGTGTCAGAGCGATTTTCCCCAGATCGGGCTAGGATTTCGCGAATCTCTCCAGGCCGCTGTTTGCCGCTGATTTCATCTAAGAGAAGTCCGACATTGACAAAGTCGCCTTTCGTTTTTTTCGTCAGAGTTTCCAAAATCTCGCCGCGCAGAGCTACCACTTGGTCTGAGGATCCAGCGAGGATCTCCATCTTGCTCATACGGTCCTTGACGAAGCACACCATATCGCTAAGGTTCTTTGATGCCACGTCAATGACTGCAATTCCCTCTCCAAGTTGATTTTTGACCATTTCCATCGTCTCCTTACGGCCAGTAAGGAGGACACGAAGACGGAATCGAGGCCAAGATGAAGCCTGCCAATGCTCCAGAACTAGCATGAACTCCTTGAGATGATGCTTGTGCATCTGATCAACTCCATCCAATAAGAGAAAGAAAGTTGAGTCGCCCTTAAAGGATTTGCTGAATAGTTGCTCGCAAAGCCCTTCGATCTGATTCACACCAGCTGTTTTGACCGTTCCTATTTCTTTGCGATACACGATGTCCACTTTAGCAATCTGCCAAGCAAGCACTTCCAAAGCCTTGGTCAGAGATGGGTCTTTCTTCTCCTGTTGATCAAATATGTAGTATGAAGATGAGATGCAAGTCATATCCTCTGTAGCCTCGGAGTACACTTCTTGCAAGTGCCTAATGATAGCCGCAAAAAGGAATGACTTCCCATAGCCCTCATCCCCACTGAGACCCAGGATTGAACACTGTGACTGCGATCCTCGGGTATCCATCCACGCGGTATACTCAGGGTCGCCTTTAAGCCATTCCCCGCTACCCTGCACTTGCTCTGTCAAGCGGTGTTTGTAAATTGCTTGAATAGCTTTGTATGTCTCGCTAGGACGGTCGAGATTATTATCAATGCTGTTTAGAAGCCGTTGTTCCGTATTATCCGCGTCCCTCTTCTTCTCAAATGTAAGAAGCTTGTCGACGGTAGTTGTAACTCTCTTGGTTCCCTCTCGGGTTTCGACAATCGCTTGTTCGCTGGTCTTCTGCGATTCGAATCCTAAGGTCGCGCGCATTTGAGACTCGCGTTCAACCAGGGAAGCTAGACGAGCTAATTGACCGCTGACACCTTCGTCGCCATCAAATGAGAAAACCTTTAGGGCAGTAAGGATCTTGTTGCCTTTGAGAACCTTTATAGACAATGCACAAATGTCCACAAAGCATAACAGCTCCTCGTTGATGATCTTACGTAGGGAAATGTCAACGGCGTCTGGTGGCAAGCGCATGTAGATCTTGCAGCGCTCCAATACATCCGAGATGCGCCGAAAGAGCTCAGCAAGACTACTAAAAATGCGTTTGTACTTGGCTCCGGTATCGATGAGATATGAAATAGCATTGAAGCAAAGGCTACTGGGTGCGAATACCTGGAATGCCATTATGAGTAAGAAACATTAATGTCATCAACCGTTAGCGTACTCACCATGCTAGCACCTTGAGCGGCTATACCTCCTAGCACTGTAATGAATTTCAGTGTCTTCCCAATGACATCTTTGGCCGCTCTGTACTTGTTGTTTTTTTCGTCGTCTGCATCTTGTTTTGTTCGGATCTGATCAAGGACTTCGTCGACAGTGAATTTGGGAGACTTGGTGAGATCGACGTTGGCGGTTTGCGCGAAGGCCCCACAAGCCCGATTCCACGCATCTTGAATGTTATAATCGTCCATGGTTCCATGGGCGGACATATCGACGACAGACTGAGGCCCTGTCTCAGTTCTACAGGCTACGGCGAAGAGCTGTTTTTCTGCCGTGAGTTCAGTTGCGCGCCAAATAGATCCTCGTATCTGCATCGGGTCACCATAGTCTTATACCTCACATCAACTGGAAAACATTGTTGCCCAAGGGAAAAGCGGCTGAGGGATTAAGCCGTGAGGGGGGCGTGGCGCATTCTCGCCAATTGCGATAGAGTAAGCTCGTATATGCCGGTGCTAGCTTGGGCATAATCAGCCCGTCCCCTAAGTAAGATTTGGACCCCGGAGTACACCCGTGGGCTGCATAGGGTATCCTCCGTTTGGATCGTGCCAAGCCACTAACCCCTTTTTCAGTCCCCAAGCGTATGGGATCAAGAGACTCCTTGCCAATCACGTGCATTTCCTAATACCTGGTCGTCCCACTTTTTCAGCTCGCCAATCTGGGCCACAGCCCGGCCGCGCAGTCCAGAGCACTCTGGTAAACGTGACAACTTACAACTTCCTATCTCACCAAGCACAAGGTCATTTTAAATCATTTCTTCCAGTAGAGAGCCACCATTTGTTACGATATTGTAACATTATTTGCCAAGGTTTCAAAATATAGAAGTGATATGTCATTCGAGGTCTTCCAAAGTTGGTATGTCGTACAGGCACTCCCGTGGCAACGAGCCGGAAAAGAAATACATCGATAAATTGACTACAACCTCAAATAGTGATTCAATTATATGAACAATGTTTATGGTTACATGAATAATGACGAACAACCAACAACCATGAAATCACCAAGTCAGACCTTGATTGTATTTACAGATATAACTATCATGATAACATCCATTCAATACCTTTCGGATCATACGTCTTCCAAGATTGATGAGACTATTTGGAGTCACACCTGATTGAAAAGTCTTAGGCTACAAGGAAGACCCGATCTACTCTGGTTAGTTATCGGAAATACATTTGTCATCAAGTTTTACATAAGCCATTGGCCCCTAGACTTGAGCTCCTGGCCCCAAGGTGTACTCGGAATAATGAAAATTATTTCGTGCATTGCATAGGTAGTGATGCGTTACATAGAGATAATAGCTTGGAATCTAAAAATTCGGAAGACACCGGAAAGCGGGCATTTTGCTGATTTGCAATGATCGCCCAGTTACTAGCAGAACCGCCCCCAACAGTATTCATGGATCCACACAGTTTGTGGACCCTGGTTCCCTGGAATGGCTAGATTTAAGCAATCTAGGTCCTGCAAAGGATCGGATTCCCACTGCCTATCACTTCTAAGAATAGTGCACTGACATCATTCAAGATCACGACATTAGATTTGAAAATTATGTGCTGTGGATCCTGAATTGGCATCGATCCAACTTCCATACCTCGAGATAGCACGTGACAGAGCAAAACAGCAGAGAACGAACTATCGATCACTTCCGAATTAAGCAACGAGTACGACTCTATAATCCTTTCACAAAACATGTCGACGCGGTATTTTACTTCGCCCCCGGGGCCAGCATACATATGCCTTCTCTGGAAAAAACAACACGATGAAAAATGTATATAAGGAGCCAAAAAATCTTCAATTAAATTAAGAGATTCATTCAGACAGCCACCCTCCTCTTCTCAATCACTCCCTGAAAAGACCGAGTTCCTCAAAATCGAATCGTAACTCAAAAAAGAACATACCTGTCAGATCCAGCAACCCGCACCGTTTTCACGATGATTTTGGTGCCTCAGTTTGCCTTGATGCTTGCCACATCTGGCTTTTTCGCTTCTGCGTACCAGCTTACAGCTTGCACCGACACGAAATGCAGTGAGAACTGCAAGGTCATCACGAACGATGACGTTTCATCTACAAGCTCCTGCAATGATTTCGGATTCAATGTTAAGAGCATCGAGTGGTATGATACTCTCAACACTTTCAATGGTTGGAAGTCAGCTGGATGCAGCGGCGGTCCTGGTGATGAGAATGTTTGGATTACCTGTGGTAATACGAAGGGAGAATGCTACGACATCACCGAGTCGGATCTCGGAAAAGATGGTATTCAGTACTGGGAGGTTAACTCCAGCGGCGAGTAAGCAAAGAAGGTAACCGACTATACACCCTGTTGGTTCAGCCTGTGAGAGTGACTCTGCTAATCTTTGGGTAGTCCTACTTCTCCTCTGCACTGATATCAGTATTTGGCTGTTTCTACCGCCCTCAATATTGCAAATTTGAGATTGCGTATCTTTTGGGTGATACAAACGCTTTTGAGATATCTACATGTATTTAGAACTCACTTGAATCCACACGCTCATTTCTTTGACTCTCTGATGTATTCAGCCGTTGCGCTAGTGTGGCCTCGAGATATTCTCAAGAGATGAATCTCAAGTTTGTAATCTTTTATTTTAAACATTAAATCCCGTTCAAGACCCGACAGTGAACAGTCTGACTATGGCGCAATGCATTGGATACCTCGGTAAATGACTATTTTTGACTCTACCTTTAGGAGCGAGGAAGATGCTAGATGATGATTGTTGAAAAACTGGATGCGTGACTTTCGACTCCAAGGTTTGGGTTTATTATTGCTGATAACTTGGTTGGATTGAGTAGTGAGCCCTGAGTATTGGCGCCTCAGGCCATATTTGCCGAGATAAGACAAGATAGGGGGATAGTAATTCCGGTCCGGTGGTTTGGCAGCCCGACGGACAAACAGAGCAAACAGATGAGTCAGCCGCAAAAAAGTTGACTGGAACGAGGCGGGGCAAAAAAGTTACAAATCCGATCTTGCATCAGTTCACATTTGTGAGCCTTCGAATTTTAGTGGATTTGCGGCTCGCACCCTATATCCAAGATGTCGATGGATTTGGATGCCCCCGTCTATATGACGGGGCTGCAGGATAACAACGTTACTGCCACGTGAGTCTCTTATCGCTAAAAATTGTTTGGATTGCGATTTTTTTTACTCTGTCGGGCTGATTGCTAATATATCCTAGAATTCTTTGCTGCAACTGTGGTGCACCTATTGATGGAACCACGTCCGCTGGAGCTCTGTGCCAGGATTGTTTGCGACTAAATGTCGACGTTTCTCAAGGGTAAGATTTGAACTACGCTTAATAACCCCGCATGTGAACGAAATACTGATTTATGCGCCTGGTAATGTAGTATCCAGCGCGAGGGAACCCTTCACTGTTGCAGAGATTGTGAGAGATGGCTCCAGCCCCCCAACAGCTGGGTCGTTGCAAACCCCGAATCAAAGGAACTCCTTGCAGTCTGTCTGCGACGTCTTCGTGGCTTGTCGAAAGTCCGCATTATCGACGCCAGTTTCATTTGGACCGAGCCTCACTCCCGCCGAGTCAAGGTCAAGATTACAATCCAACAAGAGGCTTTCCAGGGCACAATCATTCAGCAGACATTCGAGGTGGAATATGTGGTTGCATCGCAGCAGTGTGATGGTATGTGAATTATCTTTTCCTCCTGGAATCCCGCATATACTAATGGGGGTTTTTTTAGACTGCAAGAAGTCATACACCCATAACACATGGCGCGCCGCTGTCCAGGTTCGACAGAAGGTTCCCCACAAGCGTACCTTCTTGTACCTCGAGCAACTTATCTTGAAGAATGGCGCCCACAAGGATACAGTCAACATCAAGGAGGCGAAGGATGGCCTCGATTTCTATTTCGCTCAGCGAAACCACGCCGAAAAGATGGTCGACTTCCTGGCTTCCGTCGTCCCTTGCAAGACAAAGAAATCGCAGGAGCTTATTTCTATGGATATCCACACCAGCACCAAGTCTTACAAGTTCACATTTTCCGTTGAAATTATTCCCATATGCAAGGATGACCTTGTCGCACTGCCTATCAAGCTTGCCCGTCAGATCGGAAACATCTTGCCCCTTACTCTGTGCTACCGCGTCGGTACCTCTATCAACCTCTTAGATCCGACTACCCTCCAAACATCCGACGTTCCCACAGGAAACTACTGGCGCAATCCGTTCAAGAACCTTGCCGATGTGACCGAGCTTAAGGAATTCATCGTGATGGATATTGAACCAACTGGTCAGTCAAATGGCAAATTCCACCTGGCCGAGGCTACCGTCGCTCGCGCTTCGGACCTGGGATCGAACGATATCACATACTTCACCCGCACACACTTGGGTGGTGTCCTGCACGTTGGTGACTCTGTGCTGGGTTACCATCTCAGTGGTACGTTGTATAACAATGATAACTACGAAGCCCTTGAGGCGAGCTCGCAATACAGCTCGACCCTTCCGGACGTTGTGCTCGTCAGGAAGCACTACGCCCGCAAGAAGAAGCCCAAGAACCGTGCCTGGCGTCTCAAGCGCATGGCCCGCGAGTACGAGGCCGAGGAGGCTTCTGGTGTTGCCCAGAAGAGCCGTCGCGAGCAGAATGATGCCAACCGTCTCGAGGAGGACTTTGAGACATTCTTGCGTGATGTTGAAGAGGACCCTGAGTTACGGCATACTCTGGATCTTTACAAGGTTCGCAAGGAGCGCCAGGCTGCTGATGCTATGGATGAGGATGAAGACAATGAGAGTGACGACGGAGTGCCGGAGATCAACATGGAAGAGCTGCTTGATGACTTTGATGAGCTGAATATGGATGGAGAATGAGCTTTCTCTGAGTGATATCCCTGATGATCATGGCTGGCGTTTGTTCCCTTTTTCAATGCGTTTTTAGACAACGAAAAAAGTTTTTGAAATCGATATAAGCTACTAGGTACATAGCATACAATGAATATATGTTTCATTGTCGAAGCCTCGAAGTAACTTAGTTACATGTAGAGCGATGGCAGCAGTCGATTAGTAGATGGTGAATTCACATGACACACGCCTTGTTGATGATTCTAATAATCTCTACTGGGCCACGGAGGTCATGCTATCATAAGAATATTCAATTGACAATAACTTTCTGCCCAAACAAAGAAAATATGGGACATTCTAGTCAAATTGCGTACAGGCAAATGGAGAGAACAGGCATCCAATTAACGAAGTCCGATACTAATTCCTCACGTACTCCGAAAATAGAACCTGGCAAATCTAAAGGCATCCCGGGTAGTAATTACAGAGTAACAACAACCTTCTGCGCCGATGTACCCTTAGCCTGCAGATCAATGGCAGCCTGGACATTCTCAAGTCCCGATCCAGCAATGAGAGGACTGGGAGCAGGGATGAAGCTACCAGCCGCCAGAGCCTTGGGCAAGAAGTCCTCATAAACAGCCTTGCCAACATGGTTATCCTTAATAGTAGTACCGAAGACGCTCTTCACAGTGATGCCCTCCGGAGGCTGGAATCCACCCTTGACAGTGGAAATGAACTTGCTACCGTCGGTCTTAGCAACAACATCAACAGTCAGAGGAGTAGCAGCGAATCCAACACAGTCCATGGCACCAGCCAAGGTCTTTCCCTCAAGAGCCTTCACAAGATCCTCAACAACGGTAGGGCTATTGTAATCAAATGCCTGGGTAGCACCGAGCTTCTTGACGTACTCGAAGTTCTTAGCCGAGGCAGTGGTGTAGACTTCGTATCCAGCCGCAACGCCAAGTTGGATGGCGTTGCTGCCAACACTGCCTGCACCACCCCAGATCAGGAGTGCTTGGCCGGTGGACCGGCGGGGCTCCGTGGGGAGCTGCAGCTTGAGGAACTCGTCTTGGAAGAGACCGGAGGCAGCAGTGGACAGACCCAAGGGGAGGACGGCAGCGTCTTCGTAGGCGATGTTCTTGGGGAGTTCGCTTGTCATGTTGGTTTGGAGAATGGTGTAGGCCTGGAAAGCGTTATCTTGGGTGCGCTTGGTGGCCATGCCGACAGCGTGTCCGACAACACGGTCGCCGGCTTTGAAGCGGGTGACATTGGGGCCGACGGAGACGACTTCGCCGGCGACGTCCTGGCCGAGAATGGTCGGGTAGTTCATGGGCCACCAGGCCTTGCTTTGGAGGCTGCCGTCGACTGGATTGATAGCCACGGCATGGTTCTTGACAAGAACCTCATTGGCCTCGGGGGTATAGGCTGGTGCCTCCTTGACCTGGAAGGGGTGAGCCTTGGCTTCAGTGAGCCATGCAGCGGAGTTGGAGGCCATTGCGAATGTTCGGACGGAAGTAGGTTTGGTGGCTTGGGGGATCTGAGATCTTCTCGTGAAGCGGGAGAAGAAGTTTGTAATAGAGAAACGGCTCATATATGTTGAGTCGAGAGTGGTTTGGATTGTTTGGTCGCTTCGCGATGATGGTAATGGAAGATGAGGAATTGTGTTGATGATGAGAGTGAATCGAGCAGGCCCATGACCTCTATATATACGTTGAAGCTTCTATGATCGCCATATCTTCCCTGTCCGGCAAAGAAAGACCGGAGTAGTAGTTGTTAGCTGGTAAAACCTTATCTCCGACGGTCGATAAGTGACTTACTCCGACACGAGAATCATAGGCGCAAGCCTAACCAGATGGGGCTAGCGTCGGCGGGTGCCCGGCGATCGCAAGGCTAACCGAGTTGGGGCAAGATGCGGTCCATGCGGACTGTGAGGCAACAAGACGGTACCATTCACCGGATCCGGTTAGCCTTGAGCGTAGGTCGCCTTGAATATCTTTAAACTTCAATTTCGTGCGCCACGTGTATTTCGGTATTTCTTAGATTCTTACTCCGTACATGGTGGCGAAAAGGTATACTGCGAGCTTGCCCTTCCAATCACCGCCCCCGCATGCTGAGTAGCCTTCGTGTAACACGACCTCAGCCGCAGAACTCAACGATGATTCTAAATCTGCCTGGATGCTATGATGTCTCAGTGTGCCCGAAGCAATACCTGTCTTTTCCTAGAAAGCTGGTCTTGCAAGTCAGTTAGACGCATGTACGCATATTGATTAAAATTGTCAACTATTGAATACTAGGCACTGAAATATGTAGATAGATGTGATTGAAAAAGATTTATTGGTGTGAGATACTAGCCATTTCTCCAATACAGTAAACATAATCTCAAGCATCAACCCGTGGAAGTATTCTCTAACTACCCAACCATAACCAACCATAGATGTTTAAGTTGGACAAAGTTAAATAACCTTTGAAAATCACATGGGCTTGCTGACAAAAACTTTCATAGGTGTCACAACAGTCGCCTCCAGATCCCACACTCCAAGCTTTGCATAAGGATCATTGCGAATCATCTCCCATACCTCCTCTTCAGTGTTGGCCTTGCACAGATGGATGCTTCCAGTGATCTTGGTCATGCCATCCTCGAGACTTGTCGGCTGGGAGGAGTACATCGGACCACCAAAGGCAATCTTGCCGGTTTCAAAGTGCGGCTTGTTGTGGGTGAGGTGGACAGGCCGATTTTCGATTCTGGTTTGGAGAACGTTTGGGTGGTCAGGAAGACGCACGAGGAAATCGTTCTCTTGAGACATTTTGGAAGTAGAAATTCGGTTGTAGTATGTGGATGAAGAGGGTTATTGAGCAAATTGTGCTGACTTGAGGGTTTAAGATTGGGCGTTAGACACGATGCGCCGTAGAGAAAACTGGAAAAAAGCGATAGGTGTTTTCAAGGTTGATTTCACGTATCGCCTGGTCTAGTGCCCTCAATATAAACCTTCATCTGCATGATCTTACACGAGGAATATGTGGCCCGGATCTTCTCAAACGTGGGTTTCTCCGACGAGACACCTCGAAAGTCAAATCTATGCAGCTTACCAACTGAATGTGATGTGGCGGTAAGATGTGAAACCAGAAGCGCCGCCAAGTTTCCAGTGCGGAGTTTCTCGCTTCCCCGCGGCTCTTCGGCGATGGTATCTTGGCATGTCCCCCGGCGGACATACTAACCACCGAAGTATGAACTGACCATCAAGATGCGTTCTCGGAGACCGGGAAATTCGGTCTTTTCGCTGAACCTCAGGGTTCAGTATGGCCTACTGAGATCATGACTAACGACTCTACAGTTGTCTTTATAAGACGGCCACAAACCTCATGTTGTAGAGAAAATTATAACCAGATCAGATACCATTCTTAAACATTCAAATAAACTCGAGAAGGCAACATGGGAAGTGTCGGAGCAATCCCCACCGTTGATATTAGCGCTTGGATTGACCCCAATGGTACGGAAGAGGGTCGTCAAAATGTAGTTGACGCAATGCGCAACGCATGCACCACCTACGGCTTCTTTAGTCTGGTCGGCCATGGCGTCACGCCAGAGGAACAGGAGCAGGCGCTTAAATGTGCTAAGCTGTTCTTTACTCTTTCTGAGGAGGACAAGATGGATGTCTGTATCGCCAAATCCAAGGGAAAGTCCTTCCGCGGGTATGAACCGCCAGGCATCCAGATCCACCAAGAGGGTCTGCTTCCTGATACAAAGGAGGTAAGTGCTCATAATTTCATCTTGACCGAGTTGAACCAAGGCACTCATCTTTGTCAAGTGCTTCATTATCGGCCACGAGGTCCCTGAAGACCATCCAGACTGTGGGACATTCTCCACCGGCCCCAACCTCTGGCCCAAGGCTTTACCCGAGACAGACTTCCGCATCCCGATCATGAACTACCAAGCTCGTATGGTGGAACTGGTGAAGGTGCTGTTGAAAATCCTCGCTCGCGGTCTACCAGAGGAATGGAACTGTCCCCCCGATGTCCTGGACGCATTGGCGGAGAATAACCCATCTATCCCAATGAGACTACTGCACTATGGCCCTCAGCCGATCAGAGACGAGAGGCAGTTTGGAGGTAGGTCAAACTTACCTTATAATGTGAACTAGCTCCATTACTGACATGCTTAGTTGGCGATCACACTGACTTTGGTTGTGTCACTATACTTCTCCAGGAGATGGGCACTGAAGGCCTAGAGGTCTGGTACCCACCCACGGAGACCTGGATCCCCGTTCCCCCCAAGGAGCACGCGTACGTCATCAATATGGGTGACATGATGCAAAAGTACACGGGCGGATACTATCGTAGCGCCCGCCACCGGGTTCTCACTTTCACGAAGAACCATCGATACAGTGTTCCATTCTTCCTCAACGGCCAGTTGAAACTCAAATGTGAGACCCTTGATGGATCTGGTACCGAGACTATCGTTGGAGAGCATATTCGTGGACGGTTGGTGGAGACTATGGGAAAGGCTGGCGAGAAGCTGAAATAGGAATCAGGAACTTGTTGGTCCAGAGTCTGACTTCGTAGTCGCGTTCTTTTGTATTTTTGAATAGATTTGTTTGAGAACTAAGATGAATAAATGAAGTTTTTTTTTTCCAATGCCTTTCATTGGTCAAAGATACACATCTAATAATTTACTTATTTACCTATCGGATTATTATTCTACTTCATGAGAAAGCATAATAGATAGAAATCTGCAAGTATATCGGTGAATATAATAAACCGAAGCTCGGTGACTATCGTCCATCTCCCACTCGTGATCATTTGCGACTTGTAGCATAATAACGTCATAACTTTGAAATCAACATTCCTTCATACGTCAAAATCCGTAGAGATTCTGGGTGGGGGCACTATTTCAGGTCAGCAATTCCGTGCGGGGCTCAACAGGCATCGCCGAATTCCGCGAAGGATGGAAACCGACTACATCATCTTGTTGGAGGCCTAGCCCGGCCCCAGCCGGGGTGCTGATTTGGAAATCTTTGCGCGGCTTCAGGCTCACAGATCATTAGCGTAGACGCTCCGATAGAGGCAAGCGTTGCGCCGATCGACCCGATTGTGCAAAAATGCGGCCCGCATGCAAGCCAACTAAACTAGTGTGCTGTGAAGAAGCCCATGTGGTGGCATGGGTAATAGTAATCGCGTCTAACCCAATCAAAGACGGAGGCACGGGCAAAAGAGTGATGAGATCGTATTCTTGTCACTCCTTGGGCATTATCCTTCTTCAGCTCTTGGCCACTAGTCAAAAGTCTCACTAATGCAAGCCATCAACGCCATAAGCCATGTATTCAGACGTTTGTAACGTTGAATTACATGTGTATGTAAGTATCGGTATCTTACACCGGTTGTTTGTTACGAAACCCCACAGCCCAGCGCAGATCAGTGGTTTCATAGCATTTTCTCTCCTCAATCTGAGCAATGTACCCGAGGTCATGCATCCATTGGCTGACAACGTCGCCCCATTGATGCATAATGTGAACAGTCGGCTCAATATGCTGTCATTCCTATGGGGCTGTTGTTCACCTACCTATCCTCAACCCACTCTTCGGCCCCCGTTGCTCGCCAAGACAATTTACAACGGATTAGTGAGACTTGGGTGTCAAGGTTCATCAGTGGGGCGTCCCGAGGTTACAAAATCCTTGTGGATCAAAGCCTCGTAACGTCTCGCCCGAACTTTCGCCCATTTTCGTAATATGCAATTTAGAGGCATCCGGGGCTGACCATACACAGCGCTGTTAGGGCCCTCCATAGTTCCTATCGCCTCCCAAGGCCCCAGACCAAACAAGAAATACGTGGATCTTGCTGAAGGCCACTTATGCACAGCACTGCCATGTGGCATATCCGAAACCGTCACGAACTCAGTATTGTACTCCTGTCAGCATCCAATGTAGGAGTCTTCCTCGGGATCCCTGCCTTGGCGTTCTTATAGGGGCTTATTTTACTAATTTATCTACTCGGGTTTTCCCTAGTGGAGGGTCAATCATTGCAAGACTTTTAAAATCGCTCTTTCTCACCTTTGTTCCAGAAAACGATTCAACATCTTTGTTTTCATAGCTATCGGTGATCTGAACCACACTAGTCTTGTGGATCTTCCCTGTCATAATGTCCCAATCAGCCCACAGCCGAGAGACATCCCCACCCTCCAAACCACCACATAAACCGGGCCTAGCCTGCGAAGAATGCCGGAGGCGGAAGCTGCGCTGCGATCGCCGCCAGCCCAAATGTGGTCTGTGTGAATCGTCCGGGGTAGAATGCCATATCACCGCTCGACCACCTCGTGGTCCCAAACGTGGGTACCTCAAGGTACTGCAAGATCGAATTGGTGGGTTTTTTTTCCCTGTCGAATGTGTTCCCGAATAACTAACTTATTTGTTCAATGAAGCCAATTTAGAAGGACTTTTGCAGCAAAACAACGGTGCAACAAAGCCACCAAGCGACGCGGGTTCTTTTGAAAATCTGCTATTAGACGAGCAGATTGATTTGCCATCATGGGAATTCCCAATCATTATGGATGAAGATAATTCTAATCCCTTACTCGAGGCGTGCGCCCGAACTAAGTCATCACACTCGTCGGTTGAATCCTCAGTGGACGGAATGGCCGGCACTCCCATCTCTTCTATGCTGGCCCTCGATTCCACACTGCCTATCAACCCCTGGAATCCCTTTGAATTTGAAACCAAGATATCTGATTTGATGCAAGCCGACCTGTACGTTCATGAACCAACCAACCTTTCTTACCATATGCTAAAAGGCCCTCAGTGACCAGCTCTACTTCGACCGAATTCACAACTTCATGCCCATCCTACACCCAGGCCGTTACTTCGCTTCACGAAAACTACAAATCAGAACAGACGGCCAGTGGTGTCTACAATATGCGATGTGGACACTTGCAGCCTCGGTGTCAGCCCACTACCAAAATGTCGGGGACTCGCTTTACCAGCATACCCGACGGTCGCTCGAGACCTTGGACTCTAAAAATACAAACATCGAATTCATGGACCTTGAACAGGTGCAGGCATGGCTTCTTCTTGCCATACATGAATTCATGTGTGTGGACTTTCGCCGTGGATGGATGAGTGCCGGTCGAGCCTTCCGACTCATCCAACTCAGCTGGCGACATGGTACCGACAGCCCGGACCAGGCCCAAGGGGACTGGATCGAATCGGAGCAGAAACGAAGGACATTCTGGATGGCTTATTGTTTGGATCGATTTGTTAGTATGAGAATAGGGTCCCCGCTGACATTCAGTGAAACAGTAAGAAACCTTCTCGCTTCCCCCGAAACTTTGCAGTCATAGTCTAACGATGGACTCTAGATCGCAATCCGACTTCCATGTCCCGAGACCAATTTTCAAAATGATCAGCCCATTCTCATGGGCTTCCTTTCCGAGACTCTTGTCGCTGCTGGCCCAGCGGTGGTGTCTGCTTTTACCGAGTGTATCATTGTCGCTACGATTAGCGGTCATACCCTCTCTCATCGTCATCAGTATCCTATTCGAGACATAGGCTTCAATGCCCTGGAGGCATTCTGGGCACAGCACCAGTGGATACAGGTTATTCAAAATCAGTGGATGGAGGCATTCTCGTCCAAATACTCGGCCGACATGCAGCAGAGCGATCCTATGCTTCTTTTCATTGGGCTGATGTATCGAATTATTACTCTGCATCTATACCAGACTACCGCCTGCATCATCCCTTCGGCAAATGATGAACAGCGCGACTCCGCCATTGAAAGCCGAGCACGCGCATCACTGGCAGTGAAGGAGGTCGTTGCCCTGATCAATCAACTATCCCATCTCAACTCATTCAAGGTAATCTACACCCCCTATTCAAGGCCCGAACCATACTAACGAGAATAGCTTCATCCTCTTACTCCCATACCTCTTTCGCTCTGCGTGGAGTTCTTTGTTTCCAACAATGAGCTTGGAGATGGTTTCGCAAAAGAGCTTAATGATATAATTCAGGCCATTGGCTGCTTGAAGAACTTCAATAACATTGGAAAGGGGATTTCACACCTGTTTGAAGAACGTGGTGTGGCGGGAGGTAAACCTACCATTGTGCAATAGAATATCGTATCTCCTTGGACATTTTGAGACTATAGAAATGGTGTTGGCAGGTGTTGGAAACGTTGGCACGGTTTTGTTTGACTGCGCAATTATACAATTTGCTCTACGATTACTTTGAGACGAAATGAAACGCATTATGATCTTAGTACAACCTTGGCTTTGGTATATTCGTAACTAGTCTCTGAATATTTGTTTCATGCTGAGCAAGACAGCCTCACAGATCTTGGAGCCTTCCAAGACCCCGGGTGAATCGCTACATTCATGGATTGAGGCTTTGAAAGTATATCCAAATTGGGTAATACGTAGGCACCCAAAAAAAGAAACAAATACGAGGATTCAGAGCAAACTTTCTGTTCTAAAGTTTATATTTCTTTAATACCAGCTGAAAAAGAAAACATAGTTCGAACAACACGAGCGCCCTCCAAGGCTGAACAGTGTAACCTTAACTAATTCATGAGAATCCAACAACAACGAGGAACGAAAGCTTAAAGCATTACCTGAAGGATAGTTCAGCGAACCATCTCCAGTCGAGCCTGCGCTCTCGCCTCCCTCGCTTCCTTGGCAACCTGCGCCCGTTTACTCACACACGGGCTATCCGGTTGCAGCGCGTGCAGATTATGCGCCTCCAAGCAAGCCTGTGTACTCAGTAACACAGCATCGGAAGTCCGAGCACGCATTTCCACTTCGTACTTGTCCACAGCAGTCTGCATGGTATTACTCGAGTCTACGGAATACCACGCAGAGATAATGTTTCGGCTTAGCACAGCCGCATCGGCGACACCGTGGTTGAAAGCCTCCCCACGATACGAAGTCATAGCATGAGCGCCATCGCCCGCGACTGTTACATGGCCATTGTGGTTATCCCAGGGCATGGGTACCCAATCGACCAGCTTGATATGTAAGACCTTCGTATCGTCCGGGAGGGACATGACCGCGTCCCGGAGACGAGGATCGAATTTTTGCGCATTGCGTTTAAATACCGCAAGCCGCTCCTCATCTGTCTCCGGAACATTATCGGCTGCATCCTTGCGGAGCCACGATTGAATCAGTTGGCCCTCGTAGTATGGGTTTTCTGTCCCCTCGCTTCCGTTGATGGTAGGACTGGACACGAGGGAGAACCACATATACACACCAGACTCTGGATGTGTTCCCTGGAAAAGAAGGGGATCAATGGTGCGAATTGGTGCCAGTTCTTCGGGCGTCATAGTGATAGTTGCGCCGACGCTGTTCACGGGAAGTGGATTGAGGCCACCAAGTCGCTCGCCAAGAAGAAGTCGACGGGTTTTGCTGTTGCGTCCGTCTGTGCCAATCAGTAAACACCCCTTTGTGGATGTTCCGTCCGTGAAGGACACCTGAACTCCATCATTCTGCACATCGAATCCCGCAAGTGCTTTGTTATAGCGGATGTCTATTCCCTCACCAAGTAAGTTCCCAAGCAGCCGACGGTTTACGCGGTGACGCTTGTTTGGGGGGATGACATATTTTGGGTTTCCGGTCGCTAGATCGATGAAGCAAAAGCGGCCATTATCCTCCAGGGTGGGGTCCACTTGGATGGACTCTATCCGATTGAAAAGCTCTTCGGGAAGGCATTCTTCCAGGGCACCCAGGGACCAATGCACTGTTAGGGCCCATCCGCGGCCTTTTTCGGTATCATAGGAAGTGTCGCGCTCGTAGACTTCATATGGAATACCGGCTTTTTTGAGGGCTTGGGCGAGGGTCAAGCCGACCATGCCGGCGCCCATGATGATGACGGGGAGAGTGGGAGGTACGCGCGTCATTTTGAATAGATATGATATCAACTTTGATGTTTCGTAAGTATTTCATTTATTTAATGTACAATATCATGTTTCCTTTATAAGAACACTTGCTAGTATCCGCGGATTAAGGTTTATGGAGGTCGGGTGGTCAGAAACTCCGAGGGAGTCGGGATTAGCCATGAAGGGCCGAACATGCAACTGTCAGCTTAGGTTGAGATGAAACAACGCTGATGCCGATCAAATTAGCTTGGGCCAGATCGGAGTAACCAGTAGTGATCCCACTAGCAGATTCTCCGATTAAGTTGATAAATTCTATCCTGCGCTGTATAAATGCACGGTGGATTCACCTTGCTCGAAGTCGCAACTGGATTTCAGATAAAAATTATTAAATCAATCAGCTCTCAAACCTAGTAGCTCTTTGAAAATTAGAGTGAGTCTATAAGCATACCTTCCCTTTTACTTTCCTCGTCATCTAACCGTGACTAGTCCTTTTTTCCACCTGACACCAATATGACCACTCCTCAACTTTACGACTGGCTCGTGCAGACCCCAGCCAACTCCGAAGACCTCGAAAATCGTATCAACACCCGCCCTGCTCATCTCGAGCACAATAAGCCGCTGATTGAGGCTGGTGTTCTTGTCTGGGGTGGACCGTCGCTCGCCACCCACCCGCAGACCGCAGAAGACGATCTCCTGATTACCGGCAGCGTGATGTGCATTCGAGCTGAGAGTGAGGAGGCCGTGCGTACCATCATTCGCAATGATCCATATGCGAAGGTCGGTTTCTGGAATGCTGAGGGCGCTGTGGTGACACCTATGCGATGTGTTGTTCGGAGGCCGCTGTGATTTAATACTTGGTCAATCCTTCAGTAGAGTTGACAGTTCGAACGAATAAACTACAATGGATGAAAATTATCCGATATTGAACAAGCCAACGCATTGTATTTCCCTCAATTATGTTCAACTATATCCCGGTAAATCACGTCGCATTCTTGTACTTAATCCGCCGCCGTTCACGTCATGGAATATATTTGCTTCGTGGATATCTTGAAATTATGGAAACTGCCGCATGACATAGTGTAACTCGGAATGGTTATCGAATATTGATAATCTCAATTATGATTTTCTAAAGTCTTGGTTTTTGAAAGTCCATTGCCAAAGAATCTTCTACAGAGCAGAGAACTCGGCATCGGTTTATAAGCTCTTTCTGTTATACAGATTCCCTGCGCAAAGATCGGAAGATAACTGATATGATTATTGTCACTCATCTAGTCCGTGTCAAGTCATATAGGATACTCGCTAAAGCAATAGAAGCCAATTAACTCTAATTTTAAAAAAACGAAAAAATGAGATCAGGTCTCAAAATTTGAAGCAAGACAAGCTTCTTCCATCATCATTATCCACCTTCAGCGGTGTCCCGCCAGGCTTATTTAAGCCTTCACCCCGACTCTGAATCCATACAATGCCACTCGCACTCCAGCATACATGAATCCAGCGACAAGGGCACTGACTCCTCCAAATATCCACACCCCATTCCAATTCGTGTTTCCAGAATGAGCCAAGATCGCACCTCCAGCAGGTCCACCGGCCAGAACACCAAGGCCGATCATGCCAAATCCCATACCAATGCGAGTTCCAATCTTGGACTTATCTTTCGTAAGCGCAACGAAGCAAAGAGGAGGCAGACCAATCAGTGCACCGCTGAAAATACCCGACAAGACAGCGATGACGATGAGTCCGGCTTGGGTCGTCACAGCCAGCATGCACAGAATAAGCACACCAACCAGGATGCAGCACGGGGCGATGAGATTGAAGGGGCCCGTCTTGTCTGCCAACGCATTGGGCAAAGTCCGACCGAAAAATGAACCTGCGTTGAGAATAGGCAGGATGTAGAAGCTCATGTTTGTGTTGGTGATACCGGTCGCCCCACCAAAGTAAGAGATATAGAAGAGCAGCACGAAAAGGCCCATGAATGCGATCAGCGATGTGAGAACGAAGGTCATGTACGGTAAATCCGTGAACGCGGACCAGTCAACCAGGCTACGGGCGCGCGGTGGCTTGACGCGCTGGCGCATAACCGCGATCGGAACCAGAAGCGTGCCCAAGGCGATGAATCCAATGACTCGAACAGCCCAGCCGAAACCAAGTGGCTCGAGGAGTTGGTTCAGCACGATCGGGTAGATGATTCCCCCAAGGGAGGAGCCCGAGACGGCAAGTCCAAGCGCCATACCCAACCGCGAGCTGAAATATGTCGGTAGAACGGAGACACATGGCACGAAGAGGCAACCAGCACCAATACCGACGCAGAAGCCTTGGGCTAATAGTACTTCGCCGTATGTTTTGCAGAGACTCAGCATCATGTGCCCAAAAACGATGCCAAAGCTGCCGATGATCAGAAGTAAACGCAGGTTTCCGCGATCGTAAATTGGTCCAGTGATGAATCCGACCATCAGGAGCATCGTGGCTTGAATGGCGCCAATCCAGGAAATATCAGATGATGAGCGAGTGAAGAGTGCGCCTGATTCGTAGTAGGTTTGGAAAACACCAAATGCGTTCAAGATGCCCCATGTGTTAAAGAAAAGCATGAAGCCACCGGCGACGTGTAGCCAAGCAACAAGTCCCCCATTAGGTGGAGGAGGGCCCATCATGGGAGGCCCCTTTGGCGCCTCTTTTGGCAGGTCATGGCTCTGAGGTGTTGATGGCATATCCACGGGTGTGCGCTCTGAATCTTGACCCAAGGTCAGAGATGATCGGTAGTTGTCCTGTTTTTCTAAAGTCATGTTGTGTTTTTCGAAAAGAGGTAGAATCTGTGACTGTTTGAGTACCAAGGCTGACTGTGATCTTAAGTAGCGACTTAGATGCATGGTGATGTATAGATCCTTGACTCGGACCGGAGTTAACCGGACGGATCGTCCCAATGGGGAAATATACTTAAGTCCGAGATTCCCAAATCGGCAGGGGCACTAGACTGGATGCAGCTAGCGTTGAGCACTTTGTTCGGGCATTAGTTCTTTACGGTACGGTTTGTCACCGATCATTAAAACCCTTTGACCACGAGGTGAGAATCTCCTCGTGAGTTGGGAAACGCCGAAGCTTAAGACACCTGACCAATCATGACAAGATTGGGTGGATTCACCTCAGCTTTGGTCAGCCCATTTGCTACTCCAGGCTGACTCCCAGCAACAGTCGGACAAAGTTATTCCACGTGGAATAAAGACTCCGAAATAACGTGGCTGAAGACCAATGATGTCCCACCGATATGAGATTTGAAGGGCTCTTACATGGTATACAAGAAAGGAAAAGGAGGCTCTAGCAAATCTATAGATAGTCCAGAATCCAGATCACTGAAAAGTCTAATATAAAAGAATGGTCATATTTGACTTACTTACATTTGTCTGTTCCTGCATTCTGCCCTGGTAGTCTCATAACAATGGCGGCGATGCAAGATTCTACCCTACACCTCCCTCGCATCATCTGCCTCCATGGAGGCGGCACAAATGCCCGAATCTTCCGCCTACAATGTCGCGTCTTAGAAAGCACCCTTCGCTCAACCTTCCGCCTCGTTTACGTCGAAGCACCATTTACTTCACAGCCAGGTTCTGACGTGACTTCAGTATACAAGAATCATGGCCCGTTCAAGTCCTGGCTACGCATCACATCCTCGGACGTCGCACACGAACCACGCCACATTATAGACTCTATCAACACCGCTATCGCAACAGCAATGTACGCAGACACACAATCTGGTGCGACAGGGGAGTGGGTTGCTTTACTGGGTTTCAGTCAAGGTGCCAAATTAGCCGCAAGCATCCTCTTCGCACAGCAATCAATGCAACAGCGTGCAGGCCCAAATGCTGTTATCTGGCCAAATTTTCGGTTCGCTGTTCTGATGGCTGGTCGGGGACCATTAGTCTGGTTGCTGCCCGAAAAAAATGATGACTCCTCATCTATATCTGCTGCTCTTGTTGATGCGGCTAGTCCTTCTATTGGGGGTCATGAGCCTGATATTCCGATAGATTCCGATGAGCATGTCTTGCGAATACCTACGGTGCATATCCATGGACTGAGGGATCCAGGGCTGAGAACCCATCGGGCCCTTCTAAGCAACTACTTCGAGGAAGACCTGGTATCGGTAGTGGAGTGGGAAGGTGATCACAGGATACCGATTAAACGGAAGGATGTTGATGCCGTTGTAAAGGAAATTTACAGTTTGGCAAAGCTCACCGGCGTGTTAGATACATGGTGATGATTTTTTTTCCCAGGTTTACTCGGGCGTCCTCAAGGTTGCAGTGGCGTATGAGTTTTTCATGGAGAATTTCAAGGTCTGGGATTGTCAGACTTCGGGTAGTACACGTGGTATTTGAGTAGATACATATGCAGGTGCAGCTTTACATACTAGAATGCGTCAACTTACCTAATTGAAATGCTAGTGAGATAAAATTCTGTCCACTTTAGACACCTTTCTAGTTGATCAGACCATATTATTCTCAGGTAGTGGCTGACATAGGTTGTCTTAGGTACCCGAGTTTTGAACAGCCACCAGCTGCAGGCCTACTGCATATGTGATTGGTTGACAGAGAGACCCTGATTTTCGCAGGTAGTGTAAACTTTAAATATACGTTAATTAACCGAGGGCGCCTGCATATACGAGATCCATGAGTCTTCGCAGAATGCAACAGGACGGCTCGACTTTACCCTTTGCTGCCTTAGCCCCGGGCTAACATTTCTGGTATTCCCCTTTCCGCATGGACGGGTGGTGGACCACCCAAATACCCAGGTGGCAGTTTGAATTAATTACACTTCCAAACACGGATGAAAAAGTACTTTCCTGCAGCGACAGCCTTACTTTTGCATCGTTAAAGCCTTAAAAGTGGGGATGAGAGTGCATTCGTCAAGGAGATCTAAAAATATAAAGAAATACATCCAAACTTGTCTAATGAGTAATGTTCAATCCAACACAGCGAACTTTCCAAGGTTGGAAGTACATGTCAACCTTGGAACTTGCATGTACAGTCGCCCCTGTGCGCCTTTGCCTAGATCTTATTTGGCAGCAGCCAAAATATCCGGCAGCATATTAGCGGTATTATTCCAAACCTGACTAGAGCCAGGAACAAAGAGAGTTCCAGTATACCACGTGTTCAGGTGACCCTGAAGGGCATACATATCACGATAGAAGCCATTCCTGATATCTTCTACTTCAGCCGCAAGATGGAATGGCCCGAAGTCAGAGAAAGCGACAAATTCGGGCTCGGGCCGAGTGGCAGCACCCGTGACCTTCTGAAGCATCTTGATAGCTTGACGGGCGTCCTTCTCGATACGCTTCTGGCTGACTGGGGTCACGCTGTTGTACCAGTAGTAGAAAAGCCCGTCCACTGAAGATGGGTTAAAGGCGACCACGGAGGGAATGTCGGCGATATTGTAGGTGTTGCTGGTAGCGTAATTTTTGTAGCTGATGCCACCCGCAAGACCGGTATTTTTGACAACACCGCCATAGTAAGGTAATCCGTAGATCTGCGATAGAACCCGGTGTTCGCGGGCATCCAGACCGAAGCTCTTCATATTCTTAGTTGTCGGAGGAATACCAACAATAAGTTGCTTGGCGACTATGAGCTTTTTGCCTGTGGGGGTTTTCACGATGAGGCGAACGGGATGACTGCCGGCGGCATTGCGATCACCGGAGATGACAGTCGAATTCAATAGAATGTCCGCGCTGAGCTCAGCGAGCGCATTGCGGTATAGCTCTGAGTTGTCGTGGTTGGCATTGCGCACGGCTGCACCATTGTCCTCGTGTAGCATGAGGTCATTGAGGTCGTTGAAAACGTACAACGCCGGAATGTCTAGCAAATGACCAGGTACTGCAGGGCGGCTAAGGGTTGCCATTGCCGAGTCTTGCAGGTTATACTTGGCGATGTAGTCAACCCAGGGTAAAAGGAGATCTTCGGGTACAGGATTGGGTAGCTCAATTCCGTTATTTAGATACGGATATTTGGCTAGCTGGTCGAGGTAGTCCTGGTGAAGAGAGCCAGTGGTGAGGTTGAGTAGGGTACCCGCTTTAAAATCGGAATAGATGGGTTTGCCAAAGTAGGAAAAATCCACCTTAGCAAGAGGTGTATTGAGACGCTTGAAGAAATCGCGCACAACCGTATCATTGTCATACAGCTGGACACCAAAGTCCACTGAGCCCCCTGTGGGGTCCTCGTAGGTCATTGCATGACCACCCAGACGGTCTGTCTTTTCAACCATGACAAACGACTTGCCTTGGTCCTTCAAGGCAACAGCAGCGTACGTGCCTGCCGCCCCACCTCCAACAATGGCGTAGTCACGCGTGATGACATCGTGTGCGGAGAAGGAAGACGGCTTAAAGCTGTTTGCCGAGGGAGCAGCCAAGGCTGAGAGGGCAAAGCAGAGGCTGCCCAATGGTGTGGACGGTTTCATTATGAACGAGGGGAAATCGATAAGTGAATTGTGGCAACTCAAACTGTAAGATCAATGCATTCGTGATGTTGGACTGGCTGGAACTGACGTTCAATATATACCACCCCCATCTGCGCCCGACTAAAATAGAAAGTCATCGTGAAGGTTTGCCTCGAGAACGGGCCACCGACGGAGAAACTGGGAAACGCCGTCGGATGTTACCATACGCGATAAATCCCGCGAGGCGAACTCAAGAAGCATCGTGAGACGAGGTCATCGAGGCTTAGCGTGAAGAACACAAACCCGTAAAAGTCTTAGCCCCGATCAAAACGAGCTTGGCTTGAAGGATGAAACGGTAATTACAGAACGCCGGTAATACTGATACAAACACGGTATTTCAAAACACGAGGATGCGCTACTGTACAGTCAGCAGACTAAGATAGCCTTGCGGCTTCGATGGGGCCGGCCCCTCGACTAGCCCCGATTGGGTTAGCGTTGAGCGCACCCCTAAAACCCCGCCGATCCCCGGTTCTTTGTTCGGGCCTTCAGTCATCCGGTCTTACAGTCGGTCGATTTGCTGAAACTTGCGGGAAAAAGAAACCGTTACATTCCTTGCATCTGCAGAAAACAGATCAGTGGGTGGTGTTATCTACGAATCTCGGAATAACACCGGCTGAATGGTTTACTTCGGCCCTTCCAAGGGGTGTGAAACCTGCAAGGGCAGAAGAAAGAAGGTCAGCCGATCCCTGCTCATACTTTGGCCTAAACGTGGCTCCTGCAATAGCCATTTTATGTGATACAGTCATTCCTAATATGCCTACAGTGCGACGAGACCCGTCCGGTATGAATCAACGAATCACAATCCATACTTCCATTCCCGTGGGCCAACAAGGGCCCTGGCCATGTATGCTGCCCCGAATAAACACCAAGTACTAACTCCTGCAGTCTTGTTTGAGATGCCTCAAAGCAGGTCGCACGTGTCGCGGCTATGAAGATAGCGGAAGCATCATATTCCGCCAGCACGAGAACCATAGTGACAGCCAACCCCAGTCTAAGCCGGCTTTCAAGTCGATGGCCCGTAAATGTAGCTTAGCTGCTAGAGAGCCAGTCCCTGGTACCGACTTTATCCCCGAGGATGGCCCTCCAAAGGAGGTGACCCAAAACAGAATCAAGGAGTTGGCGCTGCAGGCGTTTTTCTATGACTATACCGATGTCTCTGTTAACTCTTCCATATCAGGAGGCTTCTTGGGTGGACTGGAACCGATCGTGCAGAATCTAGGACTGGAGTCCCACGTGGCAAATGCGTGCAAGGCGGCCGCTTTCGCCAGCAATGGGTTAAAGTTGCGTCGACAGTTCCTGATACAGCAGGCCGAAACCTTGTACCACGAGCTGCTGGGATATCTAGCCAGTTCCATGCAGACCCCAGCTGCGAGCGGTCACGAGACGCTGATCATTGCCATACTGCTGGGGCTCTATCAGGTATTTTTCACCTGCGTTTACATGTATTTCACAACATGACAAGCTAATACGCTGCAGATGATTGTGGCTGAGGAGGCCAATCCGGGCCATCATACGGCTCATGCTGGAGGCGTAGCTGCAATCCTACAAATTGAAAACAATCCCCTAGGGCTTGTGCAGGCGATCTTATCTGGCCATCCATTGGTGCTCAATGGCAAGCAGGTGAGGCTCTTGTGCCTATCTCCCGTTATCAGATCTAACGGTCTCGCAGAATGGTGCTCTGCCTCGACATGCCAAAAGCAGTGTCGATCAGAGTTTATATAATCTGTTGATTAAACTGGACCCCATCTGGAAGCGCACAGAGGCAATTCTCGCAGGCCCGCCTGCTCCACTTTTCTTTGAGGACGTTTTTGCTCTCAAATTGGAAGCAATGGCGCTAAACCACGATCTTGATATCTGGCAGCAGAATCAAAGCCAAGAGTTCAGGCCAACTACAGTAGATCCAGGGCTTCCGCCAAGACCCAACCCCGGGGCAGGGTACAGGCACGGCCGGATTGACATGTATATTGATCTCTACGTCGCAGCATTATGGAACTTCTCTCGAATTGCGCGATGTTTACTTATCACCCTGATCATGCGGTTGTCTGGTGTGCTTGATGATGGCGTTAATCATGATTCAGATCATCGGGAGGCTTTGCGTCTTGTAGAAGATATGATCGCATCCATCCCTTACCATTTATCGGAGGATCTGCAGGTCTTTCTGCGCGAGCGACATGATCACACCAAAATCACCAACGCAGGACGACCGGTCGGTGGTTTATTACTTATGCATTCTATTTATGTGGCTTCACATCTGCAAATATTCCCACTGGAGATGCGTGAATATTTTAAAACGTGCTTAGTCTGGATTGGACGACGGATGGGAATTGGACAGGCTGCCTTCTTGGCCCAGGTATGCCGTCTTTCTCATTTTTCTCCTATATTTTCACTGCTGATGCTGACCCATTCCAGGCCCCCCAAATAGACAATCAGTATTTTTCCGGTGGGTGTCTGATCGTATTAGCGGGACTCCTCATTTAGAATTACAGTGTAAAGAAAGAAGGTCCTCTTTTCTCTTTTTAAGATGATTTAATGTTTAGAAAACAACGCGTTTATGTCAAATCCGAAATCCAGTGTACTAAGCGTTAAACTTCACTTCCCGATCCATCCGATAAGAGCACATTCTCCCGATAACCCTGAACAGTGTCATTAACCATACCCTCGTAATCAAAATTCCAAATCTTATGCGACCGATCCTTCAACTCCTCAAAGCAAGTCTGCGCTTTTACCAATTTATCTTTCTCCGCCCATTCAGGCTGATGATAAAAGTCACATGCCCGCCGACTACTGTTCACCAACCACTGGCTGCGAGTGCGTCGCACAGCGTCGAACGTCTCAAAAGCCATCATCAACGCATGCTCTTTGGATGCTGGGTCCTCCTTGATAGTCCGATTTACCTCCTTAAATAGGGTGGTGAGGCAGAGACTATCTTCGATACCCATACATGCGCCCGCTCCGTGGTGTGGGCTTGATGCATGTGCAGCATCTCCCGCAAGACAAACTCTTCCCTTGTTATAATAAGGAGCTGGGTACTGCCACAGATCGAAAATAGCCCATTTGTCTAGTTTTTCTGGGAAGAGTTCGATCACATTGTGGACACAGGGACTCCATCCCGCGAAAGCGGCGATGAGGTCCACTTTTTCACCTGTCGCGACGGTCTTTTCCTCTTCCCACTCTTCTGGGTCGGAAATAAATGCTGCTGCGTTGACGAATTTTCGGTTCGCAACGGGGTAATGGATTAGGTGGGCGTTTGGCCCGACGTGGTAATGCTGGTTGTTTGCCTTGTACTCGCCCAAGGCCTTTATGGCGTCTTCCATTGGGATGAGAGTTCGGTAAGCAACTTTGTGTGTGTATCCAGGTTGGCTTGCAGGATGGTCCTCTCCGAGGAGGAGTGAACGCACCCGGGATTTAATCCCATCGCAACCGATGACTAGAGAACTATCGTCAGCCATCTCGCGTAGACGGAAGGGACGGAAGACATACCGGCATCAGCCTCTTCCACACTCCCATCCGCAAATATCAATCGGACCTTTCCCTCGCCTTCATCTTCCACAGTCTCTAATCTCTTCCGACACTCTATCACGCTTGGAGGGATGATCTTCACCAACGACTCAAGGAACTGGTCGCGTCGGCACCCTTCAAAACCCTTATATCCAGCGTCAAGCCTATACAGCAAGCGCTGATAGTACGGATCGTTTTTCTTCTGCAGCTTACTGTACCCGTCCAGCCAGCGGAGATAATCGTTGGGATCTGTCTCGTCGCCTTGAGAGGTAGCAACCGCTCCACTAGAGCGCAGAGCCGTGACGATTTCTGGATCGATTTGCTCCATGCACTTGACCGCATTTGCTGTGAATGCGATTCCGGCGCCAATTTCACGGAAGCCTTTGGCTTGTTCGTATACTTTCACATTGATACCTTGGCCGAGGAGACCCACGGCGAGGACAAGACCGACAATTCCACCGCCGACGATGGCTACCGAGACAGGTTCATTCTCTTTAACGATCTGACCTGGCATATTGGTCTTGACGCTCAGCTTTAAATTTGGGTTTAGAGAATGGAGCGTAACGCCAACGTTGAATTCTATGGGGAAAGTATGGGTACTGGGGAACCAAGATACGGGCGTTGATGGCGTCGGGCTGCTGCGGTTTTAAATATCATAGCCCGCTCTCGTATCCGATTTTGTTACCCAAAAGCTTCTCCATAAATTATTCGGACTATTTGGCGGCCGACGTATGTGAGCAGCCTCTCACAAATTAGTAGTAAAAGCATGGAGTCAGTCTCGGAGCAACCTCTGAGCCTCGCGCATCCACATGGCAAACCATCCATCAGCTACGATTGTGACAGTAAACCTAAAATTCAAAATACGAAAGCCAATCAGAGTTTACTTTACTATTATTATTAATTATTAATTTCCAATTAATTTCTAGGCTGATTGCGGAGAAACTAATGCAAATATAAGCTCCAGCCGCAACGGAATTTCCCATCCGCGCTCGGAGTTTTCGACCAGCAGGCTCGGCCCTAATTCTAATTTCCAAAAAATACCCAGGAAACTCGAAATCCATGACTGATCAGGTTAATGTGCTCTAATCTGAAACAGTTATCCACACCCTCCTACCAACGTCAGGCTACTACTTTGTAATCCTCCGCACGCGTGGCAAATGCATAATCCGTGCATATGCGCTGACCATGTGTACCATGTGGCTATGGTTTCGCGTGGTTGCTATTCTAGTACACAGTTACTTTCTCGGACAATGGTAAAGCTGTTTCTTTTGCGACCGGATACGCCGACGCCTCGGAACATCTGATCGGGGTCTAAGGTTAACTCTTGTTCTCTGTAGAAGGCACTTCTAGAATTCCCACAATTACATACTTTAGTATATAACGTGCTCTCATCCACGAAGTTAAGATTTGACACAGCACCTCACAACGCGTTTCATCAGCTAAATTGACCTTCATTGACCTTCAACGGCCTTTTCAATAGACTTTTCTCACTTCAAATCTGTGCCCTACACTCGACTATTTCCTATTCGCCGGAATTTAGACTTTCCATTTCAAGAGGTTCATACCAAAAGCGCCACAGTACCTACAGTACCTACACTTTCTTTGAGCCGAAATTCAAGACGTCACTGCTCATTTCAAACCTCTGTTATACCTAGAACTCCAAAATGGTTGAACATCGAGATCTCGCCAAAGACCAGCTTTCTGGACCCGCCGTTTTCTTATTCGGCCCTCTCGCGTTGTCCTTCAACAGCGATTCATTTGCTCAACTACGCGAAATCATCGTCGAAAATGAGGAGCACAAATGGGCCCTCGATACTATCACCAGTCTGCCCCAGTATTGGAAGACTATTGTCGCAGCCATTCCCGGCCTTGAGGCTGGGACTGAGTTGGAGAAGCTTGAGGACCTCAAGGAGGCTTTCTCCACCGGGCAGTCTCTCAAGGCTCAATTCCCACTGCCGAATGCCCTTTTGATTCCTCTTGTTGTGAGCCTTCACCTCACGCAATACGCGTCATTCATCAAGCTCAGCAACGCTGACTTGGATAATGATGTGGATCTTTTTGCCTTGTCCAAGGATGACCAGGAAACACTCGGTCTCTGCACTGGACTGTTGAGTTCTCTGGCCGTTTCGTCTGCTGGAAACAAAGCAGATTTCCTGAAGTTTGCCGCTGTTGCTGTTCGTCTCGGTCTGCTCATTGGCATGGTGGTGGATGCACGGGATGCAGCCACCGATTTGGGTGCATCCAAGTCTCTTACTATGGCTTGGAACTCTGCTGAGAAGGCAGAAGAGACGAAGCGTATCCTGAAAGGCTTTACGCATGTGAGTCAACTCCTCTCAAGCAAGATTCAACTTTGACTAACCGCCCTAGACTTATGTGTCTGTTAACTATGATGACGACCGTGCTACTATTACCACCTTAGCATCACATGTCTCCGAGATGCAGCTGCAGCTGCGAGCTTGTGGTATCATCACTGCGGAAGTTGGCCTGTGTGGACGTTTCCATGCTGACTGCCACCGCGACCAACTCCCGGCAATTTTGAAGTTCTGCGACTCCCACTCTGACTTCCGCTTCCCAGATGCGTCCAAGTTGATCATCCCGACTCGATCCAATGCCGACGGAGCTTTGATCACAGAGGGTCCTCTGCACCATCATGCTTTGCACTCCATTCTAGTAGAGCCGCCTAAGTGGTTCGACACTTTCACAGTTGTCTGTGAAAGTACATTGAATAACAAGGATGTGAAAATCCTCTCCTTCGGCCCTGAGCGCTCTGTACCACCCTCCATTCTGCGTGGACTCGGTCAACGAGTCGTCAATGTCGCGGACCTTGAGAAATCACAACAAGCACAACGCAGTTTTGCCCCCAGCGACATTGCTGTTGTTGGTATGTCATGCAAGGTGGCTGGTGCCGACAATCTAGAGGAGTTCTGGGACCTTCTGTGCACGGGCAAATCGCAACACAAAGAGGTTCCTAAAGAGCGATTTGGGTTTGAGACCGCCTTCCGCGATGTGGATTCAAAGAGGAAGTGGTTTGGAAATTTCATCAATGGCCATGATGAGTTTGACCACAAGTTCTTCAAGCGAAGTCCTCGGGAAAGTGCTACTATGGATCCTCAGCAGCGACACTTTTTGCAGATCGCCTACCAATCTGTTGAACAGTCAGGGTATTTTCACAATCCTAGCGCAGATAAGCATATTGGATGCTATGTTGGTGTCTGCGCCTGTGACTACGAAAGTAATATCGCTTGCCACGCACCAAACGCCTTCACGGCCACTGGTAATCTTCAAGGATTCATTGCGGGCAAGGTCAGTCATTTCTTCGGATGGACTGGGCCGGGTCTGACAATTGACACTGCTTGCTCTTCCTCTGCTGTCGCTGTTCATTCCGCATGCAAGGCCATTCTTAGTGGAGAGTGCACTGCTGCTCTTGCTGGTGGCACACACGTCATGACAAATCCGCTGTGGTTCCAGAATCTTTCGGGAGCTTCTTTCTTGAGCACTACTGGCCAATGTAAGCCCTTCGATGCCAAGGCAGATGGCTACTGCCGTGGCGAGGGTATTGCATCAGTCTTCCTTAAGAAACTATCTGCCGCTATCGACGACGGTGATCAAATTTTGGGTGTCATCGCCGCATCTGCAGTCCAGCAGAACGAAAACTGCACTCCAATTTTCGTGCCAAACGTGCCATCACTATCGGACTTGTTCCGCACGGTCACAAAACAAGCCGGTCTTCAGCCTGGCGATATCTCGGTTGTTGAAGCCCATGGAACTGGAACAGCTGTGGGTGACCCTGCTGAATATGGAAGCATTCGCTCCGTACTAGGTGGTTCTGTTCGGACAAAGCCCCTCACTCTCAGCTCGGTCAAGGGCCTGATTGGTCACACTGAGTGCACCTCTGGCATTGTCTCCATGATCAAGGTTCTTCTTATGATCCAGAAGGGGATGATTCCGCCACAGGCTAGCTTCAGCGCTATCAATTCTGCGATTGGTGCCACCCCCGCAGATAGGATCAACATTCCCACCAGTGTGCAAACTTGGAATGCAGACTTCCGAGCCGCGCTCATTAACAACTATGGTGCCTCTGGATCTAATGCCTCATTGGTCATCACTCAACCGCCTGCTGTTCGGGCAAGACCTGCTATTGAAGCTGGCCAGGCTGGTATTACGTACCCATTCCGATTCTGCGGTTTTGATGACTCGAGTCTTCGCCGTTACTCTGTGGCTTTCCGAAAGTTCATCAGCAACCAAGATGCTTCGGTCAAGGACCTATCCCTTTCAAACATTGCTTTCAATTTAAACCGCCAGAGCAACCGTCAGCTTGAACGGACTCTTATCTTCACCGCTCAGTCTTTGGATGACCTGCAGGAGAAACTGATTTCATACGAGAATGGCAGCCCGAGTCTGGTGTCGCTGCCATCTCCAAAGGCGCTGCCAATTGTCTTGTGCTTTGGTGGCCAGGTTTCCACTTTCGTTGGACTGGACCGATCAGTGTATGAGCGGGTTGCCGTCTTCCGGAAACATTTGGACACGGTGAATGCTGTTGCTCGCTCTCTGGGTGCTGGCAGTATTTATCCAAACATCTTTTCCCGGTCGCCTATTGCCGATACTGTTCAGCTCCAGGTTATTCTTTTCGCTATGCAGTATGCCTGTGCTCGCAGCTGGATTGACTCCGGTGTCGAGCCCGTCGCAGTGGTCGGTCACAGCTTCGGAGAACTTACTGCTCTTTGCATCTCGCAGATCTTGTCGTTGGAAGACACGATAAAGATGATTATTGCTCGAGCAACTCTTATTCGTGATGCTTGGGGCAGTGACAAGGGCGCGATGATGGCAGTTGAAGGCGACCTTTCTGAGGTCCAAAAGCTAGTCAGTGAATCCAATGAGGCTTGCGATGGCGTCGAACCCGCCAACATTGCTTGCTATAATGGGCCAAGAAGTTTCACTCTTGCCGGACCTACAGCTGCCATTGATGCGGTTGCACAAAGACTATCACTACCTGCCTTCGCTACCATGAAGCACAAGCGACTGAATGTGTCGAACGCTTTCCACTCTGTTTTGCTTGATCCTCTTCTTGAGCGCCTCGAGCAGAGCGCTCAGCAGCTCACATTCCGAAAACCCATTATTCCGATGGAGAGGGCGACTGAGGTCCATACTGAAGAAAAATTGGACGCCAAGTTCGTTCCTGAGCACATCCGCTCCTCGGTGTTCTTTAACCACGCTCTTCAAAGACTGGCAAAGAAGTACCCGGAATGCGTCTTCTTGGAGGCTGGATCAAACTCCACCATCACCAACATGGCAAGCCGCGCTCTCGGTAACCCCAGCAGCTCACACTTCCAAGGTATTAACATCACCAGTGACAATGCTTGGAACAACTTAGCCTCTGCTACTGTCAGTCTTTGGAAGGCAGGCGTGAGGACACAATTCTGGGCCCATCAATCTACTCAGACGAGGGAACATGCTCCTCTTTTGTTGCCTCCTTATCAATTCGAGAGTGCGCGTCATTGGACAGAGCTGAAGGCCCCTTTGAAGATGATAGAGACAGCGGCTCCGCAACAGGTAGATGTTGAAGCTAGCAAGCTTCCCGAGACCCTCCTATCCTTTGTTGGTTATCAAGACAGTGGCAAGCGTCTCGCAAAGTTCCGGGTAAATACCATGATTCCCAAGTATGAGAAGCTCATCGAAGGCCATGTCATTGCGCAGACAGCGCCTATCTGTCCTGCCACTATTCAGCTTGAGTTAGCCATCGAGGCAGTCCGAATTATCAGGCCAGACTTGGCTGGTTCCACGCTGGAGCCTCAAATCCAGGCCGTGGAGAACCTGTCTCCTGTCTGCATCAATCCAGCTCGTGCTGTATGGATTGAGGTCACTGCACAGGATTCTCACAGCCCCTCTTGGGACTTCAATGTCTTCAGCGATGATTTGCAACGTGGCGGTGTCTCCAAGACAGTTCACACGACTGGTAAAATCGCCTTCCGATCAGTTGAGGATTCAGCTTTCAAGCTTGAGTTTGCCCGATACGAGCGTCATTTCAGCCACCAGCGCTGCGTCGACATGTTGCAAAGCGGAGATGTTGACGAAATCCTCCGCAGTCGCAATATTTACAAGATGTTCTCCGGGGTCGTTGATTATGCTGAAGAGTACCGTGGTGTCCAGAAGCTTGTCAGCAAAGGATCACAGTCAGCTGGCTATGTCGTCAAGGAGTACAACCCAGAGTCATGGCTTGATGGCCACTTGGCAGATAGCTTCTGCCAGGTTGGTGGAGTATATGTCAACTGTATGGCCAACCAGGTACCCACCGATATGTTCATTGCAAATGGCATCGAGCAATGGATCCGGTCACCCATGATTCGTCAAAATGACCCGAGACCAAAGGCTTATCACGTCCTGGCTACGCATCACAATCCTTCGAACCAGTCCTACCTGACTGATGTTTTTGTTTTCAATTCGGAGAATGGGTCCTTGGTCGAGGTGATTCTTGGAATCAGCTATGTCAGGGTTTCCAAGGCCTCAATGAGCAAGCTTCTTACTCGTCTCACTGTTCGAGACGGTGAACCTGCTCCTGCCAGCATCAAAGCTCCAGTGGAGCGACCTACTCTAGACCTCTTTGCAGTTCAGCAAACTGCGAAAGTTGCTCCTCCATTGAATACGGTGAGCCAAGAGCCAAAGCCCTCCAAGCCGGCCAAGGTCGAAGAGCAAACTCCCAAGGTGGACGTGGTACCCAGAGTCAAGGCCATCCTAGCTGACCTGTCTGGTCTGGAGCTACACGAGATCAAGAATGACAGCGAGCTTGCCGAGCTCGGAATTGACTCTCTCATGGGCATGGAGATGGCACACGAGATTGAGGCTGAGTTCAACATCGAACTTCCGGAGAGTGAACTCATGAAGATCGTTGACATGCCGTCCTTGATCAAGTGCGTGGAAACCTTTGTTTGTGGTGCGCCAAGCAGCGACGCCTCTGAGCAGGAGTTGGATGAGAGCGATGAGAGATCATCGAACGATACTACGCCAAGCACTCCAGTTGATTCTGGCGACCTAGATAAGTCGCTCGATGACTTCAAAGTCGCAGCAGGCTTAAATCTACCATTTGCTACTGTTATGGAAGCTTTTAACGAGACAAAGAGCTTGACCGACGATAGGATTGCCGAACATGGTCAAACCAACTATGTCGAATCTGTTCTACCTGCACAAACAGAGATGTGTGTGGCACTTACCCTAGAAGCATTTGAGCAGCTTGGCGTTGGATTCCGTACTGCCAAACCTGGTCAGAAATTCGCACGAATTCCACACCCGAAGGAGCATACTCGCTTGGTTAGTTACCTCTACAAGATGCTAGAGGATGCTGCAGGTCTTATCAATATAGACGGCGAAGTTATCACCCGCACGGCAGCGCCGGCTCCCACAAAATCCAGTAAAGAACTATTGGCAGACCTGCTTCGTCGCTTCCCGGATCAGAGCACCGCTGACAAGCTCACCTTCTATACTGGATCTCATCTTGCGGAGGTCCTGCGCGGCGAGACAGATGGAATCAAGCTCATCTTCGGTACCTCTGAAGGGCGGGAGTTGGTGTCCGGTCTCTACGCAGAGTGGCCCATCAACCGTCTGATGTACAAACAGATGGAGGACTTCCTTGGTCGACTAGCCTCAAAGCTTGATGTGAACGATGGCCCCATCAAGATTCTCGAGATGGGTGCCGGCACCGGTGGCACAACACGCTGGTTGCTGCCCCTTTTGGCTTCCTTGCAATTGCCAGTGGAATATACTTTCACCGACCTGGCTCCTTCCTTTGTTGCAGCGGCGCGGAAGAAGTTCGGAAAGCAGTACCCCTTCATGAAGTTCCGGACCCACGATATTGAAAAGGCTCCAGCCGATGATCTGATTGGCACACAACACATCATCGTTGCCAGCAATGCTGTTCATGCGACACACAGCTTGAGCGAGTCAGCCAAGAATATTCGCAAGGCGCTTCGCCCCGATGGGTTCCTCATGATGATCGAGATGACCGGCACTCTCTACTGGGTGGATATCATCTTTGGCCTCTTTGAGGGCTGGTGGTATTTCGATGATGGCCGTACACACGCTGTCACTCACGAATCCCGATGGGAGAAAGACCTCCAAGCTGTCGGATACGGTCATGTTGACTGGACCGATGGCGACCGTCCGGAGAACAAACTCGAGCGGCTGATTGTGGCCTTTGCCTCGGGCGACAGGTATGAACGACTTGAAACCCCCGATTGGTAAAGGGTCCATCAGCTGACCTGGTAGCACGGCAAGCAGTTGTTGATCGTTATGTCCGCGATATGACCTCCGGCTTCGATGACATTGTTGATAATTCCTCGTTTTCAGTGCCCGGTGGTCAGGCCAGCAATCCCAGCGGCCGGTGTGTCGTGGTTACAGGCGCCACTGGCAGCTTGGGATGCCACCTCGTTGCGAAGTTCGCATCTCTACCAGACGTGACTCAAGTCGTTTGTCTCAATCGGCGCAGTCGACAGGATCCGGAGTCACGTCAGACCCAATCTCTTCGCAAGAAGGGCATTGTTCTCCCCGCAGAGGCTGCTAGCAAGCTCTGTGTCTTCGAGACAGATATGTTCAAGCCTCAACTAGGCCTTTCGAGTGATGAGTATGCAAGCCTCGTCCGAAAGGTGACACATATTGTGCACAATGCATGGCTCATGAATGCCAAGTGGCCAATCAAGAATTTTGAACCCCAGTTGCGAATCATGCGCAACCTCCTCGACTTCGCCAAACACATCTCGACCATTCGCTCCCCAGGCACAAAAGTCACGTTCCAGTTTATTTCCTCAATCGCGACGGTCGGTCATTGGCCCATCTGGACCGGGCGTCCAGCCGTCCCTGAAGAACGCATGACAATTGACTCTGTCCTTCCGACCGGCTACGGCGACGCGAAATACATCTGCGAGCTGATGATCGATGAAACGCTTCATCGCCACCCAGATCAGTTCCGGGCAATGGCTGTCCGCCTTGGTCAAGTCGCTGGCTCCAGCACAAGCGGGTACTGGAATCCGACCGAGCACCTACCGTTCGTGATCAAGTCCTCTCAGACTCTGAAGGCTCTCCCTGATTTTGATGGTCTTCTCTCCTGGACTCCAGTGGATGGGGTCGCAAGCACGCTTGTAGACTTGGTTTCGCTGCCGGAGACTGACACGCCATACCCAATCTATCACATCGATAACCCCATTCGACAGGCGTGGAAGGAGATGATTCCTGTCTTGGCTGACACGCTATCTATTCCGTTGAGTGGTGTGATCCCCTTTGATGACTGGGTGCAGCGGGTCAAGGATCACCCGCGGCAGGTAGAAGGTCCGGAGGGTGAGAACCCGGCGATCTTGTTGATTGACTTTTTGGATGCCAATTTCTTGCGCATGTCTTGTGGTGGACTGTTGTTAGAGACAAAAAAGGCACGTGAGCACTCTCACACGCTGGCAAGTCTGGGTCCGGTTAGTAACGAAGTGACGAAGTTGTTTGTTGAAAGTTGGAAGGAAATGGGGTTTTTGGCTTGAGTCCTCATGGCGTACTTTGTGTTTCATGATGTTTATTTTTGTCAGTCTTCCTGCGATTGATAGAGGTCGGTGTTCTAGGATGTGAATTACATGCAATACATATCTTTTCCCAACTATGCAACTATAAGGGCTTTCAAAATATTGTGCACACACAATGAATTCACTATGCTATATAAGAGGAGCGTTTTTCTACGAGTTCGAGCGATGAGAACTCCACAGACCTTAGAGGTATTTCACCATAGCTTGCTTGGAATCGGGACCATCGATTGGGCAGCTCGCGATGATTGAGTAATGTGTGAGCCCTTATCATATTTTTTTCTTTTGTTTTTTATCTTTTATCTATGTTTGGTGAAGACATAATATGGGGCAACTCATTTCAACCTTGAGTGACATTGCTAAGTGGAAAATACATTTATCAAAAGGGCTTTCTACACAAAGTTCACTTGCTTAGATCTATTGTAGAGTTTTGGTTCTTCTTTAGAGTATTATTAAATAATTCATGGTGATCTAATGCGTCTAAAATCCCTTGAAAGCGATCTTTGCTATGTGTATTCATGATTGTACACAAACTTATGACACACTATGCAGTATATCATGCCCAGCTCACAGCTACTTTTCATATATGAATCTAGGCGCCTTGTGTTCCCGTGATGTTGGTAACCGCGACTCCATCCTAGATCGCGTGTTAGTTCCATGGTTCGTGCGAACACTGAATGGGGGGGGAAGAAGACATACCCTTCCGAAATCAGTGTCAAATTCAGAAACAGCACTCTCATATACCAAGTTCGCATTCGGAGTCAATGAACCGACATCACACTTGGCGATGATCTCCTTCTTCTGCTCCGGAGTCGCATGGATCCATGCCAAATACTTCGGCGCACCAGGCATGATCACATTGTCCGCCAAAATCATGGACTTCCCCGGAACCAACACCTTCAAACCCTCCAGCAGCCATAAGTCTGGCAAATAAAGATCTTGCCAATGATCCATGAAAATCAACTCCACCAGATCAATCTCCTTCTTCTCGCTAATCAGCTCCTCCAGCACCTCATTGCTGGAGCCAACAATAATCCGCACAACGTCGCGTAGTCCAGCCAGATCTACGAGCTGGTTGGCAACAGCTGCCATTTCGGGATTCTTTTCGATGCTCAGGTACTGCTTTCCTCCATTCTTGCGAATTGCGTCACCGAACAGAATGGCGGAATAACCCACGTATCCGCCAAGCTCAATCATTACCGATGGCTTACGCTTGGCGATAATGTCCGTGATGAAATCACCTTTGGTTAGGCCGACGTTCATGAGCTGGCTGAACTGGTTGTGGTAGTCGTCAATTGCGGCGAGGACTTTCTCTGGATGTCCTCGGAGTTGCTTGACATCGGGTCGAGCAAAAACATAGTGAAGGAGGTCGACCTCTCGTCCGTCCTATTCGCTGTCAGTAAAAAAGCTAGATTGGGGCGGAGGAAGGCCGTAAGCTTACCAGGGCCCATTTCAAAGCGGGGGGAGAGTTTGGCTTAGACGACATTGTGAAGGGCGTTGATTGGTAGAATGATGAGATGATAAAATGAACAGGTATGCAGAGAGTTGACTGATCTTGGTTTTGAACTTGACTTCTCAGTTTATATCGCATCCTATCTTCCTTTCCTTTATAGATTCCCATTCACCGATGATTTACTTCGGACTTTGGGACGCACAGCCCAAAGCGGGAATTCCCGAACCTTACGCCTATTTCGGTAACTGGAGGCCTCATTGTCCGAAGCATTTTGAGGCTCGGATTTAAGGAACCTGACAGGGATCGACATAAGCGCTCAAGGCTAACTCGAATCGGTTCAGATTTGGGTTTGACAGGCAGCCGTGATTCCAAGGTTCTCATTGTATACACCTTCGTCCTTTCTCTGTGGTCCAATCCCTACTTTTCAATGGCGTTGCGCACGGGCCTTCGCATCGCCATGGGCCATCGAGATGAATGGGATCAATGTTAAATCCACCCCATTCAAGGTTATTACTGCTTCCGACCGATTGATTATGTTTAATTTCGAGGTCTAGATGGATATGTTTGGAGTCTCTTTAGGTCAGGTGCCATATTATGTTATTTTGTCATAATCTGATCGCGCTTCGGTACCTAGCTAGGTCGCTATGCTGCGATATATATATTCATTTGAAGCAGATGCCCAGGTGTTCATATTTGCTTCCCAACATTAGGGGTTTCTACATCTAATGTTTTTGGTTGCAAAAGATGAAGGCCCGAAAACCTCGGGAAGGGATTCCCGGGAATCTCCTTTTAAAAGTGAGCTCAGTAGCATACTATGCGTAGAACAGACGGCCTAATGGTTTGAAAAGTGACAAACTTGTTGGAAAGCCGTTGTAATGCCAATCAATCCAATTTCGTTGGACCAATCATAATCCAAGGTTAGGTGCGAGTATTATCTCCACCAGGCTAGTCGAATGGAGCGCCTGGCGGTAACGACTCCGTAGTACTGCCAATCCTGTCCGCTTACGGCAAATAACGACCAAATTTAGCGTACCTGCTCCAAAACGTAAGAATTTTCCGCTTTCATTGAGTCAAGCTTTCACTGAGCTTTTGAAGGTCTCGTTTCGAAACGGCCCAGGAGTCGCGGAATAGCGGGCTGGATGACGCATCATGACATGTTCTCTTTGTCTGTACAGGTTTTGGGACCTGTTCCTGACGGGAAATGCCCTTGGCAAGCGGGGGTCAGGCAAACTGCGCGATACCCACTCCGTCTAAGGTGCTTAACCACCTGTGGCTAGGATCTCGTGCGGACCCGGTATTTTCCTGCTCACCAACCAATGAATTCCGGGGCTTTGATCAGGATCGCACATGGCCGGAAGCGGAGCCACGTTCAAGTCTCGACATACTGCCATATCATTGGTGCTCACCCTCCCCCGACCCTTCCCCGTTCAGGGTTTAAGGGACTGGGCAAAAGCATGGAGAACGAACTCGGTATCTTTTCGCTTCTAGCCATGTCCTTCCCCCTTTACCTGCGAGGAAGTGAGTAGTTCCTAATCTCTCCGGCTGAAGACCTCTCCGGCCTCTTCAGCCATGCTCTCGCCTAAGTTGAGCCTGAAGGCCCGTCTTACCCTTCTGGCCATTTCCTCCTTCTTTTTCCTACTTATCGTGGGTCGGTTGTATCGGGTAACCGACTATCCGCTCAGCATAATCACCGGCGACGATGCCCCCAAACCACACGAAGGATCAAAAACAACCTACGAGGACCCTACGAGATTAGAAAGCTATGACGACCCGTATGCCGTCCCCCACCCGATCGACAATTTGATTCGCGATGCCGATGCGACATGGGCAAACTTGCGCGCGAAGCAGGTCTACAATTTGACTCAGGCTGCGGAACAATACCGCCAGCGCCGTGGACGTCACCCACCCCCGGGCTTCGATAAATGGTTCGAATTTGCGAAATCGAAAAACGCTCTTTTCATCGAGGATTTGTTTGATCAAATTTACGATGACGTGAGTCCGTACTGGGGGCTGGACCCAAAAGAAATGCGCCGGCAGGCTTCTGGATTCGACCCGCGCATCGTTGTTCGCGAACACAAGCTCTCGTCCGTCGGCCATACGGGTGTCAACTGGCTCGAAGTTTGGATGGACATGATGAAAGAATTCGCAAAGTTCCTGCCCGACATGGATATTCCCCTCAACGGAATGGACGAGTCTCGTATCATCATTCCTTGGGAGAAACTCTCCGAGTACCGTGAACAGGATTTTGCCCGCCGCAGACCTATCGACCCCAGCAATGCCACCGATCAGTACATGCAACTTCCCGCTTTTGATCCAGAAGCGCTTCCCGAGTCCTGGGGTCCAGCCTGGGAAGGACCAGGCCGTCCCTTCTGGGATATCATGCGCGATGCTTGTCCGCCTGACAGCCCGGGCCGTAACTCCAACATCCCACACCTAGACTTTGCAAACCCACCCCGAGAATTCTTCAACTACCGAAATTTCTCGAAGACTGGCTATGTTGAGGACTTTGAGAAATCCAAGGATCCATGCTGGAGAGCAGAGCTACAGGGAATGCACGGCAGTTTCATCGAACCAATCTCTCTTTCTACCTCACATGAGCTATTCCCACTTTTTGGAGGATCGAAGTTAACCGTCAACAACGAGATCCTCATTCCACCAGCAATGTACTACCTTGACAACCCCATGTATTCAGGAGGATTCAAAAACAAAGGCGGCGCCTGGTCAAAAAAGAAAGACACCGTCTTCTGGCGTGGAATCGCCAGTGGTGGGCGCATCCGCGAAGACACATGGACTGGCTACCAACGCCAACGATTCGTATCCATGCTCAACGGCACAACCGTAGCGACAACAAACGGATCATCCTCACACGGAATAAACTTTCGCCAACCAGACTATCATTACTACAATGTCTGGTCAGGCCTCGACGGGACACTCCCAGAGTTCCTAAATGAACACTGCGATCTAGGCTTCCTTGATCTAAAATGCTTCCCGCCCGAAGATGGTTTCCACTGCTCATATCAAGACCCTTATTTCAGCATCGTCGATCCCATGCCCATGAAGGAGCAATACGCCTACAAATACTTGCCCGATATTGACGGAAACTCTTTCAGTGGTCGATACCGTGCATTCTTGTTGTCCACTTCTTTGCCCATCAAGGCTACAGTTTATAAAGAGTGGCACGATTCTCGCTTGATTCCTTGGGCACATTTTGTTCCCTTGGACTCGCTGTACATGGATATCTATGGCATTCTTCAGTACTTTATTGGGTACAAAGGCCATAATGGCCATGATCGGCAGGCAGAAAAAATTGCGATGAATGGGAAGCGTTGGGCCGAGGAGGTCTTGCGGTTGGAAGATATGGAGATCTATGTCTTCCGACTATTGTTGGAATATGGCCGTTTGATGGATGATAACCGTGATACCCTTGCCTTCGTAGATGACCTGTAAGCTTAATATGAATCTCTACATAATGTGTATATAATGAAAAGACTTCTGCTACTTGCCAAAAACATTTGTATCTTGTGTTGATACCCTGACGACCATGCATATCTTCATTCTCTATTGGTTTTTTCTCCTATTTGGTGAGCACAAGATAATGTAAATGAAGATGAATGAAAGAAGAGAAGGATTGAAGACCGAGAAAGACAGGGGGAAACCCCAAATCGCGCCTTCCTAAACCAAACCAATGGATCATGCCTTCACATTATGGATTTTATGTGAATATAATGAAAACCAGATTGTTTGTGTTCCCTCGTTGAAACCATTAGAAGCACTGAGAGTTTCACCACAAATCCTGAATTCACCTTATGTTGATATGTGAGCCAGATTTGGTCGATTATTCCCTGAGTCTATCATGCCTCGAGATACGATGTCGGCAACTACGGCCATTATAAAAACAAGTAATCGACTATGCCCCTAGTGGTACAAATTTGGCTTTTCATACAGATGGCCACGATTAACACTTCCAAGAAGCCAGCCTCTGGCCTGTTATAACTCATCCTTTATATGCACTAATTTAAGAAAGCTGGGAAAGATTTTATGGGGATCTAGTGCTATTCGTTGTAATGGTCGCTGCATGCGTACCAAAGCACGATAGCCATTTCGAATGATAGCTCAAATGTTTATCATACATCATGCATCGTAGAGTGAACCGGGAACACGTCATGAATCATATTGGGAGAGGTGGTAAAATATGCATGGCAGTCTAAGAGAAGAACTTCTGAGCAGCCTTGCGATCCTTGGCCTCACGGTCCTTAACAGCCTTCTTGACCTTGTTGATCTCGTTGGTGATGGCCGCATCATTGGGGGCGAGCTTGAGTGCCTCCTGGAGATCCTTGAGGGCCGAATCCTCCTCCTTCTGGCCAATCAAGGCAACAGCACGACGGTAGTACGCCTTGGCCTTGTCGGCCTCCTTAGCCTTGGCAGAATCGGCGATTTGGAGAGCATATCCGGCCCACTTCTGAGCGTCTTGGAAGTTTCCAACCTTGTTAGCCAGAAGAGATGAGTTGGAGTGCAAGGTAAATCGCAGAGACTTCATCTGCTCGGCCACCTCCTTGTCCTCCTCATCACCGGTCTCGGGGAACTCATTGAGGTATCGGAGACCCTTCTGATATTTCTCGATACCCAGGTTCAGATCGCCGCTCTTGAAGGCAGCGTTACCGAAGCCCTTCAGATCTGAGGCAATCTTGAATGCGACTGGCGCGGTCAACTCCTCGGTCTGGTGGTCCTCGGGGAAGTCCTCGTATGGGTCGCCGGTGGCATCCTGAATGCGCTTGGTGGCATTCTCGTAGTCTTCACCCTTGAGCTCACCACAGTTCACAACAGTGACGTCGGTCTTGGGCTTGTCGGAGGCGGTCGCCATGTTCTCGATCTTGCGAACAATGCTTTTGCCGTTGATCACTTCACCGAACACGACGTGCTTGTTATCGAGATGGGGAGTAGGGACGGTGGTCACGAAGAATTGGCTGCCGTTTGTGCCGGGACCGGAGTTGGCCATGGAGAGCAGGAAGGGACGGTCATGCTTCAGCTCGAAGTTCTCATCGGGGAACTTCTCACCATAGATGGACTCGCCGCCGGTACCGTTGAAAGCAGTGAAGTCACCACCCTGGATCATGAATTGCTTAATCACACGGTGGAAAATCGAGCCTTCCCATCAATCAGTTAGCGGCTTATTGCTTGCCATTGCAATTGCGAGAGCCGTGGGATCCAACACACACCTTTGTAGGTCAATGGCTTGCCCTGCTTGCCGATACCCTTCTCTCCGGTACACAGAGCACGGAAGTTGTCGGCGGTCTTAGGAACAACTGGTCGTGGAGGATTAGCTATGTGCTACGTCGTTGCGCGCAAATATGTTCGGGGTCGTACCATCGTCAAACTGTGGAAGACGAATTAGCTCGAGGTGTTCACTTATGACCAAACAAAGGACCTACCAGTTCAAATGCAATGCGACCAGCATCTTGTTGGCCAATCTTGATGTCAAAGAAGACACGGGAGCGCTCTAGTAGTTGGGTTAGCCATGGGTCAAAGTCTTGCGTGTTTGCGGGCGGGAGAGTCGGAGAACGACGACCCCGCATTGAGACACATACGAGAGGTCGCCATAGCTTAATGTATCCCAAGCGATGAGGGACTGAAGTGAAAGAGGAATGAGTAGAAAACAAAAGTGGAGATGAAGATTGGGGGAAAAGTGGAAAGGAAGATCTTTGGGGCGAAAGAGAGAAGAGAAAGAAAGGAAGCTGTTAATTAGTGGGGAAGATTTGCTGCGGTTCTTCAGGAAGCTTCCATACAACCCATACTCCAATGCTATAATGCCTCATGACGGGTATATGCTAAAATAATAATATGTACATGACCATGATCGCATAAATGATTCTCATCTTGCTCCGTTCCTTTTATTGCAGCAACTCTGCCGGTAATTTGAATTCAAATGTACGGTTGATCTCATCCGCCTCCCCGCTCTCGTCGTTCGTGTCAGCCTTGGGCTCTTTAGGCTCCTTCTTCGGAAGATTGGTATTGATCTCAATAGTAACCTGTGGAAAAGAACTCATTAGCACCAAAACCCCTAGTGACGCGATATGGGCAAAAGCCAGGAAGGCAATATATACCGCCGCGTCTTCACTGCGGTAGTCAACACCCACTGGCCCATCATTTTTTAATTCCACCTCCATCATCGCCTGGAAGACACCATTTTTCACTCGTTCAGGTTTATAGGAGGAGCTCATTTTGTTGTAGAAGTGATCGTAGACCTTGCGGGCAGTCTCGGGCTTGGCTGCATCGTGGAAATCGGGTTTATTGCCTTTCTTCATCTTGCCATAGAGGGTAAACTGGGAGACTAAAGACAAGACAATTTTAGCAGCGTGATAATAAGCGCATGGATTGGAGACACATACCACAGAGTACCTCGCCCTCTATTTCCTGCACATTCTTCTTCCACTGTGAAGGTGGTCAGAACCTGGTTTGTATTTTCATATCTAGAGCCATGGGACGGACCTGTTTGCCATCATCATCTGGCCAAAATTTTGCCTTCAGCACCTTATTCACAAGATTCTCTGCTTCCTTCTCGGTGTCATCGTGACCAATCCCTGCAAACACCAGCAGTCCGCGGCCAATAGATGAGATCAATTCTTCATCAACGGATACCGAAGCCGATTTGACTCTTTGAATGACAACTGGGGAAAAGTTAGCAGAGAAATAGGGCCAAGCGAAGTCAATTTAAGGTGCGCACTTTTCATTGTGATTTGGTGGGGAGGAAGGAATCTAAGTTCTATACGGAATATCAGATTAGCCTAATTGATCTTGAAGAGACGCGCCCCAGAACCAGTTTACCGTGACTTCCTCTTGTCAACAACTCTGTCGCCTGTTAATTTCAAACCAACGCGTCTTTTTTCAGCTGTGTTTATTATGTCTGCCTTTGATTCAAGGTTCAGGTTGTTCGTTTCTTCCCCAGCTATCACCCTGCCAGTCGCCACCGCCTAACTATACGGCCATTGCTTACCGCCTACTTAGACAAGTAATACTAGAAGCTTTGCAAGTGAGAGCAAATGCTCCAGCCCACTTCGACTCCGCTTTCTCCCTTGTTGTCACAATCAGGGAATTCCCCGACCAACTAGACATCTCTTCATTCAACCATTGTGCAGTGTCGAGCCCGTCGGCCGAGCTTGCACTCTGATTCCCACCCATATTGTATCGCCCTACCCCGGTCCAGTCCGCACACTCTGGCGCGCCATGGCGTCCCGCAAAACGCAACAAGAAATTGAGAAGACCTTCAAGAGAGTCGCTGAAGGGATTCAAACATTTGAGAGCATTTACGAGAAGATTCGCTCCGCCACAAATCCCACCCAGCGCGACAAGCAAGAAGAGAACTTGAAACGCGAGATCAAGAAGCTCCAAAGGTTTCGTGATCAGATCAAGTCATGGGCAGCAGGCAATGAAGTCAAGGACAAAGCTCCGTTATTAGAGCAGCGGAAAGCGATTGAAACAGTAGGTGATCATTGTTCCAGCTGGAGCATTGGAACTTAAGGTTCGTGCGGCTAAAAGGTTCGTGCGGCTAACAACTCGGAACAGTGCATGGAGCAATTCAAGGCCGTCGAGAAGGAGATGAAGACAAAAGCCTACTCCAAAGAAGGGTTATCAGCCGCGCAACGACTCGATCCGCGAGAAAAGGAGAAGGTGGAAGCTGCCGACTTCCTTTCCACCATGGTGGATGAGCTTGGACAGAAAATCGAGGCCATGGAGGCAGAAGAGGAGACACTTCATGCGCAAATGAAGAAGGGCAAGAAGGATATGTCCAAGGCCAACCGAATGGCTGACATTTCGCGAGTGACCGAGCGACATAAGTGGCATGTCAACAAGCTTGAATTCCTGATGCGATCCTTGCAAAATGGCAATTTGGAAGTGACTCAAGTGATGGACCTAAAGGAGAGCATCACATACTATGTTGAGGAGGGTGGTAATGTCGACTATTCTGGAGAAGACGAGACTCTCTATGACGACTTGAACATTGGCGAAGATGTCGAGGCTCAATTTGGCATGGGCAATGAGAACGATCGGGTATCATCACAAGATGCCCAGTCCATTCAAGATGACGAGCCAGAGCCAAAACCTAAGCCAAAGGCAGATCCCACAACGACTCGAAGACCATCAACACAGATGAAGTCCCCGCTTCCTGTTCTGGCTACTCTCTCCTCTGCTTCCTCTAGTACTACTCCTGGCATGAAACCCGCACCACTCCCTACCCGCCTTCCTGGAGAAACATTGAAGTATGCTTCGGCTGCGGCTGCTGCGGCCGCCAGTGACAAGAGTGGAGTTGGGATTTTACCACTCCCCCCACCACCGGGCGCCAGCCCAGCCTTCTCGGCTGCCCTTCCCATCTCAAAGGCATCATCCGTTGCCTCTCCTAGTGTTGCTCACGTGCAGCCTGCCTCTAGAGCACCTAGTGCTGCTGTTTCTACTCCTCTGTCAGAAGAGCCCGTTTTTGCTGCCCGATCAAAGACCCCCGGTGGTACAGGTGTCTCCGGTACCCCATCGCCAGCCCCCGCCGCTCAGACAGAACCTCCTAAGGAGCCTACAACAAACGGCAAGGTAACACAGGAGGGCGAGACCAGTGAGTCAATATACCACTTGCCTCCGGGTCTTCAGGACTTGGTACAATCCTTCGAGGTGACCAAGCAGCGTTCGTCGAATGACCCTTCACCTGCTGTTCAAAGACTTCTGGCCGCGTCCCTCCAAAATTGCCCCGAGGCCGGAGATGCGGAAAAGCCCCGTCATTACAAGCCCCAAAACCCTTACAACACTCCCCTCTACTACCCGCAGGAACCTCTACCCATCTTTGACGATCCCCGCTTGTATGATACTGGCCGCATCGACACTGATACCCTCTTCTACCTCTTCTATTACCGCCAAGGGTCTTATCAACAATATTTGGCAGCCAAGGCCCTCAAGAACCAAAGCTGGCGCTTCCACAAGCAGTACCAAACATGGTTCCAGCGACACGAGGAGCCGAAGAACATTACCGAGGAGTTCGAACAGGGCACCTACCGTTTCTTCGACTATGAGAGTACCTGGTATGTTCACGCATCTCGAGGATCATAATATGGATTTTTCCGCTTTTAGAAAGAACACGTGCTGACTTATTTTGCCCGACAGGATGAACCGGCGCAAGGCTGACTTCAAATTTGTGTACAAATATCTCGAGGACGAGTTATGATGCGACTTTGTATCATGAGGCGTAGCAACCTGGATCTACGAAGCCCCCTACCTCCCGCGTTATGACCAGATAGCAAGTGTACTTTTTTCAATCCCCCGGAAAAAATCCCCGATAGATGTGTCATGGGATTCGGACTTGGGCAGGTTTCCGTGTTCCTGGTTTGTTTTCGTTATATGTTTTTGTTTTTATTGTTTTCCAATGATGCCAGGGCACGGCATCGGGCAATGAGTACAATGAATGGGTCTCCGGGAGGAGTTCAGTGCTATTTCGAGTTATCTCCAGCTGTTCGCGAATGAAAGGAGACTTTTCCAAGTCAATGCGGCTTTGAGTGCATGATCCGGGGAAATGTAGGCACCCCGATTCCTGATGATGTACTACGTGCAGCAGTCTGGCCCAGCCTGAGGCTCCAGACAAAAGTACCTGTAGCCGTCCAATAGAGCCATATGACTTCACTTTACCTAAGAGTGCCCGACATGGCGGATCTGTACAAGTATACCGCCATCCCGGAGCCAATGAAACGTGATGCCTCGGTACGGAGACGAGAAAAACAGATCATTCAATGGAACCTGGGTAGCCATCCCGTTTGTACGTGGGTCAAATCCACAAACATGCATGAAGCAACTTGTCGACCAGTCGCAGGGGCTGTGAACCCCAATGTTTGCCAAGTCGCCTCACCTGTAGGAACCAGGTGCATCTCATTCCCCGCTAGTGCTTGGGCTTGGCACGCTAATCCGTGAGTGGATGCGGGATTTTTGGTTTTCTAGAAGGACTGGGATCAGAGAACAGGGGCTGTGCGGACGGGTCCCGAGATTATTATTATATCATGTCGATCCATTCGCTCCCCGGATTGGAAACCTGTAAAGCAGTCCTGCCGTGCTTGGCTTGGCGATCGTTTGTGATTCCCTAGATCGGTATGACTTCATTTCGGCACGCGGTACCCGAGGGTAAATAGAACGTGATCGACTGTATACATAGCAAATAGGTGGCTTTTGGTTTGAAAATTTTCAGTGTTTCACATACCACTTAGACAGGTTAAAACTCATCAGTACCTACGTTGCTCTGCTTTATCTGTTCACGGCATTTCTGGACTGCAGTCATCTTTCCCGTAGCGCCACAGCAGCCAACCTGAAACGAGGAGAAAGACGAAAAAAGCAGACGGAGGGGGCCAGCAAGGATGCCATGACGCTAGAAGTCTTCCAGAAGCACGCTAAGACCCAACGGGCGAAGATCATCCTTTCCCTCCAGTACTTTCGGAGGCAAAAAAACAAGAAAAGAGGGTCGAGAGCAATGCGCATTTGCATCGTCTGACCGCTATACCCGACTTCCCTGGCCTTTTAGGCCCTGTGTACAGGCTTATCGGGGCCATTCCAGTTCCTGCTGGCATTATAATTGGTTCGTCGCAGCCTCTATCCACCTATTCACCAATCACGGTCTGCCCCTCGGACCTTGCCGCTAGAAGGCTTGTGGAAGAGACGTGGAATGTTCTTTTCGGTCAGCACTGGGACCGAAAGGCAGACTAATGCAACCCGTTCGAGGATTCACGAGTGTTTGCAGAAATTCCCGCACTGATCTCCCTTCAATGACGCTGCTTGAGAGCGGGGGGCTGTGTGGAACTCCACCAGTCGTGGTGCGGTATTCGAGGCTTGAAGCCATTCAGAAGCCATAGCCGGACCGACTTGTTCACTTCGCACCCCCGGTGATTTGGACAAGTTCGTGTTGTTGTCGAGGCATTTTTTAGCGCTTAGGTTGCGAGGAATAAATAGTTTAAGAGCCGTAGATTCCCCATGTACTTTCCGGTTGGATTTGATCTTCAAGTACATCGGCCCCCAAACAATAACGGATTTCCTGAAAATCCAAAGGATTCGTCTCACAATGGTCGGTCAACCCTAGTCAGCCCCCTGCGCTTGATGTGTTTTTATTTGATGATTTATGGTTTAATGATTTATGGTTTTTCTTTTTCTTTTCTTTTCTTGGAATTTATGGTATTTTCATGAATTAAATTCTGATTCCTTTTTTATTTAGACTGCCATTCCACCTTCACATTCATTTTCTAAATTCGCCTTTTCTGCTTCTCCCGATATGCAGTCCTCCTACTCGTCTTCCTACTCATCATCCTACTCATCCTCCCCCGGCGGTATGGACTTCTTCTTTCGCGGCCCGTCAGTCTATGACAGCACATGCGACGTCGACGCCAGCAGCTCATTTACGACCCCGGAGTTTGCGCCGGAGTTCGTCTCGGAGCCCTATAGTTACTCCTTTACTAGTGCGCCGAATGCGCCTGCACCATACGTCTATGGTTCCGTGAATGAAATGCCCATCTATGATACACCACTCATGGCGGCCGGACTACCCAGTAGTCCTGCCGCGAGTAGCTGTGGAAGCTCGTACGGTAGCAGCTTCCACATGCCCGAGGATGTCGTACCCATGCCTAGTTTCCCTCTTGTTCCCAATGCTCCCGAGGATTCAGGGCCCGAGTCCCCACCCGCTCCATCCAAGTAAGCTAGCTCCTCCCGCTATCTATTGTCGCATGCGACACCGCATCCAACAACAATGCACGAGCTCGGTCGCTAACCTTTATTTTTTGTCAAGGCCAGCTAAACCCTTCGGCTGCGACGACTGTGGCAAGGCTTTCACACGCTTTGCAGACCTCAAGCGCCACCAGTCCAGCGTTCACTACCCCGTGTTCCGCAACTGCCCTGTCGAGCACTGCTCCCGCAAAGGTGCCAACGGATTCCCTCGCCAGGACCACCTGGTCGAACACCTGCGTTCTTACCACCATCTCGATGTGCCGAAACGGCGGGCCTTGAAACGCTCGGCCAAAGACATGGCTTGAGGGGGACAGCCTTGTGCGACCTCCTCGTGCGTCACCCCTTGTCTCCAACCTATTCTATGCCATCCCTGCTCCACCCCTGATCCCCGACTTCCACGCGACACGCTACACACTAGTACCGATTTTACGATTCCACGATGCCCACTTATCCCCCATTTGCTTTTTCCATATGTTTTCTGTTGGGCTCCATTGCCTCCATTGGCGGCGCTACACCTGATTCCACCATCGCATGTGCGATTCTGTTTGTTTCAATCCACGCTTGTTCTATAGACTACTGCCCTTTATTTGGTTTGCGTTTGTACAAGACACGAGCTTGTTTTTTTATTCCCCAGTTTTCACATATTTATTTGGTTCTTGGTTTGGGATGCACCAATAGACGACAGGGATTATATGTCGATAGACAGTTCCTTGCCCAGGTTCGGGATACCAGTTCCCACATTTGATATGATTCATAGCGACGATCGCGATGGTCACGTCACATTATTGCATACATTAAATGATTGGGCAAAGCCCGAATCCATTCCTAATTTTCCCCTCCACTTCAATTTGCTTTTTCCTTTTGTTTGGACTAGGTCTAGACTACAAGATACGATAGACTTCAATGGTTTCAGTGACCTTGGAGCCAGTACGGTGTTGTGGCACCGACTCCACAAACAAATGACGCGCGACTGCCGTGCGACAGACACTACTGCACTAGCCCGTAAGCAGTATCTCCTCGACTGGGTGTACCGAGGAGCGCCGAAGAACAAATTAAGCGTACACTCCTATAGGTTAGATAAAAACCAATTTATGCATGCTCGAATTCAGGAACTGCGACCATACCCGCTTCTAGAAGAAATCGCACCAATCACCCGGCTTCGTTCGGTTCACAAAAAGCAAACAAAGGAAAACCCATTAGCCAAATCCACACACTAGCGCTCGAGCTCTAGAATCCTTCGCTCGCAGGTTTTGGCTGATGTTTTCGCATTAGCGGTTTCATTAGGTTCAGGTACATCCACGGGTATCTGCTTCCTTTCTTTGTTGTCCTGCCGTAACGATATGGGGAACCTCCACGATCGAGTCAAACGCTGTAGATAGAGACGGCAAACGGTGGTAGATAAGAGAAAGACAAAGGGAGAGAGTATGCGACTATAGCGACGAGTCGTACGATTTCCCTTTTGCGTAAACTCCACTGATAATCATTTGGTCTTGCATACAAAGGTTGACCGGGGATCTGTCGATCGCATCGCATCTTCCATACTCGGAACACTCCACTTAGCTGCCAAGATGTACCCCGTTGACAACGTAGAAAATTCCTACTTGCGTCACTGCGCATGAACAAATGATATCGCATAGATTACTTACTAGGGAAGCTATTGAATTAAATATCCACCAGGCGGTTTCAAGTGTCCTAGTGCTCCGTTCTCATGCCACGACGGGACCTACAATGGGTGTACCAAACGCGTTCTTCATTAGACCCTCTGTTTTGGATTCCCGTAAAAGTGGATTTGGAATTCTCCACAGCGATCAAATGGCAAGGAATCCCTGATCCGATGTCACTTATTTGGCAGGTGTAATGTGGGTACCACGCACCCCATGTTCCATTCGGGGTCGATTTCTGTAGATCATCCGCCTGTCGCGCATTGGACCGTATCTCGTATATAGAAACGGCCCCCATCGCCACTTGAATCACCCCTGTGGCGATGAGTCTCCATATTTTTGGGTAGAGAACAACCATTATGATTAAGATGGGGATCTCAGGTGACAGGAATATCTGCTCCTACCATTTACAGCCCTCAGGTCTTTTCAGGCAGCGAAGCCGTTTCGTGTAGGTGGATCAAGTGCTGATCTCGCACTGGTTTTGGCGAATACAGATGAGAACTCTATGCACATATGCATATGTAGTAAGATTTATGGGTGGGCCTAAGGGTGTAACACTGGGGTGCGATAGGACTGGGAAACTATTGGAGGGTGAGCCAACTCCATTTTGGCTTTCTGATCCAAAAGTCATTTAGGTATCAAGATTGAAACCTAGTTCTAAGGTTTACTCAGATGCCTCGACAATTGTTCTTGTAATCATTGCGAGATTCCTAGGCTGCAATGCTATCACAAGTACCCATCAGAAATGACATCACTACCGTCAAGGCGTCATTCATTGGTACCTAGACTTGAAGAGCTAGAGCAACATCTACTTTGTCCGTGATTTGCAGCTCTTGGCGAGAGAAACAAACTGTAGAACATTTCACAAGTATGCATTGAAATTCCAACTAACCAAACTCAATCCCTGCGCCTTAGCTTGATAATAAAAAGACCATGGCATCAACCAGCGATGCTTTCAGCAAAGGACAGATAGGAATATATACTATTTTGTGATTAAGTTTTCTTGAACATTAAAGGATAGAGTAATTATTTCTTGCTTAATTGAGCACCATCCTATATGTCTACATGATATCCATAGTAGCTATGCCCGCTAATGGCGTAAAAGACGAGCTAGGAAAGACATACCTATGTATTCTCTCTCGTAACGGGGAGGAAGAATACGTGACAAGTATTCTGGCCAGTCGGGCATCGGTTTCAGTTGCCGAAGCGCCTGGATGTATTCCCAGTGTTCCGGGTACCAGCCGGCATATTCCCAGTCAAGAATAGCTGTGACCCGGCCTCCTTCGACGAGGATATTACGCGGTGACAAATCGGCATGAGTGAAAACAATCTCATGGTCATTCATAAGCGCAAATTTGGCGTAATGTCGCAGTATATTTGGTGCTGACTTGACAATGTCTCCCAATATAAATTCGTTGAACTGCTTCTCAGAATCAAACGGACCGCCTTCTATTGATGCTATCTGTCCAATTATGGCTTTGCCGCGATCAATAGCTCGGATGCGATGGAGTGCTTCTGATCGGAGTCTAAAGTATCCCATGCTTCATCGAGTCGCTTGCCAGGCATGTAGTACATCACAATACCCACGACTTTACCATCTTCCCATTGAATATCATGGACTTTCGGTACAGAAATTGTTGTGTTTGTCGCAATGAAATGAAGTGTTGAGGCTTCATGGGAGCGGATATTGCCCGATTTTACGACTCGATTGTTGCCAACCCGGATAACCGTGCGACCGCATAATGATTGAAGGGTCGTTCTTTCTTGATTATTTGTTTCATTCATTTCAGAGAGAGTATCGGCGTCTTCTGTTGCATATCAGGATTTTTAAACAGTGAGCAGATCTATGCGGTGTAGTATCATCTCCTGCGCCATTAATTCGGTATGGTACCAACTAGACATCGCCAAAACCTGGAAATGGGCCTAGAGTCAGGCCCAAAGCCCAACCCATTTGTGGGTTGGGTTGGGTTGGGCTTTGGGCTTTGTGGGTTTTGGCGATGTCTACGGTTGATAGCCGCTGTGTCATCTGTGACTCCGTCGCCAATAGCGCCGTAGTCTTTAACATTTCTCCAAACCTAAAGAATATTGATCAGGAGCGGCTCTTAGTTTGGAGAAGTAAGGGAGAGATAAAAGAGGGACACAGGTCACACCAGATTTACACAGCATAATTGGCGAAAGAAATGAAGTGAAAGTGCAGAAAGGGGGGGTGATGCTAAATGGGAAATATACCTTATAGCCACTAGGTGCGAATGGACTTTATCTAGTCTGGTCCACTATGGCTATCTAGTACTTGGAAGCATCATCACGCTTGTTAAGCGTCGCTTTGGTAGTCTTGTTATCACTTATGTCACTAGTCCCATCACCACTTTCAAATACACTATAGCCATAGAGTCTATTTAGTCTGACTAGGGCCTGGGCGGGCGTATTAGAATGTATGTAGCCCTTGCTATACTTCTCTCGGATATTCGCTATAACCTGAGGCTGATCGCCTATCGGTTTATCAATGGTGGATTTAGCGATAATGCGAGCGGCCTTAGCTAGCTTAGGTGGAATCACGTAAGGGCTATTTCCGCTCGTTTTATTTAAAGAAAAATCTCTTATCTAAAGACGGGCAGTCTTTATAGACTCAGGGCTATAGTCTAAAGGCTTAGTAGTTGCTCTTGCGCCTTTGCGGGATTTAGAAAAGGTATCTTTATTGAAATTGGGATTCTCCGTTCGATCTTTATTGACTTCTTTTAAAACGGTAAGTGCATTTTATACCATTTCGAGCGTATTGCCATGACTAGTTACGCTTATATTACCACGCTTATGATGGAGGTGACCATAATAAAGATGATTATGATGAATTTGAGCATGATCGGCCCACACTGGAACCTAGAAGATCGTTAGGGCCAGTGCCGCGATCAGCGGCAACAAGCCTTAATCGGTAAACCGTGATCTACCACCTAGTCTCATCTTTAGTTAAACCTCGTGGCATAAATGAAAGGCCTCCCAAGTCTAGGGGAATACTTAACCATAAATCCGTCTCGCCTTGGCCGGAGCTCGCGACCCAATTCCATCCACACTACTTGATGTAACCCGACATTTCTTCCATCAAATTTCGCTAAGCAATGGGCCGGAAGTTCCCCTTGATGCTAAGAGACTCTATACTCAGGGACCTCTACACGTTAAACCAACTAGGGGATCGCATAACATCCATTTCTGGATACTGGCATGCGCTACCTGGCTTGGCCATAAGGGAGTAGGGCCTAGGAGACCAGTAGTGGGTCACCGATGGAAACGAGGCAGTCTATATCCAGGATTAGTGGGATCAATGGTTCCAAGACTGGTTTCGGCATATTAGAATAACGAATACCAATTAGGCCCTTAGCCATATAGCTAACATGAGACGGCTGTGGGCAGTGAGGACGGGATCCAATGTCATACCTACTATCGAGACTCTGGATAAGTTAAAGGCGGATGCGACGGATATGAAGATTGACATAGATGATCTGGATTGAAGCTAAGCAACCGTGTGAATTGATAGATAACGATGGTGACTTTTTTAACATTACGTCGACTGTATCTTAGATCGTTAATTAACTAGGCAGTTTAATGCAATAAACAATTTCGGTCGCAGAGCCGACAATATATAGCTATTAAATCTTGGGTCTAATTACTATAGTATTCAATCCCACATGACATAAAGAATTCACAAAACATCAGTATCGTCAGGTATCATTGAAGAAGTATCCTTCATATAAGCCGTGTCCTGCATATCCGACCAAACCTCCCACAACGAGGGCAGGGAGCACTTCATCCACCCTTGGAAATCCTCAGATGGATCTACCTCTAACGCCTCGACGAGTTTCACATAATAATGTCTCCTCTCTTCGTATTTCGAGTTCTCTGGAAAGGGAGCGTTTTGTAAGGTTTGAAAGCTTTCTTCGTCAATGATAATAAACATGCGATAGCCAGGGAAAACATCGAGCACATCACGCTCAATTGCATCAGCCCTGAAATGCTCGCGGAGCTGGTTTATCGATGCTCCGTCGAACCGGGAAGCATCTTCAATTACCCGTGGCTGGTAATTAGGCCAGATTTCATCCCAGGGAGTGATATTAAACTCATTTACCCTAGATCTTTCGCGAAGGGAAGTTTCGTAATCCTTGTAGAATGCGTTCTTCATGTACTTAGTGGTAAGGTCGACCATACGCGGGAAAGCGGCATTGGATTGGGGAGTGTAGGTCGTCCGGTAGATGGTGTAGCCCCAGGTAGGCTCACAGTAATGGAGCCATTGATAGATGTTTTGCATGTAATCTGGAAGCCAGTTATATTGCTTCATCGGCTTTGGAAGTAGCGACATGATGGGTCGACTTTGGATGTTGCGGTGGTTTAGAGGGGAGTTGAGGACGGAGAAAAGTCCAGCCTCATCGGAACCTTGGAAAAACCGCTTTATAGTCCTCAGGGCTATGAGCAGGTTTACATCAAACTTTCCGTCCCCCTTACAATACCCTACTTATACTAGACCCTGATCAATCTAGTGTCTCCAGCAAATTACCGTTAGTCCCTTGGCATCATTCCCACATTATCTTGGCATGTTCGCATTTAAATTAGGACCATTGACGGAGTACTCCGGGTTTCTCGTAGCGATGATGCCGTATGAGTGCTGGAGATCTTTGATTGTGCTCCGAATCACGGCGAGATTTTCATCCCAAATCCCTTCGTCGGTCAAATCATCTGGAATCTGTGCTTCTGCGCTAGCCAAACGATAGAAATGTTTCAGGTCTCGTATTGAGTTTACAATGCTGGTGAGTCCATGTGGATGGCCGTTCTCATTCTGGGATGGAACTCTATCATTCAGACTGCCTCTTCTTCTTGAAGACATATTCGTATCTGCAGCGGTAGGATAGAGGGTCTGAGTTCGTTTCCGGGGAGAATCCGATTCCGCCAAGGCTCGCTTTCTGCTTCTTGGAATAGGCCGTGCATGCAGGTGCACGTGCTCGCGCTCTGGCTCAGTTGGTTCATCCTGAAATACATCAAATTATGTGTTTTCACGGCCGATGGGCCATGGAGCTTGTGTCAGGCTGTAGTAATGAATGATAGTTCTGGGGCTGAACTAATCCAGAGTATAGAGCCAGGGACAGCGACCAAATTTCCCTCTTTGATATTCGTCAAAGAATACATGTATCTACGATGAATAACAGGAGACCATGGAGAACGTGTTCGTAGGATATCGACGGCATGGCAGACTCTGGTCATTAAGCGATAAAGTCGAGTGAGCAAGCACTGGAAACAGACAGTTAACGTATTTCACAAGCGAGCGAGACACCCGGTCGGCCGAGACACCCCAACCAAAACGCGTCAATTAATTAGACCTTCCTTCTTCAACCACCTACCATGCCACCAATTCGCTCTCAAAATCGTCAAAATTTGACGCAACAAGAAGGACGTATCTTGCTTGCTATCCAAGCTTTTGAAAAGTAGGAAAAACTGTCAATTCGCGAGGTAGCACGTATATACGATATACCCAATTCGACGCTCCACCACTGTCTTAAAGGACGTAAAAACCGCGTTAAATTACGCGCAAATTCGTTCAAACTAACTAAAGTTGAGGAGAATTCGCTTAAAAAATGGGTGATCTCTATGGATATACGTGGAGTAGCACCACGACCTTCTATGGTGCAAGAAATGGCTAATCTCTTACTCGCGACACGTGGAATAACCCCGATCTAGACTATTAGTAAGAACTGGGTTATGAACTATATTAAACGACACCTAGAGCTCGATATAAGGTTCTTAAGACGCTATAATTATAAGCGTGCTAAGTATGAGGACCTAAAAATCATTAAAGAATGGTTTAACCTGGTTCAAAAAATAATATCTGAGCACGGGATCCTCGAAGATGATATATATAACTTTGATGAGATAGGCTTCGCGATGGGCTTAACCGCGACTGTAAAAGTTGTTACGAGAGCAGAATATTATAGTCAACGCTTAGTTTTATAACCTAGAAATCGTGAGTAGGTGACCTCGATTAAGTATATAGGCGCGTCTGGATATAGCCTTCCTCTAATAGTGATCTTTAAAGCTAAACTCTTTAACGAAGCTTGGACTATAGGGCTTCTAGATCACTGGTAATTTAAGGTTAGCGATAATGGATGGACCTTAGACGAGATTAGACTTCGTTGGCTTTAAAAGATCTTTCTTCTATTAACTTTCTCGAGGATAAAGGGGAAATATTAACTTCTAGTTCTCGATGGTCATAGAAGCCATTTAACTCTAAAATTCGACGAAATTTACTATCAAAACGATGTGATTCTAATTTATATGCTAGCGCACTCTTCACATCTTTTATAACCTCTTAATATAGGTTATTTTACTATCTTAAAGCGTGCGTATAGGAAATGCATTGAAAACGTTATACGGACGGGTTAAAATCATATCGATAAATTAGACTTTCTTAACGCTTTTCCAACCGCTCGAATCGAGGCTTTTAAAGCAGAAACAATCAGAAATAGCTTCTCAGCAACTGGCTTAGTCCTATATGATCTAAATCGGGTTATTTTAAAGCTTAATATTTAGCTCTAGACGCCTATACTACCACCATCTCAAGGAAGCTAAAGTAGCGCGTGGGAGCCTTAGACGCCATTAAATTATAAGTAGCTCTAGAAGCAAGCTTCTTTAATTAAAAAGCTCTTAAAATAGCGCTCTAAGAACCCTCTAAGCCCGCTTAATTCTGCCATAGATTAAGTGCTAAAAGCGTGCTAAATCACGATGTAATTAACTGCTTTTCTTGCCCGAGAAAACGAGCTTTTACGTGCTAGAAACGAGAAAATTAAGTAAAAAAAAGCAAGGTCTAAGCTCTAGATAGCTCATCTAGAGGGCGTATCCATCGCTAAGCTTAAAGAGCTAGCTAAAATTGCTAGAAAAGCTCGATTTAAACCTTAAAATAGTGAGCCGACCGGTTAACCAGGAGCACAAGGACGACGATCTAGGGCGCCACCAAAATGCTCTAAATGCGGTATTTAGGGGCATAATATAACACATTATCCAAATTTAGCTAAATAGCTTATATATTTAATATTATAGTTATGGTTAAATTATACTAATTTAAATTATTAAAAGTTAATGGGGTGTCTCGGCCAACCAGGTGTCTCGCTCGCTTATGAAATACATTAACGTAATTCACCCCTAAGCGAGCCACCCCCCTATCTAAGCCACCCTAACCAAAACGCGTTAATTAATTAGTCTCACCCTTCTTTAACCAACCACCATACCCCCAATTCGCTCTCAAAATCGTCAAAATTTGACTCAAAAAGAGGGTTAGATTCTACTTGCTATCTAGGCTATTAAAAAGTAGGAAAAATTGACAATTCATCAAGCAGCGCTTATATATAATATCCCTCGCATAACGCTCCAATTCCGTCTTAACAGACGTCAAAATCACGTTAAATCACGCGTCAAAACGTTTAAATTAACTAAAATCAAGGAGAATTCGCTTAAGAAATAGACAATCTCTATGGATATACATAGAGTAGCCCCACGACCTTCTATAGTGCAAGAAATAGCCAATCTCTTACTAGCGATATATGGAACGACCCCGATTTAAACAGTCAGTAAAAATTAGGTCATAAAATTCATTAAACGTCACCTAGAGCTCGTTACTAGGTTCTCAAGACGCTATAATTACGAGCGCGCTAAGTGCGAGGACCTAGAAATCATTAAAGAATGGTTTAACCTAGTTCAATAGATAATATCCAAGCATAGGATCCATAAAGATGATATATATAACTTTGATAAGACAGGCTTCGCAATAGGCTTAACCGCGACCACAAAGGTTATAACAAGAGCTAAATATTACGGTCAGCGAGCTCGTTTATAGCCCGGGAATCGTGAATAGGTAACCTTAATTAAGTATATAGGCGCGTCTAGATATAGCCTTCCTCTAATAGTGATATTTAAAGCCAAACTCTTTAACGAAGGTTAGACTATAGGCCTTCTAGATAACTAGCAATTCAAGGTTAGTCTAAATAGATGGACCTCGGACGAGATTAGACTTCGTTGGCTTTAAAAGATCTTTCTTCCATCAACTTTCTCGAGGATAAAGGGGAAATATTGACTTCTAGTTCTCGATGGTTATAGAAGCCATTTAACTCCAAAATTCGACGAAATTTGCTATTAAAACGACGTGATTCCAATTTGCATGCCAGCGCACTCTTCACATCTTTTATAACCTCTTAATATAGGTTGTTTTGCTATCTTAAAGCGTGCGTATGGGAAATGCGTTGAAAACGTTATGCGGATGGGTCAAAATCATATTGATAAATTGGACTTTCTTGACGCTTTTCCAATCGCTCGAAACGAGGCTTTTAAAGCAGAAACGATCAGAAATAGCTTCTTAGCAACTGGATTAGTCCCATATAATCCAAATCGAGTGATTTCAAAGCTTAATATTCGACTTCGTACGCCTACCCCACCACTATCTCGAGGAAGCGAAAGTAGCGCATGGGAGCCTAAGACACCATCGAATTATAAGCAGCTCTAGAAGCAAGCTTCCTCGATTAAAAAGCTCTTAAATCAACGCTCTAGGAGCCCTCCAAGTCCATTGAATTCCGCTATAGATTAGGTGCTAAAAGCTTATCAAATCACGATGCAATCAACCGCTTTTCTTGCTCGAGAAAACGAGCTTTTACGTGCTGGAAACGAGAAAATTAAGCAAAAAAAAGCAACGTCTAAGCTCCAGATAGCTTATCCAGAGGGTGTATCCGTCGCTAAGCTTAAAGAGCTAGCAAAAATTACTAGAAAAGCTCGATTTGAACCTCAAAATAGTGAGCCGACCGGTCAACTAGGAGCACAAGGACGACGATCTAGGGCGCCACCAAAATGCTCTAAATGCGGTATTCAGGGGCATAAGATAACACATTGTCCAAATTTAGCTAAATAGCTTATATATTTAATATTACGTTGTTTTGGTTGAATTACGTTAATTTGAATTATCGAAAGTTGATGGGGTGGCTCGGATGGGGGGGTGGCTCGCTTGGGGGTGAATTACGTTACCGTGTGCGATTAGGTCATATCTTTGCTCGAGCTCCTAGGAGCGACCGTAGCAAAGCGCTTATCGTCGGAGGACGTGAAACAACAAAGCAGCATGTTGTGGGCCAGCCGGAGCACCAGGGGTGAGCGATCGGGGTGCTCAGGGAGCAGCTCCGGGAGTGCTCCGGGAGTACTTGATACCTAGTGCGCCTAATTAATCTATGCTTAGGGTCTACGTTAAGGGACGAGAGATTAAGTATACCTTTCCTACCCAAATCTTCAAAATCCGTAAAGCAAACTCAATCCCTGCGCCTTAACTCAATAGAAAGAAAATAGCATCAAATCACTTTTTCCCGCCCAAATCTTCAAAATCCGTAAAGCAAACTCCACTCGCCTTTCCTGCATCATCAAACAAAACCCCCTCGTCTTTCAGCCTTATCCTCTTCTCATCCCTAAAAGACCCATCACTCACATGCTTAACCGCCATCCCTTCCCCCTTGTACCCACCCAAGCACCCCCCAGCAGCAAGCACACGATGACAGGGTACCTCGGGCGCAAACGGATTCGTGCGCATGGCATTGCCCACAGCTCGCGCGCTGGAGTTGAGATATGTTGCCATAGCGGAGTAGGTTGTCCAGCGACCGGCGGGAACAGAGAGAAGGACGCGGTAGACGCGGCGGCGGTAAGGGGTCAAGGTTGGGTGAAGGGATATTCGGCGGAGGTATTTCTGGGTTTCGAGATTGGATTTCGGTGTGGGTTTGAAATTAAGTGGCTTTGTTTGAGGACCATTGGACTGTGGGGTTGTTGTGCCTAGAGCCTCTGGGTTTATAATTGCGGTGCTTGTCATTCTAGGCTTGGCTTCGGTTGTGAATTTCCAGTTGAATTGACTTGAAGTTGTTGATCCTTCCGGTGTGTGCTTCTTATTCGATATTTTTGACTGGTTTTGGAGTTGAGTCTGTTTTTGTTAGTTGCTTAATCGTATTGATTAGAGTTGACGCGATATGACGCGTCAACGCGACGGGAAGCTCACTGAGATATAGCTATGTGGATTTATGCCACAAGATTTTTTTTTTTAGTTGGGGAGATGAAAAATGTTCAAAACTTGGGTAGGAAAATTGGGAATTATCCCAACTTTAAGGGTCGAAGTTGAAGTAGAGCTTGTAGCCTCGAAACGTTGTTCTCAAAGTGACCAATCAGATCCACCGTCCGCAATCTAAATCCAAGGTTCTGAATCATCAGGATTTATAATCATCTGTGGATAATCAGAGCTCCCAAGACATTGAGCCTATTTATCATTATGGCTCAGGAGATTCGTGATACTCGTAGCATCATTGGAACCTCATAGCATCATCTAGCAGATATGGATCAAATCTTTTTTTAGAAAATTTATATTTAGAGCTAGTGATGTGAAGAGTTGTCAATTAATATCTAGATTCATGCTTAACTCGTACTTCAACAGAATTATGCGTTATCAACATGGTCGGCAGAAGAGGCATTTTCATCACCCTTTGGTGCGGCAAGCAACACCTTGCCAGTCTCCGGATCTATACTGCCTTTGCGACTAACCGCCGAGACCATACCGGGGTTCTCGGCCTTCAAACGAGCAAAGGTCTTCTCCGCATCCCAGGTCCAAGGTGTCTTGGCCGCAAACAACAGGTCCATATCTTCCAGTGTACGTTGGTTGCTCTCGGGGTACAGAGCCCAGACCATCGGAATGGTGATGACGTTGCTCGCAGCGAACACATAAAGCGTCTTCTCGCCAATAGCGCTAAACATGACGGGACACAGAAGAGTCTATGGGAAATGACATCAGCACTCATTCACCAGAAGGTAATGCTTGGTTATTTCACTCACCAGCCATCCGTTTCCGATACTCCAACCAACGACTCCCCATGCGTTTCCGCGAGCACGCACAGCCAACGGGAAGATTTCGGCAGGGTAAAGCCAAGGCACAGTGAGCCAGGTCGCTCCGAAAGTCGATGTGAAGATAAAAATCATCGAAGCTGCGGCTGCACCATATGAGGATGCGTTGCCCGTGTCACCGGCTGCCTTAGCGTTGATGGCGAGACGGGAGAAACCACCCGCTAGGAACATAGCAATTCCTTGAACGACCGAGCCCCAGTACAAGGTCCATCGACGGCCAATACGGTCCAATGTAAAAACACAGACAAGCGTGGCAAACTGAACACATCAAAACATCAATACTCTGACGAAGCAATTTCGCATTGATTGTGGTTACAACATACCATGTAGAAGACATTGTTCAAACCACTAATCCACTGGCTCTTTGTCGAGTCGAATCCTGCAATGCTGAAGATTGTGGGAGCATATACGGTGACACCAGCGATACCCACCCATTCCTGCATGATCTGAAGCCAGATGACGAGTTGGACACGACGGCCGATGTGGAGGTCACCCGATTTATAACCAAAGAGCATGGAAAGGTAAGAGTTCCCATGGACAACCGTCTTCTCCATTTCTGCGATGGCCTGGATATCGAGAAATTCGGCCTCGGCGCGGACGCGGTCCTCGGGGCTACTTCCGCGGAGACGCTGGAGAATGTACCGAGCTTCTTCTTCCCGGCCAACTTTCACCAGCCAGCGAGGGGATTCGGGGAAGAACCAGACGGCACAGAACAGAACCAAAAGGAATATAATTTGGAACCCGATGGGGAACCGCCAGCGGAAAGGAGATCTACCTTCATCAATGAATGACAGGCCACTAAGAACGTCGTTAGATAATGCGGAACCACATATACACGAGCCCGAACATACAACTCTAGCCAGTAGGCGAGAACGACACCAAAGATGTTCAAAGTAAACTCGATCGCAATGAACTGTCCTCTCGAAGTATGCTCGGCGGTTTCCGTAGCCCAGACAGGGACAATGGCGTTCAAAATACCGGTCCCGATTCCGTTGACGAAACGTGCTGTATAGTCTTAGCCCCAGGTTATGTCACTGTTGTTGACTATCTACTTACCGCAGATCATCCAGTCATGGTTTTGAGCCGAGCACTGCAGGCTGGCACCCACGATCGCCCAAACAGCACCAGCTGCAATAGACTTGATTCTGCCCATACGATCTCCCAACCAGCCACCGAACAACCCACCACACAATGTTCCCAAGTAATACACGGCCACAATTCCACCTTGTAGTAAGGAATTAGTGACCACCACAGTCGCTTCGCCATCTTCCATTTTTGTGTATCCAAATTTCATCAATTTGACGTAGTCTTCGGCATTGTTCACACCCGACATCATTCCTTGGTCGTATCCGAAGAAGAGGATTGACAATGCAGCGATGCAGTTAATCGCAATAAGAAGCTGTCGCTTCTCCAACTTGTGGACGACATTCCATGAGGGGATTCTGTCAGACATCCTGAGCGGAATGAAGTCTCAAAACGGAGTCGAATTTGTACCAGGTACAACCAGTGCGGCGTCACGAAAGAGTATAGAGGGCCGAGATCAAAAAGAATGATAGCACTTAAGCCCGGTTTATATCCGCAAGCCAATAGATAGAACATCCAGCCCCGCGGGGTAAATTCAAACACAACTTCCGTTGTCGCGCGACATCATAACGGGTCCTCGGGCCTTTTAAACGCAAAGCCAAGTCCCATTCCGGTCCGAGCTGCGAATAGTGAGGAAACCTCCCCACGGGGATCGGCCGAGTTTGATCCCAGGAAAGTAAGGAGCGACGTCGAATATGGTTACATCCCGGCGGAACACGGGAATAAACAGGAACAAGGTCATGCGGTGGACTCCGAAGTGTTTGATTCCCCACAGTCTGGAGAAGAAAAACCGGGTCTGGACATTGGATCCGGCGTGGGGAGAGGAGAAATCACGGTACGCGGGGCTGGTTGGCTTTTAGCCGGTCAGAACTGAAATCGGCAATCCGAAAGCGCGAAACAGTCTTGACTTAGACAAAGGCACTACGTATTGCTGCAAATCGACGGGATAAACGGGTCAATGTTGGCAGTCTTCCGCCGAGTGGCCAATAAGAGCTGGAGGTGGTCCCCGCCAGGAATCCAGGCCGGAGAAAGAGCGACCCCATGCGGAGAACTCTAGACTTTCGTCCTGTCTCGGCAAGCCGCTTCAGTGGCCGAGATAGAAAATGGGCTGCAACTGGCCATGAAGACAGACCTGCATTTTGTCGCGCGGTTATGCCACAGATTCGACTTGTACTGAAATTTCTCATCATCCCCCCGTGAGCGTTGGGCTTGTCGTTTTGGTTACATTATTGGATGCTGAGAGATGGAGACTATATCGGAGTTCCCCCGAGCCTAAACCTTCACACACGTCAACTCTGGGTCCGCCCAAAGAAAAAGGGTCTTGGCAAAATCCAAAAAGGATATACATTTGATCGAGATTTGATGAGGAGGGACGATCCTCCAGCATCGCGCCCGTGAGCCCCTCTCAGGGAGAAGGGCGTGGGCATGATTCTGCGAGTAGACTCTAGCAGCACCGTACATCCGCAAGTCCATAGAGTCCCCAAACCTTCTTGATTATATTAGAAAAGACCCACGTGATTTACAAATATGATCATTTATAAATGGCGTGGTGATAACGAACATCCACTTGCCTGGCATCTCTCCGAGCATTACTTAGATTGCTCACATGTCGTATTTCTCCTCTCCGGGTCCATGGAGAGAAGCCGTCCGGACAGCCTTTGGGCGAGATGAAAGTTTCATCGAAGTTCATTTTGGCTTCGATCTGACATCTTTCAGAAATTGTGGTTATCTTCCTTGCAGATCCGCATTGCCTAGGAATAGATTCATTCCATTTCCAATGGATTCTGTTACTGTAGACACACAGAGAAATTCGTCTCTACCGGGATTTAATAGTACCCAGAGATAGATTTGTGCCCCACTGGTCATAGCGAAAACCAAGTACCAATATTGTACCTGTGATTATACGTGAGCCAGCGAAAAGCCAGCGAGCGGCAGCCTGGTGCTCTGAAGGTTCGGCTGAAAGGGCGGCCAGAGACGGTCTCCACCTCGCATGAAGGCATGCAAAAGCCATCTAGCCAATTGGTGGATTTAAGGATCCGGCATGTCTGACGCTGAGGATATGCTGATTTCAGGTTCACCTCCATCGAGGACTGGGGGGGGGGGGGCTAAACCAGCGGATTTGCGGCCGTACTCACAAAATCGCAAATTACGTAATCTCACTGACCAGTGGAAAATGCGGCCGCTGTTTGTTTTTAGATCGAAATAATCAAGGTGTCAAACGTCATTGCCCATTAAGGTCGTCCCCGACAAGCCGCTACGTCAGCCAGTAAGTATGATATTGGGTATTGGCCCGTGTGCATGTTGATGCTATTGAATTGATAATTCGAAATATGCTAATAAATGAACTTCCACCCAGTGTTAAGGAGACTCGTGTGACCAGCACCAGCTCCAAGGAAGCTAAGCAGGTTCCAAGTAGTTACGCTTAAGATGTCCCCTAAATGTTTGGAGAATTTCAGAGAGTAAGCAACGGCTATTGTACGGCTGCTTACCGGCGATGCTTCTTACATCACCTAGTCGATGACTTGGCATTTTTACGGCCGCCGCTCGTGAAAATGGAGATTTCGAAACTTATTTGATTCGCATTTCATTTTTCATGTTCTGCAAGCCACTAAATCAAAGCTCTAACAAGCATCGTAATCCAAACGCTTCTTTTTATTCTTCTCTATTCTGAAGTAATTTCTACATATGATGGACTCTAGCTTGAATAGACATTAAGTCGTTCTAAAACAACACTCCAAGATTGAGATGGTACGTCGAACATGATTCCAGGTGCAGATATAAGAAAATACTATCTAGTGTTACTACTGATATTGAGTTATGACTAGCGGGAATGACCGGATTTTTCAACTTTATCGGTGTGAAGGAGAAACTCCGGTTATCGTTAATCTTTTTATGGAAGACCGCGGAAGGCCCTTTATCTCTAGTACTCTGTCTCTAGTACTGACAGAATCAAGTGGAGATGATGGCAAGTAGTGAACTCTATTGGACTGTTACCATTGACTAGACTCGCGGCCGCTCCAGCGGGCTGGCTTATGTAGACAACCACATGCGGCCGCACGCAAAAGGATGTAATCTGCTGGTATCATCGAGCACCTATAAAGACATCCTGGAAATCTCCGAATCTGTCAATATTCAAATCATTATCATCCCATCACACCCCGCGAGAAGATCTTATATATTCTTCGGTTAATCTCCATACATCTCACCATGACGAGAGTCTGGTTTATCACTGGGTCCTCCCGCGGTCTTGGCCGCGCCATCGCCGAGATTGCTCTCGACAACGGAGACTCTGTCATCGCTACTGCTCGCAAGCCTGAACAGCTTGCTGAGCTTGTTGAAAAATATGGCAACGACCGTGTCCTTCCAGTCGCTCTAGACGTAACAAACAACGAGCAAGTCCTCCAAGCCGTCAAGTCTGGACATGAGAAATTCGGCCGCATCGACGTCGTTGTTAACAACGCAGGATATGCCAATACGGCCTCGATCGAGGATATTGATATCGATGACTTCCGTACCCAGGTTGACGCCAATCTCATGGGCGTCGTTTACGTTTCCAAGGCTGTGATCCCTATCCTTCGCCAACAGAGATCAGGTCATATTTTCCAGGTCTCCTCGGTTGGCGGCCGTGTCGGCATTCCAGGTCTTTCCGCCTATCAGTGTGCTAAGTGGGCTGTTGGCGGATTCTCTACTGTACTGGCTCAGGAGGTGGCTCCTTTTGGCATCAATGTTACGGTTCTTGAGCCTGGTGGTATCCGGACCGATTGGGCTGGCTCATCTATGCAAATTCCTCCTGTTAGTGAGCCTTACCAAGCGACTGTTGGTGCCTTCGCCGCATTTCTTCGCCAGTTATCTGGAACCGAGATTTCTATGCCGAACAAGGTTGCCGACATTGTGCTGAAAGTTTTGGGTGAGAAAGAGCCTCCTCTTCGCCTTCTTGTTGGCCCTGATGCGGTTGAACATGCTGGAAAGGCTGCCGAGGTGCTCAGTGCATCTGACAGGAAATGGGAAGAACTAAGCATTTCGTCAGCTTAGGTCGACACATTTATAGTAAGAATGGAATCTGAGTCTTCAGATCGTCAGTCTCCGCAATCCCCTTCGTCGGCACTCATTCAATATGGTATTTTGGTATGTCAGTGAGGACTTTCGAATGTGGCATGGGCCTGATAGCACTAGATATATGGGTACTAAAATGGATCAATCCATCAAGGATGTTATATTTCCTTTGCTGCCTTTCCAATCTTACCAAGCAATAAGAAGGCACCTACTCATTGAGTTGTTTGGGAATAAAGGTCTCGAGTTAGCAGGACAAAAGCTACGGAGTATTTGTAAGACCATAGCATTCTTGAAACCTTGAGGTGGCCACGCCGAGTATAGCCGGGGAGGCGGAACCGGTAAACCTGATCCAGGCGACTAGAGGTCCGCGGGTAACTAACCGCCTGGAGAATTATATTCAATCAACGCTAGAAATAGCGCTAAGCATCGAAATCTCCCCGGGGTAAGATCTGGCCGGGTGGGTGGAGGGCGGAAAAGGTCTTCAGACTTCCCGTCGTAGCTGGCTTATTCCATGGCCAGAACATTGAGGTAGTTTCCCCATGTATTATAAGTGACTTTTTCTGCTTCCCCTCTAGATTTCTATACTTTTTCAAACAATTTGATCCTTTCCACGAGAGAAGAAACAATAGCCAAATCGGCATTGTCATCCGGCAGTGGCAGCCACCTTACCGAGTCGACCCGACCTGCTTACATAACCCTGTCGGCCAATCTCAAAATACCGCAAAAGCTCAGTCCTCTCTTCCCGTAACTTCAAAAGCACCTCCCCTTTTGCGCTACCTTGCCATCCTCCCCTCCAGGTCATTTCCCGTGGAGGCTTCACTTTCTATTCTGAATATTATCTTCTTTAATTTCGACAATCGCAATGTTCCGCGCTGTTCTACCCCGTGCTGCGCCGCGGGCAAGCCTCCGCGCTTGCGGCCCTAAGGCTGTCCCTACTACCTTCATCGCCACTCCTATGCTCTTCGTTGGCGGCTCAAAACGTGGCTACGCTGCCGAGTCCGGTATGTCTCTATCTAAATCTACAGGATGAATATATTGGAGGTCTTTCCTCCTCTTCCCGGATGCGATTGCTGATTTCCCGGCCCTCCGGACAACAGGGGACCACGATCTCGTTATCATCGGTGGTGGTGTTGCCGGTTACGTTGCTGCCATTAAGGCCGGCCAGGAGGGTTTGAAGGTATGAAGCCGAATTTATTGCCTTGCTAGCTTCTCCATTCTGTGGATGAGCCTGACCGATCGCCGATCAATCTACTTCGATCTACGTGCTAACTGGACACTCCGACAGACTGCTTGTATCGAGAAACGCGGAAAGCTCGGTGGTACTTGCCTTAACGTTGGCTGTATCCCCTCTAAGTCCCTCCTCAACAACTCCCACCTTTACCACCAGATTCTCCACGACACCAAGAAGCGCGGTATCGAGGTTGGCGATGTCAAGCTCAACCTTGCTCAGATGCTCAAGGCCAAGGAGACTTCCGTTGACGGCCTGACCAAGGGTGTTGAGTTCCTTCTGAAGAAGAACGGCGTCGACTACATCAAGGGAGCCGGCTCCTTCGTTGATGCCAACACCGTCAAGGTCGACCTGCTCGATGGTGGTGAGCAGACCATCCGCGGCAAGAACATTATCATTGCCACCGGCTCCGAGTCTACTCCCTTCCCCGGCCTTAACATTGATGAGAAGCGCATCATTACCAGCACTGGTGCTCTTGAGCTCCAGGAGGTTCCCAAGAAGATGGTTGTCATCGGTGGTGGTATCATCGGTCTCGAGATGGTATGAACACCTTTCATGTCCCCAGCCTGCCGGCTTTCTACGGCACGCGCAATTCAAATCTAACACTTTAATGAATAGGCTTCCGTCTGGTCCCGTCTCGGTTCTGAGGTCACCGTTGTTGAGTTCCTTGGCCAGATTGGTGGCCCCGGTATGGACGCTGAGATCGCCAAGCAGGCCCAGAAGATTCTCGGCAAGCAGGGCATTAAGTTCAAGACCAACACCAAGGTTACCAAGGGTGATGACAGCGGCGCTACCGTCAGCCTGAGCCTTGAGTCTTCCAAGGGTGGCAAGGAGGAGACCCTCGATGCGGATGTTGTTCTCGTCGCCATTGGTCGTCGCCCCTACACCGAGGGTCTTAACCTCGAGAGCGTCGGCATCGACAAGGACGACCGTGGCCGTCTCGTCATCGACCAGGAGTACCGTACCAAGGTCCCCCACATCCGCGTCGTTGGTGATGTGACTTTCGGCCCCATGCTGGCCCACAAGGCCGAGGAGGAGGCCGTCGCTGCCATCGAGTACATTAAGAAGGGCCACGGTCACGTTAACTACGCCGCCATTCCCTCCGTCATGTACACCCACCCCGAGGTCGCCTGGGTCGGTCAGAACGAGGCTGAGGTCAAGGCCTCCGGTGTCAAGTACAATGTCGGCACTTTCCCCTTCAGCGCCAACTCCCGTGCTAAGACCAACCTCGACACTGAGGGTGTTGTCAAGTTCATCGCCGATGCCGAGACTGACCGCATCCTGGGTGTCCACATCATTGGCCCCGGTGCCGGCGAGATGATCGCTGAGGCCACCCTTGCCGTCGAGTACGGTGCCTCCAGTGAGGACATTGCCCGCACATGTCACGCCCACCCCACCCTCTCCGAGGCCTTCAAGGAGGCTGCTATGGCCACCTACTCCAAGCCTATCCACTTCTAGACGCGATGCGGTACCCTGATATCCTCTGAACCCATGTACTACTTTTTTCGTCCTTTAGTCTAGCTCGGCTAGCAAACTACATGTAGCATTTCATGTAATCATCTCCTATGTTTCTTGAGTTATTTTTTTTTTCTCAAACAAAATATAGAATTCTTCCAGCGGAACCCTTTCTTTACCTAATATAAATCGAAGCTTTAAGGCTTCACCTTCACCTGCGGCCCGAATTGGAGAGTGGGGCAACTCGGTGTCCATAAGCACGTTGGTAGAAGTGGAATCCGGTGTAGTGAATAAGCCAATCAAAAATTGATGCAGGCGTGCCAAATTATATCATTTTGAGAAGCTTATTTGTATGAAATCGCATACAACGATGTTTTCCCGGGTGATCCTAGCCTCAACCAAATCGACATCAAGACGAACCAATTATCACAAGGAAAAAGCCGAATACGTATGACGGTGCTGCCTTCTTTCCTCCGCGTGCAGGATTGGTCTGATATAATTCAATGAGCTAACGTATGATCACACACGCTCATTACCTTCCGAAACTACCAAGTTCAACGAGTGTCAAACCCAGCTTCTGCCAAGAACTTCTCATACCGCCCATTGCAATTTCGGCGCCATGTTTTCCCCCATATTATCATTGGGATCCCCATCAAAACGGCAAGAACAACCAAGATGCCGAAAAATGTGAATGCCCATCCGTAATTCGTGGCATCTATGAAGGGCTGAACGGAGTACGAGATGGCGAAGTTGATTAGTGAGGAGCAGATTGCAAGTACAACAACAAGTTCGCCGGAAATCTATTGAAAGTATCTGGTTAGCAGGAACTCAAGAACAAGGGAAGCACAAGTGAACAGTGACGACCTACTCCATCAAAACATTCCATTGCGTATGCTGTGGCCATACTTGTCAACGAAACTTGTTGCGCAATCAAGCAGCACAGTGCCACCGCAATGGCTATCCAGTGATCGCCATTTGTCGCGGCCCAGCCGTACGTAAAGTACCCAATGGCGCCAAAGATGAAGGGAAATATGTATGCCCAGAGACGCATCTCTGGCTCTTTGTATCCGTTGTTTCGTCTTGCGAGGATCAAAACGACCCAATCTGACAGCCAACCGACCCCCATACTAGTCTGAGTCAGCTAAAATAACCCGGTGAGAAGTAGTTGCGGGAACGAGGGCATACCCGAGTATATTTCCAACTAGAGCGGCTAGGAAGATCAGGCCGGCAGATCCAGCACTCCAGTTATACGGGGCCTCTGTCATTATTTCGGAGATAGTGTTGAAGGTCACAATACCTGCAGTACATCCGAATGCAAACTGGATTCCAGCAAGTACGATGTTGGGGAAGGCGAAGAGGTAGAACGGGCGACGGAAGTATTGAAACCAGGTTGTGTGGTCATCTGCGAAGTAATGAACCAATGCAATCTTCTGTAAGTATGTTCTAGTGGTGATGTCTTCGCCTAGACTGTTACTCTCGACTTCGGTTATTGGGGACTCGAGCCCTGTCTTTTTCTCGGATTCGACACCATCCGCTGCACGTTCCATCGGCTCTGATCGCTCATGACGTGGGGTCTTAAATCGATACCTTGGGAACATGGTATCGTCAAAGGTGAACACGAAAAGTATGATGAGAACACCCTTTTCAAGTTAGATTATAATTTGATAAGGAGGACAGGACACTCGTACGCATGCAATGGCCACGATGGGGGAGCACCAACGCCAGCCAATTCCATCTGAAATATATCCTCCCAGAATAAGCCCCAAAATAGACCCGAGCTGCTGGAAGAAGATGTAAGTGGCAACCATGCGGCCTCTTTCATGCGTGAAAAATATATCGAAGATCTAAGAAGGATAAGTATGGCTGCCAGACGGCCCGTGTTGGGAATACTTACGGTAAGTTGAATCAATGCCTGATAGGCCGCAGTACCTACACCCTGGAGTGCCGAGACGATGAAATATTGAGCGACGCCGTGGTACAAGCCTCCCCAAATGCTGCCTCCACAAAGGATCAGCAAACTCGAAATAAACACGATCTTGCGACCGAACTTCATTGCCGACGGGATCCATATGATGTTGAAGAACCCTAAAAGTAGATAGTTGAGTGCAGATCCACCGTTCATATTATTTATGCTGACTCCAGTATCATCTGAAATCAGGGTCCAGCTTGCCCCAGTGTTGTTTTCGCCAAATGAGAAAACGCAAGCGTAGGCTGATATCAAAAACAGGGACCATAGTTTCTTTGCACGCGACCAGTTCTGTGTTCAGGAATTAGATGCATGTCTTCGACGTTATGTATGAGCAGCTTACTAGGGGGTCTGCCGGGGAGTTTGACGGCTGGGGTAACAGAACAATATCTTGTTTGCCAGCGTGGGCCGCGTCTTGCAATGCATGCGATGCTGTAAAGCCCGTAGGTAAGCCTAATATCAATATATACCCATGAGGTCTGGGACATACCATCCACTAGATAAACCGTGCCAGGAACATCGGTGAGGAGGTCATTTTCAGAGCTAGCCATTTTGACAGTTGTAGCCGTCGGCTTTCATCTCTTGAGAAATCTGGCAGGGTGCTTCATTTTATAGAAGTCGAGATACTCCCGGTCCCTCGAGGTGGTACTAGCAACAAGTTTGACGATTGGATTGATTAGTCGGCACAAGCCGACTGGCTTGCGATCAGCATTTGCTCGCTGAATAGATAGCGTGCATGGTGAGGGGTAAAGATGCATGGAAGCTCCAAGCGACAACATTGTCGAGGAAAACTGATATCATTGGACTCAGTAATTGCCGACCCGAGGCATGATAAGAGGGAACAAGATGGGAGGGTTTGAGGAAGTTAATTTTCCCCGGATTTTTGGCGGATGGAAGGTCCAAGCGATTGACTTGATAAGCGACAGCACCGTGAGCGGGCCGAACTCCGCTAGCTTAAAAGAGTGGAGGCGACTGTTTACCTTCCTTTCTACCACAATTTCTTCCAGTCATTGTTACAAGACAAGCTAGGAAGAAACCAAAATGACGCATAAACCCATCAATCACGCCTCTTCGGTTTTGATCGTTGGAGCCGGAACCTGGGGCTGCTCAACCGCTTTACATTTAGTTCGTCGAGGATATACAAATGTCACGGTCCTGGATCCTTATCCAGTGCCGTCAGCAATTGCGGCTGGGAATGACGTCAACAAAATCATGGAACACAAGGAGCTGAAAGGTAAGACCAAGATTTTATTGACATTCAATATTCCTTGGGGAGATCCCTAAGCTGACTGTCCCCAGACGCGAACCCGGACGCGAGAAGCCTCGCTTTCGCAACCTGCACACGAGCAGCATTGAGAGGCTGGAAGACAGACCCCGTTTTCCAGCCATATTTCTATGAGACAGGTTTTATCGTGTCGGGACACACTCCAGCTCTCATCCAGCACATCAAGGAAGATGAAATCGATCCTTCTGATGCCGAATTCGTGTCGCTGGAGACGGCAGACGACTTTCGTAAAACGATGCCGCCAGGAGTTCTCACAGGGGGCTTTCCCGGCTGGAAAGGATGGTTTAGCAAGAGTGGGGCAGGTTGGATTCACGCTCAGAAGGCAATGGTCTCTGCATATACGGAAGCTCAACGCCTAGGGGCAAGATTCATAACGGGCACACCATCGGGTAAAGCTGTCGCTTTGCTTTATGAGAATGGGGATGTGGTGGGAGCCCGGACGGAGGACGGAGGATGCCATCGGGCAGACCACACTATTTTGGCTGCGGGGGCTGGGAGTGATCGTCTGTTGGATTTCAAGAAACAGTTGCGTCCTACATCCTGGACCCTGTGCCATATAAAGATGACACCGGAAGAAGCGAAGAAATATCGGAACCTTCCAGTTCTCTTCAATATTGCAAAGGGCTTCTTCATGGAACCGGATGAAGATAAACATGAGCTTAAGATCTGCGATGAACACCCTGGATACTGCAACTTCCTTCGTGACCCATCGCATGATGACGAGATTCGAAGCATACCATTTGCAAAGCATCAGATTCCGCTCGAAGCAGAGATGCGCGCCAGAGACTTTTTGAAAGATACGATGCCACATCTTGCGGATAGACCATTTTCTTTTGCGAGGATTTGCTGGGATGCCGATACGCCAGACCGTGCGTTCTTGATTGATCGTCATCCTGAGCACCCTTCGCTCCTTGTCGCAGTGGGAGGGTCCGGTAATGGAGCGATGCAGATGCCTACCATTGGTGGCTTTATCTCTGATGCTTTAGAAGGGCATCTACAAAAGGAGCTGAAGTCCGTTGTGCGATGGCGCCCTGAAACAGCAGTGAATCGCGATTGGCACTCTACGCAGAATCGCTTCGGAGGACCAGACAAGATCATGGACTTTCAGAAGTTGAACGAAGATGAGTGGACTCAGATACAAGAGAATGAGTACAGCAAGCTATAGAATAAAGTATCTACATATCTCAAGAATATCAAGAGCAGTCATTGGGTTCTAAGTAGCACACACATATTACTCACTAGCAAATGCACAAATTCCCATATCCTTCTTCGACACCTCAGCCTCGGGCCTGATATCAAAGTCAAATATATCCATCGGGACACTGAGAGTGGTACAGGCATTCGGTATATCAACGATACCAGCAATATGTCCTTGAACAGGGGCACAGCTAAGCAGCAAGTAAATCTGGTAATCGCTGTACCCGAATCGTCGGAGGTATTCCATGACACGCAGACAGGTCTGTCGATAGGCCACCGTGGCATCCAGATAATGCTGCTTGCCATTCTCATCGACGGAAAATCCTTCAAATGTGAGATAGCGCCCAGGGCCGAATTGAGGCTCAACGGGTCCAGCGTGGAAAATCGGTGATTTCATATCCAGCTTCGCCATGCCGTTCTTGATAACAGAGAACTTCAGTGTGATCACACCCGCCATCTCGATTGCACCACAGAATGAGATCTCACCATCTCCCTGGGAGAAGTGGAGATCTCCAACGGAGAACTTTGCGCCTGGAACATGAACGGGCAGATACACCTTGGAGCCCCGGGAGAGATTTTTGATGTCGCAGTTACCTCCGTGCTCAGGCCGACCCTTGATAGCAAATCAGTCATCCGCTCAAAATAAAAACTAGAATAAGACCAAGCATACCGGGATTGTTCTTGCTCCCTCCCTCGCAACCTTCTCCTTAATATCTTCAGAAGAACTACCAGCATGGGTGTTTTGGGGGGTTGGTGGCTGCGCAACGATACGATCCTCGATGGTGTTTGCAGAAATCAGTTCGCCCTCGCGACGGTTCCATTCAGCAAGGACCTCCGCCGAAGGCGCACATCCCAAGATTCCAGGATGAATTAAACCTGCAAAGCGCACGTGAGGAATGTGCCGCGAAGAGCAGAAAATACCTTCAAAGTCCCAAATCGCCTTTGCACTGTAATGATCGAATGAGAACGTGAGCATCGGAAAAGGGAGGTAAACCTACGCTTTCGGGTACAGCTCATCCAAAAAGCCACCACCATTCTGTTTGTCGAAGATACCAGTAAAGCCCCAAGGCTGCTCTTGGAAGGGCTGGACATCTTGAATCTCAACCACTAAGACATCGCCTGGTTCCGCGGTCTCGATATCGAATGGACCAGAAAGATAGTGGATCTCGGTGAGATCAACATTCTTCACATCATCAGCTGAGTCGTTGTTCTTGATCTGTCCTCCCGTCCAGTCGAGACACTCGATCTTGACAACCTCGTTATTGGCGATCTTTGCACAGGCCGGAACTATTATTCAAAAGTCAAGGGTCAGCAAAAGAATTTTAGAGGCGTTTGAAATCAACCCACTATCTGGGTGCCACCGGTTCTAAAAAGCATTAGTTCATGCATTTTCTCTCAGTAGGGAAGAGCCATACGTGTAGCCCAGGCTGTTCGCGGGCATGCTTCTCTAGATCGACCTTCAAAGCAGTGCGGATCCCCGTGATACCCATGTTTATCAGCTGATGTTGGAAAGTAGTGAAATGCGATGTATTGAACGGGAGAACTAGTGATTTTCCAGCTATTAAATAAGTGAAGAAGAGGCAAAAGTGCTAATTCAAGTGGGAAATGGGGGTAGAGATAAGGAATGCTTCTCCGCAGAGGGGTAAAGCGCGATCATCCTATCAATGCTTTATCTCTCCAAATTTAGTGTTCAGTGCCGACCCGTTGAAACCCTTGAGAGGAGCAGTTTTGATTGGTCTTTTGAGATTTTAAGTAAGTTTCTAGCGCATGCACAGCGATAACTAGTGATTTGATTAGTTGAAGTAAGTAGTGCCCGAGGAATGCGGCATTAAGTAAGTTAGCCGCAACCATCCCTGTTCCAACTATTTTAATTAGGTTGGCACAATGGCGGTAGTTAGCGGGTGCAGCCATTGGTCATTTATTTTGGGCTCAAAAGGTTCAGGATTTGGCCGCCGTTGGCCATTTGTCTCCAAATTTCGAAAGGGCCGAAGGAAATCTCGGCCGAGATCGAGCATTCCACGCCAATATTTCAATAAACACGTTTTGATGTAGATCTTTGGCTGTTCCGGAATAGGGTAGAATGGTCCCTCGACCTAAACATCGAGTCGAGGGAGCGCAACATGTAATACTCATGTGTCATGATTAAAGAAGCCTCGGATTTCCAGTCCCAATTCTTATCGCCTGTTTGATGAATTACTCCCAGTAAGAGTGAGAGCGAGGTAAATATAACTCATAGGTCGTGATGCAGGCCTTCGGGATATTTGAAAGATGTAATTTGAAAGGTTTGGGTGACAGCTTCCAAAAGCCATGGAGTCTATGCGTTCTATATCAGTCCCCTCATCGGGCCACTCTATGTTCCTCGTAACTATAAGTATGCGGGTCCTGGAGACTTATACAATGGGGACCGTAATTATTTCCCCAACTCCCCAAGCCCTGCGGGTCCGGTAGGGTCAACCCAGCAACCAACTTTGGAGAAGGCATTTGCCACTCAGTATTAAGAGGGCTCGCTTCCAAAAAGTTTTATTTTAACTCATAACTATAGGGAAGTATTTTGAGAAGCTAATTCGAAGATCCATATAGCTTTGATGACGATAGAACGGTTTGAAAGTTGATGTGTAAATATGGAGGACCCGCCGAGGCATTCACTGAGCTTTTAAACCCCTTCAACATTATTTACATGTTGTTTAAATAAGAGCTTCTGAGATTATGTCTAGAGCTTATTTATAGAGGAAGATACAATAGTAATCAATAGTACCTGAAGAGATATATAGCAGAATTATGGTGAGTAATACTATACGTAAAAATAAATGTGTCAGTATAAAGCGGGACGAGATATTACTAGTGGTAAGAAAGCTCAGGGTGGATTTTTCAAAAAAAATACATATTTAAGGACAGTTCTGTGCGTTAGATGGGTATTAATAACTGTGCGTGATTTTACAGAATTTTAGCTAGATATGGTGGTGTGGTGAACTGTTTAGTGAATATAGATAATTGATGGGGTAGGCCCGAAGGAAATACTTTTGACTAGATAGTGTATGTAGTCTTCCTTTCTCCACTTAGAAGAGGGAAATGGGTTGAGAGTACTCCGTTCCCGACAGTGAATGGAGCCTTTGAGAGACGCTAGGTAAAATAAGAATTAAGGATTAGAATAAGGGAGAGAACCCATAAAGTAAAGAAGCTTATCCCATCCCGGTGCTAGTGTAGTTTAAATCATCGGCGCCCGCGGTTTATAATCTGCTAGACAGCCAAAGCGCCAATTCTGTTTGGGCGGTTTGGGTTGTTTGCATTGAGAAAGTGTTCTATGGAAGGCTGAAGAATGCATGGAAGCTTCCGACCGTACAGAACAAGCTCAGGCCAAGTATAGACGGAGTATAGTAGCGATGACTCTGCCAGCGCAACGCATGCGTAGTCGTCAGTGGCATAACCCGCCTAGGCCGCCTATTCCCGGATCAAGGTCAGGTGTTAAAGCGCGTATAGTGGAGTTTGGCGGTGGTCGGCGGTGTTGCAAGCGAAGCAAATTGACTGATATATGTTTGAGACTCAATTAGCTGTGCCTACTGAGGTGTACAGGTGTTTCTCAATGCCAGGCGAGACTTTAGTAGTAGTTTGAAGTTCAGCACCATGCCACTCGCTTTCTCCGAATCGCCTACTGTCGATGATGTGGCCCCCGCGAGGATCTTCAATGAGTTGCCAACAATGGAAGGCTGCCAAGGACCAATGCCAAGACAGAAGACGTAGTTTGGTGGGGCGGTTTCACAACTCGACCGCAGAATACCCTTCTAACCCCACAACAACCAGCCTGCTTGGGGTGCAATACCGGCGCGAGACAAATACCGTAAAGGCCCCCAGGGCTGAAGAGGGTTCTAGAGGCCTAAATTCTATTTTGGTACCTCTGCGGGAAGAACCAACGCGTCATGGACCAAGACGCAACTTCATACGGAGTCAATCGTGTATGATTGCGTCGTATTACTTGCGGAGCCCAGGGACTGAAGACAGGAATCTTACTGAAATCGCATCTCCGGGTGAATGAAGAGCGAGGTGATGGCGTCAGGGTTTCTGATTTAGGGTGGAATTATACTGATTGCGGCGATTCCGTCGGCGAGTTGGCCCGGCTGTTCCCGCAATTCCTCACGTTTTTTATGCATGCAGCACCAAACCCACGGCTCCAGCCCAATCCACGGGCCGCGCGTTCCTATTCAAATCGATGATCGAACATTTCCCCATGCCAAGTTGCGCCGAAGGCTTGTTTCATCCGTTTACGGTAATTTTTGTACCGATCTTTGCCCCTGCAACCGTCTCGACACGTAAGCCCTCTGCCCGGCGGGTTTCAAGTTTTCGAGGTATAACTCTTGATACTTCCATCATGTTTCTTCCTTTCGCTTGCATGGGACACCGCCATTGTCCACCATGGCTCGATTTAGCTCCTCGCACAGGTCCCTCACAGCGGCTGTTTGCCTAGTGCTGTTATTATGTGGTTTTGTCTACCACCAAAAAGCGGATCAGAGCACATTTATTAGCGTTTCGGGGTCGAAAGGTACCTCGAAGAATACCCCGATCGGAGACTGCTCTGTCGATCTCGAATACTTGAGATCACTGGGGTTCAACCATTCGGTGGATTATGCCCGATGGAATATCCGAGTCACCGAATCGAAGAAGTTTACGGAATTCTCGGAAAGCCTGGATGTTCCCGTTCCCGAGTTCAATCGCCTCGAGCTCGATACAGAGGCTGCTATCGACACTCTTCCGGCGGGTCAATGTCCCCGCGCTGTGAAGATCGAGGCACCTAAGCGGAAAGCCCCGGTTGACGCATCTCATTTAATGTTTGGTGTAGCGACTACCATTGACCGATTGGACGACTCCTTGGGGGCCATCGCACGATGGGCTGGTGGCACCAAAGCTCGGGTTATCGCTCTAGTTGAGAGCGATGCAAGCCTCAACATAACCCAGGTCATGCAACATGCGAAAGAATTAGACGTGACTCTCCAGATCCTGGAAAACGACGAGGAATTCTTGGATCGCTACTATAGACTCACCCGAATCATATATGAACTCCGCGATGAGTCGACACAGTGGGCCATCATCATTGACGATGACACTTTCTTCCCCAACATGGAGGGCCTGGTCGCCCAACTCGCTACCTACGACGAAACTAAGCCATACTACATTGGAGCACCAACTGAAAACATGCAACAAATGGCGTCCTTCACGTATATGGGATACGGAGGCGCCGGGGTCTTCCTCTCAATGCCCCTGCTGCAGGAAATTGATGCCCACTTCGACGAATGCTTCGAGTACAAAGACCATGGTGACAAGCGTGTGTCAAAATGTATCTATAGATACACATCTACTAAACTCACTTGGGACCGACACCTCTTCCAACTCGATCTCAGCCCGGATGGATCCGGCTTTTATGAAGCTGGTCGCCAATTACCCCTATCAGTGCACCACTGGAAATCCCCAGACTGGTTCCCCGTCAACATTGTCGGTATGAGCCAGGTCGCCGATATCTGTGGCCGCGATTGCCAGCTGCAGCGCTGGAGAATCACAGATGACTGGTATTTCATCAATGGATTCTCGCTCGTCCGTTACTCGGAACCACAAGCACCGGAGGACTTGGCCTCCATGGAACAGACTTGGTCTTATTTCTCTTGGACTGAAGATGATTCCTACGAGTACAGCCTGGGACCTTTGCGTCCACGAGACAACGGAAAGTTATCTTACCGTTTGCTAGATGCGGTTTCTACAAACAAGCAGGTCCGGCAGATTTACCTTCGCCAGACAGATGAGTGGTACTATGATGACGAAGAGCCGGAGAATCCGCAACTCCTGGAGGTTGTTTGGACATTGGCATAAGTCTGTTATGTATTGAGGCTTCTTATTAGTTACGAACACGCGCATGCTGAGAGAGTGAGGCCGGCAGGCTCGGCCCTTTCTCGGCTTTTACGAAATCATCTAGTACATTTCCCGTACTATGCACAGCGATGTAAAGCTGCCATATAGACATTTGAAATTTGAATACTTAATCAAAACTTTCTTGAATTGTTACTCTGCGTGAGATTGGTTACCGAGCGTCAATGTGAACCTTTGGATGTAGCAAATCGAACAAAAAACTCAACCTAGAGCATGTATCGGAACCCCTTCTGCAGCCGACGTGCCGCCGCGATATCAATCCCTTCATAGTCAGCAGTAACTTGAAGCCGCCGAAGTTCCTTTTCAGTGAGCTGCACATCGCCACTCTCATTCTCCAGGCGCTCTTGCCTCTTGTTCAGCATCCGTAGATTGAAATACATGAACACAGCCGACAGACCACCCAAAGCTTGTAACGCAATACAAATACCTAGAGCAACGGGATAGTGAGATCCCTGTGAATCGAAGTATGTATATGGTGTCCATATAGTCGCCGAGTTGCCAATCGAATTGATGAAAGCGTACGCAGCAGCACGCTTAGCAGGAGGTCGAGGCAACGCGTTGGCAATCCAAGAATACAGAGTTCCGTTCTGCGCAAAGGTGAAGTTCATCAAAAACAGCGAAAAATACCTTGGTCCAAAAGAATCAGTCGTCATGAAGATAATAAATCCGACAATAGTGATGGGAACCGGGTAAAGGAAAAACCAAAATCGAACGCCCAGTTTGTCCGAAAGCCAGCTGTGTAGAATACTGTAGAATACCATAAACACATATGGTGGCGCGACAAGCAACAATGAAATAGTCTTGCTGTAACCTAGCGTCTCCGCTAGCGTCGGGAAGAAATATTGAAAACTGCCCCCTCCAGCAATGCACATGTAGGCAAATGCGAATACGTAGGTCTTAGGGTCGGTCATGGCCATCTTCAATCCCTTGAGCTGGCTCATACCCGCGCTACCTTCTTCATCGACGTCAGCCTCAGCTGCTTCTATTGCCAGTCTGCGTATAGCGACGGCTCGCATTTCTGGTGAGAGAAGGCGCCATGTATCAGGAAAATCTGGTAGAATGAAGCATATAGCAACACCAATGAAGCAAGTGATTGAGCCTTCGATAATGTATAGCCATTGCCAGGCTCCCATTCCTCTTTTGCCGGCTAGTCCATTAAGGATTCCGGCTGCGATTAGGTTACCGAAGGCACCGCTGATTAAGGAGCCTGAGTAGAAGATGCTCATTCGAAAGGCTAGCTCGGAACGTGTATACCATTTTGACAGGTAAAACAGCACTCCAGCGAAGAAAGGTGCCTCTGGAGTACTTGTTAATATATCGAGCTTGCTTGGGAACGTGGAAAAAACCTACCGACCAACCCTAAAATAAATCGGCATGCAACTATCCCGCCGTAACCTGTCACTTGGCTAGTGCAGGCGGAAACGAGACCCCATGCTGCCACGAAGAAACCAAGATAAAGAGACGGGCGGCCCATGTAATTGAGGAGTAGGTTTGATGGAACTTGCATGAGGATGTAGGCCACGAACAAGATGGAGAGACCAGTCTGGTATTGTTGACCATCAAGGTGAAGGTCTTCAGTGAGTCCTTGAAGCTTGGCGGCGGCATAGTTGTTCCTAGTCAAAGAATGTTTGAGTTAACAATTTAAGACTTGAAATATTTGGCAGAACTGGGCCTAAAGAGATGCTGGAGTTGTCCCAACATGTTCCACGTACCGGTCGATATAATTCATCAAGTACACCAAGATCACAAGCGGCATAATCAAAAGATCGATTCGCCGACGCAGTTTCTTCTCGAGCACCTTCTCCTCCGGAGTCAACTCAGCCAAATGCATCATTTCTTCATGTGACATCTCCGCCTTCTCTCCCATCACCTCCACATCTGAAATTGTATTCACGCCGCGTTCCATGATACATAATCAGTAAACAAGACACTGCGATATCATTCCAAGTCCCCAAAGGCTGCGGGATATCTATGCCGTTATGTAGTCAACTCATTCCAGCTCTTCGTTGATGGACTTTCCAAATAGATTTCCGTGTCGTATGCAGATCATTGCGTCCGGGGTAACGCGGGGAACGCGGGGAGACACGAGAACAAAAAGTTAAACAACCAATCAGCTACTTGATACATTCCGTTCATATGCAGTCAGAGCAGGCCAAGAGATGTTACTTTGCACGAAGTGGTATGGAAGTGCAGTCAGCACTCCTTGGCCTATTTCCTCCCCCACACGCTGCCCCCACCCGGTCAAAGCTTCTTTGTGGTGGTGAAAGCTAAACAGCTCACGATTGGAGGAATATCTCGAATTGGGGATATCAATACGGACTCTTATCCATATCCGTGCCCTTCTCCAGCGGATATAGGCATGTTTACTTTTGATGATGGTATGCTTGGCATCACAGACTTGGCTTATATGGATCTTTTCATATAAGAAATGGGCGACTCACAGACCTCTAGGTAACATCTTGGCATGAAGTTTGTTTCCGAGAAAGTGACATCAAGCTTCCTGATGAGGCCTTATCTATATCTCAAAGGGACTAACCTCTTGGCAGGTGCTTCTGTCACTGCACAAATGGGATGATACATTCTATTTGGTGTGGCTTTGTGATGACAAAAATGGTCGTTCAGCTCTATCTCATACACAAGATATAAGTCGAAGTAATCAAAGGGCTCTTGTAATGGCAATGTATGTCACAATGATAGAAATTTTGCTAACATTGCTTCGGCCAATTATCTGTCGATTCTCAAGACAAAGCTAATGCTCAGATGTGGGCGATAAGATTCTAGAACTCCGTAGGTCTTCTATACACGACAACGTTACTGTTTGCTGGCATTTTGCAATCACTTACATCGAGGGGAGAGCTTACGCTATTTTTGCTTCAATTCGCTGTCATACTTTCTGTATATCTTTTTGTGTGAGAGGCAGGTCCTGCCAGTAATTCTATTCGGAGATTCAAGTTTGATGAATCGCTGACTGACTCGTCATCAAGAATGCCGTTCTCAGTCTTTCAGCGATTGATTCTTGCTTCATGGATCTATCAACGTCCCCAAATAAAAGAACGAAATGTGCCGCAAGGCCTTGATGTTGCTTTGGAAGCAACCCTCGGGAAAGAAAAGAACCATGGGCTGCCGAGCCACATAGAATGAGATCAACACTGAGCTTCAATGATGCCAAAACTTAATCTGCTAGATTAGATAGCAGCCTTTATTTCAAGGAGTACTGTAGCATTGATCGGGTTACTGAGGCTGTCAGTAACTTCAACTGGCCTCTATTGGGCGGGGCAAGAACACAACTAGGTAATAGCAGTCCCATTCCAAGCTGGCAGTTGGGCAGATATCAAAACTTTGTCAGAGTCTCAATTTGACTCCGATCTCATATTCTCAAGGCTGTTCCAGTTCTGTTGCCACCCGCATTCGAGGTCGGATCTTTATCCGGGCTTTGTAAATCGGCCAATCGATGCGGGTTGTTTATCCGAGCAACATCCCTATCCACTCGAGAATCTAAGAGTGTACAAGCCAAAAGTGCAAGAGCAAACGTCAGGAATATACGATCTACATTGTAGGTAACCTGACGCTCGGAGAATAATCCCAACCTCATTGGTGCAGGACCTCCTTGCTGAGTGGAAACCGATAATGTCGCTTTTCCGCGATTGTAGATATCCCCACCGGATACCCGGAAAAGGGCCGTTGCGGTTCTCGGAGTGACACCGAGTTGGAGTCGCGGGACCTTAAATCACATATAAATAAAAGAATCTCCAATCCTGCAATTGCGGGGAATAAATTACTTGAAGTTATCAGCAATGGCTACCATGACAGAAACAGCGACGGTCGCTGTGCCGCCATCACAGACCAAAGATCTCGCCACTCGCCTGTTCAACGGCACCCTCCATGCCGGATATCCTCCGATAGAACAATTTATGACAATCGATGGGCTTCTCAAAGACCATGCAGCGCAACCGGATCAGGCGCAAAGACCATTGATCAGCTATCCGGTTCGGAAAGCAGACGACTATGAGGAACATACAGCAGGGGACCTGGACAAATACACCGATCTCGCGGCTCGCTATTATATGGGAAAAGGGCTACCACCAGCGGTAAGATGAATTATTGCATGACTTTTCTTTTGTTATTTTCGCTTTGCTAATGTATACGTAGGATCCAAGTCTGGAAAAGGCGCCGGTGGTTGCTTTGCTTGCTGGCTCCAGCTTCGAGGTTATTTTAACCTTCTTTGCACTGAGTCGCCTGGGGTATGCTGTTCTTTTTTTGTCAACTCGACTTACAGCCCCGGCTTATGCTCGGCTACTGGGAATAGTAGACTGCAACCAAATGATCATTGCCAAACAATATAGTCAGACTGTTCTCGATATTCGCACCGAACGCCCAGGCTGTACCAGCTTCCCTGTCTTGCAGCGAGACGATTGGTTTAACCGACCCTCGATTTCCCCTCAATTCCAGCGATCAAATGTAGATCCCACACGGGAAAGCAAAAAAATGGCCTGGATCTTGCACTCATCTGGAAGTACGGGTTTTCCGAAACCCATTTTCCTGACCAACTACCAGTGTTTAGCCAATTTCCGGAAAAGCTTCGGCCTGCGTCTGTTCAATATCAGTCCCTTGTTTCATTCACACGCCTTGATGGAGCTCGGACGAGCTTTCTATACAAGGGCGCCTGCATATATTGGAAACCACTCCCTTGCAATCACTTATCAGAACCTGGTTGACGCCTTGAAGGTGGCCAGGCCGCAGCAGATCAGCGCCGTGCCCTATGTCATCAAACTTCTAGCAGAAAAGCAGGAAGGCGTTGAAGCACTGGCGAGTCCTCAGTTGGTACTGTACGGCGGATCGAGTTGCCCGGATGATCTAGGCGATCGGCTAGTTGCGCAAGGTGTCAACCTTGTTGCCAACTATGGTGCAACAGAGACTGGTCAAATTATGACTTCCTTCCGACCCGACGGTGATACTGAATGGCAGTATATGCGTTTACATCGCCCCGTCGCCGATTACACTCTCATGGATGAAATATCGCCTGGCGTCTTTGAGTGTGTCGCTTTAGATGGGTTGCCAAGCAAGGGACCCTCCAACTCAAAGCCCCCATTCAGTGACAAGAATCCAGAAAACAGCTTTCGAACTGCGGATCTTTTCACACGTCATCCAGATCCAAACAAAAGCAACTATTATAAATATTTGTCTCGATTGGATGACCGCATTACCCTCGTGAATGGTGAAAAGGTCCTTCCGATTCCTATTGAGGGCCGTGTTCGAGAAGAGGAGTCCGTGGGGGAGTGTGTCGTGTTTGGATTTCAGCGAACTGTACCAGGAGCTTTGATCTTCCGTGCTCCCGGGAAGGCAACCCATTTGGATGATCACGAGTTCCTGGAAACTATCTGGCCAGCCGTGGAGGCCGCCAATGCTCGTGCAGAGACGTTCTCGCAGATTCCAAAAGAGTTAGTTATCATTAAAGGGGCAGATGTGACATATGCAAGGACGGACAAAGGAACTTGCATACGGGCTCAAGTCTATCAGCAATTTGAGGAGGACATTCAGCGAGCCTATTCGGGATTCGAATGTAGTGGACAGAAGAAGGGAACTCTTGCCCTCAATGTCTCAGAATTGGAAGCCTGGCTCTTATCCAAATTCAAGGATGACTTGGGTGTACCTCTTGAAGGTCCCAATACTGATATTTTTTCTGCTGGAGTTGACAGCTTGCAAACCACACGGATATGGAGATTCATTGTCCGCGACCTCGATCTTGGAGATCAGGGTGACAGCTTGTCTCAGAACATTGTTTTCGAGAAGGGAACCGTGGGCGCTCTTGCGAAGCATTTGCTCAAATTGCGGACAGGCCAAGAATTCGACCAGGAAGATGAGGTGCAAATCATGCGTGGAATGATTGACCGATATTCGTCTTTCACACACCACACCCCAATCATCCAGCACCAGCCAAGCACAGAAGTTGTCATTGTGACGGGCGGAACTGGAAATCTGGGCGTGTTCGTAATTGCCGAATTGCTCAAGAGGCCCACTGTATCTGAGGTATGGGCATTTGTACGTGCACCAGGCCAAGCAGCGGCAGGTGCTCGTCTATGGAAAGCGTTGGATGATCGCAAAATATCACTCACAGATTCAGAGGCTGCAAAACTTCATGCCGTCCCCAGTGACCTTTCTCAAGCGAATCTTGGTCTAAACAGTTTCGTGATTGAACACCTGCTCTCGTCTACAACGAGTATCATCCACAGCGCGTGGGCCGTCAACTTCAACCTTGGCGTTCGATCGTTTGAGCAACAACACATCCGCGGCACATACAATCTCATTAACTTCTGTCTACGCTCGAAGCTTCCAATTCCTGCTCGTTTTTATTTTTGCTCTAGTGTCAGTGCCGCGAGCAATACTCCCAAACCGGCATCCATTCGCGAGACCATGATCGAGGATCTATCGCATGCACAGAGTATAGGCTACGGACGATCGAAGCTCGTCACCGAGCATATTACGCGTAACGCCATGCACCATACCAGCATGCACGCTAGAGTCTTGAGAATTGGTCAATTGGGCGGTGATACCAAGAACGCTCAATGGAATGACACCGAGGCCGTGGCTCTCATGTTCCGCAGCGCTTTGACAACCGGTGCATTACCTGCGTTAAATGAGAGCCCAACCTGGCTTCCCGTTGACCAATGCGCTCAAGCAGTCACGGAAATCGCCCTTGATGCTTCTGGTTTACAGTCCGAAGTTGACTTGGTATATCACTTGGTTAATCCGAATGCATTCAGCTGGACGAATGATTTACTTCCTGCTCTGAAGCAAGGCGCTGATTTGCCACAGTTTGAGGTCGTGTCGCCTCAAGAGTGGCTCCGAAGGCTAGCAAACAGTGATCAAGATCCAGGAACTAATCCTAGCATTAAGCTTATAGATTTCTGGAAGTCCAAGTATGGTGGTGATGGCTCCCAAGTACCGGCTGGCGGCCTTTCTTTTGAAACAAAATGCACCACCCGAGACTGTCCGTCTTTGGCTCTTGTGAAGGATCCAGTAACCGATGGTCTGATGAAGAGATATCTTGCCTCTTGGATGAAGCAGTGGACAAGTCAATAGATATTTCAATGCATAGATACACATATGTACTGCATTTACATGTAAAATAATGAAATATTATCAAGACCAAGTTTTAGTGTATACACCTGTGATGGTAAAAATTGCTTTCCGGTTTGCAAACCACGATTCCAATTGCCATGTCCTTTCAATGCGATGTCATCACCATGTTCAGCCATCTTCGCTTCCTAAATCCCCCATCTCTCGATGCGCCAACAGAGTCTCCTCTAAGTTGCCACCCACCGTTTGTCAACTCTGGAACTGGTGTATGGTTTATTCATAAACACCTCAGCCCGATATCTCCAGGGGTTTCCGAGCTTGATGGTTCTCGTGGCAGGAAGCTACGTTTCAAAGAAATCGAAATTGTCTCACACCATCAAACAAGTACCTATAAAAGACCCTCTTCACGTTGCGGTCTTGTACGAGCATAATAGCAATCAAAAATCTGCGAATAGCGGTATTGGTTGGAATGACAGGTTGTTGACGATGGAGGCTCATTGCCTGAAACTCCAAAACACTTCCATTTGATTGAATGCTGCCTCAAACGTAGACTTATAATCTTTCTGTTGGCGCCGTATTTTGCGTTTGAGCTTCCGGGAGGACTATGATGTGTGCTCGTAGGAGGATTGTATAATAGCTTGCGGCGAACACGAGGTCGATAAGCGAGCTTTGTATTTCAACTTTTTCGTACAAGATACCCTCAAGGGGGGAATTTCCGCTCATGAACTCTTCGTGCTACCTTTTTAGACCATCCTCATCCAGGGCTTGTGCTTGGATTCTCGGTGGGTCGTGTGTCTGCTGTCGTAACTGTGACGAAGCTGGTGGATTCACATAATTTTATGTAGATGGGAACGTAGAGTCATAGAGCTGGAAAAGAACATATACCAGGACGCCCAGGTACCTAGAGGAGGGAATTTGTAAAATACCAGTGCAGGTGGACCCGAGCCTGAGGCTGTGGGGAATCTTGGAGGGTAGAGCTTTAGATTAGAATTTATAAAGCGAGGTCTGGAGCAGATGGATATATATATATATATATATATTCATGGCTGTGTGGTGAATTCTTTCAGACATTCAAAAATGTCTCTAGCTGAGTGAAGAGAAATTTCTATGGTTACATGTTCCAAAAGGTATACGTGCTTTCGGCAGCGGCATTACATATGGCCGAAAATACTTGACGTTTTTTTAATCAACGAGTTGACTCCGATGCAGGTGCCTGGACAGTTCACGGTGAGCATATTCTGATGGTTCAACCTTATGTCTAATGACAACAAGGATTGAAGGATGCCAAAATCGACCTATTATAGGTCTATAGAGATCGGCCCCCTATTCGATGATCACTGTTGATCTCAGCCTAGCGTCTTAGCTTAAACTCCTCAAAAGCCGATTGACAATTGAAGCTGGAATTAGTTGTTATACGAGTCTCATTCCGTATCTATACTTCTGCATATTGTCGCGGATGGGTTGAGTGGGGTAATTGTTTAAACGGGGTACATGACATTCTGGCCCCCATACGCGTCGTCGCATCCCCCAATCATCGTGCAAATTGGAGAAGCATTACTCAGCTGCTGCATCTCTGTCAGTTAACTCACTAAACCAGGTACCGATATTCTTACCTGCAGGGTGCGAAGTCGGCGACCTCCAAAACGACGACAGTTCCCCTCAAGAGAAGATGTTGGATACCACTCAGCTTCTGACTCTGGGGCTTGCGTTCGCAGTGGGTTATGTTGTCTACAAAGACCGCAAAGGCGACCCGCGCGAACCGCCCGTGGTGACGAGCGCGATTCCGCTAGTCGGACATCTACTCGGGCTTATCTTTTCCGGTTTTGGTTATTTTACTATGCTGGCGTAAGTAGTATAGCCACGTAAAGCCGAGGTAAAGCTAAGTTCTCCATAGGAAGAGCAATCGAGACAAGCCAATTTTCACTTCGAACATGGTGTTCAATAAGACGTACATTATTACGTCGCCGGATCTTATGCAGGCAGCTCAACGCCATACCAAGACTCTGAAATTTGACCCACTGGTGACTTTTGGCCTTCGCAATGTTGCGGGAATCCAAAATGAGAAGACCCTTCACTTGCTGCGCGAGAAAGAGTCTGGTGGTGGAGGTCTTGTCCAAAAGATCATGCACGATATGGCCCCAAAGCTCCTGGGCAAGCCATTGGACACAATCAATCTATGCATGAGCCGGTTACTACTCCCACATCTTGATCGGCTGGCAAATACTCCTACTGTCGATCTCTACGGGTGGTGCCGCGATGTCATTATGGATGCGAGCACCCAGTCTTTGTACGGTCCACTGAATCCATATGCGGTTGCTGAAGTCTCCGAGGCATTTTGGTTAGTTTGAAAGTTAGTGAGACACGAATTCCATCCACTGACATGATTTGTGTAGGGAGTTTGAAACAAACCTCGCCCCTTTGGCCTTTAACGCCTTACCATGGCTGACAGCACGCAAGGCATGGAAGGGCCGCAACAGAGTCTGCGAAGCCATTAAGAGATACGTCGAGAACGACGGCCCGCGGCGGGGATCTGAGCTTGCTATTATGCGACACAAGACGTTAATGGAAGCCGGATTTTCCATGGATGAGTACGCAAAAATGGAAATCACCTTGATCATGGCTTTCGTGTCGAATACGGTTCCCTCCGCATTCTGGGTTCTTTTTGATCTATACACCCGTCCCCAATTGCGTAAAGAAATTCGCGAAGAATTGAAAGCGAATGCGCTCTCTGTCGCGGCGGATGGGGCTCACAATATTGACATTGGAGCTATGAGAGAAAGATGTCCTCTGCTCTTGTCTACTTTTCAGGAGGTGCTGCGCACACGTACGACTACTTGTTCCACACGTATTGTATTGAAAGATACATTGGTCGCCGACAAATACCTCCTGAAGGCTGGAAATATGCTGAATATCCCTGCAGATGCGATGGGGTATAATCCCAACGTATGGGGTGCGAACTCGGCTGTGTTTGATGCGCGGAGGTTTATGAAGCCGGTAGTGTCAGAGGACACCGGTGAGAAAAAAGAGAGCCGACGTCCTGGGCGATTCATGACTTTTGGTATTTCCCCTGTCATCTGCCCTGGTCGGCACTTTGCTAGTTCGGAGATTCTAGGCTTAGTAGCCATGATGATTTTGCGGTATGATGTTGAGCCGGTCAGCGGTGGCTGGAAAGAGCCCCCGAAGAACCAGTCGGCGCTTGTTTCAATAATGGGGGCAGTCAAAGGCGAGTATCCCGTCAATGTGGCAAGAAGAAAAGAGTTCGAAGGTGTCAAATGGGGATTTCAGGTTGGAGAGGGCCAAGGACAGTTTCCATTGGTAATTGGGTGATCAGGGTGCTGGTCAGTACACTTCTAAGTCTCGATTCTGAATTGAAAAGCACATGGTGAGTGGTTAAGCTCGTGTAATGTGAGTTTGTAAGGGCATATATACACCAAAAGGGAAAATAAGCTCAGATATAGCCATTGCTATGTGATATAGAGCCACCGATCAACGCCAGAAAATGCAAATGAAACAAAGCCATAAGGGCATTGGGGAACACATCAACTTCCCTTCAACCCTGGCTTAATCATAAAACCAGAATATTCACTCTCTATGCCTTGACAGCCTTGGAAGCCCCACCCTTGGCCTTTGTCTTGCGCTTGCGATCCCGCTTCTTCATTCCGGTCATACCAGACTTGCACAGTTCGGCATAGCGTGTATAGAATGTTTCGAGCTCTTCCGGCTTGACGATCGTCGAGAACTTGACTTTCGAAGAAGTATTCTTGGTGATTTTGCCAGTCTTATCGGCCGATTTGGGGTTTGGCGCACTGGTATTTCCATCGGTGATGCGGATGAGAGTTGAAGGTGGGGAATTGGAAGCGGAGTCAACGAGGGGTTTTTGAGTCAGGTTAACAGATCCCCGTGCCTTTTCAGATGTCTTTGAAAGGAGGTTTGTGAGAGATGAGAAGAACTGGCGGTGACGGTGTTGTTAGCGGAGCTCTTCGTGGATGGTCGCGTGGCCGAATGGGTGAAATTTCAACATTGTACAAAACGGGAAATGCCAAGCATACCTCATCGTGGCTCAGAGGAGGGGCCATTGTGAATAGAAATATCAAGGCTCACGACAATTAAGCTGCGATATTGTGTCAAGACCACGCAACAGTAATCTCGTGGGGGAAGAAACTCCGCTGTGGGTTGGAGGCGTGCCGCCTTACAATTTGGCTGGCAGAAAAAAAGTTAAGTTTACCGCCCAGCGGTCACTTTCTCGAGACAAACCTTCAGTCAGTTGACTTAATTCTTTCTCCAAAATCAGTCAAGATGAGACGCCCACGCCCGCAGCACAATACCACGTCTCTGCCTCGTGACCTACGGTCAGAACTTGGCATTCGTGATCGTTATGGAGAGAAGAAGCGCCGACAGAACGGACCTGCCTCACGCAAAGACCGTCGACAAGCGGAGCGCAACGAAAAGAAGTCGAAACCGCACGCGCGGACTTGGAAGGAGTATCCTCGCCAGCCGGAGAAGAATATTGAGGATGATGAAGACTCCGATATGGATCCGGAGGACGATCTGCTCGGCAACGATGGCAGAAAGCCAAGCGACAATGGTCAGAAAGCCCCGAAGAGAGAAAAAACGCAAATTCCATACCAAATATGAAAAAATCCGAAGGAGACGATGAAGACTCTTCGATGGATGATGCCAGCATGATTGATTTGGATGAGGATGAAGAGGACGAAGATGTGTCGGACATCGATGAACCTGAGGACGTAGATAGGCCTCATATCTCGTCCGGAGTGAAATCCAAATTAGCGGAGGACGATGCTGAGATTGCCTTTTTGGAGAAGAAGCTTGGTCTCAAGAAGGGCAAAACCTCTAAGAAATTTGAAGACGATGGATTAGATGACCTGCTGGGTGATCTGGGGGAGGCATCAGAAGATGACAGCAAAAAGAGGAAACGAGAAGCCGATGAGTGGCTCCAGAGTAAGCGCAAGAAGGCCCAGAAGCTCCAAGCTCAGGAAGAGGACGAAGATGACAGTGAATTGGAGAGCGACGAGGACGATGATGACCTTGATGAGGAAGTGTTTGGAAGTGAGGATGATGAAGAGGAAGACGATGAATTTGATGGTTTTGACGAGGAGAAGGCTCCCCCCAAGAAGCGAGAGAATCCATACGTTGCACCAACCCCCAAGATGGAAAGCTCCAAGCCTCAGAAATACGTTCCTCCCTCATTACGAGGTCTATCCGACCCGGAAACAGAGTCCCTAACTCGACTAAAACGCCAAGCTCAAGGACAGCTGAACAAGCTTTCAGAGGCCAACCTGATTTCTATCGTATCTGAGTTCGAGAAGCTTTATCGGGATTACCCCAGAAAGCATGTCACGTCTACGGTTCTTGATCTATTGATGGGCCTTATTTGTGAAAGAGCCGCTCTACAGGACACGTTTATGGTCCTTCATGCCGGTTTCATCGCAGCTCTTTACAAGCTCTTGGGAACAGACGTTGGTGCCGAGATTGTGGAGAGAATAGTGAAAACATTAGATGCTAATGGTGACGAGCGGGGAACTTTCCAAGGCAAAGAAATCATCAATTTGGTTTCCCTTTTGTCACAACTTTACAACTTCCATGTTATCGGAAGCCCATTGATGTTCGACTACATTCGTTCCTTCCTGGAGGAGATCACGGAAAGCAATACCGAACTTCTGCTTAAGGTCATTCGCATCTCCGGGCCTCAGCTTCGTCAAGATGACCCCACGTCCCTCAAGGATATCGTTCTTCTTGTTCAGCCAGCTGTGGCTAAGATTGGCGAGGGCAACCTTTCAGTTCGCACAAAATTCATGATCGACACTATCACCGACCTGAAGAACAACCGTGTTAAGAATGCTGTCGGTGCCAGTATCACCAGCGAGCATATCACCAAAATGCGCAAGATCCTGGGCTCTTTGAACAATCGCACCATTCGTGCATCGGAGCCCATTAATATCACTCGCGCGGATATTCATAATTCTTCCAAGAAGGGCAAATGGTGGCTGGAAGGTGCAAGCTGGAAGGAAGACCCACTGGTATCTGCTCGGGAGCAGTTGACAGATATGCCCACGAAAGAAGAGAAGTACGAGGAAGACAGTGACGGTGAGATTGACTTCAACGAACTCGCGAAGGCCCACGGAATGAACACTGCTGTCCGTCGCTCAATTTTCGTGGCCATCATGACCGCCACCGACTACAATGATGCGTCTGTGCGGCTCAAAAAACTTCGGTTGAACCGTGCCCAGAAATTCGAAATCCCGCCTGTTCTACTGCGCTGTTTGATGGAGGTGGATGAGGAGGACAAGCCGTACAACCCCTACTACACTTTCATTGCACGAAGTGTGATTGTAGGACAAAATTCGGGTGAAGACGAAGGGAAACGGCGTGAGGAGCAAGGGCAACGGCAGATGAAGGTCTGCTTCATGTTTGCCCTTTGGAACATCTTCAAGAGGATGGGTGAAAGGGGAGAAATGGATGACGAAGCAGACTTCGATCCAGAGGACGAGAACACCGCCCCCACCTCGAAGGCTCTATTCAAACTTGCTAAGACGTACGGAACGCTGATTGCAGAGGGTCACCTGACACTTAGCATTCTGAAGAATCTCAACTTCGCCTACTTGCAAGAAAGTACCAAGCTCTTTCTGGACATGCTGATCGCCACCGTCATCCAAGAATCCAAGAAGAACAAGAACGGAGAGAAGAAAAAGAAGGATGAAAAGGAACATGAACAGTCCCTGATCCAAATCTTTATGCAAGTTCAAAAAACACCACACCTTGCGAAGGGATTGATCTTCTTTATTCAAAAGGTAGTGGCCAAGACCGACCTATTGGAAAAGGAAAAACAACAAAAGTTGGTTCGCTTGGGTTGCGAGATAGCCGTGGGCGCCCTCAAGTTGATTCGCGATTAATGACTGCACGGCAACTTGTACATGAGGATCCTGTTTTCCGGCGGTTGATTTTGTATCTAGAATACCTATACCCATCATAGACATACCAGAAGTCGCATTATGTAAAGATGAATTTCATTGCACGTGAATCGTTACAGGCATTGAGGATAGATCTAAAAATGTACAACTCAAGTACCTTCCTCCACTAAGTCCCATTCCATAGCTACCAGCCAGCGTTTGCTACAATTCTCGGGTGTATCAACTTGCGAGTTAGTGGTCTGCAACTCAGTAGTGGCTGAGGAAATCCGATGGTCATGGAGGTCGATATCCCATGCTAAACCTCGATGAAACCCTAGCAAGTCCCCCGATTGAATCTGGCCCGGAGTAGAGCGTGAGGAAGACCGCGGCTTAGATCTAGGACGTCCAAGAGCGACGATATTGAGAACATTGGCCTCCTCTTCTCTCTGCCCGCAATCGTTCACAGTGTCTGCTGTGATAAAAGCCAAAGGACCGCAGCTACTAAGCATTGCGTGGCTGACACTAGTAACCCGTACAGCCACAAGGTACCGACTCAATGCCCCGGAAAAGCTCGTTTCGGAATCGGTATTCAATGACCGACCATGCAGGGCCTGTTCTCGCTTAGATCCCGTCTCAAGGATCCAGCTGCGGACATCTGCTGCCATGCCACCAGGCACGTAGCTCGTTGTACCCGCACGCTGTTTCCCACGGCGACGCAAGGTACGCGACGAAGGCGAAAATGGCGCGGGAATATCATCTTTGGTAGATTTTGGAGATGGAGATCGGGGAAGCACAAAGGTCGGTTTGCGCTTTTCGAGAGGCGTTGAGGTCAGTTGTGACGGTGCCGGTGTTTGAGTTCCAAGTAAAGGCTGGCTGCTTGGTGGTTTCTTAGCCGAGAGCATGAATCGAGGTTTACTCCGGAAGGGGGTGCTGGTAGGTCCCGGTGTCGATCCGAAAGCTCTTGGTAGCACCCTTGGAGTCGCTTCTAGGTTGGGATTTTGTGTCCCCGTTCGTGGAAGAGAGCCAGAAGCAGGTGTTTCTGGGGCGACAAATTGACTAGGAGCCTCTGGTGAAGAGGATGTTTGACCAATGCCTTCCTGCAGCTTTTGGGTGAGAGAAGGCTGTCCCAATACACGTCGACGCTTGTGGCCATCTTCTACAGGCTCAAACAGGGCCTCGTACTCGGAGTCCAGGGGCCCCGGCGTCACGGGGGCCTTTGGTGGACTACTATCGATAATATCATCCACCGATTCCGTTCCCCCTTTCTTTTGTGTGCTTGTGATCCCTGGAAGATCTTCTTCATCGCCATCTTCAATCACGTCCCTCTTCCAACGGGGTGGAATGTCATTGCGCCGCGGTGCCGGAGTGCCCGCTACAGGGGCGGTCGACGGAGAATAATCATCGTCAACTATGTCGAGGTCATTCTGCCCTTTCTGCGGAGTGGTCTGCGAGAGGAGGAAGCGGGGAGAGTTTGCGAATTGTGGACCGCTCCGGCGCGTAGACGGTTGGCGACGGGATAGGCGGAATGGCGAGGGAGTCTGTAAGCGGATTGAATTAGCAAATGACAGATCGAAATGATACATGTGATACATACACCTGGAAAAGGCATTTATTTTTGGTCATCAAATGGCGGGATCTGCATGGCGCAACGCGGGCGCGTTAATGGGAGGCAGCGATCGGAGATTGTAGATTGGAGATTAGAGGTGTTGCGGCTTGCGGGAACCAGGCTTTCCATGGTCCTCGCAACCTTGGAATATAATATTTGCATTGTTCCAATTCTGTTTCTTCTACTTTTTACCAGTTTTATACCATGCGCTCGTTGAGTTCGTATCTATATTCTCAAAAACTTTTTTCTTCCGATTTTCTTCCGAAGTACAGCCACATGTGCAGTGCTATGTCTCATCGCGGGCTGAGCCACCATGGATTTCAGCATTGAAGATCATGGGGAATAATGACTTGATTGAAGAAGGACACGTGAGCTCTTGCAATTTGCCCAGGTTGGGCAATGATATGAACGTGAAGGTTGAAATTACGGCCATCGCATCGTTATGTCGAGTATTCCATGTTTATCGTCAGCCCTACGAAAGCAATGAGGAACATCGAAAATGCTTTAGAGTCACCCTGTTCAATCTAGGACTGCCCATATCCGTCGACAGGAAATGGCATTTCCGCTAAGCGGGGTGGCTCCATATGGAGATGGCAAGGGACTAAGTAGACCAGTAGGGGTCAACCCGGGTCAATTGAAACATTAGTGCAATGGGTTGGGTTTTCAGCGGATTTATACTGATAAAACGCGTTATCATCGCATTTTTTCTTCAACCACACTTTCAAGTGATCCCTCTGCGAACCCTTCTAGATTCAATCTCTATGTGGTCCCTATATACTACTTCTGGTAGGTGTGGAGATCCGATGGTTGCAGTACATAGAGGAGTGCCCATGCATCACTGATCTTAGGGCTGTCATGCAGTGAATCAGGTGTGGATCTTTGATCTTAATGCCAACCTATCATTAGCCAGGTACACCGATGGATTCGTTGAGCTGCAGCTCCGTGACAACCACATCGGTGGTTGATGTAACACTTGACCTGCATCTCTAATGTTGTGGCTGGCTAACTTGTATTACAATTATTGACCAACATTTTCTAATGGTCAAAGGGTTGATGATTGTTTTTTGAACTGTTTTCGATTTGGTTTCTTGGGTCACACAGTCGTAGTGAGCCTTAGAGGTCTAGATCGCCGATTCAAGCTATGTACAGGGAGCAATATTTACCAGAGCCCTTGGAACACTCAGTCGATATCATCTGAATGGAATCCACGGCTTTATATCAATGAACTGAGGTCATTCCATTCATGAAGCAAAGAGTAACTTTTATGCGAGCTTAATCTCTCGGGGGTTCCCTTCCCTGTATAACGAATGAATCTTAGTACAGTTCGTTTTAGGACACCCAAAATTGAACATATCGTCATAAATTCTCGTTTCTGCAGAGATCGTGAATATACATGGCAGAGAAGAAAAGAAAAGAGATATACAGGCCAATAAGTGAAAGCCAGTAGTTTCACATGCGCCAACAACATGAAGTGGCGACTAGACCAAAAAGCAAAACTTTATACGCAGGAAAGAGCACGCTTACATCTGCGAGAAGTACTCATCAAACTTGTCCTCAGTAACCTTAGTGCAGTCGAAGCCGTAGATCTCCTTCTGGACATCGGCATCGGCCCACTTGTCGGGCACAGGACCCTTACCGCCCTGAGCCTTGAGAGCGGCGAATTGACGATCACGCTCCTCCTTAGCAGCACCATCACCCAAGTGAAGAGCACGACCAGAAGCAGCAGCCATCTCGACCAGAGTCTCAGCACGACCCTTGCGGACCTTCTCGTAAACACGGAGAGCCTTGTTAATGGACTCGGGGGTGGTATCGGGGAGGCGGGAGAGAGCAACGGCAATAACGGCACCGTCCTCGATGGCCTGGGCAGCACCCTGAGCCAAGTGAGGGAGGGTAGGGTGGCAGGCGTCACCAACGAGAGCGACCTGCTCGTGGACCCAGGTAGGGAGAGGGTCGTGAACACGCAGCTTCCACTCGCAGACCTCGCCCTCGGGGACGTAGTCGAGCAGACGCTTGACCATGGGACAGAAATCTGAGAAGACCTCCATCATAGCGGACTTGGAGCCCTTGGTTGTGTAAGTGGCGTTTGTGGCCTCGGCGAAGTTCTTATCGGGTTGAGTGGTGGACAGGTTGTAGATAGTGTTGTTGGAGACAGCGTAGGCGATGATGTGACGCTTCTCACCGATCCAGCGAGTGACTGTGGTGCTGTTAATCAATTCCAGGAGCTCAGGGTCATCCTTGATTTGCTCCTTGTGGATCATAATGCGGTAGGCGGCTTGCTGGGTGTCCTTGACGCCAGCAGTGATGTTCAAGAGCTTCACCATGGCGGCACGGGTCTCACTCTTAATTCCGTCGGCACCCAGGAGGACATCGCAGGTGACCTTGTAGGCGTCGCCGCCGTCGCGGGGGTGGCGGTGAATGATGGGCGAGGGCCGAACGAGTCGACCTCTGTTGCGGTGGTAGCGAAGTGGAACTTAATAGCGGACTCCTTCAGACAGCCCTGGTACAGACCGTTAGCCAGGGATGAGCGGTGGCCAACCATGTGACGGTATCCGTAGGTTTCCTTAATATAACCCAGCTCGACATGGGCAAGCTCGGAGTTATCAGCACCAACTATGCACAGAATCATTGTTAGCTACCGCAATCCCTTTTTTTAACACAAGGGTTACGATGTTGGTTAGAAACATACCACGGACACGGGTATCTCCAATGTTCACAGCCTCGTCCTCAATGCCCTTCCAGACACCAAGGTTGTCCAGCACACGAGCCATGTTAGGCGCAAGCTGGATACCGGCGCCGACGAAACCAAGATCGTGCGCATTCTCATAGACGTCAATGTTCTTGAAACCACGTTGGGCCAGAGCAAGAGCAGTGGTGAGACCACCCATGCCAGCGCCCAGAATGGCGATTTGCAAATCTTGGGGAGTCTTGGCCATTATGTCGGATATAAGCGGGATGTATAGATGGCGGGGAAGATGTTGCGGGGAGAAGCAACAGAGAACGGCAAGAGTAGGGAGGTATTAGGAAAATGAACAAGTAGAAAGAAAGATGGCGACAGGACGATTCTTAAATTTCCATCCAAATTCTCACCGAGGCCTCCGTCGCATTCGGCCTGCCTCCAGCATGACGAGGGCGGATGAGATTTTTCCCGCTTCTCCCACAGCTCCCCACACGTCCGCTATGGAGGGCAAGCGGACGCGCGCTCTACTGGACCTTTCATCGTTGGCCTGCTTGGACTTTATCCGCCGCGGCGTTCATGGGCCACACATGGCCATGCAGGGAGCCATACACGGGAGAAATAATATCAGCTTTGTTTGAAATTGTTTGAGATTCGGATTTTCAACCGTTCGACCTTATAACCCCAGCCAATCAGCATCTAGGAATTCCAGCCATCTTTCAGGAAAATCACAGTAGAACAGCCATTTCTTATGATTGATAGTATTCAAATAGAATGATATTAGAAAATGATCACCAAAATCAATCGCAATTCTACTCATGGCGATAGATTGCCCTCCGGGTGTTTCGCATGCCTGCGGATCCTTGCCCCGCCATAAGCCCCAGACCTTCCCCACATGCTGCCTTCTCCGGACTTTGCGGGAGGTGCACGGAGTAAGTCTGGTTCTTGTGCTTCTCAGAAACTGCCGAATGCCCGCCACTCGCCACACTTTAAGTTTTGCTAATCCGTGACCCTGGTAGGGCTTATTCCCATGGCACTAATGTACTTTCTCATAAAGTATATACCGTGTGCCGCATTTTTATTCATTATGGAAATACCCCATGTCTTTGTGCTTCGCTCCATCCATGCCGTCCAAAACTATTTGCAAAGTTTTCAGCACTGCGTCAGGATGATGCATTGCCATTGTGCATGCCACTCTTGTGGTCTGCATTAGGAACCATTTGCGCAGGGGTCCAGGAGGGCACAGTCGGACGCCGATGATGAGGCACCAAATAAGCGCCCCCGGCAGAAAGTTCCAGAATGCTTCCAGATCTGTCTTCTCCAAGAGGCTCTTGAGGTCAAAAAGGGCATGAGATAGACCATTCACTGTATCTGAACCCGCACTGGACCAGTGCAGGATTTGAATTGTTTGGAGCAGTGCTGGAATTCTGGCGTCATATGGTGGGTAATCTCCATCTCCAAACGCCGTCATTGGCTGCCAGTTGCGAGGCAACCACATAATGGATTGATTATAACGTTCATCCGATGCGGTCTCATAACAATCGCAATACTCTAATATCATCACGGATTTATAGAGATTCGCAAGTACAGACAGCATTGGTGAACTATCTGATGGGTCAACTCCATTTTTGTCGATCCCTAAAGTGAAGATTGTCATCTCCAGTGGGGAACTTCGAAGACTCAAGCCGCCAAGGCGTGGCACCGTCATAATTCTAAGAGCCCGTTTCAACTCTTCTATACTATTTAATGCATGTCAGTCATTCCAGATAATCAGAGGTTCAGAAGACCAGTCCTACAGTAATAGGCTATTCTTTAAATGCCCTTCAAATCCCAAATGTCCCACGCCTCCACGGGCATCTATAATAGTCTGGATACCTTGATAATCCAATTGAAAGGCCTCTTCGTCGCCAAGCAGCTATTGTGAGAGGGTGTCAGTTCATCATGGGCCGTAATGTCTTCTCAAATATCATACATCAAAGAGCAATATTGCGATTAAGGCTGCAATATTCACGTCACTCAGAGCAAGCTCTCGATCCTCTAGTGCCTGTGAAAGTAGCCTTCGCGTAATATTACATTGCTGAGATGTCAGGTCACTGATATATCCACTGGTAGAAATATCATCCCATGCTGAAGCATTCAAAATTTTTGAACTCATGAGAGCTGGATGTGATACAGCAGCAGATACTACTGTGGCGAAGAAAGGGTGTATTTGGTGACTGTAGTGCACGTATTGATACATGACTGAATTTCGCGTCAGACCTCAGGATTCAAATATTACATCGTTTGAAGTGACACTCATCTTGAACTTACATTGTTGCATTCTTTTGTAGCCCGTTGGTGATGAAGGCAGGGGCGGACAGTTTAGAGCGAACTGAAGCTCTCGAGGAATATGCTCCAGAGCCGGTAGGTTCCTTACATTTACCCTTTGAAGACGGATTTGTGGTCTGGTTTTTTTCTGCGCAATTCGATGCTGATGATGTCTTTTTGCCATATGCGATCGTACTTCGCTGAGTCGTTTACCTTGGCCTTCTTGGGGATTCCCGGTCACCACCACAAAGGTAGATCCGCGCTCTGTCTTTGCCATGGCTCCTGCCATTCTCAATGTGGCAGGTGCACTAGGGTGAGTTTAGATGGAAGAGTAGCTTTCGAATTCGAGTTTCAGACCATAAGGACTCAGGAGAGACCCACCTTTCCCAGCCGAGGACTTAGTGCATCTTCCTGATCGGGTATAGCGTTTCAAGGCTCCATTCTTACTGGCTGCGTGCTCGAGTGAATACTTTTCATCTTGTACAGCTGCTGGACTTTTGCAACGATGAGTCCCGTCTGGAATAACTTAAAATGCCCTGACATCCACAGCTCTAGTCGTAGGTTGAAATTTATGTACATATATATATGATTCCCATCGCCACAGATCTGTCAAGTCTGTTACTTAATCACTTTTCCAAACCCCTTCCACTTGGTCAAAATTCACACACCTGTATAGGGCCATGTCGTCATTCGCAGATTTCGGCCCTCAAACAGTGTGGCTTGGTAGGGCGAATTCTCTATGATTTGCTACTCAATGAAGCATGTCTAAGTTCTAATGCAAGGTTAAATACAGTGACTGGCTGCTCATCCGGCCTAGGGAAATCCCTCGCACAGGCCATCTACAACGCCGGTCATCGTATTGTAGCAACCGCCCGAGACATCGCCTCACTCTACTATCTACCAGACAGCCCGACCGTACTCAAAATCAAGCTCGATGTGACAAGTCAAGAAGATATATGCGCAGCATTCCGTCAAGCTCTGGACACTTTCCATGAGATCAACGTTGTGATCAATAATGCCGGATACGGCTTGATGGGAGATATGGAAGCCATCTCCGACTCCGACGCCCGCCACCAACTCGAAACCAATTTCTGGGGTCCGGTTCACATAACTCAAGAAGCTCTTCGCGTCTTCCGAGAGGTGAATCCTAAAGGTCAGGGCGGTACCATTGTCCAGGTCTCTTCCATTGGTGGGTTTTTGACTGCGCCCGGTCATTCTTTCTACCATGCTAGGTTAGTTACATAACCCCGATTGCCTAGTGTGGTATCAATACTGAAATTACTGAAATTAGCAAATTCGCGCTAGAAGGTTTCACCAAGTCCGTCGCAAAGGAACTTCGTCCAGAGTGGAATATTGTTCTGTTAATTGTTGCCCCTGGGGGCGTGAGGACGAACTTCGCTACATCAAGTTTGAAAGCTCCGCCCCGACACCCGGCATATAATTTGCCAGATGGGGCGTTCAGTCAATTGGCTGCGTATATCAAGGCGCAGAACGTCTGGAGCGATCCGGATAGTTGTGCTAAAGTGCTTTTTGATTCTGTGGTTGGACAGCGTGAGCGCCCTTTGCCCGCTCGTTTGCTGATGGGGGCTGAGACTATTCCATACATGAAATATGATATCAAGCAGGTTATGGAAGAAATTGATGCGTGGAAAGGGGAGACTGTGCGGTGTTCATTAGCTCCTGGGGCTAGTGGAAATCAAATTTAGACAGCACACGTGCAGTCCAAGTATTCCTGGCATGGGGCTTAGAGCTCCCTAGGTTCCCGGGGTCGAAGCTGCGAGCGCTTTGGTATCAAATAGCTGAACAGTTTAATAATTGATAGCGTATTAATGTAGATTACAATGGACGAAGTACGCTATTGAAGTGCTGAGGTCTGGAAAATAAGCACCATCTGCGCAAATATATATTAAACTAATCTAGGTACCGGTCCGATAAGCAACCATTGGTCGCCATAGATAGGAACCACGGTTGCTCAAGTAACACAAGAAAGAAAGCCCTGGAGAAGGCCAGAAGCAGAACTTTGATTATCGAAGTGGAAAAGGAAATAGGAGTCTTGATTGGAGTTGTTAATCACACGATTCGGTGGTAAATCCGAGTGAATTCTTATCTCTCCGACTTATCTCCGCATCGCGTGTTTCCCCTCACGATAGGCAAACACTGTTGATCTCCTTTTAAATCCACCGTGAATTCACTTACCCACTTCTACATCAGTGATCGACTTCAATGCTGAAATCTATCTTGATACTTCTCTTGGGCACAGCCCACGTGGCCAGCGCGGCCGATGCGCAAGTTGTCTTCGCTCCTGGGTCGGATAAGACGCCGAGCAAGCTCCAGCACGCTGTTGACGATGCAATCCTTGCCGCCCTGGAAGCGCATTCGGACCCAGTCGAGGCGCTCATCTCTCTGGATTCTGAAAATGAATCACTCCTTGCTGAACCACGCCTCTTGCGCGTCCTGGGCGATGACTCTGAGCCGCAATGGATGACTGAAGGAGACAAGCTGCGCCTCCGTAGACAAGGCAAGAAATTTATAGACATTACGGAACATGAAGAATTCTATGCAGAGCAGGTACATACGTTGACTGCTGGCAAGCCCCGTGAGTCCTGTACTTGTGGTTCCTGGGCGACTTATGTTTGACTGACATGTGTAGACCTCCCTGAACTGGTCCATGAAAGCTTGATCCGACCTCTGTTCTCAAAGGTTAACCAACCGCGTATGAGCGATGTTCTTCACCATATGACCGGTTACTATAACCGATACTATGGGGATATCCATGGTGAATTGAGCTCTGAGTGGCTCCACGAGCACATTGCTGAGGTATTTCATCCCAATGCCTGTCTAAAAACAGGATGAACTGACACGGAAAACCAAGATCATCGCCAAATCTCCATTCCGCACCCATATTTCGCTTGAATATTTCACCCACTCTTTCCCTCAGTCATCGATTATTGCTCGTTTCGAGCCAAAGGTCCGCAATGCTTCTGCGCCATTGACCATCCTTGGTGCGCATCAGGACTCGGCCAACTATCTTTTCCCTCTCCTGCCAGCCCCTGGAGCGGATGACGACTGCTCAGGTACGGTGAGTATCTTGGAGGCATTCCGTATTCTGGCCGAGAGTGGCTACACGCCTATGAATGGCCCGGTCGAGTTCCACTGGTATGCAGCCGAAGAGGGTGGTTTGCTGGGCAGCCAACATCTTGCCCGGTACAAGAAAGAGCAAGGCACAGTGATCGGAGCGATGATGGAATTCGTAAGTTATTCCCCTGTAACTCGTCAACGACTGGAGTCAGTATTGATGTTGGATGTTCTCTGTACAGGACATGACGGCATTCATTGCCCGGAATGCGACCGAGACTATCGGATTTATTTCGACTCAGGCCGACGCGGCTCTTACCAACTGGACTGTGGGCCTGAGTGAGAAATACATCTCAATTCCCGCGGAGATATATGATCTTGGGCCGTAGGTGAACCTTCCTTGAGCTCATGGGTCCGAAGTACTGATAAAACAGGTCCGCTGGCTCTGATTACATGTCGTATACGCAACTCAACTACCCCGCCGCTTTCGCCTCGGAGGGTAACCCCTTAGCCGGGGGTTATTTCCCTGGCGAGTATGATCCCTATGTCCATTCGTCTCGTGACACCATGTGGGTGAATGATGAGGCTGGCTATTTCTCTATCGATGTAAGTCACCTTCCCTTTGCGGATAGGGGTAAATTACTGAAGCGCAAGGACAGCACATGGCGCGATTCACCGAACTAGCGATTGCTTTCGTGGTGGAACAGGCTGGTTGGAACAATGCATGGCGGTAAATGAAATTAGGGACCCTGGTTAAGGCCAAGCTTCGAAGCTTGCTGCTTGGAATAAGATTTGTGCCCCACTGTCTAGAGGCCATAGATCCTGCGTATGACCCAATGTGAATAGCCTCTATGTATGTAGGATCCGGGCCACTGTTGAAATTTAAACCCTTTTACACTGTATTTTTTGCAGTTTTTCCGTTTCGAATGTTCAGAAGCTTATGGAAATACACCTCTTCCCTTGGGTTTGGAAATGATTGACATTTTTTCCCCGCGCGGACAAACTTTTACCAAAACTTTCTTTGTTGACAGTTGTTGACAAAAGATTTTCAGGGGAAGGAGACTCCCGTTAAACTCTCCACCTGGCAGTGGGTTTATGCTCCTTCCGTTTCACCTTCAACGTCACATCAAGTTTCCCGGGTTTATCACGGAACCCCTGAATAGTTCGGTTCATCGGGAGCTAGATTATCTTGCTCGGGGAAATGACCTCCAGCAAATTATCGACCACGACAGGCTCTAGTGAAATTATCCCCTTGTCTATGATGCAATCGAGCTCGGACGTGTTAGGTTCCTGGGTCTACACCTCGGACTCTGCGACCAAAAGGCGGCTCCACAGCTCGGGAAAACGCTTTAAGTTCCACCAACGGCACTATTTGATGATAGCAACAATACTAACCCCCTTAGCCAACACTGAGATTACAATCGCCGCTTATTCGCGCTGGCTTGCGGGCCCGCTAAGCAGGGTCATGCCGTATGCAGATCGTTGGCTTCCTAAGCACTAAGGCTGTACTCGCAATTGGCAGAATTTTAGGAATTTGCGGGTCTGAAAACGTGCCGTTGTCGATCTTGGAACCAAACGGGCTTTATCCAACCCGGTGCTGTGGTGTGCTTGGGCCTAAGCACTCGAATCACCGCCCCAACGCGGCATTTTCAGAACCATGTGGCGAATCCGTGGCGGTATCAAAATTTTTGAGTGGCTGCGTGTACTTTTGATAGCCTCAAAAAATGGCTGGTCCAAACAATAATACTAACAAATGACACACAATATTAGCTGATGGCGCGTTCTGTCTCCATTCAAAATGCCCCCAAGTTTGGGTCCCGAGCGGACTAGGACGTCGATCTACGGTGGCTAATGAAGATGGTCCTCCTTCGAAGTTTAAGGTGGGCTCAGGTTTCCCTATGGGCCTCATCCCCTCTGATAGTCCGTTTTATCCCCACTTACCTTTGTTTGTGGGTCATCTGTCTTTGATTTGACAGGATGGCTTGTCTTGGTTCTATTCCTCTTTGGATTATTTGGAACCTTGAGGATACCGCCATCCTTGGGGCCTACGTGATGTGGAGCAAAACCGCTTCTTCGACGTCAATCTCCTAGACAATGGACGGGATAGAGTTCATTTCCCCTGAGCATAGGCTCAATGTATAAAGGGCAGGTCATGTTGGTTGACTTTCATCTCTTTTTCTAACCCAAGAAGCTTTTGCATCTCGTTCTTACTACAGTCATTCCTTTTTTCGGTTTATACCGTCCATTCATTACAGCTTTTTCAAGCACAGTCACTCTCTACCATCAAAATGAAGGCCACCTTTGCTCTCTCTGCCCTCCTGGCCACCGTTGCCGTGGCTCTGCCTACCCCTACCAGCATCGTCCCTGGTGCCGCCACCAGCAGCGCTGTTAGCACCGTCAGCAAGACCGTCCACAGCGTCCTGACCGTCACCAACCAGCAGACCGGCAAGAACATGCTGGTTGAGCTTGAGCAGGGCTTCGCTAACCAGCTCACCGGCCTTAACCTCGGCAGTGCTTCCAGCCCCGTTGGCAAGATCGTCCAGACCGCTGGCTCCCTGTCGGAGCTGCAGAGCCTCACTTCCGGCCTGACTGGCCTCACCTTCGTCACCAGCACTGGCGAGTACGTCCTTGTTGAGCTCGACAACACTGTCGAGGGTCTCCTGGCTAGCCTTGGCCTCTCTGCCGTCGGCGAAGTTGTCGGCACTGTCGTCTCCACCCTTGAGGGTGTCGTCTCCAACCTGAAGCGCTCTGAGCTCAACAACGTTCTGTCCATCACCGGCCTGAACAACGAGCCTATCCTCGTCAATGCTGAGTCCACCCTTACCAACGCTCTCGACCTCTCCGCTGTCAAGGGTACCGTCGGTACCGTTGTTGCTTCCGTCCCCGGTGTTTCCGACCTCGCCTCCAAGGCCTCTGAGCTTGGCCTCCCCACCAACGAGCTTTTCGGTGTTTTGAGCGCTGATGGCTCCTCCGCTCTGCTTGTCCGTGTCGAGTCCCTTGCTGGTGGTCTCACCTCCACTGTCACTGGCCTTCTGTCTACCCTTGGCCTCGGTGACCTGACCACCACTGTTGGCACCGTCGTCACTTCCGCTCAGGGCGTCACCGCTCTGTAAATAACCCGCCCTTGAAGGGACTTGATCATTCGCTTCTATGGGTCCTCTGTTGATGCGCCTCGAAAGTTGAGTCATTGCCGCTTTCCGGTGCATGCAAACGACTGCACATGAGGAGTTCCCGTTTCTTATATGTCAACTTATACATTATTATTCAATTGTACCTATTAAATGCGGAAGCGTAAATTCAATCCTCGCATGTGAAAAGCATATGCATTCTTCAAATAATAAACGATATAGGTATCAAGGTATCTTTAAACGACAGTAGTATAAAAACAAAAAGAAAAAGTCGAGACACTATCAGTGAGGCCCGTGACCACCCCAGTAGTTCTCTCCATCACGATCATAAGGACTTAAAGCATCCTTGCACTGAGGCTTCTCATAATCGCCCACCGAGCCCATAGGCCAGATCGGCACCACACAAATTTCACTATCCAGGCAGCCACGACATTTCTTCCAAGCCGTCCAGTCAAGCTCAACCATAAGCTTTGCAATCAACTCCTTCGCGGAACTGAGGTTCTCCTCCTCAACAGCCTCCAGCAATGTATGGCAGATACTATACGAAACACCATGCACAGCACGAGCAGGAAGAGTAGGAGCATCCTGGTACTGGAAGGGAATGAACTGCGCCGCACACCGCTCAGACTCCATAGTGATATTCCGCTCACTGTAGTCCACAAATGGAGCAACAAGCATAGTGATTTGCTCACGCAACTCCTTCATCGTCTCCATTCGCTCCGATACAAAGTACGACAACTCATCTGCATACCGGGTGATGACCATGTCAGTGGTAGCCTGCCAGTCCCAAGAGAACTCCCTAGCGTCATGCGTCAAAATAGTCTCGGTAAGTTCCTTGCGAACGGGATCCAGCTCGAAGGACTCGAGATGGTTCAAACGAGGGAGTGTCGAGCTCTCGGGGAACAGGTCGAGGTCGTGCGAGAGGGCAGTGATGAAATTGTCGTAGTTGATGTGCACTCTGCGCCCGCCGATGCCCTCGTATCGGGATGCAACGGCGCGGGCCCAACGCGATGAATCTGGGCCTCCGGGACCACCGCCAGGACCACCGGGACCGCCACCGGGACCCTTGGGTGGCCCTGCATCACGACTGCCAGGACCCTTGTCTCCCCGCTCTTGCGTCTGGGTCTGAATAATGCGCAGAGGAGTGAGATCCCGCGCAAAAGAGCAAAGGATAATTTCGAAACCAGCCTCCATGCGAAGAACACCATCGATCCGACCTGCCCATTCGTTCTCAGCCATCTCGCAAGCGCGCATTGCACGCTCTCGTTCACCCCGAGGACCTGGTCCTTCATTTTCGCCGTTCCCGAGACTATTGTTGAAAAGCAGGATATCCTGCGAGTCGAGGGTGCCCTTCTCAGTCTTGCCAGCTGACATTCCATCAATGTACAGCAGACGAAGGTTCTTGGCTGCGGCGTAAGTGTGGAGGTAGCCGTGGGCATCGGTATCATCATTCACCATGCGTGGAGGGCCATTCTCCAAACGACGACGCAGTTCATCGTGGCTAGGTCCATCGTGGCTCGGTCCTTCGCCGGGTTTATCATCACCATCCGGACCACGGGGTAGACCACGACCACCATGTGGGCGCGCAAACACAAGCGCGTGTTCAGGCTCGAAGGCAAGCCACTCCGTACCGTTCACAGGAACTGGACTGGCGGTTCCATGGTATAGTTGTGTTCCGGCCGGGACAGTAGCTAGGAAGAAAGAGACGCCGTTATGGTGGAGGGATGAACCCCATTGGCGCATCGAGTCGTGAATAACGTTGAAGATATGGTTGGCATTCTTGAGAACCGGGTCTGTGTTGGATGCCTTTTCTGGTGTTGGGGAACTGCCCGATAGGCTCAGGAGCAAGCATATCGCGAAAAGGGTGTGGTGGGGCCGCATTCTATTGTCAGATGAGGAGTATCTCCTCTCCTTCAGCCTTCCCTTCTGGATCCAAAATGATATGTGTGAGTGGTTGAAGTGTTTTTGATGTTGATAGCGACTCGGGGGAAGCCAGAAAGAAAATGTTAGCGCCGTGGCGGCCGTTGGAATGATATCTGATGGCGTTCGGCATTAGGGCTGGTTTGCATGATAAGACGCGTAATCGCACCAGCGCAGATATCCACTTTTCGCCTTGTGAGTGTTTAGTCTTGGTTTAGCTCGGACCAAGTGCGTATATCTACTGCGTGTGTATTTGAGTTGCGTTTACGACTGGTTTAGGCAGAAATGAAAGCATAGGAGGCATAGAAATTGACGGGTATCAAATTGTATAAAATCTATTTACGGAAGTACGATACATGCTAAGTCCACCTCCACCTCTCCACGTGCCGATTATACTTGTCGGGACTATATCTTGACAACTACTTACCCTGGGAGTAACTCTGTCTGGAATGGCACCGGGTGACCACCTCCGTCAAACCTATTAATTTTAGTTGTATATGATTAGTGGGATACCTGAAAATGAGTTGCTCGTTCTAAAGGAGGAGAATTTTCAACCCGTTCTGGGCAACGAATACTATCCCTGAACACAGACCTTATTTGGCCCAAGCCCAAGATTCGCATGAACAATGGTCCCAAGGTTAATCGAGCTTCAAATATAATCAAACTACCTTCGTCGGTGAAGATTGTTTGATTCCAGATTGACCGGTTCATCTATCTCGTCGGATAAACTAACCCGAAAAGGTGTCCATCGGCTGCCAAGCGGGCCGAGACCAACAGATGGAGGCAGAGATCAAGGATTTGGCGTTTTTATGACGACATCCACCGATCTCATCGCTTTCTTCCACCAATTTTCTTCACGATCCATGCAATGGGTTTTTCTGAAGCCTTCCCCTCTTTTTCACTCATTTTACCTATCTCTTGTGCGGAGTATTTCAATTAATACTCTATACCATGTCTGATTCTTCATGCTGTGCAAATTGATCCAGTGCCGCCCTCCCAATTCTGCTAAAGATGCAAGCCGAACTCAACATGAGCGCACGGCAAGAAGATCGCGAGGGCGACTTGCGCGCCCGGGAGTTATTCCATTACTTCCAACCCGATAATCCGGCTTTGATGCCGAGTGGACAGCGCGACAACCGACCGTGCGAATCCCCCACTGCTGAGAAACAAAGTCCAAATCTGGTGTTAACGGCCTTAGCACAGTTGGCCGCATTGAAATTGGGTGTTCAGCGCGCAGTTATTAGGTATGTACTTTTCGTCTCGCCGCGAACTCAGGAATTTTCATCAATTGCGCCCATATGTTCATCCACACAGCGCACCCTCTGGATTCCATGTTAAAGACAGTTACTTACCCAGTGATACTGCAGCTTAATTGACCGCGAGACACTTTACGTGATAGCAGAGGGATCACGATCGCTTAATTTGGCAAATAATGACCGATATGACGAAGTTGGCGACGGGCTCTGGGTGGGGTGTTCACGTGGACCAGTCGCGGGAACTTTGTGTGAGGTAAATTCTACAAGCGTTGAAATGTCTGTTTAAGATGAACGGCCTTTGGGCTATTTACCAAGGCCTTCGCTGACACTATGATTGATACAGAAAACCATCACCCTAACGCCTCCGCAAGGGAAGCAACATGCCTTCTTCGTTGTAGAGGATTTAAAAGAAGATCCGAACTTCCGCCATCTATCTTGTGTCGCAGAAGCACCGCACTTCCGGTACTATGCCGGCACACCACTGAAGACTCCCAACGGGACCAATATTGGTAGTCTGTACGTGATCGATCCTCGACCCAATCACTGCTTGGCCGATCTCGAAAAGGAAATGCTTGGAAATATTGCAGATGCAGTGATGGAGTATCTGGAGACTTCTCGTCAGTCGTTGGAGGCAAATAGGTTGACCAAGTTATTGGCTGGCTTAAATGCTTTTGTGCAAGGCGAGTCTACTTCGGATGCCTCGCGCGACTCGACACACGATCTCGGTCGATCGGATCATCTCGCCGCGTCTATATCACGCGTCCAACAAAGTCCTGATGCCAAGGCTGAGGAGCATAAAGTCAGGGCTAAAAGCAGAAGCCCTCCACCACTGTCATCCACTCCACCGAGCAGTGATTCTTTTCCTGATGAGATGTTTGCTGTCACAATTCCATCTCCAACTCGCAATCGGCTACAAAGATCACCGCGATCGAAGACTGAGACACGCCAAGATCAGAATGAGAACAGAACAAAGCGGACATTCCAGTATGCTGCCAACGTAATGCGTGAAAGCCTGGATCTAGGTTCAAATGGTGGTGTAGTCATCGCCAGCACGGGCGATGATATCGAACAAGATTGTTCTGATCTTTCGGACGGGGAAAAGGAGAAAAAACTGGCCAAAATCTGGGCGGTATCGGATACCGACCACGGGCCTTTTGAAACCAAAGAAGAATCTGGTTTGTATCCAGCATCACAGATGGAGTCGAGATTTGTACGCCGAATGATACGACATCATCCGCGCGGTGGAATGTGGTATTTGCATGACCATGGATCAATGTCATCGTCTGATGACGATGGAACCAGCTCAGGGAGCATGGTGGATACCCAGAGGTCTTCGCAACCTCAACTTTCAGTGCACCCAGAGTCACTCCGGTTGCTTCGGGAGAAGGACCTCCAGTTGATGAAGAGGTATTTCCCCAACGCGACGAGGGTTATTTTCTCCCCCTCTGGGACTCTCTTAATTCGCGATGGTTTGGTGGTGCTTTCTGTTGGAGTCGAGCCGAGACTCGAGTGTTCAGTGCACATGTCGATCTCGGTGGACTCTTTGGATTCGGCTCTTCCTTGATGGTCGAGCACAGCCGTATTCAGAGTCAAGAATCGGCCAAGCAGAAAGGTGATTTCATCAGTACCATGTCGTAAGTACCGGCGATTCTTCATCCTTTGCTATGGATATTCCTAACCAGTGCAACTATAGACACGAACTACGAAGTCCCCTGCACGGAATCTTAGCATCTAACGAATTATTAATCGAGCACGTCAATTCGGAATTTGCTAAACGGCTGCTTGATACTATACGTGCTTGTGGCCAAACTCTCCTGGAAACCTTTGAGCAAATTTTAGATTTCACTAAAATTAACTCCTTTGAGAGGGAGCCAACTAGATCTCGCTCGCCCCATGAACGACCCCAGCGTGCCCAGCCGCAGTCATTTCACATAGTCAAGCAGGTGGATGTCCTGACAGTCATTGAAGAGGCGGTTGAAAGCGTCTGCTCTGGGCAAATGTTGTCAAGTATGATGAATGGAGGCGGGGCGACTGTTCGACGGTGGCAATTGGATCCCAATGAGGATAACAACAGAGAATGGCAAAACGCCGACGGCAAAAAAGTAGACGTCTTTCTTGAAGCTGCCCCTCAGAGTTGGGTCTATGTCTTAGAGCCTGGTGCTTTGAGACGTGTCGTCATGAACGTATTCGGAAACGCATTAAAGTACACCGAAGCTGGTTCTGTTTCGCTCCATATCGAGGCCCAGACTTCAAAGAATGACAATCCTGCGCTCTTATTGACAGTTTCCGATACGGGCAAGGGCATTTCGCATGATTACCTTCGTTCAAATGTTTTTACACCATTTTCACAAGAGAATCCGATGTCGCCGGGTGCGGGACTTGGTCTTTCACTCGTTCGAGGTATTCTTCGTTCGCTGGGTGGAACCATTGCGATCAAGAGTCAACGTGGCATTGGTACGGTGGTGAAAATGACATTTCCCCTTACACATTCCCAGCATCACAAGTTTTCTGAAACACAGCTTTCTGTCTCGGGAGCATTGCCGTCTAATGTGTCCCCCATCGATCGTGTTACCGCGAAGCTGAAAGGAAGAAGGGCATTCTTTTATCCCGTTGAAGACTTTCAAGTCAGCAAGCCTTCATCATCCAGTATGATCAAACAATATCTAATCAACTGGTTTGGTATGGCAAGTGGAGACCAGGCTGTTCCTACGGCATATGATTTGGTGGTCGTTGACGAGCGTCACTTGGATCAATTCCCAGTCGCGTATCACCAATCCAACCTGTTGGTCTTGTCTCATCGAGGTCCTAGCCTCTGGTCAACGGCTACTTCATCCAAAAGGCGACTCATCAACGCCACATGGTTGACTCTTCCGTGTGGGCCTCACCAGCTAGCCAGGACACTTTTGGAATCCCTTCAAAGTTTGGACTCAAATAAAGCCAATACATCCAATGATTTAGCAGGACATGAGCAGAGTGGTGAACGCCTCCAATCAAACTCAAACGACCTGCAGATCAGAAAAGATCTTCTTCTGCCGCCTGAGGTACCGGTCGAATCAACCACCTCACCTCCGTTAGTTCTGTCCTCTGTCACAGACAAATCAAAAACAGAATCCACTATCGCAGAACTGGATTTGCCGGTCCACCCCATGAAGGAAACACAAGAAACTCAACCTTTCCCATCAACCGAAGTAAAGAACGGCCCACGAATTCTCTTGGTAGAGGACAACGCCATAAACCTCGCACTCCTGAAAAAGTACATTTCAAAAATACCCACACAAGTTCTGGACTGCGCTGTGAACGGTTTGATGGCCGTTGAATTAGCGCAGAAAATGCCTCAAGGCTATGACTATATCTTTATGGGTGAGTATCTTCCATCATCAGTCTCTCTCTCGTAATCTCGAGTGCTAACCATTAATCCAACGTAGACATTTCTATGCCTGTAATGGACGGATTTGAGGCAACAAAGGCGATTCGATCAATAGAAGCGAAACGAGGCACGACGTCTCCTGCGCATATTATCGCGCTCACTGGCCTGGGGTCGGATGAACATATCAGGAAAGCTTTTGCGGCTGGTGTGAATGTTTTCCTTAGGAAGCCGGCTTCCCTGAAGGACATTTTGGCCGTGTTGAGGAAATAAGAGATGAAATGATTTTAAGTAGATGAAACGCGCATTAGCCACTGCATTGTTGGTGATAACAATAAGGTACCTATGCGATCATGCTGCTGGCAGAATTTGAGAAAAATCATCTAGAGGTTCACTTCCGATTCATGCTTCGACAGGCCCATCAGGGAAGATGTAAGCAATTCTGTATTGAAGATAGATGAGATGCCAGTCAGATCTTCGTATTAGTATGTCACCTTATTCCTCCCAAGAAACAGACAGATCTGGGGAGTTGATGCAGCAGATCCATTCCCTTGCATGATCGCGGGATAACGACTTGTCTATTCGAAAACTCAAGGTGATACGTAAGTGCATCGAATCTGCATTGTGGCTTTTCGAGACATGCAGGATTGGATCTGTCTCAGCTCGCTTGAAGACAAGATGTGGGATTCATCTCAACACGGGATTTTGAGATTCTTTGTTCTCATAAGAAATTAGATTTCCAGACCATGGCTTCATATACATTGCGGAGGGCAGGAGATAAAAAAGATCTAGAAGACTCGGAGCAGGCTTCCCAAGGTTTAACGTGGCTTGCGGATCCCATGGGACAGGTCATCTTCATCTCCACCGATACTTAATTTAGCGCCCACATCGCCGATCCGTGACAATCTCCAATCCACGCAACAGTATTTCCAACAATCATTGATTTCCCCATATGATTCTTCATATGCAGATCTGCATTTGTTCGTCTGTGCAAGGCGGGGAATTCCTGCGCATCTTACGGTACTCGCGGCTTGATCCTCCGAGGTGATGCATCCAATCACGGCCTAGTTGCGATCTGGACGGTGTAGCGGTGGGGCTAGCTGAGCTGTGATCGACAAATAGCTCTCCCTCTACTCCTGGATGCTTCCTTTCAAATTGCTTCTCATTTTCTTCAAGTCTCCCAAGCACATTGTTTCTCGGCAGCAATGCAGACTCGCTGGACCAGGAGACCGAGATACTCCCGACAGACTCAACAGACTACTCTGGGAAAGTCTGTCGAGGGAAACCTAGCAATCCAGAAGACCAAAGCGAGCAATTGTGAATTCGCTGTCGATGCCTCTCGTCCGGCCTACATTCTCCAATTACCAGATGAAGTCCTGAGCCTAATCCTCGAGTTTGCTATAACGGAAACAGACTCATGGCATAAAGAGTCGCCTTACAACAAGGCTTTAATACCGGCTCTGGCTTATACTTGCCATCGATTCAGTCGGATCATAATTTCTTTCAACTACCACACCTTACATATGGCATTTCCTCGGCGAATGATCTACCCAGTCTGCAAAACCAGAAAACTGGTAAAGACTCTGGAGGCGAATCTTTCCCTGGGCCGGTTTTGTCAAAGCCTCTCACTTTACATGTCCGACGTCTGTCCAACTCGTGTCAAGACAGACTCTGAGTGCCTTGATTTGATTATCCCTGAGTTGAAAAATGTCAAGTATCTTACGGTGCATGGTGGCTTTGAACCCGGCTCGAAGAATCACACTTGGGATATCATACAGAGGTGTTCAAAACACATGCCACGGCTCGAACAAGTTCTCCTTGCAAGAGAGGCCTTCACAGGACCAGGCTTTGCCGACATCCTACAAAATCTGCAAATACCCATGCTTCAAGAATTATATATTCACGGCAGCTCCGAACCAAATACCGACGTGTCAGGTGCTGAAGTAGCCAAGGTTGGTATTGAAACTAATCATCTTGCATGTTCTCCACTAATCAGCCCTGTAGCCCGTTCAAGCTTCAGATCTAACGAAGCTCCACCTATCCGACTTCAAAGACACATCAGCAACAATGAACACACTCATCCACTGGCCAAAATCACTCTTCGAGTTCTCCATCGAAAACATCCACAGCGACCCAGACCACAGAGACTCGCACCCAAACTACCTGGACTTACCTCTCCTCCGAAAAATGCTTGACGAACATAGAGATACCCTGACCACCCTCAGCATCGGACCATTATCTGTTTCTGGCCGGGGAAGACTTGCCAACCTCTCCGACCTCTCGGCTCTACACACCCTATCTCTATCACGGTGGCAGTTGGGTGGAGAACTAGATGTCTCATCTGACGTTGCCTCCCAACTATTAGGACCCAGTCTTGAGCTGTTTGTCTGGGATTTCACCCTCTACGACCAGACACCACAAAAGTGGTCTGATTTCGGAACACAGGAATCATTGTGGATCATGAATCTAGCTCAGGAAGCAGTGGAGAGACGCTCACCACTGAAAGAGATTAGGATCCAGTTCTCGCCGGTGATGCCAGCTTCCGAAGATGAGGACTATCCGTGGGACTTCATGGATGATTTGAATCTTCAGTTTCGGTCGCAGGGTGTTACTTTCACGTATGTCGAGCCTACGATGTCGAAGGAGGCTTTTTCGAATCGGTCCAAGCCGACCGAGTGATTGCATTAGCTTTATTCACAATCATTAATTTGCCATGTCATATGCTCTTAAAATTTATAATCTAATTCTTGAACTATCTCTATCACTTCAATCTCTATTTGGGTCTACTTACAGTAACTTCCAAATCCACAGCCACGGTGGAGCCCTGCGGAGAGATTAGATTAGATCTAGAACACCACGCCACTCGTCATACCACTTCACCGCAACACCTCCCAACATGTCCGCGCGCCTCCTCAACAACGCCAGATCCCGATCCATATCCACACCTTCAACACACCGTACCCTCCTCCTCACCTTCGACGCCTTCGATACTCTCTTCCACCCCCGCGAGCCCGTCCCAGACCAATACGCGTCAACGGCGCACGAATTCGGCCTCTCGCGTACAGCCATCACACCCCAGAAACTCAAAGCTGCGTTTAAGACCACATTCCGTGAACAGGCATCCCGATACCCAAATTACGGCCGTGCGGATGTTCTTCGCGGTCGGTATGGTGGGCCGAAACAGTGGTGGGAGGAGGTGATTCGGAGGAGTTTTAAGAGGACGTTATCTGAGGGAAATGGTTCGAACATTGGCACCGATCCCGAGCTCCCGGCTGGCTTTGTAGAGGCCCTGATCGATCTATTCGCGGGTGCGCGCGGATATACATTATATGACGACGTTGCGCCTTTCTTTGCGCGGATGCGTGAGCTGAAAGCCGCACCGAAGCACAACCGGTTTAACCAGGTGATTGTCGGGGTCGTTTCTAACTCGGATGATCGCGTTCCTGCTGTCCTTAAGGCGCTGGGATTACGGGTTGGGGACCTGCGGGCTGATCAGGATATATCGAGCGGAGAACTACCGGGTTTCGAGCAGCGGAAGGTTAGGGATTCGAATACAGTTTTGGGTCAAATCCGGTCGGATCTTGATTTGGACTTTGTTATTACTAGCTATGAGGCTGGTGAGGAGAAACCGAATCGATTGATATTCGATGTTGCTGAGCGACAAGCGAGATTATTAGTACCGGGTGTACATGTTGGCTCTGGAAGCTGGACCCGTGTGCATGTTGGCGATGACTATGGGAAGGATTATCAAGGTGCAATGGAGGCTGGGTGGCAGAGTTATCTACTTCGTCGAGGGGATGGAGAGGAGCGGGATGCGAAAAGTATCTCTTCGTTGATGGATTTGATTAACGAGCTAGAGATCGATTAAGATCGATGACTTGTATACTTGTACAGTAGCTTTCGAATTCAGCTCCACCACCCACCTCGAGGTCAGGGGTAGCTGACACCTATGTGAAAAGCATAACGGACAAATGGTATGCGCGCTCTTTGGTTAGGAGCGAAGCGGTATGAGAGCTACCGAGTGGGCAATGATGGATTATTGCATTCTGTGTGACCTTGGAACCGTCTTTAGTACGTGACAACGTTCTTGGCGCTCGGAATCCTTTCAATGGCCTGTAGACCAGGACGATGTCAGCGGAAAGCCTTGAAACTGCTTGTAGGTTAAAGAAGACACGCAGGTATTGATCTCGTGCATGATGGTAATCAGGCCGTGATTGTCAAGTCTTGGCTTTTAGCTGAGATGCTTTGCCGCAGGAGTAATTTGTGTAACCGAGAGACATCGTGCAGAGAAATATTGTGTGCCAAGATCACGACCAATAGAGGATTGAGAAGCTGGGCAATCCTGCGAGGTTGAATTCCCGCATTTGTTGATGTCAAGTCTGCTATCTTGCCCGTGCTACTAGTCTACCAGTCTATGTCTGGATAGTAGAGCTTTACTTCCGCACAGCATGTCTGCAGTGTGATGGCTATCAACGACAGCTGTGCTTATGGGACGGTTTTGCCTAGATGATGTCTCTAGTCGCGTAATCCGGATTGGGGATCAAGGTTCGATAGTACAAGAAGCCCTCCGCAATGAGAGTGTCGATCTCAACCACATTGGACATGCCCAGAGTCAGCTTGCATTGGAATTTGAAATCGCAGCCCAGAAATGCAACACATCTGGCAATAATTGGAGAGGAGGGATACAGCTGAAAGATCGACTCCCAATTGGCTTCGATGCAGCCACTGATTAAGCCAATATTGCCTTCGGTCTTAGTCAATGGGGTCAAAAGGCTATCTCGCGTTTCGACATACAACGCTACTATGTTTAATAATGGAAGTTTGGTTAACCAATTCCTACCCGAACAGCGAGCCTTCATTGAATGGATTCTCAATTTTATTAGATGAAAGTATGGATAAGTGGAGTCGCTTAAGCGTGGAGCGCCAAGTCCAATAATGTGGAAATGATTCCCGATGAAATACAAATACTCATCTCGCGGGTTGAGGGCTATTAAGATCAGCATTCTGCATGAATAGTGCAATCTCAAATATGCAGATCGTCACTTATATGAACCAAGTAGGTCGGATATGCTTTTGCTAGATAGCTAAGACTGTAGATTAGAGTTGGTGATCTGGGATACTTATATAGAGGGTTTCGGCTTGAAAAATGTAGTCAATCAAATACTCTACTCGTTGTATCTCTGAGTGTCTACTATTAAGAATAAAGGTTACCCTTCTTATTCGGTAGACAAAATGCGGTCGTTGGTTTCGGCTCTTTGCGCCTTCCTCTATATCTCTTGCACTTTGGCGAGCTTCAATGTTCCTGTGTATTTCAATGTTCTTTATGACCAGAAAAACCAGACAGATGGTGGTATTACTGTAAGTGAGCTTGAACTTCGACCGAAATTAATATACTGATACCTATCTAGGATGCTACCTTGAGTCAACAGATTCAAGTATTGAATCATTTCTTCGGACCGATTGGCCTCGGCTTCTCTGTTGCTGGAGTCCGACGAGTTCCAGTTCCATATCAAGTTCTGCATGAGTGGGCTCCTGGCAACGACGCCGCCCGATCTATCCAGCAACAACGCGTTGGCAACGCGCAAACTTTGAACATTTATACTGTTGCTCCTTCGAGCGTCTACAGCGGCTACGTAAGTAGTTCATTTCATCTTAACGAGAATCTCCTCATATTTCTCTTGCTTACTGTGCTAGTCTGCCTCTTACCCTCAGGACTATAATTCTGATCCTCGAGCCGACGGCATCCTCTTCCCCTATGACTACCTTCCCGGTGGTACAGCGTCCGAGTACAATACGGGCACGATGCTAGTTCAAGCCGTGGGTCAGTGGAGTGGTACGTGTCTACTCCGTATTGTTTCTTTTCACCATCATAATCTTTGCTTACCGCTCAAGTAGGCCTCTACCCAACCTCCTACGGCGGATGCGAGGGCGGAGATTTCGTTGACGATACTCCTGCTGAGGCAACGCCTGCGACAGGATGTCCAGAGGGGCGTGACACCTGCCCAGGTGCCGGGTTAGATCCAGTCCACAACATGATGGACTCTACTACTGAGTAAGTGAACACTTGTGATGCGAGCAAAATCAACCTCTAACATAATCTAAGCTCGTGTCGTACGGGAGGATTCACCAATGGCCAATATACGCGCATAAGACAACAGTTATATTATTACCGCGCCATTAGTCTTTGAAGCACGTCGGGGTTTGTGGGAGGCGGAGAGAGTAGGCAGACGATCCTGTTAGATCTCCAGGTCAATCAAGCGGTTCTAGGGAACTCGATGTAGCATTATGGTGTTACCATAACAAGTCCTCGGCCGTGTTGCAGTCATTACCTTCACAGTTCAGCCTAACGTATTGGATTTCTCGGGAAACGAGTCTGAAGAGGTCAAGGTGGATTCGAAAAGCACTAAGCACTATATAAACATTAAAGGCTCAGCCATAGCCCGAGCCCTATCCTTTGTATGAATCATCGACTGGTAATCTTCTTCAAAAACAATCTCTCCCCCTCAACGGGCTGAACAGAGTCCAACACACTATCACCCCCGTTCCACTTAGAAACCTGGACCCAAAACCGTTCATCCTCATCCATAGCAAATCTCCTCTCCCCCGGAGCTCCATTGTCATTTGTCTTAGCTTGCCTAGTCTGTGGCCAAACATCCCATCCTCCAGCCTGATCTTCCTCCCTCCACTGCTCCGGCTTCTTCCCATAGGCCATAGAAACATGCTCCGCAATCGGCAGCGTATTAATATCAACATCAATTTGTCGCAGCATCTTATGCTGCACGAACTCGAACATTTTATGAAGATATCTCTCAGCGTAGACTTTATCCGCTTCCGTATTCAGTTCTTGGGACTGATACCCCGTCATCATTACAAGACGGGCTGGATCGGCAGTGTCTTGGTAGAAGGCGTGCATGGGTGGTGCATCCGGCTCTGGATTCGTCCATGAGGAGCAGAATTCCAGGAGCTCGGTAATGAGGTGCTGAAATTCGGGGGCGTTGATGGATTCTGGGTCCTTGAGGGTGCAGAGCCAGAATTTGGTTAGTGGTGGCATATTGGGCCTGGCGTGGTAAGCGTTCTTGGGGTCTTTGGTGATGAAAGGGTCAATATAACCTTGCGATAGAGGGGCACGGTAGATAATACGCAATATGCGCATATGCAATCGAGTCGCTAATTTCCCTGTTCTGTGATTCGACATGGATTGTATGGGGGCCAAAACTCTCGGAAGACCCATATCGAAGGGCGGATTAAAATCCAGTTTCCATACGAAGTGAGATCATACCAATGCCCACTTTAAGCAAAGGATCAACATGGCTTAGATATATCCCCGAGTTGTAATCGTGACTCATCTCGCAAGTATAGATATGAATACCGCTTACAGGACCTCGGACTATGTGACTTTTGAACTGAACACACCCATACCTTCCATAATCCCAAATTTAATCATCTAAAATGTCCCAAACGTCAATTTTCCACTTCCCCACCTATGAAATCTCCAACGACCGCATCAAACTCATCCCCTTCAACCCAGACCATCACGGCCCAACATTCATCAACCACACAACCCAAACCCCAACCCTCTTCTCACACATGAATATAGACCACTGGAGCTCACTCTCCGACCTGAAATCCGCCTTCTACACTAGCCACGACAGACACATCCTCTCATACGCAAATCCCGACTCATTCGCCTACGCCATTATAGACAAAACGCGGCCCCCATCGTCCGATGATGCGGAAGGCGAACTAGCAGGAACGATAAGCTACATCAAAACATCTCCCGTGCACCTCAGCACGGAACTGGGGTTTGTGGTTGTTTTCCCGCCATTCCAGAGGAGTCACGTTGCGGTTAATGCGGTGGGGCTTATGTTGCTAAATGCGTTTAAGGCGAAAGAGGATGGTGGTTTGGGGTTGGGGAGGGTGCATTGGATGGCTAGTACTATGAATCCGGGCAGTGTGCGGTTGGCGGAGAAGATGGGATTTGAGAGGGTCGGGGTTACGAGGTGGCATATGAGGTTTCCGAAGGGTGCGGTTAAGGGGAAGGTGGGGAATGGGAGGGGTCTGCCTCCTAGGAGTGATCCGGAGGATCTGTGGAGGGATACAGTTGAGCTTAGTCTTTCTTGGGAGGAGTGGTTGGGCGGTGGGGATCAGAAGGTGAGAGAAATTATGAGTAGATAGAGATTGGAAGACATTTGAAGGGGAATGGTGCTTGGTATGAATGTTTCGTGATTGATAGTTTTATATACCTACAGTATCTTCTACTACAGGTTGTGCGTTTCATGTGCCCAGTTGATAGCTCTTCATTCGATTCAGTAATCAAGTATAACACCGAAACCCCATAGCCCAAAGTCCGACTGGTTTCAAAGCAGAAATAATATTTCCCCCCAATGCCAATGTACATTTATGCATGAAATATTCATAGAAACATCAAGTTTCTATTGAACGACTTAATCCCACTGACCCTTTCCAGCCAGCGCACCCAATCCTCCACCAGCATGCTTATTCAACAGCTTCGTAACATTAGAGCTGCCATTACGCTGTTTCACACGGAGTTGTCTCTCACGCTCCTTCTCACGCGCAGCAGTGTAAGAGTTGACCGCGCCACCCTTCTTAGGACCAGACGCAGCTGGTTTAGAAACACGGCTAGACGTAGTTGATGAGTTGGAAGATGTGGATGAGCCTGTAGAAATACGATGCAGGAGTTTTGGGGGTCGGAAGCCAATGGGGCCGTCACTGTTGCCACCAGTCTGGAATGCAAGCTTCGAGCTGCCGGATCCCGTGGTTACGGTGGCAGAGTTGGAGGAGGCTTGGCGGAGAAGAGCGAGGCGATCAACAACAGGTCCGCGAGTACGGCGCGGGTGGCTGGGCTTCGCGAACTCTTCCCTGGATTGTGAGTTTGCGTCGTCCGAATGAGCTGCTTCGTCGGCACCGGATGCGTTGGAGTCGTCTCCCTCGGTGGGCTCGTCCTCATCAACAGAGGCATCCTCGTGGAAGGAGTCGTACTCTGGTGTCTCGGTTAAGAAAGAGAGACTCTCGCGGATCTCAGCCAATGTAGCGGGCTTCTTTGACATGGCGCTGGCAGGAGTACGACGGAGATTGGGCGGAGGGCGATTTGCAACATCTACAGCAGATGGCTCGAGGGGCCGCTTGCGTTTATTGTTGTCCTTTGCTGGATCATCTTCCTGTCCCTCAGTGGTCATGCCTTGAGAGTCATTTTGGGAACTGCTGTCTTTCTCTTCTAGGAACTCCAGCTCGAAATCATCCTCGACGTCGCGATCTTCAAGGGCTCTGAAGAATGCTGCTTTCTTAGGGTTTTCTGCGAGTTCACCGATCTTATCATCAGCGAGTAGAGCTTTGCGCATCTTTGCAAACTCGCGCTGCTTCTCGCGCCGACGTGCTTGATGTTCATCGTCTGAGTCATCCAGGTCAAATTCATCATCGCCTCCTCCACGGCGACGGCGCAGAGCCCCAGTAGTGATATCTTTCAGCAACTTGGCAACATCCTTTTCGTCGCGGTTACGGTCATGGACACTATTCCAAGTCAGTAAAATGGCATGTGCTTTACAGGATATAAGTCAACTTACGCATTGAGCGCAGCAAGCTCTTTCTCGTCAACGGTCTCACCACTATTGTCGTTGATCATTTGCTTGTCATACGCATTTTCCTCGTCATCGCTGTCATCGCTAGCGCCACCAAGACCGGCATATTCATCCTCAGATTCCTCGGCAGCCTCATCAACGACATTCTTTGCCTTGCTGTTCTTCTTATCGTATGCAACAGTCGGTTTCTTCGCTGCCTTCTTCATGATATTGAAAGCATTGGGGTCGATCTCAAACCCCTTTTTGTTGGATTCTTCCTCTTCCTCTTCCTCCTCCTCCTCTTCCACCACCATTGACAAGTCAGCCGCACGTCCGCGTCGAAGCTGTCTGCTCTTTCGTTCAACAATGGGCGACTGGCTTTGGCCCACAATGACAGTATCCACAGTCGAGACTGGAGGGGTTCCTCTGAATCGCTTGTTCGGGTCAAACGGAGAGAACACAAACCCTTCATCTTGGGTGGGATCAGGTAGCTGCGAGTACTGGGAGAACGCTGGTCCGGCTGGGGATTCTGATACGCGAGTGACATTCTGGTGATAATTGGTCATGAAGTCAGGCTCATCATGCTGTTCTTGGCTGTCTCGAACAAGAATCTCGGAATCCTCTTGACGAAGTCTAGGCACAGGCTGGCCCGGGTCTGGAAGCGAGAATGGGAGTGTGGCGGAAGCAGGCTGGCTTGTACCGTCATCGTCATCTGCCAATGTGCCAGCGAATGCCTGGGTGAGACCCATGGACATGATGGGAGAATCTATGCCTAGAAAACGAGGACGCTCTGCGGACTGGGCTACATTCGATGGTGCTCGGACGGGTGTAGATGGCACCTGCTGTTGGGCCTCTTCTTCGTCCTCGTCATCGCTTACCACGCGGGTCGGTCGCTTGCGCCGTGTTTCAGGGACTTGCTCATCAACGTCAGAGGGCAAGGCCTCACTCTCTCCATCAGAAGACTCATCCCCATCTCCTGCTTCTTGTTCAATGAGACCCTCGTTGCCATTAAAACTCCGAGCGTCCTCATCTTCATCGCCAGACTCTTGTGCCTCATCTTCAGAGCCAGATAATTCGTAGTCATCATCATCCTCATCATTGGGATCATCCCCATTCTTCTTGGCCGCTCTTTCCAGTCGTTTGATCTCGTCAGCTTCCCGACGAGCCTTCTCCACTAAGTCCTCCATATCATCCTCCATGGCTGCACGCTCTTCAGCGGTCTCAATTACCACACCCTTGGCCCTGAGTTCTTCAATACGCTCCTGTCGCTCTTTGGCTGCTTGTTGACGTGCTCTAAATAATAGATCGGCGGAGAGTTCTGAAGAGGTCATGGATGTTGATTTGCGAGTCGGGGATGTCAAGTGAGCCAAAGCTTTAAGTTTGATCATGGAGGCGGATTCCTGCATTCTTTGTGCTGGGAGATTCTCAAAGGCAGCAATGCCACGGGATTTGGCAGCTGAAGTGACCACCTCAAGGTCGTCGCTATCTGAGTCCTCTAATTGGCGTTGAGCGATTTCTTGTCTCGACATGAGAACCCGGACAGGTGGTCTAGTAAGCTTAAAGGGTTCCTTTTTTGTCGCGGGGTGGGTGGGTAGGACAATAGGCTCTTTCGGTGCGCCCAACTCCTCGGGAGCAGGAACTTTCTCCACGGCCGGCGGGCCAGCAGTAGAAGTAAGTTCCTCTGTTCCATTAGACTCAGATTGTTCCCGAGCTGTAGCAACATCAGACGGCTTCTCTGAGCCAGACGGGTCGCGGAGAGGGGAAGTATGAGGTGTATCGCGTCTCTTATGCACCTCCGCATCAGATGATTGCTGCGAGCCAGCGGTCGATGAAGAATTTGCCTGCGCGTGCTCCGCAACAGGAGCTTCAGCCTGTCCAAAGCCGAATTTGGCGAAGAAACTCTCCTTAGTAATCTTCTTCTTGGTCTGGGCCTGGTGGGCAAGTTGCATATTTCGGCTCATCCGTTGAGTCTCCTGTCTCATTTCATCCAAAGCTTTCTTACTGGCCTTCCGAGGTTGACGGGCCTTCTGAGAAAGCTTATGTGCTGATATTGGGTTCTCAGCTTCGCTTTCCTCTCCCGATACCATATCGGAGCTGAATTTCTCCATTTGGGCTTTTCTAGCGGCCTTCTTTTCCTCTTCGATCTTCTCCCGCTCCTCGCGCTCCTTGCGTTTTTGAGCGACGAGAGCAAGAAACCTTGCATTTCCTTTAACGGTTTGTTCAATCTCCCCATCCGCATCGTCACTGTGGTCTTGCTCATCAGCAGCTGGCGAGGAAACGAACAGTGGTGAATATGAACGAGCGCGGGGTGTTGAGTTCCGAGACCGGTCTCCGGCACCTGGAGAGTGTCGTTTAGGTGCACTGTTCTTCCTCCTCCTAGGTGCAGCAGCAGGGAGGCCGTCCTCGCTAGATTCGGCTTCGACTTCGGGTTCAGATGTGGTGCTCTCCTTCTCTGTTTTGGATTTTTCGGCTTGTTCCCTCTCCGTCCGGAGAGTCTTGGACAGTCGAGCAAACGCCGAGTCTTCCTTCCCGTCCAGTTGACGTGCATCACCCTGCATACGGGCTGCCATCCGGCCTTTAGGTTGAACAATATCGTCCTCGTCATCGGAGCTGTCGTTCAATTGATTTAATTTTGTCTCGGTGGAAGTGGTATTCTTAGACCCGAAGTCCAGCTTCGAGACCTTGTTCTTTGGGCGAGTGATTTCCGAGTCTGATTCTGAGTCACTGCCAAATTGGGCCATCATGGCCTTGATTTTTTGGCCCGGGGTGAGCATGTTGGGCGAATTCTCTGGTGACGCGGAACGCGTCGACCGCGGTGTAGATGCGGTGGACATTTTTAGTATTTTGTGCGGGAGTGAGTATTGGGGGTATTTGAATGATATTATTATGAAATGGTATGGGTCATTATGGGAATCGATTGGAACAGTGAGGAGGGTTGAAGAGTCGGACGTGCGGGTCCTTCAACAAGGGCGATGTGCATAGTCTGGACGCGATGCGCGCGTGCTTCGCGTTGCTAGGCCATCCACGTGACCCTATCTTATCGGCGAGGTACAATGTAAAGTTGATACTCCGTAGTCGAGTGCACGTTAAAATGCTTCGAACACAAATTTACTTACAAGCTAGTAACTGGATTGCTTCTTTCAGGTATTATGCTTCTCGTACTCCATTTGAATTGTGCTCATAAAATACAGGTCCGTTAATTTTCGAAATCTGGATAGACGCCGTGCCGATTCCTTAGTCAATAACAATAGCAAAAGCCAAACCCAATCCCCGTCCACCGCTAGATACTCTAATGTGTACAAAAAATAGCTATGATTCGAAGTCTCACGTCAACCCTATCTTGACACGCACCACTTGCCAAATTTCAAAAGAATATGCATTGGGAAATAAAATCGAACTCGCCGATCTAGATATCAATGTCGATGTCCATATCTAGAGCCGCGATATTCTCATCGTCGGTGTTGCGGTAGCTGATCATGTACGCGCCCTTCTTCTTTGGCGTGAGGCCAGGATTAGGGTTTGAACCCCTGGGACTATCTGTGGCAGGCTTGATTTCCTTGATGTCGACGGAAGCAGCTTCCTCGGTCTTCGGCGTATCCTGAGGTTTATCAGAAACGTCGTGGTGGGTCTTGGCCACGGTTCGGACACGCATAAATGGATCGGCAACAGCCTCGCCACGAGCCACAGCGGCCGCAGCTTTCCGAGCGGCCTTACGCTCATCCAGTTGAGCACGGCGCACATTCTCGTAGTTGAGCTTCTGGTTGCGAACATTGATAAGGTGAACACGCTCGGCTTCAGTGAGTGCCTTATCGGCAACCGGCTTGTTCATAGTGGTACCCCACGAAAGGTTAGGTTTGACGATCGCATCAAGTTCCTTTTGCAACTTTTCGATTTCTTCTTCGGTGCCATTGGCCTTGGCAAAGACTAATTCCTTCTCGAGGTCGAAACGTTTGCGAACATTCCGCTTCTCATCCAAAGCACCTTGTCGACGAAGCTTCTCAGAAAGCTCTTCGGCAGTGAAACGGTGGTTGATTAGACGATTGATATCGGCGACCTTGCCGGCCAGCTTAGTCTGAGTGGCCATCTTTATATCCTCGATGGCCATTGTCTTTCGGTAACGGCTATACTCGGCCTGTTCGACGGTTAGTCACGAGAGATCATTCTCGGGTTACGGAACTACCTACCTCGGTAATGGCAGAGTCCGAGCAGGCGATGAAGGGAAAGTCTCGCACAGCCTTGCCGTGTGCCAGCTTGGCGTATTGATCAGTGACAAATGGACGGCCGTTCGCTCCCTCAATGGCATAAGGTTTGCCTTGGTTGAATCCTACAGGATATTAGAATCTGACATGCGTTTATATGAGCCGAGAGACAAACCTTCAATCAAGCAAAGACGGTAGTCATTCTGGCCAGTTTCGGAGTTGGGTCCAATATTAACACGAGCATAGCAGCCGGTAATGGCCTGCTCAAATCCAGGGTAAAAGCAGACCTGAGCGAAGTTTGTGCGGCCAACACGAGCACGGTTAATATCCCGAAGCTCAGCAGGAGGGTCATCCTTCGGTATCGAAGGAGAACGGCCAACACGGTCGTCCAGTTCAAGGTCACTTTCAGCCTCGCCATCCTCGTCAGATACATCGGAGCCAGGGGTACGGGATCGACGACGGGAAGATGTGGGGTCACGGCGACGCAGCTCATCACGTTTTCCCTTCTGCTCACGCTGGCGCTTGTAAGCATCGATGGCGGCAGATGTCTCTCCAACCTTTCGGCCACCAAGAGTAGTCTTCTGGCGGGAACTCTTGCGCTGATTTTCATCAAGACCTGCTGAGCCGGCCTTGCGCTTCGCTTGCTTGGCAGCAGCACGCTTTTCCTCGCGCTCACGAGAGGCAAGCAGGCGACGCAGGGCGAGATCTTGATTGTGGCGATCGACTTGTTGGGCACGCTCAGATAGCAGCTCCTCACGTTGGATCTCGGGCATCGCCATAATCTCTTGCTTCTCCTTTGAAGAGTAGTACAGCTTGTCATAAGGGAATATTGGGCGGTCTTCTTCGTCGGAGCCAGCCCCAGCTTCCGAATCAGACTCGGACATGGGGGCTGATTGGAGGGAGTTGTGTGACTCTGTATCGGACCTAGAAAGTTTCAAGGATATCAGTGATAAGTCTAACGGTGATATGGGGGGAGAAGCTGCACTAACACTTCGCCATCTTCTTCATCGTCGTCTCGCGCGGCCTTTCGCGGCCGGCGAATAGCCTTTGCAGTACCTTTACGACCCATCGGGGAGTGACGTGGGGAGTGAGAAGAATGCGAGTGCGATGGAGAGTCATGTTTATCCTCCGGAGGAGGGGATTGTTCCTCATCTGAGCCACCGGCCAGAGCCAGCAGCTCATCATCCAAATCGTCCGCCATAGTGATCAGCTACCCCAACAGGCACCTCTTCCGACCAAAGATCCCAATATCAAACGATAATTCGTGAGCAGGCGTCCCAGTTGACCCTAAGACCAACCAAGGTGGTGTTTTTCGTTGGCGAAGTACTCCTAACCAGGAGGCGCAAAAGATCGAAGAAAGGCTTGGGATCCCCGGCACCAAAGTCACCAAAGACCTGTATACCAGTCAAGATAAGTAAGCCCCGTGCCAACAAGGGAAATTATACATAAAACGACAGAAGGGAGAGCAGTAATAGGATGGACGGTTGACAACGCGTAGATTGTCTGTCGCAAAGTTGGCCTTTGTCGTTCATGACGTCCGGGTGCCAAGACTCCAAGCGCGCGCCTGCGCCAAGACACTGGCGCTCTTCGGCATCTTCAATTTCCGGAGATCATGAATTCGCCTTCACTGGAATTCGACAAACTACTATAATCCACAATGGAATCTCTACCTGCACTACGAAGATTTGCTCTAGCACAAGGCAGACGCCAAACCCGGACCACCTCCCCGATCTACCTTGACTTCCTCGCTCCGACAGCTCTACGAGCTCAACGCCGAAATGCGTCTACCACCAGTCCATCCGGCAACTCCAAGCCTCGGTACACCCTCAGCAAGGAGCAACGCGAATACCTCGATAGCTCACTTCGAGTGAACCAAGCCGGTGAGCTAGCCGCCACCCTCATCTACACCGCCCAAACCCCACAGATCGTCCGATCGCACCCGCATCTCCGGCCTTTGATGAAGCACATGTACGACCAAGAAGCAGGGCATTTAAAGACATTCAACAAGCTCGTCGCACAACATCAGGTCCGTCCTACTGCTATGTATCCTCTCTGGGAGGTCGCAGCCACATTCTTGGGCTGGTCAACCGCTGCGCTGGGCCGCGAGGCTGCGATGGCATGCACCGAGGCCGTGGAGACGGAAATCGGGTCCCACTACAATGATCAGGTTCGAGAGATTTTGTCGTGGGAGGCCGATGCGAAGCAGCGAGGGGAGGAATTGGATGATGAGTTGAAGGAGATGCTGGCTACGTTCCGAAGGATTCGGGACGAAGAGCTTGAGCATTTGGATCATGCGGTGGCTCATGATTCCAAGGAAGCAAAGCCGTATGATCCACTGGTGGATGTGATTCGTCTGGGTTGCCGGGCTGCTATTAAGATCAGTGAGAAGGTATGAAAGGTTCAAGAAAGCCCTGGAAGTTGGGAATTTTTGACGCCACATTCTTTTGTTATATATCCTGTTCCATAGCATGTAAATTACCTAATGTACAACAAATTCCAATTTTGAATCATGGAAGTTATTTGCTACACGAAATAGCAGCTCCAGCAAATAGGAGTATTTCTTGCATTTTCATTTTCATCTTTGTACCTATAAGATAAATACTTGTGTGGATGCCATTGTGCTCTATCCCCGCATCTTGATGGCATAGTAACAGCCATATACTGTACTGTATATAATATTGTATATCCGCCCCTTCTCGCTCGTAGACAGACTGTGGAGAGGGGCCACTGCTCTGCTGTATTTAGTTGAGTCGTAGAGTTATACCGTCGAGAGTCCAACATTCACTCCGAGCTGGTAACATGGTCCAGGAAGCCCTGTGAGAACCGCACGACCTGGTGGTAAACCTCTTCGAAGCCATTTGCACCACCATAGTACGGATCTTGAACGACCTCACCCCCTCCAACACGATTATGTAGCTTCCCGCCAGGACCAAAGTCACCAAAGAGACGTACCTCGGCGACCTGAGCCTCCACACCATGCTCGCTAAGCGCAGCCTCGGTCGCCGCCCGAGTAGCCTTTGCTCCAGACTTGGCGTTTGCCTTGCGCTGCAACATCATGATCACCGACTCCCTTTCACTCAGCAGATCCCGCAGATTAGACTTGTCCATGGCTAGCAGATAATCAAAGTGTAAGAAATCTTCCTTGGTGACCTTCCGGGCAGCGTGCGAGTAGTTGGTGATGTTATGACGGCGGAGGGTAGACATGGTGCGGCTATCTGGGGGCTCCATGCTGTGATATGCGCCCGTACCGGCGGAGTCAATCTCGCCAATGGCGGGATGTGACTCAGCGAGGTTTCGAAAGACGCCCTCGGCCATAGGAGAACGGCCTGACATCATGGTGTTAGTACGACGACCGGGGGCGCAGGGCGTAGCGGGGAAAAGGTGGGGCAGTGCAGGACGAACAAATGTTTCCTAGGCAGACAAATAGAACGCTCACGGGGCGTTGGTTTGTAGAAGTCATGATGGTAATCAATTTTGAAGGGAGTCTTGCCCAGGAAGCGGAGTGGTGGGGTGGAGGAACGTTGGAAGTAAGTTGATGAGTTGGAACAAGATATTCTTTATCATTTTTTATCGATAGGATAAGAGTGAAGCCCTTGCCTTGGGTTTATTCATTCTGCCGCACCCAGTACGGGATATACTTGAATCACGTCTGCAGATATCCAAATGCCTACTATCCCAAGACGTAGATCCATGGAGATAAGTCAATCTATTCATAGCCGTGAATATTCGTCTGCCTTAAGTCTAACATCATTTCTAAAAAAAGAAGAGCATCATTGACGCCACGCGAGGCGCAGATGGATTAACCATGGTGGCTTGTGGCTGAAGACCCCATACTGCACCGCGCGCGTGCCTCTCGTTGGCCCAGTGATGACCTGTGAGCAACGGGCCCACTTTTACTTCCCAAGTGCTTTGCATGCAATCCACGGGTCTTGTGTTTCGCAATCTCAGGGCACTTTTGGTCTTTAGATTTTTACTCCAGACTTGGTCTCGCCTCCTTGCTACAATTCTGGGAGTTGCAGCATTCTTTCATATTCTCCGAAGCCTCTTTCATTCGCTTCTAAACATCACCTTCGATTTGATCCACCAAGCGGGTCCCGCGCATGCACACTGATTCGTCTGCCAACCTCGTCATCTGCGATCGCCCGCTTCGTAAACACCAAACAAGAGGGGACGGGTCTCCTTCATTTCTCCATTCCTCTTTGACTACACGTTGGGCATCGTGCGACGAATTCATTCTCCTGGGAACCCCTGCTCTTTACCCCATTCGTGGCATCGCTAAGAAACCTACCATTCTGAAACGCCGCCGAGAGTTTAGATCCGTCGGTCGGACTAGTGATTCTAGTCAGTCTCTCTAACCACTGACATTGGCCCTTTCCCACCCGCGCTCCTGGCGCAATCTCCAGTCAACCACTCCCTGAGCTTGCACTGTAAGAGGTGGGCTTAATTTAAGCTGAACCCAAATTTCCACTGGAACCGCAATGTCCTACAACAGGCTTGGTTAGTTTCCCCGAGCTCTTTTCTCTTCCCCTTCGAAACAACCTTTAGCCACACTTGCACTATCTTGCCGGTCATTGATGGTGTATGCTTGCGGTGTTGCGATTAAAGCAAGATAGCTTTTGCGGCTCAAACATCGGACACAAAACACTAACATGCGCACGCCAGATCCCTTTGGGGACGAGCATCGGTCTCCCCTGCCGAACCCGTCTCATGTGAACCCTTATGACAATCGCACTCCGTCGCCAGGACATCACTTGGACACCTACCAGTTGCAAGATAATCCATATGCGCCCCAAGGGCACTTGCCCATGCCCTCGAGCGATCGCCTCGCCGAGCAACCAACTGTAAGCATCGCGCGCATGTGTATCACCCCCCTAAAACCACTACTGATAGTCTTGGGTGAGTAGTACTCCGTTGAAAATGTCCACAATTCCTACGGCCACCATGACGCCTACGAGAGTCACGAAGCTGGACATCCCTATGGTTACAACGATTACGCTGTCGACCCGGAAGCCCATCATGACGCTTACTATACCCAACCTTACGAACCCACACATACACCTCATGAAGATTACGACCTAGGCCAGTATCCTGAAGCTGGTCAAACCCCGTTCGATGATCATGCTCCCCTAGTAGCATCCGATAATCCATTTGGACCGGACCCCTATGACGCAGAGCTCCAGGAGGAGCCTCGGCCGACTCCCAGTCCTGCTCCTATTCGCCGTTGGAAGACCGTGAAGGAAGTGCAATTGTTCAACGGAAATCTTGTTTTGGATTGTCCCATTGCGCCGAAATTGCTGAGCCAAATTCCCCACGCCGAGGCACCAGGTCGTGACGAGTTCACCCACATGCGTTACTCAGCCGCCACCTGTGACCCTGCAGACTTCTTCGAGGAGCGATTCACGCTCCGTCAGAAGCTGTTCGCGAAACCCCGCCACACGGAGCTTTTCATCGTGGTTACCATGTACAACGAGGACGACTTTTTGTTTGCGCGCACAATGTCCGGTGTGTTCAAGAACATTGATCACATGTGCTCGCGAACAAGCAGCAAAACATGGGGCAAGGATGCATGGAAGAAGATTGTGGTCTGTGTGATCAGTGATGGTCGTGCGAAGATCAATCCTCGTACCCGTGCGGTGCTGGCCGGTCTGGGTGTGTACCAGGATGGAATCGCCAAGCAGCAGGTTAACGGCAAGGATGTGACTGCTCATATTTACGAATATACCACTCAGATCGGTTTGGAGGTCAAGGGCACCCAGGTTCATCTCAAGCCCCGCCAGGGTCCTCCGGTGCAGATCATCTTCTGTTTGAAGGAAAAGAACCAGAAGAAGATTAACTCCCACCGTTGGTTCTTCCAGGCGTTCGGTCGACTCCTGGATCCCAACATTTGCGTGCTTTTGGATGCTGGTACTAAGCCGGGTAAAGACTCGATCTACCACCTGTGGAAGGCATTTGATTTGGATCCCATGTGTGGTGGTGCTTGTGGTGAGATCAAGGTCATGCTTTCTCACGGCAAGAAATTGCTGAATCCGTTGGTGGCTGGTCAGAACTTCGAGTACAAGCTCAGTAACATTCTTGATAAGCCCCTTGAATCTGCCTTTGGTTTCATTACTGTGTTGCCTGGCGCTTTCTCTGCTTACCGGTTTGTTGCCTTGCAGAATGATAAGAACGGCCAGGGACCCCTGGAGCGATACTTTGCCGGTGAGAAAATGCACGGTGCCAACGCTGGTATTTTCACTGCCAACATGTATCTTGCCGAGGATCGAATTTTGTGTTTCGAGATTGTCTCCAAGCGCAAGTGCCGCTGGCTCTTGCGTTATGTCAAGAATTCGACCGGTGAGACTGATGTGCCTGACCGAATGGCCGAGTTCATTCTGCAGCGTCGTCGTTGGTTGAACGGTTCTTTCTTTGCGGCTGTGTATGCCATTGCGCACTTCTACCAGATTGGTCGTAGTGACCACAGCTTCATGCGCAAGTTCGCTTTGTTCATTGAGTTCATCTACCAAACGGTGGCTATGATCTTTGCTTGGTTCGGTATCGGTAATTTCTTCCTGGTTTTCCACATCTTGACGACATATCTCGGCGACGACGACCTTCTCGGAACTGCTGGTAAAGTCTTGGGCATTGTCTTCGAATGGCTCTATCTTGCCACACTTGTGACGTGTTTCGTCCTGGCTCTTGGTAATCGACCCGGTGGTTCCAACAAGTTCTACATGACAATGGTCTACTTTTGGATTTGCATCATGATATACTTGTCATTCGCAGCTATATTTGTCACGGTCAAGTCGATTGAAACTGAAGTGGCGGAAAATAACTTCACGGTCAGCGAGCTCTTCACCAACAAGACATTCTTCTCGATTATCGTTTCCCTCGGTTCAACCTACGTCATGTGGTTTGTCGCCTCGTTTATCTTCTTGGATCCGTGGCACATGTTCACATCCTTCATCCAATACATCCTGCTCACCCCCACTTACATCAACGTACTCAACATCTACGCCTTCTGTAACACCCACGATATTACATGGGGTACGAAAGGTGATGACAAGGCCGAGAAACTGCCCTCTGCAACCCTCAAGCCCGGTGGCAAGGTTGATGTGAACATCCCCCAGGACGATGGCGATCTGAACGCGCAGTATGAAGCCGAACTCGCAAAGTTCGCCATCAAGCCGCCAAAGGAAGTCCAAGTCATCTCGGAAGAAGATCGCCAAGCGGACTACTACAAGGGTTTCCGCAGTGCAGTCGTGTTGGCCTGGGTATTCTGCAACTTCGCTCTAGGGGCCGTCGTTCTCAGTGCTGCCGGCTTGGAGACATTCGACACCACTAGCACTACCGATGGTACTAGCACGGACGAGACGCAGAATGAGCGATCCCTGATCTACATGGAGGTTGTTTTGTGGTCTGTTGCTGCGCTTTCGATGTTCAAATTTTTGGGTGCAATGTGGTATTTGGTTGTTCGGATGGTGAGTTCCCTCCCCCTCCCCTATTTCCGAAATTTGAAGAACACAGCTAACCCCTTCCTAGTTCCGAGGTGTCTGATTTCATTTTCAAACATGTGTTTCTTTCAGCCTTTCCGCTTCCATCTTGCCTTGCAATATATCCCATCACGTTGAACTTGGTTGTTTCTGAACCTGAACCTCTTACCACGGCAGGCCCGGTCTGGTATAGAATGGATAGGAATCATGTAATATGTGTGACGACTTTTCACGGCAGTGCTTTTTGTTTTATTTTTCTGCACTGATGTGATTCATGTAGTATGGGATGGTGTGTTTGTTTTCTTATCTCATTGATGTCTTTCTACTCTTGAGGCTATGCGTGTGTTGAAGCATAGCATGAGGAATCTTTCTCATTGTACCTGTATATATGAGTTGGGTTTTTTTTTCTTTTTCTACCTACTTTTTCTTATCTTCGCCGAGTGAAGAGAAGTGAGTGTTGATATAGATGCATAAATTAGATCGTCGTATCATCTTTCTCTCTTTTCTTGGTATAAGATTTTAGAAGCATTTTGCTGATCATCTGGATTCTGACGGAGGCGTATTTCGATATGTCACCAACCCATGTTAGGTGTTAGGTTTAGATGCAGCGCAAGAGATCTCTGAGAGTTCTTACCCAATTCCCCCAAGTATCAAACGTAGGCATGAAAAGAATAGCCTTGATCTCGGAGACATTGTGGTGTACTCGATTCTCCTACTGAATGCCCTGACGAACAGGACACATGATCGAGATGCTCAACAAGCAAACTATTTATTCTGAGTAATCTAAACTTTGTTCAGCTGGATCTAAACAGTTTGGTTCTTTGAATGCACACATAGTGCAATTCCACCTAGAACCAGCATCAATCCCAACCACGTCTGCTTCTCAATTACTTTACGCTCCACATACCATTCCCCCAGTACGGTGAACAAGAACGCACTCGAGTTGGCAAGAGGAACAGTCAAAGACAATTCTGGCAAATATCAGCAAAGAGCACAATCAACCGTAAACAAAAGAAGCCTACCATGCTTTCCAACCAAAAGGAAAAACCAAATACTCCCCGTCAAATTAATGACCAAGGGAATAGAATAGGCCGGCGTCCGGAGAAGATTAATAACCGTCCAGAAGATTGAAACAGCCTTCCTCTTCACCCAAGAACCGGACTGCCGACGCTTCCATGCAGGCACAGGCCCAGGCGCATTATCGATTTCCGCCTCGCCCTCCAACTCTGCATTCAACTGTGCTGCGCTCCCATCACCTTCTTCCTCCGCCCGCTGCTGACTTCCACTCCGTCTCCGCACCCCTTCATCCTGTCCTTGCTCTCCCGGTGCAAGCAATTCCTGCTCCTCTTCGCCTGATCCCTGCGATCGTGATCTTCCGCGTGTTATGTCGAACCCGGAGGCTTGTTTTTCTTGTCGTGCGTTGAAGTCTGCCGCGGCGCGCCGGATAAAGGGGGTTGTGAAGCCCCATGCTACGCCGACTAGGAGGAAGGAGAGGACGTAGTTGAAGACTGAAGGGGCGGGTTCGGTTGGTATGCTTGCGTCAGGGTCCATTTTGGCGTATGGCTGGGGTTGTTGTCAGGTTGATGTCGAGGGCGTGGGTGTTGCGCGCAACACCCATAGCTACGGACCTACGGTTGGTTATACGTAGTAGGTGGTCCGTGCGTTTGATAAGATTGCTGATCCATAGTGTGCATTGAAGTTTCTTTCGACCTTCACTTTGGGAGTTGAATGAGGTTGGGTTTATCTACGCAGTGGATGTTTGGTTTGTTGATTGACCATGTTCGCTAAAAGCATACAGTGTATAAAGTGTATGAGCTGGTGTTACCTCGAGGCTGTAGATGCGCAAAATAAGCCATGTTTCGGGTTGAGGCCGAACTGCTCCATAGAGAGCTCAGATTTCTAGTATACCAAACGTATTTACTTCATATCAGTTAGCTATGGTTCTTTATGACAATAGGTACTCTGAGTCTATAGCATCAGGTACTTTCTACACTATACTTCACGTAATGACAAGAAACACGTCCACGTCATAAAGCGGGGAAGGTGGGCGAAACGGTCGGGGGACGCGCAATTGTTATACAGAATTGAAGGTTGAGGGAATTCAACTGTGATTTTAGTTACACAAATACTTTGAGGGGATTGGTTTTTGTGGTCGAATCCTTCATTGGAGACTATGATTACTTCAATCGTCGACAATGGATGATTAATTGTCTACCAATTGACTTTATCTTCACCTTCAACATCAAAGGCAACCATGTTGAATATTGAAGGATCTTATTGTATTAAAGATAATTGATCAAGTCAAACAAAGACTCGACGGACAAGAGATATTTGAAAATGACTAGAGACACAAAGAAAAGTATAAATCTAATAACGGTGAAGCAACAAATAGAAAAAGAAAAGAGATAATGACGACAGTCAGGAGTATACACAATGGACAATGAAAGTGCGGGAAAGATGAAAAGAAATGAGTAGAAGAAATGCAACAGAAATCTCAAATCAACCACTTGACTTCTTTGAGGGAATGAAACGCGTAAAGCTCTTTTTGATGCCTTCCACGTTCCAACGCTTGACCCGGAAGAGGTAGTAGGTCATGACGGCAATGAAAATATTGAAAACAATGTAAGCCCAGACCAGCCCATAGTTTCTCCAGCGCTGACTGTAGTGAATACCCGACTGGGCAACATACTGATCAGCAACAGTGACGGGGCAGTATTCGCAACTAGAAGTCGCGGCCTTGTTAAGCACCTGACCTCCAGCGGCATTAGCGTACTCCTTCAGATACTCCCAGCAAGTCTGGCCAGAGGGAGGGTCGAAAATGGAGAGCTCATCGTTGGAACAGACGACCTGGCGCCCGTGAACTTGAGTACTAGCCATAGCGCTGGTCCAATAGGTGAATGGTGAGACGCGGTACATGAAGATCCAGAATCCAGGAAGGTCCTGTGGGGGTTGCATCACACCACAAAATGTGAGTGACATGGCGAAGAGCAGGACGACGATTGCACTGGCGGTTTGGGCATCAGGGAGAGCGGCTATGGCCATTTGTCCGAATGTGCCGGCATAGATAAAGAATTGGATACAGAGGAGGAGAACGGTGCCTTGGGTAAGGGAGCTTGGAATGCCAACAACTGCGTAGAAGTAGCAACCAAAGATGAGTAGACCGGTTATAATCATGTAGGGGATTTCCACGATGACTTGGGCTATTAGGAAGGCTTTCCAGGAGTATGCTTTGCTAGGGCGCTCGCGGACCTCATAAAGCGATCTTTGAGCAACAAATAGAGGCATCAACTAAGAAACAGTTAGCAAATTGTATTTTCAGACTGTAAAATGAGAAACGAACCTGTTGAACAAGCGAGGTGAAGATAGTGCATAGCATGAACACTGAGTAGATAATTGTCTGCATTCCCTGCAGGGATGTCTTGGCTTGGTAGAAGGAGAAACCAATGAACAAACCAGCAGCAATACCCAATCCCCACTTAGAGATGATGTAAGAAGGCATACGCCAGTATTGCTGGAAAACTCGGTAGGTAACCTGGTATAATTGGAACCAGAACGGCATGGCAAACTCAGTGAGACCTTCAGGTGAATTCTCAACAGGCACTTTCTCCTGTTGCTCCTTATGAATGCGATCAAGTTCAACTTGGACTTCCTGGCTCTCCTTGCTTCCCTTCCACACATCAAACCAGTTTTCACCTTGAGGGTTGCAACCAGCGTTCACAACGTCAAGCATATACTCAGCAGGGTTCTCGCTATCTCCGCACGCACGAGCACCATGATGCTCAAAGTAATCCAGAAGCGTACGGGATTGTTCACCGATTGGGCCGAAGTAGACTGTCTTTCCACCTCGGGCCAAAAAGAGAAGTTGGTCGAATTCTTGAAAGAGGATGGCGCTAGGCTGGTGAATGGTGCAAAGTACGGCTTGACCGTGCTCGGAGAGACGACGAAGGAAGGAAACGATGGACCAAGAGCTCTGTGAATCAAGACCACTTTATCAAAGTTAGTAAAATAATTGACTGAAGAGTAAAGGAGAGCTTACCTAGTGGGCTCATCAAGGAAAAGCAAAAGTTTTGGTTTAGCAGCCAGCTCGACACCAATAGTCAGAAGCTTACGCTGCTCAACGTTCAGTCCCTCACCAGGGACACCGACAATAGCTTCGGCAAATTCTTCCATACGGAGCATGCGGATGACATCTTCGACATAGTCGTACTTCTCCTGAACGGAGACGCTAGCCGGTTGACGCAAAAGAGCACTGAAACGCAAGGACTCGCGAACGGTAGCAGTCTCAAGATGAAGATCTTGTTGCTGAACGTAGCCAGTCTTGCGTTGGAAACTTTGATCCAGTCCGCGACCATTGACAAGCATGTCACCGGTCACAACACCAACCGAAGTTCGGTGAGCCAGCACATCCAAAAGAGTGGTCTTACCAGCGCCACTGACACCCATGAGAGCAGTCAGAGTTCCTGGCTTGACCCAACCGGCAACATTGTCCAAAAGCCGGCGGGGTTCGCCCTTGATTTCAATATCGTAGCACACATCCCTCCATGTAAAGATATCAGTCTGAGGCTGGATAGCTCCCATTTCCTGAGCGCCACCTTCCCCAGAAGTCTTTTCCACGGCGACCCCATTAGGGGCCTCGACATCGGACTTGCTTTTTTTGTAACCGCGGCGCAGATGAGCAGGCTCGTGGCCTCGACGGAACACCAGAGCCTCAGCGGTACTAGTAGTAGATGAATTAAGCTCACAGGCGATGAAGTAGATGGCCATGAAGCCAACCAAAAAGGCACACATAATTCCAAAGTTCCTCCAAACATGAGAGAATTTGTATCGGTAGTTCAGCCAGATATAGCGATCGCCGTTCACAGTCAGATCACCTGCTACTGATCCAGCTATACTGCAAGAAAATGCGTCGCCGGAAAAGTCAGCGTAAGACGGGACGAAGGACGAGCAAGGGAAATCGCGCCCGTGGAACTCGTTCGCAATCAAAATCTCGAACGCGTAATAAATCGGGTTGAGGTAGTGAATCCACTCGAACCAAGGGTGCATGGACGGAACTGGTAGCACGAAGCCTGTGTACACGACAAGGGCTAGAATCATAACACCTGCCAATCCCATTGCTTGAGAAACCGTCTTCGTGATAGCTGCTAATGTCCGGAAAACCGCACTCATGACAAAGGTAATTATGAATGTGACTAGGAAGTAGAGGAAGAAGTTACCCGGCTTCCTTTGGAGACCGACGAGGAAGTAAAGGATGATGTTGAAACAGACTGCGAGAGCAAACTTCACTGGAATGTCTGCAATAACACCAGCAATAGCCTCGGTGAACGGATGATAAAAGGCGTATGAATTATGCTTTTCGATAATCGGTCGCTGTGCATAAAGAGCGTTGATTTCAGACATAGCGGTCAAGGCGTTAAGAAGGACTGCGAAAAAAAGCGCTGCACTTTTTGAAGTGAAGCCAGCAGTAGCGTCGGGAGAGTCATAGAAGGTAGAACCAATAATGAGAGCCATGATGATGTTACTGACCACGGTGGACACCGTCGAAGCTGCATCGTTCCATAACCGTTGGTAGGCACGGGTAGTGTTGAGTTTGATCTGCATTGGGATGCTGATGATATATGGAGACGTGGGACGAGTGTGCTTGGCTTGGTTGCCACGCTTCTTTTCCTGGAACGCAACAACAGCCTCGGCATCGTCCGTCGTGGGGTATTCCTCTTCATATGCATTAATTTCAGATCGAAGCTGCTTGTACTCTGAAGACTTAAGCCAGGCAGCCTCGAACTCCTCAGGGGTACGAGGAACTTGAGACTCCATACCAGGCTTCGCTTGACGCTCGTCGGGGTTGGTGATCGAGGTCAGAAAGTCACCGGTAGTTTGTCTGGGAGGGCAATACCATCCCTGCTTTTCAAAGTACTCCTTAGCGTCGTTCGCCGGTCCGAAGAAGACTTGATGACCCCCGTAAAGAACGACAACTTTGTCGAAGCGGTCATAGATGCTCTGGCTTGCCTGGTAGGCTGCCACAGCATGGGCAGAACCAGTAAGGTCTGACAGTAAACGAAGAGATTCGACAAACTTCAAGGCTGTCGCTGAATCCAATCCACGCGTTGAATTGTCCCAGGCAGCTAAAGGCGATGAAGAGAGTGCCATTTCGGCAATACTGACACGCTTCCGCTCTCCACCGGAAACACCACGGATAAAGTCATCTCCCACACGAGTATTATAAGTGTGGCTCAGACCGAAGACTGCCATGACGATCTGCGCCATATATTTTGCGAATTCGCCGCGGCTCATTCCTTGGAATCGGTGGGACGGGGTTCGTGTCGCAGCGGCGTGCTCTAGGGTCTGACCGACAGTAAGGTGAGGGAAATGGCGATCGACCTAAGTAGTTCACGTAAGTTAGTGGGTATCTCACAGAGCGATATTCAGATGGGCTTACTTCTTGATTATAGACCATTTCACCCTTGAACTCCTTTATCATGCGGCGCTGAGGAATACCTAGCTGGAGTCAGTAACGAACTTTCAAGAAGGGAAGTAGTGAAATAGCTCTTACCGTTGTAATTGATAACACTACCTTCTCCCATTTCCAATCCATGCAGCTCACCCATGATCGACTTCAGCATAGTACTACAGCCTGCTCCAGGGCGACCGAGCACAAGCAACAGCTCCCCACTCTTGAGAATTCCATTGAAGTCCTTGAGGATGCGCTTTTTTGGAGATTTGCGGAAGGCCTCTCCAATCCGAAGAGGCGCTGTTAACATTGAAGAGACGGTGTCCTGGAACTGCAGCTCCGAGCCAGATCCATAGATGTTAAGATCCTTGAACACAACACCCATCTTTTGGCTTCGTTCTCGGCCCACATCTCGCATGGCAGCGATGATCCATTTTCGCAGGTCGAATTTCCCAGATTGAGGGTTCAGGGTGGGATCTGATTCTGCGAGTGAGGCTAGACGGTGGGCAGGTCCGGCGGTAGATTGTCGTCGAGACTGCTGGGTTGCTATACGGGTAAGGGTATCGACTTCACTGGGCTCGATTAAGCCAATTGGCTCGTAGGTAGTTTCAGAATTCCCTTCTTCATATTCGGTTTCTGGAGCCAATTCCTTGTGGGGTTTTTCTTCCTCTTCTCGAGAGGAAGACATGACTGCCGGATACCTTGGTAGTCTGCGAAAAAGAAAGAAGAATATACTGCCAAGTAGAGACAAAAAAAATCCTTATAGGAGGGGAGGATTTGAGTATTTATTTAAATTTAAAATCTTAATAATCACTTGGTCAATAACTGTAACGGTGCAGACTGGGACCTAGTGAACCTTAAACTCGTGGTATCAATTAATTTATGGTGACGCTATGTGACCCGTGGACTAACGGTTTGGCACCCAGTTCGGAAGTCTTATGGAAAATAGTGGATCTCTCGGCGCCCGGAATCAGATCAAGGACGGAGGATCGGTGTCCCGGTTGCAAAGATCCGAGTGCTGATTGGTTGCGGGTCTTCACAGATCCGGGAAGTGTGGATCGTCTCCTTCGTGTTTGCCTAGCTTCGTCGATCTCTACGGATCGACCTGTCTCCGCTGACTCATCGGATCTGCCAAGGTCCGATTCTCACACAAGTTGACTAGATCGATCGGCTCGGATATGGCCAAGATATTAAGAGACATACACAAGCAAAGGATAATCAGAATGGGGAAGAATCATGCAGAAAAGCCACTGGCTAGGGGCGTCTTTCTTTTCAAACAGGGATTCGCGGACTACAGGAATGATTTCAACTCTGATTTTCAAGAAGTCAATTAACATCCTCATCCGTCGCACAAGTGCTTAGTAAGTAAACATCGCCAGGGTCAAAGTCGCACAAAGTCAAAGCATATTCACACGTGCTTTTCCCAGCGTTATGTACCTAGGGCTGTTCCAAGGCTCACCATGACACCCTACCCTTCGTCTAGCCCAATGTCTTACAGCCTCGATGCCAGCTGTTTCTAATCGAATCCACTTTCAATATACCGCTTACGTACTTAGTTCAAAATACTTAATTATACCAACCGTAAGCTCCTTGTGAAGCCGAGGCCCAAGGAACATCCATGAAATTGGTGATACGCCAAGTATAATGCACGCACAGAAGCTGCAGGCTCTGCCTTGCCAATGTCTAGATGTGCAGATTTTTTTCAAGACCCTTCATTCATTCTGACGTAAGAATTGTGCAAGAATAATGAATCCGATCATAAGCTGCCAGTGCTTGATTGTCTGCCCCGCAGAAAAACGCAACTACCGGGCGGGATCTGCTGATGCACAAATTACATGTACTGCAGAGATGGGCCCTGATAAGAGCTCGCCAGGGTTTCGGCAGTTGATCAGCGTCAGTCTATCAGCACGGATGGGCTCGATCCCGACCCCACTGTTCTAGTGCCGTTCCAGACCCCGGGAGTTACTCGTTGACATTTATGTATGCGGCAGCCGGACTTCCATTCCCGACCATATCTCGGGATGAAATGCTCTTAATAAGCGGAAGCGAATGAATCCCGAAACCCTACAAGAAATACATCTCCGAACCGGATCCGAAGGGTCCACAGGCAGAGAAGCACATGCTAGTCAATGTTTGTCTCTTTTATTATTCAACGCATGATTCATGGGGGAACCGTTTCCAATAAGAGTGAAATTGACGATTTGATGGTTTTGATGCTCCATCCTGCCTGTATTAAGCAGTCGAAGGTTCTGGTCAATGTGTAAATCAAATAACCCTGGTGGTCTTGAACATTTTCAATGAATAGAGGGACCTAATCAGAGGAATGACAGTAAGGGGTATCGATATCTCTGGTTTCGGTGTCCACATCTGCAGACTGCAGATACTGCCCCCTGGGGCTGTGCTGACAACACCGAGTTAGGATAAGAATGCACTAGGACACCGCATGGCTAGCTCCCTGTTCCAAAAGCTCCCCTTCGTCCACCTCCTGCATGATTTTGACTCCGGAACTAGTCCCGATCCGCATCGCACCAGCCTTAAGCATGCGCAAACAGTCCTCTGCACTCTTAATGCCTCCACTGGCTTTAACCAGGCAACCACTGAAGCACAACTCGGCCACAATATGCATCACCTTAACACTCTGCACATCAGCTCCGCCCCCACAGAATCCAGTACTAGTCTTGATAAAATCCACCCTGGCCGTGCACGCAACAATAGAAGCGGCGATAAGCTGATCTCTATTGAGCTGGGACGTCTCCAAAATAGCCTTGAGTTTCGTCGGTGAAGGTGCCGCGCCGCGTACGGCCATTATGTCATTGTAAACAGCTGTGTAGCCTCCTTCTTTCAGTTTAGGATAATTGATGACCATATCCAGCTCAGTCGCTCCCTGTGAGACGGCCTCAATCGCCTCCCGTACCTTCACTTTGGTATCGTGTGTGCCTTCCGGGAAGCCTACCACGCAGGCTACTCCGATGTCGGTGTCCTTGAGATTGGCGGCAGCGCGGGCGACATAGTTTGGTCGGACGCAGACTGTAGCGAAGTTGTGCTCTTTGGCTTCCGCACAGAGGGCATCGATTTGCTCTGGTCTGGCAGACTCGGACAGGAGAGTGTGGTCAATCAGTCGTGGGATATTTAGCGGAACCTGTAGTTTCGGTAATGATCTATCAGGAACGCGCTCTTTCAAAATGGAAATCAAGGCATCCCAGTCCGGGTCATTTAGTGGGACGGTCGACATTCTGGCTTCACTGCGGTCTTCTCGTCTGAAAATCCACGCCACCGAAGTGTTGCACTTTAGTCTGGAGGGGCAGAAGAGGGGTTGCCATCACGTGAGAACTTTAGAGGCTCATCACCATGACGAGGCGTTGATTCATTATTGACACGATGTGAGGCGAGGAGGTGTGGCGTTGAGGCTGGTGTCGGTGAAAAATGTTGTCCTTTGACAGGCATGATAATGCGTGCCTCTCGTCCATCTTATCTTCCTATCAGAAATCTAGAAGGCGAGAGACATATAATGATGTACACCGTGTATGAATGCTTGCAAATAAGATAGGACGAATCGCAAATTATAGCTGACACCCGGCATATCCAGTCAACGTCATGTCAGAAGCGCCTGTCGTCTAGGCACCTGCAGCCAATATCCACTATGAGTTTGCTCAGAATTCGCACCCTTAAATCATCTTTTTATCACCGTTTCCTCTCCACACACCGCCGCTTTCTCATCGACAGCTGCGGCATTCCGGCCCTCGAACATCATCCACCCGCCCAATGCGTCTTCCAGGCCCACCAGGACCGCCGCCACCACCACCTCCGCCAGAGCCATAAGAACCGGAGCTTCCACTAAAAGGCTTACGGGATCCATTTGAGGTCTTCGGGCGATGGACATTAAACGATGAGTTCTGCGCGGCGCTGTACGGATCCAGCTGGAATGAAATGGGACGTCAGCATTCCGAAGCAACAAAGATAAAGGGGGAATGGAAAGGGACAAATGATAGCGCGATGGAACAGAAGCATCCGGGGTTTCATACCGAGAAAAAGCTCACTAGGTACAAGCCGAAGAAGACATAGATGCTCTCGAAGAATCGCGAAACGCGAACGGAGAATGGCGGGCTGGTGACATTTGATCGGGTTAGCACAGGGTCTCCTGTATAGTCTAGGCATATGGAGCAGGGCTTCTCACCTTGATAGCGCCTGGCCATTTGAAAAATAGGCTGTCTGTGGCTTCTGAGAAGACATGGTTGATGATCTGGATGGTTGAAGTTGATGAGGTGGAGTTGGAGATAATCGGGGTGCGATAAGGCTGGGCCCGCTTATGTCACGTAGCCTCGGCCAGTAAGCAGGAGTTCCCATGGTATTACATTAAATCCTACATGATTCTAAAAAAACTGTCCCACTCGCTTTTTAGCATGCTCTTACTTATTTATGCTCCGGCGGCCGCGCTAATCCGTCGAGATCCATACCCCAGGGTGACCGGTCGGACATACGGTGTGGGATCCACCATTCGCTACTAGTGGGAGACCGTGGGAGACCACAGGTCCTCGCTCTCTCTACCGATCCTCCTCTAATCCTACTGTATTCAGTTCCTCTGTGCGGGACTTTGATCTCAGAGGCCACTCACCCGGCCATATATCTGGCAAACTGAAGCAAGACTGAGCAGCGATTTGAATTTAAGTCCAATCAGGCCGTCCTAGCACTTAGCTCCCACACAGCATGGAGCAGCTAACGCTACAGGTCCCTCGCTGTCCTACGAACGCATGCGTTCCATGTTCACGTGGTAAAAGGAGATGTAATAGAGCAGTACCGAGCTGCTCCTCCTGTGCGCGGTAAATAGAGGCCCTACATTCTTCCTACTTTTCTTCATCTCTCGGCAGCTGAACTCTGATGAACACCAGACTGAAGCGAGTTTGCGCTTACGATGAAGACACCTTCATTTTGGCGGCGCTACAGAATGATGACCCCGGGGACTCCCCAGTACTCTCAGTATATCTGCTATTCCTGCTCAGTCATCTCAATTATCTGACCACGCCCTCACCAGGAACCGTGGGTGGCTGCGATAATCGCTCACTTCCGGACAAATGCTCTTAGCGCACTTGGCTCCGTGGAGAAAGCACGAAGTCTGTCTCGCACGTACTTCCGCTCTACTCAATATAAGCTGGCAATCCTATATGAAAAGAAATTCTACGAGCGCCTGCCTAGCCTGTTCGTGTCCGCGGATTCAGGCTTCATCACGCTGTGCCTGTGCATGCATTTACTACAACAGAACCCTTCGTCTTCTACCGATTGCATGATAACGTCGCTTTATACCCTTGCCAAGACGGGAATTAATCAGCTAGAAACTTTGAATCGCTGTTCTCTCGACACGGTGCAAAGTATGCTTTTGATAGTGCTCTATGAAGCGGGTCATGGAATATACCCGGCAGCTTCCATATCGATGGCATCTTGTGCGAGAGTAGCCCGCAACCTCGGTCTGCATAAAATTAGGTCTAAACCACTTTCTGAGAATGGGGATGACCTTGGGGAGAAAAGAAGGACTTGGTGGGCAATCCACAATCTCGATAGGTATGTATAAGGGCGAGGCACTGTTGCCGCGTCACTACGAATCTTGGCCGCGGGAATGACCGTTGAGAGAGGAGCTAATCAAATTGAGAAGAATCATAAATCTCTATAACGGGGATGCCATCTTCAACAGTGAAGATGCTGGCAAGGAGGATCCTTTACCTCCTGGCGACGGATCTAGTTCATCAGAGGTCAGAATTCCTCTTCAATTATCTCGGAGAATTTCGGGGACATATCGAGACTTTCAACTAACATGGTGAGATAGCCTCTATTCCCTGGTATCAGTCCAACCATTGCCACACCTGCGCCCTTCAGGCTAGGACAATTCGCACGAGAATGCCAGGTGTCACATCTTGTCGGAAGAGTTGTCCGCCATGTCTTCAGTCCTATATCCGACACGTACTTCCACGGAGAAGAGGCAAGGCAACTCGAACGGACCTTGTTGTCATTTCTTCCTCTCTTGATCAAGGAAGAAGTTCAATTCAGTAACTATTGCGGAGCTCTGGCGACCTGCGTGAGGTGATTATTTCCCGTTCTGTTATTCCACATCCTTCATTCAAGGGGGCGAAAAGGTTTAATTTGTCTGAGCAGCTCCCTCTTCACACTATATTCTGCTCCCATGCTTCTCTCGGAGAGCGGAAGCCTCGATGAAACTGCCGCATTGTTTGCGATGGAGCAGCTTTCTGCAAACATGGCCGAAATTTCGGATTATATTTTGGACATGGCTTCGGACGAGAACAAGCGCTTTAGGCTGTCGCCTTTCGTGCCGTATGCCTTATACCAGACCGCAGTCATAGAATTGCGACTGTTGAAGCAGAAGGGTGAACCACAACATAGCGCAAGGGCAGACAGAATGGTACAACTACTCCAACATTTTGCCAAGCGTTGGTCTATAGCCGGTAAGTAAGATGTCTGAAAACCAGTGATATTTTTCATCTACAGAGGGCTGATTTAGTCGCTGGGGAACTCAGGAAAGTACATAGCCGCATTGTACTCCCCTAATCCACCGGTGACCCTACCGGCGCAGGATTTCTACATCAGCGAGGAATCCCATGCAAATGAGCCTTAGGATAGAAGTGGGAGAGAAACAAGATTTGTGTAATCTACTTAAGCTGCTTTCACAATTCTCGGCACCTCGAAGATGGGAAAGCCGTCAAAGATGGGAGAGCGGCTTAGAGCTTCGAGAGTCTTCCGGATCACTGACGTGAAGAAGTCTACCACCGACGACGTACCGTTCAAGTGGCAGCACTCGCCATCACTACCCGAGTTTTGATTGTCTCGAAGATTATCGATAAATGGACGAAATGTTTTATTCAATTATTGCAGAGAATCTTCCGGGCAGTCTTCGGGAAACCCGGTAGGCTCTTCTAGGTGTTGGATGGTAGTTTCCAGTTAACCAGAAAGATGCAGGTATTGGAATTTGTGTTGAAGAATACATACTACACCTAGGTCTGTTAGAGATCTGCCCGCAAATGGTGAGTGGAAGCCAACAGGGTGCCACCTGGAAGTGCTCATGAATTAGAAAAAATGTGGAAATGCATTCCTGGTACTCAGAACTTGAGCATCGATGGTCGCGATTATATTATAATAAATTAGGGCCGCACCTAGTGCCTACGATATTGCTTTCTTGTCTCTTAGCTCGGACCTACTGCCACTATAAGACTGGGAGAGGTAAACTTGCAAGCAGACGCAACTGGACGAAGGCGTGAGCGGACTCGCTAGATAGGTAGCAAGCCAAACTACTATGTAAGGTAGCGGAGGCTCCAGTGACATTCCTTCAATTCTTCCAAGGCGATAGCAGGATCTACTAGGTACTGGCAGGGCGTTTATTGACAGGGCTTATGATTCTGGTTCGTTCTCTTTACGGCAGCTTCGCTCTTAGTTGGCTATTTGTTTCTCTCTTCGTTTCTATCAATCGTTCTCTCTCGTGTCTCGACCTATTCAAACCGACTGGAGCCTATAGAGCCACCTTTTACTTTTGCGGGTTGCACAAGTTTTTGTTCCAGTCTTAAGTTCACCTCGCGTGATCAACCTAACTCCAGGAAGGCTATAGGCTAAACCAAAGAAAGCCCCGTTAGTGCATGAATGCTGATCTTTTCTTTGAAGCTACAGATTGTTCCAATGCAGTGATCAAACTAACAACAAGTTGGAAAATAGAAAATAGAAACAGAATCGAGCTTTCTTTTCATGAGCTTTAAACCAGGACTTCTCGAATCCCAGTGGCTAACTATGATAACTCCCCCACCATCATTTGCTTCACCATCCTCGGGCAACCCCCTAGTTACTGTAAGAAAGAGATAACCTCCTCAGCGATCTCCTCAGCGTGGCTCTCTGACGCAAAATGGCCAGCGTCGAGAAGCTTGACCTGCGCACGAGGGAGATCTTTCTTAAAAGCTCAGCCCCAGGGGGAATAAAAAACACATCGTTCTTGCCCCAGACGGCCAAAAGTGGCACTTGAGAAGACCTGAAGTATTCTTGAAATTTCTCGTAGAGCGCAACATTGTTCTGGTAATCCATGAAAAGATCAAGTTGCACAGCCTTGTTCGCAGAACGTTCCATTAATGCGTAGTCCAAGGTGTAAGATTCCGGTGCGATGCTGTTGGCGTCAGGCGTCCCATTAAGGTACTGGAACTTCGTAACGTCATATGTCAACATGGCATCCGCCATTTTGGCTCGATCCTCTGCAGAGTTCCTGCTTGCCCAGAACTCTTGCACGGGACCCCACACGTCGCCGAATCCCTCCGTATACGCGTTTCCATTTTGAGAGACGATGGCCTCGATAACGTCCGGGCGCCGGAGTGCCAGCCGAAGGCCAACCGGGGCACCGTAGTCGAAGATGTAGATTGAGAATTTCGAAAGGGAGATGGCGTCCAGAAATTCCTCGAGTGCGTCGGCGAGCGTTTCGAACGAGTATTTAAATCCTTCTGGTACCTCCGTGAAGCCGAAGCCTGGAAGGTCCGGAGCCACAACTCGGTATTTGGCAGCAAGGAGAGGAATCAATTTTCTATATTGATGTGATGATGAGGGGAAGCCGTGAAGAAGGAGAATTGTTTTTTGAGGAGTTCCTCCGCCAAGTTCCCGGTAGAATATGCGCACCCGACTCTTCGGTAGACTGATTGTCTTATTTTGAGCAGACATGGTGAGAGGCGGTTCAAGAACAGGTACTATCCACGATGAAAGAAGAGACTCGTTGAGTTGTTTGTGTCGTGCACAGAGAAATATATCAAGAGCAATGAGAAGATGGGTACGACAACAACAGCCGGAGAATATACGTGATTTTTTTCGGGAGTCAGAATGATCACATTCGGGCAGTGGTTACCCTTCTTTATGTACTTGCCCATAGCAATGGTAAATTCGTTACTGAACCGCCGATTTTGTCGCCCTTTCTCCTCCTGGGCTAATATACACCAACCGTCTGCTGGGGAGAGTTGGGCCACAGAGACTGACGTCAGCACTGAAATGTGCTCCTCCTTGCGCTAGCCCGCACGCTAGCCCGCACTAACCCATACGCTAGCCCGCACGCTAATCCGCGCGCTAGCCCGCACACCTCTGTGAGCTATTCCTACCTTCTTGGGGCAATTGATCAAAAGCGTCCACTAAAAGCTTATGTCGTAGAATTTGCTCATGACATCTTTCATAAAGTGGATAGGCTACGTTGAACGTGGCGCTTCGTCAAACAACACAAGCCCAACGAACTAGGATTCCAAATTGTAAAAGGTTAGAGCGACAAGTGTTAGTTAAGAATAAAGATGATGGTTTAATCTAAGCTATGGTAAGTCTGAAAGGCAGGCTAAGCAAGACACTCGGCACCTCCAGGCTCCAGCATTATATAAATGGGGAAGCCCCGTGGTTCTGGTCTGAACATTCGCAAGACAACCTACGAATATCCAGGCCGCTTCTTCCAACCTCCAACTTGATCTCTCTTTTCATTTTTGCACAGCACAGTCTACCATGAAGGCCATTGTGATTGAAAAATTTGGGGGACCCGAGTCTCTTGTTATCAAAGATGTTGCCCAGCCAAAACCCGAGATTGGCTGGGTAGTGATTCGCGTGAAAGCCTTCGGCGTCAACCATGCCGAGATGCATATGCGAAAAGGCGAATGGGCCGAGTGGACGCCTATTAGTGGCATTGAGTGCGTCGGTATAGTCGCGGCATGCCCCGGTGGCGAGTTCGCAGAGGGAACTATGGTCGCCAGTGTCATGGGCGGCCTTGGACGCACTATCAGCGGTAGCTATGCCGAGTTCACAAGAGCCCAGGTCTCAAATGTCGTTGCGCTCGGCCCGGCAGCTTCCAATATTCCTTGGGACCAGCTCGCTGCCATCCCAGAAACGTATGCTACAGCATGGACTTGCCTCTTCCGAAATCTCGAGCTCTCGAAGGGGCAAAAGCTCTTAATCCGTGGCGGGACCTCTGCTTTCGGCAGAGCAGCTATCAATCTCGCCGTCCACGCTGGAGCCCATGTTTTTGCAACAACTCGAAATGGAAGCCGGGCCGCTCAGCTGACAGCCCTTGGAGTGCAAAAAGTCGTGATAGAAGGACAAAACTTGTCTGAACGGCTCCCCGAAAAGTTCGATGCGATTCTCGAGCTTGTAGGCAATAGCACCATCGTCGACTCTCTGAAGATGGTTCACCGTGGTGGCAGAGTTTGCCTGGCAGGCTTTCTGGGGGGTCTCGCCCCGATCCCAGAATTCAATCCACTCCTGCAGATGGCTAGTGGTGTTCATTTCAGTTTCTTTGGCAGCTTTGCTTTCGGAACACCTGAATTTCCGCTGTCAGATGTACCACTGCAAGATGTCGTCAAGATGGCTGCAAGTGGAGAACTAAATGCCAAACCGTGGAAGGTTTTCAAGTTCGGTGATATACACGAAGCTCATCGATTGATGGAGAACAGCGACGCCCAGGGTAAAATGGTGGTGCTCGTGGACTAGTCCTTGTGTATCGTTATTCCGGAAGCCTGACACGTTCGACTCAGAGAATCCTGGAGTCAGAGCGCGACATCAAAATTGTGGGATGTGAACCTGATTCTTGGAAGTTCTGAGTCAAATTGAAGATGGAGAGTCGCGACTCGCTCGAGGCCTAGGAAGATCATTGTAAGCCAAGTGGCGACGATATCTTGATGAAATTGTGATTGATGTAAATAAAACGCTCAAACAGAAAACAGACGTTGATTATCTAAACATAATGTCAACAAGCAGAGGCGGCGCTCAGCACTCAAACGTTTTAAAACTGACCTGAATGACGAAATGATATGACGGACACCACAGGGACGGAGGAATTAATCAAACCATAGACTCAGGTCAATCACTCTTCTCTTGATGGGACTTTTTTGGATACGGTTCTCACGCTGCTCCTCCTCAGATGCAGGAGAATGCGCGCCCTTCTCTGGATCCTCAGAGCTGGGGTCAGCAAAGCCATACTCGGCAGCCTTCTGCTAAATCTCCTCATTCAGGCAACGCCTTGACATAGCTAATGTTGTCGCGGTAGCCCTTAGCGAAGATAATATCAGCCTCCTCCAAAGAGCGACCCGCAGTCTCGGGGTAGAAGAAGTACATGGGCGGGATGAAGATGGCGTTCATAGCAGCAAATAACAAATACGTTGCCCAATGGATGCGAGCGACCGTGTCAGGTGTGATCATAACAACGGTTCACTGATACGACAGTCTCATTATCTTCAGCCCTCGCCCGTTGGTCGCGGGAAACCTTGTGTCGAAGGAAGTTTTCGAGCTTATCCTCTTAAGGGCAGCTGCCAGTGGGCACTAGGAGCCAGAACGAGCTCCTCGTCCGTGTCCTTAGCTACAACCCGGTTGTTGGTTATGACGCGCCACTCTTCTGTATACAGCTCGACTGGTTTTCGTCGTAAGTTCTTCGCTTTTCTCACTCGGATAGCTAGAACGGTCTGAATGTGTTCGGCCGTGATTGGCTTGCCAGCTCGGTACTTTCACAAGCCCATGGGACGCGGAAGGGCTGTAGCTATCGCGAGACGTAGGGGCTGTAAACTGTCACGGGATTCGTGCCAAAGATTGGTGAGCCTTAGGTCTAGGCAATTACCCTGCTCTGGCGATTGAATCCTGTGGCCATTGACCTCGTTTCGGTTACGCTATCTGCCCGATTCCTGTCCGATTCCCACGTGATTACTGGGATGAATGACTTGACATGAATGCCCCTCGATTCTTGAAGGTTCTTGAAGAATCAGTCTCTGTTACTATTCATAGTAATGCTTAAATCTATATCTTTTCCTCTCCCATTGGATATCTTGCCTGGCCACAGGTGCTAGCCTGAACCTTAGTCAATACCCATGACATAAACTAATTATATATTATGTTCGAAGGAGGAAAACAATAAAATATTCGGTATTTATAATTACGGACGCCAAGGTGAACGCCCGCATTAAATACGGCTTCTAAAGAATAGCTTTTTCATAGGCCCTCAACATAATTACGAGGCTTATTATATTCTCTTTGCTCCCAGGATCCATGATCGGTAGGAGAGTAGGAGAAAAAAGTAAGGGTAATAATCGAAATTTAAGCACCTAGGAGTAGCAAAGCGTCATGGCCTTATTGCCTGCTCATTGGCCGCTACAAAAAATCTCGCCCTCTCTCCGATCAGGAGAGCCATAGGATTGATTTTCCACAAGATCATCTTTGTCAGTAGCATTCAGCCGCAAGGAGGCTATTATAATACTACAAACTACTTCTCTGTTGAATAAATCAAGTATATATAGATCTAATTAGAAGTTATAGAAAATTGGCTCTCTAGTTCTCTGGCCTTTGACCTCTGCAGGAAGCAGCATACTAAGAAAACTTGACGAAATATTCCCAGGAGCTTGCAGACTGCAGCCAGAATTTCATTCATAGGATAATGAGGTAAACTGCACAGTGCGTTTGCTCCTAGGAGGTAGTATTGCCACGCAATTCTGCGGCTATTTGTGATACGTACCTTTTTTGATAGAGTATTTGAGCATTCTAAAAATGGGAAGAGACTTTTGTGAGGGGTAGCGTATTGCGTTTTATTAGGGTGCCTGGGTCAGAGCGCTAGCTCTCATGTAAGCAATGCTCAGAGAGCAAATTAGAGCGCTCAGATCAGGCTCACTGAGCACCAAAACGGAAGGGGAAAGCCAAGACTCTGCATGGGAGATCCGGTACGTAGGTGGTAGTCTATCCCCCACTGGCAATTTATTTTCTCCACTAATCACAGCCACATCCCCACGGAGGTTGCAGGAGATCATCGCACTCTCCTGGATCCCAAGAGGGCAATTCTCCTGCAGAATGCGACCTTGATAGTTCAAGTGCGACTTTCATTTGCCGATGAGCCGTTATCTCTACTCCGGTGGAGAACTCAGTCGATTCTAGTATAGCTGAGAAAAGAACATACATGTATTTAAGCAATATTGCCCAAATGAAGCCAACGATTTTAACAGGGCCTATGGATTTTGAGCACAACTTCATTCAAGCGCTGCCATGACTCCTTTTTTGTTGTGTCCGTTGGCCGTGGCATGGCTCGCAGGTCAAGCCTCGGCTATTGACCTGACGGTATCAAAGACGGGTGGAAACTCTTCCAGCCCCTTGCTCTATGGTATCATGTTTGAGGTAGATCGATCAAATCAATCGTTGTTGAATGTTTACTCATTGCTATTATAGGACATAAATAATTCAGGTAAACGCATATGACTGACTTTCAAAATGGAAAAAACATTAACGAGGAATAGGCGACGGTGGCATCCATGGTCAATTAATCCGCAACAATGGTTTTCAAGGCGATGACCCAGGCCTTACTGCATACTACGCAGTGGGAGACGTGACCATCTCTCAGGATACCTCCAATCCTCTCAGCACAGCCATCACCTCTTCGCTGAAGGTGACCGTGCCTTCTGACACCACGGGGTACGTTGGCTTCTCCAACTACGGATATAACGGAATTCCTGTTCTTGATACGACCTACACCAGCTATTTCTGGATGAAGGGAGACTATTCTGGTATCATTAACCTCAGATTGGTTGGAAACTCTACCGGCACTGTTTACGCCGATCACAATATCACAGTTGACAGCAGTGCTTCGGAGTTCACATATTATGATACTTCTTTTACCTCTACCGAGTCTTCGGATGCGGATAACGCGATGCAGCTGCGTTTTGATGCCTCGGCTGTTGCAGGGAGCTCCTTGAACTTTGGTCTAGTGCAACTATTTCCTCCAACTTATAATTCGCGGTAAGTGTTTGGGTATTATCTTTTTGCTTTATCTCCGTCCAATTTCCATGCTGACTTTCAATTGCCAAAAAGAGATAACGGATTGCGGGATGATGTGGCTAGCTTTCTTGCCGAAGTCAAACCGTCCTTCCTTCGCTTTCCCGGAGGAAACAACCTGTAGGTGATATCATAGTAAGCCATGTTCTTCAAATGCTAAGTCAGTGACCTTGCAGTGAGGGCGACACTCCTAGTGATCGCTGGAAGTGGAATGAGACTATTGGAGCACTTACTGATCGTCCAGGTCGTGAAGGTATGGTGGCTCATTCTACTTTGATTGAAAATTAGACTCATTTGAAATAATGGTTAGGTGACTGGGGCTACCCAAACACTGATGCCCTCGGTGAGTCAGGTCTCTAAATTGAGCTAAATACAGCTCTAACTTTCATTCAGGGCTGGATGAGTACATGTATTGGTGTTTAGACATGGACATGGAGCCCCTGCTTGCCGTCTGGTCTGGCCTTACTCTCGATAATAGCGCGGTTTCGGGATCTGATCTCGATCCGTATGTCGATGACATTCTGAATGAACTCGAGGTAAGTCTAAGAATACAATGTTGGAATCAGCCTCTCACATTCTACTCAACAGTATTGTCTTGGCTCCACTGACACTACATACGGTGCTCTGCGAGCCAAAAATGGCCGGACCGAGCCCTGGCCCTTGCAATATATCGAAATAGGGAATGAGGACAATGTCTACTCAAATGGATGTGCTACCTATGCAAGTCGGTTTACACAGATATATGATGCTATTCATGCCGAATATCCCAACTTGACAATCATTGCATCTACCACTGACACTTCGTGTCTCCCATCAACTATACCTGACGGTGTGATCACTGACATCCACTACTATCTCTCACCTGATGGGTTCATCGATCTTTTTGATGAGTGGGACAACTGGTCTCGCGACTGGCCTATTTTTGTTGGCGAGTATGCTAGCACGACTGGTAATGATGGGAGCACCACATACTGGTCAAATATGCAAGGTAGTTGCAGCGAGGCCGTCTATATGATTGGAATGGAGCGAAACAGCGACATCGTCAAGATGGCTAGTTTTGCCCCACTGTTGGAACATTATGATATGGCAGAGTGGTCGGTATGTATCAATTCCCTCTTGACCCTGCATTATAAAGCTGTAGGTGTTGACCATCAGTAGCCCGACCTTTTTGGACTTGACTCTAGTCCTGGTTCCATCACTGGCTCCACATCTTACTACGTCCAGAAGATGTTCTCAAGCAACCGCGGCTCCACCATCCTGCCTGTCACCTCTGACTCGGCCTTTGGGCCTGTTTACTGGGTTGCCTCTGTGTCAGACTCGGGCACTTATTATGTCAAGCTTGCCAATTATGGGTCAAGTGCAGAGAATCTCACCATCAATATCGAAGGAACGACCGCTGGCTCGCTCGAGTTGCTTTCCGGGGGTGAGTTGGTAAGCAACTACCCACATGATGTATCAATCACCACATCTACAACGAGTGTTTCTGGATCAGGAAGCTTCACGGTGGATATGCCAGCTTGGGCTGTTGCTGTCTTGGCAGTGTCGTGAGACGGTGTCAACATAGTTGAAGATTGAGAATCCACAAGACGGGCATCTGGCTCGTTGGGAAGGATAGTGTGGAAAGGCCATATTCCTGAATTATTTTGATAATGTAATCTATTGAGAACATGAAAAATAGATTGCTATTCGAGAATGTCCGAATTGGAAGATTGATACTCTGGAAAAAAAATACCAAAGTTCAACTCTCCACTTGTAGTTGGGGAATCACGTGCCGGAGCTTCCAGCTCAAGGGCGGAACAGTCACTGCCAAAGCTCCAACATCATCACCGTCTGGCATCTTGCTACCTCTTTTCTACACATTGTTAATTTGCTTTCTTGCATTATCGTATAAACCAAGTCACTTTCCTCTCTCTTTCTCCGACCCCTAGAAACACCAATCACCTACCCGTCCACTGTCGTCATCATGTCCGTCCTGAAGCCCGAGAAGGACTTCTCGAAGGACGCCGACAAGCTGATCCCGGAAACTGAGGCTCTCGCTAAGGTACACCTCAAAGCTGTTATTTGATGCTCAAAAAATAAACTAATCCCATCTGCAGACCGATGTTCAGGGTGCGATCGATAAGCTGTTGCTGCTGGAGAAGCAAGCACGACAGGTATGTTTCCCGTTTCCTGTTCAAATCATCCAGATCCACGCTAACACGCATCACTTGTAAAAATAGGCTTCTGATCTCGCTACTACCTCGCGCCTCCTGATTACCATCGTCACCATCAGCAAGAACTCCGGCGACTGGGCCCTCCTCAACGACCAAGTGCTCCTGCTCTCAAAGAAACATGCCCAACTCAAGCAGGCCACAACGCGCATGGTGCAGGAGGTTATGAAGTTCTTGGATGATACCCCGAGCATGGATATCAAGCTATCTGTCATCGAAACCTTGCGCACAGTCACCGAGGGAAAGGTAAGTTTGAGTGATCTATGACTATCGCTTAAACGGCACTGACCTGTCCAAAGATCTTCGTCGAAGTCGAGCGAGCCCGCGTCACACGAATTCTTTCGAATATTAAGAAATCGCAAGGTGATCTCAATGCAGCGGCAGACATTCTTTGCGAGCTGCAGGTGGAGACATTTGGATCGATGACGAGACGGGAGAAGACCGAATTCATTCTGGAGCAGGTCGCTTTGTGTATTGAGCGTGGTGACTGGACACAGGCTTCGATTCTGATCCGCAAGATCAACAAGCGTTATTTCAACCGCAAACCGAAGAAGAGCGCCGAGGAAATTGAGGAGCTCAAGAAACAGGCGGAGGAGCGAGAGAAGACCCGTGGGCCAGATGAGGCACCGATGGAAGTAGACGATGATGTGACCGATCTCAAGCTGCGCTACTACGATCAGCAGATTGTTTTGGCCAACCATGACTACAAGTACCTCGATGTCTGCAAGCACTACCGAGAAGTCTTGGACACCGAGGCGGTTGAGAACAATCCGGAGCAGCTGCGCGCGGTAAGTCCACGAATTCGTCGGACAATACAGAAAGAAGGTGTATGGCTAACGTGAAATCTCCAGTCTCTCGCACGCATCGTCTATTATATTGTTCTTTCCCCCTACGACAACGAGCAGTCAGATCTGCTGCACCGCATCCAACAAGATTCGCGACTATCACAGGTCCCCGAGGAGGCCCGTCTCGTTAAGCTGTTCACCATTCCCGAGCTCATGCGCTGGCCCATGGTCGCCGAGCAGTTCGGCCCCCACCTGTGTGGCACCGATGTGTTCGATGCTGAACCCAAGCAATCCACCGAGAACCAGGCCAACCGAAGATGGCAGGACCTACGCAAGCGTGTCATCGAGCACAACGTGAGGGTAGTGGCCAAATACTACACTCGCATCCAGATGGGCCGACTCACCCAGCTTCTGGACCTGACTGAGGAAGAGACGGAGAAGTACATCAGCGATCTGGTCACCTCGAAGACTATTTACGCTAAGATTGACCGGCCCGCACGACTAGTCAACTTTGCCAAACCTCGTGACGCAGATGATGTCCTGAATGAGTGGAGCAGCGACATGAAGAACCTCCTTGGTCTTCTGGAGCGCATTGATCATCTCATTACTAAGGAGGAGATGATGGCTCGTATCCTGCCGACTCGTGGTGAGAAGCCCAAGGCTCGTTAGTTCTCTTGGCGGGCTTGTGGAAGTTTGATGCGGGAATATCTGCCTATGTGTAAAATATCTCGCCGGTAGACCCTTTATGAAGAATACACTGCGTTAGTGGCAATGTCTATGTAGTGTTTCCAGTAGATAAATTTCCATGTCTGGTGATTCCAATTTTCCTCCACATTCACTTCAAATAAGGTTGATAAGATTTCGTACTCCATAAGATCTAAGTAGCCTTGATTCATGTCTTACTAGCCTACGTTAGACCTTTCTCCAGCTAATAGAGGACGAATAGTTACACTTGCCTTACGTATGTACCCAAAAACCTAAAATGAGTATCAAAATTGTATTCTAGATCATTCTATAGATCAGAATTCTACCTAAACTTATCAGTATCAATCACAGCCAAATCTGCGCTGAAAGCATTGGCTACATACACACCACCTACCAACAAAATGCATTTTCTTCCAAAGCCTAGCAAGCATCATCTGCTGCTGACCATCACAGTTCTCAAAAGCCCCAACTCCAACACTTCCAAATTTTATAGAGGCATCCATTACATCCGCAGTCCTATCCATATGCACGGCCTTACCATCTCCAACATCCACAAGCGTCAGTCTGCCGATCTGGACAATCAGCATTCGCAGAATGTGAGCCAGGACATGAGGGGCTGTGTACACAAGATTCCGGTCTGCCTGAAGCAACTCGTTAGTGTCTAGCAGTACACTGATAATGCAGTTCACCCTAGGGCGGTAGCAGAGAGCAATGCTGGGGCTGTCGACTATTTCAAGAATTAGGAAATTCTTGCCCAAGTGCCCGGCGAGTGCGAGGAGCTTCCTGCCAAGGGTATAGCTGTCTAGCTTAGGCTGGGTGGATAGGCCCATTTCCCAGTTTGTTAGTGAGGTGATGTATTGACCTCGGATTTGAGGGATGTTGTGATGAATGTGTTTGGGGATCTCGGCGGACATGTTTATGGTGATGAGTAGTTCTGGACGTACCTTGGGGGTTGATTGGAGGGTTTGTGTGGATTGATGTGAAGATAGATGATGCGTTGAGGATATCTGTATTAGGGAGGACAAGGTCTTTATACTCGGGCCCTGGAGGACAATTCGAGATAACGACTTGGTCTGAGTCGATTAGAAATGCATTGTTCTAGATTCTTTGTCTACATATAATGCAACAAAGCAAACGATTTCATTGTCAAGTCCAGATGACCTATTAATAGTACCAGAAACGTAAAGTCGAGTTCAATGGGACCAAGACTGGACCTGAGACTCGGGTCTAAGCCTTGATCTCGAAGAAAGCCCTTTGTGTATGCAATGAGACGACAATGTCTATGTTTCAGTCCAAGCTTTGAATTTCAAATGGAGAAAATAGGGTTCTTGTTTTACGAGTAAAGATTAGATTAGATTTTGAAGGTTATTTTGTACTTATCATATATTTATTATGCAGCCTTGAGAGCTGCTATGGTATTTCAAAAATTATATTCATCAATAGAAACACAAAAGAATTTGAGAATGTATAGAGTATACGATGCAGAGTGTTAGCCCTGGTGCAGAGGGGCAGAGGGATTCGGGAAAGTGAAAGAATGCAGCCTTAACGTCCTCTCGGAGATAATTTCAAACCTGAGCCCTGCTGGCCTAGCGGTTCATCCTGGTCTTCTTTGTTGCTATGTCCTTTGATTTTCTTTTTTTTTTCATCTATAAATTATTGTGATTTTTTTTCTGGACGTGTTGTATGGTTTCCTCGTGGGTGTGGAGAAGTTGGAAAAACATCATGCAGCTGCGGAGGTATCTTTGAGATTTGCTCGCGGACCTTGACTATTTGCTTTAAATTTCTAAAGATGCAAGATCGAGGGCTCAAGTCCTGGTTGTGGGTCTTTCTTCTGTGTCGTTTCCTGAATCCCTTTGTTTAAAACGTGACGCTCAGAACCAAATGATCTAGTGAAGTAAGAGATGCCGGTAGTATACGCGATATGAGTGTCTCAGAAAGGCACATCCATATCATTAACGTCCTCCTCCTCAAGCGCAGTGCCATTCGCACTGCTCTTCTCCACCTGCTTTCGAATGAACTGCACAGCAGCATCCAAATAAGGCCGCTGACTCGGCAAAAAGTGACCACCAGGATGCCAAACAACCGAACCATCTTTCTCCGGATTCCCCACACAGGCATCAATCAATGTGCGACTCCTTGACTCATCCACAACCGCATCCAAGGAACCAAGCACATGCAAAACTGGCGTCTGGATAGCCGGGTGCTCATAGAACCCCCGATACCGAGCTCCAGGCGCCCGGAACCCACTATAGCACAGCGCGAACTTGAGCGGTGGATGCGAGAGCCCGGCCGCAAATGACGCAGGATAAGGCATCCCCTCACTCGTTTCAAAATGCGCAAATCCATCTTTCCGTCCTGGTTCCAATAGCGCAGCCACCATACCAGCCAATGCAGCGCCCTGGGAGAACCCGATCACGCCATCGAATGGTCCTTCTTCAATGAGGGTCTTGGCGACTGTGGCAAGACCATCCTCAATACCGGAATATAGGGGTGGGTTTGCGGTGTTGGAGCGGCGCCACCAGCCGTATGCTTCGATGGATTCCTCCGGCTCGACGCTGGATGCGTTCGACGGCTCGTACCCCGGGATATCGCTGGGTTTGAGGTGGATAGGACCTGTGGGGTAGCTGGCTGAGACGTCGTGTAACGGAAAAGCCTTTTGGATATGTTTGATCAGGGCACGGCTTTTCGCATGGAAAAGGTTGCCGGACTGCGTGTAGCCGTGCAACATGAGGATTTTGAGAGGCTGTCGCGCCGCAGCCGCTGATTGTGTAGCCATTGCGAGTACAAAGCGAATTCCTCGATTGGCTTGGAGGATTTATGCAACCTCGTTCTACACCGAGGTAAGTATTTAGATGTGTCAATTGAATGAAGAACCAAGTGGAAGTCCGAAGACTTATCCGGGACTACGAGCGATAAGATAAGGCGGCCCATCGTAAAAACGCCCCTCGGTCCCTGATTACATTTCGTCACATCAACAAACCAGATCTCTCGTTTACGTCTACTACATCAAAAGTTGCTTTTCATTCTCCAAAATGGCCTCTCGAACCGATCCTGCCCAGCTGGAGCAGAAGATGGCGGAGCTGATTGAGTACGTCCTACCTTCCCGCCAGAACCCTAATCCTATACACTGTCGTCATCGTCATGCTCCGGGCAGTTTCCCATGAACCAAAACCGAGCCCCCTTCGTTTAACCAAAAGTACCATGTAAAGTGATCAGATAATATTCATCTGATATAGCGCCTTCGAGTCCCACCCCCAAGTGCAACCGCCAAATCCCCACCCAACGGCCTTCTTCCTCCTCGACTTCGTCCGCAATACTCATAGAATGCTGAAGACCGTTGACGCCGCCAAGTACGCTGCTGGCGACAACGATGCCACGGAAACCGTCAAGGAAGTCATTGGTCGCAACCAGTTCGCCAACCTGCTGCTGAACGACTCGTCCGGCAAGCTGTCGCTCATGACCGGCGGCGATCCGTCGAACCCAATCGATTTCGGCCCTGATATCAAGGCCAAGGCTAGCGCTCTGAACTAAACGAGCAAAATCTCAGACCAGCGCATCAGAGTGCTGGGCCTTATTCTCCTAATTTCTATTTCGATTTGATTTTGCGCCTTTTGCCCTGCGTGTCCTTGCTTTGCTTGCATGGTTATTATGGACATTTGGATATGATTTACACGGTTCGGATGTTCTTAGCAAGCGGGATATTTCTTTTCCAATCTGAGTTATACTCGGACTCGGTTTACTTCCAATTGAACAAGGGCAGAATACCTGCCTCTCAAGAGGTTTCGATGTGACACCCTTTGTTCAATATATTTCATCATCTTCTCTTCGGTGAATGTGTCATTCGTTTCTATGTACTATCAGAAGAAAAACAACGTCATACCCTTCAAAAGTTTTGAATTTTGCTTATTAAAGTTTCACGAATTCAACACGACCGCCATGATATATATCACAGAACCCACATTGGAATTAGTAGCATAGCCTTGGGGGTGGGTATTAACACCACTCTGCTAATATCTGCCAGCCTCCGTGAGAGCAAATAATTACTCTCCAATTCATGGGACACCATGGACCCCCGATATGCATCGAAAATGATGTCATTCATCATTCCTGGAAGCAGGAGGGATCAGCAGCAGAAAGTATGTGCACGGTTACGTAGCTGTCGCGGGAGTGGAGTCAAATTTGTTTCTGCATGAAATTCAGCTCCAGTTATAATCCTGAGCCTCTTCACCACAGCTGCGTCCGAGACGGTACGATGCTTTAGACGGGTAGTCACGGCTGCAAACACACATGACGTTTGGAATATTGTCATAGTATTCAGTGTGGTTTTACATAAGAGTTTCTGGTTTGGGGGCGTTGGCTATGGCGGTAAAGGTGGGGCGAGGCTTTAGGGTTAGTGAACTAGTTGAGGAATGGGGGGTTCGGTGTGGAATGGGGAATGAGTGGCTTGGACTTGGTCAGCTATATACAAAAGCTGTAAGTGGTGTTGTGACATGGTGTGGATCGTAACGGCTTTTCTTATGAATTAGTGGACTTTCAGTTGTAGGGGCCCACGTTATTTGCCTGTTTGAGTGGAGAGATTGGTTTGATCTCGACCGAGCTCTACTATACCGAATGTGGGATGAGGATGAAAGGTTTACGAGTGGGTAGGTTGGGGAGTGCGTATGGTACTGTGGGGTTTGGTGCAGGGCGTCTTGACAACAAGTTGTATCCGGTGGCAATGAGGGCCAGACTCGTGAGACTCAACTACACTACGGGCCAGTTTACGTTTACTCTACTTTCCAGATCACTGTGGGTACAAGGTACAACTCAGATTTGAGTAGATACACTTATGCAACAGAAACAATAAACCAGAAATCAATAAAAAACACGGCACAAGTCTAGCAAGGTGCCTTTTGTGCCAGATATCCGGAACTCCCTGAGCTGGATGCTGCGTGTTGCTTTTTTTTTTTGGTCGTTTTTTGTCGAATGCTTTTGGGGGTTGGCGAGGTATTCCATCTTCTATCTGTCATCATTCGCAAAAACCAATAATAAAAAAACGCGCTGTAATTTTAACGAAGTCGAAACATCACAGCGGAAAGATAGCAAGGAAAAACGGTTAAAACAGAGAGACTCGACGGATCAAGCCACATTCGATATCCCATTTTTGGTGGAGAAAAGGAAGAGTAATAGGTGTAGAGGAAAAAAGGAAGTACGTTTGGAATCGTATCATATCATTGCCTCCTCAATAGAAGTAACCCCACGGGATCAAACGGTATCGAATTCTCGACCGGGGATCGTTCATTGAGAAAAGGAGTTGATTTGGTATGTGACATTTTTCACGGCGGTCTCTCGTCGAACCGAACCGAAGTAGTGCAAGGTCCAAAAACCCAGATGTGGTATTTTCATCCCCATTGCTCCATGCTATTCCCCACTGTGCGTTTCAACAAGACAAAATAAGAAAAGAAGTTATTTCGTAGCGTCTCGTTTACTTGCGGCGGAACGAGCAGCCCTCGGTCAGACGGGCCTTGCCACCGGTGGGCTGGCACAGAACGGTGGAGCAGCCAGCGCAGATGACAACGGTCTGGGCGTGAGAGAAGACGGTGGTGATGGTGAAGCAGCCGGGGCACTTAACGTCCATGAAGAACGAGCGGGGCTGGGGCACAAGGGTCTATCCAGATGAAACTGTCAGCGTCTTGCAAAAATTCGACTTCTTCGGATGGTATAGATGTCGTTCGATTGGATATGCTCTTGAGGCTTCGGAGGTTCGATGTATCCAGCTGGTTGTCCCCCAAATCCATCATCACCCCTGGGCCACAATACCCATTTCCGAATCGAGAAGTGTTCGTGTGCGTGTCGGGGATTCCGGGGAATCATACCTTGAGCTTGTGCTTGCGGGCCTCAGCCTGAGGCGTGGGGTTGAGGAGGTCGATCGCGAGAACCTGGATGGGGATGCATGATTAGCCAAGCCGTGAAAGAAGATTTTGATGGAGATGTTGATTCTGGCCTCGGTTCAAAAGGCTTTTGGTGCGGGATGGGCTGGGAAGTCGAAATCGAGGGGAGAAAATTTCAGATCGAGCGAGAACGAGCGCTTACCATCTTGGCGATAAAAGATCAGCGAGGGGGTTGATGAATGGCGCTGATGGCGATGACCTTGTGTGATACTGAAGGAACCCAGGAGAAGTTTGAAGGGATTTGTCGAATGGGCCTGTCTAGGGTTTAACCCTCGCTAATTTGACCAATTTGGGGAAATTTCAAGTGCGGCTTCCGCCAATCACACCGCCTGTTTATATCCATCCAATCCACTTCCATGGTTCTGCCGCCTCTGGATACATTAGATAAGCGAAATTGTGTCTCGAGCGGGAAAGCAGTCAAGTGCGTCCTTGCTTTTGTATACATACAAGCTTCCCTCCAATTAAAACGTCTCACATTACACTCATATTTCTATGCACTCGGAGCAACCGGTGGTCAAAGTTATGTACTTGTTGAAATCAAAATCATTACCTCCTCAGATGTTCTTATCATCTCTCGAAAACCCTCAGTTGCAACACAACCGACATCCCCGCATTTTCGCCAAATAGATGAGCTAGACCGGTCGTGGTGAACAAGGTTGAGCTATGCTGCACGAATCCGACAAACTCTTAAACAACTGCGCATGAACTGGCAGTGTTTAAATCGTCTTTTTTAACGCACCCTCCACTTGTGCCTTTGTCGCCGACCCGTTCTTGCGGTCTGTCTCCTCGACATACGGGTATTTGATGGTCAGGCACCAGATGTCGATGTAGTCGCAGATGGTAGTGATCACATCGAACTGGAAAAACAAAACCAAGTCAGCAATGTGCTTGAGGAAAAGGTCAATGAAACTTACCACAAAGCTTCCATAGACTCCAACCGCCAGACCGAGACATCCGAACACGAACATCGTCTGCCCATTACCTTCACTGAATACAGGCTCGGACCAAAGACCGACCAGCGGGCCAGCACTGTCCAGCACACCGAGAGCGAGTGGCCACAGCAGGATGTTCTGGTAGGGGAAACCAGACTGCACCAAGTGACCAACAATAATGCGGCCGACGGAATAAGCATTGATCAGACCAATGTACATTCCAAAGACAACCGTGTAGTTCTCCAAGACAGCCGGGTTCAGGTACAGGTAAGCGGGGATAAGGGTCCAGATTGCCACCAAGGGCAAGAGGCCACACAGCGGCGCAATGGGGTCCTTGCCACGCTGGCGACGCACCTGCATCACATGCAAAATGCTCGATCCGATGGCAAAGAGAAGCATAAACGCACCGTACACCAGGTACCACTGCGTAAAAGGCATCTCATAAATCTGCTGCGACATGAAGCCGGGCTTGGACACACCGAATGTCTCCAACATCGGCTGGTGCCAGAAGCTACCGCCACCCATGTAGGCAGTGAATGCGTAGACAGTGCAGAGAGTGAGGATACCCTCAACAGGGCCGGAGATGACGCCCAGAGTCAAGACCTGGGTGTAGTATTCGTCCCAGGTCTGCACGTAGAAAGTCATGGTCGATCCAAACAGACTCAAGATCGTAGCCCAGGATTGTCCGAGATTCATCGCCGCCGCAAAGATCAGAACGCCCAAGCCGGTGTTGCATGCATCGACACCTATCTAAATCAGCTATTGTCCCATACTCCAAGCTTGGAAAACCTACTGTGATCGAACAATTCTCCCAATGGTCCACTCTGCCTGGTTCTCCGTCTGCAAATCCATCAGCGATGCCCAATCCGAGTATATTCAAGATCACGTACGCTTGCATGCCATCTACGGCATCAAAAGTCTGGTACAAAAACAAACCCAACGCTAAGCTCGCGTAGACCCATGGTGGACAATCCGTGTCCAAGTTGGGATTGTACCACATCACAGTGATGAAATTAATAACCACAAACATGAATCCGGTCAAGGTAATCTAGCACAAAGATTAATCACCACCCAAATCCTGATATAGATCCAATCGCATTGCCCAGGATCAAAGATAAATGCAGACGTGAATCGAAGGAAGTAGGTAAACTCACGGCATTGGGACTGCATCGCGCAAAAAAGAAAAGAACTAGTTAGCCAACGAACAAAAAGATCAAACCCTCCCAACTGAAGCCTATGCTTTATAGCTTCCATAAAGGCTCCATAGCCTAGTCCAGTAGGAGAACAAACGGAGGGAAAACTTACGCCATCCCCATAGGAAAACACCCAATCACACATTTGTTATAGAACGGTTTGAGGATGTACAGACTGATGAGCGAGTGATCGATTCCAGCATATTTGTAGTTCCGCAAATTAGGCAGATGATGTTGGCGAATGTAAACCATCTCCGCTTGGTATGCGCCTAGCTAGCCGCGTCCGTGTCGTAAAAAGTTCGAAAGAAACCGGAATGCTTTTCCTTGTGCACGGCACTGGTAAGCTAAGAGGAAGAAGATTCGTTGCGTTCGTAGCAGGCCACTTTTCGTCCCGAGGCCCTTATGTATGTCCCTGGAACCGGTAATGAGAACGGCGCACGGATCGACGCGATTTGATTCGGTAAGGTTGAGGGGAGGAGAGGAGAAGGGCGCAGGTGCGTGTTTACGCGCTCGGACGGGGGAGAGGATTGGCGTAGCTCGAAAGAAAAGTCGGAGAAGAAAAGGGCGGAAGGTTTTATGGGTCTTCCCGCACGGAGAAAAGACTGGGTGGAAAGTGTCAAGATCGGCGACGGTTTTGGTTGGGGAATTACTACTCCGTACAGTAAATGGAATGGCTACTTGGTGTCAATTTTTTTTTCTTTAATTAACTAAAGTTTTTAATTTCATTTTGCCTGTTTTTCCCTTCCGCCCTGCGATGAACCCAAAAGAACTACAATTTAGGGTATCATTTCTATTGGGGTCGAGCTTGTGTTTGTTTACTTTTTGCATTCTCTCAACCAAAGCCCCACGTGCAACCGTCGTGGTCTATTATTTCCGCGGCAAAGATGCCAATGCATACGGCGATCCTCTTTGTAGGGAGTGGGGTTTACCCGAGGCTTTGCTTTCGGTAAGTCCAGACAAGAGCATAACCGATTGGTAAATACTATGTGTAAAGACTCATGTTTTTTCAAAAGATAGGAAATGGGTAATGAGATCTCCATTTGATTTGGTATAAGTGATGCGCCATGCCTAGGTACACGATACAGAGTAATGCAGTTCCTTCTTTCCATCACAAACTTCCAATAAGTTGTACTCATGTTCCGAGTACAAATTGTTCGATAGAATAACTCTGCATGGAATAACTCTGTGGCAGAAACCCTTGCTGCAGGAAATTCAAGGTTTAGGAAACGGATAAGGTGGAGTGGGTTCCGCTTTGCGGCCCCAAAGCAAAATAGTAACGAAAAGCCCACTTAACCGACAGGGCTCCAGGGCATCGGGACAAGAATCCGACTTTGCATCGACTGGATGAGAGGAACGGTCTTGTGCACAGTCTCAGCCCATCCCTCAACACCCCACGACTGCTCACGTCGGATCTTGCGCTCTTCCAAATTGGCAAACTGCCACAGATGGTGAACGGTGTTCAGGTCTCCAATTTGAACAAACCACGCGCCTACACCCTCCATGACCTCTCGTCGGGCAGACAGACCCCGACGCCAGTGGGTCTCCCACTCTAGCAGGTTGCCTGGGTGCAGGGTGTAGGATCGAAGCTCGAACAGTCCGCCGAGGCGGCGGGGCGGGGTGGTAGGCCAGAACGAGAACTCTTGCATGAGAGAAGTCTTCTTGCTCTTGATTAAGCTTTTGAGCTTGCGGTCAAAATCGCGGAATCCGGGGTGCTCGGAGATGTTGTGCAAAGAAGCGTGGTAGCCCTCATAGCGCTGGTATTCCCAAATGTGAACTAAAAGGGAAGGTAAAACCCAAAACGGTCAGCCATTTGGGAGACAGAAATTACAAAAGGAAGATAAGGAGAAAAAAGAATTTACCAAAGGTATCATTGTCGCCAACTTGCGTGCGCCAGCTTCCCACTAGGTTGACCCGGTTCTCTTCCGTTCCAGCCATGCGAGGGTACCACTGGCCCACGAGATCGACATATTCATCGACCTTATCGGGCTTGACATCGTGAAAAACGACCGAATGAACGTACTTGCCGCGAGCCAGTACCTGCGAAAACGATCGCTCGATATCCTTATCGAAATGCTGGCCTTCCTTAGTACCGTAGATGAGCGACGACAGGGGCCCACGCTTGTTTGAGCTTTCCTGCGCTTCTTCGTCTCCTAGATAACGGTGCATGGCGAGTGAGCCTAGTGCCTTTTGATCCAGAGCATCGGCCGCGTCAAATGCAGGGCGAACTCGCTCAACGGTGCTCGCATTGCTCACATGCGGAGCAGTGGGAGCGGACTCACGGGTAGGGGAAGAGGCAGAAGCATTGACAGACTGACTCTCTTGCTGTTCCTTTCTCTTGCGAGCCTCTTCAAGGTTCTCGCGAAACTCCTTCTGTCGCCGATTGAACTCCGCGGCGGAGTCAGCTGTTACATCTCTGATGGAGGGGGAACGAAAGGCCACGGCGGATGAGGTGAAAGGCCGCACCAGCGAGGATGCTGGACGGAGCAAACGTGGACCCAGCATGATGTGGTATGAAGTTCTTGAGGATGTGTAGATTTATGCGGAGAGAGAGAGACAAATGCAAAAGAGCCAAGGGGGGATGTTATGGGCGCGCTGGGTTTGAAAGTGGGGAGAGAAGTGGCAGGGATCAAGGGGCCGCTTTCAAGAAGAGTAGTTACACATGTATACGATGGAGGGGAGGAAAATAGAAGTAATAAGTGGAAGGAGGGAATTGGAGGGGAGAGGGGAAGATGAAGACGGAGAGGAGAGTTCTGGAGCAAAGGAACCTTGGAAGGGGAGAAGACACGCGAGAGATGCCCCGGAGAGTATGAGCGTATCAGCGTCGACGGTAAACCCGGGGAAGGCAGCAGAACGCTCGTATTTTACCGTTTCGACCAGGGAGAATTATTATTCCGCTGACCTTGGGCCGCAGATTGATTCAATCGGAGGCAAATCTCAAGAGCGACGGACGTATGAGAGAGCTGGACATGGTGCGGGGAAAGGTGAGCTCTAGCAATGACTCCGTTTAAGTGGTTTAGTCCAGGTTTAGTCTTGGTACGGTCCCACCTGGGGCGTTTACGGGTAATCATGACATGGGGTATTGGGTGAAATGGTACCACATGCCTGTCTAGATCGATTCTATTCATCTTGGAAAATAATAGACAATTTCTTCAACTACCTAGTCTGTGATTGTTGTCATATTTTTCTTCATTTTGGCGTACCTGGCCGCTGGTAACCTAGGTGCTAGGTAACGGGTGATCGTCGGCCCTTAAGCCGTTATGACGAAGGGGACTCCACATTCCTCGCAGCAAGAATACCCCTATAATGATCAATGTAAGATACTACTTTCATTGCGCCGGTAATACTCCGTAGCTACCTTAACATCCCATGCTATAGAAGTCGTTGCAGTGTACTATCGATGCAACAATTATGCTTCGGTTAGGCGCGGGTATTGGTACCACACGAACCATCTCAGATACCGTGGGTCATTCCACTATGACGTCGCCCATTGCTACCCCTAGGTAGGTCCGGCAGATCGACCGGGATATTCTGCACGCTTCCCTATTACCTGGGGATCAAGAGCTGTTAAGAATGATTGGGTATTGTGGTGTCACTGCAACATCTTGTCATACATTAAGGAACCAGGGAATATACTCTATCACGCTATCAAGCTTTCGCGGCTATGGCTTCCACGTGTTTTCGGCAAGAATCGGGAAATAAACTATAGAACATGGCCATTTGTACAGATAGTACCTATAAGAAAGACTCTTTAAAGGCGCAACGTGATTAGATCCAGTAAGATTATATAGATGTGTAAAAGGCAGTGGTAAAGGTAAAGAAAGCCAACCTCGCTGAAATGCTTCGACGACCAGAGACGAAACCATGCAAAGGTATCACTCCAGAAGCGGGTGTTGGTATCCGCTGTGTCCAGGGGTGATAAAAGGGGAATTTGAAAGGAAGAGAAAAAGTCGTGTCACAGGCCGACATCAATCAAGGCCTACATGCAAAGGGGAATCAACGAACTCGTGGGATGGGAAAAAAGGCAACCAGAGTCAAGAAGGAAAGAGCGCAGTGTAGCTGGGGTGATAACGGAATCCACGTCGCGACAGATAAGATCCCGATGCCAATTCGTCAGGTATCTAGAGGATGACACACTTTGGGCCAGAGCCACCACCTCCAACGGGCTTGACGTCCAGGGCAACCTTGGCAGCTTCATAGAAGCTCTCCCGAATCCCACGATTTTGAACCGCGGAACATTCTGCAGTCAATGTATCAGCCGAATCCATTACATGCAGTAGTTAGGACAACGTACCCAAGTATTTGACCGCGCCAATTTCCTTCGCTTTCGCCAATCCTTGATCGAAGGTGATGGCACTAGGGTTGTCATTCATCTCATCATCTTTCCTCAGATCGCACTTCAGTGCCGTGAGCACAACCTTGACGCCAGGGCAGTTTTCGTTGATTTCAGCGATCCACTTCGATCCAACGTTCTCGAATGAGTCGCTGCTGTCGACCTGTATACGCCCGCGTTAGCTCTTTTCTTTCCTTTCATCCCCTGCACAGTCAATTTGGTCCTCAATACTTACACTGAAGCAAAGCATGAGCACGTGGGTATCCTCATAGGACAGTGCGCGTAACCGGTCGAATTCCTCCTGGCCAGCTGTATCCCATAGCGATAGCTCCATATGTACATTGTCGACAAAGATGTCTAGAGGCGCGTATAAGTATTTAGTCGGAGGGTGAGTATGGGATCTCGGAAGTTTATACCGTGAACGTAGTTTTCTAAATGCGCATTGTCAGCAAGCGCCTCGATTGCAGGGATCTTCAGAGCTTACCAAAGACAGTTGGTTCGCTGTGCGCGCAAATCAATCGCAGTTAGAATCTTGTTCACATATTTCCAATCTCAGTGGGGTTTTTCTTACTAGACAGTCGGGAAGAATCTAGTTCATAGAGTGATGTTAGTTATCATGTCTAGTGTCTCGGAGGAGAAGCTCGGAGAGGGGGAGAGGGGGGATTGCGCACCCTCTTGTAAAGACGTTCAGCGCGGAGGTTTTGCCACAGGCACCGTCACCTCTATCAAGCTGTAAGTAATTTATTCAAGTCTGGGACACTTCAAGGATTCAAACTGACAACAGCACCATCTTGCGCTGGACAACCTTTTGACGACCGCATAGCTCCATGGCGAATTAAAGGGGTTGAAGCTTGAATGGTTATGCGCAACGGCGAGGGACTCGTGTGGATACAAGCGAAATTTCCAAATGATAACAAAATGAATTAATTAGAGCGAGGTCGTCTTGAGGCAAAGCGCGGGGGGGGAATTGTGTCGGAGGAGGAATTCCAGCACTGCCCGAGTCGATGACATCGCGCGCCCTGAAAGGGATCGGCGAATAAGGTACCACTTTCCCCCTTCTGGTCCACCCCTCGGCTCCAAACCCTCCATCGTCACGGCGCGAGCTGACTCTCTTGGACTTCGGACATTGTCTTGCCGCATTCATCAGTTTCATGGGTGATTTGACAAGTTAAGAGTGGGCACCAATCGGTGGATCCCATTGCGCTGCAACAGCTCTCAAGACTGGCTGGGTTTGGAACCGGCATGCAGTTAAGTGTGTCGAGGGAGGTCGATAGAAATCTACCTGCAGTGTATGTCTAAGTAGAAGTGACCGGACGAGAGTGTCATTTGAATTATTTGGAGTTCAAGGTGTCAATCTTCGAAGTGCCCCATAGCCAAGAACCGGTCATACTAAGTAAACAATTCCCATTAGGCAGCACTAATGTCTGATAATGATACATGTCTATAATTATATTATAATGCCTGATGGAAAGGACCTTGACAGCTGAATCAAGGTGGATATATCAAGTGATATTTCCTTCCATGGTTGGCCTAATTTTCAAGTGCTGGAGTCGTTATGGCGTTGACCAGTTAGCGGGTTGGGCGGGGAGCTGCGATAGTGAAGGCGGACGCAGCTCTCACTATCTGCCGTTTCAAGCTCCTTCAACACCCCACGACCAGCCTTCCTTCTCTCCTCTTTTCCTCTTCATTCTTATTCTCTCCACCTTGACAATACTGTCTACTTAACAACTCTTTCATAATGTCGGACGACGATGATTTCATGCAAGACTCTGGGGATGAGGAGTGCGTACCCCTGCTCCACCTTGAACTTCAGACCTAAGCTGACGATGCGGTCCACAGTTATGATTTCGACTACGAGGGCTCCGGCGATGACGATGAAGCCGGCGATATCGGAATTGAGAACAAATACTATAATGCCAAGCAGATGAAGGTGGACAATCCGGAAGAAGCGGTGGATGAGTTCTTGGGCATACCGCCGATGGAAATGGACAAAAGCGACTGGTTCGTGATGAGGCTCTGGAGCCCGCCGCATTTCTTACTAAAAATTCAAATTAGGGGATTTAAAGGATTGAAGCAAGCTATCAAGTTAGAATTCAAACTCGGACGATACAGTGATGTAGGTGTCTGAAGCGCGACCAAAACATTCATTATTGGCTAACGAAGTGACTTTACCAGGCTGTTGAACACTATCGAGAACTCCTTACCTATGTCAAGTCCGCCGTCACCCGCAACTACTCTGAAAAGTCCATCAATAATATGCTCGACTATATCGAGAAGGGATCTGACGATGGCCAGGCGTACCAATGCATGGAGGAGTTCTATTCCTTGACACTTGAATCCTTCCAGAATACCAACAATGAGCGGCTGTGGCTGAAGACGAATATTAAGTTGGCTCGATTATGGTTAGAGCGCAAAGAATATGGCCAGCTCAGCAAGAAAGTGCGAGAGTTGCACCGAGCATGTCAGAAGGACGACGGGTCAGACGATTCCAGCAAAGGCACCTACCTGCTCGAGCTGTTTGCTCTAGAGATTCAGATGTATGCGGAAACCAAGAACAATAAACGTCTAAAGGCGCTCTATCAGCGGGCCCTACGAGTCCGGTCCGCAGTGCCCCATCCGAAAATTATGGGTATCATCCGGGAGTGCGGTGGCAAGATGCACATGAGCGAGGAGAACTGGGAAGAAGCACAGAGCGATTTCTTTGAGTCATTTCGAAACTACGACGAAGCGGGCTCGATCCAGCGGATCCAGGTTCTCAAGTACCTGGTTCTGACCACCATGCTCATGAAGTCAACCATCAACCCATTCGATTCACAAGAGACTAAACCATACAAGAATGATCCTCGTATCTCGGTGATGACCGACCTGGTGGACGCCTATCAGCGTGATGACATCCATGTCTACGAGGCCGTGCTGAGCAAGAATCCCGATGTCCTGGCCGATCCGTTCATTGCCGAGAATATTGATGAAGTCAGCCGCAATATGCGTACCAAGGCCGTGCTCAAGTTGATTGCCCCCTACACCCGGTTCTCCCTCCAATTTATCTCGAAGCATGTCAGGATCGCCGTCCCCGAGGTACTGGATATCCTAGGCTTCCTCATTCTCAACAAGCAACTGGATGCCAGCATTGACCAATCGACTGGAACCGTGGTCGTGTCAAATCCCAGCGACGTGGAACGAATCCGTGCCTTGCGAGAGTGGGGCTCGTCCCTGCGTACCCTCTGGAAGACAGCTCTCAACGGGGAGGGGCTCCGTGCGGATGAAGGTACCCACGGGGCTGCAGGCGCTATGTTCGCCTCCGGGTTCGGCGACGAGTCCCCTATGGGGATGCGACCTCTCAATCCGCGCAGCCGACGGGATTTACGCAAAGCGCCCGGAGTCAAACAAAGCACGTCGTAGAGACCTGACTAGAGCGTTAGGCACTGTCCTTTTGTTTTCATGTTTATCCGGGGCAAACTGCACGTGCTGGCTACCTGCGGTCATTTGCCCTTTGCTTTGGACGGTTGAGCCGCGAACAAAGAAATGAACACCAATGGACCTAGACCAGACCCATTCGCCTGTCCACGTGGAAGATGGAATCTCACACCGTTTCTTTGTTGGCTGCGGCGGGTCCCCCTTCGGGTCATGGTATCGGGTCCTGACAGTTGAGCGGTCTATCGCCTGTGATCTAAGGAATGGCACCTTCAAGCTGGACTCTCGCCCCGCAATTTAGAGTTGATATGACAGAAGACGCTAAAATATTGATGATAAGATGAATGTTTTTGTTTCGACTCTGCTGTTATATTGCATTGTAGTATACCTTTGGTATAATATTGTACTGTAGTATACCTTGGGTACATTTTCACGGCCCCGCAAATAGTACTAAGTACCTCGGCTCCTTTCAATCGGTGTAGCTTTTTAGTCTCCTCCGGGCTTAGATCCATTAGCTTGGTCTTTTGTCCCGGTACATGGGACAATAAAGTACGGGACACAAGCGCCGAGGGACAACGACCCGTGTCCCACGTCCCGGAAATGGGGTCGTTAGCCCGCCACTTCTCTTTTTTCCGGTGAGACTGTTTTTCTATATCCTATAGGCGGTAAATGACTTGCCAATGGTTGGACAATTGGCAATCGTAAGCCGCCCATGCATTTTCGAAAGAGGAAGAGTCCGGGCGACATGACGCATGAACAAAGAGCTCTCACATGTGGATTGAGTTTGCTTTTTTCTCTCCACTTCTAGAACCCAGCTAGCGTTGATGACTTGTACAGGATCTTCTAGCAGGTATCGGGAACTGTATCTAGCCCCGTACCTGTACTTTCTCTTATCTTTGAGTTCGTGGATGTGCTTAGGCACTCGATCGCGCAGGTACGAAGGGTCTTCATTTGCTCAAAACGAGGTACTGAGCATGCTAATCTTCCATCAAGAATTGGAGCTTGGTCGAAGCTCTCGGGATCTGATTGATCAAACCCCGGTGGTTTTTGGTTTTTTTTTTTTTTTTAACTTCTTCAAATGCTAGCAGCTGGGGAGGATAACCCGGTGCACGCACACACGCACTGACAACAGACATCCATGACCATAACAGCGTGATCAAAGGGGAAAAACAAATAATGCTAAAAAAGACACGCATTATGTGCGCCCCGGGTGATAGGGCCTGGAGTGCGGCTGGCTTAGCCTTGCATGGAGTTGCGTCCAGGACAGCAAGCTGGAGTCCATGCGTTGGGATTACGATGGCCACCAACTCCACCTATCAGTTGCAGTTGAGCCATGAGTCGGGTGATAGGGAAAAGCTACACCCAGACCAGACCTTGTTTCGAAGAAGTCAAAAAAGGGCTCATGGCGGCTCATACGAGATCGTCTACTTGAACCCCATATTTGTCAAGGTCGAAAGGGGCCAAAGTGAGAAAAAGAAAACACCATCTCGAGTGCATCGGGGGACCAAACTGCCGGTCCACGCATGGGGCACGATCATCCGCGAATCACGGCGGGGCTCATCACGATGGGAATCGCGATCAAACAAACTACGTACTTTCAAACCCCGCTTTTGATCGGGTATAGGGTTACCTTTTTTTTCCCTCTTCTACTTCTGTTCTGATGGGCTTTTGTAGCGATTCGGTTTTGAAATCTACTTTTCGTCATGTAAATATGGACGGTACTAGTTCGTTGCCGGAGTATAATACCGCCCACATCCGATTCGCTCGAGATAGAGCCGACGTTCTGATCATTGGGCTGTTCGGGCTGGAAGTAGTCTGGTAAACTGAACTGCGCGCGCTTGGATGTTCTCTTTTTTTTTCCTTTTGAGGGACTTTGTTTTATACCCTATCAAGTGGCTCCACTGAAACTCGCGTTAAGAGGTGAAAGCCAAGGGTTGGGTCATGTACGTGTCCCGCCTTTCGATTCCGCATGGGCACGGTGCACCGTTACTACATACTTATGTCGCTTTCGATCGAACTTATTTTTTGATTTTCTTCTTCCTTTTTTTTTACTTGTATGCGGAATACTTATCCCTTGATATAGTGTGAGAAGGTGGTGTCCCCCTCCTTTCTCCTGCCAACCTTAACCCCCCCCCCACTCAAGCCCAAACCCTTTTTTTTTTTCTTCATTACCGGACAGAGGTCATCGGTTTCCCGGTCTTCTGCAAAAGACAATCATCTGATCTTTATCAATTTGGAAGGGAAAAAGAGCTGCAGCCAAAGTTGCAGATACAGGCAAACCAAAACAAACCCAAACCCAAAACACAAATCATCCCACACAACCTCTCTTCCTCCTTCTCCTCTTCCTTTCGTCATCCCCCCTCCCCTCTTTGCCACAATCTCCGGAATAGCGCGTCCCTCCATAATTAGATCATCTGCATCGTGAGAAAACAAAAGGTCTGAGCTCCCCTCCTCCCCGATCGCCCTATCGCGACCTTTTCCTTTTTTGGTTAGATATAGTTTTGCCTTTTCACGTGTTCCCTTCAATCTCACTGCCTGGACCGTCTATCTTTCTTGTTTTCTTATTCCGATCCGAAAGAAGAGGTGTGACTGGTTCGTTTCACCACGGAAAACGTCTCCAACCAGTGTATCCCCGGCGCTCTTCCCCGTTCCATTTGTCAAGCGGAGGTATGTGGTTCGTGCGCGCTTTCCAGCGAAGGTTAAAGAGACTGGAAGATCAGCTCGGCCCGCTACCAGACCCATCCAGAACGGAAGACACCGTTAAGGAAGCTGGTCTAAGCCGAGCCCCCTTGACATCATTGAACCTTCTTCCCACCAGATTGTCGTTCTTTACCTGTTCTGTTCCCCTCTTTTTGGGAGGGCTGACATCTAGGCCTTCTATCACATTGTGTTTATATTCTTGTTATATTGTCACGGGCCCAATCACATCACCAAAGATCCTCGAGGTCTAGCACACTTCCCACCATCCCACTGAATTGAAAAAGCATGTATGGAAGCATTGCTAAGTGAACAATAGTCTAGTTCATCCAAACTGTCGGGCTCAAGTGCCGCGTCACACAAGGAAGACAAAGCACTGCCGTGTTTCGCCCAATCAGGAAATCTTCAGGGAAATGTCAACGTACCAGGTTCGTGTTCTCGTCATCGGCTTCTCTTCCTCCCCGGCCTTGGGCTTTCGCTCTCCTGCATATTATAATCTAACTTCTCCTACAGACATCCATATGAAGATATAGATCTCGACTTCTGATTATCCGCATTCTCTTCTTGGTCTCTCCCAGTGCCGACTCCCACTTCTCTCAACGTATGCGATGTCCGTATCAACAATTCCCTGGAACCATTTCGGTCCTCACCATTTTTTCCTGGAGAAACAGAAGGCCAATAGCTATTACCAGAACACCCTTCCGTCAGCACATCTTCCCGCCCTAGGTCATTCAAGACCTATTTATTCTGGTTCCAACATGAGTCACTCTTCCAATATGAATGCCCTTTCCCCCGATGAGATGGAGCGGTTCCAAAAGCTGTCCAATGAATTTGAGCCAGATGTTCCGGTAGGACGCTCTTCGTCTATCGAACCGAGCGAGGAGATTAACAATACGCATAGGGACCACTAGTCTCGCCTAAGCAATCGAGCCAAGGTATCGCCATGGAATATGCCGATGCGGACCCGACCTTTGCAACCAAAACAAATGTGCGTGCCTTCCCCCAAATTTCCGTAGGTTCACAAGCTGACCTTTGTATCAGGCTCTCTCAATCACTCACCCCATGCTCCGGGTCATGAAAGGGGATGGAAACTGTGGCTGGAGAGGTAAGTGCTTCATCTCAATTGCTTGATGGTTCTCTAATGCTCTCCCTAGCGGTGGCTTTTGGATATTTCGAGACTCTTTTCAACCTTCGAGATACCATCCGGGTGCAGCGAGAGCGTGAGAGAATCAAGTCCCTCAGTACTCTTCTAGACCAAGTCGGCCAGCAGGAAGAGCTATACGAGATCTTCGTGGACGCCACAGAGGAGATCTTCGCGCAGACCCTGGAGGCTATTCAGAATGTTGAGCAGGACGAGACTTTCCTGGTCAATGCGTTCAACGATGACTACGGCTCGAGCGCGGTCATCACGCACTTCAGAGTATGTTCACCACTGCTGTTTAAGAGGCGCATTGAACTAACCAAAATACCACAGCTGTTGACAAGTGCCTGGATGAAATTAAATCCTCTCAGATACCAAGCGTTTTTGTCTCTGTCATTAGACTCATACTGCGGCTCACGGATAGAGACCGTCCGGACGGAGATTGATGAAGTTGGACTGCAAGCGCTGGTCGACGGTGTCATTGAAGGAGCCGGCTTCGGGGTCGAAATTCTATATCTTGATCGAAGCGAGGGTGATGTCGTAACGCCACACCAGCTATCCCCGATTCGTCCCCCCGAAGCCACCATCCGCATGCTGTATCGACCGTGAGTAATGTCTTACCTTTTGGCTACACATGTATCTAATCCCTTCACAGTGGCCATTATGATCTCCTCTACCGAGCCGAACTGCCTGCTGTCAACATGGCACCCGTGGTCAACTTCCAATACGGGATGACTACTAGCTATACCCCCTGGGACCAAGGCGCTCTCTCCTTTGACATCAACTCACACTTAATGTCGATTCCAAACCTCACAGCGGACCCAGCATTCGGTGGCATGGGAGGTCCAATGTCCCCCATGCAAAGCCATGCACCCATGCCTCCAGGCTCCCCGGCCCCTCTCAGCTCATACCGAGTCTCGCCCCCACAGGAGATGTACCAGTCCCCCATGCAGAGCCATGCACCAATGCCTCCGGTCTCATCACCTCCACCCGTCCTGCCATCTGCCCCGCCACCCATGACCGTCTTACCCAGTCGGTCATCAGACGGGCCTCAGATCCGTTTGAACCCCTTGGTCATGAAGCCCAATTTGAGCCATTCACTGCCAGTGACTACCCCGTTCAAAAAGTAAGCGATATTCTCTTGCGTGTTGGGCCTGATTATTAACTTATCCAGTAGCTCGCCCTACAACCAAGCCCATTTCCAAAACTCGGACTTTGAACCCATACATTATGCACCGCATGAACATCATCACAAACGATGACCATAAAACAAAACCCCAGCCCTCACGATGAGCTCGAGCCTATGGTGTGTCTCCCGCCGACTGAGTCAATCTTATTGCTTTGTGTCCAAGAAACTTAGCGCGTATCTTTTTCATCTTCATGATTCATTCTATGTCCGCGCATCTGATTTCTTTTGTCGGGGTCCATTTTATTCATCATATATTTTCCACGAGCACCCCTGGAATTGTTCATATTGACCTTTCTATGGAACAAATCCCGGGCGACATCAGCCTCTCAGTCTGATGTCTCCAGTTTCATCCGAGTATTGCTGGTCTCCTTGTGTCTTGTGTTTCTTAGCGTGCTGCAACGCGTGCATGGTTCGAGCGTTGATTCCTACGCTATTACTCTTCCTATTTTCAGATTGCCATGGTCCCATCAATCTCTTATGATCTTATTATTTTCATTGTCCTTTCTTTGCATCCACCAGGGTCTAGAAATCGGATATCATATCCCTCAACAGGAGTTAATCCATCTAATAAGGTATCTGAGAAACGTTATCGTATCGTAGCTTTGATTTCATACAAGTCATAATCTATTTACATATGATACAGCCACTATGTTACGTCCCACCAACCGAAATTTCCTCATCCTCCGCCTCCATGACCACATCAATCATCGCGTCTAACCCATGATCCCGAGCACCCGAGTCCAAATACCCAGCTTTCACAAGTCGACCTAGCGCATCCCCAACCCAATTCTGACAATTCCAGTCTGTATCTCCATCTCCATCTCGTATAAGCGTTCCGGAGACTGTAGATCGGAGGACTGATATTGGTATTGAACTTGGGAGTGTAGATACGGGAATGACGCGTGCGAGATCTAAGCACGTAATGGGTGGATTTGTCAGTGGTTTGTTCCGTGGGTATGAAAACAAGTCCTTGAAGGACAAGATCTTTGGAGGGAGAATATGGAAATATCTATCTTACTCGTAGATGAAACAGGTATCCCCCAATTCTGGCGCTCAGAGAAACTCATGAATCCCGGTGATCCTATCACCTCCATTACGGAGGACTTGATATACTCCGTCTCTGGTTCCATCTGTGTATGGTCCGCTGCATACTGTTTTTGGGCTTGTGCTTGTGGCTCGAACTCAAAGAATAACGCTGTATGCCGGTATCGGGCGTAGTCGAGAGGTGAAGCGACAAACACGAGAATGGAGAGGTTGGTGGGCATTTGTTATCGGCGTATTGAAATATTATAGGAATTTTACTAGCCTTAGGCATGTAATTTGTTCTTGCTCTGTGGGGGAAATTGATTAAGTAGAACCCTGGCGAGTTCTGATTTTCGTTTTAGTTCCGGGCAAGATTGGGGCTTCGGGATGACGTAGTGAGGCTTATCGGTGGATTCGATCATCTTCTGGAATTAATATAATCTGTGGGGTCCGTTCCTTGATCTTAATTGTATCCTGGGTTGAACTATGTCTTTTCTAGTTATATAGGTCCATTTTGATTGGAGGTTTGGTATGGCTTGCATTGAATGATCGATGGCGAAGGATTGCTTAAGATAAGCATAATATGACCGATACTTCAGATACTGAATGCAGCTATTCCCATATAAACTGCACAGTTTTTCCAGTTTATGTCTCCTTATTAGAGGAATTTACAGGAACAGTCATAGTCCACTGAATAAGCCTTGAACTCAACTAGGTACAGTATTTCTGTATGAACCATGACGTCATTCCCCGCAAACCCACCGCCTCGGCCCGCCACCTAAAACATTCTGCACAACCCAATTACAAACCTCCATTAACTCAGCATCACAGTACACAATGGCACCATCACATCTCCCCCTCTTCGGCGGCTCCCGGTAAGACAAGCTACCAAGTTCACAAATCTACAACCCCAACCACTAATATTGACAACCCTTTAGAGCCTGGAACCCCTCAGATTGGACCACCTCCGATGACCGCGTCCGCGGTGGCTCCTCAATCTCAGCCCTAACCTGCTCTGCATCCTCCCTAACGGCAATCTTCCACGGAAGCCTAGACATAAAAACCCTAGGCGGTGCAGGCTTCGCCTCCCAACGCACATCAGGCGAATCTCGAACCTGGGATCTTTCAGCCTACGACGGGATAGAACTTGTTCTTGATGAGCGCCAAACGGACGGGAAGGTTTATACTCTTACGTTGAAGGATGAGGTTCTTCCCAAGCGGCCTGATGGACGGGAACAGAGTACCGTTAGCTGGGAGTATGATTTTAAAGCTACGGAGGGGAAGATTTTGATGAAGTTTGCGGATTTTAGAGCGACTTATCGGGGGCGGGAAAGAGATGATGTTGCGGAGTTAAATTTGAGGAATATTAAGAGGTTTGGTATTATGATGAGGAGGTATGTTTAAAATTTTTATGGTGGTTTGGTTAAAGGGTTGTGTTGACGCCTTTCAGTTTCTTTGGGGATCAGGAAGGTCCGTTCGAATTGGGGATTGTTTCTATTTCCGCAGTGCGAAACGAGAAGCAGATTCATCCCCATGAGGAGGATGAGGAGGAGGAGGAGGAGGAGGTTTTTGATGAGAAATTGGTTGCCTGGGGGCGGGAGAGGCGGTCTGGGTGGTTCTCGTGGTTGAGTTCTTGTCTTGGATGTTGGTCTTGAGTTATCTTGATGTTTCCATTTCGTTATAAAAGTTTATTCAAACTGATTTCGGGTTCTTTCAAGAACAATTGTTATATCTCGGCTCTCAACTTTTGACCCTTTACTTTCAACTATCAACTCTCAACCCGTCCTTCAAGGTCCTTGGTTTAATTAAACTAAATAAGTCCTTTAACTCAATTCATTATCTATCAGAATGGAAGGCCAGGGTCCACAAGTGATAGGGGTGATGATGCTGCTGGCTGAAGACAAGAATAAGCCAACCAGTGGCCCACACTGGACTGGTACTGGTGGTGTTAGACCTACAAAATGGGCGTAAGTGCTCTGCACTCTTAAAAGATATCAGAAATCACTAATATATCCTCAGCCCTGCGAAAAAAAATCTGCTCATGCCTAGCTCCTAAACATGCCGCTGAAAAGTGGCCTGCTAATGGAGCAGAAATAGTAAGATCTGTGGAGTTGACAATTTATGACTTTTCACCATACTAATAGGGTCTATAGTCAGTTACAACGTGCGCTAATCAGTGCCCCTACTGCGGATACGCAGTCAGAGGTAGAGGTAATCAAGGTGCTGTTATCCGGAAACATATCAAGAAAACCCATATAGTATGTCTCGTTTTGCTAGCACAGAGATAATATAACTAATACCAATAGGCGAGCCAAGCGGATGTGTTCGGTTCTCTTACGGTTGCGGCTGATAAAAAATGGTTCTGGCAGTGAGATTGTACCCCTTTGCGACGAAGATTAGGTCATGAAAATGTTGTGCTTGCAATAAAGTGGCCTTGACGCTGATTCCCCAATAACATATGAACCAATTATCGTATCCATTCTGACTTCTTGTACATGAAAGAGATATGCGAAATACTATTGTTCTTGCGTTGGAAAATGTACCCAATCTGAAAAGTCCATTCCTCCAGGACTGGGCATCGGCTGATTTGCTTGGAAGAAACTGCCCGGAAAACCCTGCTCGTTGAACAGTTGTTCTGGGAATGGCATGAAGCCTTGAGCGAGTGGCTGGTAGGGCTGTTGCTGTGGGTTGGGAGGGAGACCGGACATCATACTTGCTGGACCCAAGAGGCGGTCGATGACTTCGGAGCATCGCGAGGCGAAGCGGTTGTTGCCGAAGGACGGGTGAGTGAGGAGGGCTTTGGTTGTTTCGATATCTTGGAGCCAGGTTGGGGCCTCTGGGTTGGAAGGGTCGGTCATGAGGAAGACGAGGGGGATGAGGCCAGCTTGGAAAAGGAAGTAACTGCGAGAGGTTAGTGGGTGTTTCCGATACTGCGGAAGAAGAGAAGACATACAGCATATACCAAGCGCCTATCCTTGTGCAAACGTGGTTGTCCATGTATTCGGAGATAGAAGCGATAGTAAGACGTGCGTTCTGTAGGCAACGCATTCGACACTCTGTTTCGCAAGGATCTTCGGTGCCTGCGTCGGAACTAGTTGATGACCCGTCTGAGCTACCACCATGGGGTGCCCACCGCCGAGCTGCCCAGCGGAGTAGAATTGGACGGTAGATCAAGATGATAAGGTTCCAGTTTCGCCACAATAATCTGTTGCGAACAAGGGCGAGATTGTCTGGATCGGGTTGAGTTGGTTGCACAGTGAGGGGTTGTAAAGGGTAATGATGGTAAGAAGGTAAGCTGTTATACCATTCTTCCATGGGCTTTTGCAGATTCAATGTTTCTTCTGGAGTGACGCTAGGGCTAGAAATCAAGCGTTGGTAGACACTGTTTGTGAGAAGATGAAAACGGGCCTGTGCAATTAAGCCGGAGTAAAGTGTTGGACCAGGAGATTCAGAAGGGAGTGAAGTTGTTGCGGGAGTCAAGGCATCATCATGGATGTTCATGACCTGCTTAGCGTCCATCACACACTCCTCTGGAAGCAAGATTGGTCTTCCAAAGGTCTTGGCGGCACCGCTATCGAAAATAAAGACACCCCACCAAAGTCTGCGGCGGATTTCTCGCTGAAGCAAACTGATCTTCCAGCCGGGGAATTCTTTGTGAAGCCCCAAGCTCATGGCCATTCGAACAGCTAGACCAAGATAGTTCCAGCCAGTGTTGGGCTTGTTTCTTTTCTGAGCGTAGTTACTCAGTAACAACAGCGCTTGGACAAGCGTCAAATTACCCGTCTCAAATACGGATGCTTGTTGTAAGAATCCTCTTGCTTCTTGATAGAAGGTGACATCAAGATCAGAGCTGTCATCGCCAATACTCCATGCACCAAGGGCTAAAATGGTATTGAGGAGGATTTGCCAGGCATTTCCATGGGGGCGTAAGGATGGCTCGTTAAATTGGGCCCGGAATGTTGGTTCGTGAACAAATGGATAACTTGTGTGGTAGTTGAGGAAATATGCATCAATAAATGCTTGTTCAATTAGGCCAGAGGGCGCACTCTCCAAAAGCTGAGCTTTAAGGGGAATGCCCCCGGACCTCGCTGAGCGGACGGGAATGTTCAAGTCAAATCCGTGGTCAAACAGGGCTCTTAGTGGCACGACACTGGATGAGGCGCCTAGTACGGAGAATTAGTAGGCTGTAGATAAATCATGTCTTTGCGAGGCACGTACCAAAATAACCAGCTCCCTCGGGCTTGATAGACAGTGCCGCCATGCCATCAGTCAAATCGCCCAGCGTTAGCTCTTTCTCTGCCCAGTCAAAGCCGTCAGCTTGCAGTGGTAGCGCCTCTGGAGGCGGCTCAGCCCTTTCAGCTTCAAGTTTTGCTGGAGTCGAGTGCCTTGAAGATGATTTAGATGATGGTGCTTTCGGAGTATCCTGGTTTTGCAAAAGAGAGCGGAGAGTTGCATCTAGGTCACCTCCAGGAAACAGCCTGCTCAATGCAGTTTCAAATGAATGCAGTCGGTCTTCAACATATGTCAAGTGCCTGCATTTGTTAGCTTTATAATCTCATTGTATGTTGAGTGAGAGAGATATCATACTGTCTAGTCAGAGGACTTCTGGACACTTTCGGACTGTATTTGCACTCCTTGTTCAATTGTCGACATTGCAGACAGATCGGTCGCTCTTTTGAGCACTACATGATCGAATGAGTTATGCATACTTTTGCCAAATTGCAAACACACCCTGTATTACTTACTCTTGATTTCCGGAGGCGACATTCATCGCACTAGATGACTGTCAGTCTCCGTCGGAGCTTTGCATAGCCAATGATACATACAGCGAATGAATGAGAATCACGAGTACTAGCCATATTTATCAAGGCAAGTCAGTTTGCCGATATCTAGTGTCCAATGCGCTCTGATCATGACACACAAAGAGAGTCATCTTGTAACAAGTCAGCTATATCTGGCCAATCGGTATGGCGTGACAGCATGCAGCAAGCGTGGGGTTGCCGCGATAGTATAGTATCTCCGGGAAGGCCAGCCAAGCACCGGGATATATGAAGGATATGATATATCGATATGCACAAGGATGAAACTTACGATAGGCGCTAAAGCAAACATAGATCCACTTCGGCCGTACAGGTTCGCGATAGCATGGATGAGATGCCGCATTCAACTGCTCCCCTCGATGGTGGGGAAATAGGTCATGTGATGCGCAAAAAAAAAATACGTAATTTCTGCCTGAGGCAAATATCGTATTAGCTCGTACTTTTGCTTCGTTTAGATATTCCGCTGGAAGAAAAAGGTATGTTTTATTTAAGGAATCCGAATTATGCGCCGTCAAAACATCCTTATTGATGTAGATGCCATAATAATCTGCACATATGAGATGGCCTACCTAAGCATGCGATTGGTCATGATTAGGTAGCTTATTCAACGTAACTATATATTTGAATGTGGAAGCTCGAGATCTTCACCTTCCCATTATCTCTAAGACTAAAATGTGTAAATGTCCATTAAAAACCATGCATATGGAATCCAGCTAACCCAAGTGCTGTATGATTGTAAGCTTCATTCTTTTAACCATTCAAAACGAGTACATCTCTAGATTCATCGCTTGTTGGAATCTTCTTGGCGTGGATGCAGATGGGTCGGATGCGGTGGGCCAATCACAACGGTCATACATTTTTTCTCTCTTCACCATTATCAACATCAACCGTCAAAACCAGCCTGCTTGCAAGATAAATTAAAGCAAAAAGCCCGTCAAGGAAACCCATAAACTACCGCTAGTCGTATCAGAGAGTCAAGCCGAGAGGAGCTTGAGGTGCCGCCATGCCTTCTCAACCCCCACTACCGCCCCTCCTCACCTCATATCTATCATCTCAACCAGAGGCTTCCCTGACGTTGATCTCGTCTATTCTTGGCGCAACCTCCAATTGGCTTGTCCTGAGATATCTCTACTCTGCACTCATTACCTCAAATAGCTCCAATGCCAGCCTAGGCCTTGAAGAGTCGCACGATGGCGCAAAAAAGAAGGTCGTTCTTGTGAGCTTCCTGCGGGGCTGGGAGTTCTGGAGAGCGGAGGCAAAGCGATTGGTATGTCTGAACGATCCATTGTTTCCCACTATAGTCTTGGTTATGTGTTATCTTTTTCGGACCGAACATGTCATCTTTTCTATCAAGACCGACCCATATGTCGTTTTATACATGGATAATATTAATCTTTTCAATAGGGCTTGGATCTTGCACGGCTGTCAGACAAGAAACAATTTGCTTTCGTGGACGGACTGTCTGAGCTTTTTTGCCCTCCACAAACAGCAAATGTTGCCGGTTCACCTCCCGTCAATGCAGGTTTCCCTGCACGCACAACACTTCCGCTTCGGGGTCCGCCAGGTGATGTGCCTGGGAGGGCACCGGGCCACGCCGTACCGGCACCTAAAATTGACAATGTGGCACGAAACCCAGCGGAGCTAGGAATTGCGAAGAAACTGCATTTCTCTGGACGTGGCACCGCTGCCCTGGACGCCCTAGAGAAGGACATAATCTCTGTTATTGAGCAACTGAAGGCCGCCAACGACGAAAGCGAAGAACTGCTCCTCATTATCGACCAGCCGGATTTCCTTCTCGCAGCCACAGGCGCAAGTATGGGGATCGGTGCTACAGAGATGAGCGAGTGGGTCATGGGTCTACAGCAGGTGAGTCTCGATCCGTTGACTCTTATCTGATAAACACCAAAACGGCTAACTCGTGGATAGACCGTTCATTCTACAGCATTAACACTTGCGGCTGATTCTCCGCTGATCCACAATGCGTCTGTTTCTGGGAACCAAACAGCTACTCCGGTGGAAGGGGAACATGCGGCTTTTGCTATTGGGCTGGCGCATAGGGCAAGTGCGGTCATGCAGCTCCGTACTCTGGAGACGGGAGCCGCAAGGGATGTTAGTGGCGTGTTGAGGATCAGCCGAGGTGGTGGATTGAGTGGTGCAAATGGCTTGGACGAGAAGGAGTTGCTGTACTACGTCCAGCGAGATGGCGGTGTCAAGGTGTTTGGGCGTGGAGAATCCTGAGACCTGTAGATATATACCCAATCCAAATCCCTAGGATCCAAGACTGAACAATTTAGTAGAATGTAGACGGTCGGGCCGCAAAAGAAAGAAACCGAGATGTAAGGAAGAGAGATCTTCACATTTGTATCTGTCACGACATGGGGATATTTGCCAGCCATAAACGAGAAAGAAAAAAGGAAATTCATGCATGTTTTCCTTTGAATTTTATGCCACTTCTCCTCGAAACATTCCACGTAATTTTTGTTTCCCCGCCTCTTTTATATAGGACGGGATAAACGATCGCACACACCAACTCCACGGGAAAGCGTTAATATTCCGGAATTGCCATTTTGCATTTCGAGTAATCTATCTCGTAATGCTAGGCCATGTCATGCCAGGTTATCACCCCTCATTCCTTTTCCAGCCTCTCCGAGAACGAAAAACGCGACGCCGAATCGGACAACGGGAAATCTAGTGAGCCTCGGGGCCCTTGGAGCCCTTGGGGACACCAGTCTGGAAGCCGTTCAGGAAGCGGCGGTGGACGTTGCGCAGGGAGCGCATGCGGCCGGAGCCGGTGGTCTTGCGGCGCTTGGCCTTCTCACCCCAGTTGTCTGTTTGAAGAAAAGTTTGTAAGCCGAGTGGTTCCAACACCATGTGCGTGCATCTTGATATCAAGTGCAGGGACAATGCCCTGCTTCCAATATCCGTATCCACATCACCAGTTCTCAGGAAGGGTCATGCGTACACTTGCGGGTCTTAGCGGAAGGGTAGCCACAGTTAGCACAGGTGGACTTCTGGATGTGGAAGGACCGCTGGCCTAGAAAGTCGCGATAACATCAACGGTCAGCTGTTTTGTTCTGATTCACAATAGCCGACAATCCAGCCCCCTCGGGTGTCCATCATCGTTCAACTCCATCACTGGTTGTAAAGAGAATTTTGCGATTTCGGGGCCGGGGAATGAATTGTCGACGAGTTTGAGAGAGGTGTAAATACGTACCACAACGACGGCACAGAGTGTGCGTCTTGTTGTGGCGCTTTCCGAAGCTCGAGGTACCCTTGGCTGTTGTGGTTGTTAGTTTCGACGATTTCGAGATTGCGGAGATGCAGATTCGCGGTGCGAGATTTCGACATGGGACGTACTCATTTTGAATTAGGGAACTGTGATACAAGACACGTTAGTATAGGAGGCGAGGAGAAAATTGGTTCGCAAAAGAACAATATGTGGACGTACCTGGCGATTCCGTTGGAGGGCTGTTGTCGGTGTCGTCGTCGCTAGGCGTATCAAATCTTCCCGCTGGGTGAAGTGTCGGCTAAGCGAGGTGTGGGTTGCACATCACGAGACTCAGGGCACAAGCCCTGGGTCCCGTGAGTCAATATCACATGACATGCTGGACCGCGCAGAGTGTATCATGTGATTCGAACTATGTGGGTCTGTGCTTGACAAAGTCATCAGATATTTAGTTAACACTACTGTATCTGCTGTTCCCCTGTGGATACTCGTGTGTCCCTCAGCTCACTAAAAGTCAGTTTCCGGTGCTGTTACATACAATAATTACGACCAATTACTGGCAAAGACAGAGCTGCTGGCCACTTGAAAGATATTCAAAATAAGTGGAACGATCAAAAAATTATCTTAATAAAGACTACTCGAGCAAAGCAACAAGCAGACGCCCACAATCGCCGTCAACCTCGTTCCGGATGCGAGAAACAAGATCTTTCCCAAATCTATGGCGATACGCGAGCTTAACCTGGTTCATATGAGGACGGTTCCAATGTAGACGAACAATACGGCTAACCAGGAGCTCATCTGCGGAACCAATACAGGAATTAATCAGACAAGCATCGCGCATCACCGGGTCATTTGCGCTGCGGAGTATGTGGACTAGAGCATCTTCCAGGTGTCCCGAAAAGCACTCCTTGAGATGCTTCTCAAGAGAAAGATGGTAGCGTTCTTGAAAAGCGTGGGTGATAGCCCGCAGTTCTGCATCCGACGAGCGGGCAAAGATCGCGCAGACTTCGGTAGCATCGTTAACAACACGACCAGCCGTAGTTTCGTGTATGGCGCGAGCACTAGACTCGATGTTTTGGTGATTGATAGGAACATATTCGTCTTGCCTGGCTCCCCGCAAGACAGCCGTGAAAAGATCAGCCGTCTTCATCGATAGATCGTCTTTGACATCCTGCACAAGGGAACGATGGAAGCTGTGCTCATATGCAGTCTTGATCGCATGAATATCTGCGTTACTCCGGCCCAGGAGCACATCGTTCAATAGCCACTCTTTGGTGCCGAGACCCTTGACCGCCTCGCGTGCACTATCGGCGTCATATCGTAGAGGGCCGTCTACGATAGCTAGTAGGCCTTCTTCAAAGTGACCGGTCGTCTCGGACTCAATGTCCTTGTGAAGGTCACGTCTATGTCCTTTCGAATATGCTGCGCGCACAGCAGCCATTTGCAGCGGATCCAGGGGAGCGAGGACCATTATTAGCGTCTTATCGTCCGTGCCGAAACCCTTCATGGCTCTGCGCAAGGAGTCTGCTTCTCGTGTGTAATCGCCCATTGCGACAGCATGTGGGTCATAGCCCAGGGACGGCAATTGTGTCTGCTGTGGATGTGCGTATTGTGGAGCATAACTGGGAGCACTTGATACCGGCATTGACCCTGTTGCATGTGCATTAGGGACTTGGTTAGGCATAGACTGGGGATAATGGCCTTGCACAGCATTTGGCTGCTGCCCATAAGGGGCATGTAGAGGCTGGGGGTAGCCCTGTTGCGGGCCACCTTGACTAGGAATATAGCCACCAGACTGGGGAGCAGGATACTGTTGCTGCGGTTGTTGCCCATATTGAGGCTGAGGGTACTGCTGGGAGCCTTGCTGCGGGGCACCTGGACTAGGAATGTAGGCGCCAGACTGAGGAGCAGGATATTGCTGCGGTGGCTGTTGTCCATATAGAGACTGAGGTTGCTGCTGGAATCCCTGAGCCTGGAAAGGTTGGCCCTGAGTCCCCTGACCGTAGGGTGGATACAAAGGCTCTGAATGTAGTGTTAGTATGCAATGCCTTTGGTTCATTTGAATTACACAAGGACTCACGTTGGGGCGGGTTGTAAGACATGGCTGGACTCTGGAGATGATTCAAACCGTAATGACAGGCTGACAGCCCTATCTTTATACAGTAAACACTGCCTGGATGCTTGGTCTGCGGCGTTGTGGCTGTGCAAGCATCAATCATTCGCTAAGTGGTCGATGCCCGGCTGTCAGATTATAGTATTCGAGGCCCAAGCGCTATTAAACTCTGCTGCGCCACATGAAAGTCATCTCGCTTGACAGCGAAAGACCGCTAGATAAAGAGAAAGATACCGATTAGTAGATAGGAAACATAGTTCATGATACATAAGCCCCCTGGCCAATTTTCTCACCAATGTTTTATCAGGTGCCTCTTTGAAAAGTCTAAATTCCAACATATTGCGTACGCAGTAAATAAGGTTTTTTCAACTCAAAAACTCCTGTAAAAAGTGATGGAAGTGAAATACTCATCGCATATTGTTGAAAAGGTTATCATGTATCCATTCTAATGCAGTACATTCAAGGGGTATTTTGGAACGCCTAATAGTATAACGGTCATGCAAGTTCAGAATCACTCGTTGTCGACGTAGTTCGCCATCGGGTCCTGAGCGGCCATTCGGCTACGCTTGTAAGACTCCAGTTCCTCCTCGGTGATTCCAGATTTCATTTCCTCTAGTGTCCGCTTCTTCAAATTCGCCGTCTCATCATCCTTTTGACGATCGCCGGAAGTTTCAGGCTCGCGGGAGTAATCTGGGCCCTCGGCAGACTCATCCTCATTACCGTCATTATCAGGTAACATGAGCATATTGCCCTCCTCCTCCCAGGCCTTCTTCCCGTCCTCGCCAGTGCAATAACTGTTCTTGACGGTAGAGAAGCAGCACGAATAACCCCATTTGAATTCGTACCACCAGCTGCCAAAAACGGAAGTGTGGTTGTTGATTTTGACATCTTCCGGGTATTTGGATTTGGTAGCTTTCTTTGGGGCGCCTTTGATGGCCCCTGATTCATCATACTCCACAAAATGCTCGTTTTCAACCACCATGGTATCCCGCAGTGGAGTCTGTTGGAGATGCTCGCCGCCTCCATATTTCTCCAGAAGCGCCTTCCGCGAAGCCTCGCGTTTCTTTTCTGATTCTTCCTTCTCCTTCTTCCGGAGGAACTCTCCACTTGTTGGGTTGGCTTGAAGGTGAATTGGAGTGTTGCCCTTCTCTTGCGATTCCCACGCGTATTTTTGAGCCTGCTCAAATTCGGCAGCATCGCCAGAAGCACGAATGAAGTTTTCCTCAGCAACCAGCGCAGAGGCTTGATCTTCCTGCGCACCCATGTCTACCATCCTGCGAGTCTTGGGGTCGTACTTGGCGGAGTCTAGATCAAGATTCAAAAGGTATTTTGCGGTGTCTTCTCGAATACGCAAGTTGCGGGTGGCTGTGTTTTGTTGACGGCCCATGTCTGATTCCTCCGTGTAGCGAATATCTTCATCGGCATTATCCCCATCATCCTCCATGAGTTTTTTGAGATCAGCTCCTTCTTTGGCTGCCTTCTTCATCGCCTCCATTTCTTCGTACTCGTTCACAATGTTTTGGTACTCGCTGGCGTCGTATCCGTTCCATCGGTCTCGCTTCGCGTCCCAGCCCATGTTGACATCCTGGACGAGCTCGTCTGCCTGGATGTCCTTGCCCGTCCAGCGAGCACCCTGTTTTCGCGGGCGACTGAGGCATTCCTTGGTCTTATGTGTCATTGCGCCGCAGTTTTCGCAAGCGCCCTTTCGGTATTTTGTCGCGGCAGGCCCAGTGCGCTTTCCTCGATCATACCATTTTGACTGATCGGCACTTTTCTTTTGCAGACGTTGATGCTCTAAGTAATCATTTCCGGTCTCCTCGTCGATATAGAACGGCTTCTTCGAAATGAAAGACGGGATGTACTCGTTGCGTTCCTTGGACGCCACATCGGCGGGTTTTCGTGACATGGCGAAGTCGGCCTCGTGAGAGCGATGAGCTTGATTGTGTGCGGTATCAGAGAATGCGGTAGAAGGAAGCTCCGTACGATCCCAGCGTTGTGGCTTTGAGGACAAAAGTGAGGTTGAGACAAGTTCGAGAAGTCGTCGAAAGGAAGCTGGAGATTGAAGAGCGTTCACGTGACTGTCCCATAGGGACCCACCAGATGACTTGCATCGGGGATCTTTTATACGAGCTAGTAACTTTCACACGGACTCAAGGAAATAAATACGACCTAGACTCTCATAGCATACCAGAATGCGACTCATTTTTCAGTGTCACGGACCTCGTTTCTCGCATATTTGAAGCAAGGTTCATTACCAAAGCTCGATCTATGTCAATATTACCTAAGCGACATACCGCGCGCCGAGAGCGCGTCAAGATTCTAGAACTCAAAGAAGATTCCAACAAACTTCGCAGCATTGCATTACCAAGTCTTTGTTAGTGCTCCTGCACAATGTCGCCTATGGCCTCGATAGCACATAATCGGCCAGATGGATCCCTTTCGCGTGCGCCTTAACTGCATCGACCATTACCAAGCCACCGCGTCGGAGCTAGACCCTCCACTGCCCTGTCGAGATGGTGCATCTGCGAAAAACTACCAGCCTAGGGTGCCTGTGATTCGCGTGTTTGGTGCCACAGAAACCGGTCAACGAGTATGCGTTCACGTTCATGGCGCATTTCCATATCTGTACATCGAGTACAATGGGTCTCTGGAGACCGAAGCGGGTATGTAATCCAGGTCAATACTTTAAATAGTCTGCGATTGATCGAATACTAAGATAGTGCTTAGTGAATTCGGCGATTCAAACACTTCATCTCTCGATCGATCATGTCTTGGCTGTCAGTTATCGTCGCAATGCGTATGACCAGAAGACTGCATACGTCGCACACGTCACCCTCGTGAAAGGGATACCTTTTTATGGATACCATGTGGGATACCGGTTCTTCTTTAAGATCTACCTTCTGAATCCCTTCTACATCACCCGCCTAGCCGATCTCCTCCACCAAGGCGCGGTGATGAAACGACCACTACAACCATATGAAAGCCATATGCAATATGTTCCGCAGTGGATGTGCGACTACAACTTGTACGGTTGTAACTATATGGACTGCTCAAAAGTCAAATTTCGAGCACCAGTACCAGAATACCTGGAGCTGAACAACCTGGAACATCGTTGGCATGACCGGTCGATTGATCCCGAGAGCATAATCGATGACCCCGCTCTTGGAAAGCAAAGTCACTGCGCCTTAGAGGCAGACGTTTGCGTACAGGACATTCTTAACCGACTTGATGTCAAGGAACGTCCTTTACATCATGACTTCACAGAGATGCTACAACCAGTTGCTTTCAATGAGCGACTCGTTCCTAGCGTAGCTGGGCTATGGCAAGATGAGACGAAGAGACGCAAAAAGAGAATGGGGATAATTGACCCAAACAGTAGCCCTTTCGGGCCGGAAGATTTAATCTCGATGTCCGCGGATCCCAGAAACAAGTCCAAAGGAGGGTGGATACATGAAGATGAGTTTCGTGAGATGGCAGACCAGATCGCAGCAGATGAGAAGCACAGGGATAATGAGAAAGACATATGTTTTGATACGATCCTGAGCACAGATAAACATGCCGCCAATATCAAGACTGCTTTGAGCAGCGTTGAGGATTTCTTCCCGCAAAAATTTGGCCAATCCACTTTCCACGGCCAACCTTCAAAATCCGATGGACTGCCTCGAATATCTGTGGATGAGGAGGTCGCTCTGTTCACTCAGTCAAAGAGATCCCGGGAACATGATCAAGTGGATAATGCCTTTGAAATCGGAGTCGAAGAAGAAAATTCTCAGACAAAGAGAAACATGCTGGAAGAAAGCTTCTACGATGGTGTTTTTGATGATGTTGTCAATGTAGAAGATCCTACAAGCCATGAAGTTGCTCAACCCGAATTGGACTCGCGGACCAATGGGGATCCAACTAAGCACTCTTCATCATTGTCTTCCGAGGAATACCAGGAAGCCGGGTTAGAAGGAACCAAAGAAAGCCAAAATATTCTGAAGCGAAGATCTGAAGAGCACGTCTTTCCTGACCGATCATCCGTCAAGAAGCCGAGATTCTGGAGCATCTATGAACCACCGCAATCATCAAGAAAGCCAATCGACAGGGGTAAAATTGAAGACGAAGAACATACAGAAGCCCCGCGTAAGCCTGTATCTGCATCATCTGAGCCAAAATCATCCTCTTCGCAGAGAACAATTCGCGCCAAGGCGCAAAACCCTATTACCCGACTAAATTATCCCGTTGTGAAGGATCCCAATGACCCTTTAACTATCCTTCGATTCAGTCAAAGTCAAAATGACTCTCAATTTTCGAAGAAAGCATCGCAATCCTCCCAGCACATGCCCAGCTCGTTACCATCTAGCTCCGCTACACGCGACGCAGGCAATAATAAAGACTTAAGCAATAATAACGAGAAAGCATTCTCTTCATTGACAGGCTCTTCCTCTACGGTGGTGGGAATCCCTGCACTGAATTCACACATCGCTGGACTGAAGGAAAATCTCGCCGATTCATTCGAGTTCCTGCCGGACAAAGCCCTGTGTCTTTTTAAACTCGCAGGTCCAGGTAGCAATGATGTTATTTCCACTATGGATGTTTATGGTCGTCCTCCAGTCGTCTATCAGAAGGCATACTATAGCGATGAGACTGATGTGCCTGAAAGGCCCCGGCAATATGCGGGGCGGGAGTTTCGACTGGAAAGCAATACAATCCACTTTCTCCCGCACTTCGACCCGTCGGGAAGTCTACCTGCAATGTCTGGTGAGCAATGTCCGATAACTCTAGACCGAGAGCAGCAAGAAACAGCCGATCGACGACTACGACAATCGTGCACCATTAGAGAATGGGAGTTTGCGCCTGTTCCACCGAGTCGAGCTGAAGTTATTGAGTGGCTTGAGCAACATGAACAGTCCCATGATGTCACACTAACAGTAAATAGTCTTCCACCAGAACCTAAGCCTGAATTGCTATCGCAAATTGAGGGACCAACACAGAACCGTCATGGCTTTAAATACTCACAAAAGACCAAGAAGACCAGCGTGGAACATCAAATTCAGTACATGAGCACAATGAGCTTAGAAGTGCATGTGAATACTCGTGGACAGCTATCAGCCAACCCCGCGGAAGACGAGATTTCTTGCATCTTTTGGTGTGTTCAGTCCGAAGACGTGGACATCGAAGTCAACAGCCACCTCCCTGGTGTCCATGTTGGCATCGTATACCAAGGCGAGGGTGAGAGACCGGAGGCCAAGGTCTCCAAAGCACTTAAGATTGACATGGAACACGAGCCAACGGAGCTTGACCTGATCAATCGCCTGATTGATATTGTCCGCGAACATGATCCGGACATTATCACTGGCTACGAAGTGCACAACGGTTCTTGGGGCTATGTGATTGAGCGTGCTCGGAAGAAATACGACTTCGAGCTTTGTGACGAGATCTCCAGGGTGAAGGCTCAGGCACATGGAAAATTTGGCAAAGAAGATGACCGGTGGGGACATGGTCACACTTCATCAATCAAAGTGACTGGCCGACATATGATCAATATCTGGCGTGCGATGAGTGGCGAGCTCAACCTGCTGCAATATACCATGGAAAATGTCGTGTTTCACCTTCTGCACCGCCGAATCCCACATTACTCTCATAAAGACTTGACAAAATGGTACCGAAGCGAAAGGCCTCGAGATATTCTCAAAGTCCTCGATTACTTCACTTCTCGAGTGCAGATGAACCTTGAAATCCTTGAAGCTAATGAGTTGGTTCCGCGCACCAGTGAACAAGCTCGACTTCTTGGAATAGACTTCTCCTCCGTCTATTATCGAGGATCTCAGTTCAAAGTTGAATCTCTGATGTTTCGAATCGCCAAGCCCGAAAATTACCTACTTGTATCGCCAAGTAGAAGGCAAGTCGGGCAGCAGAATGCTCTCGAATGTCTGCCACTTGTAATGGAGCCGCAGAGTGACTTCTACACCAGCCCGCTCGTGGTCCTTGATTTTCAGTCGCTCTACCCTAGCGTGATGATCGCGTACAACTACTGCTACTCGACATTCCTAGGCAGAGCATCGTCTTGGCGTGGCCGAGACAAGATGGGATTTTTAGACTATGAGCGACAGCCACGCCTGCTGGAACTGCTTAAAGACAAGATCAACATCTCACCAAATGGCATGATGTACGCGAAGCAGGAAGTACGGCAGTCTCTTCTAGCAAAGATGCTGACGGAAATCCTCGAGACTCGAGTCATGGTCAAAACTGGCATGAAGGCCGACAAAGATGATAGAAATCTACAACGCCTTCTCAACAACCGCCAGCTAGCTCTCAAGTTGATTGCGAACGTGACTTATGGCTACACATCGGCATCTTTCTCCGGCCGTATGCCCTGCTCCGAGATCGCAGACAGTATCGTCCAGTCTGGTCGTGAAACACTGGAAAAAGCCATTGCATTCATCCACTCAATAGAAAGATGGGGTGCCGAGGTAGTGTACGGCGACACAGACAGTCTCTTCGTCTATTTGAAGGGCCGAACACGCGACCAAGCCTTCGATATTGGTGAAGAAATCGCCCAAGCAGTAACAGACATGAACCCCCGTCCCATCAAACTCAAATTCGAAAAGGTGTACCATCCCTGCGTCCTGCTTGCCAAAAAGCGCTACGTCGGCTTCAAATACGAACATCGCAATCAAACCGAACCCGAGTTCGACGCCAAGGGTATCGAAACCGTCCGCCGCGACGGCACTCCTGCTGAACAGAAGATCGAAGAAAAGGCCCTCAAGATCCTCTTCCGCACCGCAGACCTCAGTCAAGTTAAATCCTACTTCCAGCGCCAATGCACAAAGATAATGCAGGGTCGTGTCTCAATCCAGGATTTCTGTTTCGCCAAAGAGGTTAAATTAGGCTCATACAGTGAACGCGGCACTCTCCCCGCCGGCGCTATGATCAGCACCAAGCGGATGATCGACGACCCTCGCCTGGAACCGCAGACCGGCGAACGTGTCCCCTATGTTGTAATTACTGGCGCGCCGGGCTCGCGACTAGTAGATCGATGCGTGGGACCCGAGACGCTCCTCCAGGATGCCCAGCTCGATCTTGATGCGGAATACTATATCTCCAAGAACATCATTCCACCACTCGAGCGCATCTTCAATCTTGTTGGTGCGAACGTACGTCAATGGTACGATGAGATGCCCAAGGTTCAGCGTATCCGACGCGTTGATACTTCTAAAGAAACAAAGATCATGAAACGGACGCTAGAATCATACATGCGCTCATCATCGTGCGTTGTATGCAGAGCGAAACTTGACGATGCTAACGGTTCTCTATGCGAGGAATGTCTCCGGCATCCGCATCTTACTCTCTTGGGTGTTGTTTCGAGGCTACAGCGTGCTGAGAAACGGGTTGTTGATCTTGAGGCTGTGTGTCGATCTTGTATGGGTGTTTCTGCCGTGGATGAGGTTAGCTGTGATAGTTTGGATTGTCCTGTTTTCTATTCTCGGACACGCGATGCGGCTAATTGGCGTCATTCGAAGACTGTGCTAGAACCTGTGGTGGAGTTATTGGAGAACAAGGGAGAAGAGGGATTGGATTGGTGATTTTAGTATTGATGTAAACTAAGCAATTGAGATCTGCGGTCCATGTGGAAGGAAAGGCAAGCGCATCTCAAGCAATTCCCATCACTGTATCCTTCACGCAAATTTTGCTACTTTTGTATATGTCAATCACCACCGAGCAAGCGAAGCAAATCATCCAGAGCGCCGGGTTCCACGTCTCCACCTTGCTCAACAATTTCGACCATAGCTCTAGACTCATGGTTTTCGCCGCCCGCTTCACAGGCCTTATGGGAACTTGTATCAGTGCACAGCTCAGCTTCCTCTTTGCTCTCGTGGCGTCTACCCAGATGAACATCTGACTCGAAGCCAGATGTGTGGGAATTGACACCCGCTACAGAATCACTGTAATGACACTGGGGACTGTTCTGACCAGGAGGCGCACTCTCCGGAGGAATTACATCAACTAAATCAGATTCTGTGCCCGCTTCCGTAGCAAAACTCTTCAATCCGGAAAGGAGCATCTGCACCTCCGCCTGGGTGTAAATCTTTTTCTTGACCTGTGGCAATTCGCCATCGGCAACCGCATCTGCAACTGGCATATTGAAATTGCCTATCGCTATCTTGCCGAGGAACTCATGAAAAATCCATGGAAAACTGATGAGCGGTAGCTGTATCTTGCCACCTTCCTCGCTGCCTGCTTCGTCTGTATCGTCGTAATCATTGAGAACCGGATTTTTTTGGGCTTGCAGTGTGTATGCCATCTCTTCGTGCGTCACGCGGTAAAGGGCTACAACCAACGGGGCAGTTTCTTCAAACGTGCGTCCGCCGACCTTTTCATAGCATGTATGCCGGAAACCCTCGCGGAGAGATCCAGTTATGCGGCCTAGATCTTCATGGATCTTGTAGTCACGACAGAGGCAGTTGTGGGACATGACGAAAGTGGACCAGACCTCAAATTCGGTCTTGATGTCAAACTGTGCCATAATTCGACGCACTGCGGTATCATAATTGACTTTTAAATCTGCTGCAAATTCAAGGTATTGTTCACTGGCAGGGACAAGCTCGCAATTCAGGATTCGAGCGTCGAACGGTAGGTTGAGTGTTGGTGCGAAATCTTTCGTCTCCACTGCATCGTAAATCTGACCTAGGATCTTTCGCGATTTGTAGATCTGTTCTGGGCGTTTGTGCTTCTTCTCCATAAAATGTGGCCATTGACGAGGCTCCAAATCGCGATCCATGTTTGCAACACTTCCTGTTTTGACGTAGTCAACCGCATCAGAATGCAATTTCGCAAGCTGTTGACATTTGGTCTCGAGAACACCACCGGGGAGCCTGTCAGCATGAGCCATATGGGCGTGTGCAATTCGAGGGAGGCTGTCATTTTTCATGTATGTCACGAAGAATGATGTGATCTCATCAACGGTGACATCGTGGTCCATATCGGGAGCTTTGTTGCTGCTGTATTTCATTGGAGTCATAAACCAATTCTGAGGAATAAGGTCTTGATCCCATAATACCATATAGTCATCACCGTCAAGATCTCCACCGGAGCACATGCTAGCCAGGTCTCGATCGCCAGTCTTCGGTAAAACCACAACGTCACAAAGATATCTGAGCTCTGGTTTATCGACCGCATTCACAACACGAATATCACCAGCGTGGAGAGACGGATTCCGGGCTAATATGCAGAGCCCTTTAATGACCTCAGGCTTACCACCTTCCAAGCGGCAAACTTGAACGAATATCTCAGGAACGGCAGTAATTCTCTCTTCATATGATGCCGTTCGAAGACTGGGGCTATGATTGAATTGGCCCTTCAGAACTCCCATCTCATCCATGCAGCCAAACAGATTTGTACCTTGATCAATCACAATATGGGCTTTCTCCTTGATATTCTTCAGATGCCATGCTTTCCACAATTGGAGCATTGAGGTAACAAAAGGCTCATTGATCTGCATGAATCCCTCCCTCACCATGCGAGCTAGACTGATCGTGATATGATTGGGATCAACAAACCTGTGGAGCTGGCGAACTGCGGGCTCGACTTGGCTCATGGCTAAATTTAAGTCCTCGAGCATGATGTTAAGCTTTTGGTGGAATACTCTATCCGGGATCTTGAGAGCCGACAGTGCGAGAATCATTTGGCGATTCAACGTTGCGGGATAGTATCGTGACCAGCGAATAATTTCTAGTCCATTTGCCTTGGCTTCAAACTTGAGCTGACTGGGGCGGATATGAATCTCCTTAGGCTGAGGGTCCGGGGAAACAACCAGCAGACCTTTGCAGCCCCCAAGACGAAACTGAAATGCAGAGGGTGGTTTCCCGGTCCTCGTTTCAATATTGAGGTCGGTCACGGTCATCTCCGCGAGAAACCTGGAGATTTTACCGACTCCATCCGAAAAGGTAAAGCCGTTGCGGACGACTTCCTCGCACATTTTAATCTCAACTCGACAACCAGAGACAGGGCGAGTAGTAGAGAAACACTGACCCAGTCGCGCGGCAAATTTTGCGATGTTCCGAATATGGTTGAACTGACCCATCCAAGCCCGAATATGAGCGGCTGTTAGGTCTGGCGTCGGAGCAAAGAAATAGGCACCATGTTCACGGAATTGGGAGTTTCCGAAAGCTAGAAATTCATAGTGACGGTCCCCTACTGTAATGCCCCTAGTCAGGGTTCTTTTGACCCGAGTGAACGTTTCATCATTGCTATCGTTGAAGCTGGAATGTATCCTACCCTGGGTTACCTCGTCTGTAAATCGAACCCGAAGGAAACGGTCCGCAAATTCAATGTACCGGCGAGTGACACGGTTGGAAGTATCCACAGTAGGTGTGCTGTAGTAAATAGTTGTCGGTGTCACCCTGGCGCTGCGCATGTAGCAGCAATGCTTGCTAAGCTTGGACTTCGGTTTGCGGAACTGCAGATTGAAGATCTGCATGGGGTCAATATAGCTCTTCCTGCTTGTAGCCACATGTTCCAGGAGAGCCTTGGCATCGGCTTCTCCGAGCTCCATGAGCTTCAAGAGAAATTTTCTGAGCACTGCGAACTCCGAAAAATATCTGTTTGAGAGGCATACTTCGAGTTGGTAGCGGACAGAGAATGGCAGGTGAACAAAATCCTGGTCATACAGGTTTTCGAGCATGGACATGCCATGCGTTGATTCTGTATGGTCAATCCATTTCCAAACTGCTTGAGGACGCACAGTGGATTCCGTGAAACTGCCATCATTGATGATGATATTGTGGTCCTTCAAGATCTCTTGAATGACCTTTAAATTATGGACATCGTCTCGGGAGAACGTGATCTTGAATACGTTCCATCTGCCTAGGAGGAACGAAGTTGGTTAGCTTGAGGGATCTAGGCGTGTGTCAAGGCGACTGACCTGTGTCAATGATCTGGCCCGACTTGCGCAGGTTGGTAGAGATGTTCGCCTGGGACAAAGGGTTGTGGACAACAGAAGTCTGACGATACCATGTATCAGAAGCTCTCCAGGTAATCTCCGAGTTGAATGCGGTGGTAGAAGTTTGACGGTGAAAGATAGGAGGAGCGTCAAGCACGATGACGTAGCAATGCTCGCTCGTGCCGTTGTTCTTCATTTCCCATACTTTTGAGAGCTCAAAAAACTTCATTCGGATCCGATACAAAGACGGAGGCGTCACAACCCCTGTGCGCTTTGAACTGGATTGACGGATTGCCAGCTCAAAAAATATATAGAGTGCTCGGGCTCGGACGTCCCAAACGGATTTTAGGGAGTTGGAACTCTCGAATGTGCGCATTGGAAAGAATGTTTTCTCATCTGGGCAGACTCCAACATCCAATTTGGATAGATAGAGTTCCTACATTGAAATTCAAATGTCAGAAGCCCGCTTAGTATTAGCATTCCTGGAATAGATTGAAACTGACAATTTCTGTTGGATAGAATACACCCTCACGAACGGGGCTGGGCACCCACGGCTCATAAGAATTCAGTTCGATGTTGAGCTGGAGGTAGCAGATTAGGCCATTGCGCAATTTAAAGGGATAGGTTTGGTTTGACCAAAAATCTCTGGTAGGAGGGGGCCTTCAAAGTAGTCAGAAATGGGCTTGAGAGATATCCAATATAGAAATGAGCGTAGGATGGAATCTAAGAGACTGTTGACCGAGGCCAAAATGAGACTTACTTGAAGCGAATCCGCCCACGGCTTGATCGGTTACCGTTGCGGTCTTCGAAAATATCGATGGAGAAGATGTTGCCCTCGTTCGAAAAAGCGTCCCATAGAGCGTAGGTGCTGGTTTCCTTAGGGAGGTCTGAGACACCCACTGCCACAGATTCCCAATTTCTCCATGTTAGCCACACGGGTGGAGGCGGAGAAACAGGTGAACGGCGGGGATACATGGTTAGAGATCTAGCGATGAGAGATATATGAAAAGTGCGTGGGAGTTGTATGAGAGATATGTGGGAGTTAGATGACCCGAGAAGGAAGATCGTAGATAAGTTTAGAAAACATGTGGTGGGTGGGATAGATGTCTGAGTAGACATATGACCCTAACATGGGTGACTTAGGAACATGTCATAGTCGGTGAATCAACAAGTGAAGACGTACCCAAGCAGAAGTATCTCCCAGGTCCTAGAAACCTTGTTGGCTACAAGTGCAGGCATGACGGAAGAAGAAATTTCCCTCAGCTTGACAAAAAAACATCGTGAACGCTCTAGAGAGCTTAACTTCTCCTAGGTCCTATGGATGGTCGTTGATCCTGAACTTCATGGGAGGCACAAAGAATCCCATTCTGTTTTCATTATATCTTTCCAAGCACCTGCTCCAAACACTACCTGGGCAGGAACCAGTTCTTATGTCCTGAAATGGCTTTCGATAATTTGTGAAGATATCAAGATTTGGTTCGTCCAACGGTACTGGAGGGAGATGTGAAAGTTTTGGATCTTGCTACAAGCGGTGTATATAGTTCTGTTCTTTGGGAAGGGTTTCAAGGTCTTTATCATAGGCGAAGATATCAAAAGACAGCTCGTACCAAAGGGAAAATAGTGAGGGATTGGATGTGCTCATAAAAAAATTGGATAGCGACTTTCAGGCGACTTGCTCCGAGAAAAAGCTTTCCAACTTTCGCCTCTGGGCATCTACCACCGTATGACAGGGATGCGTAGGACTATTATTCATAAAGAGGGCTGACTGTTCATAAACTGAACTCATTGCGGACCGAGTTGGTCATTTGACCCAGAAAATGCAGTACTGCTCAAGAACAAGTCCTTGGAGAACTCCAGATCCATATCCAAATCGATAGCCTGCAGCTTATTTTCTGAATATTGGCCTTGTTTCGAAGGCTGACTCGACTGCGATTTACGGGGACTATTACAGTCCCTAAGTCCAAGAGGTCGGCGGACAACTTGAACAGTGGAACCCGGACAGCTTTGTTTGGATGGCCCGTTAGCGGAAGTCGTAGATGACTGCAGGATTCCGGGGTTCATTGAGAGTCGATTGGCCTTTGACCGTTTGGGGCTGGGACCCCGGACATTAGAAGCTAGTTCATCGAAGGACTCAGCTAGCTGGCTCTCCTCGTCGTCGCATGCAGACTCGCGCATGTTTCTTGGATGTCTCCGTTCTGTGCCTGGCTGGGGCTCCTGGGTGGAAGCAGGTGGTTCCATTGGTTTGGCAGTGAAGCCCATGACGTTCATCAGCCTACCAATGTGTTGCTGCGCCTCGGAAAATTCGCGAGCTTTATTGGCTCGCTCATCTCGGAGAGATTGAATCTATGCATTTGTGAGTAAAAATATCGATATGGAAGGTGAATGGGGACTAACCTTCTTTTCCAACATGTGAATACATTTGTCTTTTGAATGGTGTTCCTTAGAGGCATTCTGAGCAGCGACCTGCATTGCCATATGTAGCCGACCGATCTCTTCCTTGTGGGACTGATTCTGTTTTTCTTCGTTAGTATGATATAGCAGAGTGTAAGAGAAATTGGTTACCTCTGATGTGGCTCTCGTAAGCTCGATTTCATATTTCTGTTTCGTGGCTTCTAGTCCAAGCCGGGACTCTTCTTGAGCTTCTTCTAGTGCAAAGCAAAGCTTCTTGGATTCCATATTCTGCTCATCAATCTGTTTAATGTCAGTACATGTGCCTCTCTAAAATTTGAGCAGCCTTACCATTGTCTTCATATTTTCGATCTCCATCTGCATGTTTTCTGTCTCCGTCAAAAGACGTTGAATGTCGTCCTCTTTCTTGGAGCAAAGCATCTTGTTGTCTTCAAACAATGCATTAATTTCCGCAAGCTCCTTAAGCAAACAGGCGGAATTTTGATTCGATATGGCTTGTTCTCTGTTATACTCCTCCAATGTCTGCTGCATTTGTCGAACCTCTGACTTGAGGTGTTTGAGCTTCTCTTGCTGCTCCTCAAGCTGGTCGTCTTTTTCAGTGCAAGTTGCAAGTAGGTCTAATTCTCGATCCCGAGCGCTTTCTTGCTCTTGATGGGTCATTTCAGTGAACCGACGCCGCTGCTCTTCGAATTCATGCCGTGCGGACTCTAGAGCGACTGACAGTTCGTCTACGCGAGCACAAGAGGAATCTTGTTCCTTGCGGAGGATTTCTTCAGCGAGGCGACGTTGCTGGTCGAGCTCTTGTCGTGCAGAGTTCAGAGCAGCAGACATCTCTTCGGCACGAACACGAGCTTTTTCAGCATGTTGCTCTAAACGAGAAAAGTTTTGCTGTAGCTCCAAGATCCCACTGGATGAATTTTCTAATTGCTTTTCCAGACCTTCATTCCGCCGCTTGAGGGTTTCGGCTTCGAAAATGTGTCGGTCGCGCTCTTCTTCTGCGGAACGCAACGGTCCCTCAACCTCATAGCAACGACGTTCCAAATCGACACAGACATCTTCAATTTTTTTGATCATGTCCTCGCGGGTACTTTGGGCTTTTTGCATCAAAACATCAGCGACATCAAATCGCCAATCCCGAACTGGATACTCGGTGTTTGAAAAGTCCTGTCTGTTGCGCAGAGAGACTGAATATCGAAAGTCTTGCAAGATGGCTGTGGAGAATAAACAGCCATTGCCACATATTGTGATCCTAACATGCTCAACAAAAGATTTCATGACAAGAATCTCACTGTTATTTCCACCCCTTGAAAGTGCAGCAGCAAAATAGATATCGAAAATCTTGATCAGAAGCTGATTCTGCAATGAGTTCTTAGCACAAGAGCAGGCTTGTAGTCCCTGACACTGAGTCTGTTTGGGTTTGGCTGGGAAACTCCCAAGCAGACCGAGGACGGATTCTCTAGTAGAGACTGAATCAAGAAGGGAGTCAAATAATACTGGGGACTTGGATGATTGAAACCCTGCAAGTATCAAATTGGCCAATTGCAGATCGGACAGTGAGTGTTGACCAGGTAGATCACCCTCTTGGACAACTTCAAAAGTGAATCTCAGAAGATGATAAACGGCTGATTTCTCAGAACACTATTTGAAGTCAGAAACAAAAACCAACAAATAAAAAACGAATATTTACTTACAACCAGCGACTCAGCCATACGTTGGATAAGATGGGGTAGCATGACTCCCATCACGCCCCTGCTGCCCTTTGAGACAAGAATATGCAATGCAAGCTCTCTAATATGGCCAGGAAGATCGGCCGCAGGAAGAAGAGATAAGAGAAAGGCAACGCCCTGAAGTTAAGTCAGTCAGTAGTAGTGCAAATCGAATTAAAGGTACCTTACAATCATCTGAATTTCCCGATCCAGTCCATCTCTAGCAACCTTTTCACACAGCTTAGCAATCTTGGAGGAATTTCCAGATATCCAAGCCTGTTTTTGCTCCGGCTCAATAGCATCGGCAATACAAATGGCAAGTTGAATACTTTCAGCTGCCTGCGGGGGAGTCAGGTTGTTACAATTCGATGAGCAAGCAAGGATGACCCGGAGGACGACCAAGTCCAACGTCTTCAGACCCCGCTTTGGCCCGAAAAATTGCCGAATATTGAGAAGCCATGATGGGACTTCTGGTCCGTGTTTGTTAGTAAAGCCGACAGTTCGAATCGATGCAATGCGTGCAAATGTTGCAAGGCACAAGAGGTTGCCCATGTGATCATCCAAGTTGCGTAAAGTCTTCGTAAATTCTACCTGCATATTAGACATTACCTCGGTCGGAACATCATGCTGAAGGAGTGAGCATCCCTGAAGTCCATTCATCAAGGTGTGCAAGGGCGCGATTGTGTCTGCGTTTGGGGTCCGGGCCATTGCGGTCACAAAACAGGTGATCAGATTGGCAAGCCGAGCAGGAGGCACAAGCCCTGCCGGGAATGGACTGGAGAGTAAAGATACACATGCCAGCTTATACTGCATTTATATTAATTTTTCACCCAAAATGATACTCTTGTGCCAAGAACTTGATTCACCTCTGATTCACCACCATCGACGGCTTTTTGTAAGAAAGCATCCAGAATCACTGGATGGCGAAGTAGGACTGCATCTCGGAATGTGATTTCGGAGACTAAACGCCATCAGCAACATAAACATTCATAAGACCAATATGCTTGGTCCTTACCAAAAATAGAAAGTAGTGGAAGAGCGATTCGCGACCGTGAGAGGCTTTCTACCAATACATCGGCCAACAGTCCAATTTGGCAAGGCTTTTGCAGCGCCCAGCATTTGACTGTCGAAGTAGTCCTACTCTGAAGCAGCGTATATAGATCCTATCGCACATGGTGTCAGCTGATATCCCGCTATTTACTGGGTCAGAATCACCTACCTGCAGCGACGGTGCGTAAGGAGCAGTCACAATCCGCTCGATCTCGTCTACCAAATGCGTCAAATCTTGAGACATTCTGACGGTCTCTGCAACCACAGACGATGCCTAGGATCGTAGTCCTCTTGGAGTGTCGTCGGCACGCGGGTCGTGGATTGAAAGAACCGTGTTGACGTGGTTGCCCGGTCAACGGATATGACGCTGTCTGACCAATCAGCGCGCTCCATTTCTACATAGTAAGGAGCGTTTTACAGAAATCCTGACTGCACGACCATTGGTGGACAGACTCTCATTTACCTTGGCCCTCATTCTATGGATTTGAACCCCCACACCCTGTTCCTTCCCCCACGCCCGACCCCAGTGGAGCGGAAGCGCATCGGTGGAAGTCCGAAGCGGGGAAGTTCAATTCGCGGTTAGTTGCACACCTCATAGAGCTCGCATATGTCGTAAGCATTAACCGAGCTCGAGAAAGAGATCCACGGAATTCTAGCGCAGAAATGTCTACATTTCCGGCCTTTGCATTTTTCTTTTCCTCTTTACCCTTCAAACATCAATAGATATTTACCATGCGAGTCACGCTCAAAATCCCTCAGGGCTTCTCCACTCCCCGCATACCCCATTGCCGTCCCCGGACCTCCCAATCCCAATTCCTGCCTGGCGGAATTCGGGCAAATAGCTCAATTACCCAGACCGGCAACACCCAACAGAGCTCTTCAAGCTCTGGTTCATCGCCGAATAATTCTTTCTGGACTCCGGCGCGAGCATTTCTTGTCTCCGCATTTGCTGCGGGGTTGGGTTACAGTTTTGCCTCGTACAACCAGACACCTCGACCGGCGACAAAGGCGCAGTATGGATCATTGAAGGATTTTGAAAAGGTATCACGACTAAAAAAAGGTCTCTTTCTTTGCCGGTTCACTGACTGATTATCAATAGGCGATCGCAGAATTGAGAGCTAAGCTAGGCGAAGATGCGGTCAGCACCGATGAAGGCGACCTTCAATCACACGGATATTCGGAGTGGTCAACTCTCAATGCCGACCGCCTCCCGGTCGCCATAGCATACCCGACATCGACTGAGCAGGTCTCGGAGATTGCAAAGGTCTGCAACAAGTACCGAATGCCCATGATCCCGTACTCCGGCGGGTCTAGTTTAGAGGCCAATTTCTCCGCGCCCTATGGCGGCATGACCATTGATTTCGCTATGATGAATAAAATCTTGACGATTCACGAGGACGATCTAGATATCGTTGTGCAGCCTTCTATACAGTGGATGGACTTGAATGAGCAGATTAAGGATACGGGTCTGTTCTTCCCTGTCGACCCAGGCCCATCCGCCATGATTGGTGGTATGGTTGGCACGAATTGCAGTGGAACAAATGCTGTTCGATACGGAACGATGAAAGACTGGGTGATCAATCTTACCGTTGTTCTTGCCGATGGCCGAGTGATCAAGACTCGGAGACGGCCGCGCAAGACATCCGCTGGGTATAATCTTACGGGCATGTTTGTGGGGTCTGAGGGAACGTTGGGAATTGTTACGGAGGCCACGTTGAAGCTGGCTCCCATTCCTGAACAAACCCGAGTTGGGGTTGTGACATTCCCGACTATTCGTGACTGTGCTTCTACTGCGATGCAATTGATCAAAAAGGGTATCTCCGTGCAATGCATGGAGATATTGGATGATGTGCAAATGGATGTGATCAACCGTGCAGGTGGGACTGGGCGCTCGTGGACTGTAGCTCCTACGCTCTTCTTTAAGTTCTCCGGAACTAAGGCCGGTGTCGCTGACAGTGTCAATCTGACGACGATACTCGCTAAGATCAACCATGCCTCATCCGTTGAGTTTGCCAAGGATGAGAAAGAAGCTCATGACCTTTGGTCGGCACGTAAGCAGTCACTGTGGAGTATGATGTCGCTCCGCCCGGAAGGCTCTGATGTCTGGTCGACGGATGTCGCTGTGCCTCTATCCAGATTACCCGAAATTATTGGTAAGTTCGGCCCCAATACCTTCGAGGTCAGATGGTATATACTGACAGCCTTGGTATCATAGAAATCTCTAAAAAGGAACTGGTTGATCTTGGTCTATTTGCCAGCATCCTCGGACATATCGGCGATGGAAACTTTCACGCTAGCATCATGTTTGACCGTCAAGACCCGGATCAGAAGGAGCGAGTAGAGAAGGTCGTATATGACATGGTAAATCGCGCTCTCGAGATGGAGGGCTCATGCACGGTATGATCTATCCCACCAGAATAAAGATCTTGAGAACTAATATCCTTTGCAGGGTGAACACGGTATTGGTCTTGGTAAGAAGGGATCACTGAAAAAGGAACTCGGAGAGGATACCATTGATATAATGCGCGGTATAAAGCGCTCCCTTGACCCGCATTGGCTCCTGAACCCTGGTAAGATCTTTGATTTGGAGAGGGATTCGTGAAAGTGAGCCGAGAGACCAATAAATTCCCTCTCCCCAAATGAGAAAGTGCCCAGATGTCTCAGTTATTGCACATAGTAAAAATAATAAATACCTCGGGTACATTGCGTGGAAATAATCACTATGTACACCCGCATAGAAATCAGGAGTATAGATCACAATGCCAAGAATCCGGCTTTGAGGCCGAGATGTATCCTGCAAAATGGCCGAGGTCGGAGGGCAAGCCATGCAAGGGAAGATCATGCCTAGAAAGCGGAGATCAACAGGCCCCGCATACTTTAACTCTTCCCCCAACCCCGGATCTTCCTCACGTTTTCAATTTCTCCAACACCACAAGTGAGATCCCGGAAGAATACTTCTTGTCGGCTTAATACAATGGAGTCTAAGCTATCTGATTCAGCCCATATCGAGCTCCGTGAGAAGCTTTCATCTAAACAAAGCGGAACTACCGTGATAGAACTTTCACCATCGGAATACAACAGGATCTTACGCAAGGTCGATCTTCGAGTGATTCCCATCTTAGCTACTTTGTACCTTTTGAGCTTTTTGGACCGAGGCAAGAAACGTTCTCGCCATTGTAAATTTCAATGTATGCTAATCTGTTGAAATAGGTAGCATCGGGAATGCAAAGATTCAAGGAATGGCCACTGACTTGGGACTGGTCGGCAACCAATATAATTGGTGGGTGAGATAATGGCGGCTTAGTGCAGTAAACTAATTCTAGTGCAGGTGCCTTACAGTGTTTTTCTTTCCTTATTCCTTCACTGAGCCTGTCTGCAATCTTTTGCTGGTCCGATTCAAGCCTAGTATTTGGCTTCCATCTATAATGGTTGCATGGGGTATGATATTTTGCCCAGATATGGGGGTCTGCAACTGAAGAATTTTCAGGGATTGTGATGACTTTGACTGGGATCGTTCAGAATTATTCTGGTCTATTGGCGGCAAGATTCTTTCTAGGTGGGTGAGATGAGCATTTAATTTGATATATCTGTCTAATGTCTTGGATTTTCCTACTGCAGGGCTCGCCGAGGCAGGTCTATGTAAGTTGCTCTCTACCCGGTATAAAATATCGCATTTTACCAAGTGGTTTTACTTATGTACTTGCAGTTCCCGGTCTGGCCTTCTACATCTCCCTCTGGTAACACTCTCAATATCCCACTACTCTGATGTATTCGCTCACAAAGACAGGTATCCACGCTCGAATGCTCAGTTTAGACTTGCTCTGATTTTCGCGTCTGCATCAATGGCTGGTGCATTTTCTGGCCTTCTGGCTTATCTGATCAGTATGATGGATGGTGTTGGTGGTCTCGAGGGCTGGCGATGGATGTATGAATCCACTTTCACTCGCATTGTGGCATGAATTTTCTAACTCCTGGCAGCTTTATTCTCGAGGGAATTCTGACTGTTGTTGTTGCTGTTGCTTCATACTTCTTTGTCTGGGATGAGCCAGCCACTGCAACTTTTCTCACCAAAGACGAGAAGAAGGTTATCCTGGATGCATTGAGTTATCCACATACTGAGATCTTCACAAATGCGCAACTGGGGGGTGAGAACTCTTTCAAATGGAAGCATGTTATGAATGCAGCTTTTGATTGGCAAGTGCGTTCCTTCCATCCATTATCCCTTCCTCAATCCTTCCTCTCTATCCTTCAATAAAGAGAAAATATCACTGACAATGCCACCAAGACCTGGTTTCACTGTCTTGGTTATTGGGGAGTTGTAAGTATAGAGTGCTAGCCAATTCTCGCTTGACTAACACGTCATGGACAGGCCGTAGCAGTCTATGCACTATCATTATTCCTCCCAACCATCATTAGCGGACTCGGCTATTCAGCTGCCATTGCTCAACTCTTGACAATTCCAATTTATGCGGCCGCCACCATATCTTGTATTGTAGTCGGTTATCTTGCAGATAAAACGGGTAAACGAAGTTTTTTCACTTTTGCCTGCTATGCTGCCACAGTTGTCGGGTATCTCATCGCAGTTGTTCCGCCCACATTCTTACCCGGCTTGACATATGCGGGATGCTTCGTGGCTGCATGTGGAATTTATCCAGGTATGGAATCGCCAATACATTGTTTTAATACGTTAACTAAATGCCTGCTCTTAGCTATCCCGGGCCTTCTAGCCCTGTCTTCAAATAACTGGGCACCCAATGCAAAGCGAGCCGTTGGTATGGCTATCCAAATGGGCTTCGGTACCATGGGTGGAGCTGCGGCGTCGAACTTTTACCGGGGCAGTGATGCTCCGAGATATCGTTTGGGGCACGCTTTGGTGCTAGTTTTTGCTGGATTGGGGCTTTTCACTATGATATTATACTACTTTATATGTCGCCGAGTGAATGCAAAGAGGGAAGCGGAGGCTGATAGCGTTTATCAGTACACTTCGGATCAGTTGGTTGACTTGGGTGACAAGGCGCCGAGTTTCAGGTACAAACTTTGAAAAATGACTGACATGTGAAACGACTGGTAGATTTCTTATTGCAGATTAATTGTGAACAAAATTCAAAGTTCAGTATATGCATACTTGCACAAATGAACCAACGATTACTCATCCCTCGCCATTGCAAGTTTAAGGTTCGCTCTTGTGGTTTTTTCGATTAAGGTTTGATTTGACAGAACGTGGCGTGTGCTAAGGTTCAACCTTGGTACATCGATAAATAAACAATAAAACGTTGTATGTTTTCTTAATGAACATATTGATAATTACAACGGAAGCCGCCGAAGTAATAGTTCAAAATTGCTTATGCCTTAACAACTTGATGCAAGAGATCTGCCAAACGCTCTGGCATACTCAAAAATGGGGAGTGCGAACTTGGGAGACGGTAGGTGTTTTCCGGGCCACCCATCTTGGAAGCAAATAGCTCTTGGAAAGAAGGAGGCAGAGCATGATCTTGTTCACAAATGATGTAGGCGCAGGGAATATCTCTCCAGGGTTCATATGTTGACTCGCCGGAAAAGACTGCACGGGAAGTGTGCAGTGACAATGCGTTCCACTTTTCTTGTTTTTCAAGGGGAAGATCTTGCCAACCAACTGCTCCAGCACCATCTGCAAGGACGTAGTCACCCTAAAAGCTTGTAAGAAATGTTTTTTCAATTCAAACCATTTTGGGTAGCATCATCTTTTCAGGGGTATACATACTTCTACCTTCATCCAGGGCAGATAGTTTCCGCCCAGCATGCCCAGCAAGCTCTGTCCCTTATCAATAGCAAATGCGGCAAGATAGACCACCTTGATCACACCACCCGCTGTTCCTTCTTTGGCACGGGCACTTTTGCTCAGCCCTACAACGGCACATGAGGCAACGACTCCACCGTAGGAGTGACCCACAACAACCAAATCTTGGCCGTCATCCGCGAGCTTCACCAAAACCTCACGGAGTGAGGCGACATCATCCAACAGTGTCTTAGTAGGGGGCTCCGCACCAATTGAAGGGTGAGCGGGGCAGACAGAAGGACATCCGAGGACATCCAGCCGGGAGCGGGTAGCATCAAAGACAGCCGGAATAATCCAGGCGCCGAGCGAGAAGACAATTGTTGGGTTATTCATACCGAGATAGTAATTTCAAATACAAGTCAAGAGGTTGGACTACGAAAAGTAAGAAAAAATCTCTTTCAGAGGGCAATTGACCATATTTCAGGGGCGGGTTGTCCGGTATACTAGCGTCGTCGTGGTGGGGGAATTCCGGATATACGTGGGCCGAAATGAACGATTAGTGTGAACGTTGACATTGGACGTTCTTGGCGTTAAGGCCGATGAACCTCGAAATTGAACCGAGAAGGAGCGCTAGTTCTCAAGTCAGGATGAACTAGGCCCTTTGTGGGCCGCTTATGGGTCCTGTGGCTCGTGCCACAGTTGATATCGAGCAATTATCATAGATCCGGGGAAGCGGTCCAAGGCCTCGGTTATTAGTGTGGATATTGTACCTATCACGGACCGGTTTTTGAACCGTCCTGACATTAGTTTCTTGGCCCGCCCCATTTAGCGTCGTGGATTTTGGGTGAGCACGATCATGTTTGTCCAATCTCTGATTTCCTTTTCACAGGGGTCTGCCCAAACTTTCTGGTGCCTTCCCCAGGGCCTGTCAAAGATTCCTAAAAAAAAGAAAAAAACAATGGCGTCTGGCTATGAGGAGGCAAGTACTCAGTCAAAACAGCGTGTCACAACGATTGTGCTAGCTGTTTTGGCTATTGTCTTCTTATTTCTTCGCCTACTTGCTCGGCGAGTGAAAAAGATCCATCTGGGGCCTGACGATATGACCCTGATTGTAGGACTCGTGAGCCTCCTCTTCTTTGTACTAAAAGTCTCTGGTGATCGGGTCTAACATCACTTAGGTTCTAGTATTGGTTGTTGCAGGGGTTAATCTTGCTTGTATGTTTCCATTAGACACCATTGCACACATTGGAGCTAACAATACCTACAGGCGTTGAATATGGCATGGGCCGACACACTAGCACCATCCCTGCCAACAGACAGGAAGCATTCTTCAAGGTAGGAAGTGGAACTTGATTTCAATGCTCTCACAATTGAATATATCGCTAATGTTTTCTTTCCGCAGCTTGTCTATGCCTTCGAGCCTCTCTACATTACTACGGCCGGCATCATCAAAATTTCAGTACTTTTGATGTACCACCGAATCTTCCCCGTCCGATATGTGAGAATTGGCGGATTAATTCTCGCCGCCATCACTCTTGCTTGGGTTATCTCAATCGATCTCTTGGCTATCTTCCAATGCACCCCGATCGCCAAGGCCTATAACCCCACACTACCAGGCCATTGCATTAGCCTTAAAGGGGCACTCATCGGCAATGGCGTACCAAATTTTGTGGTGGACATATTTATTCTAGCCCTGCCCTCGAAGCTCATTTGGGGTCTACAAGCAAGAATATGGCAACGTGTATCGGTCATTGCAGTGTTTTTGACCGGAAGCTTGTATGTGCTCTCAAAGCGTCAACCCCTTCTCCAGCTGCCTGCGAGACGTGGATATATTCCAGAAACACCTACTAACAACATACATAGCGTCGTTTTTGCTAGCATCTATCGCTTTACGCTGATCTTCTCTTTCGACATAACAGATGTTGCCTGGACGCTTGCTGACGCACAAACGTGGTGTGTTGTCGAGCTCGCAGCCGGAGTCATTTCAGCCTGTCTACCCACAACCGCTCCACTAGTCAAGATCTGTACTAGAGGCCTTGTCTCCACCGCTAAATCGCTAACCAAGTCCAACTTGACTCAATCGGAGGGCAAAGGGCTTTCGCGAACCGATGCAACCACGCGTTCCGTGAACGGTGGAAGCAATATCACTGTTCAAATAGACCATGCTCGTGCTCATCGTGCTAGTAATGCAAGCTTTGCCTTGGAGGATATGAGCCCTCGAGGAAGTTCGCATTTGAAAGGCAAAGGATGGACGATGATAAGTGCTGATCGCGATAGTGATTCAGCTTGACGGATAGATTATGGACAGCTGGCTGTGTATAAAAAAGATGTATGAGAAGTACTAATATGACTAAGTATAGCGTTATTAATATAGATTATTAACGGGCATAGATTCTATTTTGAAACTTGGAAGAACTTAACCGCGCGTGTCTCATAAGTATTGTGATTGAAATTTGTTTTTGTTGAACTATTGATCTACTTTTTCTGTTTTTTTTTTTTTTTTTTTTTTTCCTGTGCTTGAGATAAGTGCATATGACAAATTGCATTCTGATAGCTATGGCTTGAGGCCTTGGGTTGAGTTGCGTAAAGTGACCACAGAGCCATGAATTTTTGATACGTTTACAAGCCACTCAGTAAATCCCATAGCAGTACAGCTAGGAAACAACGTACCAGACTTACCATCTTAGGTAACCCATTACAGGGCTGGAATTGCTCACCAGGAGAATCACAACAAAGGTATAGAATAAGCTTTCTCTCAACTGGGCGCTTTGATCAGACTCCTTGAATTGGATACTGCATACTGTATTGCCACGATCTGGGATGGCAGTGACAAAAGCTGTACACTCACCTTCGAAAAAGAGCCCACGGGGTCGGTTTTCTCTGTCCTATAATCAAGAAAAATAATGCAACAAGCACTTCTACGTCACCTCTGTGCAGACTACCCAGCCGGAGATTTCCACGGCTTAAGCAAAGGCACAGGGAGCCAAGAGGACGATCATTGACGCTACGACGGATACAATAAATAGTGAGGCATCCAAGAAGCTTGAAGGCCGAGTTTCCAGCTATGTTTTCATGTTACTCTCGAGGGACTAATCGTGGAAAAACGTCTGGTCTCCATGCAAACTTTACCAAAGAGAGAGATTTGGCAAATTCAATTCGCGGGTTCTTGGACTGGGAAAGCGCAACGTAGAGGCCACGATCCAGCAAGTTCTATCGAGGAGATGAACGTCATTGAAAGGACACAATAATTAAACTTCTGAGACATTTAAAGCCTTTCCGGAGAACAACCACCAACTCCGAACTTAACCGTGGAATGGGGCTTGTGTAGTGTTGAGAAACCAATCGGGGAGGAGAAAATGAAGGATCCAGGGCGGCTTACTCATCGCGGGGTTGGCGATATCGCATTCGAATCAGTTCGCCACATTTCAACCTCAACAACACGCAATTGGTAGGTACTGATGAGTTCACATTGTTTCTCCTCTATGAACATGATACCCTGAATCTTATGTGGCACCTAGGAGGCGATTGGGGCTTTCCATGCCCTGTATCCGATCCAATCCACTATGCGGGGCACTGGACTGCGCCTTGACTCACAACGCCATGGTCACGATTAGATACAGGAATGGATCTGGCTTCCACTTTTGAAACTTCTTGTTTTATTTATCTTTGACTCCGTCAAGCTAACTGCCGTCAAGATCATCCAACCCCTCCTATACATATCCGGTTCAAGATGGCCACCCCATACCCCAAGAAGAAGTGCGGTAAGTTTTGCAGTTTGACTCAATGACCTCACTCAGGGCCAATTTTAACATCTGCTAGGTGTTCTCGGTGCCACCGGCTCTGTCGGTCAGCGTTTCATTCTCCTGCTTGCCGACCACCCCTTCCTCGAACTGCATGCCCTTGGTGCCTCGGAGCGCTCCGCAGGCAAGAAGTACAAAGATGCCGTGCGGTGGAAGCAGTCATCTCCCATGTCAGAGAAGCTCAGCAACCTCGTTGTGCGCGACTGCAGAGCCAAGGACTTTGCGGACTGTGACCTTGTCTTCTCTGGTTTGAACAGTGACATCGCCGGCGAGACTGGTAAGCTTTACTGGCAATGTAGGATAATGAAACAGCACTGATGGTCTCTGCAGAGATGGAATTCATGAAGGCTGAGATCCCCGTCTTCTCCAACGCAAAGAACTACCGCAAGGATCCCATCGTTCCCCTTGTCGTCCCCACCGTGAACCCCGACCACATGGACCTGATCCCGCACCAGCGCAAGCACTTCGGCCTCAAGAAGGGATTCCTGATCTGCAACTCAAACTGCGCCGTCATTGGCGTTGTCATTCCTTTCGCTGCCCTGCAGGCCAAGTTCGGCCTTGTCGAGGAGGTAGAGGTTTTCACCGAGCAGGCTACTTCCGGAGCTGGCTACCCCGGTGTGCCCAGCATGGATATTATCGACAACGTCATTCCCTACATCAGCGGCGAGGAGGATAAACTAGAGAACGAGGCTCAAAAGATTCTGGGTGGCCTGAACGCCGAGTCCACTGGGTTTGACGAGCAGGCTGGACTCCGCATTGGCGCCACCTGCACTCGCGTTGGTGTCACTGACGGCCACATGGCATTCGTATCTCTGCGTTTCAAAAACCGTGAAACTATTCCCAGCGCGGAGCAGGTCGTGCAGGCTCTGCGTGACTACAAGTCTGAGGCCCAGAAACTTGGTGCACCTTCCGCGCCTGCCGACGCGATCAAGGTGTTTGATGAGCCCGATCGCCCGCAGCCCCGCCTGGACCGTGACATCTCCGGCGGATACACTGTTAGCGTTGGACGCGTTCGCGAGGGAGCAAAGGGCGGTTTCTTCGACATCCGATTTGCTGCTCTCTCTCACAACACAGTTATCGGCGCTGCTGGATCATCGATCCTGAACGCCGAGGTGGCTGTCATTAAAGGTTACATCTAAAAAGTAGATATGGAAAAGTGGGATTCTCAGCGATGTTCAATTATACCTAGGTACAGAACCTGCAAGATTACAGACTCAATAGAATGAATAGACTTGAACAGTCTTCAAGATTTTAATCTAATACCGCGCAATAAAATTTGCCAATCTGCGTGGCATGAAAAGCCAAAAGTCAAAATCAATTACATGACCCAATCGGGAAGGTGGATCTTGGTGACATAAGCTAAAGCGTTCCCCCCGTTGTGGACTAGCGTGTCTAGGGCTCAAACGCACACACACTAAGCGAAGTCTCCTTGATCCTCAACGCGATCCGTCTTCTTTGGTGATTGCGATACTCCGTCAACTCACCTCCCATCTCGACAAATCCATCAAAATGGGCCGCGGACCGTAAGTGTCATGCCTCTCTCAGCCTGTGCAAAAATTCCTGCACTCGACTCGCCTGCTCCTGTGCACCTGTCGTCGCTTGTCGAGCATTGAAATTTTTTTTTCCATGAAGAAAAGTCAGCATAACTAACACAATGGTCCTCCAGTAAGAAGCACCAGAAGCGCCTTAGTGCGCCCTCGCACTGGCTCCTGGACAAAATGTCCGGAACCTATGCGCCCAAGGCCTCCCCCGGTCCCCACAAGCTCCGGGACTGCCTTCCTCTGATCGTCTTCATCCGCAACCGGTACGCCCTCGAACCTCCTGTGCAACAATTGCGATTGGGAAACTAACCTGAGCTTGTTTAATAGTCTCAAGTACGCCTTGAACGGTCGTGAGACCAAGGCCATCATGATGCAGCGTCTGGTCAAGGTTGACGGCAAGGTCCGCACCGACACCACCTTCCCCGCTGGCTTCATGGACGTCATCTCCCTCGAGAAGACCGGCGAGCACTTCCGCCTGATCTACGATACCAAGGGTCGCTTCACCGTCCACCGCATCCAGGCTGAGGAGGCTGAGTTCAAGCTCTGCAAGGTCAAGCGTGTTCAGCTTGGCAAGGGCGGGATCCCATTCTTGGTTACGCACGATGCGCGAACGTGAGTTCTACTCCAAGTTCCGTGTCATTCAGTCGTTGGACCATGATTTGGTTGATCGGTTGAGGACAAACGAACATCCTGTTCCATATTGGATACAGTAAGCCCCATTTCGAAAAGAACAAAGGTTTGCTAACTTGTGACTCGCAGCATCCGCTACCCTGACCCCGCCATCAAGGTCAACGACACCGTCAAGGTCGAGATTGCCACTGGCAAGATCGCCGATTACGTCAAGTTTGACTCCGGTGTTGTCTGCATGGTCACTGGTGGTCGTAACATGGGTCGTGTTGGTGTCGTCACTCACCGTGAGCGCCACGATGGTGGTTTCAACATCGTCCACGTCAAGGACGCCATTGACAACACCTTCGCTACCCGCGAGTCCAACGTTTTCGTCATTGGCCAGGAGAAGCCCTGGATCTCCCTTCCCAAGGGCAAGGGTGTCAAGGTATGTTTACAGTTCACATTCTTCTAGTATGATTACAAGCTAACATGTCCTCTAGCTCTCCATTGCTGAGGAGCGTGACCGTCGCCGCGCCCACGCTCTTGCCAACTAAATGTCTTCTGACATTGGCAAGAAGTGTTCCGGTGTAACAAAAAAACATTAACCAAAACTGTAGCTTGGAAACGGCGTCTTGTCTGCTTTGTGGACTGATGCAACGTTCCGTAGTTTCAACCATAGCAAACAAAGCACTCGTTCCGAGTGATATGATACCTATTTAACGTTACCTTTTCTTCAATGACTTAATGATCGTATTACTTATTTCCTCGCCTTCTCAATCTCTTCCACACTGAATGTTCTTTTGCCTGACCATTGAACCTCTTCCGCTTGCCCCTGTAAAACCCTGGAATTGAGATGTGAGTACGGTGTCGACCAACATCTTTATCCATGGTTGGGGAACTTGCAGTGGCTTTTGTCAATTCGACTCACTCAGCTATGAACTATTTCAAATCGGCCCAGGTACCCACATGGTAGTCAACCATACAACTTAGATTGAAGCTGAACTATGGAACATGATCTACAACCCTACATGTGCAGACACGAATATCCAGTAAAGAGCTGATTTCACCGCTCAATGGTTTGAGTTGTCTAAGCGAACTATTCTGAGAATCAACTACCGCCCAATAGTTAGCTTATTCAAAATCCACAACCTCGGCATCCCCGAGGCCTTAGCGTAAAATATATATCAAAACACGGAAAACACGGGGAACAAAGTTCCAGCACGGCGCTAAACCGTCAATTGGCCAACTAAACCTTCAGGACAGCCTGGTAGCAAGCCGGGAGATACTCCCAGATCGGTCAGTACGCGCTGAAATTTGCCGAGGTGTTATATAACCGGAGATGAGCTGCATCGATGCGCAGAGGATCGCCCCTCCAGCGATGCAACACCAACACTCAACGACTGGCTCACAAGAAACCTATAGCTCCGTCGCCACGCCATTATTTGACAATCAGTGGGTCTGCTGTGATGCAGCGACCAAGATATTCTCGATGTGGGGAAGCGTACAAAGGCGTTATGTGTGCTCCGGCGTACTCCGTAACCGGGCTTGCAAGGACTAGGCTAGTAGGAGGGAGGGGGCGGGGACGGAAATAATTTCCTGTGCAATGAGAGAAAGTAAAAAGGACATGCGAAATGAACCTGTTCATCGACGGTTGGGAAGGGCTACAAAAAAGGCACTTAGTGTTGACCGGTCTCCCGTGGTCGCAGCAGGACCCTCTTCGATCGTGGCCGATCGAGGTATTAGAGGACCCCTCACATGTGGGAACTCAAATTCCTTCTAATCTGCAATTTCCACTCGACGAGTAGAGTGTAATGCTCAAGATCACGGACCTCGCTCAACTGATCTTGTCAATGGCTACAATCATAGGGTGTTGACGCGATGGCTCCTCCCCTATGCCTCCCTACACCTCGCAATGGAATTTATTCTAAAGTGGTGCTCGAGCGTCAATGGGCGATCTGATGCATCCAAATTTACCCCATTCTTTCTCCACAGTAAAAAAAATTCCGGATTCCATTGCTGGAGAACCGGAATATGCACGACAGCATAGCATCCGTGAATTCCTGGCACAAGAAGACTTGAGGTTGTACTACTGAAGATGCATTTTTGGCTCAGGATCATCCTTACGTGTAAGTGGCTGAATAGTGCATCTGCAGAAAATGGTTTCCAGGATACGTAGGCTGTTCGCCTCCCGCCGCGGCAGATGGCCCTGGAGTTCGCGGTCGTGTACAACTTCGCTGATCGCTCTGGCCCCTTCATGGTGGAAGGTAATCCCTGGCTTGATGGGTGTTGGTGCAGTGTGAGCTGCACTAGATAACTCGATCGACCACTAACGAAGGTACATCAGAGGTATAATCACATGGACAACGGTAATTGTTTTTTTTTTTGTGGTCCGGCATGGGGAGAGTGTACGTCCATTCCATTGCTGAAAACTAGCGACCACTGCGCAAAAGGCGGGTCTAGAACGCGATCGCTTCGGAGATGATGAACGGAGCTATTCTCCTGCGCCGACTGTGAAGAGAACAGAATTTGAGATCTTGGATTTTGAAAATCGATTATTGGACTGCAGAAAACTGCATCTTGAACAAACCTCAGGATATAGAGATGATATGGTTGTCAAACAATTCCAAGATCCACCCCAAGCTCTGGGACATGTGGATCTACCGAGATCCCGCTTCCAGTGCCTTGGACCTGGGTTCATGATAACGTCGAATTCCTGAGTTGAGATACTTTCACGTGGCAACAGAGTTCAGTGACGTTCCTGCGCATCCCATTACCTTTCCAGGGTGGTCTCGTTACCGAAGTCGTGCGAGTTCGCTTCTCAACAATAGGACTGGAATGGTGGTTATTGGATTTTTAGTTTATTTTTCCTTACACAGGGGCTGATGCCATTCCAGCGGTGAGTGTTAAAGGAGCTTCCCCAACATTCTTAGTGTCCAGGATCCAAGGATGTCTCCTGGAGATCTTTGGGCCCGGATGCACTCAAGTTGAGGAGGTGGCCTCGGGAATTGATGATCAGCGCTTCAGGGGAACTAAGTTTAGGGCAACACGACCACACAAAATTACAAATTTTTTTGTCTTGGTCTCAATATTCCCCCAAGCAAAGTATATCATAAATTGAAATAAGCATCGATGAGGTAGTTTCCAGCGGTGTAGGTGTTATACTCCGCAGACCGCAACGATCGGCGGAAAAGGAGGGGGTGGAGCAGACTTCGAGTTGATTGGAGTGAATGTCCTTGATCGATTCCAGGAGAATGTCTAGAAAACAAAGGCAACGGTAATTGATTTGGAAGTTCTCCACTTTGTGATGCCTCACTGCATTTACCAATGGTTCTCGATTTGGATTTCATCATGATCATCGCTCGAAGCCCTTCGCTACGGATTAAGGTCATTACGGTCCCACTTGCTGCATATGAACTCATGGAAACCCAATTTAGTCTCGATTGGGGATAATAATCCTATGGAAAATACAACAGTTAGTTTCTAATGGTTCATGGAGGACAAAGGAAGACAACCCTTGATGGCCGCCACTCAGGTAATATGCCCTATAGACTTGGCTACAGTGTGATTGTTTCTCTCTCAGACCGACATCCAATTCTGGTCAAACCCGCCATCTTCCAGAAGCTTTGATGGTTGACCGCGTCCCAACCGATTTCTCTAACGACCAGATAAGGTAGGAACCGTTTCCTACTAAGATTTGACATATCAAGAATCGGACTGGGCTGCAACGGGTGCTCGGCATAGATTATTTCAATGTAATATTCTAAAAAATAATAATACACGGGATCGATTCGGTAACGAGCAGGTACATTCCTTGTGGTGGATCCCGATCTAAGCATACGTGTTTCTCGATGGTTAATCTTTACCCCCTTTTTCCGGGACTCCAGCAGGCTGGAACTCTAAGCGCCCCCCGTTTTCAAGTATAATTCTTCCTCGTGATGAGTCCAACGTGGCGGGAACGTCAAGTTATTAAAGAAGCCAATTACCCGTGGCTCCGAGTATTCCGACTTTAATACACTTGCTTCTCCATTCCTGTTCCCGCCAAGTCTGAAACCCTGGCCTATACGTGGAATTCTCTAATATTTGTGTCCTAATTCATTTCGATTTTCGATTTTTCGAATTTCGAATTTCAAATTTATCTTTTTTTTTTTTTTTTTTTCCACCCTTTTTTTTTATTTCCCAGTGGTTTTGGATTTCGTTTTTTGCTTTTTATGCTCGATTTTTCTCGTATCCTGTCGATTTGATTGCCCAGCTAGGCTATCTTGCGCAACTCGCATCACATGTACTGCAGCTTGTGTTATACCTCTTAAAACCCCTGGCCCGGGTGCTGAGCTATTTGCATAAATGCAGTCCATGGGAACGGAAGATTCGATCTTCCAACCGCCTAGATCACTATACAACGGAAATATTTCTCCTCACTTCAGGCCCGACATGGCCACTCATCTAGCAACACAGCATCTAGCAACGCAGCATCTAGCATCGCATTTCATGGCACCGGTCAATTCACCATCTTACCAATCACTCTTCGTGACCAGCTCAGAAGTGCCCCGTCATGTTTTCAAGTTTCGCTGGTGGGAAGATGAAGCTACCACCGTGCTGTGGGCCTTCAACATCCCTGAGATCTGCATGGTGATCCGCTATGCCCTGTTCCGTGATGAAAATCTCCCGCGCAGTGCGCTTCTTAGTCGAAACTCTGAAACGGTCGACACATTTTTGGTGGCGTTGTCCGATCTCCGGGAGCATCAGTACCTCTCTGCATTGTCCCATTTGCAGAGGGTTGAGGAGGTCTTGCGTCGGTCAAGAATACCTGTTATCAAACCCATTGCTTGGAGTTGGTTCCCGCCGAGAGAGCCGCCTGACCCGAGGTTTATTGCTAGTGCCATCGACATTGAGAGCCATTGCCAGTTTATGAGAATGGAGTTCGAGGAGATCGTTCGCGCTGCGCTGGGCTATCCTGCCCCGTCTGTAGAGTGGTTTCTGCAGCAACATACTTCTCTCTACGTGCATCTCTTGGATCATCTGAACGTATACCCGGAACAAATACCGGTTTACTTAGAAGTGGAGAAGGTGTGTGATTATTTCTTATTTGTCTTTCGTCGAATGTCACTTAAACTAAATTGCTCTGTAGTATTTGCGAGGACGAAGTCCCTTTGCTTACCGTGCTGTGGTGCAATGTTTGCATACAGTTCTACCGGAGACAGCATTCAATGTTCGCATACCAAATACTCCCGACTTAGAGTTCATCGCTGGTCCGATCCAGAATCTGTTCAAAGACCACCCTCCTAAATTGACGACCATCCTGAAAATGTTGACTGTTTTGTCGGTTCGCTTTCGTGCACAGTACAGTCAGACCCCGAAAATGGATTGGCACACTCCGTTCGACACGACATGTTTGTTTCTGGAAGACCATCTCGGTGCAACATCTCCCAAGGACCTCGCTCGTACATTGGCTAGCACCGACGAAGTAGACTTTTCACGACTTTCACGACAGAGCATCCTCAAAGGCGACGGTATGGCAAAACAATTAATGGATAATTGGCACACTATCAGCATGTCAGTTTGGGAGTGCTGCTGCGCTCTACCAGACATGATGGAGTCCATGCAAGAATGCGCACAGGCGAGTCCATCTAGAAACAGCACCAAGGGACCCAGATCTAACCCGAACAAATCAGACACTATTCATCAAAAAGGACTATTATTCTTTAACCGCCATTCTCGAAGGTCTACAACGATACTCCATCTCAACTGCTCAGTCCCGCGGCCTGAACAGCAACCTGGGTGGTATGCTCGTTCTAGACACTCCTATATTCCCAGAGGCCATCCATCTCATCAACCCGATGCACAACTACGCCGCTTATCATCAACATTTCGTCGAGAACCCAGGGACCCCGTTTTTATTTGCTCATTACAGGGATTACCTGCAACATGGCGAAACCGCCCTTCAGCCGCTTTTTGATTATCTTCAGGGTCTGGCATCAAAAGCATTGTAATCAGGGCCACGATCGGCAATCGACAGTATGCTTGTGGCTGAATCGGGTGAGCCATCCAAACAAAAGTGGATGTGTGACATGCATGGAAGGTGATCTACCCATGTGATGGAGTGTATCGAGGATATTTCAAATGTCTGTGATGATGGTTTTGGTACGCTCCCTTTGGATGATTTCTTCTTTACGAAAGCCTGTGATATTTTGGGAAAGAAATATCTGCGAAACTTTTTAAATTGCTTTATGCTTTGTGCTCTAGGTTTCCGTCATTTGGGCATATGTGTGTTTGCTATCGTTATACCCATGCTAGCTTAAGTAGCATCCGCAGTACTGGGGCGTCTGGCGTTGCATGAATTTGGAAATACGGGATCTTCCTTCAGCTATTCTTTCTCTCCCAATGTCATATGTATGTTTGTGTAAGTTTTTGGGCTTATTTCTTCTTGCGCCATAACAAGCCTTTCTAATAGTTGTGACCGTAATTGGGCTCGGCTCGCTGCGCTCCATCCCGAATTTTATCCAATAAAATCCGTATGTGATGCAGACCTCCTGGCTATAGGACAATAATTGCTTGGCGTTTCTTTCTGGGCTGGATGCCCCTACAAATCAAATCCGATCCATCGATCCCGAGACGTCGGCCGTTGGCGTCGAATCAGATCACTTGTAGCTGCCGAGCCAGCGTCATGCGACACGGATGAAACGAGACAACGGCCGAAGTGTCGAATATAAGATAGATAATAATGTAATGCAGCGCACCATAGGCCTGCCTCCCGTCCTCCGAGTAGACCCGCATAGAGTTCAAAATTTATTGCCCAGCAATAAAAAACCAACTGGCGGGTCGACCGATGGGGCAGTTCACTCTTTCTTCCCCGCGATCTTCGGCGCCTTCGCTTGTCCAAAGACACCCATGAAATAGAGCACTCGATTCACGAACAAAAATGCGGTAGCCCCGATGTTTCCCCACGTCAGCGCATTCCAAGCACTGACATCCACAAACGCATCCCACCCCATCGCGATGTATGTGGCGTATACATGGCCGATATCGGCGATCGCCAGAGCAATCAGGTAGTTGCGTAGAACCTTGGGCTCGGTAGTTGCGTGCATCACGCCAACGCCGACTAGGAAGAGGAGGTTGTAGAGGTTGCCAAGTTGGTAGGCAAGGGCTACACTACTTGGATGTTCGAACGTTGGGGCCGGGACATGGGGGGTTTGGCCATAGATGAAGCCGTTGAGATCGAAGATGGGGCTGAGACTGCCTGCGACTCTATTGTCGGTAGCGGGCGTTGGGTTAGTCTGCTTTTGTTTTGTTGATTGCCAGGTGCAGGGAGCTGTACAAGGATATGGGCTCAACGATGCCGAAGATGACGTGGGGCCATGTTGGGAAGATGGTAGGCATTTGGAAAAGGGTGCGAACTGGAGAATAGGTTGGCTTTGATTTGGCCGGAGCTGGTTCTGGAGTGGTTGAGGAATAGGGCCGCTAATTGAGCGATGTGGCGGGCGGACGTACTTGATGTGATACAAGACTATAATAGTGAGGCTCAATTTCAACAAAGAAAGAGGGAAAACCTCAGTTTGTTTGTGAATCGAGGTGAAGATCGATCGAGGTCTCCGCGTTAACGTGGATCTGCTGACGTAGATCCTGCGCTAGTGGTCTTTATTTCCACCCTAACGTTATCGCTCCTTATCGAAGCTTCACTCTTCATCTCTTTCGTCTTATTTCTGTGCATCATGGCTACGATGGCTTGCAATTCACATATGGCTGAGACTCGTTAACAAGGCCCTTGATGAAAGAGCATGGATTCAAGTGGAGCTTTACGGCCCCTGGATGAATCATTACTTCGCGAACTTCCCCAACTTTCCCTGCGTATCGCTCCGCTGCGGGAACCTGTCTCATCTCGTACGCTCAGCGTTCCATCTCCCCTGGAGCCAAACGCAAGTGGATCCCGGGAATCCCATACCGTCCCAAAATCTACATCGACCAGTGGAAAATCCACAAACCCGGAAGCGGGTCTGCCAACAGTGACCGAGTTTCTCAATGCTGCACGAACTAAAAAGGCCGAGTCTGCCACAGACCCTCAGTCAAATGTGGAGCCACCACCCAAGCCGATTCTCCCCGCATTTGTAAACCTGCGTGCACTGGAGCGCTTCCCATTCTCTTCATCCTTTGACGACGATGCCCTCCATGGCACACGCAAGCGTCGCCGCTTAGACCTACACGAATCGTTTAGCGAGCACCTGCAGCTCCCCATCCCACAGGCACAAAAAGAGCAACGTCCTCCTCCCTTTGGCCCTTTTGCTATTCTGAATGGATTGAATGAACCCCCACCCAATGCTGCTCTTCTTCCTCCCATCGAAGCAGGCTCGATCCCTCAGCTCTTGACGAAACCATCTCGTGAAGATGCTGCCGTCGATCCTGGTATAGTCTCCGCGAATGGCACTCTTTCAGAGGGCCAACCTGTAGAGCGGAGAGAAGGGAGGATTGAGGAGCTTCTCAGTGTGACCCTTGATGACCATAATGATGATGTACATGATCATGAAGACGAACGAATTACTGCACCCGAAAATCCAATTATTAAGTCTGTCGTCCCTGATGAAAAAGTGCACACCCCGAATGAGATAACGTCGACTCCTGCCACGGGCCGTTTGTCTCCCAAAACTCGTGGCAGATCTCGTAAGAATGTGAGGAAATGGACCGAGGAAGAGACCAATGATCTCCTCCGGGGTGTGGTGAAGTGCGGCATTGGTAATTGGACAGCGATATTGGCACAGCCAGAACTCAAATTCAACAAGCGAACGGCTTCCAACCTGAAAGACCGGTATGAATTCATGAAATCGCCCCACTATCTTCTCCTGATACTCATTCTATAACAAAGATTCCGAGTCTGTTGTCCTTGGGCTTACCGGTAAGTCAATCACATACAGGATAGACGTTTTTGACATGCTAATCCCAAGCAGAGCGCCTGATCCAAATGAAGCAACGAAGCAATTACGTGATAACCTTGCCAATGATCTTCTCAAATCTCGAGCCGATGCATCTGACAAAACCTCCGGCATGATTCGTGATTCGATTCATACTGCTTCGATGGTGGGGTCTGCGCCGAGCTCTGGAGCTGGAAGTCCAGTCTCAATTTCCCAGAAGCCACCAACATCGAGCATACCGTCTGTCAAGCCAGACAAGGGTTCCGGAAGCAGTACCCAGATTCCTCAGCAGTCATCCTCACCCAAGGACACAGATGCCTCCAGCAAATCTCGGACAAACCTCGAATCTCTTGGCATTCCAGAGCCGTATGTTTCCATGAAATCGAAACGTCGCTCGCGCCGGCCATTCACCACCGCAGAAGACGAAGCTCTTTTAAAGGGCTACGCCGTCCATGGCTTCCAATGGACTCTGATACAACAGGACAAAAGACTCAACCTCAGTCACCGCAGAGCCACCGATCTCCGAGACCGCTTTCGCACGAAATTTCCGCACGCCTATCGCGATGGAGGCTCTGTCAATGGTAACGCTATGAATCCACCAAAGCTGGAATCTGCCAACAGCGATCCGGGTCCAGTATCTCGAGATCGCCCTAACAGTACTGAGTCTACTCCCACGAAAGCTCCTCCAATAGTTCATCGGCGCTCTGATCCGCATATTCATAGTCGACAGACGTCCAGCGTTTCACACGCCAACGCCGGAACCGGTCCTTTTGATCCGTCGTTCTTACCGCCTCCACAGGGCTTTCTTGAGTCTTCGGGGAATGCAATTGCGTTTTCTTTGGATGAGAATTCTGCTGGTGCTGGTCCTTCTTCGCCTTGGGAAGATAACACGCTTGCTCCTATGATTTGGGACGACCTGGGCTGAAACCAAGAAAAAGGGGAAAAAAAAGAACAAAAGTATTCGTTTGACTTTCATCTGTTGGATTTCATTTGCGAACTTCATCGCATTTCGGCATTTCGGGTGTTTTGATTTTTGATTTTTGATATTTTTTCTCTCTATATCCCGCAGTACACGATGGCTTCTCCTTCTCAATGCGCGCAGTTCTCAATATTAGACGATCTTTATTATCAATCAATTTGTTTTCTTATCTTTTTGGCTGATCTCTCTCTAACATCGGTACCCGAAGCAGTTTCTGTGTCACAGATAGAGTAGATGTAGTGAGTGTAAATGCTCTAAGCATCCAGCTAATTGATGTTCTGCGGCTTCACACACTCGACTCCCAAAACAGAAATACCAGAGCGAATCAAGGAATTATAAACAAGGAATCAAATGATATTTGGATATCAAGCACATTAAATGGCAAAGATAAAGCGCCTCACATAACGTACACCTGTCTATCACCTATTTTCCGCCTAGGGACATTGACATAGACAGCCGTGTCGCCGTAGGGAGACAATGCAATGATGGCCGAGCAAACAGTGCTGATGAGAGCAGCAGAAAGGAAAACAATTCGTTTAGAAAACCAGCAGAAACAAAACGTTGGCTAAAGCCCATAGCGCTCAATTTGCTCGTGGAAGGAACACAACAAGAAGAAAAAGAAATAAAATCCAAACCCCAGAATCCTCCTGAGACCTATATACAAGGTGAACCAACCAATCTACCACGCATTGCGATCCCAGTTCGGATCTAAAATAACCCCAATTAGCAAGTCTCCCATAAAACGACATTCAAATCCAACCAGCCATGGCGACAGAGAAAGATCGGAATAGATTAACTCACCTTGTATGAAACTAGCCAGCACCTTACTCCCAGTCTGCAAAAGCGGGTGTCCAGCCACAATCTGCAAAAACCGCTGGAGCCCCTCACGCCGGTGCTCAATGACATCGTCACTGAACCGGTTTGTAAACACCTTACCCGGCAGCGGAGGAATAGTAACTCGCGTGCTCTCGCGCTCGAGGATATCGCGGAAATACTCAAAGTCGGAGTAGCGGCGGCGCACGACGGAGTGCTTCAGCTTGAACGCGGGGATGTTGGTTCGGCAGACGATCTCATACGAGGTGTACATGTTCCGGGATGTGCCATGAGTTTGGGGGTTGCGGACCTAAAGATTTGAAAGGGGGTATGTCAGTGTACTGACTTTCCATTATCCAGGTGGTGGCGCGGGATTTGGGACGCGATTGGATATTTGGCCGGACTGGCTTGTATTGGCGTTGCGGGGTGCGCTGCTGGAGGCACGCGACACTGAGGTACATGTGTTGCTTTGGCTTGGGGTGGACTGTGTGGCAGGGTTACGTACCTCGATCTCAAGGAAGTTCTCCGGTGGCCCGTAGATTTCCTCGAAGGTCTGCTGGCGGGGCTCTGGGACGTGCTGCATGGTGGGGCTGGAGCTGGAGAGAGGAGTCCGGGGCTTCAAAAAAACAAATGCCCGGGTGGGTATCCGGGTTCAGGAAGGTTAATGGGCTGTAGAGCAAATTGACTACGTCTCCGCACCGAACGGCAAGCGAGGCGGGGATGTGATAAGGGAAAATGGTTGATCCGCGCTTATCGCTTTTATCTTTCCTCGAACATGACATGCGGGATTCATTTTACATTATTTTGTTTTGCTAGATTAAATTATGGCCTGAAAGAGCTTTCAAGGGCTTTCAAGAGCTTCTTTAATAATGTTGACCCCCAATCCTCTTGAGAAAAGCGTCAAATCGTCAGCATCGACCCAATTATCTCCATCATAGAAAGCAACACATACCACAGCTTCCTGATGTACCTTCCTTGGCAAAAAGCCCACTCCGAATCTTACCAACGAGCATTCATCTTCTGGTGAAGTCAACAGGCAGACCGGGAATAAAGCCTCTGACCACTTTTCGCGCGAAAATCGAGTCTATTGCCTTAGATGCCTGGAAATTCACCACGCGGGACACAGAGGTGAATTAAGCGTATATAAATGCTGATTCAACGGTTAAAAGTAGACGTGGTGAAGTCCAAAAACAGGCATTGCGTAAACGATTATCAAGGCAGATTAACGTCGATGGAGAAAACGTGCACGTGAATGATAAAAAGCCCGAAGCAGATAGAGGGCAGACATGCAAGTGAACGTTCCAGAAGCAAATTCGACCAAAAATATCTCGCCTATTCGAATCTTACAAGGTTCCTACCAAGGTTGGAGACACAGGCTGCATTCTAAATGATCCAGCGCGAGACTAGATGGTGCTTTTCACCTTGCTCCTTTCCATCTTTTTGACATGTCCACTATGTGCTTTGGTTCCTTTCTCTTTCTTCCAGCTGCAGTCTAGCGTGAGCGCTGACATTATTAAAATATTTGTGCCGAGCCATTCTGACAACAAAATGTCAAAGATTGGTTCATTAATATAAAGATCTAAACTGCATTACTACCCCTTGCCTGATCATCATATGAGGGAAGTCTCGGTTCCTCAGGACCGCTCTTAACATGTGCTGCTTCTGGTTCTCTAACATAAGGTGGCGGAGGTGTCGGTTCCCTTGTCGTATGGGCAGCGCGAGCATACGGCCACCGAGGTTGTGTAGCTCGCGGAGGAGGGCGACCTCTATGAGGCTCAACAACCGGCAATGTATTTCTTGAACGATAGGGATTGGCATTGCTTTTCCTGTCACGCTTCATTCCCCTCAGGAAGCAAATCAGTATAAGTACCCCTCCAGCAATAGCAGCACCAATCCCCAGGATTACTACTCCGGGCAATTTCTTATCGTGCTGATCGGGGTCATAGTATCGTTTATAAGGGCGATTGGTCGCGCTGTAGAGGCTGATATGATCGCCATCGTCATCGGATGGCAGTAGATGAATGGGTGTATATAGATTGCAAAACTCTTGAAGCCTTGTGAGTGTCGCTGAATGGACGTACCGAATTAGCAGAAGAAGGGATCGGGCCGAAAGGCAAGGAACTCACCCTCGACAGACTTAGAGTTCGCATCTGATATACAATGGTTGACTCGACTCAAAAATGTGGTGTCCTGGCACCAGCATGATGTACTGCTTGCACCGCATGGTGGGTTGTAATCAATGTTTTGCACACATGATAACTGCACATTCGTTAGATGAATAGAGCAGATAAAAGAAATGATTTCTTGATAAACTCTCTCACATACAGCGGATTCATTTGAATCATTTGACTCATCAGCCAATATACGAAAAGGATTCTCTGCAACAGCAGATGAGATAGTCACTGCTATAGCAAGCAGCGTGAGTCTCATGGTGAAAGGATTATTCGACGATCACTGATGTATAGTAAACTCGATTTAAAATCCACGATGAGGTCCACTTTTCCAGGAACCGGGCTGGATTCCTCTATTTAAATGCCCAGCAACACGGTGAGACACAGAGCCTCTGAGGTTTTTGAAAGGGGCTGTGGGGATAATAACTCAGCCTTGTTGATTACCGCGCACGGGCGGCTCATTGGCATCGGGCAAAGCAGACTAACCCGGAGTATTCCTAACTGACAGTGGCACTCGAATGTCTACACACGAGGACACCATAATATATTTATTACAATTACTATCATATCTCTGAAGAAGAAAACCTTTGAGACCACAGCTTCCAAGGCCGTATCTCAGTCGTGAGCTGTGCCGACTTCCGGATCATTGATCCTCAGGCTCACGGGGCGTTGAAAACTGTGGGTCCATAAGCCCGGTCCATCACTCTCGTCATTCTCGTTATCCACTCCTAAGAACTTGGCGGCATACCGATCCGAATGCGCCTTTAGATTCACTGATCCTATTGGTCAGTATCCTAGGCGAGCTCCCAGTTGACTTCTGAGGCCCTTTTCGGGGGTGGCCAAGTCTGCCTCACGTGTATGTGTATGTCATAGAGGCCTTCTGCCGGACTTGAGAAAGCGGCTTGGCCATGATGACTGGGTAGTTCATTAGTCAACATAGTAGCGGGCCAGTGGTGCCCAGCGAGGTCCCAAAGCTCACAATTAATTCAAATGGCCCTGGAATGGCTTGTTGCGCCCGTGAGAAAATCAATTATTTTGGAAAGAGTGGAGAATCCAAGGACGAAGATTAACATTTGTTCGCATCGTGGTCACCGGGTCAATCTCAACGCAGATTTTGTCATAACACTCCTTTAAATGATAATCTAAACCTTCTGGGGTAAAAGATAAAACCAGGTCATCGTAAGAGTAAGGGAAATGGGAGCAAAATTACGTGGTGCATACGTAGGCTATAATGCTTCACGGGTGTATCCACGGGAAGCAATGACACAGGCACTTTCTACTAGCTCATTCACTTTGCCTCACCATTGCTTGCAGTATTCTCAAGTACACCATACAGATCGATTCAACTACTGATAGTACGGTAGTCAGAATGGGCAAGTGCATCCAACGTTATCCCCAAAAACAGTAAATAGATTGGCTAACCTCGGTTATAGAGGGTTGCGAAAGACAGAAGCCTCGGGCTCCGCCTATTTCAGCTATCGACAAAGCGATGTCATCCAGTACAACCGACGATGCAAAATGCAATACTCACACGTCCAGAGATTCATACGATAGCTTTAACTGCTCACTTTTGGCTCATCAGATCAAGCTCTCGCATTACCGGAGTTGTCCTTGGTGGGGGGGGGGGGGGGGCAGCACATTCATTATTCGTGACTCTGCTACACATCTTGCCATCAGACTTCAAAATGGCATTGTAAGCCTTATACCCGATTACAATAGACAATGGTGTAGTATTTACTGGACATGTGTTGATTCTGAGTCCATGTTTATGGGGTTTCAAAATGTGGTCTCGGGCACCTTTCTAAGGCAGACTAGTAAGAGAAAGATTGCTGCAGACTACAAAACCCACACGGAAATCGAACAGTTCTGTGTGCGACATCATCCATCTTGTGGCTATCTAATACTTGCAAAAAATGGAGATGGATTCTTGCCACTGCGGATAGGGCCGGGCACAGAGCTCGAGGTCTGCCCTCATCGAGATCAAGGGACGATATGGAAGTTTACTCGTGTCGAAAATGATAATTGACATGAATGGCTTTCCAACAATTGCTCGATGTCATGAGAATGAGCCAAATATAGATCATGATCTATCTCAAATTGGTGGAGACTAAGATTTTGGCAGAGCAAAGAAACATCATTTCTGGAGAATAAGGGATTTTCATAGATTTTGCTTAGCTTCTTTGAATTCTTTTAGGCCACCAAAGATCACGAGTAATTTTCTAAGGGCTTGCTCTGTCAAAACAATTGTTGTAGGGGGATCACGATCTCTGTGATACAAAGAGCATCCTAGACAGTAATGTGTCTTTTCTAAACCTCAATACTGCTATGGGGGCACTGTCAAGGAATTCGAACCTTCTTAGGCCAAGTGTCATTCAAATCTAAGTAGCTTCCTCCGGTCAAGACCGACGCGACATTTTCGACTAACGATGAGACCAAACTAATATTGAAACCTGTTGACTTGGACACTTATAGCAAGTGAGATTGGCAAACAATCTCAAAATTAGAAACGACCATGCGTGAAAATGTCGCGTCCGTTAGCCTTTTGTCTCCGGCACCCCGTTTTCTTTGAAGCATGCTTATCAGCTCAACCAACCGCTCACCAACAGCACGTTGAGAGGTCTCATAGCTTTCAATGCTTGCTAGAGGAGAAACTCCCTGTCAATACCTATTAACGATTCAAGATTGGGGCACTTACCCGGAATTAATTCTTGTGATGCCGTTTCTTCATCCTGACAATTCGTTCTGGAAAGACCAGAGTCATAGCTTTGGGACCCTTTCAGGCTCTTCACTCCGTAGCTTGCCGTTTCACCCATGTACCATACGGCTGATTCCAAGTCAGCGAATGATCATCAAAATCACGAGCGAAGGGCTTGACTTACTCTTGAATGGTAGAGCTGCAACCTTCCCGCAAAATACTGCCGAACTGAAGCCTATAGTCCTGGCCACTTTCAAGGCCATATCGCCTTTTGACTTTTCGACTTTTACCTTTCCATTCAAAGTATCAGCGATATCAACATCCTGCAAAGTTTGGTTATTGGAAGTGAACTTGTTGTTTCGGGGAAATATTCTTACCTCACGCGAATTATATGCATCTGAGATATGCGAGATCGTTGGTTTGACAATGGCCTTCATCAAACTTCTGCTGACAGATTTCACTTCACCAAAAGTCGACACTTCCTTTTCCTCTGTATGCAATAGAGCTTCTTGTCCATTCTCGGTGATGTATATTTGGCGCTTAATTCTATTTGCAATGTTAATCAGAAAGTAATGCTCCGAAGAAATGGAAAGTTAAAAGACATACAACTCCAATTCGGATACTCTCATCGCTTTCGCCCTCATAAGGACAGCCGCTGCTACCGCCGACAGTTTGATGGACGGCTTAGCTCGCATTTGGTATATCGCAGGGTCGGTTTTCGTGACACTGCATCTGAAGCTATCCCAGTCCAGATGAGAGTGGAACGAATTGACTGCATTTTCAACGGCATTCTCCTGCTGAATTTGCCGGCCAATACGCTGTGCAGCTTCTCTTGTTTCTGGCCGCATACAATAGCGCACCGCATCGACCAGAGTTTCTGTAGAGAAGTCCTTCTCTTGAATGGGTGCTGGACCTATGCAAGACCTGTGGATGGCCGAGGACCAGAAAGGCTGACTGATAGTATTATTAGTCGAAATGACTATTGGCAATACAAACCAGCACCACTCACTCTCGAAGAAGGGGAAATGACACCATCGGCTTGCCATGACGAAGTGCCGTCGACATTGTCGAAATATTGCCATGCGTAAAAACAATGGAGACCCGGGGTATCAGCCAATCTATCAGAATTGCACAATGAGCTAGAATGCGACTCAGAGGTCGTATAATACTTCACTGACCAGTGGGGACATTTTGTAAGACAAAAATGTTCGGGGAATCTGATAGACCGCTGACTGGATGGAAACTGCTTGGCAGGAGGAATGCAAGACCGTATTTAGTGGATGCCTCTTTGAGGTATCGTACAAATCTTTCCGAGTTCCCAAGCAAGGTGATGTCTAACGAGACAAAAATAGGTACCGGTGTAGCATCGAGGAAGCGTAACAACTCGTCTGAGGGGATGTATGTAGACCGAGACTCTAAGTTGATGTAGCCGGAGATATCTAGAGCAAATATCTGGTTAGTTCTCTATGGGTCGAGATAACTCTTCTGCTTCTTACCAATAGCATCGCTCCAGTCTGCTGGCTTTTGAAGAAAAGAAGAAGACCAAAGATATGTGTGGGAAATGTCCAATTGCCTTAAAAGCACCCCTCTACCGGCGGGGAGACTGGGGAGGCCAAGAATCCCTTGCCGGAAATGATCAACGACATGAGAAACCCTGGGGTTCGTTTAGTATAAGTGTATGTAGGTATAGTTGGTAAAGTTCAGACTTACTCATTCCATAGTGATTCTTCGATAAACAGAAACGAAAGGTAATTTTGCATTTCACGGTCAACACACTCATCCACCTGAATCTGTGCTAAAGGATTGGCAAATTCTCTGGTAGGTGTCCAAGGTGTCGTCGACATGATGTGAAGAGGGATTGATAAACGCTCGGCACAATGAATGTGAGCGTGGGCAAGAGGAGTTGCAATAATAGCATCGGCAAGGAAGGGCTTGTCTTTCCATAGCCCTGGATGGGTGCAGGCGATCCAACATGCTTTCAAGGTATCAACAAGGAATTTGCTGTTATTCATGATGTCGGCCTTCTTGGAACTGGCTAAGCGAGGCATGAACGCTGAATCGATTTTCTTAAGAGTGTGAATGGTCAGTTATATCCTTGGGGATTTTTGAATACCTTTAGTTACGTACAGCCATTGGATGCTCTGGGTCACTGCTGACCGAGAAGAACTCTAGTCCGGCTTTTTTCACAAGAGTATGAAAGATCGAATGGGTTGCGACTCGAACTCGGTGACCATGCCTGTTAAGCCCTTGGCCAACCAAAATGCAAGATTTCACATCATCTGTACACAGGCGATGTCAGTGGTGGAGACTCCTGTAATCGCTGGGGGAGGGGAAAGATGGAGATGCCTACCTCTGCTTCCCACAAGCATGAGAACGATATCTAGCTTGATGAAGTTGCTATCAACTGGGGTATCGCCGGTCGATTTAGGTGACTTTGACACGATGTTGATCATCTGTGGACGCTCAGCGGGGAGGGAATATCCCTGGAGTATAGCGGAGGTCCGGCTCCCCGCACTCAGGTCGATACTGAAGCGACCGTTATCTGTACGAAGGAATTAGCAGGCTCGATATTTGGAATCGAGACCCTGTTCATACCTTCGAAGGCTGCCAGCGCGTGCATGTCATTGTGTACAAGCGGTAAAGGAAGTGGAGCTTCAGTGAAAAGTGAGCTATACGTCGGTGGCAGCTCATCGTCCTCCAAATTGTCATTAGCCAATTGATCATCATTGAGCCCCCAAACGACTCCTTTTTCAGACATCCTGGATTGATTTCGGTCGCAGAAGGGGATTGTTTCGACCTAGAGGCTGAATTGATCGATACTTAAACTTTGAGCAACCAAGTATCATTCGTCTCACGCGGAATTTCAAGCTTTATGTTTCCAGCATTGTTAGGCAACTCTATTAGAAAAATTCAAGTCTTTATGCAAGCTTAAAATATAGAGGCTAGGCCCGCTGAACCTTGGCATGCGAACCTGGAAGGCAGTATGTTTTCTGCTTGCGAGTCAAGTGGGGCATCGGGTTCGTATTCGGCTTCAGCCCCAGTGTTTTTACTTCCAGGGTCGAACTACAGTTCCAAACAAATTATATTTGATAGCGCCAACGATCAACACTATCTCTCATGACCTGGAAATATTATTCTGTTATGTTTGCCTAGATTGTAATTTTCACATCGGATCTACGATAGTTCATGCCACTTTGGCATGGGATCAACCATTTGACACAATGTCCCCACTATCTACTACAAACGCTTAGAAGGCCATGCTGCACTTTCTCTGCAACCAGTTCGCCCGAGTAATTACGGTTTTTTTTTTTTTTTTTAGCAATCTCTTTCGTTGCTCAATTCATTCTAAATATTATCCTCGAGAGATATTTTTGCAGGACAGACTAACCTTGATGGACCTTCAAACCTGACTGTTTGTCGTATTCGGGTCTCGCGTTCGTGTTCGGGTGCTTAGGCTTGGAATTCTAGACCACCCATTAATCTTGTCGAACACTCAGAGCATAATGAAGCTGGATTGAGTTGCCCCAGGATCAAAAGACTTCGAAGTGTTTCCCACGGAGAATTGCAAGCTCATAGCGGGAAACTTTTGAAAATAACGTAGAGTGATAACAAGTTCGTTTCAAATTCACAGCGTCTTTCTCTGTTTCTTGGATCTTTCTTTGGACAATGAAGCCAGTTCAGACCCCTCTAGAAAGCCTTTATTGAGACCATTACTTAAGTATGACAGAATTGTCTTTATGCCTGAGACTCTAAATTCCCATCTGATTTTGATGGGGTATGCCCTGGTTTCTTACAGCGCTACTTGCCTTGCTTACTTGCTGTCTTGTCTGCTTTGTCAACTTCCTAGTCACTTACTGAGGCACAAAAAAAAAAAAAAAAAAAAAAATCAAAAACATACAACAGTTAGGATTCGCATGTGGTCACCCACCATACTACTAACTAACCGGCGTGTGGCTTAAGTACGGCTGAGCGGACGGGAAGCCCTGTTCTCCACACCCTATGGTCGTATGTACTGGCTTTTAGATGAAGTAAATCATACAGCGCATAGACATGATCCTTCACACAAAAGCGGCTAGAGCTTTGAAGATTCTCTTTGCGGATGATCTCGAAAGAGTTCTTTAGTATAGAGAAGGAACCCCATAGCAACTTATAAACCGCCACCTCTGAGAACTTGCAATAAAGTAATGCATTTCCTGAACCCACGGAATACGGAGAAAGCACGGCCGGAGCTATAAAATCGTAAGACGGAAGCTCTCTGATTCTCAGTGGACCAAGGACGAAGTGAACGTGAATTAAGGTTAGAGGAGAAGCGTAGATTCTGTCAGCTCATCGATGAACATTCCCAGAACCGTGAGCTTGACCGACCTTGCTATTCGCGGCTTGTGTCGCTCATAGAGAATACTACAGCTAGAAACAATAGTCTGATCTGACTTCTGATGAAACACCGATGGAGTGCTTCCAGGGACAACAATCATTCGAAATGCCTCGAGAGATTTGCGTTTTCCGTTGTGGGTCCACATACCAGCACGGTGTCACCTCCAAGAGTTTACCATCTCTACTGCTCTAATCTAGGCGAAAGTTGCTCAATGCTGCTCATCGGCCTTGATTAATAATATCCTTATTAATATGCCACTATTGACCAAGGTTATCTTCGTTAGACAAAGAAATCTTGTTCCCACTGGCGCTGCAATGATCTCGGGCAAGCTCTTTATCGTCATTGGTTGATTTTTCCTCTTCCTATACCTCCGAATGAACAAACACACTGCTGCCAGATCTTATCCATGCTCATATCAAAGCATAAAAAAAAACATAAGATCTTGTCCATGAAGGTTCATAAAATATCTTTCCAAAACTAGATCAGTGCAAATTGAGCTAACTGCCCCTCTACAGTATAGCCATGTGCTCTTCCGTAGCTCATTAGGTCTCCCCTTGCTAAGATTTATTCTAACTCGTTCGCTGACCACACAATTCTATCCCTCGCCTTTCTACGGTTCAGTTTGAAAATCAACGCAATATCCGCCACAAGTTGACTCATATCAAGCCGCGCAGAGCTACGGATACAATTATTGACGCAGTAAAGAAAGAGAAATCGTGGAAAGCAGTCCAAAAAAGCTATACAAGAGATAAGAGAATACTCAAAATATGAAAAAGCTAGCTGGAGGGGTGTGGAGCCATAGCTCATGGTATCATCTGATAAGGAAATCTGACAACAGCATATACTCGTGGATAGTCAGATTTAACACTTCGCCTAAGCCCGGCAGCTGTATCAACCCCGCCCCAGGCAGGAATCCCATCAAAAATGCGAAATTTGTCTCAGAACAACTTCATGATTCTTCTGCAATTTATGAAGCTTTGGACTCAGTTGCTTCATATACTGCCTTTCCTCTATCTTCTTGTACTCTTCGTCGCCACTCCATACCTCTATCTGAGTCATGACAGAGTGAATGTCGCCCTTAATGTGAGAGAAATCATTCTCTATGCTTTTTGACATTTCACCAAAAACACCTCGGATAGCAAGATTCATGTCGCGCGAAATATCCCGAGAGATGTTGGGGAAAAGCGTTTTATTCTTGATTCGGCGCTGTACCAGATTCTGCAGGGGGCTGTCCAAGCATGAACCTAACATGACTTAGTCTTTCTTTTCTCGGGGAGTCTCGGACTGGAATATCATGGCAGTTGTGTAGGTATTCATACTCACCTTGGTACGATGCCGCTTCTCGGTATACAGTAATCATTTCTCGTAGAATGTATGACGACTCATTTGACCCGGAAGCTTTGGCGCGTATTCCCCTAAGTATAATTAACCTGCATTCTTATACCACAGAGCCCAGTGACATACACCGTACCTGACTTTTGATTCAAGGTATTGTTTTAACTTCTCAAGACCGTTCTTGACAGCTTCTGCTCGGTGGTCGATACTGCGCACCATCGTAGATGAAAATCCATGTTCTGAAAACAGGTCAATTAATTTTATAAATTGTTACGCCCGACTATACTCACCTTCCAAGTGAACTTTTAAGCATTGAAGCCATTTTAAGGTCGAACTTCCAAGCTTCTCAAACATAAGTGGTATCTCCTCTTCGAACAAATCCCACTGCAGGTCAAGCTCCATCCGCATCTTCCAAATAAGCTCGCTGTTCCAGTCTATTAGTTGTCCACCAAGGGTTCGGGCTTTGCCATTCTTGTGGCACCATGTTTTGTATTGTGCTAGCGTCAGGTGTAAGCCCAAGTAACAAATATTCATGTGACTCTCTTACGCAGGTCCCACTATCAGATTATTAGCCGATTTTAGGGGAATTCGGTTCGCCGGATGCTTACTTTCTTCCATTCCCGCCCCTTCTCAATTGCAGCCTCTTGCCAGTGTTGATATCGATTTTCTGTTGGCAAGATGAGCAGAGTGACAAATACATGCGTTGGAAACCTACCAAAAAGGCCAAGTATGAGATCTTTGAATAATGCCAAAAATTGCTTCTCAGCCGCAACAAATTCGCTTAAGACCTGTATCGAGTAAGAAGAAGCCCGCAAAAGATGAGTATTTTAGTTCCATACTGAACGTCTTATGTCCTCCACCTTCCCAAGATTGTTTGTTGGGTTCTTGGCCGGCGCGAATGATTCAGGCTTAGCATATGCACCTATTGAGGTGATGATGCTGGACAATGTATGCCGAATGAAATGCTTATCTTCGTCAAATCTGGACTTTGCGCATAGAAGGTAGCAGAACTTCCTCAGTTCGGGAATGCCGCTTGTAGTCACCAGCTTGAGAGTAGTCCCAGACTTCTCTTTTTGCCTGTACTTCTCATACCATGTATTTGATACGCAGAAGACATTCAACGTCGCTTCCTTGAATGTCTCTGAATATGCGATCTGTAATCCATTCTTGACATGCTGGTTCCGCGATTCGATGAGGAGTATTTCCTTTCTGTTAGCAAATGAGATCAGTTTCGAATGAGTTACACCAACACATATCTCGCGGGATGAACCTACTGGCGCTTGAGTTCCTTTTTTAATTCTCGGTTGAAGTTTTGCCTGGCTGTCTTTATTTTTTCATCCAGTTCGATGATCTGAGTGGCTAATGGCAGTTTGCTGTCCGAATTATGAAGCAATTGACTGAGGAGGCCGTTGATGTTGGACTGCTCTGTGTCAGTGACGAGGCGGGAATATAGAGATGGTACGGACCTCTGCATTGGTGCAAATAACTGCAATCTGTGATTCTTTGCGCGCTGAAACTTCCAGACCTTGGGGCGCGTGGTGATTCATGGCGGCATACAAGGACGATTTCAATGACTGATCAGTAATTGCTCGAGAGATATTGGCAACTAGGAAGATATGGTCACATCGGGAAATATATTCTTGCGTCGCCCTGACACGTGCAAGATTCACATCTAGCAGACCTAGGTCACTGTTAACCCCAAAGCTTTAATGCTAGATAATATTCTCTCTTACCAGGTAGATCGACAATTACCAAGCCCATATTCAGAATTGGGGCATCAATACAGACCCTATAATTATTATCGGCAATATTAGCAAGCCTATCCTATTGGTAGGTTTGATAGCTTACCGAATGATCTTAGTGAAAGGCCATAGTCTATCCCGCATGAAAGGTCTGGTCTTTTCGAAGCACTCTTCGGCAGATTTCGCATATGTTGCCCATTTGCCATTCAGTGCTCCTTGCGGCCAAGGAATGGTCGCTGTCCATTGAAGCAATTGATTTGCTATTCGTGAAAATGCCCCATCAGATATATCTTCAAGAAATTCCCGGTTGAAATTCTTCTCATGGCTAAATGCAGTCTCTAGAGAAGACCACGCCTGACTTGACTCAGTTCGGTACCTTGTAATGTCGGCCACATTTCCCGAACCACTTGCAATATCAGGAAGAAGAACGCGGCGGAAGCTCCACAAAAGCTCTTTGATATGTTCTTTGATAGCCGAATCGGAGAGATACTCAACTTCGATTTGGATGCACTGCGTCTGATCTGGTTTCTTTTGCCTGTACTCAGTGACAATCGAGGTACAAGCTGCACCCATGTTTCCCTATCTCCTAATAAGCCAAAGGCTGCACGCCTTTTGAGAGAAACTCACTATTGTTGCAATATTCGGAAAATCGAGCAATGAGTTTATGACACTGCTTTTGCCTGATGATGTCAGTCAATATATTCTTCAAGAAATCTTACTTTTTGAATGCCCTTACCTTCCCCGGAGTTCCCTAGAAACGCGATTGTCTTAGCAGTTGGAGGTTGATTTCGAAGATCGCTTGCTCGTCCCAGTCTCTTTTTGAGATCAGCCATTATCTCTGGACCTCTTTCTACGCTCCTAGCAGAGTTCTGCCGTGAAATTAGTTGGGAAAGTATAGTCGCCGATTGCTTAGCGATTTGCATGGCGTTAATTAGGCCAATTTGAAATTCTGGTGAGAAGAACGGCGATTCAGGGTATTCCTCTTCCGGGATACCAGGAAAATAAAATACTCGACCGCCTCCGGAGAATGATGGAGACACTTTGGAAGGAGCAGTTGTTCCAGGGGACTCGTGGTGTGAAGGAAGAACGCCAGTAGGTGGTATTTTTGGTGGAAGATTGAGTTTATTTGGAGGCCTGAAAGTGAAAGGAGACGACGGCAGACCTTTAGGAACAACAGTTTCTCCTTCAGCTGGGGATGAACGGTGGCTCTTCCCAGCTGGTGGTGGCATTTGCTCCTTTGTTTGTTCCATTTCTCTGGACTTCAACGATAATCAACCGAGCAGGTATCGAGAGAAATTTTGAATACTTGATTAAGATGAGGGGAAAGCCAGTCGTGATTGTCTGGAAAGAGGGGATTCTGTCTGGTTATGAATTATCTAAGCCAAATTAGTGTTAGTTTGATTGAATTACTTTCGTAATCCATGGATTAGCAGGGATTCTGCAGGGATATTCAGAAAGGGAGAGAGGGGCCAAAATCAAATCATGCACCTCTTGGGCGACAGGGCCAAGAACACAATGCTTGAGATCAACGGACTGTGCTTCTTAGACTATGTTTCTGGGAGAAATTAGCAGGGGCAATGAAGTATCTTTGCAGGACGTGAATTTCCTTAGAAAACAGATCTTGGAACAAATGACCACTCCATTACCCTAACATTCTACCTGTGGCGATGTGTGACACTTCTAGATGAAGCTGATATTTTTGAAAGAAAGGACCCACTAGGATCTACAGCATAATGCGCTTGTCTCTGTATTCCTGCGGGTGATTTAGTTCTACTATGGGATCTTGGTGCTAATGTCAAACCGAATGGAACATTTGACGAGGCCTTCAAGTCACGCGCGCAGCTTGTTGTTCATTACCTGACATCTCGGAAATGAGAGCGCCGGCGCCAATTTTGTCCAAGGCTGGCGTCTATTGGAGAGTCGGAATATTGCATTGAGGATATAGATCAGCATGAATTGAACGGGGAAGAGATCAGAAACACGTTCCAAACAGCGACACTTCTGGCCCAATTCAAGGTAGAACACTTACGATATCACAACTTAATGAGCGTAATTGCTGTATCTGAAGAGTTCAAAAAATATTTGTGGGACAAATTTGGCTATGATGATGAAGAGCTTATTGAACACCGCCAGATATGGTAGCTTTAATGTCACATTATGTGCAACCTATGATGGATGCTACTCAGCTTGGTTTGCGAATATTGATGCTGCAGTCGTTCACTTTCGACGCTCTAGGCCTATGTGGTCTGCATTTTTTGACCTATTATCAACCGGGCCCGATATGTGGTTATGGATACTGAGCCAAGGTTTAGTTGAAGAGTTTTCTCTGCAAGCCTATTAAAAATTTCCAACGAATGGATTAAACAAATATTTTTTCCCGAAAGGAAACTACATACAGACAACAGTCGTCCTATGTCGATGGTCACCTAGCGCCTCCGATGCGGTGTGTGGGCGGCTCGCCGCTCTATTTAGCCCACTTCAGGGCAACCCGGGCACCTCTTCACCCACCTCGACATTATTTACCTGAACATCAGCCTGTGTAGGGAAAAAGCCGTTGCAAGTTCTGAGAAAATCTACTATAGTTGTTCTTTTTCTTTTTCTCTCCCTCTTTGACTAGCGCTCAGCCTATACTGTGAGTCTGTGATTAAAAACAATGTACCTATTGAATATGATATAACGTCGAATTACACAGAAGAAATCGTGGACTTATTAAGTCACTAGTAGGATTCCATGATAGATCTTACTAGAATCGAAATAAGATTTAACTTATACCTTGGTTCAATTCAAAAAGGTAGGTACGAATCGGGCAGGGTATGGGCCCTATGAGCCAATATGTAACTCCATGCTTTGATAGTACGGTATCCTCTGTTCTCCCTCAACATGGGGGCGAAGAAAAAAGGGGGCGCTTTGTCCGCGTGGGGGCTGTTTTCTACGGCTAGGCCGGATGGATATAGATTCTGTGTAGACCAACCAGTGGGTCTCAACAAGGCATATTTATGTACAGCATAGCGACGGATACTGCTAGCGCCGCTGAAATCTTCTCGTCGTTAGACTGTAGATGATGAATGTGCTGTACTCTGTATAGCACACACGAAGCCTCCGGGGCTAGTAACGTTGATCAGTGAATCTCGGGTGGCTTGGAGTTGTTAAACCAGGTACATCCACATGCCCTAGTATTGTATTTCAAGGAAATTGTCGTGGTTTCTGGCCCAATTACATCAAAAAACTCAGGAAATCTCGAAAAGATTACAATTGAAAGATTGACGACGCATCACATGGATCCCGACGTCATGTAGAAAGAACCTTAATTCTGAATCAGTGCGGGCAGCAACGTTGGAAATAAAAGAAAAGATGTACCCTGGTTTGACACTGTAATTAAAACCCAGCCCCCATTAAATTTGTCAATAAATGTAACTTCGTTCTCTCAGTCCTCTCCATTGCTCATATATTCCACAGTCAACTTTTACTCTTTCTTTCAACCCCACACCTGAAACAACTGCTACGCCATGGCTGAGTTGCACGGTTCCTGTCATCCTGCTTTCAACTCCGTGCGAGACCTTTTGCAGCAAAAGATTTCTGATGGTGGTGAAGCGGGTGCTTCCCTTTGTATCAATATCGACGGCAAAAATGTCGTAGATCTCTGGGGTGGCTATGCAGATGCAAGCTCGAGCAAGCAATGGGAAAAAGACACTATCACTGGAATTTGGTCCTCCACCAAGATTCTCACTATCCTGGCCGCTCACATTCTTGTTGATCGGGGTCTTTTGGATGTGAATGAGCCAGTGGCGAAATATTGGCCTGAATTCGCAGCAAACGGCAAAGAGAATGTTAAGGTCTCCCATATCCTAAGCCATACCTCTGGAGTTGTTGCCTTTGATGGGGGAATTACTATTCAGGAAATGCAAGATGAACAAAAGGCAGCTCAGCGGCTTGCTGAACAAGCTCCTTGGTTTACTCCAGGATCGCAGAGCGCATACCAATACACCAACTATGGTCTTCTGGTGGGTACGATTGTCCATCGTATCACAGGAAAGTCCCTAGCCCAGTTCATCACCGAGGAGGTCACTACACCTTTAGGGGCTGACTTCCAGCTCGGTGTCTCTGAGAAAGATGAAGCTAGGACCGCTGATACTATCCCATTCCCACCGGATGCTATTCCTTCTGCAGAGGGCCTTGATCCTGCCACTAGTATCCTACTTCGGTCTCTCATAGGATCTTTGATGGATGCTTCAACTCCCAACAACCCTATATTCCGAAAGTCTCAGAATGGGGCTATGGGGGGGTTCTCTAATGCACGAGCCCTAGCATCTGTCGGTTCTATTGTTGCTCTTGATGGTACCGTCAATGACAGACAGTATCTTAGTCCCCACACCATTGATGAGATGTTAAAAGAACAAATCAGATCGGCTGATCCAAACATCATGACGAACTCGCGCTTCGCCCTTGGCCTTTCACTGCCTGCTGCCGACGGTGTGTTGCCTTATATTCCTGAAGAGGATGGAATTTGCTTCTGGGGTGGTTATGGTGGATCTGCCGTTGTCATGGATCGCCGCCGGAGAATGACTATATCATACATCATGAACAAGATGGAATTTCGGGTGGTTGGAAATTCTCGCTTTGATGTCTATTTTCCCGAGATCTACAAGGCCTACGAAAAGTACAACAATTTTTCATTGTAGATTTGGGGCGGGGAAAGGGGTCGCGGAGGAAAAGTGGCCGAAGGGCCCACCTGCTAATTAGCTCCACTTTTACCTCCTGCCAATACCTCCTAGCAATACTTCTGATGTACCTTTTCGTCTTTATACCTGAGGCAGCAGGTATTTTTCAAAAGGGTTCAATCATCAAAACCGTGGCTACATATTCTATATTGAAAATGATTGAAGCAGTAAGCTGCGACCATTAGAGTAGACCAAGCAACCCCCATGTACTCAAAATGGAAGGCAAAAAGGTTTTGGGATCTGTTAGACAGATTGCGCTTCATTCAAATCATACACTACATACCAGCCTTTTTCCTAGAAAGCTTAAGTACACCCGGCCAGGGGGGAAGGCGGGTCCCGCGAACAACATGCATGGAAATTTAGGGGCCATTTAGCAAACTTGATGCCACTATACATTGGGGGCGAGGGGGCCAAAATGAGGAGATTTCATGAGAAATAAATAACCTAGTAATTCGAAATAATGGTACTTTTGGATGTCTTACCAAGTTTAACGTCTATCGTTACTTTTAAGAATTGCTATTTGTATCCTGATTTTGCTAATTGTACCTTGATTCTGCTAAATATACACTGGGTCTGCTACATGTACCCGGTCCCAACCCAGGTGAAGGACTGAAGGACAGGGCAGCAAGGGGACTGTCCTCAACGAATCTAAAGTATATAAAAAAAAAACATACAACAGTTAGGATTCGCATGTGGTCACCCACCATACTACTAACTAACCGGCGTGTGGCTTAAGTACGGCTGAGCGGACGGGAAGCCCTGTTCTCCACACCCTATGGTCGTATGTGCAAGAATAAATCCAATTAAGACTCATGGAAGGAAAAGGCAAACAATGTTTGAACCGCAGCCTATATACTAGATTCCCTTTGACGATTCTTGGCTGCCTTTTCTAGATTAGTGCTCACCCCCCTCGCCGCTTTAACTCACTAGGTAGATCTAAGCACGGCCTCTGGCTTAGTGATCAGATCATGGAGGCCAGATATATCAGGCACCAAACCTTGGAAGTCTTATAGGAGAGTTGGCCAATGGGGACGCGATGGGTCGCCAACTCTAAAAAAATCGCCAGCCTCCCAGATAATCAAATCAAAACATACAAGCTAACTCCCGCCACCCTTCTGCCTAAGGATGCCTAGAAAACAGCGCCAACGAAATCATATTGGGACTAGTATGTCGGGATCGAACTTTTATAAGAAGATTGACACGCCCTTTTCTGATAATTTACTGCAACCAAGAACATGGCATCATTCAATTTCCCCGCGGAGCTGCTTGCAATCATCACATCTCTCTCGGACACGAAAACCCTCAAAGCCCTAAGACTAACAAACCACATGCTATCCGCCTTTGCAACCAAGAATCTGTTCTCCACGCTCTCACTGTACACCGACGATAAAAGCTGTGAGGCTTTCGAGTCAATCGTAGCCCATCCGCAGTTAAAAGAACATGTGCGCAAGATCCGCTTCAATACTGTCGAGGTCGACTCTGTAAGTGAAATGTCGAACTGAGATGGAACAATGTTGTCGTATATTCAAAGGTTGGCTAATATGTAGTACATCAGCAAGACGGAGATGACGAAGAACTTGAGTTACCTTTCAAATGGAAAGAGCTCCTACCTATGCTTCCGAAATTCCCGAATCTCGAAAGCGTCGTGCTGCGCTTCGACCAAAACTGCTCGTTCGAGGATGATTTTGGCCATGCACCCTCCCAGTCAGTTGGTGACCGAGCAACCATCATAAAATGGCTGGGTACGGTGCTGGTGTCTTTAAAGCAACCCTTGAAAGAACTGGGGATTCAGAATCAGCATAACATAACACCATTAAGCAATGATTTCCAGCAAATACTGAGCAAGCTCAGTTCGCTAAGACTGAACGTTATGCATGAGTTTGTACCTGCGTGTCCTGAAGATGAAATCGAAGTGCGTACCTACTCCAGTCTGTTCAGGCTTATGTATAGTTGTTCGTGCTAATTTGGGGAAATATCTGACAGAAAGATGAAGTGCTAGAATTCCACGCACGTATCCTGCCGTCAGTCTGGCTGAAACCCACCATGGGATCACTTCGGAAGCTGTCTCTGTATTCCAACCTTTACTGGGGATTCTACCCCAAACTCAGCCTCGAAGGGATCCACTGCCCAAATTTGCAGTCGCTTTCTCTGGGCAATTTCTCCTTTTTCGAAGACCAACAACTCGATTGGATTCTATCGCACTCGTCAACACTCCAAGAACTTTACCTTGACGATTGTCCGATTTTATTCCGAGTGAGAATCCTAGATCGCGAGTCGCAGCTTGACAAATGTCCGCTACCGAAATCCAAAATGAAATATCAAGCTAGTGAGCGCCGGAGCACTTCCTGGCACTACGATTATTCACGCCGATGGAATGATTACTTTGCCTCATTTGAGACAGGCCTTCCACACCTCCGTCGTTTTGCAATTGGTCACAGTGAAGCATGGAATTCAGGGAATTTGGGGTATGAGATACCTTTTGAGAAAGAGCTAGAACTTATGCCGGCATTGATGCAAGAACGGTACATGGCGTTTGATGGCGGTATAGGGCCCTCTCAAACTGTTTCACCAAAGTGGACATCAAAGAAGGAGGATTGGCCACATTGCGATGACGAAGATCGCGAGGCTTTGAAGGCATTATATCGGAAGATTAAGCAGCAGGTAGACTGTGGAAAGTTTGAGATGGGACTTTACGAGGTGGCTGATTTGGTAGAAGTTTATCAATGAATGGGAATCAAAGAGCTGGATGAAAGCAAAACAAGCAACATTCTGGATTACTTTATATATGAGCTATAAGCACTAGCCGGTTTCTTCCTACAGTATCTAAAATGACTTTTAGCAAAGTCGCCTCGCATATTTGAGTTCTATATATTGTGGAGAGCCTGGATCGGACGGAAAAATGAGGAGTACGGGAAATGTATCAATCAAATTTATTACCGCAAGATTTGAGAGAAGTCGATCGGCGAGGATCACCTTTTGGAAAATAAATGCACCGTGGCTGGCTCCACAGCATCCGGAACGACTTTTGCTAGAAAGCGCGCTATGGAAAGAGGTTGATGTCAGAATTGCGAGCACTCTAGCCACCACTCCGTCGGGAGGCACGGTGCAGCTGAAAACCGACCGACTTATGTCTGCGGTGTCGCAGGCGTTGCATGCCTTGACGCCGAGAGCCAAACCGTCGCCACACGCGAAGCGTTGGTGGACGGCAGACCTAACACAGCTCTGCCAGATATACAGTACACATATTGGAGAAACCACTCCCGATCAGAGTGACGAGCAGGGCGAAAGGTGCCACGCCTGGAGAACATGGCCGCAAGTGCGGGAAAACAATACGGAAACAAAAGAAGAAGCACTGGAACATATTTCTGGCGGACAACAATAATATTTGGAAAGCGCGAGGTACCTGAATTGTCGGGAGATGATGCAGCGTTCGGGAAGGTTCCGCAGCTTCTGAGGGTGGACGGAACTATTACCACCGATCATAAGGAGCAAGCAGAAGAACCTCTGACCAATTCTTCGCGCCCCTGCCGGACAACATTGACGATGAAGGAATTAGGCCACAAAGAGCGCAGGTAAAGATGCCGGTCGTTACTATGGAAGAGGTGGAACGGCAGCTGTTGGACGCAAAGTCTTGGAAAGCCCCGGGCGAAGACGGTCTACCGGCGATAGTGTGGAAGATGACATGGCCCGTGGTCAAGCACAGGGTCTTGGAGATATTCCAAGCGTCGCTGGAAGAAGGCACATTGCCGAAGCAGTGGAGACATGCGAAGATTATACCGCTCAAAAAGCCGAATAGAGACAACTATACCATTGCCAAAGCGTTGAGACCAATTTCTAGTTCATTGGCGCCCAGCGCGAGGTAAGCTCAATATACGACAACAATAATGATCTACACCACCCTGCACTCGTGGGATATTGGAATGCCTCAAACACGAGTATCAAGAATGAAGCTATATTACTCAAATATAGACCGCTAAGATGTTATAGAATTCAGCAACTACTTTCGAGCTGGTGTTGATACTTTTGGTTCGGTTAATCAGAAGTTGGTTTCCATTCCAATTAGAGGCCAACATGTTTCTCGTTTGACATGTTTCTTATTCCTCATGCTTCTCACGCAGGGTATTTTTGATGACGCATGGGTCACCTGATTTAGCACGATCTAGATAGTTGGATACCTTCCTCTCTCTCTCTTCTTCCTCTTCTCCCCAGGCTACCATCTACCAGCTTTTCCCTTTGCTTCTCTCTCGTCCACAGGAGGATTTCTTCGCGCGCGCAAGTAGTCGCACGCATCGCCATCAATCTTATTATTATTAGTCGAGCTAGTCCATATCGGCCCACACCGATTTCTTTATCGAGCGTGCAGATGAATCAGCACGATCTTGATCCAATTCTTACTTTTTTTCTTGGCTCTGGGCTTGCATACGAGTGGTCTTTCAACTTTTACCGTGAAGAGGATGGTAGGTACGTCATTTTGGAATCAAGCACAAGACCTGAGGTATTTGATTAGCCACAGCTTAAGCCCTCCAAGCCATTTCAAATACGTGAAATGTTCGCCCTATTCCTTCAGCTCATCTACCACTAGCGAGCCATGGTTCCCAGATTATTGAGCACTCACTTTTGGGGCAGCAACAGGATTCGTAGTTTTCTGCATCGGGAATCAACTGACCGGGGACATTTGTCATAGTTTCCATCCAACATCAATCATTTATCATATTCAGTAGTCTCGCATCTTCTAGCGATTGGATATGAAGCGAGATTGATACAGCAACAGGAAAAGCAGGCTTGCCTTTAGGATGAGTACAATGTACCCGACTACCTTGACTCAAGCGCAAACGCTGTTCTCCTGGTTGATGTTGTTACAATATCCGCCGAAGACAGGTGGGACAAAAACCACGAGCGGGGGCGGGGAAGACATATTGTATGTAGCAGGGTGGTGCCGGCGAACAAGCTGAGGCCGAGTACTGCCGCGCCTATGGCGGAATCGTAACCATGTGCTGGGATGACATGGTTGTTTCTAAGGGCTCGTTCTATTTTCATCCATTGATAACATCCCCGGCCAGAAGCGGGTTGAATGATCTGATATGGTATGGCCATCATCGCGGAATGCAATTTTAAATAACCTATCATGTTCAAAGGTGTCCAGATCCCGAGAGCCTCAATCAGTCAAGCAAGAGACCACCCGAAAAAGTCGTCAATTTTACATTACATTAATTACCTCGTGCTGTTTCCCATATGGGGTCGAGGCGGCAGGTTGTCGCGACATGTAGGCCGGTCGAACTCCCCTTAGGTGCTGTGAATATTTATATAGATGCCCAGATGTTCTTTAGATAGGTCCGAATAACTCAAAACATCGGAAATCTTTCTATCCTCTGTCTCACTTTACACCCTCACGCTATCGTGAGTTCTTTCTTTCTACTAGATACATATCATTATGCTAAATCTGGAGATCCACTGCAGTGCCCGAAGCTACCTCAGACGATGTAGTGATGGTCGAGTTTGGACGAACAAGACCCCAACCCTGAGTTGGTCCAGTGCAGTATGCAGTTCCTATTTGCAAGTCCGCTGTACAAGCATCTGATGACAGTGACGGATTCACAGCCAAAAAGAGGGAGTATTCGATGCTGCTTTGTACACAGATCGCTGTACAGGTATCACCGTCGCTGGCTGTATGCCATCGCCCACAGCTCATTGTCGTCCCATCTGCCACGGTACTATTCTCCGGAGGCGCGACGTCTTGGTCCGTGTATCCAGTACTCGAGCCTGGCAATGAAGTCACTCCCGGTGGTGGTGCAGTGTGAGTATGGGTGCCTGCCTGGGGTGACACGCACAGAACGTGTCCGTAGTTCACGCTCCAGTCCTGGAGATTGGTGCAGCCGCCGTTGATCCAAGGGTTCAACTGGCGCAGCATGCCGCTATCCATGTTCAGGTTGTATTCAATGCTGCGACAGGTAGCGTTGGCGGAGTACGTATAGATGTTGTTGCAAGAAAATGGGAGACAAATAGATAGGCCAGCCTTTATATCATTGCAGTCAATAATCTCTTCACTGCCAATGAATAGAGCAGCGGAAGAGATGGTATTTTTCACGGCGATTTCATCACACGTATCCCCCTCGACGGTAGTGTAAATCACGTCAGAGGCACAAAAGTCACTGGGATCATCGGTATGGTCTTCGACGGGTGGCGCAATATCGGTGTCCCCTTCAAGACTGCAGCGCTCTTGTGTGAGCTCCAAGATTTTCTTGTAGTTTTCATCATAGAACGAATACGGGGATGCCTGAGCCATCTGTAGAATTGTCGTGTAGCAGTAGGAGCACAAGTCTGAATCTGGCATGTCCGCTGCATGTTTGACGGGGGAGAATCCTGCGATCACATCTGCCATGCAAAATCAAAATCTTGTCAGATTCGAGAATTTTAAAACATAGAATCAAAGTGAGATTTATCACTAACCGCTGCAGTACTTGCCACTCTGCGGGTCTTGAAGGCATGTCTGATTCCACCCAGCCCAAGAAATGCCACCACGAAAGTTCATGACATCTTCCTTGGTGTCGAAGGTTGTGCAGTACTTAGTCACCTCCTGGTACCATGTTTTAATAGAAGTTTCACATCCATGACTGCAGACCATGCTGGCGGTGGTCTTATTTGCATATGACTTTGGCCAGCTTCGGTCAAGAAAAGCGTAAGTTTCGTCAGGACAATCAATCAATCTTGTCATCGCAGTTTGGCAGGTGCTAGATAACCCACTGAGTAGACCATCATCTTGTGGACTGCTGTAGAGATAATAGCCGGTGAAGTTTCGTTCACCCACAATATCGGTTGGCTCTCGATACCATCCCAGCAAGGAAGAGGTGTACCCGTTCTTCGTATCTCTGGAGAAGATAGGGGTCTCCCCTTGGGGGCTTATACTCTGCTGAATTCCCTTTGTGACCAGATTGAAGATCCAAACATCACTGCTCTGTTCGATATAAAATGCACGGTCCTGGCAATGATCTGTGTCTAAACAGTCTTGTGAATAGCTAGAGAACCAACTATAGATCCCTGTTACGTGTTAATGAAACTAGCCAATAGAAGCTTTTGTACGTTTTGCGAGGAGCGAGCAATTTGAGGTACGCAGGAAGAAACCGGATACTTACCAGATCCAAGCATGTATATAGTCGAAGAATCAATGACCCGGACAGCCCAGGCGACAGCGCATGTCAATGAGGACTCTGCACAGTCCGCAAAAGTAGGATCATTTGGAAAAAGACCGACGGTGACTGGAGCCGGGGCCTTGGGAGAAGGTTGGAAGTATGGCGCCTCGGTTTGTAGCATTCCCATAACGAGATTTTCTGCATTGGAGATCTGATACTGATATAGCACACTGTGCTCCGAAGCGGTACCGTACAACCAGGTAGGACCTGAGCTCTCGATCAAAATACCACGAGCGGAGTATACATCGATTTGATCCTGGGAAGCAATGTCGAGGTCGTGATCGGCAGTCCATGCCCATATGTTTTCCATGTATGCCGATGCACTCGGGGTGATGTGCATCAAAAGCGAAGCTGCGATACAATTCTCGTTCAAAGCTGAGGCCTCTTTAGGGCAGTCAGTAGCTTGGAGCTTGGAGCCTTTTGCTCCACCAACACGGAAATGAGAATCTGGCCATCGGATGATTAGTGCTCGTCATAATATGAGGCAGCAGTAGTGCTTGACTTACCCCATAAGCCGGCCGAGCCTTGAGTCGACTCATGGATGTTCCATTCAACCAAGATGGCACCGGCCGTGGGTCCCGAGACAGTAAATAGCAAGTCTTGAATTTCGACAATCCCCTCGTCTCCAGAATCACCGACTTTCACGGCAACATGGGGCTTCTCCATGTCTTGAAATTTTTCCCCCGTGGCCATGATCTGCGACCACGCCTGACCCATGATCCGGGATCCCTTCGGAATCTTTAAGGTGTCTTTGATCACATAGATCCCGTATGGTATGTAGACAATGGATGAGAGATTAGCCGCGGTAGAAAGAACACTGTTCAAAACAGCAGTGTCATCAGTGGTACCATCACCCTTGGCACCATATGCTTTCACATCAAAGACTTGGCTACCCTTTAGATCATAGTATTGAGGTCGGCGACGCGTAAATAAGTTGGACTTCACGTATTCATTGCTGCCAACAAGACTGCTTGTGCGCTCCATCACGGGGAGGTCATTTTCTTGGGCGAAGAAGACCCCACTGGAATTGCCGTAGAGACCGAACCCCCAAGCGTCAATGAGAACTTCGTTCCCACCCGCCAGAATCGGATCTGTGATCTTCTCGACTGTAATAGCTTTCTGCACGTTGAAGAAGCCAACGTTCTGAAGAAGGAAGGCAGTTGAATTATCGCCACTAAGAGAAGTTACGATTCCAGTGGGGGTATTCGCAATGATGGCGTCAATCAAAATAAAGGACCCAACACCTTGTCCGGTGCTGAAAGGACCTCCAGCCTAATATTCGGATGAGACTTAGAAAAGGTCAAGTACATCAAATCTGAGGCATTGACTAAGCTTACCCCTCCAGTGATGATGATGCCCGTGCCGCAGCTTTCGATCACAACGTCTTGCATGGTCCATGCCCAGTCCCAGTGGATCTGCATGGCAGTCGTACATTGGACAAATACCAATTGACTCGTGGTAAACTGTTGGTTTCCAAAGTACGCACTGTCATCAAACGTCAGAGTCCTGATGTCTTACTATCATTCAAACGTTTATGGGCAGGGATGATTTACCCGAAGTTTCCGCCAACAAATGTGAGATTGGCCATGAACCCACCACTCCCGTTCTCCATGTAGATTCCCTGTGGTCAATGTCAGCCAACTAGCAAACAAATCATCCACCGAGGGCTACAATAACGGGAGGCAAACCTGCTGCGTATTTCCAGCCGCCTGGGACATGTAAAACTCAATGTTCTCCAGAGATGTGCCCTGTGCAACTTGCCAATGAATAGCGCAGACGTAGGCATTGGGATCTGTACGTGTAATGTCCATCTTGAAGTTCCGTACGTTGCGAAGGAAGTTGTTGGTGTTGATATACCTATAGTCATTGTCAAATTTTGCAGACTCTAAGCCAGGGGAGAAGAAATATCTGGCACTCAAGCCGCGCCAAAATCACCTACCACTCGTCCTGATCTCCGACGTAGACATCTGAAGTGATGACGCCTAGCCCGACAAAGCTCGCAGCTGCAAGGATAGTCGGATAGTCACCGGGCTTGGTTATAATGATCAGACAAAATGCAGTATAATTGAGAGGTGAAGAAATTCGGAACTTACATTCCCGAGGAATTGAGTGTTGTAATACTGAATGATGGGGCTGCTGACAAGATATGTGCCAGATGGAAAGTAGACCACCGCAGGATAGATCGTGCTGGAGCCGCAATCAGCGCCGCATCTATTGCCATCCGCAATTGCTTTGTTGATGGCAGCTGGATTCAATTTCCAAGATTAGTTCCAGCAGCAGTGAACGCGTCATTTCTCCTATGGCAGTGTTTTCTCATACCGGTATCATCAGTCACACCGTCGCCTGTTACATGGTTTACATGGTCAGTTGGGTATGTTCAGAAGAACTCAAAATCACTCGGGCCACTCACCCTTGGCACCGTAGTCTTTCACGTTCCTGAAGACCTTATACCCCGAGGGCGCATACGGACTGGCGCCTAGTTGTTCCATATCTTCCAACCAGTAGCTCGATGGCGAGGCTCGCTTCACCAATTTATCGTCTTTATCGACGCTGGACCGATCCCCAAGCAGCATCTGATCCATCAACATGTCGGCGTATTCGTACAGCCCATTCGAATGACGATGTGCTTGCTGAGGGGTATTGGTATCATTCACCAGGGAGTGGTACTTCATTCTCGCATCCCTGGCCAGCCTTGCCTCTTCCCCAGTCGATGGAGTAGGAGGTTTGGATTCCGCCAGGATTCGAGCCGCCTCCGCCAATTCCGGAGAGATGCTGTACACTACTCGATCCGTAGGATTTCCATTGGTCTCGTCTCGCTTCTCGGTCTTCGAGCTTGAGGATAGCCGTTCAATGTCTTCTGAGGTGTAATTTAGCGGAGGGGCGTTGATCTTTTGGCCAACTACCTCGTGCGCGTCCACAAACTCGTATTTGTTGTAGGTGACGTTTTCATAGCGCTCCTTGTTGAGTACAGCCAGGACTTCTAAAGCTTGAGCGACCTTTTTCGCAGCATCGCTCACCATCATCGGAGTTCCAGCATGTTCCATTTGAGCCGAGATCGCCTCCAGGCTTGAGGCCGTCGGAGTTGGAGCAGCGTCAGCGTTAGCGTCCATGGCTCGATGGAAGTGCTGGTGAAGGTGGCCATGTCCATGATGCTTTCCAAGAACGCCAGCAGCTGTCGCTGTGAGAGCCTGGAGGGCTACGGCCACAACAAGGTTAGAAAACAGCATTCCGACTCTACTTGCGGAGCTGTCTGAGTCTTGTCATAGAACGGCACCAGGCGATAATATGTTACATTTTCAGTTCTCTATCCCTTCAAAACACACCAGAGTGGCTTCAACATCCGGTAATCTCCGTCCCCTTTAGTTCTTGCTGTAAGCGATGTCACTTGGTGGGAACCAGGGTCTATCTTCCGAGCTTGGCAGGGATACGCTCTTGGCATGCTCCTTGGCAAATGTCAAAGCGCGGAAGGTTCGGGCATTAGCTCGATGCCCTTGCTCGTGTGGAAATTGTGAATGGGGCTCCGCTAAGTCTCCAGCGATGGCTGATTTCGTGATAGCTGCTTGGATGTCTTCGCCAAGATGGTCCTGCATTCTACTTAGTAGCACGTGCCTGTCCCGTCGTCGGTAAACGGGCTTGGCCGAGCTTCTAAGCGAAGCAAAGCCATCTCTCCACCCCAATAGTTAGCGCGCCAAGATAAAGCCTTTGTATAATTTGCACTGCGTATAATGTCAGCCACGGGAATTTAACACCCCGGTCACCGAGCACTAAGATATGCTTGTCAGTAGTGCATTTTGAGAACGCGCCTATACCCTCAAGTCGATAAGAGTGGGCGTAATGGGGTTGTATGTCCTAACTAAAACACTCCGGCAGTGATTCAGCATTGTCTGTGTATCTGTATAACATGCGATGTAAACATCTCAGTGATGGAACTGCACACTCAAGTCATTTTCCGGGTCCTAATGGCACGATGTAACACGCCTCCTCAGCTGAGAGCAACTAGGGTTTCAGTTATTCAAATACCAGACATTACAGACTAGTGTAGCTATCCTCGGGTGTAGAATGGGTCAGAGGATGGGCCCAAAGCGAGGTCTGAGCCAGACGAAAAGAGGCCATCGCCGAACGCCACCAGTCATTGGGACAGATTCGCCCCAGTTTGTTGATTTCTTGGGATTTCGCGAGAGTGATGCAAAGGAATTTAATTTAATAAAGAGGTTTTGTGCACTTGCGCAAAGAGCCCGAGAAAATATCTTTACCCGAACAAGGGCACGACAATTTGTCGGCAACATGTCGAGATCCAGCTGGGGACTTGATCAGATACTCTTGACCCTCGGTCTCTTTTGGCTCTTGATAGGCAACACTCTTGCACAAGAGTGTAGCAAAGAGAATCCATGTGCTACTGGCTGTTGGTGAGTCCGCCTCCGTCCCAAACTGTGCTCATACGAAGACTTAATTCTCGGCTTCGATGAATACAGCTCGAAAGATGGATATTGTGGCACGACGGAGGAGCATTGTGGTGCAGGATGTGTCGATACTTGTGACTACAAATTGGGATGTGACGCATCGAACCCTTGTCCAAGTGGATGCTGGTAAATAGAACCGCCCATTGCAAGATTGATTGACCCCGCTGACTGATCATACTTGAAAATGGTAGTAACAAATTTGGATTCTGTGGACTCGGTCCTGACTTCTGTGGAGAGGAAAATTGTGTGACCGGCTGCGATTCGAAGGCTGAATGTGACCCCGGAGAGTATGGATTGGAATTTGCAGACGCGGAAAAATGCCCCCTGAATGTGTGCTGTTCTAAATTCGTGAGTAGGATCCGCTCAATTCAATAGGTGAGAAAGAAAATTTTCTGATATTGGATGGCCTTCCCTAGGGTTTCTGCGGCGTCACAGAAGAATTCGTGAGTTTTTCCCGGAAAGTGCTTCGTGGCTATTCCACAATTAACTTCCTATCATCTGTGAAATAGTGCGGAAACAAGACGGTCGACCGTGGTCATTGTTCTGAGAGCGGAGGGCTCGATCGAGTCGTTGGATACTTCGAAGGCTGGGCGTCTCGAAGACCATGCAACCGCTTCTGGCCGGAGAATATACCGGGTGGTGTATACAGTCACATCAACTTTGCGTTTGCGACTATCGATCCGGAAACATTCGAGGTCAAGCCGGCGGATGACCGGGATATAGAGTTATACTCACGGGTCACTGTCCTGAAAAAGGGCGATCCGAATTTGAAAGTCTTCATTGCGATTGGTGGTTGGACTTTCAATGATCCCGGTCCCACGCAGACAGTCTTTTCTGATATTGCCGGATCTGAGGAGAACCAAAAGAAGTTTTTCAGCTCTCTGCTGTCATTTATGTCTACGTACGACTTTGATGGAATTGACCTGGACTGGGAATATCCGGAGGCGACAGACCGTAATGGCCGGCCTGAGGATTTCAAAAATTTCCCCAAGTTCATGGAAAATTTGAGAAAAACCTTGGACAAATCGGGCGGCCGAAACGGTATCTCAATCACTCTACCCGCATCATACTGGTATCTGCAACATTTCGATATCAAGGCCCTTGCCAAATCCGTCAGTTTCTTCAACATCATGTCCTATGATCTTCACGGTACTTGGGACATGGGTAACAAATGGACTGGAGAATATCTGAACGCACACACAAACCTCACAGAGATTGATCTGGCTTTGGATTTGCTCTGGAGAAACGACATTGATAAAAAGATGGTTGTCATGGGACTCGCCTTCTATGGTCGCGCGTATACCATCAACCCTGCCTGCACGAGCCCCGGATGTCTGTACCTGTCAGGCGGTCTCAAGGGAGAGTGCAGTCGTGAAGTCGGGGTTCTGCTCAACAACGAAATTGATCAGATTCGAGAAGACAAGGGTGGAAAACCTACTTTGGATAAAGATGCTGCCGTGAAGCTGTACACCTGGGACGACCAGTGGGTGTCATATGATGATGCCGATACATTCCTGCTGAAGACCAACTTCGCTCGGAAACGATGCCTCGGTGGAGTAATGGTATGGGCAATCAGTCATGATACAGCCCATGGAGATTACTCTAAAGCTCTAGGCGAAGTGACTGGATATGTGGGTAGCGCACAGTTTGACTATGGCTATGCGAACGTCACAGAAAAAAACGACAAAGACATTTGTCATTGGACGAATTGTGGACAGTCCTGCCCAGCCGGTTGGCATATGATAAAGCGCGCTGACGACTGGTTTAATTTCGACGGTGAGGTGATGATAGATGCCTCTGAGTGTGGCGAGGGAATCGGGTATCGATCATGGTGCTGTCCACCGGGTGATTCTCCCACCTGTGGCTGGTATGAATTCAATGATGGACTCTGCGATGGTGGATGTCCCAGCGGAATGAAGGAAATCGGTTCCACTCAGGCAGGCTGTCGGGAAGATACTTACCAGACAGCGTGCTGCACTAGTGGGATCTCAGCGATGGCTCTCTATGACACTTGTGAATGGGGGGCCACCCCTCAGTGTGAGACTGGTACGTGCTCTTATAAGGGAAGCACAATGACCACACTACTGGGCGAATCCGGCACAGGCAGCGGAGGAACTTGGTGTCATGATTCCAGCGGCTGGGATGACACCGTTTGGCCCAAGGATCAGCTCGGAGAGCAGAAATATTGCTGCAACACGGAACAGGAAGATAAGACATGGCAGAATTGTGAATGGGTCAAAAATATCGGCCTCGTCTCTAAAGATATGAGCTGTGTTGGCTTCTGCCCACAAGGAAAGGTCAAAGTAGCCATGGATGTTTATAACCATGGATGCTATAACCGAGGATACCAAACGTATTGTTGCGAGCCGAGCTACTACACTGAGACCTCGCATTACTCGGAAGACGTTCAGGCATTTCAAGATGCTCTTGGCGAGTGGGGAGACAGCCCTACTTGCGCGGTTGGCGGTTCTGATTTGGAACAGAGGTCGACGGACACTGCAGCTCTGGCAACCAAAGGCAGCAGCGACACGCCGGCTAAGAAGGTCAGAGAATTCATTATACAGATGTTGGCCGCCTACGCTATGAGGCTAGCGGGAAACGTTGGCACCATGTGTGATGTGTGGGACAATTATGTCGATTCAAAAAGTTGGTCCAACCTCGAGTGCGACAATTTGTATCAGGACCTGCAAAACGATTCTCAGCACGATTCTTACTTGATTGAGTATGGATCCTTCAACATTTCTAACGCCCTCACCTGTGACCCCGACCTTTGGAACACCTTGCTCAGCGATGATGATACAGAGGACCTCGTCTGCGACTGGGACCCCTGTACTGCAGACCCCAGTATGTGTACCGAGGAGGGATTTGATAATGATTATATTACCGATGGCAGCACCGAGGACATCCGTCGGCGGGCGCAATGGGAAGGACAGGTAGGCTGATCTTCGCAATTTTCTCCGATATTCTGTCAAACCGAAGCTAACCATAGCACAGAGAAAAGTACTTCAGCTTCTGGATAAGCGAACAGATGAAAAGCAGGACTCATTTGTATGCTTCGATGGCGTAACCAAAGTCGTGGTCCGATTTTGGAGACAAGGATACCCCAGCAGTGGACAGTGGGCAACTTCTGATCCCATCTACGATGAAGCCCTCGACAACCAAGAAGTGGAATGCACCAATACTGAGACCAGTATCGAAACAATAGTTCTGACTGATAACTCGGACTACCACAGTGAGTTAGGATTTCTCAGAGACCTTGAGGACGATAAGACGGTAACTAAGAATACCCAGCCGAGCATATTATCGAGCTACAGTCCATGCCTATGTTCTTCGCGTGGCTTGTGGCGAACTCCAAATGCCAAGTTGACTGTGACTTCTTTACAAAATTCTTCAACAAAGACAGCTTGACGGGGACAACCCCACTGCCGGGAGGGTATAACTCGGGTACCCCGTCACTGCGAATCATGGAGGCTTTAGGAAGCTGGACAAACGACAAACAGTTTCGTATGTTGCAAAAGCGACTGAACGGCATGAAAGCACAGGTACTTATTTGTTCTTCTTTCTTCTGGGCGCCTTCGACTTGGTTTGCAACCTTGCTAACCAGACGATGATTGGGTAGTTGTGGCGTTTCTATGCCCCCAGGGAGGATTCCCTTTGGCAAGCTGCTGTCAAGAATGCGAGTCCCAATGAGGCGCTCACCATAATTAAGAGGGTAAGCCACATCCATAACGTTGAATTCTGACAGGGAGCTGATGCTAGAAAAAACTAGGTGATCACAGTATTCAGTTATTTGAACGACCCCGAGGTCTGGGGACGACTCAAGACCACCAACAAATTGATCCGACAGGAATTAAAACTTGCACAAGACGCATACAACAAAGCCAATGGAAAAAATACACAAATCTTAGATTGTTGGGATGAATGGTTTGCGGGTCATCTGGATCGGGTAGTCGAGCATTCTGTTGAATGGCTCACAGATGCACTGGACGACATGGACGGCGAATGGACTGGAAAGAAGGGCAAGCTCAGGGCCCAGGTGATTCGTATCGTGAAAAGCCTTCGGACTCAAATGGGCAAGAAAGTCAAGCTCAATACCCAAGACCTGATCTGAGCTATTGATTGAATGTATCGCATCACAGGGCTGCTATGAAAAAAATTTACAGAGCGCGAGCTGTGTACTACAAGATCTCGGGAGGAATTGTTCGAAATACATGCAAGATAAACAAGTAGATGAATGTATTGGTGCATCTGTACTTGAGAAGTCACAAAAGAGCAAATCGGTTATCTCTCAAAAGTCATTAAACCAGGGAATATCCTCCGGTGAATCCATGTCAGTAGACATATGAGACATGGGCATTACGTCGCCGTTATATGCGAGTCGGAACAGCCTGTTAAGATGAATGCGCATAAATCCCGGGTAGAAGCGTTCCGAATATTCATTCGTTGCCTTCCAGTCGGGGTCCACAACCGTCACCCAAGCGCCGTTTTTCTCTTTCGCATCCGGCTCGTCCTGAATGTAGGTTCCTGCAGGCTCGGGGTGGCGAATGAAGGATTGTAGAGCCTCCTGATCAATCACCAAGCACCAGCGAAAGCGATTACCCAGAGGTGCGGGCTCGTTGTTGACAGAGGCTTTGAAATGTTCCCGGATTTGGGAAATAGTGGCCCCATCAAAACGAGCCTTATCCTCGAACACAAGGCTGCGGTACCCCTCGCGGACAAGCCGATGTGAATGCTTGTCCTGGCGTCTTCCGTTCTTCAGCTGCCAGTCTAGAGTGGCAAAAATGTTTGCTCGAATCGCATCAGCGGCGGCCTCCCAGTGAAGGTCAGACTCGGGGGTGTAGACAGTGCGATAGATGGTGTAGCCCCAAGGCCAGCGGTGAGTTATCTCTTGCTTAAGAAGTGTTGTCGCCTCACATCGGGGCGCCATAAACCAAGGCTCGATATTCCACTGACGTATTTTTCGCAGGTGGTCGAATTCAGTCTCACTGGCGGGGAAATCCTCGGACGACCATGGCGTGTCCCAGCTCTCATGATGGAACCTCCAATTCCATTCGACACAGTCGGGTCGTGGTTGTGACATTATGGAGGAAGCTCGAGGTTGTGAAACTTAGAACTCGACAGGTCTCAAAGGAATTTATAATGCCGCGCGCGGCGCAATCGACAACAGCTTTCCGCGGCATCATGGACCCATCGCCTTGGCGCCAAGGGGCTTATTCTGAATGTAACCTTAAGACCGACAATTTCAAGCGAAATTTCGGTTCCATGGGGAATCTACTTTCCACGTCTAAGTGAGGAATAATTACTTGGCAAATCAAGTCAACTGTAATATGGGGTTTTTATCTCAACCCGAATAGGAAATCCCCACCCGTCAAAGAAAATCTAGTACGTATAGCTACCTATATGCATCTCAAGTTGTCTTGGGGGAACATGCTGTTCCACCCATTTAGGACTAGTGCCTTCTTGTCTTGAGCCTCCAGAGATTTGCACAAATACTATCACAGCCACCTGATCGAACGAGAGTGCAGGTAAGTGGTGCAATGTTGCTATTCTGCTTTACTTCTGCACAGGAGAGGTTCACGAGACAACATGCCAGAGAATCAGGGCCAAGGAGCTGGAGGCTTATATTATGGGAGACCACTCAAGACAGTGCCCGAAGGGTCAGGTCGTTCTGCACCCACTGCTCAATCTGGGTCACAGTTTCTCCAACTAGTCGGTCATAGTGTTTGCCATGCGCAAGGAAGATAGACTGATGAGCTTCCACTTCGTCCATATCCTCCATGACTACCGGTACCCATAAAGAATTATCTGCACTCCGCCAGTGATGAGACGGCAGCAGAATGAACTTGCGAAGCTTCTCAGGGTTTGTATCTGCTGTCAATGTACTTGCGGATGCCATGCTAGATGCCTCGTCTGAGAGGCTTGTTGTCTCCATCTTATCGACTGAGATTGATGATGTGAGGCTTGGTGTGCCTCTTGGTTGGGTCTCCACCTCGATTCCAACCGATTGAACCGCTTGAAGAGAGTCAAATGCAGTGGGCTGTGTCCCAAATTTGGAAGAATCGTCACTGGACGGGCATTCGTCTGGCTTTATCTCTGATGCTCCGAACGGACTGGATTCTGTCTCGGGAGATTCTCTCGGATTCTCACATGTAGCACATGACGTCTGGGCGGCCTTGTCCGATTCCTCAACATCCTTGCATTCTCTTGCACCATTCGCCATTTCCGCCTCCTCGAGCGCTTCCTCGCTGGTCTTCTCTTGGGTCTCCTCGGGGGTCTCCTCTTTGTTGGAATCCGTTGCGGGCTTGGTCTTTGGTGTTTTGGATTTCCGACCGGTGCTTGCGGTATAATAGTTGACAAATTGGACTCCCTTGTGGCCATGCTTCCCAGCTTCTAGCTCTATCAACCGGCGATAACGCATACGCATAGTGGGGTATTCATTCACGCAGTTTGCGAATTTGACAGGTGAAACGAGAAGATCAACAAGAGATTGTGAGAGACGGTTCGTGTTCTTGTCGACAAAGTGCCTGATGCTACCCATGGTATCACGTTTGACCAATCGTACATCATTTTTGAATGGAGGGTCAAAATTCGGACCGTTATTGACGAGTGCAGTTGTGTCCAATGATAAGGATTCTAGCGATTCGGCTACATTAGCTTCAACCGTGTTGCCCTTCTTTTGAAACAGGCTGCCGATCCCGGTGGGAATGACCCGAGGATGTACCCCCAATAATGGAACGTCGAAGTTGATAAGCCCCAGTATACGATGTTTCGGTTTCACATCTGGAATACTGTGATTTTGCATGAGCGCAACATCTGTAGCCAAAATACCACCAAGACTGTGTCCCAACAGAATGACGTCAAGGTCATTGGCCTCGTGCGGGGATAACCTGCCGTCAGTGGTCAGTGTATCTTCCTTTCTCTCTATATGAGCAGCGATAGAAAAGTGGAATGATTAATAACATTTCTCGCCACCAAAATTGGTACATACCAGTTGCTAAACTGGTCAACGGCTGTCTGTATCTCGCCGCGGGACTTGTACCGAGGGTAGATACGAGTGTATACGACATATGACTCGCTGAGCACAGCAGTCAGCAAGTGATGAACATGCGCCGGGAAGTCGTTGAAGCTGGCCTCAGAGCCCATAAAGCCATGGATGTAAATAAGTAACAATCGCCTCTTCGAGGTCGCTTCGGGGCGGGGCAGGGACAAGCTGTATAAGGAGTCATTGGGTCTACCCTCATCCATCACTATAGCATTGGGAACGGCTTCTGCCGCTGATGCAGGGTTAAACCCCGGTGGTCGGGGTGGTAAAGGGGGCGGGTCACCCCTCATGGTTGAAGGAGGCGAAAGACGGAGACGCGATTTGAAAACGAGGTCCTGTTTTCCATGTGTCGATTACGGGTGGGCAGTATTTCCACTTCCGCACTACTTGCATCTTTTCTCCGCAGAGTTTCAATTTTATCTTTCTCCATCTTTGACGCGTCGTACCGTACAAAACTGGCCCCCGGTCGGGAGTCTACCTGCGCCTCAAAGACTATGGATATTCTCCGGACTTGGTTGTTTGTTGCATTCCAGCCACAGGCGAACTGTGGAGTAGTGGTCTTTGTCAACACCCGAGGCTCCCGCACTTATTGACCCACAGCACCTTCAAACGAGCAACGCACAATTGTACAAGCAGTAGAGAAGACCTGCTGGCATGGAAGCTACAGCGCACATAGCAAAGGTGACAAGGATAATCAAGGCAATGTATTGAAAGTCCGATTCTGTTTTGATCACCAACTTCCCAGTTTCTGCAAAATGCGATATCAATAGATAGTATTTTGCAGGTGGCCTCTTTGCCATCTCAAATATTCGACAGAATTGACGGAGGAACCGCCTTTTTTTTTTTGCCGCCGCACGAATATCAACGAACGGGACCTTGCCCTTGTTTCACACGTTCTCTCCTTTGTTCCAGAGCTTTTTGTTATTCCGCGTCTACCTAAATTTACATGACGTTTGCTTTGTTGGTCCGTTCTGTTTGAATTATGCCATGCCTATCTCAAACACAAATCCATCATCTTGGTCCTTAGCACTTTAGGTGGCGCTTAAAGGAGGTGCTACACTTGGGTCTGGAATATATTCTCACGATAGAGCATTTGGAAGGTCTGCGGGAAATAAAACTTGAAACCAACAGGAACTCTGTTGGAAGGGTCATCATGCTATTTTACCAAGGAGATTTATTTGGAACTTCCTTGCAGCTTCGAATACATGTGCACATTAGAAAAGAAAAAGAGGACTGCTGGAAGGACTTGGGGGAATTTGTGTTAGGTATGGATGAAGAGCCAGAGGTTTTGAACAAAATGTTACTCCGATAACTCTCTTTGCTGTGGTGTATCTTCATCTCTGTCGTGATCGACAAATTGTTCCCCAGGGAGAATAATGGCACGATCGATTCTGTACGGCAATCCGCGGTGACGGCCTCGAATCATCATGAAGCAAATAATGAGTTTGCTAAAAGTGTTGAACTCCCCAGAAAGGGATGTATTGACAGTGGGATACCCAAGACTGAGACCAACATTGGCACTTCAAGAAAGTTAGTCATTTTCGAGAAGTCGTAATCCTCAGGAGGCACTTACTAGGCCGACACCACTTCAAACAAAACAGAGAAAACAGAGAATGCCTAGAGAGCCTTAGCAGAATGACCAACTCAAATTATCAAATAAGGTACTCACTGGTATACTTGTATCGGCGATTTTACCAGACTCGGCAATGCAGATGCAAAAGCAACCTAGGAAAATATACCACAAGTCAAAGCTCAGCTGATTTTGTATATGAGCGATGATGTAGGACCGGCCGTTGGTTTCATCAGCGGCGGCCTCTGCGCTATAAACTCCAAGAGTTCTCTCCTCGTAAACGTTGGAAGCCCTAACACTGATAGCAATCGGGAAGATAGCAATGTACATCATGACAACCAAGCTGAATTGGACTGCAGGATTGACATTGGCCAAATTGAACGTGGATGCTCCTGTATGACGAGCGGATGCTGCTTGAAAAATGGCAGCAAGTACTCGCGGACCAGCCGCCAGGTTGTTGACAGCAGGGTTGTGCAAATCCAGGACGATGATAAAAATCACATCGATGGTGTTCATAACGAACAAGATACCAAACAGAATCCATGTCGGTCGGCTTGGAAAGAGGAGTGTAAAGCATCGTCGTGGATGATCAAGGAGGAAGCTAAGCGTCTCCTTCATTGACGAGTTCTGCGGGCAGAGCTTATACATGAGCCAAATGATCAGGCGAAGGAGACATGGATAGCAGGTATTTCCAGCGAACGCAAGAAAGCTCATAACGATCAGTGGAAATGTCGCATCTTGGAAGGAAACCATTGAGTCTGGTGTCAGTGTAAAGCCGAGGTTGTCAACCATCGTTTGGGCAGAGTAGAACCCCCTAACAACAGGAAAGCAATCTTAGCTGCCGATTTTGAATTGGTTTAATGTTTCACTTACCACCATACATTGCCTTGGCCACATTCTGCAAGATAAGCCCGATATTTCGGGTCGGCATGCTTAATCCACCCTACCAGGCAAATCGCTCCGAAAAGATGCAGACCAAAAAAATAAGTGACCACAATCTTTAGCAGCAGCTTCAGGCTGCGGTATTCAATACCACCTAGCCTCTCGCGGTCCTTAGCAGTTAGGTGGTGAAATTGGGAGTTTCGGCTCTGTGTAGCTTGCGAAGAAATATTTGGCAGAGCGAGCTGCTTGAATTTGCTTTTGTTCCCTGACAGAGAGCTTTGACTCGGCCTGGGGCCCGAAGATCTCCCAACTCGAAACATCATGGAAGCAGCCTGCTCAAGCGGCCGCGTCGTAGCTGAGTAGATACTCACTGCAGTCTGCCGACGACGTAGGCCATGTTCAATACGCTCTTGGCCGGTGTATGTGGAGACTATAGACTTGGCTTTGATCGACTGTCTGTTAGCATATAGTTGCCAACAGTTCAGGATAGGAGGTTGGATCAAATCACCATCATCAATGTTGTCTTCGTCAACTTCAACAAATGAACCACCTGTGGATATTCATCAGGTCATGATTTTACTAAAATGTCAATAGTCCAACGCACCTCTATCACGTCTCCATGGTGGGGGGATATAGAGGGGTCTATCAATCATCGATGAGTCCTGGTCATCATCGACAAACTGAATAGCTTGTCGGCGTGAAGCAAGGTTGGACACAGGCCCTTTTATATCAGCATCGGCATATGGCTCTATTGATTGATCGGGGGAGTCACTATATAGGTCAGTTTCCAATTCGAGGAGTGGGTGCTGGTGTAGCGAAGCCGACCTCGAGGAAAATTTTGGCCCCTCATTGGCTTCAGCCTCATCATTCTTCTCTCTCGATCTTGTGTATTGGATATCCTGCAGGCTCGCAACATCTGGAATATCTTTCGAAACCCTCTCTGCTTGATGCTGAGCTTCGGTGTCTTGTTCAACTGGTAGCTGCGGCTTTAGAACATGCGGCGCTAACATGAAAGAGATATAAGCATGAGGCCAGTCCAAGCGCAAGCCTTGTACAAAAGGAACACCAGCTTACCAATCTCCGTAAGGCGCTTCTTAAACCAGCGCAGCCGAACCACGACCACGATGATGTTGATGAATCCAAGATTTCCAAAGATGGGAATGAGATATATGTAGACCTGCTGGTAGGTTTTCAAGTCCTTGACATCTATTCTGAATGTCGAAAAGCTTCAATGTCAACAGATGCGTTCTATCTCCAAGATGGGGGAGAAGAATAAGAGAACTGACGTATTCAGCCCCGACTCAGTCGATGCACTCGCGCCGAAGAAGTAGGCATCGATCGCTCGGAGATTGCCATACGGATAGATGATCACTAAGCTTAAAATACTCAGGGTGATGATCCATGCATCTAATATGAGGCTTAGTACAATGAGAGGGACTCGCAATTGGAGGTTCACCAACAATGCAGGGTAAGGAAGTCTATCGGTGGCTTCCACATGGTATCGGGATGGGAATATGCAAGGAGAAGAAATTCATGGAGACTGGCATGTTATCACATGGACGGTTGGTTGCAATAAAATACCTCACTAAGCTCATCTTGCGGGATTTAGAGCGACCAATCACCCGGTTGAGGGTGAATCGCGGGAGCGCCAATCTGATTGCGAAAAGCGACAAATCTGAAGCCACGACGCTTTAACATGGTAGCAGCTGCTCTTTTCTGTCAAACTCCTTCTCTACGATAACGATAAGGAAAGTCCATATTTGTACTGGGTTGAGTCGACATAGTGATTTTCCACAGAAACCTCCATGCCGCCATTCAGTAGGCGCACAGGAGAGAAATTTCCAGTTTACATTTCATCACATGTGATGGTACTACTCGCCGTCCGGTGCGACTGCCGAAGTAACAATAGGGAAGGTATTGTCCCTCCGTTCCTTTGGCTTTGCATCCGTGCGCGACCGTTGCGCCGCCTCTGCCCGCTTTCCTCATGACCAGTCGTCATCGTCCTCGACTGTGATAAGACTAGCGATGTTTCCTACCTCGCTGACCATTTCCCAACTCATCGTGACTAGCATCTCCTGCTCACGCCTTCGTCCGCGGGCATGATGCACAACATCTGGGCGGTCCCGCTCCAGCTCTCCAACTTCAATATCATAGTTGCCGTGCTGGGCGGTTTCATCTCCCTCTTTGGTCTTGTATCGTATCTTTTGAAGGAAAATTTTTATCTCTCTGAAGCTCGTGAGTTCCGCGGGCGCCGGGAGACGCCGCTTGCTTCCCCCGAAGTGGCTAGGACATCATAGGATGAATATCACTGACTCGTGGACAAAAAAGTAATTTCGCTCTTGGTAGGTGTTGCATTGGGTCCAAATGGAGCACAGTTTATCCGTCCTCAGGATTACGCCAGGTGCAACGAAAACGGCGTCTCGGCCATCGAGTGCCGCGACAATTTAAATGCCATTACGCAAAACTTCTCGCGATTGGTTCTAGGCGTGCAGCTAGTCCTCGCCGGCGTGCAGCTCCCCAGCAAATATCTCAAAAAAGAATGGAAATCAGTTCTGCTGCTTGTTGGCCCGGGCATGACGGCCATGTGGATCGCTACGAGTCTGCTCGTCTGGGCCGTTGCCAGGACGCCCAGCTTCCTGCACGCACTCGTCGTTGGTGCATGTGTAACACCCACTGATCCCGTGCTCTCTGCCGTCATTGTTAAGGGCAAATTCGCGGACAATAACATCCCCAAGGATCTTCAGCACCTCATCATTGCCGAATCTGGCACCAATGACGGACTCGGCTACCCATTTCTTTTTTTGCCTTCTACCTCATCAAGTATGTGGGCCCGGGCGCAGCATCCGGTGGGGTCGGTGATGCCATTAGCCTCTGGTTTATCTTCACTTGGGGATACACAATCATCCTTAGTGTCTTGTACGGCGCCGTGGTGGGCTGGGTGGGTAAGGAGCTACTCTATTGGGCAGAGAAGCGCAATTACATCGATCGTGAGAGCTTTCTAGTCTTTGCTATTGCCCTCGCTCTGTTCGTCTTGGGTACGTGTGGCCTCTTGGGTACCGACGATGTCCTCGCCTGCTTCATTGCAGGCAACACATTTACGTGGGATGACTGGTTCCGGCTGCAGACCAAAGATGACTCCCTTCAGCCAACAATAGATATGCTCCTGAATGTGGCTATCTTCTTGTGGTATGGCGCTTACATACCTTGGGACCACTTTGCTGTTAATCCTATAATTCCGATATGGCGCCTGCTCATTCTTGGTGCTCTGGTTCTTCTTTTGCGACGTTTGCCCTGGGTATTAGGAATGCATCGGTGGATTCACCAGATCAAAGAGGTCAGGCAAGCTATTTTTGTGGGATTCTTCGGGCCTATTGGAGTTTCTGCCATCTTCTACCTGTTTGTGAGCATGGAATTCATTGAGAAACATTTGAGTGCCGAGGACGGTGTTCCTCGGAGCGACGTTGAGAGCCTTGGCGAAACAATTCGGGTTGTTGTCTGGTTCCTCGCAGTCTGTAGCATTGTAAGTCGGCCAATTTTTGCCCCTTAATTTAACGACTGAACGTGTAACCTTGTATAAGGTTGTTCATGGACTCAGCATCCCGCTGGGAAAGATGGGGTACCTCGCGCCTCGGACTTTTAGTCGGGTTCTGAGCGAAACCCTGAGTGATGAGCCGCGCTCGGCGGACGCTTTGCGCAGAATCCCGGTGCTGGGCAAGTATCTTGTTGAAAGGCCAAGCGATGTCGAGTCTCGGCGCGCTCAGCGCACAGCCGTTATATCGGGCCCGTCTAATCCTCGTTACCCTCACGCAGAAGCAAGCACGCCGAGTGATCATTTATAGGTGGCTGCCTAATCACTTTCCGCCAGCCAAATTGAGGTCCATCCGGGGGCGATGAATTCGGTCCCGGTTCGCCTCGAGCGGAAGAATCGATTGCCTAGCGAGAGGCAAGTCAGCAGCTAACGCTGACTTGACGGTGAGCGCACTCGCAATGGATGCTCGAAAGGCCTTAATAATAAAATAGTCGGACGTGCCCCATATATGCTTATAATCTTATTGAATAAACAAGAACCATTATGGTGATGTGTGTGTCACCACAGTATTTGCTTAACTTTAACGGGGCCACCACGTCTCATCATCATCCTTGTTATATCCATATTGACGTTGAATCGAAGGCGAATAAGTAATTGAAGCCAGTATGTTGCTCGCCGTGGAATTTGTGCCTGCAGTACGTCACACTGGTAATATCCATGGGCATATCCATATACATTGGAATGCTAGGAATATCATCCAAACGTCAAAGTCGACTGTCCTGTTGGAGCTAATTTTCTATAGGAAAGCGGGGCTTGGGTCATATTCTGCTTCCTGTATATCCCAGTGAAAATGTAGATAATGATCATCTAGTCGCATATCCAAGGTCATATCAAGTCGATTTTGAAAGGCAACCCAGGTATTTACACAGAGGATCGGAATCTCAGCTGGCAGAAATATTAAAGTAGACCGATTGAAAATCCCTAGGCTATTAGTCTATACGTATCTTCAAAATTCCTCAGGGAGGAGAAGACTCAGGTGGTAGTGATCTCTACCAGTTGGGGCTGAGCGAGCACCCCTGTGAATAATCTCACACCACCCTTACTTCTCTCATCCAGTAGTCTCCAAATCCAATTGAGAAAAAATAAAAACATACAACAGTCAGGATTCGCATGTGGTCACCCACCATACTACTAACTAACCGGCGTGTGGCTTAAGTACGGCTGAGCGGACGGGAAGCCCTGTTCTCCACACCCTATGGTCGTATGTATTAGGATTCACACTGCTAAGAAATAGATACTTTGAACATAACTTACAAGAAGGAGCATCGTTGAATGACCACAGTCCGGCGCAAAACCTTCCAATCTACCCTTTGAAATGCCAGGGAAAGCCGTCACACTTCTGAAGGAAGAGCAAATTTGGAAACATTTAGAACATAATACATCAAGAAGATGCTTTACAGCGATAGCAGCAGTGTCAAAAATTATGATGAGGGACTATCCGAGGCCCCTTAATCAGAGGAACGGTACCACTCGCGATACTTTCGAGCTAGTTCAATTGACAATTGATGAGACAGCATGTGAACGCAATCTTATGAGCTTTCACGTTGAAAATAAAGGAGAATCAATGACACACCGGAGCCAGATTACTAGCACAGGGACGTCGCCGCGGAGATGATTTAGTACCAGTCGGGCAGGTATAGGGCCTAGCTACTTAAATTCAATATCAAAGTGTTCCACATTTCTCGAGCCGTCAAAAAATAAAACCCCCAATCCCTTCTTCAGAACCTTGGCCGAGTCTGTACTTGGAACCGATTCATTGGCCCCAAGTGTACACAGAGCAGTGGGGAGCATGAAGGCCGGAACATAAGCAAGCAAGCCTTCACACAATTTTGGCAATGTAGCCGGAGCTGAAAAACCAGCCAGGACCCCAACACGGTTGCCTACACTTCGATCTGAAATGGGTAAAAATATGCCTCTGACACATACGGAAGCTTGTTCAATGAACTCTCCAATTGTAAGATAGGGACTGGGCCACCAGGTGTTTTGATGACTAAAGTTGAATTAGATATCCTGAAACTCCCCATGATCGAGCATTCACGAAGAACTTACAGTCCATGGAAATTCGACCATCGAATACATACTCATCCCTTACTTGATGGGCGATATCGCCAGTCTTCAAGAAACCCTCCTCATCAAAAATATCTTGGAAATCAATCTCATTGTTGAGATAACTTGTCTCGTCAATATGGCCTTCATTTGCAAAATTTGATACGTAGGTGACTCACCCTAAGAATGTTGTCGGCCCTTTGATTCTGATTTCTCCTTTGGTTCCCTCGGAAAGTTTAACGGGAAGACCTGATGCCTGCTTTCCGATGCTTCTCTGACAGCGACATTAGCCATGCAGAAAGCTCTACAGCCAAGGGCATTGTAACTTACTTCTAATCCGCTATCACTGTTGGGGTCGAGGATAGTGGCAAACGTGCCCAGCTCGGTGTTTCCGTACGATACCGCGAGGGCCTTTATAGCGTATTCTTCCAGTAGCTCAATAGAGAAGGCACAGGCATGCTTCCACCAACGGCTGCAGATCGTAGACTCTGAACAGCCTCCAAGTAAGATTTCTTCTCTTCAGATGGAAGAAATCGCAGAACATTTTGAAAGTGCCGTGCCAAAACTTCCCATAAGAACACTGTAGAAGATAGAATGGTCACCTTGCTGTCTCGAAGTCGATCCCACACTATCCCTGGACTAGCTGACGGATCGATGATCTCAGCTCTACGTCCTTGGATGATGGCTGTGAGCAGAATCATTGACCACCCAGCCCAGTTAGCAGGTCGATGAACTAGCACTACATCATCAGGAGGAACCTCAGGGCAAAGCTGGAGATAACGACGACTGTGAACTACCCCCTTTGGTGCGCCCGAAACTCCTGATGAGAAGAACACAACACCAGGCCAAGTATTCGGGCTCTTCCTCTCTAGATCAATATAAGCACCCGAGTCTGCCTTTTGATCGGTAGACCCGGCCGTGAAATCAATCTTTAGAACATCGACTGGAGCCGCACCCATGGAGTTGGCGCATGTCTTAATCTGAATCGCCTGCTCCAGAATTCATAGCTTGGCAATATGCATCTGATGCGACTGTTCCGCATGATTTGGAGCATTTGCTCCTGGGCCAGAGTAGTAGCTAGAAATGTCAATCAGTCGTTCGGAACGCAAGAGAGGAAATCTCTGAACATACGAAATGGGACAACAACACCCCCGATCGCCAATATTGCGAAAGCGGCAACAGCAAACTCGTAATTTGCCTTGCTGAGGACAAATTAACGGTGTAAGATCAAACGATATGCGTTATGATTGGCTGTGGGGGTATTTAGTTATTCCAAAACGGGTTGAACAGCCACGCAGGCGGTTGTTGTTTTTGTAGCTTGGATGGCCAGATACTGTAGCTTTATCCGTTCCCGACCGTTAAGTCTGAGGATCACTCGATTCTACATATTCCCTTTTTTTTTTTCTTCCACCCCGCCTTCGATCGTTGCACAATTCGCATTTTATGAATCTCTTGGATGTTTCATGTGAGGTCAGAGGGTCGTGAGTGACGCTCTGCCAAGAAACCCCCTTTAGTTTCCGGTGGGTTCACTGTTCGGGCCTCAAGCCCACCCAGTTCGGCTCCACCAAGAAGGTTCATAGGTAAAGTGGAGCCCATGATGTATTGTGGACAGTAACTGAGTAATATTGTTATCTGTGTATGAAACAAAGTAGATATAATCTAGCACATGTTTGCTTCCTTTCACGCATATTTTCATGATCTCAATTCATCCCAATCTATCCCAATCCAACAATTCCATTCCCTCATAATGCCTGGGCATATTGAATATCAGCATTCTGAGGCCATTCCGCCTGAGGAAATTCAAGAGCACGGTCCCTTCACAATTTTTTCTGTGAGACGGCACAAAAATTATGAGATTGTGAACCAAGCCGAGCAACAGGCCAGGAAGGACTGGGAATACCATATCGGAGATGGAATTGCTCGCGATTTCAAGGGAGTCGAGAACCCTGTGACAGGAACCTGGGATTCGCTGATTATGCCGGAATGTAGGCCCGAGCTATTGTTCCCCGTCGCATGGATCACACAAACATTCTTCTTTGTCGATGGTCAGTATTATGTTTATGATGGCCGATTTTAGAATAAAATTAACATTCGGTCCTTAGACAAGGCTGATCGTATGTCACGAAAAGAGGTACAGTTTTCGTACTACAGCAACCAACTTTACCATCTTTAGATATTACGGGGTGACTTATCCCTCTTGCGCGAATTCTTGCATGGTCAGTATACAACATTTTTCATTGTGGACCGAATGACAAGCCCATCGACATACTCTTCCAACAGTTTCAAGATTTGGAACAAAGAACTTTCTCTGCTGAGAACTTGAAAGTGGAGCGTTTTGGAAGTCAAGTGTCCTGATCACCCTAGAAGAAGGGAAACTTCAGAATTACCCTTTAGTACGGTAAGAGCCTTCAGATGCCAGCTGTCTCAAACGCACAGCATAAGCAACACAAGGTTAACATTTAATAATGCAGTTCAGCAAGCACAGAATGCTCCAGCACCATTTTCTATTCTATGGGGCATGCTCATTCTATCCTATGCGGGTCTGCCTATCCTACCATGATACGCAAATTTTCACCCCTGGGATAAGCATATATCCTCGGTGCTTCAACCTCCAGCGAGTGAAAGCCGTTGAAAGCTCAATCTGACAATTGGAGTCTACCAAATGTGCATACAAAACGGAAATAAGTAACAGTCCAATATAGCGTGAGGAAAGAGTATAGACTGGCCGACTATCTCTTCTGCAGGGTCACATTTAGCGCAGGAATCTCAACCCTAACAGCTTCACCTTGAGCGTTTAGAGTAAATATGAACTCATCCAATCCATGGCCAGCATACTGGTACTTGTCCAGCTCCAACCATGATACACAGGTCGGCGTGCCATTGTCAGCCAGCTCAGTTTCATCCTGAAAAACAGCTCGAAATGTCTGCCTGGAGCCGGAGCCGGTCTCCTCAGAAAGACCCGTCGGATAGAGACGAATACTGAGGTCCGATGCATGAGAGACACCAAAGAGTTCTGATAGTGTCTTCCTTAAATCCGTACCATTGCTCACGAAATCCTCGATGTACAAGCCCCATGGAGTCCTCTTCTCATAGTCAACAACAATATACGAGGTTGAGCTACCAGAACTAATATACCGACCACTGTAATTTCGAGCTGCCTGCTGAACCGCTGTTGTGATTACTCCATTCAGCGCTGTCTGCATATAATCGGCGTGTTCATTTAGATCAGCTGGTCTCACAGTGTCGGCAGACAGGATAGCATAGCCGACGCCCCAGTCCGGAACCAAGCCCAAATACGAGCTATAAAGGCCTTCTTCGTAGCCCTCGTTACTGAGGAGGGTGTATACGTCGATCATTGGCGATGTGTCAGGGTAATCGCCACCACTGTAGATAAGGAATGGGTATCCGACAGAGTTCTTAGGATTCGCAGTGTGAGAGACGGGCTTCAGCCAGCGGTTGGTTTGGGCAGAGGAGAGAAGGGTAGACTTTAGGATAGCTTTTCCAGCAAGGGCGAGATCTTCAACGCTGGTGAATATGGAAGTCGATCTGGATTTAGACGTGTCAGCCAGTGGTAGCCATCGTTTCAGTAAAGGTATTGAGACTCACGCTTCGGAACCGGGGAGATGGCTCGACCAGCCACTCGCTTCCTGGTCGACAGGAATCACACCGTCCTTGGAGTGCTTAGGGGCGAAGATAGTGGTTTTGTTCAGTCCGAGCGGATCGAAGATCTTGTTCTGGACAAGGTCCTCGAAACTATGACCGGTGTGTCGCTCGATGATGTACCCTAGGAGTTGGAAGCCCATGTTTGAATACGCGGGCGTCGTACCAGCAGGAGCAACAGGCGCTCGCTTTGCCAGCTGCTGGATAAATTCTGTGAAAAGTTAGCTTGTGAAAGCATGTAGACAAGAGGGGCGCGCGTTCATACCGCTTTGACTGCATTTCGAGTCAATGCTACAGCAAGGCAGGTTAAAAGCAGAGCGATCTGGTAGTCCACCTTTGGAAATATTTTTTGGCAAGGTAACACCGTGGGAGCAGTCTATGTATCAATCAGCAGCAACCCTCAGCAAAAAGTTCATTGTAAACCCACAGTTCCGGGCAGTTCCAGCCATGTGACTGGCAATTTGGCCAACAGTTATTTCATCCCATTTGGTGTGACTGATAGATGTAGCAGTGCTTGATCCATTGGCCAACTCAGGGAGGTACTTGGTAACAGGATCATTGAAGATCTTGTCTCCAACGGTCAAGAGGAGGCTCCAAACAGTGAAGACTTCAGTCAAGCCGCCAATGCGGTATATACTATCCTTAGTGACATTCTGAGATCTTCTGATAATCTTCTTATACTCAGGAGCAGTATAGTGATACTGCCAGAAGAATGGCTCATCCTGAGCGTTTCCGTTATTCGCAGAAAACAACGCCATGCCAAGGGTTGTCGTATTCTTCGTTATCGGGCCGTTCTCACCGATACCAGTCCTCATCAACTCATCGAAGCTCTCAGTAAGGTTTTTCAATGAGTCGACAATTATGGGATCCCTAGTTTCAAGTTTGAAGGGAGGGTAAGTTGGGCCAAGCAATGGGCAAGGAGTAAACGAGAGTGCCGAATGAAACAGCAAAAAGAGAGAAATGGAGCGCATGTTCGACAGGGTCAAGTTTGAAACCAGATCCAAATTTAGTTACAAAGTATCTTTTATATGCATAAAAAGCCCATGGCGGCTCTTTTATACGTTGATTTTGTTGAAGCCGATCGGCTCGGCGATCTGCGTTCGTTGCCACAGCGTAGCACGTCGGATCGGACATAGAAATAAAGGCCCCCATCATTGCCACCAACACTCCCATTCCTCATCACTAGTGCCTATCTCGTGAAAGGCTTCGATGTATAATTGGTGAGTTGGTTTTTAGAATCTATCTGGAGGCTTCCAGGTATCCTGCGAGAGTTCAGCGACGAATCATTTTTGTTTTCAGCTCCGGGGCTTGCAGTCAATCTATATACTGATGTATTATTTACGAACAGCTCTTCTCGTGAACTCCAATCATCAATTACTACCAAGTATTTAAAACTTCCTCCACGGGGTTATCGAGGAGAAAATTGTCCGGCCACTGGTAATCCTCCATGATCCCCAGCAGCTCCTGAGGCAAGTCGTTCCATTCTGCGGAGCTGGCATTTTGAAGTATAAGTCCCGGGTCAATCAACTTGAGACTTTCACTCGTCTTGTCATCTTTCTTGGCCCCATCAAGTCGATTTTGTATGTGAACGATTCGCCCTCGGAACTCGACGAAACAGTCTCGATCCCCATTATGATCGACGCTGGGTGTTGACAAGGCCTCCACCCGCTGCCGAAGGAGGGCCAGTGTTCGAAGATATGCCTCTGTTCCTTCAGAAGTTTGGGATGCGGCGGTATAGCGGTATCCGATGAGCATGGCGAACCCCAATTGTATCCATTGTGCATTGGTGAAGCCTAGCTCGGATTTTGGTGGGAGAGAGAGATAGAGACTGAGAATTGATTCTACCGCATTGACGGCCGCGTGTGACAACTCCTCGCGTAAAGTTTGAGAGTTGATGGCTATCAACGTCGAAGGAGGTTGCTGGTCTGTCATGTTGAGGCCTAGTTGGTAGAGACAAAGGCCTGTGGATTGAAAATGGAATGCGAGCAATGCTGGAAGATTATCAGTTTGCGCACTTGGAAAAAAACATGGCATGCAATGCACTCACGAGAGTCATGAAGGTCGAACGGTAATCCTTTATGGAAGGTGGACAGGTCTTCTTTGATGCTTGTCACGTAGAGCTCTGCACCCGACCCAGGTCTCACCAGTTCGTCTGTATGACTTGCAGACAACCGGTCTATTTTCTCGGCTATCTGCTGTAGCTGCACAATGTGCAGTATGTAATGATCGAGTGGATATTCGTTTGCATCGTGGAGAGACTGGCAATATTCTTCGATATAGGGAACGTAGGAGAAAGTAGAGTGTTTTTGAAGAAGAATTGCAATACTAGCATTCCATCAGTCTCCCCTGGAGGTACAGTTTAACAAGTAACCAACTTACGATGATGACAAGTAGTAGCAACCTATAACAGCTCTCTTTTCATCATTATTCAAAGAGGCTCGATCATACGTATGCTCATCCCGAAACTTGAGGCCTGTTTTCCATGTTTTCACATGTGGTGCTCGGTCCAGCCGTAGTTCGATGATGATACTTATCGCTAGTTGGAGATACTGCGTGTAGCGGTGTGGCTTGGTATGATAATGTGACCTATCATAGTGTTAGGCATAATCTATACAGAATAATGGTGTTTAGTGGATAAGCGCATTTACCATGCTAAGAACACCAATAGCCCTTGCAGCAAGTCAAAAGAAATCTCTCCATTCAGTATCATGCGAGAAGAAACTGCTTTCTTGACTTCGGCTCCGAGAAATCGCTGCATCGGCATATTATCGTAAGATGCAGTGGCAAGGATGGCCAGGAACAGAAACGGTCTTTCCTGGCGCAGGTGGTGGACTGATACACCTGGCGGGATGATGACGAAGGGGAAATGGGGAGTCATCACTGTCCGAAAGGCCTGCAGATAAGTCTGCGCTGTGCCTACACTAAGACATTTTCGATCGATGACGTCTTTCCCATCCTCATCGTCGGTAACGGAGGCACTTCGTGAGTTGGCATCCCGTTCTAGTGGGACTTGAAAAGTATCGCCCGACGAGGCACGGAACTCTTTAATTTCCGCTTCAAGAGCCTCTATTTTTCTGCCAGACAATAAATTATACGCACATGTGCAGCTATCTGATAAAATGGACGCACCGGTCTTTTTGGAAACCATGAAATCGACGACCTTTCTGACGATAGATACACTCCCGGCCGAGACGGAGGCATCTATACAGATCAGCCCTATGACCATCTACCACGTCCCGAAATTGAAAGGCCCTACCGATGACACACGTGTGGATTTTCCGCTTCGCGAATACAGCGAACTTTGGATTTTGAGCAACTCTGACAGATTCTTGATACGGTGGCCATAATGAGTACTGACAACCAGCTTGAGCGCGCGCTGTCTAACCTGTAATATGGTACACCGACTAGGATAACGACAAGAGATTCATCCTCTGGCTGTCGAACCACAGTTGCCTGACATTTGAAAAGCCTCGATATATTGAAATGGGGCTGTGCAACAGGGTGCAGGTCAGGCCGACAGCAAGAAGTGGGTCAGGCCGGAACATTAATTTTCCAGATGTAGATGAAGGATTGTGAATCCACTTTTATGGGACAGTTTGAATACCAGTTTCTTGGCAGTATCAGCTTTTCATATCCTGCCCTTTCCTACGTCTCTTCTATCCACCAGTCGTGAACTCCCCACGCCTCATCTGTCAGTGGAACAATACATTGTCATTGTATGATCTCGAATTCTACAGGTCCGTAATCAATACAGTAATTCCTTAAAAAGATTGGGGCACGCTTGACACAGCATCTCCACTTCCTGACAACCCCGCACTCTGCTCACTCGCCCACCCGGTATCAATGTGGAGCATGCATCAGAAGGAAGGTTTCGTTTCGTTGAGCGGAATACACGAGCCCCAGACGCGTTCTTCGTTCTTTTAACTATTTTGACTAGGCAGGGAATGAACATCTTGCATGGGAACCCCACATACCGCGTTTAGTCAGTCCCACTATTGCCTTCCGAGATGGGTCAGTTTATATATCTTCCAGACACGGGGAATCTGGAGGTACATCTGCTATAGTGGTAGGGTTGCCCACGCTAAGAACTATTCAGATCAATACGTCTTCAGTGTAAGGTTAGAGGCTATTTGGCAGAATAATGCTAGTTGATTAGGTAGGGAGTTTGGTAATAAAATGGTAGCGCAATAGAAGTGAAACAGCAAGTGTCAATTCTGCATATACTAATGGGAACAAAAGTGAATGTTGAAGAGATTCAGACGAAGCGCTCCCAAGAGTGACTTTTAAACCAAGTCCCAATCGCGGCCTGGTTACGGCCCAATGTTGTCAGACGACAGCAGCCCTCTACTCAAGACGACAGGGACAAGAATCCGAGACGGTCCCCAAAATTGAGGGATTCTGCTGCAGACGAAGGGATCACCTGATTCCGGCCGTTCACCTCCATATTTTCTTTTATATACAGTGGGCAGCTAGAGGTTGTTACGACCCTTGCAACAGCCAACTTATCGAAGGTCTGTTTAAACAACGATGAGCCACTGAGAACCAGTTTAAAGGGGCCTCAGCGCTAGCCCCATGTCACGTGCATCTCCTGATACCTAGACACGCAGATTCAGGGAAACGCGCGAGAAACGGCCACCTTCACCCACGTACCCACTTTACGGCCGCAATACATCGACCTGTGAACCGAAGATGGACCCTTCGTCCAATTTACCGTCGCAAAGATCACACAGGTAACCAATTATGACTCGTGTTTGATTAGCGTGTCATGTATCTTGCCGTATAAGCCACAATCTCGGATCGGAGATAACTAGATAATAGCCCCATGGCGTACCCACACCGCTCCATTGGCACGCCTTTTATTCATGAGGCCCCACTCATAGGGATTCTAAGTAGTTGGAAGTATTCGACCCTCAACCTTAATATTATCTCCGATCCGAGATGTTACTGTATTTAGGATCCTTGGCGGCCATTTTGGATACTAAGTCGAAAGTGTTCAAGTCTTTATGACTCTGAATCCTCCTGGGGCTTTGTTTCTATTTTGTTATGTTTTATTAGCACCCAATCGACTTGCCAAGGGTCTTCCTAGTATCGGGCATTGCGACAGTTGATTGGAGCAAGACTATTCTCCACGCATTCATCATGGTGACCGCGACCGCTATAAGCCACTTACCTAGTACGCAAATCCTCAGCAGAACCAACCTTCCCACAAATAACCGAATCATTCAAGTGCCTTGTAACAACCGCTAAACATACTTTTAATCGTTAGTCGCAACACAAATCCATCACACTCCACGCTCCAGCTCAGACACATCAACAGACAAAACCTACCACCTATCAGGTGGCGCAATAACTGGAATAGTAGTCGTATCTTTCGCGGCCATCGCAATCGTGGTGCTCATAATCTTTCGCAAAAGAATCGTGGGTTGCTGTAGCCGTGATAAGACCCCAGTTGTCGATAACGAGCACGCCTTGTCGTCGCCCACTTATATGCCTCCTCAAATGCAGCCTGCACTACTGAGTGGTGACTTAGCGTGGCAGGCTTCGGAGATGTCGGAGCAGAATGCCATACATGAGATTGGGCCCATGGACGCCAAGTCGAAAGGGAATGGACGGGTTATACATGAGCTTAATTGAGACTCTGGGGCTGGGGAAGGCTGTCGACATGCATGTTCGTTGGCCTGGGTTATCGATACGCCTTCCACTATTACTTCACCTTACTTTTGGGCTACGTATGACATTGTTGATCGAAAGTTCAACTTCTGCATTTTAATAGCCTGATAATTTTACATTTTGATACTCGAATCCAGGCGTGTTGCGCGTTGATTTATTCTGCCCGCCGGCTTTTTCTTTGTGAAATGTCTCTGCATTTGCATCAGAATACTGGGAAACCATGGAGGAAAATAAAACCTATATCGAGATAACCCACAGGCCATCAATATATGGCAAATCATAAGGTCCAAAATTCAAGGACTAGAGCCTTGCGAACCTAAGGATCTATTCTAATTGATGTAGGCCGCGTTCCATGCAGATCCTGGTAGGTTAGGTAGCGATTTGGGGAGGCCAAAGGCATTCAAGACACAATTGCCCCTGTTTCTGAGGGGTCTTTGCCCTTCCCTGGCATAGATCACACTGTTGCACAAGGCGTTCGCTATGCATTCATCAACACAGTCACTGGAAGTAGACTTTTCCAAGACTTTAAATCCATCGGCTCGGTACCCTACAGAGGTTAGAGAGATGTTAAGCACATGAACTATGAAAATCGCGTACACTTTCCACAGTAAACAGTCACATCTTTGGTGGAAAGACTGTAGTTAAAAGGCCCTGAGCCCGAGTTCCAAGCACCTGAAACATAATTTCAAACATGGCCTAGTAATTTCTATTTCAAACTTAGAAGAAGCATTTAGATCAGCGGCCTGATATTTGTGCAACTGCTGCGCGCATGTGTCTGTATTCACGGCAGAAACTTGCTCTGTGAAGGCAGTGACGCCCAACAAGAGAATAGCGTTGGTGAACTTCATGTTGGCGAAGATCAATGTCGATAAAATTGAGGTGTTGATGAGTTGATCCTCCTCCGGGTTGCGAGCCCCTATAAATACCCTTCTGAGACGGGATGGCGTTTCCGTTTGAGCGACACACTCATCGTGTTACATGTCGCCGTCCATTCCCTACATGTATGACAATATTGTCACCAGGCTACAGACATGAGGAATTCAATTATGCATGCATTGTTATATTGCTTATTTGTCTGCTGAGCAAAAGTGCTGTCTTCCAGGGTTTCCCTGCACTAAAATATGCACAGAGCATCAAATTTCTAGTAATATACTCCCTGCGTGGACCCTTCAGGTTGAACTGCACCTTCCATTGAGAAACCTAGATCCCTAGGATTCTGTAAAATAAATAGAATGTTAAGAAACACTTTCAACTGAAATCAGGCATTAAGTGAGAAGCTCAATCTATTTAACCATGAATTTAGTGCGAGCTCACAAGGTAGGCATGACTAAACGATTAATTGGTCATGAAATTGCCCAGTCCTGGCCCGCAATAATGTAGGGATCTCGATCCTTTTGCAACCAGTGTCACCATTTTTACTGCTGTTTCTGCTCCAGACCTTCGCTCGTTCTCCACACCTCTTTACACGGGCGTCGCAAAGGTTGCAAATAAGTGTAAAGGTTGTACAAATGTCCCCTCTACTGATGCAGCATCCTAGGAAATACGTGGGCTGCACGCTATTGGAAATAGCACCATGCTAATCACGACGATCTTGAAGATCTTTTGTCACCGCCACGATCCAAACGGATTGTCGACAAAAGTACCGATTATTTGATTTGTGTAGAGATGCCCCGGCAATAACCTGCCGTTCCAAATATGCGCTTCCTCGCTTAGATCTAAGCCGGACTTTACGTTTGGGATTTTTTCTATTTCCCAACCACATTGCGCATGTTGAACTACAGTGAATAATTAATACGGGGACACTTCCGAGACCAAAGGTAGATTAGTTGCTATGGGGTTAACAGTCAGTCACCTTGAATCTCATTTACATAATTCATCTTGTCGCTGATGCACCGTGCTTATCAAGAGCAGAGACACCATACTTGCGCCTCTTTCGTCTGTCCAGAACAAGCTGGATCATATTAGTGCCATTCCTCAATTGATAGATAAGGGGGATGTCTGTTCCTGAGGAAAGCGAGTATCGCACAGCTCTGCAGAGCTATAACAGAAAATACCAAAGACAGGCTATATAAAATGGGGCCCTTCAATTAGATTTAATCACACTACGCAAATCTCGAAGATACCATCATTGGGGAAACACGAAGACGGTGTTCCTCCCTATACTTAGATAATTAGATAGCGGAAATCTTATCAACGTTTCCAAGTCTTTCTAATCTAGAAGAAGTTTTAATAATTTTACCTTCCGGACCTTGGTGGAGGATTCAGATGCTTGTATTGTGACAAATCCGTACACATTCATGCCAAATCACTGGTGCCTCTTCCTCCCACGTGTTGACAACTTCAATAGCTCCAGTACATTGATCTGATCTTGGATTGATACCGTGACTGATCCTAATTGCGCAAAGCTTTACCCTACACGCTGAATGTTGAGGCCAGCTACACCAATCAAGCGACCAAGTCTAGATGTCGGGGTTTGTTTGCCATACGGATTGGAAAATTCGGAACGCCTCTTCTGATGATGAGACATCAAGACGAGCAGAGTTGAAGGGTTTCTCGCGTGTCGCGTGTATCCCTGTAAGAGTGTCTCGGTTAACCGTCCAGACAGAGGCCAAGTTGTCGAAGAAGTCGGAATTGATGAATGCCCATGGTACTTTATCCTCTTACTCAAATAGAGCTCTGATAACTCCCAAGAGCACTAATCTGGGCTTCAATGAGGGGCCTGCATTTTCAGCGAAATCTATGAACACAGTATCCCCAAATTCAAATACGCTGTCTCTGTCGAATCTTTATGCTCTGTCACTTTCTGCTCCATCGGCAAACCAACCAGACGAGCGGCTCAATTTCTTCCGATCTCGCATGCTGCCATCCTTCCCTTTTCTCAACCTTACCCCAGATATGACGAGCTGGTATCTACGTCAAAATAGGCCATTCTTGCTCCAAGCCATTCACACCGTTACCACTTTCTCGACACAGGAAAGATTTGTTCAGTCTGAGGAACTGAAGCGTCTTTTGTTCACATCTGCTTTGATCAAAGTCGAGTCGAATATCGACCTGCTGCTTGGACTAGTAACTTATCTAGCATGGAGTACCGACGCCTTTCTTGGCAGAGGAGATCTGATCTCTCGTCTCATGATGCTCGCCATCTCAATGATATACGATCTGCGGTTGTTTAAACCATTCTCGCCAGATGTACGAATCATGATGACTATTACTCAGGGGCGGGATGAGGAGGGCCACATCCCCGGCAATGAAACAAATTTTGACTTATTGAAAAGGCAGCGGGCAGTACTGGCATATTTTGTTTTGAGCTCAAAGTGCGTATGACCTACCTATCCTTATGCCAAACTCCATTCCTCGGGTAAATCCAAGAAGCGATCGATACTGACACATGGCTCTGTAGTGTTTCGTCACTTTTTGGGCGTCAAGATGCTATACGATGGACTTCACAGATGGGTGAAGCACTTCAATTTATTACAACAAGCAAGGCATGCGCCGCCGATGAACTGTTTGTCGCTCAAGTACGCTTGCAACTGTTGAAGCAGAGAGCCAACGACGTCCGACAACAGGACGAGACAAATTACACTCGCACAGGAATGGCTTCTGCGGCCTCGGCTCCTCGCATATTGTATCTGAAGACTTTACGAAGGCAGCTACATGAGTTAAAGTCGTCATTTCGTGCAGATCTTCAACAGATTGGTAAGTCATTTCTCGTGTAAACAATGTTGTAACTTGTCTAACTACAGGATGGCTAATGTTTTGCCCTGGGGTGAGCCCCAGACTTGACATGCAGACATTCTCAACACACATGCGCAATATGTCGAATTATACATCAATCAGCTAGCGTATTTAATCAGTCAGGATGCGCCTCCTCTAGACCTAGCTAGAACAATGGCCGACGGTGGGATTTTACTTGGATTTGAACGCCTACATTGCTTATGGCAGTCTATTGAGAACATAAAATCCTGACTGGACAACTTTCATGAAATTCCTTCCTCAAAGCTCGTCGGTCAACCTTTTCATTTTTGGTCACAGATGATTTTAAGTATCACACTCTTAAAATATCTCTCAACGCTTAAAGACCCAGATTAGGATTTTCAAGCAGTACGAAACAGAGTTAACCTCATATCGACGATGGATTCCATGCTAAACAAGCTGGATATGAGCAGTAAGGAGCCGGAGCTTCAGTGCAGTGATCATTTCCTAAAGTTTCTATCTAAACTTTTATACAAATGTCGGGTTGGGCTGAATATCGGTGGGAATTGTCTTCTCAGATGCAGAATGGCGATACCAGGCCATGTCAGAGTGAAGGTCACAGTAACCATATCCCTGATCTAGATCAGATGGTCTGGATGCAGTCTATGGACTTGGGGAATGACCAATGGTTTGAGAATGTACTGGGTATGCCTATGAATTTCTACTAAGTTTATTGATCAGTGTATATAATTTCTAGGCACCTCATAATGCAGGTGCTGTATACACGCTTCAGGCGCCGCACTATCTAGCCCTCTTGAGGAAAGTCCGGGTAGAGAATACATGGACGCTGACTTCATGAATGATGATCTATGCCAGTATCATTAATTTAGTGAGAAAAAAAAGTCTGTCAAAAAAACATACAACAGTCAGGATTCGCATGTGGTCACCCACCATACTACTAACTAACCGGCGTGTGGCTTAAGTACGGCTGAGCGGACGGGAAGCCCTGTTCTCCACACCCTATGGTCGTATGTACCAGACATGTTGATAGATTAGAATATATTGTGCATTCAAAAGAATTAGAAGAAAATTGTCCAACACACCGAATCATGGGTGAGAGCCGCTTTAATATCGCGGGATCGGGGTTGAGAAAGGTCAGCGCTAAGCACTATTGGGCCATTCTTATGTGTCAATCGAGATCAGCACCTTTCTTAAATAGTAGCTTTGTGTACCTGATAATATCTGTGGCTGCAGCAGACCTAGAGAGAAAAGCTACCCATGATCATGTCAAGCCCGAATTTGAGCAAGCTTATAATCAACAGCTGCATGCTTCACTAGGCGCCACAGTATATAATGAAGACTGCTCGAACGTACAAAGGATCTCCCTGTATGATAAATGTCGAATCCTTGGGCGCTAACTTAGATGGTGTTAGCCGGCCTTTGACCATAAGACCGGCCAAAAAGCTCGATTAAAATAAGGTCTGCGACACATTGAGGCATTCAGAGAGACTGAATCTACGGTGTTATTCTAGTTGCTTCAAAGCACCCTCTGCTAAATCCCTCAGGCCACTTTAGTAATGGAATTTAGTAACATGAATGCTATTATTAGAAATATCTAGCACACAAAGGGATGTTAACTGACAACTCCGGTGCAATTTCGTGGTTTGGGAATTTGCACAGCCCATGAGATCTCCATTCCTTCATAGAGTAGGTAAGCGGTGCAGGTTGAGGCCTGTATGGGACCACTCGGCCCTAAGGCCTCACTTCCTCCGTTTGTTTTTGCCCGCTTCTCTTCTTCTCTTTCTTCTCTTTCTCTGTTTTTTCTTTTTACCGAGTTCATTCATTGCTCTATAGATATTATCAATCGATTATGGCTTTGGCACTCATCATCAAGAGTCGCTTCAAACTATCACAATGCACGAGATGAGATGTCACTAAATCACTTTAGTTGTCACTCAGTCTCTAATCAGAGCATAGGAGGGCAATAGAACGGTCAAATATTTCCCGCTTAGCTACTCAATTTCGACATATTTAGCTAATACGTTTAGCTTACTGGCATAGGTAGCTGATAGTGTCCAATATGAGAGCTTACTAGAAGTTAGGACTGCTTGAGATTAGTACGATGCAATGCGGATGAAGGGGCTATAAGGAAGCAATAGCCTTGTAAGCGCATTTAACTTTCATCGAAAAGGTGACACACGAGCCTATAACTTCTAGATCCTATAATACTAGATGGGACATCAAATTGCAAAGTCTATTAAGTCATTTAAAGCTTCTGCAGTCGCCTGACCGCAAGTATGCCGTCTTCTCGTACATGATGGAATACCAGAACGGCGGATCTGCACGGTGCAGATATATGCTCTCTGACCTTTACTTGGAGACATGCCAACTTAAGACCACATCCTGTTAGCCATGGCTTTACCTAAGTGTATGAGACCTCCCGTGATCCTTTACGCACTACCAAGCTCTGCCGCAGCATACCATCTAGCCCGTATTATCTTTAGGCATAGCAACATAATAAATTCTTCGTATAAATTCGACAGGAGAATTAAAATAGAGAATCTAAAGGCGACCCCATCAAAGACCGTTCCGAGGCAAATCAAGCAGAAATGCATCACCCTCTTCATGACCGCTGCCACAGCTCGTAGCCTGACCCTAGCATTTATGACCCTTAAACAATGTAGCCGTATCCAGTACTGTGCCGTTCGCACTAGCAACAAACTCATGCGTCAGGTGGGTGCAGTTGTGGAAGGTCAACCTGCTCCACCCATAGGCTGTGTCTTGCGAGAAACGGGAGTAGCTGTTTCGCGGCTCGATGAGGGTATCAAGACCATCGTAGTGGCCTGCAGCACCATTCATGATATACCAGGGGGAGGAAGGGTTATCAAGCTCCTTCGGGTCAGCAGTGAAGTTGGCAGTAGGGGCGGTACGCTCATAGGCGTGGACGTGACCAGACAGGACCAGGTCAACATTGTTTTCCAGGAAAAGAGGTTCGAAGACGTCCTTGCAGTCGAAGCAGTTATCCGAGGCGTCAGTTCCAATGGATGCGTACCAGGGGCGATGGCCAGCTTTAACATACTATCAGCTTCCATTCTTTCTTCTTTTAGGCACCGAAAGGTGTGTATTCGAACAAGGAAAAGGGTGACGTTCACATACCGACGATGATCCAGGGAGTTTTGCTGCGATCTACAGAGGCCAGATCCTTAGCGAGCCACTTCGTCTGGGCATTCTTCAGATTGCTGAATGGCCCAGCATCTTCGGCTTCGACACCGTTGGGCTCGTCGGGGGCAATGAAGCCATGACCGAGGTCGGTCTCGGTGTCCAGCTGGACGTAGTGCACCATTCCGTAGTCGAAAGAGTACCAGAAGTTCCCAAGACCACCAGATTGGGCGCTTGGCATGCGGAAGTGGTTGATGAAACCAGTGAAATTAGTTTGTCCTGGCAGACAAATCGACACGTTGTATTTGATACCGTGGGCTTTATCTGTGGTGCCGCCGTTGTCGCCTACACGTAGAATGGAGTCAGCATCATTGAATCAAATCCAGTAGCGGAAGAAGACTCTCAAAATTGAGATAATAAAACAAAAATGGATGGGGAAGGTTGTACAGTTCGCTTCGTGGTTTCCAGGACCAACCATATATGGCTTGACACCGGTAACCGCCGTCATCTCATCGTAAAATTGGTTTAACAACGTCTCGTAGACCTTAGCCCCACCCTCAATGGTAGTGTTAGGGAGGAATCCCTGAATCTCCTCCTTCAACCAGTAGTCCGCGTAGGCAATGTCACCAGCTAAAATAGAATATGACTCGTCAGAGATTGAGCCCAGAAATGTCATCACACAAACGTACGATGCCACAAAAACTCAGTCTCAGCACCCTGTGCCTCTAACGACTGGATGGTGTTCTTGTCACCCGGCTTAAGGGGGTTAGCAGCACCGGTGCCAACATGAGTCGTCAGGCCATCCGGCCCAATCAAACCCAGATCGACAACGACAGCAATGGAGTAGGGCGACTTGTCACCTGCCGAACGGCTAGTCTTGAATTTAAAAGGAGTTTGCTCTTTGCCGTCCACTGGTACATAGTAGTAGACGGTGTTAGGCTCAAGGTCCTTGATGGACACATGGTTGTTGTACGTAGTCGAGGTGGGATAGGTGACGGAGACTTCCGAGACAGCCACCTTGTCCATGTGATGTGGGCTCTTGCCATATCGGACAAAGGGATCGGAAAGCCGGGAGTAAGTGTTCCAGCTGACTACCATGCCTTCAGGTCCGGCATAGGCAGAACGCACCTGCATAGGGCAAGTGTCATTCTTTCTCGGAGAGCAGGCGGCCTCAGACGTGGAGAAAAGAGCGAAGGCTGTCAAAGCAGCAGACACAAGGGTTGCAAAGCGGTCCATCGTGGTGATAAATCAAAAACTGACACCTCAAAGTCGACAAAAGCGAGGAAGAAAACTGGATTCTCTTTTCCTTATGTACCTACTGTCTGATCGTCGAATTCATCTCCCGTTCGGCAATAATGCAATAAGGTTTTCATGACAATTTGCGGCTGTTGGACTAGTGGTTCTGTTCCTGGACCCTGATATCTATTAGAGCCTAGGTTGGTTCCCCACGTGGGGCGCAGGACGCTTCGAGTGGATTAACCAACGCAGCACGTGGACTTTAGGGGTCTTTCTAACTCGTCGGATTTTCATCGAACCGTTTACAACGCAGGGGTCTCTTCTCTCATTTTAGCGTGGAAAAGAAAATACCTTTGCGTTTTGTCTCGCAGCAATTCAGAATCGAGTTTTAGAATCCAGCACCTCCATTATAATTCCCTACTTTTTCCCTACGGGAAGTACACCCCCGCGGGTGAATCCACTTGACTTAGTATGTGTAATACACTCTTCAAGCTCTTCTTAGAAGTTCTTCTTTCCTGGCATATTTTAAACGATAGAAACTCCAGAGAGGTATACCGGTTAAAGAGCCCTAAAATATTAGTCTACATATATTTCTAGAACTAGGCAAGACTAATGTACTAGGCGGGGCCGATCCAACCTAGGTGAGAATTCTCACATCGTTTTCATCTAGTCTGTGAAGTTCTCACCCATATCACCCACACTCCCCTAGCGTAAACCTATCGCCGCTTTGATCTATCAGGCCTTTAGAGAGAATTGACCCTGTGGATATGATATGGCTTGGGTACGGCTGAGCGGACGAGGAAGCCCTGTTCTTCACACCCTATGGTCGTATGTGATAGTTATAACTTTGAAAGTCCCTATGTAACCCAGATTGAATGGCTAGGTGGTGCTCAGAGGAGAAATGGGCGAGAGCTTTAGCGTCGCGCGATCGGAGGTGAGAATACTGTACAATATATAGGGTGGGAAATAATCTAGGTACACAAGAAGTGTCCAGGTTGGCAAATATCCTCCCTGTCTTTTGCATCTTATCTGAATTCCTTTTCCATGTGTTATCGTTCGGTAGGTCTCTTTTTATGCCACCATTTTTATTCACATTGACAAATGGAAAGACCTTGGGAGCATTTGTAAATTGATTGTGTGTCTACAAATCAATTGAATAAATTGCCCGGCGTCATCGGGCTTCAGACGGTGCGTCACACATTATGCCCGAGCCCTCATGATCAGCAATGGTGTGGTATCTACTACCTAAGCATGCACCGGATCTGAAAATATATTTGTGGCGTTTCAAAATGGCTGTTTTCTCTTGGACCACGCCAGCGCAGACCTACCAGAGATACATTATCGCAAATTACAAGCATCACAGTTGAGATTAAGTTATTGACAAGGAATCTGAATCTTCTAGGGACTAAATTATCAATTAAATCAAACAATGTCCCCAATCAATTCAGTCTGAAGACGGATCCTTTCCCTACAAGATTGTTAGGAGCTGCATTAGTGAAGGAAACAGATGATAATAGTGCTGTAAGAACCACCCAGACAATGGTGCCAGAAAGAAAGGAAAGGCTAACAATGACCATAGAGAAAATAGTAAACCAGCATTATTTCGCATTGACTCAAGTCCTATCTCAGAGCAAGTACTATCCCCACGACGGAATTAAGCCGATTTAAAGCCGAGATGGATGACATAAGTCAAAGAAGTGACATAACTAACCGGAAGCAGCGTGACTATCGCCATAACTCACTATCGATAAGCCCTTCTCCTCACCAACCCACGTCATGAGCAACAGGTCACCTTCAGATGAGGGGGGAGAATATTTCCGCCATCCTGCACAAGAATGGCTTGAGGAAGACGACGAATTAGACATGGATTATCATTCCGCGCTGGAAGGACAGGACGAGGAGGACGAAGATTGGGAAGATGATGATGACGGGATGGGCCTCGGCATTGCAGGTGGTGCGAATGACAGCCTCCAACTAAGACAGACTACAGTAGCACGTCAACTGACTAGCTTCGTGGCAGAAAATCCACATATCAATCTCGGCAGCATCCACATCGAGTTAACGGTGGATGACCCACCGGAAGGCGAGGAAACAGGCAATGCGGATCGTCGTCGACACGGTAGGTCCACCAAGGGTCTCTTTGATTCGAGATTAATGGCCACTGACTGCGTATACAGTTCCCGCCTCAAGATTAATCGAATTGCTCGCACAAAGCGGTCTGCACCGCATCCTCCATTCCAACGGTTTCGCAACAAATCTCACGGAGAACTTTGAGGTCGACGATGAGGACGACGATGAAGACGATTTTGATTACCCGGGTCCACTCAGGCATCGACTGCGAAACTGGAGAGCTGGGCGAAGCGATCAGTTCCCGAAAGTGCCTAGCGACGAGGGCACCGAACTAATGGGCGAGGGCCAATTTGGAACAGATCCGCACTATGTGGATCGCCTCAAGAAACGCAAAAGGGCGCTTGCGACACACCTTATGTGGAGAGAGCTGGGAATTGATCCTTATGGAGTGCGCAAGAGGGCGAACCGGTCACTTTCTCAGGTAAGGCTGAATAAGCGGTCTAGCAAGGCATGATGGCTAATCCTAAACATGGCGATTTAGCACATGATCCCTGGCTCTGCGGCCGATAAGATCATTCATTATGATTCCCGAAGCTATTCGGGCCAGTTCTCAGATGATGGGAATTTCTTTTTTTGTTGTGCACAAGACTTCAAGGTCAGGATGTATGACACGTCCAACCCGTATGAGTGGAAATATTACAAAACTGTCGATTATCCCTTTGGCCAGTGGACTATCACCGATGCCACGTTAAGTCCAGATAATCACCACCTAGTCTATAGTTCAATACGCAGTCAAGCCTATCTAGCATCGACAGACCCAGACGACGATTCGGATCCAACAGTCCTGGATTTCTCTCTACCACCTGGTCAGCGACGACGACGAAGCTGGGGCAGTTCACATTTCGGCGTATGTACAAGCAGGTCCCGTTTCCTGAACTGTTTACTAAATGACTCCTTCCAGATATGGTCTCTTAGATTTTCAGGAGATGGACGTGAGGTGGTTGCAGGCACATCAGAGAACTCGGTCATTGTCTACGATCTTGAGACCAAGCAACCAGTCCTCAATCTTCGCGATCGCCACCAGGACCATGTCAACGCAGTCTGCTTCGGAGATACATCATCACCCCACATTCTCTATTCCGGATCCGACGACACGACATTACGAGTCTGGGACAGACGTTCAATGGGCGATGGCCGCGAAGCCGGCGTGTTCATGGGCCACACCGAGGGTCTAACATACGTCGACAGCAAAGGCGACGGTCGATATGTTCTTTCCAACGGCAAGGACCAGACGATGAAACTCTGGGATCTGCGGAAGATGATGACAACGGCCAAATTCGATACTATTGATCCAAACGACTACACCACCGGCTTCGATTACCGTTTCCAACCATACCCGGATGACTACTACGAGCCGCATGAGCATGATTGCTCTGTTGTCACGTTCCGCGGCCACCGTGTCCTCAAGACTCTCATCCGTTGCCATTTCTCGCCACCCGGTAGCACAAACTCACGGTACGTGTACACCGGTAGTGAGGATGGTAAAATTTACGTCTACAATATGGATGCTACGCTGGCCGGCACTGTCGACGTTGCGGCAGCGACGACTAATTCCAGACCCCGTGAGCCAGATGTTTTTGCGACGGCGTATGAGATGAGTGGGGAGATGTTGTGGAGGACATGCGTTCGGGATGCAAGTTGGCACCCGAATGCACCGGTCCTTGCAGGTAAGTATTTCTCTGTACTCTTTTGCGTGATAGTATTATCTGACATTGATTTAATAGCAACCTCTTGGAATGGATGGGGACTGTCTAGTGGCACTTGTACTGTACATTCATGGAACGATGGTGCAGAGGATGACGAGGGAGAACCGCCGATTGGGCAAAGCTATGATGACAAGCTTCGATATGTGCCCGAGTTCAATCGCTACCGGGAGAATGCCCCAGCTCCTCGTTCTAGACGACCACTGCGCAGCCGGCCTGTGCACCGAATGCCTATTGACGAGGATGACGCATGGTGATATATGGATCGATATTTTTTTCGTGTTTTGTGGAGGCAATAACGGGTCGACTGGGGATCATTCATGTCTTGGGAGGTTACCCGTATACCGTTTCGCATCAACTGTAGGTATCATGATTTAACGAACTTGCATATACATTTCCTTATTCTGAGCTGGTTTTTGTAAACAAGTGAAAGAAATTGGGTATGGGGGGTGGGTCGTCAATTAGATCGAGAAAAAAGACCCCTATTGGTACAAAAACAGTGTGGTATGTGGTATCTCAAGGGCGATGAAGCACTTCCTCCCATCGCATCCCAAAAAAGCATGGCAGGCAAGACAAAGTAGAACGCGGATCCTCGTGCCCACTCAAGGGTTTGGTAGCCTCTGCAGAATGCCCCTGATCGTCGCTAATGCATCGAGGAAACCGTGTGGTTTTCGGATCGCTGTTGACAGGCATTCATCTCCGGCAACTCGGGCACTTTTCAACACCGGGCCCGTCGCAGCACAAGTCGTCGTAAGGTAAATAAAGTAATGCGGTTATGCGCCACCGACCAGGACCTGGTTGACGGGGATGTGAACTGTGGGAGAAGAAAGGTTAATCTGACAGTTCCTATTGAGAGGATTCCAATGGTATCCTGTTCCACCAGTAGTAACACTCACTCAGCTTGACGAAGTATCCAATGGCACCCTAAAGGTACCCAGTTAGCGCACTGTCACATCGCGGATCCGAGGATTCGAGTGGAGTGGAATCAAGACATACCATGACTAGGAAGCCCATGCCGACAGCTTGGCTGATCTTGATGAATTCACGCTTGTCGGCTGGAGCCAAAGTCAGCAATTCTGTGGACGATCATGGGGGAACCTGGGGAAGACTTACGCTTGGTGCAGCGGCGCACGAACAGGGATCCCTCACGGACAAAGTCCTTAGGGATATCAGCGAGCTCTTGGAAAGTGTCAGACATTATGGATGAAATTGGAGGGTAATGAATGGAAAGAAAGGAAGGAAGGAGGGAGGGAAAGAAGATAAGGAACGGGAGTTAATGATAGTTGGCGTGATCTCCTGCCATTTGGCCTGAACTCGGGGGACCGGATTAACTTTACTCCCGGGTCCGAGATCCCCAGCTTCACAAGCTCCATCTTCCTTCTTCTCAATCTCAGTAGGACTGCTTCCCTTTGTCATTGGTAACCTGCACCTGTTCTTTCTGTGCGGCTGGTCTGTGACAGATTCCCTTATCACTTCTTGTCTCTGTATCGTGAGCTCACTGTGTACGCGCCTGATCGGCTGGCGTTCTTCGCGGCAACTGGGGTTTTTGTATTGTACGTATGGTCGCGTCTATTTCTGTTTCTTTCTGTTACTTTTGCGCGTCTTGGCCTTTCATCTCTACACTCCCATTTCCGACCGGTTCTGGGGCTCTCTGGACTTGTCGCGATTCTTGTTGTCTTGGTTGAATGCTGGTTCATTCTCCATGCTAATTAATGGCCTGTATTGACAGACATGTACTCTCCTTGATCGAAGCAGAAGAGAAGAAAAAGAAAGAAACCAAGGGCCTGTGTATTATTCAACCTCTCACTTAACCGAAATCGAATCTTTGCTCTGAAGCCTGCCGTGTCCATCCATCAGGACTACATAGTCACAATGGCAACCGAAGATGATAACTTCGATATTGACATCTACGGAGATGGTGGTGGCTACAATGCGAATGAACAGGGCGATGACTCGGAGCTGGTGTTAGATGCCCCAGAGACTGCACAGGCACAGCCCTCAGGGAACAACGTGAATACCTCTGAAGAAACCAAGCCCCAAGTTGACGCCCAGCCTCCTCCCTCGTCAATCAACGGCAACCACACAATGGCGCCGCAAGTGAAATCTGACCCGGATGCGCCTGCACCACCGCATGGTGTCAAGCGCAAGGAATATGATGATCGACCCTCTGATCCCGATGCAACGACTGCTTTGCTCGTTTCTGATCTCTCCTGGTGGACAACAGACGACGATATCCGTGGCTGGGTGAATCAAGCAGGCAGTGAAGATGAGCTTAAAGACGTGACATTCAGTGAACACAAAGTGAATGGAAAGAGCAAAGGGTAAGCCATCGCAAACATCCTCTATCAAAACATCCTGCCGAAATATCTCATTGGACACTAATCACGTTGATAACAGTCAAGCTTTCGTGGAATTCACCACCTCCCAGGCTGCCACAGCCACCAAGCACAAACTCGAGAGCCTTGCTGCCTCAGGTCGCAAATATATGGTCAACTACACCAACCCACACGCCAACCCCTTCCGCACCCTCCCGAAAGATGCTCCCATGCGCAAAGATAACCCCCGTGGCGGCGGTATGTCCGGTGGCTTCAACTCCGGCACCCAAAATATGAACTTCAACAATGGAGGCAATATGGGCATGGGCGGTGGCTACCGCGGCCGTGGCGGATACAACAACCGTGGTATGGGTGGAAACATGGGTAACTTCAATAACCGCAACAACTTCAACAATATGGGCGGTGGCTTCCAGGGCGCTGGTCCAGGTGGACCCGGCATGATGGGCGGCTTCCAGGGCAATACTATGGGAGGCATGCAGAACTACGGCTTCAATAACCGCGGTGGTATGATGGGTAACATTCGCGGTGGGCCTGGTGGCATGCGTGGTGGCCGTGGGGGTAATATGGGTGGCAACAATATGATGGGCATGCCTGGTATGAATCCTATGGCCGGGGGTATGGGTATGAACCCCATGGCTGGAGGTATGAACCCAATGATGGGTGGAATGGGCGGGAACATGGGTATGCAGGGTAAGTAAGAAATATCCTCTAAAATATTTTCCCGAGACTTTTCATCCGTTCCTGCATGGTCATTTCCGGCTTTCAGGGTCAGCTCACTGACTTATTTTAGGCCAAGGCTTCCAAGGTCCAAACCCAGCTTTCAACCAAGGTTTCTTCAATAACCAAGGCGGCGGCGGCGCTGATGCATCATGGAATCCCCACGGTGCGAAGCGAAGTCGTCAGGAGTAGTAATTCTGACCGTCTTTCCGCCTCACCTTGACATTTCTACTCATCTTTCAACTTCAACTGGCTACGGTATCCACCAGTTCTCGCGTATTTCTTGGTTGTTTTATTCTACGGCATGACTTGGGTTAAAGTCCCCTCGCCGCTTCATTTCGTTTCGCTCTACGACATCCAGTCAAGAAGCTCCCTCATTCTATTTCCTACGGCGGGATCAAAGGACGGGGACATGTTCTCAACTCAATTTCTTTTATTTATGTTTCTTTTGCCATTTTCTTCTATTCGTGTATTAGATGCAATCCAACGGTGTGCTTTTATTCATTTGTTGTACTTTATATATGGCGAATTTGCTGGTCGGAGCAGAACTGTATTCCAGGGATCTGGATCATTGGTCGGTGTATCATGATATTGTTGCTTTTAATATTGCAGCTCGAATCGGTGTTTAAATGCTGATCAAAAGTCAACTATACTCAATTTTGCTTGCAATACTTATGGGAATTATGAACAACTGTGATCAGGGGCACTACGCTATAGTTTCAAAGATGCGGTGTGAGCTATCATTGCTTGTATCAAGTACAAGTAACCTTAGGGAAAACCATAGATACGAGACCGGTCTAGAACTCGGTGGGGTTTGTATAGATAGCTGTACGGTTAAACAAGCCTGTCAGCGGGGCTATGCATGCAAGAATCTTGCACAGCCTCGCTGTGATGATCTCATGAACTGACTCATGTTTATGATTACGGCCGCGGGAGCCGGGACGAACCCTTATTCAATAAAGAGTGCAGGGGGTCGTAATCAGCGGTCAAGCTTACGTTAAGGCTTCCGGGCTGTGCAATGTTAGTGAGGCTACGCCAAGGACAGGTATGTACGTAGGTGGTAAACAAGGCTTCGAGGCTTCGCAGAATGGTACTTTTGAGCATGTATGACGATATGAAGCTGAAGGTAGAGTGTGACAGAAGTTTGTGGGGAAAAAAATGAGCAAGGACGACGTCGTCCAGGGATTCCAATGAAATGAGGCGCGCTTAGATCAAGTAAATCACAAAGTTGCATCAAAACTCCAAACGCGTAAATCATCAAATCAATAGATCGTCACATGAATAGGAGCAGGTAACTTTGAAAATCTGGGTAATATGCGCCAGCCAAGAGGCAGGAGGCAGTCGAGATAAACGCAAATATAACAATAGAGACAAGAAAGAGCCATCAAAGTAGTGTTCAATGACATCAAAATAACGCCAATACCAAATGAAAGTTGGACCAGCCAAGTCAATCATAATCAAGGAAAAATTATTCGCATAACCCAGACCCCCGTACAATTAAACGTACGGTAAGACCAATAAACGCCAGTATAAAACAATTGCCAAAGGGGTATCGGATATGAAGACACAGGAGAAAATCGTAAACAAGGTCATAGGGGTATAAAAAATTAGTTTGCATCTCAGCGACCAGCAGCCTCAATTCTGGACTTGCTCAAGGCAAAAATGACGTAGATGATGTATCTGAAAAAATATTCGAAGACGCGGGCAGGATCGGTGATTGTGTGGCCAGATTGCTCGATATCGGCGAGTCCATCAGTCCAGCTGGAGAGACTATCGAGGCATGTCTGGAAATCTAGGTCCATGGATATTTCCAGCTCTGTTTCTTCGATTTCGTAGTCGGAGTTTGGATCGGCGAGCGATAGGCTTTGGATCTCGTCGATGATGTCGTCGGGGTTAGGTTCGGGTTGGGCGGTGTCTTCGGAATCGTCGTCGGGGAAATGGACATCTGAGAACAGGTCCGAGGTATCATAGTGATCCTCATCTGGCTCATCGGGGAAAAGAATATCCGAATTGGCTCTTTTGAAGGGGACAAGTGCCAGCTCAGAAACGGAAGAAGCTTCAGCAACGGAAGAAGTGACGGACTCAGCGTCAGAGAAAGTGCCGTCGTCTTCGGATTCAGAGATGTCTGATTCATCGACAGCAATAGGCTCTTCTTGCTTTATGGTGACGGGTGCCGTGTGTGCAGAGCCATCTAGGCTAGTCTTGAGGACCAGCTCAATGGCCTTCGCGTCTTCCTTGTTCTTTTTCTTGTTCCCCGATCTCACCACGGACGATCGCAACTTGAGTAGTTTGACAACAACCCTGATCCGAGTCCTCAGTGGATGTCCGACGCGATCTTCAGGAAGTATCGTGAGCGTCATGTCGAGAAGTTTCCCAGGGATCAACTCAACGCGAGAATTGCTCGAATAGATAGGCCCAGCAGTCTTCGTTCGACAGGGACAGCGACATAACTTTGGACTAATAGCCTCAAGTTTAGCCACAGGCAGATTGATCGGCGATTCGGTTTCGGAGATGGTTTGGGATATCATTTGATCTACAAAAGTTAGCATGGCTGAAAAAAATGGACGAAGGACACAGAATTCCGAGAAAGTCGTCATACCAGTTGCTCCAGGCGCTCCAGACCCTAATGCTTTGGCCTCTTGGGACACCTTCACCATTTCCCTTGGGAGTGAGACTCGGATGGGAAGACAGCTGAGCCAGGTGCCTCCAAAACTCGCATTCGAGGATTCAGATCCGGTTGGAAGCATCTCGTCCTCGCTCAAATCGGGCACGTACGTTGAAACTACCATATTGGTAAAGTCATTGGAGCCTCGAGGGGCACCCTGAGGTCTTCCAATTGAGTGGCCGTAGCTCACATGATGCCGTGGCGCTTGGGAGCTGATATTTCCAAACGCCATTTGAACCTGAAGGTTCTGAAGATAGCGCAGCTGCTGCGGTGTTATGACCGGATGGGAGTTCACACTTCCCTGACTTGGGGCTGCATAACGACCCACTTGGGAATTTAATACGCCTGTTTGGGCCATCGTGGTATTACTAGCACACGCATGGCACCGTTCACTTGACATAGGTCTCTTTTGACATATTTTGCAGTCATTGGTTTTGTGCCCACATATCGGACAGGGCCCATCCTCTTGAGGCTCGGCCCCTGCTTTTTTGGGTCGCTTCAGTGGGCGTTTTTGTGGCAGGCCAAGCTGTGGAAAGTCACGAGGAAGACCAGGATTATCCTGAGCAGATGCGCGGCGTTTTTGATTGGTGTCATGGTAGGCATCTGGTTGGGGTGGGACCATGTTATCGCCATCTGATGATGAGCGTTGCATACCGGAGGCATATTGATAGGCGTTCTGGCCCCAGTTAGGCTTTTGGAAGCAGGAGTCCCAGTGCTGGTTTGAAGGACCACCATAGTTATTATGGCCCTTATCAGCAGACATGCCTGCGCCCCCCATTCCCATGTCTGGAAAGTTTGAACCATTGCCGGAGGCTGGGCCAGCACCATTGCCTGGGTCATCATCGAATGATGGCCCATCATATTGACCAATATTGTCGATACCGCAATGGGAAATAAAGCACTTGTAGAATGATCTCCAGTCATTGACCACCAGAAAGCAAATGCTGCAATGAGGTGGACACTCGAGGTGTGTTGTGTACAGCTCAAGCTCCGCGTTGGTTGGCCTCCACATGTGCCTAATTAGGCAGTGATCTCTAGCCTTGTCTCTTCTGCGGGAGATCTCTCCACAGCCTGGCTGAGGGCAGCCAATATTGACGCATGGATGATGTTGATCCTCAACGTGTCGCTGAAGGGCTCCCGTAGTGCCGAATTCTGTGCCACACCTGATGCATCGAAACTTTTTCTTACAATTCCCCGCCTTGCCATTGCGCCTAGTTGAAGGCGGCTTTGAGATCCTGTGTCCGTTGCGCCTCTTCTTCTCGATAACCGTTCTGCCATGTCTAAGTTGAGACAGGATCTGTTCCATTTCATCCTCATTCAAGAGGCTTTCAGCGACAGGCTCAAGTAGAACAGCATTTAGAAAACGTAGCTCCATCCGAAGCTCTTCTAGTGTAGAGGATGCTGCCGGGGTATTGTGTCCCGGTAAACCGATCAATGGCCCCTGCCGGGGAACAGACATTTGAAGGGACCTTTCGGCCAACAATCGCTGCATGTCTCGATCAAGGGTTGTAGGGTTCAATATCTCTTCATCAATCGGCGGTTGGTCTCCGCCCGTGATGAAGTCTAAGTCCCCTACATTGTATCCTTGAGGGACTGGTTCACGCTCCTGGGGGGCCGGGAGACCAGATGATGTTCCATATTCGGGATTTGGACTGGTCAAGCTGGTAATAGTGGTATGACTCGCTGTGTAGGAGGACCCCTGTGATGCCTTAATGAAAAGTCAGCATCTGTATCTTCTGGTGCGTAAAAAGCTTCGTTGGATCAAATGCGGCAACGGGAAGTCGGGGCGGAATTTTCACAACAGACCAACCTACCGTCATTGGATTGGATGGTCTCGTGGGGGCATGGCTCATAGCCCCCCCAACGTTATTGAAGCTACCACCGCTACGGTTGTATGGCCGTGCGATAGCTTCTTCCTCGTCCACAACAAACTCATTGTTTATTTCTCCTCCGTTTAGAATTTCGTCAAAGTAATTTGGATCAAAGCTGGACATATTGTAGGATGAAAAAACCAATGAAAATAAATCAAAATCTGAATACAGAAGTGATTGACCACTGAGCTGGTAGCTCAAGGGCTAATTGAAGTCAGATAAGAATAGATGGACAAGGGCGAGCAAAGCTGGAGAGAGAAGGAGAAAGAGCCTTGGAAAGGTGCAATGGATGGCCGATTATAAAGGCCTGAGAGCGGTGACGAAGAAAAGATCCACTCACCCGGGTGATGGATTGGGTAGAAGACGAAACTGGATAGTGGAAGCAAGCTCTTGCGGAGATGTTCTTCAGTGGAGACCGAAGGGTCCGAAGTATAGCTTCCGTAGTGGGGTGGTGGCTACCAACCTTGACAGGAAAGGTGCGACAGTGCCGACTTTAAGCCCGAAGATGGTGTTTCTTTTCAAGAAGGAAGATTGAGAGAGAACCACAAGGCAAAGGGGCATCATCTGTATTTCAATTGCCTGATGGTTCGCACTTTAAAAAACGCGTATCGGCCATACAGGCGGAGTCGAACCTGAGTGGGTCAATGGGTGGCCTTAGCTAATGTCAGCGTCAAATCACCTTGGAAAACAACCGCTGCTAAGCCACGATTGAAGGAATGAGTTGCATGGGCGTGAGTTTTGAATTAATTCCACTAGTATAGCATGGAGAAGCGGTAAAGGGGGGACATTCCAGCATCCATTGCATCAGTGGCAGCGTCACCAATGACATGGCCCCATCATGACATTTGAGCCGCACGGCGAAAGAACGGCGTATTCTGCTCTGTGAATGGTATTTTTCGGATCTGACTTTGGACAACAAACTGTTCCCAAGATTGGGCATCTATACTGTCATTCACCCAGTCATGCTGAGAGAATGCATGTAAAAACCCTCGTCCATAGCCCTGGAAAGTTATGGAATAGATCTTATTTGATGATCTTATAGACCCGCCAACTCATAATTATCCCGTCTAATTGTAAATCGGATGGCTGTTATTACCGAGGGTGTCACGGACTCATGGTTGAGAAGGTTATCGTGATGACGCTCTCGCTTTCTTGCTATAACCTTCCTTTTCGAGGTGTTACAGAGTCTTTCATTATCTGCGTGAGATTATGCGCGCCGGAGGTCCCGTTACAAGAGTATTATGAGACGCACAGAACAATAGGCATTTACGGCGAATCCGAATAGAATCCTTGTCCTTTGAAGATTTTTCAAGGCGAAATACAGGGTGAGAATTACATCTGGCATTATTGGGTGGTCACAGTCCTGGATTGGCCTGGAAACTACAAATGCGGGGTCCACAGTCAGTCCACGGGTCCGAGCATTAAAAAAGAAAAAAAAAAAAGAATTTGTAAAAGTAAAACAAGGCGAGTAAAGTGGCGTGGATCTGGCATTAATGCTTTGGTCTAATGCAATTCTTTTAATTTGACAGTACAATCCTTACTTCTATCGGATTCTAATAGTTATTGAGAATTTTCATCTCCGTTCCGCAGACCTTCGCCCGCGCACCAAACCCACAACCGAAAATAGGAAAATGAAAATAACATCAAGGAGATAAAAAAGATAAAAAAGGAAGATCGTAAGAAGGTAAAAACGGGCACCACAATATAGACAGGGCTCAATTCTTACATCATAGAGTAGTGGACCTCCCCACTATGGAGAAACGCTAGGCGCAGCTCGTGTCCCGAGTGTCCCGAGCAAAGAACCACGATCGACAAACGCGACTAATACTCGGAATCTCCCAGCTCCTGCCACACATCGGGCACTGATCAACCCGTACTGCCGGTACCTCATCTTCCGCATGCCCATGCACCGGCCCCCGCCTACATTTCCGGGGCGACTCTGCATGATCGGGAAAATAAGGCTCAGATACCGCAATGATGCAGCTCCAAGCACTCCTTGCATGGAAAGATAGTGCACATCCATATATTTCCCGGATCGACCGGGCAGGTGCATAAGACTCATCCGCACCGGAACTGGGAACTGAATCCGCGGTACGTACATGCCTCAAATCTTGGAACCTCGGCAGACTGTTGATTGTAAAGGTGAGGCGGGGAACCATAGGCTGGTAAGGTGAGACAAGTCAGAACCAAGAACTGCGGCCTCGATAAGCGAGCACAGCCGGCCGGGAATGGGTAGCTCCCCGGATATAAACCCCGTCTCTCTTCTTGATGTGCACACCGGTCGAGGGGTTCGTAAGATCAGTTGATTGTGACACGGCTTGGGCCCTCATATCGGGTCGCCGGGGGGTTTTGTGTGGAAACGGAGAATAGAGCCATGCCAACGGCGTGGATCGGAGTTGATACGTTAAGCTTTGATTTTATTTTGATTTTCGTTTTTTTGATTTTTTTTTTTTTGATTTTTGATTTTTAGTTCCGTTTTTTGTTTTTGCGCCCTACGGATTCGAGTAGTGGAACCAATAGCTGTTCGTAGGCATATATTAGCCATGCTGGGGAAAGGCTTTATTTCTTGTCGGCTTGGCTTTTCTTCACCGAACTCCATAGTCGGAAGACCCGCTCAGCCCTGGAGACTTCGTTGCCGGTTCCAGACGTGGGGTTGGGTGAATTGCATGTGCTCGAGATGATCCCATGATGTCCGTTGTATGTGTACGCAATGCATTGGTGATCGCTTGGTTTGTTGAGGCTCTGCCGATACTGCCGTTTCTGCCCCCTCGATAAGCACAGTATTTGCCAAGATTTTGTCTGTCCCTGCTACTCTATGGCAAATACGGGACAGATGATCATATTTGGCGCTACTGGTAGTATCCACTTATCCACTAAGCAAGAAAGTTTGAAGAAACGAGAAAAAGAAAAGAAGAAGCAAAAAGCATGGTTTCCAGCCTTGTGGGGTTTCTCGACTGCGGTGGAGTGATTATCGCGCTTTTATCACGGGCTGTCTCAGATCACGATCATGATTATAGGTCTAAGCCATCCCAAGATATTTACTAATAGTATAAGACTTTTTAGAACGCATAGTGGGTCAATATTGCCGACTCGTTCATTAACTTTGTCTTTTCCAGATCCACAGACCCACTCGACGGGATCGTTCCATGGATCGAGACGAGATTGAAACGACGTGACATGAAAAAATCGGTGAGACTGCAGACGCATATAGCCCAATGTGGTGAAAAATCCAGGTCCAACAGAGGGGAGAAAAGGGGAAGTGATTGGGCGGGGTAGCCTGTACTTGCCCCTGGAATGACGTCAAATGGTCAACAAAACACATGGCAAATGCAGTCAGCAGAATAATATTTTTTCCGATATACCCCTAAGAGAAAAAACCAAACAGAGTTATAAGACAAAGTAAAAGATAAGAAAATCAAAGTCTAAGCATTCCACAAGAACTCCCCCGGGTCAATACTCCAATTGCCCCTGTAGGCCCAGTTCCAAGGGAAAGTTGCCTTAGTGAACCCGTATGTCAGACCGATGGAGGCTAAGCACCGATCTGACTAGCCATGAAACCAAAAACCCAATATACCCACGCACCTGCAGCCAAGTTCATGCATGAACTCGTAAGCCATCACTCCAATCAGGGTCCTCACATACTCTCCTCTAGCGGCGACTAGCCGTAACGGGGGACCATGGCTGGGAGGAGCGGGGGGCATTGAGATAGGCTTCGAGGGAAGGGGAGTTGCCGTTGGTGGGTCTCGTGTTTGGGAAGGTGGTCGTGTTGAGCGTTGAGCCGGAGAGCTCGGAGAGGTCGAGGTCGAGGGCGGATCCGGCTGGGAAGGTCGGGGCGGTGTTCGCCCAGCTTCCCATCTCGACAAGGTCTCTATCCATGTTGGACATACTGGTGCTGGAGAGCAATTATGTTAGTTTATTCACATCATGACGTAAATGGAAACTGTTGTGGCCTAGGATTGGCATGGAGGTAGCTTACGTTGATTGACTCATGCTGAGGAAAAGATGAAATGAGCTTGAGCGGAGAGTATCGAACTGAGTGGGTTGAGCTTTAGACCAGAGACATGCAGCGTTAGTATGGAGGGTGCAGCAGGCTATGTATGGGGACTTACTATGCGTGGTACACTGAAGTCAAAGTCCTTGAGAATTTGTTGAGATAGACGTCTCTATAAGGGATCATGGACCTCTTATAGTAGAGAAACGTCGGTGTCAACCTTGAGCATAGCCGTAGCATCGCCGCGTACGCGGTACCCGGGTGCACGACCGTTGACCCAGGACAAAATTATCATTGAGGGTAAGGGTTGAACAGAAGATCACCCGAGTGGGTCTGATCTGCAATCTGGATCGTGGAGATCAGGATTGAAACATTCTAGAAGATTTTATTATTGCATTTGTTGCCTAGATATGCCTTGGGCGTGAGAAACCAGAAAGCGTATTTGATTTTACTCTATAAAATAAGAATTAAAAGAAAATCCAGTGGAAAAAGAAAGGAAAAAAAAGGAAGAAATATAATAAAATAAGATAAATAGAAATAAATAAAAAAGAATCAAAAATCAAAAATTAAAATTAAAAAGCTACAGCATCTCGGGGCAATCGCTGCAGGGGGGTTAAGTGGACCATGAATCCCCAGGGTCCAGCTGAATGGTTGATAGCGCTGCACTGGAAGTACGTAAGCCCCCCATGTACAGATTCTCTCATTTCCTTTCCACTGTACAAAGCACCATGCAAGTCACCCGATCGACCGGTTTTTAGGATATTTGTCGTATCCAGGTACAGGCGCGCCCAACAAAAAACCGGTGTGGACCCCTACGCGTTGAGAGAGTAAAAGGTCATGAGCGGACAGCTACGGGACGTACCTGAGTTACAACCGGGTAACAGCATAATGTGCAGATCACAACCTACGCATGAAAGTACAGCTAAAGTCTCCTTTACGCCTCTCCCCCTCCCCCATCCGAGTCTGTGGACCCGGTGGTCTGGTAACGTGAAGTTCTTGCAGCAATGGAAACGAAATCCCGCCATTTTGGTAGAGTTCTCCCTGGATGTATTTTCCTGACGATTAATTCTACAAGGATATCTGCAGTCGTAGTGGGGCTTCATTCCCCGGATGATTGGTGCCGTACACTTACAATCTCCTTCCAGTCAACCTCTTTAAAAATCTACATCCTTCACCTGACTCCCTTGGCAATCTCCCCCTACTTCACCAGGGAGAATCCGCATTCATCTTACCTGGGCACTGGGTGAATGTCGAGGTAAATGGGCAGTAGAAATCGCCAGCTGGGAAGGGCAAGAATCAGGGTGAATATCATACTTGCTCCACCGCCACCCATCAAGACTCGAAGCCCAAGAAAAGATGAAACGTATGGGGGTTGTTGGCGTGCCAGTTCACCAACAAGGGTCCGAGACTAGCGCGGAATTTGGTCAGCTGGGCGCGCTAGTTCCAAGGCGGTTTCGTAAGATGATATCAGTGATAACGTCGAGAGCGAGATTTGGGCTAGGATCCGAGATTTTTGCGTTTCGAAGGGCGAATTGAGACTGAAAACTCTGACGAACCCACATGATGAGAAATCAATATTGATCGAGTGGGAGATTGGACTGGGCGCGCGCCTTGGGTAGGTCCGGAGAGATCCTGACCTTTGGGCGGATCTGCCTCGTCGGATCCCCTACAGAATAGGAAATGGGACTAGCATGTAGGCGAGATGAATCAATTTGCTTTCCCCCATTATGGAGAATGACGACACTGACAGAATGGGCTTTGGAATGACGGCGTGCGATACTGATCGATCATATACTAGCCAAGGCATATAGCACAGCCGCCCTAAACCGCCTTAGTTGGACTACTTACTCGGCTTGCTTGCACCGGCAATCTAGGAATTGATAGCTATCCTTGCTCAATGTTTTCCAACCTTTGATCTAGACCGATTTTTCTTTTTTCTGCTCCACGTTTCCCAGACGCTTTGTCCCCCGTTTCTTACCGTACAAGCTCATTGCTTTTTCAGGCTGACAACGTTTCTGTACGTGATTAGAAAAAAGCAAAAAGCCTACAATGAGTCAACAGAAAAATCAAATCACAAGTATGGCACTGGAGGCAAGGATTGCAGACTGACACTGCGCTCATTCGTCCACTCTCATCAAGGGCACAGACATTTGACGAAAATCTAAAGCTGAATGTGTAATATTTCTACTGGTTCTATTTCAAGTAGGTCTACCCAAACCAAACTCAATCCCATTCCTCTGTAGGTTTCGCGCTAACTCCAAGAAACCTGCCAGTCACCATCACCGGACTGGGATTCCTTGGAGGTGGCGAGCATCGCGAGAAGAGGCCCGCGTTCGACCCTGGTCCATTCTGCTGGGATCTGTTGGGCTTTTTGTCGCTGCATGCAACGTGTTTCAGGTATCTATAGACCGTGAGTCCGTGAGGCTCAAACTCAAGCTTGCGTTGATAGTTGCCACCGTCACAAGCATTCGAATTCCCAGAATACAATACAGAGTAGGAGATACAGAGTAGGAAGTACAGAGTAGGAAGTACAGAGTAGAGAATCAAGCCCGAGTCCAATGACAAAGCCATTTCTCTTTCCCCTCTTTTTCCCTTCTTCCTGGGGTCTTGCCAATTAGGGTTAGACCAAGGCTCACCACTGCCTGTCTGCCTGTGGCTGAACACACTAGCCACACACCGCAATTTCAGAACCTAAGCGAAATGGTAAATTAGCCAATCCCAAGCCTAGATAATGACTGTCGCACCATGCACCTTGCACCTGGGTTGCGAAGTCATACGTGTCGAGTCCACCCGACTCCCCTAGGAGCCTGGGGCCGGGGCGCGCTCACACGTGTGGCGCAGTCGGAGTTCCTGAGGCCGCGGATCTAGAGTTTAGCTTTGATAGTCGGTATGAGGGGTTTTTTTTTGTCTCGTCACTGGATTCAATGCTATCCAATAATCGTGCGGCTCTACTCTAGTCCGGATTTAAATCCGTTATACACAGTGGCAGTGTATGATTGGCAAAAGTCCAATCCAATCTGTGGATGACTGTACATCCGGGCAGTCGGGATTGATGATCGATTGAGTTCGGTAATCGATGCAATGTAACCTACCCTGCTGTTAGGGTTGTTTAGGGGCTTAGAGATGTGTAGGCGGGGCGGATCTGGACTTGGCGATTACGAGGACGCGCTGATATCATACTCCGTAGTTTGGAGAATGCCAATGCCAATGCAATTCCGTGAATCGTATTTCTCGTACTCGTAATGTCGTGAAAGAAAGAATGAAACAACGAGCTTTTTGAAAGTAATGTAGCTCCCACAGGATCCCACCATGCCATAGCTGTAGACCAGAATCAAGCAGAGGAACTATGGACAAGCTCAATGCAGAACTCCCCCCATTCACCCCCATTACTAGACGTCAAGATTTCCTCCGCAATCGCCTCCTCAATCCGTTCTCCATACCTTCTCCGATAGTCAATCTTAACCTGCTCAAAGTGTCGCGGCTCCCAGTGTAATCGGACAAGACGCGAGATGAGAAGTTCGGAGCGCTCGCGGCCGGATTTCGATTCGCGGAGAGCTTGGTGGAGGAGGAGAGCGTCGCGCATGGGTCGATTAATGGCTCCATTTAAGATATGGGCTAGGGTCTCGCCCTGGAAGGTGTTTTCTTAGTATCATGAATGAGGAAGGGGATGGTAGGGAGAGTAGGCTTACCACTAGATTCCGAGACTTGGAGATCATTGCTCGCGCGAAATTATGGTCGTAGATGGCTTCGTAGGCGCGCAGAACTTCCCGTAGATGCGAGTCGCTTCGTAGCACGATGATGTGGATCATAGCTGTCTCGCCGCCATCACGCGAGACGAGGGCCCGATGCAGGTCTGAGACATCTTGTCTGACGAGTCGCGAATCTAGCGGTTCGCGATCATCTTGTCGCTTCTCTTCTAGTGCAAGGAGAACCGCCACACGGAACTTGTCGGCTTTCAGCTCGGAACGCATACACCGCTCCAAACTATTATCGTACCGCGAGTCCTTGAAACAGGCCTTGATCTCGCGGATCGCGGCGTTCGAGCGACCGATCAGTGATTCGATGAGAAGCTCGCGGCGTGAGGTCCCAGCTTGGTAGTAGCAGTTTGCCCAGTATGCTTCCGATTCCCAGCGGCCCAGTGCTGTCGCGTAAGCTACCTTGCCGAAGGAGGAGTTACCCAGTTTAAGGCGGAGGTGCTTAGCGAGGTTAATTCCCTTGCCATGAACCTTGACACGGGCTTTGTATTCCTGCCGGAGGAGCAGTATCTCGTCGCTGGTCAGCTGGGGAAGAGTCTGGATGATAGTTTTGTTATCGATGCTGCGGGTGTGGTTTAGGGCTGATTGCATTGCGTCTGCGTCTGCGCCGGCATCGTAGAAGGATACGCGCTTTCGGCCGGTTGTGGGCGAGATTACGACGAGTGAGTCGCCGCCTGCTGTTAGGGAGGAGATTGAGTCGCGGGGAGAGTGGCTGATTGTTGGGCGGCTTCGACGCTTTTCTTCTCTGCGGTCGGAAGAACGCTCGATTCGGATTGTTTCTTTGCTGCTGCTTGTTCGGTGACGACCTTCGCGTTCGCGATCGGGCTCTTTTTCGCTAGCTGATGACTTCGTGCGAGTGTGTTTTCTTCGTCGGCGGGTTTCTGAGCTGGAGGTTTCGCCGTCTAGTGGTTCGAGGTCGGAGATGTCGTCGTCGCGCACGGAGGGAATGACGATTGGAGAGGGCATGGGTGACATCGACTGGTAGGTTCCATGATACGGCTCGAGCAGCGGACTGGCAGGTGGATGGCTTCCGACCATCGATGGTCCAGCAACGGCGAGATTATTCGCCGACGACACGGATAAACTGTGCGGGCGAGTTCGTCCACCACCAGGCGTGATCTCCATAAATTGCTTTTGGGAAGCCGCTCGAGGCGAAGGCTGTGGTGGCGGCTTGTCCGAGAATTGAGGTTCGTGGCTATACTTGTATGGATAGATCGGCTGCACAGGCTGCGATTGGGTCCGCTCATGCTGAGGCCCTCGGGGGTACCCAGTCGACGTCGCAAGCGTGGCAAATTGTGCCTCGGGCGAAGCTGTATATGAGGGCTTCGGCGTCGCCTTAGAAGTATACTTCACGTTTGGGTCAACCTGCGCATACTGGTAAGGCGTCGGATGAGCATATCCCTGAGGGTGACCAACATCGCTCGCAGAAGCCGTGCGATAGTGCGACGGCGCATAAGCTCCAGTCGAATGGGGAATATGCGGCTGCGTGGCTGGATTCGTGTACTGCGGCGTAGGGAAGCTCGGTGCCATAGTCGCAGGTACATTCCCATACGTCGAAGCCGAAGGGAAAGCACCCGGCATCCCTCCAGCCTGCGATGTAGGCGGCACAAAGCCAGGACGCTCACATTCAGGGACGGAAGCCCAGTCCGTATTGGTACTCGGACGCTGTGGTAGCGGTGGCGCAGAAAACATACTCGTCTGCTGCGCATACTGGAATTTCCCCGGTCGCGCATAACTAGGATGGCTACCAGGTGTATCACCGTACGCAAGATCATCATCAACCGAATCATCGTCAGAACTCTCGTCCCGCCGGCTGCGCCCATTGCGACTACTCGGTAATGGAGACGGAACAGACGGTCTCACATACTCGCGCGGTGGCACAGTCCTCATATCGCGCTCATCACCCGAATGCTCGTAGCGATCGCGCTCGCGCTCCTCACGCCGACGCCGCTCCCGACGTCTAGCGCTATCATCGGAATCATCGCGCCGCACATCATACCGCGCAGGACTCCTAGGTGCACTTCTCGAGTCCCGATCCGAGTCTCGCTCCTCACGGAGCCGACTCTCCTTCATCAACTTATACTGGCGGTCAATCTCCGCCTCATCAAGATCATAATTGCGACTGGAACCGGATGGTTTCGCAATTTCGACTGCGGGGGAACGCGAGCGTGGCCGAGACGTATCAACGGACAAGTTCAGGTCCGTAGCGCGGCTATCGCGAGATCTGGAGCGTTCTCGGCGACCGGGTGATCTAGAGCGGGTACGCGACCGGTGGTCGTCAACTTGGAGCGACATGGTTCCAGGGTCCCTGTAGTGGGGCTTTGCGCCAGATTTGGAGATGTGTTTATTGCAGCAAGTATATAACCTTCCGAACCGTGGTTCGGTTGGTTATTATAATGAAGAGTTGGCTTGGAGGAGAAGAGCTGACGAGAAGAAAGAACTGGGCGAGGTAAGATCCCGCTTAGGGATTTCGGTGCCGCACAAGAAGCCGTTGCAATGGTTTTAGTCGATCAGTGCGAGGGGAAATACGGGGGATCCACACGGTTCATTAGCCCCAACCCTTCAGCCTTGTGTGGTAGAGGTCACCAAGCAATGAAGCTTTTCAGCCAGGAAAAAAAAGAGATTTGAAATTGAGGAAGAGAGAAAGGAATTGGAAGCGCGAGGAATAGTCTGGAGTCGACTCGTATTCCAAGGTCAGTTCCCTTGGTAGCATAGCGAATTCGAGTCTGACATGCTGATTCTTGCAGAAAAGGCGTATGGGGCCCGATGAGCATGAGTTCTTATTGGTTCCAATACAGGCGCTGGCTTGAGATCGCCCGGCGCTTCAGCCGCACTCGTAGTCCGGACAAGCCTGTAACCTGTAAGCTGGGTCATAGGGCCGATGCGCCAAGCGATAGGTTGTGAATGCAACTGGGAGAATACGTGGGCGATAATACAGTTGCCTACGGAGTATAGATCTACGAGTTGATAAGGACCCAGTGGACGGTGAATATCATAGCAAACACATAGAAAGTGGAATACAGACACTCGAAGTGACACATTTTGTGTTGAGAAATAAAATGCAGCAGCGGAAGGCAGCAGAAAGGAAGACAAAAAGTAAAATCCTCGTCGAGGTGAGAAAGGGGGTATGTGCGGAATAGCAAGCTATGCGAACAGGAGAAGAAAAGAACAAAGACACAACGTTGCAGCTTTAACGCGTACGGCGACCATCATGAATACCAGGGCCCTTGCGACCACCGTAGGATTTGGCAGGCATGGGCGCAGGCTGTCCGTTCCGGTTGAGGCGGTTGGTTCTCCAACGCTCATACCAGATCACACGGCTGGCCTCGCGCAGCTCCGACCGCCATTCAGAAAACACCGAGTCCTTCAATCGTACGAAGTCACAATGTTCCGGGTTGTATGGGTCAGCGAAACCCCATGGGAATCGGCGACCGACCGGTTCTTCCCCAGATGCGAGGGAGTGTGGGTCCGGGGACAAGATCGAGAATGGCACGTGGGGATTGGCAGGACCCTGTGATCCAATGGACTTGGTCTCGCTGCGCTGGGACGGCGTGCGCTCCAACTTGGTCTCCTTGTCCTTGACCTCGGAAGGTTCTGCGGATTCGGGATCGGTAGATTCGGGTTCCGTGGGGTCAGTCTCTTGTATCGATTCCTCATCAGCACTCTCGGACGAGCTATACTCTTCCTGGTCTTCCAAGGTCAAGATCTCCAGAGGGTCGATGTTGGCCTTCTTGAGGCTGTTCCAAACGGCCTTGCGCAGGTATCCCATGTGGGCGGAAGTGATGGTGTCCGCCTTACTGATGACTGGTACAATAGTGGTCTTGCCCAGGATGGTGCGCAGTACCTGCAGGTCCAGGTTTTGATCCAAGACGCCTAGCACGGGTGTGTCAGTAGCCTTGGAGGTACCATTGGCGAAACGTTCAGCGGCGGCAATGTTCTCATCGAGACGGACTGGGTCCAGCAGCAGGAAGGTGCAGTGGATGTGAGTGTCACGAGCTCCTGGGGAGCGCACCACCTTCATCTCCTCCGCGAGGGTCTCTTCGAACTTGCTTTCAAGGAACCCGGTTACGGCGCGCATCTGCAGATCCACGATGTTGCGCTCGAGACCTTGAGAGTCCCATAGGGTCAAGCCGACGCGCTCCCCGTCGATTTCTGTTTCAAGATACTGCGATGTGAAGCCTTCGTAGGCGGAGGTCTGACGTTCCAGCTCCTCCAATTCTTCGGGAGTGCGAGTAGGGTGCTTGTGCGCCGGCATGGTGAGTGCCTTGCGGAGAAAGTTAAGGAACTCAGTCTTGCCAGAGTTGCGAGCGCCAACCACCAAAACGCTATCGGAGGTTAATATTGATTCTTGCAGTCATGATTGATGCGACTTACTTGTAGGAGGTGGGATCCTTGCGGCGACGAACCCGACGAGGGCTGTTGACAGTGCTGACAGCGCTGCTGGCGTAGCTGTAGCGGCCCCGGTGGGTCATGCTTTCGGAACGTGCATACGGATCCATAGCTTCCGTGGGCGATTGCAGTGGTGGTGCTTCGAAACCAGAATGAGGGCGAGGCAAGGCGGGCTCTGCCTTGAGGGTATCACGCTCTTCGCCTCCAAAGGTCTCCAGCTGCGGGGTGGGGGAAAAGTCCGGCAGGCGAGGGGCTATTTTTGGGGCGTACGACTCGCGCTGACGGCGCATCTCCTCCTCCATCATTTGAGACTTTGTCATCTTTTTGCGACTTCCCGATGCTTTTCGTTGTTCCCCGAGGGGCTCGGTAGATTTGGAGCGTCGAAGAAAACCGAGAGAGGTACGACGAGCGTTGAGAGTTTGGTCCGTAATGGAAGGCACATCAGAGGGCGCGCGCGAGGAAGTTGGAGTTGCCATTTTGAGCGCGTGATTTTTTTTTTCTGTTTTGTTTTATTTTCACTTTATCTTTCAACAAGTTTCACCTGCAGTTACTGCCAAATCGATATAATCTGCAGCCATAACCTCAATCAGCCCATTTTACTTCACCACCTACTCGGGTACGACATCTGCCCCTTATCTGCAACGCAATGGAATGCTTCCACTCACATATCCGACTTCTGTCACCTTGCGATGATATTGGGCCCAATGCAAGATTTCAATTTCGAGACTGAACTTCAATCGAGGTTCACGGGAGAGACTTGAGACCCGGAAAGAAAGAACAAAAAAAAAAAAAAAATGAGAGACTGCGACAGCAGCAAAGCGAAGGAAAAAGAGGCGGATCAAAGATGGTTCAATGGCAACAAGCTCTCAGCCAGTGTGAGTTGCTACTATGTACGCTGCTCGTCGCTACTGGAGAGACGGAGCCAGGGGAAGTCGGAATTGAAATTCGGGGGAGGAGAATCCGTTTAATATGAACGGGACACGGGATGAAATTGAGAACCAGCCTGCTCACAGCGTCCGACTACTGCGGCGCATTGAGTGGAAAATAAAAGGGAAAACGAAAGGAAAGGAGTGGGTGGAAGAAAAGAAGAAAAACCCAGAGAGGATCTTTCTTATGGCGCCGGTTCAGGCTAATGATTTACAGTGTTTGGGATACGTTGGCTTTGACTTTCGGGATTCATTGGACTTGGAGAACAGAGATATGTGAACTGTCTGATCTTAGGTGATCTTCCGGCGCATTTTGCGACAATATGCTACTCTATTATCCTCCATGGGGAGGCCATTGGGCTGATACAAGGGTATCAGGATGATTCAGGGGTAAGTGTCGAGTCACGGTCCAGAGCCCAGCGAAAGCCTTCCCCCACTTAGAGCTGTTGTGTGGATTGCTGGGATACGGTTCGTTCCACGCCAGCGGGCGGCTAATGCCCGACGGGGAAGTCTTGGTGTTGATGACTTTGTGAGAGGTCAGCTAATTGACTACTGAGTCAATTGCTTTCCTTTCTTCTATGTTCTACCAGGACTGTGTAGAATAGAGATCAACGGAGAACTGTCCAATTAAGCATGAATACCGGATTCACGTTACCCCTGAAAGACTCTGGCACGTGCGCCAGGGGCCGTTGGACTTGACTCCACTGCGATTATCTCTCCAACGTTGACCACCGAACGTCGAGCCTGAACATTGAACCATTCGATTAAAGGGGCTATTTGTTGTGAAGAAATCGTACCGCACACGGAGAACGCGGGTCGCGTCCATGGTACCTCGTTCCAAATTTGCGCAAAATTTGGAGCTGAAGTCTCGGCAAGCTCCACCATGGGGAGATTCTATAAGAACAAATGTATTTGCTATATGCAGAGCCTGCAGTAGTGATCCAACTCTATTCCCAGCATTGTCGAGGGTCGCATAGCAGAAATAAATTAAATCGCCACGGGCTCACCACACAGATCGCTTTTAGGCTCGCATGCACGATCCAACCACGCGAGATCCCAACGTGGTGGGGCAAACCCACAAGGTCCTGGGACGCGTCCGAGCTAAACAGCCTATTGAATCATGAACCCTGGATCACGTCTACACTGAAAATAGGTCCAGTCACAACTAGAGCCCCCTTTCGATTGGACTCGGATCTGATATCCTATCGTTCATGTCAAGAGACCTGAAAACTTCTCGTGTTCCGTTGCAAAAGAAATTTGTGCACGTTCCCTGTGGGTCCACGCGTGGGGCGGTTCATCGCGTGCAGGACTTGCTTCTTTTATCTATCGCATTGATGGACCTTGTAATCAGTATGATTTTCTGATTTGACCAGGTTTCTATACACTACACTAAACCATACCTTTACCCTATATCAGTTGCCGCCACAAAAATCACCTCATCAGGCCGTCGTATACTCCGCTTCCGCCTCCGCCCAAATCCTAAACGGCAACACAATGCAAGGCGTCGAAGGACAGACATTCTTCCGATTGAGCGACTTAAACTTCGGCCCATTCGGTCCAGCAACGTATTTCGCTTCTCCGAAAATTTCAGGCTCCCCTACAGGCTGCGCGTCACCCCACTGGCCATTGAAATAGAGCCAAGGCACTGGGTACGCAGCTGCGGTATCCGATGCGAATGTCGCTGTGGCGGGATCATAGGTATAAGCGTAGGCGTTTAGTGTTGGGTCCCAGAGAATGCCTTTATCAGTGTAATCGAGTAGGAAGCCGACGGGGAGGTTTACGCTGGGAATTGTGTGGTCGTGTTGTCTATGCAAGCATTTAGTCTTGGCAGCGGTAACATGTCGCGGTGTGGGTATACATACCCTACAATTGCGTAGTTAGCGTGTGTCCCATTAGCGGAGAATGCGTATGGTCGTAGCCCCTTTTTCTCCAGTGCGTTGTAGGTGAATGCCTGGCCGCTGGCGTGCTGGCTGAACCATACTGCCTGTGGTGTACCGTTGACGAAGCGGATCATGTTGTGCTCCCTGTTAATGTGAGCTTCTGGGGACTTACTGGTGCCAGGGAACGTGCTATGGAACGTACCAATCACCTATGTGGTCACCAAATTCCATGCCAAGGACTATATCGCCTTTATTGTATCTGCATTATAGGGTTAGTAAGCTCGCCTCTTCCTCTGAAACATGCACTCACGCATAAAAGTAGAAGTAGAATGCATCCACTTTCCCAGCGCCATGATCTACAACCACAATGACACACCCTGTCGCGTTCCCGGTACGCCCGTCGCTGCCTGGTGTGATGCCATCCCACCAGGATGGTTGAGGTGTCTGAGCGATACCGCCAGAGGTTGTTAGGTACACGCTTGTGTTACCTAGAGCATTAAGCTGGTCTAGATTGTTCAACGTTAATGGAGATGGTGCGTCCGCGACGGCTGTCCAGTTGACCTCGGGAGTGGTATTGTCGAGTTGCGCTTGTATGTCGCTTGGTCGGTATGGGTCTGTGCTGTACAACCAGACTAATGGAGCTATTGGATATTAGAATAGGAGTATATAGACTCGAGGGAGTTTTTACCGTAGCTGTACACATATTGTGGGATGTTAGATGTCGCTCTAGTCTCGCAGGATGCAATGGTAGGGTTGACCAAGGGCAAAGCCGCTACGGCGAGTGCCGAGAGTCGCATTATCAGGCGCATCTGAAATCGCTTTTGAGCTGATGTTCTTTTATAACAATACTTGAGTAATCCAGTCCTCTTTATCTATATCCGATCAACAAGATATTCTCATCACTGGACGAATACGCCACTCACCAGACGAATATTTCAGGCACCGAGGAACAAAACAGGCGTCTGTATACACTACATGAGCAACCAAGGGTCCAGGGAACATCAGGCCCTTTTAAGATGCCATGACCGCCTGTCCAACGACAAATCATATCATATATTCTATGCAAACCACCCAAAATTATCATGAGCTTCAGGTCAGATCATCCAACGCGACGTGACCGACTTGCAGAAGTGGGGAGGACTGAACATGGCGGATGGGGGACTCGATGAACACCCTGGAATGTTACATGCATGAAGTAAAGGCAATAGATCGGCAACCAAGAACCAGGCGGGCTGTTCCGAGCTTCTGATTCGAGGGCCACATACATAACCCCGACTATTCAGTGGAGAGTGTGTGACTCGTGCCTTGTGTTCTGACGAGGTCATCTGATAAGCTCATCATGACCACGCACTAGCTAGGAAACCATGTCTTTGTTTCGGTCATATGTGTTCGAATTTAGCAAAGACTTGATGCGGAGTTGTCTGCAGAACCTATAGCAAGATCCACCAATCACGGGTCGTGGATGCATCAGCTACTGCAATCCAACGATCCCACAGGTTACATACGGATGGGGGGCCGATGATTTCTGTCGGTGTATACACTTGAGGTAGGATGCGTCTTTACCATGATCACATCAGTCATTCATTCTAAAGTCCTCGACGGAAATAATTAGGCAGGTCATGGGATCCATCACAGCCTCCCCTGCTTTTCTTTTTCTTCTTCCTCCTTCCGATCCTTCTCTTTCCACAACTTGAATAACCTCAAATCCAATGGGATTTTATCCCCCAACCAGGTCGCTCGCTGCGTATGATTACGCTCCTCCTCCGCTCCTTCCGATCGACCCACCTCTATATCCGTATTTGGGTGGATCAGCGCACTGAGCTGGCCCCGATTAATCACCAGCCAGGGAATGAAAGCGCCGAACTGCGCTGGTGTGAATACGTTTACTTCGAACATGGCAACAGGGTGCGGACCGATGGGTTGGTCGAAGAATTTGTAGATGCGGAGTTCGGGGACTGGAACGATTTTAGCTGTGCGGATTCCACCCGTTTCTCGGGTTTCTTACATTCGCGTCGGATTCTTTCGTGGAGAGCTTTGGCGTAGGCTACTTGGTCTGGGTTTGTCTGAGGCGAGTTAGTTCTGATCTTGATATTCTTCTGAAATTGAAGCAGGTTGATGGGTCGGTGGGTTAGGTTTACCTGAAAGTGGTAGATGTGCACATCGAACCCGCCGCGTCGGCCTTTGCTCACTGGGTCTGGGAATTCTTCGTAGGCTTTGCTTAGGATGCCGGTTTCAGGGTTCTTGAGGGATTTTCCATCTTCATTTCGCTCGCTGGTTTGAGATCAATACCGGGTTCATGATGCAGTGGTAACACGACCTCTGAGTGGTCGTGATCATGATGCTTGGTGATCACTTACTCGGTCAGTGGCTCGAGGTCCCCATACCCCTCCAACGGCGACGGATATGAGTAAGCGAATTGATCTGTCATTCTGAGTGTATTTCCTTGGAGTGTTTTCAGTTCAGATAAATGGTGGTTTCAATTGTTGTGCAAAGAATGGGTGGTCTTGTGCCCCGCAGCTAGTAGCGATATATATATTGTGGGAAATGGGGTTCGACGTCGGATATTCGGCTTAAATTTGCCCAGGTAGACACGTTAGGAGATGGATCCCAGGTGATCTTATCAATCAGCAAAGGCTCTGCTGAGAAATACCGCTCAACCTTTGTACTGAATTAGTTGACAATAATGACTGATGTCGTCAGTCTCTTTAGTTATCGGAAAAGTTTCCGCTCTTACAAAGCTGCGGAACGGATAGTTGATGCCGTAGGAATAAGGAAGAAATGTTGAGGGCTAAGACGCTAGTGAAATCCCTTCTCCACTTTGACATGCAATTGCATGAATAGGGTTTTTTTTACAATGTCATGAAATTGAAATCACAAATTATAGCGAGTACAAACAGGCAGAGCCAGGCGACGTAAAACACGTTATTGCTCATGCCGCATAAAGCCTATAGCTCAGCGCCCCCCCCCAAAAACTGACTGACATCGAGATTTGACATTCGCATACCCCCACCACCCACCTCAGCTAACATCTGCATCTGCATCATACCCGCCCCAGACTGTCCTCCCGGACCAGTCCCGTAGATCTGCTCACCAAGCATACGCAGCTGCATAGGCATCGTATTTTCACCATATTGTTGAACAATATCCGACTTCTCGACCGCATGGTCCACATTGTAGTCATTGTGCTGCCCAGAAGCAAAGGCCACACATCCCTGGGATTTGGCAGGAGACCACCACTCAGGCAACAGTTCCCGTGTGCGCTCAGCCAGTCGCAAGAATCTTCGGAAGCCTGGTACGCCACTAGACACGCCGCTGTAGATGCTATCCGCGTCGACGTCTCCCTCAAATTTGTATTTGTCCTCCATGCGAAGACGGTATGTGTCGATGAGAAGCTTGTAAACATCTTTTTCGGGGCGGCCGTGGAGCCATTTCTTTGCGTGGAGCTGGTGGAATGGCTTGTCCATTTTGAAATCGAGAGCTTGCGTGATATTGCTGCTGCTGGTGTTGTTGCTTGCGGATTGAGCTTCAGGGACTGCTTGAGCGCAATTCTTCTTGTGCTGCTTCCAGTCTGTTTTCTGGCAGTCACGAGAGCAGTAGTGTACGGATTTGCATTTACTGCACACTTTGAGCGGAATTTCGCCCTTTTTGCAGTTGAAGCAGTTTTTTTCGGTAGGGGTCACGTCAGCCATTGTTTTGATAGTAGATCAAGTTGGAAGTGATGGGATCCAGGAAAGAGTTGGAAAAACCAAGCGACTGTTGAATACTCCATACGAAAATGAAGAGAAGCCTGAAGCAAACATTGTGTGAAGTGATAGGTCGCACAGGTGCTGACGTGAAAACGCGCATGTAGATATTGCCTTGTAAATCCCCTTAAATCCCCTTATGTGAAAATATCTACCTTCTACTGTAGACTGTCACAAATTTGCAAGAGATCCAAGCAGGGTATAGCGCATCAGGAAGGGTATATTTTGCTTGCAACAAGCAATCCATTCCCGTACGGCCCTAGCTGATGGAACAATCATACGCAATGAGCCCTTCGGTAGAATCAGACCCGAGAGGATGGTGATTTGATTTAATCACTGAAGAGTTGATACATTAATATAATCCACGGATACTCATGGATCATGCCCAGGTGGTTGTCCGAAATTTGTCCCAATTATGTTGATATGAACCCCAAACGCCCATAACTGTCCTGTCTAGGACCAAGAAGCTCGAACGTCAATATGACCGTCATCATCCACAAACTTCCCCCGATCCCACTCCCTACCCTCGCCCTTCTTGGACCAGCGCACATCGTCAGCTTGACGCTCCCCGCTCACGCCGGCGGAAGCAGATTCAGTCTTCCACCGATCAATAGTCTCCTCGCCGATCCCAGCTGCTCGCAGCCTCTCCTCGCCCTTTTGCCTCCAGCGCGCGCGGTCGCGTAATGCCTCCATGGCCGTGTCCCAGTCATCATCGGCAGTCATGAGACCTGAGACAGGGCGACGGGAGGTGTGTTGCATGGTGCCTTCGTGGTCCTCGTCTGGTTGGATATCGAGTGCAGGGTCGTAGTCCGATGCGAAGTGTGAGTCGATATTGCTGGCGTTCATTTTGTAGGCCCCACGGCCTCGTGAGCGAATGGGCGCCTCTCTGGCTGGGAGAGGCCCGACGAGATCTTCTAGGGGATCTGAATCGTCTTCGGTAGGTCGTAAGATTGGGGAGGAAGGTGATTTGCGCTTGCGATCAACGGATGATTCGCGTGGAGAAAGCCGGTGCTGGCGAGAGGTTTTATCGTCGTGATCTCGAAACCTTCGTTCCCGTTCACGCGGTGCTCGGTGTGAATGGGATGACCTGCGGTGTGGAGACTCGGATCGGCGAGATCGTTCAGATCGTTCACTGCGGTGGGATCTAGACGTGCGTTCTTTGCGTGGGGACCGACTGCGAGACTTTGAATGGGATCGATCTTTGTCTCGCCGGTCTTTGTGAGAATAATGGTGTCTATGGCGTTCTCGTCGCCGCTCGGTTCGGTCCCTATCGGGCTCTCTAGATCTTTCTCTATATCCATCCCTCCGCCGATGCCGCCGTGAACGGTCTCTGTCAGTGGATATAGAGCGACTTCGACGTCTTCGTCGATCCTCGCGAACTTCTTTGCGTGGTCTCTCCAAGTCTCGGGCGCGAGACGGGTCTTGCCCCGATGAGCGAGCTGTTGATTTTGTAGCGGTCGCAGACTGCTCTTTCAGTTGGCGCATGCGTTCCCTGGCTTCCCTCTCTTCTTTGCGCTTGAGTGCGGTATTATGGTTATCGGTCTCTTTGATAAGATGGCGAAGGAATCGTGTGTTTGGCTTAGGAGCATTGCTTGCAGATCTGGCGTTCCGTCAGTACCGTAGCTTTTAAGGCTGGACGGGTTGAAAAATACCTACTTGCGGGACATATATGCGCCTAACCCTTCGGTCGAGTACTTCTGAGAGCTATCCCGCGCCTCTTTGGCAAGAACCTCAGCCACATAAATGTCATCCATGTTGGAAAGCGGACGAAAGCGGCAGTGTGAAATGAAGGACACCACGTCCACAGCAGCAGAATCAGAGACAGGTTAGACAGTTAGGTCAAGACTATCACGCCATCATAAGCAGCAAGCCTGTAATCTAGCTGGGCACCCCTTGCATTGCATCATGTGGAGAAAAGAAATATGGCAATTGCACCTTCCAGATCGTCGATTGGTCTCTTACCGCCTTCTTATCGCGATAAGCCAAAAGATAAACAACGCCCTCACGATTGCAGCGTAAAAGACATCCTCACCATCCCCGTACGACACTAGCACACGTTTGTTCTAGGACAGTATCCGCTAAAAATGACAGATAACGTATCAGAAGCATTGGCAGTTCTGCAGCAGCTCCAACAGGAGCAAGGCGATTTGAAGCAGCACCTCAGTATCATCCGGATCGCAGAACCCATCTCGGACGTCGGCGACGCGACCTTCTCGCCTTCAAAGCGAGGATCAGACGTCTCATTGTCAAACCTGAATGATCCAACCCCTGCCTCGCTCGAGGCTGACTTGACACACTACAAGGTCTGCTACCCGCCTTTCCTTCTTCTTTATTGCCTAGGATCGCATTCGCTAACTTCTCGGTGGTTCTACAGGAGCTTTTCTCCAAATTGCGATTCTCCTATCTCGAGCAAGTCACCAAAGAAAAGTTTCTCCGAGCGATCGTAGGCGATCCACCCCTCGTAGTGGGTCACAATGAAAATGTGGAGTTAGAGACACAACTGGCGGAGGTGAAGGCAGAGCTCAAGGCACGGAAAGAAGAAGCCCGCATGATGATCGAAGAGATGGAGAAAATGAGCCGTGACCTGGCCAGCCGTAAGCTCTTATTGGAAGGGAATTCTATCCACACGAAGAGGCCGCTAATAATATGTTTGCGACAGGCTACAAGAACGTCAAAGTCCAAGAAGCGCAGCTCGCAAGTCTGCCGGAGTCAATTGAGAACCTAGAGGGCACTATTGCGGGCCTTCGCGCAAAGCAAGTCGCCAATATGGATACGTCGGATCCTCGATCGTCTCAAAATCTGCCTCTCCCTGCCACTATGGAATTACTCTCGGACCGCGAAGCAGAATTAGCTGCGCTTAATCGCCAGATTGCTGCGGTCCAGAACTCCTTGCCTCGTAAGACTCGGGAAGCTGAGGCGATTGAGAGGGAGTGTACGATGCTCGAGCGGCGGAAGATCGAAGCCGTTGCACAGGCACGCGAAGCGAGACGGAAGAAGCAGGAGGGTGAGACTGACGGCACTGAAGAAATGGGTCGGTGGTACCGCAGTGCAGAGGAGACATTGAAGGAGATGGTTGGTGTGGAGGGATGAAAATGCTCCGATATTGATCGACGAAGACATGACCGAATGATATGGTAATGGCGTTTAGGACTATAACTGTACTTTTACACTGGAAGCCTGGTAGGCTGGATACAGAATGAATTACATGGTATGCAGAGATTCGGGTTCGAATGGAAGCCATTTTCAGGCTGGTGTTTTATTCATTCGATTCGCATGATCATACAACATAAAGCGCTAGATGCTGCAGCCATCAGGACCCCCAGAATTTTGATCTGCCCAAAGCGAAACCCGACCGGACGCCCCGTTGTCTTTTTTAGGTGCTAATTTACTCCTCATCCTCCTCAGCCTCCTCACCGTCACCACCACCGGCGGCGGCAGCGGCCTTCTTGCGGCGAACACGGCCGGGACGGCCACCACCGAAGGGCGAGGTGAGAGCGAAGTCGATGTGCTTCTGGGAGTCAAGGCGGACCATGAAGGAGGGAACGTTGACGATCTGCTTGCCGACACGGATGTGGCGCTGCTTGATCAGGACACGGGCGTGGTGGATGGACTTGGCGAGGCCAAGCTTGTACACGCAGGTCTGGAGACGGCGCTCAAGGAAATCCTCGACCTTAAGGGCAAGGACGTAATCGAGCTTCATGCGGGACTCGTCGAGAACACCAATGCGCACAAGACGGCGAATCAGGGCGTTACCCTCGAACAGACGCTTGGGGTCCTTCTCATCGAGAGTGAGCAGCTCACTAGCGAGATGTTAGCCTTTGCATTCCCTTCGACGATCCAATTGTTCCTCCACATACCGAGCAGCACGACGAATCTTGGACAGGGTAAGCTGGACACGCCAAACCTCACGCTTGTTGCGGAGGCCGTACTCGCCGACAACCTTCAGTTCCGAGTCACTAGAAAAAGGTTAGTTGGAACGTCACGACATAAACAGAAGCACGCTTCTGATCAGTGGCCGGAGAGTACTAACAGACGGGCCGACTCGAAGGCTGCAATGGAAGTTAGCGATTGGACTTAAGAGATTTGGTGGGATATTCGAAATTTCACTTACGGCGACGGGGGACCTTGTAGGTCTTGGAGTAAACGCGACTATAATTTCAACGGTCAGAATAATGCGACAATGCATCTCCGATGATATCTGTATACTCACGGGGCCATGGTTGCTGAGTTGTCGCGAAGTTGAGCACACTACGAGGAAACGTCCAAAGTTCGAAAAGCAGAAGTTCAACTCCGTAATCGCTTATTCCACACTAGTCCGTATTGGGTTATATTGGCTTCCCGAGGGCTTAGGGCTGGCTGGGTCACGGATCCCACGGACCCACATATCACATGACGCGCACAATAATCGGGTCTTGTGCTTCAACCTTGATCAAAGGCCCGCTGTCGCCAATTCTCACCACCAAAACCAAACACCAACACCGTCGCCATGCCTCACTCGTACGGTCTGCGTGCCGGCACCCGGGTACGTCGCCATCAATCTCTTGCTAGAATCTCTGCGACTGGCCGATTTACGACCTTGTCGGAGGAGGAACGAAAAATGAGGAGAGAACGACCAAACTGACGAGATGAACAGTATGCCTTCAGCCGCTCCTTCAAGGAGCACGGTATGATCCGTCTGTCTACCTACATGAAGACCTACCGGTACGAACGACTCCAAACTCGATATTTTATGTGAAAATTCCAAGAAATGGAGGTTCTGACAAATTTTACAGTGTTGGCGATATTGTCGACATCAAGGTTAACGGTGCCGTTCAGAAGGGGTCAGTACAATCCGAAGTCCCCTTTGATTTTTTTTTTTCGCCCAATTTCTTGCAATGAGCAACATGAATTTCGCCAAAGACATGCGACATGCACACCCATATGCTCTTTGATTGGAAAACAGTAACTGAGACTTTGAACAGTATGCCCCACAAGGTTTACCACGGTAAGACCGGTGTCGTCTACAACGTCACCAAGTCCTCGGTCGGTGTCCTCCTCTACAAGCGCGTCGACAACCGCTACCTCGAGAAGCGCATCAGCGTCCGTATTGAGCACGTCCAGCACTCCCGCTCCCGTGAGGAGTTCATCAACCGTGTCAAGGAGAACGCCCTCAAGAAGCGTGAGGCCAAGGAGAAGGGCATCCACGTCCACCTGAAGCGCCAGGCCGTTGGTCCCCGTGAGGGCCACCTGGTCTCCCAGGCCGGTAACGCCCCCGAGACCGTTGTCCCCATCGCCTACGACACCCACATTTAAGGGACTCGCATGGAAAATGGGTCTTTGGGTTCGGTGCGCGTGGTTATTCGGTGTTATTTGAGAACTGGGTTTACGTCGCTTTTTCACGCCGAAGTGGCTGGAACTGGACTTGGGCTGCATGAGACGACGCGTGAAGGGTCTCATGCCCTGGCACATCTCAGGCCTGTGCATAGATTCCCCTGAATGAAACAAAAATCAAAAATTTCCGAGTTCATCTGAATCTTACGATTTATGAAATTTTCAGTTGCATTCACCTGGGCACTGTCCTGTCTGCAAATGTTCTATGTAGTCGGTCCAAGGCCATTTGACACCTCATGGCTCTCACGCCTTATTTTGCACCTGGGCACCAGTCGTACCTATCAAGTCGTAGTTCATGATTCAAATCATTGATCACGAGTCATTATACTAGTAGCGAAATGCAAGCCTTGAAAGATGCGCCAGTCTACTAGTTTCTTTGCTTCCGGGTTATTCTACTGTAGATATTCACATGAACGGATATATCGAGCAATTTCCTGTCTGCTAGCTTTTCATCCACTACAAAAGCCGATTGTCAAATATCAAACTGGAAATCCGTTAGGAAAAAAAAAAAAAAAAAAACTTGTCTTAAAAGAAGACCCGAGGAAGGTCGGCCTGCCTTCCACTTCGTAAACGGTATGCACACAGGTGTGTAATTTCAAAGCATCTCAATGAGGATATATAAAGTAGACCCGAGGTGCTTCCTACCCAACCCAGGTATCCAACATCATATTCTTATATATATATGTGTAGGTCCACAGTAGCAAGGGCTTTATTAGGAATGGATGGCCCGATGTGCCTCCTGGGCAGAGCAAGTGATATGTTTAATATGGATGCTGTTAGGACCATAACTCTCCCGGGCAGGAGCGTAGCCAACTGAGTCAAAAGACTAATTATATCCGCAAGCTACGGATATGCCCGGGTACCGATTGATATAGTAGCGCACTATGTGTTCGCGACGTAACAGATGCTTTCGAGGACCCGGATAAACATGCATGACGATAATATTTATTGGATTTTGCTTCTTTGTGTGCAACCTTGAAAGTCTGCATACGTTGCTCAAGAATCTCCAAGGAATTTGCCCAGTCCTCGAAGACCACATGGGCATTGGCATTTATCCGAGTCTTCTTGCACTAAGCACTACGGTAGTGAAGCAGATGGGAAGGCCCCGATATCACCGTCGGCCTAATATCGGGTTTATGCGTAACTTTTGATCTCGAATCTGAAGCTCGGCCCTCATCAAGTCGAGTAAATCCCTTCCATGGTATCCCGCCAATGACAATGTACATTGATGTGCAGATGCAATCCCAATTTACTGGGAAATGTCCACGTTTGAGGCACGATCTGCGTATGACAGCCGAGATGACCGGGATGGGGCACCGAGCTATGTCGTGAGCTCATGATACATATTCTTCGCGGACCATTCAAGACGCAAAAGTCAACTAGTTCAGGGCTCGGACCATCATTTCAGTTGGATAATATCACACATCTCCACTTGAGTCACGGTGATATCGTCTCGATAGTGAGCGGTGAGGTCCCAGTACGCGAGGTCTGCACGGCTGCATGTCTAAAACCAAAGGAGAAGGAACTTTTTATGAACTAGTCAGTAGGTCCGTGGGTTGTGCCACCATACAGTAATTGCCGAATGTGGAAATTTCCTGAAGAAACTTGATCACAAGGCGGAGTCAACGCAAAGTAGTGTAGATTTAACACGGCAGCCGACCTCCACAAAAAATACAATATGTTACATCCGCTCTCATGTATTTCCTCCAATCCTCGACGACACACACCCACGCCGGAGATATATCCTCGAAGGATGACAGATTACCTTGGTTCATTTCCCCCTGAGAGAACATCCGACGTATCACAATCTGAGTCCTCAGCAAGGGACCTGTGCCCTCAGATGTGGGGCGCAGATCGGGTAGCCGGTACTTGGCTCACACGATCACTCCAAACCTCAAAAGAAGTACCGGTTACTTTTTCGCACTTGGTGCGACCGGGATCGTATCAAGGGGCTGACGCGTACAGCCCTATTCTCCTGCAAGGGGAGTCTCTCTGATTTGAACACTGCGATAAACCATGAGGAGCATAATCGATCTACCGCTGCAGGTCCCCGACGGATCGTCTCATATTCAGTTTTCCATGTCGTGCTTGTATCCATGTTGTACTCGAGCTTCACGAGATGACTCAGGATCCGCTCTGCTGATCAACCCCCGCAGATTTCTCGGGCACTAACATCAATAGTCTGAATGATATTGCCAAGCAACAGATTTGCACCAAGCCGACTGCCGAGGGAAGTCGTGCGCATGATGGCATCACGCCCACCTGGCACCTTCCCCACGATGTATTGCTTGCCTGATGAACAACGCTATGAACCGTACATTTCTTGCACTCATCCGTCATTTGGAGCCATGCAGACGTTCGTTCATCTATTTTATCCACATCACACTCGTTTTCTCCGCATCTTTATTTGCGCCATCCCGTGTGCTCTGTCACCTGCGAGCTGCTCAGCCAAACGCTAAATACGCTATCTTTACTCGCTGACGCCACTGTCGTCGATCTTGCATGGACCGCTGCTTGTTCCATGCGACCTGGGATATTACTTTCGTTGACCGCATTTCACTCGCTCGGAGTTAGTCCAATTAGTCCCAATTCAAGTGAACCCCCTATCCTACCCCTGCACTGCGATGGATCTTGCCAACCCCTCACATCACGTCTTCCCATCCCTTGCCATATGGTCGATGAGGCCGCATGAGATCTCATTGTTCGGGCACTGACGGAAATCAGCCGACTTGTGCGCTCGGAACTTTCGACCCATGCAGGTCTGCTGCTCGGTGAAATCACCCCATCGCATTAGATTGTTTTCCTTTTCTTTTGGCCGTAGAGCGGAGCATTCTGGCATGCGGGCCTGAGACGGACCTATAAGGTTCCCCTTTTTTTGTCTTGCTCGGCTGGCAGCTCGACTATAAAAATGTCCCTGGCATTCCTGTAAACACAACGTCGATCCTTTCTGCAACTTGCTCTCCACACTGCTCGTGCAGCTTGCTTTCGGAGCTTCCCATTATTTCGCTCCTGTTTACGTTTGTTTTCACTCCTTTCGACAAATAAATATCAGAGGACAAGCTCCTGGGTTAATCGCTTTGATCCCGTCCAATCCTTTTTCAACGGTAACTGGCACAATGCAGCTGTTTCATCTCGGGCTCCTAGTCGGGTCCCTTGTGGCTTCGGTTGGCGCAACGTCCACCTTTTCGCCTGCTCGTCCACCAGCTGTGCCTTTGGCTGTCAAGTCGCCGTACCTCAGCACCTGGCTCGACGTTGGCACCGACGGTGGTGATGGTGGGTACCTGGCTGGCGAATGGCCGAAGTTCTGGGAGTAAGTTTGGGATCTGCAATGATGCTCAAACCATAACTAAAGTGTGTTACGCGGATAGGAACCAAATAACTGGATGGTGTGGCTTGGTTCGTGTTGACGGAGTAGCCTATACTTGGATGGGCCTGCCTGGATCCACGACTGTCAACCAAACCGCGCTGGAGTACACTTCCACCAAAAGCATCTTCACCATGAATGTTGCTGATGCGGTGGAAATGAATATCACCTTCATGTCACCAATTACGCCTGGTGATCTTACTCGTCAATCCCTTGTTTTTTCCTACCTGAACGTTGAAGTGTCATCCCTTGATGGCAAGGCCCATGAGGTGCAGGTCTACGCCGATATTTCTGCTGGTAAGCCCCTGTTCTGAGAGGTTCCAATTGCAATTGGGACATACTGACATGGACAGAATGGGTATCTGGCGACAGAAGCGCAATTGCTCAATGGGAGTATGGCACAACTGGTGATATCGCTTATCACAAGGTCTACCGTCAGACTCAGCTTGCATTCTCCGAGGTTAACCAGCAGGGCGAGTGGGGCAACTGGTACTGGGCCACCGATGTCGCCGATAGCACGACTCATCAGTCAGGCGAGGATACCGTTGTGCGTGGACAGTTTTCGTCCAATGGCGTCCTCACCAATGGTGTTGATACCAACTACCGCGCTATTCAGGATAACTGGCCAGTGTTTGCATTTGCATCCGACCTAGGCTCCGTGTCCTCGTCTCCTGTCAGCACGCTTTTCTCCATTGGTGTCACCCAAGATGAGGCAGTCCAGTATGAGGGTGCTTCTGCCTATGCTCCCGTACAGTCCCTGTGGAAGGCGTACTTTGACACCGAGTTGGAAGCTTTGTCGTACTTCCACAAGGACTTTAGCGATGCCAGCGCCCTGTGCAGTACGTTCGATAGCAAGGTGGCCGCGGACTCAACTGCTATCGGCGGCACCGACTATCTCGCGCTTACTTCTCTTTCGGCACGACAAATGTTAGGTGCTACTCAGCTCTGTGGAACGGAAGACGCGATGTACCTGTTCATGAAGGAAATCTCGTCCGATGGAAATCTCAATACCGTTGATGTCATGTTCCCGGCTTACCCATTTTTACTCTACATCAACCCAGAATATCTCAAGCTGATTATGGCTCCGCTGTATGAGAACCAAGAAGCTGGAAAGTACCCCAATGATTGGGCTATGCACGACATGGGCTCCAACTACCCAAATGCTACCGGTCACAATGATGGCAGCGATGAAAAGATGCCTTTGGAGGAGTGTGGAAACATGGTTATCATGACCTTGGCTTACGCGCAAAAGGCCAAAGACACGGATTATTTAGCCAAGCACTACGACTTGCTCACCCAGTGGACCGAGTACCTTATCGCCGAGGCGCTGTACCCTGCAAACCAGATTTCGACGGATGACTTTGCTGGATCCCTGGCGTAAGTAACTCGAGCTACCGTTTCAACCAGAAATCCAGGACTGACGATTATTAGAAACCAAACCAACCTGGCTCTGAAGGGTATGATTGCTATTGAGGCTATGGCTGTCATTGCGAACGAGACCGGCCACACCGCCGATGCCGCCAACTATTCTAGCATTGCCCATGACTACATTACCAAATGGCAGACCCTGGGTATCAACCATGATGCCTCCCCGCCCCATGCCACCTTGAGCTACGGCAACACCAGCAGCCACGGTCAGTCAAGTTGTGAACTTTTTGGAAAATACATGCGCTGATGATGTCTATAGGCCTTCTGTACAACCTCTACGCTGACGCCCAGTTGGGCCTGGGCCTCGTGCCGCAGTCTGTTTACCAGATGCAGAGCAACTTCTACCCTACAGTGTTCAATACTTATGGCGTTCCCCTTGACACTCGCCACACTTACACCAAGAGTAAGCCCACTTCAAATATATTTCCGCCCGGATGCTAACTTGAACATAGGCGACTGGCAATCATTCGTCGCAGCTATCGCGTCAACCGACACACGAACCCAGATCTTCGAACACCTATTCACCTGGATCAATAATACCCCAACAAACAAGGCCCTAACCGACCTTTACGACACCATCACTGGAGAGTACGTCATACCGACCATTGCCCTCGTAACTCAAACTAACAAGACACAGCTATACCTCCGCAAACTTCTTCGCTCGACCCGTAGTAGGCGGGCACTTCGCGCCCCTCCTAGTCACCGCGTAAAAGACCATCACCTTCGCTTCTTGTGCATTTATTTATTTGTTAACTTGATCTCATGTCGTTCCTCTCCTGACAATCCGCCTATCATCATTGATTGTGAGTTGGATTGTCGGAGTCCTGATTTGGTCAATCTGGACAGGCTCGACGACGCGCTGGACGTCATCCACTCGTTTTTTGGGCATTTCACGCCATTTTGAGGCGTGGAATATCCTTTTATCCTTTCTTGCATGCATCCCTGATACCCATCCATAAAACCGTCTGCTTTTACTCGACGGCCATGTGCGTTGGTTTGTTCCTGGTTCCTTGGGCCTGGGGTTTTCTTCTCTATACATATTCAATTTTACTTTTTGATGAAATATTCTTCCCTCCGTAAGTAAAACTGGTGCTTTGGGGTGCTGCTGGATAGTAATCTTAACTTAGCGTGAAGGGAGAGAATAGGTTTAGAGGTGTTTGGGTAGCCATTCGATCGGCCACAGATCACGTGCTCCACACAATTGCATGACGTGCATCGAACCAGGACCTACCCACTTAAGCGAACAATTTTCGAAAATAATATAGTACTCCATGTAAGACCTCGTTACCGTCTTGTAAAATGCCATGCATCAACAAATCCAACCGAATTGCATTTTATCTCCCTTTCTACTACTTACGTTACTACATCCATTCGTACGTTCGTCAACTCATCAACTGGAGCGCAGCTCCATAACGGAAAACCCAAAGCTAAGATGACTCTTTGGTTCCCAATATAACCTTACTCTGAGTTCTGCTCCCATTCATCGAACGAGCGGATCAAATCTAGACAGGCCATTAGCAAAACCAATAACAGCACGAACAGATGGACCCAAAATTAGTAACATACCATAGTAAAGCATCATACCCTCCAAATGCGCATCTAAATGCATCCGCTCATCAACAGTATGAATATTTGCTGATCCACCCGCTCGAGACGGACTCCAGCGATAAATGTTCTCCGAAAGATCCCAATAGAAGCGCGTATCAGTATTTCCAGTCATGACATCACCCGAAACAACAACAGTCGGGTTAGACTTCTCCTCAGACTTGAGCAGAGGATTCGGGTGCGATTCAAACACGCTCCGCGCCACGCCCGAGAAACGCGCCCACGTCTTCGAGGTCAGCGGATCAGTTGGGGAGATCGGTGCAGGAACCAAGGGGTCACTTAGAGGCGAGAGGGAGAGAGTACGATCTCCAGCGACGACGTCAGGCATGGTGGCGATCTCAACACCGGGATAATCGATTGATACCGAGACGTTGTGCTTGGCTGCGATGGGGGTGATTAGGCGGACTGCACGCTCGAAGACCAGATCGGGCGTTTGGTGTAGTGCGACCCGGTAGTTTACCACGGCTGAGATTTTCTCTGGTAGAGCGTTAGTCTTCACGCCACCGTGAATCAGGTCCGCGGCCTGCGATGTCTGGAGTGTATAGCGGACAGCGGGACCACGGGACTGCGCGACTGATTCGGCTAGAGCGGCGGCGTCGCCTGCGGCTAGTTTGGTCGATAGCCAGGATTCGACGTGCGATGGCGAGTACTGAGCTTGGCAGGCTAGCATCCCGAATGCAGGATGAGACTCATCTAGCCAGGCTGTGAAGAGATCTTGGCGTTCAAATTCGTAGAGGATCTCGGCCATAATTCCGATGCCTGTGTGTGCCGGTGGGACGGAGCTATGGCCGCCTGGGACGGCGAGCTCCATTACTAGATCTAAGCTACCCTTCTCGCCGACGCCGGGCAAGGCGTAGAGGACTTCGCCATCATCAGCGGCGGAACCGAGACTTTGGAGTCCCATGCCGCCTTCATCGAGGATGAACTCGAAGCTGTCTTTACCGTATTTCGCTTCTAGAGCGGGCGCGATTGAGCCTGCGCCTAGCCAGCCGTGGGATTCCTCGTCGTACCCGAATGCGAAGAGGATTGTGCGGGTTGGACGCCAGTCCTGCGTGAGGAGGTCTTCCAGTGTAGACATCAGTCCTATCAGCACGTTCTTGCAGTCGCTTGAACCGCGGCCCCAGATCCATTCGCCGTCGAAGTGGCCTGAGAAGGGCGGGTGGGTCCAGTCGGATGGGTCGTCAATTGGGACTACATCTTGGTGGGCCATGAAGAGAATCGGTTTGCGGGTTGTATCTTTGCCTTGGAAGGTGAAGACTAGACCGAGGCGGTTGATGTGGTCGAGCTCAGCATGGGCGTGTCTGAAGAATTGTCAGTCATAGTTTTGTTTAAGCTGTGTTTCACATTTCAACTTTATTAATTTAGGAACTTACACTAGGGGAAACATCTCCTGTAACAACTTCTGAAACTCCACTACCGGCTCGAACGCCTCGTCGTACGGGTCTGTGGCATAGTCTCCGACTGTTGTGGGGACTTGCACGGCCCGCGAGAGCCTATTTGCCTGACGGGCACGGAAAGCTGCATCCTCGAGGAAGATCATTGCAGAGTGCAGTCCGTCATTTGGGGTTGCAACCTTCTCTGCCTGGGGACAGGTCTCCCGGGTAGAGGGGTTGGCTGCATTATGAGACTCTGGGAAGAGGATCTGCTGGGACGGGATGTTCAACGCCAGGGTGGATGGCAGAGATGCCAAGCTGAGAAGCGTGATCGCCTTCATTGTGATTGATATACTCGAGACTCGAGAGGTTACACTTGAACCTGCAGGAGCGAATGTTTATATGCAATTGCACCATGGTCGCTATCTTATCTTCCCCTCACGCGGAGGATGCCGCTTTTTGCCCCATTTGGTAGTTGTTTTGAGGGTTTGCCGATGAGTCGGCAATGTTTATCGTATAGGTCATGTTGGAATTGATAGAGTGAAGAATTGATCCGGTACAAGCTAGTAATTAGTTTAATAAGTGTTGTGAGAAATTGGTAGGCGTAGCGAATACTCAATGGCCGTGTTTACCAAGAAAGCCGAGGGTTTGGTTCCTGAGCGGGTGGAACCGAAGCTAAAAACCGGTGCACACAGAATCCCAAGCAACAGTCAGGTGTGATCTACCTTGTGCTTCCTTTCTTTATGTATGTTCTCTTCCTTCAACGTCACTCGTCCTCCACCATAGCCGATCCCCATAAAGGGGTGAAAGGGGCTGCCCCAAAAATGCACACAAACACCTCCAAAATCCCCACAAATGGGGCTCCAGACGGACCCGAACCGAAAATGTGGCAAATCACTCGCAAGCCTTCACCTTTTCCTCGCTTGACTCGTTCGTCAAAGAAGTGACGCACCCACTCTGGGGACGACGATCCCACGACGATCACGCCCCAAGCCAATAAGGCGCCACACAGAGTTCAATAGACCCTCCAGCCTAGTGTTTCAGGGCAAATCGTTCTTGCTTCACGTCATCGTCCCCGTTTCATGATCCATCAAGAATGGGTCCACGGGTTCATAGGCTAGCAGGGCTTGGAGATGTCAGACCCTTTTAAGTGAGACATAAGCGACTGTAGAGCTTCGGATTTTTCCTTCGTTTCCTCACACTTTCTCGCTCTCTATCCTCTTCACAGTACTGTCTCGCTGGTCGTTGCATACTTCTGTCGTTTCATCCGCGCATTCCGTATACAACATAACTTTCGTTATACACACAATTACTCTCCTTCATAACTTTTATCGACTTCCCTTTTCATACTTCCAGTATGTATCAGTCGCTCCTCGCTTCGATTGCCCTTATCCCGCTTGTGACAGCTGTCTCCAGCTCCCTCGGTTGCTATTCCTCCGTGCCCAACCTCAAAGATGTGAAGCAGTACACATTCCAATCGCACGGATTCTGCCTCAACCAATGCACTGAAGCTGGCTTCCATATTGCCGCTTTGAAGGACGGCATTACTTGTGGTTGTAGCAATACTATCCCGCTATCCTCCGCAAAGCTCGACGACGACAAATGTGATCAGTACTGCGCAGGTTGGCCTGAGGATAATTGTACGTTGTTGCCTGGAACCCCAACAAACCTTCCAAATTGATTCTAATGTATCTCATTTAGGTGGCGGTATCAATGTCTACACTGTTCTCACTACCGGCGACTACGATTCCGACTCCGACTCCGACTCCAATTCCAACTCCACTGTCCCCGCTGAAACGGGTCGCAATATTGTCGCTCCAACTGTCAACCCCTCCTCCATGCCGACCAACATCCTCACTGCCCCTTCCTCCATGGGAACTAAGGCGGGTATCACTGCCCTCCCTTCCGCTGCCAAGTCCAATGCTGCTTCTGCTGGTATCGCTGCTGTTACTTCGACCGTGACGCCTTCTGCGACACCCAATGCTGCTGCTAATACATTGCGCGCCGGATCTATGGCCGGTGTGCTTGTCGCTGGCTTGGGCTTGTTGCTGTAAGCGTATCATTGGATGGGATGTTTTTGTTAATGCTGTTACCGTAGTACTGCATATTACAATAGACCTATACGCTCCGGTCCTACTGGTAGGCTGGTGGGCTTAATTGGGAAGCTATTGTTCGCTGGACTGCACCGGACTCGCAGGCGGGTTCGGATTTGTTCAGTTTGTCTGGGATTTGATTTGAGGATGTCTCCTGGCCAGTTCTGCTCGGACTAACTTCCCTTGGGCTGTATTACTTACATTCATTTGAGACTCTGTACATGGGATCTTTAGATTAGACTTAGTCTTCCGAATGGACTTCGATATCCTTCGGCCATCATTCCCGGTAGATGACTTGTTCTCAGGGATGTAGGGTAATTTGTGATGTAGAAAGAGGGCCATAAGCATTAGGCTAAATAGACGGTATCCACCCGAGAGTATTAATAGGCAATATAGACAAGCGAAAGTATCGACCGGAAATCAATGAAGGCAAAAGCAAATCCTGAGTAAACCCCGTGAGCAAAACCCAACCCCATTGGTATCATGCACACCGCTAAAAAACAAGAGCAAGAAGATATTCAAGCCACCGCCAAGAATATAGGGAAACTGGAGAGCCTTTGCGAGAGACCGGAGCTCTGAGAAGAATCAGTATGACACCTTGGAAGCCTTGGCGAGTCCCGGAGGAAGAGGTTGTCCGGCCCTGTAACACCGATGTTAGTATCAAGTACAGGCAAGCGAAGGGAAAAACATACTTCTGCATACGCCTCTTCAGAACACGTGCACGATCCTTGATATCAATTTGACTGCGCTGCCTCAAAGCGAAAACAGGCCCGCCATCACTTTCGGGACAAAGGCTGTCTTCCTTGATGATCGTGGCCCAGGAGGTACCATGAACAGCCATTCCTTGGATTAGTCGATCATCTTCTTCTTGGGACCATTTGCCACCTTTACCAGGAGCTGTTTGTCCGCTGACATTTCGGGCTGACCAGGAAGACTGTACAATAGGCTGAGCGAGTGAAGTAGATGCCGGTCGGGGCATTGCTGTAGTTGTTGGTCGAAGTGGTGGCGGCATAGACGAGGAGACTGTGGATTGCCGGGGTGAAGACTGGGATACAGGCACATCCTGACTTGAGGCCATAAGTTGCTGTTGGAGTTGGTGGTTTGCTTCAGAGCCACTGTCGAGAGTGGTAGAATGTTCCTCACGCGGGGGAGCACGTTTCTTTGGCTGTGGTTTTGTGGCTCGCTTTGCGTCGACATCGATGGGACGTGCATGTTGCTCAAATTCATCCCCGGACTCTTCATCATCTGTTTCCTCCCGAGGGCGTTTCTTGGAGTTGAGGGCGTTGGTTTGAGCTGCTCGTTTTTCTGCACTCTGACTCTCGGCTTCGTCATCGATGGGGGAAACTCTCATGGCGCTCTTCTGCCGATCGAAGATGGTCCGTTGCGGTGTTTGAACAGACGGCCCTTCCCCAGTTTTCTGGGTGGTTTGGTCGTTTTCATGCTCGTCGCTTGTCAATGGGGGTGCCCGAAGTCGACTTGGGCCTGGGGTATCAACCTGGTGGCTGGGGTTGTAGCTCACTTGCCTTGTTCTGGCAGAGCCAGGAGGCGTTGTTGATTGATCTGGATTGCCACTGAGATCAAAAAAGTCGTTCGTAGAATCATTGGTATAATCATCGCCATGTTGATCTGAGGTGGTTTCCTCGTTTCTGGTGGAAGTTGGTGCTGCCGGTCGCGGTTCCGGACGGAATGAACTCGACGTGACGCTACTCAAACGTTGTTTGAGACGAGTGATAGAGTCCATGTTCAAGAATTGGCCTTTGGCTGATTTCCTTCGATTGGAATGTGAAGCCGCTGGCTGTTTGCCCAGGCTAACTGGACTGGGCTGCCCAACAGATTGTTGAGGTGAGCCTGAAAGCGTAGGCTCCGTAGCAAGTGATCTATGCTGTGCCGACTGCGACGTCTGCCGAATCAACTGGTTCCTCGTGGGACTGGGCTGTCCAACAGACTTTTCAGGTGAACCTGAAAGTGTAGTTTCCGTAGCAAATGACCTTTGCTGTGCGGACGGCGACATTTGCCGAACCGACTGGACCCTCACGGGACTCTGATCATCTAATAATGAAATTTGTAATGACGATTCATCGGCGTTGGAAATACTGGACTCCTGCTCCGTATGTTCCTCATCGGGTGTGGTTTCACCCTTGATTCTCCTTTCAAGAAGATCATGGACATCATCAAAGTTTGCCTGAACTTTCAAGTCACGTCGGATTTCCTTATCCCGAGTGTGAAGAAAACGGGCTGTGCGCAGAGAGAACCTCTGCCAGGAGAAGGCAGCTCTCAGGCCTTTCGCATTGGGAGCGCCATCATCATCGAAGAGGCCGAGTTCTAGTTCCCCCATACGATCCAGGACAGAATCGTGATACCGGTCTGGAAGACAGCCGTTCTCATCCCTGAAGGCTGCTTCCAAAGAGAATCCTCGAAGCCAGCGAGAATCCAACTCGCCGCCCTCGTGTCTCGTTTCGTCATAGAATACTGACCGGAGAAGGTGATTTGGCTCGAAGCCCTTTTCGGTTTGAAGTTGCTCAAATTCCATGATGAAATACTGGGTTCGGATATCAAGCGCAAGCTCCCAGGCAGCCTTTTCAGCCGCACTCGACCCGATCGGGTTGGAATCACGGCCGTTGACAAACTGATCTAAGAACGGGGCGGGGAACTGGCTGTTGAGACTTTCAACCACCTGTTTTGCCGAACCTGAATCAGCAGTTGACAACAGAACCTCAATGGCCAACCTGGCGCAGTTCGCGCTGTGTAGTGTCGGGGAGGGGCTCCACGGCTGATGATCTCCCCCTGCGGCGATAGAGGGAATCAAACTTCGGATATGAGGGACATCAACGAAAGGCAGATCGCCATACAACTTCATCCTCTCAATAAGCTTTTTGCAGTGCGATTTGAGCCGTTTGTTTTCTTTGCTTGCGAGACCAGCTACTCGCATGCGCTTCGCTGCGTTCACAATCCCTATTGGATCTGATTGGTTGGATACCAACAGGCTCATTAAGCTGGAAGCTGCTTGCTGGAGATCTGGGAGCTCGTCGAGCATGGTAATGGGGTCGCCAGAAGCCTCATCATCGTCATCTGAGTCGAGGTCGTCTGCCTCCAGGAATGTGGTACCGGAGATATTGCCGTTCTCCTCTAAAGGCTCGGGCGTCCCCAATATCTCAGGCGATCCATTCTTGGAGATAGATGTCTGTCGTGAAGAGATTGGTGTATCTTCAGTGACAGTATTCAGTCCTGAATGGGTCAGTATGTTTCATGAGTTTGTTTAATTGAAGAAAAAAAGAGATGGAGTGAATGTGAATCAAAGTATTGGGAAGAACATTGTTCTAGCGAAATGAACAAGCGAGTATGATGGTTGGCATGGGACATGTATGTACTTCATATAACGAACCCACAAGTGAATTCCACGCAAATCACAGACCAAAAGGAATTATAAAAAAGGGGGAAATATTTCATACCGTTAAAAATACCATCTCGCGTCGCAAAATTTCTCGCGCCCTTCACAGAGACCTTCTGATAACTCGGGTCTTGAGACTGGCTCCGGGTTACTCGTCGAGGCGGCGTGGGTCCGACCGGACCAGCCCTTGCCATCGTGGGCGGTGAGGTGTTAGCACGCGTCGTTTGTTTTGGTTTGTTTCTTGGCCGGGCCAGTCAGTGCGAAATTGCCGACTGAGCATGAAAAGGGTAGAAGATCAAAGACGGGAGGTCACTAAGATTTCATTTCAAGACGGTTGACGCGAAGATTAGTTGAAGGGGAAGTGTCATGATCAGGAGATTGCGACCGGGAGGAAGATTCAGGGTAAAGTTTTCGGAAATACTACGTATCACCCTAGAGTCATACAGGTTTTCCTAATGTAGTTTAGCGTACCCTAACCACCCTAACCACCCTCACCGGGCCAATGTAAATCCGGGCCGTGCATATGGAAGGATTGTTGAATGGTAATTCTGGTCGTTTACGTAGACCAGGTACGATATTATTTCATTAAACAGTATACAACAAACCGTTTCAACTTTTACATCGACATGCACCGCCCAAAACTCGCAGACAAGAAAGACCGGGAGCGTATCTTGCACCCATGCAACCTATTAGTACAACGCCTCTATGAGGTAGATAATGCCAAAAACGAGGAAAGCAGCAGCTCCACCCAAAGTCACTGTAGGATAATAAGTCGGAGCACACAAGAAATTTCAACATTAGGGCAAAGCTTACCAACACGCATGCTGACCTTTCCAGCAATCGCACGTCCACCAATGACGGCGGCAGCAGTGCAGATTCCGTGGCCAGCGGTCGCTCCAATAGTGACCCACCAGTAATCCTGGCCAGCGGCCATGGCGATGGTGGCGATCTGGCTGCGGTCGCCCCACTCGCCGAGGAAAGTCATGACGAATGTCTGTACCCAGGCTGGGCTAAGAAGAAGAGAGAAAAGGTTGCTCACTCCGACCAGGAAATCGTTCCAGCGACGTTGGGGGCGAGGAGACGAGCCACGGGAGGAAGAAGAGGAAATGCTCTCCGGGGGTGAGGGCAGACGGTTACGGGAACCACGCGACTTGGGAACACGGCCAGCTTCCAGGGAGTGGGGAGTGACGGATGAGCGACGGCGACCCATGCGCATCTGTTCCTGCTCTTTCTCTTCAAGTTCCATTTCAACCTCACGCATTTCCTCGCCAACGCCCTCATCTGGGTCCATCTCGCGGCCTTCCTTGAACATTTTCGCACCGAAGATCAGAAACAGGATCGCGGCCATAAACTTGGTGAGGGTCTTGGGGATCAGGGTAGGAACGGCGTGACCGAGAACAGCAGAGAGGACGGTCATGGTGGCCAGGGCGCAGAATGCCGATGAGAAGACCACCAGACGGGGGTGGCGCATTGCCATGAGTGCGGCGACGAGGAAGGTCTTGTCGCCGATCTCAGATACAAGGATCATGGTGAAAGAGAACATCAGAGAGTGCAGCCCATCGCTCTCCTGGGGAGTACCTGCGGCCTCGGTGGATGAGGAGCCGGGGTATGAGCTTGAGCCGGCGGAGCCATGTTGGATAGACAGAGGATCGTCCTTGGCCTGGGAAGGGGATTTGGGGTGAGGGATATCGTGCGGCTTCTCCGTTAAGTCGGCGGGTTTCTAGAGATCGCGTCAGTACTCCTACTTGTCATTTCCCAGAGAGTAGGAAAGTCTTACCTCCAGCATGCCGAGCGATCCTGCGCCCTCTGCAGCCCGGCTACCGCTGGCCTCTTCGCTGTCCGAAGGCAACTTCTGCTTCTCGCTAGGTGGCAACGGCAGCGCCTCCTTGGGGCTTCCAGGGACCTTGGCGGCATTATAAAGATTCTCTTTCCCCTTCTCCGACACGCCTCCCTCAGTACCACGTGTACCTTCTTGAGGACCCGAACGGTGCGGGTCGTCCATCACGCCACCATTGGAATGTGGGATCATCTTGCCTTCCTCCGTGCTGATGTGGTCCGAAGATGGAATCTTGGAATCATATTTTGTTGATACCAGATCTACATCATCGCTCCCCTTGCTACTTTTGCGGTCTCTCTCAGCGCTAGTTTCTACCCACGGACCGGCATGAGGTCTGCCATCCTTGCCGTCCACGGGGACGTCCGGTGACCCATGAATAGCATTGGTGGATGCAACCGAGTCTGCATCGATATATCGGGTATCAAGAGTTGAGGCTCCACGCGAAGCGGGAGCAGATGGCTCACTGATCGATTTGCTGTTGGTTGCGGCGGTTGACAGCGCGGGAAGGAGGAGAAGGATTAATGACGGAGAATGGATCTTCATAGTGACTGGCGGAGATCGCCGCGGAAAGGAGTGACTGTTAGTTCGAGTTGTTTAAGTGTGAGAGGTTGTCAAGGCAAAGCAGTCAAGTTGACTGGATAAAATAAGTTTGCAGATGCGGTATTAAGACGCCAAGAGACACGGTGTCTCGTGGGGGCGCGAGCAAAACGAATTGAGAAAATGGAGTTGAACAAAACAACAACGGGGAGGCCAGTGTATATGATCCGATTAAGAGTAAATCTCCTGAGAAAACAACACAAGTCTGGCAAATGCAGATCGAAGCAACGGAAATGTTGTTCTGTTGCTTCTTTCTGCAAAGGGGGCGCACGTGACTCTCCACCCGCAAGCGGAGATTATATGAACGCGCGCTGATTCGTCGTCGCGTTCTATTTTCATCGACAAGTCTAGATCTTTATTTCTGAAGATTCAACCCATTCTGCACTTCTATGCGTTGTTCTAGAGCGGATATCACCAATGCTTACGTTCCACCACTGAGCCCACGAGACTTTTCTAGGGATACAGTCAACTTAATAGATATCCATGGGCTAATATCTCAAAAATTGAGCGTTTAGAACATCGGCAGTCTGGACTCCTCCAGTCCAAAGAACGGTGCTCCCCAATGTTATGCTTGGGATACATGGTTCTTTTTGCAGCATCTACGGTAGTCAATTGTTAGAGTAGACTCTAGCGGGCATGTCACTACTCACGGACTGCTGCAAAGAGACTGTCGCATCCTCGCCGTCAGCGCCTCAACTATTGATCAAGCTTAACATCTCCCATCGACTCGATTCCTTCCAGCGCCTGAAGAGCTTTTGACAACTAAGACTGTCACGTGTCAGAGGAGGTCATGATGTGCGCAGGTGACATGAAGATATCAATCCCTACTAGTGCAGTCGATGGTAACTCTTACTCCCACGGGATGAGGAGAGATATTGAAACCCAATTCCTCCCGCCTACTGAGTGTGGTTAGCCCGCAACGAGTGTTGTTCTTCAACAACGAACCGACCTGTACCCTTCAACAACTTCTCTTCCCAACTAACACCATTTCATCAATTGTTTACAGAGGAATTTATGAGAATCGACTGTTCGTTTCAAATTGCCGCGCTTTTTTAAAGGAGCGAAGATCAATATCCATAAGGTCAAGGTCGCTGACAGGGTGTATGAAAGCCATCAAAACATTACTAGAACCCCAAATAATTAATTAAATAAAAATTTCTATCATATACCGGAGTCAACCATGAGAAAATGAGAAGAAATACACATGGTTTCTTGTAATACAAAAAGAAATCTTGATTAATACAACCCCCGAACTGATAGATCAATGTCTAAAATGCACTGCCACTCTTCAGAGCACCAGGGAAATCATTTTGAAGCGCCTCCCAGAAAGGCTTGCCCCCAATCTGAAGGTCCTCAAATGCTGGGCAAGTAAGGTTGAGCAGGGGAACAGCAAGTAAATTAGTGACCCACTCCAGCGGCTCAGCAATGGTTTTGTACAAACCATCAAGCGCATTGGGGCTCCCGAACTTGAGCACTTCAAATACGAAGCATAGCAGGTTGTTACCCTCTAAGAGTGTAGCCAAATTGAGGACACCACCCGTGAGATCGGCCGGGTCAACACCAGCAAAGCTGTTCACGGTTCCAGTGTTTCCTCCAATGCTGCACCTAGTCAGTTTAACAGTTCGAGAAGCATGTCAAAACGGTTAAGTCTTACCTTCCGAGTTGGGGGTATTTCAAGATCCAGTCAATAGTATCCAGGTTTAGTTGAATGAGACCGTAGTCGACAGGAGTCTTGTACCAATTTTCAGGGATTCTCTCCCATCCTTCACGATATGTGAGATTGCCTTCTTCACCGTAGATACCGTAGAAATTGCGGATATGGCCTTTAGCTGAGAGGAAGTTAGTACGTTCCCCATAGAATAAAGCTCCTTCACATATTGTATAACTTACTCAGGACACCCTCGGGATTCTCGCGAGAATGGTTTCGGAACATTCGAGCAGAGAAGATATAACCCGCATTACGGGCAATAAGGCCGGTGACAGGCCCATAGTAGAAGTTAGGGTTGGTTTGGACGCTCTCGTCAAACCGGATCGCTGCGCGCTTAGCCATGAGATCCATGTCGAAGGTACCGTTCGTTGCCATGTTGTACCAAGACATAAACTTGTCCATGTTTAATTTGTGGTTGTTTCCGGTGACGTACAGGTCATCACGAGTGTTGGAGGAATCCGCTTCGATGAAGTTGTGGGAGCCGTCGAGACCGAGAGGTGTGCCTGAGGAACAATCAATACACTGCGGCCAAGGACAAACAAATTGAATAAGAACTATACTGACCCAAAATTCCTCCAAGGTTATCAAGTATATTGTTGACACCGGGATCGACACCTCCGATGGAGAAGCTCGGATCAAGAGAGAGCGCGTCACCAGTCCAGACAGTGCCCATGATTGCAAGGACAGTGGCTAAGTCAACACCCATGCCATAGACTGAACAAGCTATAGTTAATTGTAGAAGCAATTATGATATGATGGAGGCATACCTTCGTTGATAGCAGTGATGGCATTTCCAAACTTGGATACGATTAGTCTAGTCTTTCAATGGGACTTCGAAACTTACCGATACCACACCATTCCGCGGGATATAGCCGTGATTTGCCAGAGCATTGAGTCCAGGACAAGGGCCGCGCTGGTCACCGTTTGCGAAATCCGGAGGATGGAATGCATGCTCTCCGGTGACTATATCCGATATATTAGCCTAGAGCCTGGAACAGGCAATTACTCCACATACTGTCAACAGGGGAATCCATAGTCGAGAAGAGAAAGCGTTTATCATGCTGCACCTGAGGCTGAGGCTTATCACCGGAAAATGGACAGCGCTTGTGAAGTCCTCTATGGACTTGGTCGCTGTGGCTTCCTAAATCTGGGAAGCCAAATGCAGCGGCAGAGAGTGACAACGAGCAGAGCAACTGCCCTGCGCCAATGAAGCGCATATTGGAAGACTGACTTAGAACCTCAATTTAGAGATCTGATGGAAAAAGAAAAGATCGAAGGAATGGCAGTTAATCGACTCGGGATGAAGAAGCAAAAAACATACGAAGAAAGTAACAAATCGCCCGAACTAGACATGCTGATGTATGACTGCCCCCTGAGAGATCTTCGGTGCATGAACCTCGAGCCCTTGTGCAAATATCGCCAAATAGAGCGTGCATGAATGGTCAGCAAGACTCTAGAACGGCGTAAATGAGATGCCCCACATATCAATGGCCGGCATTGTCTCTCGCCCCAAAATGGACGAATATTCGAAGATCTTTCTGATTTTCCAAAATTACCGGGAAAAGTCTTGGAGCCAAAGTGGACAGCCTCCTTCTCGCTAAGAGATTTTATCCAGGTGCACTAGCTCTTCAAACCGATCCCTTCTAATTGAGGAAAATAGTTGCCGTGCCCCGCGTAGTCTCGGATCTAACCTAGACAATGACAGCGCCGATCCAATTCGCTGCTACTAGAAAAAAAGGGGAACGTTAAGAAAACAAAACACCGGACAGGCGCCTCTTTTCTTAGAGTGGAAGGAGAGAGTCAATTAAGTGGGGAAAACGTTGATGGATTAAAGTTTGAGCCAGACACCTGCACGACCATCGGATCTTTCCCGCGTGGCGAACCCTTATTTTTCACCTGCCGTGAAATGCCGGCTAAATTGTGGAAAGGTCAAGGGGTCAAAGTCCCGAGTGCAGATCAGCGGCTTGTCACTTTCCGCTGGAAAGTGGAGCCGCGTCTAGTTTGGTCTCTTTGCTCGCTTGTTTATTGGCACTCACAAGCCACAATGGAGAAGGTCTACAAGCTGGGCGGAAGACAGAACAGGGGTCCCTCGTATTTGTGTAGATCCTAATTGACATACCTATGCCCGATAAAGATCGATTGGGTCTTGTACATATCTTGCGGTGCTTCAGGAGCGGTAGAGTGGATGTCTATGTATCTGTATGTTTGACTGGGTTGACGGAGAAAATGAACTGCTCCATCGAGGCCGCAATTTGTAGTGATCGACAGAGGTGAACTGTTGAACCAATTCCCGGTGTATGGCGACGAGGTTCTAGCCTGACAGGGGTTGGGGAAGGGGAATTAGATGTTCAAAATTGAAATCCTAATAACTCAATCGGAATACATCGATTAAAATGTTTCAGCTACCACATTCTTTGATTTGACCTTAATCTTTTCCCTTGCAACATCTCCAGTCTCAATCTTGACCTCCCCCACGCTCCTTACCACGAATGCAGACACAAATTAGCTCTTAAAATGCGCGTGCTCGGTATAGCGGCCCTGGCGGCCACCCTTTTCACATCCATCGCCGTCGCAGAATCAGCACAAGCACAATTAGCGGCCATACTCCCTACATGTGCGGTATGATACATCTCGCCAACCTTTCAAGTGAAATGCGAAAACTGACATTTGTTTAAGCTGGAATGCATGGCCACGTCAATGACGCATACATCCTGTGCAGCCACAGACCAAGCATGTCTGTGCATGGATACGAATTATAGCGCCATTCTTGAAGAATGCGTTATGACTAGCTGCACAATTCGTCAATCTTTGAGTAAGTCCACACTGTAGCTACAGCTAGTCAGTACTAACTTTTATAGCAACGAAAAATGTGACAGAGACTGCATGCGGAGCTCCTATCCGGGATCGAACAAACATCGTCTTCTACGCTGGAGTCATAGGCGGTGTAATCGCTTTTATTGCCTTTATCCTTCGCATGACTGCTCGACTAAGATGTTGCGGTGGAGTATTTGGTTGGGATGATTTCACCATGATGTTGACAATGGTAATGTGGTACTTTTTCTGCTCGATTGTGAACATGATGCTAACTACACTATAGTGTCTGATAATTCCACTCTCAGCACTCTCCGGCGTCTGTATGTGACATTAGATACTGCATGAATGATTTAATTTACTAAACTTTCTGCAGTGGCCAACACCGGCTTAGGAAAAGACATGTGGACGCTGCCTTTCGAAAACATCACCCGGATTCTCTACGTCAGTAATATGTACCTACCAATTCACTGTTCATGTTCTAACCAATATTTTTGCACAGATCTACTTCTGGGATGAACTGATTTATCTCAGTATTTTGCCGTTGACCAAAATATCGATCTGCTGTTTCTACCTCCGTATTTTTCCCGACCGCCAATTCCGAACAGTGACATATATTGTCATTGGACTAAATGTGGCATATCTGATCTCTTTTGTCTTGATCTCGGTGTTTCAATGCTGGCCACTACCCTACGCATGGCTTCACTGGGATGGCGAGGGTAATTACAAGTGCAATCACATCAACGCACAAGGATGGTCTGCTGCTGCTATAAATATGATTCTTGATATACTGGTCATGGCACTTCCGCTCCGACAGCTCTATCACCTTAATCTTTCAGTGAGGAAGAAGGTATATGTGATGTGCATGTTTGGCTTGGGTCTCTTGTAAGTGTTGTTAGTGATTAGTTCGCCTGGTCGATGAAAACTAATCTTGGATCCCAGTGTCACCCTTGTCAGTATTTTACGACTGAAGTCGCTGATCAACTTTGCTTCGACTACTAACCTGACATGTAAGTGTTTACCCCAAACTCTTATCAATTGCCGTAAGCTGACTTCCTTAAAGGGGACTACGTGAGCATTGGATACTGGAGTACCATTGAATGCGATGTCGGTGTTATATGCGCGTGCTTACCGGCCATTCGATCTTTACTACGCCGCGTGGCTCCAACGCTCTTTGGCGACACCGAACATGTCAAATCATATGGCTTGAGCTCTCACCAGTCTCGCGGGCCTGGATCTCGATTTGAAGGACCGATCTATGTTCATCATGATATCCACGTTCATAGCAAGAGCGACACTCGCCAATTCTACCCCCTGGACGATATGACAAATTCCAGCGAGGCACGGCTCAACTACAAAGCATAGGGGCCAAAAAGTCAAAACCCACTTGAAAAAGAGCGGTGTGGGTTTTTGTATCAGTTTACCATTTACTTTGTCACATATTATATTCTTCCTGTCTCTTTGCTCTTAACACTTATCATCATTTTGTTCCCCGGTTTCGGAGAATACTGAGACCATAATCGATCATGTTCATACTTGTTTGACAAACAATGTGGCATAAATTCATACCAGGGGCTTCCTCAAACTTGAACTCCAAGCAAAAAATCTAGAATGAAACTGAAAATAAGACATACCTAGCAAAAGCTAGTTTAAATAGGAAGGTGGGCAGCATAGCATTACTTACCAGAGCTCCGCACAATTCCCACGAGCCCCTTAGTAGATAAACTATTGAAACCGTTTAAGCCGTGCATTGCTTAGAAAAAAGACGAGCCAATGAGAAGATATTTTCATTTAATCCCCTTTTCATCGACCGCAGCAAGCGGAACGGAACTGCAAAGTCTGGATGACAGCGGCCCGGGCGTTTTCGCTTAACGGTACGAAAAGCCACTGTTTCCACACAAGCCCCACAGACCAACGCATAGGTATTCTCCCAAAGGAAAATGCTAGGAGATTTTTCAGACGGCATGTTAGGACTCTAAAAGGACTAGCTCGACCGTTAAATTGGTGGCGCTGGGTGCCGTGTGATCAGCACGTCAGACGGTCTAAGGCGGAGACTAGCCTCTTGCACAGCGGTTCCCGGACCCTGCGAGGCTTGAAATGCCCCACAGAAGGGGTAAATAGGTTTTTTTATTTATCTTAGCATGAAGGCAGTAATATTAGGATACCTATATCCTGTTTACCCGTTTGTGGGCTTGGGTCGACACGGGACAGACCCGGTCCTTTGGTAAGAACTCGGAGCTATTCGTGAGCAGGCTTGTCCGAAGGTCGTATTGTGGGACTGTTTTCAAACGGTCCATATAGGGATGCGTAGGTGGAGGTCCTCCTCCGAAGAAAGTACTGTCGATCGATGCCTGTGGAACGTGGGAACGGATATAGTAACATCGTCGCGGGTTACGGTAGAGTAGACCCCTGGGTGTGCAATATAATAGAGGCACTGGAAATCGCTATTGTCATTCCTTGGACCCAGTCACTCTTTCTTTTCCCTGTTCTTTGTGCAATTTTCGTGTTACCTCCCCTTTCTATTCAATCCTCGTTTAATCTTTTGTTTATTTCCACGATGCGTATCCCAGCAGTGCTCGGGGTACTCTCCACTCTTTCCTTTGTATTCGCCTCGTAAGTGAGAGAATTCCTCAAAAACCTGTGGCATGATCTTGGGAACACGGGGACTAACATGAGCCGCAGTGACTACATACCAAGCCATCGATATCATGATGCACACAAGCGGGCTTTGAACGGAACCAATACCACAACAACGACCAACACTACGGAGTATGATTATGTCGTGGTTGGATCCGGCCCTGGAGGTGGGCCCCTCGCAGCGCGACTGGCTCTTGCTGGGTACAAGGTCCTCCTCCTCGATGCGGGAGATGACCAGGGCAATGCCACGAGACAGATGGTGCCTGCCCTTCAGCTACAATCTACAGAATACGAGCCGATGAGGTGGGACTACTTTGTCAACCACTATTCAAATTTGACTCGCCAGGAGGAAGACTCTAAGATGACATACCGCACTCCATCTGGAGATCTTCATGTCGGTAGCGGCGCGCCAAATGGATCTGATCCTCTCGGCATCCTCTACCCTCGTGCTGGTACTTTGGGTGGTTGTTCTGCTCACAATGCCATGATGTAAGTCGCCGCTCAATCCTGGTTCTAATTTAAGTTGCTCTTTGCTGATAGATTTCCCCAGTACCATCTACCCATACGATAATGATTGGGAGAACATCGCAGCTCTTACCGGCAACGAATCCTGGTCTGCTTCTAATATGCGTGGATACTTCGAGAGACTGGAGCGCAACAGATACCTACCGAGCAGCCTTGTTGGCCACGGATTTGATGGATGGCTCACCACAAGTCTGACGGACCTGCGTCTTGTCATCGAAGACCAAAAGCTCCTCTCATTGATTTTGGCTGGCGCAACTGCTGCGGGAACAAGCCTTCTGGGCAAAATCATTGACACAGTGACAGGCCTTGCAGGAGTCCTCTTGCGTGATATGAACAACGATAGTCCCTTGCACGACTATCAAACGGGTCCATTCCAAGTTCCACTCGCCGTGGATGTGCCCGAATACAAGCGAACTGGGCCTCGGGATTTCCTTTTGCAAACTGCTAATGCCGTCAACAATGACGGTTCTCGGAAATATCACTTGGATATCCAGTTGAATACACTTGTCACCAACGTCAAGTTTGATACCACTGGTGCAAAGCCTCGGGCTACTGGAGTAGAATACCTTCAGGGACAGAGTCTTTACCGTGCGGATCCTCGTGCCTCGATGAAGTCTGGTGGCATTCCTGGTAGCGTTAATGCCGCCCGTGAAGTTATCCTATCTGCAGGCTCATTCAACACCCCTCAGCTGCTGAAGCTCAGTGGCATTGGTCCCAAGGAGGAGCTGAGCAAGTTTGGTATCAAGACCCTGGTGGATCTCCCTGGTGTAGGTGCCAATCTCCAGGACCGGTACGAAGTGGGGACAATCGGCAAGTCACCAACCGATTTTGTGCTCACTGAAAAATGTACTTTCATGTACACTATGCCAGATCCCTGCCTGGAGCAATGGGAAAATGATCCTTTGTGGAAGGGCACTTACAGTACCAACGGCATTGCCATTGCGATTCTTAGAAAATCATCCGTCGCCGATGACGAGCCTGATCTGTTCATTTCGGGTGCACCCGCGAACTTCCCTGGCTACTACCCCAACTACTCCTACGAAGGTCTCAAGGATGCTCAGCACTGGACTTGGATTACCTTGAAATCTCGCAGCCGCAACAACGCCGGTACAGTTCAGTTGCGGTCTACCGACCCCCAGGATACTCCTCTCATCAACTTCAACTCGTTTGATACCGGTGTGACTACAGATGGTGCCGATGACAAAGATCTTCAGGCTGTCTATGAGGCTATGGAGTTCTCTCGCTCTATCTTCGAGGACCTGATTCCCCTAGATGGAGGCTTTGAAGAAGTCTGGCCTGGTCCCAATGTTACTGCAGAGTCTGACCTGAAGGAGTTCATCAAAAGGGAGGCATGGGGCCACCATGCTTGCTGCACTGCTGCTATTGGAGAAGATGGTGACCCTGATGCTGTACTGGATGCAGACTTCCGTGTTCGTGGTGTTGATGGTCTGCGCGTTGTCGATGCCTCGGTCTTTCCCAAGATTCCTGGTTACTATATTGCCTTGCCTATTTACATGATCAGTGAGAAGGCTGCTGAAGTCATCATCGCTGATGCTGCATAATTTCCATTTCTTTTTTTGTTTTATATTTCATGGCCTTCCGCGAAGAGCTTTTGTGTCCATATTATTCTTGTTATCCTATATATCGCTTGGCTTATAATGAGGATAGAAAATAACAAAATATTCCCGTTAGTGGCTTCAACGTTCTCTGGATCGATGGTTCGATAAGACCAAATTGGATATTGAGATGAGTGGATACATCAATTCCTTTGGTCGGTGATAATGCATCAATAATCATGAGGACGTTGAACTGGGTGTATAGTAGGTTGAAGGAGGAGCAGTACGAGGATTGATTGTGAGATGGTGATGTTCATATCAACAACCTTCAGCCCACATTGCTCATTCACTTACTTGTTGTGACTCTCCCCACCGCGCGTCACGTCCAATCTTCAACATTTATTCTGTCTTCAACCACCATACAACTCTTGATCTCCATCAATCATATTTTTCGAACGTCAGAGGAAGAGGATGAAGCCCTCTTCCATCTGAACCCCGTCTTCCCCTCTTCCTTGGAAATCATCAATTGCTCCGACTCCCTCGAATCCTAACGAGCACCCAAAGAGCTCAAAAAGGGCTCGAAGGACCAACCATGACTCCCGAAGAGGTCGGAAGGCAGCGAAGAGCGCCCTCAGCCACTTCCCCCTACCAGCGAGTCATTCCAACAGTATTCTTAGCTATCAAAGCTCTTATCGACAACAACATCTCGGTTGTAGAGTATGGAGCCCAAATTCAATACAGATATGGCGACAAAAGATATCTAATGGTATGTGAGACGAAACCCTCTGATACAGTGTCGTGGTTAACAAAGGTGAATAAGAATCCCGAATGGGTAATCCCCGATGACCAGCTCCTCTTTGCCTCGCAAATCCTCCTCGAGACCGACTTCCCCCGCATCTACCCCCAACCACGACCCTGGGTAGGATACCGGGACCATCAAAGCTGGGCTCACTACATTGGTAAGCCAGAAGCCAATCTCAACTACGGTATCATCTACCTTGTGCCAATGTCACTTGTTGGCTTCACCCTCCAGGACACCATCAGAGTCAAGCCGACATTCGATGACAAGTTTCACATACTCACTCCCAAGCCTGCTCCTTACATGCGCTCCTTGATTCAAATGCTTCGAGCATTCCAACTTAATGACGTTCGCCGTTACCGTGTGCAGATGGATCTTGTGAGTTTTGTGTGCGTTGGCCTCTTGCACACATCCATGGAGGGTCTGCCTTATTACAAGCCTCGGGACGAAGCGTTTAAGAAGAAGACTCTGGATGCGGTAAAGGTGGTGAGGGCTTGGGACTGGGGCCCTGTGGATCCAATCCTTTCACAAATTGTACACCGTATTGTTTGTGAGCCTCAATTCATCTGGGATCTTACAGTCGATTCGGCGATGCCGCCAGTTCCGGACATTGCGACTGTGTGATTGATATGGTGAAGAATTTCCTTGAAGGATTAACAGGGCTGCCTTTTTGTATCAATCTTACCTAGGGAGATCTCATAGCGAAATGACATCATCGATTTATGATGAGCAGTTCAACAGTAGCGGTTGTTGAATAACTTTGACGAATAGGAACGCAGAACGCGTTGGGTCATATTGAAGCCTGATGATAGATTAACATGTTCTTATTCTCCACTATCAGGCCATTGCGACTTCGTGACTTCTCGAATGGAACTTTTGCTATTGCTGCGATGTGGTTCGTTTCTCTCCATTTGCATCATGGTTCTGGAATCAAAATGAGTCTATATGAAGCTGTTCCTCTGTTGCATTTGCGACATGTCTTCAAAGGAAGCTGCTAATTATGTACAAAATGAGTGTAAAAGAATTTTATAACCACACACGTGCAGTCATTATCTTTGCTCAAGAATCAGGAACGCCATTGGCGACCTGGTGTCCGGTAGTGTAGTTACCGAAGCATGCTTTTTGGTATTCGGCATTTTTCTTCAATGTAGGCACACCACCTAGGAACTTCTCAACGGGGCAGAAGCCCTGGCTGGCATTCTCACAGCCAACAAGACCATCGAGAGGTAGAGGGGCATTGTTCAAAACGAAGCGAATGTAGCTCGTGGTATTCTTGCCGGATTGGACAGTAGGATTTTTCAACAGGACAGGACCTAGGTTGCTGAAAGATGTCTTGCTTGGACAAGTCCAAATTTCAGACATGAGACGGGCGCCGAATGGAGTCATTTGGGTCAAAGAAAAGTTTCGTTTGGGCGCATGGTCCACATTAGCCGGGAGGCCATGAGGACCAAACTTGAAGTAATCAAGGCCAAGCGCGTTCACCACGGACAGAATGATATCGTCGTGAGACATGTCCATGTAGAAAGGCTGGTCAAAGGGGAATTGGGCAATATTGTTGTCGTAAGTGTAATTGATGCTGGTATCGCTGGAAGTGATGAGCTTATGCTGAAGGCGAGCGGCAAGTTCCAGCACATAGCCTATGCCTTGGGCACGACCGGAGGGGGAGCCATAAGCATAGTCTCCATAGTACTGAATGTCAATGTTGTATGCAAAGTCCTTCCACTCCTGCTCAGTGAAAAGAGAGCAGAAATAAGAGCCGCCAAGGCTGGTGTACTCGTAGGCACAGAGGTTCTGCATAGCGAGCACGTCAGCAGCAGTGACATTGAAATCACGAGGGAAGTAGGACGCGAGGCGAGAGCGAGCGTCCTTGGTATACCGCTCAATGAAGATTTCGGCAGAGTCGTCACTATCATGTCCAGTCAATATTCATGTCGGGCAGAGAAGGGAGAGAGTTACTCACCCTTCACTCATGTCACCTGTGCAGGCTTCATAGGAGGCCAAAGTGTTGTTAAAACCAGATTCCTCAGGGATAATGACGAGGTCATATTGGCCGTAAGAGCTGTTGGCACCGCTGTTGCCAAAGAAGCCACCTTGCTAGCATTAGCCAGTCACACCAGAGCCTTTACCAACCTGAATTACTCACTGAGCCACCACCGAGCGCTCTCTAAGATACGCGCCTGAGATGTAGTCCGAAAAACTGGCTTTGGTCGAGAGGTACCGTTAGAGTACACATTCAAGGATGAGCTCCAACCAGCCACGTTCTCCCGACCAGCGCGGTACAACAGACGACCATAGTTAATCCAAAAATTGGCTCCAGATGTGGCCTCGGTTGCTGCACCACTCTCCATCAAAAGGTCGTCTCCAAGAACGTATTCCCAGTCTTTCAGGAATTTGAGAGGGCCTGTGCCAACAGTCTTTCCCGGGTGAGCCTTGCTATAATTGGTGACCTTAGCTGCAAAATCCTCCATGCCTTCACCATCTAATGGGTAGCTGGTCGGAAAACGCTGAGCATGACGATGCAAGACATGCACCTGGGACAGTTCACATCCCTCGGGTACACCCTTTGGAAGGCCGAAGCCATCTGCATCTCTATAGGGGCTCAGGTTGGCCCAGCTCTTGGTCATGTCAAATCCGGAGGCGTAAGAAGAGCCAGTTGGAGCAGACGCAGAGGCCGGACTGGAAGTCGCGGTCGCGGTCGCGGTGGCAGCAATGCTGGCCAGCGTGACACCAAGATTCTTCATGGTTGCTTGGGGTAAATGTGGAACCCCTGAGGTCTATGTGGGGAATAGGTTACTTGGTTCCCTTGGACGTGTCCTCCTCCAGCGGTGTCTACTCAACCGATCGCAATGGGTAATGTGGAAGCAGTAACAACGACACGACGAGAATGTTTTCTTAAAAATACGGACAACAAGCTCCGAATATCTTCCGAGCTCGAATTAACTTCCGGGTGATTGTTGTTCCACTCTGTGTTCGGAATGTTGTCTCGTGTCTTCCTTCCTTGGCAAAGATCGACACGAGTTGGTTTAGGCAGATCACAAAAGTCCTTCAGGAGCCCCTTCTCCTTGTCTAAGTTATCACAGTTCAAAACTCACAGTTCAGTTCAAGATGCGTTATTTGAGTCTGGATCGATGATGCCGCATGCTATGTGCAGTGATGGTCTTTAATCGAGTGAATACCTATGTACAGTATTAGCATTGATTCTCATGGGTGTGATATGTATATATTTCCTGTTTCTAGTCGGCTTACTAGATATCTACTGGGAAGATGAGAAGAACATTTGATGCCGTCCGCTTAGCTGGCTACCCGTACTGAAGCCACCCGATAATTGGCTGGGCTATCGTTTTGTTTGGCCTGGTGGGGATATAGCCAATCTCCGTTTTCCCGTTGTGCGATCTGAGGCGAGAAAGGTAAGAGTGTGTACATGACGATTGCTTGGCCTCACATCGACATGATGAAAGCGTTGGGAAATGGCATGTTGAATCGATAACCAATCAGTGGGAGAATACTGAAATGTACTTAGGATTTTGTTTTCCACGTCTCGAGAAATGGCTTCGCCAGTGACAAAACGATAAAAAGGATAATGCCAGGGATGATGAGAAGTACTTAGTCTTTGTGTAACCAAAGAATGAAAAACGTGCAATATCTGTTCGAAACCTACCAACGATCTGGTGTGAATTTTCAGCGCGCTCAACGATGGAGATAGCAAACATCTACTTGAGGCGAAAAGCTGAATAATAATATATGATTGTAGCATTTCTCTACGGAAGTTATTGATGAGGGCTCTAAGGGGAATGAGCTTCGTGTGAAACAGTACTCTCGTTATTTATAAATGCTTGGTGTTCAGATAATTGATGGCCCTGACCATGCCATTTCGGATATTTCCATAAAAAAGATGGGAGACCGCCTGCGCTGAGAGAGAGCCACACACAAACGGCCGTATCTCCATGAAGCTGTTTCATATTGCGGAGAAGCCAACTGAGAGTGTGGACCTTTGCTTTTAAGGTAATGCGAAAGGAAAAAAAACATCAACCTCTCTCTAACGGCTCGATCCGTCAGGCAATTCAGGTCTTCAAAGTCGTATTTGGACCACGATTTGACAAAATCTATTATCTCCAACGGCGGGCTTGGAACACCTACTTTTTCATGTCAGTTTAGATTATCATAGGCATGATATTCAGAACTTACTCGAAAGCTGGAACCCATCACTCTGAGTATATACCACCGGAGAGAGTGCCTCGAATAGAGTAGATGACAGCAATGATCCATTGCGCGTAGATGGCGATAATTCCAAATAAAGTTGCAAGTAATTCAACGCATATTTGTAATAAGTGGTGAGGGTATTTTGAAGCTGGGTAAATTTCACAGCGCGAAATGTGAGACCTTGAATAACCTTCAGAGAGGCACGGAGAACGTGTAGTCGTAGGAGAAGCTCTGATTCAGGATCCAAGCTTGAGATGTTTGGTGAAGTAAACATGCTGTCAAGCTTTGTTAAAAGGAGCCGCATGAGGCGGTTGAACAACACTGGATCTTTCATCTTTTCTTCATTCTCATTGCTGAATGTCTTCCCGAGAATCTCTATTCGTAATTTTTGACAACGGCGCAAGACTATTAAAATTCTACAATCCGAGCGCTTTGTGACAGAAATCCCCGGTGGGACCAGTGTTAAATGCGGGTGCAACTCAACATCGTCCAGGTTAGACGGCTCTTGAACATCGTGGTCCATATTAATTGTCCAGGGTGGGGAATTCCCATGCTCAAGGGAAACCTGAATATCGATCTCAAGGATAGTCGCCCAAAGCCGTCTTCTTATCTCAATTTCAAATGGAGATATTCTAGGGTTCAACTTAGAAGGATCCTTGTGGAGATCTGTTTGCACGGCGCACTTCACAAGTTTTTGAGTCCATTTCAAAGCTTCATTTCGGTCACAAGTTGTCGCCTTGTACAGAGTAAACAGGCACAACGTCTGCATTGCCGTCAAGTCTAGTCGTTTATTTTCGACTAACAAGAAACAGTAATTCTCAATGCAATCCGTCCATCTTGAAAAAAGTTCAAGACGGGCTCTGGTCGACTCAAGGTCCTCCATTGAAGCTTGAACCATGGCTCGCTCTCCCAAGACAAGAATAGCGAGCGTGAGGATTTCGAAACTGAGCGATGGCTGTCTGATTCCAACGCAGATATCGTGATACTGTTTCCAGAATGACGGCACGTGAATCACTCGATAAAGCCTCTCCCATGTACCAAAATAAGATGTAGCCAATGGGACAGTCACATCGTGCGAGGGGAGAAGGTTTCTCACACCCAGAGCTATGAGGCCAGTTTCCATGATGTTTCGGGGCTTGAGTGATTCGATTTTGGCTTCCACTCTCCTGCATAACTCATTTTGGATGCTAAAAGTCTCTGGTGAATATATAATACAATGCCGAATGAAAGCACTGAATTTAATCCACTGTGTGGTGTTAGCTGACTGGACCTTGACATGCAAGACCAGAGGAGGGGCTTACCGACAAATAAAGGGATGGACACCATCCTGGATGCTGGAAAGGGCGTGCTAGTGGTTGAGCACGAAATTCTTGCCTGCGGCCCATAGTTAATCAATATTCTTGTTTCAGAGAATAAGACTTGTGTTCTGTGGAAAGCAGTTTGGGCGGGAGCTTTTGCTGACGAAGTATGTCACCATTCAATCCGCACCTATATGGAATTAGCTGTAATATGTGGGATCAAGAGTCTGAGTGGAGAGCCCATGAAGGACTTATGGCGAGCATACACGACATCTGAACCCATGACTTGGCTATGAAAAGCGCATCAAACACAATATTGCTATGAGCACATTTGCGCCCGTGTAGGCCCCACATAAATGGGTCTCTACCGAATCATGCATGCAGTGGAGAGGCTTGGAGGCTTCAAGGCTTGCAGCCAAGCACAAATATACCATATCTGATGCACTAGGGCAGATTTATGTACGCCGAATTGCGCAGATTTGGTCTTGAGACCTCACAACAGGCTGAACAGCACATGTAGATCGCGTGATGGCGGATCTTTCGGGGCATGAGGTGAAGAGAGATAAAGCCGACCGAAGACGCTATGCTAATCATATTCTATGATTGACCCTCTACCCACGGTTCTATCGTTTTAATTGTGCTAGACCCCGGCGGCATGATGAATCATCATATGAACATGGATCACGGTGAGCATGCTGAGCATGGCCACGCCGGAAATGGCACGGCGATGGCCATGTCAATGGTATTCAACCTAAGCACCAAGGTCACAATTCTCTTCAGCTGGTGGTCGACTACTACAGTGACCTCATATGTATTTTCGCTATTGTTCCTCTTCTTCCTCACCTTATTCAACCGGTTCCTTGGAATTTTAAAACTTCAGTTGGACCGCAGACCAATCAATTCGGATCACGATGTGTCCGATGTGCCCAAATTAAAATTCCCACCGTCTCACTGGGTTCGGAACCGGAGTTCTAAAGATCGCATGAGTCCTCTTCCACCACACGTGGAGGTAAATCACGACAACTCTGACTGTTATGGCGGTCTCCCCTCGACTCCTTTGCTAGGGCCCACTTTGCAACCCTACTCGGATCAACGCGAACAAGAGTCCTATGTTGCAAGTTCTCATCCGCGTCTACTTCGCCCGAACAGAAGATGCAACTGGCAGCAGGATATTACGAGTTCTCTGCTGGAGGGACTCCGCGCCCTTATTGGGTACGCAATGTAAGTCTACTCCTAGCCAAATAATAACCCTCGAAAATTAATATAATGAAGGATGCTATCTGTCATGACATACAACGTCGGTATTTTGTGTGCTGTTCTTGCGGGTATCGTTGTTGGCGAGTTGTTGCTGGGCCGCTTTTCCACACCGTCCCCTGGGTGGCAGGATGGGGCATGCCACGATGGCTAGAGTCTGATAAGAGACCAGGCGCGCTGCTTGTTTTGAATACAGGTACTATTTTAGGTCTTTGTCGCATCGAATTCCAGCATTTGAATTAAAGTACATCGCACCGTATATTGCGAATGAGGCGCCACTCCGACTTTCTCCAGAACCCGCTCAAATTCCCTCAAATGAGCAAATTTAGGCTGAAAGCAACCGCCCAAATAATGCCTAAGCGTCATCACACTCCACCACTCCCGCACAGAGAACTCAGCGAGACTCATTCAGGAGGCTCTCGGTTCCTAAATCACACCGTTAAAAAACACGCTTTGTCGACTCCCTGGGATGGCATCATGTGTCATGGAAGTTCCACTTTCCCATTCACCACCTCAAATTCGAGTAGCCATCTGCAGCCTTAGATGTCTTCAAAATGCTCAAGATCCATGCTTACAGAGCTATGGTTTGTTGTAAAAAGTCTTTCCTCTTGAAGCAGATAATGTAAACCGGAATCGCGATAGAAATATTTAGTGCAGACAGGTGTGATTTCCCCCACGGCTATCTTTGACGGCAGTAAAACATTACATACAAGCCTCCACTCGCAAGGGCACCCACTTAGGATAAATCCAGGACTAAAGCGGGAATATTATGCTTCGAAAAAGCGACTTTAATCATCGGTCTTGCGAATCGTCAAACTTGCCTTTTTTCATCAGTGAAGCCATTCTGTATAACGCTATTCCTTTTCAACGCTCGAGAATTGTTGTGGTTTTATATCCCGTATCACTGAAGAAACGATAGGAGAGGCGAAAAATTGCAATCTACTGAGATCATCTAAAAGGAAGAAGAAATGAGCTCCAGCATACGATAGGGTGATGTCATAAAGCAGACCAGCCGGCAACGAACCCAAAACACACCTTAAACACAGCTGCAGTACGGTATCCACAAAAGCTGCATAGTGTTCATCTGTGTTAATCTAGATCCTTGGGTTAGGCTAGAGGAAATATTTGGCTGTCAAAAACGTAGGCCAAGAATCTCCTTGAGTGGAATCTACTGTATCCGAGTAAGATTGGTTAAGATCGAGTCATATCATTGATGATACGCTATACTTGTTGGTTCAATCAGCTCCGTGGGAAGTAAATCCTGTTTCAATGTCATTGATGAGAACTGTGAGGGATTTTGAGCGGAATATAACATGCAACAGTGCCTTCAATGCTTGTTCACGGAAGCTCCGGATCTGTATCGCATAGAAAGGATTCGGATGTCACGGCACCTCCGAATATTTGAATAACTTGGAAGTAGCTAATACTTCGATGTTGAATTCCACGCAAGCCCGCCGTACAACTCACCTTGTGCTCAGAAAATCTTCGCTTCAGATCCTAGTGTCAAGATCCATGTTCATTCACGGAGTTCCTCTTTCCATAAAAACATGGATGGTGCAACAGCTCGGGTTCTACGGGACCGCCTTTCTTTTCGAGTACACCGACAGTACCACTTCTCGACGGCTGCGCGTCCGCGAGCCTGACCGAAAAGCGTTCATGAAACTCTTGCCGCGCGTTCTCGTGAATCAATGTTGCATTCTACTGCCATGTATGATGATCGCACAAAATATGGAGATTTGCTTTTCGGGCCCGATTCACCTAAGCCCTATTCAATTTATTCTCGCACTCCCCGCAATGGCTCTGTGCCATGAAATCGTGCAATATTTAACCCATCGTTATCTTCTTCACAGCTCTAACAAGACAATGATGCGGATATTACGCCACTCGGTACACCACACCACAAAGGCTAGCCGGGGGATTAGTGCCTGCTATATGAGCTCGGTGGACTTCTTCCTCGAGATTGTTCTTCCATACCTTATTCCACTCACTCTAGTGGGTGGCGGTGGTACCGACGTCCGATTTCACTACCTCGTTGCAGGCCTCGGGGCTATGGGTGGAGTTTACGAACATTCAGGATATGATTTTGGCGTGCGACTGCGCAAGCAGCCAAAGTCGATAGATGGGGCCGAGAATTCCAAGTTACAGATTCCAAGATTCTTAATCTGGATTTTGGCTGGGATTCTGGACAATCGCTCTCATGGGGAGCATCATGCGCAGTCCAATGTCTCATTTGCTGACGGATTCGGGAGTCCTGGAGCTTGTGACACACTATTTGGGACACGATTTAATTTATCACAGAGGAATCAGGCGCTAGCATATAAAGAATAACAATGATCTTCCTAGCGGCTCGAATAGTGGGCTAACAAACCGCTTTGTTGTATTTCATATCGGCGAAAAATTCAGTAATTAAATCTCTGTCGTCTAATTTAGATACCAGCTTAGCCACCGCTTGAAACTTATCTTCAGGTAGTATTACCGTGAGTCAAACTAAAGGAGTAGACACATGTTAAAAGTCCTTAGTCTAGGCTCACGCTAGATTACTCATCGTCCTTGCGAACCCTCTGTCAAAGAATTATGGTTTCATCTTCCTATGTAGTTAATTTTGGCTTTATTTGTAAAGAACCATAGAGCGAGGACTTTTTCACGCATTCTCTATTAACTGCCGTCTTCAGTTGTATCAACTCACCTCAATTTGGGACCGCCCTTCGTCTCTACTTGTTGTCTATATTGGAATGTCTGTTCTACTTTCCTCAATCCTAGAGACCTGTCTCAAATATGATAATTGATATGACATAGCCGAAATCAAGAATGGTAGATTAATCGAAGGCTATAGCTTAGTGGCCACTATCTCCACCGGTGATCACCGGTTTGCCAGGGTATCAAGAAGGATCTACCTGGTGCACAAATGTGGGTCATGCAAGGGGCTTCACGAAGGAAAAAGACCTCAAATGAACTCACGTTCCAGACTGGTGGCTTATAATGAGCGCATTCGGATGTCTCTGTGTTCGGAAGATGTATTTAGGATCAATCACATCCCCTTATTTATCGATAGTAAAAAGTTTATTTCGGCCACATCACACGCGCGCTTCAACAGCCCGGCTTTCAATAGTCATGTGATATTCGATGCAGGTTCTATCGGTGAAAGACGAAAAACTCAATTGCATCCTAACATACAACATTCGATCTACTTGAAAGCTTCAAAGGTGGCTCCCTTCAAAGTCTAGCTGGATGAGCACCAAGGTAGCACTGAACCAGCCAAACTGGAACTTACTGGTACCACGCTCATCTAGGTGTTATGGTCTGGATCTATGCAAGGATACGCCGTATCTGAGACTACGTGAGGACTGTAATCGATATGAGCGTGATACCAGTATGTTCCAGTTTGGCTGGTTCAGTGCTCCCTTGGTGTTCATCCAGCTAGATGACGAAGAAAACCGTTCTTCCAGACAGTGAGTATGTTTCCAAAGTGCGATAATCAAATTTCCATTGCCCCTGAAAGCCAAACTCGACAAGTCCCGTTGGCTTATCGCTTCGCTTCATTCCTTATAGGGCACTTCTAATTCTTTTGATTGACTTTAGATTCGCCGTTCTTAAATTATCTTTATCTCGACAGATGGACCGCAGATACGCCGTTTTACCGAGGCAGGGGTAATGGACTCAGGGATCTCACCGACATGAGAGATTTTCTCATTCTGTAAATAAGGGGTCATCTACCATATTTGCGCATCTCGCAAAATAAGCGCGAATATAAGAATTTCTGGAAGAAGTATCTTTAAAAAGCTTGGTTGGACTATTAAAGGATCCCAATAGCTAGAGTACATTGGATACCATTCCCAAAAGAATAGTTGGCCATCGAGAAATCCTTTCTTCTTCCATGCAAAGTGTGTGATACAAGGATTTCGCCAGGGGCTTTTGTATTCGGTGGATGAGATGTGCAATATGCCAGCTATTGGTAAATGTCTCAAAATGGCCAGGACTATCTCTCCGCGTGGATCCTCCTGCTTTGATAATAAACCTCTCAAACTACCGCAGAACCCCAACGCGGGTAGATCCTTCCGGTTTCGACCCATATTCTTTGCGATCTGAGCGGCTTGCAATTTATAGTGGAGTAGATTTACTCCGTAGACGGTGCTAAGTATGCAGGTGAGGGGTTGAGAGGTTTTCCAATTGGAATGCAACCCCATTAGCCCCTAGACAGCCAGCATCATATATGTAAGCATAGACGAAACAAGTCCATGAGACGTGCAACAGTGAAATGTTTTGAGGTGGCCTCGACAAGTATTATAGGTTACTTTCTAGAGCCAAAGAGAGGTTCCTTACAATTTTAACCTCGCCCGACCGACAAAATTTAAGATTATTCAAGCTTATTCTTCGGACTCGCACGATGCCCTTCGATGAACACGGGGTAAAGTGGGCCTGGTGAGCTTTCTCCCCGCTAGATAATTATCCCCAGATTTCATGGCTCTTTGGTCCGTTTAGAGATTTGGTATTATTCGTTCTAATCATCTCTCAAGTGAGGCGTGCATTCGCGGCCATCGCTCGTTAAAATGTCGACATTTCGATCGCTCGATGAAGAAGGTACGCAAGTCTGGGCGCCCTCTCTCGACATGTCCGCATGTAATAAAGCCCTGTGACTGCGTCGAACAATGGTGCTATCTCTCACCCTTGTCAGAAGGTAGATAACTCTCCACTTTCGATTTTGAGGCCTCAACATTGCGGTGGTAGTGATACCCCAAGCTAACTCGCCAACTTGGGATAGGAATTTGCCGAGTCGTGTTGACAGCTGGGAAACCTAGCTCTAGCGCTATGGATTCTCAAAAAACCAAAAAACCAAGGGCTGCGGCATGCGACAAACAAGGTCTAGACAAGCTCAACAAGTGTGCTCAGCAACCCCTACAAGCTATTCATGTCAATGAGTCAAAATCTGCCACAGGAATACTCGGCTCTCATGACAGAGGGTCCGCCGACACAATTGAAGTATCGACCTCAAAATCCTCATCTTAGCCTGAATCTTTTTAAAGTTACCTACACTCACTGAAGCAGGCCATGTGCGTGAGAAGTAATGTCACAAGCGGATTTACCAATCTAAGTTTTGGGACCGTTGTTGGTACCTCAGCTCGGCCACGCGGTCATATTGTTTACGCTATTCCAATGTCAGTGGGAATTGTTACTATGGCTGCACATAACAGTGATAGGGATAGGTACCATTTTGTTCTAGAAGGCCAATGGAACACAAGTTTCCTAATATACGGACGACAACAAGAACATACGATGATTATGTAGCGAGTAAGCCACTGAATATAGAACACTAAGTAAACCTAGCAGGTGATGATTCAATTCTGCTGATAAAAACTATGCTCATATCCAAAATTTCTAGCGCTTGGACTGCATCAATGAATGGCGTTTGATGAAGTGACGATATCCTGCTCTTTCCGTAGCCAAGGGAATTTAGTTGGTGGACGCCCCAGGTCAAGTCCCTTGTCTGGTCATAGCTGCGAACGCCCATAATGCGCTAAAAAGTCATTACTGGTGTGTGATAAAAATAATTTTTGCAATTGGTTGTCTCGACTTGTAATGGAAAACCAATGAATACAAACAAATCGACGCTAAAATGCTCTATTGAGCTTTTTTCGCGTTGCATTTTTCGAGTAAAATTCTCAAAAATGCGCAACGAGAGCAGCTATTTGATTGGGCGTAAAGTTAGCTGAGCTCGATGGCATGTTTCCGAGACCGTAGAGACAAGGTTGCATTGAACTTGATTTTCCTCGCACTGGCACTCCGGTTTCTCCTTGGATCCTAATCTGCAGACTTTGGACCGCCGAGTCCAAACAATCTTTTAAGCGACGGTTACTTGCATGCAATTTTCTAAGTCCACAGATCTTTTGCTCCCAGATCAAAGCTCTCAGTCCATTTTGCAGGCGACCTTCCCAGTCGAGCGAACCGTCACAGAGCGATGCATAGACGGAGGATTCCAATAATATTTTCACACATATTGCGAGTAGAAATTGCAGAACTGAGCTCAATCTTGAAAGGTTCAATGAAAGTGATGGGATGATTATCCTACAAACAGGCTGAAATCCAAACAACTCTGAGTATTAATAGAGTGGCATCCTATTCCTCATGGCTCGTGCCGTACTGAGGTCTGGCCAGACCTAGCTCGCGCTTCGGAATACCCATCCAGCCTACTATCACATGTCCCGTGATTCAGGCGTCTTATGGGCTATGTGATTATTTCCGACCGGCAACATATACCATGTCTCGGAACCGTCTTCAAAATTACTGAATTGCGTTTCAGGAAAGTCTTCGAAATGAGGATTGGGTGAAGATTTAGGCAAAACTCGGCTCATTGCATGCTGTTCTCCAAGAGTGTATAGATACTTTCCCATACAGAAAGCCAGTCGACTGAGGTGCAAAAGTCTAAAAACAGCAGAGTAAGTGATGCTATTTGGGGTTTGTGTGAGAATGAGACATAGTAGGCACTAGAAACTAACAGCAGTAAAAGGAAAATTGCAAAAGATGCCTGAGAAATAGTACAGGCTATTGCTATCGGTCCTTCAACGGCTTTGCAAGAGGTCACTAGATACCAAGGTCGAGGACTTAGGTGCTCTGGGTCGGTGAAGTCACCGGAGAGCTGGTGCACGACACAGCATCCACAGAGCTGAGAGTAAGATGTCGTGCAAGAATGATATCATTTCCATGGTGTAGTTGAAGTTGTATAGCAAGCCTTTAAGCAGGCAAACCATAAGAGCGACGCCTGCCGTGGCAAATTTGGCATCAGTTGATCTGGAATTTGCAAATTAGCCCGTTTTCTTCGTGCATTTCATCAAGACACGGAGACCTCTGTGACCAAATCCAGGGAATCTCAGGCGGTTCTATGTGGTTGGCATAGAAGTATACTCGCAGCTCAGGATTAGAGTTCCAATTTTCAATGCCACCAGTGAGCCACAGAAGACTTCTGTATCTGTCGGGATATGCAATGGCAAAAAGAGCAAAGATGACCAGCTGGGCAATAAGCTCCAGTACAAACTCTACCCAATGACAATAAATTCCGTTACGGCTCTTGGAAGTATTCTCTCCTCTCAGAATACTGGTGGAAGCAGGCGATGGTAAGCGAAAGATGCCTGAGATAGCATTCATTTCGATGTCGATGTTTAGCTTTTGAAGGGATGATCGTTCCTCAAAGTACGGGTAGATCAACGTGAAAGCACCATATTGCCCTTTCCGCAAGGCATTGTGATCTGAATGCTCAATCACACGTGAGTGGATACCGTTTCAAACATTTGGCAAGCGCATTCGACCTGCATCTCAATCACGTACCCACTCAAGCCCCCCCGAGCTCGGGACCCACAAACATGCTCATATCTAGCGCAGCCGATATCTTCAACTGCCCCTTGTTTCGCGTGACGTATGTCATTTTTGGGCAGAAAGGTCTCGTGAGGATGATTGCCCCTCATTGTGCCAAGTCTACCCAATCTTTCCATTGCGGAGTAAGGTCTCTTTGGGGTATTTTAAAGCTTCAACCAGCTTCCATTTTGTAATTTGTTGCAGAACACACACTTACGGAGCCTGATCTCACGCAATCTTTGTATTTTTCATTAATTGACTCTTTTACTCCAAATTTCACCAGAAATGTATCGCAAGGCTACATGTGATGCAATGTTTCGTTTGACCTCATCGAGACAATCGATTTACTTAAATGGCACCGTTTCTGAATCACCGACTGGAAGGCGTCGTTCATTCTCTCAGCAGAAACAATATAAGTGGCCGACAAGCATCCAACCCACACCATACGAGATTATGGGACTTCAACGAGGCAGCAAATCCATCAAATCCAGGTACTATGATCTTGTAAAGGTCTATCATCCTGACAGCACAAAGAGCCCCATGGCAGCGCAGCTCCCAAAGGAAGAACGCGTTGCTAGGTACCGTCTCATTGTCGATGCCTACAATATCCTCTCCAATGATCAAAAGCGCTCAGCGTACGATACATACGGTCTCGGCTGGACTGGACCATCAAAAAACCGTGCCTTTCGTCCAGAGAGCCAGCAGGACATGAGATACGAGGGATGGAATAATGATGGGTTCAACTATGAGGCCGAGAGAGAGTTTCTGAAGCACTTGTCTAGCAACAGAAAATTTATTTGTTTTGTTCTGGTGCTTGTCATATTCGCACAGACCTGTGTGTTTTTGAGCTCTCAAGCCAAGGCAGAATTACAGATGAGACGAACAGATGAACAGTGTCGAGAGCTCATGAGCCGCAGCCGGGACCGAGCTTTGAGTTTGAGGACCTTGATGGCTCAGATGGAACGCCTGTTGTTAAAAAGAGATCCTTCTGGTACTGGGCTTGTTCCAACCGAGGGGCCATTTTACCGCGAGATGCTTCCATTTTGTGCTTATTAGACCTGAAAAAATATGAAACTCCGTTAAGCCTCCATTGACTTGGACTATTCCAGACGCAGTATATGTATCTGACAAATCAGATGCCGGGTGATCAGCCCCTAACATGACGCAAGTCGTGGGTGCGTAAACGTGGACATTAGGATCATATCTCCAGGAACGGGCGGTAGAAGTAAAAGCAGAGAGAGTGACGCGTCGGAGCATGAGCATTTTTGGGTTGGTAGTCAGATCGTACTCGGAAGCTGATTGGATATTTCGATGATCAATGCCAAGAATGGTGAATTGGTGTTGGTCCTCAAGCCCCTCACCCGACCGCCCCCAGACAGCAGTGATGTGCCTCGTGTGAGCGGATTTGCGGCAATTCCAGACAAGGCTCTGCTCGTTGGAAACTATTAGGCACATTTTATGTTCTGCGGAAATATGCGGATCAGATTAGAAGAATGGCCTATGGCAGAGTTCCTGGAAAAGCCGTGTGCAGTAAACCTCTTGTGGAAGTGGAGTTCTGAATGTCAATAAAATACTGACAAGCTAGGTCACTAATTTCAGTAATCATTTGGGCGTAACGACTATCGGAAAGCCCACAAGGGTCCTTTGTGGAGCCCCCGTCCTTGAATTCGATTTTTATATATCTGAACCCGCGTGCTTGAGATTCTGTCATTTGATTGATCTCCCTTGTTGAGGAAGGTGGTATCTTTATCTGAGAAATTCCTTATCCATACAACTTCATCATTAGAATCACGCTGTAATTTCTGTCGCTATATACCAAGATGGACCATATGGACCATATCTCAAACTCAATAGCGAGAAATACAATCTCCAACATGCACATGCAGACCACATTCAATATGGATTACCGCGTTACACTTCTTTTCTCGGGGTGGAAAACCACTACGATCAGTCAGTACATATTGACTTAACTCTTTCTATTCTTGTTGGCAATTTTAAATCGGTTTCTGGGAGTTTTGAGGTTCCAGCTTCGAAAATCCCGTTCCAATCGGTTTTCGAACCTCGTCTCCTCTCCGATTGAAGCATCTCCTTACAGGGAACATTAGGTGCACAAAGCAAAGGCAAGCCCGCTCCCACAATACTCACCCCTTGCCGAGGAGGAAGATTTGATACCAAAACCCTTGCCGTTGCAAAGTGACAGAGACGATGAAAGTGATAGAAACAAAGAACACTGTTTCGCCAGAAGGTACCATTACTTTACCTCATGGGAGACACTTCAACCATGGGGGTTGAGTCAAGATGGGTTGGAGCAGTGCTAGAGTTGACAAGGGCCTTGGTTGGCTATGTCTTGTGAGTTCATATGTTTCTGTTCACTTGCATTCTACCTATGGCTCCGCTAACATAATGTTAAATCAGAATGCTCACAGTGATGAGCTTCAACGGTGGAATATTCCTATCTGTGCTTGCTGGTATTTTAGTCGGTGAGCTAATTTTCGGGAGATTTTCTGCGGGGACGACAAGCTAGCAAGAAGGATCATGTCATGACTGAGACTCTTATGGACTTCCACTCCGAGTTTTTTTGAGATACGTGATGATATCTAGGTTTGATGAATGCTCGAGAAGAGGCGCTGAAATGGCTTAGATTATATATCTTGAGAAATGACACATATTAATAGATACCCACAGTTTCCAAACTCAGTGAGTAAGTAGAGAGTAACGCTGAAGTTTCTGAAGACCATGGAGATTGATCGCGAAATAATTAATAACACGGGCCTTGCAGACTACCATGAATACGCCTCTACTTCGAGCTCAAACTTTGTCTTTCCAAGTCTTGCTGCCGTCACAACAGCTGCTCTGGCATCGTCACAAAGCACGCCTGGCCCGGAAACCACAACACCGACCTTATCCCATCCTGTTTCCATTTCCTCATTCAGAAGCTTCTCGAGGTTGAATCTGCTGCCGATTCGTACATCCTTTTCTTTCACCAGATCTAAAGCCCCTTTCAAGTCATCGACTAAGCATCGGGCGGACTCTTTTACAGACCATGCAAGCTTTACATTCCAATGATTGGTGGCAAAAGGAAGAATGCCGGTAATTCCAATGCCCCCTCCAATCAAGAGCAGTCGATCACAGCGAAGGACCTCTCTCGTTGAGTTGTTGGGGTAAGGGCCTTCGATGAACGTAAGCAGACTGCTCTGTGGGCAAAGTGCTTTGGTGGTGCCAGTGGACTTTCGAACGTATAGTGTGACTCCGATGGTTGGATGGTAGCTGTTTATGCTTTTGACCGTAGGTGTTATCGCTTCTCCCTTTTGGTTATCGTTTGGCTCCTCGGTTCCACTGAGAGAGCGTGGCGTCCAATTCTCCGAGTCAGCTGACTCTGAAGACAACGGCTGTAGAAGTGCCGTGGGCAGGACGGAAAAAGGATGGTTTTCCCAAGGCCGCAACGGGTTCAGACTGGGGAAATAGACATAAACGTGCTTTCCAGGGTCACTACCCCAGCGAATTCCGGGCAAGTCAATTCGCATGTAACCTTCTCCGATTTCGGTAACAGTTGCATGACGGGGACCGCATGAAACAATGCGCACGATTCGCAGCAAGCGGTCGAAGAACCATACACCAGCCATGGCATAAATCCAATCCTCTATTCCACCAAGGAACTTATATAGATCGTAGGCATGATACCAACAGCCAACAATCAGGATCACAGAGAGGACTATGTGCATAAGCAGGAAGAACTCGTATGCAAAAATTCGTATCCAAAGCCCACTTCCGAAAGTAAGAATCACCACGCACAGTGTGGCCACGATTCCCCAGATCCAGTAGGGTGCTTTCACTTGTGTGTCATATGTACCTTCAGCCTTGTATAGCACGACGGCAACAATTGAGTGAAGAAGAACTTGCACTGCAAAAACTCGAGCCACCCAGCGATGAAGAACAAGGAAGGTTGAATGCGACCAATTTGTCACCCAAAGAAGGATATTATTGCGACCGCCGAAGAGGAAGATTAATGGAGAGATTATATAGGCCAGGTTACCTGTTCGATAGAGAACATAAGCCATAATTTCCCTCCAGGTGTTCGAATACCACGCATTAGGCTGGCGGGAGTGGTAGTTCACGGCCGTCAAGATGATGTTTAGGATGACGAACATGGCAACATACAGAGCCTGACCGATCGTGGGCGCATTGCCTAGGAGGTAGGGAAGGGACCGAACCTGGTATGTTCCGATTGTGCTGGGCCATAATAAATATGGCTTGAGTTTCGTCACCAGCCTAGATGAGATGGGTAGGTATGAGAGCCCAGTGAGGACTATAGGAGTGCCGAATCCGGTCACCAACACCGCGATACTATTCGTGTTCTGATCAGTACTCGTCATGAACAAACGTGTAGGGGAATATCTCTTACCCATAGGTATTCTCTCGCGTTGTTTCTTCTTGCACGCTCACCAATACATTCCACTGTTCTTCGTATACCTCTGGCGAAACAAGAGAGGTCTTGTTGAGCCACTCGGAATCAGTTGTGAGCTGTGAGGTAGGAGCCTGCGTCAGGTTCGCTAGTGCTTCAGAATAGATCCATTTTGGAGTGACAATCTGTATGCCAGTGGTGCCTTGTCCAGTCGCTTCGGTGGCCCAAAAATATTCCAGCTTCCAGGTCGGTACATCATGGCATTTTTCGTGCATACACCAAGCCAGACTGGTCAAGTAGGGCGTGTTGCTAGCCCAGCAAGACGAGGATGTTGACATTGTCATCATTCCTAATGTACCACCTTCACCCATACTTGAACAGCTCAGCATCAAAGAGTACAGAGAACGCAAGCATGCCATAGCGCAGTATGGGTCATATGGATTTGCGGGGAATCCGGTTAGTTCTCCCGCACCGGCAACGGTTTTTGCCAAGAGACATATTAGCCAGAGAATAGTCGGACCTTTCATGGTGTAATGTTTTTCGCAGTTTGAAGCGATGGCTTTCAGGATTAGAGCCTGGGGAATCATCCAACATATCTATAGTTTGGACGCTCGTGGGCCAGAGCCACGGGAGAAAACTTCCTGCAATGTGGAAATACGGTAGATTACCAATGGGGCATTCGGCTGCGGAGCTGGACATTTATCGGTATTTTTCAGGTCAATTTGAAGCGATGGAAAATGGTTATTTTTGGATTAAGAAGGCCAGTTACCTTGGGTGATGTTCAACTTGGTAGGGATTGCACGTCGGAGAATCCAAATATACTTGAATACAAACACCCATCTAATCCCATTATGTACCTCGGTGGACTGAAAATGAGTTTTGCATACTGTGGCCGAGAGTGGCAGTTGATTTTTATCATCCTTGGTAGGCGAGAGAGATCGAGTTTGGAAGTCAAATGTTGCCCCCACTCTATTTGGAGCTTGAAAGAAAGTGCAATGCGAAGAGTCTTATTGGCTGGTAAGTGGGCTGAAATTTCCAAAGAAATAATGAAACGAGCGATGAGGAGCACGGTCTTCATGGGAAGCTTAGTTCTTTCGCATAAGAAATAAGCCATGAGCACATTTGCGTTGTTTGCATAACCGGTTTAGTGGGTCAAGCGCGCCCGGACCGTTGCTGTCGGGACCACCCGACTGCAATCTCATCACGTGCCAAACATCTACATGCTCTAATCCCTGAATGCTCCAATCCAACGAGATTATGTATGGGTAGCAAGTCAATGACTTGATGAACTCATGATGCAAAATTTTCATTTTGGCACCAATCAGAATTTCATCGAGATGATGTGTCCCTGGAGATGGTCTTTCTAGAGATATATAGCCATGCTTGTAATACTGTACATCAGGAATATTTATACAGTTTGACTTGTGCCAAAAAAAAAGGAAAAATAAAAAGGAAAAAAAAAAAAATATTAAAAAATTGAATTACATAAAAAGCAAAAGGAAGGTCTTCACCATCCAAAAGCTTCGGTGTGAAGAGTGACGAGATCTGCTTCGCCTTTCAGGACTCTGGCCTGAGAAAGGGAGACTGCATTTCCAAGATCAATTCTAAGACTCTCTGGTCCACACCCTGGGTTTCACAGTCAGCTCAAGTGAAGGAGAAACTCATGAAATTGCCATAATCTAAGGCACCTACCGAGTACAAAAACCCTGCGCTCCGTTAATAAAGGTGGTGCTACAGATAGGGTCGTGTATGATTGACAGTCCATGTTTCCAGTGAATTTGCTGATTCTTGACCGCTGCTGTGAATTAACTCATCGACCTGAGGAACCAAATTTGTAGCGGTTGGGGTGGTCTTCTCAATCTCTGTACCAGAAATCTTGATGGAAGATTCTGCCGGTCCTGTGATGTAGATATCAACGTGTAGCAGACCAGAAAGATTTGAAGCTTCCTTGAGTGTTTTTGCGACCCATTCTGCGTGGCTCAGATGCCGAACCATCCACACGAAACGTATACTGCTCACCAAGCTAGAGCCTCGCTCGTAGGCCTTGAATGCGTGCAGTATATGGGGCAGGCAGACCGATACACCACTTCCGCCACACACAAAGACAAGCGACTCATATTGCTCAGGCAAGTTTTCACTGAGTCCGCCATAGGGTCCGTCGACATGCATTGGTATAAAATGGTCGTTATAATCTGCCAAAGACTTAAGCGGGCTTCGAGTTAAACCACTATATGCCCGAATGTAGAATTCCATCGTTTTCATGTCAACATTCGCCCCCAGCTCCTGAGTTGAAAGGTTCGCAATTGTGAAAGGATGGCTCTGGAGAAGTGACAGATGAGGCATCCGGAGCCAGCAGTGCTGCCCCTGCTTTCAACTTAAGCTAGTTGGAACGAGAAGAGTGACGTGAACCATGTCTCCTGGAAGCCTCTGCAGAGTAGTTGAAAAACCCGAGAACCAACTTCGGTGGACATTGAATGTCTGCCACTTAACGAGGAAGCGCCCACAGACCTGAAACAACCAGATTGCCAGTGTAGCCCAGAGATATACCCATGAATCCATTTCGTTACCAGCATGCCAGAATATGAGCCCAAGAAAAGCGACGTAGAGAGGGACATGGAGTCGGTAGAAAGCGTTATGAAAACGATTGGGACAGACAGCGCACAAAGCCCTACAAGCATGCCAAGGGGAGGCACTCCAGTATACTATTTGAGTGGTTAGCATCTTTCTCTCTGTCAAATGCAAGTTTAAAACCGACTTCAAACCCCCGAGGCTTGTAGAACTGTGCATGAAGGCCATCTGCTCCACAAGTTTGAAGCGGGGTGACGATAAATGGCACGGTATGAACTACTGCAAGCAACAGACACAGGTAGGAGGCCCATCTGTGGAATACGTTGAGCTTCTCGTGACTGATTCCAGTCAACCATGTCACTATATTGACTTTCCCCGAGAGCGCGAGAATCAGAGGTATCAGAGCCGTTGACATGAGTCCTGCGCGCACGGCGAGTGGTGGCGATCCATACCCACGACGCTCTCGATAATATGGATGTACCAGGAAGGTCATAAGGAGGAAAAATAACAGTGTAAATATCCCAAAGATCAACAACCCAAGCTTTGGGATCCCCCATCGCGCTGCAGTTGCACCTCCCGCGGACCTATACGCCACAGTCCTGCCGAGAGCGAGGGCCTTGTGGCCAGTGGCAGTAAATGCATTGGAAGGCAGCATTACATCTCGGAGATTTCGGTTCCTGTAGAGACGAAGCAAGTGCACTGCCATACCTACACCTAGGACAGCAAGATAGTACCACGTAGTGTAGTGCCCGTAATCAAACTGGTGGGTGTACGAAACAGCATTTTGAGACGCTTTATGAGCCTTGGCAAAAGCTAGGCAAGCATCCGTGTTGCAAAAAGGGTCCGAAAGAGGAAGGTTCGTCGTATTTCCGACCGCTGTGATACTCATACACACAGCTCCGGTGAAGAGGGTGTCGTTGACTTTGAACATGGCTGTGCTCAGGAGCGACAGAGACTTAGGAACATGGAGAAAATTGCAAATCAGACATCACTTTAGAGATTTCAAGCTGTTAAGTGGATTTTGTTATCCATGTTGCTACTTTGAAAAACAAGTGTCATCGCGCGACCCATCTCTCGGAATTCGGAACAAATCGGTGGATTCTTCATTGCACTAAAGGCCAAACCAACTTTTGCCTCCCGTCGCTAACTCCACCATCATCCTGGACTTACCGATCGGGGAGGCTGCCCATTTGATCGAGAAAGATCAATTTCTAGTTCCAGTTAGAGTAAAGAGGTTTTGAAATAGCCGATCAAAAGCCTTTACACTCATGCTCCCGGGCGCAAACTCTAAGAAACCTTAGCTTGCAGAGTCGCATTTTGCGCTGCCAAATTATTGTGGCTTCATAGCGGGTGCGGCCACTCGGACCCGATTGGCCTTCGACGACAAAAAACGCGCTCATTTCTTCTCAAAACACACACCTCGCGCTCTTTGCATAGAGAATTGGAGCCTTGCATTTATTGCAGAAGACAGGGTCCTGGAGTTCTTCATATAAGGAAAATACCCCCACGATACCTATTTTTTACACTTTGGATTGATCATAACTGACGTTAGTAAATACTCGCCGATCCGCTACCACACGATGGAAATGTCTATGGCAACGACCACATCCGCAAGCATGGACATGTCCAGCACAGCCACATCTTCAGCCGCAACTTCATCCTCCTCCACATCGAGCATGGATATGGGTGGAAGTTCTTGTAAAATCTCGGTATGGCATTCATTTCAACCATAATCGAAGTAGCGAACTCAAATTGTGATTTTTTTTTTTTTAGATGTTATGGAATTGGAACACGGTGGACTCTTGCTTTATCGCGGAGTCGTGGCACATTACTTCCAAAGGCATGTTTGCTGGCTCTTGCATTGGAGTCATCTGTCTCGTGATCTGTCTGGAATTCCTCCGTCGCCTTGGCAAGGAATACGATCGCTTTCTCTTGAGACAACATGAGCTACGCGCTGCAATGGTAGGGTCCGAAACTTCTGTTGAGGCTTCTTGCCTACGGAGTAAACCCCTTGCTTTCACACCATCGGTTCTTCAACAGTCTCTTCGTGCTCTATTGCACGTGGCTCAATTTGCTGTAGCATACTTTGTCATGTTGTGAGTAATTCTGAATCCTAGTCAACTTGCCAAGTATCTGATCGGGTTCAAACAGACTTGCTATGTACTACAATGGCTACTTCATTATTTGCATTCTCATTGGTGCCTACATTGGTTCTTTTATCTTCTCTTGGGAATCAATTAGTTTGAGGTAAGCTTTTCACCTCGGCATACCGAATTTGGACATGTCTAAATATCATTTTTGTGAGACAGGGATAACAAGCAGACCAGCGTTGCTAACGAGGCAACCGTTTGCTGTGGTTGACTTGGCTAAAATCTAGGCTTCTGCCTGAGGACATCTCGAGCAAGTTAATAAAGTACATCTAATCGAAGAGTTTTGGATGTAATAATTCACTGAAAGGAAAGCGTTAATCACTCTTCTCGATGCGGGAAAATAGGGTGTTCAATAAAGAAAAACCCGAATACAAGAGGCACAGTCAAGGAAAGAAATTAAAAGCATCAAAATCACTCTAGAGAATGTGAATGATACAAAAGCGATCCCCAAGAATCATGTTCAAGAGCTTGGGCTGACAGATGTTGTATCGAGGGGATCCCGCATTAAAGACCCGATCTCATCACACCCCGCATCAACGAGCATTTCCACGATTTGACACAACCTACTCACTAGGCCCTGTGTAACTTGCTCCGTAAGACATTGGCTACTGCCCAGACTCAAATTCTCAGACCCCCTTCAGCAGGATAAGAAACAATCCCCAAGGGAACAGTGGACAATACATTTGGATTGTCGTACCACCCGAGCTTGGACTTCATACCAGCGAAATTGATCTTCGGGTTCTAGTTGATATTTTGATGTTGAATGAAAGACTCTAAAATGCGTCTGCCGCTTGTGGAATTTTCATTTCAGTCCGTGCAAGACTGAAAGAAAAGTAAGTAATAAATTGTGTAGAATGAATAGTCATGTCTGATGGTATTCCCCCACATACATGGTTGAGGGTCAAGAATTTGTCCTTGGTTTGACATTCACCCGTTCGAGCAAAAAAGGCTATTGGAGATCTTGAGGTAAAGAGTTCCGCCCAAACCCATAAATGCGGTTTTTTAGCTCCTCGCCCCGGATGACTTCCTCGGTTTTATCAGTGTTTTGATTTAGATCTTTCTTTTCATTTTTCATGGCACTGGAGTGCGAGCCAGGCATAATGCGTCCAATCTGGAAGGTTTTCACTGCGTCGAGTAAAATCTCAGACATCTCACTGCTAGTATGTGGGATCGCAGTACTCTCAGCATCATTATCGTCATCGTAACTCTTCTGATATTCGGCCTTCGTTATAAGAGAAGCCCGGCTTTGCAGGAGGTCAATCCTTATGTATGTTTCATCTTTCTCTGGATTACCGATCCAGAATGGCTGTTTAGTCTCGAACGCTTGCTCACTTGATATCATGTCAACGGAGAATCCCGCTATGTCTGTTTTGATGATGTCGAAAATGCTTCTCTGAATACCTGTCCAACGTTTGACACAAAATCTTGGCAGTAGGGTGAAGAAGATATACTCATGTCTATTTTTAAAGCATGAAGACTGCGAAGCAGGTAGATAAACTCCCATCACTCCCGCTTTCGAAGTTCTTTTGTCTTCCCCAGTAATAAGTATAAGAGAAGGAGAGTTGTAGCGAAGGACTTCGGCCAAGCTTAAGGGTTCAAAATCATCGAGGTCACCGTTGAGATCTTCAATTTTGGTCCAGAAATGAAGTTTTCGAGCAATGAGTTGCCTTTCTTTGTTCTCAATTTCGATCCATTTCGATCTTGATTGGTAGGGTATCATCAAAGAAAGCGCACCAATGAGATGGTCCGAAATGCCATTGATTGAGTGATACTCCAATCCATCTGACATTGGTCCTAAGGGCTGGAACAATGCTTCCCAAAGTTGATTGAAACATATCCAAATATTTGGCTGAAAATTATTAGCCAACTGAATGACATGGTATAGTGGGAATGGCTGGTACTTACGAATTCTTTGATCACTTTGCGAATTCTATCGTACGTGAGTTCCTCCAGTGGTTTCCCAAATTGTTCGGTCATTTTATCTGCCAGATTATCCTCCACAGTGTCAACCGAGTAAAAAAAGGAGGAATCCAAGCGTTGTGGTGGTTTGCCTTCATGCACTCTCAATTGAAGCAATAACTTCATCAGTCTTGTCAAATCTTCAACTAATGTAAGGCACCGCACTTCCGTACAATGCTCGAGAAGCCTGCAAGCAGTCTCTTTCAACCAGTCTTCCCTCGGAGGCCTCAACTCTTGGAAGGGCTGTACCATTGCCAGAACATTGGTTATTTCTTCAATACTTTTTTTGTATGCAAGTTTCTGGTCCAGCGACTTTTCATTTCGAGCCTCCCAGGTGCCGATACTTCGGAATATTCGTCTAAAGTTGGACATGTATATAGTGTCCCAGTCTTGAACCCATAATATTTCGTCATTCATCACACCTAGTCTGTCCACGCCTCTCATACCAAGAAGTAATGCGGCACGCTGAAAGGCTTCCCAGTCAATCATCTTACCTGACATGGGTTCTGAAAGGGATGAAATGCATAAAAGCTGAAACATCTCCAAAGAATATATCCGCCGTGCAATAGCAAGGGATTGGTGTCATTTAAATACTTTTGGAAACTGTCTTGTGTCCAGTCTGGGGTCGTCAGATCTCGTTTTCGTGTATTATCTTCAGGATTTGTCATCAAAAGAACTCACGTTTCTCTTCTGCAGTCCCTCCATAGCAGTAGCAGTCAAACATTGATTCCAGATGGCTCGTATCAACTCTTCGCCGCGTTGCAGTTTGCTTGAGAGACAGTAAGAGATCTCTGAGGACAATCTCTAAGTTGAAGCAAGGGATCAGAAATTTGAAAGGCGAAGGTATAGCTAGTGGAAATATAGGGTTGTGAGAACCTTTTGTAGCGCCTTTGAGATACTGGTCCACCTTTTGATCGTGTGGTCCCCAAGTGACCTTATCGTGCCCGTCGCCAAGCGCGTTGAGCGGTATCTCAACCAAGCGCAGCATTTTTATCTGCAGGTGCTTGTATCTAGGATCCTGCGAAAGTAAAGGGAAATGTTTGACCAGGTGTCAGGTTTTGAGTGATTTTACTGAAGGTGTTGCCTAGCGGAGATGCGGCTCCGGGCTATGGAGCTCAAGTCCCCCATTTGTGCGAATCAAAAGGCCCCATGGGCCTATCCCCTGTGATTGGTTCGTTTGCTCTACGATCGCTTCAAATTAGACGTTAGCACATACGACCATAGGGTGTGGAAAACAGGGCTTCCCGTCCGCTCAGCCGTACTTAAGCCACACGCCGGTTAGTTAGTAGTATGGTGGGTGACCACATGCGAATCCTAACTGTTGTATGTTTTTGCTCCTGACAAATTGTTTTATTGCTTATTCTTTACATAGCCTTATACGTGAAGATTTTGGAGTCATAAAGTAATTTTCGAAACCTGAATATTCTGCACATCCCTGCCCAGGAAGCGACGACGCCTCCCCTGGCCTTTCTTTTGGAGGTGCGTTCCTGTGATCACTACACTTTGATCTGGTCTCGGCTACATCTTTGACGGTCACTTATAACGAGGATGGATTTCAAGTAGGTAGGCTCTAGAGACATACATGTAGAGTTTAGTGGGAACCTTTAGAATTGAGATATTATGCGTTGTTGACGAACAGAATTGGAAGGTCTAGTTACATGACAAGTATTTAACGGAGATAATGAATCGGCAAATCAAGTTCTAGGGCCAGACAAAAGTCCGATCGTGGTGACGATCCAGCATCCAGTATTTGCCCATTGAAGGTGTTAGGCTGACTTGGTGACACACTAAATTCCAATTTGTTCGTGCTGTGATTGACTTGTAGCCTTTTGTCTGTCTTTAGTCAATGCAGACCGGGAGTCAGCCAAGAGATATTCAAGAATTGGATTTAAGAGTAGGCTGTCAAGTGCAAGTGCATGGAGATCTCCAATCTGCAGCAACCTGGATATCGGCCTTTCAACAACCTTCCGAATATTGTCTTTCAAATCCATTTCCATCTGAGCACCGCGCAAGAAGTCGATAATTTGAGGCTCGGGCCGGCTCACCATTAAAGTGGGATGGCTTTCCAACTTCACCTTGATGCGCGTACTTTCTGGATGAGATCCCAAGTCCAAGAAGAAGCCGTTTTTCAAATTCTGACCATTAACTATGCATCTTTCATCCCCGATGCAAACTTGTATCCCTTTCGAAGACGCGTATCCGAGGAAGCGAACACTCCATTGGCGAACACCAGGAGGAATATTTCCACCCCTTGTAGGCTCAATATGCAACTCACCAGTCTGTTGATTGAAAGAGATGTGCGTTCGTCGGAAATTGATCTGATCCGCGTACGGGCCCTTTCCATCGTCTTCCATAAGTTCAAAAGTGCCATCTGCCCCGACAACAACCAGCAATTCAATCGCGGTGGAATTCATACAGTCGTTCGGCAGAGATAGGGCCGAGTCAAGTGGAAAGATCGCTCCCTCTGGAGCGAATACTGGGTAATCTTCCAGGCGTCGATTTAGCCAAATCCGGCGGTCTCCATCGTAGACCACACCTGTGAAAATATCTACATGCCTACCAGAAGGAAGCCATGCGAGGACCTGGGATCGTCGTGACCTAGGATCTTGAGGAGCAGTGATTGGTACCACCATGAGATTTGAGCCAAACATGTACTGATTTGGTACGTTGTATGCCTCCTCACTTTCCGGGTAAGTCCAATACATGGGCTGCACAAGAGGGAGCCCCTGCATAGCAGCGCGAACATTCATAGTGTATAAATAGGGAAGCAGTCTATGACGGAGCTGCAGGAACTTTGTCATAATCTGCCCAAATTGCGGTTCCAGATTCCAGGGTTCCTTGATGCTAAAGATGTTGTTCGACGAGTGGAGACGCAAGATTGGTGAGAAAACGCCATATTGCACCCATCGAATGAGCATTTCATCGTTCTTCTCACCGTGGAAATGACCTCCAATGTCATGACTCCACCAGCCAAATCCAATGTTCGATGCCGTTGCTGTGAATTCTGGCTGGAAGCGAAGGGAATCCCATGATACCACTGTATCACCCGAGAAACCAATGGGGTACCGGTGGCTGCCCGGGCCCGCGTATCGCGAAAACGTCAAGGGTCTTTTGTTATCAAGAGCGCTGTCCAAGAAGTGGTAATGATTGAGTACCCAGAGTGGATCGATGCCAGGGATGCGAGAATGTGTCCCTTGCTGCCAATCCACCCACCACAGATCTAGTCCGTCCTTTTCGAATTGCCGGTGAAGCACATCGAAGAAAGCATCCAGAAAAGCCTGATTTGTGATGTCGAAAGAGATAGGGTCACCCATGGACGTGTCATGCTTAAGAGCGATGGCCATCTCCTCGTATGGATCTTCATAGCTCTGAACACCGTCTGCTGGATGATCATTTAGAGAAACATGTAGGCCTCGATCGTGGAGTTTTTCAAGAAATGCTTTGGGATCGGGGAAGAGCTCTCTGTTCCAGGTGTATCCGGTCCATCCTGTTACTCCGGCTGTCTTGACGCGATCATCTTGCACAATATGCCAATCCATATCCAATACGGCGACTGATATTGGTATCTTACTTTTGTAGAACCGATCCATCAGTGAGAGATATTCATTCGCGGTGTAAGGGTAGAATCGACTCCACCAGTTCCCTAGGGCCCACCGTGGAAGCAGAGGTTGGGGTCCTGAAAGAAGATAGTACGCCTGGATGGCTTGTCGATAATCGTGGCCGTACGCGAAAAGGTAGCCGTCCACGCGATTTCCAGGCAACCTCGTAGTCACCCATTGACGATCATCAAATAGCATTGAGGTCGAATCATCCAAAGTCGCAAATCCCTGTCTAGAAGCAACACCATGATCTAGAGCAACTCGGCCATCGGCCTCATCCAATGTACGGGTTGTACCACCGAGGTTTGAAGCTTGGATCCCATAGCGCCAGACACTGACATGAGGCCCATAATTTCCCTTAATGACGGCACTGAAGCCATTTGCAGAAAAGTCCTGTTTGTCGTAGTTGAGGTGGAATCGAGAAGTGAGAATCTGAAGACTGTGTTGGTCCTCAATAATGCGAAATTCCGGTACGGGCAAATGGCGGTTAATGGCAAGAACCGAGGCGCGATCCTCGAATTTGCCGTCTACAGCCCATTCATAACGCAAAAGGCCATCGGTCAAAACAGTGAACCGATACTTGCCACCACTGACAATTGCTTTGGGATTAGCGACCGGAGTATGTGGGAAGGAGTAGCGATGCATGGCAAAATGCTTGGTAGCTTGAACTTTGAATATACTACATTTTACTCCGGCGGAATTTGATGCTTCATAAGTACAAATTCTGGCTATCCCCTTGTCATCACTGCTGTATCACTAACATGTTGACTTACCACTGGGAGTCACACGCGAATAAAACTCGCTGAGATTTTCGCTAGGACTGGTGACTCGAATGAAGGCGGACTTGACCGGGCCAGAAGGACTGTGCACAGTAGCATTGCAGCCGTGGCTCGGATCTCAATCCAAATGTCTTGCTTTTATTCCCCGCAGTTGTTTGAACGCCACCAAAGGAAGTGTGGGTAAGGCGGGGGTTGCTGTCGGCGGAGTCGATGATTTAATTCTCGCTGTAATTCCGGATGCTTCCATATCTCCGAAAGTCATCGATAATCATGGATAGCCCCTGTGACAGTTGTTTTGTGCGGCGGGTGAAGTGTGATCGGCAAGATCCATGTCAAACTTGCTTGATAAGACAACAAGGCTGTACTTATTTGAGGGTCCGCAAGAGACCCGGTCCTAAAGGGCCTCGATCAGCTACTACCCGTAAGATCGACGAGATACAACGAGGGATCACAGCGAACGTTGAAATGACTACTCCGGGATCCATTCCAACGCTTGAAAGTCCAGTCCTTCACGCCTCAAGTTCTCGTATTTCGATTTCAACGTACTATGCAGTTCTCGATATCTTTCAGACGCGTCTCTATGATATTTGGCCAATCACCAATGTTGAGGATTTGAAACTCCGGCTAAAGAGCTTAGACAGCAATCCCACTGCACATGCTTTAGCAGCAGCTTTGTGTGCTGCGACGTTAGCACAAATGCGTATCTGGCTAGTACCGAATCCGTACCCCAAGGATCTCTCCGTGACAGCAGAAGACTTTGTCAAAGAATGTCTCCGTGTTCGACTTGAGCATCACTCTCACCAAGAGCCGTCTCTTCAGGCTCTGGTTACATCGGTTTTTCTTCACATGTACTATGCAAATCGAGATCAAATTACACCGGCTACCATCTACCTCCGGGAGGCAATCACATACGCAGACCTTTTGCACCTATGCCATAACTCTTCATCAGATCCAGTGAGGTCAGAGCAGTGGCAACTGGAGCTTCGGAGCTATTGGATCATTTTTGTGACCGAAAGGTTAGTTAATGACTTCTTTGCAATGACCCAAAATCCCAATCTGAGGAATGCCTTCTGAGTATTGGGACAGGACATTTTGCATCCAACATGACCTCCCAATTACACTACACAGAATACAAAATCTTCCAGAAATCAGGAGCAATACCTCCCAAGCAAACCTCTTTGCGGGATTCTGCGCACTTGTTAAACTGTTTTTGTATGTGCAACGCCCTCTTATATTACCGCCTATGACAAACAGAGCTATCGAGGCAACAGATATATATTCAAAGGATAGTATATCGAATATTCAAAGGAACATCCAGACCAGAGTGCCTGGCCTTGAACTTACGTCCGAAATACAATATGTGGATATATTGACCACATCTGCATGGGTTCGTACGTTGCTATGGCAGTACTCTGCCTCTCATTTCATGCTCTCCTCATCCACTTCTATTGAGCCGCTATCATTTGATTACCCTATATCAATTGCCAAAGATTATCTAGAGTCTCTTTCCGGCATATCCATTGACTCTTTGCGTAGCCATGGATATGGCATGGTAAGCCATCAACTTTTAATTCCCTTTGTCATCGAAATTTCATGTCCTAATTCATTTCCCTTCACATAGGAAATAAAGCTTCTCCAAGTCGCGAACTCCGTACTCGACGTTGTTCTGTGCATGCCGAACCTTTTGAGCCATCAGACCTGTCACTTTGGGCCTTTGGATACTATCTTGGCAATCGAACGGTTATTGTCACAAGTTGGAGGAAGGAAATCGGAGAGGTTAGATTTGCTCCACCAACGCTTGTCACAGATTCCATCGTCAACCACAATTCCCCTCATGTTAGAGTATACTAAACAAGATGATGGTGGTGATATCATCGAATGAGATCAAAGTCAATCGTTTGGTTCTCCCTATGGAGACCGCCAGGTACGTTTGTGGGGTAAGATATAAGAAGATGTACTCCAATTTGGAATTTAGTTTTTGGAAATTATCATCCATTTGATTGATTTCATATCACATTATTCTTCAAAGTCATGTACACATTGCTTAACATAGAAACACCGCGTAAAATGATGTCTCTCCAATAATTTCACGCTCAAATCATTTCAGGACAATCCCACAACTTCATAGTTCCAATTGCAAATAGCGTTCGAACTTTGAGCCAGAACACTCTTAGTTCCCGTAGCCGAAGCAACAACCGCATTCGAATTATCTAGCACTTCGATCATCTGTCCACTACCAACTGCAAGGCCTATAACACTATTGTAATTCAAACCTTTCTGACCAGCAAATGTGCCAATCATCTTTCCGTTGCTATAAACATTGATTGTGTAGCCAGCAGAAGGAAGAATCACAGCAAAATTCATTGTATCAAGTGCCGACCTATAGTTGGAAATGGACGAGGAGCAGCTAGCACTAGTCAAGACAGTGCGATACCAGAGGGCTCCAACGGGGCTGGTGTTAGGTGGCGAGATCTGGGAAGTACTTGTTGCACCAGCCTTGTAAGCCTTGATAAAAGGCGTGATAATCTGCAACCATCCCTTGTGATCGAAACCGTCGGCATAATCGCCAATATTGCTGCCGGCAATCTGTTCCTGCCAGAAGTCACCAACGTAGTGGCTCTCTCCCGCATCATTCCAGGTGATGACTTCAACAAAATCCGGCTGTAGCTGCAAAACCTGGCCCATGCGCTCGGGTAGGTTGACCTCCCCAATACGGTACCAGTCTTGGCCACTGCCCATATATTTGAACTGCAAAGGCGATACGGCTGAATTCGAATTATTCTTAGCTTCAATCACTCTCTGGCTGCTGTTAAATGATCCTCATTTACTCACGCATCATGTAAACCTTGCCAGCGGCATGTGCCTCCTGCAAGGCAGCCGCATCCACGCTCTCACTGACATTAGCTGGGGTGTTTCCAGGAGATGGCCATGCCGACTCCCAGCTGTAGACACCGTTCAGAATAGGATAAGCACTGAAAACACCGGTCGGGTAACCAGAAAAATCATCAAAATCGGGAACGAAGAATGGGGTGATACCATAGGTTGATTTAAGAGGCTCAAGGAATCCCGAATTCCAAGCGGAATTGGAAATAGTACCGCCGGTATAGGTACTTACAAAGGCCTGCCCATTGACTGTGTAGTATGCGTCTTGAGTAGCATAGGGCGCCATGAAAGCCGCAAGCTGTGTAACATCCAAGCCCCAACTCATATCAAATGATATAAATAGCTTGAAGTTGGTCCCTGCTGCGGCGGCGAAGAGGTAGTTCAGTGCATCGGTATTCCATGTATCAGAAGAACTGATAGTGTGGGTGTTTAGAGCAAATCCATCAAATCCGGCATTCATTGCATCTTGAACGTCAGTCACAGCCTCGGCCGAAGTCATGGAGCCGACCTATTCACAATCAGGAAAGATGTATAAACAAAAAGGATCATGGTTTCTCAATTATACCATGTAGTGCGCAAAGACAGCCTTCGTAATGGTGGACTGTACGGCAGTCGTAGTGGTAGACCGTGTGGTGGCGCTTGAAGTGCGCATGGTGGTTGAGGAAGAGCTTGTAATTGTACTAGTGCTATGTGTAGAAGATCCAGTCCCCGTTGACATCTATATCACGCGTCAGCACGGGCAGGTAGCATTCGGAATTGTATTTGTGTTTTGGTTTGATGGACTCACGAGCTGAGCAGTCGTTGCTGTGCCAGCTTGACCCGAGGCAACGCAAGTGCCTGCAACTTTCCCGCTGGACTGATAAATACCAATAAGATCAACCTGGCAACAGAAATCATTTCCCTGGAGCCCTCGCCATAGCGACCAGCTTGAGTCGGCACATTTAGGTGCACCCTCTATAGCGCCAACACAAATCGAGTCTAAAGATGATGTCAGAAAACTGTTTATCAAATCAGTACGTCGACCATGGAATCGTACCAGAAGAGCAACAAGAGGCGACTTCGTCTGTCTGGGCTGCAAAGCAATAGAGGTTGCTAGGGCAACAACCCCCTTGACTACATGAACTGGTTCCGCTGGGACAAGTGGTGGACTGTAATGACCAGCCTTGGCTTATTGACCGTTGGCTGATGACAGCGGCGGCACTGATGAATGGAACATGAATACCCAACAGAAAGAACTGAGGCAAATGCATAGCTGGGAGAACGAAATATAATTCTCTGGACTCTGAGATGATCACTGTATAGTAGGAATGTCTCCACTTCGCACTTGCACCGTCTCCCAGCAATTTATATGATGACTTCAGGGCTATCCATAATTCTACCATCTACAATGAAGTGCACGAGGCATACAATTTCCAGAAACCTTGGAATCCCCCATGGTGATCTGAAAAAATGCAGAGATGGATGCCAGATGATCTGAGCTCTGAAGTCAATGCACAATTACCACAAAGATCGACCATCTGAAATCCCGATGAATTGATATAGCCACAAGGTATATTCAAGCCGAAAAACAAGCGATATTCACGAGCACTGCCCACATGCTGTTGAGATCGCTCAAATTTGATATGATTAGCACTTTAGATCAACTGAGTTCACGAAATAGCCGCGAAAATCGCAGCGAACAAAGCCATTTTTCTTGAAATGTCTGTCGCGCTTCTTTAGGTCTTTTGTGGCTTGACTATGGACTAAAAGAGTTCAATTCCGCTCAGGTCCGAGTCCCTTGGCCTTGTGACAGGAATGATGAACCTATAGTGGGCTCACTTATGGCGCCACTCTCAACCAGGCCATAGCGTGACCAATGCTGAGATGCGAGATTCTTCTTAACCTTGAATCTCTTGGTGAGCTTGACTGCCGCACAGTCAGCGCTCAGTTACACCGAGAAACCCAGCGAACTAAATGGCTAGCACAATCCAATAACATCCATCCCTCCATATATTCAATCACACTTGATTTTCGCAATTCCGGTCAATCTTCCAATTTCGGAAGCAGAGTTCAAAACTTTACCTGCCAACCGTATTTCCCCACAATGCCCCGCAAAACAATAATTCCAGCGACCGTGTGGCGCATGAGCGAGCGCTTGTTCACAAAAATGTTGTGAAATTCGAAGGACTGCTTGCCTTACAGGTATGACATGGCTGCTATAAATACGATCGTTCTCCTCATATTACCATGTTTTAACCCGTGTGTTCATGGTTCCGGTCAACTTATTCTGATCTCGACTTTCCCTTCATATCTTCTGCCTTTACAAAGCTTGGGACCAGTCCAGCCCCATACATCAAAATGGAGGACCTCAAGGAAGCCACCCATCTTGAGCATAGCCTCGCCGTGCCCTCTCAGTCACTCGGCGAAAATACTATTGGAATTGACGATGGTGTTCTTCTCCAAATGGCCGAGCAGATTCCGGACTTTGCCAATCTGGTCGAAAAGGCCCGTCGAGCGTCCGATTTTGAGCATCACTTGACCAATTGGGATGCATTCAAGCAATTTCCGAAGGCGGTTTTGTTCTCTTTCATTTTGTCTCTTGCGATCATCATGGAGGGATACGACACCTCTCTTCTCGGCTCATTTTACGCCTATCCGACATTCCAGCAGCGATTCGGTGTCCCTTCTAAGGAAGGTGGTTATCAAGTCACATCGAATTGGCAAACAGGATTGCAGAATGGGACAAATGTCGGACAAATTCTAGGCCTTCTCATTGCTGGTCTTATTGCGGATCGATGGGGCTACAAGAAGACAATGCTCGGCGCTTTAATCTCGCTTATCGGCTTTATATTCATCATGTTCTTCGCCAAGGATATCGGAATGCTATTTGCTGGGGAGGTTCTCTGCGGAATTCCTTGGGGAGCATTCCAAACCTTGACAACCACCTATGCGGCTGAGGTTAGCCCTATCATCCTGCGTCCCTATTTGACCACTTATGTCAACCTGTGTTGGGTCACTGGTCAGTTTATCTCGACTGGAGTATTGCGAGGTCTCCTTGGTCGAACCGACGAATGGGGCTGGAGAATCCCTTATGCTATCCAATGGGTCTGGCCTGTTCCGATCATCGTTGGCGTTCTTTTTGCCCCTGAATCCCCTTGGTGGTTAGTCCGCCACGGCAAGGTTGAAGAAGCAAAGCGATCACTTACTAAGTTGGCCCGTCCTGGTAATTCTGGATATGATACTGATGACGCCGTTGCTCTCATGATCATCACCAACACTCACGAGAAACTAACCCGAGAGGGTGTAAGCTACTGGGATTGTCTCAAGGGAGTTGACAGGCGCCGTACCGAGATTGTTTGCTGCGTATGGATGTGCCAAGTCTTCTGTGGTATCTGGTACGGTGGCAATATTGTCTACTTCCTACAGCAAATCAACTTCACCAACGACCAAGCATTCGACTTTGGTCTTGGAGTCAATGCCATTGGGTGGTGTGGTACAGTTTGTTCGTGGTTTGTGATGCAGCGGGTTGGTCGTCGAAAGCTTTTTGTCACTGGACTTGGCATTATGTTCACGGTATTAATGTTGGTGGGTTTGCTGGGTATCCCAAGCCATACCATCCCTGGACTGAGCTATTCGTCAGCTGCTCTACTTCTGGTGTTCGTTTTCACCTACGATCTCACGGTCGGCCCCGTCACTTACTGTCTCATCTCTGAGATTCCCTCCACTCGCCTGAGAATCAAAAGCGCAGTTCTTGCCCGTAACTGCTACAATATCGCCAGTATCGTAGCCAACTTCCTCAATCCCCCTATTCTGAACCCCACTGCCTGGAACTTGAAGGGCAAGGGAGGCTTCATCTGGGCGCCATTTTGTCTCATTTGCTTCATCTGGTCATTCTTCCGTCTACCGGAACCAAAAGGACGTACTGCACCGGAACTCGACATTTTATTCGAGAAGCAGATCTCAGCCAGGAAGTTTTCCAAATTTCAGGTCGCTCCATTTCGCTCCAGCAACTTTGAAATTGTCGCTGATAGCGCTGTTCTGACCGAAAAAGACTCATTTTCACGTAACCAGAGTTGAACTTTACGTTCTTAGCTGTCCAATAAATGGACTTTGATGTTACACTGGATTTGCACAACGAATGTCTTATTTGATGCGGGCTGGGATCAAATAGGGAGATATACTGCACCAACAACTTACCTACATCTTTCAATCCATCAGGAAATGTTAGATGTCGGCTTCCTTTCGGTATCTTCCAAAAACTTAAAGTCACAGCAGTGCAGAATGCGCTGATGCACCGACAATCTACCTCGCCTAAATCATAAAAAGATATCTCGGCATCAGCACTCTTCAATACATACCATAGGTGGCTTGCTCTATGAAATGTAGACCACAAGAAAGATCTTGAATAACACTGACATATCTTAATTTGGTAAAATTATTGTGTACATACGGAGCCCGTTATCTTTTCCAGTATCGTCACCCTACCGGCAAGTAACTAGAGGGTTTCCAGCTATACTCGCCTCGGAGTATTTATCAGTCAGTCATGGGAAAGATCATTATCTTCAAATTTTGAGTCTGAAAAGGGTTTGATCTAGCCAAACTGGGCTCTTTTCATTCATTTGTTGGTTTCCACCTTGGGCTCGTATGGGACACCCTGAGTTGGACCTCAAACAACATGATATCAGGTATGTCGGTCCGACCCAGAATGGGCAAGCAGAAGAATCCAATGCAGTGTATAGTTGTCTCTTCGCTAACAGAATGCAACGAATGGGTCAAGACCAGAGGCGTCGACATTCATATCTTGCTAATTCGAAAGCGCCGCTGAACTACGAGCTCGAAAACAAGCTGAAATGCAAAATACATGGAGTGGAAAAAAGGCGTGTTATTCGAAACAGTATGGATGATTGTGGTATCAGACTATCTTTGTTCCTATATTCTTTTACCAATGCTCGTACTTTTGCTATCTGGTGAGCGGCAAGCCGTTCGAACCTTACTTGTTTCACATTTTTCACATACTCAAATGAACTGTCCGAGTAACTTTCTGGGTAGCTATTGTTCCTAAAAAAGCAAACTGACGGGACGTTTCAGATTTAAAACCTGGCGCTCAATAGAGATGGGATGACTGATTTGTCAATAGTAGAGAATTTGCGCGCGCTTGGTGACTAAACTATCTTCTTCGAATGCTCAAAGCCTCTAGATTAGATACTCATCGTGTTTTCAAAAAAAAAAAATATAGAACGCCGGAAATTTGTGACTATGCACATACCTCGGTGGGGTTGGGGCGGCGCTTAGCAAAAGCAAGCGTACGGCGGTCGGGTAGGTTGCATAAGATAGAATCCCAGAAAGGGTATCTAAACTTGGTTCGCTCGTCTGTTCTTTTTTGACTTCCAAGTTCCCCTCTCGTTCGTCTCCTTGCTCCTACCTTGCCTCCGATTTGACAACGCTAGAATGCCGCAAAACGCATACCCCGCACCGCTGGTCATCCCGCCTTTCCATAACGACCATACACATACCATCATTGCACTTCATGGAAGAGGGAGTAATGCTGAGCGGTTTGGTCACGAGATTATGGCATCAGCTGATCTGCAATCTCGACTCCCAACTGTGAAATTCGTTTTTCCAACGGCCTCTAAACGTCGATCGACAATACTCAAGAGGGTTCCAATAAATCAGTGGTATTACAACTATTCGCTTGATGACCCTGTCGAGAGAACGAAACTACAGATTGACGGCCTTTGTGAGACTGCTGAGTTTATTCGCGACTTGATCACAAAGGAAGCGCACATTCTGGGCGAGGGAGGCTACCGCAATATCATTTTGTGGGGCCTAAGCCAAGGCTGTGCTGCCGGAATCTTCACGGTTTTGGGTGGCTGGTATGACATGAGTGAAGCCAACACCCTTGGGGAATTTGTTGGGATGAGCGGGTGGCTGCCGTTTGAGCAGCATCTGCGTGAGATTCTTCGATGTGATGACAAACCGGAACTGGCCGACATTAGCGATATCAAAACGCAGTCAGGCACTCATGATGCATATTATCATGACGCGAGTGAAGGGGATATGGCCAGTGATGAAGATTCGGAAAGAGACGATTTTCTTAGGTTTGAGTTAGAAGATGATCCATTTCAGCGACCTGGCCAAGTTCATGATGACTTCAATCCATTTATGGAGGACACAGAAGTGAAAGTCCCTGTGCCTATCCAAGCTATTGACTACATCCGGGATATCCGTGATCTTCCTATGCTCGCCAAAGATGAAGAGCCACAATCGCCATCTAATCTGTGTCAACTTCAAACACCAGTGTTTATTGGCCACGGCTCAAAAATCTTAAGGTTTCCGTGCGCCTTGGTGAGAAAATGTCTCGAGTCCTTTCTATTGGGCTGGGAATGAGTGTCACATGGAAGTCCTACGAGGGACTTGGTCATTGGTATCGTGTCGAAGACGAGATTCAAGACATTTTGGAATTTCTTGAAAGCCACGCCGGCATACTGGTGGAACATGGATTTCCTGTGCCTAGTCAGTACGTGATTTTCGAGAATTTCTATTTTAGATTCAATTCTCTTGCGTTTTTTTTTTTTCATTGCATTGTCTCATTAGAAGTGTCGCCAAGTGGTTCAGGCGTTAAGTTTTTTTAGGTCAATAAGCCAATTCACGGGAGGATTGAGAGATCGCGAGTTTTGTCGCTTACATACAAACCATTTCCCTCCTCCTTGTTCTTTTTGTTCTTGGCTCCTGGTTTTAACACACAAAACGGTAAATTGATGCAGGGACTATAATCTCACAATATGATTGATGGTTATAATATAGCCTCAAGAAACCACTATTCATCTCACAGCGTAGGTTCACTTATTGATCGCTTTTTTCTTTTTTTCCAAAATACTAAACAAACTACTATATTTAAGGCACCTCCTTACTAGTAATTCTATAGTCTGCTTTTGCGTACTAGCCGTGGTAGGCATCGGGACGCCCGGTCCGTTACGGAGGGAGTATTCTCGACTCCGAATACGGAATGAATCAACAATACGTCCACGTATACTTACAGACTAACCTGCGAGTGCAATTTTAAACAGAGCCAACATACAGGATCCATTTACCCCATCAACCTTTGGCTTGATATCCCAATATCAACTTATATACACAGATAATGTATCTCAAAGACTAGAGCCGGGAAACTACTAGAAACACTTTGATAGACATAAAGGATACGGCTAGTCTGTAAAGAGAACATGCACACGAGAGGATTGAAAGTCAACTTGTAGGGACGCCGATGAGTTGAGTAGTCCTTTAGTTGACTATTTTCTAGGGCAGATATTGATATATATCCGCAGCGATCCTCCCAAGGTAGAGCCCAAACCTTGGCTATCAAGTGATGCCAGACCAAAGAGTCCATCTCTAACAGCTCTCACTCAGAGGATAAGTCCTTGTTCTTTTCTGTAATCGGAGCAGCAGCTGTTTGCTGCAATTGCATCTTTCTCATCATCTCTGCCGCTTCGAATGAGTACTTGCACTTCATGCGGACCGCTTCACCGTAGCGGTACATAATCGAAGGGAATGGAATGCACAGAAGAGTCAAGAATGCCGGGATAGAGGAAGCCCAGTGAATTCCTAGCCTGTGGTACATCTGTGTCGTGAAAAGAGGAAACACAGCGCCCACGACCGAGCGAAAGATGGCAGCTGCAGCCAGGACAGAGGCCGCATAGATGGTGTAAGTGTCAATCAAATAGTTCATGATTGGCAGAATGACGAGTACACAGCCGAAGCCAAACGGCGCAGACAGAATGATGCTGACAGACCAGTGAATGCTGGGGTAGTTGGTCCAGGCAAAGGCGAACATGCCAATGGGGAAGGCGACACCTCCAATAATTGCAGGTGGCAGGCGCGACTCCGGGGTTGTAGCTTTTGCCGCATAGAGCCTCATGTAGCGGATGTTGTTGTCCCAGATGGCATAGACAAGGCCAAAGATGATGCCAACAGCAATTCCCAAGAATACCAGCCCGCCGGTGCCAACGCTCCAACCGCGGTCTTCATTGTACACGATGGGCATGGCACCCATAAACATGTAGACCGTGCCGTAGATAACAGCTATGTAAACTGATGCTATCAAGACAATGGGTTCCAGGAACAAGAAGATCCAGGGACGGAACAAAGCACGCTTGAAGACTTCCGACGGCAGCTTCTTTCCTTGGTTCTTTTCCAAAACGCTCACGTAGATCTTGCCATCGGCTTTGGCTAAGTTACGTGCCCGTCGCTGAAGCAACACCGGGCCATATGTCTCAGGAATGAAGACGATTCCCAGAATGCCGACTACGCCAATGAAGATCACGCAGACACCCTGGACCCATCGCCACCCGACGCTCTCAGACACGAATCCGCCCACTATTGGCCCCAAAATGGGACCGAGAAAGGGCACAACACAATATATAGTCAATGCCAGACCACGTTGAGCAGGTGGGAAGAGATCAGAAATTGTACCGCCAGAGTTGACGAGTGGAGAACTGCCAAATGTGCCAGCAAAGAATCTCAAGATCAGGAGGGTGGCCACGTTTTGGCTGCCTGCGGATCCTCCTAGAAAGGCGACCATAGCGATGTGAGTGACAATCCAGAGAATCTGCCTTCCGTATAATTCGGACCTTGAGCCAAAGTTAGCTGAATGTGTGTGTAGTATGCGTAGAGGATGGCACCATCGAAACGTACTGTGAAACAACATATGGTTAGTTGGGCTCCTTAGAAGTGACAAGGTGGTATAACAGCTTACCAAAGGACTCCATACGGCAGGGCCAATCGCAAATCCGAGTACAAAGAGAGAAAGTCCGACAATGAAAACCTCGGCGCTGATGTCAAAGTCCTCAAAGATTTCATTTGCCGACACCGAGTATGCAGAGGAGGTAAAGGTCACGGCGAAGACCGAGAGGGTCGCAATGGCTGCGATGAACCACTTACGGGACTGACCCCAGTTCATCGGTTAGCCGGCGTCGTCTTTCTGGAACTCCACGACGAATGGGTCATCTTCGGTGCCCGAGCCATCGTAGGTGTAACCAATTTCGACCTCGCCCGTGTTGACAGGAGCCTTTGGCTTGGTGTGAGACATGGACTTGTTTTGGTGGTGCAAGCGAGTAAAAATAGAGATCAATACCACTGTGTTGACGATTGACAAGACTAGAAAAAGAAGAGAAGGAAGAGAGGAAGTTTCGTCTAACAACTTGGAGAATATTAAGAGCGTTATCAAGAGCGTATATTCCAATTCTTGGCTGTGCAGCAGGAGACCTTTTCTTACCTCACTGCTTTCGATCTATATAACGATTACCGGACGGCGGAGTTGTTTACTGCGGAAGCCGTCAGAGACGGACCGCTTTTTCATTGGCCGAGTAGTAGCAAACGGATGCACTTCTGATTGGCTGCTCTCTAGATTGGCGGGAAGTGAAACTAACCAACAAATGACAGAACTTCCCGCTGCGGGTCTACCTCTGCAACGGGAAGGCATTTGATTGGTGAAATGCTGATGATCAATCAGGTAGATCTGGGGTCTTGATTTGACGAGGCACCCCACTCTCCATCCCCAACTGTTCGATTAAGACGTGATGAATGAAGTGATAAGTGATCAACATACGCAATCGAAGCTTTTACGCAGGCAGAGGCTAAGAGTAACAAGCGCTTGCCAAGTATGTCGCTCGAGGAAGATCAAATGTGATGGTGCTCGGCCAGGTGTCTCTCCATTGTTTCATTGACCTGCAGTGTTCGGGCAAGGCTGACACAAACCATAAAGCATGTGCCAAATGCCAGACTAGAGGCAAGACGTGTGTCTATGGCCGAGGTGCCGTCGAGAAACAGACAGCGCATAAACCTCGTGGGCAAGCATCGTCGGTTCACATGCCTGTTTTTATGCTGGTGTCACCCATGTCTTCGGCACCTTCACTCGAGAATCCGCCAGAATCAGTGGCTGCAACGCCTCTCAGGATTGATTCAATATCTGGGCCTCACCATGCGAATCAGGATCAAGAAGCAGAGCCCGACTCGGAGAAAAACAGGACATACTATACCGCTCACGGCCGGTTTGCCGGCCAGGTCGTCGCTGCCATAGACGAAAGGGCAGGCCTCATCCCAGCCACCTGTAACCAGGTCCCACTGGTAGATGCACCGCTATTTGGTGATCTCAACCTACCTTCTCAATCTTGTGTCTTGTCTTCGTCGATCGAATTGCCTCCCCGGGTATATGCCGACCAATTGATTGACATATACTGGCAACACGTTGACCCTATGGAGCCAGTTTTAGATCATCAGCGTTTCCTTGAAAACTATGAAAAAGCATATTCAACACCCATAACACCACTCTGTGCAGACTACGACCTCTGGCTTGGTATTCTCAATGTAGTGTTTGCCCTGGCAGTTCAAAGACAAGAACACAATCCGCTGCACCAAAGAAACGAGGAAGCAAATCGATTTTTTCTGCGCGCATGGGCCCTACTTCCAGCTGAGTCTATGCTATGGAAACCTGGGTCACTCGAGCTCGTACAGTGCCTGATGCTGATAAATCGATACCTGCACTGCACCAATAATCAGCAGAAGACATGGATGACAGCGGGTCTGGCGATGCGGATTGCGCAAAGCATGTGCTGCCATCTCACTGAGACGCCCTGGTTGAAAGGCTCCAGTGACGACAAAGCTTTGAAACAGAAAGTATGGGCTAGCTGTGTTGCGCTCGATCGGTATGTCATGGAATGATTACTCTTCTATAGTACTCTCCAGCTGACTTCACGTAGATGCATCTCCTGGTCATTGGGTAAGACATCGTCATTGGTACTAATTGCGTCCCCACCACCCAATAGCTCGCAACAACTAGGTAAGAAGGCGATGCATGATACCTTGGGATTAAGACTTTACGAAATCGGGAATCAAATTCAACTGGCGCAGATCCAGACCCGAACTAGTCTCACAGCCAGATTTCGCCCTCCACTCCTATCTCAACAAGACGAGTACCATAACGCGGCATTGCAACTAGATGCATGTCTTCAAGATTGGGAAAATAGTCTCCCCGGCGATTGGCAACATCAGAACCTCAGAATGGTGGTCGACAGGTCGTCCCGAGCCGAGAGATACTTGCTTCATCTTCGGTAAGCCAGTAATCCCTTTATCCTCACCAAACCCGATTTTTATTGTTCTATGTAGCTACCTCCACCACAGAGTATTTCTCTACAGACCCATGCTCGCCCGATTCTACTCGATGAAACCAGACACGCACCCTTCACACAAATCACCCAGCCTAAGCCACCGACTCCTCCGTGAAAGCGCCAGCATGTGCATCGAAGCCGCGCAACAGATGGCTTCATTCGTTAACGAGACGCTTGAGCCAGATGAGCCGATCGGACTCCTCCCGTGGTGGTACAGAATATACTACCTTCATATTGCGGGTGCCAACTTCCTCGCAGCTATGTTTCGATCGGAGCTATTCACAGATTCTGTTTCCCAGTCTTGGACAAGTGTTCTGCTGGCGCTCCGCGCTCATGAACACCTGAGCCCTTATGTCCAGCAGTGCCTGCGGACGTTTGAGACCCTTGCAGCCAGGATCAGGGGCAAGGCTTACCCCAGTATGGATGGCGGTGGGTGTGGTTTGATGGTTGATGGGTCTTCGGAAGTTTCATTCGACGATATTTTCAAGGATGTCAATTTTGACTTCGACAATTTCATATTTGGGCCTGAGGACTGTGGAGAAGGGTTGGTTTAGTGGCAAGGCTGGCATTTGCCCTATGATCGAAACTGGTACAGGTCATGGCGTGTAAAATTTCAAAGCAAATGTTACCTGTTCTAAAAGTGCTATCCACTGCAATCCATGCAGTTTTACAAACTATTCGGGTTAGGCTTTTCGAAGTTGATAGATGGCGGGATGACGCCATTTACCATGGCTAGTGCCGTTTTGATGATGCTTGCAAGCCCGCTTGCGGCCCCTGTGTGGCCAACGTTTGTCTTGATCGATCCGCTGAGCAATGGTTCCTGGCGTGATGCAAAAACAGTTGCAATGCCCTGTGACTCAATAGTATCCCCATCCTGCGTACCAGTGCCATGTGCCTCAAAATACTGCGTTTCTGGAAGGTCGGGACCTGCTTTTTTCGCTTCTTGGGCAGGAATTTGCAGAATATTCAGGTTACAAAAATTACTTTCTAAGTCCAGAGCATTTAGGTACATAGCCTTAATGGGCTTAAGATTGGGCGATAATAACAATTAATGAGAAAAATTTTGTAAGTTGAAAAAAAAAAGACTATATATTTTGCTTTTTTACTAAAATTAGTAAATGTTTGTCTTGTTTGTACACTAGTGGGCCCGAAATGGGCCCCCAATAATGGGCCGAGCATCGGGCCCAAAACAACCCATAAATGGGTTGGGCTTTGTGGGTTTTGGCGATGTCTAGGGATAGTAGATACTCGACTTCCCGCTCATGTCCGTTAAGTGAGGCTAGATGTAACGCAGTCATTGACGGCGGATCTCTGCCAGTATCCATAGCCTTCCAAAGGATAGGGAACCACAATGAAAATCCCTTCCTACTCAAGTCGTACATTTGCCGAGCTTGACTGGTTGCTTCTTGGTCTTGGGTCAGACTCATCTCCTGTCTGTGGTCCGGCCAATATGATGCTGAATAATCTAGGAAGCTTCGAATATTTGAGGATGGATCATCATCATCAGGATCCAGATCTTCCATCAATAGGTTTTCAGGATAAGATGATCTTACCAGACAATGGACGGCCAAAAAAGCGCAATCCTCATTTCATACAGGATCTGATACTTGTTCAACGCGCTAAGCAATGTGCTATTGCCGCATATTCTCCCTGATTCGTGTCAGGTTCAAGTCCAAATGATACTGCATTTCATATATCCAAAATTGTGAGGTAAGTACTCTGCCATTCTCCGAAAGGGCATAATGATGGCTAAAGTCAAACAGCGGGACATCTATCTCGACGAATTTCCGTGCCCAACAGCGTATACCTGACCAGATTTCACTAATACGCAGTGGGTGTAGTCGGTCCTATCCATCTATTTCAGTTGTATCTGTCACGAAGACTTGGTCTCCAAGATCATTTGTGCAGAACCAAATTTTATATACTGGCCCAGCTTGGAAATTGCGCTTCGACCCATGTTGCTTTTGAGGTTGGTTGTCTGCAAAGACAGACGATATTTGGTTCTGTTGGACAGCTCGCCGTAGAGGTAGAGAGAGTTGTTACCGCACACCACCACAAATTGAGTACAGACGTTTGCGCCAGAGTATTGATCGTAAGCAGGCATTCTTGCCATTGCACCCATTCACCGGCCACGAGCCCCTGGACTTAGCTGTACCCCGCGTAAATAATTGTGCTCTAATTAATACCGGTACCAGGGACCCCATATCTGATTGAAACTATCATTAGAGCAAAACCCCGCATTAGTATTGTTTTTAGGGCCTGGGTTTGGGGTAAGGCCAGGCCTGGGTAATATTTCCTCCAATCAGGTCATCCTTCATCCTATGTGCTGAGGCCTGACTCTGGGAATCTGGCAGGGTTCGGCTAACGAGGAGGCGGCAGCGAGAACGGGCCTCGAGAGTTTAGTAATACCCGATAGAGACTCGCCGGCTTTTAACCCGATGTATCGTCTCTGCCAACGGGTGGGGCAGGCTCGGGGGTATTGTCTCCGATACCCTGGGCAAGAATTGTCTGAAATAGGGTACGAGGAAATTTATGCGTACTGCGGATTCTCAATGGACCGCATGCTACGAAAGGACATGATATAAAAGCGTCTTGTAATCTACGGTGAGCAGGTAAAAGTTCAACTTCCTTTTTGAGACGGTGAACTGGCACCGCGTCAGAACACAATAATACCCATTATAGCCATGGTAAGCATAAAATCGCTGACCTCAGTCCTCGCCATTGGTGCTTGTGCCTCCGCAAAATGGATCGTTCCCGGAGCAAGATGGGTTGATACCGATGGCAATATATTCAACGCCCATGCAGGTGGACTTTGCATTGACCAAGAGAGCGGTCGCTTCTACTGGTTTGGTGAATACAAGGTAGAGGGACACGTTGAGGGTGGCGGAATTTCCGTTTATAGTTCCGATGATCTCGCGACTTGGACCTCGCATGGATTGGCTCTAGGTTTGTTGACCCTCCCAAAGCTGCTGGAATCTATGCGGTTCGGTCTAATAATGGACAGAGCCAATCGAGAACCACACCTACATATCACCACATAATCGTATTCAGAGGCCGAAGGTCATCTTCAGCGTGGAAACTGGGCAGTATCATGTGAGCCTCCAACACGCTGTCCTAGTCGTACCCTACCTTCTGACGTGGATAGATGTGGTGGCACGCCGACGACAACCTCTACTCGTGGCTGCTACAGGGCCTCGCAACCTCGGATAACATAGCAGGGCCCTACACGTTTGTTTCCGCGACATCCCCGCTGGGAAACTGGTCGCAAGACTTTGGGGCGTTTACCGACTACAAGACCGGCAACTCGTACGCGCTCTATTCTAATGGTGATAGCGTCGAGGGTCGTGATGTTTATCTTAGCAAGTTCAACAAAGACCTTACCGCTGTTGAGAAAATCACATACCGTTTCCCCAAGTATGACTTTGAGGCGCCAACGGTTTTGCAGACGGAGAAGGGCTATTATGCGCTCATGAGCCACAAGACCGGGTACCGGCCTAATAGTGAGTCTATCTGTTCTTGTCAAAGCGTACTGCGCAAACTAGAATGGCCATTAATCTAGACAGATGTCGTGGCAATGCGGGCCGATCAGCTCGATGGACCCTGGTCCCAGCCGTTTTTCGTCTCACCAGCATATACTCGGACGTTCAGTACACAGTCTGGATTTTCCTGGAGAATCCAAGGGACGAAGCAGACAACCTATCTGTATATGGCAGATCAAGTGGGTTATTTGCGTCCTTGAATTCCCCAGAATCTCTGTCTCGCCTAACGGAATGTTGTAGTGGGACATGAATTCCCTTTGGGAAAGCCGCAACGTGTGGCTCCCGATTAGGATTGACGAGCTGAATGGAAGCCTTGAGGTCGTCTGGCATGATATTTACGATCTGGATGTGTAATTCCCCCGCTTTCCTTCCACACACAGATCCTTAGACACAGATATATTCTAACTGGCGAGGTAGCAAATCCGGCGAATGGAAGCCGATCGCGGGCAAGGCATATATCTCCAAGGAAGCAAAGCTCGCCGGTGACGCATACCTTCAGGAAGCGGTAAGTTCTCCAGTCTCCGTCACCAGGCACCAAAAGCCAACCTGATGAAGATCAACCGTGCAGAGCTTTGCTAGTGGCAACCGCATCGCAACGGGCATTTACGGCAACGACAGCACAGTCACGTTTACGGTACAAGGCCAAGGAACAGAACAATGGGTTTCATTCTACCACCAAAGTATGTACTAGCTGCTTGTTCGACCCATTGTACCCACTCGCTCTACTCACTCTCCTTATTCCGCGCATCCTTATTTTTGTCAAATGCCAAACCTGGTATCTGAATTCTTCTTCTTTGCCTAGACACGGATGATATGGGCTTCGGCGACCAGCCAATGGGCCAACCGGACCGAATCAACGGTACCTGGCAGCTGCGCCGGATTAGCAGCGTCGTCGTAAATGGCGACACGGAGAATGTGCACACGCTGTACCAGAAGGATACACACAAGGGAATTATTCTTTCGACGCCCCTCTTGCTACCGTTGAAGAAGGGTGCCAATACGATTACCGTTGGTGGACTGTACAACGGGTTCGACTACAAGGGTGCTGACTTGGATCGTATTGTGGTTTATCCTCCTGAAAAGCGGGAGCAAGAAAAGCGGAAGCAAATGGAGCGGAGATGGTTTGATTGGTTGCTTTAGTAGGTGACCATCATGCTCTTGGGGATGGAATGCATAGGTAGGGCTTAGGTAGGAGTAGTTATTACAGGTGAAGCGGCTCGTAACGCCAAATCATATTGGCGGTCTGAGATGCGAGACGGCCCCACCATGGAATATCGCCCACTACCCTGGAGTCACCACGGCCCATATCCTACCGGGAATTGCAGTTGGCAACCCAATGTGGTGACCGTTAAATCTTAATAAATCTTTCTACGAACTGTGTCACTGCTAAGCAGCCGCCTAATTAGCAGATCTAGCGAGTTCAAGCCAAAACTGCCCAGAGCCGTTGTCCTACTACAAAAGCAGGCTTCTATGCTGAAGTATCTTTAAAGCGACAGTCAAGTAGGCCTCCAAGGCCATCGAAATTTATTTTTCAGAGGACTGTTAAGGTCCGTTGTGAAGCGATGGTAATTTTGCGGAGACGCCTGGCAACCCCCGTAACGGCGGTAAATAAACTATGAATGCTTCGACTTGGCAGTTGGCACCTACACGCCTCTTCAATTCCCACCATATCACCCAGCGATAACTCTGGCCTTTCAATTCTTTCAAATTTTATAGCTGTGGGTGGCTTGATAGAATGGTGATCCGGCCAATAATATGTTGGCTGTAGGCACCGTTGATAATTACTTTTTTTGCTTTTTCTCGAAACTGTAGTATATATGATGGAAGGTGATTCGTGTTATGTACACTTTCCATAATTTGATCTTGACTTAGCCAGTCGCACGTCCTTGAGGGATTTGATTGACTGTTCTCAAACATTCATATTGCTATCCTTCGGCTTTCGCATCGATCAGTAAGATCGGCAAAGTGGATCTCACTGAGCTAGCAGCTGAACCCAACGGGGTTATTCACATTTGAACAGGAGTACTTGGTTGCGTTGACTGGCGGATCAACAGAAATGTTTTCAATGTCAATATTCTCGATGCGAATTCTGCCACAACCACCAGCTGCTCTGCTGCACTGGAGCTTCGCGATGTAACTTGAATCGCTGGTGCCTCGGTAATCCATAGCTGAGAAATCGGAGATCTGGAATAGCGAGGAGCTGCAGTTTCCAGTAACACCGTTGTAAGTTGTGCATTGATTAATGAGAATTGGGTTGGTGGTAATGCCTAAGGTGGTGAAGTTACTGCAGTCTGCGGATTTATGTTAGCTTATTCGTTGCATTCCCAACACGCGCCTACTGCTGATGGCGACTCACTAATATTTTTCATGTCTCAGGTCACGGTCAGCATATATTGTCTCCAGTAGGGAAAGCATTTTCTTTAAGAGAACGTACAACCCAGGCCCCCACCGCCACCATTTGGAGGATATCCCACTTGGTCACCGGTCCAGGTTTTAATTCGCGTTGCGTACTTTGTATTGTTGCAAAGAATGTTGCGCACTGTGATGTTCTCAATGGTCTCAAATTGGCCCTTATACTGACCAATGCTGCCAAGGGCAATGCCTTCGCCGTTATAGAAGGTTGCATCCTCGATGAGAATATTGGTTGAATTGGCCTTCATCGCAATGCAATCATCGCCATTATTGACAGTCCAGCGGCGGAAGGTGATGTTGTCGGAAAACATGGTATTGGCACCATCCGTATTTCGAGCTGGGTTCTTGTTGCTACTGATGTTAATAACGTGAATATCTTGCAGTAACACCCTCTCTGAGTACATGATTGTTACAGTCCTAAGATATCAGTACGGGATAACTGATATAATATAGACACACATTAGACCTACCACATCTGAGCCTGGAGGAACCGAATACCCTCAAATACAGAGTCTTTAGCATCCCAAATTGTCAAAGCCATCGGTCGGTCTAGTGGGGATTAGCTGAAGTTGACTTTGCAGTCTGCAATTAACGTCGCTTACTTGGATAATTTGATTGCCCTTTGACTAAATCATACCAGGCCTGGCCATTGCCATCAAACGTTCCGTAGCCATGACCCTGGACGTTGACATATCTACCACCCAGGAACCAAACGGTGGACTGGTTCTGATATCCAGTTGGCATTGAGTGATTGAGCCAGTAGGATATGTCATTGCTCCACTAAAAGCTGGACTATTAGACACGAGCATTTCATGTGTAACGTGACATCCCTTTAGAACGCACCTGCAAGGTTCCATATATGTCAACCTGACAGTTAAACAGATTAGTTGTATTGAGCACACTGTTGACATAGTACGTCGTATTCTCGAAAATGACATTTCCATTGGAGCCGCACTTGTCGAATGCTCGACGTATGGCTGGGGCGTCGTCAGAACCGTTACGGTTAGCCCGCACCACACATTTCTTCAAGGGGTGCTCGGGGCGGCCGTGTGGAAGCGCAGGTTCCTGACCAGCCCAGGCTGCGACCAGGACTGACTGAGAGACCAAAAAGATGGGTAAAACGAAGAAGAAGAGCATAGTTGATCACAGGCGATCACTAGGGTTCAATAGGGCAAGCCTTTGGTGAGCTCATCCTGAAGAGCGGATCTAACTTAGATGCTGGAGCATGACGGTAATAATACTTTGACGGTTTTACCAAGGATGTGATATTTTTCCGTGCAAATCCTCCTCATCTTGTTTTCATTGATCCAGGATCTTCACTTCTATGCCAATCTTGCCATCAAACGCCGTCATCAATTGCCGACAAACGCCGTCAGAGCCCCTACCAATTGGCGATTGCGACTGCTAAGTGGGGGAAGAATTGCTCGAGGTAGGCACTGATCGTCTTTAGAACTGACTCGGCAGCGGAGCGCGGTATTTACTCTCTACTGGTGGAAATTATCAGGTTACACTTCCACGGCTCTCGGTTGTAAGCCAATGCGGGGTAAAGCTCGGCAAAACAATTTGGTGGCTTGGTCCCTGCCATCCCTTGCATCATTTCCATCAGCCCCAGTATGATTGGTTAGTCTAAAATTGTGGCGCCATCGGTCTCCGTTTTGGGAAGGTCTGGCAGGACGCACGACCCATAATAATTCGTCCCAGCTAGTCGAGCTAAGTAAATAGAGTGTCGAATAATGAGTTTACAGAAAGAACCGTACTCGTGCTGTTGAAAGCCCGATTAAGAACGAGGCCACTGAAGGAAATTCCATGCCGCACAGATCGCCAGGTTTAAAAAGCAAATCGGAGTTTCGGGAGATGTCAAGCCGGTCAAGGACTGATAACGCTTCGCTTAACTAGACAGACACACATCTGACAGAGGCACTGGCGATTCCATTTTACCAATTGCTGGCTTCACTATCGCCATTATGAAAGCTCAATTCTTCAGGCTTGTGGCCGCACTAGCATTCTTATGCCAGGCCTTGTCTATGTCGAATAACTTGACACATTCTGTGACCTGGGATGAATACAGCTTGATAGTGAATGATGAAAGAGCTTTTATCAAGTCAGTCTTTAAAAAACGTATTGTTTTTGTGATATGCCACTAGCAACGACGAACTCACAGCTTAACCCAGTGCCGCCGAATTTCATTATCAGAGACTGCCTGTCCCTGAGATGTGGCTAGTAAGCCAAAGATGAAACCAGCCAAGACATAATTGATGTATCTGATTTGATCTAGGATGTCCTGCAAAAGTTCAAAGCAAATGGCTTCAACGCGATCAGGTACCAGCTTCTATCTAATATCCACAAGGTTCAAGCAGCCTTTGCTGACTATTCTTCCATCTTTTAGCGTCTATTTCTTCTGGAGTTATCATTCGGCTTCGAAAGGTGTCTTTGACTTTGAGACTGGTGCACATAATGTGCAACGACTATTTGATATGGCCAAAGCGGCTGGGCTGTGGGTTATTGCTCGGCCAGGCCCATACGTTAACGTAAGATAGTATATGCACATTGATGAATGGAACAATTGAGCTAAAGAAAGGAAAAATAGGCACAGACAAACGCCGGTGGTTTTGCTCTCTGGGGGTCTGATGGGTCGATGGGTACACTACGGACATCAGATGCCGCGTATTACCAAGCATGGCTTCCCTATATGACAAAGATCGGGCAAATCATTGCGGCAAATGAGATTACAAAAGGAGGAGTGCGTACAAATTCGCTCACCTAGTGCAATACGATGCGCTGACAGAGACTCTATAGCCTGTTATCCTGTGTCAGGTTGAAAACGAGCTGCAAGAGACCAGTCACAACCCCAACAATACTCTCGTTCTCTACATGGAGCAACTGAAGACTGTACTCAAGCACGCTGGTGTAACAGTCCCTACGACCCATAATGAAAAGGGTATGAGGTCGCAGTCCTGGTCAAGGGATTACCTAAATGTTGGTGGCGCAGTGGACATTTACGGGCTAGATAGCTATCCTGGGGGGTTTCTCTCTGGAAACAACTGCAATGCTGCTACTGGATTCAATGTTGTTCGGACATATCATCAGTGGTTTATGAACTATTCTTGGACTGGACCAGTCTATCTCGCCGAATTTGAAGGCGGTCGTACTTTGCCTTGGGGTGCACCGCAGAATTATGACGACGTGAGTGAATTACCTTCTAACCCTCCTCGGCAATCGACCCTAACACTACTATAGTGCCGGAACGAACACAGCACAAACTTTGCGGACATATACTACAAGAACAACATCGGCCAACGGGTAACCTTACAGAGTATCTATGAGGGCTATGGGGGCACGAATTGGGGCCATTGTAAGCTAATCTCTATCGAGCGAGACGTTCGTCTAAGGGACATTGATTGATCACGTGACAGCTGCATGCCCAGTCGCATACTCTAGCAATGACTACATGTAAGGCCTATTTTCACGTATCAGGTGCTCTGACACTCTACTCACTGGGTCAACAGGACTCCGCTCCGAGAGACTCGCGAACAATGGGCCAAACTCTGGCAAACGAAGCTAGTGCAACTATTTTCGGGATCAAGTCCTGATTTACTCAAGACTTACATGCAGGGAAACGGCTCTGGCTACAGTGTCAGATTCCCCTTTTTAAGCCCTGATGATGCGTGACTAATGCTCTAGCAGCTTTCATCGACGGATTGCTTCAGTTGGGTCTTGAGGAACCCAGATACTGGAGCGACTTTTTCCGTGTTGCAGCAGGCTAGAACTCCATCGACTTCGATTATCACGTTCTCGGCCTACTTGAACACGAGTTTTGGCAACGTGACAGTTCCAGGTGTTCAGTTAGCAGGAAGACAGAGTAAGATTTTGGTTACTGACTACAAGTTCGGTAACCAGACACTTCTCTATTCATCCGCGGACGTGCTTACAAACGGTGAATTCCCCGGCCATGATATGCTGGTGCTATATCTGTGGGAAGGTCAGGCCGGGGAATTAGCCTTAAAAACGTCGACAAACTTGACCTTTGAGATACACGGCGCGTCTTCCGTGAATACAACATTCAGTTCTGGCTACCAGATAATCAGATATACGCAATCTGCTGGCTCCACGGTTCTCAGTTTCTCAAGCGGAGTCACCGTGCTATTGCTTGACCAACCCACAGCCTGGTATTTTTGGGCTCCTTCAACAACCACTTACCCGTCCCCTAAGCCAGATCAGAAAATCTTTGTTCTCGGGCCGTATCTGGTTCGTTCTGCGTCAATTAGCAGTCGAGTACTCCATGTTTCTGGAGACAATAATGGAACCACGACCTTGGAGGCCTTTGTCGGCGATGTGCCGATCAATGCCATTGAGTGGAACGGCCAGCGACTTGCTACAACAAAGACACCATATGGCTCTTTCACCGCCCAGATCCCTGGGACGGAAGACAGATCAGTATCGCTTCCGTCCCTACAAAACTGGCGATCCGCAGACTCGCTCCCAGAGACTCGGCCCGAGTATGATGATTCAAATTGGATTACTGCGAACAAAACAAGCACACTCAGTCCTTATGCCCCACTTACCCTACCAGTTTTGTTCAGCTCCGAGTACGGCTACTATACCGGGGCGAAGGTTTACCGTGGCTACTTTGATGGGAACAATCAAACCGCTATCAATATCACCGCCTCCGGTGGCTTTGCATTTGGATGGAATGCGTGGCTTAACGGACAACTCATTGGAGGCCACTCAGGAGATCCTGACTTGACGACTACAGGTATGGCTTTGGACCTTCCAGCCTCGCTTATAAAGTCGGAAGATAACGTTGTCACGGTTTTGGTGGATTATCATGGCCACGACGAGACTTCAACAGCGAAGGGATTGGAGAATCCCAGAGGGATTCTCGGCGCGTACCTAATTCCAGGCAATCCATCGACCGCAACAGGATTTAAGGTGTGGAAAATCCAGGGTAATGCTGGTGGCTCGAGAAACATCGATCCAGTCCGTGGACCAATGAATGAGGGTGGACTCTATGGCGAACGCCTAGGCTGGTTCCTCCCTGGCTTTAATGCATCTGGCGAATTGTTTAACAGCTCCAGCCCAATAGATGGCATCACGACGTCTGGTGTACGTTTCTACGTTACTAACTTCCGGCTGAATATCGACAAAGACCTAGACGCGCCTCTTGGAGTATCCCTGTCTTCGCCAAACGGCACAATCGCGCGCGTAATGCTCTGGGTTAATGGGGTATGTTTATACAACGTCTTCCATCTACCATATACTGACTCTCTTGATGAAGTATCAATACGGGAAATATGTGCCTCACATAGGCCCCCAGACAGAGTTTCCTATCCCCCCAGGCATAATCAACAACCGGGGGAGGAACACGCTGGCTCTCAGTCTGTGGGCGCAGACCGATGAAGGAGCGAGACTGGACAGTGTTGAACTGTTCACATATGGGTTGTATCAGACCAACTTCAATTTCAATCATGATTGGAGTTATCTACAGCCTGAATGGGAGGAAAGAAGCAGGTATATGTCATAATTACACATCGATCCTACGGATCACATCAGGCAATCTCTCCATGGCTGAATATTGAAGAATCCTGGATGTTGTGTAGTTAGCTCTCCGATAAAAATTAGGCGGAGGGGAGAAAACCCCTCTAGTGAAATGCCAAAATCGGCTTCCAAGCAAAACAAAGATAAACTCTCCAGCAGTAGAGCACAGCCTAGGCTGAGGAAGCAGCATAGCGCGGCAGTGGAGCGAATGTTATTGGAGAAAGGGACGTCCCACGTGACAATGTGGTCCGTGACCGACTGACGGGCACAACAGACAGAACCCCGTCAGCAATGGTGGCTGCAGCACCGACGGGTAGATATGGCACTAATACTTGAACCATGGCGACTCAAGCTTATTCGTGATATGATATAAGACTCTTAATCGTATACTAATGCGGAAATAGCTAAAGCTGCCCATTACACCCCACGATTAGACTGCGGCAATATCCTCAATATTAGACATCGCCAAAACCCACAAAGCCCAAAGCCCAACCCAACCCAACCCACAAATGGGTTGGGTTTTGGGCCCGTTGCTCGGCCCATTGTTGGGGGCCCATTGGGGGCCCACTAGTCTACAAACAGTACAAACATTTACTAATTTTAGTAAAAAAATCAAAATATACAGTCTTTTTGATATCGCACGTCCATGGTGGGAAATTGAAGGCTAAAGGATTTGCTGAATATCTATTTGATCTTTTAGGCTTGACGTAGAAACGTAGTACGGGCCTCTTAAGAACCCGTTTTGTTCCACCTGCGGTGACGGGCCCTATGCTATTTACATATTTCCATGACAGTATTGAGGTCTCAGTACGTTTGATAAAAAGATAAAAAAAGACACAGGGTTTGGTTGGAAATTCAACAAACACTTGATACCCATTCAACGAAATGGGTATTAGAAGCTCCAAGTAAAGTAAATCCACAAATCCACACACCTGGGAGCAAAAATGATTCATAACGCCTCGAAGTGCTGCTTCATGCGCTGACATAAGCATTGGATGTTGGCATAACCAAGCGAACATAGTTGTGACATCAAGAGCCACTCTCTCCATCCACTGCCCGCCATATAGCCTTCCAAAGACCTGGTGCGCGTCTTGAAATAAATCCAGCCATCAAGGTCAGAAAACCGGGATGACAAAGATGGAAAGAAACCAAGTCAGACCCTAATAAGCCAAGCGCTAAATATGATCACAAGCCGCCAATTTGACAGCAATGGCAACAAGATAATTATTCAAAAGTGAAAAAGACGCATAAATCATATGCGCTAAAGTACCTTGATATTCTGTTTATAGATAAATCCAGCTATCATTTCAAATGATACGAATAGCGGTGTGCTTAGTTATAAAAGACTAATGAGTAGACCTTTCGTCGTCACAAAGCCGCATAAAGAGTGATTCACGGTTGCTAAGTAGCGCAGCTGGAGTGTCATACTCAACAACCCTCCCGTCATCGATGACAGCAATTCGACCATAGTCCAAGAGTGTATGAGCTCGATGTGCACCTGCGACAATGGTACATCCTGAAAACTCCTGCCGAATTACCTGTTGCATCAGTTGATCAGTCTTATCGTCTACGCGGCTTGTAAACTCGTCCAGAAGCAGGATAGTCTGTTTCATGACCATGGCCCGTGCTAAACAAATGAGTTGGCGTTGACCCGCAGAAAGTGGGAGATCGTCCATCTTCGAGTCTAGGCCACCATTTGCCATCACATGGTCTTTCAGCTGTAGCTTCGCCAGGGCCAGTAGGACCCTATCGTCATCAAGTGATTTGAATGCCGTAATGTTATCCCTGATATTACCTGGGAAAAGAACAGGCTCCTTGGGTATCACAGTAACTTTGCTGCGAACCGTATCGCGTGGGCAGGATTGCACACTGATGCCATCAATGATGATATTCCCACTCTGTATCTCTACCATGCGTAGAAGAGCGAGAATAAGAGAACTTTTGCCGCTCCCTTTGCGTCCACAAATTCCGAGCTTGGATGCCGAAGGAATGTTTAATGTGATGTGTCGAAGGATTGGAGGCGCAGTTGGATCATATGCCATGCTCGTATCTTGAAAGATTATAGAGCCTCCAAGTGGCCACATAACAGGAGGGCATTGATTCTCCGGAGGCAAATCTTCAGTAGGTAATTTCTCAAAAATTCGAACGCGTGTGATAGCACCAATACTGGTCTCCATCAGCATCCAAAAGTTGATGAGCTCGGCAAGCTGCTGATTGAGTGTGATCAAGGAGATAATCGAAATTCCGATGGGCCCGATGTTAGAGGCGAAGATAGATAAAAAAACTAACATGACCGCAATTCCAGCAACAAGGAGATCCAATACTAAGCTCAGCCAGCATTGAACAACAAACAAGAAATAGTAAGGTCGTTGGGATTGCTGAAGTAAATGTGTAAATTCCTCCTGGAAGCTGTGTTGCCACCCAAAAGCACGAATCGTGACAAGGCCATTGAGCGTCTCGGTGAACTGGGTGAATAGTGGCGACTTGTATTCCAAATCTAAAGAGCGAAGTTGCCGTGACGTGCGAAGATAAAACCTTTGGACCCAGTAGATGGCAAACACTGTAAGTAGAATCAGTGGGGCCATGAATTTCGCCCCAACACAGATATATGCCGCACTCATAAGACACTGAATGAGATTATTGGAGGTTCTCAGAAATTCAGCTGCAAGTGATCGATCGATCAAAGTCAAATCTTGGCTGAAGCGATTCAGAATGATTCCGGAATCAGTTGACGTAAGCCAATACAGCGGTGCCTTTTTGACCTTATTCACCAAATATTCATGTATCCTACATGATGATATTGGCACAATGTGGCAAAAGACTAGCCACATGCAAAAAGCCCAGATCCCAGCCCCAACTGTGGCCAATATAGCATAAACACTGATATACTGTGCCAAACGGCCAAATGGCACCCGTGCATTTTGCTCAGCCCACCATTGGACCCACAAATCTAAAGCTAGACGTTATCATAGAGCATAATAAAAAGATTTCGTGTGTATTTACTAGTAAATTGAGCACAAAACACGCCAACAGTCAGAGCTCCTGCGTAGAGAATCATTGACCACCCACCAGATGCTCTGAAATAGTAAACATAGTCGCGGAAGTCCCCTTGATTTTTTGCAGACTTCCCGTCGAGACTTGCGATGTTTCTGGAAGGCGTAGTTGCCTGTATGCCATCTGTCTGTTCGTGGGAAGAAACAAAATTTGCTTTTGCAGCCTCGAGCTTGTGAGGCTTGAGAATTTTGAGCCCTGAAGGAGGCCCCTGCTCCCGGATCCTTCCGTCGCCAATGACAATGACATTATCAGCGTCGGCAAGGTAGTTCCAGTCATATGTCGCCAAGATAACAGCAGTTCCATGCTGTAGCAGGATACCCTGAGATCCAAAAACACGAGTAAAGACTAGAGCAGAGGTGGAAGTATCAAGAGCACTGAGAGAGTCATCGAAGATAGCCAACTTTGTGCGAGCATAAGCCGCACGAGCAATGGCAATCCGCTGCCGTTGCCCACCGCTCATTGAAAGACCGTTACTTCCAATGATCGTGTGGTCTTTTTGGGGCAGATAATCAATATCGTAATGCAGCGCAGTCGAGAATATCACAGTGCGGTACCATTCCTTATCATAAGGCAGTGGGTGACAAATGTTGTCGCAGATAGATCGGTTGCGAATCCATGTCTTGGTATCGCAAAATGAAATTCCGGAGACTTCGACGTGGATGAAGCCCTTCAAACAAGGGATCTCGCCCAAAATTGCTTTCAGGAGGGCACTTTTCCCCGAACCAACGTGCCCCACAACTATAGTCAATGAACGAGGAGATATTGTAAGGTTTACATCTGATAAGATTGCTGCTGAATGGCGTTGCCACCCAAAGTCAGCCTGATTAGTATGGACGAGTTGGACAGCCTCAACACATGACGTCACAAAGTTACTTGCTTCAAGCTCAAGAGTAGTTTCAAGTTGGACTTCCTCGGCCTGACTGGCCTCCATAGAGTGTCGTAGGTATGGAGTGACGCGATAATTAGAATTTGACTCAGACAAAAGGTATTCCTTAATCCGTTGAAAACATTCCAAAGCGCCAGTTACTTTTGGCCCGGAATAAATCAAATTAGATAACCGACTGCTCAACAGGGAAACAATGGAGAGTGTGGTGAAAGTTTCAGATGCGGTCAAGGGTCTGCGGCCAGTGTGAAGGGCGATGGCTGTATAAATGCTCAGGGTAAGCACTGGACATAAGTTCGTAATGGTACCGGCTGCCTCACTCATTAGTATACTGCCCAATGCGCAGAAAATGTATTGCTAGATTGGCTAACCAAGTAAATTCATCTTGACCATCATATGACGAAACTTTGTCTGTCGACTGAGCTCATTGATCCGGAATTGTTGCAATATCAAGGAGAAACGGCCCTGGAGACCCAGCATCTTGATGGTTGCACTATCATTGAGGTAACTGGATGCAAATGCCACTCTCTGGCGCACAGCTTGCATCCATGACTTTTGTCGGCTGGGTGTTGACTGTGACAGAAAGTGCGTGGCAACAAAGGTTATCACTGTCACAAAAGCTGGGACTGCCGCCGCCCAAGAAATTTGCCGCTGCAACAAAAATAACGCAATGCCGGTTTCAATCGGGCTTGCCCAAACTTCGTGCATATTCTGGATTCCAGCCGCGATATTGTCAATATCATTGCTCATTAGAGTGATAGCGGCTGTGTCGCTATTGTCATCAATTCTCAAGGTCAGGCTTTTCCCAAAGATCAACGACACAACAGCTCCTCTGATTTTTGCCATTAGCCGAAAGTTATGATGTTGGTAAACGCAGCTAAAAACCTGGACGAATTTTGTCAAAGATTATACACAATAAAGCAGGTTGGCGTGATATACCCCCTTGGACACAAATACCAATGCGGATGCGCCAATTAAACCATGACCCTGATTTCTGTCAGGATTACTATCATGAACGTAGCTTGTTAAAGCAGTAATGAGGAATGGCTGGCAATAGGTGATCCCAATGACGGCTAGCCGAGCAATAAATGCCCATATGACGAAGGATTTGAATGTCCAAAAGGTCGAGTAAGCTAGACCACTGCGCGAGGTTCCAGAGGCTTTCATGCTTGTTAGTTGAAGAACCGTAAAATTGAAATCGTTTGGATTTTCAGTCACCTTGGTCAAACCGTCTAGCGAGTCGACGGCGCAGTGCGTCTGACGAAATGGTTTGGTCTAATGCGGCAAATCATCCACGGACAATATATGCATGAATCCAAGACAGAGATATGAGTTGTTCCACCAAAAGAAAGTGCAGCTATACAGACCATGAACTTCTTCATCTCCATATTGTTCTCTGATTGAGGAATACATCCGTTTCGACTTTGACCCAAGGTAGAATCAGATCATCTTTATTGTGATGCTTGCCGTGTAGAGTACCGCGATAGCTGTATTAGATGCCAACCACAGACTTCTAACCCGGACAACGTCAAAGAGAAGTGACACTGATAAGGAAATATTGAGGATGTTAGAGGGATGTACCAAAAAGATGTGTTCCCAATGCGACAGGAAGAGAAGGCCGACTGAAGAAAAGAAAGCCAATGTCGCGGCGGCCAAGGAGGCCCTCGTGCGAGGAGCATACGGGAGAAACCATACAACTAAGAGAGAGAGCTGGGTCACCCCGAAAGCCTGGCCGAATACCTGAAGGGAAGATAGCTGTCAAAAGGCACTTTCAGAGCACAAAGCGAATCAACATACTAATTTTGCCCAGTAAAGCCAGCTTCGTGAAACTTTGCGAATTCGCGACTGTCGTAGTTGATTGTAACGAAAAGGGAGCGCTAGCAAGAGAAGCACAGATGGCAAAATTGAGAAGAAACATTCCTCGAAAAATAATGTAAAGTCAAAGCAACCTCGGCAACGATCCACCTGGGGGCCGATGGCATCATCTCCACAGATAGTAATATTTTCCATCTGGTTGAAGAGTTTCTTGTGCTCCAAGAAGTCTATGGGAAGGAGCAAATGAGTGTCGTTCAACAAGGAAAAGGGATGGAAATTCCATGTACCAGAGATAAAAGCGGGGCGATCAGCCTTACCATCTCCAACCTTTTTATCGGTAAATTAGGCGATCAGCTACCTGGATCGTTTAGTTTTATCGGTAGACTCTGCGCAGGTCACAGAAGTGTTCAAGGGTTCGTATATGAAATAGATTAACCTCGATAAGTTCGACAAATCTAACTGAATCTTACAAAAGCTATAGCGCACAGTAAATTAGCAAATAGTGTGCAGGTCAACGGAGCTCCGTTCGGGCTCCTGCCGCACTGCAGGGGGTCTACACACGAACCAGCCATCATGCACCGATACGCAATGTGTACGAATCGGTCTGCCACTAGGTTATTGGGTTGGATTTTCGGCTAAAGTTACTGCGTCTTGTGGAGCGCCATCAAATCTCATAGGCAATGACGACTCACCAAGCGAATAAGCACCCACAGGTGTCTCTGGATTCAAATTATTCTTTTGGGACCAATGACGAAGCAGGAACGCTTATCTGGAATTGCATACGCTAAACTAAATCCGAATGATCCGTAAAAGTCTATACCACTTGACTGCTGATGCTCAGATGCGTGTTGGCACTTCATATCTCCTGAATTACGTTGGTTCAGGTGGCATCCAAACTACATGCTCAGTATTTATTCTGTCCAGGACGCAACAATCATAGCAGAGATGGGAAAAAAAGGTCAGGAGTCTATTCAAACCTAGTAGATTTCTGCCCCGAGCTGTGAAGAAGAGTCGCTGAGTTGACTGATAAATGTGCGTAGAGGTGTACGCAAGGCCTTTCACGTAAACATTCAAAAAAGTCTGATCGATAATTGGAGGGCTTATGAAAACTAGGTCAATCTGATTCCAAGCTCGAATGTAAAAATGCCAGTATAGTTCTAAAAACAAGTCTGGATGGCATCCGAGGTTGGTGCTTGCCGTGTGCTAAGGTCCGTCGGTTGTATGCCGGGCCCACCACAGAGTCGTCCTAGAACTTGGTGCGCATCTTGTAGTAACTCCCATCGACAGTCTTCTAAGGCATCTCGAACTGCACCTATCAATCCCGATATTTTGTTCGCTCCCACTGGTGCCGGAAGGGCCCCCTTAAGTGCTCGTGTCATGCGTATCAAGTATTCCTCTGCACTTCCCTGGTCAATTTCCTGCGACAAAGATGAGCCCTCTGTCATCACTCCGTACATCCATAAAGTCAGCGTTGCCATGTACAGGCACCAAGGTCGGGGAGCAATATTGTCATCTCGAGCTCGATATCTATGACCAGAAAACATGGTCTCTTGAACAAGCAGCAACGAATAACGAACTGCTTCTGGTGCCGAATCCGTAGTGCACCATTGTAAGATCCGGACCCTCGCCTTGTGATAATTACTTCTTGCATGGGCGCTGTCAAGATGATCGGGATCCATCGCTAGTGTCAGAAGATCGACCATGCTGACATGCAGGGTTATCTGTGCCATTCGGTGCAGCGGGCGGGCTGCCTCGAGACATAGTGATGGCTGCAGCGACAACAGGCAGTCTGCCCACGCAGTGATGGCAAGGCTAATCATGTTTGCCCAGGCGGGAGTAGACCTAGGCGTGCTTCCCCTAGCGTCCCCTGAAGTTGGTCCAGGCCGACTCTTTGAATTGTCTGTGCTCCCTCGCTCAATTCCTAAAGTCAAGCGCGAAATTGACTGCAAATGAATTTGGAGGCTTATCAAGCCATGGAGCAACACGAAGCGAGAGTATTCACTAAATACAGCCGGTGCTATGGCCTCCTGCAGTAATCTTTTCAAGGTCGGTAAAAACTCTACCGAATGTGTGTTTCCCTCTGATTGAACAAGCTCATACCATGACTCTGGGGAATTGCTCTCCCAGAGTGACTCTTTGCATGGAAGTGTCATCCTCATATCACTGACGGATAGAATTGGACTGTGTCCAAATAAGCAAGCGTGCTGAGCATCCATACAAAATGCGAAGAAGGCAGACCGACGCCAGGACTCTTCATCAACCCATTGTTGCCATTCGTAGCGTAAATCAACTATCTGGTTGCAAGGGCGGATTATAGAGGTGGTTGGATAGATGCTGCCCCGTTTCATCATCTTTGGAAGTTTAGTATATAGACCATAAGTCAACTCCTGTGCCTCACTCACGGTCAGTATAGCTCCATGGAATACATGTGCCATTTCGTAGTTTTTGCGCGATGACTTCATCTTGCCGTGAGCCTGAATCATGAGCAATGCCTGCAGGCACCAAAGTGGAATCGGAGGAGAAAAAGATCCACTCTGTTGAAGTCAGCAATTAGACCTGATTCAAGTGGTTTTGATAATGTAACTGACGTTTATGATTATGAGTCGGAGAGAGTCATGAATACACTGACCCAGCTCATACAACTTGGAATCTTTTGCCATAGTAGAGCCCAATGTCAGAAGAGTGATGAGGAGGAGGGGTTCAACCTCGGAAATTATAAGAGTGGGTCGGTGAAAAATAGGAAAATGTGGGTGGTAATGATGGAAGTACAAGTCGTGGAACATCTTGAGATTGTCGACTTCAAAGAACGGAGACTGCAAGATGTTCGTGTCAAACTGATTCAAAGCCATTAAAAGATTCGAATGCGCTAAGCTCCATTCAGCTATATCCGCAGGGCTTCTATGCTCATTTTCGTTAACGTCGTCCAGGAGAATAGGCTCTGCCTGCCACATGGTAGGAAAATCGAAATTTGGTAAGCTGATGTCACATTCTGATGGCTTTGGTGCAGACAACGTAGGTATTTCTTGTAGCGGTTCAAACAACCAATCAATATCGTCTCTCAACGTCTGCAGCTCCGCTAAGTCACCCCAGAAAGGCGTGATAATTTCTCCTATCCCGGTAGATGGTATAGCTGAGAGTTCCGCTTTATCTTCCATTACATCCATGTTTGGAAGATCACTGCCTTGAAAATGATCGGTATCTTGCATGATATTCTGCGCTGAAACGATGCCAATGTTTGCGCTGTCTTTCGAGGAAAGGCTGACCGTTCCACCGGAGTTCCGGAAGAACATGCCTTTTGCATGGCGGGATTTATGCCTTTGGTATAGGTCCCGACGAACGAAAACTTTGGGGCAAATGTCGCATGAGAAAATCTTCTCTGGCTCATCTACATCAAGTGATATTTTGTAAACACTTATCTCTATAATGGGTCAATAGGGCGGAAGGAAATTCTTACGGTTGAGACGGTGACGCTGGAGATGCTCTTTGCGAAGAAATGTTCTACCACAGCCTTCTTCCTTGCAAGTATATGTATGTGAGCGAGCGCGACTCATCTCCGTGCAAGTGAAAATTATTTGAATTCATGAACGTTTTAAATGGGAACCGAATCGCAACGAATACAATAAGAATGACAATTCAATGAGATCAAGTTCGATGTATCAGCAACTTTCGTCTTATCATGTTCCCCGCTTTGGCGCTAGCTCGCTTAATGAAAAGTGCTGAGTTACCCCCTTGTGATTGCGCGATTAGAGTTCTGGGTCACGGGGCTGGGGAGTTTCGCATGACAGCTGCTACCCTCGGCAGTTGGTTTCATTGAAACGAGGGGTTTCCACCAATCACGACCCGATCTGCTTTGCCGACTTCAACTGATAGAGAGATAACGTGTTCATAAAATCGATCTGAAAATGACCGAGCACAAGTGGCTGAAGATTCTTACTCAAGGACGCGCCTCTTCATCCTTTGGCTGAGCCACGTACTCCGTCTCTTGTCCATCGTGGGCGGGAACATCCCTGATCGACATCACAAACGGTATGGCCCAAATCAAGGCAAAGACAACAAAAGCCCAGTCGACAGCAAATTCAATGTTGTAGTTTGTTTTGTCAGAATTCACTTTGGATGCGATCGCGCTTCCGACCGCCTCCATACACTTAAAAGCACCCACATAGCGAGCCGCTTGTTCGGGAGACTCGTGAGATAGATAGCCAATAGTCCAGTATACCAGCGTCTGCCACACCGCATCAAAACTTCCATAGAAGAAGTAAAGCAAGAACGGCCCAGCATATTTGGAGCCAGATGTGATAAGATCCATCTCATTAAGAGGGTAATAGTCGCTATTGGGAGCCCGCTTGAGCTGCGCCGCCAGACCCCCGGACCATACAGCCATGGAGATAACGGCAGTAATAATAAAGCCCCATATTCCGCGCATGCGACGGTTCATGAACTTGTTGTCGAGGAAAAGGCCAAAAAGATAACTGGAAACCATTTGTGCTAGCCAGTACATGGCACCATTGAAGCTGCGGGTGCGGATCGTGAACAATTTAGCGTTGAAAGTATTCTGTTGGTAATTATAGGCATCTGTATCTATGTTAGTCCTTAGTAAATTTGTGGGAGTTGAGTTTCAGCCTCACAGTTCGCAGCCATCCAGAACGGAATAAGGGAAATTACGCGCCAATCCTTGAGAATCTTCATCACACCCAAAAATTCATCCCAGACCCGGGGAGCCCGTCGAGTGGCAGCGCGTGAGTTGTCTTCACGAATGACGTTGTACGGCTTGAGAAGACCAAGTGAGCAAGCACATCCGGCAGCCATAATGCACATGAAGGCAATGTATGTCGAGTCGGAAACGGTGCCAGACTTTGAGTGAAAGTTCAGGCCGAAAGATATCATTGATCCCAAGAAACCACCCAAGCTAGAACGGATAATTAGATGACCAATACTCTCATCGAAGAACATCTATCATCACATACTTGAAAATGATCCAGAAGATGCCAATCATTCTTCCTTGCTGTTGTGGCAATGGGTAGCCTGTCATAATGGCACCCTGCGAGATCCACAGCAGGGACGCTCCGATTCCTAGCACAGCACTGCTGCCAATAACAAAGCCTTGGCTCCCAGTATGGGTATATGCCAGAAGGGAACCGGCATAAAGCACGTAAGGTAGGCCTCCAACGAGGATTGTCCATTTGGGCCCCAGTACGTTAGTGACAACCGGCGCCACAAAAAGATTCCCCGCAGCGCTGACAGAAGCTAGAGCGATGTGACCCTTAGCTTGCGTGGTAGTGTCCAGCTGGCCACCGCCCCCAATCCCAGAGAGTGCGTTGTACATTCCCGGGCATCTAGTAGAGTCAGAAACTTTGCTCTTATTGTAGGTTAGAGAACGATTTTTACCCAAATGCGACAAAGCTGACAATCACAATCTGCCAGAATGGTGAGTTGTATCGAGTGTAGCATATAGTATGGGAAACAGTGTCAATCTCCCCAGCTGCGACATCTTGTGAGGGTTTGATACTCCCAACAGGCTCTGTCTTTGAATGCATGCTTGCGAAAGTGGTTTATGACGCAAAGAAAGTTAGTGAAATGATCCGAATACTACCACTCAAGTTGACGATGATTTATTATACACAAAGCTATTCGGTAGCCTCTGTGCTAGCTACTGATAACACTAAGTTACCCCGCGCAAATTGCGGGATGAGCGTCAAGAAGGTAGATTTGTTCGAGCTTAAAAGCCCACCTCGGCTGCAATCCCATGCAACCGAGAGATAAGAACTTTGCCTTTCCGGAAGTGTGGGATGTAAATTCACTCCTTCCGAGGTCATATGGGTCGTTATTTGACATTTGAATAGAAATTTGATCTTGAGACACGACATCTGAGATACGACATTTGCCTATCAAGACACCACTCCGTGACGAGATCTAGTTCACCTCCTGTCTAGAGTAGCCTAGCGCAAGTCTAGCACTAAACCGCTCTGATTATTCGCCCGTCCCATCAGAGGCTCTTCCTTGTTCGCAATTCCAGCGCAGGAGAAAAATGGGCGGTATGGAATAGTGGGCAGAAAAGAAAGTCTGACAGTACCAGGCAGTGTACCATTGCCGAGCCAGAGAGTGGAGTCTGTGGAGCTCAACTACAGATCTTCTTAGGTGGGGGTGTCTCGATAGGTAAAGTTATATGTCTCAGGATTAGACTCCTTAATTTAAATAGCGAGAAATTGCATAATGAAAAAATGGTTACTGTTGAGAACTTGGATACATATTGCTTTCAAAGAGCAAAAAGAAGAAATGAAATACCATACCTTGCTTGCATGCTGCAGCACCTACATAATCGCAGCCAATGCTGCGATAAACTGGATCAGTCTTCCATCTCACCCACGATTGATGTTCACGCCAGAACGGGTCGATGCTGTACTGAAGATGAACGAGAGCGACACTTATTACCAAGAGATCCTTGCAACACTCGCCTTAACTGCAGATACCGCGGTCGCAACGCCTTTGACTCTCAGCTCTGCCACTTCATGGTCGAGCACGATTCGCATGAATGTTGGTGCAACAGCAGGGACATACCTCTTGACCGGCGACAGCAAATACTCTGAATGGGTCGTAAACAGCATTCTACTGCTTGCAAATCTCTCTGACTGGGATCCATCCGACTTTCTGAATGCGGCAGATATTGCAATGACAGTCTCAATTGGCTATGACTGGGTATATGATATGATGACGGCTGCACAACGGACTACAATACAGTCAGCCATAGTCAACAAAGCTTTTATTCCGGCCATGAACACCTCTATTGATTCATGGAGCGAACATACCAATAATTGGGCCCAGGTCACACATGCATGCTTGATCATCGCTGCCCTGGCAATTGGAGACATCAACTCCACCCTGGCAAATGAGATCATTGAATTCTCGGTCCCCAAGCTGAATGTTTCTTTAGAGCAATATGCTCCCGATGGGGGGTGGATTGAAGGATACTCATACGGTACATATGCTGGTATATTCCTCGGTCTGATGATGAAGTCGCTGGACACCGCTTTGGGTGACGACCTAGGCATATCTGGTTTACCTGGAATGAGTGGCTTGGGAGCCTGGTTGACTCAAGGGTTTGGCCAGACTGGTGGCTTTAGCTGGGGTGATGGTGCTTGGACGTTCTCCAATGCAAACAGTTTATGGAGTGCAGGATACTGGGCTCAGCGGTTCAACAAGCCTGAATGGCTCCAAGGGATGCTTTCACGCTTCACCACCGCCCAGGCAGCAACTTTCCAAGCTTTCCTATTCTATAACTCTAGTCTCATGACGCCTAGTGTTTTGTCCACCATGCCGCTTTATGACCAGTTTACGGGTGTTGCCGGTATGACTTATCGCACATCCTGGACTGACTCGGATGGATGGTACTTTGGTTTCATGGGTGGCTTTAACGGTCGCTCACATGGCCATCTCGATGCCGGCTCCTTTGTTGTCGATTATAAGGGATATCGATGGGCGGAGCTGCTTGGGTCGGATAGCTACAGCCTGACGAATTACTTCGTTGGGTCTCGTCGCTGGACATACTATCGATGCAGGAGTGAAGGTAGTAATACGCTGAGCATTTCAAACGTTTCGCAAACTCCTCTGCAGTTTGCCAATCAGATTCCTTCGTCAAATAATTCTCTCCGATGGGTGGGCAGTTTCGATAGCTCTAGCCGGTTTGGTGTTGCCAATCTGACTCAGGCATATGCGAACGTGACAACCAGTGTCCTGCGTGGTGTTGCACTTTTAAAAGACTCTCAACTCGTTATTCGGGATGAAGTTCGCGCCACTAAGGCGATTGACATTGCTACTAGCTGGCACACAACGGCCAATATCGACATAGCGACCGACAATCAGACAGCCACATTAACACAAGACAATATCACCATGACCGTCACATTGCTGTCACCTTCCAATGCTTATCTAGAGGTCATCGATACAAATCCCTGCAATGCTTATACCCCCTGCTCCGAGGCCACCAACTCTGGCGTATACAATCTTGCTGTCCGACTGACAGGTTTGACTAAAGAGGCTGATATATTGGTTGCTCTGTCGGAAAGTGGAACTGAACTTGAAACCTTTGAATCGGCCTTGAGTGAATGGTATTCTCTGTGCATCGTGGATTGCTGGGAGTCCGCAGATTTTCAAGATCCATACTGGCTGGACGATTCTGAAGTCTATTACTAAAGCCAGTTGCATACTTCTTTTCTTCCAGTGGCGATTTTGAATAAAATCTTCCATTTTGCCTGTATGCTATCTACTCATGGTGACCCAAGATCTAGTCTGTGCTGATGTGTATAATGCATGAAATAATAATAGTAGCTTTTGCGCCGCGGTCTCGTCACAAGACACATCCATTGCTATGCCATTCTGAGATCGCCCAAAAAAGCTATCCATCTGCTTATTGAATGCAGCTTTCAGCATATCATCTTTCTGATATTTTCTATCCGAACAGATCTCATTCCGTCCCACTTTCCACCCTTGTCTCGCTTCCTTCATTAGGATATGGCCCCCAGTCGCGAATCCCAGATGTAGTGATCCATATATACCATAAATATCGATGGTCCAATCATCCAGATATCCGCTCGGCTCCCACGCATTGAAATCGAGATGAACATTCATGGTCTCATACTCCAAGATGGCCGATGCAAGATCTTCGTGGACCAGTGTGCCGACTGCTTTCTCGGGGTTTAAAATGCGACCGTTGAAGAGGTCAGGAACCCAAGAGAAGCCGCGGTGGGGCTTTTGTTCTGGCAACTTCCGAATCGAAGACACTACTTGACTCGGTAGACCAAAAAGGTCAATTACAACCTCCACAACATGACCCCCTAAGCTGTAGAAGAAACCACCTATGTTGTCTTTGTACGATTGCCAAGGCTCGGCCCCAGCGCCCCCAGGGCAGCCCCCGTGGAATCGTGCTTCAGTTATGTAGCCGAGAAGTGAGCTCTGCAAGATGTCGCGAGCAAATTTGACTGTTTCCAAATAATGCAGCTCCCAGCCAACTTCAAAGATGATGGATTTGTCTCTTATTTCTGTAGCAATGTCGTGAAACTCATCTGGGTGAGCGACGCCGGGCTTTTCAAGGAAAATGGCCTTTGCACCGCTATTGATGGCTAGACGAATGTATCGTGCGTTCTCGTTGTCCCGACCGTGGATCAAAACAGTATCAAAATCAAGGCTCAGCAACTCCATACAATTTGAGTATCTTGGACAGCCAGAATGCCGCTGCATACGGGTTGCAGTGTGTTCATCGCTGTCGTAGTAACCAATCACTGTCACGTTGTTTTCTTTGAGATAAGCAAATCGGTGAAAGATGTGTGGGTGGCTTGTTCCTAGAAGAATAGCTCGAGTTTGCATTTTTTTTGTTTTCTTCGGCGTGGCTCAAGGGAAAGAAGGAGAATTGACATGTAGATTCATTCAATATATAAGTTGACAATGGTATCATCCCACGTAGGCCACAGGGGGTCTGAGCGGAACCCGCTGTACATCGGCTATGTTTAAGCCCATGGTGTCTTAACGAAAAAGACAGGCCGAGTGCCTAAATCCACGAACCTCAGTTATTTGCAATTTTTTCTATCTTTTGCATTGGTATTCTGACCCTCGCGTTTCTCGTACTGTACGCTGCCGCCGAATTCTGATTAATTCGGATAAGAAAGCACCTTGGAGTATCCTCCATCCACCAAATATGTCTACAACGGATTAGTGAAGTGCTCGCGCCCACATAAAAAGAGATCATAACGTACCCCTCCCGTAGTAAAACCGCTTTCAAGGACGGACAAAAACTCGACCCATCTATATCTTGTCAGGTGAAAATTGAACAATTGTCTTTCCGAGCAGCTCACCTCGCAACGTCCTCCCCTTTTCCAATTCTGCCCACTGGGTGTGCCTCATGCATCGCTTCACTCTTCCCAAATCCCCACTCGGGCGCATACTCGCTTTGGAAATCCCGTTTTAAATCTTTCCGAATCGTATCGATATCGGGCATCGCTTCTTCGTCTCTTTCGGACCGCACATCAACCATCCCAGGACTAATAACATGGACTCGAATTTTAGGACCGAGGCTGACGGACATTGCCATAGATAGCCCTTCGATGCCCGCTTTTGATGCCGCATATGCTTCTCCATGCTTGCTTTGCTGGTGAGCACGACAGCTAGACATGTTGATAATCACGCCCCCTCCCGGGGATTTCTCAAGATATGGAATCGCTTGCTGAGAGACTCGGTAGGTCCCGATGAGATTCACGTTAAGAATGCGCTCAAAATCCGATATTGGAACTTCGTCCATACGAATTCCCGCACGCATATATTGGCTCTGGTGGTGATGGGTGTTAGTTTTTGGAGAATATTGCTTCGGGGATAAAGTGACAATGAGACTCACGTTTATTCCTGCATCTATTAATCACAGCCACATTAGCATTAATGAATCGCTTTGGTCAACAATCAGCTTACTGTTGATGAGAACATCGATTGTTCCAAATTCCTGGACGCACTTTAGAATAGCTTGTGCAACATCTTCCCCATTTGAAACATCCATCCGAGACCATCTGAAATTGGAAGCCATTTCTGCAGGAATAACAGAAGAAAGATGCTTCGTACAGGTAATTTCGAGAAATGATTCGTTATAGTCAGTCAAGAAGACACGGTGCCCTTTCAGCAAAAGATAGCGAGCCGTGACTCGACCAAGTCCACTGCCCGCACCGGTAAGAAAAAACACCTTAGACATGATAAATTCCGGAAGTTCGAGCTCCTTGCGATGACTCTTCGCGTTCGAAATCTGATCAAAAGTCAGGACACTCTGCGACATTCAAATTCTAACAATTTCTAACCCACCCGATTTGCTCTGAGTGATGGAAAAAAAATGATAGTTCACCTGCTTCCCCTCCATCCCACTTCTGTTACGCGGGATAAAAGATTGTGGCTGCTTTAGTTTCATTAGACTTTCTGAAATGCGGACAGCCATCTCATTGGGTACTTCGGGATTATGCAGCCGTTGCAGTCTTATCAGTAGAAAGTAACGCAAATTTCAAGTTCAGTCTCGCTTATCTCTTTTATCGAAGGCCCTTACTTCTCTTGTTATTTGGCAGAAAGAGTACATAGCATGCATGTTGCCGAAGTCATCATTAATGCTGGCATTCCATTATGCAGCGCTACGCAGTCGTAGCCAAGCGGCGGGCTAGATCTGTCATGAATTGAAATTCTTTTGGGAGGCTGATATTCTCAAGAATTATTTGCGGCCATTTGCATGTCTTCATGTGAGCGTGAGACCTATTTGGCAAGTGAGGATCGCAATATCTACTCCGTTTACTCTGAAGATATGGACGATCTTGTCACAATCGACATATTCGCGAGAGAATCTTGTATCATCAAATATTATTAGGATAACTGAATCGATTCGCCCAATAACATATGGCTGATATGAGCAAAGATACACTGTTCCGATCAGTACACCATGATTTGCGGTCGCAACCCCGCACTCCCCAAAATTGTTGGATAACGGTCACGTGGCAGACCATGGCGGGCACGTGTTGACATATATTGAAAATGACATTTCTTTCTGCTGCATCGTGCGGAACGCCTTTGCTCAAAATCAAGGACCTTTGCTGACCCAGTATTCAGGCAAGAGAGATGAAACAACCGTGTAGAGAGAAACTCACATGTCTTCTTAAGGTGACTGGGAAGAAAGAGGAGCCAGGAAGAAGACCTTCAGTTTCTCTTTGATTATACAGGACCAGGCAAGATCAGAGGAAACTTTTAGATGATAGCGGGTGATATATGACATCCATCAAAGGGAGCAACATGTCAATCACGAAGAATTTGATGGTATGACTCTGTCCGAGGGTTGATATCCGTATGAAAGCGGAAGTATAGAGAGAGGAAGCGAACGCCCAAATGGATTCTATAGCTCAATTCACAATCTGCTTCAGTGCCACATCACTATTCTGAGTCACAATTAAATCAAGTAAAGACATGGAAATGCACTTGAAATATTCAGAGAGTCCTTACGTCCTCCACGATGTGTACAATTACTATCTATGATATGGTCGGTCTGAAGTTCTGGTTACGGATTTAATATCCGCCGGGCTGTCCTGAATTAGGTGCAAGAAGAAAGTTCTCTGTGGAAGTCATTGGCTGATCCAACGCATTGTCAATCTGCTTTGCTCACGACCAGCCATTAGATACTGTAAAACTTGTGTAAGGTATGAGTTATGTACGGCTAGATTTCCGTAAACGCATACTAGGACAGCGTTGTTAATGCAAGGTGCGGTGTCAATTTGAGCAACGTGGGTCTTAAAGATCTTGAGGTCAGGCATCTAATAACAGAGGAAAAGTCAGACACCTGAAAATGAATCATATAATTTGCAAGGTTGCCATGGATCGACGCCGAATTTCAGTTTTTCGATCATCTTGAGGTGCCTTGGACTTGGTTAACCTCCCAAACCAAGAGGCTCTTCAGCGCTTGCCTGTCTAATATCGCTTTCCCTTTCTTTCGTAAATCTCCATAGTTCGATATGTAGGACGTTTTTGCTGTCTTTTGCCCGTTTCGGTAATTTGACCCAGCCTTGGCTCGCTGCGCCATTATGATCCGTCTCGAGTCGATTCGAATCCACCGTTCAGCATCTTAGAGTTCCCCTTAAACTACTATTTTATCCCTGCTCTCCATCAGGATATGTTCTTTTTTCAATTTTACTTGTCCTCTCCTAATCATTATCAAAAACAGTGAAATTTAGGAGATACCAGAGCTAACAGTTATAGAGCAGCAAGAGCACAAGAGACAGAGACGCACAACATTGCAAAGAAAACACTATAGGCCTAGGTTCCGGGAAAGTAAAAGTATCTTGTCCTCAAAAAAGCTCATAAAATCAGTATTTCCACACCAGGTGCAGGAAATCACCACCTCGGCCCCCATTGATATCATTTGACATGCCCTCGAACCCAAGGCCTCGCAAAGTATCCCAGCTCACTTGGTCTTTGCGACGGAGAACTTGAACATTCGTTATCTTTTTAGCACCATCAGTGCGCCAGGCTAGATAACGGAACTGGCCTCCTGCTCCAGAAGCAAGGTCACGGCGGCCATTGTCCTGCTGATCCTGGATGTCAACTGCGATTTGGGAAATCGCACTCGGCTCGTGATTATGGAAGTTTGCAATAAGCCAAACAAATCTGTGTATAGGATTAGTCATCTATTTCCATATAATTCAAAAGAACATCAAAATTTTGAATGTGGTGGGCGGACATACTTCCCGCCAAATCCACCATTGATATCAGCACCATTCCCGTCAACAACCGAGATTATGTTTGAAGGCTTTGAACTTTCATCATCTCCGATGTGAGCCTATCTATATTAGCAGATGAAAAGTCGAATGCGTGAGATATTTACAAAAATTTGACCAAGATAACCCATTTTGAAGAGGACCTCGGAGTTTTCGAGTGAGTAAGCTTGGAAACAAAATACTTTCAAACTGATTTTGATGTTCTGTTACTATTCTGTTGATATGAAAGAAACTGGCGACGGGGGAGGGTAAAGATCTCCTTTAATAATTTTCTGTATTTCACAGATAATGAGAGTAACTTCGGCGAAGCCAAAATGGTGTCGTCGGAGTTGCCGATGAAGCCAGCTGTGGACTAGCCGTACATAGCTTGAGGCTGTTTATCATGTCAATGTGATATTACCACATTTATTGGCAAAGGACACCATACTGACCAACTGAGTTGCAGGTGAACATATTCTAAGGCGTGAGTACACTATACAGACTGTCATCATCAGCAGACATGGTTTTCATAAGCGTCGTTGTATCAGTGAAATTTAGTCTAGCTAAATCAAAAGCTTTGAAGCTCTGAAGGCCCATTCTATTTGAAGAGACTGATGGTTGCGGAGATAAATCTGGTCATAGAGAAAAACACAGGCTCTATGTTATTGACCGCACCTTCAATCAAACTCTAGATTGACAAAGAATTACAATATTTCACAAATCCAACATTTTACCGCTCACCTAATAAAAACAGTAGGTGGGCTTCCTTGGCAGCTGCACGAAGGCTTACTGAGTGCATTATACGGGTGTTGACCTTCGATTTCTCCCAGGTGATGCTGAGAGATATACGAGAAATTCTTGGCTACTGAAGAGAGGAACGATGAGTCCAAGAGGGGTATGCACCTCCGTAACCTTTAAGAAATGTCATAATCGCTTCAATATGCCTTGGTAGCGCGACTATGATGTAGTTCTGGCTATTTACATGATTTTATAGCCTTGCCGCCCCAAATATCTCTGTACCGCAGGTCTGACTCGATAGAATTCTCGATGTTAATTAGAGATAGCGAGGCCTTCTGTAAAGTCTGAGCAATAGCATCGATGATTGATGGTAACATGGATGTTACTACCCCTCTGCCAAGACTCCAAGACTGGTCGGATTGGGTGCACTGCAGCCCCTGCCAGCCTAACCAAGCGCTTGGTTACTATGCACTATATTCCCTTAATTTGACCAAAGTCATCAGTGGGTGATGTAAGCTTAATTGAAGGCAGGGTCCTCTCCTCTAGCGTGGAAGATTCAGATGTTTTTATGGAGTCAAAATAACGGTTGTGATCCTGAATCCTCGAGTCACAGAAAGATCTCTAAAATTGAAAACTCAAGGTTTGCTTTAATACACGAAGATAAAGTACAAATTAGATGAAACTAGTATGAGTCATCGATCTGATTATTTCTGTAATAATCAAATGTGAATCCATAAACAGCATTTTGTGAGGGGGTCACCTAACAACGGAGAATCGGGCATGAGTGGCGCCTTTGTCGTGGCCCTTTCCAAGGTTTCGGATAACTCCGGGCGAGCATTTATTGGGGTTATTGTGAGTTTTTCTCATGTCCCTATTGTGAGTTGAGTTGTGTTTTGTGTATTGTTGCGCACGGAATGGGAGAGTTTGATGAACCTCACGCAGGGCATAAGTAGACACTGTACTAGATCAATGTTACTGTTAGAATAAGAGCAGAATTGTGATAATGATATCAGAACAAAGCAGTATCGGCGTAAAAGATTGGGGAAAGATCAGAGGAGACTCGCCCAAGCCGAGGGAAGGAAAAGAAGCACACCAGTAATGGTGGGCAGAAGGAATGAAGCGAACAGAAAGCAATTGTATTGTGATATGGAGAAAAGAGAAGAAAAGCAAGGAAAAACAAGAGACAAGCACTGATCTAGGCAACTAGAGAGTATCACCTGACCTCTCAACAAGTAGCATCAATGGACTGTATGGAAGGCGACAAGGAAGGAAGAAGAAGAGTCTTAAAGTAAGGCTTAAGTAGTCAGAGGAAGGCATTAGTTCTTTAAGAGACCCAACAATTACCCATACACTATAAGGGACTAGGTATGGATACATTATCGTTGACAAGAGACTGACCCTAAATGATGAGGGCGGATGCAGATGGAAGTCATGCAAAGCTGGCCCCTTCGGCAGCGTTATGTTGTGTCTGCTGCTAAGCTACGCCGCCATCTCGCCCTCTGCCACCATGACAATATTCACCATATATGAGAACTACCAAATTTACTGGCCAGGGACATGCTCATTAAAGTGGGAATTAATTTCCCTCATCACCGAACAAAAGTCCCAGGTCACATTTTGGTAACTAATCCACGCATGGAAATTTTCAACTGACAAATTGTCTCCGATTTAGTCTACCAAGTGTCAGAAATAGTATTCAAATGATCCACAAAAAGCTTGAGAGTTCCTCGTAGCCACCTCTACGTTCATAGGGTTAGCAAAAGCATGTATGATCCGAACATAGAGGGTCGAAATTGTAAGTTTTGGTAGGTTTACAACATATATTAGGATTCAGATCGATATCTTCACAGCATCTAAATAGTATGCATTTTGTCACGTTATAGCTATCTGTTGCCTACATGTCTGAAAGCCATTAAAGACATAGAATACCGTTGAGTTGACAAAGGCAAGTTCCTATGATGTGAAGCTAGACCCTTTTCAATTCAAAAACGCCTGGTTCGATCGATCGATTCATTGAAATATGGGCAGTGGCTGATGCTAATATTGGTCTTGGCAGCGGCGGAATTGTTTGCAAAAACCACACTTTTGGCAACAAGGCCAACCGATTTGACCAAATCAAAGCTCATTGTTGTTGCTTAAGCTTGAAGCTCATACAACTACCAAGCTCGCACTAGATAGTGATGACTGGTGACACGCCTATATGGAAGGAATCAGCATGGGCGGGGAGAGACAGTGCGTTTCACGTGGTCTGACTAAGCCACGGCGAATGATTTTTCTTGAAAGATGATCATTGGATCACTATTCGGGACTGAAAAATCCAAGTCTCTTAGCAGAAATCATCGATGCCAATGGATTTACCGCTCTTGGAGCAGACATAGGTGCTTGGTCATTGAAGAGAGAGAGAGTTCCAAACAACCTCGCAACTGGCCTAGTGGGAAAGGCGGTGTAGCAACAATCGCCGCTCCGGTAATGCCACACGCACCGTGTTGATCACATGACGATTGTTGTGCACTTGCTCTTCTTGCCCTGTTAGTATTCGCTCGACTATTGGACGCAGGTAATGTGGCTTCCCTGCGAACAAATTATCTCCGGGCACCTCCGGAATCGGGTTTGGATCGGGTTTGGATCGCCCGGCTGGGCTTAGTGTCAAAATGCCCGATGGACAAGATGCAAATCTTGCAGGCTGGCGCGACCAGCGAGTCGCTCGTCTCTGCTTGAGCGCTATTTGTTTACTCGGTTTCCTTACTCAAATAGAAAATCCACAAGAAAGTAGTCGGAACTTGGATTCTTCGAGATTTGTTTACACGTGGTCTGGCCCAGTCGACTATACCGATTGAAGCTAGTGCAAATTCATGGCTGTTAAAAGGGTCCAGCATTGGGAGGTCAGCCACCCCCTGGGATGTCGGGCGCTCGCGGGGATTGGTGCAACCTATGTATGCCCAAGGTGGATTTAGTCCCTGAATGTCTCTTGAAGCTCTCATAGGTGCACCTCGTAGGGGAATCCCTGAAATGTCTCACGCTAGACCATCAGAATCTGTTCGATTTAGTTAGATCGATCAGATAGATCCCTTTGGGGCCTTGGAATCGGTTAAGTTTACCATTCTAGAATGTCTAAATCATCGCTTCTTCTTATCCTTGGACAGAATCTCAGCCGCAGTGGTGCTAGTCATATTCAATAAGCCGCCCACAAAAGTTCCGTGTCATGCGCGTGTATTTGATCTCGGCCGTCGCGCACTTGGAAAGCTTGGTATTCTCTTTGCAAAAACTTCATAACAAACTGAGATCATGGCTGGCGTTATATCATTATTCTTGGCAAAATCTCTGCTCTGGTCCCTGGCGTCTGCTGATGCGTCAAACCCGAACCCCGATGGTGAAGGCTGTGTCGACCCAAGCGGCTATCTTCAATGTTATGAGAGCAATGTGAATACGCTTACGGCCTGTATGACTTATGCGAAGGATACTTGCGAGGAAGATGTCTACACAACATGCGTCCTGGCATGTGGGAATGCCCAGTTGGCCGCGAATATTGGCTGTTGGTTGACCAGCTGCTGGAATGAAGTTCGATGTATCCAACCTCTCCAACATTTCTTCACTAGCAAGGATTTACTGTAGATGTATTCATGCGCATATCAAGAAACGGCCCTACAATTAGACCTGTGCATATCCCATGGGATTAGAAATTTGGGATGGGAATCCCACTTATGTAATCTGGGATTCCCACTTATGTAAGCCCCATGGGATCGCAGCATTTGGGATTTGGTGCGAAATCTATTTCCCATGGGAATCCCATAGAACGGCGCTAGCTATATTAGGCCATATCATGTGATTGCATAACTTTTTGGTAATTTTAGATGTTTTGATTATGTATTGAACAGTAGGGTAAAGGGTAGTGACTCATTACTTTTTCAATTTATAGACTCAGTTGGCTTTATAGAAAAATCATTTTAAATTAAATAACCTGTAATATAAACGATGTTAAAACAAGAGAAATTACAAACTTCGTCAACATTATTTTATACATACCTAAAAAGGAAAGGCTAAACATTTTATACAGTTATGGGAATTTCTTGGGATCCTATTCCCATGCCAAGTAACCCATGGGAATCCAATCCCACTTATGTAAGACTCATGGGATCTTGGCATTTGGGATCTGGTGTGAGATTAATTCCCATGGGAACCAGTTTGCACAGGTCTACCTACAATACCTCAATGGCGCAGATCGAACCCAAGGCTCTCAAATTCCTTATTACCCTGCACCGGATAATGCGCCTGGTGGATGCGGTAAGAAAGAATGACTCTCGTCGCTGGTGTTAATAACCTCAATTCACCTTCTAACGAGTTGGTTCAATACAGTGTGTAACTTAGGTTATATGTGGGGAAATTTCACCGAGACCTATGCTCTAAATGCTCCTTGCGAGGACTACGCCATGGATGATCCTGTTTCCGAGACGGCTAGCTGTCAGTGCTGCTGGGATTCGTCCTTTTTGTCCGAATAAGTGATAAGCATCACGCTCTCCGTCGAGACAATCTGGTTGATTTAATCAATTGTGTACAGGTTTATCGAGTGGTGTCCCACCAACGACCTCTCCGTTATCGATATTGACCTAATGTTGGAAACCTCCCAGAGTGGTTACAATAAGTCCGCGTCTGACGAGTGCTCTATTCTTTCTGAACCTAGCCAATGCGTTTCCTCTTTCACCTTGGACACCGGCGCGTCTACATGGTACAATCCAGTTCAACTTCCCTCGGGCTTTCCTGGAACAGCACCTCTATCAGATACTACTGATGCCGGGAGCATTACTAGTGCTCCAGATCCATACACGTTCTCGATTTTCCCAAGCTATGTCACCGTCATTACCCCAGCTCCATTTAACGAGAAGAACGTCGAGGCAACAAGCTCAGAAACTGTTGTCGGAACGGCAGCGACTGCCACGGGAGAGAGCACTTCTTTGCCCAGCACTAGCAAGGGGGCTGCAAGAAATCTTGTATCTCCTATGAGCACCGACGTAGGTATCTGGGGTCTGCTTTTGTACATAATTGCCTGTACTCTCTTTGGTGCAGCTTTGATTGCATAAAGTTTCGGATTATGGCCACTTCATCAATCTGCTCCTTGGAACAGGTCTTCAGCCAGTTTAGCTCCCGAAATATGTCATGAATTCAATTTCGGTTTTTTTTTCTTTTCGACCCATAGATAAGAGCTACCACCGCGCTCTTGAAATTACCTCTAAATCGAAACCTCAGATCTTTGTAACTCTGGGAGCACGGGGAATGGTGTAATTAAATGATTCTTTTGCAATTATCAACGGGGTCTCCATAGTAAATGCTCATGGCAATATATTTATAAGGCAATTATACCGAGCACTTCTATCAGACTGCTCCCCAACCGGCCGTAAAGGGCACTGCATGCACTGGCGATATTGCATTAATATGGAAACATCCCTAATACCAATCAAAAAAGTATGAAAGGTTCCTCAAATCATCGCTAGCCCTATGAGATCAGGCGGAAGCCTTTCAACTTTCAACGCGCATTCGAAAACCAGAAAGATTTACACTTCAATCACCATTTCCCAAACACCGCTGTGGCTTTTGTAATCTCCAACTTTTTGAAATGCTTTACTTTGCTTTTAAAGATGAATATTACAGTGTAGCTACAATAGCGCAGGCCTAGATCTTTTCTCTCACACGAGTTCTTGGCCTCATGTATAATAAGACAGGATTGCCAGGCCGCGTTTGGAAGAATAGTTGGGCAAGCCACCGATGAATATATATGGAGGATAAGCCCGTGTTCTCATGCTCCAAGTACTGTTCCTGTTCCCAGGTAATTGAAATCGAGGTTGAAAGTGAGATGTGTTCCTATATTTGCGTTCCATTAGACATTCACAAAATCTATATGCTTGCACTATTTCCAGCAACATATTACATGCAATGCGAAGACAAAGACAAAGAATACAAAGTCACATAATTGGCTATCCTTGTAAATGGCAAGAGTAACCATCTACTTAACTGATGACAATAGTCTCGTTCAGAGCCTGCACATAGGGTTGTGGACCAGCCTGGTGAAATTCAAGAAATATTAGCCCCGAGAAAACACGTATTGGTAGTAGACAACACTCACTCCGACAAGATAAAAATGGGCCACGTTGAGCTGGTGGTTCCCTGCTGGAAAGGTGGAAGGAACAGTGATAGTGTAGTTCTGGTAAGGCGGCATGTAGGTCTCATGGTACACTGGATCGAATGGACCGTTGTAAAGGATAGTACCAACGGCTTCGCTGGCAGGCCAGCAACCGTAAGTACAATCGGCAATGCCGATTACAACGGCAACTTCCCTAGAAGCGGAAGCAGTATTCTATAATTCAATTAGAAATTTGGGCGCAGAAGATATAATAGCTTGGTCAGCATACTGGGCGCTGGACTTGAACAATGAGGTCGTCACCAGGAGCGACAGTCTGGCCGGCCTTGGGAAGTCCGATCAGAGCATTCTGAGCCAGAGCAAGACCGCAAAATACAGCAAGAGAGTAGATAGACTTCATGGTAATATTGGATGCAAGCAACGGGGATAGTTCTGTACTAAGCAAGTGTAATGCGACGTGAAGGTGGTTCGAATCATTCAATTCAGGGTAGGATCTGGGGGTTTTATACTCTCTCTTTCCTGAGCCCAGCCCTTGTATATCCACAAAGTGGATGCAGGAAGGATTCAAAGGATCGTTAGCTCGATAACAGTGATTCGACGAGTTTCACGGATCTCGAAGCCATGCCTCGGAACGAAATTTCGGTTACATGCGAGACCCTCTATTAATTGGAGCTAAAAGCTCTTGGGACCACCAATCGATCTATTCTATCTAGGGTCCATGGAGGATCCATGACCCTTGTTCCATACTACAATGAATCAGCAATTTCAATCTTTGATTGTCCACAACAGAATCCTAGAAATTTTTGGGAGGTCTACAGGAGAGTCGGCGGGAACTGCAGAAAAGGTCGATATTCAAGGGACAAGTCTACGAGATGTGGTTGTGCATGGTGATGTGAAACAGAAGGAAGGAGTCTAAGGGACTAGTCCAGCGTTAGCGCTCACATATTTAGGGGCCGTTAGCCTTGAGCCCCGGGGGCCACATTGCAGACCATAAACCCCAAACAATTATACACTCTCTTGCATGCATAACTATTTCCTAGTCCCCACTTCATCCGCTGTTGTGCAACACAGAATATAGCATCCACGATGTAACGTAAATCGCTCTGGTCGGTTTCTCCGGAAATTTCGTTACAGCAACGGACTGTGTTAAATCTCAACTAATTGGTGTAGAGAGTGCAAATCACCGTGATATGCATTCTTGGCAGTGTTCAGTGGAAATGTGTATACTGGCTATTCTTTCGGAAGTACCGTTCTCTGGCCAGAAGCGCTGCGCGGTCAGGTGATCCAGACTACGTGTCAGTATATTAGATGATGTAAGCTAGCTAGATCACATAATCTTAGTCAGCACACACATAAAATGGGTGCGCAGAGATAGTAGAATGGACAGACAGATGCAGATACTCGGACGGACACCCATTGGTCGCTGTTCCACCGCCCTGATTACGTATACAGACACTACGCCGTGGTTAGGAAATAATTCTCACCCCACCATTCTCCAAAATCTTCATGTATAAGACTATGTATGAATAAGCAACAAAACAATCTGTCAGAAGCAAAAACACACAACATTCTGCGTATGTTGGTGCTCACCTAACGCCCATGGCAGCGTGGGCGGCTCGCCGCTTTTTTAAACCCTCTTTAGAGCATTCCGGGTACTTCTTCGCCCACCTGAATATTCTTCACCTGAACGTCCCCTCACGTGACCATGCGCCTTAAATGGTCCTAGATAGCCCTATAGTCCAAGCTCAGCTTCATTTACACCTATCACTAGCTTTTCCGGCTGATCTCATCTCCGGTTCTAACGGAAATATCTGCTCGACAAGGGAGGAGTCTTCCGCGTATAATTTATCCCATTTCGAAAGCAGCGCTTCCGGTATTTCCCAAGCATTCTGTGGGTCATGTAACCACAGCCGAAGGAGATGGCGCCTGTGCGGCATGAGTTGATAATGTCCATTATTTCCGAAAAATAAACTCACCTTTGTTTGAAACTATCGGTATAGCTGTTTCTCGCATGTAACATACTCAAATTATTGAGAAACTGCATGTCGCCCTTCAGTAGCGGCATAGCCACGTGAAATTGTTCAGCCAGGAAGTGGAGCATGTCCAGGACCTCAGCCTGCGTGGTCGACAGTTTATTCGAATGCGTCCATGCCCCAAATCCAGAAAAGGACCGACGAGAGAAATGAAAGAGTATTCTTTCAGGTGCTGAGGCGGATAGAGGTTGATGGTAAATCAATGGCCGACGGATGATATGGCCTTGTCTCTTGGAACTAGATCGACTGCTGTGTAAGCTCAACGTCAAGTTTCAAGAAATGAACACAGACCTTGGAATGGGCCAGTCGCTCGCTAGTACTTTCACCAGGTCCGGTCGCAATTTCGCAAGCTCGTTATAAACTCGCCAGCCGCTAGCAAGAAGACTCTCCCCGCCTTCTACGGGCTCTTCCATCGCAAACAAGGAGACGATGTCACCTGTGTCGGTGTGGAAGATCACCTCCCCATCTGTATATGCGGGGAGAATTGCAGAGCCTGGGTCGACAGAAGAGCTAAAGTCTGTTATGTGCGCAAGCATGACATCTGCAGGATCCTCATTGTACCGATGGTCTTGGCGCCCACGGATGGAGGCTATGTGAGATGACAGGCCAACATAGATGATGACATTCTCTTCGCGAGAATATTCATCCACAGGAATCCCGCGCACCAGAGAGAATCCCGTTCTTTTGTGTATGTTTTCTGACACAGCTCGGAGGATGGGGTGGAGAGATGGAAGTGGGAAGGTAGTTGGATTGAGTGACATGAGAGGTTTGCTGAGAGCTGACCCGAATTTAGCTCTTCGACTGTATATTCTTGAATCGTTGTCTTACTTTTGAAATATTGCAGTGCTTCATGGATCTCTTTTAGATTATCGCTATTCAATTTCAAGATGCATCTTTCATCATCCACAAATCCGCGCTCATCAAGGCCGATACTGTCGGAATCCCACACCATTTCCGAGGACAGCCGAGCTGGGAAGCCCTCCGGGAGACAAGCCCCCGGGATTATATTCTTGGATATTGCCTGTTGTGTATCATAATTGACACGATCCGGAATGTAGGGAATATTCTCAACGTAGTCTCCCATGCTGTCGCCACAGATCATATAAATGAGTTCAAGTCAAAAAAGTGCCTTGGAGACTGACCTGGAGGGCCCTGTGGGGGAGGAGTGACGCCATTCCATCACTAAAAGCCTTAGAATATTCTGCTTTGTGCGGAGAGCTGTACTGGTGGTAGCTACTGCGAGTGAACATGGATCCTGATAGGGAGGATAACGGAGGTTTAGAAGGCCTGAAAGCAGACATTGTGTGAAAGTGGAATATGGTTCACGGGTGCGACATGGAAAAGGAAGAAGATCTACCACGAATGGGTATTGTATTGTTCCAGGGCTGAGTCATAGCATCCATTTTTGGATTGATCCAAGTCGAATGATCATCGATCATCATTAACTATTTCGACCCCTTATGATAATAATAAGATGGTCGAAATTATTTCCTCATTCGGCGACTTTTGTCACAGAAGATATATACTGTACATACTGGGCCAGGCAAATGCTCATAGCGAGAATATTTGCTGGCGTGGGTCTATATTCGGATCAGATAAAACCATGAATCAAACGAAATCACCAGTGGAGTTCACCAAGAACTATGCCACACCAATTAAAAACCAAGATCAAAAGTTGTCTCGACATGGACAAAGGACCTCCCGCTCCGCCGGACATTCCTTGGCACTAAGGATCAAGAAAAGAATTTCCGATAATCCTCCGAGCACATGAGCTAGGTTGGAAAGACAGCGCGGAATTTACCCATTTGGATAACGGGCCGGGCTCAACCATCTTATCAGATCATTACCCACAACGCGAGCCGGAAACCACCCAGTCCTGACCCCATTTTTACGTACACGATTCCATGAGCAATAGATTCCCGGCTTTCGGTGTGGTGATATAGGTTGTTCGGACATTCGGACGGCGCCCGTTATCTGATTTTATGGACCCACCAGGCGCGTTGGTTCTTGGCTCTCCTTTTGTTTGGCTGTTGGTTTTGTTTGAACGCCGAGTGATTTGTCCTATAAACAGTCGTGTAGCCTGCTCCATGCGTTGTCGCTATTTCAATGCTCAGCTATTCGCATACCGGTCTCAACATGGCGAACAAAGAATTATTCTCCAAATCAGCTTTGGACGAGGTATCTGGACCTCTGCCTGATAACCCGGAAGGATCGGAGACGAAGGAAGTCTGCAAATCCGAGTCTAATAATGGTAAAAGGCCACCTCCTTTGAAGGCGCGTCTGTTCGCGGTCGCCCTGATCGCATGCATCAGTTTTGGTTCGCACTGGAGTTCTGGCGTGACTAGTGCCATGAAGAGCACCATTAAAAAGGTAAAGTAACAAATGGATCCAGCTGGTAAATGGTCGCAAACTAACGTAAAATTTCTACCTAGAAAATGGATATCGACAACGTTCAGTTCGCGCTGCTGGAAGCAAGTGAAGACTTCATGGCTACTGTCCTCCTTCTGCCTAGTGGTTTACTTACCGACCGTGTTGGAGGTGCTGGTATGTGCTTTAGCGCCTGGTATACACGGCAAACAAAGTCTAACAATAAGACTAGAAATGATCGTTTACGGAAACATCGTCTACACCATCGGGTCTATCCTAGTCGCAGCTGCGGCAACGGTGCGATCGTTCAAATTTATGATTGGAGGTAGAATTATTCTGGCTTTCGGTGATATTGCAACACAGATTGCGCAGTATAAGATGTTCTCGTCTTGGTTTGCGCCGAGCAATGGGTTCGCATCGACTCTGGCATTTGAGTTGGCTATTGGCAAAGTCGGTGGGTTTATTGGCAAGTCTACTGCCAACATTATCGCCACGGTAAGTTGGATGAGCCCAAAGGTCATTTAAATCCAACACTGCTGACGGCAACAGAACACGGGAAACTTCGCCTGGTCGTTCTGGACTTCTGTTTTCATGAACCTCTTCACTAATGCGGCCACCGCGGTGTTCTGGTTATTCGGTAAATATAGCGAGCGAAACTTCAGTGGGCGGCGGGACAATGCGACGAATGAACAGCTTACGGAGAAGAACAAGAAATTCGAGCTGCAAAAAGTGTTCGAACTTCCGTGGATGTTTTGGGCAGTTCTGGCGTTTTCGCTTTTCCAGACTAGCACTGCTTCGGCTTTCAGCACAAACGTCACGGAACTGGCCGAGCAACGGTTTGATGTCAGTTCCATCGACGCAGGATGGTACAGCTCGTTGTCAGAGTATGCGGGTAGGAATTCCTATTCGGCCTCTAGATAGCTATTCGGTACTGACCCAGTCCTTAGGTTGCCTGTTGGTCCCAATCTTAGGTGTGTTTATCGATGTTCTTGGACACCGAGCATCTGTTAGTACGTCACATTCCACCTCCAATGTCAGCGCAATCATTGACCTTGAAACAGTGTTCACTTGCGGACTTGGAATGCTGCTCAGCATGGCCCTTCTCAACTTTACCCCGTCTAAAGCTGGCACTGGGGCATCTTTCGGCATCTATGCCATCGCGATGTCATTCGGCCCGACATCTGTTATCGACGGTATCCGCACGACTCTCTGGAACCAGTCCGTGTTTGGGTCGGCTTATTCCCTCAAGGTCACAATGAATAACGCGTGAGTGTTGAATGGCACCCTATTCGCCAGAGATTCCACTGACCAGGAGTAGCATGAGCATCATTCTTCGTATCATAACGGGTGCCCTCCAAGATGCCGATAACAACTCTTATGATCGTGTGGTGCAGGTGTACCTCTTCATGGCTGCCGGGTCACTGGTTGTCGGAAGCGCCCTTCTGGTCGGATCAATCGTGAGCCAGTACCTGGCGCCACTCCAATGGACTCGTCAGAAGAGACTAATGTCGGGTGCCGCGATCATCCAAGCCAACAAGGAGCGCGCCCTAGTGACGCATGCCGAGCGAACCCGAGTAATTTCAATCGGCTGTTTTGGAGCGCTAATGTTAGTGACAGTGGGCGGATGGGTGGCGTATATTTGGGGAGCCATCACCGGCCATAATTCTTAGAAGTCATTAGATTCAAGACCCAATGTATTGGTACCTCGTGGGGTGATCAGCCATTAGCAAAGATGCTTATTCCGGGTATCGGTACGCGCTCGGAAAAGTCGCCACCGCCACTTGCGACAGGGGCGTTGGAGGGCTTTCCAATGAGTGATCGGCGGTAACGGGCGCTAGCAGCCACCCAGACGCTCAGTGACGCGATGGCTGAAGGAGGCACCCCTTAGTCATTCCCTGATCTGGCAAGTTGCACTGGACTTTCTTCGTTCCTGGTCTGAATTGCTATTACCGAGGCGAAACATTATGTTGTGGTGGAGCTCTAGTGGTTGGTTTCTGAGTCCCACACGACCCACTAATAACTTACTTTTTTTCCACTTGTTTTTCTTTTCCACAGTATGCTAATTTTGCATGGAGGATCCAGCGAGAAGATCCACTGTTCCTGAAATCGGTGATGGGTTTAAACAACTGTGGCCTCAGGCGGAAACCTTTAAAGCCCGTGATTCGACGACCGGATCCACCGGGCTTTTTTTTCCCTCTTTTGTTGGCCTCTCCCACACTTCGTCCTCCCACAACGCTGATCATGGTCCCATATCGGTGGCTCTGGTGCCCAGTGGCGTTTGGTTGGAGCGATACATGGCGCCCTGCATTGCCCATGGCTCCAAGGGGGAATGGAGATTACCGTGCCCCCTCCCTGACCCCCAGAAGCTTATGAAGCGGTGGGTACAGAATGCACAGCCGATCGAGTCACAATGCGCTTCGGCCTCGATCTCACTAATCAGATCGATGGGGTTTCTTTTCCCCTCTACAACACCCGTCTCCACCTGACAGCTGTTGTTTTTGTGCGTTGCCCCCTGCCCTAGCTGTCCGTGGTTCCGGTTTCATCTGGCTTTGCTAATTCTACTGTGGTGTGAAGTTAGTGGGGTGGGCCGTCCACTTTCCCTCTCTCACCTCACGAGTCCCTTGGGCTGTCGTCAGTTAGAAGACTGATCGTCCCGCATTTTCGGATAGGGATTTTCAGATCCTTGCAACTGCCTCCGCACAACTTTGCTTCCTTTCTCCGCTCCTTCAACACTATCGGCAGCCGTGGCGGGACACAAGTGACCGTCGCGCACAACCGTTGCCGTTCCAAATACCCTGAGAGATAAAGATGCTTCGACCCCAACGACTCGAGACAGAAGGAAATGGGACAGGGCAGAAGACGCAGCACAATGCGGATCGCAGGACGAGGGAGCTTTACCGTTACTACCAGCCTGCTGAACCACTTGGCGTAATTCCGTCTTGGCTTTCTGCGGATGAAGCTTTTCCGTCGCCTGTCTCAACCGGAACCTCCCAATCCAACACACCTCCAATCCGAAATAGCTCGTGCGGTTCAAACAGCAGTTCGACTTCCGGCCCTTCGACAGCGGTTGGCCCAGAGAGTCTGGTTCTGGGAACATCGAACAATACTCTGACTTCTTTTGCGCAGCTGGCGGCATTGCGCCTGAATGTAGAGCGCGCCTTGATTTGCGTACTTGATCGAGACCAGCAGTTTATGCTGGCCGAAGCAACCAAGTCCGTGAACTTGAATGACACATCGTTACACGATGGTCGTGATCAGATATGGATGGGGTCCACTGGAGGCCAAAGGGCCTGGAATCTGTGTCAGGTAAGTACGCACGATTGCTTGGCCGCTGAATGACTGTAGCCTTCGCCTCCCGCGGTGTATTTCACCACAAGTATCATTTTGACCATTTTCGACAGGACACACTTGCCTTGCCTCCCTCCGAGCGCGAAAATGCGCATTACCAATTACTTACGGTCAGCGATTTGAGCGAACATGATCGATACAAACGCCTTCCATTCGTCGTAAACGAGCCCAATTTCAAATTCTTTGCCGGGACGCCTTTGACGACGGATAATAACATCAATTTGGGATGCCTCTTTGTGCTAGACACCAGCCCACGTGATGGATTGAATGAATTGGAGAAAGACACGCTGGGATCGTTGTCAATGTTGATTTTGGATTACATGAAGATTTGTCGCCAAGCTTCGGAGGGCCGACGAGCTGCGCGTTTATCACGGGGGCTGAGCTATTTTGTGGAGGGTAGCTCGAGTTTTGTAGATACTGTCGATCCTTCTCGGGCGGATAGTACTGGGCCGTTCTCTGCGGGCACACCGTCGAGCCATAATCGCGTTAGTACATTCGGCGACTCTCGGGAGGGACACAGTGCGGATCATGGATCTCAAAGCGGATCGCGTGAAAGCGCATACCACACAACATCAGAAAGTCCACACAACCCGCGTTCTCTCAGCAACGAGGGACAATCAATTAGCTCCGATGCTTCAGAGTCAAAACCTGAAACAGGAACTTCTGCTGCTGCGAGCTCTCTGCCGGAATGGGTTACTAGTAGTAGCCGCAATCGACTGCCTCCGGATGATTCACAGGGAAACTCTTGGTGTTTTCGCCGTGCTGCGAACCTGCTCCGGGAGAGTCTGGATCTAAGCAGGGATGGCGGTGTTGCGTTCTTCGAGGCAAACAATAATCCTTTGACAGATATCGATAGTGACACAGATTCCTCATCAGATTCGAGTGGACCTGCCACGATCTTATCATTATCTACCCACGATGAGCCGTTTTCTTTCAGTCAACAGGGTACCTCAGTTAGTACCCCTGTTGCCAATCTTGATCGATCATTTTTATCCCTGTTGCTTCGACGATACCCAAAGGGGAAGCTCTGGTCTTTCCACCGAGACGGCCAGATATCAACCTCCGATGATGATGATGAGCAGGGTCCCAGTTACTGGGGGTCTCCCGGTCCAAATAGGTCCAATGGGGCCTTCTCAACAAATGCTATTTCGAAACCAATGGCCAAGCGACGGAAAGCTGCAGAGAACACGATGCTCAATAAATATTTCCCCCATGCTACTCAAATCATTTTTGTGCCTTTGTGGAACGCTGTCAGCTCACAGTGGTTCTCAGGGTGCTTTTGTTGGACCGCTGTGGAGACACAGGTCTTCACATCAGCCGTGGAGCTTAGCTCCGTTCTTGGTTTTGGGTCATCTGTGATGGCTGAGTACAGCCGGGTCGAGTCCTTAATTGCAGATCGGCAAAAGGGAGACTTCATTGGGAGCATTTCGCATGAGCTTCGAAGCCCGCTTCATGGTATCTTGGCTGCAGCTGAGTTTTTGAACGGCACGCAACTTAGTGAATTTCAAGATTCCTTGCTCGAGACGGTCAATGCCTGTGGCAGAACCTTACTGGACACCATGAATCAGGTGCTTGATTATAGCAAGGTAGTTTCGCTTGAGCGAACCTGGAAATCCATGAAACAGAGGAAGGAATCACCGCTGGATTTCAAAGGAAACGACAAGCTGGCGTCCCATTTGGACACTTATGTCGCTACAGATCTTGCTATTTTGGCGGAAGAAGTCGTCGAGGGTATTTGTTTGGGCCATGCATATGGCCAGAACTCGAACGCGGCCGCCGATATCCCGGTTCTATTGTCACATAACGGCCCCAAAGTTCAGTCTCCTTCCAATGTAGATGTGATTATTGATGTGGCGCAACGTGATTGGGTTTATCGAACTCAACCGGGCGCTCTTCGCCGAATCATTATGAACCTGTTTGGAAATGCCATGAAATACACCGACCAAGGGCGCGTTACGATTAGCCTTGGGGCGTCGAGCCATTCAGAAGGCCGCTCTAGACGGCAAGGCTTGGAGGATCTGGTGACGTTGACTGTTTCCGACACCGGAAGGGGAATTTCGGAAGAATTTTTGCGCGGTCGACTTTACACCCCTTTTGCTCAAGAGGATTCGCTTGCCGTGGGAACCGGGTTAGGACTTTCCATTGTCCGCAGTCTGGTCAAGGCTTTGAATGGACACATCCGCGTCCGTAGTCGCCCAAGTGAAGGTACTGTTGTACGGGTATCTCTGCCGCTGGCTAGGCCAGTAGGTGAGGAGAGCCCACCTGTTGACCCACATGCCTTTAACATGCAGCAAAGGGAAATTCTCTCCCAGACTACCATCCTTCGTGAAGGCTATCCGAATAAGAAAGTTGCGATTTGGGCTACCGATCCCTCCAACTTGACAGAACCTTGGATCGAAATCGCACGGTACATGACCGAGTGGTTCGGCTTGGAAATCGTCAGTTGGCCACCTTCCGTGACAATTGACATTTTGCTCGTCCAGGAGTCAGACCTACCTGAATTGCGCAATGGGATATCCGCCACACTCCCAGCCCTTCTCATTTTATGCCACAGGTCGGTTGACTACAGTATAGCACGCTCCGAATGGTCACCTCTGTCCTCGTCTGTTGACATCATTCGCCGCCCATGTGGACCACACAAGCTGGCCCGGAGTGTACTTAGGTGTCTGCAGCATGGTCAGCCCGCCGTTGTAACTCCAGTGTCTATTCTACAGGACCCGATGGATCTGCCTATCCGAAGTGCGCCCGCTTCCACTGTAGTTGGCTCTCCCAGAACCTCGCCTATCTCATCCCCTGCTCCAGCGGAAATCCTGGGCTCGAAAGCCGGTAGTCCCGTGTCAGGAGAGGATGGTTCCCCTACCTCACCTTCAGTTATCACTGCACCCCCGGAGGAGATTGTCGCTGCTTCACTACCGGCGCCCTTGGCAGAGACTACAGTGCCCCCATTGCGAGCATCGCGTGTTTTGGTTGTCGACGACAACCGTATCAATCTAAATCTCATGATTACGTTCATGAAAAAGCGCAGACTGACCGATTTGATGGCCGCGGAGAACGGAAAATTGGCTGTTGAAGCGGTTGAGCAGGCGCAGCATGGTTTTGACATCATCTTCATGGACATGTCAATGCCTGTCATGAACGGCTTCGAGGCTACTCGGGCTATTCGTGCGATGGAGAGGGAAGATGATGGTCGCGGGCCGGCCGTCATCATCGCCTTGACGGGTCTGAGCAGCTCTCGTGATGAGTCCGAGGCTCTCGCATCTGGCGTAGACATGTTCCTCACCAAGCCAGTATCTTTTAAGGAAGTTTCACGACTCCTTGATGAATGGGAAAAGAATGGATTGAAGAACGAGCGAAAGGCAGGCAATTGATGCCTTTCATATCGACATCTATTCTTTTTGGACGTGACAAAGTTTGGCGTTCCAACCCCATAAATTCTCACCATCTATGGACACTCGTTCCCAAATCAAATTTTATGGGCATTCCCCAGACTCATTTACAAAAAATAATTTTTCTCGATAAGATCCTCTGAGAGGTTGCATTTCTTTTCATCTGCAAGATGACACAATATTAACCATGCATCTGGCCAGAGTGAGTGATCATCATTGATAGTGTGATATAGCATTTTCAATATGATTTTGTCTCACTACTTGCACAAATTTACGCGGTTTTATTGATGATATCCTCTACTTATGTGGTTTTTAGCCCCGATGGATGACTGTGCACGGTCCGACGCATTGCATATTGGTTTATAGCTGGATACATGGGTGGCTATGACCGGCGTTTAAGTTTTCTCTTCTTTCTGTCCTTTTCTCAGGTGATTTTATTACCGATATGACTTGAATCTGTTTAGTCTAATGGCCTTGCGTCTAGCATTTGTACAGGAATGTTTCATCTGTATACGGAAGGGGGATTATTTGATGATCATATAGAAAAAAACTGACTTACTGCTCCAAAAACTACTAATTCCATCAAATCCATTGATTTTCTTTTTTCAACCCTTTTCGCCCTGTGATAATCAGCCACGGCCGGTCATTGACCTTGTCATGACTAACGAGACTTTTTCTCCGCAATTCGCGTGTGCCGATCGCCCTCCACCTTTCGATTTTCAACCATCAAGATGGATTGAAAAAAGAAGAATGCATTGGCGGTTACACACGCATCATACTAGGCTCTTTTCATCGATTTTCTAGCTAGCTCCGTGATGCGAACAGCGAGAGCTGGAACTGGAGTTAGTCCGTCCGCCCCCGTGTGAGTTGCTCCGTGTATACGTATTTCCACCGTGGTAATGACGCAATGATATTATTAGTAATCCAAATTATGTACCCGCACATTTCGATACATAAGACATCAGGTCTAAATGTGTAACCACTATATATTGTCTCACAATTTCCTTAATATTCAAAGCGCTGAGAATAAACGACTAATCAACCAAAGATTCCCGTATTCTTTTCCACCATAATGGGTTGTAGATGGCCCTACTGAATTTCGTACTCCGTACTGCGTACCTAAGCGGGCGTTATCATGTACAACCGAAAACATAATGCCCTACTCCCATTGCTTCAAGAAATCCAACGCCGAAGTCAACTCTTTCGCTATCGTCGCAGCATGCTTGTCACTCCTGACCGTGATCCGAACCTTAAAGGGAAGTGGTGCCTGCAAGATACCCGGGTTGTATGCATTCACATCCAGGCTGATGGCTTTTCCAGTTACAGGATCAACTGGCTCAGAGAATTCATAAGCCCATAGGAGCTTTGCCGCAATACGACACATATTACGTTCCGCAAAGTGCACACCTGGCCAGAGACGACGACCTGCACCATAGCCATAGTGGTGTACATGAAACTAGTTATAAGAGCTCAGCCTAGCCCCCTTGGCGATGAATCAAATATTGAATTATGCGAGACGTATGCCGAGTCTCGTGACATTGAATCAAATTTCATCAAAGCTATCGGACTTTCATCGTTAATTCATCCCACCCACGATCGACGTCAATCAGACCCTCCCAATTTGGAGAAACAATATTCCTCAACGTCATTACTTAATCTTGCGTCAGCACAGAACCTCATGGTGGACGCATGCGATGTTTTCGGCCTATCACTGCCAGAATTCGAACGCATGTATGTTCGAAATTTCCTCAGGTCGTTCATAAATGGGCATAAAGCTGATTGGAAATAGGACGGAGCTGTACTTTGACACAATGAGTCAGTCCTCTTTACTCCACCCACCCTCATTTGCGAAAAAGGTTCAAGCTATTCAAGTACCTGCTCATCGACAAGCATTATTTGCGGCCATGTTCTCACATTCGGCGAGATTTCGATCTGAAGATGTTTCTTTGCAATGCAAATCAGACTCTATGAAATTTCATAACCAAGCAGTGGATTTTATATATGACTCACTCGATGAAGCCTCCGGCGAACAATCAAGTCTCTGTCTTCTGCAAGCTATGGTTCTGGTGACTTTCTATGAGGTTACTAAGGGCGTCAAGGGACGCGCGTGGAGGCTCTTAGGCTCTTGTGTTCGGGTCGCGTATGAGCTCTACCTACATCTCATTGACTATGAGGCCCTGGAGGAGAGCTATAAAGTTGGCCGTGGCTTGTCGCGTTGGATTGAAGCAGAAGAGGCACGGCGATGCTGGTGGGCCATCTGGAAAATGGATACGTTTGCCAGTGTTATCCGAAGACTCCCAACTGCAATCGATTGGAACATGATTGATACCCACCTTCCTGCTTCGGATGACCATTAGGTTTCGAATCAATACAGCCGCAGCTGCTTCTTGGAGAGAGACCCAATTGCTCGACCAAAGGCACTCAGAGCATGCGGGAATGAAAACCCTGATGCATGGCTTATCGCGATAATCTCGATCACGAGGGATGCACAAGTGCTTCACAGAGGGAATTTGCAAGGCATATTAATGGATATGAATACTGAAAAGAGTTCCAATCAACTACTGCATTATTTTCGCAACTCATTTAGCAAGAGGAAGAGACAGGAGGGCTCGTCGCGACTACAGTCACTGGTCCATGCTTTGCAAATTACTACCGCCACCATGCCGCAATATCTTAACCATGATAAGAACCCGGTGGACTTCGGGGCTCATTCTTCTCACGGACTCTATGATCCGGGGGCTAGGCATCTTCAAAGCACAAAGTACAACGTATACCTCAGTCTGAAGCAAGCTCAGTTCACGATATATCATCACCATGCCTTTGATGGAATTGTTGTGGGCACAATTTCTTGCCCTGGAGAAAGCCTGCCACGCGAAAGTGCCGGTCGATCAGACTCACGTCAACGTCCGCAGGGTTTGAAATACTGTCTTCAAGCTTCCGACGATATATATTCTTTTCTTTCACAGTGCCCAGAATGGCACGTGAAGCATGTGAGCCCTTTCCTTGCAAGTATCGTCCGGTTAGCAGCTTCACTCCAGGTTCTGCGAGGGTTATCTGGTAGGAGGGAACAATTGGAAGACTCGCTTTGCAAGTATAGGATCTTACGTACCACGTACGAGCGCTATACGGCGTTTTAGAACACACCCCAAGCATTACTAGACAATCTAGACACTTTGGAGACACGGCTCAGTCAATATAATCCCGCATCATCTCCATCGACAGCACCTGGGGCGGTGCGCAGCTGTGCAGGCATCCCCGCTGAACTTAGTCAACTCCATGGCAGATTACCCCGTTCTGGAATGAATTATTTGGAGTATGATACCAGACAATTATCCCCTTTGGCGACTCTTGATGATCGCGAGAGGCATAACAGTGATGTGCATACGGAGTTTGATCCTGCCATGCGTCCAAATTGCCTTTCATCGGGACCAGATGCAAACCTGGAGTTTTGGGAAACTGAGGATTGGCAGATGAATAATCCGGAGTTGGGAAGCTGGTTTTCTCAATAACATTCAGGCCTTCTTTTGGAAACATACGTGAACAGGGATATAGGCGGGCCTCCTTCAAATCAACATGAGGTTTATTCATGTTGAGTGATAGCAAGTTCCCTCTTTGAGTATTTCAGTCAAATAGTCTAAAACCTTCAAGAAATCAAAAAGGAGTATAGTCCTTCGTTATTCCCCAGACCTAAACGACGCGTCCGCCTGGGAATGCATGATTTTCTGCGTCAAATGCTTAACCCTTTGGCTCGCTATTGCATAAGGCGTAAGAGTTAAGCGGACTTAAATCTCGTCATGTTACTACCTTGACGCGTTCGTTCATGCCTTGCTACTCATGAGGCTCAACTATTGCGCTCTTAACGGAAAGGCGATCATTAGAATAGCAGATCTGAAGACACGATTCGATTGGATCAACAATCAACGAGAAATGTATCATCTCTCATCGCATATTTCATTCGAGATCCTTGACACTAGATAATTCCCGGTTTACTGAAGCTTAAATCCCTTTTCAGGATCCAACGACGCAGTGAAATCACCCTTCTGAGTTTTCATGTCAACAGGGAAAGACAAGTGTTCATGAATCCATCTTCATTGTCCATTTTCCGGGTTACGCCGCGAAATCCCAGTGCGCCGGAATGCCGTATCAAACGGTGTGCCTCCAGCAGTACCCCAGGTGTGTTGGATCATTGTGGAGTAGGCATGGTCTCGAGAGAGAGAGCGGTGATTTTAAGATCCTTGAATTCTATCTGGCCGTCATTCCAGTAAGGGAAGATAGATTCGAAGTGCTCGTTAAAGTTACCGCGAATTGTGTTTCCAAACATGTCATAGCTCAGCATCTCTGGAAAATCGTAAAATCGATGAGAACCGACCATGCCGTTATGGTAGTCGGCCTTTGACTCGTGGTTCCAGTAGTGCAACCACGCAACCACCCACGGTAAAGCTGGTCTAGCACTTCCTGTTCTGCCACAGCAAGCTCCGGGTCATGATACTAGTCAGTCAAATATCAATGTCAGCATGAGTTGATATCAATCTTGATGAACAAATGCATATGCCTTACCTTGCTCTTCGGCATGGCGAGAAAGTCATACTGCTTCTGGATTGACTCATAGGATTTCTATATATTATTGTGAGTAATTGGATACTTACAAGAATCGAACCAGGAACCTGAACATACATCATCCCTGACAAAACCGTTCTTGTCTGTCATTTTGAACCTCGTTGAAATTTGAATGGGTAGATTTGATAAATGTATCTCGGCTGGCGATGTTGGAACGAAGCAGGTTATGGGATGCTTTTGTGATATTTTATATATAAGATATACAGGCACACTCAGAGTCCATGTAAGCTTTCCCCGCTTCTAATCTACCAAGACAGGACCACGGATAGAATTGAAGTTGTGTGATAATCAATCCATCCGCGAGGACTGACTACCTCATAATTAGTCCGTGCGATAGCGGATCTCCCGCGGGACATTTGTGGGGCGAGAGCAACGCCGCGTTACTGCAAATGATCCATGGAATATTATGGAAACGGCATTTCTTCAGCAAAACACTTGTATCCAGAAAAACAGGTGAGCCTTTATTGTGACTTCGTTGTTTACGTCTGTGAAGGCGGCGAATTTGAAGAAAGTATATAATCTCCGACTACCAACTCGAAACGGAGACTAAATTCCTGTTCACCACATTCAATACCAGCCTCAGTCGCATCTTCACTTTATCGGCGATATACCTTTGTCTGCAAAAATGGGTTCCGTTGTGAACTCTCCGCAATTTGTTGCCATTATCGTTGGCAGTGGCTTCGGAGGACTGTACGTACTTCACGAACTACGAAAGAAGAGCTTCAAATGCCTGGTCATCGATGAGGCGGCAGATATCAGAGATGTCTGGTACTGGAATACCTACCCTGGGGCGAGAGTCGATACGAAAGTGCCACTTTATGAGTTCTCCAATGAAAATATCTGGCATGACTGGGTATGGACCGAAAAGTATCCGTGCGTGGAGGAGATCCGCCGATACTTCCAGCATGTTGAGTCGAAGCTTCACCTGAAACGAGATATTCTCTTCAATACTCGTGTCACTGCCGCCGAGTTTGAGGAGAGTGCCAGTTATTGGAATGTCTCGTCGAGTGACGGTATCAAACGCTCAGCTCGCTATTTTATCCTTGCGACAGGCTTTGCTGCGAAACCTTTGATTCCCGAGTTCAAGAATCTGGAAGCCTTCGAAGGCCCCTGTTTCCACACATCCAAGTGGCCTAGGGGTGGTCTTGACTGTACTGGTAAATGCGTCGGCGTTGTTGGCAATGGGTCCAGTGGTTTGCAAGAGATTCAGGAAATCGGACCCGTGGTTGACCATATGACGGTGTTTCAGCGTAGCCCGACCTACGCTCTTCCCATGCGACAAAGGCCATTGGCAGTTGAGGAACAAGACAAGTCTGTATATGGATCCATGTGTGAGCTGCGAAAACAGAATCGACGCGGAGTCCAACAACCAACCTTTACAATCAACGGCCCGCGCTGAACGTGAGGCTTTATTTGAAGAAATTTGGAAAGAGGGGGACTGTCATTTTGGCTCGCGACCTACCGCGAAGTGATCATGAACAAGGAACTCAACAAGGAGGCCTACGACTTCTGGCGCAGCAAGGTTCTTCCTCGCATCAAAGATCCGAAGAAAGCTGCAATCCTTGCTCCTGAGCAGCCACCTTACTACTCCGGCACCAAGCGGGCGACTCTTGAGCAGCGTTATTACGAAATCTACAACCAAGACAACGTCAACCTTGTCAATGCCAAGGAGAATCCTATCGCTGAAGTGCGTGCCAACAGTGTCATCACCCAAGATGGTCAATTCCACGAACTTGATGCTCTACTACTTGCAACTGGCTTTGATTCCGTCACTGGTGGAATTCTGAACATCCAAATCCGTGGTCGAAACGGTGAACTTTTGCAAGACAAGTGGAAGAATGGTACATGGACGCACCTTGGTCTGATGACTTCAGCAATCCCCAACATGTTTTGCAATGGACCAACTTGTGCCGAAGTGCAAGGAGACTGGATTGCCCAGACTTTGGCACATATGCGTGCAAAGGGCCACTGCGAAATCGAACCTACTCCGGCTGCCGAGCAGACTTGGAGAGCTCTTGTCAATCAGATTGGCGATGCTACCCTACTTCCTGAGACTAAATAGAGTACATGGGCACAAACGTGCCCGGTAAGCCGAAGGAGATGCTAAATTACCTTGGCGGATTGAACGATTACATCAAGCGAATCACCCACACGACCACTGCTGGATATCCTGGATTTGATTTAGATTAGTCTTTGTTTGTGTTCATGGTGCGCATTGTCTGATTACAAATTTTTAGTGAGATGTACGATTCCCATCGCTCTACTTCCATTCCCGTGAAAGGCTGTGCTGAGAGGCATATTCATGGGGGATACACAGCGATTTGGTGCACTTATGGTATAACAGAGTGAAACAAAAAATTTCCTCAACATAATTCGCTATTTTCTCATATTAAACTATAGACCAATGTCTATAATTTCGAGCTTCTAGAGGCTGTATTCTACGAAGAGTCACAAAAGACCAATGCCAGGCGCATAGGAACACGAGAGCAAGTAATCAGCTTCTACTACTGTCACCTATGCCCAACAAGACCTCGTTCCGAAATGAGGGGTCAGCGGGGAAAGCACTATGCATAAGTGTGGATACCATGAGAATAGAGTAGGCAGTGGGGCTACTTCCTCTCTACCTCCAGCGAGCAGACCTCTGCAAGTATTTAGTATACACAATATTCATATACGAATCAGCAACCTCATTGCTGAAATGTGGATGAAAGAACTGCTCATTGGGGGCATTCATTTGCAGTATAATTTAACCATAGGACATTAAGCGTCTCATTCTCAAAAACCCCAGTCATTGATACTCCGCGACGGTGGGGCCGTACTAGCCTCCGCAAGCCACCTCGGAGCCCGCATATCCCCCCTCCTCGACCTCCTCTCCGGTCACAGGGTGTTTGTAGTGGAAAGGAATGACCCGAGTATCAGGCCAAAGCCCCCCATCTTGAAGTATAATATCAGGACCAAGCTTATCCGCAGGAAACATCTCCTTAAACAGGGGAACAAAATCTTTAGATCCCTTCCACCCAGACTCAAAGGAACCATGCCAGAAAGGGTAGTAGCGCAACCGCAGTATTTTCCAAACCCCATCTTGGAGAATGTATTCATTCTCGTACAGTCCTCCTTCCCACCACTGGCGATAACCACCTGGGAACTCGGATGGCAGGGCTTCGTGGGTTCCCGCACTCATAAATGCGCGGATACGGGCTTTTGCGCGTCCGGCTTCGGGACTGAAGTCCACTATGTCTTGAGCCATCAAGTGGTCTAACAGCCAGCCTTCTATTGGGCCGTTGCGGCCGCCGACGAATCGATTTGCGAATCGCTCAATGTAGAGGCGGTGGACGCCTTCTTTGCCGTTGAAGCGGCCGTTGAGGAACTGGACGTATGTGTCTGGGTGGTTCGCGAAAAGGTCAACTACCTGGTTCTGAAGTTAGCTTGAGCGCATGGGATTGTGTGGGATTGTGTGCTCACCTCTTTATAGAGACATTTGTCCAGGTAGTAGCCATACTTGTGGTGCAACTTTCTAACTTCGGATTCGCCTGCATTTTTCTCAGTAAAGATAGAAGGAGAAAGCTCTTTATGTTACCCTTTAGCTTCGTGACTTCATTTGAAAGATTTTGCATGGTGGCAACGAGAGCAGAAATGTCTGGAGACTGGGTTTCTTCTGCCATGGCTCAGTGCTCAGATGTAACGAGTCGCCTTGGGGATGATAGACAAAGAAAGTCAGCGGTGTAGGTATAACATCAGAATGAAAAAGTAACTTATAAAGCAGACTTTGGGAGACGTTGTTGTTTTTGGAACCCCACATCACACATGTTTCTCGGATCTTGCTTGTTGCTCAGAATGCCGGGCAGGACCCAGGCTGAACTGCATCCAATACAACAGCAGCCATACGCGACGGCCTGGGTGTTATGAGGTTGCGGGGCCGACCAGGATACTTTTGAATCTAACCTTCTGGGTTATAGTTCGTTGACTTCACGGTGAAAGGGATCCGGATTTACCCCAGATGTATATTATTCCGGCAGTTTCATAGGAAAATGTTGCCGATATGAAGACAGATGCATCGATGTATTGGCTTTTTGTAAAAGCCCCGTGCACTAGCCAAAGTCTCGCGGTATAAATTTCAGGTAGAAGTCTCCGGTCCTAGATAGCTGTCTTGGAAACAGTGGGCCTTTGTCCACATTTAACATAATCAAAATTTGGTTGTCGCGTAACGCGCTCCATCATCATGGCCCACATCTACGATATCCCCGTTGACTACCCATACACCCACGGACAGAAGACAGGCGACCAAGTCAGATACCCCCGCACGCCTGCTTTCCAGACCTTCAATCTACCATCACGACTCGAAGGCGACATCTTTGACCTCGAAGTAGACGGCACAATCCCGCCCGAGATCAACGGAACCTTCTTCAGAATCCAACCCGATCATCGGTTTCCCCCTATATTCGAAGAAGATATACACTTCAGCGGTGACGGCAATGTAACCGCAATTCGAATCCAAAATGGCCATGCAGACTTCAAACAGCGATATGCGAAGACTGATAGGTTCAAGGCCGAAACCGCAGCTCGCAAGAGCCTATTTGGCAAATATCGGAATCCTTACACGGATTCTGACTCGGTGAAGGGTGTGATTCGCACTGTGGCTAATACAAACATAACCTTCTGGCGTGGAATGCTACTTGCAACTAAAGAAGACGGGCCCCCATATGCGATGGATCCTGTTACGTTGGAGACGATCGGCCGATATGACTTTGAAGGCCAGGTTCTATCACCGACCTTCACTGCACATCCGAAGTTTGACCCTGAGACGGGTGAGATGATATGTTTTGGTTATGAAGCTGGTGGGGATGGGAATGATGGATCGTGTGATATTGTCGTTTACACGATTAATGTGGATGGGAAGAAGACCGAGGAAGTGTGGTATAAGTCGCCATTTTGTGGGATGATTCATGACTGCGGGATTTCGGAGAATTATGTCGTTCTTCCGCTGACGCCGTTGAAGTGCTCGGTGGATCGTTTGAAGAAAGGCGGTAATCACTGGGCATGGGATCCTACAGAGAGTCAATGGTATGGTGTGGTTCCGAGGAGAGGAGGGAAACCAGAGGATATAAGATGGTTCCGGGCAGAGAATGGTAAGATCAAGCTACCGATTTACTCTCAACAATTCATGCTAATTTATTTTCTAGCTTTCCATGGTCACGTCGCAGGCTGCTACGAGAATGAACAAGGTCGTATTGTTTTCGATCTCACAGTGGCTGACGGCAATGTATTTTTCTTCTTCCCACCTGAAAACCAGGCGTCCAGCAATCTGGGGGCCAGAAACCGGCTCGAAAGCGTCACGCATCGCTGGGTCTTTCACCCAAAACAAGAATCGGGATCATGGGTCAAGCCCGAGGTTCTCTGGAATACCAGTGGTGAGTTCTCCCGTATCGATGATCGATATGTCACGAAGAAATACAACCATTTCTGGCAAGCGAAGATTGACCCCACACGGGAGTACGATGCAGCACAATGTGGCTCCCCTGCAGGAGGGCTGTTCAACTGTCTAGGCCATTACCAATGGGATGACCGTTCCGAGGACGTGCTCTGGGCCGGTCCACGGGGTACGTTCCAGGAGCCTACTTTCATTCCGCGGAAAGGGGGCAAAGAGGGGGAAGGGTGGATCATAGCGCTAGTGAATCGGCTGGATGTGCTTCGAAATGATGTGGTGATCGTCGATGCGGGGCATCTGGCAGGTGGGCCCTTAGCGACGATCCACCTTCCTTTCAAACTGCGGTTGGGATTACATGGGAATTTCGTTGATCATGGAGACATTGAGGAGTGGGAGCAGAAGCGGGCTCTGGGGGGAGATGTTGGACCCGTTCGGGCTGCGCAAAGACCTCTAAATTGGCAGCTGAGCTACTTGCAAGATCGAAGACACTAGCATAAAAGACACTTTTAAGTGATAGGTAGCATTTCTTAGAAATCAACAAGCCCCTGATGCAATTGCCGGCCTTATCTTGGTGATCTACAGAAACACGTCACATCATTTCTGCAAGGCCGGCTGCATAATTTCTGCTGTACTACCGAGGATCAGTGCTATGGTTCGACAGCATTGTGTGGGGCTTGGTCGCATTGACCCCGATGAAGACGTGTTTCCCCAGGATTTTTAATAAGTTTCCTCAAGGCCCCTGAACCTCAATCAAAACCTCGACCTTTTTCTATACTGATACTCCTGAGTAAATCTGATAATTGCCAGAAAGTTGCAAAATGAGCATTACCCAAACACCAAATGTCAAGTCTTTCGAGACGCGTCTGTTCATCAATGGCAAAGCAAGTTTATCAACTATGCATGTATGGAGTACACGCTAACAGGGATCAGTTTGTCGAAGCTTCTGACGGGGGAAAATTTGATTTAGTCTCACCTGCCACGGGTGAAAAGTTCACTCAAGGTATATCTCCCAGGGTCTCATGGAGAGTACTTAATCTAATAGCGTTCATCACAGTATCCGAGGCAACCGAGGACGATGCAAATGCAGCTGTAGCGGCAGCTAAAGCTGCCTTCCCATCATGGTCTGCACTTTCCCCAATCGCTAGGGGAGCATATCTCAAGAAACTCGCTCCTCTCATTACGGAAGCCAAGGATGAACTTGCAGAGCTTGAGGCACTCTCAATGGGTCGTCCCGTGTCAAATTACTTCGAGGTTGATCGCACTGTGAATGCCTTGAACCACTACGCGGAGGCCGGAATGCGGGCGTTGGGTACCTCCAGCCTGAATACTCCTGGCTTTGTCAACATGACCATGAGACAACCGTTTGGTGTGGTGGGAGCTATTATTCCCTGGAATGTACCTATTTATTTCCTTATCAGCAAGTCAGCCCCTGCGTTGATCGCAGGAAACACAGTTGTGCTTAAGAGTAGCGAGAAAGCACCATTGACTGTGCGTCCACTGCTGTCCTCTTTACCGTTCCAATTGCTTATCAAGTTTTCAGTGTGCGAAAGTTGCGACTTTTATTGAGAAGGTGGGCTTCCCACCAGGAGTCATCAACATCATTTCGGGCCATGGACACATCTCTGGCAGTGTACTATCTCATCACATGGATATCCGGGTGATCAGTTTCACAGGCTCGGGTAGAACTGGACGGCTGATCCAAGCTGCATCTGCCAAGTCGAATTTGAAGAATGTCATTTTGGAACTAGGAGGGAAGTCACCCGCGATCATTTTTGAAGATGCGAACATGGAAAAAGCCGTCAAAGACACAGTGCACTCCATCCAGTTCAACAGTGGTCAAGTCTGCATGGCTAATTCCAGAATCTATGTTCACGAATCCATTGCTCCGACTTTCATTGAGAAGTTTCAGAATACCTTTGTGGTGAAAAGTGGCGATCCACTGTTACCCGGCACCGACCATGGCCCTCAAGCAGACGAGATCCAATACAAGCAGGTCCAGGCCTTCATCGAGGAGGGCAAGAAAGATGGCAAGATGATTTTGGGAGCTGGTCCCTCCAAGCACACAAATGGATTCTTTGTTCAGCCAACTGTGTTTATTAACACGCCGGAAAACTCCAGGATAATGAAGGAAGAGATCTTTGGGCCGGTAGTTGTTATCAATACCTTCAAAGATGAGGATGAAGTTGTCGCCAAGGCGAATGATACCGAGTTTGGCTTGTATGCGTCAGTCTATACCAAAGATGTGAGTCGAGCGCTGCGGATGGCCAAGAAGTTGGAGTCTGGAAATGTGGGAGTCAACTGCACTAGCCCGACTGGAGCTTTTGATATGCCATTTGGTGGATACAAGGCGAGTGGAATTGGTCGGGAGGGATGGACTGTCAGCATAGACAATTACCTAGAGACCAAGAGCGTATGTATTAGTGTTGATGATGCTTAGATGGAGATAGGAGACCAGATAGCATCCAACTCAAAACAGAAAATTTTGAGTACTGACTCAAGAATGATTGCACAAGATGAATCCCCAATTGTTCCCCTCCTAGGATATTTAGGTTGCCGAAGGCCAGATGAGCCGCTTCGTTAATCTGATATTCGAGAGCGTGACTATCTGCGAGGATATTGGCAATTTGGGGGGAAGGCTGGATAGGTCGATTCCAGAAACTCGTAGAAGTTGAAAGAGTACATAATGCAATTTTAGGTTGCTACATGCTCGATAGTTGGAAGCGTGTAGAGGGGTTTCCCCGCAAAAGGCCATAATCCACTGTAGAAGAATTATGTCACAATCTTTTATGGGTGAGTGGGCTGAAGCTATTTGAATAACTACGAGGTGATGAAGCTTCACATAGATACTAGTAATTTTAATTAACAGGCAGCGAAGCCGCTTCAGACGTTGAGCCACCTGGGCAAGACATTCTTTGTGGCTGAAGCATCTAAATATTTCCTCATGACTTGAGATCCAAACTAATACTCAAAGACTTGATAGGAGACTCCGTTTGGTAGTAAAAACAGTGTTCCAATAGTAATAATGATAGTCACCTAAGCATATCAATGCTCCATACTACAAACCTCTTCTTAATTTGTTCCCGGCAATAGAAAAAGCAATTAAAATTGGATTAATGTAAGCTCAGTCATCATCTAGATCTCCTCAGCTCAAGAAAAACTTCAATATGTTCAAAGACTTTAAAAGGGAACTAAAGCGGTAGAACCCCAACTTTTGTTATTGCAAAATCCATATCGCCATCCTATGCCTCTCGTTTACGCTTCGTTTGCATGTTCACTCGTCTAAAAGTCCAAGTGAAAGAATTAGACTAACCCGGGGCGATTTCGGAGAAACAAGCGAATATTGTACCAAAGACCGTGATATAGCCTGGAAGTGCAGAAAAATTTGCGGGTAAACAGCCCCAGGATGTACAAGGAATGGCCAAGCTCTCCCCACTCCAACATGGTCCCTTGTTCCCGAATGTACCACAAATGACTAGACATCAATCAAACCAATTTATCCTTAACAGTAGGGATCGAGTAACCAGAGGGGTCCAAGCTAGACATATCCCAGTAGAACTGGTAGATTCCAGAAACATCAGTCTCCTTAAGACGGAAAACATCCGAGAGAGTTCCATCGGATTCCTCCCACATCAGGTAGCTGCCGTAGAAGAGGAAACCATCCGTTGTAGCAGCGGACGGCGAGTCGATTCCGTTACCAGTGAAGCCAACGGCTAGGACCTCGTCGGCAGTGGGCTGGATGTACAGCAAGGTGTCCGAATCGAGTGTGACACCGGATGTAGTGGCAGTAGTGACCAGTTCGGTGTCGGTAATTTTGACTAAAGAACTTGTTAATTGATTTTGAAGCTTTAGGTTTTGTCCCGATCGTGCATATGTTGACAACACGGGATGTTAGAGTTAGTTCTTACATGTCACGTCAGTGGTGACGTTTCCAGATGTCCAGAGGGAGGAGTCGCCAGCATAGGCGAGACCTAGTGATCAATATTAGATTTCGATTGTTGGATGACATTAGGATAGGGATGAACACACCATCGGAGTAGAACATGGGAATGGCACTGCTGGCAACGCCATAGGCAACGAGCTGGAAGGATCCTGACGGGTTGCGCTTCTCAATTGCCAGAGATGGAGCGGCCAGGGCACCTGAGGCCAACGCCAAGGCAGAGGTGAAAGTGGTGAACTTCATGGTTAAATATCTGTGAGTGATTTTGTAAATCAGCTACATGATTGCCATCAGCTTTTATAAACTCGCTTTAAGTTAAAAGTTTGCGAGCTAAACTACACCCTTTGCTGAAAATCGAAACATAATGGGGGCCCCACTTCCATGCTGACGCGGCCACATGGTCCTGCATAAGCTAAAGGGGGCTAGAGCAGTTCCTGGGTCTACTATAGCTTCACCAAGCCATATTTGTACGTCATTCTGATTTAGTGCAAGTCTTTTGTAAGACAAGCAAATAAGAGTGTTATCCAGAATAGCAAGGTTAGAACAGCTTTGGAAATCTAAACTTCATTTCAGACAAATACAAGCGGTGACACGACCTGCTCGCTTGAAGAAAATAGGGACGACTATAAATCCAGCTATCTCAAATAAGAGAATGATCGACCGGCAGTTCTCCATTAAAGCCGACAATTACACCGATGTGTTAGCAACAATGGTGGAAGAATGGAGCGATTGGGTGTGATTGCTGTTTATTCAAAGTCGGGAGTGGGCTGTTCTGCAAAATGTGGATCCTAAGGGGCAGCCACTACTTCAGCAACCTTGGAAGTAACAGAGTATATGAACGCAAGAATCGTACAATGCTACCATTTTTAAAGATTTTTCGGGAATTGCGAGCTTCTTTCGGTCAATTAGTCAGTGCTTACAGGAACACGCGATTCCATTAGAGGAAGCTCGCCGCACAGATGGATCCTGCAATCTAGATTAAGCCTAGCCGTCAGACGGTCGCTTGGCATCGCATAAGCACTAGGCACTTGCAAAGTCTGCTAGCGAGACCAAGATTTTATGAGTAGCGTTGAATTGAAACAGGACGGGATAGATTATTGGAGGCTGTCTTGGCTACTCCAATTAATATCTCTCAGCAATCCACAGCCGTCGCTTCGACTCCGACATGGCTGAAAGGCTAGCCGACTCCGCCCGCTTGACGAGCGTATAGTTCCGAACAAAGGCTGGACCAAGCAGATTTTGCATAGCCTTGTCATCCTCAAGTGCTACTAGACTTTCGTCCAAGGATTTCGGGATTTGAGTTGTGATTCCGAGCTCGGAGCGTTGGGAATCGGTCAAGGTGGACGCATCAACTAAAGATGAAGTCAGTTGAGTTACGATAGAGGTTAATGCTAGGGAAGCTTACCCCCGCACTGCTTTACAGTCAATGGTGTGTTTGCCTCCAGGCCCATATAGCCTCCAGCTAAGAGGGCGGCGACGGCGAAGTAGGGGTTTGCTAGGCCATCCATTGACTTGATTTCCCAGTGACCGGGACTGATCTTGCGGATTGGAGCCTCGCGGTTCTGGAAGCCCCAGGCGACCCATTCCGATCCTGACCAGATACCCGAGCGGACACGCTCGTAGCTTGCATCTTGCGAGAGGGTAAATGCGATGATTGAACGGAAATGATTGAGCATGCCAGCTAGGAATGTATCTTCCCTGGTCGGAGGGTTGATGGAGATATGTGTATGGGAGGCAGTGCCTGCTCCATCAGGGAAAGGACGAGGGTGGAGTGTTGCGCGCAGACCATGTCTATCTGCGACTGTCGTGATGACTTGGCGAGTGGCGATGAGGGCATCCACCGCAGCCAGGGGCCCCAATGGTGGTAAGATGAATTCAAATTGACCGGGCGAAGATTCGGCGTGGAATTGCTGCAGTTTGATTCCCATGGACACCAATGCCCGTGTTATTTCCTCGAGGATGGGTACCATTCGTCTTGTTTGTGTAGTCATCTGCGACCAAGAATGAATGGTTGTTGCGGGGTCGCAAGTTGTCGTCTCTTCCTGTGATTTGATGAAAACTACCTCGACCTCAAATCCACATAGGATGTCGATGTTGTGTCTCTTATGCAGCTTATCGACAATGTTGTGCAGTGTACCTCTTGGGCACCCTTCCAATCCTTCGCCGTCTTCTGATTTCCAAAATGACATAACAGTGGCACTGGGTGCAGCTGGTGCCACCATACTTCCATTCAAGTAAAGGCTGGCAAAGTCAGGCTGCATATAGAATTGCCCCGTAGTTAAGCCTTCGGGAATGACCACGTCATTTTGAAGCATGGTTAGCGCGGCTAACGCGATTCCGATTCGCCTTTTATTTCGTGCAATGAGAAGGAACTCTTGAAGTGGAAACATGCGCACTCGCACTGTTGCCGTGTAATCCACCCATTGCATCCAGATGTACTCGATTTGAGGGTTAGCCTGCAAGAATGCATCCAGGGGGTCGGATGCAATTGGAATTGTCTGGCGAAGTGGAGCCAATGACTGCTCGGTACCTTCATACTGAGGCTCCAAGCCTAATTTGTAGAGTCGATTTGAGTTGTGGAATAGAATGTCAGCTGCTGCTGCCTTGGCCTGTGAAACAATGTAGTCGCCGTGGTTGACGTATTCGACAAATATCTATTTTGAATTAGTATAGGATAAGATGGATCCCTTTGAGTATGTCTTACTTTTTCTAGCGCCTGTCGGAATTGCTTGTTGGCGAGCCAAAACGTTTCCGGGTGAAAATGACCATCCGTACTCCACAGCAGACGGTTGGTAGGTGTAACTTCCAAACTCTCCTGTAGAATCTTTTCCTGGGCTTGTCGACTGACCATTGGGAACACCTCTCCAAGATCTAGGTATACATTGGGATAAACAGATGCCAGATATCCAGCTTCGCGAGTATACGGGTATGCCGAGTGTAATAACACAATATCTGCATCGGGGTATTGCACGATTAACGGTTGAAGATAAGCAGGATTCGCTCGCAGAAGGCTGATATCGTTATCGCCTAGCCCGGTATGAAACTGAAGGGGCTTAACAATACCAGCCCTCTTCCTCCAAGTAATCAATTTTAGCGTCTGCTGAACCAGCCAGTCATTCAACGGCTTTTCCTCGATCCGGTAACCCGATTTCCTGGTACCCAGATCCAGGGTCCGGTGGAGCGAGGCTGTCAACAGATCCTCATCTGGGGTGTGGGGGTCGACATCTAGTCCCGTCCGGTAACAGACCACCGATTTGAACCCCACAACGGCGGGATCGTCCATTGCGTGCTCGAGCTTTTCAAGGAATTGCTGGCGGAATAGACCCCACACCGTCTGGCCTTCTTGTCGTTCCGTGCTCATCAGCTCCACAAGAAGCGAGGCTGCTATCGCCTCAATTCGGACAATGCGTTTTGTCGCAGAGACGGTGAATGAGTCGTGCCAGTCGTAAGACTCAACATCGTCGTCTGATAAGAGATCATCGAGAAGCAAAGCGTGTGTGCCTTCCAAGCTCCGTCTGATCAGACCTTCGTAATCCTGCTCTACCCATCGGCTGTGGGCAGCTAATACATCTGACCATTCTGCACAGGGACTTCCGTAGAGCTCAGCAAGCTGGTTGGTGGCCCGCAATAAAGGCAGGGTGAACCGAGCATTTTCCAAAGCGCGACCGTGGGCTTCGGATGTGATAGATTCTAACGGGTAGCTATCGTAGTCGATGGCCACGTCGCGACTCAGCAAATTGTGCGCATGATTGTCAATCAGCGGATGGTTTGCGATGAGATGGCGGAGGGAATGAAGGGCATTCATTGTGGTGATGAAGCGGGATGAAGAGATAAACCGGATCCAACTGGAGCACGAAAAGTAAGCTAGTCATTTTCTGCCACTGCTACACAATACCCCGTTAGGCAAGTGATTCTACTTCCACTTAAGTACTCAATACATTTGATCTGCTGCAAAAGTCACTGTGTAGAAAGTACCCGATACCTTCCTGTCCGTGCATCGTCAACCATACTCAACTTGGCCAACTACACGACTTGTAAATCCAATCGGTAATCCACCCGCACTTTAAATCCACTTCCCTAGTCCCGATAAGCTCCCACATGATTTTGCCCACAATCTTCACAGGGAAAGTTTTGTTCAATATTTCAATTTTGCGGAGCGAGCCGTGAAGAAAAATAGGTAATACTGGGTCCACCTATAAGATCTGCCCTTAATACTGCCCCTCGATCGTCAAGGTTCCCGTTTTCGTGATCAGGTACTCCTGCACCGCAACATCTTTTCCACTCTCCTTACCATAGCCCGATTCCTTCATGCCGCCAAACGGCGATTCAGCTGCTGATTGGTTACCTAGACTATCGGTCAGAACAGAAACGTCCACATCACATTTGAGTCACTCACCGGTATTCATTCCAATCATGCCCGCCTCGAGATTCTCCAGCAAACGCCACATGCGGTCGATGTTCTTCGTAAATGCATAGCTCGCCAATCCCATGCTAGTGGCATTCGCCATCTTTACCGCCTCGTCCTCGGTTTCGAACCGATAGAGCGCCGCAATAGGTGCAAATGATTCCTCATGCGAGATAAGCATGTCTTTCGTCATCCCAGAAAGGATGGTCGGCTCGAAGAAATATCCGGGCTGTGAGCTGTGAGGCTTTCCGCCAAGCAGAATCTTCGCGCCAAGGTTACGCGCATCCTCAACTTGCGCGATGGCCTTATCAATGCTGCGAGGTGTGGTCAACGGACCCATCGTGGTGTCCTTGGCAGATCCATGCCCCACGACCAGGGCAGCGGTCCGCTCCGTGAGAAGTGCAGCGAAGCGATCGTAAATCCCCGCTTGGACGTAGATGCGGTTAGCTGTGATACACGCTTGACCCGCATGGCGCCACTTGAGAGTCATAAGCTGCTCCAGCGCCTGGTCAAGGTTTGCATCGTCAAAAACGATAAAAGGACAGTTCCCGCCCAACTCGAGAGTCACTTTCTTAAGACCGTGGGCACAGTGCGATGCAACCAGTTTGCCAACGCGCGTCGAACCAGTGAAGGTCACCTTCTTGACGAGTGGGTGCTTACACAGGGCCTCACTCAGCGACGGCGTATTCTCCAGGTCGGTAGTGAGAACATTAAACACACCAGCTGGGATGCCCGCTCGCAGCGCCAACTCTGCCAGAACAAGTGCCGAGATGGGTGTCTCGGGGCTCGGTTTCACAACCATTGTACATCCAGCCGCCATCGCAGCCCCAACCTTACGTAGAACCATCGCGACCGGGAAATTCCAAGGAACAAGTGCAGCTGCCACGCCGATGGGCTGCTTCACAGTGAAAATACGGCGATTGGGCGCGGCGGCCAATGATACAGTACCGTGAACGCGCTCTGCCTCGCCGGCAAACCACCATAGGAAACCAAGTGAGTAATCGAGTTCTCCATATGCCTCTGCCAACGGCTTGCCTGTTTCGTGGGTCACGATCTGGGCAAGATCATCTCTGGCCTGCGTAGTGAGATCGTGCCACTTCAGCAACCACTTGGCCCGCTGTCGGGGGTTTACTTTGCGGAAAGACTCGAATGCAGAGTGTGCTGCTTCGACAGCTGCTGGAACATCCTCGGATGTGTTTGCCGGGCAGCTTGCCCACGCCTTGTCGGTCCCGGGGTCTAGTGGGGTTAGTCTTGCTTGTATTATGTTGGAGCTTGTAGACTGTACCGAGAACTTCGAATCGCTTGCCGCTCTTTGATCCAACCCACTTGTCACCGATGAAGGAATCGAACTTCAGAAGCGTAGGGTCAGCTAGCTAGATGTGCGTTAGTTTGTTTGATGGAAGTTCTGTAGCTTTCGGACATCTTGCCGATGCCCGGTTGCTCCTAGGGTCGAGACGCTCGATTGGAGATAGCTTACCTTGAATGGGAGCTCATACTTCGTACTCATGGTGTGCAAAAATTTACTATACAAGATTGAATAACAAAGAAACTGAAAATTGTACAAGAAGATAGGAAAGGTCGGCCTTTCAATGCTAATAAAGTGGGGAAGCTTCAACCCCTCATCGCTTTGCGGCACATGCGGAACTCTCGGCGACTTGCAATACGACAGAGATAGGCTATATGGAGCTCTTCTCCAATTCTAGGCTTCTCCAACTTTCAACAATTTTGAACTTAGTTTCTAATGTTAAAAGATACCGATACTGACATTTTGATGCTTCTCGCTATGTACCGCCAGAGGGCCAATGCATAGCCGGCAGTCAAAATATACCATCCCATGTGCCGTATCTTAACGACTTCAATGGCCTGCACAAACCTCTGGAGAAACCTTCAAAATAACATCAAAGATGACTAAATGAAATCTATATTCTATGGTACTGTACATGTTCTTGGAATAACCCCTTCAAGGTAGGAACTAAACCAGACTATCCGCACTAACACCAGGGCCCTTCTCATCCCTTGACTTCCCATCCTCACTGCCATTAGTATACTGCACCGAAACGCCCGTTGTCTTAAGAATTCCAGCCGGCCCCTCAAGCTCCAAACTCCCACTAGAAATAGAAGGACTATCCCCACCACGTCTATACTTCCGCATATCGAACGAACCCTTATCAGCGCCAACAACATCCACCCGATTTCCCCTCGACGGATCTGCCATCTCGTAGTCCCCATCACCATCAGCACCCGAGTGCAGCTGACTCGACTTCCTACTATTGTGGAAGAAACGTGATTTCCGGATTCCCCGCGAGCCACTTGTCTCGCCATAGCTCGATTTTCCGTTCCGGGATGTACCGAGGAGATGGGGGAGATATTTGCTAGAAATTGCTTTCATCGAGGGTCCGCAGGCTGTGATCACGGCCACGTTAACCTCGACAGCGGAGCTGCAGAAGCCTATAGAGAAAGTTGGGTCTTCGACTGGTCCGGTTGGGAAGAAGGCTTTTGCGAGGATTATTATGCGCCAGACGCCGATTGCCGTTGCACTGTTGGATGGGTTAGCGGTGTTTTGATGTTTGTGGGGTATGTGGAGTACGTACACTCCGCCGAGGCATAGAATGAAGCATACGGCGATCTTTCGCCGGAGGGGCATTTGGAGATGCCAGGTGATTATGATCGGGATTGAGATCACCATTAGGTCCGTGAAGAGGTTGAGTGCTGCGGTTGATACGTAGAAAGCGCCTTGGTCGATGCATTTTCCGCCTTTGATTGTCATGTCCCAGTTGTAAGCTATCGGGTGGCATTGAAAGATGTCGACAAGGAGAACGGCGATGAAGAGCGCTGTGATTACAGCCAAGGATGCCCAGATGAGGATGTTGACGACACGGGAGCGTGATTCGAGTCGGCGGAGGAACATCAGGATTGAGACCTTAATAAGCGTCAAGCATGGGTTGTACAGGATTTGATTCGCATAGTTCCACTATTGAGAAATCAATCAGCTCAAGTTTGGAGTTGTCCAAAGGGGCTGTTTTACTCACAATTAAACCTTGCTTGACATCATAGTCCTTGGGGATATCCCACACGTGGATTCCAACATAATTAGTCTTGATATAGTACCACGAGGTAACTGACTGCGATATGGCCAGAATCTAATCAAGTGTATTAGTATCAAATGGAAGACAAAGACGAAGATACCAAACAACATACATATCCTGCAACAATGAGGTAATCGTCTGTAAAGCGAAAGACGTTAATGAAAATCTCAGTAGATCATGTCGATCAACGGGCCGCAGAGTCAAGACACACCACTTGTCAGGGCAGATCTCGATAAAGACCGAGCCCAAAGCCGTAAAAGAACAGCAATACCGCCCAGGATCGGGAATGCGACCACGATCCCCAGCGCAGTCTTCTGATGATGATCGTCAACCATTGTCATGCATGGTAAAAGTAGAAAGGGTCTAGGCCGAAGAGAAGAACTCTTATAAAACCCAGCACCGGAGTCCGTCACAATGTTTTAAGGTAAATCACCAGGAACAGGCAGATCAGCCCCAGTACAAGGCTACAAATTTGCGGGTTCCTGGATGGGATCGAACTTCTGGCCCAATAGGCTTTAAGACCAGGGTCTCTTCCAAAGAATTTTCCACGGCTTGAGATGGTTTGGTGACCAATTATGAATTTTGGGCAAGGATCTTCTTCCCCACCGAATGAGATATTGGATGGGAAAAGGATTCGGCTTCTTTGTTCTATCTGATCAATCAGAATGTGATATTTTGAGGCCGACTCTACGAACATGCCCACCAAATTGCGCCCGCGTGGGCAAGTCAATATTTCTCTTTTGCTACCGTTGAGTCAAATGCTCCCAGGAATGTGAGCCCCTTCTTCGGGGTTCAACTCCGTAACGAATTTCGGATATAGTGGAAGCCATAGCCGTGCGTTACATTCGAGACATTGCCCAGCTTCTCCATCCCTTGGTAGACAAGACCCACACTTTGGATTAACTTTGTTCCTTCATGAACCTTGGGGGACATAATTTCCACCAAATAGATGCGAATACCGGGTCCTTTAAACTTCCAAAGGGTTTACTGGCTCCACGCATGCATTTGAATCGGATAGGAATCTCGGATGCTGGCCGCGATTGCGTCCTGAAGGTTTGGTTCCGTTAGGCTTTAGCCACAGCCGCACCACAACCGCTTTTGCGGGGGATTTCCAAAGACCCTTGGATCGAGTTGGAGATTTGAAGGACTACCAAATTTTACCCTTATGATGCAATTTTTTCTTCCTCCCCTTCTTTGTTTGAGTGGAGGTCATCCACTTGAAATCGGAGTGGGTCGGGGATCAGTGGAGTTTCGAGATGGACTGTGATCTGGTGGGACCGGAAGTATATTTTTCAGCATGCTTTGCTAGAGAGTTTATGATCCCAGTAGAAGTGGAAGTTTAGGAGAAAAGACGCGCGTTTGAATCTTATTGTTCCTTCGGCTTTCATGCTACAGGGGTCAACAAGCAGGTACCGGTGAATTCGAAAACACAATCACAGGATCTAGCGTGGGGGCCGGATCAACCGGGAAATGATTGGAGGCGTGATCCCGAACCCCAGGAACGATGGTTGCACATAAAGTGGAACTAAACGGTAAAGAGTATAGCAGCACAACTAGTGCATCCTAGGGACCGAAATGCGATATATTCCTGGTCGGTAGAACACGGGATTTCATCTGTCGAGAAGAAATCGCAACAGTGGACCATTGAGAGGACTCAAGGGGGCCATTCGGCCATTGCATGAAGTGACTTGTGGGTCGACCGCATCACAGTGGCAAGCCCTATCCTCTCGGGTAAGACTGGAGATTGACTTGCCAACCTCGTGGTCGTGAGCTTGGCTTCCTCGATTTCTTAAAAGGCCCCTGGTCTCGTTTTCAGGTAATCTTCTCGCCGATCGTGCCATCTCGATCCCGTCACACCTGTACACTTTCCGTGATGGCACCCTGTTCGTTGTTTGCCGGCTTGCTCGGAGCTCTGCTCTTGGCTACCCCTGGGGATGCGTCTGCTGGGACAAAAGTTTCCAGTGCTTCTGACGCTGGTGTACCACTGTTCAAGAGCGAGACGGTGCAGTTAACAGAGAAGTCACTCAGTCCTAATCAGACTGCTCTGTTTGGATTTGGTAAAAATGCTTCGCGCCCTTCTACTCCTCACAAAGGACAGTGCAGGCTGTTACCGGGAGATAAATCCTGGCCTTCAAACTCTGTGTGGGGGCAATTCGATGACCTTTTGGGTGGTGCCCTCATCAAGACTGTACCCCTGGCAGCGGCATGCTATCCCTCGTGGCCGGAGTATGACGTGGATAAGTGCAAAAATGTCACCGCTGACTGGACGGTCTCATACATGCAGTATGTATTATGTTGCTATCAATAATTGCACTTGGCTAACGTCTAACAGTGCGGCTGATCCCGCCTCTATCATGTGGCCTTTGTTCGAGGGTAGATCCTGCTTGCCTACTGGGAGTAATATCTCATCCTCCTGCACGATTGGCGGATACAGCAGCTATGCTGTGAATGTGAGCAATGTGGCCCAGGTGCAACTTGCGGTGAACTTTGCTCGCAACGCAAATCTGAGACTTGTCGTCAAGAACACTGGCCACGACTTCAACGGCAAGTCGACTGGTGCTGGTGGTCTTGGAGTCTGGACACATAACCTGAAAGACCTTGAGTACATTAAGAACTACAATGGCTCAAGCTATCAAGGTCCTGCCGTCAAGATGGGCGCCGGTGTCCAGGCCTTTGAGGTCTATGAAATGGGTGAAAAGCTTGGCTTCACTGCGGTCGGTGGAGAGGGCAAGGTATGTTGGCAAAGCCTTGATAATGAACTTATTCTAATATTTTCAGACTGTTGGAGTTGCTGGTGGATATGTCCTTGGTGGCGGTCACTCTCCCATGTCCAGTATGTACGGCCTGGCCGCTGATCAGGTCTTGGCCCTCGAGGTTGTCCTAGCGAACGGAAGATTCGTTACGGTGACCGAGGAGACCGACCCTGACCTATTTTGGGCCATCCGTGGTGGCGGTGGTGGTAGGTGGTCTTCTGACATACTCTTTGGAATATGCAACTAATGTTATCCAGGAACCTATGGCGTTGTCACTTCGGTTATCTCGCGCGTGCACCCAAAGGTCGGCGTCACAGTCTCAACCTTCAGCTTCGCCACCAGCTCCACTGTCTCAGTAGACAAATTCTGGGCCGGAGTCCGCGCATACTTCCAAAAATTCCCCGCCCACGCCGATGCCGGCACCTACGCCTACTTCTGGGTCATGAACACAGGCACAAACTCCTTTGAGTTCCTAATGAACCCTTTCTTCGCCGTGAACCACACCCTGGACGAGTTCAACGCCTTAGTCAAGCCATGGTTCGACGACCTGAAGGCCCTCGGTATCCCCTTCACTCCAAACTCCACCTACTACGACTCCTTCTACCCCGGTTGGGATGCTGGGTTCCCTCTCGAAACGATCGGAAGCGTGTCCATGATGACAGGAAGCCGTCTATTCCCCCGCGAGAACTGGCAAAGTTCCACCAAGTTCAACGCTACTATGGCCGCGATTCGATCTACCGTTAGCGCTGGATACCCGCTGCTCGCGTTTAATATGAAAGCTGAGCTTCCCGCGGGCTACCCCGATGATTCTTCGAATCCGGCTTTCCGTCACACTCTCATGCATGCTATTACCTCTACCAGCTGGGATGCCAATGCCACCAACGCGCAGATCAATGCTACCATGAACAAGCTTACCTACAATGCTTTGGGGAAGTGGCGGGCTACTTGTCCTGAGTCTGGTGCCTATATGTCCGAGTCGGATATTTTGGAGCCCAATTTCCAGCAGGCATTCTATGGTACCAACTATGAGCGTTTGTACAAGTTGAAGCAGCGGTATGATCCGACTTTCTTGTTCTATGCTCCTACTGGTGTGGGTAGTGAGCACTGGGAGGTAAAGAGTTTGGACGGTCTTCCCGATCAGAATGGACGTCTTTGCCGTGTTTGAGGTTGCCGAAGCATTGAAATGCGTGTTGATCATTTCGTTCTGGATATATGTCAGCGTAACTGTTTATAGACATCTATACTACTGAATCTCATCATTCCTTATCACTAAATATCTCAGCTTCTAGATAAGATTAATCCTTGTCCAGATTACGATTACCAGCTATAAGCCAAACGCCAACATTGAGTGCTGACGCGGTGCCTGCGTTTACTGCAGAAAAGACCGGAAACATGACCAATCGCGAGAACCATTGCATCTTATTAATTTCCTTACCTCCGCATTATCGTGTGTTCATAAATGAATGAACCTCTATATCAAACGGTCTCATCAGAAAATCCCCGAAGAATCACCTAAACCCTCGCTTACCACCCGGATAATTAATTCCAACCTGGTTGGCCGATACCCGAGCTATCGACGCAATTCTATGCAACCACCTGTCGATCACCACTTCCCCCTCTCCAAAGGTCACACCGGAAGGTCTCCTTCACGGAATGTGACTCTATATAATGGATTGCCATGTTACATGGATGAGCTTCTCCGCATTTTAATTTGCCGAAGATGTTGCCTTTGTTCCAAGATAAATACTCTGGTTGAGGGAGCTCAATTGCGTGCGGGGAATCTGTTATCTGCGACCGAGACACTATGAAACTGGCTCGGCTTTTGTGCACACTTAGTGCTTTGACGGGTGGAGGTATGTTTTATTGTTCTTATCTTAGAACTCCGAATTGAGTTGAGTTGAATTGAATTGACTGGTCTTTAGCTCTGGCTCGCCTCGTTACTGTGCCTACTGTGCCGTTTACAGAGACAGGCGGTAGCTATAAGCTCTCGGAGATCACCAAGATTGTTGTTGATTCTCGGTATAGCGAGTCCGTTGATCACAATGGTCAGACTTTGATACCACCGACTCTGCAGGAGTTCGCTGAGACATTTCAGGGGGACCTTAAAGAGGTTCTGGGATTGAATGTCCAGCTCACCAAGGGCACGGAACGGACAAAAAACACTATCTTCGTGACCATTGGGAATGATACGGGTTTCATGAATGCTGCTGGTATATTTACCTCAGAGGCATATGAATTAAAAGTTGATGATAGTGGGGTCGTCGTCACTGGAGCCAGTCCCTTGGGCGCGTGGTGGGCCACCCGGTCGATCATCCAAATTGCTTCTACTGGGAACTCTGCCCTTCCTAAAGGTTCCGGCGTGGATGCTCCGGGATGGGGAACTCGAGGAGTCATGGTAAGTGTTTTTCTCATACCATTGTGTCACTGCTAATGCTAGTTCCTAGCTCGACGCTGGCCGACACTTCTACCCCGCGGATTTTCTGATTGAGATGTGCTCGTACCTGTCCTTCTTCAAGCAAAACACGTTCCACGTTCACCTCAGTGACAACCTCTACAACAATGTTGACCTATACTCCCGAGAAAGGAGTCTGGATCTCTATGCTGCCTTCCGACTGTGGTCTGACGATGAGTCCGTTGCGGGATTGAACCGCCGGGCTAACGAGTCATATACCCGTGCGCAATTCGATAATATTCAGACGCAATGCGCAAAGCGCGGAGTCACAATCATCCCCGAGATCGAGGCTCCCGGCCACGCACTTGTGATCGTACAGTGGAAGCCAGAGCTGGGTCTAGATGATCTGAGCATGCTCAACATCAGCCACCCGGATACCATCCCTACCATGAAGACCATTTGGAAGACCTTCTTGCCATGGTTCCACAGCAAGATTGTTCACATTGGCGCGGACGAGTACGATAGCAGTCTGATCAGTGATTATACGAGCTTTGTGAACCAAATGAACACGTTCATTCAAGAAGAGACATCTGGAACCAAGTCTATGCGCATCTGGGGCACTTTCACTCCGAAGGAGGGTGCCAATGTCTCCAAGTCTGTCTCGTACCAGCACTGGGATGTCAGTGCGGACCAACCGTACTATGATTATATCGAGAATGGATATAATGTCCTCAACTCCGATGACTACATGTACCTTGTGGGTGGTTGGAGTGGCTCATTCGCGCAGAAGCTTAGTCTGGACAAAATATTCAACGGTCCATACGACGCGCCTTATTCACCGGTGGTGTTCGACAGCTCCAATCAGACCGATAATCCTTCCCGCAATAATCCTCGTGTTCTGGGCGAGGTCGCAGCATTGTGGAATGACTATGGGCCAAACTCGACCACCGTCTTGCAGGCGTACTTTTCCTGGCGCGATGCTCTTCCCGCTCTCGCCGATAAACAGTGGGGTGGCGACATCACACAAGGCGAGTACAATACCGTCTTTGATTCTCTCCACGCTGCCGTGCCGGATCAGAACCTCGATCGTGCGATCCGCAGCACCTCCGATACCATCCTCCATTATACATTTGACGAATCCAACTCAAAATCACTCACCGACCAGTCTGGCAATAGATACCACGGCACAGTCCACGGTTGCAAGATAGCCGATAAAACTCTGCACCTAGCCGATGGGTGCTATATCGAAACACCTCTAGGCAGCAAGGGACGCGACTACACACTCTCGTTCCGAATCAAACCCACCTCCCAAACACCGGGTACACTGTTCGCTGGACCCGACTCCACATTCGTCAATGGCAATGGCACCATAACGAACGCAACTCTCATCAGCGGTGGAAATCCCTACTCATTGAACTATACTCTTCCTCTCAACGCGTGGACAGAAGTTAGCTTAATTGGAAAGGGCAACTCTACCCTCCTTTCCGTCTCAGGCAAGGGTACCAAATCCACAACAATGGAGTTCTTGACTAAAATCGGCGTCAATGGGGAATCATTTGTGTGGGCGCCTATAGCAGTGGAGGCACCGCTGACGCGTATAGGCGAAGGGTTTACAGGGTTGATGCAGAATATTGTGTTGAAAGGTAGTGCGCCGACTTAAGCATGGAATTCTGCTGCCTTAATAATGACGCGGCAGTCATGTTTATGTCAAGGAATCACCTTCTATATGTCTATAGCCAAGCTCTATCATAGCCGATGAAATAAAATAAATCAATGCTTATTTATACCTTATCGAGTTACATGCCAAGAATTGTCTTCATGCACTACATGTGGTTTATACCCTCGTGGCCACGGGTGCACCACCTCCGCATTCCGTGCCAACATAGGAGTCCAGCCCGGGAACCAACAAGGACGCAAATAACCCTGAAACCCTGACGATCACATAAAAAGCTACGGATAAATTGGAGACGCTGAGGAAAAACCAAATCCAAAACTCTTTACCGCAGCAACTTCGCAAAGGAAGTTGATCCGACCCTGCCAAGCCTTCCGGTTCCGTCCTATCGACGCTCCCGGTCGCGATCCACCAATCAAAGGCCCACCTGGTCCACATGCCACGGCTGGTGGTCTCGAGTAGCTGCGAAATGGACCGAGCTTTGAGGGCCTGTCACTTTATAACCTTGCTTTCGGCCCTTCCACGATCGCCTCATGCCATTCTTCACGAATTACTGACCTTTGGGGGAATTGCACCCCCAACGCCACTACCATGAAGTTGTCCGCTGTATACGTGGTGTTGGGTGCTTCTGCTTCGCTCGGACTGGCGTTGCCTATTCAAAAAAGCATTGCGGCTGCGGTGGACACGGCTATTTCTGAGACGCGGGGTTTCTTTCACTCGCCGCAGACCGTTGTCGCGGTAGATCATAGGGATTCGATTCCCTCGAAGCCACCGACCTTCAAACAATATACTGATCGCCTTCGGCAAGAGGAGCTGGGCTTCATTCGATCCCATGAGAAGGAATTCAATCTGCCCAGCGGTCTTAAGCCTACACCGTCACAGTCTGGACCATTTTCCACATATGATCACCCGAAGAGTGCATCGCCGTACGGCATCTTCTTGGGGAATCGGCGTCCTTCCAAACATGATCAACCACATCAATGCAATCACACACAATCAGCACATACGGTGACTTATCTCAAGCCCCTCGATCTACTGGATATCATGGAAAACTATGGTCCGGTCTGCGTGGCGTTGGTGATCTTTGTTCTCGTGCCAATCGCATACTTCGTTCTTGAGTTGTTGGAGATCACGCTTCAATACTTTGTTCGAGAACGATTTCCGCAGCGGGGTCAAGATCGGTTGCAATTGTTAGGTCCGGAGAGGCAGCTTCGTGCTGTTAATGCTTTGCAGCGGGAGAAGATGGTTGAGAAGGAGAAACGCTGGTGGCAGGCTCGGCGGGCGAGATATTGATGGTTGATGTTTTTGTACTTGGTTTGGTTTGTTTGTTTTATGATCTTTTCCACATGATACCCATCTCTAATGTTTCTATTCGTTCCAAAATCTTCAAGTTTTCATTGTGTTTGCTCTTTTCATGCTAGTCAGGAACTCGTGTCTATCCAGGATTCCAGGTGAACTGGCCATGCCTTTGTTTGCTGCATTCTACCCGAAACCTCATATAGTAGAAAGGCAAGATACCTGGTGGTTACAGGTGAAAATACTTAGCCATTCCATATTCATTAAGATCCTCTATCTTCCTGTTCCGCCAACTACTCCAACTTTCATGGAAGGATATTGGGAATTAAGCTCTCATGTTCCATGACTTGTGAAAAGTTTCATTCGATTAACTAGGTCCTCAAGCTACAACCTTACATATGCATATGGGAGCCCTACTTTTTACCGCAAATTGGCAATGACATTCCTCTGGAGTAAGACAATCTTCATTTCCGACGGGATATTCTGAAAATGACTCCTTCGGTAATTTCATTCCTCATCCCCCTTCCCTAATCATCCTTTCTTCTTCATCCTTTCTTCTTCATCCTTTCTTCTTCATCCTGCTGTCCATTTTGACCTGGATGTTCGCTCTTTGTTTCTGTTCTGTGATCCCCTCCTCTTCGTTCCTCTTAAACCTTCAAGGCGCTATTGCAGGGACTTGAACGGTTCGGAAGGATAAAAGTGATGAGGAAAACAATAGCAGACTTTTGAATTGGTTCAATTCAGAAGAATGATGGAATTTGCAACTCTAGGGTTCAGTTCACTTGTATTGTAGAACAGTGGTAAGGTAGAACTAAAATCAAATGACTGGGCCTGTGACTTGTCCAAGCTAAAGGGTTTTACACAAGAGAGAATAAGATAGAATTAAGTAACCAATTAAGAAATTATTTTGAAGAACCAGAATGGACACCCTCAACAGGACTCCGAACAACCACCTCACACAACCTCAACGCCAAACATCATAGCCACAAAGTAATAGACTTAGTTCTGCTCAGCATCATCCTGGTTGTCGGTAGACTGCGTAGCAGCCTCGATACCATGCTGCATAGCATTAACATGCTCAAACTTGTAGGTATCTTCACCCAAACTCCAAGCCATGACACCACCAAGGTTCTTAGCGTTAACAATATCACTGAACTTGCGGGCAATGAGGTCGGGAGTATCCCAAGTCCAGAAAAGGTTGACCTCGCTATCCCAGTAGTACTGGCCACCGAGCTTGTCATCGGTCTTTCCGTCCTTCTGGGCGCGGCGCCAGGAGTCCGTGATGGAGATGCCCTTGCAAGTACCGTAGTCCGAGAGGCAGCCAGCTTGGCAGAAAGTATCGTCGGTACCACTAGGAAGATGTCAGCGATCTGGTATATTGAGGATTGATAGAGGCCCGAGCTGAGCTTGGAGTTCTTACCAGTTTCCGTAAGCGCTGCAGCAGGATCCCTCAGGGCACTTAGTCCTCTCATCGAATCCACACTTGCCGTTAGTGGAGGTGGTAAGATTCTTGGGAGCGGGGGAATCATTGCTAGCCTCGAAGGTGACGGCGCCAGACTTTCCATTGTCAGTTCCGTCGTCATTCTCGAGCTTGACAACGGCACATCCGAGCGGGTTGGTATCACAGTCCGAGTCGGGATCGGTAGTAAACCACTTAGCGTAGTAAGCAAAACCAAGGTTGATCTTCTCTGCATCAAGCCCCATGTCCATGTACTCGTTGATGACGTCCAGGGAACCTTGAACACTGGTCTGGTGGGAAGTGACATTGTCACGACGGTTCATGAGATCGTAGCTCATGACGTTGACCATATCGACGGACTTCCAGATCTTAGGCCCGGTCTCCTTGGTGAAAGCGATCATGTCTTGCTTGCGTCCTGGGACGGCGATGGAAAGGGTCTTGTTGCCAATTGCTTTGCGGACTTCAGCAAGGAACTCGTGGTAGGTCTCGATTTCGGAGACTTTGTCCTCGTTGGGGACTTGTTTGTAGGTTTGACCGTTGCCACCGGGGTATTCCCAGTCGATGTCTGTTTATGTGAGTATATCTCTGGGTGTTCAATTATCCAGGAGTATTGCTTACCAACACCGTCGAATCCATTGGCATCTAGCATCGCTGCAACATTCTTTGCATAGCGCTCACGCGTGGTGGCATCCTTTGCTCCATCTGAGAAACCAGCCTCATCACCCCATCCGCCAATAGCAATCATCAGCTTGGTGTCATCGCTGAATCGCTCGCGGAAGCTATCCGGGGACTCGAAGGGGGTGAATGATGGAGGGGAGTCGGAGTTGAACATCTTCGATGGGGCAAAGCCCATGATAGCATGGTCAATATATGCTGTTTCGTTTTTACCCGGGAGATTTGCGACATGATATCTGAATGGATTGTTAGATAAGGTTGCGAGTATGTTTCCAGTTACAACCTACTCGTCAATGTACATAGCAAACCGCATAGCGGCAGCACCATGAGCGGCCAAGAGGCCGAGAGCGAGAGTCTTCATCATAGCTGATCACACGACCGTCGTAGAAAGTAAATAAGAGGAAGAAATATGAAATAAAAGAATGAAAGACCCTACAAGACAAACCCAGTTGTCAATGCAAGACGGCCACTCCAAATATATGAGAGAGCACAGAAGGATGAAAAATAAAGAAGCAGCAGCAATCGACCGCGGAGATAAAGCACTTCAAACAGAATTGATCAAAACACGCGCACGTCGATCATGCCAGATGGGGAGCTCCGTAGCTCATGACTGAGTACAGAGCATGTAGATGGGTCCAAGTGTGGAGCATGTATACCATCCCTGCAACAGAGTGGGGGCCATCTCTTGATACTTTGCTCGATGAAGAACGCCACTGCCGGAGGGAAAGAATTGGAATGTCGGGCTAATTGCTTCGCAAATCATTGGCAGTTGGAAGTTTTTAGTCTTTTACTCTCCGCCTTATGAGGTCGATTCGATCTCAGAAAGCGTAAAATAATGGTGAGATTGAACTGCGGTAATGGTTACCGGCGCTTGGATACTGTTTGCCCGCATACCAACCCTGTTGCACATTCATATCCCTCCCGCACACATTCCTTTGACATCATGGAATATTAGTTTTTTGGAACTGATCGAACAGCCCAGTGGTCTGGTGAGCGGTATATTAATGGCCCGATCTATTTTCGTATCGCTAAGGTTCTGCCATGGAATGGTTGTGTGGCAGATGGGGGATATTGACCCGAGGTGCAATTATTGAAGCCAGAGACAATACTTTGTCTAACGCAGTAATCTAGGGGTATAGGGAGGAAATCCAAAACGCCGCATCTATGTGACAATAATGGGTAATGAAAAAGAAAAGTAAAAGCTGGAAAGTTTTCAATTCCAGTGTCTTCGAATGATTGGCCGTGCTGGGTCCCATGGACCAATGACCACATTTTTGTACTTCTGAAGACCGATGAGCCACCAACTACAGCCACCCATGACAAGTGCTGTGAGGATGCCACCGAGGACGGACCCAATGATGGCTGATGCCCATCCACCGCTCAGGGTCATGCCGACAGCGCCTCCAGCAATGATGACCAGGGCGAGCGTCAGCATCGCGTGACCAGTCCAGGACTTCTGTCTGAGTTGGCGACGAAAGATAGGAAACAGCCCGAATACTTCCATGGAAAAAAGCATCAGACTGAACACATGCGTGGTGGACGGCAGGCGAGAGGCAAGCACAGTAGATGCCATCACAGCTGCGTTGGTGGACAAGGAAGCAGGAAACTTGGTTGTGGCGCCTGCGCCCTCGCCGCTTCCATAGTCGAAAGAGAAAATATTCATGATTAAAAGCCAGCAGCTCATGGCCCATATGGAGTCACTTGCGGTTGATTTGGTAAGGGATTTCAAAATGGGACTCAGTCCCAGCAGCGAAAAATAAATTAGAAAGGCGGATTTGACCGTAGAAAGGCGTTGTTGGTTGCGCGAGGAGAATAATGAAGGTCGGTCCATATCCGGGTCATCTGCATTGCGCATGGCAGATGTAGATCCAGAATCACGCCGTGATGCAGATGCTGCATCCGAGCTGCCATTGGTATCATTATTTCGATTTGGCGAGTTCTCCTTTGACTCATTCCCAGACATTGTCAACCCAAGCCCATGGATGGCGCTGGTCTTCGGGTCACTGGGATGCGAATCATGGGCAGCTGGGTTGACAGCACTTATTCCAGAACTTGAGCTAGATTCATCATCCCCAAGGTTTGCATTGGCCACTTGAGAAAGCTCCGTCTGCTCCGTCCAAATCCAATTATCCCAGAGAATCCAACCCATGGCCGTCCCGACGCTACCCCAGCAAACAATTGAAACGGGGCTCACGCGGTCCTGAACAATTCCAACGAAGCAGCAAACGAAGATGACAACCGAGCAAACATGCTGAACAATGACTGTCGAGTCGGAAACTAGCGGCCAGAAATCATAAGGCCGTACTCGGGGATTGCGTTGAAGATGATCTAAGAACGTCTCCGTATCGGTGTAGTTGTCCGGATCTACCAACAATCCCGTCAGTATATCACACACACAGAATCAATATAGCCGTGCGCCATCTCGGGACAATGTACAAGACTGTTTCACCCAAAGCAACTTCTTCCAAGCTCCTTTTCTCCTCCGCCGTCCACCCGTACTACCCAATTTCCGCGGATCCTTCCGCCCAGAATCCAACACCCCACGCGGGGGTCGCAATGTGCCATCACTACTTATAGGGAGAGTCTCATTGTAGCTCCCGGGCGCAGAGCGAGCTTTGGAGTGTGATGGTGCAAAGTATGCATCTTCTGGTGCCAGACGACTGGGATCAGGGATTCGGTCCTGCTCGAAAGGGTTGCCGCGGTTCGGGTGGGTGTCGACGGGGATGGGAGGAGGGATCGAGAGCGATGAGGGTGGAGGAGTCATCGAGGTGGTATGACTAGGATCGGGGCATGGTGCAGAACGAGCGACTTGAGGGTTTAAGCTGATGACCTTGGAGAACGCGCAATCCCACGTGTTGCTCGAGAGTCACGTGTGAAGCGGCCGGATCCCCGATTTCCTTCCTCATCTCCGTGTTTAAACTTACTGATCAACTTGCTATGGAAAGTTCACACTGGTCAGGGTGGGAATATTCTGAGGGAATAGATGAAATTTTTTTTTCAATTCACATTTTTAACTGGACTAGAAAAAGGCAAAAAGATTCAGTAAGGTCATACACTTCATCGCTTGGTCTCATCACTGTGAGGCCAGCTTCAAAGGGACAGCAGGCTTCATCTCAACAACACAGACTTCATCTTTGTATAGAGAAAGTCTCTTGATATCATCACAAAGAATATCAAACTCATCTGCACATCCTTCTCCAATGTATCGAAGCTCCTCCTGTCCAGGAACTTTGCATAAAAGTGCCAACTTGCGCGATATCTCCACATCCTGGTAAAACTCGCGGGCTTTCTTGAAGATATCGGTGCTATCAATCCGGTCGTTGAAAGAGAAAATGCGAACATTGGGTGAAGTATCAGAAAGTAGTTTGAAACGGATTGACGTAATTGGAGAGAGATTTTGGCGGACACGAGAAGGGGCAACAACGCCCTCTTCAACCCACACATGCTGAACACTTTGCTTCTCAGAGTACTGTGTAAGCATATTGTCGGGGTCTGAATGGTGAAAGGTTGCAGGATGGCGAGGGGTGGTTCTTGCTGGGGTAATTGGACTTGAGCCTTTCTCAATCTTCATCGACCTCGGCCTCTTGTCAAACCATCCGGAATTAAAAGGAATTTCCGTTCCTTCTGGTGCCCAAACCCAAATGGCACAGTTGTCATTCTCATATCCTTTTGTCAGACCAAGCCAGGCAACGACATAATGGCCCTGAAAGCCAGTGCCTCTCATGTTTGTGGGACGGCAATGCGTAGCGCAATCCACAAAGACTTCTGGCGCATTGTCTGAATGTAGGATCATAAGGTTGTAAGTGCGGTATTTTGGGCGGGTGACTGTGATTTTGAAGATGGAAACCTCGTGTTCGTCAGCTTCTTGGTCGAAGACTCTGAAATTCTCCCATTTCTGAGTTCCCTCGGTTCGCCCTTTCCAATGACAAGGAGGCGCTTCAAGGGGATTCTCCTCATGCCATTCGTCAAGTACCTGGAGAAGATGGGCTGGGAAACAGTTGGCAGGTCCTCGGTACTTGTTAATCTTCCAACGGCCAGCCGAACGTATTGGGGAGAATGTCAAACTCGGCGGAGATTGAGAAGCCATGCTGGGCTGCTCTCTAATCTCAAAGAGTCCAGTACTCTCGGAGGGTTCGTAACTGACTCGAGGGGCATGTGGGTCCAGAAAGTGTTGCGGTGTAGTCACAAGTTGAGTAGAAGGAGGGCTCACACCATCGTGCTTGATAGCATCATCGATCTCGGTGAGGGCATCAGAGTCATGCGTCAAGGCTCGAGCGGAATGTTTTTGCTTCAACTCATCTTGCGCCAACATGGGTATATCATGAAACACATCCCTCATTGTCACGTCGGCTGTTCGCTTGGGTTTCAGAGCTGGCAAGGGGAGGGAACATGCTGTCTCGGCGGCCAAAGCCTCTTCGTCGAGTTCCGATAAAGGAGAACCGCTGTCCGATGAAAATTTCGTGGCCGACTGGCTCTCGGTATCGCTCTGGCGTCGATTCACTGGATAAATGATAGGACGAAGTTTTGCACGGCCATCATCTTTAGTTTCAAGAGCTAGCCAAAGATCTGGCAGGTGATGTTGTGAGTCTGCCATCCTGCCCAAAACCGAAGTAGCCCGCTTGACCAGACTGTGATGTGTAAAGTGAAGAATCCGTAGGTGGTTTTGAAAAAGGGCGTTGCAGTAGGCAAAGATTGACGGGGAACGAAAGAGTGCAAAGGGTGGTGGTTTGTGAGTGAGGAAGGATACGTGAACAAAATGCCGAAAAGGCAGATATTCAAGTGTTACAGTTAATGGGAAAGGAGAATGACCCCGGACTTGTAGCAAAGTTGGTAGATTTTCCTAAATTGTAATTGTTACAATGCTGAAAGTGCATGTCGTCATTCTACCTGGCAGACAATTCTTCTAATATGTCTATTGAGGAAGATGCGGGTATATGGGCGTCTTAGCCATGGAGAAGTGGCGAGCACCAAGTGCACAGAGAACTGCAGTATCCAGGCTCTCGCTCGCACTCTCCAAGCAAATCTTGGAGGGTGAAAGATTGACGAATCGGACGTTCAAGGGGTATCTTGATTCTTCAAATGTAAACGAGATAAAGAGAGCTTCAGCCTATGAGCAGGCGTCATTTTGTTGATTCAACACGGCATTGACGACGGTCTTGACCGCCTGCGGTGCTCCCACATCGTCAATGCTGTTCCGGCGACCCCAGTTTTGCGGTTGTCGGCGGATGAAGGCGCCAACAGCGCCCAGGTAGCCCTCGTGCCGCAGGAAATATGCCTGTTTTTCACCCTTGGACCAGAATTTAATGGCGTAGGACAGTGTGTTCATCGTTTGGCGGTGACCGCGGATAAAAGAGCCTCCAAAGTAAATATGCTTGACTCCATGCTTTTCCGATTGCAAATAAGCAATTTGGCCAATGTTGTTACTAGAACACGTTAGCTTTGAATTGAAGGTAGAAAAGTTGAAGTAAATACCTGATAGCATAAAGAAGGCTCCGGCTCATGTCTTCATGGCGGAAATTGACCCCGCCGTTGGTGTGTTCTTCGTCGTCACGGATCAAGCCCTCGCCGTCTTCGGCTCCCCGCTCGGCGGCATTCTTCAAGCGGAAGACCTTGCCGAAGGTGCTGGCGATTGCCGTACTCTTCAGTCCGATCTTGCTGTAATCCATGCCATAGATATCTCCGACCAGCATGTCCACTCCGCTGTTATCCCCGACATCCGCCATGGCCAGCATGTCGTCGAAGGTCCGAGCGCCCGTAAGCAAAGACATAATCCCCCAAAACGTACCACCACCCAAGTGTGTTCCCCCTACACGTTCAAATTGCCTTGGGCCAGACACCTTGATCATGGAAACGCCGGATCCGATATTGACGAGGAGGTAGGGGTATACATCCGGTCGGGCCTCGGCATACTGCATCGGCTCCGTGTCCGAGTCATTATAGGTGAAGACTTCGTTCGGGATCTCGGTGATGAAGAAATCCAGACCTAATAAGCCGTCAGATGTGAACCGAGGACTTCGGCTATCCTGGAAGACCTACCAATGATTAAACATTCCATCTCCTCTTCCCGCAGAATGTTCACGTCCAGCGCCGCTTTCAACTTGTCATAGAACTTGAAGGCGCCCCCTCCAGTAGCCACAACGCATAGCTCATCCCGGACCGAAGTATTGCGCTTTTCGTGCTCCTCCTTTAATTGTCGGATAAAATTGATGCAAATGTCGATCCGGTGGGTCTCAAAGTTGATGAAATTCAAGCGCCCACCATTGTCGGCCGCGTCCAATTCTCGAGTAAAATAGACTAGCTTTGCCAGCGATCCACCGATCTGGATTTGTAAATTGTGGTCAGTCATGGTTCTGTGGCACTTCTGGTGCTGGTCGCATGCCCTCCCTCTTTTTTCGAAAATTGCGGGGCGTCGCGGTGCGGGGCACATAGCAGGGTCAACTCACATCGACAGCAACATGGCTGACCACGCCAGTATGATGAGGTAGTCGAATATCCTTGTTCTCATAGTGCACGCCATCGGTCTGTACGGGACTTCCGGCCCGAGGTTCATCATCGACAATGAACGCGCCTGTCACATTGATTTTGACCGTGCCAGGGTTAGTGATAGCCTCCTCTAGGCGACTCCGACGGCCATCTTCCATGGGGCGATCGGAAGGAGTCATGATGGTGAGTAGTAGAGAGCTCGGGGGAGCTAATCGTATTAATGTCAGGGAGAGGCGTGCCCACGCTTACGGCGTACATTTTCTACCCGGACCTCGGGACCCACATATGCCGAACGCAACCGCCGAGCTGTACGGAGTAGTAGATGGAAACATCTACCTTGGTTAACAGCCGTTCGTGATATACATGGGAACTCAAACTACCCATTGGGATATTTAGCAATGGCATGATATGGCATGATTCCGCTTGGTTAGACATTCATAGATTTACATCCCCTTGCAGCTATCCATAGATCTATCATCTATCTCCCGTTGCCGCTCCAAGAGCCTCGGTGCTAGATACCGTTGTTTAAATTCCCTCAAAGACAAGAACAATGTATAGGAGGCTACCTCTCTTTCAAATCTTCAATACTTGCCGATTCATCCCTCGTGTGAGAATGAAAGGCTTTTGGTTAACTTCATGTAGGCCAAGACCGTTCTATATAGACCGGCATCATGACATTGTGGCATTGTGGCATTGTGATATTATGTATCTCCTGCTAAATACGAAATAAAGACAAAACCCAAGATACCGTGTACCATAACGAGTACAAGAGAGGAAAGACCAAGAGGCAAACCGTTTCTGCCTTCGTGCACCGGTACCATGCCCTATTCGATCGTTGTGACAAACACGAGAACAAACGAATTTGTCACCGGTTTTTTCTTTTCTTTTGTCATCTCTCGTCTGCACTCTTCATCTTTCTCAACCTTCCCGTTCTCAGTGCCTTTCAATTCGCGATTGACTGGTTCTCAAAATTCTATCTTCCCCATACCGACTCGGCGGTCCAATCGTCGAGTCCCCTAAATCCCGCTTCAGTTATCTCAGGTTCTCCACCATTACCAAAAGTAACTGTTAGTATTCACCCGCTAATATGGACTACGTGAAGGCGTATGTTGAGAAACCTACAGAAGTTCAGAGGTTGATAGTCCTCGCAAGTATTCAGAGTTCTCGGCCATAGACGGTCAGGATTGGGCTACAGCTCACAAGTTCCAAACCATGGATGAATCCGACGCATATGTTGAGAACCCCGAGGAGGTCCAACCGCTCAAAATTCCTGCCGTTGACGATGCTACTCACCAGGAGGCTCGTGCTGCCGGGTGGTGTGAACCCACTCCTTACAACTATGAGCAGTTGGCGGCCAAGGACGGTCACGAGTGGGCTTCGACAGCCGCTCGCTATGAATGGAAGGGCGAGTATGATGAGTCTGCTATCGGGCCCCGTAATGAAGAGCTGGAGAAGATGCTTTTTGACAGCGACCTGATTGCTCGTGCCGGCACTCGCGTGGGCGAGTAAGTGTTTTCTGTTCGACTTGTTTTTTTCATGAAAGGCCTCATCTAATTTATATTTCTGATAGATTGACTGACAGCTTGGCTGTGGTCTGTGAAAGCGAGGAGCCCGTAACCGCAGTCAAAGAGGTATTTCGCTCCTGCATTTGCTCTTATTCGCACGGACTCTAACTTTACACAGTGGAACGATGCAGGACTGCACCCCATAATGCGAGAGAATGTGCGGCTATGTCTTTATGACAAGCCGACTGCCATCCAGGCTTTCGCTTTGCCTGCTATCCACCGTGGCAAGGATCTAATTGGTATTGCGCACACGGGTAAGTATCTACTTCTTCCTCATTCCATGTCTATTATCTGATTTCTTCAGGATCCGGTAAAACTGGAGCTTTCCTGATCCCCATTCTGTCAGATTTGATGGGAAAGGCCAAGAAGCTGGCCGCTGCAAGACCCAATCTTGCCGAGGAATTCATTCCTTCGGTTCACGGTGTTACCGCTGAGCCACTTGTTATGATTGTCTGCCCCACTCGGGAGCTGGCTACTCAGATCTTTGACGAGACACGTCGTCTGTGTTATCGATCTATGCTCCGCCCATGCGTTGCGTATGGAGGAGCGCCTGTCCATCTTCAACGGGAGGAGCTTATGAAGGGGTGCGACATCCTCATTGGAAGCCCCGGTCGTATTATCGACTTCATGGGTCAACCCCGTGTTTTGTCCCTCCGCCGTGTGAGGTATACTTTCGCTTTGTTCTTGCCTACACAACACAGACCACTGATGCTTGATTAGATACACCGTTATCGACGAGGCTGATGAGCTTCTTCACTTTGACTGGGAGGAGGACTTCAAGAAAATCATGTCCGGTGGAGGTATATTATCTTGAGATATACGTATTTGACCGAACCCTAATCCTAACTTGCATCTAGACATGAATGAAGACGAGGATCACCGCTACATGATGTTCTCGGCTACTTTCGATAAGGAATGTCGTCGGCTTGCGCGTACTTACCTCATGAAGGATTACATTCGTGTTCGCGTTGGCCGCCCCGGCAGCTCGCACCTGATGGTTACCCAACGGGTAAGTTCAGATGCTCACTTGACAATGATAAATGCTGACTTGATTGGATTCCAAAAGGTGCACAAGGTGGAAGATAATGAGAAAAAGAACGCACTCTACAACACCATTATCAACCACATGCCCACTCGTACTTTGGTTTTCGTCAACAGCAAGGCTCAAGTCGACTTTGTCGACGACTACCTCTACAACCGGGGTCTGCCGTGCACCTCTATCCACGGAGACCGTACTCAGCGTGAGCGCGAGGACGCCATGTAATTATCTTGTCTTCACCTCTCCCTGTGTTATGCTAATGAAGCATTTAGCCGCGCCTTCCGTAATGCACTGTGCCCCATTCTGGTTGCTACTGGTATCTCTGCCAGAGGCCTTGATATTGCTAACGTGATGCACGTTATCAATTACGACCTTCCCAAGGCGCAACATGGTGGTATCACTGAGTACATCCACCGCATTGGTATGACTCATTTACTTCCTTTTGTTGATATAGCTCACTGACAGGCTGTATAGGCCGTACTGCCCGTATCGGTAATGAGGGAATTGCAACTTCCTTCTACAACTATCGTGACGAGGACCTCGCTACTGACCTCGTCAAGATTCTTATGGAGACTACTCAGGATATTCCTGATTTCCTGGAAGAATTCCGTCCCGGCGAAGATACGGTCACCTTTGACGACGACACTGATAATGAGGACGGCGATGATGACAAGGATAGTGATGATGACAAGGCGGCATTTTCGGGGGACGACTCCAAGCCCGACTCTGCTAATGAAAACCGCCAATCTCACTGGGCCCCCCAAGAGGCCAAGAAGGAAGAAGAAATTGAGCCCGACTGGTAGTTGTCGGTTCACTCGATGCCGTTCCACCTCTTCATGTCTTATCCCGCTCGGCATCGACCTTCACGCACCATTCTCATACCACACGGTGCTTCATTCTTACAGTCGCTTTCTGGTACTCCTTTCTGTCCCACCCAAGGCTGCCTTAATATCATTTTTAAGCCAATTTGGGGGGTTTTTTCACATTCCGGTTTTTGTTTCGTTTCAGCGGTGCATGTTTTCTCGGACTTCTTCTTTTGCCCAGTGGCCAGGTGAGGAACTGTAGGTGAGACCTTTGGGGACTTGTTCACATGAACAAATTGTTGTTTTCTTCACCGGAAATCTCCACTCTCTTTCACCGGAAATTTTCGTGATCTTTATGGATCAACTCATCTTGTCGCCTTCCACCATCAGTCCAAGCACATCGCCCATGGGAAAACCGTCTTGAACTCGAAAGGCTTTGTTGAGTTCCAAAAATTGGAGTCCCGAACCTTAGCTGAGTTCAGATTATCCCAGTCATCTTTAGCCCGGTTAGCAGCATATGGTTATGTCTATGGAATTCGGTTGAGACTCGGCACTTGCTTGCCTGTGTTTCGGGGAAAAGTTCGGAGGAAGACTTTATTGATTTCCAATGCATCTATTCCCATTTCCGCAATACTCTAGGCAAGGCTATTTCACATCATTTACAATATGCGTTCTCTCTCCATGATTCATACTTTAGTCAATCTCGACCGTCGCGCCTTCCTTGAATGCGATAATGTAGCAATAGTCGATGCAAACTTTCCATTGTCAAATGTTGATAAAGCGACATTATTTTTCACCATACCAAGTGGCCACAATTGCAACATGTTGTTCCAGAGGCCCTTTCAACTTTCATGCGTCCTTATCCTCAGCTTACTTCAACAAGCAACAAGCCGTTTCCACGCATATGTCGACCCACCAAACTGGTTTGACACAGGTGGCAACAAGTTCCACATTCCGAAAAATCAAATCCCCATGCCGTCGCTGGTAATCGACACTTTCCAAAACGCCGTCCACAACGACCTGGGATTCTGGCACGGCGCCGGCGAGGATCTACCCGTATATCATGAGCCGGGTCTCGTACGCCTCGACCCCACGGACCCTGATCAGAACTTCCACACCCAGTTCAACGTTCACGGGTGCTTCAGCTTGATCCCATGGCAGCGCCAGTTCCTGCATGTGGTCTTTGAGGGAACGGAGGAGTTTACTGTCTCGCTGAACGAGCACAACGTCGAATGCGAGCCGTTCCGGAGCCCGTTTCCCGGTGTGCCAGATAGCGTGCAAGCTTCACGATATGTTATGAGGACGCAAATTCGGCCTGGATCTGGCAATGGTGATGCAAACAGTGGTACGAATGGTGGGACTCCGGGTCAGGGGATGACTCGGAACCACAAACTGTGGCGCAAAGCGCAACGAGCGGGCAATGGGAGCTATGTGGAAGACGGCGATCAAAACAATGGACATAACTATGGAAACGGTGACGAGATTCGTGCTGAAGATCAAGGTCCAGCCTCGCCAGAGAAGACGGAGCTCTACATTCCTCTTTCTCATTTCCATCTCAATCATAACCGTGTTGTGTCGGTTTCTTTCAGTGGCTTCTATACTAATGTGTCCCTGGTTTTGCGTCGAGTCGAGTTTGTGTCGAATGTTCCTCCACCTTCGGCTGAGAATAACGGCTTCCTCATACCTGAAAAGGTACCCAGTGGCACCTTGATCTTGCGTTGCTCTCGACCGAACTCGTTTGCGTTTGGGATTGATGATGGCCAGCCGGAATTTGCTCAGAATGTCATGCGAATTCTTGATGAGGAGGATGTTCGGGCTACTTTCTTCGTTGTCGGTGCTGGCTTGGCTGATAAAAGTACCAACTTTACCAATTTCTATCGGGAGATGATTGGGAAAGGACATCAGGTTGCTCTGCATTCGAATACGCATCCTAAGTATGCTCCTTTTCCTCATTATGACGAAGTTAGGCTAAGAGTGACAGAATGGAAGCTTTACCGACGATAGACCTGATCGATGAAGAGATCGTTCGAACTATACAGGTCTTCAAGGATGAACTGGATCTTCAATGTAAGAACTACTTTGCCACTGTGATTACCATACTAACAATGTTGAACAGCCCGTTATTTCCGTCCCCCGTTTGGTACCATCGGTGCACGCATGCGAGAACAACTTGCAAAACGCATCCCCGATCCACTTATCGTGAACTGGAGTGTCGACGTCGAAGACTGGCTTTGGGCTAATACATCCACACCTGAGAAACAACTGGAAGCATTCTACCGCAACGTCGCACGGGGCGGAAACCTCGCCGTTCTGCACTTCTTGAGCCCAACGACTGTAGAGTATCTACCGCAATTCATTCGGCATGTCAAGGCAATAGGGTTGAAGATTATGCGTATAGATCAGTGCTTAGATGACCCGGCCAGCCCGCCTCTGTGAAGCTCGGAGATTGTCAAGTTGAGCGATTCCCATGCTCTGGGCATATATTTTTAGTATAGGTCTGTGTACCTTTAGCTCCCAAGTTGAGAATTTCTGCCAATCCGACATCCATTCAGACATGCTATCCAAACAACACCAAGCCAGAATCATGATACAAAACAGATCAAAGAAATCAAACCAGGTATAATAACACAATGGGCCACAGAAGAGATTCAACCCCGATATGCCACGCATGTAGATGCCAATCCCAAATTCAAAAGCAAGTGCAACCAAATCCTGACACCCCATAATAAAACAAGCGTCAAGTGTCAAGCTGACAGTCGGCTCATAAGTCAAAAAAAAAAACGCTTCCAAGGTTGATTGGTGTCCAATTATTCACCATAATTAGGAGCCCGACAGATTCCACTGACATCCATCATCTCCCGGATGCGACTAGTCAGCCATCCAGAAGCAGTACTACCGCCAGTCCGCGACACACCAAGACGAGGTCTACTGCCCGTGAAGCAGGTACCGTCCCGGAAAGAGAACTGCACGCATTTCTTCTGGACATCGCAGACCTCACGGCAGTCCTCGAAGGTCGTAGCAAAAGGTTGCTCTTCATCCGAAAAGTTATCCCAGTTTAATCTTGTAGGCTGGGTAGCCATTTCGGGGTACAGCCATTCGCGGAAGACATCACTATGAAGAAGAATTTGTTTGTTTTTCTGTGGAAGCATTAGTAAACAGTGCCGTAACAAATCAAACTCAGGATATTAAAGAAACTCACCTCATGCCAACGATTCTGCTCGAATTGCCATAACCTTTCGATCTCGCTTGGTGAAAGATGATGAAATGCAACAGCAATATAACACCAAGGCAATCGATATAGATCCGTCGTGAATTCATCCAGTTCACCCAGGTTCGAATTCTGCAAGATAGGCCACGAGAAATGTAGATTGATCCCTGCGTCTGCAAGAACCCGTCCTAGAACACAATCCCCGGCCCAATGCCCGAGTGTATATTCATCCAGCTCAGTCCGTCTCCGCTCATACTCATCCGACGCAGCTTTCAGCGCCGGGTTCGAAAGCATAAAGCCCGAGCCTCCGTGTGCGAAGATCGTGTCCGCGATCTGCGTCTCGGTGCCTAGGTAGACGAGTTTCTTCGGGTCGAAGTGTTCAAGCCAGGCTAGCAATGTCGGCCAGGAGATATAGGTATCAGCCTCCATGAAAACAAACCACTTTGCATCGGGCTTGTAGGTGTAGGCTTCCTGGGCCATTGGGAGGAACTTCCATTTATCCAATTTCCACCCTGGGTTATTCGGCTTGCCGATTGCGGAGTTGGCCTCGTCGGCGAAATCGCCTTGTTCTAGACCCTTGCGCCCGTATGTCTTTATCCGGTTATAGATGTTGAAGTCTTCGACTCGCGCTGTGACATCCCTGTCCATTGTCCGGAGAGCATCGTGAATCGTGACACCCTCGATTTCCTCTTCGAAGTCGGAGTAGATCACATAGTGCGGGATGCAGCGGAGGGTTGTGGAGAAGTGGATGGGGACTTTATCGCGGGCTTCCGTGACGCCGGTTTTCATGACGACGAGGACATCTTCAATGCCCGGGAGTGGAGGGCAGACGGGCTCAGGCTCGCCGGCTTTATCTTTGTCGGCATGGCTGTATCTGTTTGTGCGGGTGCCCGAGTAGCGGAATTTGGTCTTGTGTGGCGTGAGGTTGGATTGTAGGGAGGTGAAGTGGTAGAGGAAGAAGAGGGCGGCGAAGGCGGCGATGGCGAGGAATCGACGGCTTACTCGTCGCCGGGGAACCATTTTGTGATTGTTTTCAATGGCCCGCTGCAGGCCTTGAGGTCATCATGAGAGGGCAGGTCTCCTGCGGGAAGCCTGGAATTAATTCCAGGGTTCGAGTAGCTATGACGATCGGCCAGGCCGCGTCTCCTTTCTGTGGCTGACACAGCGGGACGCGTTAGCGGTGGATCTTGCGTCTATGCAGGTAGTTTTTGGCGGGGAAGGGTTTGTTTCCTTTATAGGGGGTTTAAGGGTTTGAAACACCGTCCTGGCTTCAATGCCGAGTTTGAAGTCTGACGAATCCGTTTTCAATTGATTATGCTGTCCCAAGTTCCTTGATTCCCAACCCCCTTGATCATCATGGAGATCCTTGCCGTCGATCACCTGGGCACCCTGATTGTGGCTGTGGAATGAACGGTTCACTAGTTCAGAGTATATTCTGTGGCGGCAGCATTGATGTCAATAGACCTCATTAAATGGCACCTGGATTAATCCAATTTTAGTGCACCTGGCAAGAAGTACGCTATGTACTATAGATGATGACGCAAATAAACTTTTTGACGGGCACGTTCTAACCCCGGTCTTGCTGAATATATATCGCCGTCGTGGTCCACTTTCTGCAGGCCACCGGAATGCCGAATCACAGTATTCCTACATACACAGGAACCCAAATTAGGCAACGGATGTTTGTGGAAATTTTAAAAGGGCCGAGCCCATGCAAGAACGTTGACCATTAACTTCCTATATACAACCCATCAACAATTGAATTACTGTTGACCGGTGGTCTTCTTTTGAATCATCTTGTCATGCAGCTTAACCAACTCCGGAATGATAAGGCTCTCAATCTCAATCCCATCATGGTCCAGCTCACCCGGTGGCGGGTTCTCCTCCATCTGGGAAGGATTCTGTTCCTCCTTACCCTTCATGATCTCGGCAAGCCCGACCTGATCCTCCACACCAGAGATGCTCTTACTGCGCCGAGCCTTAGGCACACGCAGCCAGCGCTCATGAGGTGGATCCGGTGTGATAAAGACGACCTCCCATTTGCGCGTGGAAAGGAGGTTACCAATAACCAAATGATGGGAATAACGCTGCAGCGCCGTCCGTGCCTTATACACCAATAGCGAGGGATCTGTCTCCAGTTTAAAAGAGACAACCATACTTCCATCAGGTGCCCAGCCATCAACAAGGCGGTGCAGGAACTTCGGGACCGGATCGAGGTTCACCACAAGCTTCTTGGAGTTCTTCGGCGGCTGGGTCTCGTTCTCGCCTGTGTAAATCTCCTCCTCAGAACCAAGTGCACTATTATTCTCCAGATGCGACGGTATCTCCGAAGACTGAATCTTATGCTCAGCCATTCGATGGCGTGGAATAAAGAAATCGCTAACAGCTGCAGCAAGATAGAACAAAGCATTGGGACCAAGCGGGCGCATCAATTTAGCCAGAGAGCGCAGCTCAAACATGTATTCCGCGACGGTGGTGAAGGGCAACAAAAGTAATCGGTTATTCTGCTTTGCGTAGCGATACTTGCGCAAGACGTCGCGCATCTCGTCTTGATACTCGTTGCGGACCTGGATTGACCCGTGCGCATTGGGCGAATCAGCAGCCGGAGCTGCTTCGTCCATAAAATCTAGGAAACAGTTTGTGGAGTGGCTGTAGTGCCGCGAGTACGGTAACAGACTGTATTGCCGATGTAAGAAGATCACTGCGTACCCCTCCTGCAGGAAGTACTCCGCAGATGTAGCGCCACGGGTTCCGGCGGAGAAGTTGTCGATGAAGCGCACTGTTTGTGTCTCGAGGGGTACTGTTGTACCGCCGGAGGTGACGAGAACGACGCGCCGGTTGTCTGCGACATGGAGGTCGATGAAGGCTCGGGCCAGTGCTTCGTGTTTGGGAAGGGCTTTTGGTGGTGGGTATTCATTGAAATAGACGGATTCTGCCTCCGCGGGCTCCATATCACCGAGGAGCGCTGACATGGTTGCGATGGACACCTTTCTGAATTGCTTGTCGGGTGAATGAAATCCCCGTGGAAGCTTCCAATTGACAGTGAGGTTTTGTTCGGATATGCAGAGTCCAGGAGAAAAGAAGCCGAGGATGCCGCCAATCGCAAGTGGGGTGAAAGTGGGATGCGACCGGTAAGGAATGCGGGATAGCAGATCACCGTGACGCGATTGAAACTGATGTGTGAGAGATAAACGTTTCCGGAGCTGTAGGATGAGAAACGGCGTACGTTCTGGATTTAAGGAAATCTTTTTATTAATTAAAATATTGCCGCAATGCTCGGTGAACAGTGCATGAAATTGTTGAGGTCCTAGTTGACGCATCTGATAGGGGATTAGTGCAGCCGCTGGCCCGATAGCAGCAGATCCGCAGTTAATCCACATGAGCTCTGACTGGAGCATATCGCCGATTATGTCATGTTTTAGGTTGAAATGATTAGAAATACTCAGTATTTCCTATACTTGCCTTTGAAGCGGCGACATCGCTCCTTCTGACCGATATTCGGGGTTTCCAATGGACATGGAACCAGGGCTACAGAGTATCTGTTATACTATGCCTTGTTGGGCCCCCTTCCTATTTGGGCGGGTCTGCAAGGGAGCTGGAAAAATGGACAGTAATTAGGTATAATGGTCAGCAAACTAGGTCTCATTGGGAAATTGTACAGCTCATTCCATAGACGAATGTCCACCAGTGCACATGTGGCATGTAGGAGATCCGATTTATCAACAGGTGCATGTGGCGGAACTAAAAGGGCAGGTCACCATGCATGAATATCCACAGGTTCACCAACAAATCAAGCATTTGCTTCAAACCAGAAACATCACTGCAAATAACGACTACGCAATGCTTGACTGATAGTGCTCATCCTGCTAGCCATTCCGCCATGCTGCATATTGCTCATAAGAGCCTCCTCCAACGCTGACTGTGTAACGCTTGCATCTGCACTATTATCAGTACGGTGTCACATCACAACCCAATCAAAATCAAACTCACCATCTAGATCACTAAAACTGCTCCCCATGCTCGGAGTCCCATCACTCGCCTGTGTGCCAGAAGTATGGGACTTCCGGGGACTCAGCCGAGCCGGTTCCCCAGAACGCTGTGGACTCAATGTAGCACCCGCTTGTCCTCCCTGCACAGCCACAGCCACAGGAGCACCGGAACTCATCGAGCTCGCCGACGACTCCGAAGCAATGGGCATTCTGTGCCCAGATCGTTCGGCAATACGTCGCCGTGCAATAGCGGCACGCTCCGCGTCCAAGCGTAACGTGGCACTCAGCTCCTGGGTTGGCCGATCTCGTGGACCTTGCTCGGGTTCATGATGCAGTGGTAAGAAGGCAGGTGCGTCATCTTCATCATCGTCGTCGTCTCTTAGCCCGGTACGGTGTATGGAGTATTGTCCAAATCGGCGGAAGCGCTGGGCTGGGAGATCTGCTTCATCTTCTGAGTCGGATTCTGGGGAGCTTGATGATAGATCTTCTTCCTCCAATGGAGGAGACCGTAAGAATGGAGCCACTGGGGGCTGCGGTCTGTTGATGGATGGGCGACGGGGATAAGAATCCCGCCGTTGCTCACTGCCTTCTGCTGTTGGGGTATCGGTGCGAGAGGGGTCTCGAGAACCGCGGATTTGGTTGATAGTCGTTGTCGAGGTAGAGCTTGTGCGCCGACCATGACCACTGGCTGCTGTAGAGAGTATTAAAACATATACATGCAGAATTGCAGTGCCACAGAAGCGCGTTTATGCACATAGATAGAAACTTGCCTCGCGGAAGTGTTTCCTTCTGCTGAGTCACCTGTCGGACAGGCCCTCGTGGTCCTTGTTTTCGGTTAGCCATTTGTGACAGTTCATTTCAGCATACTGGAATGAGCATACCAACTATAGGTACATCCTTTACCGGTGCCCCCGGTAGTGCCGTGCTCCCTGAAACAGAGCCCGGAGCTGGTGATGGTGAATTTGACTGAGCGGTCGGGTCAAATTTCCGCATCTGGGCCCGAACTTGTGATAGCTGCCGATCATAAAGCCATGCTGCTTGCTGAAGTAAAAATTGTAAAGTGACGTCGAAGTTATCAGCCCTGGATGCACGTCAGTATAGATGATCTTTGTTAGAGTGGGAGTGAGGTATACAATGCTTTCCCTGCAAGCGAGTTAGCTATCTGGGCATCAATATCGAGAGTGGGTTCGAACTTGACATACAATCTATGTCATCGCCTTTGGATGGTCGGGAAAGAACGTCCCATAATGCCTGATCTTTAGCAGCATTCCATTCCACCTGATCGGTCAGTATATGAGATAGCGTTCAAAGGGAGTGGTGAGGGTACCGGCGGTGGATCTACAAAGTCTCCCCTTGGAAATGGCAAACGAATAAAGACTGTGAAGTTGGTATCTTTATGTTCTGTTTTAGTCGCCATCTCGGAGCAAATCGACGCGGCTCGGGTGGAGCGGAGCTAGACTTCCGTGGACAGCTTGAAGCTTTGAATCACTTCTTTGAATATTTAAACAGGCCAAAGGATTACGATGTGCAGGCCAAAGACGAGTGACGGAGTCGATGAGAAGAGCAGACTTTAAAGCTTTCTCTTCGTGTATTCAACGGGAGCTGTGATGCAGATAAAGATAGAGAGATGGTGATGAGGAGAGTGACGACGGCAAGAATGTGATTCTATTGGTCGTAAGAGCTCCGTGGAAGGAATATACCCGCCCCGTGGCATTAATTTGCGATGTGGTAGCTGCCGCTCGTAAGGCTTGGATGATAGTATTGCCACGAACAACCATTTCGACATGCGTCCTGCAGCCAAACGCTCGATTTAGGGTGCATAATTTCGATCTATAGAGTTGCGACTTCCCTGTAGCCGATCATTATAGCCTTTAATCATTAGATCACATCACGGATCCTCCGTATTCCTTGATTACCCGCACATCCAAATCATTTGGTTGCAAACCTCGGTAAATTGAAGAATTTGCAAGCCACTGGGTCATGTACCCCTCTACGAATGCTCATGGCTTGTGCGGGTCAATAGGATATGCGCTGAAGTAGACCGCCTTTTGCAATCGAAACTAAACTAGGGAAAGGTTGGCCGAGCTAGCACTTGATGGGTTTAGACAAGATCTACCAGTCCCATTCTCAACCGGCCTCGGCCTAATTCTCCGACCTTTTCAACTCCACACCATGTCTTTCCAGTATTATATCGACAAATGTCTGGTGGTCATTTTACGGACCGTAATTGCCATTATCTCTTATATCGCCCGCGGCGGCATTAAATCATACCCAGATGAAGTACGCCAGATCCCATCTCGCGACACTGGACGAACCATCAAGGTTCATGTGTATACATCATCTGCCCCAAGCCCATCACCAGTCCTGATCAACTTCCATGGCAGTGGGTTTGTGCTCCCCCACCACGGCTCCGATGATGCGTTTTGTCGCCAGATAAGTCAACAAACTAAGTGCACGGTCCTCGATGTTCGCTATCGCCTAGCACCGGAGTGTCCATTCCCTGCTGCATTGAATGATGCCGAAGACACCATCAACTACGTCCTGGGCCGCCCGCATGAGTTCGACCGCTCGCGTCTATCCCTTTCAGGATTCAGCGCAGGTGGCAACCTCGTCCTCGCCGCGTCGTCCAACCTCTTTGCCCCAGACACTTTCCGCTCCCTGGTCGCCTTCTACCCGGTGACGGATCTGAGTGCTGGCGCAGGTACAAAGGTCGCTCCAAATCCGACGGAAAAGGCAGAGATCCCGGCTCCTCTAGCACGTCTCTTTAACCGATGCTATGTGCCTGCCGGCATGGATCCGCGCGATCCGCGCATTTCCCCCACTTTCGCGCAGACAGACCGCTTCCCGCGCCGTATGCTCATGATCACCGCTGATTGTGATAATCTCGCGCACGAGGCAGAGGAAGTCGCTGGACGAGTGTCAAAATTGGAGGGCAGGCATGTGGTCAGTCAACGAATGGTGGGTTGTTCTCACGGGTGGGACAAGACCACGCGGCCGAACTCTCCGCCGCACCGACTGGAAGCCAAGAAACGGGCTTACCAGTTAGCGGTGGATATGCTGAATGAATAGCTTGATTTTCTTCATGATTTCAATCCTTCATGCCGAAAGCCCCCTATTATTGCATGACCCCTCCACTGTCTCCGCTTGCCGCGTGTGCCTGACCTGACCCAACGTCGGACCCATGGCTCACCACTCGGGGACCGCGGCTACTGCAACCAACCCTAAACCCTACATGTAACGAGATATATCTAGCGATGGAGATGAGCCGGAGATAAGACCAGAAGTGTAAACAAGAAAAACACGTTCTGGTAAAGGAGGTTGAAGACCCCGCCACCATGTGCCAAGTGGGCGGATTGTGTCAGGGTTCGCCCCCCGTGGGTCGGGTTTCATTTCATTTTAAAGATAAATGAATTTAAAAAATTATAGGAGAAAAAAGGGTGATCGTCCATTGTAGTGTCCTGTTTTCTTACCTTTTTTTCCTTGTTTCCTTTCTTTTTTTTTTTTTTTTTCTTTTCTATCCCCCTCCAGTCCTTACGGTTGCTTTCATTTCCTACACATCCTTACCCAATCCAGTCGACTCTATACATAAGCGCCTCCGGCGAATGCTGTCATTTTGCGCCACAATCTCGTCCACCGGCCACGCGTGGGCGAGTCCAGTCCTTTCGTGAAGTTCACATTCTTCCCCTCCGGTCAATGCGCGCCCGCTGGTTAGGCGCCATCGCCACCTGTATATAGAATGGAATCAACAACACCACCGAGTCCCGCGTTAGACGAGGACAAGTACCGAACAGAGGTGCTCCAGATTGCGTCACAGGAAGCGGAACAAGCGCGGGCGCAACAGCTTTCCGATGAGGCACAGCAGCTTGGTCTGAAGGTCCTGGAGATCGATGCGGCGCCGTTGGCCGCCTCGATCGCCTCTGGAATGGTCGATCTTTCGTCGCCCGCCTTGTCATCCGGATCCTCTACTGATCGAAATTCCGCCTGCGATGGCTCTGTTACTCCTTCTCTCTCCGTTGAACCGTCATCACCGTCACTGTCGCCATCCCCGCTGGACCAAGTCACTACGTCGTTATCGCAACTTACATTTTCATCGGAGCGAGTGAAACCGAGCAGTACGCGATCGCTAGCGTCGTTATCGACCCGTCCGACGTCATTTTGTTCCAGCGAAAGCCGTACGATCAACGCGGGGCTAGGACTTCAAGATGGACTTACGGTTAAGGGAAATCGGAGTTCCATGTTCGTGGTGACACCAGGTGAAAAGAAGGTAAAAGAGAAGGAGAGACGGCGGAGCAGCTTGAAGTCTGCTATTGGGCGCATTCATTTCCGTAGGAAGCGGGCCCCGTCTGTTACGACGTCACCGCCAAATGCACAGGTCACGATATCTAAAGGCGACGAGGGCGTGGAACGTGTCTTGCTTGAAGGACCTCGCAACCCACCCACCAGCAATGCGGTCTCAATCAACAGCACCAGCACTTCAGAGTCAATTCCAAAGGTGGAAGTGAAGGTCCCAACATTCGACGAAGCATCCCTTCAAAGAAGTCTGAATGACCCCGAACTTAGCGAGATGATGGAACGACAGAAGATGGAAAAGAGTCGACACATGGCATTCCAAGATGCCGCCCTCGAGATCCTCCGGCGCCGGCACCAAAGTGCCGTTTCAGAAGCACAGTCCGAGAACCAGCGCCGGGAGGATGAGAAACGTGAGAAGGTTAGACATCCATAACCCCATCCTTTCAACCTCTTACTAACTTTCCATAGAACGAGATCGACGCCATCCGCATAGAAGAACGCCAATGCGCCGTAGAAATGGAACAGCAAAGAGAATTTGAGCGCGCAAAACAAAACTCTCGCACGCGCATCAAGCACATGGAAGGATATTTTCGAAACGCAAGCCCCCCGCCATCACCAGCCACAGCAGACCGCTCATCCGAATCCTTCATGTCCGGATCTGAAGGCACGCCCCCTACACGCCGTGTGACGCGACAACAACTCGAACAGCTGGAGCAGCAATATCACGCTCATGAATCCATGGATGCGCTCCAAGAGTCCCGGATCAAGGTCCTTCGAGAACGTCAGGAGAAAAGACTTGCAGAAGCTATCGCGCGGATGGAAGGCGAACTAGATGCTTTGTGTGACCAACACAGCAAACAAATTGCTGCCCTTCAGGCAGAACACCGCCGTGAAGAGAGTTCCCTCATTGATGGGCTTCAAGTGAAGAAGACGGAGTTGCGGCAGAGATGGAATTTGGAAGAATCCATTTTGCGGAAGCGGTTGGAAGAGAAACATGGTCAGGTCTATGGACCTTTGCCGCCTATCTCGTTTTGCATTGAACACGAATCTGATGCCGAGAATCGCATTTAATCGCCAGGTTATTGGTTTGATCAGCATTCTGCGATGAGATCTCGGTTGTCACTTAATTTGGTAGGTTGATGGCTATGCCCATGATATCCTGCTTAATCTTGCCTGATATTAACTCGCCACTATTTTCTGGCTTGTTTTGGCAATGACCAAGTGAACGGTTTATGTTTCACTAGGCCTTTCTTTTTTGATTTTATGCCCATTTACCCTTCTTGTAATCATCTTTTCCCCTTTGCATTCCGCCTGGGTGTGGATTTGGCTTGTACATATCGCATTGCGGCGGCTATTTGGTTCTAGATGTTCATAGCATTTGATGCATTTATAGGTTATGGTTTTCGATAGATGAAATGTATATTATTATTCTGAAACAATTTTAGAAATTGATCGCAGCAGGGGGTATCTTCGGTAGTAAAATCTAGAATCTAAAACCATCATCCATCTGACATCAGTATTTACTGACCCGACGCAGCAAACTCCTGTAACCTCTCCACCAAACTCTCAATTCTTCCCCCACCACGAGTCATCGCAGTTTCCGTTTGTTTATCGCGACCCTCGTCCCCAATGACAACGGCTCGCTCAACAACACCAGAATTGGTCAACTTGAACCGTCCAACACGTCCATCCTCCCATTCCAGCCGGACATACCGGGTCTCAATGGCGGTAGAGTCAAGAGACACAATCCCCGCCTTACTCTCAGGCGATAATCGGTCCACTGGGCTAGAACTCGAATCCGACTCCTTGAATCCCAATCGTTCGCGCAAAAGATCCACCGCATCACACCGCACATGCCACGCTACAAGCTCGCGCCGTAGCTCCCGTGCAAACCCACGCAAGTCCTGGTTCCGTACGGTCTTTCTCTTCTGTTTCAAAGATTCTCCCTCATCCTCGGATTCACTCCCGTCTTGTTCGACATCACCGGGCGTTTTCGCTCGGGAGCCCTTAACAGGCAGATAAGCGCTCTCCAGCTTCGAGATGGAGATGAACGCTGGAACAGTATGCCTGTACACTCTTAGACTTTTCTCCTTTCCACCCTTTACGCGTTCGCGCCGTAAAAGCACATAGTAGGGCTTCGCGAACCGCCCGTTTCGGGTGCAGACATCGATGCGCAGACCCAGTAGATTCTCGGCTGGCGCGCTAGGTGATGGATCCTTAAATGGGAAAGCGGTAGTACCGAATGCGATTCGGTAATGGTTTGTTTCGGAGTGTTTCCCTGCGGCATGTGCGAGGGGCGAGATCTCGTCGTGGATGGTAGTGAGAGGTTTGCGGAGAAGCTTTTGAATGTCGGATGAGGCGAGGAGACTTGAGGAAAGGAATCGCTTTTGACGTTGAAGATTGTGAACTTTGCATACTGTCAGCACAGGGAAATTCTTTTGTTTGGGGGTTGCGCGTTTGGTGCTTACTCTCGGCGCGGATGGAGGCGATTTCGGTGTCTAGGCGCTCCGCCTGGGGGTCCGGTGATGCGGAGGGGTGTGCGCGTGTATTCATGTTGGTGGAGTTAATTGACCCAGAGTGTTTCTGAGTTAGTTTCTCGGGTTCCTATTCCACCAGCAATGTTATGGCGGGGAAGTGGAGAAGTTGGAGATGAGTTCGTCCTGTTTTGTTTATTGTATGCACGTGACCCACTCTTTTTAGACTCGACCAGGATTCCCATTTAAGATTATTTGTCATTTCATCATGTATCACTGATAGAGTTAATGTGGAGGTCGGAATTATCAAGTCTTGATTTGTGTCACCACGTCAGTCCATGGCGATCGACTGTGATACTCGATCATAGGCTGATACTGTCGGATTATCATAATCTATACGCGAGGAACTTCTGCAGCCAGCACGCCGATCCTCTCGCGTGCATGGACTGTACCACTTAGGAAACTCCCAACACCCAGAACTTTGTAGTTGTAGAACGAAATGACAATGAGTGGATCCAACAGACCCTGAAAAATAGCCTAACAAGGTCTGGCGAAGATGATCCCCCGGCCCCTCAGGAAGAATCCGGCCCCGTAAGAGGCCAGCTTGCCTCTCCGCGTGGTCTCGCCCAAACTTTCTCAAGATTCGGATCTTCCCCGACCACCTCCATGCATTCTCCTTGAGGACTTCCCTTCTTTCTTTTCCTTCGTCCTCCATGTACCGGACACCAGATCCCTACTATTCATCCATTTAACCCGCATGGACCCTCGACCTTGAACCTCCAACTACGCAGCCCGACGCGCCCTTCTTTCATTCCAGGCCGAACACTCACTCCCCTGATTCCCGACTCCATTCACCAAATCTCGCCCTCTAGCTGGACCGAAAAATTCTCATACACTTTACATCTCGACCTTATACAAACCAATGACACGGAAGAGCGCCACCCTCGCCAAACGCCGTTCCAAACCGAGCCTCAAAGTCGCTACCGGCCAGAACGGCCATGCGAACGGCAAGATGAATAACATCGAAATGCGCAAGCGCGATACCCCCTCAGTCGACTCCTCTTCCGAACGAACAGCCCGCCTCATGTCTCGACCGAGCTTCTCTCTCGACGATGAGCCCGTCACCGTTCCTCAGACCCCTGTCTTGACCACAACCAGCTTCCATAACCTGCCCGCAAGTGACCGCAGGAATTTCTTGTTGCTGTGCGTCCTATATTTCTTGCAAGGTGTGCCTATGGGCCTTGCTACAGGCTCCGTGCCTTTTCTCCTTAAGCCATATCTGTCCTATGGTCAGATTGGCATCTTCTCGCTCGCTTCCTACCCATATTCTTTGAAGCTGTTCTGGAGTCCCATTGTGGACGCAGTATGGAGTCCACGATTTGGTCGCCGCAAGAGCTGGATTACCCCGGTCCAGGCTATTGCAGGACTTGCCATGATATACCTGGGCCGTCACATTGGGGATATGATGGAGAAGGCTGGCGCGAACGGTGGCGCAGGAGTCTGGAACTTCACATACTGGTGGTTTATGTTGGTTCTTTTCTGCGCTACGCAGGATATTGCTGTGGATGGATGGGCTATCACTCTGATGTCGCCTCCGAACATTTCCTACGCCTCCACTGCTCAGACCGTTGGCTTGACAGCTGGCCACTTCCTGTCGTACACCGTGTTCTTGGCATTTAACTCCAAGGACTTTGCGAATCGATGGTTCCGCACTATCCCTGGTGAAGAGGGTCTGCTTTCGCTTGGCACATACTTGACTTTCTGGGGCTGGGCTTACCTCATTGTGACCCTGGGTTTGGCCTTGTTGAAGAAGGAAGACCGCACCAAGGAGCGTGATAGCATCCTAGATGTGTACAAGAGCATGTGGAGCGTTTTGAAGCTGAAGAACATTCAGACCATTATCATCATTCATTTGATTGCCAAGATTGGCTTCCAGGCTAACGACGGCGTCACCAGCTTGAAGCTTTTGGACAAGGGCTTTGGCCAGGAAAACATGGCTTTGGTCGTGTTGATTGACTTCCCCTTCGAGATTATGCTGGGTTACTACGCCGGCAAGTGGTCGACTGACCACGGCCCCATGCGACTGTGGGGCTGGGCCTTTGTCGGACGTCTGGCCGCTGCAGTACTTGCCCAGTTCACCGTGATGATCTACCCCGGAGGATCCGATGTTCCGTTTTGGTACATGCTGACTGTTATCTTCGAGCATGTTGTATCTACATTCATGAACACGGTCATGTTCGTCGCCATTTCAGCCTTCCATGCACGCATTGCAGACCCAAGCATTGGTGGCACCTACATGACTCTCCTCGCAACGTATGTCAAAATACCCTTGTGTTTCACGCTTCCATTACTAACACAACTTTAGCGTCTCCAATTTGGGCGGAACATTCCCTCGTATCTTCGTCCTCAAACTAGTCGATTTTTTCACCAAGGCAACATGCCTCCCACCCACTACACCCCCACCGAGTGACCAGTTGAAAGATGCTCTTGTCACCTCTGCATTCTCCTGCGCACTTGAGCCAGAGAAAAATCGCTGCATCAATGGCGGCGGTAATTGCATCATCGACCGTGACGGCTATTATATTACCAACATTATCTGTGTCCTTATTGGCACTGTTACATTTGTGTGGTTTATTAAACCCGCTGCTGCCAAGCTTCAAAGCTTGCCTTTGCGCGCTTGGCGGCTTGTGCCAGGTCCTCAGCGCGAGTAAGCTCTTATACTGGAAACCATTATGCCCAGCTTCTACGTTATGGCCGAGTGATCATAGTCTTAATAGATTGAACGAATAAAATAGTTAGATGTTGAATGACTACCTCCGCTTTGACGGTCACATTGTTTCATGCATAGATCGGAGATATTCCGAGTGTCACCCCACTATGGAATTGGGGGGAGACAAGGCCATAAGGACTTTTTATAGAAATGGGCCAAAACCTCATTGGATTTCAAACCTGTATGATTACTGCGTTTCAAGCCAACATTACCATCTCGAGGAAACAATATAAGGTTGGCAGACAAGCGGGTGAACTAACTTTCCGATTCCGATGTTCAGCCCCCATCTTCCCATTCAAGTATAGACTCATACGACAATTTAATCTTCAATTCCTGATTCCTCGACTTCAACTCTCCATATATATGACTTAAAAACCAACAAATCACATCAAAAAGATGAAAACAATGCGCAGCAAGATCCTCGCATATATCGTCCTCCCATTCGGCGCAACAGTCTACGGCACCCATAATGGCCTTAACCACCTGGAAAAGAAATATCCAAACCAACCCCTGACAGTAGGGAGCAAATTGCTACAAGCACCAAGTAACCCCCAAACACAACATTGCCCATATACGGATATCTACGCTGCACGTATCCCGCTACAAGCACTGGTAGCACAGTGCAAACCCAACAGCAACACCCCCGATAAGAATGCACTCGAAGATGCATGGGCCCGCTCACTACTCGGGTCTCCAATCCTCAAAACAGAAGCAAGTATCTTCGGCCTTCTCCGTCACGGATCATACGACCCAGGAGATCTCGGCAACACCACAGAAGGATTCAAGCCCGATGCAACGGGTGAACCCCGAAGATTAATGAACGGTATCATGCAAGTCCAGCGCCAAATCGGCGCAGGTGAAGATTCGAACGGTCTTCTTGTTTCTTGGAAAATTTCTGATGAGCCGCGCCTGTTTTTTGAGAAGATTTCGCGCTGGGGGTATCCTTGGCGTCTTATGTCGGGTGGACGGCATGAGATGAGTGTTTCGGAGCCGTTTGAGATGGAAGGGGAAACGGTTGTCGAGGTAAGGTTCGCTTCTGCGCATGATTATGAGGTTTTTGAGGAGGAGGGCTTGGAGCAGAAGATTCTGCCTGAGTGGACTAATCGGTTGCATCGTGGGTTTGCGAGGCTTGTGCTTGACTTTGCTGTGCGGAAATTGGAGAAGAGTTGACTTTGAAAGTTGTTGATGGGAGTTTCTTGTTTCGGTCTTCTTTGTATCATATATTTCACCTGCTCTTCACATATCCTATGGAGGGGGGTCCCTCTGACAGTTACCGATGGCAAGTCTATGTACAAGTGAAAAGGCCAGGATATTGGGAACTCGCCAGCACTTCCCGCTGTGTGTTGGTGCCGATATTGGACATTTCTGTGATTAATATGAAGAATTGAGCTTTATTGAGTACCAAGACAAATGAACATAACAATTTGGTCGATGGTAATTTTAGCGTCGATTTGACATTCAAACATCCGTTGTATCTCCCGGGCAATGTCTTACGGTCTCGACGGACTAGCATCCAAATAGTGGAGCCTCAAGTATATTCAAATCTGCAGACTATGACTAGATTAGCTTTGAATAACGAGCCCGGTGACTATAAGATCAAAAAGCGCACTTTGTGAACATTAGCTTTGCAATCATACTGTGGATCTCCATGCACGATGTCCATGGAAGCTTGCTACCTTTGGCAAACCAATTAGATAAGAGGTTTTCCTATGGCTTTATTGTAGCTCTACCATCCAGGTGGTATTGGCTTGTTCGATACGTCACTTGCCACGAAAGTGGTGGTCCTTTCACACGAGCCTCTCCTTAGTGAAACTTCCTCTTCTCTGCACCTGCACTAGTGTTCTTCCCTGCTCCTCTCCTTTCTGCAGAACAACTTATCCAATCAGCACCAATATGGATCAGTTGACAAAGATCGCCTATTGCCTCGACGCCGCTGGCGGGGCGATGAGCGAACAGGGCATGCACCTCCTGTATGAGAAGAATGGCGAGCTAACCGAGGAGGTGTGGGAGTTTGTGCGTCTCCTGGAATATCTAACCGTCGGAAACGGAATCAAGCCTGGCGCCCCTGCAGCATACCTCTGGATTGGCGTCACTGAACATGATGACCGGGAGCTTGAGGGGGAGCAAAACAATGAGGAACAGGACAAGGTAAGCCCATGTCAAGCTATCACGAACACTGATACTGGCTAGAGAGATTGACCATTGCTAACTCAACTGCCCAAGCGAATTGTATTCTCTCTTGCCGATTATCTCACGTTGAGATACTACCTCTTCAACAATGACAAAGACAACTGGGAGGAACAGGAGTTCAGCTATGCAAGTCACATTCACCTCGCCCTAGGCAGTGGCTTGACTGGAGGCCTTGGACCTGATGGTCCTGCCATATTCTTCAATGGCGAGAATGGCAAGCTACAGACCCTCGTTATGAAAGGTGACATTTGGGAGCTTGGTGATCTTGGCCCTTATATCGATCCCATGGTTCCTCGACCTGGGTCCCCACTGTCCATAACGCCAGTCGAAGATGGAATCCTAGTCTTTTTCATCGGCGACAATGACATGCTGCACTATCTGGCAATCAACCCCCAGACTGGCACTTGGCAAGGTCAGCATTCAATGATATCAGCGAAGGGTCTTTTCGTTTTGGATGATGCTGACTAGACTCATCACTAGATCACTGGCTTGGCCACATCATCTTGGAAGCCCCGGTGTCCCGCTTCAAAGTTTTCCGTGACCCCGAAACCAAGTTGTTTGAAGCATACTTCCTCTCGCAAGGGAAATTTATCCGGTTTTCTGGAAAGGGTGGTGAGGGTTGTAAGAAGGAGGTGGGTCAAATGAACGGGAGGGAGCTCATTAAGACTGTTATTATCCCAAGTTATGACGATTACACAGATGATGACGAAAGTCTTGACCCTGCCCAGAGGATTGAGGCTGCTCATCGTGCTATTCGACGGACTGTTGCTGCCCGACATGCTGCTGCCCAGCCTCCTGTTGTCCTGCCTACTGCTATAACGGGCGTTGAAGAGACATTGCTGTGGGATCTGGTCACTCGGACTGAGAAGGGTTATGGCCTAAAGTCGTCACAGAAAATGACACGTACCATAAAGAATGGCCATGTGAGCACCATTTATCACTCCCGAGTTTATCCTTTCTAGGATCAAAGTAACCCGCAGAGCGAAGATGCGAACGTGGTTTGATATTATGACTTACTATGATTTTTCCAATTTCAATCAAGGCACACGTTGCGAATTTCTCAACAAAACTCAGATATGCAAAGCTGAATTCATGTCATGAGCCTGTCATACTCATAGGTTAGAAAATATTAGCATTATGGCCAAGTACCTGAGATTTGGAAGGTTTCTCATGTAGTCAATGCACTATACAGAGCCCCACGCCTCGCTGGAATAAAATGGGGAATTCTCCACTCTCATGCACTCGGCGGACGTGATTACTACCCTTGGGAACATCATGTTCGGTACTTTTATCTCGCAAGCTTGGCCAAATGGCTTTAAGTCCTATATCCGAAATTAATGCTCACATGTAGATGAATGCCCGACGCAGATTATGTGAAGGCTTCTCAATCCACGGGATGCAACTAAGCCAACAAGGAACACATGGACTGAATTTGAAACTCTGCGGTATACGGTTCAAGTAATAGTTAGCTGGAGACTAAACGCGATGATTATGTTCGCTCATACTACGTACTATAGACGCAACGTGAGGACCCACTCGACCCGCAGATCGCAACTTTTTTTTTCTTATCGCCCACCACAACACCCAGAAGCCACGAGAAGACAGGAAACTAAGCTTCAAGTCAAATCGCTGTATCGGGTCATGACACCTACTCAAATAGACTCCAACTCCGATACCTCCGCGCCAGCATCCCCCGCCACAACAATGACCTCCACGCACTCCGACGACGGCACGCACCCCGCAGTCGACAATTCTCTCGACGACATCTTCGGCTCCTCGCCACCACATGAGACCAGAGAAATGTACGGGCACGCAGATCATAGCGGAGTGGGAGCTAGCTCAGGTACTGTCGAACCCTCCGATCTCCCCTCTCTCCGCCGCCAGCACGTCACCGCGGGGTACCGCGAGGGCGTCTCCGTGTCAAAAGGCGAGCGCGTCCAAGACGGCTTCGACGGCGGATTCCCAATCGGAGCTCAGCTAGGTATGCGAGCAGGAACAATCCTAGGTATTCTCGAAGGAATTTCACGGGGACTCGAAGACCGAAGCACAGGTGCAGTGAAGAAGCCCGCTGCGCGGGGCAGTGCATCTGGGACCTCTTCGCCGGCGAACAACGAGGCACGCCGAAAGATCGGTGAGCAACTTCGAAAGATCTACGGGGACGCCGCGAAGGCGTTAGATGTGCAGGCTGTGTTTACGGGACTGGAAGCTATGGCCGCGTCTGGTTCACGGGTTGACACTGCCTCGGGCGAGATCACTCATCAGGATGCAGGGGAGAAGCCAGAGACCCAGTTAGCTAAGAAGGGAGACTCGGTGATCGCCCCGTGGGAGAAGAGGCTTGCTGTGCCTGCCTGGGAGGAGAATATGGAGGCCTTGGAGATGAGGGACGGACATGGCGAGGGAGACAAGGGCGCTGCTGGAGAGCGGAGCTGAAGGGCTCCTCCTCTACCCCTATCTGTTTTCCTACAGTGAAGCTTTTTTACCTTTTGATGGAGCCGTTGTGGAGATCATGTCTTGCTCGTTTCCCCGGGGAACCATGCAGCTCCAAGTGGGCCATGCTGGTTGTTTTACCCCGGCAGTTCCGCTGGCTGTCCCCGTCCCGCTTTGCGGCCCGATTGAGTTATGTTGAGATGAGACATCGGCGTCTGAATACCTCCACCGCTGCAAGGATGGTGGGAGTATCGTCGGACAGCCGGCCCGGAGCGGCTCAGGGTGCCTTTATCTAGGAAAAAGCTCTTCGTTGTTATGAGACACGATGGAGTCGCTTCTGCGCAGGGAGGTGGATTATTATTGTTTGACTGTGGAAGTTATCGACAAGGTACAGTAGTGCCAAAGAGCAACGATTGAGGCAATTTGGCCATAACGCCAAGACTTGCAAAAGTCCACGGCTTGTGAGTTCAGACGGGGGACGACCTGGTTTTATGACAGGCCATTGTTTTTCCAGACCAAGCAAGCAGTCTGCGCCTCGGCAATCTGCAGCTTCGATCTAGGCCGATCAAGACCTCCGATGTGGATCCCACAGAAACCGAACCCAGATACATCTGAAACCCAGGGAGTTTTGGTCTCGCGGAAGACTTGGAGATGCAGCCGATGGAATCAGGGAGAACAACCTTGCCTTTGGCGGACCGATCCCCCGATGGAAGGGACTTTTGAATAGCCCCGAAACATAGGGGCCCTCATTGTACTTCTGTTGTTATTGAAATCATTTTTGTGATACGAGAAGGACGAGAGGGCTGGGAATCTGACTTGCCTGCCGCCCTACATGATATCAGACTACTAGTGCTAGTAGACATCCCCGCACATGAATGTGAAGCCAATTGATCTGATTTGAGTTGCCTAGAGTCAAAAATGTGGCCTCGATCGTGGTGAAATCCCCCATAAAAGACGTCTGTGGCGTGGGGACGTTAACGACGCAAGGGATGCCTTCGTATACAGGTGGAGCTCCAAATCGGGGTGTGGGTCCTGCTGCTTTAGCGCCGATGATCAGTCGAAGACGAACATGTAGAAAGAAAAGGCAGCGAGAACTCTGAAGGGAGCCTCGGCACTCCGTGCCTCGTATTAGCAACTCTGCATCGCAGTTCTCCACCAAAGACCCACGCCACTGTGATGAATACTAGTGATGCTGAATAAATCCAAGCCACATTCCAAATCTACGATATCCATGGCTGACCCCACAAGTCAATGAACATACTCACACTTCAAAACCTCCAGACTAGCAATCAAATTTCCTCAAAATTGAGCCTACAAACCCAAACTTGAAACTTGACAGGCAAAACCCAAACAAAAACCCTAACGCTCTTCTTCGTACTTTGGCCCGGAATCGGGTTCCCGCAGATGAAAATCAGACGTGTAAGTTAACCCTTGACAGGGCCCAGGATCCGGGATCACACCCCTGTACCGGTGATCCAGGTCTAGAGAACAAGGGGAAGAACGGGCCCCGCAGCATGGTACTTTTGTTATGCATGGGCCTCGATCGCATAGACTCAAGACATGTTGTCAATAGATTGGATATTCAATATGTTTGTCTTCAAACTGTTTCCGTGAATGTTCGGGTTTGGGGTTGGGATTTAGTGTTGTTCTGTGCAGTTTTATTATGTTAGAATCTTAACAGATACAACCAAAGTAAAGTGGATTTCTTAGTTCAGCTACAAGGCTACTGTCACAATCCCTGGATGATCCGGTAGTATCCTCAAATACCTACCTTTTTTATAGGGCAAAAGCTGACGTAGTCCTTGATGAGGAGCTCCTAACATTCCAAGGTGCATATTCATTCCCTAGACAACGAGGGATAACGACGATCTTGTTGATTCATTTTTTTCATTTGATTTCATGCTAGCCATAAGAAAGTATGCTTTTGTTGCGCCCCGTCCATATCCGTGAAACCATAATCGAAATGCAGTCTTAAGGGGTCCTTTATATCATTATAGTAAATCATACATGAAGCAGAAAAGAGTAAAGGAAAAACATCAGTGAGTGGATGAGAGACATCCAGAATCAGTAAGACCGTAGAAAACATCATATGAAAAAGTGAAAGGCGACGGAAGTCGATGGAACAAAGATGGTAATACAGCGTCGAGGACGAGTAAAAGACAAGAATACCCAGAGATTGTGGGAGATCCCAAGAGATGTGAACAGATAAGGAAAGTTAAAGACAGTATAACCCGTAGGTGGGGAGGCTCATTGTTGAGATAAACTCATAGTCGTGTTCATGTTGTAGTCCGTGAATTCATTGGTACGGAGGTTTCATTGAGGGTATAGCATAACCCGTTCCCAGTTCATAGAGGGAGGTTGAGGGGGTAAACGAAGAATCATGGTTCATCACCATAGAAAGCATAGAAGCGTCAAAAAAAGAAATCGTTGCAACATCGCAGTGCAAACGTGAAAGGAACGCCAAAGCAGAACGCCAAGTACACCGGCCGTCTAAGTCATGGGCATCAGATAGTAGTAGTCGTGTTGGATTTCATGGGACGTGCACAGTTCAGAGAGCGGAGAGAATCCAAAATCCGGCGGAAGAATGGCTTTTGTTCTGTTGGGTCCTGGATGGGAGCTGGGGAGTGTTGCTCGTAGCACATGGAGGTCAATTGCTCCTTTTCAGGCTTGACGAACTCGGGTGTGTCGGAGCGCTGTCGACGGCGATATTGGGCTTGCATGGCGGCAGCAGCTGTCCAGTCCATTTCGGACTCATTGGCACTATCGTGGAGACTGTTGTGCTGGGAGCGAGGCTTGATCAGGGAGACGGATGATGGGGCAACGAGACGCAGGGTCTGCAAAGGGTGGCCTCTTGTGCCATCACGGCTGGTACTGGGACGGCTGATGCTTGGTCGACCAGTGCTAGGACGGTCAAGGCTGGCACCGCGGAAGCCGTCGGTAATAAGTTCGCCAACGGCATCGTCTGGCATACATGGGAATCGTTCTTGGGTATGGTCATCAAGGACAGCTTGGCGGAGGCGAGGTTGGGACTTGGCCGCACGAAGCTTAGCGCGACTGCGAACCTTTCGTAGGGTGTCAATTGGTTTACGGGAGAGGGACTTGTTGCTGATTGACTCGTTCTCCGAGTCGGATTCCCAGACAGACTGTTCACAGTATGCATCCATGGTGGAGATGGATGGTCGTTCCATGGAAGTAGCAGTCCACTGGCGAGAGATAGGAGGGGAGCTGGCCACAGGGCTAGGAATGGGGCTGGCACCATCATTGGCCGGAATGAACAATGCTTGGTCGAAGTGCGTGGCATGCGGCTCCATGGTGACAGGGTTGATCAAGCTTGGAGGCGAGATCATCGAAGGGTCCAATGGAGGTCGTGTTCCAGGACTGGACTGTTTCCTGCGAGAGCTCATGGAGCTGGAAGCATTGGATAGATTGGGCAATGTAGGGTGCGCCTTTTGCCGTCTTCTTGAGGATGAGGACATACTGGATGTCTCGTACTTCATTGTGATAGTGGATGTGGAGTCGTTGGAGGGCTCGGCAGGAGTAGTAGGGCGAGTGACTGGTGTCAGGGCAGCCACAGGAGGGGGCGGAGGAAGAGAGTATTTGGGAGGTGTCGATGCTTGTTCGTTATATGCCCGGCGAGGCTCGATTTGGATCTGATGGGCGTGGTGGTACAGCTTCTCTGTCGCCTTGAGTACAGCGTCGGGGCAGGATGGGGAGGAATATGTCGATGAAAATGAGCTGCTCGGGGTCAAATCCGGGACAGTGGCGTCAGACTGGACTGAGCTGAAGGACTCCTGGCTACTGTGTAGGGGGCGATGTTCTTCAGTCGAAGATGTGTAGCGGTGGAATCTCAAGCTGTTTTCCAATTGTATTTGCGCGAGGGTGGAGCGATCAGGTCCGGTATACTGTGAAGTATCCTGCTGATGATCCGGAAGGTCTCTCCCGTTGGTCAGGGACAGTGTGTAGTAGTCGCTATTGTCTCCGCTGAATCTATCATCGCGAATAGTCGGGGTATATTGATCAAAATTTGGTGTCGCAGCTAGCGACTTCTCCAGATAGAATGGATCTTGGTTCGACTCTTCCAGGGCCTTGGGGCCAGCTTTTGGCAGGTATGTAGAAGCTTGCTTTGCTGGAGATGGCGATGGCAAACAAATTGTTGTTTGTGATCTATTCGGGTCTTCGTGCAACATGTCCAACTCTCCTGTACAGTGACAATCTCCTAGAGCCATGGACTTTGATTCCGAGGGAAAGTGTGGATACAGTGCAATTGGATGGTCCAGGCAGATGGAAGAAAAAGAAAGGAGAGAATCAGATAGTTGCCCAGAGTGGAGAGAAGGAATGAAGAATGGAGTCGGGGAGCAGGGTGGAAGGGGATATGTTTATACACGGACCAAAAATAACAGCCCCCTCCAGATAGCTGGGCCACTTTCTCCGGAGCCAATGCATGCCAATGCACGTAAACAAAAGAACCGCACAGACGATCATGACCTATCCAACCTTACATGACGTCCCCTTCCGCGTAGGGATGTGCAGCAAGGACCAGTTCGCGGCCTGTCCAGCAAGGGCGCGGAACGCCATCCGTCAGGAAAAAGCACCCGGACTTTTGATCTTGGATCTCTGCATGGAATCTCATCCTGAACCGACGCAGATGTCGGCCATTGGTTTCTTCTGAGAAGCTGAAAAGTAGAAGTGGTCAGTAACACGGGTTCTTCGTACCACTAGAACCACCGCTCACCTGATGGATCGCATATTCAGGTGTTTTTGCTTTCTTTCATGAATCTGAGGGGAACACCGTGCACGCTGCACCCACGGGCAGGAAAGGGAATGTGAGATGTATCAGTCTCTCCCAGGGCCGCGGGTGCTCTTCCCGGATCAGCCACTAACGCCATAACTCCGCTTGATGATCTTCACAAGGCGAAGCCACAACTCGAGTCGAACAAAGTCCCATTCCAACAGGCTCATTCCTGGGAGCCCACGCAACGGCGTTCGACGTGGTGGCCTTCCAGCCTCAACCTCATCTCGTTCTGTAACGTTTCATCGCTCGAATTCTTCGATGCCTTCTACTCTATTCCCTCAAGCCACTCTTTTCTTTTTCTACGTCATTGTTGCTTTTTGGCAGTGGCTGGCTCAACTCTTCAGTATTTCTTTTGCAACCTATGAAGTATACGGTGATGGTGACACCAGATCGACTATGGTTCCACATTACGTGGTTTCAGCTATTCCCAGTACATACATGATCCAACTACGTCCTATCAATTCCAATTCTTCAATTGTCGGCTTCCCCGAGCCCCAGGTCCTAAGTTTCTGTGTGCATCAAGGGTTTTGCCGCTGCGCTAGTGTCCCAGCACAAGCGACTCGTACACGCTTGACACTCGATATATCACATTCGATCGGCACTGGGGCAAACCCGCGAGCCACCCCGTCATTGGCTGAGAAGCAAAGTTTTCAAATCGGACCAATCCAGTTCGACAGACTTTCTGGACTGAGTAGCATTAGGCTGTCAGATTCTGATCTGCTCGAAATGATCCCGGAATAAGCTACTGTTTCTGAAACTGATCCAGATCAATTTACAGACCCTCAACTCGATGAATCGACGGCTCATCCATTTACCCTAGAAACCGATTGTTGTTGGTCCCCACATTCCAATGAAAAGTTAGTCGTGCATTGCATCCCGCCATACAGACGGGGCTCCCCGTCGAATTGCATAGATTACCTTAACAAGTATATATATCTACCGTTGGCGTCCCCAACCCCTGATCGACAAGATCCAGAGCCTCGAATCCCTCCAGTTCATGCGAGTATTGTGCTTGACCGTACTTTGTCACTGCATGGCCCTCGCTTTTCCTCCAAATGTCACATTCCTAACCTGTTGGAGGGTAATCTATTGCAGCCACATGTAGAAAGATTTGATATCTTTCCAAACTGTCATGAACAGTCACGAACATGAAAGTCCGATCGGATCAAGGGTCAGCCCTCGCAGAAAGCCCCCTATGTCATTAAAGGCATATCCCGTCCCAGGAACAGCTTTGAAGGAGGGCTCAATCTCCGAACCCCCGAACCTTTATACCCTAGATACAGGAGACATCAGAGAAAAGACATAATGGCCCTGATCCCCAGACCAGGGACCGGAAAGGAAAGCCTATGCCCCGACAAACTGTCTTTCGTCTCAACCCCCTGATTGGCTACGGGATCTCCGAGACCCCGATCTAGCCAACAGGAGATACTGAAACATCTCACATCCAAAACATCAAGCTCCCGGGGATCTTTAAATGGCCTGCAGGCTGCAAGGCATCCTTGAAACCTACCTGGATATTGGGACATCGCTCCCTTTTCTCGATTCCCGGGAAGAGAGGCGGTGCGTCCGCGGTGCAACGGCATTGCTTGCCGCGAGTCTATCGTTTCCTCGGGACAGGAATCTTCCGACCTTGAAGAGTTCCCTACCCTTGCATGTTCCGCGTACGGGACCCAGTCGAGACCGTCGCGCTTTGTTTACTACCCTTGCTGGATCGTGTGTTTATTTTGAGGGATCTTTCACCAGGACCTTCAGTAGTTCCTAGATGGGGATGTTTCCTCCAGCGTTGCGCGAGGGGCGTTGCAGAGGATGATTTCAGCTTTCGGGAAGTAGGGATTTGGGCGGGATCTCAGGGATCAGATCTAGGCCTTGGGACGTCATGGATGTGGGGCGAGCTATGTGAACAAAGAGACTTCCAAGCTGTCTATTCCGTAGCGTAGAAAGTATAGAGCACCTAGAGCTAGATAGTTATGCCACGTAGATAAGCGACCATTGGCTTAGACGGAGAATTCAGCCACCAATGGCCGATGATGTGGAATGGATTCATCGGTGCGCTTTGATGTGGGGAATGAGCAGTTCGTTCCATGAATCGACCTACGAGCCGGTGCGAATTGAACCACTGGAACCACTGGATCTGATCCAGCATTTCACAGTGTTCCTGTCAATATTACTGTTTTTTGTACTGCAACGTTGTTTTCCTTCATATCTAACAAGCTCACTCAACCCTAGTAAATGTTTGCCTCGAACTCTAGCCGAATCCTTTCAAAGTGGGGAGAAATATATAACGCTATCGATGCCCGACAGCCCGCGCTGCCAACGCATCAATTACACATCAATTAATCCAAGTCAAAAGCGTAAATTACGTTAGTCCCAAAGCCCAACCATGGCACTTGAAATGGAGCTGGCGATCGTGTTTTTCCGGGAATCTGGGAAGTTTGAGTGGTTAGGCTGGAGCTCCTATACTTGAGGCCTTCGGGATTTTCCTTTAGTTTTTCAGCTTTTCTTCATGTCATCATCAGTGCTCCCCTTTGCTCCCACGCATTCCGCTTTCCTATCCTATTTCTGATCGTCTTCTGTGTGACCGATCTCGTTCAGCTGCAGGCAATTATTGAACTGCTTTTTCCGGAAAAGCCCGACGCTTCCAATTTGGACTTGCGCGACTTCCAAGGTTACGAGGATTCCAGGGTTCACGAGAATCGTGGATCAAGATCTGTGAGATAAATTTATCTGGTGCTTGAGATCAGATACAGCTGGCCTGCAGGATTGCATCAGCCCGCAACAGCTGGAGCCGTTGAACATTCCAGTCGCCATTCCGCGGGATATCCGCTAGGGCTTCCATTCCAATCACTGTCGACTGTGTCCTATGCTCATTTCCATTTTCTCGTCAACTTCAATTTTATCTTGGGCCGCACTGTGCAGCTGGATCGTTGGCGCTTCATGATCCCCGAGACACGTTTGGTGCGCTGCAGCTGCCGCTGCGGCGAACCCCAGCCATCTTAATTAACCAGCCACCACGCCCTCGCAAACTCCTTGGCCTTCCGTTCCCTTCAGCCCTCCAAGTTACGCTCCTAATTGATTCGTTTTACACGCTTCGTTTTCCTACATAATTCAAGGGTTCAATTCTGAAGCCAGCTGGCTGCAGATACCGAGTCCCGATCTCATCGTTACTTCCGCGATCGCGATAGATCGACTTTAACGCCAGTGACGGATAAAGCTCGCAGTTTTGTCCAACCTTCCTCCGTCCCATCTACAATTAACAGACGTGTCTCGACACACTCGTCAACCGTCTAACGAAGTCCACGATAATCACGACCAAGCAACGTTCACGACCTTTGCGCGCCAGCGCCAACCAACTGCACATCGTCCTTCATCCTCCCATTCAGCCGATTACCGTCCCCCTTCGGCCAGTGGTTCCCAGCGGACCTTGCGCCGGGTTCGCCGCCAGCCAGAGGTAGCTCAATTGCCTCATCGCCGAGCATTCTCCCTCGATCACTCCACAAGACAACCTCCGCACCGTCCCCCGGCGCATTCCATCCCAGCCTCCGCACACCGAGCTCCAGACCGGGGAATCGCTGCCCTACGGCCAGCTCATTCTGAAGTGCATACAGACGAGAACGGATCGACTATCGACGATCCGTATCAGCTTCTCAACGCCTCGTATTGGCCGCGGAGAACCACCGGTGTCTCATCACGCACTGCGTCGGCGATTCTCTTTGCTCTCGAAGACGCCATCCGTCGTCCGATCCCTTTCACACTCGATTGGGCAGAAGTGAATGCTTCTATGTCAGATATGGTAGGCGTTGCTGGTCCCGCCGGGCCCGTTCAGAATGGATCGCGTGCACCCCCAGCTCCTGCGTCAGGTCCGTCGCAACCTCCCAGTGGGATGCGCACACCGACAGATATCATGAGACAACGCCGAGATCGCGAGGCACGCCGCAAAGCCGAGCAGGAGGCTCGCGAGAGGGAGCAGGAAGAGGTGGAGAGACAGCAGTATGAGCAAGAGCAAGCTGCTATCCAAGCTCAGGCCCAGGCCCAGTTTGCTGCTGGCGCCACTGATCCAGCTTCCCAGCGTCGAGCGCGGGTGCCACGTCCTCCTAGAGGGCCGGAGGGCCAGTTTGAAGGCGCCCCTGGTACTGCTCCGGCACCCGCATCGAATATCCGAGGTACTGCGCCACCTGCGCAGGCCAGTCGAGTAGATTATGCAAACCAACCGAATCCCGCGAGCCAGCAGCAGTTTGTCCCATCTGTTCCACCACCTCGTGCGCAGAGTGCCACGGCGGCTGGTACGGGTGATCCCACTGGAACGAGCGGGTTCTCCAAGCAGGCTCAAGCTCCTGCTACTCAGCCTGGGGCACCGCAGTCCCTTCAACAACCGCAACGTGTCTCATTTCCTCATGCTTTTGAGAGATGGGAAACCCTATCTTCACACTGGGAGGGACTGACCAGCTACTGGGTCAGGAAAATGGAGGAAAACAAGAATGATGTGGAATCAGACCCCATTAGTAAACAGCTTGCCCGCCAGATCACCGATCTGTCAGCCGCGGGTGCCAATCTGTTCCACGCCGTGGTTGAGCTGCAACGTTTGCGCGCATCCTCTGAGCGCAAGTTCCAGCGCTGGTTCTTCGACACTCGTTCCGAGCAGGAACGAGCAAAGGAGGTACAAGCAGACCTGGAGCGACAGCTCAAGGCTGAACGTCAAGGCCGTGCCGATGCCTTCTCTACTGCCCAAACTGCCGAGCAGGACAAGGCCCATGCAGAGCAATTGCTCAATGAAATGCGTCGCGAACTCCAGATCTCGAAAGAAGAGGCCCGTCGAGCCTGGGAGGAACTTGGTCGCCGCGAACAAGAAGAGCGCGAACGCACCAACTCCCTACGAAACGGAGAGCCCACCCTCGTCGGTGGTGTCCAGGTCGTCCCCATGGTCCAAGGCGTTCCCAGCCGCCACACTCGTCCCCAAACTCGCGAGGGTCCATACCCCGGCGGGCCAACAGCTACAACCATGGGCAGCGAGTACCAGGCCAAACCCACCGACCCATCCACCGGTCCTTCCTACTACGATGAGGGCCCTATGTCCCCAACAGGCTCTGATCCCTTCGTAGAGCCCAAGAAACCTCAATCCAGCCAAGCCCCCTACACCGGCGAGATGTATTCCCACGAGACCACCGCCGCCTACCCTGGTCCCCCAACCTCTGAACCAGACGACCGCTCCTATGTCAGCAGTGAAGCCGGCGAGGAAGAATACGGCCGTTCATATGGACACCAAGCCCCTCTCTCGGAGGCAAGCGATGAATATGACCAGTCCCCCGCCGACGAACGCCATCAGTACGTCACTGATGGCGCGTACACCTCTGCCGGTAGCTCCGCGTCAGTGCCGGCCCCGTACCCACCCACCACGGGTGCGGACTATAGCGGCTCAGGATGGGGCGTCGGAACCGGCTGGGAAGCTGTCACACCCAGACACCGCCATCCTACACGGCTGAGCGATGTCCTCGAGGAGGATGAGCCGAGTCGCACGAGTCCCAGCCGCGCCAGCCAGGCGAGCAGGAGTATGCACGGGTTCTGAGGTGCAAGAGCATAGTGCCTGATAATTATCCTGCATTCACAGGAATCCTCCCCATGACTACTACCACTATATCCTGATTCTTGTTTCTTGTTTTCTTCTTGGGGATGCGGTGCAATGTGATGCGATGTGATGCGTACATAGAAGAAAAGTGGTCGGTGTATCCATGTTTGTTCCACAGCATTTATCTGAAGCGTCTTCTTATTCCCTTTTCTTTTCCCGTTACCCCTTACTCTTTTCCTTGTGTGCGATTTATACTCTTTTCTGCTGGCGCTTTCGTTTTTCCTTTGTTTGCGATGAGCATTAGTCAATGGTGATAATGATAATTGCCTATTTGGTCCACTCTAGTTCTACGGTTTCTGTAAGAAAATTTAGCTATCGCATCTATTTCGAGTTTGGAAGGAATATCTATCGATGACCAGGGCTTCAAGGATGGCCAATTCATGGGTGAAATGGGAACTGAAGGGGTGTTGCGTAGGTGTGTAGGGGCTCGAAAACCGACATGGCTTGCCCTATTTTCTGTCAAGATCTTCATTTTCCAAGATTGTAAATCATTCCATTCAGTGCGCAAAACAACCTTGCCCAGAACGTTAAGATTCGATGAGATCGAGAGCTTCAAATGTTTCCTAGGGCTCATGGACATACCTACCTAGTAGGTACTACAACCTTTGAATGCTCGTGAATGTACTACGTACTTCCTACCTTGGGCTACCCAAGACTCCCACACATGTGCATGTGCACGTCAGTTGATGCATAATTTGACATTCTTCTTGAAAATATTGCCTGAAATAATCAATCCTTGTACTGTATATTCAATCTGGTGTTGGCATCTCGAAGTCTAATGTTGGAAGCAGGATGCAGCGGTTACATATATAATCCACTAGCCGCTATTTGCTTAGCAACCCGCAGATATGTAGGAGTCAAGGCGCATCCATCTCACAAACGATGATTGAAAGAAAAAAAAAAAAAAAAGGAAATCAACAGACAGATCTTAAGCCAGTAACTTTACAAAATATAGAATATACAAGGTACCTGGACAAGTCACAGATACTTCCTCGGGGCCGCATCACATACTTCAACACCACGCCCACAATAACACTACGTGGATAACACATCCATCAAAGCCACACTAATCTATAGAGAAAGTCTTGGAAAATAAAAACTATAAGCCAAAAAAAGACCAGTCTCGGTATTTACCCCGGCCGAAGCTGGATCCCGCCCAACCTCCTGTATTATGAGCCGCTGAAACGAGGACCGGGACCATTCTAGCCAACGCGCGAGTCCCAAAATAATTTGGTCAAGTACTGCCGAGGAATGAACCATCCATTAGGTCAATAGGGCTCATGTTTGATAAATTTCCGGGACCTTCATGCTGAGGGTGCATTCGTTAACTTCCTTGACTGCACCTCTGTCCGCCTTCTTTACCTTGTGCTCTGTACCCTACACTCTTTATTTCTACCAAGTTTTTTGTGTTTCTATCAGTTCATGTTCATTAAGCATTCCAAGTTAATAGTTGAGATATTGTATCACCTCCGAAAGCTGTACATTAAGCATACTAAAAACAATGATAAACCCCAATCTAGCCGCTTTTACTCGTGGAACAAGAACCCGATTCTCTCCTCTCCAAACTCCTATCCTCCGACTCATCAGAATGAAATCCCTGACTAGCACCCCGTAACTCTTTTTCAAGAGCCTCGGTCAACGCATGAAGTAACCATTGCACCTCGGTCTTCTCACCAATAATCGGATTCCTCTTATCAAGCCAGCTCCACTGTTGAAACTCGCGTTGTCGTTCGTCATCACTCGTGCTCATATCTTTATCAGCTCCAGGCCGATGTTTCCCCGATATGAGAGCAAGATAGTATTCCCACTCGAGATAATCAAATTCCTTTTGCATGTTATCCCGAGTATACTGCATCAATTTTTGGATTTCCTGGAAGAGAAGGTAGTGGTAGTGATGTAAGTTTGCACTGCTGATGTCACCACGAGCGCTGGCTGATTCTTCGCGTTTATGCTCTACCGTTTCGAGCGCGTGGTGAACTTGAGAGGTTGCCTGTTCGGGGTCATTGGTGGCTTTTTCATCGTCGAGTATGGCCTGGGCGTCGGATTTCTCGCCAACTGTTTCTTGGACCCATTTTTCGGTCCAGGACATGCGGAAGATATCTTTTAGGCGTTCCAATAAAGGCTCATCGCCGGGAAGAATGGTTATTTCACCGATGTACAGTGTTAGATCGCGGATGAAGCGGACGATGGTGTCGCCGATACTGGAAATGAGAATTGTGATTGTGGGGACGGCGAGCAAGGACCAGAAGACAAAAAACGCCTTTCCTAGACTGCTGCGGGGGTAAATGTCACCGTATCCGATGGTCAAGAGGGTCGTGTAGGCGAAGTAGAGTGCCTCGAAGTATGTCCATGCTTGGTATTTTTCTGACTGCCAGAATACCACCGCGCCGATAAGCCACATGGCCATCCATACCAGAAAAGAAGCAATGAGGGAAATCCACTTGTGTTGCACAGTAGCGATTTGCCGGACTCTTCGCATCGTAATAAATTCTCGTCTACGTCGCTCCCGCGGACTCATCCCCGCCACTTCTTGCTGATCAGACGGTAGGTCTGGTACGAGAGAACGCAGTCGATTGTTATCTGAGGTCGCCTCCTTCACAAGGAACTTGCGTGTGCGTGCAGCCAGGACGTCAGCCATCTTTTGACGTCCCCGCTCCAGCATCAGAGTTCGGATAGACGAGATGATCAGACCAAGAACCAAAATGCCGCCAACAGCGTATGGGAAGAGCAAACCCCGACCAAGATGAGTAGAAGGGGCAAAGTTGCCAACACCGATGGTAAGCAGGGTATAGTCCGCCCAGTAAACTGCATCTAAAAACCGCCAGCCCTCAACCTTTGCATATACCGCAGCGCCCGCAAGCAAATATATGACAAATATAATCGTCTGGAGCATCAGGGTTCGCTGGCTGTTGCTCAACTTGTAGTCACGGCTGTAGTGGCCTGCATGAGCACCGTATGCAGTGACCGTTGATAGGCACGCGATGATAAAGTACATCCCCGCCGCAAAAGTTCCATAGAAGTATGCCTGAGTGTAAAGATACTTTGAGTTCTCGGGCTTGTACATCATCACTCCAAATGGGATAATGATAGCAATTAGCAGGGCGGAGGAAACAAACCAACCGACCACGATAATTGGCTGGGCAAGTGAAAATCGAACCCGACGCGCCATATTCAGCGACAGGAATAGGTTGGCGATTAAAGCAGATACTAGTGAGAGTGCATTCACAGCGACAACCCTGGAGAAAGTGTCATTGGATACACGCTTTGTGGGGTTGGATTTGACCAATCTTACCATTTTGGATCAGCAATGTTCAGATACCCATCACGATCATCTGGCATCATTCGCCATGTTTGCGCTAGACAACATACGTTGAATGCACTGGCCATTGGCCCAAATGTCCCCTGCATAGAAATTAGTATTTGCAATTTTTGACCTACCTATATGGATGGTACATACCGCTGCCAATGGATAGACCGTGCTCGCAAGCCACCATCGAGCTGCTACCGGGGATGAGTCTAGTTGACGTTGCTTTTTATCGGTACCGCCAGCACTACTGGTGTCTTCTGGCTGGGCCTGAGAGGAATACTGATCCAAAGCATTTGCCTCGTCGGCGATGGCATCGTCAAGTCCAGGGTCGTTCATCTTGTAAAGACCCACTTGAATCTTTGGTCGTATAGATTGGAAGACGCAAGATTATGCAAAGCAGAGGACATGCAACCCCCGGTGGCGAGGGCATGATTTAATGAATAGGGGCCGTTAGGCAGTGGAGAAACCGTGCACCGTGAATAAGATTAGTGGCGCACCCCCAAATCAAGCTTTATGGCAGGCGTGGCCGTCATGATCGACATGAGGAATGCGCGATCTGAGACTCGGGGAAAAGTGGATCATAACGTCATGTCACGTGAATCAATATAGATCCATGGATCTCTCAATAGGAACAGTTAAATGCAAGTAGATCCTCATCTTAGCGACCAGGATTGAGCAATTACGTAGGAACGAGATGGAAAAAGGTGCTTTTGATTCCGGATAAAAAGCCATAAAACCGATGTCTGTACATCCTATCAACCCGCTATACATTCCGGTTGGATAGAATCCATAAAAGGAGAGCAGAGCCAGCTTCTGCCCTCACAAGCCAAGAAAATGCAACAGAGGTGCAGAGTCTGGGAAAATGCACCATGGCGATAGAGAACATGAGAGGAATAAAAAACCGCCAGGGAGGGTAAATCAAAGACCCCAAACTCCGCTCTTCGTAATGACCCGCATTGCCATGAAGTCGAGGTGAAGAGAAAAATTTACAAATCATTCAAAGTGGTCGAGAAATTAGAAATGGGTATCGCGTGAAAGGTAACGTCGGAACATGCGGAATGGGGTTGGGAACCACTCATTACGGTTCATCAAACTATCTAAATGTTAGCACCGTACTTTCTCTGCTGAAAGAATTAAATGGACTTACAGTGGGCTGCTCCAGGAGTGAGAGCCGAAGGGATCTGGGGAGCATTTTGAGGTGAAGGTCGGTGGTCGAAACGAGGATCGACGTCCTCGTAGTAAGCGGTACCCGGATTTGTTGTCGCATGCACCGGAGATGGAGGAAGGCGAGGTGACAGAGTACGACGACCATCATTTGCACCCCATGCGGCACGAGCAGGAACGAAAGAACTGTTATATTTGGTTAATAGGGATGGCCAGAAATATGATCGGAGATAGCTTACTCAGTCCGGCTGTATAAGCTGGTCGGACTCTCGAGGGGCATGTGATGACCATCCACAGACATAGCATGTGGATGAGAATCGGTGCTCATGGCCATTGAATCATGGTGATCGGCGTTATACCGAGGCTGGGGTGTCATCTCAATCGCTTGCCCGACGGCCTCGGGCGACACTGCCATTCCAATGGGTCCGGGAGAAGGCTCGCGCATCACCGCCACTCCAATCTGACTAGGGGAGGGTTCGCGCATTGGGGCAACAGCTGCCATGTCTTGAGGCTCATAGTGATCATCGACAGGCAAAGGTCGGCCATACGCATCAAAGCCCCGGCTGGGACCAGTGACGTACCCATAACCGCCACGAGGAGCCCCACGAGGAGCCATGCCACCACGTCCTCGTGGAGGCATTGGGCCCATATAACCGCCACGGCCCCGCGGAGGACCATTGTAAGGTCCGCCCCGGTATGCACCTCGGGGAGGGTATCCACCTCGTCCACGCGGAGCGTACCCTGGTTGAGCGAATCCAGGCGGGGTGCCTTGTCGGCCGATACTACCATCAGAATACTGAGAACGGAGACGAGGGTCAGACGGGTTGCGCATCATTTGACCAGCATCGGGGCCAGCGCCATAGGGACCAGTAGGAGGTAAACCTTCGTCCTGTGCACGGTATGGGGTTCCACGGCGGCTCGGAGGCAGAGGGACATCATTCAATGGGGTACGAGTATTAAGCGGTGTACGATCATCGTCGCTTTCGCGAGTATTGGTACGGAATGCGGCAAAGGCTGGCTCTTCAGGGGGCGATCCGGAAACCATGGCTTCCTTCGTATCAGGGATTGGAGGGGGATCATTGACTATTGCGGCGGCTGCTGCATTCTGTCGGTTGTAGTAGTTCTCTCCGCTCATCTCTGCGTTTTCCGCAATGCGGTTCTTCCGGGCCTTGCGACTGACGAGAGTTCGGCGCATGGCGCAAGTCACGACCGCGCAAGAGACGAGGAGAATGGTCGCCGCAAGCACAATCCAACCACCCCATTGCAAATGCGGCACGAAGAGCAAGATATCAACCAGGAAGGCCAGAAGGGTGACCAGAAGCGTAGGTAGGAGGAGGATGAGCAGGGCCAGTAAAAAACGTGGAGAATGCGAGGGACCATGAAAGTGGGCCGCGCCGGCTAGGCAGAGACAAACAAGGTTTAAGAAGGCAGCGATAGGATGCACAATCAGGATGGCCGAGAGCGATTTGCGGGTACTTGAGGGGAGGTCGAATTCATTGCCATCATTTGCTGGGGGAGGCTTAGCAACGATCTAGGCAGAAGCCAGACTAAAAAAAGAAACAAACTTGGAGACTCACTGCTTGTGTATCCCACATGGATGCCAGTGCATTTGTTTCCATCGCAGTATCCAAAAACACCGTAGTCAACATTTTTATAGGTTGCAAGAGGAATGCCTTTCACGATGGGGGTCGAAATGCAGGTGATCAGCATTAGCGCAAAGGCGATCAAAAGCAAGACGGTGAGGGGTGTCGCGGGCTTAAGCAACATGATGAGGGGGAAGGGCGGCCGTTTGCGCCCTTTCTCCAGTTGCCCCGAGAGCGAGAGAAATCAAGTATCGATGCGTAGAGTCGAATTAAGGTGAAGTTGGTGAAGTTGCGAATCAGCCCAGCTTTGACATGGACATTGCAGGTCTCCTGAGATTGAAAGAGTGAAGAGGAGGGGAGTATCGGTATACGGTATACAGCAAGTCGAGAGGATGAAGAAAGGAGCGAATGAAAAGGGAAATGAGGGGAAAGGACTAAAGGAATGAAAGAAAGTGGTTGCAGATAAGCACAAGGTTTCCACTGCGGAGGCGAAGAGAACGAGCGCTACCGTGGTTTGTGGCCTCAGGCAACTGATCACATTATCTCTTCCCCACCTTCAATGTCTATCTTTGCTCTTAGGCTCTCTACTGCTATTCTCCGTTACTTCGCCCCTTGATTAATCTTTCTGTCTGGTTTCAAACTGGAGAAAGACTAACTGCAGAATACAGATGCCTTTCGCCCATCTACCCGTGTCGGAGTTGCTTCGGGATCCCATGGGCCGGATGCGCCAAGCCTTTTGGAATCGCGAATTCCCCTCCTAATGGCGCATGCGGTTGGATGGCTAGGGGCCACTTTAGGGGCCACTTTGCCGGAGATTGTAGCGTGGCTATTACGACTCGCCCCACCATCGATCGCGAAGATTGGATTAATTGGTTGAGAGTGCTCCTCTATCTATTCTGCAAGATGGATAAACGGGGGAAAAAAAAAAAGCGCAGACTTTTCCTTTTCGCGTGGGGGGTTCCGCGCATGCTTGTCCCGCGGGTAGAGCTCTCGCCACTGCGCAACTTGAAAGTCTAATATTAATATGCCTTCGCCTAAATTAGCAAGTACCCGGGCTAGATCCGGCGACGAAGATGAAACGAGATCTGCGCCGTTTGAAATATATCCGATTCACAAGCGCCCTTTGTTGGAAGATCTGACAGCTCCATTTCAACATACGTCATGCACATTTTCCAGTTTCGACAGCTTCGGTTTCTGGTATACTCTGTACAGTATGACATGGCCAAAGCAGTCAGCGTCGTGGACTTCATCCCAACCTGAAGTGGTTGCGACCCACGGACCACTGACAAATGAAACATGCCGCAGTCCGACGGGGGGCGCTAGCCGTTCCTTGAATAGCAAGCTTCTTAGCCCCGGACCCAGATAAGATTTGCGGCACAGAATTATGGGGAGACGTAAGCGAGCTATCCGTGACCAGTCGGCTATTTGAGCTTGATCTATCATTCCTCGCGTGGTCTGCATTTAGGCGGGACTATGTTAAGCTTATGATGATGCTTGGAAGGTTGGTCATTCCTTGGCCAGATTATTCGATCCCGTGCCGTCAGGTCGACCAAGCCCGAAGGAGAGTCCTTTCTGGGAAGGGTTACACGAGCAATGGTGTTGCAATATTCGGAAGAACAAAGGTGTTGATCAATCTAGGAACTCAGTTTAATCTAACTTGCGTCTTGCCAGACGGCTGTCCACCTACCAATATTCTTTAATTCTGATCTGTCCCTACATGTAGAGACCGTATCGAGCACTCTACCCTTGCCGGGCTGAGTACCTGGCATATACCGACAGAACAAGCAAGGAAGCAAACAGCCGTTGATAATTTAACTATCCTTGTGATGCGACATACGATGTTGCGTAACCCAAATATCTAGATGTCCCATGTCCCCGAATGCTTAAATTGCTTGAGACTAAAAAAGCAAGATGCCCAGTTTTGCAACATCTTGCACTCAAATCTCCATATCAAGCAAAACCTGAGTCTGGAGCCTCAAAAAGGTGGAAGACATTTATCGAGCCCCTTGCATAGATCCGATCCCAATCTCAAACGCAGCCAATTGATCCCTTGACTATGCGCTGCCTCTGGAGGTTATGGCCATGGGCAAAGCGGCAGAAGCCTTACGATGAGGAGGACTCCTCTCTATTATGCGGAAGAACAACAATAATTCAGTCTTGGGAGCTGGCTCTAAAAAATGACTCACCAGGTAATGTACCGGAGTCAAATCTGCGAGAACGCTATGTTAGGTTTGGGATTGGAGGAGCTGGGAACCTGCGCAAGTTCTGATTCCCTTTTCTTAGCTTCTGTTAATAGCCTTGACACTGACTTGGACAGAGTTTTATCGCATAATGGGCAAAGTATCCACCCGATCGCACGATGATGGCGTTGTTGAATTCCAGTTAGGGTTGAGTTGGGAGAAACAAGAAATATCTATACATCCATTTATAAGATTGCCTATAGCCAGAAACTTCAAAATATTAATGAATTTACTTCGTCTTCTCGGATTATACGAGGAATTTCCGATCAGCCCTTGGAAACCCTGAAACGTCTCCTATTCCAGCTCATTTTGATTGCGACAACCATCAATTTTAACAATATATTTATCCAAGTTGTACGACACTAATGTCCAATACCTAGATTTAATTTGAAAGGCGCTAGAGATATGTTTAGCTGTTAGCCGATGATGTTGTCGAGACTGGCTCTGATGACTTGTCTTGGGCATCCAACACATTTCGGCCCCAGCAAAAACAAACCAATGTATCCCAGACAGGCCTCGGGAAAGACCAATTAAAACAGCATGATCAACTAAGAATGTTTCTTCCTGTCAACCTCAAGTTTTCACCCAACAAGAAACCCCTCTGTCCATTTATATAGGTGGCAGCCTCGTGTTTTCAAACCCCAGGCGGGTAGTCAGGACAGTGGCCCAGCCACGCTGTGCCAGCAAGGGAGAAGAGACAAATTTACATACTATTTCGGCCTAATGTGTTTGGATTTTAAATATTGTGTCAATGATTTTGTGAGACCCTGCTTTGGCCACAATATAGGGTAAAAATCAATTGTTTTGGGAACTCAGAGCCTTCCTTGAATGATGTAGTTCAGAGTGGTATATGACATTCCGACCGAGGATCACCAGCTTATACTCGGCGTTATGTTTGAATAGATATATTGGATCAAGTCTAATAAGCCCAAAGAGATATACTGATAAACAATAAGCAAGTATTTGGTGTGCAAATACGAACACAAAGGTTAAGCTTCAAGTTATCCATGGTTGGTAGCGGGAATCGGGCCGCGAGTCAACACGACGTCAGGCAGATCATCTTAGCTAGTTTTTCTCTAATTTTAATTAGTGAACTGTCAAAAAGTTTATGATCTATCAAATCAACTGTCTAGCTTGATAGCCTCTTTTGTCTCAATCCTCCTTATTGGTCTGTTGGAGTCAGGTTGGGTGGTGGCTGGGGGAGGCTGGGAGATGTCCACCGCAAGACTGACAGCCAAACAAAAGCCCACTCGGCTGCACCTTCAGAGATTTCCAGATCATCACTGACTGGAGATTCATTGGAATGCTTCTCGATTAATTATTTTTGTGAGTGGAATCATCTGCCCAGCAGCGACCGACATGTCGAATTTGCCCGGTCCACGAAACTTTAGTCTACGAAACGTCAACTGTACGAACAATCCGTTGAGTCCCATTTTAAATATGAGGACCGGGGACGGCCTCGAGTGCTTCGTCTGTAAATTGTGTGTACTGACTACCTCCCAGCAAGCAAACCTCAAGTCTACCGAACGAATTCAGCACAGTCTGTCGCTGCATCAGACGATTACTATTCTTTCTCAGACCGAGTCTCCTCAAGTGAAGAAAGTCGTGTAACTGCAATGCGCTACGCTACTCCTGATTCCCGTCCGTCGTCCCAGGCGTCATCACCGACGGCGTCACGGACACGGCCGGGAGTTATTGAAGAGCTACACCACCTAGTGCAACCTGCTCAGGAACCAGGCTCTCCTCGTCCGCCAACAGAAAGCACAGTTCGCTTTGGAGAAGACAGAATCGCTCGTATCAGCCCCAAGTCCGACGAGACTGTTCGTCGTGTACCCAGGAGTGACGAATATGCCGGCCCAGCACCAACCCCTGGGATGGATGACACACCATACGTCCAATTCGCACTCAATCAACTTACCCGCGACGAGGAAGTGAGTGGAGTAGGCCGACAAGACTCGGTCTCTACTAACAGAGACGAGTACCCGGGTGATCGTCTAGTCTGGGATGCGGGACTTGGTTATTTCACTCGCACAAGAACCCCCATCCGATACACTGAAACACCTCAACGACCCACGTACAAGTCGCCATCACCACAGGCCTTGCCGCAAAGACCAGACTCCATTGATCCTGAGTCGTTCGTGGCTGTTGACCCTCCAGAGCAAAGTCTCATGTACCCTGCTCTTGATTACCTGCCACTCGTCCTTCGATCATGGGCTCTTCTTTTGGCTGTATTTACCTGCTGCCTCATGATTGCCGGGATAGTGTTTTGCAATATCTGGTCCAAACGACACAAGGGAATTTGGGAATATGATGGCAAAGGTGGCGGCCGGTATTTTGTGATGCAATTTCTTCCACAAGTTCTAGCTGCACCTATCATCATTTGGACCTTTGTGATTCAGGCCGCAGTATACCGCGTGGCGCCTTTTGCTATTATGGCTGCGGAGAGGAAAAAGGGAAATGTGCTACAGGGATTGCCCATTCTTCCTCGAAACTTCATCCTCCCCGACTTTTCCCACTTTCGATATGGCGAGCCTCTTTTTGGCTTTGTTTTGTTCACGATCTGGCTGTCAAACTTCTTCTCCATTCCTCTTATCAGCTGTCTTTTCCAAGCGAAATACTACACTATTGATGGCCAAGGAATATGGAAGTGGACTTCTGTGCAGAGCGTTGGCTGGACTCTTGTTGGATCTTACGGACTCTTGACTATCGGTCTGCTGCTCATCTTTCTCAGATTCGTTCGTGGATGGACTGGTTTGATGTGGGATCCTGTCTGCCTAGCGGATCTTATCTCAATCATTCAAAGATCCAACATTCTTCACGACTATGAGCACTCTGAGACTGTTCCAAGTGTCCGGGAAACCCTCGACTCCCGAGTCCTTCGTTTAGGGTACTGGAAGTTGTCCATGAAGCCCGAAATCTTCTATGGTGTTGGTGAAGTTGACGCACCAATTCGCACTCCTTCGCTGCATCAGACAGAGAAAAACCGAGAGAAGCAGCCGCAAGGAATGACCAAGGTTCGCTTCGACCTCGAGAACAATGGAGGAGTTTCGTGCGACCAGCACCTCTACTCCCCTGCTGCTCGCTACCGCTGGACACCCTGGTTCTTGCGCCGCGCCTCCGTTATCAGCTGGGTTATCATCGTCTTTGCCCTATTCATCGCATTCGTGACCGTCAGCTTCGTCAACAACGCCATCAAAAGCGGCTTCCCCCCCAAACTTCCAACCTTACCATCGACAAGCGCATTCTCCTCCTCCAACTTCCTATACAGCTTTATCCCTGCCCTCATCGGCAACTTTCTCTTCCTTGCTTTGCAGCCAATTGACCTCTACTTCCGCGCCCTTCAACCATTCGTCGAGCTCTCCGCCCCTCACGGTGCTGCAGCAGACAAAAGCATCCTTCTCGCCTACCCCTCCGCCCTCCCCGTCCAAGCCACAATGCAGGCTCTCATCAATGGCCACTGGAAAGTCGCCTGGTTATCCTTCATAAGCCTTGTCTCCATCGCCATCCCCATCATCGCCGGTGGGATTTTCATTGCACTCTGGTATCCCTCCGACAATGATGTTCGGATTTCGGCCTTGATGCCAGCTTACTACGCTCTCATCGTATTCTGTGCTATATACGCTATATCTTTCACGGCGACCTGGCCTGGTCGTCGCTGCTATCTCCCTCACGATATAGCTACCCTTTCTGATCTGATGAGCTTTCTCTATCAATCACCACTCCTGGCTGACAAGTTGCTCCGTGAGCCAAGGAGCAAAACAGACCTCGTTACCCGGCTCATTGTTGCGCCGCCTTCGGAACGTCTGCGGCCCATGTACGGATTTGGTATATATGTTGGTCGCGACGGGAAAGAGCATCTTGGTATCGATCGCTTCGCGAGACCTGGTCGTACTGATATGTTGATTACGACTGGCTCGATGAAATAATTCCGTTTTTTGATATTTTTGCATGCTTTTATGTTTCCATGATATGCATTTTCCTTATGAGCGAATGATCTAAAACCTCTGTTGCATTTGTTGTCTCTGTTTACACCGTTATGATATTTTGGTTCATGTCCACGTTTGAGCGTGTTTGTCTTTTTCTTGCTCCTTTTTGCTTCCAAGGTTATGTAAAGCATTTTCGGCGCTGTTGCATTGGTATGCTTGTTTTATGTCTCGGACTCTTAGCGCTGCACAAATGCGCATGGCAGATAGATTAATAATCTAGAGCAGAATTGAAATTCAGGGTTTATTCACCACTTGATGCCGTTTCAATGTAGTTCCTGTGACATCATTGAAGTGGAAAACAAAGAGACGCAAACAGCAAAGCTCTATTTGCACATGCAAGAGTGTCATTTTTGATGTGATACACAATGATGTCGAGTCTATGGCATCAAGACGCAGAGAATCATGCTCCCACGCGAGATGGTCTTTCAAGAGTCGCCCAACTGCGCTTCCCCGCTCCATATTCTAAGTCAAGGAACAAGGTTCCTGAAAAGATCTCCGATGAGAAGGCAGGTGTGATCAAGGGAGTGGGCTTCATCAGGTAAGAATCTTCAGCTCGGCACGTGTCCCGGGACCCTCCTAGGCCCTTGGACACCTACAAGGAAATCACGCACACCTCACCAAGACACCTACTAAATTCCTTGAACGTGCCCCAATTCCTCTTCCCGGTGTTGATTGCGCACCTGCTTTCCTGCACCGCAACGCACGCCGGCTGATGAAGACTAACGGTCATCTTGCAGGTCTGCACGAATCCATCAAAAACTCGACATCGACGATCCAGATATCGGCACTCGTCCTAGGTAACTTGATGAGGCAATTTGAGATGAATGAATCGATGAAATCTAAGCGAGTGCATGTACAATTCCAGTCATCCTTTACAGTGAAGGGTTTCGAAAGCATGGGTCTGACCGTGCAGCATTCCGCGTGGAAAAGTGTTACACCAACGACCACCGATACAGATTGACTGGGACCTGCTAGACGGTGAGAGCGAGGAAAACACGAAATCTTGGGCTGAAATTAAATGCCACTTCAGCATTCAAGTTGTTCACAGTCAGTGCGTTAGAGCAGAATGAATATGTGCCCTGTGGTTCGCCAACAACAAAGCCTGCTGCTCCACTTGCTGCGCCACTGACCCATGTCTGTGATTTCGTTCCATATCCAGAAGGCTCTGAGAAGCTAAAGTCCAACTCCTCAATAGTTGAATATGTAACAGCATTAGACCTTTCTTGAAGGGTGGTTTCTGGGCATTGTTCTCCAGAGTCTCCACACTCCATTAAGGAGAATCCCTGAGTCCACGCATGGATCCTTCCGTCGGGTAGACGCCGCACAGTGACGTTCATTGGCTGATCAACTGCGTGCACAAAATGCCAGTCATATGTAAGGGCAATGGTGTTGACGAAGTCATATACTGCGCCCTCTTCTGCCCAGTGAATCATCTGGACTGTACCAGGGTCACGCTTAACAGGACTTATATCAGCAGTATATTGCCCAGAGCCTCCATGTGCAGATATGAAGACATTGGCTCCAAACAGCAACGCTGCTGCAATACATCCTTTTGCTGCTTGATCAGGAAGCACATAAGAGCATGCAATCCAGGCAAAGCCAGTGACATAAGATGAAGCTGACACATACCACCTAAATCCAAGAGCATAGACTACACGCACCATGCCAAGGGATAAGAGTGATCCCAATGGGATGGCAGACGTGAGCCCCAGGATCAACCTCTTGAACCCCATTCTGGAGGAGACAAATAACTATGAAGCTCTTTAAATGCCTTAACACAAATATAGAAAGCAACTCCACACACGAAGAATGCTAGTGCCCTTTCAAGCTCAGGGCCCATAATAAAGCGGATGGAACCAACTCAAAACCAGTGTAGGAAGATAGACCTTATATAGTAGACTATGCGTAAGTCAGTATTCGTTATCTCTTAGGAAAGATATCTCAGATATGGCCCCTAATTCGGGGACTGACTAGCCCTCCCTTTCTAGTAGAGACTAATAAAGTCTCCTGCCCTTTTTGGAGATGAAGCCGAAGCGGGGTATGTTACATCAACATATACTATAGTGAAGAGTTTACCGATTATAGCCTGTGTCGATAAGATCTCCGCCAATACTGTAGCATAGAAGCGCATGTGGCTGATTTAGCTTGGTTTACTCAGAACACGAGGAGTTTCAAATTGCTTACAGCCCCACCATATCGAGATCGTTGGATTTCGTTCGCCTTGAAAACCTTGAACATGACCATGGAATCATAAAACTATCCCCTATAAAAAGATCTCCATTCTCCCGATGGCACTCGAGGCCCAGCTTTCTGGTATTTATGAACGCGCCGCGGCCAGGTACCAGGAAATCACCGATGGCAAGCTAGATGCCAAATTTCTCCAAACGGTCCAGACTGTCGATGAGCTCACGTAAAAGATCGACGTGCAGAACAATGCATTCAAAGACTTTCGCGAGAAAAGAAGCAAGCTCTGCAGCTCTATGCGGCTTGCTCTTCATCCCATTGAAACGCTAGGCAACATGGCCGCGGGAGGAGCATCTTTGGTGTTTGCTACAAGCAGTGTGGTCTTCGGGGCGGTGACATACTTGATTGATGCTGCAAAGGGAGTCAGCAGCTCATACGATGCAATTGAGGAGCTTATGAAAAGTCTCAAGATCAGCATGTCCCGTCTGCTACCACCGACACGGCTCAGACCTAACGAGCTCGTTAGGAATTCACGATCCGGCTCAATATCTACAGTCAGGAGGAGATTTCAAAAGACCTTGGTGAAGAGCTCAGCGACATCATTCTCACGATCATGGAAGTATTTGCCTTGTCCACACGAGAAATGCATCGGGGCCGCCTGCGCAACTTTGGCCGCAATATTCTTCTCGGGAACGACGATGCGATCACCGGAGCCGTTGCCAAACTCGATAAGTTAACTCAAGTCGAAACAGGTCTCGTCCAAGCTGAGACACTGACCCTGACCAAGAGGACTGGTCGTACTATGAATAATGTGGCAAGCACCGTGAATACCACACATGCCGCTGTGCAGGAGACTGGATCAGCTATCAACCAGATGTCAACTCAAATGACCGAGGTACATGAGAAACTTGACAATCTGCTCGTATCAGCCAACGAGGCCCAGCAGTCTCAACTGGAGATAGTTCGCCATATCTTGAGGCCCTCGCAACCGGACTCGGCGCAAACGTGGTATGACAGAATAAGCAAGACGCATGTCCCAGGAACAGGAGACTGGGTCCTCAAGGAGAATATCTTCAATTCTTGGGTCGAACAGGGTACCCCTATTATATTCGTATCGGGGATTCCCGGGGCCGGCAAATCCTACCTCACGGCGAGCATGATTGCATTCCTAAAAGATCAATTTGCACCACATAATGATACCCAAGTCTCTACTGCATACTTATTTTTCAAGGATGATAATCCAGATACACGCTCTGTGCACCAAGCACTCCGAGACTTGGCTTATCAAATTTGCATCACCAATGCCACCTATCAGAAACACGTTAAAAATGTTCAAGATTACATGGATATCAGCTCTATAGAAACAGCATGGAGGAGGCTTTTTGTGGATTTCTTTTTGAGAGATCCCAATCTTCTTAATAAGGTGTACATTATTATGGACGGCGTGGACGAAGCCGATGACGAAGAGCGACGACTCCTCTTTAGTCTGGCCAAAGATGTTCAAGAAACTCCGGGTCAGCTAATTTCCATTTGGCTCTCACTGGACGACCACACTTGAGTGACCGGCTATACGAAAGTCTCGAAGTGGATGTGCCCACGATCCATGTGACGGTGCACAAGAACACGGCTGATATCGAGCGGTATGTCAAGGCTACAATTACAAAATCCATGGTTCTCTGAAAGACATCGGTGGAACTGCGACAAGAAATTCTTGAGACGGTATCTTCCAGAGCCAATGGGATGTTCCTGTGGGCGAGTCTGATGATGCAGGAACTCATGAAGTGCAAATCAGAAGCGAAAATACGGAAAAGTCTTAACGAAGCGCCAAAAGGTCTTCAAGAGATGATTCGGCATGTTCTAGCAAGCTTTTCTGCAACTTGTGAGCCCGAGGAACTGGAGTTCTTGAATGAGCAGTTGCTATGGACAGCCTGCTCGCCGAAGCCATTGATGCTGCGGCAAGCAGGTGACATTCTTCGTTTTAAATCTCCAGATGGAGACGGCATGATCTACTTGGAAGGTGCTCTCCGCAGGCAGTTTGAGTCTTTTTTTACCTTGAATAGATGGGATAATTTGAACACGGCCGAGCTTGAAATCCTAGCAATGAAGACATCTGCACTCGAACAGCCCACCGGTAAATCAGTCAGATCTTCAGATGGGGATCTCAGTGATGCATTTGACGCCGCGGACGATTTCATCGATTTTACGTCCTATTCGGATACCACCATCACCTTCTGCCACGCGTCGATCGGCGACTTCTTCCGGGACGAAAAAGAAGGAAAGGTTGCCGCTGGACGGGATTTCACACCTGTCGGGGTTGACTGGCGAGATGGAAAAGTCCACATCCTGAAGACTAGCCTTCGCATCATCATGAGTGAAGAGAACGTGTCTCAAGGTCTTTATCATGAAGCTGCAATGCCGTACTATGTGGTTGACAACTTATCCCATCATCTGCAATCAACTCCACCGTCGTATGCCACCGGAGAGGACCAGTCTCATATTGCTAGCATGTTGATCAAATTATTTTCGAACGAGAAAAAGCACAAATCATTTTCAAGGAAGAGCCTCTCGCGTGGATGTCGCTTATGGCGAATCTCCAATCCATCTGGCAATGGCTGGGGGACTCGCAGACCCTTGGAACTCTGGGCGACGATGTAAGAAAGTTCATCGCAAAAACACGAGAGCGTCCTGCCACGATATTTGAGCTAGCGGCATTATGCTCTTGGGAGGATTGGTTTCATGGAGAGGGACGGCCTCTAGAGGATTCATGTAGGGCTATATGGTATTACCAATGAATGCTCAACAATCAAGAGTTCGACTATCTCAATACAGCCAGCACGCCAACAGTGGATGAAGTGCTTAGTGCAGCCAAGTTCCAGGTTTCAACGGAAACGAGCTTCTGGAATATTGATGTGTCACAAGTTCTTGCGGCATTCGGGCACATGGAAGCGTGCTTTCAGTATTCGGCAAAGGTACTGGAAATCGGTCCGAAACTCCCAAGCTCATGGGCATGGATGGGAGAGGTGTACATCAAAAGAGATGATTGGCACAAGGCTATTGAGATGTTTGTGGAAGCTGAGAGGATTCACATGAAACGTCTCGAAAAAGAGCCAAGGGTCACATCCATCGCTGCCTTCACTACATGTGCATTGCTTATTCAAAGGTTCACGATGCTATAAACCGACTTGCCGCATGCCAGAGAGCCTTTGAAGTAGCTCCGCATTGTGTGGAATGCATCAGTCGCGTCCTCTTCCATCTACACAAAAGCCGCCAGTATGAGGAATATATCTTATTTATGAAACGATTTTCAGAGGCCTCCGCGGGCTGGACCCATGATTGGAGCCAACTGGACGTGTCTATGAATGAAAACCCATGGCCAGACTCCCTGTCCCTCAGATTAACAGCCTCTTCGGCACTTGCAATGAACAATATACCTTTCATGATTGCTGCATGGTCTTCTGCTCAGAGGCTGGCTCGAAAGGAATTCGAAACCGCCGGAGCAGCCTGTCTGGACTTGTCCTTTGCCAAAATTTATAAAGATCTCGCTGAAGATAAGGCGAAGGCGGTTGCTATATGGAAAAATGTCTTTGACTCCTTCGTCGACACACGGGATGGCTTCCCGGCCATGATCAAGGTTCTCTCGACGAACAGCCTCGCCATATATCTTCTTTTCGAGGCAATTGAGGTGGGTGTGGGAACACCCGAAGCAGAAGAAAAAGTTGCTCAACTGGAAGGGCTGTCGCGGCGCTTGAATTTCACATACAAATCCGAACTGTGGGTCGCTTCATACTGTCAATTCTTCGCACCCGGTGTGTACTACCGGCTAGCTGGCCAAGACGCAAAGTTTCAGGCATTGTTCAAGCCTGGCCTCAAGCAAGCAGTGGAAATGCTATAAGATGATGATCCCGAAAATGACCGAGATGGTCTGATGCTACTCCTCAGAGTCATGATAGCCGCAGGCGATGCCTCCCGCGCCATCACCATGGCGTACCATGTTGGCCATTACGAAGTTTACGATGAGGGGAAGTGGTGGCAGCTCGGAGAAGAGGACCTGGTTGTTACCTGCGACGGGCCATGTTGCATATCTAAGCCTATGAATGATAGTTTTTCCTTCTGCCCGATTTGTTACGACTTTGGATTTTGCGAGAATTGCGTGAAATTACTGCGAGCAGGAGAGTTGGGGATGGATGTGTGTAGTGCGAAGCATGTTGAACACTTGATCTATGTGCCTCCTCTGCCCCAAAATTTGGAGTTGAAGAAAAGTCAGATGTTTGCGGATGGGAAGGTTATGGAAATTGGCCAGTGGTTGACAAATTTGAAGAAAGAGTGGAACTTTTAGACATTCATGAAAATGATTCTTTACAAGAATACGGTCAACACGGTGTTCGACATCAGATTCACCTCTACGATAACTTTCATTCCCAAGCACGGAAATATCGAACGGAATTATCGAACGAGAAGAAGAGACTTGATACTGCGAATTAGTAAAGGTGTCTATGTGATTATTGTAGTTGTTATAATATACATTCTCATCAACATGAACAGAAGTTTGGTCTGTAAGCGATCAATGGGCGGGGAGACGTTGAAGAGCAGGATATCCAATAATCTTAGCCATTTATCCTTTACCGTTGGAAGTAAATGACCATAACTCGATTTACCTGCTCTTCCACCCACCTAGTCTGCTCCGGTGGTAAATCCAGCCCCGGGACCAGAAGATTCCGCAAGAATAACATGATATGCCAAGGACCCATCAAGGGCGCTGACTGTTTATGTGTTGTGGTAACGGGTCGTGTCTCGGCAAACGGATACGTGATGTGACCCTGTTTCAAGCGTACAGATTCCAGCTGACTACCTAAGTAGTATGGCACAGTTCCACAAATCTCATCGGCCATCTTGCTGATGGTTGAGTGTATTGCGGCTGATTTTATTCCGTCGAGATCGTGAGGGGGCAAAAGACGGAGACAGTTGAGCATGATACATTGCACCAGGATCCGGCAATCGCGATAGGTATTCCACGTGGAAGCAATCCACATATCTGAGTAACAGTCGCAGTGGTTGAGGTAAAGCCCAGCATCCCGGACAGATTGAGGTATTATGCTTGCGGCAACAAAGTTCCAGTTTTCTGGAATCCGATATGTCCACGAAACAAGCTTAATGTCTATTTGTGTTGCTTTGTTGAGAACTGATGTGATTTCGGCCTCGGTGGGTACTTTGGTTTTTAGCTTCTCCCATGATTTGCGCAGGCTTACGATTTCTGAAGCTGCAGTGGAAAGAAAAACGCGAGGAGAGAAGGCCTCTTTTGGTGGGGATAGTGGCCAGACTTCTGGTATTGGTACCATTGGAGTGTCCAGCCCGCGGCTGGTTTTAATCTATGGAACCGGGTTAGAATGATGGTAGAACACAGGGTGGGAGAACATACAATTTGAGCTTGAACAGCATTGTGGAGAGTGGAGGATGAAGGATCTCGAACCTTTTCGGGTCTCCGACTATTGACAAGTGCTATGGCGCCTTTCAAATGGGCTTTTCCCGGGTTTCCCCATTCTCTAAAAGCCACAAACTCCTTGATATTCAGTCAGTTCGGCATCGGTGAGGGGAAATGAAGCCAGTGCGATAGAGAAAAAAAATACCTCATAGAGTGACAGCATAAGAATCGACATGAGAATGCGATGGTATTCATTATCATCATCAGAAAGTAACGTCGCTCTGATCTTTGGTAAAGTCTGCATGAAACATCGTTGCGAAGCACGAATCAATGATTCTTGTCCGGTCCAAGCTGCCACCGTGAAATAAGCGATGGCTAAGGTGCTGGTGTGCAGAGGTGACCCAATGGCAGCATTGGAATACATCTCGGGCAAAATCTCCATAAAGCCATTTCGGATATGGGGATCTTTTGGCAGATAAAGGTAAGAATTGAAGAATAGCGGGATCACTGTGTCTTCCATGGGTTGATAGAGAGCAGCAGGTAGAGGCGCATATACAGGCCAAGAGCTATTGGATCTCGCTGATACCGCAGGAGAGGGTGATTTCACCAAGGATGCATCCAAGTTCTCATCGCCCTGTTTACAAGGACCGGACTTGTCACCTGAGCTCGGGGACAATCTGGATGCCGCTGCCTTTTTGGTGAAAGAGGGGGTATGATCCCTTAGCATCACATCAAATGGATGCAAGTACCCCGGACAATCCCGGCCGGTCCTTAGGCATGCTTTGCAGTGGGGCCGAGTTTCATCGCACTAAGAGGTTTAGTTTTAGATCGATGGTGGTATAATATGATGCTTACCTTAATACGCCGTGTTCGGCAATTCTTGCAACCAGTACTGGGCTTCCCTTGATATACCATGGTGTTTATACAGGAGGTTGAATAGAGCGGGCTTGACTCGATGGCGCTATCAGTCAAATTGGCTAGTGCCCAGCATCAGGCGGGGCTCTAGGCATTCAAGTATGATCCATGCCAGCGGAAAGTGCTTTCCGTCCTGATCAAATAGCCTTGTCAATTGGCAAGATTAAGGATACCAATACACTGATTCCCAATAACTATTTTCAGGTCAATGACAAAGCCAAGTTCATAATCACCGGATGATTTCGTCCGTAAGCCGCACAGTCACATGACCGATCTGCATTATTGCTCCGCCTCCGCAGATTCAACTGTCACTGTTGTGTTGCTCCGAAAACCGAATATTCTTTTTTTCTGACCCTTTTCGCTTTGCAAAGAGGGAATAGCGAGGTCGAGAAATTTACAGAAAGACCCATCTCATTGGTCCATCTCTCCCACATCCAGCCATGGTCTCCCTCTTCGGCTGGGGCTCCAGCTCTAACTCCGACTCCAACGCTCCAAAGCCACAAGAAACATCCTCCCAAAGCCCGAGTCAAACACAATTACCCCAATCAGTACCATCGCCATCTGAATCATCTCAATTAGCGCAGCAATCCACAGTGTCCAACAACAGAAATCTCAAACTCTTCCTCGGCGGCGTCGCTTTCTTCTCCCTCTCTGTCTGGGTCACGCGCCGCGCGAGCATAAAGAAACGCCTTGACTGCATTCCTCCTTTCTATTCTAGCTCATTATACTTCCAACCGAAAGTGAATGGCGCAGGTGAGGCCTTTGAGGCTCTCAGTCTGGCTTCGCTCAACGTCCTTTCGTTCGGCATGATGACCACCGGTGCGGCCATGTACGCCCTCGATATCAATGGGCTTGATGATGCGCGGCGGTTTATGAGAGTTGCGATGCAGGGGGGCATTGATGAAACTGGCAAGTCGGATGAACAGCTTGAGCAGGAAGTCACTGAGTGGGTGACTAATCTGCTTGGTGATCGGTTCACGAAGCAGCTGGAGAAGGAGCGCGCAAAGAAGCAGCAGCAGTCAGCGGCTGGCGAGAAGAGCGAATGATTTGCGCAAGCTGGATAAGGGGACTTGCGCCACATGTCTTGGATACACCCTACTCTTTCCTTTCTTATATATGATACCACACCACTCTTGTACATTATCCTGAACTTTTCTGATATACTTGCATGATTGCATGGGCATGGCGTTGCCAGTTGCAGTATTATGATGATTAGGGATTCATAAAAAGACATATCACATCTAAATGTGACACTTTGATTCTGGGATATCACTTTGGTAAACTATCAATACTGTAAAACGCGGACTCGGAAGAGATCATGATAAATCATCACTTATTCATCTGATCATATCGTTGACGAGCAGTTTCCTTGGTCTTGGCTAGGAACTCATCGTAACGACCTCGAGTATTCCGACCTGCTTCCTCTGTCGCGTCACCTAGTTTGCCGCCTTGCGCTCCTAGGCCAACACCTTGTGCGTAGACCTCGGTGGCGATAGGGGCAGTAACACCAGTTCCTTGAGCACCCAGACCAGAGCCTTCCGACCAACCCATTTTGCTGAGAAGAGAGGCACCTTTTGAAGTGGATTGCACCGGAGGTTCTTCTTCTACCTTTGGAGCAGCTGGTTTCGGTTGAGCGCCAGCCTTGCCTGGACCATAAGTCTTGCGACGCTCCCTTGCACGATCTCGATACTCTGCAGAGGCTTGCTGCAGGATCCCGTGTTTGACTAATTTTGCCATGGCGCGCGTTTTGCGATCTTCGTCCTGGAGATTTTTCCGGTGAAGTTGACTAAGCCGTTCGTGTCGGTTGACGTCGGCTGCCGACTTGAACTCAGTCATGCAGAGATAACAGCAGTTTCGGTTGAGGTCTGCGTATGATTGACTAGGCGGAGCTTCGGAGTCAGGGATACCTCCGTGCTCCTGACTATTTTCGGGAAGGGCCCCGTCGTCCTTGGCAATGCCATGGAGCTCGGCATGGCGGTTGCTCCAAAATTGGAGTTGACTGGGCATTGCGAGCTTCTTCGCTTTTTCAACATCCGCAGCTTCGGCCTTCCGCTTCTTGGATTTTTCGGTCTCCTTAGTGGTTGTTGCAGGCTTTTCACTTTTGGGTCGGGTCGGCTCCGTCTCTTCGCTTGAGACTTGGAGTTCAGTCACGTACGCGTTGTCATCCCAGTACATGAGCTTCAATGCCGGATTATTCAGTGGACTGAAGGTGAAGCTTTTTGTGGCGGCTGATGGGGCCAGAACCGGTACAAAGACACCTGCGTGAATATAGGTGACCATTACGGGTCGAGAGGAGATAGTGAATTTGTTGAAAGAATGCAACCGAGTGATGGCAGCTTGTGCGTCCTTGAGGGAGTTATATGAGTGAGCAATTCCAGACAAGTATATGCGACAAGGGGCAGGCTGACTTACCATCACATTGGCGAATTCGGCGAATCCATATCGCCAACTGTCATTTGTTTTACGGTCACGAACAAGCAAGACACGTCGGATAGAGCCCTCACGAGCACCTAAATTAGCGTCACCCGTTGTTGATGCCACCTTGGCTCCTTTCTTTTGATTCCCTGAACCACCGTCATTTCCAGAAGCTGGTCGGTACAATTTCGCAACACCTTTAGCAAGGATCTCCTCAGTGACTGATGGCTCCAGTCCCCGAAACAGCAAAAATTGCGACGGCTGATTTTCAGGTGCTGCGTCATTATCGCCATTATTGACAGGTCTTGCTGCGGGGACCCCAGGGGCACCAGCAGGTGGTAATTCTGATATTGGTCAACATTTACGTGATCTGAGTGTTCTATCCGCGGATACGAACCTGGTCGAGGCGCGTTACACCGGAAACATTTCGCGCGTGTGGAAAAATTCACAACAGCACACTAGAAGATTGAAAATTAGTATGAGGCTTGGGTTGCAAAGCATGAAGCTTACCATTCTACATGTCCAGTCACCTTCAGCTTTTGCCCGAGCTCGATCTTCTCTCTCACGACTGTATGCAATGCGAACTTTGGTGCTCTTTTCAGCAGTGGGACCGTAAAGGTAAATAAATGGGTGGTTTCGCTTTAAGAAATCCCTGGAGTCGTCGAGGCTGTGGAATCGAAGAAAGCCGAGCTGCCTGGACGCCTCTGCAAAGCCCATAGCATTAGTATGCAGCAAATAGGTGGCAAGTCCGTTCATATCACGCACTTGTTTGTCGGTCACGAATGACTCGAATATCGTCAAGTTGAGGGATATGGTATGCATCGCGAAGCTCATTCTCAATCTATTGGGGACCAATTCAGCAAGTCAGTCTCGTTGATTCCACAAAAAATATCCAGGAAGCGCAGGCAAGGCCACGCTGAATGCACATATATCACTCACGTCATCTTCTGTCATGTCGACAGGGAAGCCCTCCAGCATAATCTCACGGCTCTCCTGGCCAAAGTTGGACTGGCCATGTCGGCTGCCACTACGGTACTCGGGCGACTGGTAACCTTCTCGGTCTCGATCTCGATACGATTGTCTCCCTCGTCGAGGAGGAGGTGACCGTGAAGATCGGCGCCAGTCTTTCTCTCGGTTTCTTTGGTCATTGGAGTATTCGGATCGACGGTTGCGAGAGTGATCTTCTTAGCAAGGACGGGAACAAATGTCATCAGTTATCTTTCAACAAAAAACAACACCCGGTCTTTCAGTGGAATTCCGGGACTCAAGTATTATTTCCATGGGAGGTGTGTATACCGCCAGGCGATCGTGAGCGCGAGTAGTCGTCATACATGCGACCGTCTCGTTCATCGCGGTCATCGTGAGCTGCATAGGAACGGTTTGGAGGACCGTTATAGCCTCTGCTATCGTCTGAATAAGGATGCGCCATGGTTGAGACTCATGGGGGAGAGTGTGAACAATGTAGAAGTTGACGGGATTCGGAGCTCTCACTGCTGATACGCGATAGCATCGGGCCCGGCAGAAGTATACACCGCCTTGCAGTGACCCAGCAATTGGACCTATAGCTTTGGTCAGATGCGCAGATGTTTCTATTCACATAAAGCTGACATATTTCTACCTAAATATGTCTCTGACTAGAACTTGGACTGTTTATTTGAATAGAATATCAACCTTGGAGGACATGGAAAAAGTAGCATCACCGTACTATGATATATGGGGCACGGAGGTACATAATGCCGGTATCGTTTTATAGAATATGATGATCGAGGTAAATTATCTTCTTCGAGCCTTAAGGTGATGAGACCAAGCATGTGAGGAGGATAAAACTTATCACTTCACTGCCAATTGGAAGTAGAATCCAAGATGAGGTCAAAGCTCTGCTATGTGCTGCATCATCGTCATCGGTACCAGCAGTGGGGGGATCCACTTACTGCTGAGGCGTACAGTATGATTTGGACACGGCAGCAACTGCAGTCAACAAGTGAATTGATTTGGTGCTAAATATGGGTCAAAGTAACCTCCACCAGAACCAGAGGATCGGCAAAGCATATCAACCACAGAGAGTCCGACGATTCTCCGCAATGCCCCGCGGTGGGAGGAGCTACGTGGGTACTTGCACCAGACATGAGAATGCCACTCTGACCTATAAAACCTCGAACCCCAAGGTCAATTTGAACACAATTACATCTCCTGGACAACTATTGACCTGCTTATACCCCTGCTTCCATCTCCTGTACTATGGCCACCCCTGCAAAACCACAAAACCACCGGGCTTGGTGGAAAGAAAGCTCAGTTTATCAGATCTGGCCCGCATCATACAAAGACTCGAATGACGACGGCATTGGAGACATTCCTGGAATCATCTCTCAGCTTGACTATATCAAAAATATCGGCGTTGATATTGTCTGGTTGTGCCCGTCATACAAATCTCCGCAGGTGGATATGGGTTATGACATCGCCGATTACTACAGCATTGCTGATGAGTATGGTACGGTCGCAGACGTTGAGAAACTGATTCAGGGCTGCCACGATCGGGGGATGAAGCTTCTTATGGATCTGGTCGTCAATCATAGTAGCGACCAACATGAATGGTTCAAGCAATCGCGAAGCTCTAAGGATAACGAGTATCGCAATTGGTACGTCTGGAAGCCCGCTCGGTATGATGAGCAGGGGAACCGTCACCCTCCCAACAACTGGGTATCTCATTTTCAAGGTATATTGCTACTTCACATCTCAAAATAACGGGACTGTACTAATTGTTAATCGCTTAAGGGAGCGCTTGGCAGTGGGATGAGCTCACCGAAGAGTACTACCTCCACCTTTATGCGACAGAACAACCCGATCTGAACTGGGAGCACCCACCCGTCCGCGATGCTGTGCACGACATTATGAGATTCTGGCTGGACAAGGGCTGTGATGGTTTCCGAATGGATGTGATCAACTTCATCAGTAAAGACCAGCGTTTCCTCGACGCACCGGTGAAGGACCCCCGTACGCCATGGCAATGGGGCGATAAATGGTATGCCAATGGACCCCGTCTTCACGAGTATCTCCAAGGACTCGGCGAAATTCTGCAGGAGTATGATGCTTTCAGCGTGGGCGAGATGCCATTTGTGAAGGATGAGGAGGAAGTCCTCAAGGCCGTCCAGTTTGACCGTCATGAGATCAACATGATTTTCAACTTCGAGCATGTGGATATCGACCATGGCACGTACGATAAGTTTGAACCTGGCAGTTGGAAGCTCACAGATTTGAAGGACTTCTTCCAGCGATGGCAGACATTCATGTATGCCAACGATGGTTGGAATGCCCTCTACTGGGAGAACCACGACCAGCCGCGGTGCGTCGATCGCTACGTGCATGCTAGCGAGAAGAACCGCGTCATCGCATCTAAGATGCTAGCTACTGCGCTGGCACTACAATCTGGTACACCATTCGTGTACCAAGGGCAAGAGTTGGGCATGCGCAATGTTCCCAAATCATGGGGCATTGAAGAATACAAGGACCTTGACTGTCTTAACCACTGGCACAGGTATTTACTTCTATATCCCGTTAAGTTGAGTTGAATTTGAGAACTAACCTTTACAGAATCCTGAAAGAAAGGCCCGATGACACAGAGGCTCACAAGAGTGCCCTTGCAGAGTATCAGAAAAAGTCTCGTGATAACGGCCGTACTCCAGTCCAATGGTCCTCTGCCCCTAACGGAGGATTCACCGGTCCTAACGTCAAGCCTTGGATGTCCGTGAACCCCGATTTTGTGACCATCAATGCTGAAGACGAAGTAAAGGATTCTAACTCGCCGTACCATTTCTGGGGCAAGGTCCTTGGGCTTCGAAAGAAGTATCTCGATGTCTTTGTATACGGAGACTGGGTGCTAATTGACCAGCCGAATCAAGAGGTCTTTGCATACACCCGACAGTACGGAAACGACAAGGCATTGGTTTTGTGCAATTGGACCGAGAAAACCATTGACTGGGATGCCACAAGTAACGGGATTGACGGTGTCAAGGCTGTACTTTTGGATAACTATGATACCGCCGAGGCTGTCCAGCACTTTACCGGCGGGAAATGGTCACTGCGGCCATACGAGGCAGCTGTCTTCTTAGTTTAAACTTGCTCTTGGGCGAAGCACTGAGATAGAGAACCATGAATTGAATAGAATATCAGCTTCTACAAGACATGCAGTTTCTCCGGAAATAACCTAAGAAACCCAAACCAAAACAATTGAAAAGGACTGTTCAATCTACAAAGAAGCGGATCTCGGTGTCCTCCGCCACTATCGGAGCTCACTTATCCACCGTTCCCCGCACCCGATAAGCCTTAATCTCAAGAAAAGGAACTTCCACGCAGAAAGTCAATACACGCTAGAATCCCTGCAGCCTACATACGAATCCTGAACACGCAATAGCTCAAGCCGAAAAAATGACCTCCGAACAACCGCAAACTCCCCTACCAGCCCACCTGGATCCTAACACCTATCCCCGCACCCATCACAACCCAACAAAAAACATCCACCTAACATTGACCTACCACCCCCTCGACGTAAACATCTACCTTGCACAAACATCCTCCCCAAAGGCCGGCGCGAATGTCCTCTTCCTCGGTACAACGCGCGACACATTCGAAGACCGCCCTGTTTCCCAGCTCAGCTACACATGCTACCCACCACTAGCTTTGAAAACGCTGACGGCTATCGCCGAAGCTGCTATCGAGACACACCAGCTGATAGGTGTGAGCATTGCGCATAGGATGGGTGTTGTGCCGATTGGGGAGGCCTCGATTGCTATTGCGGTTAGTGCGGGACATCGGGGTGCGGCTTGGAGAGCTGGGGAGGAGGTGCTCGAGGCTTGTAAGGAGAAGGTGGAGATTTGGAAGAGAGAAGAGTTTGTTGATGGGGGGATGGAGTGGAGGGCTAATGCTGATCGGGATGCGGAGGGGAAGTTGGTTTCTGGGGATGGGTCTTAATGGGATTTGTAATTGAGATTGGTGATTGGGTGTGAAAGTTGATGGGAACCGTTTCCCGCGAGATGCTCGTAGCGATCGGCGCTGAGATCACGCTGGGAGATGTCGCGACGGATGCTGTATATTAATTACTCCGAATGCAAAGCAGTGCAACCACTGCCTGGTGTATACAACTGCGAGCCGGGGACAGAGCAGTGCTCGATTGAGGGATCTATTGAGCAGGGTATTGATATTTGACAGTATAGTACAAGTTTCATACATTCACACGGTTACTCGGTCTTCAATGGGCGACCCTCGCGCTTCCAGTCGTTGATGTGTTCCAAGATAACCTTGGACGCAGACTCCGGGGTATCCTGTCGACCAATGCACTCGACAAAGTCGTTATCGGGATCTAGCATCATAGTTAGCCTCTATGTACCGCGCGAGAATGATATGCCAGTCTTACCCATCAGATAGAAGTAAATACTGTGATCAACCAAGTAGTCCTCGCCAGCCTTGGCATCCCTGGGGGTACTGAAGTACACACGGTACTGCTTGCAGACATTCTTGACCTGCTCATAGGTACCAGTCAAGCCAACGATACCGGGGTGGAACTCCTGGAGGTAGGCGCGCAGAACCTCGGGGGTATCACGGGCAGGATCACAAGTAATGAAGACGGGCATGAAGAGCTTCTCATCCTTGGTGGACTCCTTGACCTTCTCGATGATCTCGGCCATCTTGTCCAGCTCATCGGGGCAGATATCTGGGCAGTGAGTGAAACCGAAATAGACCTGTAAAAGAAGATAATGAGATCCATGGCCCTCAAGCTAGCCCTCCGGCCAGCTGTCAATTCACATCAACTCACAAAGCTGTATTTTCCCTTCAGATCCTCGGCAGTGAACTCCTTCCCATCCAAGTCCTTCAGCACAAACGGACCGCCAACCTTAGGCTTTCCAACACCCTTGCTCATCTCCGCAATACGCTTCCGCTCCAACCGTGCCTTCTCAACCCGGAAATAAATCACCATACCGGCACCGGTGAGGATGAACAGCAATGCCGCCTTCCACGAGAAAGGGCCGGTCGAGTTGCGCTGCTTCATCTGTCCCATGGTCTTGGCCTTGGCACGGAATGCACTCGTAGAGAATTGGCTACCATTGCGAACAGAGAGCATGCTCGGGATGTTTTGCGTGCACCGGGGCCGTTGCGCTTGGGTGTAGGCGCGACATTGCGATTGGGTGGTGATGCGGAGGCTGGAGAGGATGTGTTGGGATCGGATGGGCTCAATAGCGGCCAGGTGGCGGGTAGCCCGGCTGAATAGGCCGGTCGCCAGCTTTGAAGAGGGCATGGTTGTCAGGTTGGTGTTTTGTCCGGGAAGATTGAATGGTCTACGGATGTGAACTTGAGAATCGTCAGATCAGTTCCCCATCGGGAATAGTCTGATTCCTGAGGCAGTAAGGCATCAATGGAATATCTTAAGGCCTGAGTCTTGGATATGATATTTCAGCGACCATATGATAATTCTACTCTCTCGTGATCGAAGAGTGATGTTTGATTTCAAGTCGAATTAATGTGGCAATAGACAAGTTCAAAAAGAATTAAGTACAGGGTAAATGATATGTAGCAGATACTTTCACCATCATGTTTCTCTTAAAGCTCCACCCCCAGCGGCTTAAGTCGTAATCATCACAATCTTATTGAGATACTGCTTTTCCTCTTTAAAGACCAGATTCTCTGCAGTCCATTTCCCAGCGTCTTCTCGAGAAATGAAGTATCCGATATTCAACGACTCGCGTCCAGTCTTCGGATCCTCAGTACCAACCTTGACGGTCTTATCAGTAGCACCATCAGTCAGCAAGCTAGCACGCACCACTGTAAACGGCTGCCCACTTTCCATAAAATATTTCTCCATCAACTCCTTGTCTTCGTGCGCAGCTTTGAGAAGCCATCCATAGATTGGCCAAAGCACCCAAGGGTAATCACGTCCAAATTTGGATAGACCCGTGGTGCTAAATATGACTATATGCGGGTTGCCAGTAGCTCCGTTGTTTCGAAGATTGTTGATGGCTTCGACCATGACAGCGGCGCCTTTCCTGCAGCATTGCGGGTCTTCAGGAGCTATGCCACCCTTAGGTCGGCTGCCAATTGTGGACACGATCATGTCAACGAATTTTTCTCCATTATTGTCGGCCTGGATGCATTTTGTGACTGCGCTTAGATCGTGTGCATTGCCTTCGACGATCTTAAGGTTGGGTGTTGATTCGAGTCGGATTAGTGCCGCGAGCTTAGCTGGGGTACGGCAAAGGGCGATACATTGGTGGCCAGCGGCAAGTGTGTGCTTAAGCGCGGAAAGGCCAACGCCAACGGTGCCACCGAGGAAAGCAATCGTCTTGGTGTTGGAACTCATAGTGTTGGTTGTGGTAAGATTAGGGAGTATCGAATAGAGTGGTTGATGTTATTGCGATGTGAGACCATGAATATCGCGCTACGTCCATGGCTTTATATTCCATTTCCTAAAACTCTCCCGCTATGACATGCCGAACTGCGTCCGAAGACTGTATAGTGACCGCTGGGTGAGACGACCTCGCTCTTTTCTCGCGTCCAATGAGAAGCTCCATTTGTCCATCTTCGAAGGATCTGGACCCACACTATACCCGATTGGATGCGAGGCTGCTTATGGCACGAAATGCGGCACATCTCCAAGAGAATAATCAGGACAGCTATGACGGCGAAAAATGCCGGTGGATCTGATCATTCGATGGTGATAATATATTGATGAACAAAGCGTGAATGTGCCAAGGCCAAAATGTCACCTCCGCGAGAGACAGATGGAGAGGCTGCAGGGAGTGGCGCCGATGCGGCCCAAGAGGCCGAGAAACGCGCGAGCTTTCCTGGAAGCAAGGACCAGAATAAAGCCGCGTCCACGCGCGCACCAAACCCACGTAGCTGCGTGGTCTGTCGGAGCCGGAAAGTCCGATGCGATAAATTGTCGCCTTGTTCAAATTGTCGTCGCGGGAATATCGCCTGCATTTATCCGTCTGGAGATCGTCCACCGAGATGGGTCCGGCGTCTTGAGCGCCCTGTTACTGGGGAAGTCATGGAGAGACTTCATCACCTCGAAGGCCTTGTAAAGGAGTTGACTGGTCAATTGGAACAGGCTCATGCCGCGGCTAAGTCTTCGGCTGCGTCGTCGAATTCCCCTAGTAGCTCCACCCACGACAATGAATTTGGTGCGCAGGGGCATACTGCCTTTGTAGAGTCAGATAACGTGTCAAATAAATTCGGCAGATTGGCTCTTAATGACGCTAGCCGAAGTCGCTATGTCGGGAGTGGCTTCTGGTCGTGGGTCAATGATGAGGTACGCCGGCAACATCATGCTGATGAATCCTTTGCTTATAATTTTAGATTGGTGAGCTGAAGACAGAAACTGGCAATCTTGCGGCCGGAGGATATGATTCCTCAGATGACGAGATGTCTTCTTCAATGACTCCATCTACCCAGGAGCTGGGACGAACGCCATCTGACCGGCAAGCATTCATATTTCGACACAATTTGAATCCTTCCGCTCCCGATATTAGAGAATTTCACCCATTGCCATCGCAAATACCATTTCTGCTCAATGTGTTCTCTGAAAATGTGAACTCAATTGCTCAGATCGTTCACATGCCCAGTACCAGCAAGATGATCAGTGAGCTACGAGGCGACATGTCGAAGCTCACGCCGTCTAATGAAGCTTTGATGTTCTCCATATACTATGGCGCCGTAACTTCCATGGAGGAAGAAGACATCATGATAAATTTTGGGGTTTCAAAACAACACCTAAACCTGAAATATCGGCTTGGACTTGAACATGCCTTGGCCAAGGCCGACTTTCTCAACGCACCAGACCTAACTCTGGTACAATCTCTTGCTAATTTCCTTCTTCTCGCTCGAAGACACGATAGCCCCAGATATGTATGGATGATGACAGGCATTGTGATTCGCATGGCACTTGCTCTTGGTCTTCAGCGTGATGGCTCCGAATTTGGATATCTAACTCCATTTGAGATTGAGATGCGCCGAAGAGTCTGGTGGGGTCTATGCATGATCGACGTGAGAGCATCAGAAGATCAAGGGACAGACTACACCATCGCCCTGGGCAGCTTCGATACAAAAATGCCTCTCAATATAAACAGTGCCGACATCAGCCCTGAATCCAAAGAGTTTCCACCTGAGCACGAAGGCCTGACCGATATGTCTTTGACACGGGTCAACTTTGGAATCGTCGATGTCTCAAAACAAATGGTAGTTCAGAGCTCTAAGTCAACAAGCCTAGAGGAACAAAGTCGTTTCTTAGATGAGATATATCATCGCCTCCAGGTTGGCTTCCTCCAATTTCAAAAAGACCCAGAGTCAAACATCATGTACTGGACTGCCGTCGCTATCACTCGTCTTGTGGTTGGGAAAATGACCCTACTGGTCTTTGTGCCTGTACTCTTCGGATCGCCAAATGAAAAACTCACCGAAGAGTTAAGGAACAAGCTGCTTGTTTCGGCAATTGAAATTGCCGAGTACAACCACGCCTTGAATGCTGAGCCAGCTTGTCGACAATGGCGATGGGTTTTCCAAACATACACGCACTGGTACGCTATTGTATACATTCTGCTTGAGATTTCACGGTGTGCGTGGTCACCCATTGTGGAGAGAGCGTGGGTAGCTCTTCACAGCATCTGGCTGATACCAGCTCAATCACACATGAGCAAGAACCTTCGTATCTGGGTTCCTTTGCGAAAATTAAGAATAAAAGCCCAGCAACATCGTGAGTCTGAATTAAATAGACTGAGGGGTGATCCTACTGCTGCGAGGGAGCTTGAGAGGCAAGATAGGGAAATCCAACAGCCTTCAAGCCCTGGTTCTTTCCCCGATAAACGCGATTCAAGAGACGTCTTCGTGAACAGATGGCGGCAGCTGCTAGCCAATCCGAAATCGGTTGTTAATAGCACCGGTGAAGCCATAAATTCGCTTGTTTCGTCCGTTCACATGCCAAATACTGTCGAGTTCAGCTCAGAAATCGCCGTCGAGCCGATGCACCATGAGGAAGAAGGTTATCAGCCAAATGAAAACGTGTCATGGTTGAGATCGAACTCTACGAACTATGGTGATGCACAAACCGGCCTAGAACTCAATCCAAGCATCATTCCTTGGCTTTGGGCAGATGATGGTCTTTCAAACTCGACCATGGATTCAATCAATATGAATATGGACCTTGATGGTAGTGACGTGGACTGGTACAACTGGGTTGAAAGTGCTCAAGGCATGGAACTAAACTTTGGTTCAAATGGATATGAGACATCTCGATAGCCACTGAATCAATGTCGACATCAATCTCAATGCGAACATCATAATGATTCATCTTCTCCAGGCTTTTTAGGCCTCAGCAAAATCATACCAGCAAGACTCATGTCGTCTGGGAAAAAATCCTATCACTCTGATTCTCTATTTGAAGTTAATTTTACGCAGCAGATAGAGGCTCCGAGATACTGGTCTTTCGTAGACATTTTTGCGGTTCGTCGGAGATGCTCCGACATTTTTACTAGATTAAGAATAGCGCATTAACGCGATAATTTGGCCCAATGGCGCCAGAGTAAACGCATTTCACAGAGGGGAGGCATTTAGTCAGATTATCTGACCACGTCCCCCACTACGAGCTGTGTTTCCCACGCGGGACCCTTTGAGTATATATAAATATATATATATATGTATTTTTTCGCTCGTTTGATCCCGCAACAGAGCATTAAAATGGACATTGAGCGGATAGCTATTATTGGCGCTGGCGCCTGTGGGGTTGGCGCTGCAAAGCAAGTTCAGATGAGACCGTATTGTAACTTTTTAGGATCTAGAAACTGACCTTTGACCAGATATCTTCTAGCGGAACGAAAGTTTCAGACCATCACCATATTTGAACAGCGGGACCATCCAGGTGGTGTCTGGAACTACACTGGTAATAAAGGGACAGGCGAAAATATCACGACAATTGCCCACCCAACTCCCAGCTCGGTGCCCCAACAGCCAATCGACGGGACGTTCATTTCGCCAGTTTACGACTCTTTAGAAACCAACATCCCGAGTTCCATGATGCAATTCTGCGATTTCCCTTTTCCGGATGGAACTGCTTTGTTTCCTTCACATACTGTTGTCAAGGACTATCTGCATAAATATGCAGAAGAGTTGCGGGATATCATAAAGTTCCAATCACTTGTTCTCGATATCTCTGTGTCGGCGCGACAGCCGCGCACAGAGTGGACGGTCGCATGGCGGGATCTTCAAACCAACCAAGTCTCAAATGCGAAGTTTGATGCTGTGATTGTTGCGAATGGTCATCACAATGACCCCTACGTGCCTGTCATACCGGGCCTGGCGGAGTGGGACCAGATGCACCCAGGGTCTATCATCCACTCATCTCTTTACCGCCGTGCAGATTCTTTTATCAATAAGGTATGTAGATAAGCATCCGAAGTCTAGCTCCAGAAACTAAAGCGACAGTAACAGAAAGTTATCGTGGTAGGCCACTCCGCTTCCGGCATTGACATCGCCTCGCAAATCGGTGAAGTATCGCAGCACCCGCTACTCATCTCCGAACGAACAAAAACGACCCTGTCACCTGAAAAGGCAGCAGTCGCCAGGAGTCTTCCTGAAATTATGCTCCTTGATCCCAAGAATCGCCGAGTGCTGTTCGCGAATGATCATGAAGAGCAGGACGTTGATCACATCGTCTTCTGCACAGGATACCACTTCTCATTACCCTTTTTGTCAACTCTTCAGCCAAGCATTATCACCGATGGCCAGCGACCACACAATCTATACCAGCACGTATTCTACATCTCCGAGCCTACATTGGCTCTCATTGGATTTCAACAGCGGATTGTTCCATTCGTAATTAGCCAGGCACAAGGGGCGTGGGTTGCGCGGGTCTTCTCTGGACGACTCAACTTGCCTTCATATGCCGAGATGCAGCGATGGATCGAGGAGTGGAAGGCCAAGCGAGGTGAAGGGCGCATGTTTAATGTTCTTGGCTTCCCTCTCGATGCAGAATATATTAATTCCTTGCATGATAAGAGCTCAGCAGCAGTGCATCGCGATGGACTTGAAAAACATGGAAGCGGGAAGCAGCCACCATTCTGGGGTGATAAGGAAAGATGGACACGGGAGAGGGTCCCGTTGATTAAAAAAGCGTCACAGGCACTGGGCAGTCGACGAAAAGGAATTACGACCCTTGAGGAACTTGGGTTCAAATTCGAGGAGCCTTTCGAGGATGCCGAGTTGAAAAAGGCTCATCTGTAGATAATCTTAGACCTCTAGAAAGGAAAGGGACTTTTTTCAAAGCATATCTGATCCGAGACCACCAAGCAGACTCATCCATTGTGTTTCCAATGGACTATCCATGAGTGGATTATCTGCAGGTGTAAAAGCACTATTCTGCGGGATACCAATACGGGGACCACCATCGATTATACCACTCATACCATCCGTGGCAACGAACTGGTGCGAAGGTCGTCGGTCAAATACCTTTGACCTAAGAGGCCAGATATAGAAGCTTGCTTCGCCTAATGTATCGCTTAATAAGGGAGCGAGCTCATCTTGTATTGCCTGTAGCCCAAGCTCCACCTCTAGCCCTGGAGACGTGATCACTGACGATGCAGATGACTTGCTGAGTGGTATAATTGGAGTTTTATTATTTGCAATCGTCTCCGACAGTCGTCGCATAATCCGAGCGGCTTCGTGTGCGGGGATCCAAGAGGGTTCGAAGAGCTCCAATAAAGAGGCGAGCAGATTTATCTCCGGGATTTCTTGGAATGTTGACGACCACTGCGTTATGCAGTGAAGGAATATGGCCGCCAGGGAGAGCAGACGACACAGAGTAACCCAGTTCATCGGTAAGTGTCGATGTTCATGAAGAATAAGACTTAATTGGATATACTGTTGGGCAGCTGCCTGCAGCTGGGCCAGGTTATCCTCGCCTCCAGAGTCCGCCCGGGCAGGAGTATATAATAGGAGAAGAAGATTTTGATAGCGAACATTCAACCAAGTAATAGTCGTATGGAACGGCACTTGGTCTTGCTCCCATAGTGCCGAGCTAGATAGAAGGCACCCTTGGGTATACCAGTCTTCAATCTGCCGTCGAAGCTCCTGTGTGTGCACTGGAGAGTCCTGATGATAAATCGAGTCCACGATTCGAGTCTCGAGTTGGCGGAGAGCAATGACGTGTCTGCTGACTTGCAGCGCGATCGTATATTGGTGACCTTCTGGAGACCCGTATTCGTGGATCATAATACTTGGTAATGGCACTTGCATCGAGTCGTTCGGAATTCCGAATGGAAGGCCATAGGATATACCAATCATTCGGTCGAAGACATAGACTGACCAGCTCAACCGACGACGCAGCTCTAACGCTCGAGGAGAAAGTTTCTGACTGGTTGGTGTCTCGCTGACCAGTCCTGTTGCCAATGCATGGCGGGTAAGGACACCAACAATGGCCCTGGGATCCAGATCATTGGGTTTGAATAGAAGGTACAAGCCAAGCAGCAGCAATGTTCCCGCTGAATTCTCATTGACCTTGGAGACACACTCGCAAAATATTTCTTGCAAACACGGCTCAAAAGGTCGTTCTTCAATATTTTCAGCTTCACCGGCACGCTGCAGTGTTGTGTACCCGATAGCCATAAGCATATGCAGCCGGCTTGGCACAGCCGATCGCGGCAGATATTCATTCTCCGCTTGTTGTTCGCACAGGGTCTCAAAATCCTGCTGAACAAATTCGCTGTCTGAAAATGGATATGCGCGATGGACATGTCGAAAATAGGCTTGCAGGCACCTTCTCCCAGCTGAGACAGAGATGGCCCTATCACCGTCCCCCAGTTTGGTAGAATCCTGGCTCTCCTCTTGGACAGTCTCATCGGTCTCCATTTTCTCGACCGGACCGATTTGTGGGGATTGAGTTTCACTAGACCCCAATGACAATCCCCGACCCGTTTCAATGGACTCGATTTGCGGCCCACCCGTCGGCAATGTCTGGTTCACCAACTGGCTAAGCCAGTCGATTCGAGAACGCAATTCCCTTTCTCTCGAATGCGGACTCACGTCTCGCTCCATGAGCGAACAAGGCAGCCAAGCCGCAAGACATGGTTTACACGACCCCTCGGCAGTTCGCGTGCATCGCTTCTTCTGCTGGCGACACCTTCGGCACGCGGGTAGAGTGGATGGGCGTCGAGTGTGAGCGGGGCCATGAGCGGTTCCAACGGCGGGTCCATTGTTCCGCTGATCCTTGGAAGCTGGTTGCGCAGAGGCATTCCCGCGTTGGACCCGAAATCTGTGAACAGAGCCTTCCATGATGAAATCGAATGAAAAAAATGATGGAATGAGTTGGCGTTGGAGAGATAGCGTAGCTTGATAAGAGCTCGATCATCATTCGCTAATGAAGCACGCCATCTTTTACCCCAACAAGCCATTTGTTTCGTGATGCAACGCACGATTTGTTGACGAATTTTCGGTTGCCCTCTCGTGAAAGACATTGATAATCCCGAAGTAAACAATAAGAATATTCCAATTGCGGCACAATCTTTGGATGTGTCATTTTTGAGTTGAGATGGCTGAACATTGCCAACTAGCCTCGTTGAGGTCTCATCGTGTGAGCACGATGTCGCGGATGAGAGATGCGACAGCAGAACTGGCAACATCAGGCGAATATCGAGGATAGGTCGACTAGCTGCGTGTACTCTGCAACTTGCCGTATGCAATTTGCCGTATGCAATCATATCCAGCCCAAAGAAATATCCAGCGATTAGGCATGCTGAACTTCGTGACTTCGGTCTAAAAAGCTTCGGGCAGGAACTTAGGGATGAACTGGACCGATGGATAATGGTTGCTTGCTTTATCGCACAAGCCGAAAACCCCCTTGCTTCGGTCATGGTATTCCGGACTCCGATTACAGCGCAATAGATCTTATCCGATTGGATGCAAAGGAGAGCCTGTGCGGCCTAGTCATTTTAGTCCGCAGACAGATGAAAGGTAGTACATTGATGATGGGAAATTGCGATGAAAGTATTGACTATGTGATCGACTCGATCATCATGAACCTTGGTGGTTTTTGACGGAGCGACGGCCACTCACAGCAAATAATTTTGATTTAAGCTCGGCGTAACGTGGATTAAGGCTATACGCGTATTTAGCTGCATAGGCTGCTAAAGTCGCGTTTGAGCCGGTGATTTAGCTGAACATTCGCCCCAAGATGGCTGGGCGATGTCTCGCGAGATCGATGACATGGGATGAACGTGACAGGTGCACTGGGTGATGATCTTAAATGAATAAAACACTAATGAGTGGGTATTTAAGTATGTACAAAAGGTATCTTGATATCCGTCTCCATGTTTCCATGCAATCATAAACTCTAAACGACAGCCATCATGACATCAATGCAGCCAAGCGCTGTCGGCGGCAACGCTGCCCATGATAAATGTGCCAAGCCACATACCGCCAAGAATCGAGAGGAAATATCCAACATTCATAGTCATAACCGCCAACATCCTAAATTCAATGTAAGTCTCAAAATGAAGTCAGAATCGGGTTGGTACAACTTACAGGAGGTAGGCAACGCCAGCAAGGATCACTTCATAAGTTGCACGGCCTGCGGCGGGATTCACGCGCCACCTGGACCATCTCCGTCCGATTTCGTGAATGCTCTGTTGCGTACCGGATATGTTTTTCTGATAGTCGTGCTCCCCGATTAGAGGGTCGCCTGCATGGCTGATACCGTCGGTCCAAAGACGACCTTCCAGGATCGGTCGCACAGCGATGAGAACGCGCATGATAACGGCGAGGACAATCAAAAAGATGCAGGTACCGGCATAGATCCCCTTTGATGTTGGAGTCCAGGATTCAGAGTATAGAGGGGTCTTGAAGGAGGTGAAGAATGTCATTGACATCTCCGACATGGACATGGTCATGCTCGAATCCATGTCCATCGAGGAGCTGGAGGTGGTAGCCATGGACATTGCTGTTGTCGTGGCTGTCGCCATCGACATGGAGGAGGTGGTGGTCATGCCGGACATATCCATCATGGCTACTGATCGGCTGCGCCGTCTGGTTTCTTTTTCGCCGCGATAGAAATGTCGTGACGTGCAGTGAAATGCACGACTAATTTTGCCGTGGCAACACCTCGAGTTATATAGAAACGTAGTCGAAGCCGATCGACCAAGAGATCTGACAGGTGTGATGAAAAACGTATTTACCGACCAATGCTGACCCGCCACTCTTTAAAAGGAGAACAATTCATTTCCTTGGCACATCTGAGCAGTGGAAACTTGCGATCCTGGCAAGTGGGTCTGGTGGTTCGGACCTCCACCAACATTTGATGCGCGGAACTTTTGCTTTTTCTCCCGCTGCGCAGATTTGATATTCCCCTGAATCACGCCCAACCGCCTGGCTGAGGACCCTGATGGTCTTCCCACCTGTGTAACTATTCAGTGCTTCAGCTCCACGTGCACAGTGAGCCTGGTGCACCCGCGTTATGTCACGAAAAAACCGAGACCACGCAAAATCCGAATTCGGGACTCGCATGGTGTGGAGTCCAAGCAGTGGAATTGATTTGCTCTCGCACGCACGAGTCGGGCGGATCCGAAGCGGGAAGCCCCACTGCACCACTCAAAACACTCTCAAATGTGCTCATTGCGGGGCCAGCACTGAACGGAAAACCAAACCCACGTAAAGAGATGAAGATATCACCGCAAATCGACTCATAAATCCATTCGCGTCCCCATTCTATTATCTATATCAGAAGCCCTAGCCGAGATTTCTACACTTGATACTAAGACACCTTGAGCATATTTACTTAATAGAATACCCTTCCTCGGCTTACTAGATCATATCTTCGACTAGTTTTAATCTGCTCAAGCTCATTCTTGGCATTTTTCGGCAGTCTACCTATCAATGGGTCTGGATGAGGCAGGAATTAGCGTGCGACAGATTGAGCATAAATCGGACTTGAAAACCTGTCAGAGGTGGAGTCCAACTCGTATGGAGATTTGATTGACACACGGACCTGAGACCACCAACCTTAGACTAGTATTAATAATGATGGCATCCTTCTTGGATCGGGAAATTCTATATCGTGTCATTTTTCCTCTGCAACTCTCTGGATTATAGATCGATCTTGTCACGAGCTACGCGTCTTCCACTACCGACGCTTGTTCACCGGTCAAGATGGGCATGCTTCCGTTCCTGGACCAGCCGGTCTTGTTGCACTCTGACCGGGATCCGGGAGAGTGCACCATGACACCGGAGCAGTGTGCTTATAAAACGCAGTATTGGGTGAACTGGTATCAAGCTGATCATCGCTATGCCCTACCAACTGTGGCCTTTTTCATGGTTGCGATTATTCTTTTCGCAATTGCCCATATAACGCAAAGTATCACACCTCGGAGAGCGCAGAAGAGCTCGATATGGCTGCGGCCTTTGGCGTTTCTTCGGTTCTTGTCTTACAAGAGCTGGCGAGTTGGGAGATGGAACTCGCAGTCTCTTGGTGTTTTTCTCCTTGGAGCCGCGGGACTGGTATTTTTCCTTGGTAAGGAGAGTCTCAATCAGCCTCTTGCTCATGACTTACCATTTTCTCATAGCGATGACTCTTGGGCCGCATCCTTATTACTGGCCTAACACCATGACACTCAGCTATGGTGGATCTCCGCCTATCGCCACGCGATCCGGTTTCATGGCTCTTGCGTGTATGCCGTTCCTCGTCATCCTGGGTGCCAAAACCAACCCGATCACCTTGTTGACAGGCATCTCCCATGAAAAACTTTTCGTTTGGCACAACTGGATTGCCTGGGCCATGTTTGTGCTAGCACTGGTCCACACTTTTCCTTTTATTGTGTACCACATGTGGATGGGTGATATCAAAGAACAATGGTATGATGGAGGTGTTTGGGTAACGGGAGTGGTTGCTCTGATCGCTCAAGCTTGGTTGACTTTCATGTCAATTCCCTGGATCCGGTAAGTTCAACCACATGTCTTACATTTTCCGTACCGACTAACAAGTTTCGCTTCTCTAGTAATCGCTACTACGAATTTTTCAAAGCCACTCACTTCTTCATGGCGATGGTCTTCGTCATCTTCTTCTTCATCCACTGCGACTTCCGAATGTCCTCCTGGGACTACTTCATCGCCACTGCAGTGCTGTATTCGCTCTCCTGGTTGTATGCGCAATGCCGAACATGGTTTGAGCATGGCGTAGGACACAAAGCTCGTCTTGTCCCCGAGTCCGACGAGACATTGAAAGTGACCATTGATACCAAGATGGAGTGGGGGCCCGGTCAGCACATTTTCCTGCGGTTCTTGACATGTGGAATGCACTCCCTCACGTCCCACCCGTTCACAATCTGCTCCGTCCCGCAAAGGAACGGTAAGAACCAGTTAGTCTTCTATATCAAGCAACATGGAGGAGTAACGGGTCGCTTGATGAGCATGGCCAAAAAGACCCCGGACGTGCAAGTACCAGTCCTTCTAGATGGTCCATATGGTGGAATTCCAGCTGGCCGTCTCCAGAATTTCGACAAGTCTCTTATCGTTGGCGGTGGTGCCGGTGCTGGATTGACATTATCCATGATTGAAGATTTCGTTCGTTTCCCTTCTCCACAGCAGGATAAGGAGATGAAGGTTATTGTTGCCACACGCGATCCGGGTATGAGGGCGTGGTACTTGCAAGCTTTGGAGGATTTGGCGGCGAGACAGTCTCAACAGAAACCCGTCGCTGGATTATCAGTTCACATCCATGAGACCTTCTCGACACAATCGACCCAGTCCACCCCGGATTCTGATGAGAAGGAGACTAATGTGGGTGAGAGTGGGAAAAAGCAAGAAGTGCATTCCAATGAATGTAATCCCTTGACCAGTGAGATCTTTGGTGTTCAGCTCTTTACTGGCAGACCAGATCTACCGAGTACCATCCGACAAATGGCCAGCCAAGAGGGAACTTCTGTCGGCGTTGTTGTCTGCGGTCCTTCGTCCATGACACATGATGTTGGGACTGCTTCGTCGGAAGTTCAAAGTCACATTTTGGCTAAGAAGCCTGGTAATGCGCGGGAACTGTGGCTGCATAGAGAGAATTTCTCGTAAGTTTTCTTCACATTCATTGATGCGCGCTCACTAACGTTTTGCAGTTTTTAGATAGAATGTGCCATATCTTGAGGTATTTGTATTTATTTATTGTACATAATTTTAACCTGATGATATCCCAAGATTTCTCACAAACAGGTGAAATCAAAATCAACATCTGAAATATCTGCAGCCTGTTTTTGGCAACTAAGTTGCTCGTCAGACCTTGCCCGAGTACTTGGTAGTACATTTCGCCTCAACCTTTCTTTCTGAGGTTGGTCTTTGATAATCCAAGTCTTTAATGTACTAGCAGTGTTCCCAGGCCTGGACATCGGCGTTACTTGGTTCATGGGTGCCATGCAAGTCTGAAATTGCCGACTTACTCTATTATACACACTGGTGGTTTCGTCTTCTGATTCAGGTGATCATGACTTACAGGGACACAAGCAAAGACTAAGCATATTGTCATACGAATATGTTTGTCAGTTTTGTTTAAAATATCATTTGCGAGTGTTGATTTTCAATATATTAGTAAAAATAATCTGAAACCTTGAAGATCAATATAGTTCTTTCTTGATCAAAATATAGATAAAACTTGGGGTTGCGTCCTAGCCTCGAATCTGGAGCAGACGAGTTTACTACAAACGAAGAACCCAGGCTTCTTAGACGCGTTCTTTCCCAAATGAAGGAGCCGCTCGAGAGCCCCATCACCCCGGCGAAAGAACTCCTGTGGCTCTCGCTCACGGAAGTCGAGGTCTATGGATCTCTCAAGGTAGCGAGGGTTTTAACATCGCCCGGCGAAGATGGCCACATGACCTTGCATTGAAAAACCTGTGGAAATACCTCGGGAAATTCGCCACCCGAATATTTATCGCATGCATTAATCTAGGATACCAACCCGAAACTGTGGCGGAGCGCAAGGCTCGTTGCGGCTAAGGAAACAAGGGAAGTCAAATTACTCGGTCCCCGGGGTCTACCGCCCGATCTCGCTCCTTAACAAGTTAGGCAAGCTCCTTGAAGCGGTGATAGCTTGGCGACTGTCTTATCTTGTAGAGAATCAAAGGCTACTCCCGGACACGCAGTTCGGCGGTCGCCCAGTAATGAAGGAGAAAATGGAAGCTGGTCAAGGAGTACGAAGTGATCTATTGAGAGCGACGAGGAAGGGAGAAGGAGAGACTACAAAAGTGAAGCTTAAGTAGTCAGAGGAAGGCACTAGTCCAAAAGTGGACGTCAACACCCAGGAAGAACCACCGAACAGGCTCTGCTGGTTTTATCCAATATGATCGACTGAGATAGAACAAACACTATGTGGTGACACTCATCGCCGTCGACATTAAAAGAGCCTTTAACGGGGTCAACAGACCAAGCCTAGAAGCGTGCCTTCAGATTATGTATTGACGGTCTGGCACGACCCGCTCCATGACAAGACTCATCTGCGACATCTTAACACAGTGTAACGGATACCACTGATCTATAGCTTTTCGGCGTTCGGGACTAGACCTTAAAACCGCCCGCGAGCGGCCCTCTGAGAGCGGTTCGAGGGCCAACAAACAGAACAAACATATAAAGACTAACTAGAATAGGAAGGGGGGATAGCATAAAAGGATAAGTCATCAAAATTATACGTCTAACTAGATTAGGAATAGTCAACTTTTTTTATGGAAATGAGGGCCAATGAGGGCCGATCAAGGCAGCCCTAGAAAATGAGAGGGCCGGGCGAGGATAGGTAAGGACCCGCCCTCTAAATGTTTTTAATGAGGGCTAGGACGGTCGAGGCTGTGCTAGACTTCGCCGAGGCGTCACAACAATTTGGCAGTCATGCGTCATGAGGGCAGCCTAACAACATGAACGGCAATAAGGCCATGGCAGGCCTTGACGAGGCTCTAAGTTCGTTTTCAGGAAGTGAACAACCTATAGGGCTGTACATATACGGATACAGTATATATTGTTGCTGTAGCCTGCATATCGCTTTGCGAGCAGTTGGGGTAAATGGATACTACTACTACTACAGTACTACTCCTACTACTACTGCTGCTGTAGTATGGAATATATTACTAAATTATCTGATTGGGTAGCAGGCTCCAAAGAACGCGTGAAACGGATTTCGATACGCGTTATAATCCTCAAGTCAAGCTGCGCTTCTATCCGATACTGGCCGAACCTCCCCAGACTTAAGATCATAAATAAACCCTCGAGTTCGGTCAGCAAGCGCTTTGCGAACAAGTTGTGACTGTTTGACAAGCTGCACGTCCTCTTGAACGCTGCGCTCTAGACTATATGCAAATTTGGCCCGTTAATATTTTCGAGTATCACCTGTGTTCAAACTTACTCATTATATCCGGGAAGTCCAAGGCCCTCAACGATATCACTGGCATCTGGAACACGCCCAATCAACGCCTGAGAAACTTCCGCGTTGGAAAAGAGCTCAGCTGAGCAATCTGTTTATATTTTCAGTTCAAAGATCATAGGCGTCGTATACGAGCAGTATTTGGGTGATCAAATTACCTGTATGATGTATAATCATAATGTCCGTAAATTGTAGGACATGGTCAAGGAAAAGCAGGTTGCTAAATTGGGAAGCCATACGACCAGCAGCACCACGAGTCACGACAGCGTCTACGGCATGGTCAGCAGTTTAAAAGCCTGAAAAGCATAAGTCGGTACCCCATTTTTGAAGGCCTAAGATATCCCAGGGGTCTACGCGAGGATCGCAACAAGATACTGGACATTGTTCGATAGTTAGAGAAGAATCTTTTAACGGGAAGACGACGGGGGAGTCGTTTACCGATAAATATTTTCGGCATTGGCAAGCTCCGCTCAGGAGGAAGATCGTTGATTTCGCTTAAGGACGGGATGGACTCGAATGTTGTGATTCTCTTACTGCTTGTGATGAGCCCGGTGTTTTCTTCTTTTACCAGATTCAATTTAGACGTACGCATTCCGCTTCAGTAGCTCCTCAACACTTGGATGGGAATCCATTATACAAGCGATTGATCTCAATAATGCACTCGGAGGTGAGAATTGGAGGCGTAGGAAAGATAATAGAACTTTGAGAAGGATGGTTGTTCTACGATTATATCAACGGCGATACGGCGGTTATAAATGCTTCTCAGGTCTTGCGGTAGGAACAGGCAGAATCAGTCTTCGGCTATTTCGCCTTTATTCTCTATTTAAATCCGCCTGATTTCTAAGCAATGAGTCAGTCCTAATAATCAGACCCATGGAGGGGTACAAATGGGATAGAACAAGTAGCGTGGCAGAAGAAGGCATACGAGGAGAGACAGCTAGCGATGTGGCAGAGTCGCTTGTGTTGTGAACTACGGGATCGGCCGCGCTATGACCCTGTGCGATTTGAACTTCCTCGCTGTCGGTTATTATCGAAAATCTTACCAGTGAGCGTTGTGAGGGCATAAAAAGGAGGACGAACTTCGAAAGAGTGACCTGAGTGTCGACTAGCTGTTAAGGTCACGCCAGTTAATTATCCTAGTTTTGCAGGCTGATTAAACAATTTTATAAGGAACTAAGCATCTCATATGGTATTAGAATACATGACAAATCGCTTGTTCGAGACCGTCGACCCTGTTCTTACATCTGGTGCAAAGTATACTTCTAAACCTGAAAATTATAAAGACCGGAAAATGAACTTGGGAAGTGGGACCGAAGCCTGTCTGAGCGTGCGCAAAGATGGATGGTGGTTGATCCAATTTTACAGGGCGGTCAAGACAAACCCCTCCATTATCTCCTAGCTAGATCAAACAATGTCCTGAAGTCAATATGAGCACACGGAGAAGATGGGCGACCTAGGAGATCAGCTGACTACTAGATTAACCGCTAGCTCCATATGCACGGGACGCAAACTGAGACGGTGGGAGGTCTACATGTTATCCTCTGATTGGGGGTCTCACGCGGGGCCAGTGAGACAGCTAGCTTTGGTAATCTGTTATCACAGCGTATTACCTATGCTACTTGTTGACGTAGTTATCGGTATGGATACAGCAGCGGCTGGGTCCGAGCGGTGACTGCTGAGCAAACCACGGAGGCTGCCTCCTAGACGTTCACGGCCAGGCTTCATACCAATCGTCGTCGGATGGGTCTGCGCTATTCAGTGAATATACTGGGGCTGTGTACAACACTAATCTGCAAAGCAGTACGCTTCAGGAAATTCAACGTCAAAACATACTCCAAAGTTGACTAGCAAACGGGACAGATGGAGGGACAGATGGAGGACCTCGAGGAGGGTATTCGGAAGTTACGCCAGGTGCTGCGTGACCGTCCTGGTCTTTTGGTGGGGCTATACCGCCTCGGAAGTATGCTAGATTGTCGATACGAACGAACAGGACAGATGGAAGACCTCGAGGAGGCGATTCAGCTTTTTCGTCAGGCTGCGCGGGCCACTCCTGATGTTCATCCTGATCTTCCAATATTGCTATACATCTTCGGAGACACTCTCAAAAGTCGATACGAGCGAAAAGGACAGATAGAAGACCTTGAAGAGGCGATTCAGGTATCTCGTCAGGCAGTACAGATCACTCCTGATGACGATCCTAACTTTGCAGTATGGTTAAATAACCTCGGGACCAAACTCAAAAGTCGATACGAGCAAACCAGACGGATAGAAGACCCCGAAGAGGCGATTCAGGTGTCTCGTCAGGCTTTACGGGGAACTTCTGATCATGATCCCAACCTTACACTATTATCAAGTAGCCTCGGAAACATACTCCAATATCGGTACGAGCAAACAGGGCAGATAGAAGACCTCTAAGACGCGATTCAGGGGTATCTCCAGGCAGTGCAGGCCACTCATGATGATCATCCTAGCCTTTCTGCGTTACTGGGTAGCCTTGGAAACCAGCTCGGATATCGATTTCACGAAACTGGAAAAATAGCAGACCTTAACGCCATCTTATATCAAAGCTAGGTGCACTTGGACAGCAGCTTCAAAGGCGATATAAACGAAATGGATAGATAGAAGACCTCGAAGAGGTGATTCGGGTATCTCGCCGGGCAGCGAAGGCCACTCCTGATGAAGGTCCCGATCATGCAGCAGCACTAATTAATCTCGGGAATAACCTCCGGCATCGCTATGAACGAATTGGATAAATGGAAGATCTCGATGAGGCAGTTCGCGTGTCTCGTTAAGCCGTGCAGACCCTTCCTGATCGCCATCCTCAACTAGCAGGGGCTTTGAATAACCTTAGAAACAAAATCATATGTCGTTATAAAAGGACAGAATAGATAGATAATTTGGAAAGGTAATCCGGGTGTCTCGTCAGGCAGTAAATGCCACTCCTAGCGATCAGCCCGATTTTGCAGCGTGGTTAAATAACCTCGGTAACAATCTTAAAAATCGATACGAACGAATAGGATAGATGGAAGATCTCGAAGAGGCGATTTAGGTGTCTCGCCGGGCAATATAGATCACTCCTTATGACCATCCCGATCTTGCAGTATCTTTAAGTAACTTTGGGAAAAACCTTTATAATCGATATAAACAAACGGGATAGACGGGAGACCTTGGAGAAGCGATCTAAGTGTATCGCTAGGCGGTTTAGACCAAGCCGGCGCCTCCTTTAGACCGCATCCGAGCTATTATTTAGGGTCTTCGCCTCTTTTCCGAGCGAAACGATCATCGTGGTGGTTATACGCTATCTATTGACGCTATGATTCTCCTGTAGCTGGTCTATAAAAGGTCTTTGATAATATAAGATTGATAATAAATTATCTCGCATTTTTCTGGCTTAGCAACACACGCCTGCTCTCTCCCACTCTAGACTAAAAAGCCTCTTTTCGAAGCTCTAAGTTTATTAGAGAATAGACGTGGTGTTATCCTTGGTCTTCTTTTGGATGGCCGTAGTGACACATCTAAACTAAAAAAGGCCTATCCCGCCCTATGTCACCTATACGAAAGTCTTCGGCTAGAATTAAACACTTCTAACGATGGTACCGTATCTGAGAGGATAGGGGAACCTATTCCTATTAAATAGTTAAAAGCTCTTAAGGAGCTCGAAAAATGCATATAGAATATACGAAACCTTCTAGGCTTCGGTTCCTTTTAACGGGGCCTTACTATGGAGTAAATGCAAAATGCTTCTAATGAAGGTAGCATTATTGTGGTGAATATCACTAATTTAAGAAGTGATGCTATTATTATCTCTATATCTAGATTTAACCTAGTCCCTCTTCCTCGATTTAGGGCGATCGAGGCGTAAGGTTGGGTCGATAAGAAGTTGACTAAGGGTGTGAATAAATTATATCGCTAATTTTTAGCCTAGCTATGGCGGGAGTGCGTGAAACCTGTCCTCACCGAGCTTGGTTCTTGTGTTTAATCATCTCTAGAAGACCTCCTAAGGTCTAGTGGATCGGCACTAGACTTGCTAGCTCATTCCTATTTCACGCTGCGGGTGATATCTCTATAGTAGATAATACGTTCTGTCGCGTTTTATCTTCCTATACCCCTTCGATCAAAGCACTCTTATATGCTAGAGAGCGGGTTCCTACCTCTACCCCATTAGTCGAAATTCCCCTAAAGCTACTTATGGTTACTATGGTAAATATACCCGGCGCTAGTGACTTGCCCGGGGTAAAAGCCGAAAGAGCCACTGTCCTAGGGGCACTTGAAAAGTCCGTTCTTGTGGAAGTTCTCAAGCAACTGGACTCCGTAAGTGTTATTCGCTAGATTCGCGAATGCAATATTACCCATTTCGCTTGCCACGGAACCTTAGACTCGCATGATCCCTCTTAAAGTGGCCTTTTACTGTAGACTGCCACCGTAAATCCAAGACAGGATATCCTAAGCGTTCTTAAACTCTACGAAGCCCACGCAGCGCTTGGAAAGATTGCATACCTCTCTGCATGCTCGACTGTAGAAAATCAAACTGCAAATCTGATCGATGAGGTCCTCCATGTTGTGAGTGGCTTCCAGGTCGCCGGATTCAGACACGTAATAGGGACTTTGTAGCCATCTAATGACAGTGTATGCGTGGAGGTTGCGAGGTCGTTTTATGCCGAGCTTTGTCGGAATGGTAATCTTGAATGCACTGACAGGGATGTCGCCATGGCACTTCATCAAGCGGTCTCGGCCGTTTCGACGAGTGTTGACTATGAAAAACGGCCGTTACGTTGGGCGCAGTATGTCCATTATGGTGCTTGAGCATAGACCAGTGATGTCGCTCTTTTTGCTACCTAATATGTACAGAGAAAGTCCCAAGACCTGCGCATACGGACGGGAGTGGTGACATCTTCCCAGGTTGCCAAATTCTCAAGGCCCTTCTATCTCCCGACGATTATTTGACTTGTATGTAAATGGCTTCATCAAATTTCGTGTAGTACTTTTCCTTGGACTAGTGTCAAATAGTACCTCTGGCTGATCTCAACAGCTAAGTGTCGCTTAGTAAGCAGTTTCAACGTAAAAGTTGAGTTGCAATTCAAACCAACCCATATGTCAGCCTCAGATGAATTCTGTTCAAGTTGCACAGCTGTCATCTAAGCTATCCCTGTGGATTCCTTCGAATTGCTTAATATGGTAGGCAATCATCATGAAGTGCGATACATTTTGAGGGTGGTAATGTACTGAGGAAAGTGGCAAAAAATGACTGTATTCAAGAATGAACAAATGGCGCTATAGACAATAACGCTGTGGATGAAGTCACTTCTTTCTCCTGCCCCCACATCTTAGTCAACAATGCCATCTCCATCCAAGTTTCATTGTTTCAGTTTGAAGGAGCTGATAAGCATTGTAAGCTCTACCGGGCCGTGAATAGAATTTGGAATACCTGATCTAAAGTGGGCCTACAGTGGGGTTTGAATTCTGACCACAGTAACGAGTATTAGATATGAATACTCAATGTTGATCATTCAATGTCATTATGAAGCTAGTTTTAAGTACCATACTTTCATTGAGAATCAGACGCCTCTCACGTGAGAGGCACCGTCGAAGGCACGCCATGGCGCGAGATGTAGACTAAGACGCGACCGGCGTGCAAGTTCCCGCGTTATTGTGGGGTAGTAGGTCTTAGCCCTTCTTCGGAATCGAACAACCCCGGAATAGAAGTTCCAAGCCCCGGATTTATTTTGATTTCTGGAGTAAATGACCAATCTATGAGTAACAGAAATGTCATAAGTAACAAATTGTGCAATCTTATCATAAACGGGCAAATGGAGGGGCCCCGGGGGGTACAGGAACTGCTGAGCCGGGCCGGTGGTTTATATAGTCGGCCGGGCCGGGCACAACCCGGAGTTCTTCATCAGGGAGGCAACCGCTCCGGACTGAAAGTTTCTGTAAATTACACGTTTGGGGGTTCGTTTCTTTCAAGGGTTTCCCAAAAGTTTATGACCAACCTAAAAAGCCTAATTCTGCCACCCTTGTCATTTTGTCGATATAAGGCCATCATAGCTCATTTCTTTAAGAATTATAGATTAAACTAGCAATCGCGTGCATGTTAGCCATCATAACTCTTTTCCCAACATCCCACTGCTCTTTTCTAGAGCGTGTATAGCCGCGCTTAACCATTCAAAAAGGGCGGCCAGAGCCGGCGGTCGCAGACTTTCCGAGCGCCACCATACAGCCATAACCAGAAGATCAGTTCTCGGTCGCTACCCGCTACAGGAATGTTCCGCAGGTGGATGCAGGAACGCGTTCAAACATGTATCCGCCATTCACCGGTGCCATCTAGGGGCAGACCAACACATATACACTCCACAAAAGTGGAACTCACAGTACCCCGGAGATAGCGGAATCAAATAACGATTTTCGAAGGAATCCCGTAAGAAGTTTGTACCCTAAGGTAATTTCCATCGCCACACGCCAAGAAAAAAAATGGGTCGATATATTCTCCCCAACTTTGGGCACCTCCACGTCCGCGACTTTTGGCTTCTTGCTTCCTTCCCTTCTCTCGTCTAGAAGGTTGCTGGTTTTGTCTTTCCATCAATTTTTGAGATATCATGACCGCATCACAGCTACCTGGCTCTAGCCCGCCTGACATCGAGGTATATGATGATTCGATGGAGACGGAAAAGTTGGAGAAGCCTCCTATCGTGGAAGATCCTTTTGGAAATGAAGAATCCGGGGAAGTGAAGTACCGTGTGATGAAGTGGTGGTAGGTTTTCTGTTCTCTTGTGAAATGTATCAAGGATCCCGGAGTTTAACATTGTCACAGGCAAGCTGGAATGCGTAAGAGTCCACCATTGAAGCTGGTCGACATTGATCAATTATCATTCTAACCCGTAATCCAGTTATGGTCGCTGAAAATATCTCACTTGGTATCATGTCTCTACCGTCTGCCGTGGCAACCCTCGGAATTGTCCCGTAAGAAATCTTGACACAGACGCGCTGCTTACCGAACGCTAAACAATCACAGGGCACTTCTCCTCATTCTCGGTCTATCAGGCATCTCTTGGTACACCGGTTACGTCTGTGGCCAGTTCAAGCTGCGCTATCCTCAAGTGCACAGTATGGGTGACGCTGGCGAGCTTCTGATGGGTCCTATCGGACGAGAGATCTGTTACTTCGGCCAGCTGCTATTCATTATTTTCCTGATGGCTAGCCACATTCTCACCTTCACCGTGACATTCAACACCATTACAGACCACGGCACCTGCACCATCGTCTTCGGAGTTGTGGGATTGGTCGCGTGCTCCATTGCTTCCCTCCCGCGGACCTCAGGGAAGGTCTTCATGATGTCCACCATCTCTGCCGCCAGTATTTTGATCGCCACGATCGTTACTATGATTTCCGTCGCAGTCCAGGAGCCTGTCGGCGTCGTG